TTAAATTTATTAATACTTTAAATTTATAATTTATATAATATATTTAAATAATAATATATTATTATTTAATTAATAAATTAAAACTAATTATATAATATAAGCTAAAAGTTTAAAAATTAAGCTTAAAATATTATTAGTAAATATTTATAAACTTAATAAAAGCTTAAAAAAAGCTAATTATAAACTTATTAAATAATCTATTATTATAAGCTATAAAATAAACTTATTATTATATTTATAGCTAAAAGTTATAAAAATAGCTTATTAAATATATATTATTTTATTATATTAAATAAAAAATTAAAAATTTTTAATAAAAATATTTAAAAAGTAATTTATTTAATATTTTTATTAATATAAACTAATAATTATAAAGAAATTTATTATAAACTTTTATTTTAACTAAAAAAACATTTATACTTATAGCTATTAAGCTTATATATTTAATAAAAATAAAATATAAAAAATAAATAAATATTTATTTAAAATATAAAAGCATACTTATATAAAATACTTTATAAATTATTATATATTTAATTTATATAAAATTTAGATTTTAATATTTAATAAAGTATAAACTATATATAATATATACTTTAATAAATAGCTTTTTTATAAGGATTTAAAAAATAAAGTATTTAATATACTAATAAAAATAAAGCTTAATAAACTTATATTTATAATTAAAATAATTAATAAAATTAAAAAATTTATATATATTATAAATTTAAATTTATAAATTATAAAAAAAGCTTTAAATAACTTTAATTAACTTTAAAAAAGCAATTTTAAAAATATACTACTTAATATAATTAACTTACTTAATATATAAAAAAGTTAAAACTTAAAAATAAGTATACTTAATACTAAAAAATATAAATTTTATTAAAATAATATTTTTTAAAAAAAAAGTATAAATAATTAAATATAAAAACTTTTAACTTTAAAAAAAATATTTAAACTAATAAGTATATTAAATTTAAAGTTTAGTTAATTTAAAAATAAGTAATTAAAATTATAACCTATTAATTTAATAATTAAATATTTTTTAATACTTAAATTATAATTAAATTAAAGTTTAAAAAAAAATTAAGCTTTAATAAATAAAGTTTTATTATTAAAAAAAAATAATATTTTAATAAGTAAAAATTTACTATTAAAAATAATTATAAAATATATAAAAAAGTTAATAAAAAACTATAAACTTTTAATATATATAAGCTATTAGCTTATAGTATAAAAAAATAATAAATTTAATTATTTTTTAATATTTATAATTTATTTTTTAAATATTTTAAAATTATTTAAAAATTAAAAAGAATTAAAAAATACTTATTTTTTAAATATATTATAATTAAAGTAAATTAATATAAGTTAATAAATAAAAAATATAAAAGAATATTATTTAAATTACTATTATATTTTATATTTAATTATTAAAACTATAGTTTATATAATAAATATATTAATAAAAAAAATTCTTATTATTAAAATAACTTTATAAAACTATTAAATAAATAGTAAAATTTAAAAAACTATTTAATAAAAAATAATTTTATTAAAACTATATATATTAAAATTTAAATATTAATTAAGCTAAGTATATAAAAAACTATAAAAAGAAAAAAAATAATATTAAAACTTTTATTTTTAAAATAAGTATTTATTTATAAATTTAATAAAAATAAAAACTTTATAAAATATAAAGTATAGATTTATATATAAAAAAATTTTTAAGCGCTTAATTTATTATAAAATACTTATATAATAATATTTATAATTAAGTTTTTTTAAATAATTATTATAATAGTTATAAAGTTTAATTTAAAAATTAATTAAATAAATATAACTAAAGCATTTTTAAATATTATAAAAAAGGGTTATAAATTAATATTTTATAAGTTATTAAATAGCTTTTAAAAATTAAAAAAGTATATATTATTAAAATATACTTTATATAAACTTTAAAATTTATTATTATAATAGTATAAAAAATTTAACTATATTTTTAATTAATTTAGGTTTTTATTATTAGTAAAAAAACTATATTTATTTATAAACTAAATAAAAAGTATTATAATAATTTTTTATATAAATAATATTTTAATATTTTATTATTAAAAATACTAAGTAAAAGCTTTTTAAATTAAAAAAGATATTAAATATATATATAATATAGTAAATTAAAAAGCTATAAAATAGTTTTTAGGTATATAAATAATTAAAAACTATTAAAAAAAAATAATTAGCTTAATATATAATATATATTTTAAAAAAATTATATTTAAATTTAGTTTAATAAGTAATAGAAAATTCTTATTAATAACTTTTTTACTAACTAGTAAATTATAAAAATATATTAAAAAAGTTATATATATTAAAATTAAAAAATATTAAAAATATATAAGATTAGTATTATATATTATAATAATATTTTATTTAAATATAGTATATATAGCTATATAGCTTTTATAATTTTTTATAAATTTTAAACCTATATATTTTAATATAAATAGCTATTTAATATAATACTTTTATTTAATAAAAATATTAGAAATTAAATATAAAAAAGAACTTTAAAGTATTAATATACTTTTAATTATTAAAAATACTTTTTTTATAAATAATAAAAAATTTTAAAAATTATTTTAAAAGTTTATAATTATACTATTTAATAAGCTAATTTATTAAAAAGTAATTAAATAAAATATAGCAATTATTTTAATTATAAAAGCTAAACTTATAATTTTAAACTATATAGTTAAAAATATAATAATATTTTAAAGATTTTTTATTAATTTTTTACTAAATATTAGTAAATTATAAAAAATTTATTATAATAATAAATAAACTATTTAGCTTATTATATTAATAAAAAAAAGGCTTATAATTTAGCTAAAGTATTTAAATATTTAATAAATATAATTAAAAGAATAATATTAAAAAAAAAAGTTTAAAGTTAAATATTTTAAAATTAATAAAATATTAGCTAATAGATTTACAAAGAATTTTATAAAAAAATAATTTAAATACTTTTAATTACTTTTAAACTTTTATAATATAAAAGTATTAGTAAATTAAGTTAAATAATATATATTAATACTAATAAATTTTATTTAATTAAGCTTATAAAAGCTTATTAATAATTAAATATTTAAAATATTAACTATATTATAATTTTAAAAAGCAATATTATATTAAGTAAAAATAATTTATAAAGCTTTATATAAAGGTATTATATACCTTTTTAATTATATTTTTTATTATATAGGTAAAAATGCGCTTTATATAGCGCTTAAAATTAGCTATATAGTAATTTTTTTTATTAATATTTTTAATATTATTAAAGCTAATAATTTAAATTTAGTAAGTAATTTTTTTATTAAAGCTTTTAATTAAAAAATTATAAAAAGCTTAAAAAGTATACTTTTTAATATTAAAATTAATTAATATATTTAAAAATAACTTAATATATTTATTAATAGCTTTAATAGTATTACTATTTACTAATAGGCTGTTATTTTTAAGCGCATTTTTTATATTAATATTCTTAATATTACTATTATACTTTTTAAAACTATTATTTAAAAGTATAAAAAATAAGCTATATTTACTTTTAATATTATTAAGCTTATTAATAAAGTATTATTTTAAATATTTTTTTTAAGCAGTATAAGTATTCATAAAAACCTTTTTATTAAAATTAATAATTATATTATAAAAAGCTTAAATATTAATATATAAAATAATAAAAATAAAAGTATATTTTTTATTATAAGTATATTATAAATAATAATTACTATTATTAAAATAATTAAAATAACTATTATTACTTTTATTATTAATAAATAAATATATATAAATAAAATAAAGCTTATTATATTAAATTATAGCTTTAAGCTTAAGCTTGCTTTTAAAAAATAATTTATAAAGTGCTTTATAATTATAAATAATAGTAAGCAAAATATAATTAAATACTTAAAATTTTAAGCTAATATAATAAAAAGCTTTTAAAGCATATTTTTTAAAAAAAGCTAGGCTATTTATACTTAGCTTTTTAATGCTTTTTTTTTAAAGCTTTATAATATTTTTATATTTATTTTTAGTAATAATATAAACTTTTTTATTAATTAAAAGCTTAGCTATATTTAAATAAATATATTAATAATATTTTAATAAATAAATAATAATAAAAAATACTTATAAGTAAAAAAAAAGTAAAGTATTTTAAAATTAATAAAAAAGTTAAAAAATATATTATTTAATAATTTTTAATATATAATAAGCTAGCTATTTATAATTTTTATTAATATAGCTTATAATAAAAAAAGATTAATAAAAAAGTTTTTTAATAAGTATATAAGTAATAATTTAAAAAAATTACTTTATAAAAGTATAAGTTTAAAATATACTAATTGCTTATAAAAGTTATAATTTAAATAGTTGTATATAAAGTTTTTATAAATAAAAGTAGAAAAGTATTATATATTATAAAATAAATAATAAAAAAAAGATTATTATTAATATAATTAATAATTATAAGTAAAAAAAATTAAAAATTAAAGCGTATATTTTAAAAAATTATTTTTATACTTAAAGTAATAATTAGTATATACTATTATTAAGCTTATTAATGCTTTAAAGTTATTATTATTAAGTGCTTTATTATAATTATTAAGTACTTTTTTAAAGAAAAGTATTATATTTTATTAAACTAATATTTTTTTTATTAAAATTCTTTTTAATTAGCTATATTTATAATAATTAATTTTAAATTACTTTTAGATAAAAGCTTAATAGTATTTAAAAGGTATATTATAAATTTAGTATATATATAAGCTGCTAAAAGCTATTATAGGAAAGTATATACCTATTAGAGCACTTATAAATTATACTTTAAGGGTTTGCTTTTTACTAAAGTGAATTTAGCTAGAATAATAATGCTTTTATTAATGCTTTACTATTTGTTATATAATCTACAGTGCTTTACAAAGTCCAAACTACCGAGAGACAGGGAAGGTATGCTTGTAGCATGTGCTCTGTTGTTCCGTGACCGGATCCGTCAGGATAACATCTGATAAAATACCAAGTCCGAAAATGCCTCGGATGATGGAGTTCTTTGTGTAACTTGCCGTCTCTCTTTCTATACGCCATTTAGAACAGCTTGGCTGAGAGCTCTTCTTTGTACTTCCCAGGTGACCACTACCTACATGTCTATTTGCATGGCTCTACCCGTCAAACGACTCGGGCTCGCAACGCCTCAAGATAAACCCAAGTTCTCACTTTCCCACCAGCCTCTGAAGACCTTCAGCCTCTCAGTGCGCTCCCTGGCAAGCTGTCTACCAGTTTCCGTCTTCATCATGCCCTCCAATAGCTCCAGCTTCTCTCCAAAGTGCTCGACGCAGCCATTCAGACCGCGCTCACTCATCTTTGCGCCGCCAAATGTAAAACAGCGAGCAATCCCCACAGCACCGATGGCATCGAGCCGGTCTGCGTCCTGAACAATAGCTAGTTCTGGTATGGAGGCGATCTTGTCGAGAACCTTCTGGGGATCTTTCTTCTCGCTGGAGAATGACACATGCAGGACGAGATCCTGGACCTTGTCTGCAAGATCGGCGGAGCAGCCCCTCTCGAGGAGCACGTCCCTGACGAGAGTGGTTGAGTCCTGGCCAGGCAGAAGGTATTTGCGGTCGCCGACATCATGCAGCAGAGCTCCGAGGGTCAATATAGTCTTGTCGTACGGCGTTTTGACAATTGTCTCGGCTTGACTTTCCTTCTCAAGAATGAGCAGCGCCAATCGCTGGACCCGTTGAATATGGTTATAGTCGTGCGAAGGATCGTAATGAGACATGTACTCCTTGACGTATGTTATCACCGTTTGGATGAGCTCTTCGTGGGCTGTAGTTCCATCTTGACCTAGGTGAGAGTTGATCGGAGGCGAGCTGGGCCCGTTTGATGATCCGGCCAAAGAGCTTCTCTTCCCGCGAGCTCCCACCTGCTTCAACAAAACCTCGTCCATTTTGCCGTTTGCGAAGTTGTTCTCTGAACCCAGCAAGAAGTCCTCGAAACCTAATGTAATGGCATGAGAGGTCTGCAAAAGAAGAGAGTCTTTGAAGTGGGCCCGCTCGTGTCGCTGCCTAGGAACTTTTGCAGATTAGCGCGACGCGTTAATTACTTTCAGTGCGTGTTGTCTAAACCCTGACAAGGGTAAGCCCCCCCCCCCCCAAATAAACAAAGAGCTCCTTTCCGTTTCCAGTGGCCACACTCTGAACTTGAATCACTCAGCGCTGCATTATCCTTTGTTGATATTAGAACTGCGTCGATATCATGTCAATAAGGTCAACAGGCCAAAGGCATATCAAGCAATAGTCGCGTATCCTTGCAGCACGGTCCTTCATTAGTTGGATTGGCAAGCCCCTGGACTACCAGTAATTGGAAAAGGGTTGTCGCACGATATACATTCTTGACGTCCTCTAACGGTTGGCCTCATGCTCCCCAATCGGCACATGCATACCGTGCTTCCCTTGGTATCGAGAAGTTTCAGCCGGCTTCCATCCGCCACTGGTTAGCACTTCCTCATTCTCCAACCTGAAGACTTCCACTTTTAGAGGTCGACAGCACTTGATCATTTCTTTCTCGCTGTCACTGCCGAATCCCCAAAGTGAGAGATCACCACCGGGGCAGGTGCCTGTAATTCAGTCAAATTAGCCCAACTGGGCAAAAATGCATCAGAGGAAAAGAGCCTACTCAGTGCCATAAGTACGTCCTGCTCTGCCAGGAATTCGATGTAATCCCCAGCCTCGGCTGGACAAGGGTTCATGAAATATCTCCCCTTCTCATCCAGTCCTGTGACCTGAAACAGATTGATAACATCATGAACATCAGACTCGTTGAGCCCGAACGGCACAACCGCCCGCGTTAGATTAGAGTGGCAGTGAAAATCGTAGGTCTGGCCGGAGAGCACCGTGTTGATGTAGGGATCACAACGAGTGCCGAGCAGGTCGTGCACGCGGCCCCCATGCTCATCCTCTCCGTACCAGGAGAGGCTGTCCGCAATGATGGTGACCAGCGGTCTCATGTACGGCAAGCAGGACCACAGCTTGTCGTGCGTTGTTACATGGGAGGCGTGCAGCTGCTTGGTCCGGCTTGCCCAGAACCGCTCTCGAGGGTTGTGGGCGTTCCATATGTTGAGATCACCTGGTAGGGACGACCTGTCAGCAAAGCGACCAGGCAGTGAAGATTTGCTGCATGGTGTCTCAAGCAACCTCTACAACAAATGCCTGGAGAGTATGTTGACTTACCGACTTGGGGGCCCTCAGGGGTGCTGATCCGAACGATGGAGCCAGCAGGCGCCTTCCAAGCCTTCCCTGAACGGATTGGTAAGACAAACTCCTCAATGAGAACCCGCGGTGCCTTTTGAACGGTCTCATACAAGTCTCGAGGCACCGTCAGCGGCGAACCGGCCGAGGGCAGGTATGCCGGCACCGGCTTGGGCACCGGCTTCCGGGATCGGAGGCGTTCGGCGGCGCTTTGGTCATCAACACCCATCCTGTTGAAGATTACAAGGACTAATGTGACGAGAAAATGGGCGACTTCGTTTCAACCGGTGTTGCAAATCACTGGTTATATGTCCCGGCAATCTGGGGAAGAAAATGTTAAGAGGGGCCATGATCCGCAGACCAGCCGAGTCTGGCCGCTTGGCTTGGCGGTGATAAGATCGGAGTGAAGCTCCGTCGTAGCGACCTTAGTCTGTTAGGCACTGACTGGGTCTGGGTGATCCACTCTCTCCACTCAGCGTGTGTGCAAATGACCATGTCCGCCAACGCACGCAGCCTTCCAGAGTAAGCTAGGAAAATGTCAGAATACGGAAGATTGGTGGTGTTGGGTTCCAATGTTGGCACTTTGAGGATTGCGAGAGATATCTATCCCGAGAGGGCTGGGAATCAAATGAAGTTATCCCGAGCTGAATTATGTTACAAGTGTCTCCCGTCTGTGAGACCGAGCTAGCCTCGTCCAAATCCTTTTTTCCTACACAAAAATCTTCATAGGACAGATGTTGCTCTCTTACATTAGTTTGCGAACCAGGCTGTTGTCATCAGTGGTTGCTCAAACAATGTGTCCATTCGCAACACATCGAGGACTGGGATGCCGATTGAAGGCGTTCCCTGCGTCCTTTAAACAAATTGCAGTCTTCTGAACGAGGAATGGGTCGGGATGAAGTGTTCAGAAAGGCATGTTCACACAAGCTTTGGAGAGAACTGGAAGGTCTACACTTGTATACATTTGTCGCGTCGTTTTTTGAGACATAGTAAGTAATTTGAACGGACGGAGAGTACACTCGCCTGCTTCCATTGTGATATGGAATGGGCAACTGCCGCGAAGTATGCTCTACGCAATGCACAATGCCTCGTCGTCGCAGCTCACAAATGGCTCGCTAGTTTCAAGTGATACCGGAAGCCCGTGAGACCCGTGAGGCTCGAAGAGTGAACATAGCAGTCTTGTCTGAAATCAAGATAGTGACATTGTTCGTGGTATTGAATCCGCTCAAAAAATGCCAACTCATCAATAATTCCGCCCCGCACTTAGGCAAAGTACAATCTTGAGAGTCATGAGGCTGATGTGTAGGTTCGGGAAACCGTGCCGTCTGACCGTTCAAGACAATCAGCCTAGCCCCTCAAGCTCTGTACAAGGCGAAACAGCCTTCTACAAACACCACCGGCATGTTGCAATCAGGGACAAAGTAGCTTACGTCACCTATGCGTTGCTTCAGGACAAGGTCCCTTCCCACTACAACCGTTATGACAAAACACAAAGCCATTCTATGTTGATTGGATCGGCCGGCCAGAGTCACATTCGGCCATGCCCGGAGCTTTTCTCACATGTTGACAAGACTCGGAAACACATGCTACACGTCTTCAGTGAAGCCACATGGGTCATAGCGGGAACGTCTGATGGGCCTATATTAAGCGCCTCACACTGACGTGTGGCGCGGTAGTGACAGACCCGTGAGATTAACGGATGAACATATCAGACTAGTTTGTGCCAGCCTTCTGAGGCTAGACGAGGCATCTTTGATCATACGGGACCACATTCCCGTCCTCGTGAGTGTAGTATTGATGTAGCGGCGTCATAACACGCCTCTGGGAATGTAGACGCGAGCTATCAGGCGTCTCTTCCATATAATATACTAAGGCCACATAAGCAGCACGGATGTGTCGTGGGGATGTCCTTGACACCGGCGAGAACAAAGTCTCGGACCTATCCGTGGATCCGGGCTGTCTGATGTGCAATAGGTCCCGAGCTGGTGGACGGAAGGCAGGATCCCTGTGGCAGGGCACACCAGGAGCCTTTGCGACTGGCAGATGCCCAGTTATGCAATGAACAGGCCGCGTTGCCCTTGAGTCGTGAGCTGCTAGCCATGAAACATCGTTGTTGGTACGTTGGAAGGAGGTGGCGAAGACTGACTGATTAACACTGGTGAGGGATAAATCGCACATACTGTGTAGTCGATAGGGCTAGGAAACACAACTTCGCGATAGCTCTGTGCTGTCGTGCGCATCATGAGACGGGTTGGAAGCTCGAAAGTCAAGCGTGGTTCAACCTTGAACCTGTCCGCATCGCAGGTCGAATGTATAAAGCCAAGTAACTTGCAACTACCGTGCATCGCGATTCGACAAGAGCCATCCTTTGAAAGTGAACGGAAGCGCCAAGACCGTTCGGTTCGCTCAATGCTAAGATTCGATGGCACTGTTGATTCGCTCTGGGCTCTCGTTGCTCTGTGAAATGTCTTGCCAAGGTCCCCTGTCGCCAGGCGTCTCCGAGTCGTCGGAGGTCCCTGCTCATGTCTCAGGTTGCCTGGCAGGTATCCAAGCGTTTTAGCCCTGCCACGACCGGCAAGGCATAGATACTTCTAACTTCCGAAATCATGATGAGCTTAATTGCCAGAAATGACTGATCTGTGAAGCGACCCAAACTTTGCGTGCTCGTTTGCTCGTGTGCAACAAAATGAGCGGCTGTTGGTTTTGGGCGCAGAGAGTTCTCATGTTTGGTACGTGCAACTCTACAAGGAGGGCCGGGATGTGACAGGGTCCACTGGCTGCCCTGTCGAGACCTGTCGAGACGCCTGAGCTCCTTCTACCACGGTCGGATCCGTCTTGGCATTGCATGCGTTCATTGCTTCATGTTTTAGCTCCTGCACTTGGTCTGTGTCATGTATTGGATGTGACCAGCTGCATGCATGCATCGTCCTTCACATCCTAAAAGCTTAGATGGTTGCTCCCTAGGGCTGGATCCTTTCCTACATGACGTTCGGTGAAAACTTAATCATCCAGTGTTGATTCGCTTTGTTACTGTACCTTTCACGCGACTTGAGTACTTTGTCAACTACGGAGACTAGTAAATACCTCGCGAGGGCTGGTCCGAACTCATTTACTTTTCCTATTATAATCCTCGTCACAAATCAAAACCGTCCGCGCCGGTCAAAATACATCATCGCCAGTCCGAAATCAAATCTTCATGGCGATAGCCAAGAATTGTCAGAGTCAAGGGACCTGCATATGACAAAGGCTGTTGTCTGAGGGACCACGCCAATGGACCCCCGGAATAATGAGCGAATCTCAACCGCCAGCAACGAGGACTCGATACTTCAGTATGCCAACGACAAGAAGTCGGGGACCAAAAGGCGCCGGCGCGCATGCCCGATTTTGATCCTCCTCGCATTGGTTATTCACCTGCTCTCATCCGGGTGCGGGATCACCATCAGCGTGCTTGTCGTTCGCTTCGGCCTAGAGACATCGATTGCAGGAAGGCAAGACCTCGTGTCAAGAATACTGCTATTTGTCTCCAGTTGTATCGGCAATGTCTACATCCTAATGCATGTATTCGCGTCGCGGGAAAAGTACGTCCGGAGTCTTCAGAATGGCAGCCCGCAGATACATGGATACTTCTTCGCGGCCATGTCCGTTTTAATCGCACGGCTGAGCGTGCCGGTTTGGATTGCGACAGTCGTCATGAACGCAATCGTCGCAGCCATGGTTGGCTTTAATCTAGGGAGGGGGCTCAAGGCAAATGTGGTCTGGATCCAACTACTGATTGCATCTGTGGCCTTGTGAGTTTTACTACTGTCATGAACATGAGAAGAGTTCACGAACTAATCACACATGATTGCGCAGGTTGTCTATACTAGTTGTATTAATCGTAATCGAAACCACCGACCGCCCATTCGCGACTTCAATTCTGTCGAGACGGAGCTTCATCACTGCAACGGAGCAGGGGGGTCGAAATGACACATTTGACCTCAGCATTTCAAGGCAGGGAATTCATCCACCGGAAGGCAATAGAGAGAACAAGAAGGAGATGAGAAACACCGTGGTGGAATTACAGCGAGAATCTTTCGATCGATCTCGGATTAACACACCCGAGTCATCAGATGACGGGAGCCCCGTAGGGCAAAACAATGCACCTTCATGGACGGACCGTTCGTCTCGAGTCGAGCAAAGAATGAGCACGAGGAGGAATACCATGAGGGTACGCAGCCAAGCCGTGCCCACGCCGCTGGAGACCATTTTCGGCTCTCGGGAGACACTTCCTGACCCTCGAAACTCCCCCGGCATCAAGGGCGACTTTTCTTGGAGACCGCCAACTAGAGACTCGGAATACATCCAAAGGCCACCAACCAGAGAATCATACCGTGATACTTTACAGCCACGAAGCAACGCTGCCTCCACAGTGTTCTCAAATCTCTCCGCGATCCCTCAGCCTCTGACCACTGACCCGAGTCTCGCTCCTCGTGTCCCCGACACATTTGCCCCAGCAAATGAGCCCGCAAGTCGGCAGTCTATTGGGCCGCAACGCTCGTCCTCGGTGCCCCCTGCGGCGACACAGCTCAAGCCTCCAACTCAAAGGCGCCCTACGCTCCCAAATCTCACCGACCTGCCCGCCCGTGCAGCAGCTCGACGCAGGAATTCGTTGATCGCTCGAGAAGCAGATCTCGACCCTCGAGCTTCAAGAGAGATTTCAAGGCGTTTCAGCATAATAGGTCAGAACATAGCTCCCCCGTCGCCAAGAAATGACTTTGTAGAAGTCCCGATCCCAGACATCAGACCTCGTGAGCTGGAGACGGATGAGGACGGCATCATCCCGGTAGAGGCTCACCCTCTCGCGAGGAACAACAGCACGAGGGCACGACTCGTCCGTAACTTCTCACGGCCGAGGAGAAGAAGCACGATGGTGGGACCAGCGGACATTGTCATGGACAGGGATAGGGCGAAACGGACATCATCATTCCTTCCAGAGCCCGCACGGGAACGCGGTCGCATCAGGAAGCAAGGCGGCAATATTGGAGACGACTGGGGAGCAGAGGTCCGACGATCCAAGTCTGTGCCACCAGTGGCCTCAAACACAAGGGCCAAGAGAGTCAGCCTGGCAATAGACGAGCCGCGGTCCAAGCCCCCCACAGCGAGACTTCCTCGGAAGCCCGTGGCCGGACCGCGCTTCTCGCCCTTCCCTACCACTGCTGCTCCGGAACGCAGGGTCAAGGGCCTGGGCCAAGGATCGACGCGCAGGCTGGACCAGGAGGTTGCTCGCTGGGTAGAGGGCGTCCAGGCTCCCAGGACTTCGAGCGACGCGCCGCCGTCTATCATCTCGGTCTCTACTGATATCCTAGACCCTGAAATCACCGTGTCGGGCAGGAGAAGTAGTACAAAATTGAGCCGCGAGGGCTCGATTTCTGGTCGAACGAGGCGCATTGCGCAGAACTTCTAAGCTTGTAATTACCATGTAGACCATAGACGATGAACATATGTACAAACCCAACTTGAAGCCATTCAGAAGCTTGATGCCTGTAGTCATGAGATGTAAAACGTGAATTTATACGTAAATATCTCGCCGAATTGATGCTTTGAGGATTGATGCTATCACACATGTTGGTACTACCTCTATTGCTCCTCCAGGCTTCAACACGCGGAAATGATTTCCGTGGCCTAGTGATGACCAGCTCAGCGTTCTACAAGATCTTGACTCTGAGCGCGGCTTGCGACTGCTGAGCGGGAAAGGGATGAACTCTGGTCCCAACCTTTCGGCTTGGATATGTCCGGTTCGAGTCTTGACAGCGCTACCTCGCTGAAGTTCTGACAATTTGCAGCCAATTGCAAGATTTTGATTCTTTGTTCTGCCAGATTTATAAATCGGCAAATGTTCCTGCTGCGACAAAGTCGCCGTTGGCAGGGTCTCTGACCACGAATGACAGCTCGAATTGACACAAATGATGATATCCAAGACCAAGTTCATTTTGACTCTCTTCCAGCGCTATTGCCAGCAGATGTTCTGACTCTCGGAACCCTAGAACATAGCGGGAGCATGGTATCGCGATGAAATCCAGCATCCCCTGACTTTCTGGTTCTTCCCTTCGCTTATTCTACGTGAAAATATTAATGTAGATGCCCCTGTGACGGCATATCGCCAGAGGCTTCTTCCGATGCGAACAGGCGGGGAGTAGCATGTGCAGTCATAGCCACTGCAGCAGGTAAACCAGCGTATCATCGCGTGATCGATGCCATCCGTTGATCTACAGCAAAAGCTTAACTTACACACAGCCTTGTATAGGTGTAATTTGTTCTGACTCCCCCGAGAAATGAAGATGCAGTAGCATCCAGACGATGACCTGTGCGGACAATGTTTTGATGAGCCAAACTGGAGTCGTCTACGCAAAACAGGGGTGCAAAGATACAGCCCTATTTTGTGGTCTTCTGAAGCTACTTATCGATTGGTCGAAAACGGGCTGCACCGCAGTCGTATTCGGGTTTTGGCTCGCAGGCAATCAAATGATGGGACAGCTTCACGCACGAACTTGGGTTGCTTGGAAGCCAAGGCTCGTGCTGTTCCCATCGGAATATCAGTTCAAGGGAAACTTTCTCTAGCTTATATGACGCCTGACTAACCCTATGTAAAGACTCCTTATGCACACATTGGATCATAGTTACGGAGTTAGGGGAAATATGTATTGCACAGGTGGCCCTCTGCGTAACTGTTTTTGTTTAATTGCTTGGTCTTATTTTGGCTAGCAGGTCTTATATCTCTCTAAGGCGAACCTGCTAGACCGCTTGCCCCCGACAATCCGCACAAAAGTTGATTCTTTCCCCATCACTACCTATCAAAGGGACCCACATCACCTTGCGCCGCAAATCGAAGTCACTGTCACTTCCAGGTCCCGCTGATTGCGTCGAATTCAACAAACTAGATAATCTTTCGGAGCTTTCACTGATTCTCGGGATCACATATCATAGAAGCAAGCCTTGGCTTGCCCTGACTGCACCCGTACGACTTTATTCTCGGCTTCACGTGCGAAGAAATCTGTAGGTCGAAATATGATCGTCAGGTCCCTATTCCAATAATTTCGCATTTAGTTACCCAATTGAGGTTTTCGTATTCGTGATATTTCTGAACAAGTGCATGATCAGCAGACGTTAGCAGTATCTGGTATAGGGTGAGTCCATCCCATCCACTTTACCTGCGCAAGCAGAATCGTATTCGTAAAAGAAGAGATCCTGCAGAAGCGGGGAAAAGTACTGGCGCCTTGGGAATCGCCCAGCTTTCTATGTTCGAAAAAAAATGAGGCAGGTCGGGCCTCGGAGATTCCCAAACAGAAAATTTTCCATCTGATAGTAATTTATATCCCCGCTTGGACGAACACAGTAGCCATATTGCGCCGTGGGATTATTGACGATCACATCACGCTACGTTGTTTAGGTGGATGATCATCCTCCGCAAGTGCAAGAATAATGGATACATATAGTCGAGTCTCTAGTCGACAATGGCAGTGTATTGATGGAATGCTCTGGTCTGTCTGCATCCGAGGATAGCAGGCCCTTGTGTTTTTAACGCCTTCGAGCCTCAACGCTCTGACGAAAGGCAGCCAATCTTTCAAAAATCGTGTAGACGATATCGATAATCAGTCGTGACTCGCGTCCTTAATTGGAGACATGCGGTCCACACTGCTCAATCTGTTTCTGGCAGTTCCAGCGCCAGTCCTCGCCCACATCCACTCTAAGCACGCCCGCGCCGAGCATGCAAGCCAGGCGTGCGCGGATATCAAATCCCAGATCTCCAGTGCTAGCTCTGTGATTGATGGAACCAGTGAGTTATTCGCCTTGATGGGAACCAGGCCTGAGAATTGAAAATGACGGCTGCGTTCTGACCTTGGCGACTGATCGCAATCTCAGTTGAGCTCAGCTTGACGGATGATACTCATCATTGGTTCTTTGAATCAAGCAGCGAGACACCAACATGCGTTGTCGAAGTTGGCTCTCCAGCCGATGTATCGATTGCCGTGAGAAGCCCGTCCAATTGAATGATTCGTCAAAGAGTGATGTATCTGACCTATGAAACTCGGACATGCAGATGACAGCCATTGGACAACATCAGGCGCCATTCGCCTTGTATAGTGCAGGTCATGCGTCAAACCAGGGATTCTCAAGCACGATCGGGGTCCACATTGCCTTCAAACGGATGAACCAGGTTTCGCTGTCGGCCGATAAATCCAGGGTTGAGATTGGCATGGGAAACACATGGGCTGACGTATACGAGAAGCTGGATGGGACAGGAGTAAATGTTGTAGGTGGTCGAGTCAAAGGGCCGGGTGTTGGTGGTTTTACACTCGGTGGTGGATACTCTTGGTTTGTTTTATGACTCTGCGCATTGCTTTGCAAAGGAATCATAGACTGACATAAGTTCATAGGAAAACAAACCAATACGGGCTCACCAGCGACACTGTTGAAAGTTTCAACGTTGTTCTACCTGTGAGGTCTTTGCACATGGGCTTGCTCAACAAGCTTAGAGTCTGGTCCAGTCTGCAAGCTGACAGTTCTGATTCAGAATGGGACAATTTCTAGTGCATCAGCAGACACAAACCCAGATCTCTTCTTTGCACTGAAGGGTGGTCTTAACAGATTCGCTGTGGTCACTTCTGCGGTATACCTTACTCATCCACAGACTGACCAAGTCTATGTGTGTCAGCTCTTTTTCTCCAATATAAATCGCTGCTGCTTACTGACGGTTTTATATCCAGGCTGGACTTACAGTCTACGGAGAAGACCAGGTTGATGCCGTTTTGAATGCGACTCAGGTCTTCTCGGATGTCAACACCGATCCAAAAGCTCAGATTATCACCACCATTAATGCAACACCTATCGGCACTTCCGCTCTGGTTCTTTTCTTTTACGATGGACCGGATGCGGGTACCGTCTTTGAAATGTTCGATGGAGTTGACCATACAATAAGTCTTGTCAAGCAACAGACTTTCTCAAACTTTGTGTCGACTGTTGACTCTTCTGTGTCTGTAAATCCGCGTGGAACTTTCAATAGCCTGCCGACTACGAAGACAACACCGGGTTTTCTGGCTGCAGTTAAGAATCAGGCCACGGTAAGTTCCATTGGAGAGTAGAATGACACCGGTCATGATTGTCAAAGCTAATGAGCTGATTGAACCTAGGCACTGTTCGCTCAAGGGCATGGTGGCCTGATTTTAAGTTATGATATCGAGCCATTCCTCATGTACGGACAGCATGCTACCGAGGGTGCATACCCGCACGACAACTCGCCCTTGCCGGTGAGCACCTAAATCTCCAGGCCTCGATAGCATACGTTGACTGACCAATTGCTTTGCAGCTGAATCTTTATTTCTCATGGACCTTCTCCTCGGATGATCAATACTGGAACGACATGATGGTGAATGCAGTTTCACAGCTCAGGGACGTCGCGCGGCAGGAGGGCATCTTTGACGAAACTTCTGCGGTATACCCCAATTATGCGATCAATGGGACGACTGCTGAGGAGCTGTACGGGCCTGCGAACGCTGCCAGGCTGAGGACGATCAAGGCCAGCGTTGATCCAGAAGGTGTGATGAATTTGGCTGGAGGGTTTGACATATGAGTTGTGGAAGAGTGTGTACATTCCATTCTTCCATGAAATCAAAGGCATTCCACAGCAACAGCTTTTCGGCCGAGAAGTCATTTGAGATGTATACAGACGGAATACGTACCTAGGGGTAGGACCGTGCTATTACTAGCTAGGTCACCAGAACACCACGTCTTCCATAGCATTCGGGTATGTTGAGCAGCAAAATCATGATCCAAACCCTATTGGCTTTGCTATCGTCGTTAACTGAGTTTGTCAATTTTAGTCAACATGATCGCACTTCGTGACAGTTAGAGGGTGTCTAATTGTGATCAATGTCGACACTTTATGCGTCCTTCTATCGACTCGGTCAATGGAAGCAGTTAGAGAACCATGTTCAGGACCTCCTGAAGTCGGCAATCACTCCGTGACAGGTCGACGGACCGTTGGCCAATCTCCTCCCTGAATACCGCCTTTGGAATCTCCGTTCAGGGTTGCATGCCCATCGAGTACCGGCACGTGGAGATTTCATTCGCCGAACCCCAATATCTTTGCTGCGTAGTAATCAGTGCAGTCCACATTTCAGGCAGCCCCTGTCTAGAATCTCCACTCAACTAGTGGACAGCAACGAACCCTGGCCAGGGATTGCTTGTTATCCTCTTGCCAGATCAGGTAGGTGACTATGACTTGACATCCATCCAAGCACAATGCCGCTGTCCGTTCAATCTCGCACATGATAAGGGCAATGTCAATGAATTTACTGCTGTCAGAAAGCGTCTATAAAGTCCTCTTCATCTGCCAAGACATGCATCATGTCTGTCATCCACGGACAATCATCGCGGTTCTACCCGTACCCGTCTTGGCCTGCCTGACCCCACGCTTGCCACGAGCCGCAGTACAGTAGCCTGTCAGATCATTCAGTATGACTTCCACCGTACTTCTCACCCTCGCTGCCTTGCAAGGCGTGAACGCTTGGGGCGCGCTTGGGCATGCTACTATCGCCTACATCGCACAGAACTATGTCACTGACGAGGTAGCTTCCTGGTATGTCTCTCATTTCTAGTCAAACCTACGTTCATGCGACCATATCGGCTAACCAACTATACTGCTGTAGGGCTCAAGGTGTGCTCGCGGACACCTCAGACTCATATCTGGCCAACATCGCCTCCTGGGCCGACAGCTACCGCGCCACGACCGCTGGCGCGTGGTCTGCCCCTCTGCACTTCATTGACGCAGAGGATAGCCCGCCATCGAGTTGCAGCGTGGACTACGACCGGGACTGTGGCTCCACAGGCTGTTCCGTGTCCGCCATTGCCAACTACACACAGCGAGTGGGCGATGCTCGTCTTTCCGCTGCAAACATCGCCGAGGCTCTGAAGTTTCTGGTCCACTTTACCGGAGACATCACGCAACCCCTTCACGACGAAGCGTACGAGAAGGGTGCCAATGGTGTCTCTGTCACGTACCAGGGCTACTCAGACAACCTGCATGCCGACTGGGACACATACCTTCCCCAGACGCTCGTTGGGGGGAGCAGTCTGACATATGCCAAGACTTGGGCCACCAACCTCACCGCGGAGATCAACTCGGGCGCCTACAAGTCCCAGGCCGCAAGCTGGATCTCTGGCGACAGCGTCAGCGCAGCCGTGGACACCGCGATGGCCTGGGCCACCGATGCCAACGCCTACGTATGCAGTGTCGTGATGCCCGACGGCGCTGCAGCCCTGACGGCTATGAGCGACCTCTACCCCACGTACTACGACTCGGTCATTCCCACCATTGAGCTGCAGATTGCCAAGGGCGGCTATCGCCTGGGGAATTGGTTGAACTTGATCTACACTGCTGAGATCAAGAAGCGGGATCTCGAGGCGGGTAGATTTGTCAAGAAGGCTGAGAGGAAGCCCCTGCCGGATTTGATGGGCCGCGATCTCCTGCCGGCGCCAAGGCCTCTGAGCAAGGCGAAGCTCGCCAGAGCTGCAATTGGATATGGATGTGGTTGTGACCATGATCACAGCAAGAGAGATGAACACCATCATTGATTTGGGTCTTGAAATGTTAATTCCACAAGCATACAAGTTGCGCAAAAGGGAGTGTGTCGTGATATTCGGCGGGATCGTGAAGTCTGATCATGGCCTCGTACTGAAGACACCTTGAGTAGCCGAAAGCTTATGAGATAGGAAATGATGACGAAAGCTGAGATAAGAAAACACCAATGCAAAATTTCAAGTGAGCGACGATAGCGATGTACTGATATGTTTTCCTGGGCAGTCCCCACTCTGATGGTCTTCTGCGTCCAGCACCCATCAGATAATGATTGGAGATAGTGACGTGGTGTCAATACTACTCTTCTTATTTTCCACTTACGTCTCAGTCTTCATCCCGCTTCTCCGTTGCTTAGCTTCAACGTTTTGGTGGGTTTCCTTCAGGGCCTTAATACTGCTGATGCTTTGAAAATCCTAGTGATGATGAAACCATGGATTGATTTGACGATTCTGCGCCAGTAATTCCCACAAATTTATAAATCCATTTGATGGACGATACTTATCTAACTTCTTGAAAGCCGCTTATAGTTATTGAGAAACGCGCAAGCAATATTTTTTATAAACAGTAGACATCATGAGCCCGTGACAGCAATCACTAATCCACTTCCAAGGCCTATGTGGATCCGTTCATGAAGTTGCCCAAAGGGAAATTTACAACCCACGATCATAGCTACTAGTCTTAGCTACTAGTCTTGTCACTACTTGAGAGCTTGTAGTTCCAATCGCTAGCCTATCCCTATTATGCATTGGTATTTTACCTCATTGCGGGGCACCTGACCCTACTGTGGATCAATCGTCTCCTTTCATCTTCGCAAGGAGACCGCTGGCCCTCAAGTGTCCGACGAAATTGAAGAGGCACTGCATGAACTACGCTGCTCGCAAAAAATGGGCATTTGATCCCATGTTTTGGAAATACATAGATTAGCACTTTTTCTACGAAAACACTTGTGTCAGCTACGAAGACAGGCTGCACCTAATATGACCTTCGGAGCGCGAGAAGATGGAAAAATGCTCGACAAAGAGGTGAATAAGTGGGATGGGGATAGAGGCAGAGGATATCTGGAGATTCTTCTGAAAGACTCTTAAAGGTGCAATGGCTTTCGTCACGTACTAGCCTGATTCTACTCAATACCCAATAAATTTGTGATGAAAGGATATTTGAAGGATATTTCATAACTTGGTTTTCAAAATAAAATCGAAGAATGATGCCTAGCCGACTCAATTGCCCTCAGCTGCGTGCTTCGTGTCCACTTTCCATTCTCGGAGCACTTGACCCGCGAAACCGTCATCACTCAGCGTTCTCCACGCGACGAGAGCCATCCCCTTGCCGCATTCCACCGCTCTATCAAAGGATTCATCCGTACCTGCCGCAGCGGCAAAGCCCTTCGTGTGATTCCCCTCGCCCACCTGAGTGTCTATCCCAAAGGCACCGTGGAAGCCAGGGCACTCATAACAGACATCGCCCATATCTGTGCTGCCAGCAAGGAAGTCGCTTGGCTCACTTGGGTGGACGGTACCGCGCGGCATGGCATCCACGTACGCCTCGCACAGCTTCTTGCTCGCTCGTACGTCTGCATAGGAATTCAGAGTCTCGACCTCAAACTTGCATTCTGTCGCAAGCGCCGCCCCCTCAAAGCACTTCAGCACGCGTAGCCACAAGGTTTCCGCATGCGCCTTAGTATTACTGCGGACGTAGTACTCAACGGTACAATGCGCAGGAATGACGTTGGGCCGGTCACCAGCCTGCCGAAAGACGCCGTGGATGCGCTCGTACGGCCGGATCTGCTGTCGCAACATGGCGATGGCGTTGTACGAGAGACACACCGCGTCGAGGGCGTTGGCGCCCTCCCAGGGTGCCATGGCCGCATGTGCTTCCCTGCCGGTGAAGTGCACGCGCTTCTTGACGTTTGCCAGCATCGGCACGTACGAGACGCCGCGCACCGGGGCGGACAGGCGGTAGCCCGGGCCCGGGTGGACCATCAGGCTGGCCGCGCAACCCCTGTAGGCGCCGGCCTCGATCAGCTTAAGCTTGCCGCCGCCGCCTTCCTCTGCCGGAGTGCCGAGCAGCCGGACCCGTCCCGGGGACCTGGAGGTCTTCAGTGCGGCGGCTGTGCCGAGGAAGGCAGCGAGGCTCGCGGAGGCGATCAGGTTGTGCCCGCAGGCGTGGCCGATCCCCGGCAGTGCGTCGTACTCGGCGTTGAAGATGATGAGTCTGCCGCCCAACCCATACTCGGCCGAGAAGGCTGTCTCGAGACCGAAAGCATGTGGGACAACTGTGAAGCCGAGCTTGGTCAGGAGGTTGACGAAGGTATCATGAGCTTGGTGTTCCTCATAAGCCAGCTCTGGGTTTGAATGGATCTAGGCGCGACTTGTCAGCCCGAGGCATGGCGTATTTGGCGGTCTTGTCAAAGCCAGGAATTTTGCTCATTGTATGAGGTGATATCTGGCGTTGAAACAGACATCAACCTTGAAAAGAAAGGGGGACCCCGGCCCAAGGGGGGGGGGGTGGCGGCAGCGGGACTAACGACCCACCTCGTCATTGATGAAGCGGATGTGTTCGACACGAGAGTCAATCTCTCCATGGATGATTGCTTCTGCGTCAACACGCGCCATGGTCTCGTTCCGATTTTCTAACTAAGAATAGAAATTAGACTCTGATGAAGCTCTCGGGTTGTGAGCTTCCTGATGACGTCTGAGTAATGTTCCTAGGTGTAATGCGGGTGCGATCGAGATGACGCCCTGTCGAGGTGACGCCCTGCCAGCTACTTACCCAGTCGGGCAGCTGACCACCCAGCTCTGCACTAGCCTCGAGATCGATTTGCCTCAAAGGGTCCAGACGGGGATTGTTTGCAGGGCCGTGGTTATGTGGCAGGGTGCTAAGGGTATCGATTTCCCATTCGAAGCCTGTTCTTTTCAAGCAATCCACGGAGAAGATGAAAGGACAGTTGATTTTACGTGGACTGCTGTCCGCATCGTTGGACTTTTGAGAAGAGGACTGGCCGCTACGGGTACACTGGTACAGCTTCTTCGCGCCCAACTTCCCCTTTTTAGCAGAACGCCGCAGAGATATCGCATACCCTTCAGTAGCTGCGAAAGAATCTAGAAAAGAAGTAAGGCTATCTTCAGTTCTTAGGCGCTTGCCGTGGGGCGGTGGACGCATTGTGTGTACGGTGGGTGGTTGATTGTTATTCGCTATATTAGTTACAGCAGGGCTTGCTACGTCGCTCGCTGTGTCGTCATCTGAGACCTCGAGGATTTCAGGCTGCGAAGCCATCTGACTGTCGGGAGTAATCGAGGTCTCCATTTCCAAGGTGGTTGAAATGAAAGAAGCTATTTTCAACAGCAGAAAGAGCGTGGTTGTTGCGTGGATGACGGGGTCAATCAGGGGTGGCGCGTGGAACTGGGGAAAGTCGCGTGGCTGCAGCCATTTTCGCGGCCGTCAAAATAAGGTTCGCGGGCGCCACTTGCGAGCCGTACGGCCATGACGGACCGCTCTCGGCCAGCAACGGGGAGATCGGGTCCACGGGTTAGGGGTGAGCCATGCCCCCGCCCGTTCCACGCGGATAATGTTCTAGAAGACAAGATCACACGGTATTGGAGATGCCGTCGTACCCAGGAGTCAGCAGGAGTGTTTGAGAGGGCAGAGGGTCAGCTTCCTTCTGGCCATTGATTGGATATACTGAATAAGTTATAGTGTGATGGGGTGACATTGGCAGACAAGCAGAAGCAGCATCGATCCGTCTGGACTGCAATCGACCTCAGGGTACTGCGCTCGGCGAGGTTCTGCAACCTGAAGTGGTTCAGGAGGTACTCTGCCGAGCCGGGCAGTCGCAGATCCTCGGTCTCCAGGCTAGGCATCGCTTGAGGGAGAGAACTCGGACGAAAGATACAATTGTTGGCTCAGAGTGTTTGAGCGCAAACGACTGACCTGTGTGTGTTGCCATCTGCACTGTGGGTATGTCTTGCATCGTGATCTATGTACGTCAATGTCATCAAAGAAGTCTCCATTTTAACCAGCCCAGAGAGCCCTCTCCATGCTGCAATTCCAGTAAGAAAGTAGGACATGACTCAAACAAAGTTTAAGCTGAATCGGCTGCAGTGTTCCTCGCAGCTGCGTTCGTCACAACCTTTTTCGGCATTGTGGACGAGCGTGCCATTGGCGCACTCTGCAGCCCTTAACTGGGGACGAAAGCTTATTATGATACTGTAGCAATGATGAAAGACTAAATACATCTAATTGGGTACCCACCCCCTGGAATGGGAAATTGGGTGGTAAATTCGGCGACTTCCTGGTGGCAGCCAGCTCCCCCTCAACCCTGCTAGCACGGTATCAAGTAGCATTGTGACCTGGGCAGGCTGGCAGGTTAAGGCGACGGGACAGGATGCGGAAGTATTGGCAGAGGCCAAAACAGATTCTTCAGCCGGGCGAACCGCTGATATCGGGCAGCCCTGAGGCCCAGAACCGAGTGCGGTTTCCGACATGACATCCATTCTCTTAATAACCATTCTTTCACCACGCAACATGCTTTAGCATAGGATCAATATCAGCAATTCCACTGCCAGACGCACCGATCGAACCGTCAATTCCAGCAATTACCGATTCGGCATTAGTGGAGGACTCTCGTCCCACCACTCAGCCAGGCCCATGAGGAAATCCGAAGGAGCTGCCACATCATCCGAATAAGTGCTTGACAGCGGGTCCCAAAGCAGTGCACAACCAAAAGCCGCCGCGATGGCACCATGGGCCAAACAGCCTCCGAGCTATCGCAATATGTGCGCATCCTCGCCTCTCGCGATCAAGGCGTTGGCGCCACGGCGATCAACATCGAAACCATAGAGCCCGCACAGCGCTATACTATGGTGGCACTGCTGGGCTGCGCGCTGTGGAACAGCCTCGAGATGCTCCCGATTATCCTGTTGACTTTCAAACGATACTCTGGTCTGTATTTTTGGAGTATGATATTTTCCACGCTAGGAGTTGTCTTGTCTGCGATCGGCTTCATCTTTCTCGTCTTCGACATAGGTGCAGGGAACAGAGTTCAACCAGCCTTCATGGCAGCCTTCGGATGGGTGCCTATGGTCAGTGGCCAGAGTCTGGTGCTCTTCAGTCGGCTTCATCTACTTCGGCTGTCGAGGACCTTGAGGAAGTGGATCCTCGTCATGATCATCTTCACCATCATCTTTGTGCAGATTCCAACTTTGACTCTTACGGTTGGCAGCCAAAGTAATCATCCTGGCCAACAAGCATGGGTCAGACCCTATCAGATCGTCGAAAGGATACAGGTGGTTGTTTTCTTTATCCAGGAAGTCATCCTCAGCTCGCTGTACTTGTGGAGGTGCTTCAAATTCCTCGTGGCCCGCAACGGTAATGAGACCGGCTTCAGCAGCGACAGGGCCCGATGGGACGTCCAGAAGATGTTCATCCATCTCCTCATCGTCAACGTCATTGTCATCGCCCTCGACGTTACGATCATCGCTCTACAGTACTCTGGCCTCTTTTTGGTCCAAATCAGCTACAAGCCTTTCGCCTACAGCGTAAAGCTCAAGATTGAGGCCAACATCCTGACGCAGCTGGTCGATTTCGTCAAAGCCAGGCACAGGCACGGCACATTCACGCTGACGCCCGAAGCTCAACAGGAGTGGGACGACACCCTGGACAGGGTGTTTGGCACGGTAGAGAACCTCAAGAATGAGGCCGAATACCACCAGGGGGGCAGGACTGACCCGGGGACGACTGCGAAGCATACGGGCTCGGGCTCAAGCGCGACGCACGCGGGCGCCGAAGTGAGAGAGATACATGAGGAGGCCGTCGTTTATCCGGCAAGGTATACGCAAGGCAATCCCGAGGCTCCCTTTGTTCGTTGGTGGCACCCGGAAGAGGTGAGGGAGGTCTATAGTCGGAGGCAATCTCAACGGCCGCCAGAAAACGTGTATAATAATTGATGCCATACGAATCTACTAATCGTCCAATACCGGGCATTGCGAACTTTGACGACGTCGTTACCACGGTGCGAATTGGGAAAATGCAGGTTTGGGTGGTATCCCAGCTACATGAGGTGACGTAAGATTGTCCTCCCTTCTCGTTCTGCCTAAACCCACTCACCGAGCCTCAAAGTTGCTGCCTCTTTCATACTCCACCTCACAGCTGCGCCTCAAACAGGACATATATGGGATCTCTCTACAGAATAAATACCACTGTACCACTAAGTCAATATAATCCCAAGCCCGTTTCGACTCATAAGCAAAAACATTTACCATCCAGCAATACTATTCACCATTATCTCATTGAAATGGCAAGCCTTCCAGACGATGTGCTGAGCCACATATTCTCATTTCTCCCACATGAAACCCTAGTTCAATGTCGCTTTCTCAACCGATCGGTCGAGCCACTCGCGAGTGCTCTCGCTTTCCGTCACGTCCATCTCGAGACCGGTCTCGACGTCAACCCGTTCCTGAACATCGCCGGATCTGAAAGATTGAGACCTCTGGTACGAGAGCTCACATTGAGCCTTTCGCGGACGGCAGCTCCTCCAAATAATGGGCTTGAGCATGGCGTGCGGATCCAGCGATATCTGCGGACCATCAGGGTGCTTCCTCTTGTGAGATTTCTTGATGGGCTGCGGACGCTGAACGTGAGGTTCAGCCGGGCAAAAAGCTATACGGGAGATCACGGACGCTGGATGAGTGACGACATTGCCTTGTTGACAGATCAACAAGGTCAAACTCCGATGTGCATTACCACCATATACATGGAGACTATCCTAAAATGCTTGTCCGGATCCTGGACAAGGGAGTCGCAAGCCCGGTGGGAGCATGGCTGGGATAAATGGTTTGCACCCAGGGCGGAAAGACTGCAATCTTATCTGTCTTTGGAAATCAGCACCCAAGCAGATCCGGAATCTTCCAGCACGACGCAACACTTTCCTGACACAGGCATCAATCTGTCAAGTTTGACGGTATCGAACCTTTCAGAGAAGGATGCTGAGTATTTAATGTCTTCTGCCACGCTGAAAAGATTTCTCGAAACCCAGTCCTTGTCAACAATGCAGTTGTTGACGAATTCCGGCAAACATGATCGCGGCTATGATCCGGGATCACTTTTGTGGAACAGATACAGATTTTTCGAAGATTTACCGTCGACATGGCTCTCGCCCTCGATTTCCGACCGCCTGCGTACCCTGTCTCTTTACTCACATGACTATTGGGGCTGGTGTCCAAGGATTGATTTTCGAGTGCTTAGTCAAGGCCCAAATGGCACCGGAGGACTCTCTAATCTCAGGACCCTCGCTCTTGGGAGATACGTCTTCAGTCACCAGTGGCAAATCGATTGGATCGCTGGACTTGGCTCCGACAATGGCCGTGGTGGGCTCGAGGAGCTCTACTTGGATGATTGCCCGATAATGTGGCGGGCGCGAGTGCTTGGTCCAGTGGACAGCGAGGGCTTTCCACAAGAAGAGGTCATGACACGAGAGGATGTCCATCCTAGCTCATGGAACCCAATCACTCTCGAAATTGACCTTCGATGGAGCACCGTCCTTCCAGAATGGCAACAAAAGATGCAGTATTTGAAGGTTTTCAGGATGGGATATGGGGACTGGGATGGAAAGTGCAGCGGAGATGTTGCCATGGCGAAGACAGCATCTCGAGCTCGGGTGATTCAAGGCGCATATGAGGTGGCGAAACGCGGAAACGAGGACACAGTCCATGTGCATTACGACAAATATTCTATGAACGATCGCCACAAACACGGCTACGAGATCATCCGAGATGGAGTCGGTCTGAGTCAGAAACGAGAATGTCTGCTACAGTATGTCCACTTCGAGATCGCCCTGGGAGCTTCACCTTGGGTCGAACGAGACTTCAAGGAGGCTCTCATAAATGAATTTGAGGATGGATACCAGCGATACGAGGCAGCGAGGCGCCAAGACGAAGAGGCGCTCCATGCGCTCTATGTCGCCACAGGCTGCCCGTCCCCGGTGTTCTAGACTGAATCAAACGTCGGTATGGCACGAAGACGCAGGAGGATAGCCGCCAGTGGCTTAGTTACCAGTCAAAGAAAACCATGCAAAGCCTCATCCAACGTCTTACCCTCCCTCCACGCGATCGCATCACCCTTCTTAGCCAACCCAACGCGATTATGCCAGACGACCCTCATCCCAGCATCCGTAGCACCCTGAACATCTCCCGCACTGCCGGCAACAAAAAGAATCTCATCCAACTGCACGCCGAGTCGTGGAAGGATAGCCTCGTATGCTTCCTTTGCAGGCTTGTAGAAGCCACTGTCCTCAGCCGTGATGGCAGCGTCAAAACTGAACCCACCGCCGACAGACTGCTCAGCTCTCCGCACAGCGACGGGTCCCAACTCCGCTGAGCAATTTGTAACCACGCCGAGCTTATATCCCCTTGCCTTAAGCTCCGGGAGGACCTGCGCCACCTCTGGCCACGCCTGTAGCTGCTGCCAGTTCTGGACAAGCGCTGCGGGTGCCGAGTCCGGGAGGCCGACGTCGCGGGCTGATTGCTCCACGAGGCTTTCATATGCGGTTGATGGCGAGTATGCGCCTGCACCGAAGGTGAGCTCGAGGTACTGCTTGCGCCAGCGGCGGCCTTCTTCTGTTGTTTTGGACGGCGTCGATGCGTCCCAGAGACTCCATGAGTCGAGCAGGGCTGTCAAGAGGTCGAAGACGATGGCTTTAGGGCGCCAATTGGGATCTTCATTCGTCATGGCTGGTTTCTCGGTTCCTGTGAGACTCGACTATGAGAGAGGATAAGACTGTGGGCTGCCTTGCAGTTTTCTGGTATTTAACTCTAAGCCGTCAGTTGGCGCTTACGCGCTTGTGCTAGCTGTGGGTATATCACGGCAATGACATACTCCGCGCTTTGTCGGTGCGCCCTTACGGCTCCGAGTACGGAGCCGTTGCGGAGGACTGCAAATGCGGGTCGGGAGGATTCGGCGGAAGTAAATTGACAAATACTATGTAAGATGCGGTCAAATATTTCCCGTATAATCTGTAGTTTAAACGAGTGTCGGGCGGCGTATGTGTGGATCACGAGACTCGGGCAGTGCAGGAAAACGTGATTTGACCGAATCTCTCGATCTTTCTAATTTAACTAGGTCCCTCTATGTCCCAGTCTTTCTTGGAGAGCAACGGATCGACCTGAGTTAATTGTTAGTTGGAGCTGATGTGTAACTGATAGTCAAGTGAAAACAGAAGCAAGAGCTCGAATTTCCCGTAGAACATTCATAGTCAACAGAAAGTTGCGAAGATAAGGGGACCAAGAATTAGTGGCTGCATTCAGCCCGGAGTTTCAATACTAGTACCAAATGTGAGCACATTGGAAGGAAAAGCGTATTGCGAAAAGTGTGGTATCTCAAATTAGCGGACGCATTCCTGCTATGGTGGAAAAGAAACATTAAATAGATTGTTCGACAATCCTGCGCGACATTAGGATCTCTAGTCCCTAGTCAGCCTGACCTCTGTCGTGACGGTGATCTGACCGTCATTTGGAGTCCCAAGCCGATCCCGCGACTGAAACATATCTTGCGAGCTCCTGACATTCACCGTTGGCGACGCATCCTGCAGCCACGTGTCGCCACTCCGCATCGTCATCCCAGTCTTCGGCGCGCCGCTCTCGAGGTCGTCGCCTGACAGCCTTCTCCAGTTGTTGTTTTGCCTCGTGAGCTCGATAGCATCGTCGTCTAGCGCGTGCACCTGGACGGTGTTGCCCTTCTTGCTTTGTCCGAACGACTTGGAACCCGAGAATCCCGACGTGCCCTTGGATTTGCCATACTTGGTCGTGACCGAGCTGAGGCTGCTCTTGATCGCCTTCTTGATCGATTCTGGAGTGTAGTGCGAGACCAGGGCGCGCAGGTGAGGCAGGCAGCCTGTAATAATGTACACGCTTGTCTCGATAATGGACCAACCGACGAGGTCGACTGACGCAAAGGTGCGATCGCCGAAGGCAGCCGTGCTGAAGAAGATTCTTGCGCGGATGACGGATGCGATGATACCGCTATGAGATCGTCAGCTGGAAGTACCCAACTGGGTGTTATAATGCAGATTCACTTACAAACTCGCGACAAGAAACACAGCAACCAGCGCCAACCTCTTGACCATTGGCATCTTCAGATGCCAAATAGTCTGCATTGGCAATGCCATGATTGCCAAGTCAAGCACAAACCCAGGTAGAGCCTGCGCGTGGAAGAAGGCCTGCACGTCGAAGCAGCGTCCCCCTGGGATGGTCCTGTCCCACCAAAAAGCGATCGGGGTGCATTGGAAGCAGGCCGCTACGACGAGAGAGACGGATGTCATGGCGGTGAGGGTAAAGAGGACCAATGCCGCGTTACGCATTGCGCCCTTCCAGTTGAAGATGCGCAGATATAGACAGATGATGCCCAGCTTAGGCAGCGCGACGGACGTGAAGTAAATAAGTTCGAAGGCGAGGATGGACTGCGCCCAGCCGGTGAGTTGTTTTGGGTGAAACTCCTCGACGAATTCGACGTGGCGACCGACGCCGCCAATCTTGGTCATAACTGTGGCAGAGTATTAATAAACTTGTCTCGCCACTTACGTCTGCTTGAGAGAGTCCAGCCAAGCGGTTTCTGAGGGTAAAGCCGGCCACTTACTTATCCCAACAGCACACATTCCGAGATTGACAACATAAGCCGCAATCAGGAACATATCATCGGCATATACGCCTCCTCCTTGGAATCTTTTTGCGAAAAATCGTAGACCCAGGATAATTGTTGTGAGAACTGCGAAGGCGATGGAGATCCCCACCAACTGTGAACTCCTGTCCTCTGCCAGATATTCCGCCGTGATCACTGCCCGTCGCATCGCCATCTCTATCGCCATTTTATCCATTTTGCTTGTCGATATTAATATTCTTCGGAGGGGGGGGGGATCTCTGTCGTTATTTGTCCCCAATAATGAATGCTGAGGCGTGTAAGTTATCGAAGTGAACGCCCCCAAGCCGGCTCGGGTTGTTTTATGTCGAGCTTAAATTCCGCCGTACGGGCATGGCAATGCTTGGCTAGCAGAACGAAAAAGCTTGATATTATTACAACACGCGCACTCGGCGGGGACCACCATTATTTAGTCGAGAAGACTGGAGACAGCGGGATGTCATATGGCCTTCACTGGCTGCGGGTGCAGCGCTGGGGGTGACGTTTACGGGCTAGCTGTCCGAGGATGTCCCGCCAGTCTCGTCTCGGACCGCTCATGCACGACTCAGTTCATGTTCGATCCTGCGGCGACTTGCATGGGAATCTGGGCATTCGCAAACGCGGATGCAGCTGCTTCCCGTCCGAAGTGGGGACGGCACCAGAGGCGACCAGGGAACCACCATCGAGCGGCTCGCTGCCCACAAGATTAAGTTCCTTGTTCTCTAGAGTTGATTCGACCCCCCAGTGGAAATGAGTGCGAGTCTGCCGATAGGCCTCGGCAGGCTCCCCTGCGCAGATTATTCGGACGTTGACGTCGATCGGATGATCTTGCCCCGGCCGGCTTCTAGGCCTGAGAGGGCCCTGATTTTGTGAACATGCTTGGACGCCTCGAATCATGTCGTGCTGTGGCATTATGTCAGAGGGTGCCATGACTTCCCGGACATTGAGCCGTCAGCCATTTCTTTGCAGCTGTGGGACTGATTGAGCCGATTCCAACGATGCTTTTTTCGATTTTCCATGGGCATGGAGGCCGGCCGCCGGACAGGTATTTTGCGCATGGAATGCTCCGAAAAGAAAGGTGGAGCGGGCGCAGAGCGCCAGAGCGCGCCATGATTTCGGCCGGTAGCTCGATGTCTTCGAAACAATGGCGGCGAATCCAGGGATGTCCTTACAATGCGCTGCATTGCGAGCAGGGACCCCGCCTAGCATAGGGCGCGACTTGGCCCCTTTTTTTACCCCTTCGGAAATTCATGCAAGAGAATTGCTACAAATAGCCGTCTGAAGTTCACAGGTCTAAGCCGGCGTGTCGGGTTCGCCGCCCATGTCCAGAGACGGGGACTGATATTCACGACAGCAACGGTTTGACCGGTTGTCGTTCATCGCTTCGTTGTTTACGTGTCTAATTCTCCATGACTCTGGAGAGTTTCGATTGACACCTGGTTGAATAGTTTCATAGTACAAACCAAACCTCCTGAGGCCACTCATTCAATCCACTGCATACACGGCCAAGGCCCAACTGACGACGCACAGGGCCCGGACAAGATAGCCGAGAGCTTGAATATAACAAAGATTGGGCTCCGGATGTGATACCCGGACGATGATGACTCATGGGAACGGGATTTGCACAGCCTTTTGAAGATTCGACCAGTGAGCGCTCCCTATCAAGACGTAATTTGATGCCACCCTGGCCACTGCGTCTGTGGCAGAGCTCATTCGCTCGCAACTGAAGCTGTCGGCACCAATATGTCGTGCATCGCACCTCGCATGTCTGAAAAGCATATTGATCGACGGCAGTGAAGCAGACAGCCGACACGTCGCCTCTCACGAGCTTTTCGCTCGCAATCTCCGGCAGAGCTCCTCAGGAACCGGGAATATGCAACAACGTTTAAAGTTCAATCAATTACACTAAAAGACATAACAGGGTGAGGAATCAGCCGACGGATAGGTTCATTTACTTTAATGCTGTCACTTTCACCCAATCAAAACACATTTTCCAGGAAACCGCTGGATGACAGATCTAGTGCTTGGGGGCATCCCTTGCCGCAAGCTGGCAAAACATACACGTGTGCCGCGGCAGATCATGCTGCAAGAAGCCCCCTGAAGAGCACGTAAATCAGACGATAAATGCGCGCGATCCTCGACCTTCCAAAGCTAGTCACAGAAGCCTGTCAAAAGCAAGCCTGGCAGTTGAACCTGGAGAAGTGTGGAGATCGTCGAGCACGGCCCTGGGGCCACTAACGATTTAGGGCCTGGAGTTGCGAGCCAGTGGCCGTTGGCAGATGCATGCATATCATGGAGATTATGGGGCGATTTATATTATACTCTGGTGGGCTCGACCTATTTCCTATCGCTCGAACGGAACCAGCTTTCGTTCCTCCGGCAAGGGCCTGTCGGTTTTGAGACCGGCCTCCAGGTCTTCGGATTTTCCGTGACATTGCAGGCGACCAGGCGATGCTTGGCAGTAGATATCCTTGCCGTGTCTCCCATTTGGCATACCACAGCAACTACTTTGTACCCGTAGACAGTGCCGTTCTTGCCCCCTGTTTGGATCGTAAGAAGGAGCAGGAGTTTGGATGCAGACTGAGAGAAGACATACAAGTGCCGACAGGTCCGCGCGATTTTCGATGATGCCAAGGCCTTTAAAAGCAACTGCCTAGGCCGTACTCGTTCGTCTACACCTTGTCTGAGACGGTGGATCGAATACACGCAATACCGATGGTCCTGATCTCATAGGGTTTGTGGATTGCAGGATCGAAACCCTGCTTCTTGCAGATTTACAGCTCAGCTCTCCCCGAATTGCCGACATCGTTTTCACTTGCGCACAGGGCAGCCGCATCACTATGCGCAGCGGAATTTGCAATTGTAAATTCAGAGGTCCTGGCGCAGTGTGGGCAATGCCTACTAAATACAGGCCTCTAGCTGCATCGCCCAACCGCGTAACCCAGACGCTAAGTGCTGATCGACAAGCAAGCAGACGCTCAGACTCAATATTGACGCCCGATCGACGACCAAGAAACTATATCTAGAGAAAGGTCATCTAGCGAATCGCCGACGAGGAAGTTCAAGTCTTGGAATTACCGGCAGCCCTGTCACTCACACAGTGACTGAATGTAGAACCCTGCCCCCCGAGGGGATCCTCAACAGGTACCCTCGGCGAGGTGCTGTACCAATTCAGACTCCACCCGCTACGGCTCTCCTAGCTGCAGATGGCCAGCGGATTCGTCATTACAGATGATCGCGGGGCGAGACCACAGTCGGAGACAGGTTGCTATATTATTGGTGTTCTGTATTCGGGCATACATGAGCGAACTCGAGCAAGAATACGACAGAATATACAGTGTGAACGTAACGCTGGCGCCACGCAAATCACGCATGTGCCAAGGCTAAAACGAGCCAGAAGATCCGAAAGAAAAGATAGCGATGGGTAGATCAGTTGCGCGCCCATTCGCTTTCGGCCGACTGGCCGGACGAACTTAAAAGATGAATCATGAAATGGTATGTGGACCTTTGCTACACAGTACAGTATACCGTTGACCCCATTTGACTGGATTTTGGAGCGGCCAGGTGGGGAAGGCCAGACGACCTCGGGATCCATTTGGACCCGCCTAGCCCAGTGCGGGTAAATCAGATTGACTCGCGAACATCACTGTTGTATAATCATTAGCTTGTGATGTAATCGGAGTTAAAGCCATTCTTACAAATCGACAATCGGGCGAGCCCATTCCAAAGCGTCACAATGTGGTTATATCATTCCAATGTCTATCCACGTGAGGCTACATGAAAGCCATGACATCAATCACAATATACTCCTCTTCACATCAATTCCATTCAGCCAGCAAATCTGCCTCAGAATAATCAGCGCAAGTCCAATCCATACACCATGAAGGAGGCAATTGTTGACCAAGGTAAGACCTCTGAGGGGTTACAAACTCACTTTTAATTAATGATAGTCCAGGGCCTGTGGTCAAGATCATTGAATCTTCAATCCCAAAGCCCAATGATGACCAAGTTGTCATCAAGGTGGCAGTCAGCGGTTCGAACCCCAAAGACTGGAAAGTGCCTGAATGGATGCCCGAAAAAGTACTCAACCAGGGTGACGACATCGCCGGCACCGTGCACGAGGTCGGCGCCAATGTGACCGAGTTCAAGCCCGGCGATCGTGTGATGGCTTTCCACGAGATGATGACACCAGGCGGCAGTTATGCCGAGTACGCCGTCGCATGGGCGCACACCACAGCGCATATCCCCAAGGGCACGTCGTTCGAGGAGGCCGCTGCAATCCCTCTGGCTGCACTTACGGCCGCTTGTGGGCTCACCACGAAGCTTGGCCTGCCGCAGCCGTGGCAGCCCGCGAGCGAGCCGACGCCGCTTGTCATCTACGGCGCGGCCTCGGCGGTGGGCATCTACGTGGTGCAGCTTGCGCTGCGAGCTAACATCCACCCACTCATCTGCATCGCTGGCAACTCACAGGATCACGTGAAGTCGTTCATTGACCCCTCCAAGGGCGACACCATCATCGACTACCGTAGCGGCGACGATGCCGTGGTAGAGGGCATCAAGAAGGCCGCCAACGGTGCAAATCTTCTGCACGCGTATGACGCGGTCTCCGAGAAGAGCAGCTACGTCAACCTCGGTAAGGCGCTCTCTGACGGTGCTACGATTACCACCGTGTTGCCAGTGAAAGAGGAGGATGTGCGCAGCAGCGTCCAAGTAAAGAAGACCATGGTTGGCTCGGTGCACCAGGACGAGAAGGACCTCGGGTTCGTGTACATGAGATACTTCGCCAAGGGGCTCCAGGACGGTTGGTTCAAGCCTCAGCCACAGGAGGTCGTGCCAGGTGGGCTTGGCGGGGTCCAGAAAGGACTGGAAAACTTGAAGGCTGGGAAGGCGAACGCGGTCAAGTACGTGTTCAGAATTGCGGAGACGAAGTGAGGTATACACTGCACCTGGACAGGAGAATGAAACTTCATACCGGAGGCGGGGTCGAGTCTGAAAAAGTATACAATTCCAGGCATTCACCGACTGGCGTAATTCTGAGTGATCACATCGCAGAATAATAATCTGTACCTGTTCTCACGCGTCACATCGAGGTTGGGACACAAAGCTACGATGTGAAACTCGTCCCGTCTGAATATTAAGCATAGCGGTCATGATGAATTGACTTCAACCCGTGCTGTCGGAGCATATGATCAGTTGTATGCGGACTTAGGATGTATTAAGCTTGTCTGACATCATGTCGTCTTGAACTATCACCGCAGCGCATCTGAATGAAAATGCCAATATTGCTAGAACATCATCTAGCTTTCTGAGGGGCGTGCTGTATGCTTCTGGCAACATGTTTGGATAATTCATTAGCCGCGGCGATTCGCTTCCGACCCCCGGGCCAACCAGCGACCATGTCCACATCTTGTCAACCCGAGAAAAGGCAGTGTGCTACATACGGTCAGCTCGACCTCGTGGGCACTTGAGTATCAAGGAGAACACAAAAATGTCCAATGTGGAAGCCAGTGACACGAAGTGTATCACGTTGTTCGCGGAGTCGCTTCGCTCCTGATCATCCCCCATGCGTCTCATTTTCCATGTAATTTGAAAAATGTTCGCGATTCATTTCGATCTATCCACGTCTCCAAGTGTATTTCGTACACTTTAACGCGACGTCTGTCATTGTGAGGTCTGCACGAATGACTCGACATAAACAGATGGCCTATCTATTCAACTCGCAGATACACTAGTTTCACGATGGTTTCATCGAGCTCGTTGACCGGACGGCCAATGACTCTCAGATAACTGCCGTTCTCGCGATGATCAATCACTGCGGGCCGGTCTCGCCTTTGACCCCGGTGCACCTCAGGATAGAAGACCATTGGTGGCAACATTCTCGGGTCGACAAATCAACTGAGTGATCTGATGTGCTATGACCCTGATTCAATGGGAAAGGAAAAGAGTATCGCTGGTCATGGTACTGGCATTCCGCAGCATTCTCTGCGGCTTTTCGCTTCCACATCTATCACGTGGTATAGAGTGTGTAGGTGATCCAGTCGCCCAAAGGAGTTTCTGGATGGGCTCATTCCCTTTTTCTTCTAAAAGGGAAGGGGAAGAGAAGGGTCCGATTCAAATATTCTTCAGGTCTCAATTAAATTTACAAAGCCGTTTTGTAGCCTCGAGATTAACTTTCGAACGGAAAGCTTGGAGAAACCCTTCATCAATTGAACAATCATTCCAACGCGTACTCAGCGTTCTCTTTAATCTTTCCTCTGTCTAGTGTCCGGTCTCCTCGGAGGATGATAGATATATCACACGACGCCAACACCCGGTTATCGCATTCGAGACAACCATTTCTCGCCTCCGTGAAAACATAGTCTCCTTCTATTAATTTGTCTGAAATGAGGGCGAATTCTGTGATGTAGTATGATCACGTGATCAGAGAGGTAAAAAAAAACAGATACTTTGGTGTGATATTACATGAAGACACCGTACATGAAGATGAGAATGTCTACAAGAAATATATCCTCCGAGGCGTCATTCTAGCGGAAATATTCCGCCTGGGAGTAATGTGCTTTTGCAATGTTTCGCAGACACGGGAATAACATATTTCTCTCGCTCATGTGTTTGCAACCAGCACGCATGCAGGTTGTCGCAACCTTCGTGGAACAACAACTTTCAATCCTGACCTCCCCGTATCCTCAACATCTTCTACGTGTGGGCATCACGTATCAGCAAGCACGACATTATTGACGCAGTCAAATCCGCCCCGGGAGAGATACATCGCGTTGTCGTAGGAGCAGCAAGTTACTGGTCTTGGCTTCAGGTTGGGAAGATCCTGAAGATTCCCTTAACCGCATAGCACATCTGACTTGGTCACCACACGTTGCCAATACTCACCTGGTCCCATTTTGTCGCAAGAGGCTGGTAAATGAGGAAAGTTTGAATGATTGAAGCTATGTTGAGCGCGGCAATGAGCACCATGATTCCCATGGTGGTGTGATGAGCTGCATGATGGGTGTTTTCTTTCATGATATTGTGCATCAACAGGCTCGCAGAAATACAGAGCAGGCCCGTGACCAGAGTTCATAGAGCATCTGAAACGAGATTGGAATGTACAGTTGTTTCTCTTATGTCGGGGCATGTCAAGATGGTAGGTAGCAAAGAGACAAAATGACCTGGCAACCAAAGGAGTGTGTGGTGGGTATACCTTAGCTGCAAGCTCGAGATGGGATGCAGAGACATCTTGCTGGCGTTTGCCCTGGCCTTCGTCCACAATTTCCTATGTCGATCGGGACACTAGGGCTGTGCTGATGACGAAGGCTATGAGGACGAGTACATCTTTTAGACTAGGTCTCTCGGGAGAGGAATTATGCTGGATCCAGCAAATAGCTACAAGACGCTAGAAAGGTCAGAGTCTAATTGACTACTAAAGTGCACGTAGCGAGTAAGGTGTACTCGTGTACCATGTTGCTGGACGACCCTGAAAGGTAATGGGTCGTTGCGAGCTGGTAGATCTAGCAGGAAAGGGAGGCTCGAGGTCTTTTCTAATGGTCAGACGGCACGAAAGAAATACGAAAGGCTTGAGATGCAAGGTAATTTGGACAGGCATACTCATGCATGTGGTTCGCCCGTGTGGAGAAGTTTGGGCATCAGTATTGGCTAAGCCCCACAAACAGATGCATGCGTTGGTGGCAGTCGCATTGCATTAGATGTAATACGTGAAGCTCTTTTGCAGTAGACATCAGAGTAGGAGGCAGTATGCTAACGCGCTTCCCGGATAAAATCGAGGGGTTGCACAGTATATGCATGCCAGCTGACAGTGCGTCCAACAAGAACTAATAGAAACCCATCTTTGTTTTCTAGTCAATCGCATTTTCCCGGGACTTTATCCTCTTTATTACTTTATTAGCGAGATCTCAGACGTATATCTTTACTCAATATCGGCACGTTCGTCTCGAATGCTGGTTCAATGTACTTCCAGAGTTCAAAACTTGGTACGGTAACGGAATTCCGTTATGAAAAGCAACGTCACAAACAGGCGAACCATGCTCTTCTACGGTGGGCTTCTCTTGTTTTGCGCAAGGACAGCAGCAGGGCTACCCGCACATGCTGCATCAGCTACCATTATCGAGAGGCAGGATGATTTGCTGGACGAGTACGATTACATTATTGCAGGAGGCGGCACGGCAGGTCTCACAGTGGCAGATCGTTTGACGGAAAGCGGCAATTGTACACACATTCATTTCTATCGGGTGGCCAAACACTTACCATGCTGCAGATACTGTTCTGGTTATTGAATACGGCTATCTGGACTCATCTGACTCCATCGTGGCTGTCACGACACCAGACCAGCAAGTTGCAGGCCCAGATCAATACTCCGTGGCTACACGTTGGTACAATGACACAACGGAGCCACAGGTAGGTCTAGATGGACGAAGACATACAATCAGAGCGGGATGTGCTGTCGGAGGGAGCTCTGCCATCAATTTGATGTTGCTCGATCGTGGCTCTGCCGAAGACTACGATTCCTGGGTGCTGGTCGCCGGTAATTACAAGAAAGACTACGCTGCTGAATGGGGCTGGGAAAACATTCTACCGGCGTTTAGGAAGAGCGTGACGTTTCACCCGCCAACCAAGGAGATGCGGGAGACGTTTGGCATCACGTACGACGTGGAGGCGGCGTACCAGAGGGGCGGCACGCCTCCCATTCACTCAAGCTATCGGCCGTTTCAATGGCCGATTCAACGCAAGCCACACTAACGGCTCACGTTGCGCGAACTTCTGAGCTGACTTCTGAATAGAGCGCATGTTCAATGCCTTCAAGAATATACCTGGAATTGTCTCGCCCAAAGAGGCGAATGACGGCAGTAAATACGGGGTCGTCTGGGCGCCTAACTCGATCGATCCAGCAACAGAGAAACGCTCGTACTCCAAGACGGGCCACTACGACAACGGTCCCGGACGACGCGACAACTTCCATCTTCTACCTGGCTACCGGGTCGTCCAAGTCACCGGCGGCTTCTCCGACACGGACGGGTCCTGGGTCGCCGACGGCGTGCGGTACAAGCCTCGCGGCATCTCCAACACCGTCTCGGCCGTCAAGGCACGCAAGGAAGTCGTCGTCTCCGCGGGCACTTTCCACACACCACAGCTTCTGGAGCGTAGCGGCATAGGGTCCGAAGACATTCTCCAAGCCGCGGGCGTGCCGGTCAACGTGGCGCTGCCTGGCGTCGGATTCAACTTCCAGAGCCACACGTCCTTTAGCTTCGCGCACAGCTTTGGCGTGTCTGTGTTCCCGACGCAAGCCGACCTCGCCAGCAACAGCACGTTCGCGATGGAGGCGCAGAGGCTGTGGGACAATGGGAAGAAGGGCCCGTACACGGCGTATGTCAACAGCGGTGTGTGGTTGCCGTTCCCTGTCTTTTCGAACCAGACAGAGGCCCTCGTTCGCAAGATCCGAGCCCAAGGCCCTGATGAGTATCTCCCCCGTGGTCTGGACCCTACGCTCGTTGCAGGCTATGTGATTCAGAAAGAGGTACTGATCCAGCAACTGCGGTCACACGAGTCAGCCTGGCTTGAGTCGCTCTTCTCCGGGCAGACGGCCGGCGGCGCCATACTGCAGCACATCTTCTCGCGTGGCACGGTGCACATCTCTCCGGACGACGACGGCCTGGACACGGATCCCATAATCGACTACCGCGCCTTCAGCAACCCGGTTGACTTGGATTTGAACATCGAGCTGCTCCAGGGCGTCCGCTGGTACATGGGCCACGAGGCAATGGTGGCCGCGCTCCAGCCGCGGGAGACGAGTCCACGGATCTACGACGATGCTGGGATGCGGTCGTGGATGCGCAGGTCTATCAACCCAGACGTAGCGCACCAGGTTGGCACGGCGGCGCTGGGGCCTAAGGAGCTGGGCGGCGTAGTCGGGCCAGATCTGCAGGTTCATGGGACGAGAAGGCTGAGCGTGGCGGACAACTCGATCGTGCCGATGGTGCCTGGGTCCCATACTAGCGCTTTGGCCTATGCTGTTGGGGAAAAGGTAGGTTATTTCCTTTTCTTTATCTGCTGGCGTGTGCGAGAGTGTAATAGATAGTGCTAATATCGGGATAGGCTGCCGATTTGATTCTACGCCGGGCTTGACTTGCTGTAGATAGGTTGATGCGAATTTCGGTGAACAGATATCACAACACCAATCAGCCGTGAAGTTTCTGCCTTTATCTCTCATGAGTATGAAAATTGGTTGACGTGGGTGGTCGCTGGGAGGCATCATCTACTTCTTGGCATGGTGTGTTCTCGCTCGGCATGCAAGTATGATCCAGAGAAACAGCTGATGGAGTGACAAATAGTATGAGAACAATTTACATGCCAGTCAGTGTTCCTTCAGCCTCTCTCGTCTAACCTAGTCAAATTGAACCTGGTGAATGCTATGACGAGGACGAAGTTCTGAAGAAGAAGGTACCGTGGTGTTAATAACAACCACGCTCCCGGATGCCCTTGGTAAAAGAAAATGTGCTCTTCTCCACCGTCGTTGAAACCACCTGATACGAGGCTCATGAGTGCTGTACCAGCACTCACCAGTCACCTACTGACGCGCTCGACGTCACTGATTATTCCCGGCACAGATTTTCTAATATCAGGTATCGGAGTGTTCGATATTCAAGTGCTCTAGCAATTATGTCACAGCAATCTTTGATAATCTCGGACGTATGGAAAAGGCTGGGTGGGCGGACGTTGACTGGGGTAGGTGATACAGACATACCGTGTCACAGATGAGACTGCATAGCTCATGTCTTTGTTGAGTATTTGACTTGCTATTTGGGCCTGAATGTTTATCTTCTTGGGTGAGCCTGTCCTAGAAGCGTAGTCTCAGAGTTCTCGATCGCCCCTGGCATGAGCCACTGGCCAACAAAGATGCAGCGAGTGGCCATTTGGGGCACATGATCTTATCTTTGGTGGCGCAGCAGCCACCCCAGGCCGCACCGGCCCGCTTGCTTATGGCCAAATGGATCAAAAATTTTCGCAGTTACCGTTTTGAATTCTTAATGTCTTGACCGCTTGGAATTTCTCCACTACCACATCATCGCCATTGCCCGATACTCAACTTTGGCCATTTCAGGCCAGAGACCTTTTTGTGAATGCAGGAGCACTGGCAGTCTGCATCTGACATTTCTATATACCTGATTGCCGAAGTCCGTCATCAGCAGGCATCATGGACTTGATGCAAAGCCAAGACGCCGAGTCACCGGGGCCCAGTTCGGAGATTATCGGCCAAAAGCCGCCCAAGCGTGACCACTGCAAAACTTGTCTTTTAGGGATATCTAGCTTTTGGCACGGTCAAAAAGACGTCCAGCTGATGGATATTTTAGCAAGTGGTGAAAACTGCCGGGCTTGTGCTGGCATTGTCAAATTGCTGAATCCTCAAATGAGCCTGCCCATGGGGCTTACGTTTGCCTTCGGTCCTCTCGGTCCGAGGCCCATGATGACACCTTATCTTCAAGTCGGCAGCTCGGATGAAAGCCGTACCTACGAGTTCTTCACCACAAGTGAAGGATCTAAGGTCGAGGAACGAAATTTTTTGGAAAGGCCGCTTTCTTTCCCGGACTCTCCCATGATCTGGCGAATGCGCGCCCCATCAGGAGACACCTCTAGCACGGAAGCTTTCGACACTCTAAAAATATGGTTATCCCGGTGCCAAGAAGGACACAGGCTCTGTCAGCCCGCAGAAAATATGGAACTTCCGCATCGAATCCTAGAGATCGAGAGTATCCAGCCCCTACGCGTCCGAGTTGTGGAAGATTGCCCCCGGCGTGAGAGCTATGCGTGTCTCAGCCACAGATGGGGACCACAAACTGAATCGAACTCCCTGAAAACACACAATCTAGATCTGTATAAGACAGAGGTGCCTGAAGAGAATTTCTATCCACTAATGAAGGATGCTATCAAAGCGGCTTTTAGGCTCCATCTCCGCTTTATCTGGATTGACTGTTACTGTATCATTCAGGATAATATCAAAGATTGGGAGATAACGGCGGCTAATATGGCTTTTATATATGAGAACGCATTCCTCACTATTTCTGCTACCTCTTCTGAAGGAGGATGTTCCATGTTTTCAACCATGGAGCAAAGACACGCCGGGACCCAGGTGACAGAAATCAGAGGGGAACCTGTGTTTATGCGACAACGACTCAGGCATCCGTGCTATATTGATACGATTTTTCGGACGGAAGTTCTTGACGGTCCATTGCTCGCAAGAGGATGGGTGTTTCAAGAGCGGCTTCTGTCAAAAAGATTCGTGCACTTTACGCGAGACGAAATATTCTGGGAATGTCGAGAGAGAACCTGGTGTGAATGCACATCGGAAGAATTGGAGTGGTTAGAACGGCGGGAAAAGTCTCCCCGAACGCTTGGAAGCGAGTCGTGGTGGGACCATATATATCAGTTCCAAAAAACTGAATTGACCTTTATGAAGGACATACTGCCAGCACTCGCAGGCGTTGCCAGGCGTTATGGGGAACGGCACGGCAAGACGTACTTGGCAGGTCTTTGGAAAGAAGACCTACCAGGGGCTCTGATGTGGAAAAAGTGGGGGAACGATGTACTGTTACCGAGGCCACTCCAACACGTCGCTCCCACCTGGTCGTGGGCTTCATTGCCTCCAAGCCCTTTTCACAATATGGAGCCCGGGCCCTCAAGTACTGTCCGTTTTCTGGGCAGCAGCATCCAACCACACGATTCTGACGTTTACGCAGGTGCCCGCCATCTTGAGATCACACTTGAAGGACCAGTGCTGGATCTTAAGATTTATAAGCAGAACTTGGACTCTGATCTGGTCGGAAGGTCAGGGAATGCATTCCTATTTATAAAACCAGACTTCGAAGTGCATCCGCAGGATCTCACAAAGTATCGCGCAGTGCCAGACGGATCATCGTGCCTGCTCTTGATTATTGTCCGTGACAAACCCAGCATATCCGAAAACATCAACGGCATCGTGCTGCTGAAGAACCACAACACAGAAAGCGGTGTAGCGAAGTTCGAGCGCATCGGGTCTTTCACTGATCATGAATTTGTTCACACTTCGTATGTGGATGAGTCTAATGAGTTCGCTGAGTACTGTGGAGGCAACCTTCCTCCAAATTTGGGTGCACGTATGGGAGGACGCGCTACGTGGCTTATGGAAAGAGCAGAGACACGACAGGTCACGCTTATTTGATTTTGAATCTCTCTCCGTTTGGAAAGCGGTGTATGTCTTGGAACAGTTCTGTGTGTCCTCGCTGTGGTATCTGGACAATCTTAGCCTCCTACTCCATATCCTTCCAATACAGAGAACTCATCTTGTTGAGAACTGGAACACATGTAGAGCTATGTTGTGCTATCATTACGAGGAAATAGTAGATTTGCAGTTCATGAGTATTGGAAGGGTCCATTTGATTTTCTTATTTGCGTAGGGATTCTAGCACAAATTGTCTTGGCGTCTCGTTGGTCACGCTTGTACTCCGGATACTGACAAGACAGTGACCTCGCCCGACATAGTGGTAATGTTTGCGTCCGTCCCGAAGTTTATATCCTCACTACCGCTCAGCTTCTCGGAGACAAATAGTCTGCTTGGACTAGCAGCGAATTGTGTTCTCTACAAATCACGAACATCTTCAAATTTAGGATACTTTCCTGTCTTATGGATAATCTATCAAACCTCCCTGTCCACGGGGGCTGCTGTTGTATTCGCAAGGGTGGCAATGTGCCACCGGTGTCTATGTTTTCAGTTTACACTTCCAGTTTTAAGATTAGGAAAAGAAAAGAAAAGAAAAGAAAAGAAAAGGCCTTAATCTTCCCATTCTAATCTTTTGGTTTTGATGATTCTATAATGCTGTTCCTTGATTTAAGCGTTGTAATGTTTGTATCTGTTTAATCACTATCTGGCAGTTGTGAGAGGTATCATGAAGTCTGTCGAATAGGTATTATTTAGAACCTATAAAGCTGCCAATACGGCGTGGTAGACAAAACCAATCAGAAAAGCGGCAGTGCAGATCCCATCACGGGTAGTACAGGGAACTCTTTGAGACGGGTAAGGTCCCTATGGATGAAATTACTCTGCAGATGCCCCCATCTAATTAATCCACGGCGGCAAATATCATCGAGGCCATCCAGCCAAAAAAAAGTCTAGGAATTTTGTGCAGGAAGTGCAATCCACAAATGGTGGGAGATGTTCAGCAGGCTTTCGGCTTGTGAGAGTCATTCACACATAGCCTTCCGCTTCTGCCCCGAAAGTACGCCCATAGTTGAAGTGTTTCATTGCCTTTAGTATCGGCGAGCAGTCTCGGCCTTCATCTATTAACCAATCTGTTTTCAGACTCGAACTACATGGGCACTCTAGCCCCAACAAGAGCGCTTCCTTCAAATTGCTTTCCCAACTAATCAACAATCGACCCGGTCAGACAGTAACATACACTGACCCTTGGCAGGTCTAGCTTCTCGCCTGTCTCATGGTTGCAACTCCGCTGATCTGAAACAGATGCAGAAAGATGTCAGGGCTAATTTGCAGAAAGTAGGCTTCAAGGTAAAAGCAACAAGCCCACTTGAGACTGGTAAGGTCGAAAAAGTGCTGTCCGACTTTGAGGCTCCCGAATTCAGAATCATATGTATTGTATCTTCATTACTTCAAACGGATTCACTCCACAGGGGTACGGGACTGACTTCTAAATCCAGTTATGCACTTTCATCCTTGCGGCACGCCTTGTCAATCATCCTCGTAAGCGAACATAGCAACAATTTTTTTTTCGTGCAGCCAGTGTTTGTATCTTTTATCTTTCGAGTTGTTTTCGCCAGTCTGAAGTCACAGATTCACACCTCAAATTTGGAGTCTTGCCTGCTCTGCTTACAATGAGCAATCTTCTCTTTTGCATTACGACCAGCTAATGCAATTATTTTCAAAGACACACGAAGCGTTGTGGTGTGCATGCTGCCGAGTAGCGTCTTGTCGTTCGACGGAAGGTGAACTTTGACGTGGATTCCCATCTCTTCACCTCCTTGCTTCTGACTGCTTTCTGTGAATATAGCTGACATCGATTCTCTCGGGTGCCAAGGCTCTTGTCAAGGTGTTGCGAAGGAATGTGGTGTACCTGATGTCAATGTTGACGACTGGCTGTGATACAGAATGCTAGAAAGTCTTGCCGCCCTCTGAACCTCAAGTGGAATGACTAGAGGGAGCAAAGTGTGTTGGAACCAATATCGCTAGCTTGACCCAACAAAGCGGACACAAGAACGTTTTCATCTCAGAATCTTGTGGTCCCGCCCTTCAAGGGGTTCCTCGTTGCCACTCTAATCATGAAAGAGTGCCGATAGGTCTCGTCGAAGAAAGACCATGTTTCTTCATCCTTGAAGCCAAATCTCTCATACAGGTGTTTCCCTTGGGGCGTAGCATCCAAGTAACACTCGACGCCCTCATCATCCGCCTTGTCGACACCCCAGCCCAACAGCATTCCACCTGCTCCTTGCCCCTGGTACCTCCCCTTCGTCACAATCATCTCCAAGTACCAATGTGGCCTGTCTGCCATGATCTCATGGTGCTTATCTGCCAGCGTCTGAAAGAAGACGTCCGCGAGCGCAGGATCACGGTCTTCCGGCCAGCTGTCGGGAAGTGGAGGCTGCAGTGTCGCAGGGGGTGCGGGCGCGTTCCACTTCGCGAATGCAACCAGGGTCGGAGGTGATGTGACTGCGTCCTCGACGACGACGAACCGCGCGTTGGGGTCACGGATCTCGTCCGCGAGTGCGTCCAACCAGAACCTGCGCGCGGACGCTGACGTGCGGGGGAAGAATGTGCGGCCGACCATGTTGCCCGAGAAGGCGTCGAGGAGCGTCTCGCACATGTCCTCGACATCTTCTGGGCCGCCCGGGCGCAGTCTGAGCGTTGGTGATGGCATGCTCGTGTCCTGCTATCAATTGAAGATGGGGTTGTCGTCCGATGTTTCAGGTCCAGGGTGACGGGATGCAGTAGGGTTGCAGCCGGCAACACTTAACGTAGCATTCAGGGCCCAGTGACGCGGCTCTGGCAATTGGCGGCTTCTTCAACACATAGCATATTTCGAGAGAGTTGAGCTTTGCTGTTGATATAGTATTCTACTGCTTGACTTGAGTTGCACCATCCAGACCACGGCGGGCACTTAGATGTGGCTTACTCATGGCATGTGGTCTTGCTGACTGCGCATTCAGTTCACTACCTATGCTTTTGCTAGCTTTCCTCCTGAAATTCTCACCGGCTGAGTCACTTGGCCGGTTGAACCCAGAGACACGGCGAAAATCAAGCGCTCAAGAGATTCTGCTTTTGTCCTCAAGTTGTCGCAATGAGGCAATATCGTGACGAATGCGTTGCAAATGCCAGAACTAATCGGTGTGTTATTTTATACCTCGCTTTCGTGTCGCCATGAACTCTTGGTATCTAGTTGAATAGTCTGGTCTAGAAGAAAATATAGTCTCAGCAGAGCCACAATCATCCATTGATCCAGGTAAATCGACAAGTGCACTTCCAGCGTGCCGGATGGATCCAAGTCTTGAGTCGGGCGAGCCTGGCCTGGCCTGCTCCGGCAGGGTCTAAGTTTAGCCCCCCTGGATAGGTGGTGCTTGGATTGTCTGCGCGACTCACACTTTTCTTGCTCAAGTCAGGTAAACTCGTATTGGAACAGAGGGCTCTGATTAAACTCATTCATAAGTAAATATGCGAAGAGATCGGATTGGAATTCCTGGCCGTGCCTTAGACTCGCTAGCTTCTTCACTCCCTTTATTCACCATTGATAGGATGAGGACAAAATTGTAGATGCACTCCTAAGTCATACTTGCATTAGACTAACAACAAGGATCTTCTTCCCTCGCATTTCCTGGAGATGTGTGCCTGGCTGATAGTCCCCGCAAACGAGGATCCCATGCCAGGGGAATGCCTTCGCGCGGACAGATCGGCAACGAGCTCCCTCTTTAGGCAGGTGAACAGTCCGACCCCGGCTCGGCGAGGATAAGCTTCGTGAGGTTACCCACAACCCGCGCCATGGATGAAGAGGAGACAACAAAGATGATAGGCCAATTCTGTTGTCGCCATCTGCAGTGCAACATGGAGCATGCGATATGTGATCCACACGGGCATCCACAGGCACGAACTAGCCCCAGCAGAGCAGCCGTAGCGGAAATGGTTGACGACTACAAAGGAGAAGCGATCTCCTGGTGTCAACGGGGACAGTCGCCATGCTCCCTCTCTGAGCTTCACCTTCTTCTTGCCAGTCCATTCGTTACTGCAGAAGCTCGAGATCCGAGGTCGAGACAGTCAGCATGAAGTTCGACGTGTTGATCCTTGCCAGTGGCCTCTCCGGTATGGCTCAGGCGGCCGCCGTGAACACCACGACCTCCGCGGTCCCCAGCCCGACAGAGCCATGCGCTGTTGCCAGTGCTGCATACGCGTCGCAGATCGCCGTGTCTCCCTCTGCCACTCCCACAGTCGCTGCCGACATCGCTCATGAGTGCTTGCTCTCTGTGCCTCTGGGCAAGGAGGCAGCCATCGAGCTTGTTGACTCGATCGAGCCTTATCTGGAATGGCAATCAGGTTTGTACACCCTTTCCATATCACGAAGGTCAAAGCTCGTCAAGCTGACAGAGTGGACAATTCTTAGACTCTGCATATCTGGCAGACCCACCGGCAGATTACTTCTACCCGGCTTACGACATGTTTGCTAACCTGGCTACCATCCGCACCAAGCTCGAGAGTGATGGCTACGCGGGCGAGTATGAGTTTCAGGCGGAGTTGTACAATACTGTCTTCGGCCCAGCCCACGACGGTCACTTTGTCTACTACCCTGACCTGCTGACTCTCGTCTTCGACTGGAACCGACCGCTGTCACTGGTGTCGATCAGTGAGGACCAGTCCTCTTTGCCAGAGATCAAGGTCTACCAGGATGTCATCTCATCTCCCAGCAACGCCTCAACCGTAACCCTGATCAATGGGATTGACGCAGCTACGTATCTCGGAGACACCATCAACCAGGCTGGTTGGAACCAGGATGTAGACTCGGCTTACAACTCCATGTTCTTTGAGCTGTCTGCGCCTGCTGCCGGCTTGGGCGTGGGATACTTCCAGGGTGGTGGCCGTATTCGGTACATCTACCACGGCGACAACACCAATATCACATTCGCCAACGGGACTGAGATCACTCTGGAGAACTACGCCCGTATCAAGGTGCCCCTGACGGGTATCACAGATGGAGAGTCCATGTACGAGACATTCTGCAACCCCAACGGCTACGACAGTGGTGCAGCCGCCACTTCTGTCACCAACGCTACTTCGGCTACTCTGGCGAGCATTCCCGGCTATCCCACGCCTGTGGTCATCACCAATGATGCTATTGTTGCTGGCTTTTACCTTGATGGCGAGGGATACGAAGACGTCGCAGTCATTGTACTACTGGCCTTTGAGAGCGAGTCTCCAGCCGAGTTCCAGGCTGTAGCCTCCAAGTTCTTTGCGGATGCCGTTGCCGCTGGTAAGACCAAGCTGGTCATCGACTTCCAAGGAAACGGCGGCGGCTACATTCTGCAAGGATATGACTTCTTCCGCCAGCTGTTCCCCCAGGTGCAAGAGGACGGATTCTCGCGTTGGAAGGATAGTGATTCTTTCTTGGCCATATCTGACGTTGTGTCCACTCTGGTCGCCAAGATCGACCCGTACACATCCGACGACGAGACTCTGATCGGCTACTACGAGAGTTGGTTCAACTACCGCTACGACCTCAACCTCACCCTGGATCCGTTCCTCACTTTCGAGGACAAGTTCGGCCCCGTCGTCTACCAGGACACGAACTACACCGATATCATGCGTTGGAATCTCAACGACAACCTGACGACCACCAACGAGACCTTTGGCCTGGGCATTGAAATCTCCGGTTACGGCACCCTCGCCAACCTCACGCAGCCCTTCGCAGCAGAGAACATTGTCATGCTCTACGACGGTGTCTGCGCCAGCACATGCACCCTCGCGTCGGAGATGCTCCGCATCCAGGGCGGCGTCAAGTCCGTCGCCATGGGCGGCCGGCCCCAGGAAGGTCCAATCCAGGGTGTTGGCGGTGTCAAGGGCGCGCAAGTGCTGGACTGGGGCACCGTGCTGGCCTTCAACCAGTTCGCGCTCCAGGACGGCGCGAACATCACCGACGACGCCCAGAAGGCTGCGCTGGAGCGCTATACCGACTTGGCCGTCAACCGCAGCACTGCGGCGGCCATCAACGGGCGTGACCAGATCCTCCGCGACAACGTCGAGGACGGCTTGCCCGCGCAGTTCGTAGCCGAGGAGGCCGACTGCAGGCTGTACTGGACCCTGCCCATGATCACGGACATCACGGCGGTGTGGAAGGCCGTTGCTGACTCGGCGTGGAACGGCGCTACATGTGCTTATGGGAGCATCTCCACCTCCTCGTCTGGCACTGCCTCGAAGAGGAATGCAGGTGATGTTGCTGGCGGGCGTATCGCCCGGCCGATCCAGCGCCACCCTACGAGGATCAGCAGGCGGGAGCTTTCCCAGCCGGAGAGCGTTAAGGCGAAGCACATCCTGAAGGCCATTCCTTAAATGACGATTAATACTTCTTGAAAATTCAATTGACCGGGGACCTTTTGGTATTATGTTAGTGTACATATCCGGTATTAGAAACCAATTATGCTCATTTTCCCATGCCTTGTTCCGTAGTATGTTCATGAAGAGTTCGGATCAATCTCAATCACCGGCTCAAATGTAATGTTCAGTAGAATCCTTCCTGGAGGTTCATGTCGATGATTGTGGTGCAGACTTCTCAGGCGCAGCTGTCTCTGGTGCACCGTTATTCGTCGCCGGATTTGTTGCTGCTTGAGGGTCTTGTGCAAGAGGATTCTCCTCGCCGGGCTTTCGTCTTGGTTTTCGATTTCGCAACTCCCTTCTCACAAGATCTATCTCCACAACTGGAGTCCCAGGCGGCACTTTCCCTTCCAAGTGGTCCCCGTCCCAGTCGAAATAGAGCGCCCAGAACGGCCCGTTTCGTACAGCTACAAAATTTTCGTAGCCATGCAAAGTCAGCCTCCGGTCTTGCCTGGTGCAGTCGAACGGCCCTGTCAGATGGCCTTCTGAGAACTGTCGCGTGCCGAATTTCAACTCGAAGGTCTGCACGTCCATATAGATCCAATTCATGATAGGGGCCTCATCAGTGATGGAAGACACGAGGCCGGGGTGGTTGAGCTCCGGATATCCCAGAAAGTAGCCCTCGAAGGGATGGCCGAACGGGACATCGTTGTCGAGTCCTGTATCAACAAAGAGCTACAGTCAGTATTAGCATGAGTTTCTGTTCAGACAGCATACGATCTGCAGCAGGCACGAAATGTACCTTATTGCCTGATAGGACGACGCGTCGGCCCTCGAGAGTCTGGCTGTATTCGGATGACTTTGGGACGTGGACGATGAGATTGTTCTTCCTACTCCGGTGCTCTTCTCTCCTGGCCTTGGCTTGAGAGGCCTTGATCCCTTCCGACGCGCCGGTGACGGCGCCAAAGGCGACGAGAACTGACAAAACCATGGTTGTGCGTGTCAAGCAATTTGATGATTTTCTTGAACGTATCGTTCGACTAAAATGTCAAAATTCCATCTTGACACCCGGACATTGCCCTGCCCAGCACCAAGTGGCAAACATCTTGACACGGTCTGTGTACTGGGGGGCGTGCAGCTGTGGGACCCAGTGAAACGGTATGCGAAACTCGCTTCTACGAATCGCGGAAACATACGACGTACGATTCAGGGTTCAAAATCCCGGGGAATTTGGTCTTACTGTATCAGGACCCATGCAACATCAACAAAACCGTCCGATGGCATACTCGCCCGGCTCCATCCGACTCCAGAGGACTGGACTTGGGCAGGGATGTTCATACAAGGAGCTTTGACATTTTGCGGCCATCAAACAATTCCCCTTTGGCGATAGCCTCTGATCTCCCGTCTGATGGGAAATTTCATGCATGGTATACGATCAACGTTTTCTGGTACAACTCCTGTCAGCGGTCCCTGACCCACCACATAGCGGTCCGCATGCATCGTCGAAAAGTCAGTTTCACTAAGCTTGCCGGGTCGCAACTAGGATCCCTACAAACAAAGTTGTTCGATTTGCAATGATCATGGGACGATTTCAGTCACAGCGAGCAACCAGACCGTTCGATTGTCCTCCGCCACGGCTGCATTGTTTCGACTAAGACGGCGTATTGGCTGAGAGAGCCACACAGCATTGATGCACTCGCAGACAGCTATGACACGCGAAGATGCTCGGCCAGGGACCTGGGGAGGGATGTGTGCCAGCCCGCATTTAAGTGTACTGCCATGACTGGGCATAAATGGCAGACAGCTCCAGACTCACCATGGCAGCAACTCTAAGTCAACTTCGACCATTATCTATATCTACTCCTCCGCCGGCGGACAACGACAGCTCAATTCCTAGAAGGGACAGCACATCTAATCGAAGGTCTTTCATCAACACATCTCCCGAACAACGGCTAGTCCGCAGGTCATCTAATCGGAGTTCCTGGTCATCAGCTTCTAATACCTCTCCCACCGACGTCCAATCCCCCTTGTCAGATTCCGCCTCCCCAGCTCCACGGAAATTCCGACTTCCGGTCAGAGTTTCTACACAACCGTCCTTTGGTACTTCAGACTCAAGTCCCCAAGCCCGGAGACGTTCTTTGAGTCTCTCCTCAGACGGCAAAACGGATAGCAAGACGTCGGACAGTAAACGACGTACCAGAAACCTTTATCTCTCGCAGCTAGACGAGGACAAGGCCGAGGAGCTTCGCAAGAGCCCCAGACCGTCACCAAGAGTCGCAAGCCCCCCTCCACCTCCTTACGAGAAGGGCCCAGCATCAACTGAGACCTCAAAAGTGTCCGATAAGCCCAAGGATACCCCCAAGCCAGCTCCGGCCGAAGCACCAAAGGCAGCGCCAGCTCCACCAGTCCAACCTCCTAAGTCACCGCGGAAGCAAGCGCCTCCTACTACCACCCCAACTCCTCAGAGAACTCCAGCTCCACAGAGACCTCCAGCTCCTCAGAAAATGTCTTCCTCCAGCAGCCCGTAAGTCATCAGAGCTCGATTCCCGCTCATCTGAGTGAACTATGTACTCACCATCCCGCAGCGAGCCCCAGAGGACCGGCGTCGTCGGCCCCAACCCCGGCCAGAACCCCAACCAGCCACGTGGGTTTGACCTGTCCATGCAGAACGGCCAGATGAAAGGCCAAGTCGGCCACAGCCTCCCGCTGCCCGGCCTCTCCGGTGTGGCCAACGGTCCAGTCGGTAAGTCGTCGCACACACCTTCGGTGCATATTTCGTAGCGTGGATCAGTCGCTTACAGTAATTTACAGGCAATCTTCTCAAGGGCCCTGTCGACGACAATGGCAACCTGAAGGGTGCTGCGTTGACCGTCGGTATCAAATTGGATTTGGAGGCTGAGGTCCATCTCTCGGCCCGTGTTAGGGGTGACATCCTCGTTGGTCTTTATTAGACAGGTCGCTGTTGCTTTCATCGCTGCGAGATTGGATTTCGGCGCTTTCACATAGTTACGGAGTGGATTGGGCCTTGATTTGCAGGGAAATAAGTATATCATGATGCAGGGGGAGGGTACATACGATGTCTAGAATGGGAATATATTATTTGCATTGCACTCGAAATCAAACTGCTTTCTTCCACTATTGAGATGAGTATCAGATAAGGATCGGAGGTAAGCCGCTTGAGCCACGAGGTAATATGCATTTAGTCTTTGCCGTCCTGATCAGATTTTTTGCCTAGTCTGCATCTCCTTGCGTGGTTTCTTCGCAATTTGCATCAAAATGACGACGCATCGGATACTCCCCGTCACCCATCGAGAACATCATTTGAAATTCTGCTCTTTTCATAGTTCTCCGTATGCGTAGACCTCTAGACTCCTGTGGGAAAGTCATCATCAACCCATGCCCCCGGGACTCTGAGATTTGATATCTCTTGCTCTTCGACCATGTGCCAAAAATGCCCTGCAAATTGATCGGTCATCTCAGACCACCAAAACTTCCACTGCGATGGAGACTTGCCAAAGTCGAATTTAATTAGCCGGATGTGACCCCACCAATTGTGGCTGATTGCATCATCGCAACTGAAGTCAAGTCCGAATTCCCTCCTGACTCCAGGAGCATTTACATGGGCATGGGCCTCTTCCTGACCATACCTGAACAGATCCACACCGGCGACAAGCAAACCTCCCAACCATGATGAAATTGTGGTCTCACAGCGCTGAACGCGCTTTCGTAATGAGCCCTGATTAACCATCTGGCAGCAAAAAGGAAATCCAGGGTCAAAAGACCGTTGAATCAGCCGGAGAAGTGGTGTCTCCAAATCTGGCCCACGGCTAATCGCGCTGGCTTGGCATATATGCCTCAGGCTTGAGTTTTTAACGACATCTATACTTAAACGCAGCCATTCCTCGACTGGCTCCTGGCCTCTCAACAACCCAATTACCCCAGCTATGCCATGGAGTAGTGTTTCGCCCCTGTTGCTGGAGATAGACAGGTCAATCGATGCTTGCGTCCAACTTCCTGCTTGTTCCAGGGCAAAGCGTGTTATGGGTATGACATCGGTGTTTCTTTTTGCAATGACTGGCCCGTTCAAGACCAGACCGGTGGTGAGCTGCATGCGTTTTCTCAAGAACCTTTTGGAGTAAAACTCATCATCTGACCACACCGAGCGTCTGACATTGGTGAAAGACACGAGAGAGCCTTTCCAATGACTCAAGAGCGACAGGACCAAGGCGTCATTCTGGTCGGTCTCTTTGATTAATCGTTGATAATCAAGGAGTCGTTGGTCTCCAGTCCAGGAATCAAAACGGGCAGCTACAACCACATCATTGATGTGGTATCTGGAGCGACGCCTGGGTGGTTGCTGGCAGAATGACGTTGAAATGTCAGTTGGGTTGCATTGCGAGGGCACAAGTGTCTCGAAAGTAAACGTACGTACTCGCGAATATAAGCAGAGATCCAAATATGCTTCCACTCCTCGATCCAAAAGAAATGAGCATATGTGCCATTGGCCTTGTTGGAGTGCCTCCTAGTATTGGTGGTTCAGTGCCCAGGTGAATATCGCACATTTTGGGCACCGAAATCACTCACCGCGAATAGATTCCAGCCGCTCCACAACTCATCCCACGGGGCTAGCTGCCTCTGGTCAAACTGTTTTACGAGCTCTGCTAGATTTCCACTCTCTATATTGCCTAAAACCCTGTCATATAGCTCTCTTGAGTAGGCCAGGTTGTTGCGCGTCCTCAACAGCTGCATCCATCCAACCTGGCTTCTGTAGAGAAGTGCCTCGATGACCTTGCCCGACCACCATGTGGGCAAGCTAATCTTTATCCTGGCTTTCGGTACTCCTAATACCGATTGGTCGGCCTTTTCGTGGTATGAAAGCTTATCATCGCTTGAAGCGGAAGCTCTGCATGTGATATCTGATGAAGGCGATTGATAAAACTCAAGTTGAAGAGAGCCTGTGATGTAAGCCAAGCCAAGTTCCCATGTTGACTTGGGCCATGAGCTTTTTACAATTTTGCGGAATGAGTGTTCGACAGTTATGGTACCGATCGGTGAATTGGCGGTGCTATTCAGCCTTTGTTCTGACATGGCCCTGCGACCCTCGAGACTCAGCGGCGGCTCTGTCCTTTCTTGGAGGATCGGCACAGATGTGCCGACGGAATTATTATGTATGAAACGGAGTCTTTGAGACTCCAGAAGGTGACTAAAATCTTTTTGAGCACTCTTAGTCCCAAGACCAAACTTTTGAGTTGAGGCGAACATACATCATATACATTTGATTGACGACAGTGAGTAGCTCAACAGAATGCGACAGCCGCCGCTCAACTTTTGCAAGTTCGTCCTTTCGGAGAAGATGTCTCGCAATAGATGCCTTTCTTCTCATCCCGCGAGATCTTTCAAGCCTGTCAGTCAGTTCCTCGAGCATGTGCGTCAGCCCGGAGAGACACTTCTGACAATGCTGTCTCGCGTGGTGCAGAGAAGGGATTGACGTGATGCTAGAACCCTCTGACTGTTGCAAGCTTAGTGACAGCATGTGAAGCTGCTCGAGCCGGATGGATATCTCATCCGGGATGTCCTGCATTTCTTTGAGTATACCGCTTAATCTGGTCCCAGTGGCGATGATGGTACCGGCGAGCTGGGCAATGCCGATAACGCTGCCGACGATACCCAACACTTCGGCCATGGTTCAGTGGTCAGCTTTTGTGGCGCTTGCAGGGAAGCTGCTAGATGTTGTAATCAGTTAAGCCTGGAATCGTAACCGATACGTGGGTTTCACAGTGAGTACAGAAGCAGGTGTTCCTTGCAAACGGCGAACCATTTGGGCATCATCATCTAGGCAACCATGCCTTGTCTCTCAGGCCGGTAATACCCGACAAGTCCTCCAGTGTGCCCAGCGGTCAGCCCACTTATTCTACTGCGGTGTAACCCAAAACATGAAGCTTCTCGCACATGACACAGCCCCCTCTAAATTCTTCAACCATTTCGGGGGATCGTGCAGGCCCTTGTAAGCTACCTAGATATGGCAACTTTTGAATGTTGGTATCTTCCTCTGTTTCCAGAATTGGCGATCTCATAGCTACCCCCTTCGCTTTAATGTGAAGGAGGATCTAGCTTCACACTGGTATTCTTGACCATTCCCTGAAGCTGCTTGGGACTTTGAACATCCATCCGCATAACCCCCTCAGCCGGCTTTACAGAGTGGAAGAGCATTGACGTAGCCGTAGATTTCCACAACATGACGTCCCGGGTTCGCCTGCTCTCGGCCATTTCCGCAATCAGGAAGGCTGCGGATGCAAGGACCACGAAGAAAGGAAGGACAAGCCAGGCCCACTGGATTCGGACGAGCAATACGGACTTCGCGGTAAGGCCGGGTGCTATTGTCGCGTTGACACTCGTGCGCAGCTGGTCGGTCATACTGAGCGCCATCGAGTCCAGTAAAGAGGATATGTTTTTTTCTGGGCTGCGGATAGCGGCTGTAATACCTTGGGCGAATACCGGCATTTCCTCACCGTCCACGAGCGTGCCGCTGAAGGAGTCGGATGGAAAACAATCGAGTAAAGCAGCCAGATCTAGGATCGACACTCGGAATTCCGGGAGGCCTGTGGTGTTGAACAATATGTGGTTACTGTTATCGCTTTTATGGGCATCAGAGATGACGTAGCCCTCTTCTAGGTGGATTTTCTCCGTGCTGCCAAACGTAAAAGTATTGGCTGTAGAGGAAGCATTTGTGTACTTGTATGCGACGAGACTTATATCACATTCAAGTGTTTGCTCTAAGGCGTCGTCGGCCCCGCCTCTATACTCGCTCGGTTGCCTGAATGCAGCTAAACGTACGAAGGTGGCTGGCGCACGTGATGACAAATACTGCGGAATAGTCAAGGTGTTAGTCAACAATGAGTTGTTTGCGAATTGTGCAGAGATGAACAGTCATCCCGGGGAGGTACCTCGTGAAAATTGTTGAGCTCATAAAGGGATTTGGCTTTCATCACAAGCACCGTTGACCAATAGGTGGGGATTATAGACGTGCTAAACGTTACGTTGCCAGGGGTGGTCGTTGTGCAGTTCGTAGGCAAGGTCCCATTGCAATGTTGGGTGGCGTATGTTGCCTGCGTAACGTTGGTACAGCTGCTACTGAATCCGAGAGAAGTATAGGTTTGATTCCAAGTACAATTTGAGGCGCAGGAAAATATAGATGGCGTGTCGAGTTCATAAAACGCTTTCACTATTGCCCCCTGCAAAGAAGTGTCGACTGTATAGGCTATATTAAGCAGACGCAGGTTAAAAGAATGCTCGCATTTGTTCAGCAGGAAGGCGGTGAACTACTCACGATCAGGTATCCAATAACCACCGCCGACGCTTACCTTGACACCGGTGAAGTAGTCATGGGCAAATTTGAAACTGGCTGTGCCATCGTTGACCCAATCGGTCACCGCCTCGGTACTGATGACTTGTTGTGCGAAGGTATCGATGCCCAGGCCCAAGACTGTGATAATAGCTCCAAGTGTCGCCCAGCCCCAAGGGATTGTGGCAATCATTTGCAGGGAACCCAGGGGCCCTCGGGAGGCGTCTTCGATAATGTCGATATCCAAAAGCCTCCTTCTCTTGGAACTAATGTAGACCCACTTCCATTGACCGATACATGCTGCTACGGAAAGCATAGCAGTCGATTTCGCGGCCGTAACAAAAACGGCAATCACAGCATTGAGGCTTACCTATACCGATATTTCTAGGCTCAGCGAAGACGTCCCAGAGAAGGAAGGATGATATACCTACAAAGAAAGTCCAATGATCCATCTGCTTGTCTTGCATCGTCCTCAAAATTACAACAACTGCGATCATACAGCCAAAACTGGCGATGATACTAATGATTTCCTGCCACCACCAAGTCGAAGACCAGCGGTGACGGCCGGGGGAACGTTTCTGGAGAGGTTTGTATTGGGTCATGCTGCAGGAGGTGGTCCAATAGAGTGAAAAGTGAACGTGAAAGGCAATGTGGAGGATGAAGACATGATTTTGTGACTAGGTGCCTAGACTTCATGCCATGCATCCTGGAGCCTTGTGGGAAAAAAGAATGTGCCTTGAAACACATGCTGAAGTGGCTCATGGCACACTTGTGTCGACTAAATCTGCACCCGACGTAGCACAACAGAAGACACAAGCCCCCACGCCTGACTGCCAAGAAAAAGAAGAACAAATCATACGCGGCAGGCGAAACAAGAGCTGAGTGCAGATGAGAATTGCGTGCGGTTCGCTGCAGCCGGGGCTGCAGCCCCCAAATTTATGCTACTAGTGCTTCTGCTTCCCCTACTTGAGACCACTGTCGCTCTGAGGCTTCTGAGGGTGTTCACCCTTTTGGGGCCTGGTGGCGCTCGACTGGCATCGTCACGATACCTTGAATAAGGTGGGCTGCTCTATCTGGACACGCAAAGATCATTACTATGCGGAATGCGGCTTGGGCATTGACCAAGACGGACGCGATGAGCTAGAACCCACTGCTTGTGTACAACGCCATTTGGAGACACCTGAGAAGCAATGAGGACGAGTTATCAGCTGGAAAGTATTTAAAGGTACTCGCTTTTGAGACCATGCCACGCCCAGTACTTGATTGATCAACTCGGATTTAGGCTTGAATACTACTTCAGTGATTCCGGTGGCCTGCGATATCAACAGCAGCTGCTGGGAGCTCAAGCAATCACGCCAACGAGATTTCTACAAGCTGGCCGCTAATTCCACTCGATTGCGTACCTCTCGTGCTCACGTAAGCCGTGACACCATCTTCCGCCAGCGTCACACTGGTAGGCCCAATCAAGGATGTATCGTTTCCATCTCCAACGACAACATCCATTTCCCCTGTGCCGATGATGACTTTTCCAACGGCATTCGGACTCTGTGCCATGTATGCAATTTCGCCGGACGCGTCCATGACGAAGTCATCCCAATCGTAGTCCTCCTCCCCTGGGGCCAGGATCGCCACCGTCTCTACTTCGCCGTCCATGACGCCATCATCAGTGACAGCAATGCGGGCAAAGAGGTTCTTCGCAGTGTTCGTGAAGTAGACATATCCACTTGAGATTTTCAATCCATTGATACCGATGGGGACAGTCGCATTTTCAGGCGGGAGAAGCAGGTCTCCTTGGTAGGCGATGGTGACGTTTCCATCCGTCGTGTTGACCCTCCACACAGCACCGACCCTCGAATCCGCTATCAATACAACAGTAGGATTCTGGGGCAGAGAGTCCATGCCGTTCAGCATCACCGCATCTGGCAGAGTGGCAACAACCTCGATTGCAGGCTCAGACCCGGCACTGAAGTCGCACGTGTAGACGGTCTCGTTGGTGTACATGTAGCTTCCCCTGACGCCCCCAATCACTGCAAACTTGTCCTTGCCCACGGTGGCCATGCCCGTCAACGCGGTCGATGGTGCAAATGATGCAACGAGCTCAGCAGTCGGGCTTGAAGACGTAGGATCGAGAGTATAGAGCGAAGCGTTTGTAAATGTCGTCATGAGCACTTGGCCGTTCGGTCGGAGATGGGTATTCTCGATATCAACGTATGACGTAAAGTTCCAGAGCTGGCGGGCAGTAGCTGTTGCCCATAGGGAGCTCATGCTCGCCATCCAAATGGCCAACATCAAGCAAAATGACGGCATTCTGAGAACAGCCACTCTTTCCGGGTATAAAAGATCGACGGTAGACTGGGTAAGTCGCCGTCGAGAATTTCTTTTTGGCGAGAGACATTGAAGTCTGTTTTTTATGTTGATTTAATTCTTCAAATTCCAGGCCGTCGGAGATACGACTGAAGATATCCGCCTGTCTTGCTTTGTGGATCGCGGCCGGGGGGGGGGGGAGCATACGTAGTCTAGTTGACGGACAGGGGTTGAGTGGACGACTGTGAAGAGCACTTCGGGTTTTGCTCTCTTGGTGTCCAGTTGCTTCAATCAGCGCCGGTGCCTCAATTTAGACACCCATGCCAATACGTAAGTCAGGAGAATGGCATACTAGGGTTAAATGCTGCTACCTCGACGAGGTAGACCTTTGTGAGGAATGCCAAGCAGTCTCAGGGGTAACTCGCTTTTCCACCCGCGGTGTTCCGCGATAAGTCCGAGCCTGGGGCCAGCGTTGCAACAAGGCCTACTGTACGCGAGTCCAAGTAGATGAGCACGACCCAGTGCCTCACATATCTGCTTGCTCCCCACAAATCGTAGCCACGCTCTAAGCTGGTTCGGCATGCTTGCCGGCGCCGCGCAGCAGATACGTACGGTATACCCCAGTGTTCTGCCATCAACTGTGTTATCGTTTGGTCTTTCATTAGCTAGATGCCCTGCTGCTGGCCATATATTCGGGATGATTATCAAAACATGTCATTTATTGTAATGCCCCCTTGCGGCGGCTGTATCCGTGTACCGCTACGGCAGCTGGCCAATGCGCCTAATGCTACCGACGATTCCCGAAACTTCGGGCATGATTGAACGGAAAGCTGTGCGGCGCTTGCAGACAGGTACACGATGCTGTAATTAATTTTAAAGTTGTCTTCGGAAGGACAATCTGGTTTTGAACAGCGCGTCCATATGCAACCATGCTATCGCAGAAAATGCAGTATAATGACAGAGTGATGGTACCTGGACAGATACAGAGCTGAAATCAATGCATTCAGCATGCGGAAGGTGCTTTCCAAATGTTTGAAGTAGTCTAGCAAGAGCGTTAGCTGATGGCTGGCTCGGACGCTTGCACTTAGGCAGGCAGGTTGCCGAATGAGTCCAAAGTCACAGCTCCGACATGATTTTTGCGAAAGGGAAAAAACCTTTTTTTCATTGTAGATTGACATAAAGGACTACGTTCTGTCGTTTATTAACCTCAAAGGTTCTATTCAAACCTATGCCACATATTAGAATGGCTCCTGACCATGATCGGAAACAGAAGCAGAAGGCCAGCATCTCTGCACCGCTACCAGCCCCAGCCGAGCAAAGCCCCGATGCTGAAGAATATGGCCCAATATTCTTTCACAAAGAATGGGAGGAGTTCGGCTTCATGTCAAACTTTTACCCTACCGCATTCACAGCGCCTCATCCCGCGTCGTGGCTGTTCGGGCAGCACGGCTTGGACTCGACCCCGGCCAGTAGCAGCACCGGAGACGAAGCACAAACGTCCATAACATTCCACCATTCAGAACAATACTACATGTACTGCAAGGCACTGTATTTTGGCGACGATGACGCAGCAAGAAAGATTGTCAACACAGTCTCGCCAACAGCATGTAAAGACGTCGGCCGCTCCGTCAAAGGCTTCAGCGAAAAGACGTGGCGGAAGCACGAGCTTGACGTGAGAGTGATGAAAGAAGCGCTGTGGTGGAAATTTGGCGGCGGACAGCTGAAGTCTCTCCTTGAAAAGCCGCAAGGAGGTCTCACCGGGCCTGAGCTCAATACGACAGAGAACAGGATGAATAGCCTGAACTATTTGGGAAGGAGACTACTTGCAACTGGAGAAAGACAATTGCTCGAGGCAGCTGGAAGTGATAAATACTGGGGTATTGGATTTAGCATTCAGCAGGGACCTCATCAGTATGAGAAGTCTTGGGGGAGGAACCTGCTCGGCAAGGCTTTGATGGGGGTTCGAGAAAGGTTGAGAAGGTTGATCAATGGAGAAGAGGATGAGCAGGAGTAAAATTTCAGATCAGTTGCTTCATAATTAGTGGACCAGCCCCCTTTAATCTGCATCTTCAGCATCAATACCTCTGAACTCGAAATACTTGGACCACTCGGCATCCTCAATCAGGTCCTCTGTCAACTCCTTCTCAAACCCAACACACAGCTCTGGCCCCTCATCAGAGCCAGGATCATTGCTGAGAGGTGGATATACAATCTGCAGCCCGGGAGTCACGAAGTCCATTGGATGACGGAACGCATACGGCTTGGCAAACCCAAAATCTGCCCCAGCAATATTCGTGTCGCGCCAGTCGGTCGTGAAGTTGTACATCGGCTCGGAGGAGTCGCAACGGAGGTATAGAACAGACTTGTCACGCACGGGTGCGATGGCGTCAAGTGTCTTGTCCAGACACTCCTGAGTTGTGCTGTTGGTCATCTGCCGAACAAACCACGCGAGCTTACTCAACGGCGCGTCCGAGATGATCTCGGCAACCGTCAGCGGTGGCACGGGCGTCTGTGGCGAGAGCGCGACCCCGACAACGTTGTGCTGGATCCGGACTGGCACCGCGGGGTCGTGACAGCGCTTTCTCATATCGACTGCTTCTCCCCATAGTGGTGTCGATGAGAGGTCCGGTTTGTATACTTTGGCGCGGAGGCGGGAGAAGACCCGCCAGGCAAATGCTTGGTAAGCGTCGTAGGTCGAAATCCAATACGATTCATCGGCTGGTGACGCCAGCTTCTTTAACTCAGCAGCCTTGATGTCAGGCAGAGTGGTCAGCAAATCATTTCTTGCAGTCGTGCTGGGATGTCCTCACCTTGCTTTTCGGCAGATGGAATAGGAGCCACTGTGACTTCCTGTGGTCCGGATGCTTCTCCGGTGAGACAGGTCCCTCGACTTGTTGATCCGCCGGATACTCCTTCTTTGTGAAGATCGACACATCTAGACAGGCAGGATCCCAGGCAGGAAACACTGTTCTATCCCAGATGGCGGCACAATTCTCGGCCAGCTGGTGTAGCTCTCCTGCCCAGCCCATTATGTCGTTAGCCGTGTGGTGATGATGCATCATGAACACAAGACCGCCACGGATAAAGTTAGCCTGGAAAGCCGCGACTTTGGGGTGGTTGTCCAGATACGCCTCGGGCTTCTCCCCATATGTCATGGGAGATACACTGTAATGACTGATATCACCCAGCGCCCGGGAGACAAAGTGGCTTTTTTCAAGGTCGGAAAATGACGGAAACCTCCCCTTATTCTCAGCCTGATCCAGCCATTTTGTCACAAACTTGACGGTGCTGTCACGCTTCTTGACGAAGGAATGGCCACCGTCCGCGTCTTTCTCGATGGTGCCACAAAGGTGCCGAGTCTGGCTCAAAGTCCTTTCAAGGCCCTGCTTCAACAATTGTGCGACTTTGGGCTTGGCTGCATCGTCGTCGATCTTGAAGAAAACAGCATAGCTGACGTAGACACAACCAACAAGGTAGTCAAGAGTTGAAAGCTTGAACCTCTCCTCCTCGGGATCCCTTTCCCAGCCAGTTGGGTGAAGATGGACCACCTCTTGCTCGTTTGCTGTATCTCCGGACATTACTGCATTGGTGTTGGAAAAGGGGTAGCGGAAAAGCTTTCAACAGCGAGGCTTGAATGTACGTAGACAAAAGTATCCGAGACTATGACGGAGGACATGCAAGTTTGATAATCGAAAATCTTACCACGGTAAGAATGGCACCTGGGTGACCGATTTGGCCGCGGCTCTTACTCATCATGCCGCCAAGGCTTGACAAACGGCAGATGATGTATCTCTTTTTTGGAGTATGAATGTAAGTCGTCGGTGTAGTGGGGCTAGTCCCACCCATCTGATCTGCACAACTACCAGTAAGACAATATTGGCTGTAAGCTGGCGGCACAGGATATATCGGAATGGGGAAGAAACCTGGACGAACTTACTGGTGATCGTGTCCAGGATGAACAGCTTGATGCATACATTGTCTGCGGTAACTATGGCCTAGGAGATATGAGTGGTGAGGTGTCAAGATATCGAATTCTAAAGCCAACTTCGGCAATATCAAACTCTCAATCGCTCAATGACCAGACGGTAAATTATGACGACCTCCTCTGTTATCATGCTAAAAAGTAAAACATTCCAAAACTGAGCGTTTTCAAAAGAGGTACATTCTATTTATTTCTAGAGATCCTGAAAGGAGGAACAGATCAGGACCACTGATTCCAAGGCGGCGCTAGAACGTCAAGGAATTGAACTGCCGAAAGATGGGGACAAGATGGATCTGACAAAACGTTTTGCTTATGTTGACTGGCGGAGCTACAGGGTGCCACTAGATGGAAAGTAGTCAACTGGAGCTAGAACTTCATTTACTATTCACACCATCTCATATGCTTTGTTTCTACCTGTGATGGTACTGAAATCGGGCAGTGATTCTGTCCCTTGAACGACACCTCGTCTCTCTTCTTTAGAATCAAATTACAGAAATATCTTATGGAGACTCAGGTGGTCCGCACGCTGAGCGAGCGATGCTGTGCAAACGTCAAAGAACTTGCAGACCCTAGTGACCAATCTCTCAAGCCCCTGCGACTAGAATTGATGGGCGAAGCAGATGCTTCGCTTAAAGAAGGCGGTACATACAATTCGACAGGGTTGATGTTGATCTGAAGCTCCGAAGGCCGTGAGTTCAAATCCAATTCTGCTGGTCGAGTCTGATCAGGCTCCGGCAGATTGAGGACTTGCTTGTCGTCATTCCCGTGTCCGGGGAACGGGACTCCCTTCTCGGCCTGTTGCTGCTTCTTCGCCTTCTCTTCGTCTGAATTTGCCCTCCTACGACGGCTTCGGACGACAAAAATGGCTACAAGGGCGCTGATCAGAATGCAAGCCCCGAAGGCACCGCCCACGGCTCCTCCGATCACGGCAGCAGTGCTCGGCTCATCATGGTTGTTGCTAGCCGATTTGGTCGTGTTATTTTGGGTCTCATTCGCAAGCGTGTATGTTGGTGTAAATTCGGGTCGCTCGAGTGAGTGGTCGAAGACATATTGTAGGTATACATTGCTCCATACTTTCGGAGTTCTCAGGGTTGCTCCGCCGCTAGGTGTGCCTCCTATGATATCCACGACTTGAGCTGGAATGGGTGCGGCCCTTGACGCGCCTGCTGCATCATACACTCCAGTGTAGGACTGTGTGGCGAGGTTGAAGACTTCTGCTGGCATCGTGTCTGAACAGGTCTGCACGTCTTGGCCATCGGTCTGTGTTTCCATCCCGCCGATCACGAGCAGGTTCTCGCCTACAGAGTGGCAAGTGTGTCCTGGAAAAAGGGAATGAATCAGAAAAACATCAGAAAGACAGGTTTGGAGCGTTTGGGATTAAAGAACATACCGTACCTTCCGCTGGGACGAGTGTGGACCAGGACCCATTGGAATGTTGGTATAGTTAGAACCCATATTTCCTCGGTAGGAAGATAGACTTTATAGTTTGGCCTGCCGGCAATCATAAGAATGTTGTACGAGGATTGATCCTCTGCTGTCACTAGTACTATGCAGATGTCGGATCTTGCTGAAGGGATATCAGGGACCCCAAATGTCTGTTGACGAAACCAGCCTCCGCTCTGTATGTCATATATGTCGACAAAGGTGTTGTCCAACTGAACAAGATCATTGTTAGGAGCTGATGATACTGCTTGTTACAAAGGGCTGGGAAGACTTACCATCACGTTGTGCTGCGCCGCATTAGAAATCTGCATCCCATAATCAGTCGGATTCTGCGGAGTTTGGCCACCAATGAAGACTAGAACTCCTTGGCCACCCGATGGGACATGAACCATGGCTCCGTTGAGCCTAGGTCCGAACGGATGAGCTCCATCATCGAGAGACGTAGGGACTGAGATGTTGGTGAACGTGGGCGTAGTTACGGCGCTGCTTGTGTCCAGCATCAACATTCCCTCCAAGACTGAGGTGCACAAGTCAGTATCAGGATTTTTCATATTCAATACCCCGGAACAGGACTTGTTGTAGCCAAGACTTACATTTCATATCCTCTCCCAAGACGTAAGTATCGTATTCTGGATCTGTCCTACGCCATACCTGTCCTGCAAATACAAAGCTCTTGTTCAGCGCCAGCGCGTCGCAGTAAGCTGCAGCGCCTGGCCTTTCCAATTTTTGCTTATTGCCAAAGGTCCCGACATCGGATGCCTGACTCCAAGTTTCGGAGCCTATGTCGAATTCCCATACTGATGGAGGAGGTATCTCATCGTCGGAAAGGTAGCCGGGGTCGGTCTGCGTATTATAGGAGAACCAACCTCCCACCTGAGTGACCTTCCTCGTTGACGGAGAATACAGAAGGGAATTCTCGATGAGAGAGTTGGGTACATTTGAACCCTTTCGCAAGGATGTGTATGGGAAGGTGTCTGAGTCTGTGAAGTTCTGTGAAAGGTCGAGAACGAGAAACTGATCATCTGCGAGGTGTCCAACGTCAAGCTCCAGACACATTGGTGGTGGCTTGATGGAAAGAATACCGCAACTTACTCATACCCAGGGTGTAGTTGCCTGATAGAGAGTTGTTGAAAGTCGTATTATCGTTGGGGATGTAGGTATTGCCTCCATCAATGTAGATCTTGCCATCCGCAAGAACGCCTGCCGAGGTTGATCAGCAAGTGTCAAGATGATCCAATGCACCTCCGAGAACCTACTCGCGTGCCTGTATAGCCTGCAGTAATTCTGTGAAAGGTCATGATTGCTGTCATTCACAGTGCCCGTTGTCGAAACTGATGGGACGACCGTGTCCCTTTGAGCATTCATTGAGCAACAGCCGTCAAATAACATGAAGGCAGGAAACAAACGTGGTCACATGATCACTTTCAAGCCATCAGATAAGATGGTAGCACATAATGGGAATGAAAAAGGAGCTACTCGTGCAAATGACCAGAACCCGGCGGACAGACCCCGTCCAAACGGTTTCGGGTGGCGGCATTTTAAAGCAGATTTGAGAGACACACCGCCGACCATTGAGAGTTCAGAACAGCGAGTCTAGAGCAGGCCTCGGATTCCTGTCAATACGGGCCTTCAGGTCCAGCTACTTAAGTTGTGAAACGTGAGTAAGCTGCTGTGTACATTGCTTGGCGAATGTTCTTCACCGTGGGGCCGTACATGGCGCCTTTAGCTTCCAGCACTTGATTCAGACGGGTACTTTCTCCCGACATACCGCCGATCAGTGCCTAGAAGGCGTTTTAATAAATACAAGTGTTACTGTTGCTCAGCCTCAATGTGGTGCACTCGGAGCTGCCTCGATGGTTGCCAAACAAAGAATTTGGGCATGTTGCCTAGTACTCCCAGTATCTTAGTCTCTGTTTCGAACACCAATTGAATCGATAATTCATCTTGCTTGTCATCGAATTCTCAAAGGAAGAAAGCCCACATAATCAACAGAGCATAAGAGGCCCCGTGGAAAGAAGCAATAGTCATGGATCACCAGGTAAGGGTGGTCAACAGGCCAATAGCACTTGGACATCCTTCATAATTTCAATCAGGCTCCAATCCAAATCCTTAGTTCCAGGTTTTCCGGAATTGCACAGTTAAGATTAGCATCTTACTTATTCGCTGCATTTCTAGCACACTGCGCCAACGGCGATGATACGATTTTCATTGTGAAAGATTCAACATTGGGAGCACCACTCCCTGTTGTGGATTGTACAATGATCGAGGCATACAGAATCCTAGAAACATTCTTAGCGCTCAAACACTTGTGGTTCATGTGGATCGCATACTGCTACATTCACCAGATTCAAAGGAAAGTATCACTGTTTGTCTCATGAGATTGAAGGCAGATCTTGGATTTAAGCCGTTATTGGAATCCTTGTCTGAGATTTGGAAGTGTCGCCACGCCCTATGCATTGGTTTTATTCGCGACTTGCTACCAGTGCAACTTGCACATTCAAACAGATCAAGAAGATGAGGAATAAAACTTTCATGGTTTCAAGTAACTGCTCTACAAGGTTTGAAAGTTGGAATGTCCTTCATCTGTTCAGCGTGCGGGATTCTGAGATACATACAAGGAGACATCATGACAGGTGCTGAATCTAAATGGCTCTTTACCAAACACTGAAATCCAAAGACAGTCTAAAGCTACTGTGTGAAAACTCATCAGTTAATGTAGTAGGGAAAGCACCCAGCAAGCCAGTATGTGTACCTACAAGGCTAGTCTACAACCCCGTGTGAATCTGGAGCTCATGCCCTCGAGGGTACGCTCGCTATATCGGTTTCTAGCTCGCAGACTCTGAGTGGAAATGGAATTGACTGGTTTCTTCACATCCACCATTCCAACTTTCTGAAGCTTCACTTCATTGCTTGTTTACCTGAAAACTGCTTTAAGGTAAACTCCAGGCAGCCAATTTTCCCTCCGTTTACGTTTCGTGCGCACAACTCTCCATCGCAGGTAACCTGAGCTACAAACTGCTCGACCTCAGCAAAGAGGCTGCCAAATCAACAAAGCAACGCGACGCGTACCAAAGCGTCGCGAAAAGTGCCAAACATTCAATCAAAAAAACGTTTGTGCTACGATCGCAATGGCAAGGTATCGCGGTGGCCCTCGGGGACAGCCCCTTCCCGCGCCTTGGATCGAATCCTCCTCTTCGAGCGACCGCGAGACAACTGACGACTACGAGGACCAACAAGAAATGAATACCCTACAAACGAGAACTGTGATTCCTGACTCTGATGATCCTGGAAGTAATCCTTCGGTCTGTTTCCCAGCTGTATCTAGCAAACTTTCATCGGCTACTAACTTGTTTCGCAGGATGATCAGGGCGATTTAGCCGATCAGAGCGAGTCCCAGAGCGACTCTGAGATTGACGATGACGAAGAGATGCTGGAAGATGAAGAAGGAGACGTCATGACACCTGGTGATGACTACGACATGGATGAGAGTATTGAAGTTGGTATTTACGGTGGATTCTCTCCTAGAGTGCATGGTGGAGACACGATTGAGAATGACCGAGAGGAACGTCCCAAGAGACAACGTTCTCTGAGCATTCCCATTCATTACGAGTCACTCTTCACCACTGGAAAGCCCATCTTCGAGCCGGAGCCGCTGTCGATCGCTTATGGATGGATGGCCAAAGGCACCAGTGAGCACATTGAGGACCTCCATCTTTCTGGTATTCCATTTTGCCACAGAGAGGTCCGCTCCAAAATCAGGATTGAAATGTTGGGAGAGTACACCTGGATCGAAGTGACTCCAAGCCAAGAGGAGACTTATGAGAAGTACCCTGCGATCTACGTACCAGGTAAGATATTGACCTCAGCGATATCAGTTGTCGACTTCCACATTGCGTTTAATTATGGCAAGATTATTGATCAGTAATTACTCAGGTAATACCCGCACCTGGCGAAACCTCAAGATCGGCACAAGCCTCGACCAGGACGACATTCGTTGTAAGATCTCCAAGGAGATTCGAGACGATAACCTGACCCGGCAGCCTCGATACCCCTACGAGCCCACTTTCCGTGCTTTGGAGCAGACCCAGAAATTCCACAGCTTCAAGGAAATCGACATCGTCACCGACGCCGCCACGCTTGCGCAGCTCTTGGCTTTCATCATGGGCGCCTCGTCGGCTCGCCCTGTGAAAGAGCCCTTCCGTCTCGAGCTCACTAGCGTGCGCAACACGCTGTTCATCCTCCCCAGCCAAAAGCCCGGCAGCGGATACGCAGGCCCCGCCCCCAAGAAGGTGTACCAGGATACCGAGGCCGCGGTGCCGGCTTGGTGTGCTGATGTCGTCGGCCACATTTCCACCCGCGTGCCGAAGCTGCCGTACAGCGGCGGCCATTACCGAGTCGTGCGTTACCGGTTTGGCAACGTTGTCCTTGCTGTGCGTGTCAAGGTTGACTTCGTGTATGAGCACCGCAAGGACTCCAAGCGTACAAATGTTGACCCGCTGCGTGAGATTCAGCCGGACTTCATGCCCAAGCTGGAGACGGATGTTGCGCAGGTCTGGAAGACCACAGTCAAGAGGCAGGGCCTGGGCACCAAGCCGGCAGGGGCAGGTGTCGCTTCGGTCCGGTATATCTGGCAGGAACCCAAGGACAAGATGAGAGCGCTACTTCCGCAGCTCTGGTTCTCGCGCACGCCCTTTGTTATTGACTGTGAGGTGACCTACCCGGATCTCGAAGTCCAGGCGGCTTCGCTCATCAACTCCCGTGAGTACTACACCTCTTTCGAGAACGGACACCAATCTAGTCTGCGCCGCCTTGCTGGTCTCCTGAAGCACCTGCAGCAACGAACTCGTGAGCTGGACGGCAACATCGTGCTCATCGCCGACCCAGTGCAGGTCTGCTTTGTCCTTCTCAAGCCTGTCATTAAGCGGCCGGCTCTGCCGGAGGATCTAGCCTTGAAGTTTTGGGGCCCCGATACCGAGGAAGAGGCGCGTAAGAAGCAGGCAGCTGAGATGGAACGCGACAGCACACCCGAAGAGGAGCAGAGCGACCTCACCGACCTCAGCAAGACACCCAGTCTGCCCCGCGGATCAGACCTTGCTCACATCGGCATGTCGCAGCCCAGCAAGTCGCAGAGTAATGTAGAGGCGACATCCTCATACATGACTGGTGGCAGCCCCACTCGAGCCGACAGACAGCGTGCCCAAGGCATCGACCCTATCAAGATGGTAGTCGACTGGAAGAAGTCTGTCAAGAAGCGTGCGTTCGAGGGGGACGGAACAGGACACAAGTCTGATACCGAGAACATGATGGATCACGACAAGGCTAAGAGCTTTGATGGATACCAGTCTTCAGGTGACAGCATCATGGTTGGCGAGTCTGCACACGAGCCTGGATTTGATGGCGCTGACAACGTCTTGAACAAATTGGCACTCCAGATGAACGCCTCTGAACAGCTGGAAAATGGCGGCGGTTCTCAGCGGGAGAAGGCTCTTCAAGGCCCCAAGCCCATTGACCAAATCACCAGCATGTTTCGCGACAGCGAAGTTGAGGTTGTGAGGGGACAGCATTCCCTGTTGATGGTGGACCGTCACCTGATGAAGAGAACCGATGCCTCCGACGACGATGTTTTCTTCCCTTCCGCTCCGACCCCACCAGGTCCTTCAGAATATGACAAGCCGTGAAAGCTTATGGACAGAGAACGGAAGAAAAGAAAAAGAGAAAAAGAAAAGGGGGGGGGGGTGGAGGAAATGAGGGAAAAAAGAAAACAAAGGGAGAGGAATGACTAGAGGCGACATGTAGCAGTTCTAGTGCCCACCGTTAACGAATGAGCCACGCAATGCCTCTGCTCTCTCTTTACATGATACACTATCGGAACAACATCGTCAGATTTCCTGTGAAAGGTTATCCCTATCCCACACGCGGTTATCCTACACGCGGTTATCCCATAGGATTTCATCCCATATGCCATGCCTAGTTATCCTGTACCTGGTTATCCCACACGAGGCTATCCCATAGGGTGTTATCCCATGCCTGGTTATCCCATGCCTGGTTATCCCATGCCTGGTTATCCCATGCCTGGTTATCCTATGATTGGTTATCCTATGGCTGGTTATCCAATTGCTGGTTATCCAATTGCTGGTTTAACATATAGGTCCCCTTTTCGGTTTACCTGTTTATGCCAGGAATACTATGGTCGCGAAGTGGACACCCGATCTTAAGCTGATATGCCATGATTGATGGGCTATGTATCATTGGTATTCGACTCGCCTTTGATGTTCGGCCCATGCCGTCTCACTCACTCCGCGTAATTGTCCTATTTTCGTAGAGGACTCGCATTTTGCACCTCGACCTTCCTCACCCTGCTCATTCCTCCCTCCTTCTCCGTGGTAAATCCGTCATGAAGCACTGCCGCTATGCCCATCTTCCGTCACCCCAGCCTTCATCACGAACTCCTCGTCCTCGCCTTCTCCACCACCACCACTGACCTCCAGCCCGCCAGCAGCCTTCTCAAACCCCGCATCCCCATTCTCCGTCTCGAGCTTCTCCATCTGGCTCAAGAAGAAGTCCACGACATCGTGCTTCTCGCCGAAGCTTGCCGAGTCCAGTGGCACGTAGTTCTTGTCGTTTGCGATGGCGGGCGATGCTCCCTCGGCGACGAGCAGCTTGACCAGCTCCAGGTGGCCGCCCAGCGCGGCCCAGTGCAGCCCTGTGTTGCCGAACTCGTTCTGCGCGTCCAGAAGGGCCTTTTTCTCCTCCACTGGGCGGTCTGCGAAGTGGCTGAGGATGATTTTGACGACCTCTGTGGTGGGGTGTCTTGTCAGTGGTGTGCTTTGCTTGAGCAGGTCTCTGAATATGATGGATGATAAGGGTGAGTTGGGGATGCTATTTACCTAGGTTGCCGTTGCCCGTTGCCATGTGGAGGCACGTGGACTTGCCCTCATCCCTGGCTGCTGAAATGATCTCTGCTGGGGAAACGCCCTCACGTGTTGATAGTGTGGATAAGGTCTCGTTCAGATCTGCGACTTCACCGGCCCGTGCGAAGTAGATGAGGTCGTCGATGTCATCCTCACTCAGTTTGGGTGCCATTTTCGTCGGCTTTGGCGATTCTTCGAGAGTACTAGGACGTTGATAGGGTGGGATATGAGATGAGATGAAAGGCTCTGAGGAAACTCCGTTTGATTTGACAATAATCAGGGAATGTGGCTCCGAAACTGGTGGTTTGATGTAAGGCGTCCTAAAGGTTGGAGTGCGTGAGCGCCATTCAGAAATTTTAGCCAGACAGTGTACCGCGTACGGTGTGCAGACTGTACTGACACCGTGATTGACAGGGATATTCCTAGCGCTACTAGTCTATTTTCCTGAGTGACGTCCGTAAGGCTGGACGACATCAGGAGCGACGACCTTTGGAGGGCAACGACATACAGCCTTTGGACTGTTTATCAACCAAAAAAATCAAATCGTGGCTCGATATAGCGGAGCCACGTCGAGTTACATTGTTTATCACGATGTTGATGCAGGATTGTTGGTTTCCAGAACAGAAAATAGGCGGCGAGGTCGTTCTGCTGCAAAGTGTTGCTGAGTGCTGCTGAATGGGTGGAAAAGACAATTTCATGAATGGAAACGATCCATCACTATGCGCTGTAGATGAGTTATTAATTTGCAGTATCTCATCATGTTCTTGTCGGCTCTGTTGGCTGTGATATTGATGTGAAGCCATTTGCATTCAATGCTAGCGAAGCTCGATGTGAGCTAATTGAATTTCAAGATGGTGTTTTAAATGCCTCCCACCAATTATCTATTTGAAAGATCTGATTCCCGTTTTCTTTATACATAACAACTCAAGGACGTTTGGATGACGATGGCAGACAAGCGCGGTTGCAGCGTTCAATGACATACACGACTTGTTGGCCCACACCGTCTTAGCTCTTCTGTACTGTTAGTACATCGCTGAGCCGTCTAATAGAGGCTTGCAGACAACCACCATCAACTTCATATCTATATTTATGTCTATACTTCTTGACTGAGAAAACGCTGACTACGTCTCAATATGCATCCAAGAATTATAGGTCGTCATTTATCTTTACAGGGGTTTCGTCATGCTTACAGGTCCCGGACGTCACAACTCACCACGACCTCTCTCATAAGACAACACTGCCTCTCGACATATCACGCCCCTGGCATCTCTCACACAGCTTCAGCATCTCTAGCTAGCTCCAAGATTTCCAATTCTGCACAAATCAATAAGCTCAGGTCCTTCTCGACATCCAAAATGCACAGTAAAAGCAACACCTTCGACCCAAACACCGACATCCCAGACCTCTCAGGCAAGGTCTTCATCGTCACTGGTGGCAGCGCAGGAATAGGTTTCGGCATCTGCGCCCACCTCCTCCAGCACGGCCCAGAGCGCATCTACCTCATCGGCAAAAAGGAACAACATCTAGCCGAAGCTAACGAGGCGCTGAAAAAGTACGGCGATGTGCAGCGCATAAGCCCCATACAAGTCGACCTAGAGGACCTAAAAGCAACAGACCAAGCAGCTAAAAAGCTCGCCGCCGACCTCCCCAGGCTCGATGCCCTGATACTCAACGCAGGGCTCGGCGTAGGCAAGTTCAGCGAGACACAGGCCGACGGGCTGGACAGCCACATGCAGGTGAACGTCTGGTCCCAGTTCCACCTGGCCATGACGCTCCTGCCCACGCTGCGCGCCACGCCCGACAGCCGGCTCGTCCTGCAGTCGTCGGATCTGCACCGCGTGGGCACGGGCGGGGTGGCGTTCCGCGGCCTCGAGGAGATCAACTCCGACGTGGGGCCCAGCGTGCTGTACAACCGGTCCAAACTCGCGCAGGTACTGCTGGTGCGGGCGCTGCACCGGCGCAAGGGCCGCGGGGAGCTGGGCCTCGTGCCGGGGGAGGCGCCGTGGGTCATCGCCACGCATCCTGGCGCGGTGTCGACGGACCAACAGGAGCAGGCTGTCGAGGCGTATGGGACTATGGCCAAGGCTGCTGTGGCGGTCATCCGCCCCTTTATGAAGGATCCTGTAGATGAGGGGTGCCGGCCTATGTTGTTTGCTGCCACAAGCAGCCGGGTTGGAGAGGAGAAGATTGACGGCGCGTATGTTGTCCCTGACTGCAAGGTCACGGATCCGAGCAGCCAGGCTAAGGACGAGGAGCTACAGGAGAGGCTGTGGAATCTGACTGTGGATGTGTTGGAGGGGAAGTTGGGCGATTTGCCATATCTGAAATGAGCAAGCGTCAATGGCTGGAAGAACACGTCTCAATGGAATCACTTGATGGAAGACAGACACAAGGAATCTAGGCCTTGCAATTAAATTTTATAATAGCACTTGAATTAAAGAGCTTCTAGTGAAAGGTCATGCTCTAAACAATCTAAGCAGCATGGCTGCAGAGCAGAAACCTGGGTTGCTAATAATGACTGAAGAAAATTCCCAATGCACGGCACGGCACGGCACCGGTCGTTAAGCTGCGACCAACGCAATCCGGGGAGTCCTGACCTCCGTGCAGCCTTCTCATCCCAAACACCAAACCTCCGCGACATATGGACAGAAAGAGGGTGAAATGGGGGTGAAATGGAAGATGAGTGATGTGGCAGGCGTGAAAGTTACCAGATCAGTCGTGGAGCGGGAAGTTCGGTTGCCGCTGCCCATTGATGGCCGCCCATTGATGGCAATACCTACAAGTACCCCCTCCACTTCAAGATACTCAAGTCCAGCACGCCGCAGTCAGAACACTACTACTGCTGGGGACCGGGACGAGTCATGCTACCATTTCCAGGCATGCCGTACTTGAAGATGTCCCTCTGCGCCTCCTGAAGCGTCGGCGCGGGGCGCTCCCTCTCCTCCTTCTCCTTGGCCTCCCGCAAGATTCGCTCCTTTTCGGCCATGGTCACCTGCTCCGCGTAGTCGGCGTCGGGGATACGATCGTACTCGCCCAACCAGATGTGGTCCTCGACGTGGCGGATGTATCGGACGTTGGTAAGGTCCGTCTCCTCGAACAAGACCAGTTCGCGGCGGTCGGGCCGGGCGACGAATGCCTCGATGGCGTCTGTCAGACCTCGAAGGTGGAGAAGCGGTCTGGAGCGTAGGAGGGAGCCCCTCTTGGCAGGGCGTTGGACGACCCTGATGACCTCTGTGACGGCTTGATCAAACGCCAAGGCGGTGGTATCGGCGGGCAGGGTCTCTCTCGCGTCTGTGAAGGATCCTGTTAGGGGCGACATCACATGGAACTTTTGCCTGGGAACTCTTACCTGGCTCGATCACATATTTGCCCGCGGTGTTGAGGTAAACGGTCGGCGGGCCGGGTTTGGTCTCAGCAAAGTGAGCCGTAGCAAGCTGAGTCGTGGTAAGCTGGGTCTCGGCAGTCTGGATCGCAGCAGTGGGACCACGGGTGTCTTGAACAGCGGGGTTGGCGTTTGCTTGTTGAGGCTGCTGGGCCAGAGGGACAGGCGGAGGCGCAGCCTTTCTCTGCCTCTTCTTAGACGGCTCCGCAGGAGGCGCGTTTGCGGGACGCTTCGCATCGTTGTTCATGGCGGGCGGGTAAGTAGCAGAACTGGGCACGCTACTACTGGGGACCATGAACCGGGGCGTGAGTGTCTGATTGACGGTCGAACGGTTGTTGGGAGGGGTGGGCTGGGATCCAAGCCTCTGGTGGATGCTCTGATAAGGTGCGTATAGACTTGCTTGCAAATCATATGGAGATTGGGGCTGAACGATAGGTCGAGCTTGACCGACAGCACCGTTTGTTCGGTGAATGCTGTTGGTTGAAGGCGTGTACGGAAGCGTAGAGACTGCATTGAATCTCTGTCCAGGCGTTTGTGGAACTGCATTGAATCTCTGTCTAGGCGTTGGTGGAACTTCACCTGCGATTCCGTGGCTGTTGGATCGGACCGACGACATGGGCAAAAGGAAATTGTTCATGATTTGGCTGTACGTGCCATGAACTCCTTGGCCATTTCTATTTACGCCCTGGCTGGGCCTGTGACTGCCTCCTGGCATGTTGCTACTTGGAGCCGTGGGCCGAGGCGGAGCTTGAGGGCCAGTACCAGAAGGGCCGGTATTGTACATGGGGACATTCCCGGGCACCGCGACGTTTGGAATGTACTGGGTACCAGGATTGCTGTTGGTCACATGGCCAGGTGCTTGGTTGCTCGCTGCTGTGTTCATGTTTGGAGGCACCGCCTGGCTTGTAGAGTTGCCATTCAAGCCCTGGTCGCTTGTAGAGGTATTTGCTGGCATTGTGTTGCTCGTTGGTGGCATGTACCGGGGAGCAGGGCCGGCATTGAATAGACCACCCGGGGGTTGACGATTTTCTGACATGGGATGAACAAATGGACTAGGAAATGGGGAACTGAATCACTCTGCCTGTAGCAAGCTGGTATTGACAGCCACGGTCGTAGCAATACGCTTGCCAGTCTGAGTTGTTCATTGATGTTGACGAAAGCGAGAGTTGTACAGAAAGGGCGAAGGAGGACGGCGAAGTGGATTAAGGATTTTAAAGGAAGGTACTGTACGGAACAGAGTGAATGGCGACCATTATGTGGAGTTGACAATTCACATACCACGACGGGCCAATCAGGCCTGCGGCGGTGAATTGCTTGAAATTCACATTGGAGCCATGCCCTGGATGACCTTTCGAGACAGAGCCCTGTGGGTCTAATGAAAAGTTGGCAGAATGAAGAATCTCACATATCAGAGAGATTGTATTTGTGTGCATATGATGATAGATATCTCAGATACAAGCTAGGATATAGTTGATGGACTAATGAGGACTGTCACGGCTAGTTTAATTATAAGGCCTCGCTAAGTGGGTTTCTGAAGCTAGAAAGATCTAGCCAATGTAAAAGGCTCAACCTGGATGCTTTTCAATACATGTATTAGCATGCAGACATATGCATTGGAGCATAAGGTAACAGTTGAAATCCCCCGTCGATGCTAGGCATCAGCTATAAAATAGGTCTGAAGTAGATGTTGTCGCAGGCTCGCAAGCATTCAACTGTCATGTGATTGACTTCGATTTACACTGTTCATTTGTTATATGGCTTCACTACTCCCACGGTTGGTCACATACTCTGTATTTCGCCTGAACTTTGTCAATATGATCAATTATCTAGCAAGTGTTTCGCAGAAGAGCTTGTATTCACAGAAGCTCAACCGGTGTCTGATCTTGGACTTGCTACAGGCTTCATAGCTACCTGTCTTATCGCTGATCATATCGAAGGCCTAAATTCTAAAAGGCTATACGTCATCTAACAAAATCATTGTAGCCAAAGCAATGAAAGAAGACCACATTGACTACCGAAATGGACTAATCACTGCCATCATTGATGATTGAATCTCTCATTTCCCCTGCGCATAAACTCTTTTAGGACATTCCACGTAATTCTTGCCACATTATTGTCGTACTTGTCCCAGCCTAGCGAACAGTACCAGTTGATGCTTCCGACGCTGAAGACGCTGCCGCCGCCACTGGTTTCATAGACGACCATGTCGCTACGCACCTTGTCGCACTTCGTGCCAACCGTGTCTACCATCGGGAACATCACCTCCTCGTTGAAGACGCCAAAGGAGTCATCGTGCCCAGTACTGCTTGCCAAGAGGACCGTGTTGATGGGTGTGCCGAGGCGAAGATCCATCCTGTCAATCTCGTCTCCCGATGCCCCGCCGCCGAAGCCTTTGGTGCCAATGAGAAAACCTTCAACAGACTTTTCATATTCGTCCTTAGTCTCCGGCTTCAAACCATCAAGAAGCCATGACCAGGCTGGGCCTGAAGAGAGGGTGACTTGTTCTAGGATTCGAAAAGCTACGCCGGGCCCGATACCGCAGGCACAACTGCCTACCCCAAACAGCGACTGCGGCGTCCGACCCCTACTTCTCCATAGTCCGCCTTGAGCTCCATTCAATGCGTGAATTCGCTCACCAGCCGGCAGCTCGGTAGAGCGACAACCCTGGTCTCCTTTGCGAACCTCGAGGCGGTGTGGCCGGCGAGAGTCCAGCACCGAACACCAGTAAAATCCGTTTCCACCAAGATACATGAGATGACCGCCGTTCCTCGCGAACGCAGTATAAGCGTTGAGCACCTCCAGAGTCGGATACTCAGGATGGGATCCTGTCACAACGACTCTGTACCTATTGAGAGCGGTAGCGCCGTAGGTATGGAGATCATGGTCCGTGAGGACATCGTATCGACCGCGGCCAAGCTTCTCTTCCAAGAAGCCTATCATCAGCTGGTCGGCACTGAACTCACGGGGACGATGAAATGCCCAGTTGACATAACCTGGGCGGATATTGAGAATGGGCCGCTTTGCAGTGCTGAACACGCAGCCAGATCCGTCGTTGTGGTCATCATAGACGGAGCAACCTAAGTCTGTACGCCGGGCCATGCAGCGCCACAAGGGGTCCTTCTGCACCTGTATCCCACCAGCAATACTAATACGAGATGCTCGGGCTTGGTCGTACATCCGCTCATTTGCGTAGGCGAGATACGTAAAGGTTGACAGCACGATTGCTGCTTTTGGCCCTGAATCGTCCGTAGGGCTGCCGAGACCGGGACGGACAAAAAATATGATGTGGTCCGATATGTGCTCGGAATGGTCGACGGACTCCACGACCACTGCATATGCTCCCGACAATGCGTCCGTTGGGACTTCGAAACTGAAGTCGGTGGCCCATGCAACATCGTCTAAATCGTCGTCATGGAAATGGATCGCGCCGTAGCCGTATCGAGCTTTCGTCCAGTCTGACTCCGAGCCGTCCCAGTCGTACCCCTTGACTGCTCTTGTGGGGGCATTGATTAAGTCACCATGATTGGCATTGCCTGAGGTGTCTATGATTCGGTCGCTAGACATGTCCAGGGCAAAGTCGAACTTGGCCCAAGTCGTGTACGCAAGCCCATCGCGGGTGATGTGTATTTGCGGAGAGTCCAGGCGACCGTTGAAGACATTGGCGGCGTGGGGTGCCGGTGTTTTCGCGTCGAAGAAGTACCCGGCAGCCATCGTCAGGGGCTTATTGCCGTGAAGCTGAACGGGAGATCCCATTCTGTGAGAGTAGTGAGAGGGACTAGGAGCTACCTCTGTGAGTCTTTCCAAATGCCGAATTTCAATACTGAGGTTATCGTTTAAGACAAAGAGATGTAGCTCCGCCCATTTCCAGCGCCGTAAACGGATTTCGGTGTCGACCTGCTCAACTGAGGTTCCATTTCCAACATAAAATCCGAGAGCGCCAGAGGCACCGAGATAGACGGCAATCCCTGAAGAATTATCAACGTCCAAGGTCGATATTAATGTTTGTTGGTGACCCGCCTCCGGTAACCAAGGCTGAATATAGCAGCTGAGCCGCAGACCGATGATGTTCTTACGCAAGTATCTTTCCCAGGACTTGACCACAGCAAACGACCCGCAAATTGCCTTTTTGTAGGACCCTGGGATAGTTTCAGGAGGCGGGCTGATCAATGTCTCATACTTGACGTCTGGAGCGTTGGAATGCTCAAAACCTTGAATAACCCTTGCGAGCGACCATGTAAATTTCGGTGCAGTACTAGAGACCTGCTATCTTCAGTATTCACGTTCTTTACGTCTCACAGAAGCCTAGACGCCAAGCCTCCAGAGCAAGTGACTGACCTTGACTGCGACCATTTCGCCAGGCGAAGCGATCCAAGGATCTGCATAGCCGATGATCTCGCCTTCATCCTTATCCGTGAGGTCCACCTGCGTTAGGTTCTCGATGTCAGACGGTGAAGTCATGGTGGAAATAGAAGAGATTGTTGATCGGTATTCAATTGAAGTTGAGGTAGTCGGGAAGATATCAGGCCTCAAACAACAAACTCAGTAGCCACATTGGTTGGGCAACAGTGGGATTTTGTTCTTCGACGTGATTGAGTCGCCTAATTTGATCATAAATGAATAAAAAATGCCGGTCTTGGTCACAACAGAGGCTGGGGAAGTGCCGTCTTACGTTCTGGCCGGAAGTGGAGAGTACGTGCTCCGATTGTGGCGATGGAACTCTGAGCTTACGGTCACGACATTAACTCGGAGAAGTTTGCGATACCGAGTGAAGACGTCCTTGGCATGTCTGGGATATCTAAGGAGGAAGTAACTCAATGACCTATAGTGGTGATACGTATCATCTCGCTTACATGTCGAAATCCTAGTGGCCCTCATTCTTTCCCCGCCTGTAAGTGTACAACCGGATGCAGTAGAAGAGCAAAGCGGTCTCATCTGTCATCAACTGGTATAATTACAACTTTGCGTGTTCTCCAGCGGAAGAAAAGCAAAAACAAAATGAAGACTGGGCTCAAGCCTCCTCTTAGCTTGAAGAAATGGACGAAGTTGGATAGAGAAAGGAGTCTAGCGAAAGACACGCTAGGTCATGTAATTATCGGACAGAAGGCCCCTAGGGGTATACGAGTATAATGGAAGTAGCAATGTACGTAAAGAAAGACAGACATGCTTGTGCCTTTCTCCAGAGGTGATGTATGAATGTTATTGTTTCTAGTTCAAGGGAACTGCAAGGTTTAGCGTTTTGTCGGAACAGCAGATCGTTCTTGGAAAGATTTCCGCATATTACCACGACAGACGAACACTGGCATCGAGGAGGACTTATCCGACTTGCGTGTCTGAGGACGACTGGTCGTGGGCGTAATTTTATCTTACAGACACCAGGCCCCAGTCTGCACCACCACCGACACTCATGTCTCGGTCCATTCATCGTGAGTGTTGCTGTACAGCTGCCTGGGGATTGTGGCAGGACTGGTGATATCTAAGACGGGGCTGGCATATTCAGCAACAGAGCGTGCGACATCCGCGCCGCTGCTATCTGTGCCATCTTCTCCCTCCTCTGGAGCCCTTGTCACGATGGGAAAAGTAGAGCCAATCGCCACGGTACCGGTATTGAGTTGGCCTGTCAGCCAAGCAGTTGGCGCGACCTGAGCTAGCTTTCATCGTCAAAGTAAAAGTTTACTACCCATCTTTGGTCCGCGTTCGCGACTTTGAACGCGTTCAATGCATCCATGAATTTGCTTTGCGCCTCTTGAGCATTCGAAAGGCCTTTTTTTTTTCTTGGGCCGTGCCCACATTCTGTTCCAACGCAGCGATGTTCTTTTCGTCGATTTGGGTACTGCATCAGGGTCAGGCTTATGTTCCTAACCCTGATTGGCGCGTGATGCGTCTCGGAAAGTCGGGCGTAGTGGCCGTCAGGTGATTCGGAGTTCATTGCCTGTGGACATCTTGAATTGGTGACTTACTGTCTGTAAAATTTCGCAAGCCACCTGTATCCTGGTGAGCCTGGCATTTTCGGCGTGCAACTGCTCGATCGTATAGCTAGGGACAGGTTTTGTGGCCATTTTACACATCGGTGCCCCACTCCAGGCATCCACCCCCCCCTGCCCACTTCAAATCATTATATACATGCCAACATTGATAAACAGTTTCTCTCACTTACACACGCATTGCATTCCGCAATCTGCCCCAATAAGCCTAAGTTTTTACGGCTTGCAACTTTAACTCGATTATGGATGAGTACGTCAAAGAGGCTTTGGAGGCCTATCAACCAGATGACCCTACCGGACCTGCAATAATACAGCAGGCCATAGCTAACACATGGATGGGCACATTCATCTACAAATTCTTCATCGAGGATGCCGATTTGCGCCAGAGTGTTATCGACTTTGTTATCAAGCACCGGCCGGGAACGAATCCCAGATTTGGCGATCCCTACAGACATGGCTCTTACAACTTTATCATCGAGATAATCCTCGACGACGGGATCGTACTCTTCAGGTTCCCGGTTCCAGGGCTTGCTGTGTACCCAGATGACAAGGTCAAGGCTGAAGTCGCAACTATTCGCTACGTCGCCGACAACACTACCATCCCGGTACCACATATCTACCACTGGGGCACAGCAGGGGAAAATCCCACCGGCCTCAATGTGCCCTTTATAATCATGGATCACATCCCTCATGCCACCACCGTGGGCCAGGCACTTGAAGACCCCGAGTTCCAAATTCCCTCCATACCTGAGTCAGAGAAACGGGAATATCTCTACCAGCAAATGGCCGAGATATCATTGCAGCTCTACAGTCTCACCTCAGACAGAATCGGCTCGCTCGGTGTTCTCGGCAATGGCGAGTACGGAGTCACTTCGGCACCACTTTCGCAACACATCGCCTACCAGGTCATCAACTGTGATGTTCCTGTCGCTGTGCTCCCCCCTCGTGACAGGACTTATTCCTCATCAGCGGATTATCTTGCGGACGCAGCGGATATAGATATTTCAGGGTTTTTGTTCATGAACGAAAAGTTTTTCAAATCCGCTACAGACTGCAGAGACAAATTCGTTGCTAGATACCTTGTGCGGGATATTGTGCGGCGACGGCACCACAGCACGGGGGAATTTGATCACTCCAGGCCTCATGCAGAAGTGCAGACAGGATCGCCCCGTGAGACTTTCAGATTGTGGGGGGACGACTTCCGCCCAGAGAATGTCTTACTCGACGAAAAGGGAGCGGTAGTAGGAGTAGTCGACTGGGAATACACGTATTTTGCTCCCGAGACGTATCACCTGAACCCTCCTTGGTGGTTACTGCTCGAACTTGTGGACGAGTACATGGACAAAGATGCAGATTCAGGCACTTCTTCAGATCAAGAGGCCTTGCCACACGACGCTGAAAATGCGGAAGATGGGCAGGGCGCAGGAAAGTTCAGGGAGCAATGGGACGAATTGGTAAGAACTTACTTGCGCGCTTTGGATAAAGCGGAGAGGAAGCTGCAAAGCAATCAACAGGTTCGATTCCAGAGCATTCATCTCTGCTCAAGTTCCAGCAAAGACCAAGCTGTCGCTGCCCCCGTTGCACAGCAGCCTCCCCTTTCCCAGCTCATGAGACATCGCTGGGAAGAGGAAATGAAGGAATATGCCCTTACCACTGGTTTAACTCAAACCCATCTCTTAGATAATTATTTTTGGGACTATATTGACGAGTCGTATTGGGGAGAGAATACTTTGGGGGGCCATGAGGGAAGGCTCGAGTTGCTTACTGATCCCTGTAGGATGCTAATGGACTGGTTTGTCCATCGAAGAGTGGAGGAGAAAAATACATGGGAGCCAAAGGCCCTGCTGATTCAGGTTCTGGAGCAAATGGATAGTAAATCTTCAGTACTAGTAGTACCACACAACTCGAGACAAGAATAGATGCTTTTGCATTCATCGGATCTCCTTTTTTACTTCCTACTAGATTTCAAGGTAGCTTGGAAGCATTACAGTACAATTAAAGCCTGATTCGCTATTTCCAATGAATCACGTACATCTCACTTCTCCATGCCCGGTGTACATGCGGCTCTGAATCAAATGCACAAGTTGGGTAGCCTCCGGGAAGCGCTTCCACTGCAGTAATATCGCTTCTTGTGCCAACAATCATACAGAAAACACTTAAAGATACGGGAATAATCCTTTTCGATCATACATGGGGATGGTGAAAGTGGCGTCAAATAAAGTGACACTTCGTTCCAGCATTCAGCTCGGCTGATTACTCTGATTCCAGGGATTGGCTGCTGAGAACGGCGACACCGACGCTGGCTTAGTTCTCGTGCAATACTCTTTGAACCTATTCATGGCCACCTCCACCAGAACTTGGCGTTCCCCGTCAGTTCAATAGTATGTGCGCGTTGAAAACACCGAAACATTGCGGAACGGGATGGTGTACCAGAGGATGAGAAACTGTAACTCGGCATAGTCACAAGTGCAAGCCGTATCTAAGTCAGCGTTGCAATTTTGGAATCAGCTATATCCAGTCAGCCAGTTGACCCGAGGATTACTAAGTGCACCGAATCTGGACCAATTATCTGAGCTTGGCCTCCTGCTATGTCATTTTGTGGCTGCATTCGTGTCACCATTCACCGCCAAAAAAATTATAAAAAAGAATTGCCAGATGAAATGAAGTGAACATGTCTAACACATATAATCTCGTGAGTTGGGACTGTCTGTATTGACTCTTGGTTTCTTTTCAAGACTCATGAACTTGTCTTCGTCATTTTTAGTGTCTGTGTCAAACCCGACTCGCACTTGTACAGTAACGTACGCTTCTCGTTCTCACGCTTGTTCAGAGCCATGTCTGTTCCAAATAACACATGCCTGCATGTGTTACCGCAACAGGACTTGCCTTTTAAAGAAAAAGACTTGTTCACCAAGAAGAGTTACAAGACCTACGACTCTCAGGGGCTTCCAACACGCCATTCCCTCACTGCGGCCACTTGCCCACTTTGCTTTGGCTACGGCTTCCGAAACGGGGCCCTAGTATATCGGAAAGACCCGCGAGTTCCATCAGAGGACCCGCCAACTAAATATGTCAATTCCAGTCAGTTCCAGAAGGGCGAAGAGGAAGGAAGGAAGCAGAATCTGCCGATGTACCCTCCAGAAGGCTCGGGTGTAAATCCTGCTCACATCGTGTTTCCCATCGTCAGAGGAGAGAACGGCGAGCAATACCACGCAATCATCTGCTCATTCTTGAGCGAATTCACTCCAAGTTGCATCACGATTTGCGCCCCCGAGAAAAAGGGAGGCCCAACTCAGGCCCAGGTCGACCTCCTCTACTACTACATACCTTCAGAATCAATCAAGCGCGATGGAGAGAAGAATGCAACCAGCAAAGAAGAAGCGACCAAGTATATCGCCAATGTGTTCAAGACTCGATCGGACCCGGCTGCACAGGCGGAGTTCTACGAAAGCATCCGTTGCTTTCTGAACGATGAAACTCCTGTGGCTAGGCTGACACCGCATCGCTACATGTCCCCGTCCTACACGGCAAAATACTGGATAAATCGCTTTTTAGTCTTGACCAAGCAAAAAAAACTACCCAAGCCGATCAAAGGGGAGGTCAAAGTCGCCATCATCATGCTGCGAACAGAGCCTAAAGCAAACGATCCTCGTCGGATGACAGATGAACATCTAAAGGCCTGTATCAACGCCATCCGGGCTGCAAATCAGGTCGCAGCCGACAATGGAGGTGGTAAACCCATCTCACATGTGCTCTTATACGGCGACAAGACAACTGTTCAAATGCGAACATTCATCAAGAACACTGAAGACGTGTGGAAAAAAGAGCGAAAAGTTGGACCAAAGCTTCTCTACTTGACGTCTCCCTTCAAGACAGATAACCAAGAGAAACCGGAAGTTAACCAGTTCTGGGCCAACTATCGAGCGTTGGGCGGCTCTTTCTTCCACAACGTACCCGAGGCCATTCCAGTTGAGACAAAGACGCTGGCAATCTTCCTCGCCTTGCAGAAGAGATACCAGAACAGAATTTGCACCATCGGCTTCCGCTCCGGCACTCTTGATGGGGCCGGTTTTCTCGGCATTCCGATATTTTATCTCGACAACACGAAAACGGAAAACGTTTGGGACGACAGGTTTGCGGATATGCAGTACATTTGGGATGGCGATAGTGAAGGTGCCAAAATCAAAGAGAGGATGGCGTATGCTAGCCAGACCATGAACACATTCGTCAGGGTGAACATTCAGGACGAGTATGACGGAACCGGCCCGGATAAGGTCTTAAAAAGAAAGGACGAAGAGCTGAAGCATTTGGGTGCAGCGCTGTATACGTATATGTATGAAGACAATGAAGGCGATGAAGGTGATGGACTGCTGTGGCTGAGGAGAGTGTCGTTGATGAATGGGGATGAGAAAGGGAGATTGCAATCCAGGTGTAATACCTTTGTCGAAGGATTGGAGAAGATAAGATTCCGGGAGTCGATGCGTTGCGTTCCGTATCAGGGTACAAGACTCGTGGAGGTGCAGACGACAGGCTGGGCGAGCGCACATAAAAGCTCTTGGTCGATGCAGAACTCGATCAGCATGGAAAAGGAACGCTGGGTGCAGGCAGCATCACATGCCGTCAACACACCCACATTGGACCTGATGTCATTCACATCGTACTGCTTATTTCTTCTTCTCTTTCTTTTCTTCTGTATTCTACTCTTTTCATAGTCGAGTTACGGCAGGCTTGAATGGTCTAACACCAACTACCTATACAAGTATTCCTTGATCCAATACGGCCCCAAGCCTGGACCAAGTAGAAGCACGATGTGCTTGTGAAAGCGTAGGTAGCCCGACTTGAGCGCCACTGTAAGACGAATAGCTGTTTCTGAGATATTTAGAAGACCCTCCTCCGCTAGGTCAGACTCTGACATGAGCTCTTTTCTGCATTCTTCAAACCTTGCAGTGCGTCGTAATACTTTCATAGGAGGTGTTCTATGGGTATTATACTTATTCGATGCAAGGTAATGTCTCCACCGCGACCTGCATCTGATGTTCCTTCACGGCAGCACAGAGGCCGGAAGTGCCGCCGCGAGCTTCGCATCGTCTACCAGTCTGATCGACTAATCACCACACGCTTTACCCGGCGCGTTTGCTCCAGCCTCGAATGTGCTCTCCATACTACTTGACTGTTAGCTCAGAGCCAGCAGTCATCGCATTCAATGTTGGATGTCTGCTTACGTAATATATTGCGAAGGGCACAGGTATGAACAGCACGGCAATACCACCGAGTAACGAGTTGCCCGGGCCGATACCCAGTTGGTAGAACAGTTTTCGCGCCTGATTGGAACAGAAAATTAGTTGAGAGAGGCCAGGAAGCACATCATCAGGCTGTTAAAACTCACAAAGAGTGGGAAGGCACCGCCCAGCGAGGCACGGAACAGAGCGGCGCCAGCGAACACTGAGGCAGCATAAGGTGCGTAGACAATGCCAATGTAGGTGTAGACGGCATTGAAAAGTGTGACGACACCGATGGCGAAGGAGCCAGCGCCGATGGTTGGGACAATCCAATGGACGCTCTCGCGTGCTGACCATCCGAACCAGAACAGACACATGGGTAGTGCAAAGCACCCGAAGAATGCGGGCGGGAGGACCATCTCAGGGCGGAATTTGCCTGACTTCATTGCGGGGACGAGGCTCCGTTTTAGCCAGAAGATAAACGCAGACATAGTGATGGCAGTGAACACAAGGATACTAAGAAACACGAGGCCCTGCGAGCCCACGTCGAAACCGTATATGCCGCCAAATACGATAGGGAATGATTCGAACCATATAAACAATACACCATAAAGGAGGCCCGCGTAGAGGTCGACAAGCAGGATGATTGGCTCGAAGAAAGTGAGTGCGAAAGCCCTTCCGAGGAGAAGGAGGTTATCCTTGACAGTGTAATGTGTTGTGTCGATTTCGGTCTGGCTTTTGAGACGGTCATTTCCTGTTGCAGCCCTAAGCCTCTTGGCTCGGTTGTAGAGAATGTTGGAAGCGCTGGTCTCGGGGAGGAAGAAGAACATTGTGATGAGCACCGCAACGCATAGGAATGTGAAAACCCAGATGGTCCAGCGCCAACCCATTGCAGGCGCAAGATACCCGCCAATGACGGGCCCAAAGACAGGGCCAAGAATACCCGACGACGACCAAATGACCAGAAAGTAGGGAACTTGAGTTGGCGGGTATATGTCGTTAATAGTACCGCCGCCGGTGGACAGACAAGGGCTACCGCAGAAGCCTGTCACGAACCTGAAGATCAGGAAGACGGCGACGTTTGGGGCGAAACCGACAGGGAGTTGAAATACGATGAAGGCAAAAAGTGTCCAGAAGAAGACGTGAGTACGTCCCAAGCTGGGCATCTCAGACAAGGGTGACCACAGCATAGGCCCAATACCGTAACCACTGCAAAATTCACACACATCAGCCTGACAACAGACCAGAGCGGACAGTTTGAGATGCATCTCTTACAAGGTGAAAAGTGATAGTCCAAGCGTTGCAACGACCTCGTTGACACCGAATTCGTCCATGAGATTCGCCTCGCCGGGTACGTAGATCGAACTTGCGATGTACACGGCAAAGTTGAGAACACACATTTGGAGAGTTATGAGGTGTTTCAAGTTGCTGGGCCAGTTCTGAGGGTTCTTTGCGAGATCCCAGCGTGTCAGCAACGGGCAAAAAATTGCATGTCATGTTTGACGCAGTGGAGTCACTCGCCTCTGGATCACCCGGGCCGTACCAGCCCACCAGGAGGACATCAGGAGGACCGTTTCTCGGTGGCATTGATTGTTCATTTTTCTCAACATCCCTAGTCAGAACGTTGCCCTCCTGCATTTCCCTTTCCGACCCGTCTATGTGGCCATCGGTGCGCTCTAGCTCTTGTGAGTGCTGCGACTGCTGCGGCTCTTGAGATGGAGCTGGCTGGACTACGATTTTCGACAAAGACGGATCGATCTCGTCGGGGTACTTGAACTTGCCATTTCGCGACACCCACCGTACAATTTGGCCGAAGATGGTGCTCTGCATGTGAAGCTCCATGATGGGCGATGTCTCGATCAGCCTAGTAGGATCGAGACAGAAGATAGGTTGTCGAGCTGGGAATTGGTCGTGAATTAGACATCTTGTGAAATTCTCTTATACACATATCGTTGGTGGGTCCTCATGGTCATCCATGTGGGATAGGTATGATGTGGTAGCAGTGAAGAAAGAAATGTGAACAATAATCACGGGATTAAGCTCTTATTGCCAGTTGGGGCCGCAAAGTCCGATATTGGCGGAATTTACTGTTGGTGAGATTTGAAATACATATTCGTTCCGGGAACAACATGGAAATTAAGGCTGCTTACTAAATACATTGGGATGATGTCGCCTACCCGCGTTCGACTGGCGGACACTTTCGTATTACTCGATTGGAGAAGCATCGTTACTGAACGTCCAGCACAGGCTAGGCGATAGTGAATGGTTCAATGATCGTTGCGCTGAGGCTACATTGAGACTCAGGCGATGCAGGGCTTTGATTATTTGGTACTCTGAAAAACCGCACAATGGTATATAACGAGGCGCCGAGCTTTAACTGGAGCATGAATGCGCCCCACACTGTTTACCTTAGATTCTAGAAATAGCCCCACCATCCTTGCTTTACATAAAAATATATAAATCTTATACATGTGTAATTCAAAGTTATTTTTTATTGTTGGTTCCGGGGAATAGTGTTCGTATATAGTGCTGCTCTAACCTTTATGATCCCCGAACATTGTACACCTTACCTATACTCAGTAATGTTCAGTATATAAATTACATCAAACCTTCCTTTAAAACGAGACACACTGATAACAGCTCGGTCATATTCAACACAAAGTAGCTTCATACAACTGTCACTGGATTGGTCATGAAGGTGATGTTATAGGCAATCTAGTGTGATGAATCAGATATTGTCTATCAAGGCAATAGCTAGATAGACTAGGATACCAAACCATTTATGTTATAAAATGAGCGTCAGTAGAGGTAAACGCAGACTAAAACAGAGCTCATTTCATGGGAATCCGAGCAGCTTGCGATGATCTTCTCGGCGACTGACCAGCTCATCCTCCATGATGTTTTTGGTTTACATCTTGTTGCTGCCACTGGAAGGTGGGCGGGACCAAGGCGTCGACCCGGCCTTGACATAACTGGCCCTCTTCAGAGCCGGGATGACGTAATTGTTGGTCCACTCCGTGCACTTCCAGAGAGACTTGCGAGCCTCTCCAGGCTGGTGCAAAATGAGAGGTCTCTTGGTCCTGAATGGCTACATCTTTATAGTATTGGGGTTGAACGCCTTCTGCGCCGGTGGCGTCGGCACAGCCTTCAAGAAGGTCTTCCGTTCCTCGGTGGATTTCTCAGTCTAGCCGGCACAAAGGCTCTAATTTTGTGACGGAATTTCGCCGTTGCTGCTCATATTTTCTGCGCCTCATGGGCTTTAGGAGGGAGCGGCCGACCAGTATGCGGGTCTTCACCCAGCCTCGCCCAAGTTAACTGTCTCCACCGGGCCGCTCACCTAGCTATTTAGGCCGCAGCCCCCACCTCCTTTAGATCTTGTGTGTCTGCTTTTCAAGCACTTCACCTCACTACGGCAAGTAATCAAAATCGAGCGGCCGCAAATGATCGTTCCTCACTGACGAGACACTGCAAGCCACTTATCTTATGATGCTTCCCTACTTTGCGGAATCGGGCTCGCTGCCCGCACCACTGCCCACCGAAGATGAGCTTGAGTCTGCTGAGTCACTGCCTTCGATTTACCCACCAGACCTTCGACGCAACGTTATCGTCAGAGGCCGATATGTCGTCAAGTACGGCAGCGGTGTAAAAGAAAATGAGGGACGGGCTCTTTTGGCTCTGGAGAAGTACCCATCCATACCGTCCCTAAAGCTCTACGCCATGTACCGTCAAGATGACAAGCTCTACATCGTGATGGAGTTCAAAAGGGGAATCCAGCTTGATGAAGTGTGGAGTAGCATCCCAGAGCCCGTAAAGTCGGATGTGATCACACAACTACGCATGATCATGGATAGTATGCGCAAAATTCCCTCTGCCGGCATTTTTGGAAGCGTCTCGCACGTACATGTACCGCACAGATTCTTCTGGACGCCTGTCCCGTACCCCCAGATCAACGGCCCCTTTGAGCATGAGCAGGACTTTAGCATGGCCATGGCCGAGCGCTCCCAGTGTGCCTGGGATGAAGAGATAAGCAGGACCAACAGGAGTTGGGTTTCAGGCTGGCTCGCTCGCAATCTCCCCACCGTTCTCAGGGGTCACCCTTCAGTCTTCACTCACGGCGACTTCCAGCGAAAGAACATACTGGTCGAAAAGGTGGCCGTCAAGGATGGGATTGAAAGTTCGCAATGGAGGGTGACTGCGCTTCTTGACTGGGAGGATGCAGGCTGGTACCCATCTTACTGGGAGTACGCATCTTGCTTCGTGGATTTCGGTATGGAGGAGGAATGGCCGGAGTATCTGGAGGGCATACTCGAGCCTTTTCCTCTTGAGTCGGGCTTGCTGAAAGTTGTGCGTCAAGACATAGACTATTGATTCGAATTAGAAGGATATACGAAAGCTGCCGATTGAATCATCTCGTGCAGCATTTAGCATAGTGTTCCCACGGACTGAGACGCGTCGAAAGCTCTCAGCCGCTCCTACATGGTCTATCTATGTACACTCTTCTCATGAGAGGAAGCAGACTTTCTCACTCTTAGTAGCAAGGTTTGGTAAGTAGAGGTGACCCAGGATAGTACCATATTTAGCATTCCTAGCATACCTGCTGATGTCCGTCGTCTTCTTTGGCATCTTCAATCCATTTTCGAACCGAAACAACCTGAGATCATGGAATGGGCCGACTCGGGGAGAACCTCTCGAGGAGGCCTATGTGGTAGTCCTAACTAGCGGAAAGGCGGATCCAGGCTTCTGAGAGAACATCTACAGAAAACGAGATCGAGGTCTGGCAAGAGAACGTGATGAAAAAAGGGAACCCGACGGTGCTGAACCCCTCGACGATCTTCGCTTCCACGATGTGCCCGGTGGCTTTAAGCTCATTCGGTATTAAGTTAAATCTACAGAGTTCTCATTTTATACAAATACAATTAGCATCTTACCATCTCTAATGGCAGATTGATTGATCAAAAAGTTGGTGGTTTCTATCAACATGTCAATCAAATATTGTGATTGCAGTTCCTGATTCGAAGTTGGCATTGGCCCGAACGACTATGCTTGCGGTCATGGATGCGTGGTAAGACATCTGTACTCTGCTTACGCGGGGGACCAACTGGGCCATGACAACCGAAGCATTCCAATCGTGTTTCTCTTCGAATTTCGGTGCTTCTGTAACACTATCACATCGCTCTCCTCCAATCGACACATTCTTCTGGACTAAGTGGGCAAATGCAGGTGTAAGACCTAGCATGATTCGTTTCCAAGCTGTCTTGTCAGTCAACCCCCAGACCAAGGCTAGAACCAAGTTTCTGTGATGCCGGCAGATCTTGGCTTACATCTTCTAGCGGCATCACTTGGTATCTGACGAAGAGTTTGGTTTTTTCAACCTTAGCTATACAAGTAACGTATCAGGCAGAACGGGACATAATTATCCTCTATATAGTGACATGTGCAGCCGCTAAAGCGACAATTTTATCCCACAAGGTGAAACGGCAGTAGGGGGAAAGTCTCAAATGTTAATACAAATTCGGAGGCAGAAGTCTCAAGAACGGTTCGGTGAAATGGGTTCCCTGAGATGCGAGGTCGCATGGAGATGATGCGTCAGATGATGTGAGCACTAGGTTGTTTCAATTTATATAGTCACGGCATGAATATATTGTGCCGGAAGTCCGCTCACCATATCACCCATGGGTCCTAGAGCTCTGCATTCCTGAAATCCGGACTCGCATTGCATTTCCTGTCATTGTCCAGCGATCAACGCCAAAATGTATCAAGAATTCGTGCATTTCACTGCACTTGCTAGTGCAGTATTGCTAGCATACCACGTTTTTAAGGCCTTGTACAACTTATCCCCGCTTCACCCTCTGTACAAGATACCTGGGCCTAGACTGGCGGCAGCGTCCTATTTGAATGAGTTCTTTTATGACATTGTCATGGGTGGGAGGTATACTCACGCGATCAAGAAGATGCATGAACAATTCGGTGAAAGATTTTTTTTTTCTTTTTTTCCTTAAAAAAAAAGCTTCTTTCCGCGCAGTCTAAGAATCCGCGGCTGACATTGCGTATCCACAAGGGCCTATTGTCCGAATCAATCCTTGGGAGGTCCACTGTAATGATGTCGATTTCGCCGATGAAATATTCGCACTCGGAGGCCGGAAACGAAACAAGCCCATGCATCATATTTGGGCCGTAGGGTACATCATTAACCCTCAACCGCCGCACATAGCTGCTGACATCTTCGCGGCAGCATAGGGCCGACCAATACGTTCGGGGCAACCGGCCATGACCTTCACCGGTAAAATACATTGTTGCGTTCTCTAAATGTAGTCTCTTCTCATGTCGTTATAGATCACGACGAGCGCCATTAGCGAAAATGTTTTCGCGCGGAACGATCGCCTGGCTCGAAGATGAGATACAGAGCTACGCCAGTAGACTGTGTGACAAGATCCTCGAAGAATCTGGAAAGGGACCGTTTGACATTACAGTGGCGTATAGCTGCTTTGCATCCGATGTAATCTTCCGGTATTGTTTCGGGGAAAGCAACGGTTTCCTCGACCAAAGTGGATGGGTGCCAAACTTTCGCGAACCAAGCTTGGCCATGATCAGGCTTACGCTTCTGTACAAGTTCTTTCCATCACTTGTGACACTGCAGAACACTGCTGTGTGGTATGTAAGCCTTAGAATGCTCATCAGTATGAATGGACAACAAAACACTGAAACATGCCAGGTTCTTGAACTATCTTCCGTCGGACATCGCATTCATCGTGCGTTCATTGAAGATCACCATACCAGAACTTGCTTTTGAGACTAAGAAGAGGCTGGATGCGGGGATCCACTCCGACCGACCTACTATCTTTGAGACACTTCTTAATTCGGATTTGCAAGAAGAGGAGAAAAGACCAGAGAGGCTTGCGGATGAGGCCGTCCAGATCGTAGCCGCCGGCACTGAGACAACGAGCTGGACTCTCACTGTGATCACATACTACTTGCTTGACAAGCCTGAATTGTTACAAAGACTGAGAAAGGAGCTCATTGGATGTGTCGAGGATGCCGGGAGACACCCTCATTGGACAACGCTCGAAAAGCTTCCATACATGAGCGCTGTGATCCGAGAGGGCCTGAGGCTCTCATATGGCGTTTCTGGGCCTGTAGCCTTGGAGGCACCCAACGAGGACCTGGTATACCACGGAACATTCAACAAAAACCCAGTACGGATCGTTCTTCCCAGAGGATGTGCGATGGCCATGTCTCCCTATATCATGCACCACGATGAAAGTGTCTTTCCGGACTCATACTCTTTCATTCCGGAGCGTTGGCTGGATAAGCAGCACCAGGGAAGAAGAGGTCTTGAGAGGGGATTCATGGCCTTTTCAAAAGGCCCGAGGACTTGTCTGGGAATGAAGTGAGTGCCACTCTAAATACTGTTGTGCGCGTTAAAGCTTAACAACGTCTTTCAATTGATGACAGTATTGCCCTGTGCGAAATCTATCTGGCTCTTGCGGCCCTAGCTTTGCGGGTTCTTCCACGCATGGCGCTCTTCGAAACAACTGAAAGAGATGTCGCATATGATCACGATAGTAAGCAGCCAACGTTTGAAAAAGTTTTCTCATTCAGTAAAAAGACTGGAAAGACTTATCAAAATATTGTAGTGCTCGTGGCAAGACCGGTTGCCGAAAGTAAAGGCGTGCGCGTCAGGGTGGGCTAGACTAAGTCTTCGCACACGGACATAGGCTTAAATATCATCGATCACCTCGGTACAGTAACCGTTTAAAGTTCTCCGATAAACTCTAGAAACTACTCTTGCTTCTCGAATTTATGTGCCCCGATTTATCTAAGAGAATACGCCAGCTTGCATGAACATATCAAGGTCCGCATCGCTTAGAGAATCATCAGAGCGCTCTTGTGGAGTCGAGAGACGCGGCCGCTTCCCTGAAGGCTCTGCTACCTCGTGCTCGGGTAGCTCGTTCCAAATCGTGCTTTTGCCCTTTGATGGCCCTGCCAACTCCGGCGCGTAACGGATTGTGAATATTATTTTATGCACATAGAGCGAGTTGCTGTAATGAGTATGTCGTCATTGTGATGGAGGAGCTATGAGTTTGACCGCGAATGACGACATCATTCTGGATTCATGTAGGTGATATGAAAGAAGCTCTCCAAAGTATGAAACCTTGTAAAAATCACTTTCTCTGCTAGAAAATAGTCCTCAAACGTTGAATCAGAAGCATCAGCGACCGAATTTTAGCTTATTCCTTGACGAAGCATCCACCGGATTGATTTAGCGGCTCGAATATCAAGATGGCGGCAGAGCGAGGAGAATTCAAGCCTGTCCCCGAGAAGCAAGCGCAGAGTCTTCCTGGGTAGGATCTCGTCCCAAGAAAAACCTCTCCCATCTGGGAAGATTTGACTGAGGGTCAGCCAAGAGCTGATCTGTTCACAGTCTCGAAAAGGACTTGAAGCCAACTAGCGAGGCAACAAAATTGGAAGGTAAAGGTGGCTTCACTGAATATCTTGCAGCAGGCAAGTTGAAGGGCAACAAAGCCTTGATTACTGGGGGAGAGTGAGTTCTGACCTATCGTGTGTTTACCAACTTGGTCCTGCGCTCTCCGAACTAGCCATACGACGATTGACCTTGAAATCGCAGTTCCGGAATTGGCCGCGCGGTGGCCGTCCTGTTCGCCCGCGAAGGCTCCGATGTCAGCATCGTCTATCTTCCAGAGGAGCAAGAGGACGCCGAGGAAACCAAGCAACTCGTTGAGAAGGAAGGGCACCAGTGCCTCCTGATCCCAGGAAACCTAATGAACAACCAAGATTGCAAAATGGCTGTCGAGAAGCATGTCGAGAATTTTGGTAAGATCCATGTTCTCGTCAATAATGCCTCAAAACAGATCATGTGCGACAACTTCGCCGAGATTGATCTCGACAATGTGGAGAGCACATTCCGCAGCAATATCCTTCAGATGTTTGCTGTGACGAAATACGCTCTCCCGCACATGGAGAAAGGTGCCTCGTAAGTCGATACCTCAGCTGTCCACAATATATCTGAACACCAAGCACAGCCCTGGGATCCAGTGGTTTGAAATAATTCATTACCAGTCGACACCCTTTTTTCTTTTACATCCGTTCGGTCTCAAATTCCAGTTTAACTTGTTGCATGCTGAATATATCCGATCTACCCCAGAATTATCAACACCACTTCCACACAGGCCTTCAAAGGCAGCCCCACAACCGTGGACTATTCATCCACAAAAGGCGCCATAGTCTCATTTACGCGGTCTCTGGGGAAGCAGCTTATGCCCAAGGGCATCAGAGTCAATGCGGTGGCTCCAGGTCCTGTTCACACACCGATCCAAGCTGCATCACGGCCGGCAGAGCAGTTGGAGGGCTTCGGCAAAGAAGAGTCTGGGATTGGTAGACCCGGTCAGCCAAGCGAGGTTGCACCTAGCTTTATTTTCTTGGCCAGTAAGGATTCCGAGCTGTATTACGGGCAAGTCCTCAACGCATACCCCTTGGGAGACTGAGGCAAAAGCCGGCGTGCTTGTTGGGGGTCTTTGTCTTCTTATGCTACGCCTGGATTATATGGAGGTTTATGCCGCCGGAAAAGGTAACTTGTCTCCTTGTAATGGCACGAGATCTCCCTTCACTGTAGCAGAGTATTTCGACAGGTTATTTAGAAAGATATTTGGCCATACGCCCATTGAATGCCGTACTATTGGCGCGCCACTCCAGATCTCTGCCCTGTTTGTACTCATATGAGAGAAGAAACCCTGTCTCGCATTGTTGCTGCTTTGACTCTTTGGAATCTTTTGATCCCTTCATAGCCAAATCCACATTGCCACACATAGGCTGTGATGGGATGTATGGAAGTATGCATATCACGGCGTCTTATTCGAAGGTCGAGATAGACATAGTAATTACTTAGGACAACCTCTTATGGGAGAAGTTCTAATAGTGTAACTCCTGATAATTCTACTGCTAAACCTCTTACGGGCATTTTCTGGCAGAAGACAGCTCCTATGATCTGACCTCTTACCTCCTATAAGATAATCTTCTACCCCCTTTGAGATGGTCTGTTGGAAGATCACCCCCTATCTCCTGTGCCTGCTATGGGAAGACCTTCTGTTAGATAGTATACGCACATAGCCGTGTAGCAAAGCATTCTTTCCAGATCTATTCTTACTCTTTATCGACTTCGACCAAGTATAACTGTGACCCAGCTGAGGAAATCTAGAATTACGGTCCTCGGGACCATGCAACAAATGTGGAGACCATAAGCAGCTCATTCGTTTATCGCGGCTCATACAGTAGTCCGACAAAAGTTGAGCATCTGACGATAATCAGGCCCAGGTGGCAAGAATTGTATCTTCCTCTTTCAATCCTGTGTAGTTCACAGTATCACACCACAGGATGTGACGCTTCCTAGGATCCTGTGCCTCAGCCGCCATTTCTCTCCGTTCTTGTCCGTCCAGATACAGACCCTTCGGCTGCTCACCCAGGGTAGGGTTGGAGTCGAAGGCAGCTGCGACAAGATCGCCGGAGGATTTTCTCGTTGTCCTGTTCGAGCCGTTGGGCCACAGCCATGTGAGGATGACGACCAGCCAAGGCATAATAAAAGTCCACAGACCGCGGATGCTCCAGTTTCCACGCCGGACGAGGTGCGTGGGCGTGGAACCAGGATCGACGGCGAGTACTGATATATTCTTGAGGACTGGGTCCATATCAATACGGCGCTGGAGCTCAGGCCTGCTGCGTATGTCAGATCTGCTTTACAAGTAAGCGATATTTTAAGGGGCATTTGAGTTAAACGCACACCATCATAACTTGACACAATTTAGCAGCACCGTATCGTCTATAACCGCCGCGAAAGGAAGGGTCTTCCTTGGTCGTGCTCCATGTGCCCTTTGCGATAGGCTCGGTGCTGTCGTGAAAAATGGTCTGCCATTTCTCACCCTGATACTGTCCACCAGCGTCATTTCGCTTGTCTTGGGTGCTGAGCGGACATCATCAGCGCCCAAATCCTGACGACGAATGCATTATCTGGCTTGACTCCAGGGTAACGACTTACTCATGGGCAGAGCTAGCGACCACAACGACTCGCCCCGATTGGCGATCCATGCTCTGCAGCAGCAGCATGGTCAGCAGCCAATGTCCGAGATACGCCGAGGCGAACGCCGTGTCGAACCCATCGGCTGTCCATGTTTGCTCCTCGAACTCGAGATAGGCTGCGTTGAGGATAAGCGCACGGATCGGCGGGATCTTGCCGGCAGCCACGCGCGAGTTGATGTCCGCCGCGACACTGCGTACGTCGTCCAGCCGGGTGAGATCCAGCGAAATGATGTCTTGAGAGTGAGGTCGGATGGCATCATGGAGGGCGGAGCGTAGGGCTGGGGCTGAAGACGCGTCTCGTACGGTATAGATCCCGTGAAAGGCTGCTAGGTCTGGGCGGGACACGATCTTCTTTACCATCGCCACGCCGAGTCCACCGTTGGCGCCTGTCAGGATGACAGTACCCTTGTAGTTAGATCTCATATCCTCCGCCATTATTAACGTCTTTGCAGTTTGATCAGGGAATTAAACGCTTGATGAGGTGGAGGGGGTTCAAGTTGACTTATCAGCATCCACGAAGCAAAAGTAGTTTCCCGTGAATGAGCTTAGCAATCAGGGAAGGGGTGTACGCGTGGTCACTCAAAGAGTTCAGGCCTTGCCAAAAGGATACTTCTTGACAGCAACTCTGAGGAACATGCGTGGGATCTACCGTCTTTTGTAGTCACATCCTAGTCGGGTAGTCTCCATACACAAATGCAACTGTTGGTACCCTAGATCTCCATTCTGCGCCGCATTTGTGGATCTGCCACGGCGGTTGGCTGTCAAATCAATGAACCAATCACGACCCACTGACGATTTCGCAGAGCCACAATCCACGGACTGCGTAAGCGTGCTCGTCGTACCGTGATTGTTGTCAGTCCGGATCGCAGGAGACCATCCGGTCATGCTCTGGAAATGGCATTTGCAGCAATCCTTGGATCGATGTTATCAAGGGCGTAGCAGGTAGAACAGAATTGGACAGCATTATTCGTACCGGATGGTTAATCAAGTGGTTGTTGGTGATTGATCTTCAGAAAGTTGTCAACTACAAATAGCATTTCTCGAGTGTTATCGAGTAGAAGGCGATTCCATTTTGATCTAGCAATCTAGCACGATAACAATCCGTTTCCACTCTTGTTGCCCTCCACTGCTGCCCAGTCCAATGGGGTCGCTAGCGTTTTGAATGGCCCTTTGGGATTTCATCTTTTGATTGTTTGCCTGAGGCTTAACATCTCCATAGCATCTGTTGATTAGACGCCTGGGCGTAGAGTCCGTACAGATGTAGTCTCCTTAGCGGCGGTTGAAAATGAGCTCAACGTGTGGATGCCTCTCTGCGAAGCTAGCGGTTTTCGTTTGCAAATCTGAAGCACATTGAATAGAATCCCTTTTACTGTATGCGTTTTCTAGTGGCCTCCTTTCATGTACATGCTTACCAGTAAGTGCAGGTGGCCCTGCCAGGTGTTGCTTTGTTTCCCCTGATGACACTAGAGCAACAGTGAATGCTAACAACCTGTCTGCCCAACATCTTGTCGATTCAAAAGTCAAGCTTCGATTTTGCACACCGCCCGTCATCGATTTCCTACCAGCAGCGTCATCCTTTTTAATGGACTTGGATGGTTTTCGACCACCAAACCACGGCGTCGATGACCCGCTACTAAATTTAGCCACCGCGAGACAACCCATTTGTTGGTGACACTTATTTTCCATCCTCACGGTAAGTATGTCTCGAAGCCAGCACCTCAATCCATTCACTTCAAATAAGTCTTGAACACCTGGCGCTCCGCCTCCAGATGTCTTCATTCAGGCCTGCATGCGTCTCTCAGTTGACTGACAATTTCCTCCAGAGCAGCAATCCTGCTTGCCGCGATCGACCAAACATACCTGACAGGAGCTTATCAGCACCACAGCTCAACATGTCGCCCAACGACACTACCGATTCAGAGGACTTTGTTCTCGTCGACCGTTCTGCAATCAACCCAGCTCTACGTGATGTCCTCAGTCCAAGCGCCACTGCCAATTCTCCAGACGAGAGCGACTATGACAAGATCGATCTCAATGACTCAGAGAACTCTCCAGTGAAGAGCAAGGCCACCGAGCCAGAGCACAGCGACGTTAGCCAGCCCATGCTGCACATCAACTGCTTCGCGCCCATGCCGTCCAGCGGCTTCCCGCATGATCTCAAACTCCATGTGGGCTCAGTCGATGACAATGGCCTAGTGCGAGACGACAAGGGTCATGGTTCGTCCAGTCTAGGCACGCCGCCTGAGACCTTGATTGCATACGCCACACTGCTCTTCGAGTGCGCCCTCCATTTCAAAGACATCCACTCCAGGATTCCTCAGGATCATTTCTTTTACATGATCGGCCAGGTGTGTGCGTCCGGACTCAGGACAGCGGACGCCAAATTTCTCACGGATTATGTTGGCTATACACTCGACACTTTTCACATAGCTCGCGAGGCCTTCTTGCTCAAGAACGCGGGGAAGTCCTCATTCACTCTCGAGCGCACAGCTGCTGAGGAGCTGGCCAAATTGGTGGACCAGTACATCGCCAATGTGAATGCGGGACCGCAGGAGCGCATGGAGGATTGGGGCAGAGACCCCCTCTTCAAATCACTTTGGTTCCAGTGGGAAGACAAGCTGCAGGACACTGCGTCTCGACGGTCTTTGGGGTATCTTGTAGGAAGCAGTAAGGTGAAAGAAACATCATTCCAAAGGCATCTTAGCTAACGCCCGCACAGAACTCAATGAGGACGGCACCAGGTTTACATTGGCGCACAGCAACCCCAGATCGGAGATTGTGGAGTCTGTGTTGACGCTTGATCTAGCTCTCAATCGCCTTGAGGGCCTCGTGGGTTTGGGTGGCTTGAGTGAGGAAGAGAAGCGGATGATTCAGCAAGCACTGGACAAGGCCATGCCGCAGCTCGCACACGACATCAAGGGCTGTCTGTGATGACATGTTCACTCTCAGCTGAGAAAAGCCGATGAGAATTGCTCATGGAAAAGTCATAGCAGGAAAGGCTGACCAGGACTTAACATATCAGCAAGGATTATTACGGCTGAGAAGGTGACAGAGTGTGACATAATTTTGTTGGTGGTTGTTTGACGTTGCCACAGGATGCATGGGGCTCACATCACCTCCAAGATAGCTCATGGAGGAGCTGAGGTTTAAATAAAGCTGTCCTCTCTTCTCAACTTTTTTGAACTTCCGGCCCAGTAGACCACTCAATTTAGATGTCACGGCCATTAAGCTACGAAGGATCATCAAATTCATGCACACACAAGGCCTCGTGAGTTTTGAGGCCCAGACGGTAATCATTGTAAAGCTCCGGGATCACAAGGGAACCACTGTGAAGGCCCAGGCTAGCCGACACACGATATGTGGCTATGTTTCCCCATTCCAGCAAACAGAGGTCACTCCACTAGAGCCAGAATAATCAAAGAGAACTTGATTTCTTCATATGCCTAATTGCTCATGGCATGGGCAACAACTCATTTGTGATGCCATTAACTAACAAATTGCTTTTCATTCCCCTTCATGCCAGCATGCCCTCTTGGCACAGTTACTCAAGCCTTGATCGCAGCCTGCTCGAGGTCCCGCAGCGCCTCGATGCGCTTGTACTTAGCGTCAGAGATGACCTCTGTAACAGAATTTAGCATCACAGCAAGTGAGGGACAGAGGAAGGCACAAGACTGACCGGCAGTGGCGTCGCTGGAGAAGTGAGCGCTCCACTCGACGTAGGTGCTTCCGGCGTGGTCACCAGCGGTGACGGCGTGTAGGCGGATGGTGCTCAGGACGCTCGAGTAGGTAAGCTCGGGGCTGGAGGTGATGATGCTGTAGGTGATTGAGTGGTTGATGGACTGCGCGCGGTTAGCGGTTGTGGTCGTGTTGAGGTAGCTGACCCCACAGAAGCACTAGCCGGCTTGAGGCATGGATCGACATACCGAGTGCTCCTCTTGCTTGACCTCATAGACGCTTCCGTCCTTGAAGGTCCACTTGATGAGGTCGGCCTCCTCGTTGGCGCCCTTGACGAACTCAGACTTGGACAGGGTGCTCCAGAACTTGGAGAAGTCCTGCAGCTTGATGAAGTGCCAGACGTGGGAGAGGGGCGCCTTAATGACGACGCTCTCGAGAACAGAGGTCGAGGTGGGGATGTTGGACGACATTTTGGGTAGCTGTGGAGTTTTCGTGTATGCAGAGCAAGATTCTTGGGCTGAGTGTTTGGATGGTGGATGCTGGAGTTGTGGAATTGAGGAAGATGAAGAGAGGAGATTAGTGAAAGTCAGTCCTGTGACTATTGGAGTGTTCAAATTCTGTTTTGGTGTCTCTCGTTTGCTCCTGTCACAAGAGCTGTGGGTGGTCAAAGGAGAGAGGGTAAGGTGAAAAAACGTCATATGGGGTAATCTCCTGCCACACACCTTGGGGTGCACACTGTAAGCGCAGGCAGCTGTTCCCAAAACGGAAGGAATGTCAACAAACAAGTGCACCGTCAGGAACGGGCTGCAGGGCAAGTCCCTACGCGGCTTCCTGTATTATTCACATGATGAGTTCCTGAGGGAGTCGCACAGGGTCTTCCATGAGAGAAGGTGCGCAGTTGCCAAGCGCAATGAGTCAATGGCCTTGTGCAGGTGGTTGCAGGGCTGCAGAACGTTGGAAGCCAACAATGAATGACGACCCTCTCACCACCGAGGAACACACTGGCGACGAGGCATTCTCGATTGTCTCTCATTTCTGAATCGATATTCTTTCAACTCATGTCCCAAGATTTGCCATGTCTAACAATTTTCCCCAGCGATTGGGCACCTTCCTGACTTCATCCAACGCGCTCTCGCCATCTCCTCGTGTCCCTGACGGAAGAGGACGCGATGACTTAGATATGTCGCAGGCTTCACAATCTTCCAGGGTGGTGAATATCCCTGATAATGATTCAAATTCCGTTGAGACTGGTCTTGTCATCTCCAAGATTGAGGATATCTTCGCAGCCATGGTTGATGTGCTCGCGGAAGGAGGCGATGCACTAGTCATCCCATATCGCTGCCGACGAGCATCTCAGCGGGGAGAAGGGGTACTTCGATTTCCCGGAAGCACTGTGCAGGAAGCCACGAAGTTTGGTCAGTCCTTAAATGGCCCTGGGAGCTCTGTGGAAACATGCTGACGGTCGTACCCTCGCAGCGAGAATGATGCGAATTATGGAGTTGGCCCGCGAGGCGCTGGTGTCTGGCCGTCCTATTACAAAGAGGTATGTGGACTGACGCCGAAAAGGAAGTTTTGTCTGACAGAGATTCAGAAACATCTATTACCAGGATCCAGATCTCTTCAAAAGCCAGAGCAACGTTGATCAGCTCGTCGATGACCTCGCGTTCACACTCGGAGTCGGCCGGAATGCTTTGCAAATTGTGTGCATCCTTTGTTCAAGGACAAGATCCATCAAGTGGTGATACTTATCAGATAATTGACAGGTTGCTGCGTCGAAAGGCCTTATCGTAGGGCCGCTGAGTTTGACTATGAAGGACAACTCAGTCGTCTCTTGCTCGTCCGATCAAGACCACAGCGAGTCCATTCCACCCATCGGCATGATCCGACGGATCGACTTTGGCGATACCAGATGGATTCTGGTCATCGAGAAGGAGGTACTCGCTTGAGCTTGCGGCCACAGAAGTGACGGCCCGAGATCGGCTGACTCTTGAACAGGCTACATTTCGCACGCTGGCAGCCTCCCAGTACTGGAGACATTGCATCCATGGTCAAGGCGCCATGGTCGCGGTGAGAATTCACGAACATGACCAATATGCGGGACTGATGATCAATTAGGGGAAAGGTTATGCAGACCTAGCCACACTCGAATTCTTGAACCTCGTTCACTCGGCGCGCCCGCTCATACCCATCCTAGGCGTTGTCGACTGCGACCCGCATGGCATCGAGATCATGAGAATGTACAAGTACGGCAGCCAAAGCTTAAGCCACGAGGAAAATGCGCGTGTACCGGGCCTGCAGTGGCTAGGTGTGAAGATGGATGACATCCTTGGGGCCAGTTGGCTGGCTTTTGAGGAATATGGCTCGCAGAGCCCCGTCAACCTGCCAAGCCAGTCAAGCCAGTCGTCATTCGGCCAGTTTAGCCAGGGATCACAAGGATCTGCGTTCCCAGGCAAGCAGAAACCGTTGAGATGTTGTCTTCCGGACTGACCGGACTGCAGGACCGCAGCCCGTCGGACGGCAAAGGGATCGAAGACGGCGGAATCCAGCTGACTCGCTGATGCCACTGACGATGGCTGATCGGAAGACGGCACAGAGGATACTCAGGTCAATGTCAGCGGAGGACGACGAGCTTGACCATGAAGAGATAGAACAACTGCGGGAGATACAGGTGATGTTGGTGCTCAACATGAAGGCTGAGATCCAGGCAATCGACAATATGGGGGACCTGTCGGAATGGCTTGACGACAGGATCGGGCTGGCTTGAGTTCATGTACGCTGTCAAACAAGGCAAGACGCACAACTCGGATGCGCGCTTTGCTACCTTCTTGGAGCTTTCTGTTTGCTTGCCAGATCTACAGAGAATCCAATCTCACATAGGACACGTACCTGAATCTAGGTATGATGTCTGACCAAGGTCTGGCATATCATGATGAAGGGACACATGCATCGTGCAGACGTTCATCGGGAAACATTAGGGACCCGAGGGCAGGGCACCAAGGCGCTAATGCACCCCTGAATGGGAAGCTCCTCCCCAGGCCTTCCAGATCGAGGTGGGTGGGACACAAAACCCCTACGGCGCCTCTGACAGCGTCATTGGCCAATCCCCAGCACACGCGATCCCGGCGTGATAACATCCGACTTGCTCCCTCCCTCTCAAAAGCTGGCCATCTGATCAGACAAACTTTATTCTGAAGGCGAATTCACTGACAGTTCGGAGGAAGTCTTGGCATTGCAGAGCCTATTTTCTTGCTTTATTCAATCGGCGATACAGAGTGGATTGCACTCCGTATATTAAGGTACGGTTCCATCGACAATGGTGACAACTCGAAGCAGTGCACGAAGGACCCCTTCGGCCGAATTGCCGCTCCTAGATGGCCACGCAAGCGGGAATGGCCATGCGAATGGAAACGGCCACGCAAACGGGTATACCAGCGTCAATGGCACCAGCAAGAAGCGCCACAGCAACACCAACGGCGTCAATGGCCGCGATGATGAGCACGACTCCAAGCGGCAGAAGGTCGCAGAGCCAGTCGACCGAACGAGATGGCGCATGAAAGCTGACGACGGGCGACACACCTGGCACTACCTCGACGACAAGGAGGCCGCTGAGAAATGGCCTCAGAGCTATGCGGACAAGTGGTACATGGGTCTTCCTCTCGTACGTCTTGGGACTTTCCTCATTACATGCCTGCATCGAGCTGACCAGACCCCTTCCGCAGAACCTCCCTGCCCTTGATCCGCCCAAGGCCCCCAGCGACGCAGTCCGCAACGGCCTCACCTTCTTCGAACACCTACAACTCCCGACGGGCCACTGGGGCTGCGAATACGGAGGGCCTACGTTCCTCTTGCCAGGGTATGCCATCACATGGTACGCCACGAAGCAGCACATACCGGAGATATACAAGAAGGAGATCAAGAACTACCTCTTTGCTCGCGCACATCCAGAGGACGGAGGCTGGGGCTTACACATTGAGGGCGAGTCGACGGTACTGGGCACGTCGCTCAACTACATCGCCCTGAGAATTATGGGTGTTGAACCGGACCACCCTGTGATGACCAAGGCAAGGGCAACGCTTCACAAGTTAGGAGGGGCAACGCATGCGCCGCACTGGGCCAAGTTCTGGATGGCCGTGCTAGGAGTGTGCAAGTACGACATTGTGAACCCTGCACCACCAGAGCTGTGGTTGCTGCCGGACTGGGTGCCCATCCATCCATGGCGATGGTGGGTGCACATACGGCAGGTGTTCCTGTCTATGTCCTATATCACGTCAAAAAGGTGGTCTTGCGAGGAGGACGACCTGATCCGCTCGCTACGAAACGAGGTCTTTGTTGAGCCGTGGGAGAGCATTGACTGGAACGGCAACCGGAATTCGATCTGTGAGAAGGACAATTACCACCCCAAGACCTGGCTCTTGAGTACCGCGAACTGGGTACTAGCCACTATCTGGAACCCCTATCTGCGCCCGAATTATATCAAGAATAAGGCGGAGGCATGTGTTTCCAACTTGATAGATATGGAGATGGCCAACACGGATTTTGCCTGTCTGGCGCCTGTGAACCAGCCCATGTCGCTCGTGTGCTGCTACATCAGGGATGGGCCTGACTCCTACACCGTGCGTCGTCTTCGGGAGCGCATGGAAGATGGTATCTTCGTCAACGCAGACGGCATGATGGTCTGCGGGACAAACGGCGTGCAGTCCTGGGACACAGCATTCGCAATCCAGGCTGTGGTCAGCTCGGGCCTGGCCAACGACCCGAGGTGGCGGCCCATGATGGAAAAGGCGCTGGAGTTCCTGGACAACCAACAGATCCGCGAGGATGTCAAGGACATGGACAAGTGCTACCGGCACCCGCGTAAAGGCGCGTGGGCCTTCAGCACCAAGGTGCAGGGGTACGCCGTCAGCGACTGCGTGTCGGAGGCGCTTAAGAGCGTTATCCTGCTGCAGAAGGAGGCGTCCGGATACCCGCAGCGGCTGGACGACCGGCGGATCTTCGACGCGGTGGACACACTGCTCACGTACCAGGACCCCAAGACGGGCGGCTGCGCGTCGTACGAGCGGCCACGCGGCGGCCAGTGGATGGAGATGCTCAACGCGGCCGAGATCTTTGGCAACATCATGGTCGAGTACCTGTACCCTGAGTGCACGACGGCGGCGGTCACGACGCTGAAGCTGTTCCAGAAGCACTGGCCGGACTACCGGGCAAAGGAGGTGTCCACATTCATCGAGCGGGCGGTACGCTGGATCAAGACGGCGCAGTATGACCATGGTGGGTGGTATGGCAGCTGGGCCATCTGCTTCACATACGCAACCATGTTCGGGCTGGAGAGCCTGGCGACTATTGGGGAGACGTACGAGAATAGCGAGTCTGCCAGGAGAGGATGCGAGTTCTTGGTCTCTAAGCAGCGTGAAGATGGCGGATGGAGTGAGCATTATCAGGTAAGTCCACGCATGTGTCTTGCAGCTCAATTTCACCACAATGTCCTGCTAACACAGCGTGCCCTCCAGTCATGTGAAGAAATGCGCTATGTCGAGCACCCCAGCGGCAGCCAGGTGGTCATGACGGCGTGGGCGCTGATCGGGCTGATGCTGGCCAAGTACCCAGACGTAGAACGTCTCAGGAGGGGCGTGGCATTCATCGCTGGGCGCCAGCAGCCCGACGGCGAGTGGAAGCAGGAGGCGGTCGAGGGTGTGTTCAACAAGAGCTGCTGCATTGGATATCCCAACTACAAGTTTACGTTCACGATCAAGGCGTTGGGCATGTTTGCCCAGCGGTACCCAGACGTTAAACTCTAGAGGTGTAGATCTAGAACGAGGCCTTGACTGGCAACGTAATAATAATGCTAATACACAGTATATGTGTCAGTGCTGATCCACTTGAGCTGAGCTTTTTGCAAATCTCTCGAGGCATTCATGTTCTTTGCAAGGTTGTGACTTCTAGAGCTTTCCACCCCAAAATGAGCTGCCGCCGAATTAAGTAAGCGGTGGAGGCTGGATCAAGACAAAGTAGGCGGTGTACTAGTGCTGCCTCGGATGGACGGGCAGAACCTGGAAGCTACCCCACGCCGTCCTGAACCTTAGCTGACCTGAAAGGAACGAACAGCCAACTACCAACTCCGTCAGTTCTAATATTAGGCAACAAACAATCCCTCTCCCCCAACTTTTGTTCAAGGCTCTTCATAGTCACTCTCCCCACCACCTTCGTATTTCGATAAATCACAGACGATTTGTTCATCTAATCTTTCTCGATCGACATCATCCTTAGCGACATCGACACCGATCTGAGCACCACCGAACCGCGATGTCCGCCGACAAGTTCAGAGAGGCGGGCTTCAAAGCCATCGAGCAGCGCAAATGGCCCGAGGCCATCGAGAATCTGTCCAAAGCAATCGATCAGTCAAAGTCCCCAGCATGGCTCCTTGCCCGCTCACAAGCCTTCATGGAGACCGGCCAGCTCGACAAGGCCATCCGCGACGCCGAGTACGCCTACTGCACCGCTGCCGAGCGCGGGAACGACAAGAGTCGTAAGCAGATGATCGAGTCCCAGTACCGTCGGTCGGTCTGCTATTTCCGCAAGAAGGAGTACGCCAACGCCGATATCTGCGCCGTGTGGTCCCAGCGCCTCGCTAAGGGCGTGGCAGTCAGGGAACACAAGACAGTGCAGCAGGAGGGTGTCAACGACAAGGGATACTACTTTGCGACCGCGGCGCAGGCCATAGCGGAGGGAAACGAAAACAAATCGTCTGAGGGTAACGACACGATGGCGAAGCTGTCCGCAGCCATGAGCGGAGGCGCCTCGGACAAGACACCGTACGCAAAGGACTGGAACAAGGCACAGATCTGGCGTGGCCAAATCCTCCGCTTCCTCGAGGCGCTCCCGGAAGAGGATCCTGCTCGCAAGATCACCACCACGTTGTCGCCTGTGAAGCCGTCTTTGGAGGACAAGAAGGAAGTGAAGCCCAGTAGCTTTGACCCCGAGCTCGAGGCGGCCAAGAAGGAGGCGGCCCAGGCCACCCCTAAAGCCGATGACTCGAAGTTCCGAACCCAATTCTACCAATCTGACACCACTATTACGGTCTCGATTTTCATGAAGTTTGCGAACAAGGCAGAGATGGACAAGGTGGAGGTTCGCTTTTCTGAGGATGGCAAATTCGTAAGTAGCCAGGAGCTTTACTGTCCATGTCCTACATGCTCACTGACCCTTTTTAGGTGCTCGTCAAGGGCGTTCCGCGGAATCCCCCTACCCTTTACATCCGTTTCCATGACCTCGTTAATGTTGCCAAATCGACTTTCCGCGTTGCATCGATGAAGCTGGAACTCACACTGGCTAAAGCGAACCCCGGGAAGTGGGCGGACTTTGGCATTCAGAGCAGTTCTATAGATGAGTTCTCAAGCGTGCCAGACTGGGACAACTCAGAGTCCCAGGCAAATGCCCCTCCAGGACCCATCGATGCCACCCCAGGGCCCAGCACCGACAAGCCCGTCACGACCTCAACCCAAAGCTCTGCCCCCAAGACCTCCGCTAAGGCGCCAGCATACCCCACGTCATCCAAGTCGGGCCCCAAGGATTGGGACAATATCGCCAAGGACGACGATGAGGAGGAGCCGGCTGACGTGGACCACTTCTTCAAGCAGCTGTACAAGAACTCCACGCCGGAGCAGCAGCGTGCCATGATGAAGAGCTACACAGAGAGCAACGGCACAGCGCTGTCGACGGACTGGAGCAACGTGAGTAAGGGCAAGGTCGAGACGTCGCCCCCGACCGGGATGGAGGCGAAGAAGTGGGATGCCTGATCGATGGGTCTCACGTCGTGTAATGCACTACCTCTGCCTTGATATGGCGACGGGGGAGATTGGCAGTTGGGATACCCAAGTGTGGCTGATCGGTGGAAGTTGATTAGGGATTTTTACCAGCACTCTTGGGCAGTGCTGATTTTATTGGTTCTTTATGTATGGTATCTTTGAATCAGCCAGGAGTTACGGACCGGCAAAAGCAAAGACAGAAAGTTTCTTAGTCTGCTCAATTAATGATCAATTCTAAAGCTGTTGTCTTCGTGAACCTTCGTGAAGCGGACTCACACGTCAAAGCCTGCCGATGGCTCACGGACATTTGAAAACAGCCACACCGGACATGCGATGCGCGATGGGTCGATTATGATGCTATATATCCAAAAAGGCAGGCACTCGGTAAGCCAAGTCTATTCTTTGACATAAGATCTCGACTTCCTGTGCCTAGCCATCGGCCGCCCCTCCCACCGCGGCACATCCTGATGCTGTCCCGCTTTGCTGTTCCCAGCGTCTTTCTCCTCTTTCCGACCCTTCCCATCCACAGCGGTGCCATTCGCCACGACTCCACTCCCCTTCGCACCCCCGAGCGCAACAACGCTCATGTCGCTCCGCACGCGGAAGCTCTTGCCCCGCCACGTAACCGTCGTGCCCAGGAGAACAGCCCACGTCCAGATCGGCAGCGCAAGGAGCTCGCGCCCGACCCACGCAGGGAACCATTCAGAGAAGGGCCTCCAGATTCCCACATTGGCGGCAGTCCCGCGCGCGAAAAACGGGGTGTCGGCGTCGGTGACCAGGCACGCGCCCGAGTGCAGCCGCGCGTGCACGGCGCGGTCGCACGCCATCCAGGCCGTCACGCCCCCAGCCCACAGCGCGGCGGTGGCTGCCCAGGTCTGCGGGATGCCGAAGGTAGTGTTGAAGAAGGGAAGAGTCGTCGCGGCGTAGGCGAAGTACAGATTGCACAGCAGGCTCTCGACGCCGGGCTCGACGAGCGTCGCCAGCAGGACGGTCCACTTGCGCACGCGCAGCCAGCGCACGCGGCGCGCCCAGTAGGCCGGCACGGGCACGCGCGCCACGGGCTGGATGGCTAGGTCGCCCCAGACCAGGGCGTGTTTGCCGAAGGGGCGGGGCGGGGAGTCGGCGGTGGGTGGGACCGGCGCGTGCCACAGCAGGTCGCTGATCAGGTGGTCCTCGCAGATGTAGCTGCTGAAGAAGTCGATGCCCTTGCCGCGGGCGGCGTCGGCGGGCGAGAGGTGGGGGTTGTGCGATGGCTGCGTGTAGGTTTCTAGGTGCGCCTTGCGGAACATGTTGGACTTGCCTATTATGCAGGGCGCGACGCCGACGGTGTTGATTGCGCTGTAGAACTTGGCGTGCGTTGTTGCCATGAACATCTCGTCTAGGCGGCCGCCGCCTTGGCGCCACGCTTTGGACAGGAGGCCTGCTTCGGATTGGTCTCCTGGTGTAGGTTTATTCTTGTCTTCGTCGGTGGTCGGGATGTCCACGACGAGCGGCAGCTGGTGGACGAGCTTGTACGGTGTGGTTTTCTGCCCGTCTGGCAGGAAGCCCATCAACTTGTCGACCATGCGGCCGGCGACGTCCTTGGATATCCACACGTTGCAGTCCATGATCCAGATCAGCGAGTCGGTGGGTGCCTCGCGGTAGGCACGGCTAATGTTGCGGATCTTGGGATTGGGCCCCAGCTCGTTGCCGTCGAGGCCCGAGATCAGTGGGTCATATTCTTCGACGAGCAGGCGAACGTCGTACCCATTCTTACTGCCACTTCCAAAATCGTCGACGATCTTCTCGAGCACCGGATAGGCCGGATCGTCCTCGGAGGAGACGCAGAGGTTGACGGTCAGCTTGGAGCGCGGGTAAGTCTGGCGGAAGGTAGAGGCGAGACATTGGTATAGCTGCGGCTCGAGGCCTTTGACCGGGCGTATTATTGTGATGTGAGGGAGGAGGTGCTCGGAAAGGGAGGGGGAGACTGGTTTGCGAGGAGGGCGGGAGTAGCCTCGGAAACTGTTTCGACGATGGTCAGTTTTGATGGTTTCACCAGGGATAACGACAAGAGGGGGCAGCTGACACTTGGAAAATCCCTATGCTCTGGACAATATATACAACTGAACTCCAGATCAGAGCAGGATATGCGGCATACACCGCTATGTTGGAAAGGAGGGACATGGTGAGAGCATGCTATTTTCGAGGATGTCGAGCGTTGGAGGGATTTGAGGACGGCTCGAGAGGGAGGCAGTGTAACTATGACAGCTTCATATTGACCGTCTTTGTTCAGGTCTTCGTTTTGCGTGTTCAAGAGCAAAGTGGAAGCATGGTTGCTGGATACGGAACACGACTGTTTACTTTGAATACGCAAAAAGGGTCCAAAATCGAGAGAGACCAGTCATGTCGTGTCGTGCATGTGGATGCAACCCCAATTCACTTTCTCTCGGGAGCACCACTCAGTCTAGGTACGTACCGATGTAGCTCGTTGCTGTTAGCTCTGCTAGCTCTGCCTGTCTGCCTGCCAGGTGGTACGTGCCCCGCCTGACTCAGCGGCATTTTCTTGCGTCAAATGCAAAACTCAGACCTCTGTTTCCAACTCAATCGCTGCAACCAAAAAAAAGTTCATCGGTCAGTTTTCAGGACCATGACCACCTCTCACATCCTCACTGCGAGCTGAGCAACACCAACAGGCTGCGATACCTCAGCAGCTCGTCAAGGCTTACGCTCTCTTTAATCCTTGCCACTATCCAAGGACCATTGAATGGCCTGCACACCTCGGTACGTGTCGGTTCGCCGGGAAGAATGTCCCTCAATACAGTGAGTCTCAAGCCGATCTGCCTTTCGTCCGGTCAGACTCAGACCACTTTGCTACACCCTCTTTCTCACCTTCCTGAATCCTGAATCACCCCATCGCGTTGATGACAACTATTATTTCGGTGCTTAGAGAGCCTCGTCTCTCGGTGATAGTCCCAAAATTAAGACTAACAACGGTATCTGAGCGATCACTCTTCAAATCACACATTGTGTTTCATGACATTCACGCACACACATAACTTCATCATCTGTGACCATTGGCTGACCGTCTTGTATAAAGTCCGACATGACCTGAGGAAGAAATGGCAGAGATCCATCAACCCACTACAGCTACTGTGGTCGACGCAGTCCCATCAGGTCACTCACCTGATGGGCCTTCTCCCGCAGGAAGCACACTCACCGGGGAGACACCTGCTCTCTCCCCATCTCCGGGGCCGAAGCCTTCTGCGTCGCCTTCACCAGCTCCTGCTCGAAAAGGTTCGCCCCGGCCAAACCCGCATCAGCTCTACAAGCAGCCCGTTCCACTCAAAATCTTCCCCTTTCCAAGTCTCACCAGCAACCCAATCTCCCTCCTCCACCTCGCCTTCACCTGGTTGTCACAGGTATTGAGCCCTCCTCCCGCCGAGCCGTCTGTTGTGCATACGGCCTACTGGGATCATGACACCAAAACCATCACCGTCACAGATGAGAAATCTATGGTCGATCTCTGGCAGCAGGGTTTCTTCGGAAAGGGAAGTCTGAGCCGAAGTGAGCCCAACTGGCTGAAGAGGGAAAAGACGCGCTTGGGACTTATCGGGGATAAGGTCTCCGAGGTCGAGACCAACAAGAGACGCGCTGAGCGCAACCGTGCAAAATGGGACCGCGCCAGGGCAGAGCAGGAAGCTTTGGAGCAGAGGCGCCTGGAGGAGGCTGCGCTCGAGGAGGCACGGCTTGAGCAGGCTGTTGTGCTTCCCGAGCCTGTACCAGAATCTCTCGCGAAGGCCCCGACACGTGTGACGCTGGCAGCCCCTGTGGGACCCCTGGAGCTTCTACGTTTGCCCAATTCACATATTGAACTCGAGTCTTTTCCTAGCCGCCTCACTCCACCCTTCGAGGAGAGCATCGAGAGTACCGAGGTCTCCAAGTATGGTTCGAGCTCATCTGGAAATGATGATGCCGACTCAAATACTACTGTCTCGGAACCCACGCCGCCGAAGCAAGCTAAGAGCGTCCGCTTCTCGCCAACCGTGGAGTCAACCGAGTTCTTGCACAATGATCCCCCCAGCCCCCCTCGTTCGGTATCATCTTCGTCCCTGAAACCTAATCAGGTTGACGGTAGCACCCTTGTCAGTAAGGATGACACTGTGTCTTCTGTCATCAGCGACACTTCCAGACAATCCAGCGAAATTGAGACGGACTTGGTGGTAGCCAACAAGGAACAACTGCAGCTTCTGCCTGAGGAAGCTTTATTCCTGGCTTTTGCTTTTGGCGCTCTGAAGATTGTCGACTCGGCCACCCAAGAGGTAATCTCTCCGAGAAATCTTCTAGGTCTTCTCCGCCAGAATTCCTACTTTCCCCCACGTCTGTCACAGCATGAACTTCAACCCGACGACCCCTTTCTCATTCACTATGCCGTGTACCACCACTTCCGCTCCTTAGGGTGGGTACCGCGAGGCGGTCTCAAGTTTGGAGTGGATTGGCTGCTGTATACTCGTGGGCCGGTATTCGACCACGCCGAGTACGGTGTACTTGTGCTCCCATCTTACTCCGATCCATATTGGAAGTCTGTTGGGAAACAGGCCCCACAGAAGTCATGGCATTGGCTCATGGGTGTCAATCGTGTGTTGTCAAAAGTTTTCAAGAGCGTACTGCTGGTCTATGTTGATGTTCCGCCACCCAGCGCCTTTCTCGAGGATGGATCACCCAAGGATGGCTTGGCGGAATTGTTAAAAAAGTACTGCATACGTGAGCAACTGGTCAAGAGGTGGTCATCGAACCGAAATCGCGACTAGGGAAGTGCTGATCTCGAGCACATGGACCACGACGTTCCTCTGTGGCCCTTGCTACAATACTTGGATATGAAAATCAAAGCCAATGGACTTATGCTATAGTCAAATCGTCAATCATCCATTTACGCTACTGTCGGTGTCGATAGACAATTTTCACGACATGCAGGTGAAACCGATAGCTTCGTGACTTTACACTGACATCGTTCCTAATCCTTGTCGTGCTCAAGAACACATTGACATGCCGCTGATAGTATGTCTCGGGAGGGACTATGGGGCAATCTATGTTGATCCTTGATTCCGTAAGGCGGACAGGCATCTATACACCTTTCCAGACCTTTAGTAACCCTCCTTGCCACCTAATTCCCTACCTGCAGCCATTCACCTACCCACTTCCGCATCCAATCAGCGCTGACAGCGGGCACGCCGCGGAGCGTGGAACTAGAGGCAAGGCCGCGTTCAATAGCCATGGGCTGTGTCTTGTTCTGACCGACATCTTGTGCGGTGCTGCCCCAAAGGCCGTCGGCATAAAAGTCGAGCAGCTTGACGGCCGGGTTGGAGGAATTATCTTCTTTGGTACCCTGGTCCCCATTCTCGCTTTCTCTAAGACGCGCCAGCCATGTGGACGCCGGCACGACCTCTGGTTCAATTTTGGACGGCAAATATGTCTTGGCTGCATCAATGATGGCTGGCAACAATGCCTCCCATGACGTGGTTTGGGGGTTCCGAAGATTGAACACGTCCGCGGCGCCGCCACCAGGCACGTGCCCAGGGCGTGTAGCAATGTCCACTAGGACATCTGACAGTATATCCACCGGCAACCAGTCCACCTCGGAGAACTGCGGCCCAAGATCACCTGGCAGGCTACCTCCCAGCCGCAGCAGCGAGCTGATGACCAGGCTAGGCAGCCACTCGGCTCGGTTCCACTCACCGCCCGATCGCTGCACGGCACCAGCTACCTGTCCCACACGAGCGACGGTGACAGGGACCCCAAGACGCTCCGCCGCAGCGTCGCAGAGCAGCTCGCCGAGAAACTTACTCCGCGCATAGCCACTACGGTGTGGCACGTCCAGCGAGCGCAGGATCTCCTCCGGCGCGGCGCCCACGCCGCCCGCGGCGCTGACCGACGAGACGAAGGCTAACCCCCCGCGGAATGGCCGCTCCACCGCCGCGGACAGCGTAAGCAGGTTTACGAGCCCGGCCAGGTGCGGGCGGAACGCGGCCAGCCCCAGGTTGAAGTTGACGGGCCAGGCGTTGTGGATGACCAGGCCGGCGCGGGCGCGGAGGTCCTCGTACGTTGCTGCGTCGAGGCCCAGGAGGGGCTGGGATGGGTCGGCGTGCAGGAAGGTCACGCGGGTAGATGACAGGGCGGTTGGGTCCAGGCCTGCGGCGCCGAAGCGGGACTCCTGGCTGGCTTTGCCGCCGTCTGGGCTGCGGTTCAGGCAGATTATGGAGCCTATGCCTGGGCGGTTGAGGAGGGCGTGCAGAAGGTGCGTGCCTATTGTGCCAGTGGACCCTGTTAGGATTGTTGTGAGTGGTTCGTTTTCTGTGGTACTGTCTGGGTTGGGTGATGTCTGTGGCTTTGGGATCTGGTCAATGAGACCGCGGTATGTGCTCAGTAGTGACTCCATCAGTGCTCTATCGTCATCCTTGGAGCCATCTTCGGTGCTTTCTAGGATGGCAGATGTCAACTGGGAGACTGTTGGGTTGCGATATACAGTAGGCAGGCCTATGTCCGGACGGTGCAGGCCGCGCCGGAGGACACGAGTGAGCTGGAGAGCCATGAGCGAGTCCATCCCGCGTTCAAAGAAAGTCGCGGACGGTTGATGGTCTCCATCTTCATGCGGCCAGCTTGTCACGGCACTGACGCTCTCTTGGACGAAGCGGCTGACACTCTCCGGGTCGGAGGAGACCAGCGGCGCATGTGGCTCGCCGTCACCATCGGGCCCAAGTTCAGCATTAGTGTACAGCGCCTCGATCTCGGCCGTGTACTGCGCCACACTGGCGGCGCGCTGGATGGTGCCCTTGCCAGCGCGGATCAACGGCCTATCCGGCGTCGTCACCAGGATGAGCGCCTTTTCGACGCGCGCATGTGCCGGGGCGGTACTGTTGGCCTCTTGCACACTTGGCCAGACGCGCTCAATCAGCGCGGCCTGCTCGGCCGTCGTTAGTGCACCATCACGAGCGTCACCCTTAACAACTGGCTCGATAAGCAGAGCGGCCTGGAAGCGCCGCGTGCCCAACACGAGAGCGCCACCCAGCTCCGGGTTTCTTGCGACGACGTGCTGCTCCATCGAGACCGGGTTCGTCTTCTCCCCATTCAGGAAGACGATAATATCATCCGCCCTAGCCCGCCAGCACCACGCATCCGGGACGGTCGGGTGCGGCGAGAAAAGGTCCTTGGTGCGGTACTCATCCAGCTCCTGCTGTCCACGGATGCTGAAGCAGACCTGCGGCAGAGGCTCCTTGCCACGGCGAATGACGAGCTCGTACGTGTCCTCGGTGACCTGCTCGAACACGGCGCCCACCGATGGGTGGAACCGGATGTAGCGCCAGTCGTTCGGCCCCAGGCCGGGGGCCACCAGCTGGTGCGGGATGCTGACCTCGGACGCGCCCCACCAGCAGCGCAGCGGGATCTTGGCCGCCACGATGTCGCCTATGGCTTGTGGGAGGTCGCCGCCGATGTAGAGGATCAACTCCAGCCGGGCGGCGCAGTAGTCGAGCAGGGCTGGGTTCTGCGCTAGCTCGGCTACCACTGAGGGGACGAGGACTGCGACGTCCGCCGGGGTCTGGGTGAGTGCGTCGGCTAGGCCTTGTGCTGTGACTATGCCCACTGCTGCCGGGGCGATGGGGATACTGCCGAATGGGATTGCCCAGAGCATGTATTGGCCCATGCCGGCTCCCTGAGATAGAAGTCAGTACAGCCACCTTGCTCATATCGAAATAGCTCAGCTCGGTGCTCTCGTGGTGTGAGTCTTACATGGAATGGCGGCACCGTCACCATCAGGCGCTTGCCGGTGATGAAGTGGTCGACTGATGTGACGCCTTCTTGATCAGGTAGATTCCGGGCGGCGCAGTCATGATGCCGGATCCCACACTCTTGCGTCCAGATCAGGGGCTTGGGGATCCCGGTCGACCCGGACGTGTGTCTGTGAAAGAGACCGCAGGTCAGTATCAACTAAGCAAAAGCGAGCTAAATAACGACTATTTGGTTATATCGGTTCTCAGCCAAAGGCTCTGGCATACATTACGACGAGTGGATCCCATCGCGCCGCCTCAAATGGTTTGTCATATGAGAACGGGGGATAGGTCTGTGCTAGGAGTTCATCAATTCCTGGGACTGTGAGCTGGCGAGGGCGACGATTGACTGCCTCCAAAATCGCATTTGCAGCCGGCGGTGTCGGGTCTGTAGTGACTAGCGTCTCGCACTTCAGAGCCTCGAAGAGAGATCTGTGTGCAGCCGGACTGTTACGGGGCGACGTGAGGAACAACTTCAGACACAAATCAGCAAATATACTCGAAGAGTGCAATCAGAAACATGGGTAATTCACCCACCACATAATTAGTCTTCACGGCGGCCAGTATCATCGCCGTGAGCCGGACGTCGTTGGGACCGACATAGGTCAAAACCGGGTGGTCTTCTGTTCCAGGCCAAAGCTCCTTCACAATCAACCACGCCAGCCCATTGACGATGTTAGCCAGCTGGGCATAGGTTATCGTGCGGAAGCCTAGGTCGTATGAGGTCGGTGCAGTGGGCCAGAGGCCGTATACACCGTTGGGGTTGTCCCTGGCGAGGCGATCCACCATGCTTGGCAGGGTCTCGCCCTGCCATCCAGAGACACGAGCATGTTCTGTGGCCATGGCTGCGTACGTTTTGCCGAGGATATTCTTCGGCCAGATCTCCAAGGCAGCGTGGGAGCAGTACTGATCAGATCGGATACCATGCGTTAGAGGTTCCTTTTGGTTGGAATTAGAAATGTCTTCTCGAGGATTCCCCTCAAGTAATCATGGGATATCAGAGGTAAGACGAGAGCCGATTGCCCGTTGGTAGTTGATGTAAGACCAACAACATGAGTGGTGCTCTGCTAGCCTCAAAGTCGCATTGGCGCCGGGGTAAGGTGGCGGAGTATCTAGATCCAGAACCGATCAATGTGACTGCGCACAGTATGTTCAATTGCCCATCTGCATTGTAGTGCCGTGCATGGAAGTCGCTCCTACGGGGCCACTGGCCCGGCCCGTATGCAATATTGCAACCACCTGGACGAGGATTGACCATTCCCAGCGAGAAACAAAGCCACGTACGCACGCAGAGGAATGGCTCGAGAGATTCGCACCAACTCCAATTTTTTTGCAAATCGTGCTTATCTCGGCTGATTCCAATTAACCTCATCCTATCAAATGCCACCAGAATGCACGGTATTTATGATATGGGTGTTCTCGGTTGGGGGCTGTTCCGAAGTGCCGTAGTATCGCTGCACAATCCGGTCGAAGTGGTTGCTAAATGCTGACACACTCTGGCGATCCTTTCATTCACAATCTAGGGTCACGATGGTTCACTCCTGGTGACATAGTCTCGAAACTACAATATCGTATTCACACCAAAACTTCAGCCCTCATTGTACGGATTATGCACAGCGTGGCTGGATGCAGACACCCCTCTACCTTGGACCTGATGACCTCGAAATTTTGACGGACTTCAATTTGCCGATTGCTATGAGCTGAAATGCACGTCCACTAGTTCATGCTGACTGGGGACTGAGATGGGTATTGATCAACGAGCACCTTCTGTGGGTCCATTTCCCGTGCTGACGTTGTCCCAAGACATGTGGATGTTCGTAGTCCTCACAATTCTCGCCGGCTGTGACTGATTTGCAGGGGATCCGTCATCCTGCCGCTGTTCCGGACCCGGTCGCTGCTCGAATCCATCTTCCCGTGTGGGTACGTCAGAAAGCAGTATGCCTCTGTCGCTACCAAAGCTGCGCGTGGCGTCTGCGGGAAACACTCGGGACGCATGACTCTCGGGCTCTGAGTTCGTGTTCTTGGAGGACCCTCCCCGTTTCGCTCGCGAGGAAAATTGCTTGATATATTTGGAAGGCCATCGGCCGGACCGTTGCAAGCGCATCTTGGGGCTGAATTTCTCGAGGAGTGGGCGGTAGGTCATAAGGCAAGCTGCGATCAGGTAGATGCCGGGCTCTGCGACCGTCCAGATGATGAGTTCCACGGCATTGAATGTGGCATCAATGAATGAGTTAGTGTTTGAGAACGCGACGAAGCGTAGGATAGATGCAATTAGCCCTCTGCGTTTCCGATTGTTAGCATTTGGGGTCATTTGATATATTGTTGAGGTCCCGGTGAACTTACATGCTGCCGAACACAAAAGTTGCCGTCAAGGCCATCTTCAGCTGCTTGGATGTCTGTAGTCCCCAGACAATGGGAAGAGGAATCGCTAGAAGAATGACGTCTGTGATGATATTGGGAAATGTGCTCCAGACGTACAGCTTCTCCTTGTCGATGCATTTTTCGGCCTGAACGTCCGTCGGGGCCCAGTTTGCACTGAATGGTTTGCAGGCCGCTAGGTTGCTCACGAGACTGGCAATGGCAGTGCATATCATAATCCCCGCCGTCAGAGACAGGATGATGAGTACACTGCGCTGAGGAAACAACGTGCGGTAGAATACGCAGATGGCGAGCTTGGAGAGACTGATGGTCACATAGTACCACGATGAGATTGCGAGCAAATATTTCAAGAACATGATGGCGAGATGGGGGTTGGTTGCCATGATCCATTCAATATGGTATCCGACACCGGCTTGTTTGAGGGACCCTTTTGGTCATTTTTGTCAGTCAAGAGGTGAGAACGGTTATTATCCGAGAACTGACCTATGGCGATACCGGTAGCGACAAATTGTCCAAGGAGAGCTGCCATCACCAGCCAGTCATCCACACCATAGCGGTGTGCCGTGAGGCTCCGCGCATAGAAACGCAGCACGACGGTGAGGAGCTGCAGTGGTGTGAACACAGCCACAAAGATTGTAAGTCTGTTGCCGATGAATTCCGAGTCATTTTCGGCCATGGCCAATTCGTTGGCTTGGAATGTTGTCAGGACCTCCTCGTACCAAGATAATGGTGTTCAACCCGACGTGTAACAAGTGACCAGCTGGCGTGGGGTGGACCATCGATTTCAGTCAAGAATCAGGTGCGCTGTGAAAGAGAATTCCGGGACGGAGATACGAGGAGCTTCAGTCGTTTTTTTCTCGGACAGCTGCGAAGATGATTCTCAATCACGGGTTGGCTTTGCATTTTGGCCTGTCCCACGGAGAAGAGGGGGAGGCGTGTCAATAGAACTTTCCTCAGATGCGCTGGTATGTGGTAGATCCTTTCCAGGAAAAGGACCAAGCTGCTCCCAAGGCTGCCCTCTGGGACCGCAATTTTACAACACTCAAAGTACCAATCAGGAAAAAGGATCTACTTGTACCGGCATCTGGAAATATCCTCTAGCGACGGAAGCCATTTGAATCCTCCTGGCCGATCTCTTATCATGCACCTTGTCAGCATTATTTACATGGAGACACGATGGATGGTATCATAGTCATCTCCGCTCACCAACAGCTAGTTCTGGAATATATGACGGTCATCATTCTGCAGGTCTGGGTGGAACGACAGTCAATTGGCTCGCAAAATCTCACCAAGTTCAGGTGGGTGTGGCAGGAACTTATTCCGGCCCCCAACCGATGCACATGACTTTTGATTTGGTCGACAAAGTACGCTGATGCATCACCGACTTTTGCAGAAAAGCCACAGGTCACATCGTCAATAACAAGACGAATCCAAACAGCGACAAAACTCGTCTTTACAAGCACTGTAGGAACTAGATCCCTTTTTGTGGGCCTGTAAGAACTTGGAAATGTGTCCACACGAGCCTTAGGACATGACCGGCTTGATCCTCCCGTATGCTTGGGTCTCGGTAATGTGTAAACCAAAGTCTGGGGAGACTTGACTTTGTGGATGATTTTGTCGGTGGGCTGGGTATTGATAATCTAGCGAGATGGTAAATTCAAGACGAGCTGGACTTCTCAGTCCACATACTATTCTGCTGAGCTCTTGCTGTATGTTGGATTCAATCTTCAAGTGAACGAGTCAAGTCTTCTTTTAGTGACCTCTTTGATCTTCGATATGAGCAACCCAGGTATAACCTCGCCTCCGGCTCCGATTGCTATCGTAGGGATCTCATGTCGTCTTCCGGGGCACGCCAACAGCCCAGAAAAGCTCTGGGAGCTCCTGGAGCGAGCAGGCGAGGCCTGGACGCCCGTCCCAGCCGACCGCTATAATGAATCGGCGTTTTACCATCCAAATGGTGATGACCCCAATGGCACCAACAATCATCGGGGCGGCCACTTTATTGACGGGGACCCCAGTGATTTCGATCACTCCTTCTTCCGCGTATCACCACAGCAGGCTTCCGCCATGGACCCTCAACAGAGAATATTGCTCGAGATGACATACGAAGCCATCGAAAATGCCGGGTTGACCCTTGAATCCTGCTCTGGATCCAACACAGCGGTATATGCGGCCAGTTTCACTGCAGACTTTGAGCGGAACTTATATCGAGATCCGCTCAACATGCCTCTTTACTATCTTACTGGTGTTGAAAAGGCCATTCTGTCCAACCGCATCTCTCATGCCTTTGACCTACACGGTCAGTATAAGCCTTCACACTTTTTTTTGCTCAGACGTCTTTTATTGAAATCTTCCAGAACACGCCCCTTCGGTAACTCCGTACCAGGTTACTAATACACACCAGGTCCATCGATGACTATTGATACAGGCTGCTCTGGCGGGCTCGTTGCGATGCATCAGGCCTGCCACAGTCTTCGGAACGGCGAGTCAGATGTGGCTATAGTTGCATCCGCCAACTTGACTTTGTAAGTGTCGTTTTTACTGGAATAAAACCAAGGTTGTCATGATATGCAGAATCTACGCCGAAAGGATTTCTTACATACGGCCCCGCCAAGCCCTGCAATATAGATCCCAACTACTTAATTGGAGCCAGCATACTGACAACATTCCAGGGGTCCGGATCATCATATTGGTATGAGCACCTTGCATTTGACAAGTGGTGCTGGCCGCAGCTACCCGTTCGATAGCCGCGGCGATGGGTATGGTCGCGGCGAGGGGTGTGTTGTATTGGTGTTGAAGCGGCTGGATAAGGCTATCAGAGACCACGACCCAATACGAGCTGTAATTCGGAATACGGCTGTCAACCAGGATGGTTATACCGCTGCCAGCATCACTTACCCCAATGGCGTGGCCCAGGAACAGCTCATTCGCGACACTTACGCGCGGGCTGGGTTGAGTCCAATGGTGAGCCGTCCAACAACATGATATTACTATTTAATGTCGAGTCCTGGTTGTTTGTTCAATCTAACCTGTTGCATCATCTTTTAGGACGTGCCCTACGTTGAGGCCCATGGCACAGGCACACAAGCGGGCGACTTGGAAGAGCTGACGGCTATATCCAAAGTCTTCACAGGTTCTGAATCCGGGCGGCCTGGTCCATTATATGTTGGGTCCATTAAGGGTAATGTCGGGCATAGCGAAAACACCAGCGGCCTCTCCAGCATCGTGAAGGCCACCCTAATACTCGAGCGTCTGCATATTCCTCCTACGGCTGGCCTATGCAAGTTGAAGGCCGGTCTCCCGCTGGAGCAAATTTCTATTCCGACACAGTTAGTGCCGTGGCCACAGAAGATCAGCGATGGAATGGTCACGGTGCCGCCACGGGTGTCAATCAACAGCTTCGGCTTTGGTGGAGCTAATGCACACGCAATTCTCGAGGAGGCACCTCAGCCGTCAAATTCAGGCACATGTGTGTCCCGTCCATACACTGGTAACACTGGGCCTCGACTTTTTACCCTATCAGCCAGCAGTCAGGAGTCGCTTTCGAAGATGATCGTCCATTATCATCATTGGGTGGAAAGTCATCCTCAAGTTTCACTCCATGATCTTGCCTACACGCTGTGTTGCCGCCGATCTATTCTCTCGTGGCGTTTTAGCTGCGTTGCTTGGGACCAATATTCCCTTATGGAAAAGCTTCAGGCTGGGATGATTGCTCCTGGATCACAACCTGTGCGAGACTCTCCTGAGTTAGTCTTTGTATTTTCTGGCCAAGGAGCTCAGTGGCTAGGAATGGGCCGTGAACTGATGGCAGAAAAAATCCAATCGCCATTTTTCCGTGTTTCAATCCGTGCCTCACGAGACATTCTCCGTGAGCTAGGTGCCGATTGGGATCTGGAAGCGGAGCTTCTTCATCCTCCTGGTGAAGTCACACAGCTTAATAGTGCTGAGCTAGCCCAACCAGCAACAACAGCGATCCAAATCGCCCTGGTCGACCTACTCCGGACTATGGGCGTCCATCCTGGAGCCGTCGTAGGTCACTCCAGCGGAGAAATAGCCGCAGCCTATGCAGCTGGCCATCTCACTGCGCGACAGGCAATGACCGTGGCGTATCACCGCGGATTCATGGCTACCGCCGCAAAGAGCCATGGCCTGCCTCGTGGTGCTATGCTGTCAGTCGGACTAAGCGAAGCTGAGGCTCTCCCCTTTATCAAGAACCTGAGCAATGGCGAGGCCAATATTGCTTGTGTCAACAGTCCGAAGAGCGTGACCATCTCTGGCGATGCGGAAGCCATCGATGAGGTCTCGATGCGCCTTTCTTCTGCCCTTGATCGAGAAGGCGGCGCGATTTTCCAGCGCCGCCTGTTGGTTGACACGGCATATCACTCTCACCATATGCGTGCAGTAGCAAAAGACTACTGGGCTCGGCTCCAAGGCTTGAAACTAGACAAAGAACTTGACCAAGATAGCAGTAAAAATGCTTCTGTCAGGGCGGCTTCTTTTTTCTCTTCTGTGTCGGGCACCTTCAAATCATCCGGTTTTGACGCAGAGTACTGGACCGCCAACCTCGTCTCGCCTGTGCGTTTTAGCGACGCGATACAGACCATAGCGAACGCTCATCCCAGTTCCAGGCACACCGTCTTTGTTGAGATTGGCCCACATTCGGCGCTCGCAGGCCCAGTCCGTCAGTGCCTTTCGGACCCAATCATCGCCAGACCATCATCAGATTATCTATCTGTTCTAAAGAGGGATTCCAGTGCGGTCATCAGCGCCCTGGCGTTCTTTGGGCGTCTATTCGAGCTCGGGGTCAAGCTCAGTCTTTCCAATGTTTTGACCTTGTCTCCCGGGTCATATCCTGGTGTTGTTATACCCGACCTACCGAAATACCCATGTATGCTCAATTTTGTTTCATGTCTCTCGATAAGTGACGCTGAGAAAGTTTACTGACATGATGTGTTAAGGGGACCATTCTCAAAAGCATTTGTTCGAATCGCGGATCAGCCGTGAGTATCGAATGCGTCGAGACCCATATCACGACTTGCTTGGAGCACGCGCCCTTGATGCTACGTCCATTGAGCCTCGATGGCGACACATGATAAGCCTGGCCACTCTACCGTGGTTGGAGCATCATATCGTTGACTCCCAGGTGATATTTCCAGGGTCTGGGTACGTCTGCATGGCCATCGAAGCCGTGAGGCAGATGCAGAGAGAGCGCCACCCTGAAAGCCGACTGGAGACATTGGTGTTAAAGAATATATCGTTCCCCCGGGCTTTGGTGGTGCCCGGATCGCCGCAGCGCACCGAGATGCAATTGAGCCTGACGCCGCAAGTCGGGACGATCCTCGGTTTTAACTTCCGCGTCACTGCTCTGTCTGACGGCAAGTGGTTCGAGCATTGCACTGGTCTTATCGAGGGTTTGTTGGCACCTGAAAAGCCTGAGAGGGTCGTAAATGGTGTCCACGACTCGTACCCCTTAACAAATGGGCACAGCGATGGCAACCAGGCCATGTCGCAGAGCAGAATCTTCAAGGCCGAGGAAATTTATCGTGCGTTGTCCGATGCTGGGAACACCTACGGCCCAACATTCGCCGGCATCCGCCACATGAGTCTGTCCGCAGATGGTAAAAGCGGAAATGCCGCTATTGAGATCCCAAACACGGCGGCTCTGATGCCAGCGGGCCATCAAGAGCCGCACCTGATACACCCCACCACACTGGATATTCTGCTTCACACATGCCTGCCCTTGGCAGCGGGCCATTTCGGTCCAGGCTCTATAATGCCAGTCCACATCGACGAGCTTCACTTGCTGACTACCGCTGCGATGCCATCGAAATCAGGCACAGAGCTTCATGCCACACCGGTGCTCAAGTCAAGCCACTTCCGCACAGCATATGCCGATCTATCTGTGGCAGCTGGTGGAGAAACTGTTTTGCTTGCTTCAGGAATCGAACTGCGAAGTCTTGCTCCTCAGACATATCTTGACGAAGGAAAGCTCCAGGGAATCTGCTACGACCTCGAATGGCGCCCCGACGTGGATTTCTTCAGCCAAGATAGTCCGGCTAAGTTCGCAGGTCTAGCTCAAGTGTTTAGAGCCGTGAATCACAAATATGGAAAACACCTTCGAGTGTTAGAGATCGGGACACGGCACAGTAATCTCTCGCTTGCATTCTTAGGCACCCTCGACGGCCCGAGAAGCACTTGGCCACTCCTCGACTTCGCCAGCACAACGCCTGAATCACTCGATCAGGCACGCAGACAGCTCACAGGTTACCCCGTGCGCTATCATTCCTTATCCCAGGATTATGACCTTTGCAATCAAGGGCTCGACTCATCCTCGTATGACTTGGTGCTCACGTCGAGCATCGAGGCAGCACAACAAGCCTCTATCCTGGTCAAGTCCACGGGCATTGTAGTAGTGGAATCCGCTGCGCAACCAGACGGGTCTCTGATATCTATTTTCAATGCTGCCAATCTTGAAATGCAGCAAACCTCCGCCGATAATTCAAGGGGTAGCTGGGTCATTGTTGCACGGCCATCAGTTCATAAGGAGCGGCCAGTAGTTCCAGAACAGGTTCAAATACTCACCCACTCACGCAACAAAATCCGTCAAAGCTGGGCTTCATCTCTAGAAGACACACTGAGATCTGGTGGTGTCAATATCTCACGCGAACCAATTAGTGCGGTCCAGTTCGGCCTTGGTCTGGATATCCACGCGGAAGATGGATGCACTAGTTACATCGTGGTCCTCGAGGACGAGTCGCAACCAATATTATCTGACCCACAATGTTTCAACGCCGTCGTTGCGCTGCTTCGGCAGCCGTGCCGGATCATCTGGGTCAGTCCGGAACACCTCTTGCCTATGCACCAAATCACAGGCGTCGCACGCACAGCACACGCCGAAAACGCCACACTGCGCCTCACAACCGTTCACGTCGCTCCGGAGCTGCTGTCACTTCCCATTGAGGGTCAAGGACGTCTTGAGAATTCTGGCTGGCCGTTTTACGACATTTTTGTCCGTGTCATGGAATTAGAATGTCGCGCGGAGGAGCACGTGGAGCGCGAATACCGCGTCGACAAGGCTGGTGCCGTCCTTGTTCCACGTCTGCGCCACAGCTTGTCGCTTAACAATGCCGTCCACTCAGATCCACCGCTTGATACAGATCGTAAGGTCGTAACGGGAAAGTTTGTCGACAGTTCGAGGACGCTTTCGTTAGCTTCCGTTGGCCACAAAGGTCCAGGACCAAAATTCACAGAGCGGGTGGTCTTTCACGAGACGGCGCTGGCTGCTGCTACTCTGGCCGAGGACGAAATCGCAATCGAGACGCAGGCTTTCGTACTTTCCACGCAAGGCCCAAAGGCGGCCCCGTGTGTCTATTCAGGCTCTATCACTAAGGTCGGCGCTGCCGTCAGCAACCTATCGATAGGGGATCACGTTATCGCCATAGGATTGGTGCAGGGAGCAAATCGGCTGCGCGTATCTTGCTCTCAATCTGGACTTCTGCCGTCCAGTATGTCGCCCGCTGCTGGGGCCGGGGTACTCATTGACGTCCTGGCCGCGTGCTATTCACTACAAAGGCTCGCCCACCTGTCACCGCGGGGGAAGATACTCATCCATGGGGCTTTGAGCAATCTTGGTCGGGCAGTGGTCGCTGTGTCGAGGTCGGTTGGAGCGCGCATTGGGGCCACTGCAGCCAACATATCAGAGGCTTATGTGATGGCGTCCACGCTAGGGGTCCCGTTGGACGAGGTGATCATACTCACTACTCAGTACTTGCGGCGTGGTGACGCCTGGGCCCAAGATGTGGATGTTATTGTCCAGACTGGCACGGAAAGTGTGCCGGATCAGGTCTTGGCTCGCCTCAAGCCCTTTGGAAGCATTGTGGTTGTTACCACTACCAACAATTCAAGTCCCCACAGCTCTAGTAAGCACGGAGTGGCATCCGCTGTGCCCATGGCCCCTCGCAACTCTGCGCTCTTCTTCTGCGACGTTATCGAGCTCCTTATCGCGCGACCCGACCTGATACCGGACCTGATGACCCAATCCATCGCGACAATGGAGCATTTCCCCGTAACAGGCATGGACCTATGCGTACGGCCTGTTTCTCATGTTGACGATGCAATGCGGTTGATAAGCACAGGGTCTTGCGATAGGATAGTGCTCCAAGCAGAGAAACAGTCGAAGGTGTCGATTATGGCGCTGCCACCTTCACAAGGCAACGCCTGGGCCTCTGAGAACGCCTGTTATGTTATCGCAGGAGGTCTGGGGGACCTCGGAATCCGCCTCCTCCATCTGATGGCTCGTCGCGGCGCGAAGCATCTAGTTACACTATCCCGGCGTTTTGTTGAAGTCCAAGAACAGCATCGTATTCAAGCTCAGCTGCAAGAGCTCAGTCCAGGATGCAAATTATATTGCCTGAATTGTGATCTCACTGTCGAGGAGAGTGTGAAAAAAGCCGCTGCAACTCTTGCCTCGATGGGAGCACCGCCGGTGCGAGGGATCGTTCACTCGGCCGCTTTGCTTCAGGTGAGTTCTGGTTCCCATGATAGGACCCATGAGCCCCTTCCATTAGACCTGCATGCATGAAATGTTCTCTGACCACTGACTGACTGCCCTCGGCTTATAGGACCGGACACTTGATTCAATGACACACCATGATTTTCTATTAGCGAGTCAAGTCAAAGTGGACGGCACATCAGCCCTCGAAAGTGTTTTCACTTCTCCACACCTTGAATTCTTTCTTATGTTGTCTTCTGCTGTCAACATAGTTGGAGCCAGTGGGCAAGCGAACTATAACGCTGGTAACAGCGTCCAGGATGCCCTGGCATATGCGCGACAAGAAGGCTGTTGCCGATATATGTCCTTGAGTATTGGGTGGATCGAGGACGCCGTTCACACCGCCGATGACGAAGCACGACTTAAGTGAGTTGATCAACCCCAGGTTTAGGTTTCTGCTCCCATGGGTAGGAGCATCAACTAACCCAGAGCTATTTGCAGTGGTCTTCGACGGTCCGGGCTTAGAGCTATCACCCACGACGAGCTTTCACGATACCTCGATCACGCTCTTGAAGCTGCAAGCGGCGGTTCTCCACAAGCCATCATTGGGTTCGACGCAGCCTCGCTCTCAGCCGCGACCGCTCACAACGGCACGGTGCGCTCGGCGCTCTTCAGCCACGTCCGTGGCCTGGCCCAGTCAGAGCAAACCGCGGCAGGGACGGACCCATCATCATCGTCTCAGGCAAACACCAACGCCTCCGTCCTTTTCGCAAAGGCAATGGCCAACGACGACCTGAAATCAGCCACCGAAGTTGTGTCTACCGCAATGACCAGCCAGCTCGCGCGCATGATCTCTATCGACAGCGACCGCATCAATCCTCACGCGACCTCCATGCTTGCGCTTGGCGTCGACTCGCTAGTATCCATCGAGCTTCGCAACTGGACGATGCGTGAGTTTGACGCGCCACTGCAGACTTCGGAGATACTGGTAGACCAGACTATTCGTGCTCTTGCAGAGAAGGTGATTTCACGCTCACGCATGGCTGTGGCGGCAAGTGTTGCGACAGAGAGTTGATTGGTGAAATCTATGCTGGCCGGCTAATGTGTTGATGCATACTGTTGACCTTTCAGGTAGTATACATGTCGAAAAGCCTGCGAGGGCTGAGGCGTGGCGTATTATACAGGCCAGGAGTCCGAGAACCGTAGTTATTAGTTTTTGATTGTCCAGAATAAGATATGCGATGGTTCAAAGGGTGTAAGTGGCTTACTTAGACTGTCAATGCAAGGAGGAAGAGAAATAGGCATCCATATAGAGAAAGTGGGCCGATTACGAAAGGAGTAAAGGGGAGGATTTCCTGGCTGATCTAGCGTGGCCTGTTCTCATACCGAAGTTAGCTTGAATCCCCTAAGATCTGACGAAAGCTCCTTGTCGATCCTTCGAGTAGTACGACCAATTGGAGGTACCAGGAAGTGGCTTATGGCTAGTCATGGCCATTTGAAGGTTGGAAATTCAACAAATGTAGCCATATCAGCTCCCAAATTCCCATTTAAACCCGCCGAACCTTTTCTGTCCTCAAATCGGCCGAATTCGTTACACACAATCAACAATGTCTCCACGAAAAGAAAAGTTACGGTCATATTTCAACTCGCATCCTGGGCAGCCTCTCCGGCCAATCCTGACTTCTCTAAATGGAGACGCCTCTTGGTTGATGTCCTTTCCCTGCCCCGCACCACTGGAACAGGGTAACAGGCTCGGCACAAAGAGGTTCTATCACTTCATCACCGATGCCTGGCTGAAGGGACCTGCTACGTTATTATCTCCTTGGCTTGTCTGCATCGAGCGCACTGAGCCCGCGGCTGTGTCTAATGGGAATGAAGTCGACGGGCTTGTTCGCGAGATCGAAGAGCTTGCCGCAGTTGCTCAAGGGACGGTCCTTGATGAGGATCCTGATGCACAACTGCAGCAGCCGTTGTTGGATGCTATTCTGATCAAGCTCCACGTCATCGATCACCTAAATCGGCCAACACTGGAAACATTTGACAGGAGTATTCCCGTGTTTGCCACCGCCCAGGCCGCGCCGACTATCCGCGGTTGGGGCCACTTCGATAGGGTAGTCGAGACACGCGACTATAAGAGGTATAGTGGCGATACCAGCATCGCTAATAACCCTTCATCGACCTCAGATGTTCCACCGGAAGGTCTTCAAGGCCACTGGAAGAGCTTCCACCCCGGCAAGCCGCTGCCTGACTGGCTCAGTGTGTTCAGGCTGGTGGGTGACCGCGACCTAGAACTGGCCACGGCCATTGTCTGGTCTCACGAAGACAGGGAGTCTAACGACGAAAGAAACGGCAAGAATATGAAGAACGAGTTCATTATCGACACACCACACGGAATCGATATTAAAACCGAGTCCATCGTCGCATTCTTCGATGGCAATGTCATCCACAAGAGCACCACAGCCGAAGCAAGTGAGCGACCCGAAGTTGTCGATAAATTGGAATGCCTTGCTATATTCGCTGGGCTCAAAGACAGTTATGCACTCGGAATGCGGTCAACCATCGGCGTGGAAAGGAGTCTTCAGCTATGGAGAAAGGCTGAACCTAGATACTGGGTACGGAGCCATGACTCGCCTCTTCGGTACAGTGGCGCTATCATGAGGTTATTAATGACTACAGACGTGCCTCGGACCCTGGAATATGGACTGGAAGAGGAGAAGAAGCAAATGTTAAAGGGTGGCAAAGTTGAGGATTTGAGGGTGCCTGACTTGGTGAAAGTTCGGAATGGAGAGTGTCTCGTGCTTGATTGACATTTGGTAATTATCTGATATTCAGTCTAGCTCCGGATTAAGTGATCAGATTTCATAGATATAGAGGGGGACATGTATCCTCAATTTGTGACCACGGCTTGACTCTATGTCCATTTGGAGAAACAACGTTGAACTGGGGGTATCATTGACGGCAGACCTGCCTTAGCTGTCTAGAACTGCAGTGACTGGATACATTTGTCAGTTCTAGACAGTTCGAACAGCAGGCTCAGCCTGTATCAGAGCACCCAAGCGAAATCAAGTATCTGAAAGCAGATCTAGAGCCTGTGAAGCTGACATTCGGTCGGATGGACGGAATCTCAAAAGCCCTTGAATGACAGGTAGCAGCGGGCGTAGGGGTGGATCAAGGGGGTCTTCCAGAAGACTATCAAAGCGTTGCTCGAGCCATGACAACTCCGGAACCTCGTCTGAAACAATGCGTCAGCTCACAGTCTCACGGTATGTCGAAGACGACAAGACTTAGGCTAAGAGTAAAGGATTTCCTCACCTGTATCCTTAATATATGGCTTGTCAGAGTCTTCTTTCATTTTGAGCCATTTTCCTTTCCATTCTTCTGGCACGTCTTCCACAAAATGAACCATCTGCGACACAAGGAACTCATCCCCTCCAAATGCCTCAAAAGGCTTGTACCCGAACACCATGTGGTATATCTATAAATTTGTGAGCATTGAAACTTTGGGATAAGATTATTTCGCAGACTTACAACAATCCCGGCCCTCCACAAATCAACACGATAATCAAACCGGTCGTCAAATATGGTTTCGGGGGCCTTGCAGTCAACGGGCTGAGCCAGCCGTGCAGGCTCCTCACCCTCTCGGAAAGACTCACCCCAGTCTATCAGTCGAATGTCTTCCTGGTCCTCATCCAACCAATGATTCCACTCCGCCCGCCTTACCATGTGCTTGGGGAACCTCGGGTCAACCGGCTGTCCGTCTTCTCGGACAAGATCCTCGACGACTGGGGTGCCAATAATTGCTAAGATGTCTTGCTCCGAAGCATGCTTTATGTTATTTGCCGTGAAGGCAATATTATGTGAGCTGATATCTATTACTCGGTCAGTGGGTTAGTTGGGATCTTCTTGAGATCCTGGACGTGGTCCATGTAAGGTGTCGAGGGTTGCCCTTACCGCCATGAGAGATACCCTTTTCATGCAGGCTTGATAAGGCCCCGAGTAGCTGTTTCGACACTCGGAATATGACATTAGAGTCAATGCGATCATCTGCAGTTGGACTGTCGAACATCGAAGCATTGCAGCTCTTGATAACATTGTCGAGACTTGGTCCCAGCAACTCCAGAACAAGACATTGGTGACGTCCATTTGGCCCTTCATGGAAAAAATCATCCAATAGTTGAACAACGTAAAGTTGTCCGTTCGTGGCGCTTTTAGACAATTCCCGCAGGACGCCTATCTCCTTGGACGACTTTTCTTGTCCGCTGTGGGCCGCCAGGATCTTGACTGCAACCCATTCCTCGCGACTGATCAAACAGCGCCGTCAGTTGATTTCATCATGGACCTGGAATGAATTTTGTGTTGGGGTAAACATAGTAGAGAATACAAACATTTTGTCTTTGGCCAACCAGACCGTCGAGAAGCCTCCCCACCCAAGCTTGTGGCGAATCAGGTAGCGACCGTCTTTAAAACGATCCCCTAGAGAGACAGGGTGGAATCCGCCTGGTCTGTAGCCTGCCAGACGTTCTTGGTCGAAGAAGGAATTTAATGGCTTGTGGCCATGTGCATAACTATCCATGCTTGGCTACTCTCGGGATGGTAAGAGAGGCGATGGTGATCTCACACAGACCTTGCCGGGAGGAATGAAGTCGGTTGTTATCCAGGTTCTGGAGGAATATGTGTCCAAGTGTGTGCGAATCGAAAAGTGGAAAGTCGAGAGCAGATACAAACAAGCAAGTGAGGCAGAAAGTGTACTTGAATATTTAAATACAAGTGCAGGTCAGCTATTTAGTATCCACAGGATATAATGTCTGTTAAATCCACTCCCGACTGCGAAGTGGCGACGCAGGCACTCGTGATTGGTTCCTTACCGTCGTGGATCTATCGATGTGGGTCCGTCTACTTGCTTCATCGCCATTCTGCCTACAGTAGTGGATCGCGTGGTATTCGCTTCCAGAAGAGACTTAGGGATATGATTTTGATTATCGTGCATGCTGATACTTCTGTGTAGTAATGCGAAATTCTGCCTCGCATTCGTAACTGTTACTAGAAAGTCCTACTTCATCTCGTCATTCTGCCAGTGTCCGAATTATGTCCTCCGCCTTCGCAAATGAGAGCTCAGTCATCGTCTCCTTCCATAACCTGTCCGAGACTTCCTTTCCCTCCGCAGTGTAGATTATTGGCGCCATACTTCGATTTCATTTGATTAATAGTCACTTGCTTGCATCTCGAGTCAGATAGTCTTGGCTGCCTTCATGTATGTGCAGCCTATTGGAGCGTGCAATCCAGCCTATTCTAGCGTGCAATCCAGCCGTTCTTTCTTTTACAAAGGGAAATGCGAATCCAAGCACTGTCTACCTATGTACTAAATGAATGGGATTCCATCATGGGGCGGGGGGTCCATGTATAGATCCACAGACTTGTTCCAGTTGCTGCGCTTATAAAGTGTGATCCAGGAGAGGAGCCTTCAAGACGCCATCCTCTTCAATAGCCAGAGCCCGTACAGCGTAGTTCCCGTCACTGATAAAATGCCAGTCCAGACTGCGAGAACCTTGAGCAGAACTTTGGTAGCATAGCTATCCGCCGCGGCGGCGTCGTTTGTCCTCGGGAATGGCTCATCAGGGACCGGCACACCCAAGAATTTACACAGAGGGGCCCAGCCCTCGCCCAAGTCCATCTCCAGGAGCTGGTCTTTTGGAACGACAGATCGCACTTTATTGTGATGCGCTTCCAAAATATCTGTTTACGTGGCATGGTCAACCCTGAGCTCTTTTCCGCTGAGGAGCAAACGACGCTTACGAGGACCACCTCTTTTGATTAATTCGGCTGGATTAGCTGTGGTTTCGGTCACACTCAGTCCGGCGAGCTGCAGTGTGGAGCGGCTGTATTCATTCGCAAAAGATGGGATGTACCTCCATCCAGGAATAGGGGCTAGCACGATACCGAGCCATGCCGGCGTCGTTCGGCTAGTAAGAGCGGCGACTGAGACGTTCAGCGTTAGCAATCACGATGAGATGGCGGAGAAATATATTCGCTAGGGTTTTTGGACCAGTTTTCTCCAGGAGATACTCACTACTGTTCCACCACTTGACCGGGTCCCTCCGAACGAGGACCACTCTCGCATTCTGAGTCCAGTCAGCCACTACAGGTCTTGAAGCCCCAGATAATATGTTTCATTACTCTCTCATGAAGATTCAAAATACTTACGGGGTATATCTCCATCATCTCGGGAATAAAATCAGCTGGCGGCAAGTCTGCAGTGCCTACGAAGCCCGCCGTGGCCTCACGGACAAGCTTCAGGGTCTGCTTCTTGACCCCGGCGTTTCTAGCCTCGTATGCCTTGATCCATGTGCTGCAGTAGTCGTCGCCACGCACCAGGATCTGCGTGCCACCATGGAGAATCGGACCGTCCAGGAGCTTGTCCAAGGCCAGGGACATGGACACGGTGCCTGTCCGGGAGTAGCCCGCCGAGATTACCTGGACATCTTGCGAGTCTGTCGGCACGGATGCGACTCCGCCCATGATGATGCTGGCTCGGCTTTTACGTACTTGCTAGTTGAAATTTCAAGAGAATACCGGCTGAGACTTCGCCGCGTTCTTTACGGCGCAGCTGACCAGCGAGTTCCGGTGCTAGCGCTGAGTTGATCAGAGACCCATAGTACCCTGGTAACTAGGACAGCACTAATTGGCAGAAAAGGCACCAACATGTAGACTGATGGACTACATCCTTCGCCTCTGCAACCCTGGAACGGCATCAGACCACGCAACGAGGAACCTACACGTACGCGCTGACAGGAAACCATGTGGCGGCCCTGCTCTCGTTTAAGCGGGGAACGTCTCCACAATCCTACCATGATTCTCCCCACGACAAAATGGCTTCACGTCGCGGACGAAGTCGTTGAGCCCTGGGTTGCTGCGTTCAAAATCACGAGCGAAATCGTCATTGTTTCACATAGCTCTTGTGGCTGATGTAGAGCAATCAGCATAATCGGACGGTCTATATATTCTCCACGTAACGCAAGAGAAAACCAGCCACAAAGGGCGACATAGACGAGCAAAGCCGGATAATTGCCTTCGGTGGCCGCAGACATGAGACCCTGCTATGTAAGTAAAAGTGCGTTCTGAAAATATTCTTGCAATTTTGGTATACAAGAGAAGTGCGATACCAGTTGGGTTACGTGACATTGGATACTGTAGATTAGTGATCACGCATGCACGAGTTGGAGAGCCTATGCGCCTTTCTTGTCTACCAGGCGATTCGCGGTCGTTTGTCATCAGCCCATACAGTAATTATCGTGGAATCATTAGGAGAAAGGTTTTCACGGCTTCTCGCACAATATGCTTGGTTCTACTACGATGATACAAGATCTGTTGCCTATGTATAAAATGAGCAAAGCGCCCACGCAAACCTCCAAGTCCGGGTTCAAAAAACCATCATCGAGACATCATCATCTTTTCATTCACACACATACTGCACAAAGCAAAATTGAGTTTCGTGCAGCAATGGCACTAAAGTTCGCAAGCTTCATCTGCCCTCCTATTCCCACAGCATTGCCATCTCCGGACCCTTCGTCACCAGATACGGGCCTCTGGTCTCCCCTGTGCTGCACTCTGGTCTACACGCCCACATCGGCGCTGATTATCGATTGCCCTCCTAGCATAGCAGCCACCCGCGACCTGGCGGCGTGGGTCAAGGGTACCTTACCCGCAGGCTCTACACTGAAGCTATTCTTGGCCACGCATGCGCACGGCGATCACTTTTTCGGCTTTCCGGTCCTGGAGGACCACTTCCCCGGTATTCAAGCCGTGGCTAGCCGCTACGTCGTCAAGGGCGTCGAGTCTCAATACGCCCCAGAGCTCTATGAGGGCCTGTGGAAAGTGGCATTCCCATCGTCTCCCTCTGGTACTGGCCTTCCGGAGAGGCGGGTCAACTTTAAAGCATTCCCTGAGTCCAACGAAATCGACTTGGGTAGCGGAAGTCTTGTCAAGCTCCACGATATTCCGTACGCTGACACGCATTACTCCTCCTTCGTCCATGTCCCAGACTTGGGTCTTGTTGTGGCAGGCGACATTGTCTACAACGGAGATTGTTACCAATACTTGGTTGAGGCGAACAACGCCGAGCGAAGAGCCAAGTGGATTGAAGCAGTATCTCAGATAGCAACCTTGGAACCGGAAATTGTCATACCCGGACATTCATTCCATGTGCGGACTGAGCCGGATGAACATTACGCCAAAGCCATGTTAGAGTCAAACAAAACGTATATCAGGGGGTTTGAAGAGGAGCTTCAGAGATCCAGTGGGGCTAAGGACTTGTTCTCGCGAATGAGGAAACGGTTCAGTCGGTGGAATCTCTGGATCTTGAGCCAGAGCTCCGAGGCTGCTTTTGGCGCGGATACTGCACATCACAGCTGATCGCAGCCATAGCAAAGTCGCCGTGTAGTACAGTGCAATAGGCAGAGGATCGTGCGAGATGAACTCACTTCAATGGGTGTCTTCTACTAAAACGATCGGGTAAAGTCAGTTCATCAGAGGTCAAAATGTATAGAACAAAGCAGACGCTTTCAGTCACTTTATTGATTGTGATCATTTCCCCAGATCATCTGCTCCAGTTGATGGCTCTTCTTATGCACGAGCGGATGCTGTAGGTTGATCATGAGGACGATACGAGCAAGTCCAGCAGACAACGACCCTTGGCTACGTGAGCCTTCTTCGATCAACAATCTCTCAAGGGCTTTTCCGATTGCCACATCCCCTAAAGCTCGACCGCGGTAGCTTGCAAATGTCTCACACAAGATCCTCCATGCGAATTGAAGATAGTCATATCTCTATTTAAAGTCAAGGCTACTTTTGTCATCAGTCATGAAATGGCTTTCCAATATGCTAGGGTAATCTTTTTGCAAACCATACTGGGCATTTTAGCTCCGCCTACTCCTAATCCGGCTGCTGACCCGTTGCTTCCACTGTTCCAAGGCGATTGTAGCAAACACGGAGACCCCCTTATCTTTTTTCCATTCCGAGTATCGTTGTGCCGCAGACGAGCCTCCCAATCGTACCCCCGCTGAGGCTGCCAACCTCAAAGGCCTCAGTCCATTCCTTTGCTCTCTCGCCTGTATGCTTCCGAATATGTACTGGGGTGAAAAGCTCCGACGCGGCATGGTGCTCTGTATAGGTATGGCGACGCTAGTCTCAATGCTTTTCTCTTTCCCGCGCAACGCATAGACTGCAAGGCACTTCCTGTCAGTGAAGATTCTTTGGTGTGATAATGGTGGAACAATGACACGACGGGTCTTACATTTCCGCACCCTTGCCGCACCCACCAGTAGACTGGCCACAAAGCTCGCGGCCAGCCTCGCACCACCCCTCATGCAGATGACAGCGAGGCGTATCGCGGCATCGATGATGACACCCGACACGACGTCGATCGTCAGACCGGCCACGACAGCAATTGCACACGCTATAACGGCCACTGCGGCAACAGCCGCAACAGCTCCGATTGCGGCACCGATGGCAAAGTCTGTCAGGAGCACACCGGCCCGTGAGGAACTCGGCTTGTGTGTCAGGCCGTGGATCAGGTGCTCGCTCGCCCTCCGGCGCGCTCTGTAGTATCGGCCCCAGCTTGGGATTAGAGCGTCGGCTTCGGACTGCGGAAACGGCGTGGAGAGAGTGCTCAGACCGGGAGCCTGCTGGATGGCGTCTAAAAACATCGCCGGGGCCTGGTTGGGATTAGATGATGTGTGCCAGTTTGAAGGACTGTTTTGGAGGCATCGAGGTGCCGGTTGACTTCATGAATGCTGTTTGATCAGAGTTCTGTCGAGTTGTGCCGCAACCCACATATTTCAACAGATGGAAATGATGGATTGTCCGGGCCACGGTACCATGTGAATTTGCGTGCCTTATTCGTATGGCGAGTGAATGTGTTAGAGTTCTCCAGTCGTTTTACCTGATGAATTGCCGACGCTGTTCAGGTGTTTCTCATCGCAGATCTGCCTTTTCTGGACTGTCTCCTCAGTCTGAGAGCTGACAGCGAAATTTGGGATGAACAACAGTGTAGAGTCAGGGCGTTTCGCAACTTGGCCCCCTGCCGCAACGTCCGCCCTGCATACAAACCTTAATCCCCGGGGGCTGACTGCTGAATTCCCGTTACTTCGATTGCCATCAGGTAAAGAAAGTGCAATATCGTAGTGTGAGAATGTTGTCGATTGTATCGATTCGAGCGATGATGCCTCTCCTAATGGCGAGAGCAATTCGACCCTTGTGTTGTCGACAGGTCCTGTCCTGTCATTGGAATTGCCTAGAGAGCATTGTCCTCTCCCAACTGCGGTGCCAAGAAAGGAGAACGTTCGTGTGTCGGTCATGAGTTACATGTAGATCATTACAAGGCTGGCTGTTCACTGGCTGCATTGACATTCCAACATCATGGTAGTACCCGTGGTTACATGCATGTGCTAACAATTGACTTCGAAAGCATGGAATCGCTGTGTCCGAAGGTAGTAGATAAGACAAAGTGAATGAGATAAGAATAGTCAAACGACCGTGACAGGTATTTACACCTCCTCGGAGCTGGAGCCTGAAGGACATTATCAATAGACGTACAACCTTGTCGAAGACGCTTCGAGAACGCCACACCAATCCAGAACAGCCCTATCTCAGAGCATGCCGTGTTATGCCATGGTGAAATCAATACAGCTCATATAAGTCTGATCCGCTTCCCTACTATCCCACCACCACTGCACGGCACACTTGCCAGCCTCGCCGCACTGACCAGCCACATCCGGCATCGTGATCTGAAAGTCGGTGTTGTTCTTCGCAACGCCCGTGCTCGTGCTGGCATAGTTCTGGAACTCAATCATCGGCGTCCCGATCACGGTGTTGGTGCCCAGGTCGATGACGCTGACGTTGCAGTCGCCCGTGTGTGGTGCCCGGATGTCCACCTTCATCTCTATGGTCTGGCCTGCGGTGAATTTCTGCACGTTGGCGGTATTATCGGCGAGCTGGTAGCCCTTGCACATGAAGAACTGGCACGAGGTGGCGTTGAAGTCCTTTTGTGAGGCGGCGTTCTGCTCGAGCTGTTGTTGGTTTCCGTAGGGGTCACTCTTTTGGTTGTTGAAGGGCTGCTCGCCACATGCTGCCTTGAAGGCGTCGCCGACTGTTCGGGCTGGTGGAGTGGTCACCATACCGTGACCAGCGGCGAGAGCGATGATGGTTGTCAGCACAGCGACAGACTTCATTGTGATTAGAGAAGGCTATTTTGTGAAACGAAAGTCTACTCGGTGAAAATTGGGAGTAAGGAGGGTGAGGAAGTGATGGAATTTGCCCAATTGTTGTGATTAGCTTGAAGTAAATGAATGTTAATATACGGCGACGTACTGGGACGAACGAGTAGTATTGCGATGAAAGACTGTTCCTCGTCTGGAAAAATGGAACGGTTGCATTGTGGGTGGCGGAGAAGAACCAAGTTGTTATATACCGCGGCCTCGATGATCAGTCCGTCCTTTCTTTCAACGGCCACCTTCCCTCTTGAGGATTATCTTTCGAGCCGGCAAGGCAAGTCGCGGAGGCATGATCCAAGGGAACAGGTTGAGTGGTCCGAGTGTTGCGATGGACAGGAGAGATCGCCAGGCTTCACCCCCGCCACCAAATCAGACATCAGACGAAGGGCTTTTGCATAGACCGGTTGTCCGAACGAGACCGTGGGAGATACTTCTCTCCTGTATTACTGGTGTTTTGTAGGGCGAGTCTCTTGCAGCCTTGGCAGAGGATCTCGAATAGGGCAGCGACATCGTGCAACTTTATGAATCTGCCTTGCAGGGCGTAGAAGCTCGAAGGCTTGGTGTGACGATCCAGTTCTTACTAGCAGATCAATGTGATGATCAGAGGTTGCGAGAGGTCGATCACCGCATGGATGAACATTGTCGCGGATGATTCGGTGTTCTGGCCGGCATAGACCTAGTGCCATCCGCTCGGGAACGTTGCGCGGCAAACAAGCTCCCATCATGAAACGCTAGGGGCGCGGTTTCAAGTTGCTGCCGATGACAGCGCTGTGTGCCTCGCATGCACATCCGAATGGGGCTAATTCATGCCTTAGAATGCAATAAGAGCTGTTGTATGTCATGGGGTCAGGTGCTTTTCGCTGCGTTTCTGTCAGTGCGAGCGGCTGTGGCCCGTGCATGCACAGCGAGTTTGCCCTATGTTCCCATCCAGCCGTGGTTCTACCGGCCATTACGTGGCTTCTTTTGGTGTTTTCAGCTCGATGTTGGGCATGAACCCCGGCTGCAGATCAACAGGATGACAGCAGCAATCCAGATGTCATTCACGTGTCGTTTCGACTGCCTTGGACGGGCTGGAGATCCAGTGATGAAACTTGAAGCTCATAAGAGGGATGAAAATCAACACGTGCGAAACGAACGGCAGATTGTAAAATGCCGTGTTCAGGGTGGGCACGAGCATTCGGGAGCTGGAAATGACTACATAGAATGACCGATTCTAGACGACAATGAAGCAAGCCGCGGCAAAATACAAATCGCTCAACAGATTACCTGTTACGGCTACAGTCCTTGATTCCCCGGCAACGAAGAATACAGCCCTGACATCACGGGACATGCAACAATGACAATACGAGAATGAAAAACTATCTTCATGAATACAACAAGTCTTGTGTGGACACGCTAAGATACGGAAGCCAATGGTGGGAGAGAAAAGTTCATTAAAACTTTTGTATATAGGAGTTATTTGCAGTCTACCATGACGTTGACGATTTTCATTGAAGAAAGTAAAAGCTTCAATTAATATCCTGTAGTCATACTCTATGCCATGCGGAACGACCCTTTGGAGATATATTTTCCTAAAGTCAAACATACGTCGGGAAGTTGCATCTTCTCAAAGGCGGAAGGATAAATATTATTGAATCATAATCAGAACATCTATAGCGGGCTCTGACTAGGCATACTGATCAAAAGCTTAAGTAGAGACTCAGGCAATTTCAACCTCTGTCCCTTACAATTCCGTGTTAGGAGCCAACATCGAAGCCAGCCTCCTCAAAATCCCAGGGCCTTTGTTGATGCGACAGCCTGTGCCTTGAACATCACACCTGCGATGACGACACTGTCTGTCCTCGCAGTCGAGCCATTTCAACGAAGTCACTCTTCCGCATCGGCAGCAAGTCCATCCAGGCCCAACCATCATACGGGCTGGCACCTGGCTTTCACTGTGGTTGGTGCTTTCGCGAGACTCGGGTGAGGCTGACATTATGAAATGGATCTGCCTCTTGTTCAGGGACGGTGATTTGGCTAATAGGATCTGGGGATGTGAGGTGATTTGGTTGTACCTCCCAAATTTTCCATGGCGAGGATTTGGAGGATATTTTAAGAGCTTCCAAGGCTATGTACAATAGGAAACATGAACAAAGGTCACCTACTCGACAAGATCTCACTGTTCAATTCATTGTTCTCACAACAGACAATCAGACAAAGCCATGAACAAGGGGTATGGCAGGCTGAAGGCATCATTTTGTCTGGAATGAATCGTCTAAGTGGTAGAATTTGAAAAATGGGTCACTTCGAAAGGTATAGATTTTGTTCCAATGGTGTGAACAGTTATTCCACGGCTCCACGGCTGAGTCTGCCTACAAGTCCACCTTCACAATTGCATCCAAGTGCCGTGTCGAGGACACTCACTCGTGCCCGTTATAAATTCACTTGGGCCTCAAAGATCCTCTTCTCTCAGCAGGTACCTCAAAAATGTTACCAAGTCAGAAGAGGGATTCTCACACAGATGGAACGCCGGCGTATGCAATGCAAAATCCTTCATTGGCTGTCGGAACACCGTTGGGGGTACGTCTGTCGCCAAAGAAACCCGACCATTGTGCGAAGCAGATAATAAAACAAAGGAAACGAAAGTAAACCCAAATTTCCTTCTAACGCTTCTCCTACTCGCCAAGCCTCACAAAGCATGAATCCTGTGACGAATGCACGTAGAGTTATATTCGAGAGTAGTGGTTATCCGCTGCCGCCAACCTCCGAGCGGGCATCGTGGTATACATCAGTTTGACCCGATTCCACATGCTTCCTTTCATTCATCTGCTGAAACCGTTTCTCATTCAAAGGACAATCGATTAAGAGCGCGCGCAATTTCGTTCTCGACCGCGGTGTTCGCACCGGGCGCTGCAGCCGCAGATTTCGCCTCGGCTTGCTGCTCTTCTCGTGACTCCTTCCCCTTCCTCCACTCTGTGCCATTTGGCGAACCCGAAATCTCTGTCTTTCCATTCTTTGTCTTTTTTATCTCCTTCTTCTTGCATGTTGCCTCCTTCGATCCCATGGCCTCGTCACCGCACTGTGCCTTCCACTCCTCCGCCTGTTTCGGATCGACCTTGGTAAATAAAGGTTCTGCTTCGCCAAGCTTGTGACCAGGTGCAATGTAACCACAGTCAAAGACGTCCGGGATATCAAGTACAGGCTCCACGCGTAACTGCCTGGTTATTGACTCGGCTGTATCTGGGAGGAACGGCTGCAAAAGGACAGCGAGGAGGTAGATCAGGTTGAGGCAGCCGCATATAATAGCCGCGCATGTTGCCTCCTCCTCAAGAAAGAGCCCGTGGGCCTCGTGAGCTAGCTCGTTCCCAGCGTCACAGATCTCAAGGATGGTGGCCAGCCCCGAGCGCAGCTCGACGGCGTCAAGGTGGGAGACGTAGGAGCCGAGCAGGCTGTTTATTCTTTCCTCCCATTTGAGCAAAGAGCCGCCGTATTCCTGGAATTGTGTGCTGTCTGGAACCACGCCGTCGTAGTACCTGGGATTGTTGACAAACTTAATGACGCGGTTGACGAAGTTGCCCAATTTCTTGAGTAGGAGGTTGTTGTTCGCGGCGATGAAGGCGTCCCATGTGAAGTCCGTGTCTCTGTCCTCTGGCCTGTAATAGAGTAGGTAGAACCGCCATACGTCGGCTTTTATTCCACTGTTCTTGGCCTGGTCGCCAAACACACCGATGCCCTTCGACTTTGAGAATTTGGTCCCCTCGTATTGTAGGTAGTCTGTTGTAGATAGATGGTGGACCTTAGTCCAGTTCTCCCCGGTAGCGATCTGAGTAGCGGGGAAGAAGATGGAGTGGAAGAAAACGTTGTCCTTCCCGATGAATTGGTAGAGCTGGACGTCTTCTGGATTTTCTGGCTGCCACCAGTCCCGCCACTTTTCTGTATACTCAGCTGTGATGGACAAATACCCAATGGGGGCATCGAACCAGTTGTAAATGACCTTGTCTTCGTAGCTCGACAGGCTAGGAGGGACTGGCGTGCCGAATTTGATGTCCCGTGTGATGCTGCGTTCCTTGAGGCCTTGTTTCAACCAGCCCACGGTTTGTCCCTTTCCGTTGTTTGGCCATTTGCCCTTCTCCGCTGATTCGTTGGAGAAGGCTTCGACCTGTGACTGCAACCTGTCCAGTCTGAAGAATAAGTGCTTCGTGTCCCGTGTAATAGGCGTGGACCCACATGCGTCCAAGTTGCACCGAGGGTTCTTGAGGTCGATGGCATCGTCGAATGAGCCGCATGTGTCGCATTCATCACCTTTGGCCTCTTTGCCACAATGGGGGCAGTCGCCGATCACGTAGCGATCTGCTAGAAACCTCTCATGTGTTTCACAGTAGAGCCTGCTCGTCACGCGCTCGTGCAAGAACCCATTCTCATGCACCTTGAGAAAGATCTGCTGCGCAATGTCCGTCTGGTTCTGAGTCGTGGTGCGCCCGAACTTGTCGAAGCTGATGTTGAACCACTGGTAAATATCTGCGTGAATCTTGTGGAATCGGTCGCAAAGCTCCTTGGGGGTGCAGCCGTCTTTGCCTGCCCTGATCTCCGTAGCTGTGCCGTATTCATCTGTGCCGCCGATATACAGGGTGTTGAGACCGCGCGCTCGACAATAGCGGGCGAAGACGTCGGCGGAGAGCACGGAGCCGATGATGTTGCCCAGGTGTGGCATGTCGTTCACGTACGGCAAAGCGCTGGTGATGAGGATGTTTCGGCTGCCGGAGACAGGCACTATGGGTGAGGTCTCGCGTGATAAAGACATGTTGTCGATAGTTGAGAAATATGACGAAGTCCTCTTGAATGGGATGGTAGACAAGGAGATACGACTCCAGGAGAGGGAATGGCGCCAATAGCGGATTCGATCTTTCTGAGAGATGATAAAGCGCCGCTCAAAAATTGTGTGATTGGGTTTGTTCTTGTCATGAAGTCTGCTGGCTCCAGAGTGAGGACAGGTTGTTGAGCAAAGAATATATTTATCTACCGGCTTAGTTATGCGTCGAAGATGAGTCACTCAGACCGCAAAGGTTCCTACTGGAAGTTGCTTGAAAATAATATGAGTTGCCTGAAAATGACTGAAAATTACTTGGAAATATCATTCTGGTGGATGAACTTTACTGTGTGAATTGTCCGTCCCGTTGGTAGACAGCCGGACCACCAATGGTTTAGTATAGCGCCTCACAAGGTCCCAAATCGAGGGATGGACTGACATGGCGTTTAAGCTAGGCTTCGCACAAATGCTAAAACTGGCTGGCTGGAGAATAATCCACGAAGGGGGCAGATTTCTATTTCTTTTCCATGTGCCTAGCCTAGCCCGCCCATTATCCTCAGTAAGGAGTAATCTGTAGATAGGTCTTGGGCCTGCTACGCCGGCCACCACACGGCATAAAACAATCGCAACAACAAGGTCCCAAGTCATTACTAACTAGCACAAGGTTAAATTCCGAATCGTGAGCTTTGAAGGATGATACTCAATCACGAGGCACCATCAAAGTTGTTAAGTTGAGGCGGTCGACACCGAGTCTACCTTTGGAGGAGAGATGGGTTACAAGTGGCTCGAATGGGAGACAGGGAGCACATTTTACAGCCAAGGAAGTTGTCTATATGTCCTTAGGAAATAGCAACGGTGCTGCCATCTAGAGCCTGTGGGATGCGCTCTGGTGGATCACCTCCTGTGAGATACTAGTAGTAGCCTATTGTGGAATGACTTCCTCTATGACAACCTCCTCCACGAGACGTACAGTAGGGGAAGAGGTGTAGTAGGGCACAACATTCTCTATATTGTGTGGGAACACACCCGAGGAGGAAATGCGGACACAAAATGCAGACCTCGTACTGCAGATGCCATAGATTCGTAGATATTCTTCACGTCATGGTAAAGTCACTTGCCCGGCCTATACAACGCTGCCAACTTTTACGAGTCTGGAGCCCGACCATGCAGCATCGGCTTCCAGTCACCATCATCACCATGGCGGAACCCCGTACCCATACGACACGCCTCTTCCAACATGCCGTCACCAACCGATGGCCGCATGCTGCATCCTCGCAGATCACTTATATTATATTGCCCTTACCACCCCCACTGGACCTCCGTCGCATGACGCCATCGCGACGCCGCGGCCAACAAAGTCGGCCGCCGACCAAGATCGCCAACAGCGCAAGGGGACGAGAAAGACACGACTACGCCGTAGGGCTGCAGGCGTTCTAATTCCGTCCGAACCCAGGCTTATTGGTCTGTGGCCTGCCTTCGCGGGACAGCCCGCAGCGAACCAGAGCCTGAGCCAGCTCTCTCTCTCTCTCTCTGTGTGTGTGTGTCTCTCTGTGCCATCTATTCCTGGAGACTACGTATTCAGCTGTCCTCGCCGGCAGGTCCAGCCGTTCTCGTGCTGATCGTCCCGAGATGCATACACGTGCCGCTCTCGCGCGTGTCGTTTCCCTAGGGCAGGAAAAGAAGCAGTGAGAGCGAAGCTATGCACCTCGCGGCCGCTTTCCCCCGTCAGCTGAGGCTGCATGCAAGCCGCATCCTTAGCGCCGGCAGAGGAAGGAGGAGCCGCGCAGTAAAGGGTGAGGGGCGAGGAGAGGACCTATTGGTTAACCGAACAAGATGAGTATTCTTGTGTAAACACAAGCCCTCACGATACCACCCGATGGCTTGTTTCAAAACCACGGGGGCTGCAGTAGCGCGGACTTTGTGTTGTGCTGTGGACGGGCGGGTTTCGAAACGTGGCCAGCGAGGATGGGGGGAAGAGGTCTGTGTTGTTGGTGAGCAGCCACGCGCAGACGCCCGCGGATTCACTGATTGGGAGATCCGCGGATCGTCCAAGCGCTCGGTCGCCGCCAGCACTGTTGTTGCCGCTGTGCTGTGGGCCTGTGTGGAAACAGGTTGCAAGGATTGCAACATCGCCCGTAAGCCGAATTTCAACAAACACTGGAGGGAATAGAGTCTGACGTTGGAAAATAGAGGTCTGACGAGGTCTCCATGGCCGAAAGGCCAGGGGTGGTCGGGAGGATGAGAGAGACTTCTCTCACAGGAGGGCGGCAGTGGTTCGTTGGACAAGGAGAATTATGAGTCCGACGCTGCCATGTGCAGCATGTGATATGGCAGTCAAAAATGCACACACCCTTCACATACCTCATGTAGCAGGTGAAGACCACCTACAGCTATCGAGTGCAGCCGAGATTGTGCCTGCGCGCAATCAACTCCGGTACTGAGAGTCCCTAGCAGCGAATGTTGCCTCACCCGAGTCAAGATAAACAATAGCGAGCATTCGGTATAGTTTGGTACAGTAAAATTCGCCGAATCTCGGCAGGACTTGGCTTTTTTCCAAACAATGCCTTGTCCGGTTGCCAGGTGTGCACAATAGCCGGGGGAAATAACGCTTGCAGATCAGCCAGCCAGCGGAACAGCTCGAGAGGGCAGAATGGTAAGTAACCAGGCAGCCCAGGACAGTGATTGACTAAGTGGACACACCCACGCACGCGTTGCTGTGATCGCCAGCTGCCGCCCAGTCTGGCCAGCGCTTGGCTATGATTATCACTGCCGATCGAGCACAGCCAACCAGAGCCCCTAGTGGGTATGGGAAGGTGACATGGCGCGTGTGCACCCGTTTTGGGGGGGGTCGATGCTCCGATGCTGTGCCTGCGTGCGCCCGATGCGATGCAGGATCGCCAGGAACGCGAAAAGGTTAAAATTTGACGACGGCGATCCTGATTGGGGCCTGATCTCGGCTAGGCAGGTGGAAGGATAAAGACCAAAAGCAGAAAACCAATGCACACACATGCAGGCGATGATTCAACCGTATCGGTGCGAAGCAAATATCTGGGTAGGGGGAAACAAAACATGCATCGGTGAGCATCAATCGGCATTGTACGTGCGCACATGTCAGGTAGCGGCAGCTAGTCCGGACAGACAGATGCAGCTTGCCGACGGACAACGAGAAATGCCTCGTTCCCCCCCAGTCTCGACGTCAGCCCGTCCCCCGTCTCCAGTTGCCACAATTACGCAACACGTGGAGGGCAGCTGAAGGGCCGAGGGGATACCACAGTAGATTGCGATGGAAGCATGTCGTGCGACGCCGGGCGGTGGAGGGTGGAAAAGGGAAGGCCGGCAGGGAACCCTCTGCCATGCTCGAGTCACGAAAGAGCGGGCCTTTGGGTGATAAGCCTTGTGCTCAGTGGGCTGGGTGGATGCAGCACAGGTCAAGGCTTCTACCACAGTGTAATGTCTCTCCCGAGGTCTCACCAGCACGATGGGAGCAGGGCTGGACTGTGTACCTGTGCCCTGTGTACCCAGGCGGGTTTTCTCTCCCTTTCTCGTGGGACTGACGCCATGCAGACGCAAAGTTTGTGAGGCGACGCAAGTGTATGGAGAAGCATGACGGCGTGGTGCAGAATGTGCTGAGGATGCGGGCTTCGGCTGCGATACTATAGGTTAAACAGGATACTAGTATAGGTGCGAGCAGAAAAGAATCACATATGAAGAAAAAAAAAATTAAAAAAGCCTCAACAGATTCTTCATGGTCCTGCCAAGGCAGTGGTGCATGGTGGCAAGAGTGCCGACAGGTCCGGCTGTCCGGAAACGCGGTAGATGGAGAAACTTGTGGGAGGCGGTGATGAGTTCTGACGTGCGCACAGGTGCATCGTGGAGGTGGTGATGCTCTGGCTAGATTGCTGTACATATATTGTGAGTGATAATGACTCTGACTCTGACCCCATAATGCTGCTGACTGTGTGCCGGATAAGTGAGTGAGTGAGATTGAGTGAGTTGTTCCTGCAGCACATCGACCAAGTGCAGGGCACACACACACACACACGCACACACAGTAGTGCCGAGTGTATGCAGGTACAGCACCTGGGCAGACTTGTTTTAGTGGCCCCCGTCCTGCCCCGTCCTGCCAATGTCTGGGCCCGTCCAGCTGCCAGCACGGCCCGCTGGCAACGTTGCGAGTCGTGACAACCGGTAGCAAGTCTTGTTCTTGATTGGCTGACGACCGGTGACCAGCACGACCGTCTGCATTCCAGTCGCTGGCCGTTTTACATTCCAGCCCAGGACATGCCCGTCCGTGTCGTGTCCGCGTCCACGCCAGCAACCAAAAAAGTAATCTAGAACCCCCCAGAGACCTGCACTAGAAGATTGCCGTGTCTATTCCGCAGTCTACCAGTCGATAGTCCACGCCAGCACAGTAATTTGGGCTCAGGGGAATTGGCTGGGCTTCCATCATCCGCCTCACAGCCTTCGCAGCCTTCGCAGTCCCTCACCGCCGCGTATCTCAAGCTTGATTGCGAGATGCATCGAATCAGGTCACCAAGGGTACGCCGAAAAAGGGGGATTCATCTGGCGGGCCGACCTTCTCATCTTGTCTGGCGTGTCCAGGGCCCTGGTGATCCAAAGAGTTGAGGGCATGGCAGAGCTCTCCGGTCACGGTGGGTCACCGGAAAAGCATGGTACATTATGGAGCATGGAGAATGGAGAAGAATGGGAAGCCATGGGCAGGAGGGTGGGTTCGACAACGCCCAGCAGGTAGCCACTCGTATCGAGGTCGGCACCGGGGAGATGGGGCCGTCGACGGCCAGGACGGCGCACAGCTCAGGTGGTGGGCTGTGGGCTGTGGGAGTCGTTGGCTGCCCTGGCTGGGATTCGCCGGCGGTTGTCCATGTCCACGTCGTCGTCGTCGTGGCCGTCATTCAACGGTGGATATGCTCTGCATACCGACAGACGGATTACAAGATACTGACAGATGCTCCCGCCCCAGTTCAGTACGCAATACACAGGCATAGGACACAGGTACACACACACACATGATCTGCGGTGCCACACCCAGAATAGATGAGTGGTTCTTTGTGTGTGTGTTTTGGTGTTATTATTGGAAGTGAAGGGGATTGAGGTGTCAATCACTCTCTCTCTCACCCATCCATTCATTTGTTTCATTTGTCTGGTTGTTCAGCTGGCAACGGGCCTCCAGAAACGCTGTGCCGTAAGTAATATTAGATGCATTGTGACACTTGTGCCGTGTCCTGGCAGCAACCTGGCAGGTAACAGTAACAGCAGGAGTCTTGGACGGAGGAAAAAAGACGGTCGCCCGGTCGGGCCTTCTTTGGATGAACATTCGTGCCCTGATTGGGCGGGCTAAGAAACGGCCTAATCCAGACTAAGCCTCGCTAACTCGCCGGGCCGTCTGATCATTGCCTGTTCCTGCCCGTTCCTGATGAGAGATTGATTTTTGCCCTGGCAGGAGCAGCCCTCTCATGCTGGGGGGACCCCTGCCCGCCTCTGCCCCTCTGCCCCTGCACCCCTGGCTCCTTCCTAGTCCTTCCCTGGTCCCACCCCTGGCCAGACACAGCCAGAACCAGCTTACTGCAGGTTCCGTGCCTTGGTGCAATTTCCTCGATCCCTCCTCAATCCTCGCAAAGAGACGGGGTGACTGGCACAAGCCCTCGAATAAGGCGACAAGCCTCTCGAATCTCCAGCAGCCAGCCAGCCTGCCAGCCCAGGCCCCTTACCAACGCTGTGCTCACACACGCTGGTCTGGTCCACACCATGGCCCACGTAATCTGCCCCGTCTCCACCCTTGGCCCGGTCCATCGCCTCTCGTTTTGTCTCCTCTCTCCGCCCCCGTCCTTGTCCGTTCATTCATCTTGACTTCATCTCGCCCGTCCCTCGTCTCCCAGGTCTCCCTCGCCTTCTTTTTCCCTTCCCTCCACCCACCCCACGCTCCTTTGCAAATCAACAAAGACCAAAGCCTTCGCTTTTGATCTCAACTTCCGCTGGTGCTCGGTCACTCTCTCACTCCCTCATTCGTGTTCCCATTGCAAGACAATCACCGTCGACACGAACCCACATTCTTTTGAATCACCAAACAACAACGCTCATTCGCACCTCCAGTGGAAACAAGTAGATCAACGCAACAACTCGATCAATCAATCAATCAATCGAAAATCACACAAACAACAAACACAATGGCTCGTCTCACAGCATCCCTCCTCCTGCTCAGCGCCATCGGCGCCTCCGCCCACCCTTCTGGCCACGCCCGCTTCCACAACAAGCAGCGCTCCCAGAACGAGGAGCGTGCCATCGGCGACGTGATCAACGCTGTCATTGACGGTGTCGCCGTCTCCTGGACCCAGACCGAGGACTACGGCGCCGCTGCCACCCCCGCCATCGTCGCCGACAAGCCCAAGGCCGCCGTCGCCGTCGCCGCGACCCCGTCCGCCTCCTCCGCCACGCCCTCCTCCACCCCTACCCCCGCCTCCTCCTCCGCCGCTGCTACGGCCACCTCGGGCTCCAGCTCCAGCTCCAGCTCCTCCGGCCAGGGCATCACCGAGTACACCAGCTTCACCGACCTCTGCGCCTCCAAGAAGAAGCGCGCCACCCTCGACCAGATCAAGTACGCTGGCAACACCGGCTCTACCTCCGACTACGGCTGCAACAAGGTTCTCCTTGCCGACTCCGCCCTTGCCGACAAGTACGACAACACCGCCAAGTTCTTTGGCGCCACTGAGGACATGTACTGCCTCGTCTGGAACAAGATTGGTCTCGACGGTGGAATCAACGGCTTCTTCGGCGCCAACGCTACCACCTTCACCCTGCCTGCTGGCTCCGAGCAGTACGTTGCCTTTGACTCCAACTCTCAGGGTGGTGGCGCCTGCTTCAAGGGCACCAGCGAGGACTCCGTCGAGAAGACTGTCTACGGTGCTATTGCCGGCACCTGGGCCGAGTGGGACTTCGAGAACACCAGCAACGATGGCTGGTCTGGCTACGATGCTTCTGCCATCGTTGCCCAGGCTGCTGGCCTTACCGTCACTGGCATGAAGATCTGCGCCTCCAACGCCGACTCTGCCTGCTCCACCATCACCTCCGGTGGCGCCAGCTTCGTCAACTCCTATGCGGCTGTCGATGCTGACGCTGATGGCATCGGTGGCCAGGTCTCTGGCCCCATGAAGATCACCATCGACCTGAGCGGATACTAAGGGGGCGTCGTTTCCTCGCACTTGGTTGGCTATCTGCCCGGTCATTTTGGCATACCTTCTTCAACCTGACGGCCGGTGATTGTTTTTTATCCTGACTATCAAGCCATCTATGACAAGATACGAAGTAGCAGTCACGGGCCCGATACGGGAAATGCTCTTTTGGACCTGGATCTGAGAAAGGATAGCTCTTGTGAAATTTTCCTTTCGCACTATCCAATACCATCCCCCCCATTCCTATGATACCACCAACCAAGCGCCACGTCGCGCGGCCTTGGATACGTTTTTTCTCTTCTTTTGTGTTGGATGGCAAGGGACAAAAGAGGGCTTGATCTCGCCAGGAGCCCAATATGCAGCGCGCAAAGGGCTCCCATGGACTTGTTTTTCTCGATACAAAGTTGTTGGTTGTGTCTTGGTTTTACAGGCGTACAAATCACATACATCGGCTGGCTGGTTCTTCCCACTACATCTTACGGAAAGCAAGGCAAAGCAAAAGATTATTCTTGATAGTGTTTATTTTGATATGAATGTCATTTGAAGAAAAAACTCACATGTTCGCCTGCCCTGAAATCTTGTGATGCTATCCAGTGACGGTGTGCCCTGACGTCGCTCTAAGCTTGATGTTTAAGCTTGACGTCTATCTCCGCTCTCCTTGTCAGAGTTCATCCCATTCTCTGTTACGTGTTTCGTCTGATGGTACACGCCCCGGTTTACAAGCTTTTCACCCTGCCGGCTGCCGCGCAACCACTTAGAGAATGAAAAAAAGAAAGATTTTTTTTTAAAAAGAAAAAAATTTCAACAGCTTGTGCCTCTCCAGAACTTGCCCGCGCTTGTACACCTCCGAAATGCAGAATGAGGATCCGGGCCCGGATCCGCTTGTGACTCAGCCATCTGGCCGCACCACCTGGCAACGCAACGGACGAGCCAGCCGTGGAATGCAAGCTACGGCTGGCTTCTGGCACCGCGGAATCGACTATCAACTACCCTTGTGCCCCGTCCCGCGGGGATCGGCGCTGGGATCGTCGGTCTGCTGGTCGTCGTCGTGGCAGCGTGGGGTTTTGAGCAACATGATTTATGGTATGGAGTGCTGGTTGTTATTTTGTTGCCCTGCCACACGTGGGAATGGTTCTACTATGATGTGGACCGGCTGTTGAGTACCGAGAGATGCGGACGTTGGTTTGGATGATCCATTTCTTTAACGGCGGGCAGCTGTTCTGGAGACGCTGTTGTTGACCACGAGCGTTTTTGAAGAAGTTTTTAGGAATGACACTACAATGGTGGACACGCTCAAGTGGGGATAGGTTATGGAGTTGATGGTGTTGAGTCTAGCTCATGCTTCGCTTGTCCATTTTCTTGACCAACTTCGGGCTGGACACAAGTTGCTGATCTGTCATGGCTGCTATGACCCCGGTTAAGCCGGCGCTGCAGGACCTGGGATGTGAGGATGAGGCTGAGATGGTTTCGGGATTGACCCATTCCATCAAAGGTAACATCAACGTTCTTTAGAAACACAGAATATCTTGGCCCCATACTCCAGAGAAATGTGTCTTTCAGTACCTCATTCCCATATCCCAGCCGTCTGTCATTGTTTGTCCTGTATTCTTAACGTCCTGGCAGCCATCATTGACACCTTTAGCCAGATATATTGAAAACGGGCCACCTAAATAGAGTAGAGGGCACGTTCTGGTAGTCCCCTCCGTAAGAGGAAGAGGGCGCTCCAGCGCGAGGGAAGAAATAAGAGGAATAGAAGGGGGCATATAGTGCGCAGTCTCGAAGGTTCTTAAGAAAGAAGCCCAGTAGATACTGCATAAAATAAGAGAAAAGAGTGGATTGAATTCTAAGCGGATAATTTCTAAAGCCACAACTATCTGGGGGCTTCTTTACTCCCGTCCCCTGTGAAAGCGAATGTAACCTACTACTCTCCACAGCAATATTTGATCACGACAGCAGGTTCAAACCTCCCAAGCCCCAGCTCTAGCCTAGCCGCAGACTTGGACTACTTCCAGGACCTGAGCCACCACACAAACATCAATTTAGAGCCAAGGCACGACCTATAGAGCCTGGTCTTCCTAGAGGGACTCTGCCCTGTCCAGCTTCCCCGCCAAGGCCCCGTCGTCCAAGAAACTTCCCCACATGGCAGCCTCCATCAAGAAGTTCACTTGCCAGGAATGGAAGCTCGCATGACTTATGAGCCAGCTCATTTCATAGACCAATCCGTCGTGCCAGCACTGGGCCAGGGCTTCATGCAGGTCGCGGCCGAGTTCTACCTCTCTTTCGGGGTTAACAACTCCGGCCCTGACGTACGCGAGCGGACCTGTCACCAGGAGCCCCCAGAGCAGCTGCAGCATCTCGCGGCGCTCATGGCCATTAATGACCTCGGCCGCCTGATCACACGTCTCGGCGCCGTCACAGGCGTTCTGGAGTGGACGGCTGATACCCGTGGTGTGGTAGTCGTCGTCAAAGGCCTCGTCGACGTCTGCCTCGCGCATGATAGGTCCCGCGCGGCGCACCTTGTCGTATCCCAAGACCGCTCTCCTCAGAAACATGTGTCGGCCATTCTGCATGTGCCATAGGCAGAGCAGGGAGCTCATGGCCGCTGCCGGCGTGTTCCACCGCTCCGTCAGCATGCGGGCACATGTGTGGCTGTACGCATCGTAGACAGTCCTGAGGACGTCCTCGCCCACAACGCCACGTGCAGTCTCCGTGATATCCGCGGTATTGAGGAAACTGTTCATTATCTCGCTGTTGCCTATATCACTTCCGACATCGACGACATCCGTACCCTATAGCGTTCATATGTCAGGAGAGGTTATTATCGAGGCGCGGATTAGAAATATCTGCTGACAGGGGTCTGCTGGCGCAACTCGACCTGGGTAGATCGAGCTGCATTGACACAAAGCACGTACCGGTGAACTGAAAACCAAGTCACTCATGGTAGCAGGCGTGTCATGCCCGCGTGTGGCAGCTTCGGCTGCAATTCCCATGAGGCTGCTTTCGCCAAACATTATACATTGCGCTGTTCTGCGATCAAACTTCGCAGACAGTCCAGAGAGGTAGGGCAAGTACTTATGTTCGAGCGCGACCTTACCGCGGATATACCGTAGTCCAACCCTGGCAGCTTCACGCCTCTCGGGTCCTGCGAATGTCGCCAGGGCGTGAGGGTCATTCGAGGCTGCCTCGAATAGTGGCTCGAACTCGGGAAACACGCGGTTGAAGCCATGCTCATAGAAGAAGGCCATGTCGACACAAAAATTGCTGTACAGGACTTGGGGGTCGTACGCGCCATTCAAAAGGTTTGTCCATCCAACGCCAAATAAGGTGTTGGTTGTTAACAGAGGTGGAGGCCAGTCCTGTCCGTTCACCAAGTCAATAACTTTGTCGGACGCGCGCTGGATGCCCTTTCCCTTGGCTGGCAAGACCCTTCCCTGTTCTTGCTGCTTCCGCTTCCATTCCGACAACTCTGGTGACAGACGCAGCTTGACGAGACCGATTCGTGAGTCGGGATCTGGACAATCGATGCTGTTGAATATCCTGGTCATAGCTGCCACCGCCTCGTCGATGACTCTGCTGCAGGCGTCCACGCCTCCATCTCCAATAAGCTCCCTTGCCTCGACGTTCCCACTGTGGCTCGGGAAAGGCTTTAGCTCGCCTGAAGCGTGCTCAGCACCCCAGAAGTATGGCCCAAGAGGAATGGAGCTGTATTTCTGCATGTATACTGACGAGACTGGCTCGGCTGGCTGCACCGCAAAGAGCCTGCTCCAGCAGTGATTCCCATTTCCTGCAGTGGAGTCAGCACTGATGTTGCCCATCTTCTGTTTGGCGATAGAAGCCGGAGCGAGTGCTGTGATGCGATGAGGTGTTGAGTAACGACGAGAAGCAAAAGGTTCAGGGAACTCGAACGTGTAAAGCCGGGGCAATTTATACCTGAAGGAGGATTCCCCTCTGTTGCGGTAACTTTGCTATTCTTTAATTCAAGTGCGCCTGAGTCTCACTCCCAAGAAGGAGCCCCCTCTGTCGCGGTCACTTTGCTATTCCTTTAATCAAGTGCGCCTGAGTCTTACTCTCGAAGTGGTTCGTAACCAGAGTAGTACCACATTCCAAGCACCGGTGCTTACCCGACTGAGGTATCATAACTGAGATGTCATGACATCCTCCTTATATAACCGCCACGACTTCACCTATGAATTGTAGCTTTTAGTCTTCTTCTCTTCGCGTAACAACAAGTTCACAACTGTGACTTATCCTCCAGCTTTGTGACATCGTCAGTAATTTGGTCCAGTTGCACGAAACTGATAAACCACCAATTTCGTTACCAGACAGTTCAAGGATATAAGTGAATGGCCTCAACATGTTGATTCAAATGATACTGGGACCCACTTTTACCAGTAGTTGGGAAAGGTACCGCGAGGCTCGCTGACCACATCTCGCTCTGGACCCACGCCTCGCTCTGGACCCACAAGACTGCCAGTGTGGTGCGGCAGACATAACCAATTACGATAGCGGCAGCGCGGACTGAACCACAAGTATTACAGTATCTCTCGTCAGAAAATCGAGTATCTGTCATCAGGAAATCCATGGCATTTTACTTCTCACAAAATGCATGCAAGATGTGAGCGTGCGTCCGGGCAATGTGTTCCTCATTGAGCTCAGAGGGCACACACATTGCGTACCCTCCTTAACTCATCAGAATGAAGAAGGCCCACACAGGGGGCTTGCTTTGAAGTCTTTAGGATTTGGGATTGAGATACCGGACTTCTGTGTTGATGGACCCCACGACCTGCTTATCAGGTTGGGGGCGAACCGGCAAAGGCAATGATGTGATTGGAAGTGGGGGAACGATCTGTGATCAACTTCCGATGAATCTGCAAATTGTTCATCTTGACCATCCAACAAACTAGCCTATTGATGACCGACCAGGAATTAAAGTGCCTGAATTCTCAGTCATCACGCTCGGGATCGCTTTGAAGCATCATCGCAAATAGTATTTGCTCAATCAAGAGACTAAAGGATGGCGGACGTATATGTCCCCGTGTCAGCGGGGTCGCCAAGTTTGAAGGTGAATGAATATCGGTCTATTTGATGGATATCACATGCGCTTACCCAATTCTAGGACAGCAGTCAATACGTCTACTTCCATTCGGGATCTGAAGCAACGTACCGCAAGGTCGCAGACAAACCCTCATCTTTCACTTCGATTCCTACTATCGACTTGGGCGCACTGGATAGCCCCTCACTTGAGGATCGCAAGAAAATTGCAAGAGATATCTACGAGGCTTGCTCTCAATGCGGATTCTTCTACATTGAGAACCATGGCATCTCCAAAGTTGTCATTGCAGAAACGCTAGATTTGCTCAAGCAATTCTTTGCGTTGGATATAGAGGCTAAGATGGACGCCCATGTGCACAAGAACCCTGCAATTCGAGGTTACGAGCCGATGCTTGAGACGAGGCTGGATCCTACGACGAAAGGAGGTAAGTCATGGTGCTTTTTGAGCCTCGAGGCAAATGCTGATATTCTCCCGTAGATATTAAAGAGGCGTTCACCATGGGAGACTGCGCGATTGAACCTGAACAGGGTTATGTCGGCAAAACAGGCCATCAACCGCCACCATACATCACCAAGCCACAAAATATCTGGCCTCCCAAAGCCCCTTGGTGGCGTGAAGGACTTTACAAATACTACAACACTATGTTGCCTCTTGCTATGAAGCTTACTAGAATATTCGCATTGGCTTTCGATCTAGATGAGAACGAGTTCGACAAGTACTTCAAGTTCCCCATCACTGGTATGAGGGCGTTGTACTACCCACCTACTCCAGCCAGTGAGGGAGCTCCGAACATAGGACTTGGCGCACATGCCGACTTCTCTTGTAAGTCAAGTTCAACAACCCATGATATTTTAAAGTCCAAAGCAGACAGGGGCTGACATTCTTCAGGGCTAACACTGGTCCTCCAAGACTCAGTTCCTGCTCTCGAGGTACTCAACAAAGACGGTATCTGGGTTGATGCGCCCCCCAAACCCGGCACTTTCGTCTGCAATGTCGGACAATACCTCGAGAGGCAGTCCAACGGCAAATTCCAGGCGACTGTGCATCGGGTCAGGAACAGAACAGGACGCGAGCGGTACTCTTTGCCCTTCTTCCTGACACCGGACCCAGATGCGGATTTGGAGGTCTTGGATTGCTGCGTGGACAAGGGCGAGGATCCTAAATACGAGAAAGTCAACGTTGGTGACTTTTACGTTCAAAAGGCTTTACCAGCAAGGAGCAAACATCCGACTAGTATAAAATACAAGGATGTGCCGAAAGAGGAGTTGAGATACGGCCTGCTGTTGAGCTAAATCATGGGGGCTCTATGCTCAAACAGGCGGTAACAGAGGTTGTGGATCATCGCTGCAACTCAGTTTTTCTGACCATTTCTGACATCTCTGGCGTCTGAGTGGCAGTGATGTTCTTTGTGAATGGCTCCCGCAAAGCTCCTGGAACATCAAGAGATGCGATTTCCCGTGGTCAATCTCATGGGGATGATCGAGAACCTAGCACGGAATACATGTAACAGCACGCTGTTGCCCCGTAAATGCCCCAAGTTAAGCATAGAGACTGGTGTCATCCTCCTCCCTTCCCGAGGTCGTTTTAGAATTGAGTCAGGTCTTAGGATGCTAAGCACAAGTCCCTCTTTTACTAGAGTCGCCATCATTATCTCAAGTGCCTGGGAACTTGTAGTCCAGCCGTATAGACCACACACGGTTTCACTGCGATACACTACCAGTGGCCGTTACCCGGTCCTAGACGCAAAGCCCCGTGGCATCCAGCCACTTGCCGGTTGGCCCTGTTCGAGGTCGTACCACTCCTGCTCGAGCTCTTCCAGTTTGATGCCGTGTCTCTCCGCGTAGCGTGCGATGCCGTCGGACAGATCTGCACCAATGCCGTGAAAGCTGATCAAAAGCGGCTCTTCGTTCTGTTCAGAGCTACTCTTTTCACCGTCCTGGGCCTTGTCGTAGTACGGCTCCGTGGTTCTGCAGATGAGAGAGATATTGGCTGGTCCGGGACGTTTGGCCAGTGCTTCGTAGTTGTATACGAGCATGGGATTTGGGGTGGATTCGGATGCCAAGTAAAGAACAGTCGTCTGCGAATGAAACAGCACGCCAGTCTCTAGGAAGAAGAGTAGTCCTGCAGAAGCAAGCGAGATTAGTTGTGCGGAGGGAAAGGGGACACAGCCAGGCAGCGTAGTGTCGGCAGCCTGGGATGGAAGCAATTGTGAAGGGAAGCAAGGCTGGGGAAAACTTCACCTTTGACGTCTTCCTTTGACCCCTCGTCTTCTGACTGCTCAAGGACCACATCACACACCAGTCTCGCATCCGAATCTTCATCTGCTGCTGCTGCTGCACTGGCATCAATCACCGACTTTTTAAACGGCGCAAGTTGCTCATTGAATACCCGTGTTATAAGACTGCGGTATGTCTCTTGCGGGTCATCGGCAGCTTCTCCGATCTTTCCTTTAAAGTTGCTGCCGGACTTGCTGTCAGGAAGCATGAAGGAAATGATCTTGGGATAGGTCCTCTTTAAAGCCGATGCGCCAACAGCGGCGGTTGGGACGATGATGACTCGATGGCCGTGCCCGGTGGATGACCCATTTTCTTTGGAGCTAGGCTCGTCGATGATGAGCAATTGCTCTGCGAATGGTTCGTCAGTAAAACATCCCGGGAGGTGCCAGTCATGACTTCCTAGGTAGATCATGCATAGAATTAGGCAGAGATGGTGAAACTGACCAACATGTTGAAAAGGGACCATGAATGTCGGCGAAGTAACGATGTCCTTGGGATCCTCCATGTCGCAACGGACACGCAGGCGATGGCCTCCAGTGCCTGGGCTTAGGGCTCTCGCCAGACATGAGCTCGAAAAACATAGGCCCGTTCAATGGCGAGTGTAAAGTGAGCACAGGACTCCCAAGGAGGTATGTTCCACATCCAAACCAAGATCCAAATTCCGAAGCGCTAACGCCCTGATAGTACTGATTATCTTTAGTGTCTTCCTTCACCTTCTTGGGAGGCGGGCCGCTCTTCCCATTTCTCTTTCTTTTCGCACCTGCTGGCATGTTTGGATGTGTCCGTGGCACGATGGGCACAACGTGAAATGCTATAAACGTGAGGTACCAGTGCAAGTCGGGGATTTGAGAGGAAGATTGCTGATGTCATTTATTCACTCGATATTTGGGAATACAGATCTACATTACGTAGGCTATGTAGACATGCTACAATGCGTCTTTGCTGTGCGACGATCCGATCTCTTCTCCACAATTTGACGTGACCGCACGTACCACCGCGCCACACTGCTAGGGCCCATATATACCACGCGCGTCTTTGCAGGGTAAACAAATTCGAGCGCTGCACACATTGATATCGATCCACCACCAACTTAAAGTCAAAGTCTCAAGAGTAGGAAGCCGTTCCTAGATGCTCACATACAACGTTGGGACAGTACCGCCACACTTGAAAACATGTGAAAATTTTCATTGCGGGGGCCGTGCGGCTTGCCTGCTTCGTGCAGCTAGAAAAGTCCTGATGGTATAATTAATACAATCTGAATTTCAACAACTCTCTTTTTTATTTTATTTTAGTCTATCATGGAATTGACACTATGGTCACGAAACGACCACCCGAGCCTAAGCTATCTATCCAGGTACAGACAGACACGTCCCATTTTGACGCTGGCGTGCTTTGCTTAGTGTGTGTCTAATTCTAACCGTTTTCCCGCTATCCTGCCCCTATCATCCACCAAAATGTAGAAAAGTATATGTGAATATATATGGATAGAAATGTGCACGTAGAATAAAATCTCACTCACACCCAAGTTCATGTACTTGGCATTTTACCTTGTGCTACGATACTCTCCAAGTTACGCGTCAACCTTTCCCTGTGGATGAAGTCACATGGCACCGACGTCTTCAAGGTCCTGGGGCGAACTACCCACTGAAATTCGGCTACTCATACTGGAGGCCTTGCTCGATAGCGGCTGCAAATTAGCTCATCTTGCCACAGTATCACGAGAATGGCAGAAGGTCATCGAGAGGCGTGTCTTCGCTCGAATCAAACTAACGCCATACTGCCTTGCCGACTTCGCGACAAATATTCACCGCAACCGAGCTCTTTTACATTATATATGGTTTTGTGTGGAGCTTGGAGAGTATGATTGCAGACAATGTGATGCCCATTTCGACACTCTATCCTATGTCGATGCCAATCTGATTGCTAGAGCAATTCGGGACTTATTCTGGACTCTCCATGCTTGGGAACCGAACGGCGAACTACTACTAGACATTAGCGTTTACTCCCAGAGTGATTCGAAGCATTGGTTCAAATACTTAACCTTCAGGCCCGATGTTCCTTCGAGTGAGTGCGGCTGGAGTACAGGCATAGAGCACGCGCTGCCGGGAAACATTGACGACGACGAACACGATTGGACCGATGACAATGAGACCGTGCCAGTGAAGATCGCTTCTGCTATCACCAATAATTTTGCCTTGATCGATTTCTCAAGCTCCGTCTTCCATGGTCAGCGGAAGGAAAGGGAATGGTGGATGTCATTGCCCTACGTTCCGGCGATCACAGGTCTAATTCTGCGTCAACAAACCCGCCGGCAATGGAGCCCCTTTTCGCTTCAACACATGTTTGAGCACCTCTCCGGACTTAAAGAGATATATCTTGAACCGTGGAAGCAAGTTTTTGAAGATGTAACGTCATATCGAGATAAAAGTCAGTATTCTCTCATGCTCCCCATTTAAGTACAAACTAGAAGTATGCTTTTAAATGATGGATAATGCTGACTCTTGCTATGACCGTTAGGTTATGTATCACTTCTCGGGCGTCTTTTTTCTGCAAAGTTACAGAAGATTGTGATTTTTCAGAATTATAATCGGTACTACTCGTCTTTCTCCAATGCACTCGATTCGAGTACATCTGGTTCCGATACATCTGATACCGACACATCTGATGCCTATGTCTCAGATGCCGAAACATCGGACTCCGCTCCAAACATGATTCGCACCTTGAGCAGGGCAGCTGCTGCTAGCAGTCTCAAACTCGAATCCTTCTCAGTATCCTTCCTTGTGGACGCCCAGTACTTTTTTTCCGCCTCCAAAGCTTCTTGGAAATGGCCCAAAATGACCTCGCTTATACTTACTTCGCGACTGCTTGGCCCGGAAACTCGCAGAACCGACATCGACGGTGTGCTTATATCAGCGGCAGCGACAGCTTTGAATATGCCAAAGCTTAAGAGTATGGAGATCTGGAATGGAGAGGCCCAATTGGCATCGCTTTTCAGATACCAACCAAGCGGAGGCCAAATGTACGCTTCCATAACTTGGAAAAGTACATGGTGGTTCACCTTACGACCTCCCGTGATTCGGGCTTGGGAGGCCGTTGCGAACAAATATGGCGGTCGCAAGCTCACTATCAATATGGAAATTCTGGATGTCGATCCCTTCACTGATATAAAATCCCATGGCGACGCAATCCACTATTTGAAGCTCTCACAGCCCGTGGTCCGACCTGTTTCATTGCAGCAGATCCGCACAGAGCACAACATCCATCACATGTGGGAGGAGAGAAAGAGGTAACTGGAGGACGCATCTCGTGGGGCGAGCCTTTGGGTGAGCAACTAAAGCGGTCTTCGTTCCGCTTTTCAGACTCACCTCCGCCCAAACGCCCAACTCCGTCTTCAATTGGTGAGGTTTCGGGCTCACTGTTGCCTGAACCGTGCAAAAGCAAGTTGGAAGGCGTTCAATATCCCGGTCCGCTTACATCATCTGTTCAGATCACAGAACAACACGAGCATGCACCAACACATAGCATGTCCATCTCTCCCTGCTTCTTGAGCCACTCAAATGGTGGCCGCCTCCTTGGCGACGTCCCCGTCTCCCCTCTCTAGTTTCTGTTCTCCTTCACACATCACGTCGGCTGGAAGAGATGTTCAAGCATGTCAGACACATCGTCAATGCCTTGACGCCTTTGCGTCGAGGGCTACATCTTCAACTCCCCGCAGCCATGGCCCTCGGGGAACAGCCCTTATCGCCTCGCACATGGCATCACAAGCGACTCTTGCACGGTTTCCTGCGCTCGCTTTTTGCACGTCCGAGTACCAAACAGTCACCCGTTCAAAAACAGCCTCAGACGGTCGACACAACAACCAGTGCACCCTCAGACAATACCCCTGGTTCAACAGTTTCGGGCCAGCCATTGATGGCCGGCCTTCTGCAGGGCATGACTCCGGACCCAGGGTTGAAGATACCGTCTTCTGACGACGCTCTTGAAGACATGCTACTTTGGTCCCCCGATCATGGCATCGACCATGACATGATTCGCTTTCCCACTACACGGAAGCCCGATAAGAATCGCGTTTGGCGCCTTGAGGGATACACATCCGACGGTGAGAGCATCCAGCTGCATTACAAGCGCGATCGTACTTTGGAGTTTCGATGGTCGGTGTCAATGTCCAAGCTGTATCTTCGAGACATCTGTCAATGCAGCAAATGCATTTCCCCGTCCTCGGGCCAAAAGACTTTCTCGACTTGCGACATAGCTGGAGTCCCTCGGCTGCGCGATCCTGATTCCGAAAGCATCAAACTGTCCGTGGACGGCGATCTTGAGATCACCTGGGAGGACGACTTTCTCACCGGTGGTAAACACACTTCTACGTATCCTCTGAATTTATTGACACGCGTGGAAACATTTGATGGTAGACTATACTCCTCTCCTCAACCATCACGCATCTTCTGGAACAGTGCCAAATTTCGGGCTGATGTGGAGTCAAGGCTAGTTTCCTACTCAGACTGGAGTAAGCAGCTCTCAAATAATGTTCTGATTCTTCGAGGGAAGACAGCCATATCATTCGTGGATTGCTTGACCTTGAGACAGGCCATTGGCAACTAATGCCCCTTTCTTGCCCCTTGCGGCATGGAAACTTGCTTCTGAGTGCTTTGAAGGCTAATTAAGAATGCTACAGTGGACGGGGGCCGAGAATTTGCGCGGGCTGTCGCCGACCTCTATCGCTATGGTCTAGTGTTCATGCGTGGCGTGCCGGAATCCCGGTATGCCGTGCAAGAAATCGCAGAAAAGATTGGAAACCTTCGGTCTACATTCCATGGGCTCACATGGGATGTTATATCGAAGCCCGAATCAGAAAATTTGGCGTATGCCAACGAATCTCTGTGCCTTCAGCAGGACCTCCTCTACTGCAGCAACGTGCCCAAGGTTCAGATTCTACATTGCCTTGAAAATGGCCGCGAGGGTGGTGACTCATTGTTTAGTGATGGACTGCGTACTGCCTATGAATTGATAGTGAAAGACCCACGAAGCTACGAGGTCTTGAGCAACCAAATGATTGGCTTTCACTATGATAAGGAAGGGCACTACTATTGGATGGACCGCCATGTAATACAGTCGAAACCATGCGGAAGTCCTTTTGGGGTAGCCTGGTCACCTCCTTTCCAAGGTCCATTTCGCTTTAGCAGTCACCGAAAGCCCCTCAAGTCAAGAAAGGGCCATGAAAAACAGCGGGTCGAGTCGATGTTTCAGGGTTGGAGCAAAGCTGCCAGAGCCTTCAGAGACGGCGTGGAGTCTCCTGAAAACATGATCCAGTATCGTCTGCAACCAGGCGACTGCGTCATCTTTGACAATACGCGGATCTTGCATGGGCGGACACGATTCGACGGGACTGGCGGGCGGAGACATCTGCGCGGCGCATACATCGACAATCAAACATTACGGAGTGCCTTTATAGGCCTCTATGAGAAAGATTTGTTGATGCCAGAAGGCATCACGAAAGAATCGTGGAGAAAAGAAAAGGAGAAATCTCAGAGTCGCCTGGACCTGGCAAGTCATCAACCATGAGCTCAGGGTCTGGAAGATCTCCATACACCGATAGGTTGGGTAGGGTTAATTCGATTTCTAAGGCATACTTACCTCGGAAAATACCTGTGCCTGAAGCTTCATCATGGATCCAAGGATGATTATAGCTTAAATTTAAGCATAGTTTAATTTAGGTATCCCCTGGCGCGATGGCGGAGCGTAAGTTTCGGTGGCCAAATTTCAACATTCAAGAGCAGAGTGGGTAGGATGAATCCCTTTCTCTTTCATTTTTCTTTTTCTCTCATGGCCAGCAATTTTCTGTGACAGTCCCTGCTGCTCCCCAGCCCCTCCGGCATAGGATATCTGGAGGAATCGCGTGTATACCGTCAATCCCTGGATGTTCGTGCGCTACTTTAGTATCATTCAAACATCTGAAGCATTGAAGCCCTGAAGATTCCAGAGCCACCATCCCGTTCCGCCAGGGGCAGCGTTATCACCTAAACGTTGAATGTTCACAGAGTCTCATTGCATGGCCCACAAGCATACACACACACACATCCAGCACATCAGCACGTGCTTTCTTCTGTTATGACCTTTTCACGAAGAGGTTGTTCATGTGATTGTCTAGGCAGTGAGCATCACAACTCGGGCACATTGACATCGGGTTATTTTGCATACGACTTCGAAATCCGAAACCTGGTTCTATGAATGTACTGGTAAATACCTAGGGTTTTCATGAGCCTGGCCAGACTAATTCGGCGCATGCACACAGCAGGCTAGGCCCGCAGCCCCTGCAGGCCATCCTGCGATATCACTCGATGAGTGCCGCGGGGCACACGATGAGCTTCTTACACCTGCATCTACCCGCATTGCCCCACCCCAAGATATCGCCCAACAAGCAATCCACAATCACCAGCACGTCGAACAATGGTGGTCAAGAAGATCGCGCCCTACGGGTCATGGGAAAGTCCCTTTTCCATCGACGACGCCACGGCTGGCAGCAAGGCCCTGTCGTCGCCGAGAGGAGATGTACTCGACCCCGCATCTCACCTGCAGTCTGGGCCTGAGTTCCTGAGCATGCTGACACCCTGACAGATCCGCACTGAGCGTGTGTTTTTCCTTGAGTCCAAGGCTGATGGCTCCAACACCATCGTGGAGGTGGTGTCCACAGAGGCAGGCGCCTTTGAGCTGGCATACGTCCTCCCCGGCGCCCACGGCGTGAGCACCGCTGTGTACGAGTACGGCGGCGGGCCTTACGAGGTTCTCCCTGCGCCGGAGGGCGGGAATAGTGTGCAGGAGATTATCTTCTCGGACACCTCTGATGGGAACGCCGTCAAGGTTCTCGATGTTGATGCCCGAGCTGTGAGGACTATTGTCGGCAACAAGCCGTGGCTTCGCTATTCCGAGTTTGGAGCCTGCAGGGCGTCAAGATGGGTTCTTGCCGTGGAGGAGGACCACTCGCTGCCGGAGCCCAAGGACGTCAGGAACTATGTCGTCGCTGTCCATGTTGACACCGGTGAGGTTAGGAGGTTGGTGGGTGGGTCTGACTTCTACAGCTCGCCCAAGTACAGCCCGGACGGCGGGTGGATCTCGTGGCGGAGCTGGAATCACCCTCACATGCCTTGGCAGCAATCAGTTCTGAGCTGGGCTCAGATCCTGGGAGATGATCGGGACCAAGAATTCGTCCTGGTCGACTCGCCAAATGTCGCTGGAGGCAACCCTGGAGAGGCCGTGGGCGAGTCGGCGTGGGGTCTCGATGGCGCGCTGTACTGGACGCAGGAGGCACAGGGCAGCGACTGGCGGCAGATGTGGAGGCAATGGCCCGAAGATGGTGAAGCAGCACAGAAGCTTGAGTTGAAAGGGCTAGGGGAAGTGGAAATTGGTGACTGTTCAATGATGATTGTGGGGTATGTACCAGGTCGACCCTGTTCCCTCAAGCTGGTAAGGTCATTACTGACAGCACGCACGAAACAGTCACACATTCGGCTTCCTGTCTCCAAGGTCTGTGGTGCTCTCCTACACCAAGTACGCAGCCAACAGCACCGTCCACGTTGACCTCGAAACGCTTGAGGTCACTCCTCTAACGGATGTGCCTTTGACCTCGATGCGTGGTGACGTTCTCCACGCCATCTCTCCGACGTCCTTCCTCATTATCGGCAGCGGCGACACCTCCCCATTGGGCGTATACCACTTCTCTCTCAAACATAACCTAGAGGTGGAAGTCACCCAGGTACACACTGCAGACAACAAGAAAATCCCAGCCAGCCTCATCTCCGTCCCGCAGCATGTATGGCTCAAGTCCACCAAGCAGGACCCCAAGCGCCCAGTCCATGGCTTCTATTGGCCACCCCTCAATCCCAAATTCACTGCCCCAGAAGGCGAGCTCCCGCCGCTGCTGATCAACCCCCACGGCGGTCCGACAGGCCACACGCCCCCAGGGCTGAAGATCGGCGGCATCGGCGGTGGGAATGCGCAGTTCTGGACCAGCAGGGGCTTTGCCTATTTCGCGATCAACTACACCGGCAGCTCGGGCCACGGGAAGTCCTACAGGGAGCGACTGGACGCCGAGTGGGGTATATTAGACCGAGACGATGTCGTGGAGATTATACAACACTTGTGTGAGACGGGCCGGGCCGATAAGGACCGAGTGGGTATACATGGGGGCTCGGCGGGTGGATACAACGTCCTCCAGAGTCTCGTATGGTACCCCGACGTCTTCGCGGCCGGGGTATGTTACTGTGGCGTGAGCGACGTCAAGGCGCTGGGAGTGGGGACGCACAAGCTCGAAAGCCACTACCTGGAGGGTCTTTTGTATAGGCCTGGGATGAGCGAGGAGGAAAAGGGGGAAGTCGAGTATGAGCGGAGCCCGGTTTACCACGCGGAGCGGATTCGTGCGCCGTTGTTATTGCTTCATGGGGACAAGGACACGGTTGTCCCAATCGAGCAGAGCTACGAGATCGAGAGGAAGATTAGAGAGCGGGGCGGAGATGTGAAGATGGTGGTTGCGCCTGGGGATGGGCACATGTTTTTGATGGAGAAGAGCAAGAAGATTGCCCTCCAGGAGGAAGTGCAGTGGTGGATGAGGACTCTGGTTCGGAAGTGATATTGCTACCTCCAAGAAAACCGGCACTCGGCTATTTGTGCCAGCCATTCTGTCCTCCACCGACTGAAAGCCTTTGCTTCGTTGGGGCCTTATTTATATACATCTCAAAAAACCTCTGACAATACCTCCAAGACATCTGGACAAGCGCCGGATTAAGCAGGCAAGCCGCTCCAGATAGCATGCGTCAGGGTCTGATTCGAGTTGAACGCATTAACGAAGCAGTTGTCAGCCGCAGGCGTCCACTTGTCGTTAGTGCTCACAGTTGGCGGATGGCCCAGGATCAGATCCGCAACCATGCGCCCAAAGACGACGCTGCCGTAGTCGTTCAGATGCGTGTGGTCGTCCGTGGCGAGGTTGTACTTCTGGGCCGCCTCATTGCCGATGGCGTCGACGAACTGGAGCGACGCCTGGTTCAGGTCGATGTACGGCGACGACGTGGCCTTGGCGGCCGCGATGGCGGCCAGGCGCTGGTCGTGCAGCGAGTCGGTTGCGTTGTGCTCCGATGTGAAGACGCGCCTGGTCAGAGACGTCGTGAGGAGCTAAGGAGACGTTAGTAAGCGGTGATGGATGAGGCTTTGTGCTACGTACTGGTGTCCCGCCGGCTGCCTTCACCTCCTTAGCGAAGTTCTCCAGATTGGTCTGGAACTCGCTGAGGGAGATGTTTGCGGCCGCTTTCTGGTCATTGTGGCCGAACTGCACGAAATTGTATGTCAGCTGTGTTTCTTTTCCCTCGGTCGATTTTGTGTCACGTCTGGCACTATAATATGGCTGCGGTTATGCTTGGAAACTGACCTGAATGGTTACAACAACATTATGTGTTGGTGCGTCAGCCTTGACTTGATCGATGACCTTCTTCCAGTATCCACCGTTCACAAACGAGACTGTCGTCGCGCCGCTCTTGGCGATGTTTGTGCCCTTGGCCGGGCTCTTTAGGAAGGATATGAGTCCGGTGCCCCAGCCTCCATTGACTGCCGTCGTGGAGTCGCCGGCGAGGACGAAGGATGGCGGGAGTGTGCTGCAGGCCGCTCGCTCGCTAACTGCGTTTGCTTGGTCGCGATTGGGAGTTGGACTGCCAGAGACGACAGTGAGCAAGGAGATCAAGGACAATAGAGTGGAGCGAAGCATGATTGCAGTAGATGGGGGAATGATGACGGTTTTGTCCTCAGTTTCTGGCAATGGAGACGAGTCGCTGGGATGACAGCACAACCAAAAAGAACTATCGTGGTTAGTTCTGGGGAGTATTTATTACCTTGTTATACAGCCATAAGTGGCTCACCCAGTTTTTCACGACGGCCCACCCAGCTCTTTCGTTTGGCCCACCCAGTACAAAGGGTGAGCCAAAAGTTCATAATATATTCTAAATTTATAGTGAACTTTTAGCCCACCCAAAGTATCTTTTCTCCAATTTCTGACTAAGCAAAAAAAAGCTACCCCGCATTAAAGAAATATTTAAACTATTCCTTTTTAAACAATACTTTGAGAATACTTCTGGCTTCCCAGCCAGAGGGCTTCCCAGCCAGAGGGCTCAAATCCAGCCAGAGGGCTTAAGTCTAGCCAGAGGGCTTAAATCTAGCCAAAGGGCTTAAATCCAGCTAGAGGGCTCAAATCTAGCCAAAAGGCCCAAATCCAGCCAAAAGGCTTTCCCAGTTAAAAGGCTTAAGCTTTAAGTATCTTAGAAGTACTGTAAAATTTAAAGGGTTAGGGTGATACTTTAATACCTTAAGAATTTCTTAGTAAAAATATGTACTGGGTGGGCCAAACGAAAGAGCTGGGTGGGCCGTCGTGAAAAACTGGGTGAGCCACTTATGGCTGCTTGTTATAGATCTTGGTATAGAGTAGTAATGTTCTGGGCCGCTATAGTGCAGCGCAATGTGGTATGAAATCATTGCGGGTGCTTTCTGCTGGCCTCGTGCCAATATAAACCGAAACTTTATATGCACAGCCGCTTATACGGAACTATAGTACCTGTAAGTTTGGCGGCAGCCCCATAGCGCTTCAAGTTACGCAATTGAGCCCCCAGTCCGGGCAAGCGGACGTCCAACTGCATACATTATCGTCAAAATGCCAAGCTATGCTGCCATTCACGGATTTGATTGATTGTTGGACCGGGGTGGAATAGCTTACTTAATTTTGCTGAGAGAGGAAGGTGAGATCTGCGGAGCGCAACGATCCGGAGCTTTCTCCACTACCCTCAATTTCGGCACAGAATAGCGCGAGCCAGAACAAGATTGCACGCTGGAGGAGCACGGAACTTTCACCATCTAACAAGTTGGAACAAGCTTTATCTATCTTTAATTGGATTTACCCCAGACTTCCGTACTCACAGCATTTATATGTAGAAGCTCCGCTAGCTCGTGTTTAGTATAGACAAGCTAGTCTCCCTTCACTCTACCCCCCACTCAGTTTTCTATCCCTTGCGTCGTTTCACCATGAACCTATGAGCCCTTGTGCCCGCGATCGAGTTTGTAACGGAATCGGCCGTTGAATCACTATCAGACGCACTCTGCCTTTTTAATACTTATCCAGCTGAAGATCTCAGGAGCGGAGAAATGGAGAGTGTCCAACCACAGCCCATCCATTCGTAGTAAAAAGCAGCGAGCTACGCACCAGATCACGAAATAGGCTAAGCACTTATTCTCACCCGCCGATCAACACTATGGTGTCGAGTGTTGAGTCGACGTGGCCATCCACCGAGATGAATAGCGGTCGTTCTTCAGCTCGAGAGGTGACAGGAGCGACCAATGATCTCCTGAGCTGTTCAAGACCGGTCTTTTATGGGTAAGGAAACGTTGTTATTTTGTCAATAGATAGGAATCATGTTGTTGTGCCCCGCAACGAGCAGGAACCAGATGAAGTCAAATGGCCATTTAAAGAGTGCTTTCGGAGAACCACAACATAGGCTAGCCGGCTGAATTATATGTGGCCAAGGTGGCAGCCCGAGGTAAGCTATATGGTCCAGCCAAGAGTGATCGAAAGGGGACATTGGAGTAGGACTAGTTGCCAGGGATGGGCCTTTACCAACTCGTACGACCTGCGACAAGACAGCACTGTTCCTCGATTATAAGATATACAAAGTCATTCAACTATGGAGGCTATAGGCTGCGCGTTGGTGGCGATGCTATACATAGGTGCCATTGACAGTTGTATTCAGGAACCCCGACCCAGCAACACCGACCAGCGCATTCGTCAACGCGCCGAGCCCATCCGTCGAGTAAATGCTCGTCATAACAGGCACCACGCTCGACGCCTCGCACTCGTGGAACCCGTGTGCATCCACAACCTCGCCATCGCCAACGCCCCTCTTAGCCTTGCTCCGCTTGAGGTTGATCCCCGGGCTCACAGTGCCGCAGTTGTACTGCGACTGCGCGGCCCTCAGCTCGCATATCTCCGTGGTCTTGCAATCTCCGGTGCACGTCGACGAGCCGTAGTTGCGATTCTTGCGGGCGTAGTACTCCTGGAAGACGGCGTCGTCGGTCTCGAAGAGCTCGGTCAGATTGTGCCAGAACGCAGGCGTCAGCTCGGCCGCCGGATCTGTATAGCCGAGAAGGCTGCCGTACGCGTCCTTGACGCTGTAGAGGACTTCCCAAGCCGGGCCATCGGTCTGGTAGGTCGGGCTAGACAGGTTGGCATAGTATACGGCGTAATCTAGCACGCCAAAGGTGACTGGGTCAACGTCGTAAACGCGGAAAGTCGGGTTGCCAGACGTCGGCGTGAGCGCCGGCGCGATGTAGCTCGCCATGGTCGCCGTGGACGCCGACTGGCCCGTATAGTTGCTGTACGCAATCTCGAACTCATCCTTGTGCGTGTGCCCGTAGAACAAGCCTGCGATGGTGCCGTCGAAGCGCTGGATGATACTGTCGAAGTAGGCGCTCTGGTCGTGGAAGGCGTCGTTGGAGCCCAGCGGCATGTGGCCCAGGATCCAGACCCGTTCGCCCGCCGACTCGGCTGCCTCGAGTTGCGTAGCTAGCCAGGCGAGCATCCCGCTGGGGTCATGCTCAATCGTCTTTTCGTACAGCCAGAAATTCTGCCGGTACCAGAAATTTGTGTTTAGTGAGATGATCCTGAGGTTTGAGTGACCCTCGGCGACGACCGAGTAGCTCCCGAAGTTAGACGAGACCTGAGCGGCTGCCGCGCTGCCGATCCATCCTTCGATGTCGGACGAAAGGGTGTCGTAGGCCCACTGGGTGCTGATGGTCGTGTCCACGCTCGCGGGCGGAAACGAATTCACTGGACTGCTGTCATGGTTGCCAATCACGGCGTAAGTCTGCCCGATGCCCTGCATGCGGCCGTAGGCATCGTTCAAATCGTTTGTAACCTCCTCGTCAGTCACGAGCCAGACGGCGCCCTCGACTACATCGCCTGTGAAGATCGTGTACGCCCGGTTGGGAACCAACTCCTCTATCGCCTTGTACAGGCTCTCTTCCAAGCTGAGCGGGCTGTCACACTCCGAATTGCCGTACGGTCCAGCAGGGTAGTCGGTCACCCCGGGCTCATCAGCAGAGGTGTAGGGCCGGCAGCAAATGTTCTTGGTGCAGTTGTAGCTCGCGCCGGTGGTATAGTTAAGGTCCACATGGATGTCGCTGATGTGCACCACTTTGAGGGGCGTCTGGCCGCTTGGCTCCGGCCTGGTCGCGTTCGCTGGTTTCTCAGACAGGGATACCGAGTAGGATGTATCGACCTCGGGCCATTGACACAGACCGAAGATGGTCATACAGAACAGCTCAGAGGTCTTGCTCGGGATGTTCATGTTGCGAAGGTCGTGTGCCAGGATCGGCCCCTCCAGCCCGATCGCACCGGCGCAGACATCTTTGTCCTCGACACCCAGCCCTTGACAAACATCGATGATGACGCCAGAGAAGGCGTCGTTGCCGAGATGAGCTAGAGCTTGCAGGACCAGGAGGAGAGCCTGGCATCCTGAACACTCGGCGAGGTCCTCGATGGCGGTCAAGATGTCAGACACGTCGTCTCTTTTTGAGTGCTGTTTCGAGTAGGCGACCAGGGACCTGCTCATCACATCGCCGACGGTGACTGCATTGGTCAGGAAGGGGAGAATGAGTGACAGGACAAATCCGACAACGAACGACAGCCTCATCTTGAAGGAGAGGGCAGTGCCAGTGGGGGCACGGTCCAGGTGTGGGAGAGGACTCTGCGCTGTCAATGGTACTGCGTCCACAGGTGACGATGGTATCGCCAGTCCCTGACGGGCGGCGGGCAAGGCCATCTTCTTATCATGGGGCGGTAAAGCCCTACTCGCTGTCACAGTAGTATCGTCGCCAGCGATAGCCTACCGCGATGCCGTGTTGCCGTTGCCCATACGCGAGTCACCAGCACGTGGGGTCGCAGGTCATTTCCGGTGAGGAGACACGCGCACCGCTCGTCGACGCTGAATGGACGCCGGCTTGGCGTTGCCGTGCTCAATGCGACCACACCCAGAACCTTGACCCGCACCGCATGCCAAGAACGGCATCGTGGGGCAATAGCACCGGAGGCTGAGGTGTGAAAGGGGTAGCTCGCGCGTTGTAGGTCCATTAATACTGTCGTTTGTTAATGCTACGACTTCTGGCCAGCCCTCGAACCATTCACCCGTTAGTGGTGGGGCCTGCAAGCTGTCAGTACACAGATTGACGACGGTGACCCGTCCCCTTTCTTGGTTGCGAATGAACTTGTGTGAGTGCTGCAGAACCTACTCACACAAGCCGTCAACCTCCAGTGCGTCTTCAATTGTGTGTCTACTGTAGACAGGGCTAGTTATCACAGTATTGGAGTTGTATTCCGAGTTCCGAACCTAGCTATCCATTCACTTGCCGAGCAGCAAGGTAAGCAGCCCTCAATTGAGTGCAATGACGAGCAGCATTGTACAAGCACGCAGTCATTGCTGATTGGTCTAAGGTCAGACATCTACTTGAATAGCTCCAAGGGCATCATAGGCACTGTTCACAATGTGCTTCTAACCCCAAGCAGCTGGCGCCTGGGCATCCTCTGTCCGCTCAGGTACATGTGTCTGGTAGGGTATTGAACCTACCATGCGGCGGTCACTAGCAGCTGAGGAGTCCACGATGATTGCTGACTGCTCAATTGTCTCGGCCACAACATGTGCTACTGTGATGCTGTCCGTGTGTGGTGAGATCATGATGATTCAGCAGCGTTTTCGTCTGGACGGCACAGCTCTCCTCTACGTCATCGCCATTAACTCGGCTGGATGGATTAAAAACAGCAGAGACATTGGTGGCTCAAGAAACCAACCCAGTACCATAAGCTGCCCTACACACCTATGTTCCAGGGACATTGTGACCAACCATTCCCGATACAAGGCATTAATTGGCACCCATATAGCCCTCACAAACATCACCTACCACTTGTTAATCACCTAAGAAGTCGCTAAAACTTCGACAATATGGAGTCCGCAAAGCAAAAGTTCCAGGAGGCCGTTGAGAAGACCCGGGCCCCTGGAGGTGAGCAGATACACCCTGCACTCATACCTGTACCTTGTGTTAACGTGATTTCTACTGCAGATGCAAAGGGTCCTCCAGGTGGAAAAATGATGGTAGCGCAGCCGTCGAAGAACGATGCTTCGATCAGCAACACTTTCACAACCCCAGACCGCACCGCAAACTCACAACCGGAGGAGGACAAGCATGCGTCAACAGGGAGCAGCGCACACTTCGGGACCAGCTTCTTCAAGCCTGGAAGCGCTACCTAGCGGAGGTCATAGTTGGAGGCGGGGAAGTAAGAGAAAGCCTTGGCTTGTAGAAGGGAATGGACAGAATTGGCGGGAAATCAAGTAGCAGGAGGTTACAAGATGGAGGAGTCTCTGCAAATTGCAGGGCTCTAAATAGGGGTCAATTCTAGGCCTACTGATACTGTCAACTCGCTCAAAAGTGATTCATCGTCACAGTAAAATGCATATCACAACACGTCACATCAAAAAGAGAAGAAGAGCAGTGTAATCAGCTATTGATTTATAAGTACCCTTGGTCGCCGCTGTGATGTGCAGGCTGGCTTGGTGAAGCCTCATCAAGGTCCCTATAAGCTGATAATAATTCCCTCCTTGACCACCACTAGAAGTGGGGTCTACCAATGCCGTGAGGTCTAAGAATGTCCCTCAAGTCCACGCCTGCCAAGTTGGGCTGTGGAGCTATTGTGATCTTGCTTTCAGATCCGTAGTACTCATCATCATCTTCCCCGTGCTTCTCTCTCCTTTCATATCCCTTCGCCCTTGTCGCAAATCTGACATTGCCGGTCTGCTTGTGTCCAGCTGACTCGGCCGGGCTTCTTCGGGTATTGTGCTTTGGTGATTTTCGAGTGGAATGAAGGGTTTTTTCCATCTCGAGAACCCCTAGCAAGTTGTTGCTGAGTATCGCTGTCGATATCAGACTTGATATTGTTGGGTTGCCATCCTCGGCTGCTGGTGATCACTGTGCCTGCTATTGATTAGCGTCAAGTTCGTCAAAATAGAGACCCAACAGAAGAGGATGTTCCGTCAGTGTTGCTGTAGAGATATGATCGAAAAAGCCGAAGGCCACGTCGTTCTCTTGAAGTGGCTAAGGTTTGTGACAAGGACTTACTGTAGAGTGAGACGCCTAAGGGTCCTGGGAGTCCTACTCCTTGTTCTGATTGGCGACCGAAATCTCGTACTCCAAGTAATCCGAGAACGGGCCTGAAATTGCCGGGTCGACCGCCATTCCGGCGTTGACGTAGTCGACATAAGTGCCATCAAAGTGGTTGAAGTGATCAAGTGGCTGCATAGCGCGCCGATCTGCAGAGTCCCGATCGTCTTGAACTGAAGTGAGAGCGCTGGTCGCGACGGTGTCAGAGGTGGCGGGTGCTGCAATGGCGCCGACGGACTGGGGAGCAGTGGAGGAGGTCCGAGGGGCCTCTCGCACTGGAGAGACGGTCAAGTCGATAGTCTGAGGGGTCTCTGCAATTGAATTGTCAGGGCCGCTCGCCGCTGGGTCAGAGGTGACAGTCGCAGCAGTGGTAACGACAGCACAGGGCTGCGTGGAAGAGGCCTGAATTGCACTGGCTTCCTGGTAATGCTGTCAGAATTCTGATATACTAAAAGAGCATAGACTGAGCACTTACAGTCATCGGGTTGACGTTATTGCCCATGATCTGGTTGGTCGCGCCCTGGGTGTTGGGAAGCAATTGGCCAGTAGGGGTTCCAGGCGCGTGGGAGTGATGGTAGTTGTTAACGACCGAGTTGTAAAACTGCTGGGCGTCAGTCATGGGACCGTACTGGGTGACAGGCATTTGACCGTGCTGGTAATCACTCACCTGACCGCTCTGGTGGATGCCAGCCTGACCGTTCTGCTGTTGAATGCCAGCTGATTGCTCATTCTGAGGCAAGCCAGCCTGACCATTCTGCTGGAAGCAAGGCTGGGCAAAGGCGTTCTGAGGAAAACCGGTCTGGTCATCCAAAGTGAAACCAGCCGCCTGATCGTTGTTATCGAAGCAAGGCTGACCGTCTAGAGCGAAGCTTGCCATCTGGTTGTTGTGATGGAAGCTGGTCTGACCGTTCGGCTGAAGGCCAGCCGTGTGATTGCGCTGGACAACCTGGCGTTGAAGGGGAATCTGCGCGCCATTGCGTTGAGCTGCTATCATCTGGCCCTGCTGGTTCGCCTGAGGAAGGTTGAGCTGCTGCTGCAGGTCCATTGAGGCCTGCTGGGCGTTCGTGTAGTTGTAGTTCCCCTGGTAGTTCTGCTGGTTCAGGTGATCGTTGGACAGCTGATACTGCTGGTTGTCGAACGTCTCGTACTGCTGGTTGTCAAACATCTCGTACTCCTGGTTGTCGAGCGGCTGGTACTGCTGGTTGTCGAACGACTGGTACGGCTGGTTGTCATAAGACAGATACTGCTGGTTGCCGGACTGCTGGCCTTGCTGATCGATGTAGTTTCCAGCCACTTGAGTTGGTTGGTTGGTAGCTTGGGCTACAGCACTGCCAACCTGACCCACAGTGTTGTCAATTGGTGCCGGCGAGGCCAGATCGACAGGAGTTTGGGAGGCCTGGGTCGAGCCAGTGGCGATGCCGTCAGCTGGAGTTGACTCCTGAGTAGCAGCGCGGCCACGCTTCGGAGTATTGATGTTGATGTAATTGGCAGTGCTGGCACGTCGAGGCTTCTTCCTGGTCTTGGGCGCCGCAGGAGTGGCCTCGTCGCCCGCGTCGTTCTCGTCATTGTCCACTTCGGCCGTGGCAGCATCTCGCTTTCTGCCAGGCATGTTCTTCTTCGCAAACTTGACCTCGTCGTTGCGCTGACCGTTGAGTTTGTCGTTCTCAACCTTCTTTACCGCCTCCTCAGCCGCCTGCATAGCAATTCGCGTCTCCCAAGTCAACTGTCCGGTGAACAGATTCTTGCACAACGACTTGCTTCTAGTCAAGGATGTGATAGCATCGCTCATCCGATCATCAAAAGAATCTTTCTTTGCCAATCTCAGCGAGCTCAACAAGCCCCAACTTGGGATTGAAAGCTTTCCACGCTGCACCCGGTGGACAGCCTTGACCAGCCTCGCTGCAACAATCTGGATCTCGAACATGTTGAGTTCATTGATGTGTTTCATCGCAGTTGATGGCTTGCCATTCTTGTTCCAGGCGTCCTCGGCCTGGTGGGTCGACTTGATCGCGTCATGGAGAAGTCGGACGTAGTGCTGAAGCTGAGCATCCGTGAGGTCGCCGAGGCTAGCATCGTCTGGGACAGCCTCGTCCTTCAAAGTAAGGTAGGCATCGTAGAGCTGGTCAACCTCGTCCACTCTATTGACCAAGGGCATCCAGGAGCCTTGCGCTGCACACTTAGCAGTCGCGAGGCGCTCCCGCATCAGCTTCACAGTGTCGGGATCCATCTTGCTGAGTTGACGACGCAAGACCTGAGGCTGTGGAAGTAGTCAGTAACTAATGCGCAGCTGGGTCGCAATCAGCTAGGAGGGCAACAAGGGAGTTGAAGAGCGAGGAATAGTAAGAGGACACAATTCAAGTTCCTTTGGGAAGAAAGAAGGTGAAAGTGTACGATAGGTAGAAGGGAAGCTGTTGGCGTTAGGGAAACAGTCGCTGGTGGGGTAGCAATAGCGAGGCAAGGATTTGTGGATGGGTAGAAGGGGAAGAAGGAAGTGGAATCAACCTTTCCGCAAGGAAGCTGGGAAAGGTGGCCAGCCCGGTGAATTGTGGTAAGGACGCGGGCGGGGCGAGAGGGCTTTGGACGTTTGTACAGACCTTTGACTGTGATCAAATTGAGTGCTGTGGAGAGAGCCACGCAACTCTGGAAGTATTCACTCTGAGAGTAGAGTATTGGCCGCTGCCCTAGAAGAATTCGCCGATGATACGAGGCTGAATGCCTCTTTCGCAAGTCAGCCCGAAGGTTCAGTGATGGAGAGAAGATTCGCGATGAGGGACACTGCTTGCGGAGGAGGTGGAACGTCGTTTGCCAGAGATTTGGCCGTTTGACGACAAGGTGTGCTTGAGGCTTGGTGATGGGAGGGAAAAGTGGCAATTGGAAGTTGCTGGTGGGGAGAGGCTGATGGGAAGAGGCTGACGACGGGAGGTGTACCAACCCTTGGGCCCACTGTTTCTGGGCAGAAATTGATGGAAGGGGACTGACTTGCTGAAGGCAAGTTGCCAACGTGTCTGAAGAGGGGTTGTCGAAGTATGGTGTAGTCGTAGAGTGCGAGGAAGCTTGCCAGGGTGTTGGTATGGTGTTGTGTGAAGGTAAAGGGTTGGGGAACGATTGCTGATGGGAGGTTTACTGACCTTTTGGGCTTCTGATACCTGAAGGCAAGTCAAGCTGCTAATTGCAAGCTGGCCTGCTGTCTGAGTTGATGCCGTCACAGAGAGACGGTGTCGCAGAGTGACAGGAAGTCTGCGGAATTGTTGGCGTGGTGTTATGGGACAGTGAAGGAAGGGGAGAGGACAGATTGTTAAGGGGTGAGGTTTACTGACTTTTTTTTAATGTCCGCAAGAAGTTGCTTTCCTGATGGAAAAGTCAGCCGTTTGTCCAAAGTGACAACTGATAGTAAAGTTGCAGATTGATAGCGGACTGAAAGTAAAGTTGCGGAATTGTTGACGTAGTGCGCTGTGGTAGTAGAGGGGAGAGGAAAGTTTGCCAACGGGTCGTTAACTAACCTTTCTTGCTACTGATAGCTGGAGATCAACCAAGCTGCTGACGGTATCAAGAAGTTCGCGACCTCGCAAAGTCTTGGAAAGAAGACTTCGAAGTTGTTAGCAAAGGGTTGCGAGATAATGTAGAGGTCAAGAAGACTGTTGATGGGGTGTTTACTGACCTTGAGGACTGTCGACTTGTGAAGGTCAATTGACGACAGGACAGTCTTGTCAAGTTGGCGAGGTGGAAGAATAGAAGACAGGAAGGGTTCGAAATGGTCGGCGTGGTGTAGGCTGAGGTGGAACAAGTGAATCGTTTGTGTAAAGTAGTGGGTCCGTATGCGACTTTCAACCGGATCGCGAAGTGATTCAGACGTCTGACCGAGTTAGTCGTTTGTATCGCGAAGTCGTTTGTATGCCCCTCCACCGTACGGCGTGCGTATGGCGTACGCATACTTCAGTCTGCGGTTATGGGTCATTTGTATATAGGTATCAACGCTGCCCGGACCAGCCCCTCGTAGTCCCGGAATAGGGAGCTTTGTACTTCTAGCTAGCCTTTGGCCGACTTGCTGTGTATTGCGTGGGAGAAGCTGTCTACTGCAAGTTCCTCCTCTTACTTACTCTCAAGCAGCTGGCAGTGTATGTCCATCCAGCGACACCCGTGCGACAGCAGCGCTCCGCGGCTACCATGAATCCTCACAACACATTGTCTGTATACTTTTGGAGAGAGCTACTTCCATATCGCTGGCACATGCGAGGCTGACCAGCACGGCGAGATGGGACAGAGGTGAAAACACAGGATCATCAGGGATCGTCTCAAGCCCTACTTCCATACGTTATTTATTGGAGCGACTGTAAGCCCTCTCGCCGACAACTTCCTTCGAAATTCCTCTAAAAGGCGACATCTGGACAGCCCGTGGGCACTACAAATGATTTCGACGAAGCTAGGTCTGCGGATGATTGTTGGAAAGCCGCATAAGGCTGAACAAGCTATTTAAAGAAGGAACATCAAGCCTAGGAAAGACATTACAGTCTCAAGGACGTAATCTAGGCCATCTGGGGAAAGTCTATTCTCTCCAATTGACAGACTACTACTATTCCGGGTTGTGGAGAAGGTTTGAAGAGGTGGGAGGTCTTCTAAACGTCCCGTCGTTGCTTGGCCGATCTGAGGGGTGAATGTAACTTCGGTGTCGAGGTCAGAAAGCGATATGTCTGTCTTCATCGCTATCACAATTGGAACAGCTGGGGCGGAAGAGGTTGCAGGAACATTGAGTAAGATCATTGTTACTAAGCAAAGGCTTTGTGTGATGCTGACGGAACTGCCAGAAGCAAGAGCACTAATGAGACGGATATTCTTGGACGACAACTTTGGGACGGCAAAACCAGGAGGGCGAGGCTGAAGATTTGATTACGCACCGAAATTTCGAAGGAGGTGTCAGTGATTTAAGGATCATGTTGGTCCTCTTTGGATTCAATTCAGGAGACCGTAATGTGAGGTATCATGGTGGAATGGCAGATCGGAGGGGGAGTTATCATCCTTTCAAGCACCGGCAGATCCCGCTCTACTTAGCAATTTTGTCGAAATTGCGGCAGCTAGGTATTGCATGTGGATGACAGGGATGGAAGAAATGCCATCGCATTGAAATTTGCAGACTTAAGTTGCGCTTTGAGTATTCGCATCTGGTACTGCTCTCCTTGTTTCCACAGATGGGACATCCATTCTGACGAAGGCAAGCTCAAGTGCGGATAGGTTCTTATTTCTGGATTGTTTCATGTACATCATCAATCGGCTCTATCAGCATATCAAAGTCTAGGCCAACATCTACAGCGAGTACGGAACAAGGAGCTGCTTCTCGTCCGTAGAGCTGGCCGCATCACTGTCCTCATCGTCCTCTTCCTCATCGGAGTCCTCGTAGTCGACATACTTCTCGATCAGGAACTTGAGGTCCTCCAGCGCCTGCGAGCGAGCCTTGGTGCCAGGGACGTGCGCAGAGTACATGATCTCTTCCTTGACAGCATACAGCCTGTTCCTGTCGTCGGCCTCCTCCTGCGGCTCGTCGGGCGGGTAGTTCTTGAAGTACTCGCGGCGGTACTCGCGGGCCTTCATGTGGTGGTGGTCCACGCGCCACATGCCCATGGCCATCTCATGGTGCGCATAGTAGGCACACGAGTCGAAGATGTAAATGTTGCCCGTCCGCAGCTCAGTGCCAATGTTCTGCTCATGCAGGTCACCGTGGATCAGGCACGGCTTGACTGTGCGGCCGTCCTCGGTCAGCCGGTTCAGCAGCCGCGGGATGACCGTCTTTAGTGTCAGCTCCATTGCATCGTCCAGCTCGGGCCACGAGCCGTTGACCTTCTTGTCGAGCTGGTAGACGCCCGACAGCAGCTTGGTGAAAAAGGAGGTCCAGTTGCTGTCCCACTCTGCGGCCAGGGGGAGCTTGCCGTCGTAGGGCGTCAAGTGGAAGCCGAACTTGCCCGTGGGCGATTCACTGGCCCGATGTAGCTCGGCAATCTTCTTGCCCAGCTGTTCAGGGTTGGCGGGCCGGTGGTCAATCTCGAGGTAGTCGCAGAGAAAGAAAGCACCCTCTGAATCAAGGCATTTGCCCGCCGCTTTGGCCTGGGGCACAAGTGATGGCACTGCTCCTTCCAGCTCTTTCATACAAGCAAACTCTCCGAGGACGCGGGGACCGGCAAGGTCACCCTTAATGATCTTGAGAAAGTACTCGTGTAGTGTGCCATCTGCCCTCTTGGTGGTGAGCTTTCCGGTTGCTGACCATGACGAGTTGCCATAACGCTCAGCGTTCACAATGGTCTCGTCATCTCCAATGGCTACAGCGGACAATGTCAGCGTGAGGATCCAATATAACGCGAAAGGGGGGCATATCTCACCATTTATTACTGCCTCGTCAAAAAATATGAGGTCAGTATCTCTCCTCTGAAGGGCCTTTACTTGGAATTCCTCGTATGGCGGGACTGGGCCAGTCTTTTGCTTATCCGTTTGTGCCGGGTCATTTTCCGAGTACTTGGGGGCAGATTCAAAGTGCGGCATCGTGCGCTACGTTTTACTAGTGTCAATAATCAAGAGAGGGGAAGAGGATAGGTCGTTTGCTATTCTCAGTCTCTTTCGCACATGGCTCTGGCGTGAGACCTTTATCCACCCGCGGGCACCCACTCTTCTTCGCAAGAAAGCCATTCGGGGCGGTCAATTGGCTCGAGGGTGGCGATCTGGTGCCAGTTCGAACAGGTGAATGAAACCTCTTGGCCGCGTTTCCGGGTGTGTTGGTTCTCAGCGGACACAACTGGCGGTTTTGAGCCACTGATCAGGCGGCCGAGGGGCCGGTCTTGTCACGGAAGAATGGAGACTCGAAGCTGAAATTAGGTGCGTCACAGTGCTCTAGCTGCTGTGCCTCGTGACTGCATGCATCCTTCGGCACCGGATCCGCCGCGGATGTAACCCGGCTCTCTTGCGCCGCAATAGCGCCAACACTTTTTACGCCTGCGCCAATGGAACAATGAGAACAACAACAGAGCCACATGCAACTCTGTCAATCGTGTTGAAACCGCCTGAACCTATGTGAGGATCACCAACGAATCACCAACGAAGGCAACAGAGTCTTATCGCCTATTGTAAATCAAGCGCACGCAGATTTGGCCCCATATGGAGAGGCTGGTGGGAAAGAGGCACAGCACTCCAGGGGGCCCCCTTGGCCCCATCCTCCGGCCACAAACGGCCCAAATATTCACCACGGCACCGTACTGGAAGAGCCCAAACACCAGCCCGAAACATCATATGATGCTATGTACCAACGATCTCGGATTCGAGCTGGCCGTCGGGCTGGGTGCTGACCATGGCCGTCTGGGCCTGTAAAACTCGCTTCATCATCAGCACTCTGAACCTCTCTCTGTCCCGTCCATCTTCCCGATTCATTGACACATTGCATCACCACCTGCGTCAATTACTTGATGTGCCCCAAATTGATTCTCATGTCTATCAATCTTTGACAATATGGTGAGTACCTATCTTATGGAGGTTTGGTTGTGATCGTGTCTAACTGGTCAACAGTGGAAAAGGTTGAAGTCTAGGAAGGCCGACCCCAAGGCGGCGGAGGTCGATGATGGGAGGGGTCGGAGCCCCCAGCCAAAGATCGTGGTGGACTGTGATGATCAACCACCACGAAGTACAGCTTGTAGTGACTTCGGAGATCCCCTGAACATGAGTGATCGTTTCCCATCTTTGAGGAGGAAGGCTTCTGTGCAAAGCAACATATCGGACGTCTATGGCAACTTGATGCCTTCATCTTCGTCAACACTTGCTAGGCAACGCTCACAAGATCGGCGATCTGATCCATTGGGGCTCACTGTCTTGTACACACCAGAGCCAGGACAGCGCACAGTTGACATTATCTTTATCCATGGCCTTGGGGGGACGAGTCTTCGCACGTGGTGCCGGAATAGAGATCCAAGCTATCTCTGGCCCAAGCACTGGCTCCCAGATGAGACTGATCTGTCGACGGCACGTATCCTGACGTTTGGATATCATGCGCACTTCTCCTCAAAGAAAGAGCAGACGTCTTTGACCCTCAATGACTTCGCGAACGACCTTCTCTTCCGGATGAAATACGACGAGGAGACAGAGGAGCGGCTGGGACAAGTCCCAATTGTTTTTGTGGCCCACTCTATGGGCGGACTTGTCGTCAAGAAGGCTTGTGAGTATCTATGTCAGTCATCTTTGGTAGATGCCCGCTAATTTAAGCATAGACATCCATGGCTCAATGAACGATGAATACAAGGACATTGTCTCCAAAATCAAAGCAGTGCTATTCCTGTCAACACCACATCGAGGCACCGACCTAGCAGATATTCTCAATAAGATCCTCTCCGGTTCTGTCTTTGGCCATTCCCCCAAGGACTACGTCAACGAATTGACGAAGAAGAGTCCCACCATCGACGAGCTCAACGAGCAGTTCCGCCACCATGCATCCAAGCTGCAGATCTTCTCCTTTTACGAGACCTTGACCACCACTGTTGGACCGCTGAAGACACTCATCCTCGAGAAGCACTCGTCTGTGCTTGGCTACCAGCACGAGACTCCCCAGCCACTCGTCGCCAACCACCACGACGTGTGCAAATTCAGCAGCCCGGAGGATCCGAACTACCAATCAGTCAAAGGAGCGATCCGCAGTATCGTCAATAAGGTGCGATGCTCGAACGAGCACAATTGCGAGGACGAGAAGAACCTATCGATCCTGAGGAAATGGCTGGGAGTCTCTAATCGCCCGCACGACGACCTGGTAGACACCAGCGCGAACCGCAAGCCCGGCACATGCGAAGGATTGATGCAGGCGCCTGAGTTTGGCAAGTGGCTCGACTCGGAGCTGCGATGCCCACAACTGTTGTGGACGCATGCGCCACCAGGCAGTGGGAAGACGCACCAGACTTCGTTTGTGATTGACACTCTTGTCGAGCGGAACGCGAAGTGTGTCTACTGGTTCTTCGAGTATCGGGACGCGCGCAAGCGATCACTGAGGAACATGCTGCGGTCGGTGGCGTATCAGATCGCAGCTCATGACCCTACATACCGACAGTCGCTTCTAGACATGCAGCGAACCGGCACCAATGTCATGAATGGAGATGCCCACACAATCTGGCGGAATGTACTTGGTTCGAAATTGTCCAAATGCCAATCTCGCATCTACCTCGTCATTGACGCACTAGACGAAGCGGACTCGGCTAGGACTCTGCTTGAGCTCTTTGCTGGTTTTGGTACTGTCCCACTGAGCATTAAGATCCTCATCATGAGCCGACCACTCTCAAGCATCCGAAACTCGATGTTGCGGCTGCAAAAGAAAGCACCGAATGTGATCTTCAACGAGATGGCCTTGACCGACAATCTGAATGATATTCGCTTGGCAGTGACCGATGAGATGGACGAGTTTCCGGGCGACGAGGAGTTCAAACAAGACATCATCAAGGAGATCGTCTCCAGGTCCGAGGGTAATTTTCTTTGGGCTAGTCTTGTGCTGAAACGAATCCTCCAGTGCCACCGACAAGAGGACGTACAGAGAGTTCTTCGCAGCACTCCAGACGGCATGGATCAGCTCTATGAGAGGATGGTGGAGGCAATCGCCAGTCTTGAATTGGAAGAAGACCGTAATCTGTCCAAGATCTTCCTCTCGTGGGCCATGTACTCTGTCAGACCTGTCGGCATGGACGAGCTCAAGGACGTCTACTCCGCAGAGCTGTCTTCCCTCATTGACCTGAGACACACAGTTGGTCAGCTCTGTGGAGAATTCGCTGCTCTTGATGGCCAAGATCGTATCGGATTGGTCCATCAGACAGCGCGCGAATACCTGAAAAACACCAATGCGCTGCCATTTTCATTGGCCGCCATTGAAGTCAATGAAGAGCTTCTGTCTCGATGTCTCACATCACTCTGTGATCCTGCTCTCAAGGGCCAGATGAGACAGGGCAAAGCCCCTCAGTTCCTCACGTACGCTGCTGCGTCTTGGCATATCCATATGGAGCGATCGTCCGTGGACTCGGACAGGGCCCTTCAGATGCTGGTCAAGTTCTTCCATGATAGTGCACCTCTGTCATGGATCCAGTACCTCGCCACGAACGACCAACTGCCATTGCTAGTCACAATTTCCGCCTCCCTCCAATCTTTCGTACGCCGACGCAGAAAAGCAGATTCAGCCAAGCCCCCCACGATGCATCGCATACTAGAGCTGGGCCTTTTGGAGGGTTGGGCGGTGGATCTTGTCAAGATGACGGGCAAATTTGGCAACCATCTCGCCGAAGACCCGGAGGCAATCTACAAATACATTCCATCATTGAGCCCGCAGAACTCGGTACTCTACAGGAAGTACGCCGACAATTCAACATCAAGGATCTCGGTCTCCGGGCTCTCGGGCGCTGAGTGGGATGACTGTCTTGCAAGAGTGACTAACGGGTCTGACCCTTCGCTGCATGTCGCTGTCTCTGCGCAACACTTGGCTGTAGCCAATGACTCACCGAATGGGACGATTCGTATATGGAACAATGTCATTTTCCAGGAGGTCCATACATTCAGCCCTGGTGAGCCGATATGCTCAATCACCTTCAGCCCGTCGGGCTCCCTTCTTGCCGTCCATGGCCTCGACCACACCTTCATCTGGAGGGTTGATGACGGTTTGCTTATGGCCAAAGTCAACAACCCTCATCAAGATCGTGCAGACACCCTGGCTTTCGGACCCCAGGAGAAGTTCATCATCATTGCCACCAATCTTCGCCGGGTGTATCGACTGAACCTTGAAAGTGAGGACCAGCAACTGTCATGGATTGCGTTCGACGAATCACTTCTGGAGGAGACAGCCCTCCCCGACGGAGCGTTCATCAACTCGCCTTCGTCCCTCGCCTTCAACCCAGATTGTACCCAGCTTGCAGTGGCATACAAGGGCTTTCCGCTCTCCATCTGGAGCCTCGACCCACCAGAGATGATAGCTCGCTGTTCAGTGCGCCGCCAAGCCCAGGGCCACACCACCAGCACGGCCTGGACCGGCGTGACCCGCGTGGTTTGGCACCCATTCAACGGACAGGTGCTCGGCATCTACCGCGACGGGCAGATCTTCAAGTGGGGGCCGATGGACGATACACATGAGGAGGTGAAGCAGGAGTTAGATGCGACGCCGTCGGAGATCACTGTGGCGCAGAACGGCCTCGTGTTTGCGACGAGCGACGTCCGCGGCACCATCAAGATCTACGACTTCGCGCACATGGCGCCCATGTACAAGCTCACCAGCGACGACATCATCAAGGCCGTCGCCTTCAGCCCAGACAGCCGCCGCTTCTACGACCTCCGTGGCTCGTACTGCAACGTCTGGGAGCCTAACTGCCTCATCCGCCTCGTGGAGGGTGGGGCTGGTGGCAGTGGGGCTGAGGTTGGCAAGGACGACGACAGCATCACTAGCTCGGAGCTCAAAGAGCGCACTGACAGCTGGAGCATCGCGCCGACGGACAGGGATGACTCGCGGAGCACGGTAACGTCGCTTGCTGCTTCGGAGGCCCATGCTGACTCCCGCCCCGCCATCACGGCTGTTACGCCTGCGCGGGAGAACCAGCGCCTGGTGCTGTATGCCAAAGACGACGGGACCGTCGAGGTACTCGACTCTGGGCGGCAGCGATCGCATGTGCTTGCGCAGTCTGCGTATGGGATCGCCGTTGGCCCTGCTGCGCTAGCTCCGAAGGGCAACTTCGCCGCGTATAGTCTGCTCAACGGGCGGGTGACTGTCAAGAGTGTCAAGGTGTCACTCAAGTCTGGAAAGCTCATTGCGAAGGAGATGCTGGTTGAGAAGTCTGATGTCGGCCGTGGGATCGTCAGGCAGGTCCTCTTCCACGGCGAGGCGGAGCGGCTGCTCATCTGCGCGTCGAAGAAGCTCGAGGTTGTGTGCTTCAGCAAAGACGATGTCAAAACGGTGACGGAGAGGGAATTGGATGATACTGGGACCTTCCAGGTTGCAAGATGGGACCACCATCCCACCGACCCGAGCCTGTTGCTAGCGTTCACTGCTAGCAGCATCGAGGTTTACTCCTGGGACGACGTCACGAGAGCCAAGTACACTGTTCCCATCGACCTGTCACACGGGAAGGGATTGATCTCGCTGCTACCTGAGGCTTCGGGCTTGGCAATCGAGGACATTGTTCCCTCACCCCGAGACAAGACCCACATGGCGATGGTATCATTCGAGGAGAACAATAACAAGGTCTTCGGCTTCATCATCCTCGACACCTCACCTCTGCATGGCGACGACGCGGCAGCCGCCACGATACTCCCCATCGACATTCCTGAGAAGGTTGGCCAGCGCATTGAGCAGCCAGTGGGCTTCTTGGAGGATGGCAGGCTCGTGTTCCTCGACGAGGCCCTGTGGGTTTGCACGACAAGGCTGGGGCCATCAGGTGCAACCGGTGGTGATAACGCCGGCCCAACCGTGAAGAGACACTTCTTTGTGCCGCGCGACTGGCTGAATAGCGCGGGTATGGCTCTGTGTCGCGTGCAACCTGATGGTACGTTCTTGTGTCCGAGCAAGGGGGAGCTGGCGGTAGTGAAGGGTGATCTGGGCACCGACTGGGGTGGAATCTGAGACTGAAGGATCTGGACACAAGCATCGCATGGCGTTGGAAATGGGTATTTGGATTGGTTGGATTTTGGTAGGCAGAACGTCATTTATGCAGCGAAAGGTTATTTTCATCATATTACTGATACGGAAATTGAATTCTTGAATATCATTCTCAAACCAGAACAAAACAAATTGTCCTAAGCAGCCAAGTTCAGCAAGGGAGGCTCCCGGGTGACAAATCTTGACTTCCTCAATTTAGAATTAGACTCAGATTCGACAGCCAAGCTGACCCAATGCTGAGCACACGCTACTGAAGCGGTAGGGCGAGGGTCTCGCGGCCGTAGGAGACTAGGAATGCTGGGCGCTGTTGTGTGGTTTGTTTGTTGCCTGGACTTGGCGTCGGCGGAAATGACGGTGAGTGCTTCGTAGTCGACAGCAACACGTCAGCATCAAGGTATTCAAGGGCATGTTGAACCGCAACTTCGTTTCTCCCCTGACACGCCATTTCTTGAGCCGTTGTCTCGGAGTGAGCGGGCAGCTAGGTGCGGCTGGGAGCGTCTGGAAAAGCCTCGGCTACCTCGTCTATTTCATTTGAATGTCTGACTGCCACGATGTCTGGTTCACTGTGCGTCCCACGTGATTGATGGCTCACGATCCCGAGCTTTTTGGACGCCGCAACCTATATACATGCATTACCAATACCTGGGTGGTCTACTGCACCTCATATTAGAGAAAGTGTGCTGAAGGGAAAAAAATCCTGTATGTGCAGTAGACTATGATTTTCATGGAACTTGGCTGTGGTAGCAATGACTCCTTGTTGCACAACCTTGGGACTGCTTGCCGTTTCTCGCAAATTGCAAGCCATGTCTCTTCCTGCGTAAGCGTGCTTACTCACGAATTGAATGATCATTATGAATCACTCGTACGAGTCTAAGCCCATGAACTTACGCAAAGAAGAGGATACCGCGGCGTTTATCCCGGAGATTAGAATATAAAGGAGGCGAACATCCACTGTGGAAGTCGCTCAATATCTGGCAGAAAAGTCAAGCTTCTCCAATCCCATCAGATAACAATCATCAGGCTTGACAATAGCACCACAAGAAAAAGCAGAACGAGACCAGACCACTCTAAAGCCAAATAATTTACTGAAAACAAGATGCAACTCACAAACCCTCTCGTCCTGCTCCTCTTGGCTGCCCTTCCGGCTGCCGTCAACGCCAGCATCGCTATTGGCAACCAGATCAGGGCAGGCGGCGACCACTATAACGTCGCCTGGACCGAGGGCGTCGACGCATGCAACAACGACGTCGCCATTGCCCCGGAAAGCGAGAATATGTGTGGGAGCGAGAACACGTTCGAGGTCGACGGCAACGAGTACTACCTCAGTGACTGCTTGGATCCTGACACCGGGTACGCGCAGAAGCCTGCCAGGCTCATGCATGGGGACGGTACATACTTTGGGACATGCGGAGAGGCTTACTACCACATTAATTGCAAGGGAACTACACACGATGTTATCAAGCGCTATATCTGTGGGTAAGCTAGTCGGAGCAATTCGGCGGGGGCCCTAGGGGGGGGGCTTGGAAACGTGAGTGCTGAGAATTTTGTCTATGTGTCTCGGCATGTTGTTCAAGGTCGAGATATAGGCCGGAGGGGAGGAGAACACGGTTTGACAACGGCGATGGTGTCTATGCGTCTATATATGAGAGACACATGATGTAGCCCGTCAGGACTGCACCAAGCTGGCCTCCCGACCATAAAGCACATATTTTTAATCAGACCCATCTGACCACGTAAGGAATTTTGCAGCCCGGCAGCTCTTTTCAGCAAGTAGTTTGCGTGAAAAAATGTATCATCTAACCGTCGATACGCCCATCTGTTCACCTTTGAAAGGCAGTCTCATGCTGCTCCATTCATGTCCCTCCTAAAAGAATTGAGCTCCCTCCCCGGTGCACACGCAGGTGAAATGGTGGGCGATCATTTCCTCTTCGGTCCTGGACTGAGGCCAAAGGTGGGCCCCGCCTGTCTAGCCGATGCGCAGCCACCTCCACGCCCACTGCTGTCGACCATAGGGCTTAGTGTGACAAAATCATATGGGCTAAATTCAAGGAATCATCCGTACAGGCCCTGAAGTTACTCAGCTGGGAACATCAGAACATGAAATGTTCAGATACAATGTCCGATAGAATTTTCTTCGGGCTTGCTTTCGATTACAATATCTTTCTCGTCCTCGGACTCTGCACGATCCCAAGTGCGAGTAGTAATTCACAATGCTAAAGGAGGAAGCCGACTGCACATCAATTAGACCAGCCACAAACACAGCCCCAATGCGCGGTTGCATCGGTTTTGTCAGATCTTTCGCTATGGCACATTTGGCCTCACTGCAGCTGGATCAAACGGTGTAAGCTGATTTGCCGTCATGGACCCACCGAGGCTTAGTTGTCGACCCTGCTGAGCCGCTTAAAATCCGCCAATTCCCCGATGTGAATCATCCTGTTGCCTTGCTTCCTCTCTCCACAAACCCATACACCTCTTTCCGACCTACCCCCTAAATTCCACCACCCCTCCACTGCCTATCCTCAGCAGACTACCCCCAATGCGATCCTCAAGCTGTTACTGCGATCCTGACTAGCATCCGATTGCGGATATGGTCTCCCAAGTCACACCAGGGCTGTTGCAGCCCAACGTCCTTGTCGAAATCGATCACGGGCCTCCCATGGAGCTGTACCGAGACTCTCGCCAGGCTGTCATCAGACAGCCACAGCCCGAGATGGTAGGGTCGCGTCGTCGCTGCCTCGCCTCGCTCGAGCCAACTGGCTACGATGCTTGCCCCGAGACCGGTTCTGATCAGAGCGGTACCGCTTTGTCCAAGCTGGCAAGCTCTGACAAGCCAACGTACTTTCTGGAAAGCGGATGTGCAGAGCATCCTCAGGAGTCCCTCCCTGAGCGCCGAATCCCTTCGTCTGGCCACCCAGATCTCGCATCGCTGGTGCAGGACGAGCTCGCGGAAGGCCTTGCCTTTGCAACGCGCCATCCGGTGAACGCAAGAATTGGAGATCAACGCGGGCTTTCGGCTTGCTGCTGCCCTACGGGCAAAGACGCATGCGATCGCAAGACCATGTGGGAAGGCAGCCAGTGCCAGACCTCGTTCGACGGTCTTCACCCAGTCATGACGGCACCGTCAGACGGTGCCAGCACTGACACCGACTTTTTCCTCAACAAGGGGCAAGAAATCAGAATTGAGGAACGAGCTCTCTCGCACGGATATCCGATATCTCTGCCTGTCCCTTCGGGACTTCGCAACGTTCTTCGTGTCGAGCACGCTTCGGAGACCCAATCTTCCGAGATCATCCAAGACTTTGGTACCAAAATGGTCTCCCAATGGCGCCATATTCTCGAAAAGCGCGATAGCTCCTTCGGGGCACGCACCTATTCCCCCCCAGAATACGACTTTTCGGCGACGAGCATCACTACTGCGCATTCAATTGAATCTCGGGCTAAGTGTCGACAAGACACACATGGCTTCGAATTTCCAACATTCATGTCCGAGGCAACCCATTCTCACACGGGAGTGAGTGACCCCATAGGTTTCCCAAAGGAAACATTCATGTGGATGATTGGATACAACTTGGTGAGCTACTCAGTACAGGAGACCTAGCATATGGACATGACTGACGCAAATGACAGATGACCTTGCAATGCGAGAAGCAAGCGGTTCTTCACTTACGAAACGGGTCAAGCGAGCTCTTCCTCAATATGGTAGCAGCCGCAGTCTCTTGCCTCGATATTCTCTTGCCTATGGCTGAGAGAGTCGCAAGAGACAAGCAGTGTACTGAACAAGTCCACTGCCTCCTGGAAGACCCGGGTTAACAAATGTGCTTGATTGACGTTCACACATTTGATGAGCGTTAGAGAGCTAAGATACATCACAATCATCGCCAGTAGACAGGAGGTCCCGTCACACACTGCGCCAAGGCTACACTGTCGATAAAACAACTGAAATCTGAGCAGCAACTGCTCACCCCAAACACACCAAGCGCGACGAGCCCCAGAGGGCCCAGACAGAATGGAGAGCCACACAAATTTCGCGCCATATAACATGGCGCTCGACAACATTGACCCATCCGAGATCGATCAACTATTGCAACAAATGCAATGGGAGCAGTCGATCGACCAGCAATTCTTCGCAGCGCCGGAGTATGAAACAACCAACTTTGACCCGAACCTCTCGCCACTGTCTGGATTTGCCAGCCCCAGCAGCATGACAACAGGCAGCACGAACCAGAGCCCCTTAGTACCCACGCTAGACTACGATATGTCTTGCCCAGTAAACTCCTTCCTAGATGAGGCTTCCAGCCTTTTCCCAGAGCTCATGGATTCTGCCGCCAACATGCAAGCGGCCTGGATGGGCCACGAGGCCCAGGGCTGTGATGCCCTTTTTCAAAACCTCAGCGACGGGCAAGCCAAGGCTTTACCCGCATCACCCGTGCACAATCAATTGTACCCGACTGGAGCTCCAGATACAACAGTATATCAAAACGACCCAGCCTTGAGCCCATATCTCACCGCGGAACCACCAGCAAACACGTATCAAACCTTGCCACCCACACCATCATCATCACTACCATCATCATCACAACAACCTACCACCGACCTAACATGCTCCCACTGCGGGGCAACCTTCACCGACAAGACGAAACTAAAAGTCCACACCAACAAACACACCAAGCCGTTCCGGTGCTCGGCCGCGGGCTGCGACTACGCCACGGCGGAGAAGAAGAGCCTGCAGCGGCACCTGCTGGCCCGGTCCAAGTGGGACGGGGAGCACGGCGCCGCGGCGCAGCGCCAGGGCGTGATGCAGGTCAAGCACCGCTGCCCGCGGCAGGGGTGCACGTACACTACGATCCGCGAAGATAACCTAAAGAGGCACATTAAAACTTGTGGCCCGTGAGCTGTGGGCCGTGGGGTCAGCGGGGAGAGGTTGGGAAGTTGGGAGGAGTGGAATCTGAAAGGGGGGTTGGTCTTCTTGTTGTCAGTTCGCTCGTGGATCGCTATTAGACACGGCGTTGGATATTTCCTTATTCGGTTCGAGCGTAGTACCAGTATATGTGTCTCTATGATTAAATACATCTGTGTCTATTGTGCATTGAGATGCTCTCCAGCCTAGATGGTGAGTCTTGCTAGTCACAACGGTGACAGACAAGCCTGTGCAAAGTAAGCACTGATGCTCTTCAACGCCGTTGCCCCCACCGAATGGAGGGTACACCTCGATACTTCAGAGACCGGCTTCACCGCGGTGCTGGAATTGACTTCGGCACAACCAGCCTTTCCAGATGTGGTAACCCCACCTCAAACCCCCAACCAATCCGCCTACCGCCGTACGGCAGTCTTCTAGGACCAAAATTGCTCTTTTTGCCACTCTAAGAGCACAGGGAGTTCCTCTGGGCCGGCGCTGTATATATGTAGCAGGGTATTTTTTCTTCCATTGCCAGTCTTTTTCTCTGTCCGATAGTGAACAGCAACACAGGGTCCGCCGTGTGCCTGGACCGTATCCCGCAACGTTTCCAAGAGAGTCGCGAACCGACGTAGGGTGCTCTGTCTCTCCTTCTCGAATCTCGTGATTCTGTCCCCCATTTCAATCACCATGAGCCTTTGAGCATTAGTCCATGAGCCTGCCGGTCCCTCTGGGGCACCCGGAAGCGCAGGGCGCATGTCGACAAGGCCGACCCTGGTCTGGCCTGCGAGCCACCCACGCATGTCCATTCTCTTCAGGCGTTCATGTTCTCTCTTCCACAATGTATCATTGTCCGGGCGATTGCGAATTCGGACCTTGAACGTACTGGCCGGTGAGACGCCGTGCCCGGCGGGGATGACCTCCACGCCGTGGAGTGTCAAGGTCTGTCGCGGTTCGGGAGAACGGTTCGAGGTCGGCAAACCTTGCACGGAGCCATTGACAACTACTCGCACTATGCAAGATAGCGGCCCTATGTTGTAGCGCAGCAATTGGCTGTGATGAGAACTGTCATGGGTCCCGAGAATTGGGGTGGTCGCTGTTTCGTAATGATCCCACCTACCACCGCCCACGGGGGGCGAGATTGGATCTCCTCGTTGTTGGATTACCAGGGTGTCATTAAACAGTGACAAGTCAAAAGCGAACGCTTGTTTCCTAGGAAAAGCGAAAAGTGCTCCAACGTTGCTCTGGGCAATCCCGAACAGATAAACAAGGGCATTAGCATCAGCCATGATGTCCACATTGTTGAGTGTGAGATCCGGTTTCATGGCTAACAAAGCGACAAAAGTATCCATCCAGGTGTTCCACCGGTCTTTCTTGGACTCGGGCCCGTCCCTGGACAGCGACTTAGACGAGGGGTCGCTATCGCTGGCATCTGCGAGCGGCCGGCCTCGAGGAACTGGCCTCCTTACGTCGCCTTCGTGATTTGAGTGTTGCGGTTAGCCCCATGTGGCACTACACAAGTTGGAATTTACCGATGACAGCTGAGGCGTCACTCACCAGGGACAACTATGGCTGGACTGGGTCGAGTAGCGATATTCCAGCTACAGAGACATTCAATTTCGGAGGCGACGATGCCCACTCGTTCTTTGCACTCGACCAGAGACTTGGGATTGATGATCCTAATCACCTTTCCGACGTTTCTGGGCACCCATTCGTCTTCCTTTCGAATGGGACCTAGAGGAGGAGTAGGCAGTCCGGGGGATACCGCCTGCGGCCTGTCGGAAAACCACCTTCTCTCACGGCTGAGCAGATGTGAGCATGACGGCGCCGCCGCTCGCATCAGCCGCTGCCAGTGCCTTCTTGAGACGGCACTTACATCGGCCATGGTGGTTAAGTAGTAGAAAAAGCCGAGACACGCATGGAAAAGATGATTTCTGTAATGTATGATTGAAGTGGTTTGAGTCTGACAGATACGTCGAGGGAATGATCCGCGTCGGATGAGATTGAGCACAAGCCAAGCTGGACGCAACGCGTCGTTGAATAACGCAAGCTGTGATTAGTCAGCACAGCCAGGATATGTCCTGAGCGTTGGGAGGCAACAAGGAAAGAATATCAACAGCCTGGAGATATGTGCACTGCCAAATTTTAAATCCAACAATAACTAATGACAACGAAATGTGTGAGTGTGTAGAGATCCAGGCCGAGTGAAGGGAGACAGATTTCTTTTGGCCGCCCGGGGAAGGGGGCGCTAATTTTCAGAGCACAAGGCAGCCCGGCCGGCACAAAACACCCTCAAGCCAAATTTCTCAGTCCGCAGAAAGTTTGGGGGTACTCAGTCTCCCTGATTCGTTTGGTGCTTCCACGGCCTAAGCAGAAAACGTCGACTACTATGGTCATGACGTCTGCTGACTGCTATCGCACTGCTCTGCACAGAACGACGATTGTCTTGCCATTGGCGGTGACGCGAGAGCCTTCTGCATACATGTGAATACCGGATACGTTCAGTTGTGCATATGATACGTGGAAGGCCGGTACATGTGATCACATTTCACATTTACATCATTTTGCTCGTAGTACAAGAAGACACAGAGCTCATAATTATTTTTGTTTATTTTTGTTTTTGAAAGAAAGGAAATCCACGAAAAACCCCGATACCAAACCAACCCCCCCCCCAAAAAAAAAAACCGAAAGAGAACCAAAAGCAAGCTTCCTATTGATTTCGTCACTTATATTGGTATCTGGCCCATGAATCCGAAATAATCATCGAAACGAACCATGCGCTCTGTGATCTTCCAAAAGTCATCGTCAATGATGTCTCCGCCGTCCATGCCCTCCGCTCCGTCCATGCGCTCTGTGGCGTCCATGCCCTCCGCTTCCTCCAGTGTGATGGTCCGAAGCCCGCTCGAAGGTAACGATGAAGTCATAGTCGCCAATGTCGTTTGTTGGTGGTGTGAATTCGAATTGTTTTATCTTTGTCTTGGCCTGCCTCATCTCCACGTTCTCATTCACCATAGTTTCAGCACATTGGCCGAACTTGACCTCGTCAAGAAATATATCAAAACAACGCTTTTCTTGACTTGATCTTCCTGCACGTTTTATACACAGCCCCTCTGACACGTCCTTTCGAGAACGATTATAAATAGCCTGCCTCCTGTTGGACAAAGTAGCTTCTCTCACCCTCACGAAATACAGTCTCTTCAGAGAATTGATACTTTGTTGGAGATAACGACACCAGAAGCCCAGAAGAATATCAGCGGCCAATGGTCTGTCCCCTTTCGGCCGGGGGTCTCTAACGGTAAAGATTTCACGGATAACTCTGCACAGATTCGTTGTTAACGGATAATCCAAGAAAGATTAACAACACCTTATTCTTCAGGTAAGTAGTACCTGATATATGGCTCCGGATCTGTGATCATGCATAATAGTGGATGTGATCGCTTTAGAACAAGGGAAAGAGGCGAAGGTCGACCGTCCATAAATTGTTGGGCTCAAGGTATGAAATGCGCTTAAATACAGTAAACCATCCGGCACCGATGCCTCGAGCATAGCAATTTCTTCCTCAGAACCCCCATATCGTCCGTCATTGTAGATCGCATAACGATTGATACGGCGCGGTATTTCCGCAAGTTGCGTGGAGTTGTTGGCGAGCCCAAGTGGCTCCACAATGTATCCCAACTCTTCAAGTGTTCGAAGTGGTCGGGTTCGGGTTCTTGGAGTCTTCTCGTTCGAGAAGCAATTCCCCATGTTGAGAAGAGAGCAGAACCGAGATCTCCTTGGTTATCAAATATTATTAGTCAAAGTGTGAGTAGGATCAGACTTGGATTTGTTTGCTGTACTCAGTTCAACACTGTTGGTTAAGCTGGAATTCGGGGCGGGCTTTGCTGATGATGGAAATCTTTCGACGTCTATAAGCAGATAGGACACGAAAAGTATAATGAATGCTGCAATTAAGCCCCAAGGAAGTCGAAAAGCTGCTTTGGAACAGAATCGTTCGGTTTATATAGGACAAATATTTACAGTTACTCACGGTACTGAGTGAGTCCCTGATGATGAGAACGCTGCTCTTGAGACTGAGATGAACAACTCCTCCCGGAGGTCACCAAGAGCTTGTGGTCACATATTTCATATGCTCTAATGCTGTCCTCGCCGACCTGTTGCGTGTCAAGCTTCGTCTCCTTTGTAACTCTGTGATTGAGAGACCTCTTCCCGCCTTCAAAAGAGTTCTAAATTCATGGGATTGTGATTCACACATTCAGAATCACGTATGGGATCCAATATCCTTGTTTCTTTCAGTCAAGAGTAGCCTGACCTTGGGTCAAAGATGTCATCCTGCTACGTAAAAGATGCCATTTGCCTGTCTCAACTCTATTCATCAAAAAGCGCCGAAAGCAGTATATGATCAAGTTTTGAAGCTCAAAATGATAAGCTGTACCTGTGAAGAGCTTTGAAGTTTATGGAACTGTTTCATTTGGTTTGATAAATACGGGGTTGGGCACCAAAGATGGATGGGATCCGGGAAGGAAGGGGAGTCAATACAGATCCAGGCACAAGGCAGCCCACACATTGACAAAATCCGTGTAATGCAATATACACATGTTCAAGACGGTTCTTCTAGCATCCAAAAATGTCCAGGATACCAGCAGCCCTTCTTCCTTTGAAAATTGAACTCGCTGAACCGCGTGGGCTACGAACGTTATATCACCCTCTGACTGCTCTCACACTGCTCTGCACAAACCCGAATGACCATACTTCGGCTATTGTTTACGAGATAGTCTGCCTTGTATGTAGAATGGGTTACTACGGCGCTTAAGCAAGAAATTGGAAGGATACACGGAAGCCCAACGCGTCGGGTCACGTTGATGTCCTCTAATCGATACACGAAGATGCAGGGCGGAAAGCTCAATTCGAAGCATTGATTGTCGATCATGCTATTTGTATTGCTGTTTGCCTCGACACCCCCCCCCCCCCCAAGATTCCCGCAATTGAATTATGCGCTGTATGATCCTCCCAAGAACGCCGTTGACCACATTCCATCCGTCCAATGCCACGGCTCAAGTCTACTCGAAGGTAACTTTGAAAGAATACTCGGCACCATCTGTGTGAACTTTTGGTATGAAATCGAAGCGCTTAACTTGAGTCCCAGAATTCCTCATTTCCTGGTTCTGATTTATCATGGTTCTCGCACATTTGCCGAATTTGCTACCGTTATAAATATGGTTGAAGGATTGCACCTCCTCATACTCGACCCCCCTGCGTCGTATGGATAGCGCACGCGATGGATGCATCCTAAAAAGTCCGTATGCGTCATCTCTTACCTCTCCCATGGTCGTTTCCTCGACGTTGTCGAAAAATAGTCCCTTCAGATCTTCAACGGGGATTTCAAGCTCATGACACCAGAATCCAAGCAAGATATCGGCAGCCCGTGGCCTTTGCTGCTCTGGTCGAGGATCTCTTGTTGTAAAGATTTCGGAAATGATCCTGTAAATAATGTCCATCAGTAAATGATGCAACCAGACAACGGAGGCGAAATGAATTATGCCTCCGCTGGAAAGCCCTGAATCCAGATTCACATTCCTTTCAAGTCAAGCGTTCGGGTAGTAAGAACCGGGAAAAAGTGAGAAGTCGGATATCCTTTAGAACCTGGGCTGTGACCTTGCTCAAACATACAGTTGACCGTTTTCTTTAATGCCACCGAGTATAGCAATTTCCTCATCTGGAGGCGGAAGTGGTCCGGTATACCAGACTGCATAAAAGTCGATTTGGAGTGGACCAACTCCGGCCGGGTTTTCGAATTCTCCAAGTCGTGTAATAGTGTAGTCAAATTCTTGAAGTCGCCGGACTGGCCGGATGCTCCTGGGTACCTGTTGCACCAATTCGACTGGCTCGCCCCCCGAAGACTTCTTTTCCTTCCGGCTAGAGCAACAGAACATCTTGAAAGGAGGATTAGGAGCTTCTAAATAGCTGGTAGAAACTGGTCAACAAGTGATAATGATAAAACTGCAGTTATTATTGAATGGAGTTTCGTTACAGTGCTACTGCTTAAGCTTGGGTGAAGAACAGTCTTTGTTGATGCGGTTTATGCCTGATTACGTGACTTCAATGTACGCAGGTAAAGACAGCCTGGAAATTGGTAGTTTGTGCTGGCTCCGACTTTGAAAAGGAGTACAAAGCCGTTTCGAGAACTCTTAGTTCATTTTATAACAGGTACTTTGTAACGGGCAGACTTCGTAGCAAACAGGAGATTCACCATGACTGTTGATTGTTATGGAACCCAAGAATCTTCCTGTCGTACATTGTGCTGTGACACGTCTCCGCCATTTTGTTGCCTTTGAAGACTAGTCACCTTGTTTAGCTGCTTGCAATGATAAAGGCGTATGTACAGAGATAATAAAAAATATGCTTGGATTTGCGCTTAATTATGATCTGCAGGATTCGTAACATTGATAGGCCATGGTTCTGCACTGTCCTAAAGTCAAGAAGTTCCAGGCCGCCTCTAGTAACGGAAGTCGTCCTCAATAATATATAGTAAGGGGTGTTGAATACCGGTTATAGTTCTATGCCACTGCGAATGCGGTGAGTCCAACCATTGGATTTGCTATTTGCATATCGTGGAATAACCTTAAGCACTCTGGGAATCAATGCATTGTGCAACCTTGTCACTTGGCAAAAGTGATAGCAAAATGCCGCGTGAGGCTGGCTGAGCTCAGTTTCGACATTAAAGAGATATCATCTACTAAAATTGTAGATTCCAAAAGCAACTCTTGTTACAATCGCGCATAAAGAACCATCTACAAACATCGTATCACCGGCAGGCACATCAGCATAATGGTTGTCGCATGGAGAAGCCAGTGTTGAGTCATGTAGAACCATGGAAGTACATATTAAAGACTTAGTGATCTTGTCGGTTTTTGTGTTAAAATATGGTTGGCAGGACGAGAGACCTGGGAAATCATCCAACGCATGGAGTCGCTGTGATGTTACCAAATATTTCCTGACTTAAAAAAAGCGCATGATAAATTTATAGATTATTAGGGTATCTCAAAATTGAATTAGCTAGCTAAGCCTCCCTTCCATCACCTCATTCTACTGATACTCAAGCGTGGCCTTAAGGTGAAAAAGGTTGTCTGGACCGCTTTGAGGAATGAATTCGAATCTTCTGATTCGAGCACCGAGGGCCCTCATAGCAGGGTAATCGGTCACAATCGTTCTCACGCATCTGCCAAGTTTGCAATCTTTGCAAACCCTTTCGAATTCCTCCTTCTCTAGTCCTCCGCTGCTGTGATGTAGGGTCCTTCGTGTCGATCTCGACCAGCCTAAATTTCTGTACACATCGTCCCTGGCGTCCTTCGTCTGCTGCTCTTCAACAGTCTGGAAGACAATACCACGCAATGTAGTGAGGTCTTGTTGAGCGATATCTATCCAGAATCCCAGCAGAATGTCACTGGCAAGTGGTCTTTGGCCCTGAGGTCGCGTGTCTCTAGTAGTGTAGAGTTGGGTAACAATCCTGAACAGGTGACCTATCAGCAGTGGATTCATTATTTCCTAAACGGAGCCCGTTCTAAATCTCGCCCACAGATTCGAAGATGACTGGGCGACTGTGCTACTGAGGCATACGACCCAGGTCCTGCAATCACAATGCGGCCAGTCACACGAGACACGGTGTGCTAGGACTTACAGTAGTCGATCCTCGGCGGAAAGAGCGAGCATAGCGATGAGCCTCCGGGAATGGCCCTGGCGACGGTACCATACTTGATAAAGGGGTATAAATTTGTTTGGGTCGAGAGGATGCCTACCCAATGTAGGTTGGCTGCCGACTTCATACCCGAGGTGTCTCAGTTGCGTGACTTGTCGCTGATGATTTGGGGTGCGCTTCTTCGGCTTTGTACTGCTTCCGCAACAGAAGTCCATGCTGTCAGGCCGTCTGGAGATTTTGGATCACTAACAAATATCAGTTCGATCCATATCGAAATGGAGGGTGAGAGAGCGGACTTTGAGGGAAATTCACTGTACATTTGAAGAATGACCGTCCCAGTTGATCAAAGTGGAGTTCGGGTTCTCAACAAGAGATCGAGGTGCTCAAAGACGGACCAGGCACAGAACTGTGTAGTTTATTCTGTAGCTGATGGCTGAAATGCTTTGAGACTATTCGAAAAAAAGTCAGCATTTTATATTGGAAATATTTGTAACGGTGAATCGTAGTGGTGACTGATTTCCTGTATTTGAAGGGAGACGTTGCTAACCAAGAGCTTCCTGTCATCGCTGGAAATCGTTGTGCCATTCTCTTCAAGCTTGATATTTCCAAATGCAACCGTAGTAGTCATGGTCCCAAGGCTCTCACTCAACTCTCAAGTTGAGTGACGATCTAGGATTAAACGCCGCATCATGGCACTCCTTCGCCGGTATACGGCTTGGGGACGACGGCATTTTGGGCCAGACTTCGCAGCATTCCACTCATATTCGCAAATTGAACTCAAAGTATCAAACCTCTGGAGAATTACGACACGGCACTTGGAATAGATGATGGTGAATAGCCATGTTTCACGCGTGGCTATGCTGTGCGGCATCCTGACAAACTTCAACCATAAATTGTGGCTTGGGTTAAGTTCAGGGAGTACATCGGTTGCTCAAAGGACACAACATGTTTTGAGAAACCTGAGTGCAAAGACTGCTCTAAGAGCAGTCCATACGCATCCAACTGTTTTTGTCAGGACTTTCAAGTTACGAATGCCAACCTGTGCCTGCCAACCTGTGCCGGCCAAATTCCAGCAACACTGCAGACAGCGGCCATTGGCTTCCAGAGCTGGAGCCCATGAACCCAAAAACGCATGAAATAATTGGGGAATACCTCATTCAGAGTGACTCTTCCCGTAAGGCCATGATCAATCTACGATTATGTATGGCTTTTGCTTGAAGTTTGTGGGTAAGGAGGATGGCAAGCTCGCTGAGAGATTCACAGACCAGTGTTAGCAGAAAAAATAATTTGACCTGAATCTGGACCCTGGGCCGTATCAGAGCTCTGACACAAAATGAAGGTGAACCTTCCACAAACAAATTCTTATGCACGATTGGTGAAGGATCAATAATAGTCCATGAATAGATCAACTCTGTCTGTTCATAAATCATATTTTTGTCAGACTGTACATGGTTGGTCAGCAACAACTGTGACTGCGACAGAAGACAAGCAGAACGCTTTCTTGGAACGACAGCATGACTCTGCCAATGATCCTTTGCCAATTTGAGGTGCTTTTCGACATTGCCACACCTCAGATGAGCCATGATCATTTACAAAGGCTAAGATGCTCCATCTACCAACTGCCTGCTATGCCCCAGGTGCCTGGGGCCTTTTATGTAACTTAGACCTGGTGTTGTCTTGATTCTGGCACTATAAATCGTGAGCTTCGCTTCACGACACTCAAGGTTAAGCTTGTGCTCATCTTTACTAGTGAGGTAAGCAGCATGCCTTGTGTTTGCCCGTTACGGTGCTTTCTACGACAGGCGTCGACCCGGAGTGCTCGCTCTAGCAGCTTGTTCTGCCGTCCTTGAAGGCTTCATTGAAATTTACCCTGATCTTCAATCGTTGGCTAAATTATTTTAGACCCGTTGGCAGGCATCTGGTATGCCAACAACACCAGAAGCGCTGCCCGGGATCGAATGGCTTCCTAAAATTCCCTGATCGACGAATGGTCAAGAATTCGAAAGTGTGTTGGAACCCCTTCTCGAAGACAAAACTTACCAATCAGGGAATTGGGAGGGGGGATACTGAGTGCTCAAGACGCATCGCTTTGTTATATAAATTGATGTACATTCAAATCGAGGACAGGGTGTCGAGCGTACTTAAGGATGACATCGAAGATCTCGAGTAATGTAGGAAGACTGTTGATCAGAAAATCTTTGGAGATCATATTCCCTTCTAAGTCTACTACTTCAGAGACTCAAGTAGTCTAATCCTATCCTCGCTGTGGTGGCAGCTACTTTTTCGGGTCTATCGCGACGTTAAAAACTATGTAAGATAAAAGGGTCGGGTGCTGAGCAGTTGGTAAATGTCCATCTACCAAGGCCACTCGGATGTTGCTCTCTCTAGCTGGACCCAGTAACCCCCCTCCGTGCCTCTACCACTAATCCTCCCGCTCAGCAGCGCAGTAAGGGCTGCGAGCCCTGAGCCTGTCACCGTAGAACCACAGAACCACGACAACAGCAGTACCAATGACCGCAAATCCTCCCGCCAGCGCCGTTGCGCCGAGGCCAAAACCCAGCGCGTTGAACATGTAAGGAGCGAAAAGTGGGAACAGAGCAGCAGAAAGGCTTCGTGCCACGAGATTGGTCGACACCGCGGACGCGGCGTATTGCGTGTAGGCATCGATGGTGTAGACAGAGACGCTGCCGGAACACATGTAGACACCTGCGGCGAACACCAGGCTGCCCAGGTTGGGCACAATCCAGTGTACTTTCTGTTGGCCGGACCATCCCCACCATAGCAGGCCAATTGGGACGAGAGCTGTGCCGATGGCCATGGTGGGAATGCGAAATTCGGGGCGGCCGACGCCACCGTTGCGGGCCTTGAATCGGGAGTAGACACGATCGCTGAGTCGGCCAGCGATGTTGACGCCGATAATGAGTCCTATCGCGAAGGATATGTAGTTGAGACTTCCAATCCTCACGGACTGATTGTACTGCTGAGTCCACATGGTGGGGTACATGAACAGGAAAAGAAACATGGTCCCGTAGAGGATGGCCATGTAGCCAGCCAAGAGCTGTATGATGACCTGGGTGGCGAGCATGCGCAGTGGCCGCTGCAGGTTTATGCGCATGTCCATGATGAACTTCTCTTTCGCTTTTGGCTTGTCTCCTGTTTGCTCGCCATCCGACGACTCTGACTGTTTGCGAGCGCGGACTTCCTTGAGCTTCGGCAGATATGTCTCGCGGAGGAAGACGATCGCGAGGGCGATGGTGACAGCGGAAGCAATGGAGATGATCCAGAAGACCCATCGCCAGTCGATTCCCTCGGATATGAAAGCGCCGCAGATAGGACCGAGTGCAGGCCCCATGAGTGGTGCAGCCATGAAGATGGCAAATGCCTTTCCCCTCTCCTCGGCCCGCCAGAGATCACCCATGAGTCCGCCCGCGAGGGCGTCAGCAACTGACGCTCCGAAACCTGAGAGTAGCCTGAAGGCTAGCATCTGGCCCAACGTCCTCGCTGCTCCACATCCTGTATTCCAAACGACGAAGATGATGCTACCAATGATGAGAACGGGCTTCCGGCCATACACCTCTGACATTGGTGCCAGTATCAGCGGAGCCAGACCGATGCCAATCAGGATCAAGGAATTGACTAGCAGCCAATCGTATGCATGTATGATGTGGAGATCTCTGGAAATGTTCTTCTCGACCGGAGAAAGCATGGTCTCAGAGAGAGGCTGCAAGAAGGCGAAGGCCGAAAGGAGAAGTGTTGCTGTCCATTTCTTGGTCAGAGGCCAGTTCTTGGGGTCCCAACGAGGGGCGTCGTTCTCTTCCGCGGCGGTCTGGGTCGTCGAGAAGTCAGTGCTGCTGCTGCAAACAACTGATATTCACAGTGTCAGAAGATGCTCACTGGGTTGACCAAGTTCGTCACCTCGACGTCTTTCTTCGGAGGCGGCGCCTGGTGCCTGTCATCTAGATGGGCCAAGCTTTCTAGCTCTGCCGGCGTTGCCTCCATTTCGACAGACTGGTCCAAAGGAGCAGCAAAGTGAGAAAGGAGAATGAAGGGAAAGAACGTGTCTACTGCTTCAATCGGTCGAGGAACGCGCCGCGAAGGAGGAAGTGCTGCGTCCGCTGAGGACTTTCAGATGCTTCCGTGTGGTTTGGTCTACTTTGCCCAGTACTGCTGCGCAACCCACATGTGGTGCTGACTGTCAGATGGACTGGCACAGTCAGCAGGCAGCAAGGGAGAGGTAGAAGAGGAGGCAACCGAAGATGGAGGCGTCGCCAATGTTCCACTCGCGCCAATTGCCCCAACAGCGGCTCTTTCAAGTTAACGTGTACAAATGGGTGAAAATGTCGTTGGAGGGACCATTCTGCTCCAGCCTGGCTCAGACTGCGCTTCGTATCCGGATGCAAGTCTGAGCTGCACGGTATTTGCGCGGGCGAGTTGGTACTTTTGATATTAAGTGGTATTCGCTTCCGTCACCGGACGGCTAACTACATCAGGGTCAACTGGTCTGACCTGTCAGATTTATTAGAGGGTGTCACATTCTCTCTTCCCGCGCCTCTCCCGTCGCCTATGCCGAATCGAGGTCAGCTATGACCCCCACAAAACCAAACAGATAGCAACCAAATTAGAGCGCAAACGGATGGCTCGCGACATAGCTTGGCCTTCCGTGCTCATGGGGGTCTGGTCATCGCCCGCTTCGAAGATCTCCACGGCATTCCTTTCTCTTCAAAGTTGTCTGCCAGACACCAAATAATCACAGTTGCCTCAACAACAGGGTTTCAAGTGATCTCGATAGCAGCCGATCGTCGTTCCGGCTGCCTAGAGGTCCCTAGGCCAATCTGGGTGGGCATGGCTGCCAAGACGGAACTCACATAGGTACGTACCTAAGTACGCATCGGCTCTACGCCTTGTGGGATTTAAAAGAACGCGGCACAGGGGTTGAGATTGAGGGTGCATATGCAGAACCAACCGATATGAAATCAAACAATCAATGGCTATTGGCGGGCTTCTGGCTGCGCCTCATGTAGTCGGCACTCAATTCTCAACATGGCAGGCCGCTTTAGGGAGGGGGGTGCGAGCAGGAAGCGCCGTGTTCCGTTGGTCACACTGGTACCATGTTGCTGTTGTGTGATGATAAGAGTGATCGACTCGGCGTTATTCCTCGGACTTCAGCTCTTTTGTCCCAGACATCTAGGGGACTCGGCTGGTCGCATATTATGCCCTGGTGTGGTATAGGTGTTGGCCCCCAGCCGCTAAGCCCTGCAACGGTGGTGCGTAGGCTGCATACGCATCGCAGCCACCAACGGTTAGCCGGCTGGTTTGGCGCTCCTGTCAGAACTTGTGGTAAGCCACTTAAAGAGCCTCACACACGCCAAGAAAGCGAGCAGCCCAGTGAGATGACGATATTCAAGGAGGAAATGTGACTCTGACTACAGGAATTATCACAACAACGCTGACATGGTGCCAACGGGGAAGGCGGCCAAGATCACTCTCCGATGCACGAACCGTCCTGGAGAAGCACTGCATGCTTACTTGTGATTTCAGGCACAGTCACGCTAGGACTTGGGATGAACGACGGGAGGAATATGCGGGAGCTTTGAAGAAATTGATTTGGAAGCTAAGATTTCTGGAATAAGTACTTTTAATACTCAGGGGACATCGACAACGTCTGAGAAAATCAGTGTGCGGACCTCAATGCTCCGTCTAGGCTTGGGATCCTGCTCTGTCCACAGCTGTTTGATGCTGGAGTGGAGTGCATCTGTTAGAAGTCAGCATTGCACACTTTTTACTGGGATCCGATAAGAAATCCGTACAGGGTGCTTCAATACCAGGCTTCGAGTCAAAGTGCTTGAATATCAAAGCCTCGTCCGGGGTCTGCCGATCCAAGAAATACCACCTCTGTCCTGCATCGTATCGGACGTAGTAATGTGTGGTGATGTTTCCTTGGCGAATCGAGTCCGTCTCCGCCAAATCATCGGGGTTCACGCTAGTTCCATCACATACTGCCAATGCCCATTCGTCGACAGGATTTGCTAGCGGCTTCCATACACTGTGATCATAATTAGCCCTGAGTTAACCTTGAGATAATGCTACCGTAGTAATGCAAAGAGAGGATTGCTTTTACTTTACAGCCCTAACACGCTGCCGCAAAATGCTTCCCGAATCGTTTGGAAAGCTTTCTCGGATCCTCTGGATCACGGAAATTGGACTCGTGTCGACGTGCGCATAATTGCTAGGGAGTAGAGGCTGAGTCTGATCGCCGAAGTTGATCTTGCTCCCCGCCTCCATCTGATTGCGGCTTTCTCGGATCTGGAACGTGATCATGAGCAAACAATCTGAGTTTATTTGGGTATTTTATAGAAAGAATGATCCGTTGTGCCTACTCTCCAATCGAAGACAAATACTGTTCCGACATCTTGAAGTTCCGTCTTCAGCATGTCTTTGATAGCTGGTATGTATTTTCCTGTGATTGTTTCTCTGTCTAGCAAATCTGTGAACCCTGGCAAACGGCGAGTGGTGAACCCGTGGGAGTCAAGCTGAAATCCTTGAGCATCGTCCCGAATGTTACGTATGGGAATCTGCTTTTCCTCCCAGACCAAGTTGGTTTTGCGTTGATCTGTTGCGTCTGGGAGGAGATCGCCGAATATTTGGAATGGCTTTTCTTCCTCGTAGAGCGGGATCCCCTTGAGGAATTGCACTGACGCCTGCTTCATGATCTGTAATCTAAGCTGAAAGAGGGTGAAAATGACTCGGTGGAGAAAAGATAGTGCTGGTCGTCGAGCTTTGGGAGGGAAGAGTGTTCAACTATCCTATGCTCATTCTTTTCGGATGTAACAACAGAATCATTTTTGGGTGTCACACACTCGCCATAGACACCTAGGCAGACGTCTTCGGCCCCCAAAACATGTTCCCCCAATCACATGTTGAACATGGGTATTTTGTCTCAAAAGACCTGCCCGTTATCGCATGGTTGGGCACCTGATGCTGCAAATCGGCTGATGGATGTTACACCGATGAGAGAAGCGCGCTTGGCTACGTTCCCCGTTCGTGCCGTGTAACCTGGTCCTTTTGGGGGCTAACGGTGATGTGCAGGACTTATACTGCATGCAGAAAGTCGCCAAGTCACAACTGTCTCGGCTCCAGAGCCTTATAGGGCTTGCTGACGATATCAATAATGATAGGGCTATTTAGAAAAGGGTCCGCGCTGTCCTGGTACACTTAAATCCTAAGACAAACCAAATTCATTTTTTATACCAGCTGAGATTCATCTAAGCCCCTGAGCCATTCCTGCAAAATGTCCAACAATTATTACGAGTCGTTCGCTAATGCCATCATGGAGCAAGCCGCTCATGAGAAGCGCTCTCAGCCCTGGAAACACACTGTCAAGCCCCAGACGGTGCATACCAAAGAAGAATGGTACGAGGTCGCCGGCAGCCAGTCCACTGAGAGTCGTGATGAGAAGGTCGACGTCCGGAAACATGCGTTTCCCATGGGAGAGGTCGATGTGCGGAAGCATGCTTTCCCCATGGGAGAGGTTGATGTCCGAACGAATGCTTTTCCCATGGGAGAAGTTGATGTCCGAACAAATGCTTTCCCCATGGGGGAAATTGACGTTCGAACGAATGCTTTCCCCATGGGTGAGATTGATGTCAGAACGAATGCGTTTCCCATGGGGGAAATCGACGTTCGAACGAATGCTTTTCCTATGGGGGAGATAGATGTTCGCACGAATGCTTTCCCCATGGGGGAGGTCAGCGTGCTTACTCACGCTTTCCCCATGGGCGAGCCTAGCGTTCTGACGAATGCATTCCCAATTTGAACTATAGGTATGTATAAGCCCAGAAAGGGTTCTCAACAGCGTTCTGACGTGATATCTAGGGCCTCCTGACAAGGTATGCACACCATCATGGGATCATACGACTGCAGGTATGGTATGTGAGGTTTGGGGTTCGCTGGGAGCGCAATGAAATCGGACCTGAGTTCGGGGCTCATTACTCTATGTTCACTTTCATTCATGCCTTACACAGGCTGAGTTAGACACACTCATTCAATCGAATATAGTCTCACAGTCACTGTAATGCATGCATTCTGCCAAGGGCAACTGTTGAAATCTTGCTGTTTTGATTGGCACCCTGATTGGCAGACCAGACTACGGCCGAGCTATTGAAGTTGCATCATCGAGACACATCCTAGCCATGGTAGCAGTCGCAGTCGGCATCCAATGAAAGACATGATATGGTTGCATTCGTGGGAAAATTTACTTGCAAGGGTAAAGTCAAGAGTCCAAGTTGCTTTGATCGAACCTCCACTGCAGGATAGCCTCGGACTCCAACGACCTCGTCCACAATCTATCTCATCGAGACCCCTTATGTATGCACACCACTCTTATTCCTTGGGTGCAGCTGGCTTCTTGGCCTCCAAAATCTCGCCAATAGGCTTCCACATCAGCCAGAAGGTAAACGGACCGACCTTCTCCTCGACCTCCTTCCAAGCCTCATCCGGGGAGTCCGTCTGCGGGTGATTGATGTTCTCTTCGATGTAGCTAAAGCCGTTGGCCTCGTAGAGTGGGCGACCATACGGCGTCGAGTCCAGATAGAAGTCGAATCCTAGCTCCTCTGCCTTCTCGAATCCCCAGTCCATGAAAAGCTGACCAACACCCTTGCGCCGGTAGTCAGGGTGGGTGAAAATGATGAAAAGGTCTAATTTCTGGTTAGCCAGGTCCTGAGGGTAAAGCCTTTTTATGGAGCACTCGACTGACAGAGGTGCGGTTTCTGAGCCACTCGAGCTCTCGGCGCGGAGTGTCTCTCCAGCGCCTTCTCGACGTAGGTGCGAGAGCCATCATCGGGGAACCAGGTAACCTGAGATGGCGGCGGGTTGGCAAACGGGTTCTCTTTGTGGATCTTCCACAGAGAACCACCCGCAATCTTGCCAGTTTCGGTGTCAACGACCTTCTGCCAGTAGCTAGACGGATCATGGGTATGCCAGAGCTTCAGACGGGTCGCAGCCTCATCAATGGCGGCCTCTCTGGCCTCGTGGCCGGTGCCATGAGTGGGGAAGAAGACGTGGAAGAATTTCTGTGGGGGACTCTCGTAAGACTCAAACATGCATCTAGCAATTGCCGGAAAATCGACCTCGGGGTCAATCTCTTGTAGTTTGAGAGGCATGGTAGGTATCTTTGTTTAGTTGAGTTTACTTGAAAGGAGATTCAAAAATCCATCCGAAACGACTCTATTGATGAGCTGGCAAGCAGTTGTCCAAGTTGAACGATGAGAGACAAAATGGGAGGGATCCGAAGATTCAGGATTGCCCCGGTCAACCTCGTGAGGTGTGCGCGTCCATGTTGTCTGCGAGGGTGTCTCAGCCTCAAGTCACCAACAGACCAACAGTAGTGACTGACAAGGGTTGTTCCACCTGCTGAATCGAGGAATACTATTACACCCACGCCCCGGTGCCCCACAAACAAATCGGGCACTTCCAGCACCAATATCTCAAGCCACGCTCGGCTTCCGCTGCTCCAAGTGTTACCTTGCTGCCTACGAATGTCGTGGCCAGGGCCAACTGCAGATGCACATCACAGGGGTGTCTTATAGATACGTTGCCAACAGGTCGCGCCCGGGTCGTGATCGCCACGATCCTCGCCCAGGAAAGGGCAGACCACTGGCTCTTTAGTGCGGCCGCACAGTTGAGTACAACTTGGAATCACTCATAAATCATGTGTGTATTTTGCCCGGGCTTTGAAAAATTCGAAATGCGGCCCAGATTCCTCAGCGAGGAGCGTCCCCTACTTCATCTCGAAGTAGCCATTTAACGGTCTGGAACGCATGCCCACCCCTCAAGGATTCTTGGCGGCGTGCTCTTTTCGCTCTTGGCTTACCCAGAAGTAAGTTGCTGCTGCCACCTCTCCGCTCTCGTATCCGGCCCTATCAATATGCCCGCCAACCAAAGCCGGCGATTTCAAGGGTCTTGCCGAAGAACATGTGCGTTCGGCATGCAGCTCTAGACTCTGAGAAGACAGTGGGTGGCCTCTCGGCCCTGCCATGGGCCCATAGATCGGCTTGATCAAGCCGCCTGACTGGCACCAAGCTGGCTACAGGATGGACAAGAAGCGCCGATGCGTTATTGCGTAGCAATGCAATGTCATCGTCGAAGCAGGCCCCATGCACCCATGGCATTTATCCCGGATGTGATCCTTTCCGTCGGGACATTCCCACCTGTGTGTGTTAAGGGCGTCACAGCTGCGATTCGACATGTAATAGACATATAGAGCAGATTCTTCCGCATCTTTTTTTGGGCGTGAGAATGTCCGCATGTGGCTTCGTCCTAAGTCACCTCTGCGATCCCATCGGTTTGCATTAGCTCCCGCCGGCTAGCCACCATGGAGATGGACCCCAGGTCTGGGGCAGCGGGTGACAAGAGCCGGGTGAGCTTGGTCATAATCTGGTTCCTGTTTGTTGCTGCGGTGCTGAGCGTATGCGCTCGCCTGGGCACAAAGTATGCCATGGCAAGGAGGCTGGCTTGGGATGATGGCCTCATCATCATTGCTCAGGTATGTGCCCAATAGAGGCTCTCCTTTTCGTTCAGACTAACTTGGTTGACTTCAGGTCTCTTCGCTTGCTCAGTGCATTGCAATATCGTTCGCGGCTACTTCAGGTCTTGGAACCTCGATGCGTGATCTGGCTCCAGAGAAAGTCGACAGCTTTCTGAAGGTATCGTCGTGTCAGCTCCTTGAGGGCATCTCACCCAACGAGAACCCGCTGACATATTGGTTCAAGGCAGAATATGCTAGTACCCCATTCCTCCTTTTGACGTTTGCTTTGGTAAAATGGTCAATATGCGTCTTCATCAATCACTTGAGTCCTACCGCGGTTCACCACCAGTTAGACATGGCTTTCCGTTCAACCATAGGGCTGTGGCTCACTTCTGCTACACTCCTTTCCATCTTCCAATGCGCCATTCCGACACCATGGGACTACGTCAACGGATCTAGTTGCCTCGATCGCGTATGTTTCTCCAGCCTTGTGCGTCTCTGGAAGCCCCTGCTAATCTACGAAGCGAGCTTGGTCGATCTATGTAAGTGCGTTGAACATTATTACGGAGCTCGGATTCGTCTTCCTCTACGTGTGGATCATTGGAAATCTCCAGATATCGGTTTTAAAAAGAACTACCGTTCTCTTGGTTTTCCTGACGCGGCTACTGTAAGTTGTAGTTCTTCAAAGACCCGCATTCACTGGTCTAATACTCTCTACTGCAGCGTCATTGGAGCTGCTGCCGCTCAGCTCGCCGTCTTCTTGAAAGCATACCCATCGCCCGACATCACAAACAGCTTGTGGCTGCCGACCGTGTGTAATCAAATTGTTGTGTTTCTCAGCATCTTGACAGCTTGTCTGCCATATCTCAGACCATTTATGGAAAGTCTTGAATCAGATGTTGTACGCGTGCCCGAAGACTTGGAGGAGCTCAGATCGTTCGCCAGATCAGACGCCAGATCAGACGCCAGATCAGGAATAGGAATGAGATCCAATTAGCAATCTTTTCTCCAATGAAAGACGTGAGGACTTTGCCGAGGTCAAAGACGGCCAGTGATGATACTATAATAAGTGAGAGAGGCCGAGGTGGCATGTCGTGGACATGGCTCCCGGCCACGATCAGCTTGTGATTTCGCCAGTGCTTTGCCCGCGATTGGCGACCTCCGCTGATGCCGATGTGTGGCACGAAGACGTGGGTATCAGACGACTTCGACAGCCTGCTTGTATAGTGTGGAGACGATCATACGCTCCAGAAATTTGGTCTGCGTCATGCAGGGCGAAATAGTTGTATGCACCCTCAGGACCGGTGTGGGCTAATCCAACCACTCCCGAACCGCCGTCGCTATCCGCGGGCTGGGGGTTCGCATGCTGTACAACACAAATCCTGCCACACGCCACAGACTCACAGTACCAATAGACGATCCCATAATGAACGCGCCAAGACCTCGGGGCAAATCAGATTCGCTGTCCGGGAGCCTTCTCAGCTTCAATTTTCCCTGCAGGCGTTGGTTTATCAGCTCTTTGAAGAAGACCAATGGTCGCAGTCCAGGTCACGTCGTACGGCATCGGTCCTTTGGGCGTCAAGTTTTGCGCGGACATTCCTCCCGGCGTGGAAATTTGCAACAGCGCAAAATATTTGCTCAATGATTCTGATCGTGATCTGACATACGCGTCCGTGTGTGCGAAAATATTAGGTGCTGATCACCGCTCTAATTCTCGGTCTTCTGCGCGTTCTAAATCCACTTTGTTCTTTTGTTGTCGCCTTTGCAAAGCTCTATTTCTCTACTGATCCAATATTCAGTATGGCTATAGATGAGGTCACCAAAGAAGGGGAGAAGATCGGCGCGTTCGGGCCCATGGTCCGTGGGTCCGTTTCCCGCGATGACGCCGCCTTAGCTCGCCTGGGAAAGAAACCTGTGTTGAAAAGAAACTTTGGTTTTATGACCATTTTGGGATTCAGTTGTACTGTACTCATCACATGGGAAGGGTCTTTGATGTTTGTCTTTCCGTCGCAGATCGAGATTGTGAATGTTTGTGACTAACGAGACTCAGAACATTCCTGCAAGGGCTTCAAAAGTGAGAACTCTCCGGGTAGTGCCTCATGACACTAACATACAGCTAACAAACACCAGTGGTGGTCCATCGGGCATTGTCTACGGATTTATCGTGGTCTGGGCAGGCACCCTCTCCGTCTTTGCAACGATCTCCGAGTTGGTTTCCATGGCGCCAACCTCTGGAGGACAATACCACTGGGTGTCCATGCTTGCACCTCCCAGCTCACGCAAGTTCCTGGGGTACCTTACGGCCTGGCTGGCTCTGACCGGTTGGCAGGCGCTGGTAGCGTCAGGCGGCTTTGTGACGGGCACGATGATTCAGGGTCTCATCTTGCTCACGCATCCCGACTATGCCAATGTAATGCAGAATTGGCACGGGACTCTTCTCTTTTGGGGAGTTGTCCTTCTAAGCTTCAGCATCAACAGTGCTATTGGATCGTTGCTTGCCAAGTTTGAAGGCCTCGTGCTGGTTGTGCATATTTTTGGATTCTTCGCAATCTTGTTGCCTTTGGCCTTACTAAGTGAGCATGGGGATTCTGCGACAGTATTCAACAATTTTTACAACCTTGGCGACTGGCAAACGCAAGGCCTCTCTTTCTGTATCGGACTCCTCGGCAATGTGTTTGCGTTTCTCGGGGCGGATGGGGCCATCCATGTGAGTTAATCCCTCGGATAAACCCTGGCTTCCCTCATTAATGTCATTCTCAGATGGCCGAGGAAATCCGCCACGCTGCTGTCGTGATACCCCGGTCCCTTTTGACCGGCCTGGCAATCAATGGGGCATTGGGTCTCACCATGGTCATTGTCACCCTATACTGTGTCAGTGAGGGAGACATCATGGCCGCAATAGAGGAAAACCCTTCCTACCCATTCATGGCTATCTTTCGAAATGCAGTAGGGTCTACCGCTGGCGCGGCAGTTATGTCTTCAGTGATTGTGGTAATGGCATTCAGCGCTACGACAGGCTGCCTCGCATCGACCTCGCGGTTGTACTGGGCTTTCGCTCGCGACCGAGGCCTTCCTGGGTGGAATTTCTTGATGAGGACGAGCCAACGCACAAGTATCCCTCTATATGCCGTCTTTACAACCACAATCATCGCCATCGTACTATCTTTGGTCAATATAGGGGATGCAACAGCATTTAACGGAGTAATCTCTATTTCTGTCGCCGGCCTGTTCGGATCTTATCTAATGGCGGCCTCACTTCTTCTCTACCGACGGCTACGTGGACATATTCGCACTCCTACTCCGGATGACCTTCTGGTCAACACCGTCGACTCTACCCTGACATGGGGACCTTGGCGTCTTAAAGGGTTACTCGGTATTGCAAACAACATCTTCTCGTGCGCGTATCTGCTATTTATTTTCTTTTTCAGCTTCTGGCCAGCCAGCCGGGAGGTGACACCTCAGACCATGAACTGGGCAGTTTTGGTATTTGGGGCGGTTATTACTTTCAGCATGTTGTATTATGTAACTTGGGCTAGGAAGGTGTATTCTGGGCCGATTGTCGAGTTGTGATCCCCAGACCTGGAACGTTGGGTGTACTAATATGTTCAAAACAAAGAAAGGGTTGCCTCTAACTTGTTTTCCAATCCACGCGAAGAGGGAAAAGTCTAATGATGTGCGACACAAGACGCGTTAAATCGAGACGTTAGCCTTGTTCCGCTCTAAAATTTGCAATCGATCGTGATAGACTTCGGAGTACTACCATATGAAGCACGTAGGCCTGCACAGTTTCCTGATGGCAAAACCGCACGAGCGGGCACATTGCACCTGAGAAATCAGTAGGTAGGTAGTAGTGTCTTTATTTTTAAGATAATCGATCTACTGGGTGGGCTTTTCATGACCTGTTCGTACCCACATACCAGCACCCATGACCTAGACTCCTATGCAATAATATCTGTGCAAATTCTATAATACAGAGCTGAGTACCTTGAATGAAAAAGACCGTTGAGAACAATTACCCAGAATCATCCAAGCTGCGATCTCGAAAGCCTCAGTATCTCCGGCTTATCCAGGCCTTGAAGACACTATGACCTCTTTTCACCTGCCATATTAGACAAATCTGTTCGGCTGGTTGCAGCGGTGCTGCTCCTCTTTGTAACATCCCTGTTCTCATTGTTCTCAGAGAGACTGATCCGTCGCCCGTGGAACCTGCCTGCTGGCCACCCCTGCATTGTCCAGCCCTTCTCAACTACATCACCACCCATGACGAGAGTGTGTTCTAGAAGTGCCGAGTCGTCTCGCATCATGGCGCCGCTGAGAAGTCTGGAGCCAGAGCGCAGAAGGCAGCGATTTCCGATCTCCAGTCGGTTGAGGTCGAACTTGCCCCTGGTGTTGATATGTGCCACTACACTTGCATCGTCAACGACTGTACGGTCGCCAATGGTGATGAGGTCGGGCTCGGTGAACATCAGACTGGGCCTGCCGTTGGCAAACAGCGCGCAGTCATCGCCGATGTTGCCGCCCAATGCACGGAAGTACATCACCAACCAGTGCGTCCCAGTCAGCATGCCTAGGATGCCATGGCCACGGAAGCAATACCGTCGTAGCTTCTCAATGGTAAGGTACAGCTGCCACCTCTGACAGTACGGCGACTTGTCCCAGTCGTAGTTCCCGGGCTGCCTCCTTCCGAGCAAGATCCACTTGGAGCCAATCACTACTGCAAGGGCGACTATTGTCTGCAGCGTGGTCAGGATTGCAATGAAGGCGAAGAAGAGGAGGTACATGATAGGCGCATCGAACCAGCGCTCGCGACCGAGGAAGTGGTGCTGGTCGTGGAAGATGCGGGCAACGATCTGAATCGAGGAAATGGAGGGGACGTTCCAGTAGACTGCGGTCATGATGGTGGTTATTGCGCTGTAGAGGATGATCCTTCCTAGGCCGTAGACTTTGTATGGGGCTTTTTTGAGGTAAAATGCGCGGCCGAATGGTGAAGTATCCTCGGGGTCTAGACCGCTGGAGTTGTTTCTAGATTTGAGGTCGACAGAGAAAAAATTGCTGGCGTCTCTGTAGTTCGATTCAATGTCTACCTCTTTTTTAGAAGTTGTAGCTGATGAGAGACTGAGTGAATCTGGGACTCGGCTTCCTTTGCGCGACGAAGGAGGCGTGGTGCCGGCGCCGAGACACACTGCGTCGCCCTTCTTGGATCCGACGAAGGTATTACCATCCGCATAGTACCCGTTCCTTTTCGTGAGTGCACCTGATCCCATGGTGGTCTTCTCGCCGACCACTACGCCCGGCAGCAGCGTGACTCGGTCGGCAATCATAGCACGATCCTCAATCTTGATAGGCTCGGATCCGATCCCGTCGGAGGTGACGAGGTTTGCCCGAGACCCAAAGACGACATCGTTGCCAATATTAAGCAGATGATAGTCTCCGATTGAGGGCCCTGTCCCTGGCCAATAGACTCGTCGTCCGACCCTCGCACCGAGCATCCGCAATGCGATCGAGGTGAATTCATAATGCTGCCCCGTGAGTTCTGTCATGTCGTGGAGGCTTTTGACGCTAAACAGGTTCTTGATTATGCTTGTCCTCCACTTCTGGAGCTCACTTCTACCCTTGGCAGGACTGGGCTCCAAGATACCAAAGACCATGTCCAGCGTCCACTTAACGACAAGTGTGAAACCAAACAGGACGAAAGGGCTGAGACCCATGCGCAGTACAAGTGCGAGGTAGTGAAACCCCACACGGTGTGTTGCGGCAAACCACATGAGGATGCTGTACAAAGGATTGTTGGTATTCACGGGTTCTGAGATGACCAGGCCGAGAAGCCCAGCGTACCACGGCATCAGGCTAACGACGAAAGCCATTATGACCATTGGTTTTGTCACGAGCCACTCGAGAGCCCAGTGCACTCCAGGGATTTTGCTAACAAGGAGATCGCGGTTGGCCTCGTCCGCAGCGTCCTCGACCTCCCAGCTCGAGCTGTTCGCCCCGATGCAAGCGTTGTCCGGGACTGACGTGCCCGGCGCAACGATGGACTTCATGCCCACGCAGGCATTGCGGCCGATACGGATCTTCCCAAGATACATCGTGGTGTTCCGCTCGCCTGCGAACGGCCTGATGGTGCAGTTCTCAAGGACCGCGTCATCGTCGATATGGATTAGGTCCCACTCGCCGGTCTGGACGCCCTTGAGCGAGACATTGCGGCCGATTTTGGCGCCCATCAACCGCAGGTACAACGTATTGGTGAACTTGGTCTGCGCGAAGAGCCCGTGCCCGCAGATGTCCACGATCTTCTGGACGAGCCACCACCGCGTGTGGTAGGACCCCCACATGGGGTATATGCCCTCCTTGTAGCGGCCGACGATGAGCCATTTTGCTGCAATGCCGAAAAACGGCGCGAATGCCTTGGTTGTTAGGCGAGCGACAAGAATCGCGAGCGTGAGGTTGAAGAGACGCCCTGGGACGAATTGCGTGGTGCGCCACTGTTGCGTCGCGGCTAAGAACACCATGAAGATGGTCCACTGTGCGGCGCGGCGTGTTGGGTAGAAGACAATCATGGGCAAAAGTTGCAAGGCCATAAGAAGAGGACGTCTCGATGAGAAGGTCTCTTCGCAACCTTCTGGGATAAATGTCTCTTCCTTGGAACCCTGTGTGGTTGCGTCCCAGTCATCGGGCAGCCGCTCAAGGATGTCAGTGGACATGGTCTTGGGGGAACTGTTCTGGAAAATTGCGTCGATGGGAATGTGTACGTTGAACTCTGCTCGCAGCACAGAGAGCAAGCGTCCCGCTTTCAGGGAGTCCCCTCCCAGGTCGAAAAAGTCTCCGTCGGCAGGTACATCACTGATGGTCAAATTCAGAACCGATGCAAATGCCTTGGTCACTGTGCCAACGACCGAAGAGTCTCCTTGACCGTCGCAGGCAGACGCTTGAAGCTCCTCGAGGCATTTCTGCAAGGCATCATCGTCGACGTTTCCATTTGAGTCAACCGGGAGCGGAGTCGGTAGAGACTGTATCTTTTGGGGTACAATATATCCGGCAATGTTCGCAACGAGCCTGTCTCTCAAGTAATTTGGTAATTTGTCATGCAGAGGTGGCTTTTCTTGGCTTGATGGAGCCATGACCACTTGCAAGCTCCGATCCTCCGGAATCGCTCTCAAACAGAAAGCGGTCCCATCAGGCATTATGCTGCTGATCTCCTTGAAGAGGTGTTCCAGATCCACAGGACACTGAGCACACTCGATTGGTGTGGATAATTCTGTGTCTGGGGGAGGACACACAGCCTCCCAATGCCTGTGAATGTATGGCCAATCGTCCGTAAGACCTGGTAGCGACAGTCGTTCGGCCAGCTTGATTCGCATGACTTTGTTGTTTCGCTTGGGAAGATCATCCATATAGACAACGAGAGTGGGCCACTTCACCGACTGTAGACTGGACTTAAGCGAGCTGTGCAGCAGCTTCAGGTCTGCCCGGGGTAGATCCTTAGGTGTCACTAGGACCACGCCGACGACTTCTTGGAGCACATCATGCGGAACTGAAAAGGCAAGTGCCTGCTCGACACGACCATGAAGAGGAGAGTCGGATTTGAGCGCGGCTGCAACGATGGCGTTTTCCACCTCAAAAGGAGAGATCAGCTCGCCGCCACGATTGATGACCTCCTTGCTGCGGCCGGTGATGTACAAGTAGCCGTCTTCGTCCATGTAACCCAAGTCACCCGTGTCGAACCAACCATCCTCGTTCAGTGCTGAAGTATCAATTGTCCCATCCGGTTGAAGGTAGCCTGGAAATAACGGCGCGCCACGGATACAGATACGGCCAATTGTCCCTGAAGCTACAGTGACAAAGTCATGGTCCAGGATCTTCATATCAGGGCCAGCAGTGATACCCGATGTCCCAGGGCGGTCCAGCTTGTAGTCGACGGGGGGCGTCGAGATGGGCATGCACTCGGTCATACCATAGCTCGGCAAGACAACGCAATCGAAAGTATCGCGGATCTGTGTTGCTAGAGATGGCAATAGTCCGCCGGCAGCGTTGCATACGAGTCGGATCTCGGCTTTCTCTAGGGCTTGAGGACGTTGCAACGACTCCGCAAGGATCAAGGAATGCATTGACGGCGAGGCATAATACCACGTGGGCAGCCCTGTCTCGACGACATCCCAAAAGCAGTTCGGGTCGAAGGCTGGGCAGCAGACAGTCGATCCGCCAGAGAAGATGGGTGCGAATATGTTGCGGATAAGACCTCCGCTGTTGAATGTCAGCACGTTGCAAGGGCAGGAATGTAGGTGGGTCTTGCGATGACTTACACATGGTACAGCGGCATCATGTTCAGGCAAACATCATCCTCTGTCAACGCCCAGGACTCAATAACAAAGGCAACACCAGCAACGATTGAGTGTGTCGTTATTGGAACCACCTTCTTCGTCCCGGATGTCCCGCTTGTGAACAGAATCAGAGCAATATCGTCGGGCTGATTTGGAGGCGCGGGTTCCTGAGCAGGGACAGGGGTACCATCTGTGGTTGTAATAGCGATTCTCATGTCCTCGTCCAGATCGACCACCAGCACGAGGATATCGTTCTCTTTAGTCCACCCTTCCTCAAGTTCGAGCTTCACATAATCCTCATTGGTTGTGAGAATGCACTTTGCGCCAGCTTGAAGGACGTCCGCCTGAAATTGCTGCGACCCTGCGGCGGGGTTCACCGGCGACGCAATGTAGTGAGCAGTGACAGCCATGCACATAGCAGCCAAAAGTGGGCCATTTGGTAGGGCAATGGAGATGACTGGCTTTCGGGTGCCTTGAGCTTCGACGGGAAGACTGAAGTCGCTGACGAATTCCTTGAGGTATTCGTGAGAGATATACCTGTCCACACTTGTGACCCGTAGAGCTGCTTCTGGTTTCTCGGGAATGAAATCAGCCAGAGACTGATATGTCTGCTTGATCTGGTTCCCCGTGTGTTCTATGAGCTCCACAGAGTCGCTCGGGTCTGCGAATGGATTATCGGTGCGTGCCGAGCGACTGAGCTTCGAGTGATATCGGATCAGGTCGAGTGTTGCCCATGGTCCGTTGCCCTGCTCCAGAGAGTCCGACAGCGTCTTTAAAGACTGCCATGACTCCCGTAAGCGAGGTGATTCGGGAATGGATGAGAGACCCTGAGCCGAGTACTGTGGGCTCTCTGAGTTCTCCCTTGACATTTTTCCTCTGTGAAAAAAGTGTAAAAAGGTAAATAAGTTCAATATCGAGAAAGTTTCCAGCTGTTCTGAAGATAGGACACGAATTAAAGATTGAATTCAAACAAAAAGAGTCCCCGAGCACAAGGAACGTAATATAGTCGTCAAGACTTGGTTACATCGACGGCCCTGTTCTCGTATATCAGAGCAAGCTGAAAGGCCTCGTGTGTGCGTGACGTTCACAGGCTGGACTAAAAGGGCATGGCGAGGTCTGTCAAGATCGACTTCGTGAACCTTGTGTGCTGTTAGTCGTAGCTCATGACCGACGGATGTCACCAGAATCTGCATACTTAGGTACATATGAAGTTTGTCGTAGTTGTCGTAAGCCTGTGCAACGTCGTATGAGGAAGGGTGTGGCGAGGGCCGTGCAAGACGTCGTCGTGATGATCCCTTAGGTCGGGCGAGGCAGATTATACGCACGATACACGCCGATAGGCGAGAACTTTTCCACACTAGCTGCAGTATGCAAGATTTTCTGAGAGAGCGTGATTTCGGACAGTACCGCACAAATTACTGGAGTAGGCATGTAGCAACAAAGGGAAGGAGGAATGGGAAGCAGGATGGTTTACTTTTGTTCCTACGACAAGATAACAGTATCGACGAGTCCAACGCCGAGAATTACGCGAGGCGTTGCCTACGTGTAGCAAGTAGACTTATCCCACATTCCTTCCCGGTGGGTGGGCCTAGACATCACCGTTGCCTCATGGTTCCTGGGCCAGGGCACCCAGCACGAGGCCAACACATGACACTGTACTCTAGCATGGTTCAGAATGATAGTGGAAGTACAAAGCGCAACGGATTGACTTGCCCAAAAAAGCCAGGCGTAGGTTTAGCTGACAACGCTTTCGGTCACCCATTTCGACCATGAGGGTATCACACAGATCAAGCGTGAAGTGATACTAGGATCGATCATAGTTCTCGCTGACAAGACGACGATCAGGGCCTAGGTGGGGCGCCAAGGAGCATTGACGAGTAAATTAGTGCTCCCGTGCAACCCTCATCTGCTGACCACTTAGATGTAGGAGCTGCCACCAAAAAGAACACATATGCGACGGTGCTTCTACGTTCATGGGTAGCCAGCTCGAAGACGTTCTACGGATAGCACCGAGAATGGAGTATGTCCTCCGGGACTTGATGGATCCGGCGAATTTCTGTCGGTCTAGGGTCTTGGCGGCTGAAGCAAGGGTGCGGCCCGTAGCCTCGCCGGCTGGCAGAGTCCGCCTGGATCGATGTCTCTTTGTCCAGGGCGGCTGACTAGTGTCATGAACCGAGCCTCCCTTTGTAGAACGATTTTGATGTATGAGCCGTCACATAACGGTCTCTGCTCGCACATCTGAGCACTGCACGACGGGTCGGCAAGATGCGCGATGTCAAAAGTAGCCCGCGAATCTGGCGAACCCTTCAACTGTCAAAAAGCGGCTCATGGTGTAAACAGTGAAGTGTCACAGTTTTGGCTATGATCATCTACGGCCATCTGATGCGGACAACATTGTCCGGCGGATCGGACGATAGTGACATAGTGAATGATAAGACGATCGAGGATCGGAGGCAGAGGGATTGTGAGATTGCAGTGGGTGAGTGATTGGCCCCTGAGCAAGCTGTAGATGATGGCAAACACCTCATCCAAAAGATGTGAAGGCAATATCTGAACAGGGGGTGAGGGAATTGGAATAGACTCTGTGATCTTGGCAGGCAATCCCCCCACGTCCTTGGAATTTCTACCCCGGACCCATCACTTTCCCCAAGGCTGACACCGACTCAACCCCTGAAGAGGCACTCTCACCGTCGTCGGCTTTTCCATCCCGGAGAGGGTAACCAATCAACTGCAGTGTTCACACCGATTATCTTGCAGACCTACCCTGTACGTTTCGCGTCCCGTAGATCCTTGTGACTCTCGCAGCAAAGCAAAGTCCCGGGACACTGAGTAGTATTGTCCCTTAATCTGTATCTGCAGGGTGCTTTAAATCTTGAACCTTCTACCTCATTGGTCATACAAACAACCTTGACAATTCGTTGCTATTGTCAGTCTCGCCCTTCTACAAACTATAGAAAGCACACTTTTGGGCACATATTTGGAAGCAAGTATCAAACAACCAGGCCGCTCCTGACTTCTAAGCCTCATTACGCAGTCTAACGTGTACAGTTCGAAAGAGAACAAGGCTGCTTCGATGGCCTGCCTTGGCAGACGGGGGCTTCCTAATTCACCTTGCAGTAGTCAAGTGAACGCGAATCATTCAGGTGAACAAGGGCTTTTCAAGTCAACATGTATCGGTCAGGTGAACAAATACCGCCAAGGTGAGTTGAGGTTTTGTGCGAACTCTATCACACTTGCCACTGCTACACTGACAGATACGACCCAACGTCACATACTGCTACCGTAGCTCATGACAAGCCCTCGCGATCAGCCCCAAAGCTGCACTTCCCAAGAAGCCATCCGCTCAAGCCAATTGTCATGAATGGAAATATGAGCATTCTGCAGTGACACACTGCCGACGCACTGCAGAGCGCAAAAATTGTGCGCTCCGGCCAATAATCACTGCAGCGTGCGATGAAGTCTTTGGGTAAAGGGCTCTAGAACGAGCTTGGCACAGGCAGGTGAGCCTCAAGCAGACGCGGTTTTCCCACGTATCGATGATACTCGAGTTCAAGAAATGAACTCATGATGTGTTGAGTGCAACTGTGACCACGTGCGTGCAACACGCGGAGTTATCATAGACTCCGCCGAGTTCACATGGCTGAAAGAACACCTCCAAACAGATAGGAACGGCCCGCAAAGCCCCGTAGAAACGAGACATGGGAGCAGCAGAACCGAAACCCATTGCTGCCAATGAGAATTGGTCAAGAAGCCGCGTTTTGATCGACAGCTTCAAGAACAGTGAAAATGGAACCATCCTCAACCCCTTAAAATAAACAATGTGGCTCGACTATATTTCTTATCAACATTAACAAGTGCGTTAATCCAGGGACTACCGTGTGGGCCAAGTCTTCGGAGAACCCATATTGTCCAGTGCACGTCATCGTCCCAAGCACTTCAGACGATGATCACGCATCGGGATTCTGTTGGCCTCCGCGTCCGATCTTGGGAGCGTTTCCGGGCGGTGTGAACGGGTCTACCTACATGAGGTTGCATCGAGGGATCAGATGGAGTTAAATATAGTGCTGTACCATTTTGAGGTGCAGACAACATGAACCTCATTCACAGGCACCGATAGGTCTCTCACTTTGAATGACTACATGCCTCTCAAACGCGGGGGTCGTTTTCGAAACGGAGCAAGCGGCTTGGCGGGCCCGGAGAGGATGCTTCTTCGGTCGTTGGGCATCGGGGGAGGACCACTTCCCGAGCTGTTCTTATTTCGACATCACCTGGGAGTTCCCAAGTTCACTTCCGTGTGGGGGAAGCTGGACTGAGGCTGACGAGTGGCAGGAGGGTTTGTTGTGCGAGTCAAGCACGACATGGAGACAAGACAACTCAGCCAATGTGACGACATGTGAAGAGCATAGTAGTCTGGCCGGATCAATATCAGAGACACCCATGCCGGTCTGTCAGCGGATTCAAAGTGCTGAAAACGTGCAAACGCGAGCGACTGAAGCATGGTGATGTTGGCTGAGATGACTAGAATTTGTGGCGACAAGGGACCATATGGATATCATCGTGAGATACAGCGCATGAGGCACAGATTAAAAGAGGATAATCGATGATTTGCAGCCAAATGAACCACCTGCAGTTTCAACCAAGTTGATTGAGGCTCTAAAACAAGCACCCGTCATGCCAACCTTGAGATTCGCGATCCTTGGTACGCTTGGCTTCCAAACAAAAAACATTGAACATGATCGCCGAGCCGCAATGATGAGTAAGCAGTCTTGGTCTGTCACTCACCGCTTGCCTGTTTCGCTCGAGAGGTAGCTCGAGCTTATCAACATCGATAAGGATTTTTCTGATGGTGGGGGTTGAGACGGCGCAAACCCAACGAGCGACCTTCTAGTACTACGATCAACACCACATCTGCTAGCTTTTGCCTTTGACTTCAACAGCGCCAACTGCTCCTAGACACATAACCTAAGATCGTGAGATCGGACCAACAGGAGAGGAATTCGAACCAATTACACTGTGTCACCTTCACACAACCGAAACTCAAGGCGACAGAACAAAACACCCGCAGCAATACCAATTGTTGTCAATTGCGGGTAGCCCTTCTCAAAGAGAATCTTCAAAATGACTGCAGAGCAAAGCGCTGCGGCCCAGGGCCAGAAGCGCATCCACAGCCTGGTTGTCGATACCGGTCCGCTCATCAAGAACGAGCCAGCCCTGTCCACACTGATATCCGAGGCCGAAGAGATCTACACCATACCCTCTGTTCTCTCCGAAATCAAGGTGAGCTTCCCCTGAGGCTGTCGCTGTCTTGGACCAACTGATACTGACAATGCGTACAGGATGAAGCCACTCGCTCCCGAGTCCAGACGACCCTCCTCCCATTCCTGAAGTTGCGAAACCCAAAGCCCCAGTCGGTCAAGTTTATTACCGACTTTTCAAGACGAACCGGCGACCTCGAGGTCATGAGCAAACCTGACATACACCTATTGGCGCTCTGCTACGAGTTGGAAATAGAGCGCAATGGTGGTGACTGGAGGATACGAAATGACCCCACTCAGAAGGGCCTGAACGGCAAGCCTCCAGCACAAGGGGAGCCTGCGCCAGAGAAGCAAGCGCTGCAAGAGGATGGAGTCGAATCAAAGTTACAAGAGCTGAGCCTTACGGAGGAGCCAGTACCAGAAGCAGAACAGAAGACCACTGAGACAGCAGCACAAGGCGAGGTGAAGGAACCTGTTGCTGAAACAAGCGAAGATACTGCGGAGAAAGCTACGATTGAGGAGAAGACAATCCCCGAGGAGGGTACTAAGGAGGAGATTGCCAGCGACCAAGTTCAGCCAGAGGCCGCGCAAGAGGCAGAGGATCCCGCACAAGGAGCATCAGACGACGACGACAGCGACGGATGGATCACACCGTCTAATCTGAAGAAACACCAAGCCAAGGATTCCCAAGTTTCCACACCCTCTGAGGCAATCGAGACAACCCTGCAAGCCGCGCTTCTCACCTCGGACTTTGCTATGCAGAACGTGGCCCTGCGGATAAACCTATTGTACGTGTGCCCTTCTTGACCACTACATCCCGACACAATCGTAACTGACTGATTTAATCCGCCAGCCTCGTTTCCCCTTCCAACCTGAGTCGCATCAAGAAGCTCAAGACATGGGTGCTGCGCTGCTACGGGTGCTTCAACGTGACGCGGCAGATGAACAAGCAATTCTGCCCCAAGTGCGGGCAGGCGACGCTGACGCGGACGAGCTGCAGCACCGACAGCTCGGGCAAGATGCAGCTGCACCTCAAGCGCAACTTCCAGTACAACAAGCGCGGCAACGTCTACAGCATCCCCAAGCCGGTGCACGGCACCGCCAACGGCAAGATGGCCGGCGTGCAGGGCGGCGGCAAGGGCCACTGGGGCAAGGACCTCATCCTGGCAGAGGACCAGCAGGAGTACCAGCGGAAGGTCGATGACGACCGCAGGCAGCGCCAGAGGGACCTCATGGACGAGGATTACCTGCCGAACTTGGTGACGGGGGAGAGGACTGGTGGGCATGGGCGGATCAAGGTTGGTGCGGGCAGGAATGTCAACGCAAAAAGGAGGCGCTGAATGGGAAGGGCGACAATCGCCTGATATGATATTCCTACAACACCATGTCTTGTCTTGTGACCAAGGCAGACCGCCATAGGGGCTTCGCTTTTGTTATAGAAATGATACCATCACGACGAAGGCAGTGCGACATCCGCAGAGATCCTCTCTGATTTTTGCTCTCGCCCCCCGCGATAAATGAAGCAGAGCTTTTGCTGACCACCAACGCCTTCCTGAATCCCCAAAAACTCCGCCCTGAACTGATGCTGCATCTGGGCCTTTTACCGGCCAGAAACACTCTGCCTTACTTCCATCCTGCCCCAGGTGTTGCCATAGTTGCTTGTCGGGGGCGTGCCCCTGGCCATCTTGCCAGTATCATCAGGCCATTCCAACCTTGTGGTGTCTCATTCGGCCGAACGGTCGCTCGATGCTCAATCGGACCATCCTCGATCCCACGAAGTTCCCAATGGACATGGCTGCCGCCGCTTCTTCCCATCATTGCCGCTATGCATGTTCCTTTTGTGTGCCCTCGCATGCGTTGCATTCCTCTTCAGCCCACTGTGCCCTGGCTTTTCCTGCGAGGCCGAACCAGCAGTACCTGCGAGCAAAGCTTAGATGCCCTGGGGCAGGCGGCCAAATCTCTTGCGCAGCAGGTTGCGGTGCTTGCTCCACTTGTCGTCGGGCGAGAAGCGCGCCGGGTGCGCCGACTTGGTGACCTTGCCCTCGAGGACCTTCTTGAGCGTGTAGGTGCGCTTGCCCGAGGCAGGGTCGACGTTGCACATCAGATGCATCTTGGAGAGTTTTTTTTTTTTGGAATTGAGGTGATGGTTGTGTTTGATTTGGTTGCGGTGGAAGGGAGGTGTCTCGTGTGCGTGAGATGGTCGGATTATGTCGCTGGTGGTGGTGTTTTTTTTTGTTCGCTGCAGAGGAGCGAGCTGCTCTGAGTACAAATTTTCCAAAAGCTTCCAACCTTGGTGGGGCCGGGGTCTGCGTTAGCGCCTCGGCTAGCTGGCCAGTCACAGGGTTGCGTCTAGCTGGTTGGAGGCACAGGGCCCACCTTGTCAACAACATTCTTCGTCCTGGGCACATGTTTTCCCATGACCAAGCATTGCTATAATCATCACACTCATTGCACTCTTATTCAATACGGTCTTCGCTTCCCGTCCTGTTAATTTCAGTTGCCAATTAGTACAATGTTCCATTTTCTACTCAATAGACTTCTTGACCGGGACGCCCTGCCAAAACAAATTGGTCTGAGCCAGAACCGACCTTGTGATTCTAGCTCTTGTCTTTCGCTCAGCATAATCAACGCAGACAGTCTTTGAAAGATGAGCATTTACCCCGCCAGCTGAACATTGACACTCATTTTTCCAGATGTATCTCTCCGCCCTCGTGTCCGACATGGCTATGTGTTAATCGCTTCGCACCCCTCAACATCAAGGCATGAAGAATCACCAGAAGTTAGGCAATTCGTCCATCTCATCCAACAGGCACATTTCGTCGAAGTACAGGCCCATTTCGTATATGAACTCATCCATGTTGTTGAGGACCTTGTCCCAGGTGTATGTCCGCCGGTTCCATCTGGTGCAAGGAGTATTTGAATCGTTCAGGGCCCGGCATGCCCCGTGGCAACAAAACACTTCCAGGTCCAGCGAGCGGTGCAACCAGACCGTGTCTTGTAGCTCTGTTACAAGGTGTCCCTGTAAATTAATGCCGACTGCTTGGGCTATTCTACTGGTCGAGACCGGCAGAAGGCTGTCAGCACAGGGAGTTGTGTCCATAGCATCAATGACCGCGCCCCTGCGCCACCGTGGAACCCCGAAGTCCTCCTTGGAAATCCACCTGATTCCAAGATCTATCTTCAGGCTGCAGCGCATCTCAAGTTTCGGGTAAGGGCCTTCAAGAAGAATTCGAATAGTCTCCATTCTTGGCATGCTCGACAAAGAAGCAATCAGCCCTTCAAGGATATCGGCCTTGGTTCTGTCTGCGTCATCCTCCGAGTAGTCCAGTGGTCCGCTTAGATTCAGCTCCTTGATATTCGGCCACATTGCATTGCTGGCCACGAGCAGGAATTGTGGCACATCAATGGAACGGTCCAGGGTGAGGCTCACCAGATTGTCGCTCCAGCGGGAAACGAGTGGGGAGAGGCATTTCGAAACAGTGATCCAATTTCTGCGCCCCATGAGACGTTCAGGATAAGCGAACCAGCCGCTGGCAATGATTTCCAGTTCGGTCAGGCCCGGCTTCGTGGTATGCAGTAAGCGTACTGCGCCTGTGAATTGTCTTAGCGAAAGCCAAAAGGTAGCATTTGAATTGCAGTCATGTGGTTGTGCACTTACTGCTGACATCTTCAATAGTTTTCTGCAGAGAATACCTGAAGGGCAAAGCAAGGCTTGCATGGTGGAGGTTTGGTAGCTTCTTGTAAAGAGAATGCATGGCTGTGTGGTGCAGGGAATAACAACTCCACCCGTTGGGGCTTTCAGACATGCCTCCGATGATTTGTACATAGGGAAAGTTGGAGAAGTTGCAAGAGGGGCTGGAAAACGAGTCTCTAAAGTCGGTGTTGATGAAAACACTCAGTTGAATGAGGTCCTGATGCTTCCTATCTGCATGACTCCAGTCCTTCATAATATTGAAAAGCTGCTCAAGACCGCGCACGAAAAGTTCCTGTCGACTGAGCATTGTCAGGGAGGGATCAAGAAGATGCATCCTGAGATGAATTTCCTTCAAATGCCTGTAGCGTTTGCCACAAACTTCTCCGAACTCAGCGATGTCTTCAGCCTGGCAAACGATGGTTTGGAAGAGCTTTTGTTCGATAATTTGGTTCCAGTCAAAGTCAATGGATGCAAAGCGGGCAAGACGAGTGTCGGTGGTGGGATCCGAGTTGGTGTTTTTGTAGGTGTAGGGTTTGACTGCCTCTCCAATAATGTGAAGGCGCAGCTCTTTTGGGAGCTCAGGATACCTGGAAAACTCCATCGTTGGTGTTGACAGAACTTGAGACGCAGCGATAGATGGTGGATTTCAGGGCTGCATGAAAGCGTACTGGAATAAGAAATGTGGAAGGGGCTGTTAATGAGACTGTTCTGTTGGAATTGGGGATTTTGTTGGTCAGCTCCAGGGAAAACGTTGGAAGGGAAGGTTTGGTTGAAGGTGTGGACTTTTATGACTGAACTTACATACAACGAAGTTGGAGACGATGAACAGAAAGCTCTCGGTCCACTCATCTTATCCACCTCCTTTATTCACATAGCGGACCATTCAATGTGAGCCAGGTGGTGGCTTGGAAGGGCAATTGGGTTTGGTATGCATCCGATGATACCAGCATCAGAACAGTCACCTCGTGGTAACATCACCACAAAACTAAGAGTGGCTCATGTTGCCGGACTATTTGTCACATCAGAAGGCCTTCGTCAAAAGGCTAAAAAGGTGTTTGTTGAAGCCCGCAATTGTCTTTGTTTCCAAGTTACAATTTACATGTTTGCCTGGCATTCGCACACTTTAAACATAGGAAGGGAAACAATTCAAAAGTTCTGTGGTCATGATTAGGTAGTTAATGACATCCTGATGAAAGTTTCCCTGCCCACCTAGGCTGCCTAATATGTTCTTCAACAATGTTTGTCCATTAAGCAATGGCTTTTTAGTTGTCACGGACCGTATCAGTTATGATCATGATGTTCATTCCTCGATATCCTTTTTACAACTTAATTTTGTGGACTACCAAGCAAGCTCATGGATACCCCACTCACTGTGCCTGGTGCTTATGAATGGATGGCCTTGTTGCGGCTCCAATCAACCTGAGCCAGTCTCGAGATTGCCTTATTTTTCTGCTGGTTGCCTCTATGTGGAGAGCCTCGTTCCATTTGGGAGTTACCATCTTTCCAAATGTGCACCATTGACTGCTATGTGTTTCGTGAGACTCTTGATCGCAATTCCGGTGAAAGACAAATCCCCATCCTCTCTAGTGTCCTGCTGAGGCAACGCACTTACATGGCTATTGTGCTCCTCCAAAATGCCAAAAATCTCAAATTCCTGGCTAGAGTTTCGAGCTGGCTGCCTGGACTCCCTTCGTGGCCCTGACTTTCAGCCATGGCTATGACCAAATGCTATAAAACAATTCTTCCCAACACTGGCCCATATCGAAGATGAATAAATCCATGTCATTCATCAAAATCACATCCCAGGTGGCTTTCTGTCGATTCCACTGCGTGCAAGGAGGATAACGCTCGCCGTTCATCCACTGCTCATTGCAGGAGAATACCTCCAGACCCTGTCGACGGTGTCGGCGCACAGCATCTTGCAACTGAGTCGCAAGGTCTCCCGGGATGGCCATGCCAGCAATCTTTAGCGTTCCAGTGTAAAAGTCAGGAACAAAGGTGCCACAGCAGGGCAACACCTCGAAAACTTCTTCTCTGCACCGCCAGTCGGCGAAGCGGGGCGGTATCTTGGCAGGCTTTTTGTGTATTGCGATGTCGCCAAGACTCATCCCGACCTTGAACGCTCGCCCGTACGTGGCGTCAAATTCCATGCTGATCCGAAATGTTGTGGCTTTGGGCATTCCAGGCAATGCAGTAATAAGTGCCTCAATTATATTTCTGCAAGTCGCATGTGCCATAATTTGACCCTCGTCGTTGTCGCCATCTATTGCGGTCATCATACCAACCAGGTCGATGGTCTTCATGGTTGGCCACTCGATATTGCTGGCCTCTCGGAGAAATCTTGGAATGTTGACAACGTACTGGAGCTTGAGACTGACGAGTCTATGATTCCAGGGCAGAGATGATGCTGTAAGATATTTCGTGATGGGCAACCATGGTGTAGGCGAAGGCCATCGCATACCGAAGTCAGAACTTGAAATAAGATCCAAGTGAGTCACGAGGGGGTTTTGTATTGACAATGAGCTTATAGCACCTGAAGGTGTTAGCAGGATTGTGGGAGGGGAGGTGATGTCGGATGGACCGTTGCATTGCACAGTGGGTTACTTTAGTACTTACTGCCGATGTCCCCCATCGAAAAGTGCCGAGAAGGCTCCAATGGTAGCGTCAGGCTTGCACGATGGATATTTGGCAGCTTTCGATAGAGTGAGAGCGAGCTGGAAGGGTGTAGTCGAACAACGTCATATTTACAAACTTCATAAATGCTGCCAATGACATGCACCTCGGGAAGCTTGTCGAAAGAACAGGGGTACTGGGCACTCTTCAACTCATTGAAGCTCAGCCGTAACTCCAGCTCAATCAGCCCTTGTTGCTCCCTGTCGATATGGGTCCAGTCTTTCATGATGTCGAAGAGCTCGAACAGATCGTCCTCAATTCTATCGTGGATTGCAGGGGATGGACCCTCAGGGGGTTCATTCAAAATGACAAGTCCAATCTTGCTTAAACGCCCACTGCGCTTGCTGCATATCTCGTCAAAATCAGGAAACATCCAGACTCCGATGTTGAGATCTCCGAAAAGTTGAAGCTCGACAATTCGATTCCATTGACGGTCGATACACGCGTATGGACTGATGTGGGGCTTGAAATCCGGGTCTTTCGGTGCAGAATTTAGGACCTCTTCGATAATCTGGATTCGAAGCTCAGGCGGAAGCTCAGAGTATTTTGAGAAAGCCATCATGGGCGGGGCCATGATCTCGGACGTCGCCATCGTTGATCGGTTGCGGTCGAAGTGTTGTATTGACACAACGATATGTAGGAGTTGTGGATGACTGTAACAAGTAGAATTTGGAATTTGTGGAAAGTTGTGGAAGAAATGTGAGGGAAAGCTTGTCAGGCAGAGATCATTCATATACCTATACCTCAAGGAAGTGAAGTGATAAGTCAAAAGCAAGTTGGTCTCATTCAATGCTTCAATTCAATCTGTCTGGCATTCACCGGAGAGTTTCGATGGAGCTGCATTTGTTTAGATATAATCTATTTTGGTGACTCAAGACCGTCGTTACTCCAATCTCCCCGTAATACAATCAATGGAATCTACATTCACACAAAGAACCTACGACATCAAACTACCTGAACGCCCGTTTGTTAAAGCACCAATTGTGTATGAAAACTAGCTACATCTTTAGAAAATGCCAAATTTGGTTGCCAGGGCATTTCTTCAGGACACAGTCTATGTGATTGCTCCACCTTAACATGGGTCTGTTTATTGATGCTGGAAAGCCTCCAATGCTTGACTCTCACATTCATTGACACATTCTTTGCCCTTTTAGTACGAAGTTTCCTCCGTGCTAAGCTTTGGATTCAGAAGCTTCATGAGATCTCCAGAAGTATTCTTACAATTTCACAGTGGCACATAGTGCGATTTTGAAAAATGCGTTCGGTCATTTCAAATCCCCTTAGACGTGGCAAAATCCTGGCTTCATTGATTTTCGATTCCTTCTGCAGTTATCTGACACAACCATGAATATTAATTCTCAGGATCATCTTACTCGCTCTGCCTTGAACAATGATCTTCTTCCTCTGTGCCTGCGTTGTTGAATCCAGGAAGCCTTATGGGGCTCAAACCATGCTCAGAGGGCATGGGTGCATCCATTTTCCTCTGTTCTAGTTGCGTCCTTCCATCATTGCCCTGTCACTTTCGACGGAAATTGCCTGAACCTGCTGATCTTTAGGATGTCTGGTCAAGTTCTACCCAAGGTCCGCCAGGAACCAGCGGCCTCAGACTCCATGGAATCATCCACCGGCGTCAGCTGATGTTCCACGGTACCAGGCGTCGAAGCCATCAGATATCGGTCACATGTGTTTGTCTCTCGGTCCCAGCGTATCTGAGTGGTGTCGGTAGCGGATTTTTGAAATCAAGCTGGCGTCCTTGTCGTCGAGATCATCTGTATCGCCTGTGTAGCTAAAACACAGATAGCTCTTGCCCTTGGTAACGCCGTACGGTATCTTGTAACTCGGTCACAAGTTGTCCTGGAACTGCGACCTCAGAAATTATGGCAAAACCAGTATTGACACATGGCACAAAGGGCAACCTGCTCCAGATCGATAGACGCTTCGGAACCGAGGAAGTCCTGAGATACACATCAAAGCTGAAATGCGATCTTTCGACAGAGGGCTTCATTATAATCGTGACGGTGATGATCTTGGGCATATTTGGCAATGCTTTGATGAGACCTCGGAGCACGCTGCTGCCATTATCTCTCCTGCTGCCGATGGGTGGCCGAATCGAACATACCTCCCGTGAGCTTCAGTGTCTTAAGATGCGGCCAAAGAGTATTCTGAGCGTCGTGAAAGAAGCGGGGCACATTATTGATGCACGGCAGGTCAAGCTTTGTGATGGTTTCACTCCATCTAAGATCAGGCGAAGTAAGAAACTGAATGATCGGCAACTGAGTTTCGATCCCAAGCCAGTCTCCGTTTTCGAATCCGTGACCGGACACTCGGAGCTTTTTTGGGTGTGGAAGGTCTCGGAGAGAGATGATCAAATCTGGAGACAAGATGACCCGGTTAAAACAGTCTGACACGGAAGCCGGGATTGGAGCAGGTTGCAGATTAATTGTCATTTGGGGGAAATCGAATATGTGCTTACCAGTGGCATGCTGGATGGAGCTACGCACCATAGGCTTGGTCGGCAGGTCGAGGCATATGTGGTGTAAGTTTGGCAGCTTCCTGTACAGTGCGACCGTTGACGAGAGGTGAAGGTACGGGCCGTACTCCACACGAACGCCTCCAATAACACGAACCTGTGGCAGATTTGCAAATTCGCAATGGATGGGTGGCCCCTCCATGCCCTGGCGACGGTAGATCGAGATCCTCAGCTTGATGAGTCCTGGTTGTCTTCTCTCCGCAGGATCCCAATCCTTCATGACACCAAAAAGCTTCTCGATTGATTGAGTGACTGCAGCGCGTGCCTCTAAATCCGGCTCAGACTGGCTTAAGCGTGGTCCTAGATACCTCTCCGCAGGGTGCAGGTCGAGACAGACTTGACGCAGAATTCCATGACGTTTGCTACAAAGTTCCCCAAATGTGTCAATGGTGCTTGAATTGATATACAGTCGTTCAAAGGTTTGCCGCTCGATAACGTGTTGCCACACCAAATCAATGCATGCGTACTGCCCAAGAGAGAATTGGCGACGCATAATGCGAGAGGACTGGCGGATCTCCATCAACCCTTCAGCTGCATCTTGAACGATCTGCAACTTCAGGTCGCGAGGGAGGTCACAGTACTTGTAGAATGTTGGTGTAGCTGACATTGCTGTTGATGTTGGTGTTCCTGTCGTGAAGCAGAGAGGTTTCAGCAGGGTTGATGCTGCCAAGTTGTTTAACACCATCGCTGATCGGTTTCGAGGTAGAGCTGTGAATGAGATGAAGTTGGGTTTGTTGTTGATTTGGAAATTTTACATACGGCAAAGCCAGGGGAGTGCATTGCAGCGTCAGTGTAGACATGTGACTGAGAATCAGATTTATCTCCTGTGTGGCAGTGATTCACAGTAGCTACAGAAAACAAACATCCCATTTGCCTAGATACGCCCCTTTAATTTGTTATTGTCCAAAGGCCACAGAAGTAACAGGACTGAGTCACATCTTTGTATCAATATGATGCAAGTCACGTCTATTTGGTAGCGTATGGTATATAAATTCAATTTGGCTCAATTCCTCTCAAGGCAATAACAGGGTCTAGAAGCTTGTTGGGTGCCAGCTAGTACCCATGCATTTGTCCAGCACTTCTATGCTATATGAGCTCTGTGTATCCATCATTCCAACCTGTATGGCATCATGAGGACCCATAACGGGATCATTTCACCATCCAAGTAATTAAAATCTGCGTAACACACCGCTGAGGTGTCCTGGCAACACTCATGACACCCATATGAATAATATGTCCAATAGAGCTGCACTTTGAGTAAACGGGAAGAAAGAAATGCCATCCCTTGGCATATGCTGGCTTTTATATCCCACAGCGTGGCCTCAGGTGTCCAAGTGTTTTGCCAGCCCAGTACTGCGTTTACGAGCAGTATGAGCTCCTCGGCTCACTTTATTGTGCCAAGTTCTTCAAGAGTGTAAAAGCTTCATATGCTCTACATATGCGTAGAGATGTGGAAATACCGTGCTCACTTTCCAAGAGAATATCACCGAAGTAATGCTAGATCAAAAGTTGGTCCCAGCTAAGATACATCGTCAGGACCCAGCTGAATGACAAACTCAACCCAACATCCACTAAGGTGTAGTATCAGCTAAATGCAGAGGCCCCTTTGAGAGTATGGAACGACGAGTTAAGTTCCTACTACTGGAAAACGACTGTAGCTCTTTGTTGCAGTCTATTTGCAGTATTTATTCTGGGACAGGCAAAATTCAACCGTGCTGTATGATCATGGCAGCCTCGCTTAAGGCAAAGTCCCTGGAATGAACTGAATTAGAAATTCAGTCGTCCCTGCATCAGTCTGTTGAGCGCCCACCGAGTTTGAACAGATCTTCCGGGTCGTCATTGAGAACTCAATCTTTTTGCCTAAGTCGGACTCTGTCAAAATTGGGAATGGATTCAGTATGCTTACACTCCCAAATCTATTAATTTTCCCGAGATCCCGAGTGGAACCTGTATCTGCTTTCTACTGACTCGCTGGACCACAAATTAGGGTTTTGGTGACAACAGCTGGGATGTAGATCCAACATGGCCATCCACAACATGGCTTTCATTGTTTGACTGCATTATCAGTGTTGAATACTATGCATAAATGTGGGTAGGAAGCTTTTGACTCTAGATCTTCATCCTTAAAGTGTTCAGAGCTGTTGTGTGACAGGTAATGGTTACTTCGTGATGAATATCGAAGGCTATTTAGCAGATTTCGCTTTCTTTTAGGAGCACTTGCTCATGTTGCCTCCGAGTCAGGAATTTACTGCAGTATCCGCAAAGGGAGGTCCATGATCATTAAATCAATCAGGCCTGGTGGAGATGATGAATGGCCACCTCCCAGCCAATTGATCGCCCAGTGAACATGCTCGAAACCCATTAGCAGGTGCAAGCCCTGGGCCATCGACATTCACTCTCCCGTGTGTACTCAAGTATATAAGATCGTGCAAGCCTCCTGGTAGCTGGGAAGTACCATTGACCCTGCATCACGTCCCATATTCCAACACTAAAAAGAACATTCATTATCACAGCTCAAGATTTAACGATCCAGCCTCGACATCCACATTTACTTCAAATCAACAAATAATGAAGACTTCAGCATTTGTCTCTGCACTCTTTTGTGCCACCCTCGCATTGGCGAACCCGCCCCCAACTCGAGTTGAAGTCAAGCGGGACCAGTGCATTGCCGCTATCGTCACAGCGGAGAGCGCAGGCTGTCAAGCGCCATACGTGCTGACCGAAAAGTCATACTACTCCACTGGCTGCCGGGATACCTCTAGCTGCGAGCCTGAAAGCAAACAGCTCGAGTGCTGCGTCTAATATTAATACATGAACCAGGTAAGACGCGGCATTGCTGCATTTCGATTCACCCTTTTTACCATTAATCACACACTAATGTTCCCCATTAGGGTGACTGGCATGTATATGATGATTCCCTGGATGGGTTCTGATGTGCAATACGTGAGGATAGATCGCATACGCTGCGGGAACGACACCGTTACCGTCTCAAAAGTCGCGATACGTCATTTGGAAGCCGCCTGTGGCTTGATGGATTCCGAGCTGGAATTCATCCCATGGAAGGTCATTCTATAAGAGAATCTCTAAGAGTTGGCTACATTTAATGGAATACTTCTTCATGACTCTCCCTCATGGGATGATCTCCTGTGGGAGTGATCTCTTTTAGGATAATATCTCTTGCAATTACCTCTCTTGGGATAGCCTCTCTTAGGGTAACCTCCCCTATGACCTCTTCTTGGATACCTTTTAAAAAAAATGATTCTCTATAAGACTGTTTCCCGAAGGGCAATCTACCCTTTGGGAAGTTCAGCAAGTCACACTGAGTTTCGCGATGATTTTTCAGCCATTGTTTCAAGTGTAGCGGATTAGTTGCAATAGTATATGTGAAGCAGCTATGTGTCGACCTTTATCTGCTCATTCAAGCCACACCTGGTCCAGAGCACACGACAATCGTAGGAGCTTTTCCGGATTGCAAGCCTAGCCACTTTCTTTAGCCGCTTCCGCCTTCTCGAGCGAATCATCCGCAGCAGAGGTCGCCTCGGGGTCAATGTCATCTCCGCCAGCGTCGGCGATGGCCTCGTCCAATGCTGCTTCGCCCTTCAACCCTTCCTGCGCGGCCTGTCCGCTCTCCTTCTTTGCCTCTGCCTTTTCGAGAGGATCCTCGACTGCTGTAGTCGCTTGTGGGTCTGAAACGGTGGGATCATCGTTAGTTTCTCGGAACATGCCCATGTGTGCGGTCCGCGGACACTTCATTCACCTTTGGTTGGAGCCATTGTTTGGAAGTCAAAAGTTGATGCAGAAATTTGTATAAGCCTGATATGATGGTTCATTTATGACAGGGTCTGTCGCAACGGATGGAACTCATGGTCCTTTATATACTGCACGCCGTGGTCATCGCGATGCTACCTCGAATGCGGCCTACTAGATTGTCACAGTCATGCGCCACAGCTCTATGTGGCTTCACCTCCATCGTCATTGAGATGACAAACCTGCTTCAGAGCCCGTTGAAATTGCAGTGACGTCAATTTGTGTCTATAGTGATGCTGTAGGAGGGGTTGTCGAGCTCTTCATTGGCAAAGCAAGCTAAGTCCCTCTAGGCTTGGCCCCCGGGCTATCTGGCTATGCGCCCTAGTCGTGACGGTTACTAGCAGTAGTCCCATGAGCAAGGAGCACACCATCCCATTCAATGACAGAAACTCCCAAGCCACCACAAACTCCGATCCCGTGACAGTACAATAGCTCTAATTTGTTTATTTCCCATGATCATGGATCATGGTCGAGATCTCCCTTTGCTGAATCTCCGGAGCACGACTTGCCACGTACACGCCTTGTATTGGCTGATATTCCATATGCCAGGAACTTATTGAACCAAATGATCCCTTTTCACACTTTGTTTCGCATAAACTTCACGCTTAAATGCGTGCTGTTGGGGTTCAATGAAGAAGGACACGAAGTGTTCCTGTAATACCACTGAGCCCCTTTCCCAAAGGTTTGGCGCGAACTAGACAAGAACCAAATTGCAATTCCACTGGTCTTGAGCTATTTCTTGCCAATCGCATACCATATTTGGATCCAGCGTGGCGCCACTCACGAGGAGCAGGCCATTTCGCCCGGCTGTCAGATCATCTCGTGGTGGTACCCCCATATGGACGAGAGCATTCATCCAGAAGCAACCCCCGTTCTCGCGATTGCAAGGGTAGGTCATTTCGAGATCAAAGCTGTGTATCTTTGGCATTCGTTGTAGGGCGGATGTGATGGAGTTGAAAGGCCGGAAGGCGTTGCGTGGAGGTTTATCGCTGAGATATCCCTTGAGAGAGAGGATCTTCAAGTTGGGCCAGGTCGTCAGACTCCGGGACGTACCTCCGCTGGAATTCCATGCGTCACTCAGAAAGTACGGTACATCGACTACGTATTCGAGGTATAATTCTTCGAGTCTGAGGGTCAGAGCAAAAATTGACTGACTTAGTTGAACTGATGGTGGTGTGTAGAGCTGTGGGGCAAATCGTCTATGCCACATTGCGGTGGACTCGAGAGACATTGTCTTCAGCTCGGATACTCGGTTTCCAAGCAACGCTTGCCCTTCTAAGAGTGCATTAGCAACTTTTTCGATCACCTAAATCACAGACACTGAGAGTCATACCCTGAAATTGTTCGATGACCTCCGGCGAATTGAGCTTATCGTCAAGAGAAAAGCCGGCACACTTGACGTTTGGCAGTCTTTTGAGTAAGCGAAACATTGACTTCGGCTCGATGTCCCACTCGAAATGTTCATAAGTGTTTAAAGCAGGGGGCCAAATGACCTCAATGACGGGTGTTGTAATAGCGCCTATGCAGGGAACTTCGGGTAAGTTTGAGCAGTCGATTCGAAGATGCGCACCGATAGGTGGGCGTCTCTCCCTGGGCCCCCGGCAGAAAAGGCCATAGGTGAATGTAAGGGTTTGGCGATGTCGACACCATCCATGCAGGATGCGGAACAGATGCTCGAAGGCTGCAGTGGCTAGCTGCTCGGCATCCCTGACTGCTTGGGACACCTCAGAGCCGGTGTCGCCGCCAAGGCTGGGGCCTGGGCCTCGGTGATTGGTAGTGGCGGTAGCGGCAGCGATATCCATTGCGCCGGTCGATGAGTCCATGTCCCACCTCTCAGATTTGTCGATACAGATCCAAAAATGAATGACCGAAATGGCGTTGATCCGAGGCGAGACACAAATGTTTTGTAGCTGATGAAGGTCATCTTGACAAAGTAGGAGCGATGAGAATATGCGCTTCTCAATGACGGATAGCCATTGTTTGTTGATCATAGCGTATCTTGTTAGTTGGCCGCGGCTTCTAGCAACGCGTCTCGGCGGGCCGTATTGTGTAGTCCGTTGGTAGTTTCCTGTAGGAGTGCTGGGAAGACCACGAACGAACTCCTCAATTATCGTGAGTCGCAGCTCGTAAGGAAGGCGAGCGTAAGGATGAAACGATGGGTCAGCCATTTTGAGTAGAACGGATGTTGTTAATGGTGTTTGGAGACTGCTGGTAATCTGAACCACAGTGGCCTTGCAAGAATGATTGCCAAATATTATCTGATTTGAGCTACAGAGAGGAGCAAGTCAGAAGTCAGAAGCTGCGGTATAAGACCGTTTCACCTAGCGCAATTATTGAATTCATGTCAATATTCACTAGTGCGGTGCAAGCAGACTTGTGACACAAGGAAGTGAACTAAATTTTATCGATACGACTAGGTTTCTTCCACAAATTGTCCTAATACCCGAGTGGATTAATAATTATCAGCTATTGAAGGTGATCCGGGATACCAAAATGTCATGAATTGACGTAATTAACCCCGAGTGATGTGAAGATATTTTCAGAGGGTGCAAGACGCCCGCGAGGAACCATACGGGCAAGGAAGAAGCCTCGTGACAATGACGGAGTCTTCATCCTGACCAGTACAGGATGTCTAAATATTCATCATTGAGAGGCCCGTGCACTTCCATGGGGGGATTCCCACGGCATCGTGCGATTTCAAGCCACTCATCGATCACATCCTGATTCGGAGCAAAGGCGTACATCTGAATAGATCCGCGTCTGGTCGAAGGGAGCTGCAATGTCAGGAATGATGACCCCTTGCACGTCCTCCAACCGAAATCTTCACCTAAGTCGGTATCCATGTCATCTGATGGGCAAAAATAGTAGAAGTCCATGTTGATGGACAGAAGTCTAATTTTTGGCATTTGGTGGAGTGCGGCGGTTACTGAGCTGAAGAGGCCATCCACTGGATCGCGATTCGCGAACGGGTCTTCGTCGAAATATCCAGATAGACACAAATGTTGTAGGTTTGGCCACCGTGGTGTGGTCGCTGGGGCGGATTGGGTGGCTTTCCATGCTGTTCCGAGGAAGTATGTCACATCCACAACCCGATCAAGCTCCAGTTGTGTCAAATGCGCTGTCAGGTTGAGTATAGAGATACTCAGTGGCCGTAACTTAATCAATGTGTCACCTATCTCCATTTCGGCGGACATGCAGCAGTCTCTGGCCTTGAGGGAGGTTAAATGGAGAGGCTTGAGGTCCAGCGACGACACAGATGCTATAGCGAACAATCAGTCCTATTCAGAAGTAGTAACAGGATATTAAAGACGGTTGAGCTTGTATATCACCTTCTGCTATTCCACGATGAAATGCGCTGCCATTGATGCGTGAACCAAGAGTGAGCATAGAATACTGAACGTTGGGTAAGAATCCAAGAAGCTGCACCATTGACACCGGGTGGATGTCAGTCCTGTCGTAAGCATTATAAATCGAGCCGATAACAGGCACAGGAGCGAGACCGGTGAAGTCAGCTTTTATCAAACCTCCCTCATGGGGTAGGCTATAAAGCCAAGGAATGGACAGATCGTAGGTCATTACAACGGCCCTCGAGCGGTCGGTGGTCCAGCCTGTCATGATCTCGAACATCTTCCTGAAAGCCTGTTCAACAGCCCTTCCTGCGGCAACCTTTACACTGCTGGCATCAAGTTCCTCGACGGTTATTGAATCGTTCCAGGGCTGGGATGCCGGGCCGAAATGCTCGGCACTTTCCTCTCTGATATAGAGTCTGATCTTTGACACGAGCCTTGTCCGTCGCCCAACGCAAATCCGCCCAAACTCGGAAATATCGTCATGACGGACATATAGCGCAGCAAAGCTTCGTTCTTCGATGATATCCTGCCATACGCGGTCGACTGTCGAGTATGATGCGAGGGGCTTGGCGAGGTCATCAAGAGCTTCTTTGGTTATCTGGATTTGCAACTCGGCAGGCAGTCTTTTGTAAGGTCGGAAGGCGAGCCCTTGGCTGTGATTCGAGGTCATGATGACTGAGTCTCCGTGAAGGACCGCTTGATAATATTGCAGTGAGTGCGATCAGATACCCTGGGTGATTGTGACAAGTTGCCTACTTTGAAAAGAGAGAAACAATGGTGTACAAGGTCATGGAGTTGAAGATCGTGAGAGAATTGACCTTGTCGTGCGATGCTGCAAGACTTGTGTCAAAAAACAGTTTTTGAAACTCAGATTTCATTTGCAGCAACGTAGCTGCGTTAAATAATGGGGCGAAACATGTATCAATTGCGATAAATCAAAAAGAAAACCAAATGAGCGACAGAGCTCGGGTTGGCGATTTTAGAAAAAGACAATGTCTCTAAAAGGTAAAAATCTCTTAAGAGGTATATTGATGTTCACTAATCTGTCATATCCAGAGAAGACTACTGATTAGCCGTCAGCGATGCAGGAAAACTTCGGCGCGAATAGTCAAAAGCCTTAAGCTATTGAAAACGCTAGGGTTGCTCGCGTCGCGCCGGCGTTGGGCCAGCCTCTTGTAGATGTTAGCTGCTCACCTGTGCTAGAGCTTTTCAAGCTAATCGCTCGTGAAGGCACCCACAACTACAAAACTCCATCGCTCGCCTTCCATCAGAATCAAATATTCCATAGCGCAAACCTCTCTGCCGTGCTATATCTGTGCACATATTGACAAGGTCTCGTGGCAGTTGCAAGCAATCATTTCGACGAATCCCAAGTAGCCTGTAAAAGTTTGAAAGAGATAATTGAAGATTGATCTTGACAGCGCAAGGGAACATTTTGTTGCAATCTGTCTTCTGTTCTACCAAAGTCTTGCAAGTTGCTCATAGTCAGCCCAGAAAAAGAAAGGAAGAAGACAAGGGGAGGCCCTCATGAAAAAACTCTTTCTAGAAGCCGTTCACTGTCCGAAGGGAAGCTATGATACCCCGTTGTCCCTCTTGCGCTCGCTGTCATTCGAGCGCTGGCAGATGGCATGTCTCACCAAGCCCAAACGCCGTACAGCTTCCAATTACACCGGAATAGAAACCTATTGACCAAGATTGGAAGCCAGATTTCCAAAAGTTCTCATAAAGCACCCTAATTTCTGATACTGAAATGACTTTGGGCCATGGTATAAAAGTCTTGTTCACTAGGTAGGCAGAAGGCCTAACTTGAGAATGACATGCATGCTATGAGGCCAGAACTAGGAGCACAGCTATACAACTGCACATTCAAATTGGGAAGGATGGATTCATCTATCCTAGAACAATCTTTACCAACCACATTGAAATAAATTGAAAAGTCTGCATCTTATTTCTTTGAGTATTGACATTCAGGGTGGGGTGCTAAAAGCCACCGCCAATAAGACTCCACCAGCCGTGTGTGCCTAAACATTTTACCATTATGTTGTACAGAAACCCATAATTGACCTTGTAAACAAGACAAGCCATCGAACTTTAGCATTACGTGACCGGTGCATAGAGGCACGCCTGGTCCACATCCCGTGACGCCTCAACAAGCCCACGGCTGCTGCTGCTTGGCGCGGGCCACTCGTGCTGGACTCGCCCGCCGGATCTTGGCGGGACATAGGTGCTCGAGCTGTAAGTATGCTGCAACGGCAATGAGGTTCCTTCCGAGCTGAAAGATGTGAGAGTGTTGAAGCCCTTCTCTTGGTCGGGAACAAGGTACGAGTCGTACGGCAGCCGGTGGATATTATTGATAGGGGTTTGTCCAGAGTTTCCAGAGGAACCGGCTTTGTAATAGACAGGTTTTCCTGGCGTGACCGAAGCGCGATCCTTGTCGAAGCTCCTCAGAAGCTTTCGCAACATCGGGAGACAGCATGCGATGATTCCGAGCCCGGTTTCGACCTCGCTCCAGAGAATGAACGAGCCAATCTTGTACAATTGATTGGCACTGTTGCCGCCGACCGCCTCGAGCTGAGATGGGATACGAAGAATAGCAGCCAGACAGGCGACGCCGCCCATGGCCAAGATAGCCCCCGTTGACAGTCTGAGGCTCTTCTTCATGTTGAGACCACGGATAATGAAAATAGGTACCACGGCCAGGGCGATATCAACCAGAATGTAGACACCTACTCCGAACCAGTTGAGGATAGAGATAGTTCTGTTGGAATCCTTGCAGCCTCCATTGCGGTTGCACCGAATGACAAAGGTAAGAAAGCCACCTAGTGTTGATGTGATGATCGCAATCATGATGAGCCAAAGGGCCCAGGTCGTCTTGCGTTGGGATGTTCCTTTGTTTATGCGTAACAGCGTACTGCAAATGCTGGCTTTAGTAAAGCCCATCGCCAACAGGTATGTTACGTTCAGCCCTGTTATAGTCAACGTCAACATGCTGTGCTTAAAACGTAAATTTGGTAGGATCATATGTGAAGATGAGAGAGGCTTCGAGTGTGAAATGACTTACAGTATGTTACTTGAGCGGCCTTCTTCATCATGGGCATAGTGAGCATAGAGTCAGGTGATCCAATGCCCACAGTTGTGCCCCATGCCACGACACCATAATTGAACAAATTAAAGATCTATTGCGTGTCAGAGATGTTTCATATGTGATCATTGGCGGGGAAGGTGACCACGTACGAGCCCCAGCCACGTAAGACCGTCGTCAATGTGGAAGTTTCGGTCTCGAATACGCTCCCATGTTCGCAGACCAACAGCAATTACACAAACAACGCAAAGAAGGACAGTAAATGTCAGAATAGTCTCTGCGAATCCCGTGGGGCGCAAGGAGCTAGGCCCTGTCATGGACATCGAGTGTGGTGAAGCCATGGCTTGGGTTCACGGGTCGATAGAGTTGTTCTGTCGTGCTTTAGCAAGATGGCCTTTGGCAAGAAGAGCACACGGGAGTGAAGTGCGTTTCGTTGGAAGATATCTCGCAGCGACCACTGAGGTACCCATATATGATCGGGAATCAATTCCAATTACTTATCCTCAGCTCTTGGCCACGATGGGTGGGTGCAGCGTGCTGAAATCCTTCCGGAACATGATTGTCCACTGAGGCCCAGCTGTGCCGCCAAATAATGCTGCACGATGGATCCTGCGCCAGCAGTAGCGGGCCTTTCCCACAACCATATCAGCAACATTTCTCGAGCCGAACACCATGATGAGTGTATACCCCATACTGTATGCGACATCTCTGTCTGGTGGCAGTGCCGGCTTGGTTCCCGGTGGCGTCTGCCACCAAGCTTGCTTGATCCAACATTCAATGTTGGTGTGTAGGGCTCGATGTTGTCTGGATCCTTTGTCCCCGGCATCTTCCATCCAATCGTGTCTTGTCATTGGTTGCCGATCATAAACAACGTGTTAGCGCAGGAACAGGTGGGACAGACGCGATACGCACCTTGCCTTTCTCGACCGAAGATCGGCCACCTGAGCCTATAAATAGGCCTGGGCCTTCCACGCACACAAGGTGCGCCTCAGTCAGCCTCAGAAGGGCAGCCATGATTCAGGCAGCTACATGGCCTTAACGTGAGATGGGTATGCTTTCTGGATCCAGCATGAAGTGGTGATAAGATGAGATAGCCCTCAGACGTTGCTTAAGACCCGTTTATTAGACTCATTGAACGTGGCTCATGGGATGCACGTTTGCCAAATCCATCCCGTCTTTCAATTGAATGAGAGGATTCGCACTACGAGACTCGGCAGTTTGTGCTACCAGACAGCTCCTTTGGAGAATGGGCCAAGCTTTGAGCCGGCGAGCTAACTTCAAGCCACGACCAATCCATTTTCCGTGGTAGAATAGGGCCGAGGATGGAGGCCTTCTCAAGGTGCACAACAGCACACACACCAAACAGCTGGCTTGACACATGGCTGAAAACAAAGGCGATGGAGAAGCCACAGATTGCCATCCGCCCCCATCTGCCCCCATCTTAACCACACCCACCTCCGGAAGAGGGGAAGGCCAAGCGATGGCGCCAATTGCTGGCGACTCAGCTGAGGAAAATGGGTGTGTGCCAGAAGGCTGCTTGTATTTCGCACAATGACGCAGAAGGCGTTCTTGACTGCCACACGCGGGTTCCTAGCTAGGGCCCGAAACAAATGCTTACTCAAGCTCTGATCCATCCCGAGGTTTGGGTCAATCCTTCAACGGTGAAATGTGTGTAAATAAGCGAATGTGTCTTTTGACACATTTGATTTGACGTAGGCTCAACCAATGATACTGTCGACATCAAACTCTTTTAAGCCGCGAGCTTTCGCTTGGGATTCACACTAGATCCTTGACCAACATCCGGACTCTTCTGGCCTAGAGCGAGTTCAAGTCCGCCGAAATTTGTCTAATCTGAACACCACTCCGCGATTCCTCTTTGAGGAGTTCGGGGGCGGTAGGAGGCGAGTTTTGGAATCAAGGAAAATGCTGTTGCGAAGTTGCTGACACGGCAAACACACACTTAGGATGCTAGGGTGCAATATGACCAAGTTGTCTTGAAATTATTTACGTCGACCAAAGATTTGTCATCCATAGGGCCTTTTTCCATTACCAAAATGCAATGCAACTTTTGTCTTGCCAGAATGCAATGCCCTATGCCATGCTCTACCAAAATGCAGATTGATCACAACAGAGAAATGAGATACATAAGCTCCATTTGAAGGGAATCACCCCAAACAACACAGTCCCACTAGTTGGAGAAAGTGACGGAGCGGGCGGTGGCGCAGCCAGACGTGTCGATGATGGACCAAAGCGCACAGTTCTGCTGGGGAACAAGGCCGATAGAGCAGCCGGCGAGGATCCCAGTCAGCGTGACGGCACGGCCATAGTTCGCAGGGCTGTTCTGAACAGTCCCTGCGAAGGATGAGATCTGTCCATTGACGATAGCGAAGCTGTGTGATATGTATCAGCTCTGTTCTGTGGCGGGGTATCGGGATATACTCACCCTTGGAGGTCGCAAGTGCCAGTCTGTCGGACTTCAACGTCGCGCTTGATGTTAGCGGGTTCGTCAAGGTTCACGACGGCAGAGTCGAGCTGAGCCTGGTAGGCAGGGTCGACCTCGCCCAGGGTGACCTCGTAGGTGGCGACGGTGGGGTATGTGCGAGCCTCGAGAACAGGAGCCGCCGAGACGGAGGCAACAAAGGCCAGAACCGCGTTGATGTAGGAAGGCTGCATTTTGGTTTACAGTGTGTTGAGTGTAGTGATAGTGTTTATGTTGCTAACGAACTTGCTTGATGAACTGAAGAGAAGATTTCAGGAAAAGAGATTCTCAGGGAATATTTACCATCCTTTTATAGTTCTTTACTCTCACCCTCAAGATCCCTACAAGATATTCCATCGCCACCAGATCGAAGCTTTACATCTGCATATCTCAGAATGGTAGATGCAATTGGGCTGTGATACAAGACCCAACTTTCACCATTCCAAAATTGGCATATGTCCGTGATGGAACCCAAAATATGTCCCCTCACCTTATCAACTGTGCGGCGCATCCATCCATCCATCTTTCCTTCAAGAGTAAGAGACTTCGTCAACGCGCTAAGAATGGAGACACCAATTCGCACAGAATAGCATCGAAGTTGAGATTCATACTGGTGGGTTGCCGCTGTAACGCTCGACGGAGGCGTGCTTGATTTTGAATGATTAGTCCAGTCAAAGTTCACGTTGGCTTGATATACAAGATCGGAAATTCCTTCGGCTTTCCCGGTACAAAGCGTGGGTTCCCTATGCCCCTGCCCCTGGGCCGGTGACAATCCTCCGGTTGCAATCGTGGGAGCAGTATTGTTAGTTGTCTTCTCTTTACGACTGATGCTTTTATCTATGGCCACCCTTCCAAAGGGGACTTTCTCTTTACATTTTGCTTTAGTTAGATAGATCCATGAACCTGCCGGAGGTAGATTCCTATTGAAGTAATGAATATAGACCCACCAGCATTGACAGTATTGAACACGGGTATAGTGAGAATGCCGAATCATCACCAGGTAAGAGTTCACGCAACACTCGAAGGAGCCGAGCTGTCCGACCAAGACTGCCTCTCTTTCTCTTGGAAGCTTCATTAGTATCCTCTTGATAGCTTCTTGCCCAGGATGAGTATGGCTTTCACATTGGCTTTCTGATGTGATTAGCCCGCAGGAACCTACCGTCGAGTAGACCACCATTCGATGATACCTCAGCATCGTGCTGCTAGATATCGACACACGCCCAGCTCTCGTACCTTCCTGATCTGGTGATAAGTCCGCTGTTTTATCGGGTGAAATTTGTCGCCCACAAAATATGTGAAGTCAGGATTACAATCACGTTCTGACTTATCCTAAGACATGATCACGAGATGATTATGAAGATGTCTTGATTGAGTTACGTGCAGGGCTTGTGTATGGCTACAAACCTTCTATAGTATTCTAATCCGCCCTAGTACCAACGATCGAGGAGACTGGGGATTTGTAGTGGGTCTCCCACACTTCAACGTAGACAGGGCACCCGCCACCACACCACACCCTATGAAGAACCTCATAAGCCCGGACTTTATGGACCGCCAAGTGATGGGAAGTCAGATTCTCCCCTGCATAAGGAGTTGCCAGTAACTACCGAAGGATTGAACCCATTCGAAGATTGCCATTAGCACCATGTGGCCGTAAACCTTGTGGGACACAAGCTCATTCATTACCGTAAGGCAAGCCGTCAACAGAATCATATGCAGGCCTGACAGGCAAGCCACTATACAAAGATTTCCGAGCAAATCCTCCCGAGGCTCCGAGCCTCCTAACGGCCGGCTAGGTATGTACAGTGTCACATCACGCCTCCTAGGCAAACAATAGTTTTTGTCGAGCTTCTTCATTAGGCAATCCAGTCACTGCCAAGACTGCCTTGTCGTCGGGTTGGATGGGTCGCCGAGAGTAACCTTAAACTTAGACTTATCAAATGTAACGGATCGGAATACCGAGTGCAACCCCCACGCTCCAGGCCATCGTGAACGGCTCCGAGCCGAGCTAGCAGATCGCGGGGCGGCGAGATCGATATTAGCTGAGTGCCATCCAAGTAGGTGGAAGACATGTAAGGCATGTGAGATCACTGGTTGCCTACAGGGTCCCTGGTCGGCTGTATCTGCGATTGGGTAGTCTTTGTGTTCCACCGAGGTAGCTAGTGTGCTATCTTGCACGTCATCATTCTGCAGCATGTTCCCAAGACAAGATAGAAGACAAAAAGACTCGACCCGACAGGTTGAACGCGTATTCGCCATCATTGATGACTGGAGTTGAGCTCTTACGATACAAAACCTCGGGTTTGAACAGCCCTTGTGTTGTTATGCCTTGCCAGGTGCGCACGAAACAGTACCTTTAGATCTGTTTCCTTCGGGGTGAGATTTTATGACGTTTTGAGCGATTAGGTATGGGCTGCATTCAAATCATGTCGACAAAAACACCTTCATGAGACTCAGCTAGCAATCCGCCCAATACGAAGTAATAGTGCAAATAGCCGTGTAAAGACTGACCGATGATAGCACAACAAGGGGGAACGATACTGCTGCATAGACTGGCCATTGCTTCGGATGCATTAGATAAGTCTGTCGGATCGGCACCGACAACGGATAAAGAATCTCCCCTAGTCTTCAATGGGTTCACGATGCAACATGAGATGTTCCTGGGTCGCGGGCCATCGGCTCCGGAGCATTTAGGTTCGGACCTGTCACCATCTGCCGGGACGAAATGCATTACTGGCACGTGAGACTTCATTCCGCCTCTTTGACAGATCTAGCAACAGGCTCTCAAACAAGAACGTATCAATCTGTTGATCGGCAAAATTTGCCACGTTTGTAGCGAGCAAGATTCCAAAGGACTGAGTAACGTTGCAGGTCGCACTGATCTGCGTCTGTCTGAGAATGGACACCTGGTGCGTGCGTCCTGCCCAATGTGAGGCTCGGTGGGCGGAGTAAGCACCCAATGCAAGCCCATGCGGTCATCTCAAACAAGAGTGAGGAGGTTGGACCCCTCGCTGCACCCAAATTCTCACAAATGCTGTGGTCCCCTCTCGGAAAGTCATTGAAGAAGCAACACGATAGACGTCAGACATACATACCCGCTTGCCTGGCCTGAAAACATGTCGTACCAAGAGGGGGTCCGAGAGGGGTCGAGCTTCAAGGGCATCGTGCTCTTAAGCACACTGGCAGTCGGCTATTTGATCTCGACGGTCGTGTACCGGCTCTATTTCCATCCTTTGGCGAAATATCCGGGGCCATTCTGGGCGAAAGTCACCTCGTTTCCTTCCTATTGGCATGCGCTCAAGCAAGACCGTCATCTCTGGCTATTTCAGCTTCAAGAAGAATTCGGTAAGTTTTTTTTTTTACTTAATTTTTTATTTTTATTTTCTGTCACATCCAGAGTCGAGAGCAAATGACTAAGGGCATTCCAGGATCAACCTTTCGGTATGCTCCCAACAGTATCCTTATCAATACTCCCAACGCGTTCAAGGCCATTTATGGTCCGAAGGGCAATGTCAAGAAAGGCGTTTTCTACCTGGTTTGGCCTCGGAATGTCGATACCTTGACCACGTTGAATGTCATCGACACCGAGATTCATGGACGGAAACGGCGAGTTTTGAACCACTCGTTTTCGGACAGGGCACTGCGGTCAGCGGAGCAATTTGTGCTTTCAAATACTGACCGATGGTGCGAGCTCATCGAAAACCAGGCCGCTCCCGCCGGTGGCGAGGCTTGGTCCGACTCCCTCAACATGACCGACTGGGCCAACTACCTGGTGTTTGATATCCTAGGCGATCTGTGCTTCGGCAGACAGTTCAACATGAAGGAACCGGAAAGCGACCTTCGATATGTGATACATCTCATTACCGGCTTTGTCGAAATCCTGCACCCTATTGCTATGTCTCCCTTTGCTGGATTCTGGGCCTGGATGAAGCCACGGGGTCTCGATTGGGTTCTACAATTCGCCAGTCCACCCGCCCTCAAAAAGTGGGAGGCCTTCGTGGAAGACTGCATCGCAGATCGCACTAAGGTGGAGCAGGAGCGGGAGCGCCAATTGCAGGCTGGCCTCGTTCCTGAGGGCGAGGAACGCAAGGACTTCTTCCACTATCTCTTCCATGCAGAGGACCCAGAGACTGGCACGCGTGGGTTCCCACCGCATGAAATGTATGGCGAGGCTGAGCTGCTGATTATTGCTGGATCTGACACCACATCCATCGTTATGTCATCCTTGCTTTTCTACCTTACTCGCCACCCAGCCATCCAAACCAAGCTCGCCAATGAGATCAGGTCAACTTTCTCCACTGCATCCGAGATCAAGTCCGGACCCAAATTGCAATCCTGCAAATACCTACGAGCATTCATTCAAGAAGGCCTTCGCATGACACCACCGGTTGGCTCAGAAACACTCCGAGAAGTCAGAGAGGGCGGGACAGATGTTGATGGGACGTTTTTCCCTCCCGGAGTCAACGTCAGTGTTGCGTACTATTGTCTCAGCTACAATAAGGACGTCTACCCCGAGCCCTTCAAGTTTCGACCAGAGCGATGGATAGTGGACGAGAACGAAGGCTCCACAGAGGATAGTGTGGCCCTCGCGGAGAGCGGGGCGTGTGCGTTCTCCATGGGCTCACGGGGTTGTCCTGGGAAGTATCTGGCCTGGATAGAGATGTCCATTGTGATGGCGAAATTGATATACACGTTCGACATGCGACAGGATCCGGGTAACCCGTTGGGGGGCGGGGACCCACGTCTCGGACGCGGACGTCAGAATGTTGATCTGTATCAGACCTACGACGTGTTCGTTTCCTTGAGAGATGGGCCGATGATACAATTCAAACGTCGGGAATGAAATTTGGAAACTGATTTTCAGAAAATACGGACAGCAGCGTTGGTTATTATATGGATGAACAGGACACATATCGATTTTACAATTGTCTTGTTTTTATGGTGTTTTTTTCTGTCCGTTGTATCTCTTTCCCTTATCTCATTTCTAGTCATTTTATCTCATAGCTTCTCTTGGTATACCAGCCTCCAGGCGGACTTAATGAGTGTGTTGTTGGAAGTTTAGTCACCTTCCCAAATCCATCACCGAGAAACCATCAACAGCCCACGGCTGACTATTCTATGCAGAAGGTCCAGCCTCGCTGACACAGGCCGCTAGTCATGTTGTAAGAGGTTGGCTGTACTAGCCCGTCAACATCGGCTGAACTCGCATCTCGAAAACGTTCTTGACCGTCTGCTGGCCGATCTCAATCACGGCCGTCTTCATCCAGCTCTTCAGGTTCTCCCACGCTCTCATGATCATCGCCATCAATGCACCAAATGCAGAGCGGAACCAGCCCCAGACAGTGTCCCACGGGATAAAGTAGATGGCCGCCGCACAACCAACCCCGGCAATGGCAATCTGGCCGGGCCCAGAGAGACACAGCAAGCCGGCGCTGACCTTGATGGCGCCATCGATGCCATGTTCGGTCAGCTTTGTAGCGACCTGGACGGCGATGCCGCCCGCATAGCACTCCACGACCTGCGAGAGAGTGCTGGTGCCGGCCGCGACGTCAAGCAGCTTGTTGACGGGGCCGCGCCACTTGTTCCATTCGGGCGTGCCCTCTAACTTTGCGTCGCACATCTCCCTGAAATGCTTGGCGACCTCATCACGCTGCTGCTTGGGGATGATGCCTATCGCGTCGCGCGCCGTCCACGGGATGCCCATCCTGACCTGGATGACGACATCGTGCCCGAGGATGAGGTTGTGCTCGCCGACGTGCTTGGCCTGCCACTCGTCCAGCCTGACGCCACAGAAGGTCGAACCGCCGTTCAGGACCAGCTTTTCGTTGCCTTCGACGGTCCCAGGGGTCTTTGTTACCTTTGCGCATCGGATGACGTAGAGATTCTCGATGTTGTCCGGCACTGTGAAAGTGGACTGCTGCAGGTCGACATAGCGGCTGATCAGGAGGAACAGCTCATGGACCTGCCCGTCGCTTGCGCTGCTGTCGATTTCCCGCTGCAGGGCTTCAGGTGTTGTGAAGCACATGGCAGCCTTGGCTGATGATAGGATACGAGTTAGTTTATTGCTATACAGAGGACAAGTGGTTATTCAAATATCAAATTAGCGGCATACCCTTTCTTCCCTTCCACCATCGCGGCTTGGCCCTGTCCTGCAGAAGTGGAATTGTATCCTTTCTGACGACCGGAAGGAGAACGGCTCCTTCGTGAGCCTTCCATCGCTTAATGCCTTGGTAGACTTGGTCGCACTCTCGTTGAGAAGATGGACGGCCTTCCTCTTCCTCCTCGGGCTTTGATTCACGTGAGCTCTGCTTGGTGAGTGACGACGACTTGGTGAGTGAAGACGACTTGGTGAGTGACGACGAGGTCCGCTTGACTAGAGAAATGGTAGACATTGTAAAATTGTACGTCTGCTACCGGCGCAGACTTTGAGTGATTGATTGAAAAGAGTGCTGTGTTCCTCAAATGACATGTATAATTGAGCAGTGTTAAGATTGTTATTCGATGAGTCAAAGGACCTAGTTCATGAAGGTCGATGGACGGCTTCCTGATAAAGCCTCAATGCCCCCTGCATGGGATGGAGCCACAAGGACCGTCCCGGTTCCTCCGCGAGGCCTTGGTTGACCCCATATCAGGGGAGGATATCGTCGTTGTTGTCCGTGGAGATGGTCTCCTTCATTGGGCTAGGGAGATCTGAGTGGGGGCCGGGAGCCACTTCATCGACACGTGTATGGTTGATGGTTCATGCAATGGGGCCCCCGCTGCTTACTGTCATCCCTAGGTGCCCCGGGACAACACTCTCACCGCTCCAGAAGGCCATTCCGGGTCTTGTTCCTGGGTTCCTGGACAGCCCACTGGGAAGACATTTGATAGGGCAGCGAATAGCGCGGCACGAGATTGACTTCTGACAGGTTTGCTGACAGCCAAGTCCCGTTTCAGAGGGGATCGTGAGATCTGGAGAAATGTCCGACGCAGGAAAAAGGGGGTTAGGGTAGAATTGAGACCAAACAATGTTCCGAGACAGAATGACGATGCAGCATGCATACAGACTGTGACGTGGTATCTGCAACTCTATCGCTCTTTTTTACCTGTGCGTGGGATCTTGAAGTTTGTGTGCAGAGACGCAGACACACAGTCAATCCCAGAGACGCGGGTGACATGACGATAGTTGTGCGCGTTGTCCCCTTGTAAACAGGAGGAAGTGGGACAGGACAAAAAGGGGCAACGAAGTAGGGAGTCCAGAATCCTGGGACGTCCCATGGGCCTTATCTTCAGGAGGGTTAGGGTCTTATCAGGTATCCGAGATGATGGAATCATGCAAGTAGAAGAGGCAAACTGTCAGATGAGGGCGGAATTAATTCGAGTCCCTCGGCAATAGAAAATCCTCTGCAACTCTGCGCGTTGGACCCACAATGACGTCGTTTGGGAGATAAGAGGCATCCAGACTGAGGAAACAACATGCGAGGAGCAAGCTGCTGGTGAACCTCTTAGAATTTTGGTCGCATGCTCACGTCAGAAACTGAAAAGAATCGAACTTGCTGCGCTCAAAGCTTTCAACAGATCTAGGGATGACATGCTCGGGAGGGCGAGCCCATAGCGAAATGGCACCTGGACCTTGGTCTAGGGTTTTCCCACAGAATTTCCGTTATTCTCACAGGCTTTGGGTTTTCCCCCTCGTAGCCGGAATCTCCTGGTTCTCCACGCTCACAATTCTTCTCGTCCGGTGGCTAGCGATTGGCCAACCCAGATATCCGGGCCAGATTAACCCAGAAATCCCCTTTATCAGCGACATTGCGGCCTTCAACTTCCAGCCTGTTTTCATTGCAGGTTGTGCCATCACTGGCGTGACATTCGCCGGCACGGTCTTTGCCGTCCATCATGTGCGCTACTCGCCCAGGTTCTACGGGCTGACCGACGACGCCCTGTGGAGGCAAACCACGAGCTTCTGGGCCTTGTTCATGGGCCTTGTGGCGGCTTCGTGCCTTGTGTTACTAAGCATCTTTGACACATTTGAGAATAATGATGAGCACCGCTACCTTCTCATGAGCACTTTTGGCGGGCTTGGGCTGGCCGCGATTCTGACGACTGCAGTGTGGTGGGATCAAGCCTGGGGCCCGGCGCAGTTCCCTGGCCTGCGAAAATGGTGTGTTACTTGGTCTTGTAGTGCTGATGGCCTGTCTTGGTGGTACATTGCTGACGTCCCGTGTCTCCGCTAGGTGTCTTTTCAACACAGTCCTGGTTCTCAGCCAGAGCGCTGTTGGCATCTCGTTCAACACTTTCCTGTATATGAAGCGATACAGGGAGGCTGGATTTTCGGAGTGGACCTTGTGCTATTTGGGATCGCTTTGGCTTGTTTCTTTCGTAGGATATACGAGGTGTGTATAATGGAGCCTATGACTGCCCACGGCACAGAGCCAGAGTTGACAATCCTTCGCAGGTTCAGAGAAGATTCCAACGGTATTGGAGCGATTGACGAGCGTCAGCCGCTACTGGACCAGTCGGCTTAGATCAGCGCTGCCACGATACAACATTCCAGGGAAGCGCCATCCTCTTGGAAGAGCGGAGCTCCATCTGCAGCCTTTAAGCCACATACAATATCGCGAATCAGCGTCTATTTGACCGTAACATGGTCATGAGTAGGATGGCATCAGCCCTCGAAGGCCACCAATGATTGACGAGAGCAAGCTCGCTTCGTTGTCGAACCCATGTCTCCGGCCTTCAAGCTTAGGCACGATTCTCTTGGGGACGATGTCGAAGAGAAACTCTCCAGTGTTCCGGTCGTAAGGCGCGTCTTCCCAGCCAGGGATCCCCGTACCGGCGATTTCTTGGCGGAAGCTGTTCGTGATATCTTCGCGAAACAACTTTGTAATTTCCCAGGGATCCATGTCCTGTCTCTTGACCCGGCCGCGAGGCGCATGCCAGACTGAGTCACCCTGAGCGCACTCTACGAGCTGGTACTGCAGGGCGCCCGTAGGCACATGATCTCGCGGCACCCACCCCTCCTCAGAGAACACCACCGACACTGTTTGCAACCCACTGAGTGTCGAAAGACATTCGATAAATCTCCTTATCCCGAGTGACGATCCCAATACGCGAGCGTCCAGGGCCAGGTGGCGCAGATTCGCTGGCGGTTCGGTCCAGCTGGCAAAGAACTCCGCACAGAAGAAGGCAACCCAGTCTCGGGCCGAGACGTAGATAGCGTCCAATTCCAGATGGAATGCCCGGTACGGGCCGAAGCAGGCGCCGCCATTGACACACCGGAATGTAAGCTGCTTACGAGCCATGCTGCGAGACTCGTGGCATACGTGCATGAGCGCGTTGTATTCGATGTCTACCGTGACAGATGCAGGGTCACCACTCATGGCATCTTCGAATCTGAAGACGTGTACGCTCGGCTCTGGCGGCTCGTCGAGGACGGCCTGCCACACCTCTCGCTGCAGCTCCAGCGGGAGACTAGCAAACTGGGCAAATGACGGCATCGATGGAAGAGGACTAAGGACAGGAAAAATTAAGTATTAGGTAACCAAAAGCGTCCAAATGGTAGAAAAGAGCATTCTGAGGATAAGGCTGAGTCACAGAACAGCTCTGCATAGGACGAACTACTCGCGGTGTACAAAATGAGCATGGTGCTACGAGGTGGCAACTTGATCGCAAATCTTGGAGGAACATCTCGGCCCGGCATGTTTGAGGTACCCACAAATCTGTTTGGGTTAGGATCAGCGCAGCACTGTTACCGTTTATCCCGCCGGCACCGGAATTAAGCTGGACCCAGCTGAAGTTCCTCGAAAGTAAGACGGATACTGGAAGCCTTCGGCCGCTGAAAAGTAAATGTGAAACAACCAAACCTGCATGGGCCGCATGACTTTGGGCAAATTAGAGAAAGAAGAACTCTAGAACCCAAACCCTCTCAGAATTGACACGTCGACATATTCGTCACACTGTCTTGATGAATACAGACTTTCCAGGTTAAGCTGATCAGCATCCCAAAGTGGCACCGAGTTGGTTGGCTGGAGTTTACGTGATTCCACACGGTGAGAAACGCCACTATGCTAGGTTACAACAAGGACTACGCAACTGCCTTGTGCTTCTGTGATATCAAGGTGTGATTGGAATATCAAGCGTCGATCCAAACGGAATGGTCATTTTCGTGCTTTTCCGGCATTTCCACCGTACTTGTTCAAAACAACGCAGCCAAGCCGCGAATCGCGTACGAAATGTGGCAGCGAAAGGCTCGTCTTCATACTGATCTACAAGCTTTTCTCCCAAGCCGCTCGACTCTGTAAGCCTACTAATCATAAATTTAGAAGTTTCATTAGCAATCACAAATTGTCTTTTGGGCATCATACCCAGGTATGGTTGAGGTTGTAAAGCTTCTCACGTCAGCTTTCAAAAACACAACCCTACAAGCTTTTACCTCCAATCGACTTGTGGAAACGATAACTCACATGCATCCGTCTATGTGATAGTACAATAGTTGAAGTTAGTGCTGACTGTATATCATGAATTCTGATAGGTGCCAGCTGAGCATTCATATGCATTACGGGCTGATCAGGCTTGTCTTCCTTGGCTTTGACATACCGTATTACCACTCTTGCTGCGCTGTCCTCCTGCTCCTTGGATCAATTTTTGTTTCCAATTGATGATTATGCTTGTTTATAGACTAAAAAGTGAGAAGATGAGTACGTCTGGCATTTGGAGTTGCGAGCGTGGAGCATGGACTCAATTCAGCAGTGGCACAATGCGGATAGAAAGTCCCTCGCCCAGAACAGAACTACTGTGGCCCATTTCAATCATACCGTGATGGCCGGTGATGGCCGCGAGGCGCATTAGCGAACCGCCTTAGCATGTTTTTGATCAACATTGATCCACGCACTCGCGACTTACCAGGCCTTAAGTCCATGGACGTGAGACTGGGGAAACTCAGCGTTCCAATGAAAAAGGGAACCGATATCGATGGGTGTGCAGTTTATCTCTCCCTTGAATATATAAGCACTAGACGGTTCTTTCAAAGTCAGAGACTCGCTTGTAGGGGTTCATCTTCTGTATACCCAAGACGAACTGCGATACCTAACATCTGTTTCAACTATTCACCCGTCAAAGCACCGTCATGCCATCTGCAAGAGAAGCCCTTGCCGAATCATACGGCCCGCAAAGAAACGGACAGGCTAGATCACTTTGGCAACTCCTTCAAGAAGGCGCGCAGCAGAATCCAGATGGCTTGGCTCTCGCTTGTCCGCAATACGATGCCAAGTACCTATCCCCACCGGCCGCAGCCACCAATGGGTACCATTCGAACGGAGACAGCGGCGGACACGATGGATTTGAGTGGTCATTCTCTCAGATATCTCGTCATGCAGAGCTTCTTGCAAACAGGCTCCACGAATATGGTGCACATGAAGAAGGGGCCACGATTGTTCCATTCTTGGCAAGCGGTCCAGAATGGGCGCTTCTTTTCTGGACGGCAGCCAAGTTGAACATGCCTATTGCTGCTGTGGATCCTAAGATCCTGTTTTCTGAGACATCGAGAACCGGGGTGAGTCAGATACAGGATAGCTATGTCAAGACGCTGCGCCCACATATCGTCATCGTTCAAGATGATCTGGCGGCGGCCGTCTTTGATGAGGCCTGTGGACCAAGCAGCCATACACCAAAGCTCAAAATCATCGTCGATGCCGAATCGACTTTGTCACACCCATTTGGTGACGAGCGGGGAGGCTGGGTGACCCTCAACGGGATCATCAGCTCTCTTCCAGTGTCCCAGGCTAACGGTCAAAATGGACACGCAAATGGAGAAGCAACGCCAAACCCAGAAGCTGTTGCGCGGATCCTTTTCACCGGGGGTAGCACTGGCGATCCCAAGGGCTGCCCTCATACTAACAGCAATCTCACCGCCGAAAGCGATGGTTTCAACACAATGCGTGGGCTCACGACTGCATCCCGCACCCTCATCCAGTCCCCAGCCCACCACATCATGGCCAACGCCGGCGCACTTCTCAGCTGGCGTGCTGGAGCTGGAGTCATCTTCCCATTCAAGGGAAACCAGTTCGACGGAGGGCAGTCTATTCAGGCCATAAAGGCCTATAACTGCACTTACCTACCTGTCCACCACAGCATGTCGGACGCCATCATTCGCCACCCTGCCTTCAGCAAGGAAGCTGTTGAATCAGTACAATACATGCAGATCGGTGGTGCGCTAATTGGGTCCAGTCTTGCAGAAAAGTACAAGAACGCTTTTGGCGTTGCCAAGGACGGCACTTCGCGACTTGAGATCTTCCCGTTCTGGGGAAGTACTGAAGGGATGTACACAACTGCATGTGTCAAGGGCGACAAGCTCGTTACCGATCGCGAGAAATCTGTCGCCGCGGGATCCGGATCAACCTCATCAGATCTACTGGCTGTCGGCCGAGCCTATTCTGGTGGTCGCGTCAAGGTCGTGGACCCCGAGACAGGGACAACAATGCCGAGAGGTCAGAGTGACGACTGTGTCGGTGAGCTTCACTTTGGCGGCGACACTGTCATCAAGGAATACATGGGTGGTGTATCACCCTCTAGCTTCTACACACAGGATGGGTATTCGTGGTTCAGAACTGGTGACCAGGGGCGTATGGCTGATGACGGTGCAATCTTCATGCTCGGTCGGTACAAAGACATGATCAAAAGGGGCGGGGAGAATATCTTTCCGCAGCAGCTTGAGTATAAGTTACAAACCATCTGCTGGACCAAGGTATGTTACATGATACTCAAACTACAAGTTACAGTGCTGACCACCTGCGCAAGGCTCAAATCATTGGTATTCCTGATGTCATCACCGGTGAAGCTTGTGTTGCAGTCGTCGACCCTTCAAAGTCGGAGAACTTCTCCAAGCTCCAGCTACAAATTGATGTCTCTAAGCACATCGGATCGGAATTTGTATTTGTGAACATTCTCACGCTTGAAGAGCTGGGCCTTACTGAATATCCTGTCGGCCCTGGTGGAAAAGTCCGCAAGCCTGTTCTTAAGGAATTCGTCTTGTCGTACTTGGACAAAGCCGGGAAACGAGACCAGCATACGAACGGCAATGTTACCCCTAAGTCCGACACCCAGAATGAATGGATCGACTTGGTCAAGTCAATTTGGGCCGGCCTGCTACACATTGACTCATCCGAGCTTGATGAAGATTTCCGCCTTGAGCACTTCACGGACAGTCTGACGACCATGAGATACTGCTTCGAGATCGAGAGGCTGACCTCCAAGCGTTTGACTGTTGCGGATGTACGCGAATGTCCAACCATCAAAGCCCAGGCTCAGCTTGTCTCTGGGGCCAGCATCGAGACGTACGTGGCTGGCAAATCGGATATCGATTTGCATCAACGTACTGGACCGCCAACAGTTGCCGACGTACTGATCTGCAAAGGCGACGAATCCAAGCTCCGTGAAATCCAAGACGTGGCAAAGCCAACCTTGGACAAACACGGTCTCATCTGGGAACGTGATGTACAGGAGTGCTTTGGCGCCACGCCGCTGTGGGGTGCCACCGTGCTACTTCCACTCACTCGGACTTTCAACTTACGCTTTGCATTCGAGGTAAAGGGCTTGGAATATCTTGAGATACGAGAGGCATTGACAGAGACTCTCAAGCTACAGCCTCTGCTTGTGAGCGCCGGAATCAACCTGAACAACAAGCTCGTGTACCTCCAGCTGCGACAGAACGATGCAGTTCTTGACAGAGTCATAACAAGAGAACGAGAATTTGACTCTGTTGAGGCAGCCGCGGACTACGGCACCCATGAGCCGTTCGAACTTGTGGCTCACCCGCCCGAAATGCTAAGCCGCTTTGGCGTCCTCCCTGTTTCCAGTGCGAACGCAACGGACGGCCCAGTTCACGTCATCATCATGTCCCTGGCTCACTCTATCTGTGACGGAATGACGAACAGTGTCCTCTTTACCGAACTTGACGCCCAGATCCTTCGAGTGCGGGCGAAAAAGGCCGGATCCCAAGTGCCTCACCACATACCCCCGAGGTTCTTACCATACAAGCTCTTCTGCGAGATGTACGATTCCTTGGACAAGAGTGTCTCAGCCCAGACTTCGGCAGCAATTGTAGCTTCGAAGTTCCGCGGCATATCCGCCGAACCTGGGACAGCTTGGCCTTTATTCGACTCAGACAACATATTGAGCATCTTCGCCACGGATGCAAACCGTGGCACTGAAACCTTCCATGGCGGTGTCAACATCCAACGATCAGGGCGTGCACCAGGTATTCTCTTGCTGCAAGACACACACGGAGTGCCTCCTTCTGTAGCACTCAAAGTGGCATTTGCCTTGGCAACCATGCAAATGACAGGCAAGACATCCGCGCTCTTCGGCCGCGGCGACGCAGCCCGTCATTGGCCGTTCCAGGACCCCTGGGTTCAGTCCCACCTGCCGAATCCCCTTCTCGTGGGCGGTCCGATGGTGGTCCTCGCTTGGCAGCGCCTCAAGATCGAGAACGAAAATGTGAGCATGCTGGACCTTTTCCGGCACGTCCAGGCAGAGGACACGGAGCTTGCGCCACACATGCATGTCTTCAACTCCTACGATGCAGTCTATGAACAGCTCCCTCCCGAGGACACGGCTTTTATAAAAGAGACACGTTGCTTTGATCCCAGTCAGTATTATCCTTTTTCCTTTACGATTGCCTATCCAAAGTTTATTAGAATCTTCCCGAATGCATCCCCTTGAGCTCCGTAGCAATTGACTAACAAATATCAGAGCTCTTCTTCAACCATGTCCCTGACGTGGGGCGGTTCACCGGCGCAGATGGCCTGAAAGCACTGAAACTGTCGGGGTTCTCGTTCTTTGGCACAGGAGTCACGCCACTGCAGGTTGGGTTTGACGCTGGCGACAGGGAAAAGTGTGTTATCGCGGGACTCGTTGACGAGACCAAGTGGGACGATGCGGAATTGGAGGTGGGCGGTTTTGAGGAAACGATTTTGAGAACGTTGAGCGAGATTGTGAAGCCGGAGAATTGGAACGAGGCGGCTGTCAGGTTTGCGAAGCCTGTAGGGCAATGAGAGGAACAAAGTCTCGCAGAACAAGATTTTCATTCCAGTCACATGAAAGCTTTTGCACCACTTATTATATTTTTGAGCTGAGCGAGCTGCGTGAAGTTTGTCTTCACAACATTCCCCATGTAACCACTTTCAGAGGATGTGTTTGTAAAAGTCTCTGCGGACATCAACCGGGCTTTGAGGAGCCTAATGTTGTTCGGCGTAAAGGGGAAGGCGCGCCATTTTCGGTGTGATGAACGGGATTCAAGAGGATGAGTAGACGGTTAGGTGTCTGCGGCGTCGAGTGCCTGTCGAGACTGATTTTGTGTTGGAAGTCCCATTGACAAATGAACGAACAAGGGCACACACTGCACGTCTGAGCCAACCGACCCATTTTCACCTCATCGCCATAGAGTTATATTGTCTCATTCTACACGTGCAACTCGATAATCAATTGACCTGAGTCAAGTTAATTTGTCGGTTACGTCTAGGCCTCAAGCTTTCGGTCTGATAGGACCTGGCAAGTCTACATAATCAAATGTACCTAGCGTGTTCGTCAACCAAACATCTTTCCCGCCGTGAGGCACAGATGGCTCTCCACCCCAAAGCGACCCAGAAAGGAAAGTATGAGGGAATCCAGGGTCAAAATGACTAGCCTGATCTATCTGATGTATGTCATCATCAGAGAGATTGACCTTCAGACCCTCGACGGCATCTTTCAGATGCTTCAGAGTGCGTGTTCCAACAAGCGGAAACACATAGGGAGCCTTTTGCATCACATAGGCAAGGGCGACGTTATGAAGGGTAGCCTTCTTGGCCTCCCCCACCGCTTCAAGCTTTGCGGACACTGCCTTGTAGGTATCGCTCGGCACGCCTTTTCTTCCCGGATTGTTTGCCTCGCGCTCTTCCAGTGCCTTTGCCGTTTGAAACTTCCCTCCACCTACAGCGCCATATGGTATGAGGGCCATACCTTCGTCCCTGCACAGCGGGATAATGTCGCGCTCAAAGTCACGGACGGCCGCATTCCAAAGGCCTTGGTAGGCGACAAACTGGCGCAGGCCGTGATCACGGGCGTACTGATTCGCTTTGGCGACAACCCAGGCGGGGCTATCACATCTTAGGTATTAGCAATCGCTCCTCGTTGCGTTTCTTAATCTTTGATGCTGAGCTCACCAATCCGAAATTCCAAGATAATTAACCTTGCCCGCACTGACGAGATCATTCAGTCCATTCATGAGCTCCGGAATCGATGTGTTGTAATCCCACCAGTGGACGTAGAAAAGGTCGATATAAGTCGTCCTCAGATTCTTCAAGGAGTTCTCAAGAGTCAGACGAAGACTCTTGGTACCGTTGCCACCAAAGTTGGATTGGATTTTGATGTCCTTCTCGTGCTTGCAGTATGCGCTCGAGTATTTGGTTGCAATCACGAACTCGTCGCGGTTGCCTCTGGCCTCAAACCACTCTCCTAGCCACTGCTCCGACTGCTGGGCTTGATATCCGCAGGCGGTATCCAAGAAGTTTCCGCCGAGTTCCCAAAAGTTGTCGAGTATCTCGAACGCCGTCTCCTTAGTGCATTCGCCCATGCGGTGTTTGTCAGCTTCCCCAAAACCCATGGTGCCGAGGCAGAACGGCGAGACACGAACGTTGGCATTAGGCGCCAGTTGACGATGTCTGTGGAGAGGGGACTCCGGAGGCTCTGGAAAGGGATGTGGTGGCGCCATGCTTGAGGAAAGTCTTATATGTCACAGATGAAGTGTGGTAGTTCGGATGTGGCAGCAGAAGGGCAAAAGTAATCCATCAGAAGAGCGAACAATGCTTCTCTTATAATAACAACAGTCCTTTCTCATCGCTTGCGATGACATACCGTAAGCAGAGTGCATACTTGGACATATACAAGAGTTCAGTCTCTTCTTAAATACGGGATAACTCCGCCCCTCAACATCGTGAAGTATCGGGCTCTAAGCCAATTCCTGATTGGCAGCAGCTCTTTCTTCGACATGCAAAATCTTCGGCACTTGCTGTTTAGGCACGGAGTTATCGGTGGAAGAGAGCGTGACGGACATGTTCTCAGGAGGCATTCATCGTGCACTAACATGGAGCCGCTCACGATACCTGAGTCGCTCAACACTGCCATTGTCTTGAAACACGGTTAGCCTGTAAACTTTGAATCCACCATGCCAACGGAATGCTAGCCAGCTCGCGATGTGATTGGTAGAAGCTCTGCCAATGACGTATGGTAAGCAGTCTGCATACACCAAACCTTACCTCAATTGGATGAGTGGAGCAAAATCGTGCCTCCTGAGGCGAGAGATCCTCAAGCGCTGCGAAAGAGCCTTGTGGATTTTCATCTTGCCATTCATCGTGTTTCGCACCCGTCAGTCCTTCTGCTACCGAATCATTACGTCCCTCCTTTTGATCAGAGGCAGCGTGTAGTACATGCTGACAATTGTGCATTGGCCGACAGCCAAAGAGGGTGACATCGTGTTTCACTGTTTACTGTAAGGTAGTACACGACAAGGCGAGAACGTTCCCAGCGTATGAGCAGCCTATCACCATGGAGCCAGTATCGACTTCAAGTAAAGCTGCCCCATCTGGCATTAAATTGGTCCAGATGAGCAAGCGTACCGAAGCACGTGGAGCAGAAGACGATTGGACCGGCATCTCAGATGCTGCCGAGAGAAGGAAATTACAGAATCGCCTAAGCCAGAGACGTTATAGTGAGTACCTTCCGCTATTCATATCCATATTATTTCATCTTCTCATCTTCACTGTTTTCTGCCTAAAAGCCAACTTCATATTGGCTGTCTTCAAAGAACTAAAATTGGCCTGCAGGACGAGCACGAGCAGATCCAACTAAGGGATACAACCCCCGGCCAAAACCCGTGGCCATTGTGACAACGAATCCAAATACTAGTGCTTCCGTACGGAGCGGATTGGAGCACAAATTTAGAGGCCTTCTACATGTCGTCAGCCTTCATGCTTCTCAGTGCCGGCGCGAGAAAAATACTAGTCACTTGGCCATTTCAGAAAGCTTTGCTTCGCAAATTCGCCATCTCCAGATCAGGGACACGGATATGGGGACTCTATTGACTCACTTTGAGCTTTTTATGGGACGGTACTTTCTGCTTGGCTCACCAAGGGTGGACCTGCTTCTCACGCTCATTCAATTCAATGTTTTCAGAGCTCTTCTGAGCAATACGAAAAGTCTCGGGTGGGATTTTCAATGGCTGGAATGTGAAGAGCCCGACTCTCCTTGGACGTCCCCAGAGAAAAGCTCGCCCGACCTAGTGTGCCCAGATAGCCTGCTTCCCACCTGCGTTCAACGGGCGGTTCCACATCACCCCTGGATAGATCTTTGGCCAATGCCCAAGATGAGAGACAATCTTTTACTGGCTGCCGGCCTCTTCGACGAAGATAAGTTATGCAATGTGCTGCTCGAGTTTGAAGATATCCCAAATGAGAAGTCTGGTCTGGTGGTATGGGGCGAGCCATGGGACCCTGCTTCATGGGAAGCGAGTGAGGCGTTCATCAAGGAATGGACATGGGCAATCAAAGGATGCACGGAACTTTTGAACTCGACAAATTTCTGGCGAGCTCGGCGTGGTGAAAGGCCGGTGAAGTGGTAGAGTTGGTCTGATCATGATCATGAATCAATTTCCACCAACCATTCTATCTGAAAGCTTTGGATTAGTGGGATTATATGGATGCGTATCTCAGTTCTGTCAATGCAATGCTGTTTCAAAAATGTTCGCCAAGAGATAACAATGCTGCATGACGTATGATAAGCGTAGGGCATGGTTGTAACTGATATAATGATCATGATTTGACTACTTCCTGGAGAAGTGATCACAGGTACCAAACGGTCAGCGGAAGACAAAACATGCTGTTCATTTCACGCAGCCGGTTGGAGCACCTGGCGTATCCTAAATGAACTCAATCCAAGACATTAACTGCTTGGAAAATAATGTTGGGGTTCTTCAAAAATATCCAAACTTTCCTATGTGGCGCGTCTGGCACGTCTGGCGCTCTCCACACACAAATCTTCTTCCAACCCTCAAACCGAATTGGCACTTCATTATGCCGGATTTTTACCTCTTCCTTCATAACCCAGAGTACGAGATGATTTCCCGCCCGCTAGACTTTGTTCAATTTGAACTCCGCCCTTTCCATTGAGGATCCCCAGCGGTATTCAGAAGAAGATCAGGTGCAGCCATTTTCATTTCAGGTATGCTTGATTCAAAGCTTTTACGAAGTCGCACCTTTCTTTTACAAAACGGTTCCCGACAGAACATTGCTCGGTATTGTTACGTATTTGTCGTTCTCACAGGGTTGACGATCACCTTCAATGGGATTCGTGTCCAAAGAGCACTAAAATTCTTCTGGCGCTCGATCCATCGGTGGCTTTCAGGGTCTAGGGTGAGGTCGAAGTTGTACACTAGACGGGCAAGTATGAATCGCATCTCCACAAAGGCAAGACTGCACATGCCTTCGTCAGTCGGATCACCCATGTATGCAAGTTCTTACTTACTTGCGGCCAAGACAGTTTCGCGGGCCGTAGCTAAAATCCTGCAGAGCTTCCAGTACGTTGGCGGTACCCTTGTCCAAGAACCTCTCCGGACGGAACTCCCACGGCCTATCCCAGTTTTCCCCGCTGTGATTTATAGACCAGGGCTGAACCTCGACCATTACACCGCCGGGGACAAAATTGCCCGCGACGTATTCACCTTCAATGGGAACATCCCGAATCAATGTTGACGTGATGGGCGGGTAGAGTCGCAGTGCCTCGTTAAGCACCGCAAGCATGTAAGGCAGTCGGTTTATCGATGTTATAGTGAGCTCACTCTCGTCTTGAAATTCAGATCGAATCTCTGACTTCACTCTGTCAAATTTTTCGGGGTGCGCGAGAAGCAGAAAGACACACCCAGACAAAAGCGTGGCAGTAGTTTCGGACCCGGCTATAGTCAAGATCATGGCATTGGCCGAGAGCTCTTCAAAGGAAGTTTTCTATGAGCGTGTTAGTGAAGTCATGCGCGTGTGTTAATCTCTTTTTGCGAGATCCATGACACATTTTACGCACCCACTCATCTTGTTTTTTTATTAGTCCTTCAAGGAGATCATCCCGTGGTTCCTCCCCCATGCCAAGCCGGAACCTAACCATGGCCTCAGTGTGAGCTCCCATATCCCTCATGGCCTTGCCTCCCCATCCAGTCGTCTTGAAAATCAGGCTGGCCACCCACCCTAGCCTGACATAATGTAGCGCACGGTTGGCTGCGGTCGCAGGGAAAGACTGAAGAAAGGAGGAGACCCAAGGGTGGTACTCAAACCTGTCCAGACACCCAAAGGACATTCCGAAAACGAGTTCACCAATGACATCGAAAGTGGTCCAATTGAACCATTCCTCCAGATTCAGAGCATGCCCATCTGTCAAATCCTCCTGCCAGTGACCAACTGACCGTGACCTTAGACCATGAATCAGCTTATCAACGTGTCTCACTATAGTAGGCTCTTGCGAACGGATAGCTTTGTCGCTGAACCCATGGCTCAACGCTCTCCTGAGCCGTGAATGATCCTCGATGCCAGCGTTGACGATATGCGTCGACACTCTCATGCTAAGGCCGACGGCCACCCGCGACTTGGAAAATTCCTGCTTTCCCGGTCCGGTGCGATGTCCATAAATGTCTCTCCATGCTCTAGCATCGGTGAACGAGAGATGGTTGGGTCCGATGCGAACGACGGTGCCGTATTTGTCATGCCACTTCTGCGTATGAAATGTCACTACACCGCGGGCATGAAGGATGCCCCATGGCCACGAAAACGCGCGACAGAGGAGTGGCCCAGGGTAGTCTCGCAAAGGGTGGAAAAAGATGTTATAGGCACCAATTGCAACTTGGTGGGCCAAGATCTAAGAATGTGCAAAATCAGCAGGTCGATGAGAGACACCGCTGTGGAGAAGGAGTGATATATTACAATGGCAAGTAGTAGTAGACATAACATGTGTGGACTGAGATTGCCGGTGTAAACGGAACGGTCCAGAGTCAACATTGTCAAAACTTGTTGTGGCTTGTCAGCGCTTCGATGGCGCAGGGGTTCGAGGAGCTCCCTCAGTCAATGGCAGCTCAAATGTAAGCGTCAACACCAATTCACGTGGCGTCAATCACAAGAACTTGGTAGATGGCCGAGAATTCATCTCAATTCAAGTCACAAATTTATATATTCCATACGATCACATGCTATGCTATGTATGACGTCCAACTGTCACATAAATAAACTCGGGGATGCAGACTCAAGCTTTCACTCCGAGAACTCTAAGCACCTAGACTTCTTCGGACGCCCAAGAGAGTAATTTTGGCCCCCGCAAACGCGATCCCATGTTGACTGGCCACGCCATTGGACACTCGTAATTTGATCTTGGTGCTCGGCATCGGCTATCAGCCTGGTTGGTGTGCTCATCGATCGTGGGCACTTAAGCTCCGCTCAATTCTCGCTCGGTCTTCTTGCCGTCTCTTGAACTCAGTATAAGGATGAGGGTAATCGATACAAGCTGTGCTATCGTGGTTGCAAGCGCGCTAGTAAAACCGCCGTGAAAGTTGGGAGCCCCTGATGCCGGAAACTGGACTATTTGTGTGCCGGCAGCAATGGCTTGCCCGATGGCATTCATACTTGCTGTGACGACAGCGCGCTCTTCCGCGTCCTTTGCCATGATGACTGTAGCCCAGCCCATAGTCAAAGGGGAGATGGCTGTAGATCTTGTCATTATCATGCGACTTTTCAACGAGTGGGAAGAAGGTGTGGAATAATGACTGTGCCATCATGCTGTGGGTGACTTACCTCCAACGAATCCAGTTAGCATGAAGCCCGCCAGTCGACCTGCCTCCCCAACATCCCAAGCCACCAACAGAGAGATTCCTATCAGCAATGGTATGGTGACCAGATACGAGGGGAGCCAAAAGCGGCCTGTCTTATCAGCAATGAGACCCGCCGAAAATGCGACGACAACACTTATAGCAGTTGTTATCGTCGGCAGAGTGTTGATCTGAACGATTGAGTAGATATCGCTCTTAGCCTTTAGGTATAATGAGAAAGGCGTGCCTCCTGGGGCAAAATTTTGGTCCATAACAGTCCACTGGAAAACAAACAAATACCAATGCCACCGTGTGAAGACACGGCGAAATATGTCCCAGGAGAGACGCAATTGCGGTGGGGCCGTAATGCCTTCAAGGCGCTTCTGAGCTAGATCGTGCTCGAATTGTGTCAGAAATAGTGGCTTCTTTCGAGACGGAACATCCGGGAAGACGAAAAAGCCACTTTGGGAATGTCAAAGTCAGCACAATGTTCCATGGGTTCAAGCTACGTGAGAATAGTGAGGCCTACATGAGCGCGATAGGAATTGTGATAATTGCGTCCACAACGAACAACCATCTGTGGAATGTCAGCTTGTAAAATCTGATAGGGCGAATGGAATAGGCGTTCGCATACCGCCAGCCAGCCAGACCATGCGTCCCGTTGAGGTTGGTATAAGCAGCTGCTTGAAGGTATCCAGCGAACATTGTCCCAAGGGGGCTTGCGATGAAGAAGAGAGCGACTCGTCGGCCAATCTCTCTAGGTCGATACCAGGACCCAATGATATAAATAGTCCCGGTGAATGAGCAGCACTCGAAAACTCCAGTGAAAAACCGCATCGCGTAGATAGTCTCGATGTTTCTTGCCCAGGCCAGACCAAAAGTTGACAAGCCCCAGCCGACTTCCAGTGCTGGAAGTACAATGTTCGCCGGGTAATGTGTCATGAAGTAGCACGCTGGAATCATGAATGTGCAATACGACGCCCAAAAGGTTGCCGTTATATAGTTGAGATCATCGCCTTTCAAGCCGATATCTTCTCTCATCCCGCTGCGGGGGATTCGAATCAGTTGAAGAACGTGGCTTTGTACGGGCTCTTTGAGGGACATACCTGACATAAGCATTGGTGATAGACTGTTGATCCAGGTATTTCGTGAAGAACGAGAGGCACCCAAAAATCAAAATGCTTAAATCTAGTTTCAGAATCAACCGCTTCTCCTCTTCGGTTTGGTTAGTCGGATACCAATGCAGGTATGTCATCAATCTGATCCACGCATTCCCTGCAAATTTGTTCGAATCTGAGGAAACATCTTCAATCGTTTGTGACGGAGTTGGTGATGCCTCCGATAAAATGATTGTCTTTTCGGGCATTTTTAGACAGTGAGTTGGTACTTGAGTGATGACTGGTTGGTTTGATTCCACATCCGTAGCCAGCAACACGTTGTTCTTTTGATCTGTAATTCTTTGCAAATGAAAAGACTTCAAGTTGAGATGGAGTTTGAATTTGCCATGTTTACTTCTATGTTGCATTAGAGCAATCACGCCACCAACTACCGTGCTGGTTCTGCAGTGCGGTATTTCACAACTGTGGGGTTACATGGCACCATCATGCGTCTGCACATAGGAGCATCAGTACAAAACACACAAACCCAAAGCGTTATCTTCTCAGACCCGGTCTCGGAGAATTCAGGCTCGCTTATGATCGGGCGCGGCATTGTGCGTCAATCATTTGGTCGCTGATTGATACCGCGTAGAGGGACTACAACCCATTAACCTACATGCTACTGCATGGGACATATTGCCACCATACTAGACCCGAGGGTAGTGCCGCGATATCGATTTGAGAACTTTGCACCAAGTAATCCCTGCGAGTGGTTGAAACCGTGCCATAGGTTGAAACCTTGGGGCAGTGCCGCTGCTGATGTGACAGTGGTTTTTCTACTTCAGCTGAAATGTGGCTTGCATTGGCGTCTAATCAGCTGGAAGTTCTACCAGCTAAATCTCAGCCGTCTAAGCTCAATTCTGGGTTTCGCAAATGCCATATAACTCAGCTGTACCAACAACGACCAGTCTGATGTTGTGACGCCTTGCCAATGCTTTTCAGTACCTCCTTCCGGAGACTTGTGTGAAAACCCGTTTACTTCGCAGACAGCTGGCCTAGCCACGGAGCTTTGGATCATGGATGAAGATAGTCTAGCTCTCGTGTCTTCTCTGTATGGCAAAGGTACTATATTTTGCTGGCTATTGACTATTCTGGCCTGTCTCGTCACTTGGACATGCAACAAGCGCAAACGAAAATCGGATTCTCTGAACGCCGACTTCATCGGAATCCTGACACTTCCAGCCGTTGCTGCTGGACATACCATCTATCAAGCACGATACCTAAAAAGCCACGCCCTCTTGGATGCCAACCCCAACACCGTCATTCAACTTTCACGAGCAATAGAAGCCTCACTTACGGTCACCGAAACATTCATGATCTTGAGCGTCCTGCTCTTTCTCTTGGCTTTCCCTGCCCGTTGCTACAAGCGCGCCATCTCGACAGCTCTAATCGGTCTCCTCTGCTTGGCCACAGAATATGTGGTCTATAGTCATTTGACAAGCTCACCCAACCAGCAATTGAGGTCTATTAGAGCCAACTTCACACGATCATTTGTCGCCGATACCACGATCATCATTGCTGTGATCCTTTTCCTTATACTTGCCTGCATCTTTATCGCCTTTTGTTTAGCGTGGTATGTCTTGCTCAACAACCATGTTCGGACCAGCGGTACGGAGGCAGTGGATACGGCAACGATTGAAAGAGCGACGAGGGACCTTGACAGGTTTCGTACCTCAGAATCCATTTTGAGCGAAATAGCGTCCCATCAAGGAGCACAGCTTTCTAGATTCTCTAGACAGGATCGTTTCATGTATCTGAGCGTACTCATCTCCCTCGTATATTTGCCTGCTGGCTCCATATTCTCGATCATGGGCATGGCCATGGGACCACGCGGCTTGAGCGCTGGCAAGCCTGAGTCTTCAAGCTGGTGGTCTGGGTTTAGATATGTCGCTAAACGGTTCTTTGCGGCTTTCTTCCCCAAAACCACAGCCGGGCTCTCAGACTTAGATCAAGCTGTTGCTGTGGCTGCTGGATGTGTAATTTTGACTTTGTCCCTGTGGGATGTTGGGAAGAAATGGCTTTCACAATGGAAAAACGAGCGCGAATCACGACTGCGGGAACAGCAAAGGGAGTATATTAGGCTGGAAGAGCTCCGGAGAAGACTTGCCGTGCTAGTGCAGGAGACGCAATGATACACGATAATGAAATTCATGAACGATGTCATGTAAAGTATTTGGGAGAAGATTTGGCTCAATATTTTCATTAGTCAATCACCATCATCAAGAACAAAGCCCTCGAAGCAATTGCTTGGTCGGTGCTTACCTTGCTTGTAAGATGAACGTAAGACTACGGTGAGACTTTTCTATATATTACTTTGCGGAGCATTTTAAAATTATAAATCATCACATTAGCACTAAAAGTGCTTATTTTAGAGATCTAAACAACCTAGAATAAATGTTACAACACTGCTCTATAGGTACTAAACAAAAGAATTATAGAAATATGCAACAATCAGAGTTAGAGTCTAGCTTATTTAGCTTAATAAGTAGATTATTAAGTCTCACACTATAGATTGCGAGCTTACCTTATAAACCAGCAAGCTACTAAAGACTCAGAATATATAAGATTATAGTTATTACTACAGTAGATAGCTTTATAGAAAAGACTCTTTAGCAGTCAATCTAAGTATCTGAGTATTCACTTTCAAATAGCTTTCATTAGCTTGTGATCATGGTATAGAACCCCTATTGCTCAATCAATTGCCTTGCTACGTATCTTGAACATAAATCCGATCTCACGGTTTAGAGGACCTAAGAAACCTTGATCATTACATGTCTGTTCCCAGCATCCTCTCATCACAAGCTCCTCACTATTAGTGCCTAGCTTCGGTAGTAGGTAGGCGCATACAACTCGCTGACATTAGCCGGCTCGTTGCTTGCCTCGTACACAGTTGGGCCAGTGTGGGTACTAGGAAGAGGCACACTTCCATGTGTACTAGAAGCAGGCCCATACGACATGGCTTTGGAAGCAGGCCTGGAGGTGGCTCCAGTGGCCTCATCAACGACCATGGGCACGACCTTGTCTTCTTGAGGCTGTTCTTCGCAACCTTTGGCGGTGGGAGCTCTCCTGCGGCGGAAGACCAACCAAGTTGCCAACACGCCAACTATTGCCGCGGCAGGAATGCCGACGCCGAGTCCTATCTTCGCGGAAGAGTTCATGTCGGAGGAGCTTTGTGATGCTGCGTCTGAGGCCGTTGTGCTTGCCGAAGGATTGGAGACAGTTAGGGTGGGCGACAATTGGGCCCTGGTTGTTGCACTGCTCGAGGCACTTGACGCGCTCGTCGAGGTACTTGAATCGTCTGTCGAGGCACTGTCTGAGTCGGGCGATGTAATGTTGAAATAAACGGTCATGTCGCTTGCGCTTGTGGCTTCTGTGACGAAGAGCATCATCACGAAGACGTTGGAGACACTCAGGTCCTTGTTTGTCACCACGATCCACTGGCGTGATGTTCTATCATAAGCCTGGCCCTCTGTGGACGAATATATGTCAGGACGCGTCCTCACGTATATACAAGGATGCAGCGAAATGGAGCGAGACTCACCCGCGAGATACTCTATGTCACCTATCGTCTGTGGAGATGTACTGGAAGCTAGAGTTGAACTCGTATTGACCTGAAATAAGCCAACTGTCGCATCTTGATCCGAATAAGGTGAGGTCCAGCGGATCTGGAGGACTGAGTGCTCCGTGTAAACTGAGCCTTGTGAGAAGCTGCTCTGGCTGCCATGGCTGGCAGGATTCACGAACTCGAAGGATATTGTAGCAGGCAGGACTGCCCAAAGCGCCAGTAACGAACGCATTGTATCCAGATCAATCTGGCACTGGTATTATAAATCAAATAGAATAGAAGATGCAAACCATCACCGAGCAATGAGAAGGCTAGAAAAAAGCGGAAGCAAAGTGCTGGTGGAAGCAGTGGTGAAGTAGAGTGCAATAAGGCGATGCAAACATGGCATTGGATTTCCAGCCTCGCTGCAGGGTTGCCGCCAGCTGTTGAGGAAAACCTTGGGAGCAATCCTACTGCAACCCCATCTTCCCTCATTGCAGCCGATGTCGACCAAGCCAGCGACTAAGACGGCGTTCTCAATCACTGGTCGACCAACATCAACATTAGACCCGCCGAACTTTCAACCAACAGTGGCATTCAAAACGGGTCGGCGTTCGGATCTGCACCAACTGGCAGAAAAAGACACACCAAGACTTGAATTAGGCATAGCACCGGCTGCCAAAGCCTCAAACACTGTTGGCATGAATCAAACGTCAGCCCTGGCCAATTATAGAGTGTTCTACAACCAACAGTTGGTTGTATCCCGGCGCTTACTGCGCCTTGTACTGCATTACCAGCCCGCCGGAATTAGTATTTCGTGCACAGGTGAACCCTCACCAAAACCCTTACCTTTTAACCATCAATTATTCAACAACTATGGTGAATGTGCTATTCTTTTCTATTCCCGATTTGAAGTGAATTAGTTATTTTACCTATGGAACGTGCATTCATTTCATTTCAATGGGTGTGGCTGTGGTAGGAGAGATTGGAATCGTCAAATGTTAAGCTCACCAGCACTTAGCTGTGCACGAATTCTAATTCCGGCGGACTGACCACTTGCTAACATTTCAGCCGGGACCCACCAGCCGGGATTAGCCCCGCCCATCTTCAGAGCCAGGGCCGAAGCTGCCTTGGCTGTTCACATGCACGGCAAAGGGGTTGAGCGCTTAATTATGTCCGATCGTCGTGAATTGACCGTGTTTTTTTTGCCTTATAGGGTATGCCCCATAGGTGGAGCGGTACAAAAGGAATTGCAGTACTTGATTGGAAAGTTGTCTGCTTTTTGAATTCGCTTTCCAGAGGAGTGGATGGAATAAAGCAGCACATCATTTACTTCTTTGCTCCAGCCGTTGGGTCTTGTCTTTGCACCATTCGAGTCTGTCGCCCGCTGTCCGGGTGCCTCGAGTCGACGATGAAACCGTTCATCACCCCTCCCTCCGCGCAGAATCGCCAAGTGATCACACTGGCCGCTGGCATCGGCATTATTTTCCTCCTCTACCAAGCCTGGGGTCTCCATCATGACCGCCAGCTCTCCCTCTATTACGAAGATACGCCAGCACCAACCCGAACAGGATTCGATGCAATCCCAAAGAAGATATGGTACAAGCTTGGGCCAAGAGGACTCAGCCCGGATGCGGTAGCGTGGACTGGCAGCTGCATGACACATAATCCCGCATATTCAGTCGAATACATGACGGACCTATCCGCCGATGCTTGGGTCGCAAAGACATTCGCGCATCGTCCTGACCTTGTGGAGGCCTTTCTTGCACTCAACGTAAAAATCATCAAGGCCGACTGGCTCCGCTACCTCCTGCTCTACGCCGAGGGAGGAATGTGGTCGGACCTCGACGTGTCCTGCAACTCCCCTATCGAGAGCTGGATTCCTGCACAGTACAGAGACAACATCTCGATGGTTGTTGGCTGGGAATTCGACACACCTTGGGGCGGCACAGGGCAGGCCTTACATGAGCTTGCCACATGGACGGTTCTCGCGGCACCTGGCTCCCGTCACATGTTGACTGCGATCGACGGCCTGTTGAAAGGAGTGCAAGACGTTGCAAGAGACAACGGCGTCGACGTGGCCGGGATCACAGCCACACCGCCCATGATGGGAGACATCGTCACCTTCTGTGGACCCAGGAGGATGACAAGGAGCATCTTCCAGAGCCTGCAACAGGAGATGAACTTGTCTGACGATGAGTTTCGAGCTGTGGAGGAAGGTTCATGGTTTCTTGTCGAGCCCAAGCTTGTGGGCGATGTTCTGATCTTACCGGGATACGCATTCTCCCGAACTATGAATTTCTACGATGAGGCGATCACCGCCGCCCTCCCTCCTCCACTGGTCGAGCACCATTATGCAGGTAGTTGGAAAAACGACCAGGGTGGCGAACCTCCTTTTTAATTACTGGTAGCTGGTTCAATGCTTGGTTTGTGGTACGAAATTGGGCATCTTTAAATGAGTAGAGCCACAGCATACATTGCATACCGGGGAGTTTGTCTATGAGAAGGCGTTTTAGGTTAGAAATTATGTATATATTGGGTACGCTAGTAGAACGGTGTTTGGAAGACAGGACAGCCTTATGTAAAATTGATTTTGTACGGAAAACCTTTCTGGTACCCGTGGACGGCTAACTTAGACTGTATAACACGTTTTCCGAAATACCCTGGCCCAATTTAGCCGTTCTTCTTCCAGCCCACACGAGACCCATTTTCTCAAAGATTGTGGGCAAAGGAGGACCAGAATGAGGAAGAGTGGGTTATAGATAGAAGGAAAGTGCTTTTTCAAATCTTTATACCTTTTTTATCTTTAATTACTTAAGCTAGCTAAATTTTAAAGAACAAGTTTTAGAATTTACTTTATGAAAGTTGTTATTTATTTTATAAAAGTACTATAAGTAATTACTTATTATTTAAAATAAGTCTCTTTTTAAGCAAAAGTTTAGTATTAGCGTATGAATCAAACGCAATATTGAACCTTATGGCCGTGTTGTAGTTAGGCTTACATTGCGTTTGCAACCCTGTCGATGTCGCCACAAGCGCAGGACGAACAACCCACACAAGCCAGATAGTCAGATCTCCATCTCGTCCGAGCTCTTTCATCAGATCATCGCAAAAGAGCAGATTGCCAGTCAAATAGAGCAAAGGAAGACGAAATCCCTAATCTAGGCACAACATAGGGCGCAATGTATTAAGGCTGAGGGTGTACATACTGACAAATTTCAGTTTCATACGGCCTGTGAATCATCTTTCCCCCGACAGCCAACTTATGCAGGTCGGAATCTGTGGCTTGGCGAGAAATGGTGTGAAGCACGTATTTCCCCTCCACGCTGATAACATCGAAAATACAGTAGAGTACCCACATTGAGACACCATCCATGGCTCACTCTTGATATTAAATGATCCACAGATGCTCTGACTCCTCCTTATACCTCAGATCTGTATCCTGACGTACTTCGACAAGCAGCTCCCAGCTATACAAGCTCAACCTTTGTTTACGATGGGAGGCCCGATCGCTGAGCCCCTCCAGGTCGCTGAAAGTGCCGTAGTCAAAGAGCTGCAAGACGATGACATTGATGGCCAAGTCCGTGAGATTGATCCAAAGGAGGAGCGAGCATTTGTAAGTCCCCTCATTCCGGCAACGAACAATGATTAATTTTCTTGTGAAGGTATGGCGACTCGACCTGTTCTTTTTGACCATTGGCTTTCTGGGCTACATGTTCAAATATATCGATCAGACCAATATCGTACGGCTCACTTGAACCTAGTTGGTTGTCTTTGTTGTTTTGTTCCTTTTCTTCTCTACAAAATCTAATCAGACTCCCAGAGCAACGCTTATGTTTCAGGGATGCAAGAGGATCTCAAACTCTATGGCAATGAGTTGAACTACTTCACAACATTTTTTAAGTAAGCAGTTTATACTCGGACCTACTTGAAGTTTCATAGACTGATGTTGGACAGCATCGGATACATGATAATGCTGTGGCCTTCCTGCATTATCGTATCGCACATAGGGCCTTCGAAGTGGCTTCCAACCTGTGAGGTGAGCTTGATCATTCAAGAGCTGACGTCGTTCACGATTGTTTGGCTGTACTAAATTGCGCCAGGTTCTTTGGGGTATCTTCACGTGTTGTTTGTCTGTCGCACAGACATCGCATCAAGTGTATGGGTTACGTTTCCTGATAGGCTTTTTCGAGGGTACGACATGGCCAGCATATTACACCATAATCAGCCAATGGTACCTCCCTCACGAAGTCGGACTACGGATGAGCCTTTATAACATAGCTCAACCTGCTGGCGCCATGCTTTCTGGCGCCACACAAGGTGCCTTGGCCACCACTCTTCACGGTGCAGAAGGTCGTGCAGGCTGGCGCTGGGCCTTCATCATCAATGTAAAATTTCGTCCCTGGATATGGTCGTCGAAATCAAATTCGCTAACTATATAATCCGTTAGGGCGTTTGCACCATTGCCGTTGCGTTGGCCGCCTTCTTCCTCTTGCCGGGCTATGTATGCATTTTCTGAAGTTCCAATCGGTCTCCTGGTACTGACCGCCTACATGTGTACAGCCTGAGCGTCCAAATCCTCTTTCCCGATTTTACCTGAAGCCGCGCCACATAGAGATTGCTTTGGCCCGCGCACGCCGAGTCAGCCGCAAGCCGCAGATTGGGATCACCTTACAGGACTTCTTTCGTTGCTTCACATTCTGGCAGCTCTGGGCGTTTGGGATCGCTTGGCCACTCGCAGGCAACACGGTGCCATCCAACTTCTTCAACCTCTGGTTGAAATCATTGAAAAACCCAGACGGCACAAAAACCTATTCCGTTGCCATGCTCAATTACATTCCTATTGCTGGTCAAGCCGTGCAGCTCGTGGCTGAAGTCCTTTTCAGCGGTGCCAGCGACTACTTTCGCAAAAGACTGCCATTCTTGCTCCTCCATTCTGCGATCAACATCACTTCCCTCGTCATACTTATCATTAGTCCAGAGAGTCGAGCAACTCATTTTGCTGGATATTTCCTCAATTATGTTGGAGCGTATGTATTCCCCTGCACTTTTCCCCTATGCCGCTTTCCTACTACTCCCACAGACTAACAGCTAGCAAGTGTGTCCATGATCATTCTCATGGCGTGGGCTACCGAGAACTTGCAGCACGAGCCACAAGTTCGCACTATGCTCTTTGCTTCAGGTACGGTATTGGCATATGTCATGAGTGCCTTCATCCCCATCGCTGCCTTCCCAGCAGTTGAAGCTCCAAATTGGAGAATCGGGTCCAAACTCTATCTTGGCTTTTCGATCGCGGCTACAGTAATTTTCTTCGCGATTTATTACGGTCTCCGCTGGGAAGCTAGGAGGATGGCAAAGAGTGAGACTGATGACGAAGTGGCCGGCGCGTCCGACAACAATAATGAGGTGACGCGAATTGGAAATGGGGAGAAGGCTTTCGGATAAATGGAGGGCAGATATCCATAAGTAGGAGACAGATGTGAAGGTGAGGAACACATTTCACCAAGCAAGGACTTCGTTCGACAAATCCTCTACCTGGGTAGTACTTTACATAGGCTTTCAGCATGGACAATGAAAGCCGGAAGGTTGATGTTCCAGAGAGCCCGAGTAATGGACGTTGTTCGAATAGAGTTTTCTCCTATAATCATATCGATTTCAACACAGGCCGCACGTAGGACTGGCCATACAAGCTTATGCAAGGGAAAGGAAATCGACGGTGACCGACTTTGGTAGCAAAAGTTCGAGACTAATGAGTGTCCACTTAGGGTCAGCTTGAGGAAAGCCCGACGCATGTATCGAGCAATGTATAGGGAAGATAAATGCATAGATCACGGCGATCACTTGTTCCTAGTGCCATGCACTACGAATAATGAACGAGTCATAAGTATTTAAGTAGCAATCACATTTCTTTTGACATTCGTTTTGCACTTAACCCCGTCATGAGTTGTTTGGAATTTGTTTTTGATCTACACACTACTCAATGGGAACCATCGACGTATCGCTGAGAAGAGTAGCTAATAACCTCATCTAGACGCTGAGCAATCTAATAAACGAGCCACCCACACATACATCATGACCTGCCATCCCTGTGGCCAGAACTGCGCACCCACTCACTCCACAACTCCTCGATTTGGTTACCCGGACACGGCGACCGTGAAAAGCCTTCGGGCCCATTGAATATACGCAATGCGGCATTGCCCCCGGCGTCCAGGCCAAAAGCGGCTATAAAGGCACCCCCTATCACCACATTCTTATGGCGCTGATGAAGGCCACGGTAGAGATGGCAAAGCAAGGAGGAAAGCCTCCTTAGATTGATCTGAGTTCCCCGATTTTTCTCCCATAACTCCAAACTGCGCCGGAGATCACGATACTCGACAGATTCGATATAACCGTTAGCGTGACCGATGTGGACCAGGTTGCTTGTTCGGCCGAGCCACATTAAGGCCATGTCCGGAGAGTCTTCAGGCCCTTCTTTGTCTGAGATGTCTTCCGTCTGTATTGCGACGAGCTTTTTCTGAGTAACAAAGGGATCTTTGCTCTCTTCCCATTTCTTTGTAGATGTGGCATCGCGCTGTTTCTCCTGCCAACCAGCACGTCCATTTTCTCGACCTTGCATCTTGGATGACTGGTCTCCTGGAAGCGGCTCACGGGGTTGAACCCTGTGGGCTTGGTGATCCGACGGCCTCAAATCTCTGACGGTGGTTTGGTCTGAGCTCTGCACTACCGTCGTTGAGCCTCCGACATCAGTTTTGAAACTGGGAGGCGCTTGATTTGGTGGGTACGACCTCTTCGGTATTGGAATCATCGCTGAGGTGATACCTTGCGCGTGTGCCGATATCGACGGCTCTGGCTCTGAAGTGACAACCGAGGGCTGGGGAGACGCGTTCGTCGTGTATGCAGGGGCAGTGTCAGACAATTGGGTGCTTGTTTTCGACGACACGGCATTCGTGACCCGAGGCAGCGGCGCTGTGGGTACCATGGAAGTTTCAACTACACTAGGTCCGCTTTTAGACTTCTTGTTCATCGCCTTCCCAATGCTTTGTTCAGGCTGGCTGTCAAGACCTGGGACTTCTGGCTTGGTGGTCTGGTTGGACTTCTGCGGTGTGTCTGAAGCGGCAGCCGAATTGTGCCCGTCGACTTCCCCAGGTTCTGCAACAAGTTGTTCGATTGTGTCCCCATTAGGATCATACAAGGCGTGAGAAAGACATCGGACGACACAGTTCAGTGGTCCCATCTTGTACTGAAGTAGCCGAAAGTGACCTTTCATTCCGCCCAAGTTCATGCCGGTGAACCTGGTAAAAGCTGAGAAGCCCTTGTGATGACGGTTGCCAGGCAGGCCATGAGCAAATAAGTCAAGCACTGGCTGCTTATCATACTGAGCGCTGCGATCCTCAATAATCATTGTACCCCCGACGAGGAACAAATGCAAGCAGAAGTCCTCATTTGCCCTACCCGCAACGAAGTTGAAGAGCTTCTCCAGTGCGAGCTGACTTGTCAAGACATCGATATCATCCATGTTTCGCGTCGGTGACATTGAAGCAATGGCCAAGAGAGAATTCTCGTATTGGTACAATGGAACATCATGAGCCAGCTCCACATCCAGAGGCGACAGGCTTGCCTCGGGCAAGCGCATTCCCGGCTTGAAACGACGTAATAGAGGTGGCGCCCCTACAAATAATGTCAAATATAGTGTCTTTCCACGAGCAGGAGCTATAAAAGCAACTCACCCGGTGCCCGAACAAAGCATTCCCCAAAGAGTGTGAGGTCCCAATCATAGCTTGCACACTCTGTGAAATGGGCATATGAACCGATCGGAATGGTGCTAATCTCAATGTTCCTTGGCACGGTAGTCTGCAGTAGTTCGAAGTGCTCACGTAGTGTGTCGTGTCCGAGCGCGGGAGTTGTTGTTCTATTTGGCTGGTACTCACCCATTAGTCCGCTTGTCAGCTTCTGGAGGTCCTATCACGTACCATATTCCATTTGGGGATGCACTGCGGGATTTCCAAAGACATGGACGTCCTTCGGGACCCTGGTGGTTCTCGCACAGGCACTTGTGATGGTAGGGGTAGACGCGGGGTGAAAGGTTGCCCGTACATGATTACCTGCCCTTGCCGACATGGCCCAATTCCGTGCCCAGTCAGAATCAGGTTGTATTGATGCTGGTAAATAAACCAAAAGTCAGAAAAATATACTCCACATCCGCAACGGATGATCGTCGTTTGCCGTTGCCAATCCTAATGTGAGGCCATCGCTTTCGTCGAAGCTGGCTGTTGAGTTGCGCTCGGCCCACGGGTTCGTTGCCTCAAAGAAACTTGCAGGAGATAGCCAGTTGAGGGTCGACGATTGTTGAGTTTTGTTCGCCAGACTTGGGGTCATATAAATTGTCAAGCTATGCTCATCCTCAGGGCTACCACTGTTATTGGCTTGACAGGTCCTGGTCGTTATCGCTGTCACACCAGGTGCTAAAGCCACAGCGCAAGTTGACGAGTTCGAGAGAATGAAATTACTTTCCAACGTGTGAATCTTTCGTACCAATGGCCAAGCATTTCTCCCAAAGTATTGGTGCGTTCAACGATAATATGCGAATAGTGTGCCAGGAGAAATTGCAGTGCTGATGACTGCCCTGAGAATTTTGCAGGCGGCCCAGACGACCAAGCTGGTAGACCTCTTTCCTTTTACTTGCCAAGAAGAAGGAGCCCACAACACGATTATCACGGGGGACTGATGAGTAATGGAAGCAATAACCCAGCCTGACGGACCTTAACGCCTTAGCAAGAGCGATTCTCATTTGACTGCTTTGTCATCAATCGAATCTTCGTACGTTGACAATGTCTGACTGTGCTATTGTGAAGCCTCCGGGTAGCATAAGCAGATCGGTACTGTCATCATCAAGACAATGCTCACTTAATGATACCATCAGATCCCTTCCTTTTTTTCTTATCACACACAACAATCACCCGAGCCATATCATAACATCAACTTGATGTGCGGTAATATGGCAACGACACCATACCATTCTTTGCCAGTCAATTAGGTGCGAGCTTGACATATTTCGGCAATCAATCTCCTTGGAATGTGTCCGGGTGAGGTACCTAGGCATTGCACGCACTTGGACTTGGGTAGCCTCGTGCCATTAGACATCAAATAATAACATTTTCGCTATTTACAACAAGAATTGGTCAGCTTTTCTTGGGTCCAGAAAATTCTCGAATGCAATTTCGGAGATAACAGACTTGGATACTCTCGTGCGATGAGTCGGACACACGATTTAATTACGGGAGCGCTCATCTCGGACATGCTCAGAGGCCGACGACGTTGAACAATGGTGGCGGCTGTAGACCCCGTCCGGCGACTGCTCGGTCCCGAGGTCTGGCGTCCTACTAGTATCCATTAGGCTGGCGTGTTGTGGAGCGGTTGCTCCACAAGGGCTACACTCGTATCATCGCCTGACATGAATTACATTACTACTATGTTGACAAACACTAGATGTCACTCACGGAGTGTCGGGATATCTAAGTATCCTAATATCGGACGGGTGACATGGGAAAATTACATGGCGAAGCATCCCACCGTCAAGGAGTTCACAGGCATGGCTCGGTCATCCTGACATCAACGCAAACCAACGACGTAAATTCAAAGACAAAGACAGGTTAGAATGTTAGATCCAAATTTTCCCAAGTGTAAATAAGATTGATGTAGTGTGTCTAAGAAATACAAGGGCATAGAAAAGTCAGACTCATCAATCCAATATCCTTTGCACTGAGGAAGCAATTCTCAAGTTCAGCTTCTGTACAACAGTACGCCTAGTTGTCCGTGCTATTTCTCCATCTCTACCGGTTCAGCTATTTACAGAGAACTAACGTTCAACCTGTTACTTGCGCTCTACCCACTGGCTTTCTGTCTCCAACCAATCTCCGAATTTTTTCAGCTTAGGATGCTTTCTCCTAAGTGCCTCAATATCTGCCCCGCATCCTTCGTCATTGAACCACTGGAACATCGTTCCAAGCTCCTGTGAAGCCCACAAAATCCCTCTGTCGACAAATTCAAGCATTCGTGGTATGTCTTTCCCAACCTTCTCGTTGAAAATGGTATTGGCTTCCTCAAATGTCAATGAATCACCCGCCAAGGAGATGTCGCGACCTGAGTACTCTGTAGGGTTAAGGAAGGCTTGAGCGCCAAACCACCCAATATCAGTAGAAGATATCAGCTGCAAAGGCTTATCTTTCACGACCATCTTCCAGCTGGTGGCCATTACCTTGCCGAGAAAGCCGGGTACAAGCGTCTGCTCCACAAATCAGCTGCCCGAAGTAGATCTCAGAAACAATGGCAACACGAAAAGAGTGACATACGTCCATGAACGTGCAGGGCCGGAGAATGGTCCATTCCATTTTGCCCTTTGATTGCTCGACAAGATGGTGCTCAATGTCGTGCTTGCTAATGAAGTGGGGGATGTTTGACTTGGTCTCGTACGATTTGTCCTCCCCGCCACGGTCGACAGAGGAATAGACAAAGAATTTGACACGGTTGGCTAGGGCACCATCGACCATCGCTTTGCCTTGAGTGATCTCCGCGTCAATGGAACTAGTCATTGGATTCTAGAGCACGACCTTGGTAAGCAAATGATTGATGGCTTCAGGCATGTGGTTGAGATTACTTGAACACTGTAGACGCCCCAGATATCGGGGGCATCTTTTCCAAGCAGGCTCTTGGCGGTTGAGAATATTCCAGGAACATCATTGAGATCGCCCTTCACAATTTTGACGCCGCGTTCCTGAAGGGACTTTGCTGATCCCGTCGAGGGGTTCCGAGTGACAGCAAGGAGCTCATGAGTGTCCGTGGCGCCTGCGTCGAGCAACGCTCTGATTAGAGCGCCACCCTGGCTGCCCGTGGCACCGATAATGAGAATTGCCCTCTTGGTTGGAACCATGTTGATCTCTGGTTGTATGAGCGCGACTGGGTGGATGAAAAGTCGACACAGATGTGCGCGCGACACGTTATTTTGCTAGGAGAAAGAATTTTAAATCAAACAGGTGATCAATACGGACAATGGTATGTATGCGAGCGAGTACTGTTTTCATGAGCGATAAGTGTCGGACTCCGGTGTAGGCCGAATAGCAGATCCGGATGTCGTCGGAGGCCGTGTGTGCCACAAACGCACCACCAGCGGACTAACGCTGTGTGGAAGTTGCACCAAGGCAAGTAGATTAAATAATAAAAGGGAGGCCTGCGACACTCGTCGAATGAATATAAATAATATTTCTGTGATTAATGAGAGCAACAGAGCCACACACACCCACATCATGCCTTCAAAGACAGTTGTTCTGATTACAGGCGCCAATAGCGGCATTGGCTATGAAGCCGCGAAAGCTTTGTTGCAGTCGAAAAAATCGTACCATGTCTTGTTGGGCGCAAGGTCACGCGAGAAGGGCGAGGCCGCAACCGACCAGCTGCAAAAGGAAATTTTTGTTTCGCCCAGCAGTATCGAGTTTGTTCAGGTTGACATCCTGAGCAATGAATCCATTCGCGAGGCTTTCCAGACCGTCGAAGCGAAGTACGGTGTCCTGGACGTTCTCATCAACAACGCCGGTACGTTTCTGAACACTCTTCTATTGACATCATTTAATATGAGAAAATAGGTGTTGCTCTCGACTTTGTGTCCCAGAATGGCGATGACGACGACGAGCTTCGTGTTGTTCGCGATGCCTTCGACAATAGTTACCGCACCAACGCCACTGGAAGCCACGTCATGACACATGCCTTCGCACCGCTCCTTGTGAAATCGACCGATCCCCGTCTCCTCTTTGTTACCAGCGGCCTCGCCACTCTCGCAAGCACAAGAGAGAACGGCCTTCAGCCCCACATGAAAACGCCAAACGTCCCAGCTGGTTGGCCCAAGCCGTCGCTGGCAAAGGCGCAGGGAGCGTACCGATCAAGTTGAATATGGTCATGTTAACCTGGAGTTGCCTTTTGGAAGAGGACGGTGTCAAGGCCTGGTCTATCACACCCGGTTTTTTGGCAACAGGTATACTCGGAAATGAGAGCATGATGAAGGATTTGGGCGCTGGCGACCCATCACTAGGTGGTGAATTTATTAGAGATGTCGTAGAAGGAGCACGGGACGCTGATGCAGCGAGAGTGATTCACCGCAATGGTGTTCAGGAGTGGTAAATTTAGGGTGACGTTGTCGTTCTCGAACGTGACCACATTAAATGAGGCTCGTAAGGTAGAAACGCAGAGGATGTCAATCTCGCCAACTTCGAGAATCCCGAAATTTTAGGGGGCGGAGATCTTTCGCTTATTATTCTTTTGCCTTCTCGCTTTTCTTGACAAGTTCGTCGTCGCCACGGTGCTGAAGTTTCAAATACCGGTCCGCACACTTGTCAGGTCACCCGGGCAAGCCAGCCTTCACCGGGACATTCCTCGCCTTCCTCACGTTCGCTCCAGTATCTGTTCTCACACTCTCTGTTCTTATCACGCCATGCGTGACTCAGACCATTTTGGGACCTGATCTCTGCAGAAGAAGCCCGCTTTGGTGCTTGAAACGTCCTCGCTCCTCTTATTTGGCGCTGGATTTCGTGTCGGCGTAAATTTCACCCCAGCCCGACTGGCATCTGCCCCAGCCTGGTATCACCACAAGACATGCCACCACATTTCAACTTCATTCTTGAAATCTGCGTTGTATATACCTATCCCTTGCTCTGCTTCGATTGAGCTTTTACGTCCCTGACAGTGCTACTGACCCAGGTCATTATTCCATTGGGTTCGACCTGAACCATACCTAACTTTGTCAACTCTGGCTCCAGATCTTCCACGGTGTATCATGATACACATTGTCGCCGGTCCGATCTGCTCTGCTCATTTGAGAGACCGGGGTGAAAGATGGCTCAACCACAAGGAGACTAATATTGATGTCGAAATATACCGTTGTATGTTATGAGACTGTATCACACTCATACCAGGCTAACACTGAACGGAGCGCAACTTCGTTGTAAGACTCGTTAAATTTGATACACAGAACACCTGATTTCTCGTGATTCTGAATTCCTCAACGGCGGATACCATTAGTTCCCCCATTCTTTATCACATAAAACAACCACTTCAGCCGTCCCGCAACATTAGCACAATGTGCGGTAATGTGAGGGGGGCACGAGTCAGCCCGCGTTTAATGTGTCGTTCTGCTGCAGCGGCAACTCTTTGAGTGCAATCTTCTCCAGCTTGGCCATTGTCTTGTTCCCGGACTTAGCTTCATTGTTTCAATCTCGATGATAATGTCTTTCTGGCATTCAAGACCAACTGATAGCAATTGTATCCGCATCAATTTTCGCTTATAAATCGCACAATCCTTGTAGCAGAGACCATCCTTATCCCCACCAGACTGCGCAAGGAAATACAAAAGTTCAAGAACACATCAAGACGCAGTCATCAACAAGTCACCAGTCGTTGCCCATCAAAATGGGTAACGTCGTATCCAATCGTTCGGCTACTAACCCACGTGGCTCGAGCGGGAAACAATATCTTGGCTCCTCGCGCTTGCCAATTGAGGTCCAAGACATGATCACCGCGTTCCTCTGCCCGTCCTGTTCCGTTCATAACCACGAAATTCCATCCGCGAAACATGCGAGAGAACTTCAGCGTTCCTTAGGCCAGCTAGCAGCAACTTCTAAGCAGTTGCTTAACGTCGCGAACCAGCACCGTTTCCATGCATTTGTAATGTCTCCTAGTTCCGGGTTCTCGGCGCGCCACCTGTTGAACGACGAATTTGGTGGATTTGATGGAGAGATTGGTTGGGCTCGACGGCTCAACAATGAAGCCCTTCCCGAAATGATGGAGCGTCTCATCAACTACGGTCAGCTGAGGCAGCATCTGCGCTTCCTCTCCATTTGTGAGTTTTCGCTCAAATACAAGGCTGGTGTAAACAAGAGAAGGCTGGGTCTTTTTATTACGGCAAGTTTGAACTCTGGAATACCAGTCCCAGCCTTTGTCCCGGGACTACTGAATCTACCTGATCAAAACAGGGCAAGTCTAGTAAGCAACCAAACTTCTTTCTGGCTTGATGGTGAGCTCTGGCTCCTGGAAGACGCGCTCGGTCTCCCTCAGAGCTTTGTGTTTGATGCCTGGATGATACAACTGCTACTGTTTGGGCTGACGCCTAAATTGAGGAAGCTCCTCATCGATCCATTGATCGTCCAAGAAGTTTTCTTGACGCAGCAAGCTCCCATAGCCCGAATTCCTTCAGTTACGACGTTGGCCGTTGCTGAAGGGGAGCAAGACCCAGGCAGGATTCTGAATTTTCCCGTCCACTTTCAAATGGAAGCTCTACTGCTCAGTTTTCCAAATCTGCAATCGTTCCAGTCTGAAGACTGGGCCCTTTCCTGGAGCACTTTCCGCCGAGCCCCCGCATACGCTGCAGCCCCGCCCTTTTTTCCCAATCTCCGGAATCTCGTGCTGGCAGCGATTCAGCCTGGGCGCCTACACCACGTCTCACAGGTCCTTCCAGAGTTCTCAAACCTCGAGGAGCTCTATTACTACCGCCGAACATCATATCTTGTTGGTCAAAATGACCCCGATTTCTCGAACGCCGGCGTTTTCCAAGGTGTGAAGCACTGCCTTCGTAAACTGACTTACACTAGCGCTCTGGTCGAGCAACATCCAGGCGATGACGACCATCTCATCAATATATACTGCTACGAAGAACAGCGATTTTCAGATGTGCCGCATTTCGGCGACTTTGCCGTCTTGGAGGACTTGAAAATCGATCAAGGTCTGCTTGGACGCATGTCCACAGTGAGGGACCGTATCGATTCACAATACGGCCCTTACTTTCCCGAGTTGGACTGGAAGTTGCCGCAATCGCTTCGTCGTCTGACTGTCCAATTCGTCTACGATTGGCCCAGACTGGCAGCGCAACTGATACCCCTCGCAGATGCAAAGGTCCGTGGCCAATTTCCATTTCTGAGCGACATTTATATTGTCATGGTTCGAAATTGCACACTTACTTACGCAACGCCGTGGCAGCCTCACATACCTTTGCTTCCTTCCGATCGAATGACACGTACGACCGGCCAATTAATGGAAGGAGCTGGCATCATGCTGTGGGCGAGCGCTGGCCCGATAGGGCCGCCCTCTCGTGAGTTGTTAGATTATACACAGGTAGTGGTTCCACCCCGTCAGCCCATCGTTTTTGATGTCCGACGAAGGGTTTTCAACGAGTTTTGAACGAAGTCTTTCAGTTAGTAGTTTATTGTTTCCCACAAAATCAATCTGTTTTCTTTTCTCAGCCATCTTATCATTTTAGAATTTGTTTCACAGGCAAACAACAAGTAGTCACTAGTGATAAAAGGAATAGTGTGAATACTGTCGCATCGTCCCCCAGCTTCCATTTGTGGCTGTCTATGAGACTGTACGCCTCAATGATCAAAAGCATGCAGTGTGCGCCTGACTACACCTATGACTTTCGCAGCCCGAGAATCTTCTCGATTGCAATTTGCAAATTCCTCTTAGGACTAAGCCAACCCTGAAGAAAGTCGGTAACCTAAGAGCATGCAGCTGATACAGCTGCAGATCATCTCAAATATTCTCTGCCAATGTGCCATCTATGGACTGTTGTCCCTTCAGCTTGTCGGGTTGCTTTCCTCCATCGCCGCTGCCGCTCACAACGCAAAAGAGTAGTCCTCCATCATTTCTTCGCATCTGATTGTGCGGCGACCCACGTCCATGGGTAGGTCGTTTCCGAAGTCGTTGCCCGGCTGAGACACCCAGGGATATCGAGTGACGAATCTACCACCCATGTGAAAATCAATCTCTAGGGCCAAGCGGTTGACTCTGGACCAGAGATGTCGGAGTCGCTCCATTGTCGCCGCAGCAGCTCGCATGCCTTCCACTCCCTGTACTGCGATGTCAACCTTGTTGACACATGAACCCTCGCTGATGATCTTGCAAGGGTGAGCGCGACATCCCGTCTTCGTCTCATAGGTGTGACGGCCGGCATGCCCGCAGCATCCTGGGTCGTTGAGTTGGAAGAAGTAGACGCTGAGCGTTTGGAGGCCGGTGAAGAGTCTTGGAAGGAAATGCTCGATTGTACCGAATGTCTTGTAGTAGCCTCTGAACATGAAGGCAATGGCGAGAGGGTGACGCGCGTCGCGTGGGTTGTTGGCTTCTTCCTTGTGGTACGTGACGTCGTAGGCCATGTCAGCAGCCTGAGTCGCGTCCAAGGCGACGTGTCCGATGTTTTCGAGGCCGGTCATATCGTCGAAAATGGAGGTGTATGGTTCATGCTCCCAGGTGTGATCAATGACGAGCACGTCTTTCTTCTTGTTCCACCACAAGCCACCCTCGCCCGGGTTGCCAAAGGCGAAGCCACCGTGCAGAGAAAGGAAGTCTCTCGAATCACGACAGATCTTTGCCAACAGAGGATGGCTGGGAGAAGCGCAGCCTGGGCAAGGCTCGAGGTAGAATTGCGGTCGTGACGTCACGCCTCTTGCCCAGTCCTCGTCAGTGGCTATGTCTCGCTTCTTGGCCAGCAGCACCTTCGGTTCAGGGAGGAGGAGCTCCCAAATCGTCCAACGGAGCTCTATGGGCAGCTTGAGCAGAGTCAGACCGTTTGAGGTAGTACTGGCTGGCGAGCTTGCCATCTCGGTGCTGTGGCGGCTGTGAGGAAGAGTATGAGGTTGATCTATGGAGATGGTTTGATCAACGGCGAAGGACTGGTGGGCGTGAAGAGACTGGTTGATGGAGACGGACTGGTCAACGGTGGTGTTGCAATCCATGATCGGGGTGATTCTGAGAAGTGAAGTGCTGAAGAATTTTGTCTCGTATGTTTCGAGTCTGTCTGTGGGTGAAAGTCTGGTGGTGATGATCAGTATTTGGACAGGTTTGAGTTTCAGTGCTGAAATTCGAGAAGCTTGATTCCACTGACTGATTACTGCGACTCTTAAAATAAGTCTTTGACTGCTTCTGTAGTGGACAGATTGTTGTTGCGAGGGAAAGGCGACAGTCGCAGAACCTCGGTATTGACACTTTCGGGTTGTGTCCGCGAGGAATTCACTCAGATTGCTTTGCTGGCCTGTGAGATTCGATTAGCTTCCCGCAAAGGCCACGTTGGAGGTTGCCTACAAGAAAGAAGCTCTGCTGTCACGCTGTAGGCCGACTCGCGAGAAGGAGAAGCACTGGTGTAGGAGATGCTGATGATGGCAAACTCAGCGGGAAGAAGACGACGCTGCTGATCGCAGTGTCCAAGGTGTATGTGTATTGACGACAACGAAGGAGAAGGCGATCAAGAGTGGTTGTATGACTGTAAATTGACAACGAAAGGTTAAGGAAGGAAGTTCAGTCAGATGGTTGTCGGGTTGGAAAGTTGGAAAGATTGATTGAAGGGGGGAAGTTGGGTCTTTATATAAGACTTCAGGCGCTCAGCTTGCCCGTGACTTGCCTGCCCCCCGTCTAGCTGCCGGTCAAGTGACCCAGAGCTATGGCCAGGCCCCACTGTCGACGATGTGAAGCTGGCCAAGTTCCGCTTTGGGATATCTCGACATTCACTTTGGAGGAGCTGACAGGGGTTGGCTTACATAAGCTCACCAACCTCCCAGCCTTGATTGGTCTGGGGGTGGGGGGGGGGGTGGTGAAACTGAGGTGCCAAGGTATTGCCTCGCTATTTGTACGATACGTGAGCATGTGAATACCATACTGGCATCCCCGAATGTCTTACGTAGCAATAAGTAAGTGAATTTACGCATGGAGCTTGCTTGGAAGAAATTGTTCGTACGTGCGCCAAAGACTTTGGCTAACAAAACATAATCGATTTACAGCAAATACTCTGATACAATACTGAAGGCTTGGAAATACGTATTCTGAAGTCAAGGAGATCAACAGAGTGATTGAACGGCGTTACGAATGTTTCCTCTGGGCCATTGCAAAAGCGCAAGCACTTCTTATCAAGCACACCCGGGGTGAGGTAATTACATACACACTTGACGATTTCTAGCAGGATGGTTTTGAGCGGTGGAAATCTAGTGCAAAGCTGAGGGTCATGGGTTTGTTGAAGAGCGTTTCCTGTTGGTCAAGCTTTCAACAATGAACTTCGACAGAACAAACGAGCGGCAACCCCAGTCAGAGTCTCTGCAACAGTGATGTTGCGCTCTTTATACTTCTGTCAATTGCACCTACAAACACCAAAGCTACCTCTCGCTTCCATGTTACAAACGACTGCAGACCTTCTAGCTTGTTTCTCTCAACCCTGCCTGGCAACTTTGCACCTGACTTTGCCAGCATCGTCTAGCGGTCGCTCGTCGTCGGGTATTCTCTATTCGCATCGCAGTCAAGCGCGAACAGCACGTCTGTCCTCCCTCCAAGCTGCCCTAGCAGTCCGCTTGGCTTCTTTTCTCTCTTTCCAAGCTTCTAATTTCATGGCCCTCTCTGTTCTCCTAGCGTCTCGTTTCATTTGTCTGTTAGTAGCTAGACACTTGACCTTCTCTTGAACCTTTATGAGGTCTTTGGGGGGCCCAGCTAGCACCATGTCTCGACTGGTCTTATCACTCAAGCGGGGAGCATCAACATCCGACAGAGAAAGGCCCGCGATCTTGATCTCAGACTCTGTCTCCTCAAAGGCGATCATGGAGCCATGTGCTCTGGTCTTGTCTCGGTGCTCAATGGTGGCCCGATATGTCGGCGGTGGCTCCTGTCCATCTATTTCGTGGACCATCACAACTGTGGTATTCGTCCTGTGTTCGCTAACCAGCGGTGTACCATGATTTACGGATAGATCCCTGAGCAAGCGTCAGCGATCATTATGCATAGATGAGTTGTGATCTGGCCGTTGCAACTTACTGCAAATGGTCTCCGTCGAATAGCCGAACGTTATGCAATAAGAGGCCCAATGTCAACTTCAGCGAATCTAGAGAAGCCTGTTTTGCCGCAATTTTGGGCTTGTCAAATAACCACTTTGCTTTCTGCTTCAGTTGTGCCGTGTCTCCACGTCCGCCATCGTCCTTCAGCGATGCCAAATTCTGATTTAAATCTTCGATCTCATGTCTGCACAATTCCACGACCTCGGCAAGAACCTCTCTCGTATCTCCATTGAGACTACGAGAGGAGTCTTTGCCACTCAACAGCTTGGCCTCGATGTCTCTCAGGATGATCGCCACGGCCTTGGTGTCGACAGCAATGCCCTTGATCTGTGCACCCGCCGTGCCGAGGTCGTCTGCGACCGTGGAGATTTTTCTTGCTACGTGGAACCCGGCAGCAGCAAGAGTGGCGATGGAAGAGACCAAACCCACTAACTCAGCCATTTTCGATGCTTCTGATGGGCTGCAATTTGGAAAACTGAGGTGTATGGGGATGGTCTCCTGGCTGGACGTCAAGACAATCCGGCCAGCGCGAGCTACATATGGTTCCTGGACTGGGCAGCACTATCACGCACGCAAATCGGATCTCATGTTCCTGCCGAGGCGAACTTAACTCTATCGGCTTGGTAGCCGATGTTTCAAGACATATGAGCACCAACCCCGGCGACCTATGAAACAAGCCAATCGACAAGTTCGAGCGGGCCGAGCCTGGGGTGCCTTGCGAACAAAACGTGACTGCAAACCAATGGACCTGATGGGATCGTAGCATGGTCTTGCCTCGGCACGTGTGATTCAGTTCACAGAGGAGCAATATTATGCATAGATGTGACACAGCAACGTGTTTCTGGTGAGGCAAATAGCACGCAGTATTATAGTGTCAGCTCACTAGACATGGCAGCTTCATATTCTGACTGGTGCCATTTTGCTTTCCGTCGCTGGTCCGGACACTACTTCCAAACTTGTGCGGCGAGGCTTCAGCGAGTCTTGCAAATTCGAAATTGTCCGGCTCAGAGCCACATCCTACCTGGGCACTGAGGCGGCTCGAAAATAACACAAGTGACAATCAGAGGCTGGGCCGCTATCGGACTTCACGCAGATTCGATTGCATCCCTGTGATGAGCATGCTGCGCCCCAGCTGTAGCGTTTCCGTATCACTGCATACCAGATTGGCCTCGGATCAGCACTTCTCGCAGATAGGAATTCAATTTCAAAGATTCCGTGTGAGCACAAGCGTTGAGAAACATTATTGAATTTGTGAGGGGAAATATGGTGGGATTGGCCGGTATTTAAACCGAATTTATAGGCAGCTCAACTTGTGGCAGACATCAACTATGGATACAACAATTCCATGCGTTGATAATACCGCGACAAGTACGAATATCGATAACCAAGGTAGACGTTGATTTGACGGCTTTCCATTTGTCAATTCGTCTCTCACGTGTAGGTCTCATTACTAATAGGCACAATGTCACCCGGCGGAAGTAGTCGCCCTGGTGTCGGTGGAGCTCGGTTGCAGAGAAGTGGCGATCCTCTCCAGCTCAACGTCATCGGTCTTAAACGGCGTCTTTTCGGTGCAACCGGGCGGCCGCCGGGCTAGAGCGACTGAGCAGTGAGGTATCGAGGGACTGAGCGCCTGCAGGACAGCTACAGTGCTTACCCATCTCCCTTAGGACCACAATTTCTCCAGAACGATAGCCGAAGAATGACGTTACTGAAGATACAACATCCGGGGTGCGTCCCGCGCCGGCTGCTGGGTGACAAAAACCGCCGGTTCGTGATCTGCCCCAAACAAGCCGCAATCTCCATCTTGGCAAAATCTCTATAACACCGATGACCTTGCTCCTGAACCCTTTTCCCTACTGCCAAGAGCACCAAGCTTTCTGGTTGCATACAACTGCCGTGAGATTTGCGACTAGCAGCCATGGACGTGCATCACCATGGGCTCGAACATTCTGATCCTGCGAGACTGGAAAAGCAGATAGACTCGGACCGGGCATCGACAGCACCCTCGCTTCGCCATACCGACGCTCCCTCGGGCGGAATACACGAGACGATATCAAATGACCGCAAATTCTTGTCAGAAGACGAGGCACTACAATATGCAAGAAGATACCCAGACAATGAGCAGCCTGTCTACCTCACCTACTCCTTCGACGACAAGGACAATCCGCGAAACTGGCCAAAATGGAAGAAATGGTACATCACATGCTTCGTCAGCATGCTCAATGTCCTTACGTAGGTTCTTATGCCAAACATGTGCCAGCATGCCAGATCTTCACTAACTTCAAGGAATCAATAGCTGCCTTTGTGCCGGCGGGTACAGCTCGGGCACAGAACAGCTAACAAGCACCTTCAATGTCTCCTCTGAGGTTGGCACGGTCGGGCTGTCAATGTACATTCTAGGCTTCGCAGTGGGACCGCTCATGCTTGCACCAATGTCCGAGTACTTTGGTCGCAACCCTGTCTACATGATTTCATGGCTGCTGCTGGTCATTTTCCAGATCCCTCTGGCACTGGCGCCCAATATAGCCACGGTCATCGTCTGCCGTCTGCTGCAAGGCTTCTTCGGCAGCGCACCCTTGACTGTAAGACGTTGTCTATCCCTGTCACAATTTCCTGAGACATTGTGACAAGCAACTGATGGTGAACTCTGTAGAATACGGGCGGCACTGTCAGTGACCTGTGGGCAAGGGACGAATGTGGCCCTGCAATGGCTATTTACGGTCTCTCGAGCACCGGAGGCCCACCGCTGGCTTTGGTCATCAGCGGCTATATCGCCCTGAACCTGGGTTGGAGGTGGCTGTTCTGGGTCTACATGGCAATTCTCGGCGGCTTCTGGGTCCTTCTCGTTATCACAATTCCCGAAACACGCCACAAAATTATCCTCGACAAAAAGACCAAACGTCTTCGCAAGCTCCTGCAGTCTGAAGGCCTTGCTGCCGCTAAAACCATAAGAGATGCGAATTCCGACGAAAAGAAGGGGCTGAGCACGCTGTTTGCCGTCACACTCACCCGGCCTTTCAGGTTCTTGTTTACTGAACCGTAAGTGTTGCGATACTTTTCTACCTACTCCCATTCAAATTCGATGAGCAGAACGCTGACTTGACAGAATCACAATGGCGGCCGCGATCTACAACGGCTTTATCTACGGAATCGTCTACCTCTTCAACGAAGCCTTTCCCTTAGTATTCGGGCCTGGCGGTCACGACTTCAACACAGGCGAGTGGGGCGCAGCTTTCGTCGGCCTATTGATCGGCAGCATTGTCGCCGCGGCGCTGCACCCATTTCAAGAACGTTATTACCTGCGACAAGTCGCTCGCAACGACGGCAAAGGTGTACCAGAGGCCAGGATGCATCTCGCTCGCTTCGGGACCTTCTTGTTGCCCATCTCGCTGTTCTGGTTCGCTTGGACGAGCTTCCCTAGCGTGCACTGGGTCGTCCCAATAATCGCTAGCGCGCTCTTTGGGGCTGGCATATACATCATCATCCTGGCTGTGCTCAATTATGTGGTGGACTCGTACCAGGGGTACTCAGCATCTGCGCTTGCTGGAGTCATTCTGATAAGGAACCTGGTCGGAGCTGGCTTTCCCCTGTTCGGAGCGCAGATGTATGAGTATCTAGGCTTGGAGTGGGCGAGCAGCTTGCTTGCGTTCTTGAGTCTGCCTCTGTGTGCGATTCCATTTATGTTCTTCTATAAAGGAGAATATTTGCGGCTCAAGAGTCCATGGGCCAGGTATGTTTAATTTCTGTCCACCCTAAATCTATCAGCCGTGACTGACAGAAAGCACAGAGAGCATTTTGCGCAGGATGAGGACAAGCCTCATTGAGCCATGAGTTCAAATACCAAAGATTCATTGGAGGAGATACAGTTTGCAAAGTTCCACAGAAGTTTGCTTTACTTAGCTACGGGAATACCACAAATGACGTTGCATTGGGCTTGCCTCAGCTTGTTGTTTCTGCGTAGCCACTTTCTCATGCATGCTGGACTCACTCTCAAACAGTCTTTCCTGAACCACAACCTCAAAGGAAAACCTTCCTGGGCTCATTACTCCAAAATTTCCTTGCATTGAAAATTTGTGGCCTTTGAGGAAATCGGAATACTCCTGAGCTCAAACCCCTGGCTTTTGCAAACAGCGCATCACTTTGCTGCTTCCAGTGAATGGCTGCCGCAGATAAAGCTTATAACATGTGGATGTGACATTTGAATTATCCCACCTCTGGGGCACGGACGTCACTGCATTTGATATGGTGACTAGGTGCCACTTCCAGTGACGAGACTGCAAAATTGTGCACCTGCAAACACTGACAGGAGCTGCCCTTGCTACCTTCACTTTGTTCGTTCCCTCAGTGCAGCAGGGCTGTCCATTGGGCTCCATCTCGCCCCATTCTGCTTTGAGAAATTCAAACTTATATATTCCACCTCAACTTCTTCATCACTTCAACCCTTACACATCGCCGAAGACTTCAGGTCTGGGCAATTTCTGCCAAGCAAACTCAAGATGGCTTCCGACAATCAGCTCAGCAGCCCTTTGGGTGATGTTTTTAAGCTCTTGATTCAAGACCAGGTCTCTCAATTTCTGCGAACAGCCGATGAACCTTTGGATTATTCCCCGACTGACCTGGCCGACTGGCTTCCGACCCTGCTGGCTAGTGGGCGCACACAGAAGGATGTCTACCGAGAAATTGCTCGTTCAGCTGTCGTGGTTGGCCACTCTGCTACTGTCTCGGAGTTCTGCAGTTGGCTTTTTGCCACTTTTGGTGTTCTTTCTACTCAGTATGGCTCGCTCCAGGTTCACGAAACGGCAATGGTTGGCCATGGCAGGGCACCAGCAATGGCAATCAATGGCAATGATCGTAGGCGCACCGTCTGCCCTTGGTCGGTCTACCATCTGACCATTCTTGTTTGTTTAGTGACCGACCCAAACGTCCCCGCCCAGAATCCTGCTCAGAACTCTGACCTACTTCGTTTGCCAAACGAACTGTTTGATGCGATCCTCCGCATTTTGCATGTTCAAGACATCAACGACTTGCGATTGACATGTCGAGAAGGTCGACTGAAGACATTTGCATCTTGGTCACAATCGAGCTTCAGTACACGGCAATTCAGTAAGTCGTGATGACTAACCCAGTGAATTATTATGAGCTAACTGCCATTGCAGTGATGGACCACTACAGTCTCCTAACGCTGGTTGACATCTCTCGTCACCCGCAACTTTCCAAAGCCCTCACACATCTGATTATTGGTTGTGATGAGATAAATGCTCATGGCATTCTCACACGTTTCTTTCGACACTACCTCAATGATGGTTTAGCTCCAGAAGTCCTCCATCACTGGGGAGTTGCGGCGTCTGCCCAGCAAGCTCTACTCAATACTGGATCAGCCATCACCCTACTGTCCATGGCTATTTCAAACCTGCCCAACCTGAAAAATGTCAGCATTTGTGGATCCAGGGAGTTCCGCCGACTTCTCTCCCATACTCCCACCGTCCAAGATCCGGGCTTCATAAGAAGGAGCTACGGCTCCGCAGCCTACGAAGTCTATCCAAGAGATCGAGGCAGCACTAGTCCAAATTTGAAGGGCTTTGATGATCGAGTATTTAGTGCCGTCTTGCATTCCTTACTTCGCTGTGGGACCCAGGTCAGCAGTATCGAGACTAGGTCCAGCGAAGACAAGCAGCTTGTTCATCTGGGCGACGAAGCGTTCAATCTCCTTCCAAGCTTGAATTTGAATGCCCGTGCTGTCCTTGGTGGCCTTTCAAAATTGCACCTCGGCATAAGCCTTCGTTCGAATCTGTTCAGCACCCACGACTTAAACCACCACTTTCATGGTTACAGTCCATTTACGATCCGCCTCCGAAAGTTTCTTGGCTTCACGCGCAACTTACAGTGGCTCGCACTTGATTTTCAATTGTCGCCGAAATCCCAATCGCATTGTGGCCTCGCTGAATGGCTGTGCGAGCCCACGGGCCCTCCACACCGAAGTGCAGGCGAAGACGCTAGTCAGATAGGCAGCAACAACTCTTCCTTGATTCATGGCAATCCGGTGTCTATCACTCTGCCGTTCCTCCGTAGACTCGATCTCAACGGATTAAGCCTACCCCCAAGCAGCCTGCGAGCCATTTTCACCAAATTTGATGGACTCACATCGTCCACTCTGTGTGAGGTTTGCCTCACGCTGTGCCCTGTCGGCAGTGTGCCTACTTTGGGAGGCTCAGATGAGATAGAGAACCCTTGGGCAAGCTTCTTTCGCGACTCGTCCACTCTTCTTGCCAAGCTTCAAGTCCTTCGACTGAAGAACTTGGCGGTTCTCGGATTCCGATTCACGTCTGATGATGTGGTGACAACCAACAAGGAAGTTATTTTCTTTGTCCCGGACGAGGGTGTCACAAAGGGTCCACAGAGTTGCCCACCGCGTTCAATCACTGTAACCGATTTTGGAAAAGAGGCTCTGGAGAAGCTCGCTGAAAAGACATGGCTGGAGAAGACTTACAACCGACATCTCGAGAGGTCTGACGGTGATGAGGAGGCCTAGTTGGGAACAGAGCGACGGGCAGTAGTTGTCGGATCATTAAGCCCTGGCGAGGGCCACCACTTTATGTTCTAGTCCATAACGAGCGCATAGTGCATCTTGTGGGGCAGGAGTGGTGCCCAGAACACGCAGGGCGGAGCAATGTCTCGTTTCGTTCAGTCAAGAATCCGCTGGCCCCGTCGCATTATTGTGCAGTATCTAAATTCGAGGGGAATCGTGGGTCGCATGTTGTGATACCCAATCAATGATCTTGACCACCTGGATCCTGTTGGCAGTTGGTAAAAATGCAAGTCAACCAACAGACATCTTCCCAAACCCAGTCATGTTCGTAAGCGAGTCCGTGTTCCAAGCGGAATACCCCACATGTAGATGGATCGGTTAAGCACGCTCGAGAGCTAAGAAGTTTAGCCCACAATATCTAGGCCACACATTATTGTAGGAAAAGCATATCATTGAAGATTCAACCAAGCTCAGACAAAGTCTCACTAGCATTACTGAGTTCTTCACTTACATACTGATACAAGCTTACTCCAGTACCGATTTCCCCTTATTGGAGATTATCATGTTTGGGTCACGGAGCTAGACCAATGTTTTGTTAAGTCTTTTCCACGGTAGTGTCTCACTCCACAGTGAAGCGACCAATAAATATGGCAACATTTTCGGCCCACTATTTTTGGCTCTTGCCCTTCGAATAAGTATTGCCTCAATTCTTTGGCTCATATTGGTGACTTCTTTGCCTGTATTTGTACTATTGAAGGCCTGGGGTCAACCAGTGCCGCATTTTTCTCCTGGTCGACATCCGATACTATTTCATTCAAATCTGGAGCTTCGGGTCCCATGTGGGTTGAAAAACCAATCAATCTATTGAGAACTGGCATCGAATCCTACAGGTCCGCCAGTGGATCCCAGCTGGTCGAGGATGACCTGTGGTGTCTTCCCCTCTGGCCAAGCATCCCAACAGGACCCCTGGGCTAGCGCCGCATTCGCTAACGCAGGTCGAAGCCAACGATACTCTTTTGAAAATCGGGTGAACCTCGGCCAGTGGATAAGGAGTCACCTCACACTTAAGTTCTTGCCAAACAGGTATGCCCAAGATAAATTGAACGCATGTTTCTGGTCGGTCAGCCGATCTCGACAACTGCCTGCAGCGTTCCTTGCCTATCTGCAGCTCGCCTTACGCGCCGCAGTGCCGCATATAACTCCAACTCCTTTTGGTGTACTCCGTATACTTCCATCGAACATGCTAGCCACGGATATTTGGGACTACATTGTGGTTGGCGGTGGCCTCGCCGGCTCAGTGGTAGCAAACAGACTGTTGGCACTGAACAATGACGCGAAGATCCTCGTGATAGAAGCTGGCCCCGACGCAGAAAACCGATCGGATATTCTCTACGCAAACTCAACGAACCTTATTGGAGGTGACTTCGACTGGAACTACAATTCCGTCCCCCAGGAGAGTCTGAATAAACGCAAGATACAAAGCGCTGCGGGCAAAGCGTTGGGCGGTGGCTCAGTGATCAACACATGTACAATACCTGCCCTTCCTTGGTCTTTGATACCTCCAACCTTGGGGACCATAGGTTCTGACTGACTTCCGTTCAGGTGGCTGGATGCGTGGATCCAAGGTTGACTTCGAGGAGTGGGCTTCGCTAGCTAATGACTCACGCTGGGGCTACGACGGACTACTGCCTTATTTCAGGGGCACTGAGAGTTTCTGGAACAACAGCACAAACCCCAATCAGCACGGCTACGATGGCCCAATGAAGGTGGAAGTCCCAACCACGACTGGGCGGGTCTACCCGCTTCGAGATGCAGTATTCAACTCATATGAGGCTGTCGGAATCGAAGCACTCCCAGGTCTTGATGCAAACGCCGGTGATAATCTCGGCTTTGGCGAGATTGCTGAAAACCGGCGGAACGGCAAACGACAGATTGCATCAGAATACTATCCACTCAACGGAATTACTGTGCTGACGGAAAGTCTTGTAGAGAAGATACTCTTGGAAGATGTGGTCATTAATAACAAAAGCAGCAGCTCAGGTGGCAACAAGGTGGTCGCTACTGGAGTTCGTCTGGCGAACGGAACGGAGTTTAGAGGCAAAGAAATTATCTCGTCCGCTGGTTCATACCGCACACCGCAGCTCCTGATGCTCTCCGGCATTGGACCCGTCGAGGTTCTTTCTGAGTATGACATCGAACAGAACTTGGATCTTCCAGAGGTAGGGAAAGGCCTCGCCGATCATCTTTTCCTAACCACGGAATGGGAGCTGGCCCCGGAGTACAGAATGGACACTGTTGATTCTGGAAATCCTCTGTTCTCTGAAGCACAATATGGACTCGGCCAGCCGAACAATTTCGTGGCATCTTACGGTGTCAGCAATATACCAGGCCTCACTCAGGCGATCTCGAGTGATGAAGGTCAAGCACCCGATCCAGATACGCACTGGTTGCTTAAGGAGACAAGAACATTCTTCGAGGCCTTTGTTCTGTACACAAATTTCGACCCCACTCTTCCATCCAACAACAGCTATTTGACAGCTGCGAATGTTGGTCTACTTCCCACCTCTCGTGGCTCGGTCTCAATCAACTCGTCTGACCCCACAGTTTCGCCCGTAATCAACCCTAATTTCTTCGCCTCGGAAGTCGACCGTTTTGTGTGGCGAGACGGGCTCAGAAAGACGATCAAGATGATGGTGGGAGGCGCGTCGCCATTGAGTCAAGGCATCGTTGTGGGCGAAGCACCTCCTGCGGGTCTTCCAGCTCTCACGGTTGACTCGACTGATGATGAGATCGAAGCGCGCATTCGCGCCACAGCCATGTAAGTCATGGTGGCTACTATTCAAGTCTGCTTCCTGCCAAATCTCGGTTAGCTGACTCAACGGGTTTGTTACGCAGCGGTACTTACCATCCCGTCGGAACCTGCTCCATGGGCAAGGTCGTTGATAGCTCACTACGTGTTATTGGAGTGAACAACTTGCGTGTCGTCGATGCTTCTGTCATCCCTACTCCCATTACCGCTCACATCCAGTCCACTGTCTATGCTCTTGCTGAGCAGGCTGCTGATATCATCGCGGCTGTGAGGTAGCCGACTTGCAAACTTCTCGGGCGCTTGAGGAGCACCAAGACAGAATGTGGAGGAAGTAAATAGCCCTGCACCCACGTACGATAGGGGCGGTTGGACCTCCTCCACGGGAGAAAATCGACGAGCCACTTCGGGTATTGAGCCGAAGCGTGTCTTATTACAGCCGCAAACGCCATAAGACCTGTGACATCAAATATCATTTTTTGCCACTTAGTATTGTGCCAGTGATCTGTAAGCTAATTGAAGCTCGAGTAATGAACAAATTGTCCGCCACGGGGGGGACTTTTCCACCGTTGTGCTAGCCCAATTCCGCCCCTTCTGCACTGTGATCTGCTCGCCATCTCCACATCATCACATTCTGCGAGTCTGGACACACGACATCATATCGCAGGCATTGCTCCACTTGATGCGATCGTCATGGTGTGTATATACCGAAGCTTTCCCTTGACCATGCGAAACTCATGACTGTCCGGAGCGTTGCTCAAGTGCTGGAAGATGTTGATCACATCAATCGAACCAAATGAGTCATCGATAACGTAGCGCCTATTGATATTTGGGGCCTGCGAGTTATTGGTCGGTATCCCAGGCTTGCAGCTGTCGGTAGGAGATCCGTTGCCGGTGTACGCGGACCCCTCCAGCCGGGCACAAGGCGTGCCCCAGGGCACAGCTTCGATTGCGCTCTTATTACTCCACATATCCAAATAGGCATCCGCGGCGTTTTTGAGAGCCTCGCGGCTGTCTCGCTCGCTGGCCGGTATCATGCTCCAGTCCTCCTTCAAAACCCACTCGAGCGTCTTGCTGGCGTTGAAGAGCCAAGACCCCGTCGTAGAGACGACCGAGTCAACCAGATAGACGAGCATGTCGTTGTCCGGGTCGTGGCGAACCTGTGTTCCCACGACATGGGGAGACGCACGATCGGTCATGATCATTTCTGTATACGTAGCACACTCTGTGAGGTCCGTGGTGGTACGGTTGTGGTCTACGTGCAACTTCTTGCCAAGAACGCCGGTCGTGATCTCAATCGTTTTGTTATTCTCTATGTAGGTGAAATTGTTTGGGTTTGCGCCATCCAAGTTGCCGAGGGATCCATTGTTCTGCGCGTCAACCAGACCGTGGGCAAACTGTAGCATTCGCGTCTGGTTACACTCGGCACCAAATACAGTCAAGAAGAGGGTGCTGGCAACAATACAAGGCGGAAAGTGAACCATCGTGTCTGGTGGCCGCACGTTTGGGACTGGACTGGCAGTGTTTAGTGCGGATCTCTGGCGTCCCAGTTATTCTTCCCGTGGAGAAGACAAGAAGATTTTATAATTGAACGTTCAATCCACAACTCAGCTAGCAGTTCAAGTGCCGTCCCGGCTATATCCGAGCAAGACACAGTCCGGCAAAATGTAGATCTTTGAGAAGGCCCGGGTGATCTCAACAAATCACATTCTGAATGCTATTCGGCAACGGGCTGAACAATAAGGCAATATAGAGTTAGATTGCCTACAGAACCACAACAGATATTGCGATGCATGTATGTTTTTCCTTCGGCAACAGTTTATTTTCAATCATTGGAGTTATACAAAGGAACAAAGAATCGTATCGAACGGACTAGTCCATGATGGAAGATTGCAATTCGTCTTCTACACAGATTGGCCCACGAAATGTGATCGTTGTTCTTCATCCAAAGGACAATAGATAATTGGTTGTGTAACAAAAATTACGCTTATCGAGGACATGTGTGATCACTGCGAATGGAGAAGCAGTCTCACCAATGTCCCTATCAAACTTCAATTCATCCAGACGGCCATCCTTGCATTTCATCCCACTCTACAATACTATTCCTCGAACGCAGAAAGATACGCCGGTTACTCATCAGTTCCTGCCCCAAATGTAGTTTGTCTTCCCAGCCGAGGTTCTCTGGTCTGTTCACGTCGGCGCCTTTCTCAATCAGCAACCACACCGCGGCCTCCTTTCCCGCCGCCGCCGCCGCCATGAGCGCGCTGCGATGTTCCCCATACTCTAGGACCTGGTTCAACTCAGCTCCCTGTTTGATCAAGTACTCGATCTCCTCTAATCCTCCAAGGACTGCCGCCCCAACGAGCGGGCTGTGGTACCCACCATGAGGAACTTGGAGATTGACATTAGCCCCGCCTTTCTCGACGAGATAATGAACCATCTCGCGCCGTTTTTGGTTGTCATGTTCACTTATTTCGTCACCTTGTTCCCAAAACATATTGCTCCCGTAGGCTCGGGTGCCGGCGATGAGGGCACACCCATATACTCCATAATCAGAACAATAGTCAACATCAGCTCCGAACTTTTCAACGAGATCTTGTGTCCTCTTCATGTCTCCCCTGCTTACAAAGTACTCAAGCGCTGAACCAAAGGGATATGCGTCAGACGATGCCAACGGATATCGGAGAGAGGTATTGAAATTTATTCCCAAAGCCGCTAGGCGGTCGAGTGCAACATCGTAAAGTTCTCCATTGAAGTGAAAGTTTGACATTGCAGCACTTAGAATAGATCCGTATCTTCCAGTCATAATGGTCGCGTTGGGGTCAACACGTCGTTGGCCTAGATCAGCGTCCTCAAAGGTGTCGACTTGCTGGTCTAGATGGACGAGATACTCGAGGTAGTCCAGGTGCGCCACATGGGATGCAGCAGTGATCGCAGCGGTGCTTTGTTTTGCATTCGGAAAGACTTTATTCGGGTCCGCTCCACCCTCTTCAACCAGGACTTTCATTGCCCCGAAATATCCTGAGTCAATTGCAACAGCAAGAGGACTGGGTGGCCGATCCGAGGAGATGAGTTCCATCGTCAACTCTTGGTTGGGATCCGCACCTCGTCTCAAGAGTTCGCGAATTATTTCCGTGTTGTAATGCTCCGCTGCGACATATAAGGGGTTGTAGAAGTTGGATGGCCTATTTGGATCGCAACCATAATCCTCAATTAGCGCCTTGCAGAGATCGAGGTGATCTTCCTCACAAGCAAGCGATAAAGGAGACTGGGTACCGTTGGCCACGTCTTGGGCATCCATTCCGGCCTTTGAGATCAGCTCTTTAACAATCTCTGTATTACCGTGATAGCAGGCCCACTGGAGAAGATTCCAGCCCTTGTTCGTCTGCAATGTCAAATTCACCATTGGTTGCTCCAACGCGTTGTCTTTTTGGCCGCCAGCCTTATTGACGGGTAGTGCTTCCAACCAAGATTTGAATATATGGTTGAAGCCGAGCTCAATCACCCCAAAGGAAGCCACTGCATTCAATGCAAGAGTCTTTTTGTCCCAGAGAGAACCTCTGTTAGCGACCCATGAATGAAATTCTTCGCTGCTTTTGTTGGGCTGGCCGATAAATTGTCGAAGAAGACCGTCCAAGCTTTTTGCGGACACGAGAACATTTCGATGCTCCTCACGTGCAGTCTTTCCCGAGTGCCCACTTTCGCCATCCTTGGCAGTCATTGAGTCAACGACCAACTTAACGTGGGTGGGCCAGGTATCGGAACAGTAGTTGAACAAAGAATTCCGGATCGGCAATGAGGATGGTCTGTGACTGCTTGGTGATGGAGCTTCAGGACCACGACGGCAGTCTCTCCGCTCTCTGGAGGAAAGTGAAGATTGACTATCGAAATTATGATTTGTCAGGCCTGACTGAGCGCCTTTGGTGGTATTTTGCCTATGGCTCTCAATGCACACCATGAGACTAGCCGCTCCCACATGAGAATGTGCATCTGAGACGCCGAAGTGGTTTTCTTCCCAGTACTCGGACACCGATGCGTGGCAGAAGCGCCAGTACCTCTTTGATGGCCACATGTCCTGCGGCTCGTCCAAAAACAAGAAGTTGGCGCACAAATCGAGGAGAGTGTCTTCCTCAATGGTGTCAAGTTCAAAGTGGCCATCGATCACGGGCATTGACCCTGTAGAACCAGCCCAGTGACTTGCATTCTTCACCGCGTAACCGAGCGTCACGTCGATATAGGTGACCGGATCGATATGGACAGCCGACAGTATTTGGTCTGACGTGAGCGGATCATTGGCAGCGAGGACCCACATGATTGCCCTTCTGACAATCTTAGCAGCTGTAGAGTCTGTTTGCCCGACATTTTCAGCGTATATCTGGTCGTACATTTCCTTAAGATTGTCGGGCAGATTCTTGAGCGCCTTGTCAACATCACTCCCCAGAATGTACCCGTGCTGGACCACAGAGGTGATGTGGAGGTCTGCCAAGCGGAATCTGTCGATTTTATTAGGAGGGTATGAGTACAGTAGAGATCTTCAGAGCAGTCGAAACAATTTCTATGTGACAAAGACAGCCAGTCTGGCTAGGAACCTGACGACACTTACACAGATTTGCTTTTCTTGAGTATCTCTTTGATGACTTTTTTCTTCAGAGATGCCTGCCACTTGGTGGCCACGCGTTCATCGTTTTCGATTATGTGTTCAAGGAATCTTTGGATATCGTCGCCGTTGTTTTCTGCCGATATGATCACCTTGTCACGCCTTCGAAAAGCGTTCAGAATGTCACCCTCAGGACGTCCAGAGACAATGATGTTCAGAGGACGTCTGTTGCTTCTCTCCATGAGATCAGCGAGAAAGGTAACAAGAGCTTGTCTGCCCGTAAAACTGTCACCTTTGCAACATTCGTCGAGAGCATCGATGATGATCGTGGTTCTCGGATATTGTTCACTGATTGATTGAAGCTGCTCTTTGCAGTCTTCAAGGCTCAATGACCTTGCTTCTCTGTCACATTGCTTGCGCAACTTATGTAGAGCAGGAGACAAACGAATACTTTGTCCGTAAGGTCTTGACAACTGGCGGACAAGGCTACGTAGGCAAGACAGAGTCGTGTTTCTAGATGGTTCGTCGCGATTGAAAAAGAAGAACGCAAGACCTTCATGCTTAAGATGTTGGCGTGATGATCCTTCGAGGAAGTCCTGCTTATGCTTAATGATCCAGGAGGTCAGAAATGACTTGCCGGTTCCAACTACAGGGATAACGCATATTAGCTTGAGTCTTAGAAGATGATTTTGTGATGGTAACGGGAGCGACTGCTGACCTGTACCCTGTAACCAAATGAACGAACCAGTGGTCGAGCTCTCCCATTCTTGGAACCTTCTATGGCGCAGAATCCAGTTGCAAGTGAGAGGTGCCAGGCGGTTAAGTATCGACTTGAGATGATCCCCATACAATATGTCGCTCGTCCAATTAAGCAATTCATCCTCTTCCCTTGATTGCATCTTTCCAAGAACGTCTACTAGACGCTTGTCGATTTCGGCCATTGAGAACCCCCATTTTTCCAAGTATAAGTTCAGGAAGGCATCGCTACGAGAAGTTTTAGCAACTTGCGCAGCCAGCACGGCCTCTTCCAACTGCTTCCTCAAACTCGCGAAGTCCTTACTCTTTTGTATGATATCATCCGGTTTCCATACCGAAGAAGCGATAAAAGCGACAGGATTTTTATCCAGCAACTGAGCGGACATTGCCATGAGTTGAAGGGCGCATTTGTAAACGCCACGCAGGCATTCATGTAGAATCTTAAGCGGGTCGCGGGGTGTATTGGTCCTGTTGAGATATGTCTCGTATACACATCCTAGCGCAATCGCGTGCGAGACAAGATCCGCAATTTGAAAAAGTTCGTCCATCTGCTCCGCTGCTAATAGAGGGATTCGTAGCAGCCACCTGGCGATCGGCCAGACCTGCTGCGCCACAGCTGGGGTGAAGTTGATTGCGAAGTCGCCGGCCTGAGTTAGGTGCTCGATGATATTGTCGGCCGTTTTGTAAATAGTCGGCCGTTTTTCATGTTCTACCTGTTTCCTTCTCACCTCCTCTACGGCCTCACGGACAATCTTGCATAGGTCGTTGGGTTCATGGACAGTAGGCGTGTCTTCTGTGCCTATCAAGTTGAGGATATTCACTCGCTCTTTCACCTCGAGGTCGTACATAGCTTGCTGCCAGAGGTCATCTTGCTCATCTGGCTTTGCCCTGCCTAGCTCTTGCTGTACAATGGTTGCATTCGTTGGAATCATATGATAGTCGGCTTGGATCTCGCGGGTTTCTGCCCTGGATGATTGCTCGAGTTGGACGGCATGATCATCCTTGACTGATCTATGCTGCGTTGATCGGAAAACCCGATGACCGCCCTCCGGATTCGATTCATTGCATTCCTGTCGGTCAAATGGAGGTGCGTGGTTGACCTCAATGCTCTGTCTTGAACCAGGACCCGGCGGTGCGTCCCGACCCGACTGCTTGAGCTTTCCCCCTGTGCACTTCAGGAATGCTTTGAGTCGATGCATGGCTTGTAGTCTCGAGAATTGGAATTAGGACGCACAATTGCGTTTCAGACTTTGGAAGTGAGGGAATTTCCTGATATTACCTACAGAAAGCTCACGCGGAGATATCCCAAGGTTTATGGCGACGGACAGAATTCAACACGGTCAAGATCATCACATAATTTGCATATGAATGGTTGCGCCACTGCTGCCCCGAGGTGTCCAGACCAAACCAAAGCTATCTGCTCGAGACAACTGAGTGAGGCGATTGAATCGAATGACGTGCATCTTGCACTGGTCACCAGCCTGTGTTGCTGTACGTGGGACAGGGCAAGCTGCGCAAGTGAAACGTCCGTATGCATATGTGCAGATCCGTCGCAGCGTCAGCAAATGTGATTCAATATCTTGACGCTGTGGCGGCACACCTAGCCCATTTCGACACTTTCAACTTTAATTTGACTGAATCACAAAATCGCCGGTCAGCCCAGTACATGCAGCATTTGTTGCAGCTCCCGGTGGCTGCCATAGGGATCTCGATCAGCGGGCCGATTTGCATCCTTGATCGTCCGGCTGAGTCGGCACTGATGAGTCTTCAGCCCAGCCTGCATTCAGGCCCAATTTCTGCTATGCAGGTGCCAATCTTTTTACTTGGCTGGTGTAGACAAGATACTATGACATTCACCTTGTCAGTAACATGGGTGTGTGTTGCTTGCGGTTCCCACAGGGCACCACGGTCCTTCAGGGCCAGCGTCTTGTTTGCCCCAGGACGAGTTGTGACCACGGCACTGCCCACGAACTGCTTGCGACTGCTGGCCAAAATCATGATGAAAATGGCTTAGTGATTGGATTACGCTGTCGTTAATACCTCCATCTTAAAACAAATAGGAGAAGTCCGATTAATTACCTGGCCCCCCCCCCCCCTTCCCGGGTAAACAAAATTGACATAAGGTCCAAGTTCAACAATTATTTGGGACACTTATCCTCATGCTTGTCCTTGTGAAATTCATCGTGATGGGTCGTTCCGAGGGGGAGGGATTGGAGGTGGTGGCAACGACGTAACCAATCGGTGCAGCGCGAGAGATGGATAGGCGAAGCCCGTCCCCACCCCGTCCCCGGTGCCAATTATTTTGCAGATCTGTGTCTTGCCCTGACCACAGCTTGATCCCCGAAATCCATGCAGAAGGAATCACTGCAGATGCGGAACATGATGCCCTCCAAATTCTCAATGGGGGCGCCACAGTCACGCCGATAGTGCCGGCTCCAGCAACACTGACCGTATCGTCTAGAGACCGCTAAGACAGATCCGCCATATATCACCATATGCGCTCCCAGAGGATACCGGCGTGGTACGTCAGCATGCAGATATAAACAGCCATGGTGGTGTGAGAGCGTGTCCCGAATGGGCGACAAGACGTTTTTTGGGGGGGTGAGCAGAGATACATGGCACGAAGAGACCATCCATTTCACGGCTGTCATCGGGACTCGACGAAGCTATGCACTCAATTCAATTATGACTGACCCACATAGACAATCATATTTAGATGCAGCTGGCATACTTAATCAATCATGCTCGCGGTTCGTTTGTCATAGTTCACAGTGATCGTCTCCATCTTGACGATACCACCCGCCGCGCCGCCCGAGATCCCGCCCGCAGGTGATCCAAAGGCCTCGAGGTCTTCCGAGTCGGAGCTGCTGCGGCTGGCCCAGCCCATGTCCGCCAGCTTCGCGCGCCCGCGCTTACTACTCGACTTGCGGACCATGTTGTTCCCGCCGCTCGTGATCGTGGTGGTGGTGGCCAACGTGGTCATCTTTGACCGCTGGCCATGGCCCTGCAGCACGCCGCGCCCGTTGAAGGTCCTATCCGCGGACGAGAGGCGGTACCGCGAGTGCACGCTGACGATCGTCTTGACCCATAGGCGTAGCACCGGTATTGATGCCGCCATTATCGTCGTGGCGATCTCGGCCGCCGACCAGATTGAGAGCTGGCCTGATTCGAATGTGAAGTCGGCGGTGAGGAGGAGTGGTATTTTTTGGCAGCGCATGATTGATGTTGCGCCAGCTCTGTAGAGTGTGTCAGCCCCGTCTGATATTTGACGTGCCTGACCTGAAAGTCTGCTGGAGGTTGTTTCGGGATGGATGGCGACTTACATAATGCCCAAGCTCATGCAGATACCCACACCAACCTTCTCCTTCAGATTCATCTGCAAGTTCCAAATGAGCACCCACGGGATGACCGCCAGTGCAAAATCTGCAGCCGCTGAGTATGCCGCGCCGAACATCGTCAACACCAGCACCAGCGTCCGGTCCCAACACTTCCCTTCCACGCTGGGGTCGAAGCTCCTGCCGATGGGTGTGCACTGGAACAGCGGCAGAAAGGCTGTGAAGGTGAGGAATAAATTCAGTGACACAATTATAAACCAGACCAGATAGCGCACGTGGGAGACAACAGTCAGCCGCAGCAGCGTTACGGCGAAGGACGTCTTGGACCAGGCGGCGCCGAGAATGGTAAGCGTCTGTGCCACAGCACTGAGGAGCATCGTCCGCACAAGAGTGTCGCCTGTCACACTGTCGATGTGTTTGCCCAGGCCGGCTTCAGCCGCCACTGTGGTGACGATTACGTCTGCTAGGAGCATGACCTGTTGTGCATAGCATTAGTGAATGTGCCCTGCCTGCATGACACGGGTCCATGCTCACCCATGCTGCCAACACAATGTAATCATCCCACCAGAGCCCCTTGTGGGCTGATATCTTGGCCCATATTCGGGCGCCGACGACGAGTCCTGCGAGCGATAGCAGTGACCACCCGATTGCGTTGATGTAGGCGCCAAAGCCGTCGTCGTTGGGCCGCGCCTGTCGTGGGTCCATTTTTGGCGATCCAATACCACGATTGGACTCGCTCGAGCGTTGTAAAAGACGGGGTCAGTGTCGAGGGCGAGTCGGGGTGGATGCGGCGATCCGCGGCCCCAGGCCAGCGTGGAGGTAGAAAGTGAGAGAAATGGGCTGTAGATCTTTAACGAGTGGATCGATGAAAGAAAGAGAAGAAAGTAAAATAATTTCGGAAAGACCGGGATGGGAAGGAAGATTCCTCAAAAGAAAGTCAGTCCAACATGTCAGGGAAGGGCCAAGAATGTCGAAAAGAAGCTTAAAACTTCAGTGACGGGGTAAACGGCACATTCTGCATACAAAATTCTGCTTCTGATGTAACATGTGGACTGTGGCCAAACCACTGGTGTGTTGGCACTACATGCACAACACCACACGGCCGTTTCTTCCGCCACCCGGGATTTCAGGAACACGTCTCGAAGAAGGGGGGGATGACGGGCGTAGTTTCTCTAAGGGGTGAGCAGAACGGCGAGCTATAAGATGGACGAGTATACCGTAGTAGGGCAATATACTTGACGGGCGCCATGCTGTCGCAAGTGCCGTCGTCGCGCAGCGTCCAAGAACATGGATTTGCGCCGAAACCTTGCACCAAACTGGTTAGGCCAGGAATAGAAGTTGGCCGATTGGTCGGATGACCAACTGGGATGAGCGATCGAAGATCTAGAAGCCTGTCAGTGGGTCCCGGCAGTGTACGCGCGCATGAATGAGGGTCGTTGGTGAGCGACGCCGATTGCTCAGGGACATGGGGCCCTGGACTGAAACAGAGGCGCGTGTGGAGAGAGTTGCGTGTTCCGCAGGCCACTACTGTATGTGAGCTCGTTAAGGCCCGCGAAACGACGCGGATGGTAGGACGGATCTTGAAAAGGGGCCAGTAGTTCACCATGAACTGCTTCTTAGTTGTCTATAATATGTATAACATCAAAGGCCTCCCGACGGAAGGGGCCGCGTTGGTCACGATTGGTCACACTGATTTCCGAACTTGTACAATTTTTTTTTTCTGAAGCGGCTCCCAAGCAGGGCAATAGCTGGGCTGGGGCTGACGAAGCTCACTGCCTAAGCCATCTGGAAGACCAACAATCCATGGCCTCCACCATCATCGCCTCCAAAACTTTGGTATGCTACACAAACTGACAGGGTATTGGTCATCATGCCACAATTCGACACCTGAACACTGCTCCCTGCAAACTCAACATCATACACATCAGTAATGCACCACAACCTCGATGCTGCCCCGGAGAAACACCTAAAGTCAAGTGATGTTATCGTGGAGGCAAGGTGGTTGCGGAATCGGAATTTCTCTGTCGTCGCGCAAGCTTGGCAGCTTGCAAGGGTGTCCGGCCGGTGCTGTGATGCTGCTCCCCGGCAAAAAAGCGGCAGTGCCCCCGAGCCGAAGTGTCGTCTTCGCATCCATGGAAGATGGCAGTGCTGTGGCGCGCGGTGTTCCGAGAACAGGGAATTCGCCTCGACCACATCTCGAAAATCCTCTCTTGCTTCAGGCGCCTCAGCAGCAGTAAATTCCCCACTCACAACCAATAGTCATTGTAGACTAGTCTTCAGACCGAGATTTCTGGAGCGGTGCTAAAGCTGTCACAAGAACATGCGAACTACCGCTCTTCTTCGATGTGGCGTCCGAAGCGCTCGGGGACAACCCAACTCGACCAGCGGGCCTCCTCTGCATATGTTGTCGGCCGCGGGACCAGACAGTAAACATCATGCTGGCGATAGTCCATTAGCTGGTAACAGAGGCCAATCTTTTCCAGGTGAGGAAAGTCCTCGAGAAGTGTAGGTCCAAACTCTTGCAAAAACACTCTAAACACGCGGATGATCTCGTGCCTCATCATCCCATGGCCTGACCTCCGCAACTTGAGCTGGAACCGTTTGGTCAGAACCAAGGTCAGGCATCGCAGCGAGCCAGGAAGTACGACACGTAAGCCTTCGATGCGCAGCTCCTTCTCGTCGCGCACGAACCGAATAAAAACGTCCGCTGGCACTACCAGAGTGTGTAACGCCGACAAGTCAGAAAGGTTGAAGAGTGTGGATGGTCCCGAGGCTGTTGTGATTGGTGCAATGAAACATTCAGCGAAGGAGTCGAGCTCAAGTGTGTGCAAGTTCTGGAATTCCCCAAGCACTCGAAACAGAGGGTGGTTGCTCGGAGTGGGCCTCTCCTCCACGAAGACGCAGTTGACGATTGTGAAAGACTCTAAACACGGGAAGGCTGCCTTGAGACTGATCACATTCTCGATGCGAAGCTTCTTGTATCGAAGCTCGACTCTCTTCACACCTGTGGAGACCGGAATGTCGCCTGGATTAGCACGTCCGATGTTAGAATGGCATGGCAAGACCCTGTAAGAAGGGAACTTGTGTTAGACGCACCATCTCCAAGATTCGTCGAAGGGCCAAAGATGGACGGCCAGGTACTAGGCCATAGCACCCCGTGTACTATGACCGGTCGCTTCAAGTTGGACCAAACAGCCTTTTGCAGTCCTGGAAGGGAAAACAACTTTCGAAGTAGGCCAGCGGTGGAGGGTGTCATTGGACGGTGGATATCCTCGAGTATTCCAACCGTGCTGAGATTAGCAAGACTGGAGAAAGCATGTCCCAGAAAAAATTCCTCAAACAAAATTTTGATTTTCTGCAGGTGAACGCCGCGTCGAGAAGTATATGGAAAACGAGTACGATGTTCCAGACCGATGGTACTAGACACGGAGGGCAATTTGAAGTACAATGACTGCAGAGCTGAGGTCCGAGACAAGACTTTATAGAACATGGTGTAGATCACCTGTTCCCTGGTCATCGGTGACATCCGAGCCTTTGCCGTGACTCTTCCCGCCGTCCAAAATGCGTAGTCGGGATCCTGGTGACTACACATGGGCGTGAGGTCGAGGATGCAGGCAAGGGGCACATCGTCATCGTCGTCCTCCTCGTCAGGGCTGAAGAAGACAGATCTGACTAAACCTGTGAGGGAGGGGTTTCTATAGAATGTTGCCAGAAGATAGACCATGGCGTCCAGACGGCACAAGCGGATGTCTTGATATAGGAGACGCCTAGCAACTGCGTCCATGGTCTTGGAAACCAGACACATTCTGAGCAGATCGTCACACTGTTTCTGTTCTGCCTCATGGCCTTCAAGGTCGGTGCCTGCTGGGGCTAGCTCTCTGAGGACCATGTTGAGGACCTCGATGGGCAATATCTCGAGTCTGCTGTTGCCTTGGATGGTTGCCATAGAGTGATGAGCGAGTTCGGTTTTAAACGGCCCTCAGAATGATCGCAGTGTTGCTTGAGCGGAGCTCGCAAGCTATCGGCAGCGATTTGGCTGAAGAGTCTGTAGAGTCTGTTTGTTAGGCGTTACTGGTTCTCAATGTATTTCTACCGTGTTCTGATTTAATTGAGATAGTGAGTATGATAATGAATTCCTGTCGGTCAAGTGAGCTTCGAATGGTGGTCGCTACATGTTCTGCCAGCACGCAAGCAGCAGGAACGGAGATAGATGTCGCCTGCATGCTACACGGTGCCATCCATGCTCCAGTATTGCTCGGGGAGCACTTACCTTGGCCTACACCTAAGGTCACTGACATCATCATGGAGGCCTTCCTTGGCAATCGGAGCGCAAGTTTGGTACTGTCCACAACGCGCTCCCTGCTGTTGTAGACTACTCTCAGAGTGGAATTGATGGTTGGTAGACCGCAGACAATGCTGTGGAAACAAGCTCCAACATGGGAGGGGGTGTTCAGAGGGAATTGATGAAAGGGAAAGAGTGACCGACGAATGAGAGAGGGATGAAGGCCACCAGAGGGTACGGAACCTGCCCAACTGGTGGGCCCAGGTAACTGAATGCTTGGTCTGTACGTTCTGCCCCATTCACGCAGGAAGACTACAGTGTACTGTGTACCACGTACATTTTGAGGAAGCTGGTGCACATTTGGAAGCATGAATGGGGAAAATGATTGACGTAGCTCTTTGATGATCAGAACAAAGTTGATCCGGCCGTCCTCAAGTTTGTTAAGATGTAGAGCATCTCAAAGTCAGCTTAGTACAACTGTGAGCCCCATTTCGACCACCACCCAGTCGATCGCAGTCCATGCTACGAGGCAGGTGGTGAACTGATTCGGACATACGAACCAGGATAGATGGAAGTCCCGTCATCAGGTGGTCAGGACCATGGCCGTCTCCATCTGAAACACTGTAAACGTCACGCTCTCTTGCTTGATTCTGGGACTTCCTTTGTGTCTATGGGACTGGCCCACTCAGATCTTCTCCACTGGCTTGTGCTGTCACTACCCCTGGCGCCTGTGTGAAAGATCGTTGTGGGTGAGCGCCCCTAGTTATGGGCTCCTGGCGATGGTGTAGCTGGTCCGAGTGAAGTTCTTCGAGATTCTGAAGTTTATGCAAAAGACATTGTCTATGGTTCTGGGACCCATCGTTGATAGAAAGGAATTACTCGGCCGACTTGCCAGGCTGGGCTATTCACGACCAACAGTCCGCGCCATCGTCTAGTCAAGGTCTATTTCGGCGTCTTTTCAAGGCCTGAAACTTTACCTAGTACTGCATGCTAGTATTGACCTCTAGTAGAGTAACCGTTTTCAAACACTGCCTGAGCCTAGTATTCAACACGAGGCACCTATATAAGTATCGAAGTGCTCATGTAACAGAGTGAGCACATGTAACAGAGTGAGCACATGTAACAGAGTGAGCACACATCGTGTCAGAAGTACAAGCCCTAGCCGGTCCACCGCACTGACGAAATTGTTTTCGAGACCCGTCGAAACCACTAAACTGCACCAACCAAGCCTTCCAGAAACCGTAAACGCAATAGTAGGCAGTCAAAGCCTTATACACCATCTCCTGAAAGGCGGAACTACTATTGATTCATTTCATGCTTCTCCATCGCCATGGAAACCAAACCTTTTCCCAACCTGGGGAACTAATTATGAACCATTGGTGAGAAATAAGACGAAATGTAATCTCCTTTGTTGCCATGGTTGAACGCCACGTATGACAAAGCTCCGACTTTGGAATAGTCTTGGTGCGGCCTATTTGATTTATGTTGGTAAATCTCATATTTAAGCGCCCGAGCATGTGAGCACAATGTTACTTACAGTGCCGCCGCCTGTACAGCCCCTCGCGCGTACCTTGAAGCATGCTCATCCCAGCCCAGGATGGAAAATACCTCCGTGAGGTTGGCCGCAGCCTGCAGATCACTCTTGTTTGTCTGCCACCACGGCATGTGAGCCTTGACATCGATGCGCTCCTCACCAGGCCGTAACTCGAACACGAAGCAGATTCCGATGTGCTGGTGCTGGGGATTACGCGGGGGCTTAGACTGGTCATCGCGTAAACCGTCTCTCTCATCTAGCAACAAGTGCCAGATTTTCAAGGCCTGCTCAACCCCCTTTAAGCTGACCTCGTCCGTCTGTGCACCGCCCAGCGTCATAACGTCTCGCAGGACAGCCTTTGAGTTGGATTTTGTCCTGGCATAGATTTTGAAACGTGCGTTGGATGGGTTAACACAGTCGATACCAACCATCTCTACTGAGCATCCCTCGGCATATGTGCTGATAAACCTCTCTAACTTCGTGGCGGGAACATGGAAGGCGTCACCGCATGGTTGAAGACTGCGGATTTTGTTGAAAACGAGCTGCTTTGTGCTAAGCCCTGTGGCTAGATGCTTCAAAATCGGGAATACGTAGGCCTTAAGGTGGCACTTTTCTCCCTTGAGATCGAACCCAAAAAAAACCAGTGGAGCGCGGCTCTTATGAGGTGGCAGCTTTGCCTTCGCTGCCTGAGCTTCTTGACCTCGGACATTCCAAGAGTCCCAGATCTGGTCGAACCACCGAAGGTCGACATCGTCGGAGACGTAACGAAGCAGAGGCGTCAAAGTCGGTATCAAATCGCCCGGAAACGGATTCTCAGCCGTCCCTGCATTGCTCCAAAGAGGTTCGAAGCTGTAGCGAACGATGTTCAAATCCTGCTGGAAATTCCATGACGGCTCGAAGGGTGACCCGTCACTAGTCAGAAGTGGTCTAACTTTTGCCTTCGATGGTGATGGGCCCAGTGTTGGGATGACAACATCTCTGAAAATGCGCATGTGCTTGGTTTTCTGTTCTGCAGAATAGGAAGCGGAATTGTTAAGGAGGGTTGAAAAAAGTGGTGCGCAGCGCGTCCACCAATAGTAGTGGTCGTGCTCAAGTGGTGCCTCGATACCATGAATTATCGTCGAAGCCCTGGGGCCTGCTAGATTGACGTCCATGGTGGAGGCGACGCCATTCAGTCGGACTTTCTTGTCCATTGTGACTGAAGCGGTAGTGGTCGTGCTTGTCAACATAGTGGGCATAATGACTGCTAATTACGACCGATCAAGCTTTACGTTATAAGGTACAGTCTGGTCGAAGGGCGAAACTATTTTCGACGAAGATGGCCAGGATTCAAACGAGTAAATACTGTTGCCGTGATGGAAGGAACAAGAGATGTCTGGATGTCACGTTCAATGTGGTCTTTTATCCATACCTGCGTCCCTTGAACACGACAAAGCTGTCTGGCAAAATCAACATTGCTGTAACTGCCGCATCATTAGAGTTCTTCCATGAGACAAGAGGATCCTCCTCCAGCTTAAGCCTGAACCGGGAGTTCTTAGGGACCTACCATGTCATTGCGACCTGACTTGATCGGAATACAAGTCAAAGTGATGAGCTGTACGCGTTCCTAGTACGATACGCGGGATGCCGCTATGTGATGGCAAAGGTATCATCCGGGTTCTGCTGTGGAGAACCCCGGGTAGCTAGGTTAATTCAAATCTGCCTTGTCTGCATGCTTTGCGGACGTCCTTGTGATTGAAACAAATTCAAAATTGGGTTTGGTCCAACAGGCCCTGGCTTGCCACATGGGCTTCCCGAAGCCGTTGAATCCGAGCCCACTCCCGCACGTGCCAGTACAACCCGTCTTTCAATCTTACTCCACAACGTTCTGGGAACGCCTCTCGAGTTTTCAGACGAACTGAACCTCACAGCCGTTGTATCTCTTTTCCTGTGAAAAGCGCCTTACGACAAATGTACTCTAAACATCTAGTCTACTGTGAAGAGGGGCGGACCTAGATGAACATTCAAGGTCAATGCTGTGCGTCTCCAGCCCCGGGCACCGACAACGTTGGACCTTATTTACTAATTCAGATGCAAAAGGTTAATTTGCAACGATATTCACAAAATGTATCAACACGTACCGGCTATGTGAATTCCTCTAAGCGGGTTAAGGATGGATACGAGCACTTTATTTTCGTAGTCAGTCCGTCACGTCGATTTCTTCGTGAATACAATTTTACGCAAATCAGGGATAAGCTATCAATAATTGTCTAAGGAAAGCCTACAAAAATTAGTTCTGTATCTCTGGTCAATCGACGGAGACCTGATATGCATAGGATCAAACCATGAATTGAAATAAAGCGGCAATACGGGTCTATGACATCAAACAATTTCTTCTTGTTGGGCATTTGGGAATCCACTGGATGAAGGGTACTTTCAATTGCTTTCACCGATATGCAGACCGAGTGAGGACTGTTGAGTGTGTGCCGGCTGCCAACTTGTGCTGAGGTGCCTCGGGGTCAGAATTTGACGCCGTGCGTTAGGCTTACACAGACCCTTGAACAGCATTCGAATGTGTCGCAGATTTTAACTTCTCAGCACGCCTCGTCCGTCATATCGCTCTAGTCTGAAATATCATCATGAGGTGACGGAGGTCCCCACTATCTGTTCCGATTAAATAAGCATTTCCAGAAGGTTATTAGAAGAAAAGTTACGCCAAGTTTAGCTAGCCGTAGATCTTTGACCTTACCAAAAACAAGACGGATACATTGCAGCTTCCTCCATAAAGAATCACACGTGAATACAATGGGCAGAACAATCCAGAAAGTGGCGCTCACGGGAGTAAGTAGAGATGCAATATCTATTCCGCTAGTGAATAGAAGCCCTGGGTATCGGAACACCTGACCTGACCTCCACATAGGCAACGGGCAACGTCGGAGCCCCAATTCTCAAGAATCTACTTCGTAACAACTTCCAGGTGACTGTCTTGACTCGAAGTGCAGATCACGCTTTTCCCAATGGAGTCAATGTCCATGTCGTGGACTACTCTTCGTCTGCATCCCTCGAGTCAGCTCTGCGTGGCTGCGATGCGTGCGTCGATGCGAACCTTACTCAGGATGACACCCCCATCCGCCTCATGAACGCCGCTGCTGCTGTGGGGGTGTATCGTTATATCCCATCCGACTACAGCCTCGACCCATTCAACCCTAAGCTCAACGCATTGCCTGTGTTCGCGATGAAGGATGCACGCGACCGCCATTTGTTCAAAGTTTGTGAACAGTCCAGCGGCTCGATGACGTGGTCCATTGTTTGCAACGGGCCGTTCCTGGACTGGAACTTGCGCACTGGCTTCAAGGGTATCGATCTTTACAACAAGAAAGCCACAATTATGGGCACGGGGACCAACAAGCACCCCTGGACGATGCTGGACGATGTGGGCAAGGCAGTCGCCGGTATCCTACTGAAGCCGGTGGAAACCGAGAACCGGCCCGTATTTGTTTACTCTGTCGTTAAGAGCGACGAGGAAATGTTGAAGCTTGCGCAAGAAGCGCTAGGCTCGGACGCATGGGTCGTCAAGACGGTGGATCCCCAGGCCACTTTTGATAAGGCAGTCGCAGATTTGAAGGCGGGCATAATCAATATGCAGGTGTTCGGAGACATGATCAGGTTTTCTAACACGCAGCCCGACATGGCGCACCCTTGGCATAGTCCAGATAACGAGCTGTTGGGTGTCCAGGAGATGAGTGATGATGAGGTCCAAGTTATTATCAAGAGTATTGTGGAGAAGAAATTGTTCAAGAGGGCTGGGGAGCTTTGACTGTCATCTAGTCTAAGAACAATAATGCCAGTTCAAGCACTTGCATACTCGTTCTGACACATTGGTACACATGTGAGATGTCTCTTCTTTACTAAACAATTCAGTTCCCGGGTCTTTGACAGACTTAGTCGAAGCTTCATCTGGTTTGAGGGGAGAAAATGTATAAAGCAGACGAGGAAATAGTCGCAAATACGTTGACAGCTACCCAAATATTCATTGCATTGAATCAAATGTCAACTTGGTTCCGCCCCCGAGACAACCCTTTTGTACAGCGTGACACCCCGGGAACCACCCATTGCGCATTCATAAAGCGTTGCTACAGCTTCCCGTTCCAAGAACTGTGTGCGCAGGAATCTCATCATTTTCAAAAGGAATCTGCACCAGTACAGTGGGCTCGTTCGAAGGGAACTCAGCGCCGTGGCCGGCAAGATTGCTCACATGCCGAAGATCTGTAACCAAAATGATGCTAGAAGTCAAAGTGCCTGGCATGATGTATGCGATCTCCTCCTCCGGTGGTTGGCGAGCTGCGACTGGGCTTTCGGCAGTCGCAACTGAGACGGACCCCGGATAGAGAAGTCTCTCAGACAAGACATAGGCAGTCTGTTGCGCCATTGCAGGACTCGCTTGGTTTGAGCAGCTGCACGTAGTAGTGGCGTTGGCAGCCGGCGAAGAAGGTGGCGTATATGGTGCAGAAACGCGTATCATCCCATTTAGTACAATGGTCAACCTTCGTGTTCCACGTCAGCATCGAGACCCTCTTAAAATTTTCCCGTGGATTGCTTTCCTCAAGTGGCTTAAGGTGCGGGCAGAACTCACTGAACATGTGGTGCCCATGCTTGACCGACGTATGTTCTGGGCCTGAGGGTGGACCATTTCACATTTGTGGTGCGGCCCCCGATGGCATAATTCAATGCGGCCATGTATTCGACAGGGGTAGAGTGAAGCTGCCAGCATTCGAGCACTGAGTACCCATCGCGAGAAGAAATAGTCGTGATTCTCATGGGTTCTGTGGCTTGGCCTAGTATATGGGACAGGACAAGACAAAAAGCACAAAGTGTTGTCAGCTTAAAGGGACCCATGATAGGCGATAAGCAGGTTATGGTGGGATACTGGCAATGAGGATGTATACGTCTTGATACGTTGGTATTTGGCAAACTGGCACAGAATAGTCCAAAGCTCAGGATCGTCCTTTTTGAGCTGCTGGTCCTTGCGTCCACAGACGTGGGGTCCGCAGGCACATCCGCAGCCGTGTCTTCAAATCACACAGAAGGCCATATTCCTGGGGCAGCGCCGCGATTCTTGCGGAATGCCGGAGGGGACGCTCAAGGTGCAGAAACGGCGCGGTCCGCGAGTTTCGAAGAAGCGCAGATCTGTGTCGGACACTGCAAGCAGAGCAAAGTTTGTCGCGGCTTATGTTCGCGAATGCTTCATGTACGTTCTCGGTGTCCAGTAGTGCATTGCAAGGTTGTTCGTCACGTTTCGGCAGATTGCGGGTGTGCCGAGAGGCTCCAATTGAACAGCGTAGAGAACCTAGTTCTGTACACCCTGTAAATGCGCAGGCATATCAGACTTACTGATTTACAGCGCGTGCGTACTTCTAAACCTTGCCCACGGTACTTGGTTGGACTGACGTCTTCGGGCATTGGACCGGTGTATTCTCGAATCTCCCCGAGGCACGCCAAAATCGGAAGTATCGTCCTTGACAGAACCTTTCTTTGAAGTAGCCTGTGCAGGACAACTGAGAGTAATTCAGTCCAGTCCCGCGCGGAGATGTTGCTTAGCTCGAAGCTTTCTAGGATCAGCCCGTTTCATTGCTGAAACGTGCGTGGGAAATGCAGGTACCAAGAATTATTCGTTGTCCGTATTTATTTTGTAACTAAGTGGTATGTTTACTGCGAGACAACCTTACATGGAAGGTTTGTTGCACTCAGTTACAAGTCCTAACAAGAACTAAGGTACGCACGATACATCATAAAAGGTCAGTTGATGTGTTGGGTCTACAAGTCTTGCCACATTTAATGCATTGCAACATTGTAGTACCTCAGTGAAATACAGGATTGAAGAATGTCGTTCTTAGTCCCTGACAAAAGGTAGAGAAATAGTTGATTGCCTATCTTTCATATTTCGATTGAAGTGCCGTTCCATTGCAGTGTGCCTTGCGGTACGCCCTGGGGCGCTCTAGATTTGCTCCCCGAGCCCTGAGTGTGTCTGATGTTTGCCGTGTTTGATGGGGTTGTGCCAGTGCGTTGGCACTGCGACGTCCTCCAAGTGCTGCTCTCGGACAAAATTTAAATTTTGTTACCAAACCCATCACTGGGAAGCTTAACCACTAGATTTGCACTGCCCGCGATGGACAGCCTCCCGCGAGAGTGTTCTGCCAGATTGTCAGTACTCTCCGTCTGCCGGGTGGTGCGGATTTGAATGCAGTACCGGGGTAGCTCATAGACAGACAGTACTATACACGGATTGTCCGATATCACTGAACACATACAGAAATATGGGGCATTCATAAAAGACCTCTTCACTTTTTCCAGTGGCTATTTGGGTTTCCTAAAGTGAAGGCGAGCCAATTGGTTCGAGTTTGATGACTAGTCCCTGAAGCGAGTGGGCATTTGATATCTACAACTCAATCATCATCCCCCATACATCACGCAAATAAACAACAGTTTTCCGTCATTCGCCGCCATGCTCGATCAGAAGCCTTTCGAATTATTCGTGTTTGGAGACCAGACATACAGCCTCCAGACAAAAGATCTCCGCAACCTGGTACACGATGGAAGCAATGACGCTGTTGTGGTTGAATTTCTCGAACGCGCATGCAGGACATTGCGAAATGACCTTTACCAGCTCACGCCCGAGTACAGGCTCCATGCACCTTTACTATCGCACGTGGCGGACTTGCTGCTGTGGAAGAGAGGGCACTGTGTACCGCTAGACATGGCAATTCTTTGTTTGTACCAGCTCGGAATATTCATGAAGTATGTGACTTGACTCAAAACCATTGAAAATCTATTCGCCTACGACTGAACAAGAGAATGACTGACTTTAAGGGCATTCTTGCCCTAATTCTATTACAGACAAGTAGGCCATTCGTACCCGAGCTCGGAGAGTTCTTGCTGCCTTGGACTTTGCACAGGCGCTCTGGCCGCCGCCGCCATTAGTTGCAGTTCCAATACATTGGAACTTCTTCCACTAGCTCTGGAGGCTGTGCGTATATCATTCCAAATCGGTATAATTGTCGACAAGATGGCAAAATGCATCGACGCTTCGGGGCGTGACCGTCATAGCGATGACAAAGCTGACAAGGTCGGGGAGCTCCCGTCGTGGACAGTCCTGATGGCAGGCTCGAATGTAGAGGACGTTGTACACAGATTTGCGGGGGAGAGTAATGTAAGTATTTCACGCATCGACATTCTTGAAGTGTGCGTTATGCTGCCGGAAGCTAATTGTTCATCTTAGTTGCCGCCTGCGGCGCGACCTTGGATCAGCGCGCGGTCACCCGGTGATATCATCGCTGTCACTGGCCGGCCAAGTTCTCTTGCTCGACTTTCTGCGTGGGCAGACTCCTCGGTGCTCAAGTTGCGGAGCCCTCGTCCTCTACCGATCTTCGCGCCTTACCACGCACCACATCTATACAGCCGCAGTGATGTCGAAGAGCTCGTACGGCTTACCCACAGCTCACTTTGCCGGAGTAGTCCCTCGGCTGGGGAGGGATCAAGACTTCACATCCCAGTGATTTCCAGCACAACCGGAGACATAAAAGAGGTCACCAATCACAACAATAATTTCACGACTATGTTAAAGTCTGCAGTGGAGCAGATTTTGTTGCAGCCCATTTGCTGGGACCCTGTGCTCGCGAGATTGCACACAAGAGTGGAAAACATTGGTGGCATTGCGGAACTGCGCATAATTCCGTTTGCGACGTCTGTTGATCGGCTCATCTACACTGGGCTCCATCAGCTGGAGCCGTCAGTCTCCCTGTCAAGTACCGCATATAATGACATAGGCCAAATAACGCTGCCGAGGCCGAGGCCGCTCCCAAAGGCCGACAGCATTGCCATCATCGGTATGGCTGGTCGATTTCCTGGTGCTGCAGATGTAGATGCCCTCTGGAACATTTTCTACTTTGGGCTGGATGTCTGCAAAGAAATTCCACCATTACGTTGGAACCTCAAGACTCATGTCGATCCATCAGGACGGAAGACAAACTCAAGTAGAGTTCCCTTCGGTTGTTGGCTAGACGATCCGGATGTTTTTGACGCAGACTTCTTCAACATGTCGGCCGAAGAAGCAACCCGCATGGACCCTGCGCAGCGGCTGGCTCTCATGACAACTTACGAGGCAATCGAGCAGGCTGGAGTAGTCTGGGCAGATGCTCTTGACGATACTGACGCGACGCCTTCCACTCGGCGGGACCGTGTAGGAGTGTATTATGGCGTGTCGGGTAACGATTGGCGGGAATGCAATGCCGCCCAGAAAATCGACTCGCATTTCATGCGCGGCAGCAACCGGGCCTTTGTCTCAGGGCGCATCAGCGAGGCATTCAAGCTCAGCGGGCCTAGTCACACTATCGATACATCGTCTGCCAACAGTCTGGCGCCTGTCCACACAGCCTTTCTCTCGCTGTGCGGCCATGAGACCGACATGTGTATTGTCGGGGCCGCCAATGTAATGACGAACCCTGATATTCACGCGGGCTTGGACCGAGGAGGACTGCTATCTCATAGCGGCAACTGCAAGGTCTTTGACGACACTTCTGACGGCTTCTGCCGCGGTGAGGGCGTTGTGTCCCTGGTGCTCAAGAGACTAGACGATGCCCTGGCAGAACATGATCCCATTTTGGGTGTTATCGCTGGAGCCGCTTCCAGCTATGATTGCGCATCGTCGCGCGGTGACGCCCACCCGGAACCCAGCATCACCCACAAGAATCTGTTCACCACTGTGCTCAACAACTCGAATATAGAGCCTTCATCTATAGGATACGTCGAAATTGGCGGGTGCAGCACGAGGGAGGAGGGTGCCAGTGAGATCGGCAGTATACTGGACATTCTTGCGCCGATTCCTGTATCAGGCATTTCCGGCATGAGTAGAGCCATGCCCTTGTACCTTGGAAGTGCAATGGCGAATATTGGCCACGGTGAAGCGGCTTTGGGACTCAGCAGTATAATCAAAATGCTGTTGATGTTCAGGGAGAACAGCATACCGCCACACATTGGAATACGCAAGCGAATCAACTCCGACTTTCCGGCTGAGCTGGCGCGAAAATACAATACCCACATCCATACAGGAAAGACCATAGAGTGGCGGAAAGACGCAAGGATCGAGTCTCGAATTGAGCCACGTCGTGTTCTTGTGCACGAGGTTGGGTCAGTAGCACGTGCGACTTCAGCGTTATTGCTGCAAGAGCCGGTACATGATCCAGACCGACACGAACCTTCGGAGATGGTACACCAGCCGCCAGAAATCGATCCAGCCATATCCTACGTTATAGCCATCTCCGCTAAGAGCAAGATCTCTCTTCAATGCAACATGACCAATCTGTACGGATGGCTCAAGAAGGAGACAAACCGCAATCAGTTCTCTCTAGCGCAGCTCTCGTACACGACCACAGCACGGCGCGTGCACTACTCGCATCGAACCATGCTCGTGGCTTCATCCTATGAAGACGCCTGTGCTCAGATTGAGGCCGAAATGCAGCGATCACGAATGGAACACAAGATTGCCACGACTGACATCAGGTCGCTTCGAGTCGCCCATGTTGATCAAACAAAGAAGGCCTGCCCACTCGTGTTTGCGTTTACTGATTCATTGACGTGCAACTCCGCATCCTCGTTATCTATGGACTACTTCAGTCAACTCTACCAAAACTTTTCAACCGTCAGACGTGACATACATCGTGTCAATCAGATCGTGCGGCTTCTCGGTTTTCCCTCGATCATGGATGTCTTGGGTTTGGAAGATGGCGATGAGCCATGTCAGCACATCCAGTCTCAACACCCTTGCGGTAGCACAAACACGCATCAAACAGCGGGGCCCTTTGCCAATGTACACACGCAGATGCGACGTCTAGGTTTTCCGTGTGTCATGGACTTCCTGCGTTTGAAAGAGATTGATGAACCACACCAGCATATCCAGGCTCAGCGGTCTGTGAAAGGCACGAAAACGCGTCAAATAGGGGAGCAGCTTGCCAATATGTGCACACAGATGGTCCTAGCCAGATTATGGCGATCATGGGGCATGAATCCAATCGCCGTCATCAGCGGAGGTGGCATGAGCATCTACTCAGCTTTAAACGCAGCAGGAGTGCTTTCTGACGTCGATGCAATCTACTTGGCTGGCACCTCTATTCAACTCGGGCTGACGCAGCCGCGTCGGACAGAGGGGCAATTGGAGTGCGAACTAGATTGGGACAATGAATCTGCCGAGTTTGAGAGAATTGCAAATGTTGCAACCTATCATAAGGCGCGGATTTCCGTCTTGAGGTTGCTCAGGGACGACGCGAACGACGAGATGACTTGTCCGGACATAACGTCCTCGAACGCGAGCTTCGAAAGTGTCGCCGAAATTGGTGAAAGCGATGAATTGCTCTTGGCTCGTCGCCTCTTGGCCATTTTCAAGTCAAAGTACTTCGATAGCAAGCTGACTACTGTGAGAGCGCTGAAAGAAGCTCTCATCTCGGCTTGTCGGAAGGCCATCAACCTCATCCCAGACCATTCCATCATACAACAAGTGGGACCAGAAGTGCCTATACTTTGCGGCTCAATGACGGAAGGAATCAAATTTGGCACTGCGGATGGCGAACGCATTTCCCCTAACGCGATGAGGGGCAACCTAGCTTCAGATACGCCCAAGCAAAATATGTGGACACACCTGACGGAAATGGTACGGGTGCTGTACTGTCTGGGAGCCAGGATTCGCTGGGACCAATACTACCTCGACCTTCCACCGAAAGGTCGGAGGGTCATTAGCTCACTTCCAGCATACAGCTGGAGTCTCAAGGAGTACTGGATACCATATATCAACGATTGGGCGCTCTCGAAAGGTGCTGCATCGAAGGTCATGGTGGCCCCCAAGCTCGAGAGCACGACCATACACAGAATCATCGAGGAGACTGAATTCGTGGAAGAGGGAGGTGAGGACTTGCGCCTGGTTGTTGAGGCTGACATTTCCCGGGATGACCTTCATGGAATCGTCCAGGGGCATGTTGTGGACGGCGTTCCACTCTGCACGCCGGTACGTGATCATGAAAATGGAAAATCCCTCGAACTGATGAACATGATACCGAAGAAATTGGTCTCGATATTACAATGGCTGACAATGTATTTTCTATACCTAGTCCGTTTACGCCGATATTGCTCTTTCGCTGGGGAAATATATTCAACAGCGATATCGTAACGGAAACTTGGAGCGACTGATCAGCGTCAGAGACATGGCCGTCACGAAGGCTTTGATCGCCCAACCGTCTGGACCACAAAGGCTGCAAGCTTGTGTTGAGGCCAATTGGGCTTCTAATTCAGCTATTTGCAAATTCAGTACACTTGATGTAAGTACATGCTGGAGTAACCCATGCTTGGCTCCAGTTTTTCTTCCTTTCATTCTTCAGTCTCCACCTGCTATTGTATGCTCGAGATTCTAACAATCGGCTCTCACTTTTTTTCAGCGTCGAAACAAGCCACAGCAACACGCCCAATGTACAATATGCTTCAGTGACACAGAAATAATCGAGCAAATTGAGCAATTCGACATGGCTAGTTCCTACACCAAACTTGTCCGGGCCTTGCGGCAAGGCATCACGACTCAGCGCACTGTTCGCTTCACACGAAACATGATGTATCGCACGCTTCGTTCCTTGGCTGAATTTCACCCGGACCACAAGCTGGTTGATGACATTGTGATAGACAGCCAGACGCACGAGGCGACCGCTCAGGTCAGCTTCGGTCAGCTTCTGGCCCAAGACGGGAAACACATCGGCACCTTCCACACTCACCCTGGAGTGGTCGATGCGCTCACACAGCCGGCTGGATTTGCCTTGAATGGAGCAGACGGCACTGATTTGGATAAGGAAGTTTACATCAACCACGGATGGGGATCATGCTACCTTTTCGAGCCTCTAGAACTAACCAAGGTGTACACAGTATATGTGCACATGGCTGAGGGTCAGGGGCAAATTTGGTATGGTGACATCGTGGTTCTCGATATGGGCGACGGGGAACGTCCTGAGAGGGTCGTGGCCTTGTTCGAGAGGTACTCGGTGCAACGTCTTCCACGCCGCGCATTGAGCATAGTGCTGCGGGCTGAAGGCGGTGGCGCCTACAAGAATGCCAAACTGCAGCCGGGTCAGGATCAACTGAGCCAAGCTGATCGCCGACGCGAGGCATCTACGAAACTTGCGCGTCAAGAATGCCCTCCTATGGTCCCAACCTTGGGTTCTCCTGTTCGCGGATTCTCACAGGCGCCGCGAAGCTCCCACACCAGTTCTATCAGTACCCCGGGTCTCGACCGCGACTCACAACACCTCCACTTCCACGTCAATATTCCTCTTTCTCCTGCTCTGCCCAAAACACCTCTAACGGCCGAGGCATTACACGAAGACAGTAATTTTAATGCTAGAGGACATATCAGCCACGACGGCGATTATGACATCGTGAGACAAACAATGCAAATCATCTCGGAAGAAAGTGGCTGCGAGCTGGCGGACCTGGACGACGACAACTTGGCACTAGCAGATGTGGGCCTTGACTCTTTACTTTCCCTGGAAATCACAAGCCGACTTCGGGAAGAGCTAGGAGATGAACTGAGTCACGTTGATCTGAACTCATTGTTCACTACCTACCCTACGGTCGCAAGCCTCAAAGCTTCTGTCATTGGAAAACGGCCAAATCACATTGCCCGAAGCGTCCTTAGCCCGAGAAGAAGGGCAAGTACATCAACATCCGCTCTCAGCTCCCAAGACAGTGTATTCACAGACGTCTCCTCGACGACATCAACCACAACTGTCAGCGACACCCGGGTGCCTCAGGCTACTTCGGTCATACTTCAGGGTTCTCCCAAGAGGGCAAGAGCAACACTCTTCCTATTTCCGGATGGGTCTGGTTCAGCTACTTCATACGCGTCCATACCGCCTGTATCCTCAACGGGCGATCTCTGCATCATTGCTTTCAACTGTCCCTTCCTCAAGAAAGAAGAGATGATGTTCTCATGTCATCTGGATGCCCTCATCGATCACGGCTATCTTCCTGAACTACGTCGCCGTCTCAGTCTACAGACCAACGAGGGTAGTACAGTAAAGCGGACGTACTATATTGGCGGATGGTCTGCTGGAGGCACACTTGCCTACCGCGCCGCACAGCGACTACTCCAAGCAGAGGAAGAGTCCGCTGCGTGCAGCCAGAAGAACTTAGGAAACATGGCTGGCCTCGTGCTGATCGACGCACCGCCACCAATCAGAGGCATGGATCCGCTGCCAGATCATTTCTATAAGTATTGCGAGCAGAAGGGCGTGTTCGGTGGTTGGTCTGGCGCTCGAGCTCGTAAAGCCCCCGAGTGGCTGATCCCACACTTCAACGGGACCATCGCAATCTTGAGGAACTACGTTGCCGAGCCGCTGACGCGAGCGCAGTGTGCCAAGCTCAAGACCGTGGCATGTATATGGGCCGGCGAGAGTGTTGTCGGCGCTGATAAACCGCTTGAGCCGCATCCGGATGACACCGAGGGCATGAAATTTCTGACGATACAGAGAAAAGATTTCTCGACGGCAGGTTGGGAGAAATTGTTGCCTGGAGTTGATGAGGCCGCCGTCCTATGCCAACGGCTCCACGGGGCCCATCATTTCTCCTTGACGGTAAGCTTCGTCGCTCACACTTGTACTTTTCGGTCCGGGTGGAATCAATTTGCTAATTGAAACTTTATAGCGAAATCCGTATGCGTCTGAGTTGGCTGCCTTCATTCGCCGAGCAGTCTCTCTAGGTTAGATGTGCTTGGAGTGCACATCAGTTTGGTTACTTAAGTCGTCTTTATTGGTGTGCTTGGAAAAGGAAGATCATTCTTGACATGGATTGTGGACTCTAAGGGGGGTGGATCTACTACCCAATTGAAATAGTTCATGCTTAACTCACATCTTCAGATTACACCGCGGTGTTGATGTTCGTGTACTCTTTCACAAAGTACAGCGTTTGTGTTCATTTACCTGCTGCACTTGTTAGTAATCACAATATAGGTTAATCAGACTGCAGATCCTTGTGCCTTAGCTGCGTGGTTGCCTTTATCTCCGCCGTCTCTGTGCAACGGTGGGCCTGGAATTTTCAAAAGCCACGTCCGAGGACTCGAAGGATTTGAGGCTAATGTATGACCACAGTTCCGCTGGGTTACACTAGCTTACCGTGTTCCACCCCAGCTCTGACTCATCTGCTTCCTACGAGCGGTCTGTTGCTTTTCGTTTACTTCATTTAGCTCTATAAAAGAGCTTTGTGACCGTGGTCGAACATCGTGCATAGCACTTGGTTAACGGTCTCACCACTTGCTATCATGCCCTCTACCACCCCCGCTTCAGCGGCCTCCGGCCTCTCAATCACAAGCCCCCGCCTGACGGTCCGCACCGCCATCCCGTCAGATGGTGAGGGCCTCGTAGCCTACTTCAGCAATCCAGCCAATTTTCCTTGGCCAGCGGAGACAGATCTCACCCTCGAAAAGCTTCTCCCGCGGATCGACAAATGGGCCAATGCTACGGCAGAGGGCAAGAGCGCTTTTATGGTCATTGTGCTGCGCGAGACGAACCAAGTCATCGGCTTCGGCGGCTTCAATAACCTGCCGCGGACAGAGCCCTTGGGCAACAAGCCAATCTGGGAGATCACGAAAGGGAGCGAGGAAGGCACAGTTTTGGTAGCTGATGTTGGTATTAGCATTGATCATCAACACCAGCGGCAGGGTTACGCGAAGGAGGCAGTCTGTGCTGTTCTGGAGTACGGCTTTAGCGAGTTAGGATGTGCGTATGCACACCTTGATACGCAGAAATCGAATGAGCCATTGAAGGCACTGGTGGGCAGTTTGGGAATCAAAGGGGTTGCAGGCGATGATAGCGAACCATTGGAGGACGCAGCTTTCTGCTTCGCGTCGAAAGCGATCAACTACGACCTGGACAAGGCAACCTGGGATAGCTTGAGGGAGGAGTTGAAAAGTAAAGATAAATGGCCATTGTGAATGTTTGGAGATTATGATTGGAATTAGTGGTCGATGCATGCTCGCGGCCAAGGAGACGTCGGCCTTGTTTTGCGCTGGGACATGGAGCGAAACTTGCAATCAACCATATGAGACATTATTCTTGGAGCCTACCAAAGCGAGGAACGAAGAAAAGCCAACAAAGTATTTCAGAAAATTACTCTAATGCTTTATGACCAATGTCCAATCGGGCTGCTTGGAATCCTGGAGGCGCATGTTCAAGTCGTCTTCTGTAAATGCAACACTCTGGGATGCTTCACGTGCGGTCTGTATGTAGTGTACCCGCGCTGATACTCTTTTTCCGAAAGCGATCCAAGATTTCTCGTGAGCCAGGTCTCCCACTCGGCGCGCTTATGAGCACTATCGTCCAGACACTAGAGAAAGACAGCGATATCATGACAGGCAGCCACAACCAGCTCTAGGAGACGAAGCTTTACGCAACAGAGCCTGGAGATGTGTTTTGATAGGCCTGTATGATCTATAACATGAGTACTAGCCATCTCAGATGCTAGATACTATGCTGCCAGGTTGTAATGACCTTGGGATCAAATTTGAAGGAAACGATATTCAATTGCGTACGAAAAGCTCGGGCCTTGTCTATAATGCCAGTGCATTAGTTTTCATGATTCAGGACCGGGAATCCCTCACGGGACCCGTGCTCCTTTGTATAGATGTCGTTTACTGGCATTCCATCAACAATTTGGGCGTAAGTGAACTCAGCATTTGGTGTAGAAAGGAGGTTGGCCACTGCCTGTTCAAGGAGGCTACGTGCTCCGCATGCAGGCTTGCGAGACACATGATCGCTGTCACAAAAGCTTAAGCAAATGCTGCAGTGCTCTACGCTCGGGCATGAGATGTGTATCGCAAGGCTCTTCATGTCCGTGAGGAATCCAGGGGATGCAATGGGACCTCGCGGAGACATGAGAAATGGAAGGTACTGGATGATTCTCATGGGTGTGGCGGGGCTCAGAACAACATTGAACAGACCCGCTGGCATTGACAAGGGACTAGCTATTGATTCCTAGGTCTAACCCCTGAGTATAGTAGAAAAGCAGGTCTTATTCTGTGTGGTATGAGCTTGGATACCTTGAAGTACATTCATTGACTCACTTTTGGTGCCAATATCGGTCCCTACGTTGAATCACGAGGTTTTGAATCAATGGTTGAGAATCTCTCATGGATAGTAAGGTTTCACGTCCCATTTCTCTCGCTAAGAGCCCCAATCTAGCTATCTGTCTTCAAAGGTCGCTGGCCTCTTATGTCACGGATGCCTGTATATGGCACTGAAAGACGTGAACCTGTCACCTGTGATCAATGACTTCCCCAAGAAATCGTGCAGCTGAAAGGCTCGAGTGTACCAGTTTGTAAATTATTAGCATCAAGACCTTCCTTAGGATTTCTGAGCACCCATACGATCTAAGCCTGCGTATGTCTTCCTGGACTGCTCTTGCATATCATTTACGATATCATACTTGACTTGTATACAACAAGCTGTCGTAGCCAGGTATACCTGCTGCATTACACTGAGCAGCAGGTGGATTCCTCGGCCAGAGCAGACCCCACAACTGCAGCGGCAATGGACTAAGCAATGAATATGCGAGCAGGTTTGGAACTTTTCAGGTTCAGGTGCCATTGTAGCGGGAGGGGAAGCAAGATCACTGTAATACCATGATGGAATACGGATACAGGAGTCTGAGAACGGGTTATTATTTTATAGCAGACCTTATCCTCTTCCAATGAAACCATATATATTAGGCCGATAGAACGGTTGTTCGAGCTGCTAACCCACAGCGAGATGACTTAAAGAACAAGGTCAAGTTAGAGAAAGCTTTGCTCAGGGATAGGCTCCTTAAATAGTTGTGGTGTCTGTGGATGCTTATGTGAATGCTTGCGATTATGGTTTTTATTTCCCTGTTCTCGTCACGTCGAGTCAGTACCACTCATGTGTTGTAAACTATAAAATATGCCCTCGGGGTGCGGAGCTCACTATTCAGCGCAGCTCCGTGCTTCTCGTCACAAGTTCAGTTGTGTTGTCCCCACAGGTTCTGTCGTGCTTTCTCGCTTCTGTACCCCTGGTGTCTGACCGCAGGCTTATCTTCGGTCGGGTTGCTTGGGTCAGATTGACTGCGATATCATGTCGGTGATATTCAGCTTTGGCACTTTTCGGGTATTAAGCGTTTGAGAATCGAGGTCTGTCTACAGGTGGGCCAGATGGGACCCTCCAAGCGAAGATATAAAGGACCTCAGATTCTCGTCTCTGCGAGCGTCGTCATGTTCATACTCATCTACAAGTTATCACATAGTCGACCACTTATAAGAGTATTCAATTATAACCTCCATATTGATCGAGATCTTCCCGCTCCACGCCAAGGCAGAAGAATCCTTGGCGCATTTTAAACTCACGACATCACTCTTACGCCCCGGATTTACTTATCCACAGGGGGCCATAGCCGACAATGTCCTCCCTCCAGTACTGCAACGACCGAGGAGCCGGTCAGAAGCTCAGCGACATCTGCCATTTTTCTCAAGCAGTCATCCTCGGTGACACGGTCAAGTGCTCCGGCCAGGGCGGGTGGACGCACGGCGGCGAGCTCGACCCCTATGATATCCGCGGCCAAGTCAACCTCGCCTTTGACAACGTCGACCGTGTTCTCCAGGCAGCCGGCCTCCGAGGATGGGAAGACGTCTACGCTGTTCGCTCATATCACGTCGGCATGGACTCCTCGTACAACTACGTCGTCGCCAAGCTGAAGAAGCGCATACCGGGACATCGGCCGATCTGGACTGCTGTGGCGGTCCCCAGGCTGGCGTTTCCGGAAATGAAGATTGAGCTGGAGGTTGAGGCTTGGAATAGAAGGACATGAGTATGCGAAGCTATTAGAAATTCTGAAGACCAGTTTGCCGTACTTGGAGCACATGAAATTTAGCAGCAGAAAAAGTCTGGGATTCGAACCTGAGCAAATATCGACTGTAGTCTACATACGTATCATTTAATTAGGACCGCTGTATTGGGCTTGAGGCCTGTATCATAAGCTCTCTCTGTACCTGCGGCTTGGGTTGCTTGGCATGATCGGGATCCCGCAAATATAGTAAAGTGTATCTCTACTCTCACGTTTCTCCGGTGCAGGCGGGGGGGGACCACGTTCGGTGGTCGAGCAAACCCCCAGCGTCAAGGAATACTACGTCAATTATCGACCATGGCGCAAGAATGCTCACCGTCTTCTCCAAAGACATTATGCTCTCAGACTAAGAGAATGACTGCAGCATCTGGTTCGAGACCCAGCCACATTGTTCGATCTAAGCTTAAAAGCACCTTACTCAGGCTGGCTCACGGGCCCCCAAACATGCAGATATATCACACCCACTCTTATCAAGGGGTTCAACCTTATGTACGTTGGCGAGTCAAATGGTGACAGAGTGCCCGGCTGTCGGCATTGCACTCAGTGAGCTCGACTGCAAAGGTCATTGAGGCCGCGTCTAACATCAGTCTGAAGTGGCAGGACACGTAAAAAGCGTTTGGGGACATCCCAGCAAAAAAAAAACAGAGTTCTGGACCTCTTAACACTTTCAGGTGAAGTATTATTTGCATTTATCGTCTGTGCTTGGCTTTACAAAGGGCCCATAAAGCGCTATAGTACTCATGCAGAGAAAGAAATGCGTTTCATGGGACTTGCCACAAGGCAGAGACCGGGCGTAGGAAAATTACAACATATGCCGAAATCAGTATTCGTATTTTGACCACTCGGTCTCGCTTGACCTTTATGGACCGCAAATCTGGGATGCTATCCAAATAGACTTAAGTTTGGAACCCATTTGACAGAGCTTAAGTGTATGAAGCTTTCCGTTCCGCATCGGGCAGAAAACCGTAGAATCGCGCTCGCCCTCACTGTACCTACTTATGGCTACCGACACACAATTATGACATCAAGCTACATACTCAATCAGAAACACATTTTTAAGTTCTTTAGAGTTCAGCCCCACACCAGATCCCATTCTGTCCAACTGGAGGGAGGCGGAAGCATATGGCTTCCGGAGACATGTTCTGTGTCATGCACCACTTCTCGTCTGCACACGGAGAATCCCTGATCAAATATCCGATCAGACGGGACTATGCAAGGAGTATCAAGGCGAAAAGGGTGCCCCTGGATAGTTCTGAAGGGCCGGGCCTTGCGAAACACAACATTGCGACGACCAAAAAGCTTAAGAGCATTAGGAATGTTCGAGAACGGCTAAGAATATCAACTTATGGACAAACATATTAAACCTAGGGACGTGCCAAAGCACGCATATTCAAGAACAGACCCACGCATACCCAGGAAAGTCGCATCCAACTTCTACGGCACATTCCGAGCGTCAATCAAGCACCGTCGGCCCACCGCCACCGGCCCACAACCAACATCACTCGAGCTTCTGTGCCCTTGCAGCCGACGGCATGACTACTGCATGGACCCGACCGCGCGGCACTTCCCCATCAATTGTCCGCCGGAAAGCCACGATTCGCAGGGCTAGGCCCCTCCTCCCAAAAGACCTCCATACCAGGCCCCCCGGGCGTCGTGACGTCCGTGCTCTGCACAGTCGACCCGGTGTGGTTGGACGATGCGGGGGAGAACTCAGTTGGCGTGGTCAGGTTGCTCGGCTTGGGGGGCGGTGGCGGCGGCGGGTTGCTGGACGACGAGGAGCCGGCGTCATGCAAGAATTCGGCGTCGAACAAGCGGTGGCAGGCCTCCATGGTCGGCAGCCTTGGCGACGCGGGAGGCGCGCCACCCATGCAGCTGAAGGAGGGGCGTGGGGACTGCGGCGGGGAGGAGATCTCGAAGGGGAATGGAGCCGCTGCGTGCATATGCATGGGCACGGGGAGGATGTCCGACTGCGGGATGGGCTGTCCCTCGGAGTATGTCAAGGGAACTCCCAAGGGCTGGGACCAGGCACAGGACTCTGGGAGGAGATCACTCGGGTTTGGTGGGTTGGGGAAACTCATTCGGTCATGTAACTGTGAGCGCATCCGGTTCTCAAAAGGCGGCAGTCCAAATGGGGGCTGATGAGGTCCTGGTGCTGCGAGAGTTTGGCCAAGGAATCGACCAGGAGGAGGAGGAGGCAAAGGAGGCATGCCACCCATCGGCAATGGCATAGGCACAAACGGGTTGAGGTGAGGGCGGTAGTCATTCATCATGGGTGGATATGATGGGCTTCGGCTGCGACTACGACTTTCACTTCGACTGCGGCTACGGCTGCGGCTGTAAGGCCTACCGCGTTCTTCGATGATCAAAGGCCGCTGCGGAGGTGGACATTGCCGGAATTGTGGCGGAGGGGGACCAGCATAATTGGGCATAGGAGACAGTGATCTCCCTCTCGGCCTGGGACACCATCCATCTTGGACATATCCCTTCCCGAAGCGTCTGATGTCCTTGGAGCGCTCGCGAAGATAAAACTCCTCCTCGTCAACTCTCTTCCAGGGGTTGCCAAACTCTCGCGGCTGGTACATGCCCTTGTCATCAGTGGCCACCCTGCCCTCAGCACCCCGGATGACAAAGAGATACTCAACCCGTCGAGAGTCCTTGCCCTTCCAGAAGCCCTTCTTCTTCACCGGCTCCGGTGCCGCGCTTGCAAACCGGTAGCGATACTGCTCGCGCATCATGACCACGGTCCACTCGCGGCGGTGGAAGCGATTGGAGCTAGCCTCCTCACGGTTACGGAGAAGGCCGTTGAGGTTGGACTGGAGAGAGACGGGCAACTTCCGGATGCGCCCGTCTAGCGCCTGCTCATACGTCTTGGGCTTGCCGCAGAGGAGGCGCGCGGTAAACCCTCGCTTGTTGGCGGCATTGTAGCTGTTGACAGAGGCCAGAGTCATGTCGGAGAGCTCCTGCTGCTCGTACGGCTCCGTCCGGGAGACAACAAAGGGCTTCTCCTCGTCATGGGCTGACACGAGGTCGAAACCGCACGACGTAATCTTGGTGATGTCGTGATCGGTCTCGTGCGACATGCACAGGACCCAGGCCTCGTAGACAGGCTGCGAAGTGCCCTGGCCCCTGGGAACGCGGTACGAGGGAAGACGCTCGCGCGGGCAGACCGAGTCATAGGATTCGTACGAGGAAGCGCTTGCAATGCTGCGGGCGTCATCGTCCATACTATCGCCAGGGAGGGTATATCCGTCTGATTGGTAGCTACCCGAGGATATCTCGTCGTCCTGGACGACAGGACGAGCAGTCCGGTCGAAATCCATAGTTGCCGTCAATAAGCACCCCTTTCAAAATGACTCGGCGTTTTCTCGTTCAGGAAGGACAAGGGACGGGTCCTGTTCCGCGAGAGGGTGAGGAGGGTGAGAAAGAGGGGAAGTGAGCGAGTGATGTGACGTGCGCCCGTCAGCCTTAAGTAGAATAACAAGGTCCTAATGAGGCTCTGCTCGCTCCATCCCATCCTTTGGCAGCATCCCGTGCCCATGCATTCTTCCGTATTAGCCAAGCTGCATGGCAGATCGGGGGCTGCAGTTCGTGGAGCACAGCAGCTCTAGCTCTGGATAGGCAGACTCGCGAAGCGGCCGACTCCTGGACCCTCGAGGCCTCGGGAGGACCGTCTAGGCAATCGTGTCGCCGAACAGGTGAGCACTTCTGCCTGAATTACCTGGGCCAAGGCCAGAGACACGACCCTCGCACAGGATGGATGGTCTGTGTGACGGGCGATGAGCAGATGGTTGGACCCTCATCATGCAGGCTGCCGGCGCAGCACCACCGCAGCAAGATTCTAGTGGTGATCGGGGTCCGCTGCGTCAGCACCATATGCCGCCGACCGACGCAGTGTGAGGTTTGATGTGGTAGCTTCAAAGCCGTGACAGTTCCGATTGGGACGATTGCGTGCATGTACGTCTCTCTGGTGGTGGCTGGGGTCGCTTCTCGTTGGCCCGCGGGCCCGGTTTTGCGGCGCAGCCTGCATTCAGCTTACATCTTCCCCACGCCCGTGAGGTGTGGGCATGCAACCTCAAGTCACATGCTGCCGCGCTGACCTCGACTGACGGGGGCCGGCTTCCTGCACGTCAAGAGCCTTTAGAAGGTTCTCTCAAAGTTTGCTCAATGCAGTTTGCTCAAGACGAGCATCCGTCGGTGGTTGAGTTCACGCCAAGTTGGGCAGGAAGCCGTAACCTAAATGCATCTGTCAAACAAGTTCGGAACTTTGTAGGACCCTTGTTCTACACGAATAAGCCAAGACCTGGAGCAATCGAGTGTCCACATATGCGTGAGGGGGCAGGAAGCCAGATTCTATTTACAGCTGCTGTGTAGCTGTAGGTGTCTGACGATATCCATCTTTTATGGTGACAGTACCAACCACCTTATTGCGACTGAAATGATGAAGTCAGTGAGCGGTACACTATCGATAGCATTGCTGGCGTTGTTACAACCTACCTGATCAGCCCGAGTATCGAGCAGAACTGAATCCTTGAGATCTGACTAATATCGCTTATTTGTATTATCGTTTGCATGGCCGCAAGGAATGAGAGGCAAACAAAATGCGCCTCGAAATGCAGCTCATAATTCAGCGGTGGAAACGGTAGAACGAATATTTGACGGTCTCCAAGTAAAATACAGCGGAAAGTGTCCGCGTAAATAATCTATTTGATGAAGAAAGAGATCTTAGAGTAGGTGCACACGTGCCAGACGAAAGGTTACACGTGTTCTCAAGCCGCTTTCAAGACTGATACTGGCTGCATGACAGAAGAGCCAGACAAATTATTCTTTTGTGTCACTTTCAATTGCGTTGAATCAATGTGTTTATTTATTTCTTTATATATTTCTTTCTATTCCGAGTCGTATTGCATGTTGTCCAAGTTAGCCGCTGCTCGGGTGGAGTATCCCCGAGGGTCTCATCGTCCTCGGTCGAAGGCTGTTGTTTTACATCTGATAAAAGCCACGCAGAGCAGGACACGTGGTGCATCTGCCTCAAACATCATTGTGTGCTATTAATAATTGATATTAAGTAAATTTTACCGTCGTACGAAATAGGTTCAGTGATCCTAGCACTGATCCTTTGATGGGGCCTCATCCGACAGAACCCACATGGAACGAACTATCGTAGGTTCATGACTTAATTAGCGGGCCCTAATATACCGCAGTGAACCTTAACGGCCGCTAGAAAACGAACAGATCAACAACATCTTGATCCGGTCGGCCGGCTTTGTCCTCAGAACGGCCTGGACCAAAGACGGGCGGCAAACATGGTTTCGGTTGGGTTCTTGCCGGGAAATGATGCAAAAAGCCAATTTTGCCTTGTGAACACTACCAGTTGGGTACCAGTGCGTGCTCGCGCAGGACAAGATTAGATGATGCCATTGAGCCAACCAATCCCAACGTGTAATCAATTTGCTTCTTTCGCAATTCTCTACCCAGAGTCTCTAGAAAGGCAGCAACGTATGCCTAAGTAAAAGGCTTGTGAAAGACAAGGCTGCAATTATACCCCCTCTCCGTCTTTGAGGTCTATGCAATTGAAGCGCTCGTATTGTCTTGTCTGCAGATGACACGTCTTCTTGCCACGCTACAGCCTGCGATATTGCTATAATGGCGCGAGATAATAATCAAAGCTTTTCACATTACTGGAACATGTTGGCTCGCAGCGCCGTGTATGCAGTGTAACGTCCGATTGTAAGAGCGCCTTAGCAACAGGGCTGTTGGTGTGAACATATGGAATCCTTTGCATGTGCATTGCCTCGGATTACTATATCACCATCTAGGCCCCTTGATGATATAGCTATATACCGCGGTTAGCGAGAAAAGCTGAAAGACAGGCTAGAGACAACACTGAATTCAGTCTTGCTTGCGTGGATCCGACCCAATAGTAATATTGTTTGAATTACGAACAGCACTACACAGATCAATCACTCATTGGATAAAATGAAGCAGTTGATCATTCGAGGGTAGCATTTCAGCTCTTGGAATTCAATACTTCGGGCTCCAATCTTCAAAACCTACCCAAATAGTAGTTAGCTCTATCTGACAAGAAAACTTGGAATGATGATCACCTGGAGGAATGGATCCTGAGGGAGCTTTTGGTAAGCTGAGAAGAATCTATGACGAGTGGTCTTTGCAGGTCAGCGACAGGAAACTCTTCGAAGCTGATGCGCCTTTTTTGCACTTTCCAATCCTGTCCAAGATGTTCTTTGCAAGAGGACACGACACCCTTGGATTGGTTGGCATCGAGTAGTGAGAAGTGACAGAAACTTGTCCGCCTCACTCTGCCAGCTGATGTCGTATTTGTTGGTTGACCCCGTTTTCCCACAATAGTGGATCTCGACTTATACACGGCAATCAGTCAAGCAATTGCTCCATCGCGGCTGACCAACTTGCATTAGCCCCCAACACATGATAGCCAGTCGAATGCCTGGCCCATCCTTATTTCACTCCTGATAAGACATGCTCGCGGACGTCATTGTGGATTTATTTGGTTGCATAGTTGAGCATGGGACTACTTTGTGCGTAAAAGTTCTTGACAGCTCTGATAAGTGACATCCCGCGGGCCCGCATATCCGCCTCTACCATGCTCGTCTCCACTCACGATGTTTATTGATCCTCAATTAAGAGGAGACATATTGGCCCATCCATAATTTCCCTCCACCTCCACGTGGTTTCTCGCCCCAGTGATGGCCGACGTCGTGAGGCCCGCCGGCGCGGATCCTTCGGTGTCGGTTCAGCATGCAAGAGAGTACCATTCTTCGAGCCTCGGTCTTTCTAGCTGGAAAAGGTATACAAGTCCAAGTGGAGTGCAATTTAATTGGGTAATGACTACCGCGCCGCCGCATGGTGGCACAGGATGGCTCTTAGATCTCCACGTGGACCACTGGCTGATGTCGTGGCACCAACATGTGCATAACTACACCACCAACTCTTGCATTTGCCAACATCCATATCAGTGACTTGGAAATAGGGCCGGATCGCGCAAGCCTCCCCGATCCGATGACAATCATATTTTGCACGGCTGGGCGCCGCCATGGTCACGTTTCACCAGATGCGCGGCTTGTCCCGTTGGGATGTTCCGGAAATGGCTTTCCAATAGCCCTGCTGACTGCATACGTAGCGCTCCCTGCGTCGTATGCAGGGCGGGATTATCGCTTATCTTCACGATTGGAACGTGGGTGTGCGGATAAAGTGATCTTTGATTTAAGCTCACATAGCGCACAAAAAAAAGTGATAGCTGTGGGTATTACCTTTAGACAATCATGACACCCATGGATACTGGTGACGCGCCCTAATACAAGGAAACTCCGAATGACTCCCAACGATATAGTAGTAGGCAGAGATAGAAACCATGTTCCCAGTCATGTCTCACTCGCCTCTTGTAACGGACACTGATACGCTCTCCGTGATCCTGACGTTGTGAAAATCAGCCCAAGGGTTTGAGTCGCCCTTCTTGATCCACGCTTGCTGTTCCTCCCTGTCCCCATTGCATACGACGTACAGCCTTAGCCTGTCGTCGTTGTCGTAGAAGGGCTCGACCGCGGTGGGGCTGTAGAGGTTCTCCTTGACGACCGTGGTGGTTGCAATGACCTCGTCGCCGTCCTTGTCGAGGTCTATCCTCCATAGCCAGTCGTTGGCCATGCTCGAGGTCCACGCGGCGCTTGCGTCGGGAGCGATGGCCAAACCGTCGCAGTGCTCCACATCATCGCATATGATCTGCACAGGGCCCGTGGCTTTGATGCTGGGCCCGTCGGTGGAGATGGGGAAGCGACAGAGGGTCCCGGCGCTGGTGTTTGTAAACCAGACGTAGCCGACTGCGATGCGCAGGCGGTTGAGCCCGAACGGGGCGCCGTCGACCGCCTTCATGCTGGGGTCCTCCATCAGCACGGAGCTCTTGCCCGTGGCGATGTCCAGGCTGCAGATGCGGTTGAGGAAGGTGTCGGCCACCAGCAGAGTGTGCTCGTTGACTGGGATGATGCCGATTGAGAAGCCGTAGTCGTCCAGGTCTGCCAGCTTGGTGACGGTGACGTCCGACGTCTCGGAGAAGGCGACGCGCCACACGGTATAGTACTTGTTATTAAACTGCATGTCGTCTATGTCGGGCCTACCGCTGATGACGGCGTACTCATCGTGTCGGCCAGGGATTGGGCACAGATTGATGAGGCCTGTGGCGTCTTCGAAAATGTGCACCTCCTCGGGCTCGGCTTCCCTGTCCTCGGCATCAAAGGTGTACAGGACCGGCTCGTCCAGCCGCGACACTAGCAGGTAGCCGTTGGGCCGGATAGCAAAGCCTTCGAACCAGGCATTCTGCGGCAGCTGTGTGATGAGGTGGATGTCTTCTTCGAGCATTTTGACGGGTTGTGATTTGTTTTTTATTTTTTGGAGATGACGAGGAAGTTTTAGACTACCGCGTCGCTGGTACGGCGCGTGTACCGGTGTGTCCAGGCGGGCCCAGGTGCGGAGATGTCTCAGCTGCTTGTTGACGGGGTGGCGGATCGCAACCCAGATTGCGTGCCAGTGAGCGTGAGCGTGAGCGTGCAGCACATGAGAGAGAGACCCAACGTTGCGCGCGCCCCCAGGCTCCTGTGCGTGTGTATGTGTGTGTGTGTGTGTATGCGTGAGAGTGTGTTATGTGTCAGCGAGCTGCTATGATAAGGAGCGTGTGGAATCCCAACGAGGTCATCCTAGTTGCGGGAGCAAATGAAGAGATCTGGACGCAGAGGCTCCACGCGCTGGCAGTAAGATAAGTAGTATGGGATGGTGAGGTAGGTTGAGAATAGGGCGAGACGAAGCAAAGCCAGTGAGAGGAGAATACAGTCAGGTTGTTTGGGCGCCAGCAAGGGGAGATTACCCCAGAATGTAGAGGCCAGAAGCAAGCTGGGCAGCGGAGCACGAGTGGAAAGATTTTCCCAACCTTGGAGGATCTCCAGTGCCGGGAATCCTTTCCGCCTAGCAAAACCTCTTCCCCCTCCACCCCCTTTGCATCTCAGGCCCCCACATAAACGGACTCAAGGTTCCAAGCCATTATCGAACAATCCTTGCCTAATCCAGACTACGCAACAGGACCCACTACCACTGCACCGGTAGCTTCCGCGACGTGTGGCTGTCAGGCCGTCAGGCTGTCGCGGCTGTCGATGCCCTCCCTGTCTGCCCGGCCTGTCCATTTTTGGCCTAACACTCGGCCGCTCTTTGTCTGGGTCTTTGTCTGACCTTCTCTCTCTCTTCCTCTCGCCAACTTCTCACTTCTCACGCACCCCTCCCACACTAACCCCCGCCGAGATTGTCCATCCATGTGGGTCGGCCTGGCCGGATGGCGAAGGTCGTGCGATGTGACCCTGCCACATCTGATTCCACGAGCCCTCCAGGAACGCATCCACCCTGTCGGTAGCTGGCCGACACTCCATTCCCTCGCGTACCAACAGCGTCAGGTGGATGGGTTGGAGGCAGCTTAGTAGTGGCCCATTGGGCAGTCTATTGCATGTTGGCAGCAAGAGCAAGTTTTGAGGCGATCAGGATGCAACGGCGAGGGGTAAAAGTGAAAGGATCATGGGTCCACGATGCTCACAGGGCCCCATGGCGACCTCGGGTAGTCTAAGAATGGCCTACTGGGGAGACTAGACGGACGGACGGCGGGCGAGCGTTGGTGTCCAGAATGATGCTCTGCTCCCGAGGACTTGTTATTATTATTACATGCCTGGTCCTGGAAACCCGGCCATTCCCCCTCGCTCATCATCTCCTCTTGAAATTTACTGTATGAACTCGCTTGTCTTCTGTTTCGCCATCCTTGTCTGACCACGTGTGATTTCTGTGCATTGCATTGCGAGCGTTGAAGTTTGCGGCAAAATTAATCAGTTTCATGCATACAAAAAGGCACGGGCTTCAGTTGTGTGCACGTTCGGTTCCCACCACGAACACCCTCCCTTCCACTGCTGGCTGATTCCGGATACCACTCGCCGGCATGGGGGACACTTTTGGCGATGCCACAGCGCCCATTGCCATAGTGGGTGTGTCCGGGCGCTTCCCCGGTGACGCCTCATCGCCAGATAACCTGTGGCAGCTCATATCCAAGGGGCGCTCAGCCCTGGCCGAGGTGCCGAGGGACCGATACAACATCGATGCTTTCTATCACCCAAGTGCCGACCACCAGGGCACGCACAATGCGCGGGGCGGGTACTTCGGTGAGTGGGCGCATACACACAGACACACTGACCGGCCAGCTCCTCTGTGACGCTGCTAATGCAGTCCTTTTAAAGTCAGGGAAGATGTTGCGACATTCGATGCCCCATTTTTCAGAATCACAGCCCAAGAGGCCCACGCTATGGATCCTTCCCAGAGGCTGGCGCTCGAATTGAGTTATGAGGCCTTAGAGAACGGTAGGGATCCGCGCCAGAACCCCCCTGAAGTCCGAGTGCTGATCTTCCGCAAGCGGGCATCTCGATTGAAGCTATAGCCGGCTCGCGAACGGGATGTTACATGGCAACTTGTCTTCGCGACTATGCCAATTTACGTGCCACAGACCCGCATGAGTACCCGTAAGCTCTGATTGGATTGCTGTAACGCTTAGGGAACGACACTTAGTGACAATAATGTAATAGTCGCTATGAGGCCAATGGCAGTATGGGAACCGCCATGATCTCGAACCGCATCTCGTGGTTCTTCGATCTGAATGGCCCGAGTCTGAGCCTGGACACGGCGTGTTCCTCATCGCTGGTAGCTCTGCATCTCGCAGTCCAGAGTATACGATCGGGAGAAACTACACAGGTCAGGATACCTGCACCCGATTCATCGGGACCAATTGAATCAAAAGAGAGAGAGATTGAGGCTAACTTGGCGTGCAGGCTCTTGTAGGGGCGACCAATCTGATTCTTATGCCCGAGACGTCAAACCATCTCAGCACCTTGACGTTTCTTAGTCCGGATGCAAAGTCCAAGACATTTGATGCGAGCGGTATGCAAGCCCCCTTATCACAATGCCACCCTTCATGACCGGGGATGTCGTTAGAAGTCTTCCGTAATCCCTTGCCGTCGCATTTTCGGAAAGGCCAGGGCGGACATCGTCATTGGGTGCCACATGATACAACATAAGCGCTCACCGAGCAGTGCATTCTCTGCTACGGTACTGTATAGTTATAGATATATGGATTCAGTTCTGACTCATAATGTTGCAGCAAACGGATACGCCCGTGGGGAAGGCGTCTGCGTGATCCTCGTCAAATCCCTGGCAAAGGCCCTCGAGGATGGCGACTCGATCCGAGCCGTCATTCGCGGCACGGCCGTCAATCATGACGGTCGAACGCCAGGGATCAATCTGCCGTCTTCGACTGCGCAGGAGGCTATGATTCGATCCGCTTACAGCAATGCTGGTCTCGCTTACTCGGAAACCGGTTACTTTGAGGCCCATGGAACTGGGACTGCAGCAGGCGATCCCTTGGAGGCGGCCGCTGTTGGTCGAGTCTTTGCATCAAGCAGGAAGGCCGGACAGCCCCTGTACATAGGCTCTGTTAAGAGTAATATTGGCCATTTAGAAGGTGGCGCGGGACTAGCTGGTCTTGTCAAGGCTCTGTACATCCTGGAAAAGGGTCAGATCCCATCGAACCTATGGCTGCAGAATGTGAACCCTAAGCTCGATTTGGATGGCTGGGGACTCGCTGTCAGTATTGTCCAGCTCTTCTTTCAAAGCCTCCTGACACAGGACTGATAACAGCTATACAGATTCCCACATCGCTCACGCCTTGGCCCACCAGTGGGCTTCGGCGGATCAGCGTCAATTCCTTCGGCTACGGCGGGACAAACGCCCACTGCGTCCTAGATGACGCGTACCACTATCTCACGAGCCATGGCCTCTCAGGACGCCACAATACCAGTCCGCTCGTCCCGCGCGAACCCTCAAGCCCGGGTGTGTGTTCTGACTTGGCCTCCTCGTCTTCAGGGTTCAGCACACCCAACTCAGAGCAGGAAACCGGGCTCTCTCTGGGCTCTGTTCTGAGAAATGCAGCCGAGCCAGCTACTCCCAAGCTGCTCGTCTGGTCCTCTCACGAGCAGGGAGGCATCACCCGTACAGCAACGAAGCTAGCCTCCTACCTCAGCGAACGCCAGTTCCCACCAAAACCGGCACTCCTATCGCGTCTCGCCTACACCCTCTCAGAGCGCCGTAGCCACCTCGCCTTCAAATCTTTCGCCGTTGTCGAGTCCATAACATCCGCCGCCACCTCCCTCGCCACTCCAGCCAGGCCCATCCGACCCGCCTCAGAATGTCCCACCGCCCTCTTCATCTTTACGGGCCAAGGAGCACAATGGGCGGGCATGGGCCTCGAGCTGATGGCCTATACCACATTCAAACAGCGCATGATCGAGGCCAGCGCCCACCTCAAAGCCCTCGGCTGCGGGTGGGATCTGGTCGAGGAGATCAGTAGCCCGCGCATCAACGAGCCGCAGGTCAGCCAGCCCGCATGCACGGCCGTGCAGGTTGCGCTGGTCGACTTGCTGGCGGATTGGGGCGTGAGGCCTGCGCTGGTGGTCGGGCACAGCAGTGGCGAGATCGCGGCTGCCTACGCGAAGGGGGTCATCTCTCGTTCTGCGGCGTGGACCATCGCATACCACCGCGGTAGACTCTCTGCTAGCCTCGACGCGGGCGGCAGGGAGCTGGGGATGTTGGCTGTTGCGCTCGGCAAGGAGGAGACACAAGAGTATATCGACCAGGTGAAGATTGAACCAAAACCTGTCGTTGCTTGCATCAACTCTCCTGTGAGCGTAACCGTCTCGGGCTCAGCGGACGGGCTGCAGGAAGTGCAGGCCTTAATTGGCAGTCGGGCGTTCAGCAGGAGGCTGGTCGTCAAGGCGGCATACCACAGCCCGTTTATGGAGGATCTTGCTAAGCCCTACCTGGAATCTCTGAATGGCATTGAAAAGGAGAAAATCGAGCCAAATAATGGTGTCAAGATGTTCTCTTCTGTCACGGGCACCGAGGTCTCTGCGGAAGCACTGAGAGAACCTCAGTACTGGGTCGACAATATGGTGTCTCCCGTCAGGTTTCACCAAGCTGTCGATGCTACTCTCGACCACGCCCAAGCCCTCTCACTTTCAGCATCCCTCGTGCTCGTCGAGTGCGGTCCTCACAGCGCATTGAAAGGCCCTGTCCAGCAAATACTGAGAGCGCACCAAAACATCGATGCCGCAAAGATACCCTACATCAGCCTTTTGACCCGCAAGGAGGATGCGGTCGCAACCGCCCTGACGGCCGCAGGCACACTCTGGCAGCACGCACTTCCGGTCAAGCTCGCAGTGGTGAACTCGACAACCTCGATTCCAGAGGAGCTGACTCACCTCGTCGACATGCCATCCTATGCATGGAACCACAATTCCCGCTTCTGGTACGAGACGCCTCGCACAAGGGCGTACCGGATGCGCGTCGACCCGCGGCATGACCTTCTTGGCACGCTTGATGAGTCGTGCCCAGACACCACTGGCGAGCCCGTTTGGAAGAATTACCTGCGCCCAGCTGAGGTGCCATGGCTGAAACATAACATGCTCCGTGGCCAAACCGTCCTCAGCTTTTCCGGCATGCTGGCACTTGTCCTAGAGGGAGTCAGGCGGACTGCCGACCCCTTGAAGACGGTTGTGGGCTACCGGTTCCGCGATGTTTTCCCAGGCCCGCCGTTGGCTCTTGATGAGATCGACGAGAGTAGTGTCGAGACACGGCTTGCGTTGCGAGCATGGCGAGCTGGTAGCCGCAGTCTTACAACGTACTGGCGCGAATTCAGCTTGTCCAGTCGAGATAGGAGCGGTGCTTGGACGCAGCACAGCTCGGGACTCGTGCAAATAGAGTATACTGCGCTCGACGCGACCACCAAAGAGGCGTGGAGGTCTCAGTGGAATACTATGAACGCCGATGAGAGTGCAAAGCCTCGGGCCATTGGTCAGTTCTACGATACTGTGAGTCAAAACCCTCTCATTCCAAACCGTTTAGAAGTCAAAAGCAGCTGACAGATTGTTCCAGTTCTCCGACCTAGGTCTACAATGGCAGCAAGCCTACCAATCCCTTCACTCCACCAAAATATCCGGCAGCCGCCGTTCCGCCACTGGGTTTATCCAGATACAAGACACAGCGAGTCTGATGCCTGAGAACTTCGAATCCAAACATGTGGTACATCCTACCACACTTGAGGGCGCATTCCAGCTGCTATCCGCCTGCGATGGCGGCGGTCGCGACAAAATCAGAGTCCCCAAGTATATTGAGAACATCTTCGTATCTGCGTCGATCTCGCCACTGGCGCCAGGCACAATGCTCGGTGCGTTTGGTTCAATCAACGAGAAATGGGCCGATGGCACCAACTCAACGGTCGTTGTGTCCGACTCATCCTTCTCGGAGCCTCTCCTTGTCTTCGAAGGTTTCAAGACAACAGACTTGGATGGCGAAACTGGGGCCGAGGCGCCTAGTGCCGAAGCTACAACTAGGTCTCTGACAAAGTTGGGTGCCGTTCCCGTCTGGGACATCGATGTCGAGAACTCTCCTGCCGATGCAGTTCGAGCGATTCTGCAGAAGACGTGGACAAAAGCCACCAATGCGGATTACGTGTCTATCAAAGACCTCGAGTGGGCCGCTTACATCCTCTGCAAGCGTGCAACCCAGATGTTCACATTGGAACAGGCGGGCAGCATGGCCAAACACCACCGAGTATTCTACAAATACATGAAGCGTCAAGTCGACCTCTCCAAGACTCTAGACAGCTCTCTTCCGTGCCAGACAGCGGCCTGGTTGTCAGCCGATCAGGCCACAGAGAATGCCGTTCTCTCCCGCGCAGCTGCAGCCTCGACGGAAGGCAAGATGCTGGTCCGAATTCTGGACAATCTGCACGACGTCCTGACAGGCGTCATTGAGCCGTGGGAGCTCATGAATGGCGACGGGCTGCTGGAGGAAATGTACCGCTCTGGCCTGTCAGAGGAGAAGACGCCCGCCGTACAGTGCGAGTTCATCTCTCTACTCTCGCACAAGCGGCCTCTTCGAATCCTCGAGGTTGGCGCTGGTACTGGGTCCGCGACAAGCAAGATCCTCAAGAAGCTCGGCAAGGCAAACGTGGCCAAGTACACCTACACGGATATCTCTGCTTCGTTCTTCCAGCAGGCGAAGGAAGAGTTCAAAGAGTGGAGCAGCTCTGGCGTCATGCACTTCAAGGTATTCAACGCGGAGCTGGACCCGGGCAGTCAAGGCTTTGACCTTGGATCGTATGACGTTGTGGTTGCTTTCCAAGTCCTCCACGCCACGAAAAGAATGGACGAAACCATCGCCAACTGCCGCAAGCTGCTCCAGCCTGGCGGGTACCTTGTCGCCACGGAGCTCACAAGCAAGGTTGCTCGTCGGTCTGCCGTCTTTGGTGTGCTGGCCGGGTGGTGGCTCGGCGAGGAAGACAATCGACTGAACGGGCCTGAGATGCTCGAGGGTGAGTGGGATTCCAGGCTCAAGCGCAACGGATTCGACGGCATCGAGTGGTCCTTCAGGGACCGTGAGGACGAGGGTTGGTCGAGCAGTGTTATGGTGGCGCGCGCGACAACGCAGCAGCACCAGACGACGACTGAAGCTGACAAGGTCATTGTGGTCACTTCTCAGACTGCGCGCCCGTTAGTCCAGGAGTTGTCCAAGAAGCTGACTGAGTCTGCCCGCACGGTCCAGTACATGTCACTGAGCGACATTGCCACTGCCACATTCGAAGACCTTGCAACAGCCAAGTGCATCGTTGCCGTCGAGCTTGAACAGCCACTGTTCAGCCGAATAGACGAGAAGGCGTTCCAGGCCATCAAACAAATCATTCTTAAGGCACGCAGCACAGTATGGCTGACCCAGGGCGGCTCCCCTCTCGAGTGTACAAACCCAGAACACTCCATGTTCACTGGTCTAGCACGCTCGATCCGAGGTGAAGAGCCCGGCATCAACCTTGTGACGGTCGACATAGACCCAAAGAGCTCTGAGTCTGTCTCGGTCGACAGCATTTTGCACGTCTTGAGACTCCAGGACGAGGAGCGCAACAACGAGTACGAGTTTGTTGAGCGAGGCGGTGCCCTACACGTCAGCAGAATCACACCAGACGAGCGTCTCAGCAAGCTTCTCTCCTCCGCAGTCCAGGATGACAAAGACGCAGTCGTCGATGGAAAGCCCACGCCGCAGCCTTTGAGGCAGAATGGCAGGCCGCTGAAGATGGAACTCTCCAAGACCGGCGACCTAGACAGCTTCGTGTTCCGAGACGACGATGGTTTCTCTGCGCCACTCGGCAGTGACCAGGTCGAGATCGAGGTCAAAGCCGTCGGGCTCGACCCGTACGACATGGCCATTGCCGTGGGTCAGATCTGGGACACACAGCTCGGCGTTGAGTACAGCGGAGTTGTGACTCGCGTTGGCCCCGCCGTGTCCAACGTCGCCATCGGTGATAGAGTAGCAGCGTTCGGCATCGAGCCGAATTGGTATAAGACATACCTCCGCACCAGCAGCGCGGCGGTGCACAAGCTCCCAGAGGGCATGACCTTTGAAGACGGCACGAACATCATGAGGTCATATGGTGTGGTGAAGTACGGACTGGTCAACTCTGCGAGACTCGAAAAAGATGAAGTTATCTTGATCCACGATGCTACCACAGCGCTTGGCATGGCAGCTGTCAATGTCGCGCAGCACATTGGAGCCGAGGTGTACGCTACTGTGGCTGGTGAGGCAGAAAAGAGTATCCTTGTTGAGAAGTGCGGCGTGCCTCTCGACCATATCTTCGGCTTTGCTGGTTTCTCGCAAGCGATCAAACACGCGACATCACAGGGTGGAGTCGACGTCGTGCTAAACAGCTCTATGACTGGAGAAGCACTGAGGCAGTCGTGGCACTGCCTGGTGCCTTTTGGTCGATTCATCGAGCTCGGCATGAAGGACATGAGATCGAATACTGGTCTGGACATGGTTCCCTTTGCTTCCAACACCACGTTCACCGGCGTGAACATGAAGTGCATGCTATACTCTAACCCCAGGCTGTTCACTCGCATTTTCGCAGACACGATGCAGTACCTCGAGAAGGGTATCATCAAGGCCACACCGCTGCATGTGCTGAAGCTGTCCGAGGTGGCTGAGGGTTTCAGGACCCTGCAGTCTAGGTCTAAACTCGGAGGAGGCCGCGTGGTTTTGAAGATCGATGAGAGTGACATTGTTCCTGTCATCGGTGAGAGGCTGACACAACCACTGGAGCTCCGCCCTGATGCAACCTATTTTGTCCCTGGAGGTCTCGGCGGTCTAGGCCGACCTCTTCTGCGCTGGATGGCAGAGAAGGGCGCCCGTTACTTTGTGACAACGTCCCGCTCCGGCAGTAAGGATGCCAAAGCGCAGGCGTTGGTCCAGGAGCTCTCGGAACAAGGAGTGAGCATCAAGGTCTTTGCGAGCGACATCAGTGACGGAACCGCACTGGAAGCTGTGTTGTCGCTTGTCTCTACTTCTGGCTTCCCACCGATCAGGGGCACTGTCGTCTGCTCGATGAGCGTGCAAGATACAATGTTCGAGACCATGACCCACTCTGACTTTGTTGCCGCCACGCAACCCAAGTACAACGTCACCCTCAACCTGCACAGACAGCTCTCCAAGGAGCTTGACTTCTTCATCTGCTTGTCCTCCGCGGCTGGGCAGATTGGCTCCATCGCGCAGGGCAACTACAACGCGGGCAACAACTACCAAGATGCGCTGTGTGCTCATCGAAGATCTCTGGGCCTGGCAGGAACCAGCATCAACCTCGGCTGGATGGGCGAGATTGGTTTCGTGGCCGAGTCCGACCGCGCCAAGGTGCCGCAAGTCGTGCGGGATGGAGTGAGGGACCTGAAAGCGAGCCAGTTCTTCGCCATCATGGAGGCGGCCATGAGCAACGACGAAGCTGTGTCCAGGGGTCAGCCTGTGCTCGGTCTCGCCACTGGAGGCCTGATCAAGCACGCAGGCCGGGACGAGCCTTACTGGTTTAGAGATGCGAGATTCTCCGCCATGCGTGTCTACGATACACATCAGTCCAAGAGCGAGAACACAACACAGATTGCAAACGGCGCGGATATAAAGTCGACGCTGGCTTCGGCAAAGACTTTTGAAGAGGCGAAAGGGATTGTTCTGTCGGGCCTCATGGCCAAGCTGGCCAAGGGGCTGATGATGGAGATTGACGACATGGACGCCAGCAGACCCATAAATATGTATGGCGTTGATAGTCTGGTTGCGGTCGACATTAGAGCGTGGGCGTTGAAGGAGGTCCAAAGCGTCATACATGTGAGCGAAATACTTAAGAGCATGCCCATGGCGGATTTGGCGGGCAAGATGGCGGAAGCATCGAAATTGGTGGTACACTGATAATGCTGCATTAGATAAACTTATACCCATAGCTAGACCATGTTTTATGTTGTTCTTGTTTTCTATCGCCTGTTTGTCATTATGGCCTGTTTGATCTTACTGCCTGCTTGTCTTTATTATCTGTAGGATAGGGAAACGAGATGAACCAATGAATTTCAGTGAACTCTTTTACAAGCATGGTATGGTCGGCAATATCACACATTCCCATATTTGAATGGTTTTGAAATCCGGACCCAACACAAGTCCATCGGGTCGTTTTCTCGAGCAATGCTGTATTGAATCTAGCAAGGGCAAAATGCGGATCCTCATCTAACACCCTGCGACTCAGGCATTCTCTGGCAGTGCATCGATATCTTCATCCATTTTGTGGACATTATTGCGATGCCACTGCCTGGCTTCTCACTCTTCAAAAATCTCCTCGCATACGCCAGAGTGAATCGGAATTTGGAATCAAATATCAGCACGAAGCCCTCACGTTTTGTGTACGCAGCACAGGGGAATGCCTGACGGCGGCTGTGCTTGTAGACCGCCACGCACAGCCACGACTGGAATGCCGGACTGCCAGACGGCTTGCAGGCGTCTGCGACCCTCGGAGGACCTATCAAAATCTCAATGCTACGTCGTTACGTCACTGCGTGCGCGTTGTTTCTCGTGGGCGACAGAAGCAAGGCCATGCAAGCTACATTCATCACCTTATCTAAGCAATGCATATGGCTGCCCCTCGGATCTTACGCTTCATCGCCCCGATCTGCCCATCCGCATGAATCGACCCAGAATTCCCGATACCGGCACATGCGCCCCGGCCCGCGGCTTGGCTTTGGTCTCGGTCGACGGTTGACAGCTTGGCAAAACCTGGTCGCTGCTCAAGTGTGGCCCAGGTGTTGCATAGTTGGAACTGTGGCCTAGCTGCTTGGTTGCCTCGATCAAGTTTGCGGAAAGGACGGCAAATGTAGGTATCAAAAGGCTGCGATGTGTTTCGCAGCGGGCGGGAGTTTCGTCATGTCACCGCCAGTCCCCCACGTGCCCTGCATGAATGGTGGCCGGTGGTTGGGCATGAGTGGAACAGGTTGTCGCCCAGCAGATATAGCCCATTGACTCTACATAAAAGTTCCCTTGCCAAGGCTTATTTCTCTCTTTCATGATCCTTATCTCCTCCATCAACATTACGAACCGCTGTGTACCTAATCCCTTACCTGTCCCACCCCAGCCCCGGAAGAAGACCCCATTCAGCCTCCACGATGCCGATCTCGAACTACGGCCTTTGGAAGTGCACGCCCTCGAGCTGGAACGGCCAAGGTTGGGCTCCTACACGCTGGGACAAGCGTTCAAGTATGCGCTGCAATCGTTGTTCTAACCAAGATCCTAGCTAGTAGCACACATGGGCACCTCGAGTTCACCGATGGCACTAATAGCAATAAGACCTACGAGGCAGACGTCAATATCTCGTCCACGGGCAGCGACACGCGCCTCGTCTATTGGTTCGTCTCCAATTTCAACCCGAAGCAGCCCTCCACCGCCAAGCTGTCTGCCTTGGACATGGGCTTCTCCACCCAAAAGGGCAGCTCGTCCCTCGCACTCGATTTCCTCCGCGAGGGCTTCTTGACTCCCTCAGCCGGCACCTTGGTGTCACACGACCCCAGTGACCCCACCGAGAAGGGTGACATCAGCGCCTATGTAGATCCCGTCATGAACCAGGCGGTAGAGGAGAAGGCGACTCTGTACATCTGGGGTAGTCATTACAGCGACACCAACGGTTCAGAGGGAATCCACGACATTCACAGTAAGCAGCTTCCAGATACAATCTTAGCTCCTCCAGGGAGGATCATCTGCCATACATGTGGTCTATTTCAGTACTTGAACCAAAGCCTTTTGTTAGGCTGCAGTTTTCGAAACGGGCGCTGGGAATATGGTGGTCTACTTCGATCTATCTTTGAGCAGAACTTCTTCCTTAGTGCTTTGATGGCTGACTCCAAATGCTACAGTGAACCAGGGAGACTCGGGTAGTTTTGAGAAGGAGAACGGCACATACCAGGACGGCGGGATTGTAATTCAGTTCGCAGACGGCTCCTGGCACGGCATTTTCCTCGCGTTTGCCACGGAGACGCTCACGACGGACGACAATGGTGACCCAGAGGGACAGACGTTTGCGCAGGCTTTAGGCGGTGGCTCGAGCAGCGGCACCGCCACGGAATACGCCACCAAGAGCCATGCGACCAAGGGCAGTGTGGGCATCGAAGCTGCAGTGGTCAACCCTAAGGGTCCGGACCATGAGGCTAACAAGGGCATGGGGGAGAGGATTTATGTACAGAACCGCGGTGCCAGTGATGTGAGCCTCAAAGGTTGGAAAATTGAGAATGGACACGGGCAGGTACAGTTGCTGGGTGACGATGCACAGGTCAGCGCTCACAGCAAGCACTGCTTTGAGGTGCCCGAGGCGGAGCTCGGGAACAGAGGCGGCAAGATTGTGTTGAAGGACGCAGATGGCCACACGGTCAGCGAGGTCAGCTACACGGAGAAGCAGGCCAAAAAAGAGGGACATCTGCTATACTTTGCCAACTAAGTAATGCCATTGGAGACTCTTCGTGGAGAGAGTTTATAAATCAAGTTACAAATTAACAGAGAGGTCCTCCATATTTTCGGGCATTTTCCTGATATTTAAAGCAGTGCCAATGTTCAGGCAACCGGAGAGATATTCCATGATGTGTTCGTTGTAGCTGTGACTGGGACGCTTAACACTCCATATAGATTCTCATTATAAGATCAGATCGTTGCAGCCTGCTGCACGCCCAGCGATCACGGTACATGTCGTTGGACAGGTATTGTTGCTCGGTTATTTCTATGTACTATGCCATTACTGCTACGTGGAGAGTCAAGGTAGATTTCGCATACTCCTGCACTTGTGGCGTCGGCTCGTACGGTGCCAATAAATGTTCGAAATTCTGATTTAAATTTCAACGCCTAGAGAATAGCGTAAAGAAACAAAAAGAGAAGGAAAACACCGCGAAACCCATTTTCTCCCATGGCGCTTTATCCTGTGGTCTTTGAGTGTTGATAACGGGATCCCTTTCCTAAGTGAAATTTTGGAAAATTATTATACCAAGATATGAGATATACATCCATTTTGCACGCTTTCAACTAATAAAGCTTAAAATCCATAGAGGTCTCTAGTCGCATGAAACCTTGGCAGGCTGACAGCCATACAAGGGGAAAATTAACTTTACGTCCGTAGTCACATGATACTCCATACGACTTCCTCCCATGCTTGCGGCTGAAGACACTCAACGAAACATTTACAATTGGAATGACTTCGCTCTAGATTAATAATGCTATGATGCATTGGGGTTCGAGGGAGGCAGCCCTTTGCTACTTCCATTGACTGCAACACCCCCTGTCCCGTAGTAGTGAGCTGCAGCCGTAAGGTTGGTGTCATGATTGCTGCTTAGATCTACAGCAACAGTGATCCACGCCAGCAGTCCATCCTCCAAGTCTTCGCCAAGCTGCACGTACTCCACAAATGGATCGTAGTCCGTAGTGGCTTCCTCCAACATCCAACCATCCACCTCCCACGTGGTGAAAGGGATGGTGTTTGTGTTGTATGGAGTCGTCGCCTCGACAGCCTGCACAAGCGCATCGTCAAAGTATAGCTGCCCGATGTGAAGAGTCGTCCCTCCGGTGTATGTGTCATTGGGCTGCACAGTGTAGTTGTTCTGCAAGACCACGTGCAGATGTGTAACGCGATCATCGTAGTGCCCAGGGAAGAGGGTATCGAAGCTGGCCACCCCCTCGGAGTCCGCAATCTGGACGCCGCGAAGGAACGTCGAGTTCAGGCCTCCCTCTCCTTGGCTCGTGTCGATGCCGGAATACACTCCTGTGCTATTGCAATGCCAGATGTCGGCGAGAACTTCAGGAATGGCCTCGCAAGTATTCATGTCAACAAGCTGCAGTTCTATATGCATGGGAACGCCGGCTTGTCCCTCGGTGATGTTGGATCGAATGTATTCCCCGGTCACGTAGTACGGTCCGATAGTGGTCTCAGGGACGAGCGCACATGTGTTGTTAGAACCGAAGATGGTGTCCTCCGGAGTCTCGATTGTGTATCCTGTCGAGGATTTGTTGTGACTTTCAGATGCGTAGTATTCGAGCATTGTGAGGTCCCTCTTGTGATGGGACATGCGCTCTTCACATCCACCGTCAGTCGTCGAGTCCCATTCTGTTACGACTGGATTAAAGGAGATTCTAGACATACCTGTTGCCAATCCGCGTCTTTCTCGAAGCTCCATCGCCTTGGCTGCTCGGCGAGCAGCGCTGCGTTCCTTCAAGGCCACTGCTTGAGGTGAATTCTGGCATTTGGCTAATGCGCGGCTGGCGTATGCGTGCTGAGTGTTACGTTGGGCCATCTCCCGCTTGATTGCCGCGACATTCTCCCCCGGGTGAGCGAGCGTGGCTGCCGGAAGTAGTGCCAATACGGCAGCTAATGTTTGTAAGCTCATCATTTCTGCTGGTCAACGTCGAAGATAATTCAAAATGATCTCAAACAAGTCAGCGTCCCTCACGAGGTCTTCCAGCTTGGTGTTTTCCAGTGCTGGGCGTGCTCAGAGACGAAGCGCCATTACATTTCGATATGCATTATATTTATCTACATATCTTTGCTGGATTCCCCCCTTTAATCGGCACAATACGTCAGCAGGGCCTGAGAGCGAGAGCTCCACCTGTCGTGGTAAGTCAAGGTCGATGTTGTTCCCAGTTGGGTATGGATTGGCTCATGGATCCACAAGTATTCAATTAAGTATCCAATACACTTGTGTCATTTTCTAAGCCCAGGTATCTATATATGTGGATGTGCTCATGAAGACCTACTTTGTAAAGAACAAGCAAGCAAGCGGCATGTGGGGGGACGTGGGTAAATATCTAGGTAGTTTGATCTTGGCGAGTTGTACGCGTCCTGCATTACGTTAGTCTCTCAGGGGAACGTGGATCCCACCATGACGCGAGAGAAAGTGACGAGTGGCACAGTTCTAAATGGTCAGCATGTGCACCATCATGGGTCCTGCAATTTTCAAGTTTTCATTTTCTCTTTCGAATGTTTCAAATCAATGTAGAGCTTCCTCTTCGACACCACGCGATACTGTACCGTGGTTATGCGGTGAAATGTGGGGCGTGTATGCTACTAATAAGCAATGCGAATAGTTCTCTGGAACAATATTCCTCACCCTCTTCCCCCAATCTCTTTATTTATAAGCTACTTGCTTAAAGTGAACGCTAATCTATTTTCTGTCACAATGTATTAAGATAGCATAATTTATGGGCCTTCTTGAATCTGGCGACAGCAACTTCACACCACGATGTCTTACACAGCTATTTTGCATGCGTCCTGTTACCAGAAATCACCGATACACCAATGTACTAAGAATTGAAAACAAAGAAGTGGCTTCACATATCCCGTTTATATTCACTAACGAACTTAGTCATTAGTCGCAGGCTCTCTGAGTCGGACGTTCGAGGTTTTCCCGTATATCCGAGAATGTATGCTTCCGGGGTATAGTTTTGTGAAATATTCTATCGGGCCTCTTTTTGTTATGCGGGGTACCTTTGTATCTCAAAGGGTTCTTCATTATTAAAATTCTTTGGCATTGGAAAAGGCAGAGTTTAAAAGTCTATGGGCGAGGAATCGGAATTACGGAATAAAGAGGACCACAATTCCCCGGCGCCCCGACGGGATGTTCAACTTTCAGAGCATAGAATCAAATGGGACAGTATAAAACCACATCAGAGATTCAACTTTCTCTTTGGAGACTGGCAATCAATAAAATTCACTCTACTGGCTAGATCCTGTACCCAAAACTCTATCGTTATTCTTTGTGAAAATGGACGATCTACAGCTACCTGTGGTCTGGCGTGATGAACCTGAGTCGTCCCAGAAGTATGAAGCACAACGCCGACGAGTGTTTACTCTGCGCGTTCCCAATCGCTACCCCATTGCCATCGTACGTCCACGCAACGTTGCACAGGTGGTTTCTGCTGTGAAGTTAGCTGTCCAGAAGGATAAGCGTGTCGCCATCCGCTCGGGTGGACACAGTTGGGCATGTTGGAGCTTGCGCCAGGACAGTGTCCTAATAGATCTCGTGGACTTCAAATATCTGAGCTACAATGATTCCACCGAAATACTGGAGGCAAGCCCGGGAACAATTGGCACTGAGCTGGCGGAATATCTACGGCCGAGGGCGAGATTCTTGCCCGCCGGCCATTTCGCCTCGGTGGCTTTAGGTGGGTTCATTTTACAAGGAGGGATGGGTCTGAACGCGAGGGTGAGTTGATTTCAGAGTGACTTCATTTCTGTACTACTGACGCAAACAGGGATTTGGTTGGGCGGCCTCGTTTCTCCAAGCGATTGATGTCGTTACTGCTAAGGGCGAGATATTGCACTGTGATAAGGAGCAGCATTCAGATTTATTCTGGGCAGCACGAGGCGCCGGTCCAGGTAGGTTTCTCGCAAGGCCGCTTGCGTGGGAGACTTGGCTGATAACCACCTCAGGATTCCCTGCTGTTGTCACAAGGTTCTACTTGAAAACGATGCCGGCCTTTCCAATCCAGCTTAACAGCACTTATATTTATCCCATCGCTGAATATGATGCATTGAAGACCTGGATTAATGAGGTATTATACGCCGCAGCCCTGCTCGTAGGAAAAAGTCTATTTTGACATCTCATAGATCCTGCCAAGTCTCCACCGCAACACTGAGCCGGTACTTCACATTATGAATGATCCGGACCAAGGATACTTTATTGCAGTCCTCGTCGTCGCTCGCGCTCAAAGTGAAGCAGAAGCGAGGTCGTACCTACAGGTTCTGGTGGATACTCGTCCTCCCAATGCTCTCAAAGGCACGGAACAGCAGCCTTCTGATGAGATCGAAGATTATGAAGCATCCTGGTCTTTGATGCCGCCTAATCACCGCTGGGTTGCAGATAACGTCTACCTGGACAATGATGTTGATCTTGCGGAGACTGTGAAGGTAGCATTCACATCGCTACCAAAGGGAGGCATCGGTTACTGGGAACCCATGAATCCTGTTTCGCGTGAGCCACTGGAAGATATGGCATTGACTTTGCAGACTGATCATTATGTTGCTCTGTACGCAGCCTATAAAGACGCCAGAGAAGATGAATGGCACGAGACGTGGATCAGAAAGAGCATGAAAGGCCTCCGAAAAAGTCAGAAAGGGGCATATTTGGGCGACAAAGATCTTCAATTCCATGACACCAAGTACTGGAGCGACGAGGCTGGCAAGAAATTGATGTTGATTCGGAAGAAATGGGACCCCGAAGGACGCATCTGTGGGTATCTTGACAAAAATGACGAGAGTGGAGTCCATGGAATTCCAAATAAACTAGGATGAGCGAGACTTGTCACGCAAGTTTCCCAAATTTTGATTGGCATTCCAGTCTACTGCTCTTCCAACGTAAAAGCACTAACCGAGTATCAAGCAATTTACCTTCTCCATAGTTCAACTTTTCCCACTGGCAGTCTATTGTTATGGATTTTCTTTTTGGATAATCTGAATCTCTCCGGGCATTTTTATTGAATTACCCTGGCCCTAATCGAGGGTGTGGTTTCTCTCTGACATGTGCGACATACATGCTCGCTGCTGCGTAAAAATAGCCATACTTGCTGCCATACGCATAGCTAGCACGATCTTTCCACGCATCTGACTGAACTAAAGCGCCACTCAGCGGTCTGGACATGAGTGACCCGATACCCCTACCAGCTGAGAATAAAGAGACGATCACGCTATTTTTCGTAGCCGGGAATCGTCTCCTCATAGGATTTATGCAGCGTGACCAGGTCGCCGTAAAGCCACCCGCAAAATTCCAAAAAAGAGAACAACGCAACGAGAGTTCCAAGTGTGCAGACGTTGATGGCAGTAGTTACGTCGAAATTGTCCACGATGTACACTGAGATTGTGCCGATTAACTCCTTCCTTGCAAAAGTCATTCAAATTGTGAGCTTACTTGACTCACAATCACTTATTGGTCTCCGTTTCCTAATAGCCGTGATCTCTATCCGGGTGACAGCTCCAAAAGTTTCTCCTTGAGTTCGTGTCGCTTATCATTGTCAAATGTCTACTCTGCGCGATGAAATTGTTTCTTTAGAAAACATTTTTAGCATGTGGCTGATGACGAGAACGCCCTAAATGAAGTTATTGGCTTCCGGTGTCCTAGACTCCGGTTCTCTGCTGAAAGTGATTCGATCTTACCTGTCTGACCCGGTAGAGCCGGGCGTTGACCCATCACATTCCGCCACGACGAATGACAATTTTCCAGCAAATCCAGTATCTGTCTTTATCCCAAGATCGAACACACCCTTGGCTTATGGGCTTCACTAGTAGAAGATTATTGCCACATACAGCCACACAGGCCAAAGGCCTCGACGTTAGCTGCATTGCGGGGACCAATGGACTACAAGTATCGGATCTGGTGTTCTCAGCAGCAAGAGCTGACCAGTTGTGTCGGCTATCGTCAGTCGTGCCTAGAATAGCCGGCAGGCTAAGTAACAGTCAGCTATCCGGATGGCCCGCTGATCATAAGCAGAGTTCGAAGCCATGGCGGCACAAAGTACGTTTCCTTTGAAACATTGTCTCAGTGAGCTTATCGCAGGCGGGAAGCTGCATCTGCCTAACTTCTAGTCTAAAGACACCAAAAACTGGAAACTACAGTCCCGAGGCCGGGGTATGCGTGTATTTCTGGCTATGGTGCTCCCTTGGACCCCGCCCCCAAGACGACAGCTAGGGTGATGCAAAAGTTGCATGCAGTCAGCAATTCGCGCTCCAATGCAGAATACTTCCAGGCCGCGCCACCCGCAACGGGAATTATCAGCTCCGAAGTCCTCCTATTGTAATGTGAGATATGATTGGGGTCTAGGCAGTATTCAGTTACGCGGGCTTACGGCATGGGTGTGATACGGATATTAAACCACCCATAGTACTATTTCGTCATTAGAAGTAATGTGTATAAGAAGGGGTAGTGGACAGTTCCCACCTTGACCCGATCTGTTGTGAAGGGAGAATCGAATTAAAAACTCTTCAAATAAGGATTCATGACCGCTTCCTCACTTGTAATGGCGGATACAGGTGCAGTTACATTTGCTACATGGCCCACAACCAGAATCTTGGGAGTTTTCATCATAGCAATCTTAATTTACTTTGTGGTCTCAGTTGTTTATTCCTGGAGTCGGCTTCGGAACGTCCCTGGTCCCTTCATTGCCGGCTTCTCGTCATTATGGGAACTCTCAACCACCGCTACTGGCCAAGAAGCTTGGATCTACAATGACCTAGCTAAGAAATATGGTCATCTCATAAGAATCAGTCCAAATACTGTTCTTACCGACGATCCAGAAGTCTTGAAAAGAATTTCGGGAGCTCGCGGAACATATAGCAAAGATGCATTCTACAGTGCCTCTTTCAAGCTTCCAGATCACGATACAATGTTCTCGACGATAGACACGTCAACCCACGATGCGATCAAAGCAAAATTAGCAGGCCCATACGGCGGCCGCGAGACCTCAGCTATGGAGCCCATTGTGGACGATATGGTCAAATCATTCACGCAGCACCTTCGAGATCAAACTTCTAGAGGGCCGGTGCAGACCTGCGTCGTCAACTTTGCCCATGTTGTCATGTATTTCACCATGGATGTCATCACTCGTGTCTCCTTTGGAAAAGAGCTGGGTTTCCTGAGGACCGGTTCTGATGTCTTCGGGCTGATGGAGGCGGCAAGGTCATCAATCAGAAAATACACTATTCCTATGTCCATCCCCTGGCTACGTTCTATCACCACCTCTAAATATTTCCTCAGAGCATTCGGTCCCAAGCCTACGGATAAAGAGGGCCCTGGACTAGTCATAAGGCAAGTCTAAGATTCAACCCACACGCCTCTGGCCGCGATTGAAGCTGATGATCACACCACGGCAGAATTTTGGAAGACACTATCAAAAAGCGATACGAGCCTGGTGCCCCTGATGAGAAAGACTTGCTGGTGAGTCACATGTGCCTCCGAATCCAACACTTCTTGAGAAGTAGCTACTGACACTTACCAGGGCGCTTTCATACGCAGTGGACTCTCACTGGGCCATTGCATCAGCGAGGCATTGTTTGCTATGTCAGCTGGCTCAGATACGACAGCCTCCGCTATAAGGTTTACGATGCTACATCTCATGACAACTCCGCGCGTATACTACAACTTGAAACAGGCTGTCAGACAGGCTGTAAGAGACGGACAAGTGTCAAGTCCGATCAAGAGTGAAGAGGCCAAGGCCATCCCCTACCTCCAGGTACGTAAATGCACATAGCAAATGCTAATAAATGATTGCTTCTGGGGCCATGCGTCTTACTAAATCACTGGAGCTTATTTTTGTCAGGCTGTTATATACGAAGGCCTTCGAATGCGCCCGCCCGCTCCAATAAAATTCCCCAAGGTCGTCCCTCCACGAGGTGACGTAATTGACGGGAAATTTATCCCTGGTGGCACTGCTGTTGGGTGGAACCTCCTGCCAATGATGCGCTCGCCCCGTCATTGGGGCCATGATGGTGACATATTCAGGCCTGAACGCTTCACAGAGGCAGACGAGAATACCAGGTTGGCCATGGAACGGCTAGTTGAGATGGTCTTTGGCCACGGTCGATTCGGCTGTGCCGGAAAACCACTGGCTGTTATGGAACTTAACAAGGTCTATTTCGAGGTAGGTGCCCTGCCTTGACTCCGCATGCAAGCTATGGAGTGCTAATTAGTGGCCGGCAGCTTTTCCGACACTTCGACTTCCAGCTTGTCAATCCGGCCAAGCCATGGCATTCTGAGCTTTGGAGTATTTGGATGGACGATGACTTCTTTGTGCAAATCACCGAAGCTCAGGTGGGTTGAAGACAGCTGGGTCCCTACAGGGCACCATGTCCGTCCCAACCCCCTGACCCAAGCATAACGGCTAGCTTCAAAGGCTTAGACTTCCGAGTCAGGCACAGTAGCATGGCGCCGGGAGCATGAGCCTTGTTGGGACTTGGGAGCATCTGAGTAGTATCGATCGGTAGTGCTGCATTCTTATTCCATTTAGTGGCGCTTGTAGAAGAGTTTATTATACGTAGTCTCAACGGCCCGATTCCTGGTCTTCCTGGTCACGGCCTGGAGGTTACGTCTCTGCATTTCTATATAGAGCTCGAAATTTCGGGGTCAAGGCAATGAGTTGTGGAAGTTTCATGACATTTTCTTACAGTTGCCATCGCAGGTGTCAGCCCGTTCAATGTGCAATTTTCTACCCATTCGATATCTCACTAGAATTTTGCATGGTAGGACGGGTTTGAATCATAGTATTGGTCCGCGAGCTCTGCTGCCTCGAATGTCACCGATCAGAGGATGTCCACCCAGCAGAGCGGAGAACAGGGGTCACGCTGCTAAACGCCGGGGCCCACATGCTTGCGCGTATTTGAGGTTCGGGAGATTCCAGAAAGCAAAGTACCGAGCCGCGAGCCTGTTCTTAACGCATCATCAATCCTTGATTCTCCCTGAAGACGGGCGACAAAGAACGGGAAATGGCATTATAGCATGCAGTGCCTACTTTCATCGGCTCGGTTCATAGCAGTACATGATTTGGAGATTGGTGATACCAGATGGACCTCGGTTTCTGTCGCCGAACAACAAACTCCCTTAGAGGCTCAGATAACCTTCTTTCAGGGAATAATACAAAGACCAATTGGATTTCGACATCAGTAGCTTGGCACCATTGACTTCAGATTCATTGAAACGAAACGCCGGGGTTTGGGATTGACCATGCGGGCATGAATGATGATGGCAGGGATTAAGCAACGTTCCAGCCGGGTTCGGAAGAGTATTCGGAGATGAGCCATATGCAATTCCAGGCCCATACCGGTTTGTGAACCCACTCATAGACCCCAGAATATGCAGCGTTTTGTAGATCGTGTGGTACTCGACATCCACAGCCCGGAAAAGCCGGCGGCGACAACAATATGGAATGGAATTCCCGACCTCCCAGAGTCTGCCCCTACTTTGTGAGTAGAATAAGAATAACAAGATTCGCGAATATCTATGTGATGTAAGATCAAGCCTAGTCTGTAGGTCTTTAGAACAGGACTGCTACACCAGTCGTGGTGATTTCACTCGCTTTTCCTCATCACCCAGTCGCCATGCAACTCTCAGCTCTCAGCGCCCTCATCGGGCTATCTGCCTCGGTCGTAGCGACAATCCCTCATCCGCCAGGTCGTACTCCTCTCCGCCGCCAGGCTTCGACCGACACTACCTCTTCCCTCTGGGTTTCTGAGGTCCCGTCCTCACCTCGTCCATATGCCGTCCGTCACTATGGGATACCCGGAGTTGTTGTCGGCGCGCAAACGTACCGCTTCCCAGTGACAGGTCCCAGCTCTGACTATGCCTTCACCCTCATCTCAACTGGTGCCCCGGCGTCTGGCTCCCTCGGTGTCCTGCCGCACGCCCATCTCACTCATTACGAGAACTTCTTTTGTCTTAAGGGCCGCTTCCAGTTGTGGACTGCTTCTGCTGAGACATTCGAGAATGAAGAATCTCGTCTCCTGACTCCAGGAGACTATGGCGCTGTGCCCCACAACACTACACACACCTTCCAGGTTCTTGACCCTGACACCGATATGGTCGGTGTAATCCAGCCTGGAGGGTTCGAGGATCTCTTCTACGCCCTGGCCAATGCCAACTACACTTCTCCTTTGCAGAGTCCCTACGACATCAACGATGCAAGCCCTTACAATGCCACGAGCAGCTCGCCACCGGCCGAGGTCATCGCGGCGCTGGAGTCCTTTGATGTGTACGCACAGCTGAATTTCACTCCCTCGCGCGATCTTGTCAACGGCTCCTACTCGTCTGCTAAGGGGTCTGGAGATGTGGCTGGTTGGCATGTTGCCGCGGCCGAGTTGGGCGCCGACGAGAAGACGCCCTACTTCGTGGCCAAGGACTTTGGGGCCAAGTGGCTGAGTGATGAAGCCGGCTTCTACCAGATCGTCCAACCACTCGTCACGCCTACTCAGTCAGCTGGGAACTTCACCCTCGCAACCATCATCCTTTCCGAGAAGCTCTCTAATGAATCAGCCATGAGCATTCCTGGCAACGACACGTCTGCGGCTAGTGGCAGCAGCGCGAGTGGCAGCACGGCGTTGACTGGTCACTCTGCTTTTGAGGTGCTGGAGGGTTTACTGGGTTTCGAAATCAATGGAGAGACTATCCAGCTGGCGACCGGTGATGTGGTATTTGTCCCTGCTGGCACAGCTTTCCAATACTACAGCGTGGTGCCTTTCACCAAGGTCTACTACATCTCACAAGGCGCTGATGGCCTGGACACGAGGCTGATGGCGAATGGAGTCAGTGGATGGGAGTACCCAGCCTGGCCTTCTGATGCTTGAATCAGTACTCTGGCCGCGTAACGGTCTTGAGCAGCCATACTGTACATATGAACTAGCATAGCCATCAGTATATCATTTCTCCTCGTTGGATGCCACGTTTGACCTCTTGCACAACTTGGTGCCATAATCAATGACCTCCCAATCCTCTGTCCCTGGCGTGGAAATGGCGTAAAAGACGCCGTCTGGGTCCCACCTTTTCCGCGTGGAAAGTAGCTGAGCGTAATTGGTGCCATAGAAGCTGGTCTGCCAGTCAGGCTGGTTCGAATCACCCTGTACATGCTAACATCAGCCCAGCCCCAAGCCCGACATGACATAACATTGCATGACAACAATGATTTTTAAGCTCACCTCGTTCACATACCCAAATCCGCTCGGGCCAGCTTTAATCAGTTTTTGATTAATGTCATGAGTCAGTGTGTTCTGTGCCGCTATCTTCTCGGCCCAAGTCGCACCGTTTGCAACAAACATCGCGACAATAACATGATCACTTGCATTCCTGAAACGTGGGTTCAGTGAGGTGGTGGAGACAGGAACTCCATACCCAGGATTCCACATGTGACCGACCGCAGCAGCTCCCTTGCTGACGATGTTTTTGAACGAATTAACAATGTTTTGGTTGTTGGTTGCAACATCTTCGTGTGCAAACACCCAACCGCCCGTCAATGCCGAGAAACCTGCGCCTTCAGGTTCGAATAGCTCGTTGTAGAGCGCAAAAAACGTTTCGTATTGTTTCATAGTGGTGCTGTAACGAATTTTGATAGCATCCAGATCTCGAAGTAGGGGGCCAAGGATCGCGTCGAGCTGTGCCGAGGTCTGGTTCACGGCCACAAAGGGTTGGATATGAAGGGAGAGGCGACCTAGGTCGAAGTATACATAGAGCCCGTTATCGACAAAGTGATTCGAGTAACTATGAAATACACTGACAGCTTCCCAAAACAGAGTCTCGTTGTTTGTGTGACTGCTGTTGATGTTGAGGGTAGCGCCTGCAGAAGGGACGTCGACGAACGTTTTGAATGTCACAGAGAGGATGACAGCAAAAGCTGAAGGACCGCCACCCCTAAGGGCCCAGAACAGGTCCTGATTAGTTTTGGCGTCAGCGGTCACTATGTCACCTCCAGCTGTCAGGGCTTTGAACTCGAGCACTGTATCCGCCGCCATTCCTGTGACCGTGGTCCAGGGCCCGTGGCCGCCACCCTGTACGAAGCCACCGGCTGGCCCGACCGTCTAGATATTGTAAGCCAAACGATGACTTGGATATTATCCCTGGCATCGAACATACCGAGCACTCTCCCACTACAGCCGTCACAGGTGGATTTTGAGCGCTGCCCAACTTAAGCAGTTCACCTCCTTGAATTCCCGCTCCCACTGTAACTGCTGTTCCGTGGTAGTCACCCGGCCCGGTATAAGACTGCGTGAACACTGCATCCTTGAAACTGTGGGTATTGATAATTAGGGCGCCCCAGCCAGTGCTCCTACCCAGAAAGTCATGCCCGGTATTGCGAATGATCAGCCGCAAGTCGTGGGTGCGAGCAAAGTCTACGCCTGCTTGGACGTGGTCGTGTGTCTTTGCGAGAATAACGTAAACTCCATAGTAGCCAAGCGTGCATGGCTCATTGCGATTTCCTGTAGGTCGACAGGTCTCGTTGGTAAAGTATGTCCACAACGCTGCCGCAGGTTGGTCGGTTCTATACACATTAAGTGAACCATATAGGCGCTATTTTCATTTAGCACTCACGTCCATTGTTCACTGTAGAAATTTCCGGAGACACTCGAGCATGCAGCGGCATCATAGGTGTTAATTATTCCTAGCGGACCCTGATAAGTGTTGTGGCAGACAGCCCCCGGAGGAATATGGACGGCAAGGTTTCCATTAAGTGTGGCATTCAGGGCCGACCATTCTTCGGGCTTGGGCCAGCATGCATCGCCGACATAACATTTGCAATCGTATGAGCTTCCGTTCCAGATCGTAGGCACGAGCGCAGCCACAATCTCGCTGAACACGAGCGCCCCCAGAACTTTTAACATTTCGGAATAGACAAAAAGGTGTGATCCTGATGTTATCGACTTGTCGGGGTTTGAGATCACAGACACTCAAGAAATAAGTTTCCACAGGTGATCTTCTCCCCTCGGGGAGCGTCGGTCAAAACTGAGGAATTTCGAGTACTCGAAGGCAGAACATTGTGCCTGAATGAATCCAGTTGCCACTTCGAAACCTTCAATGCAGTATTTATCACAAGGCCAGACCGCATCTGCCGATATGGATCGAACTGGCAGATCATATCGAGTGTCTCGGCCGCAGACGCGAGTGCCATAAAAGAAGAAATCAAAATTTGGGCCCAATGCCATTTAGCCGGCCGTCATTACGTTTTGAACCAAGATCCGCACCTTTCTTGCTGCACCACCACTGTTAATTCCCAGTCGACGAATAAATTGCAGTGCGCAATTTTGACTGGCTGTAGGCCGCTCAATATATTCTACTCGTGTCCCCACCTGAAAATACTTCTTGGCTCCTGGGCACAGGCGGCATTTGTCTATAATTGATAGTTCGACTTCACACCGATGCTAGACATTTTCCTAGGAGGTTGTGTATATTTGTAATCGATGCATCGTCTTGGAACCAGTGGCACATTTATGTGCTTGTTGAGTCATGTCATTTCAATGTTTTGCTTTGCAAGACCGGGACTCCTTGACTGGCTTGACCATCATGTCGATGGCGAGGCAAAGCTAGAGAGAAGCCGCAGGCCAAGCAATCTGCTTGAGCTGGAGCATGAAGGCCCGGGATGATGATGAAAACATAGCTATTAGATTACAAATTCTCAAGAGAATTTATCTCAACATCTTGATACATCAAAGACTGGGGGATGCCCGGAATGGTAGCGACCGGTGAAGTCTGTGGGCGATAGTATCGTAATCCTTCTCGTTTTCTGCAGTGATTAAGCCATGCCTGACAAAGAAGTCCAGCATGACCATCGCACAGCTCGGCTTGAAGTCACCCTGCCGCAAAGACTGCTTGACTTCGTCAACTCCCATCAGCGAAAAGCTGTCGATGTCGTTTTCCACCGGCGTGAACGTGACGTCTCGTCCAACCTCCAGGTCATACACGTAGAGGATTCCAGGGTTCATTAAACCGGGCTCACCACCGGCCTTCTCATCAGAAATACTGAACCACGATACAGTCCCCGCAGACACTATATTCTCCCTTACCATCTCCGCAGAGAGTGCCGCCTCCTCACCTGCCTCACGGATGATACAGTCCAGCGGAGATTCGCCGCGCGCAACGCCACCCGCAACTGCCTGATCCAGCATATCTGGATATGTTGACTTGGTGGCACTGCGTCTTGGGATCCAGAATTTGAGGCCGTGCTCAGTACGGACGTAGACGGTCATGTGGGCACCTCGGCCGATGATTCCAAACAAGCTGAACGCTGATCTTTCGATGCCGATGTCAAAATTGGCACCAACTATAGGGAACTGCTCTTGCGTTTTCTTGCCCAGTTGGGGGAACACTTTTCGCTCCCGGATCAGGTCAACAAGTTCCTGGATTGCTTCGCCGCAAACTCTTTGCCAATTCTCTGCGTCTTCACGCTTGATCAGGTGAACTTCTTTACGCGGGGTAGCTGTGAGACGGAAGTCGGATGTCCATGGCATGCGCTCCACGACGGAGTCAATCAGGCAGCCGTGAGGGTGCGGGTCCTCAGGCAGGTAGAATAACCATAAAGACTCGACTGCCCTGTCGTATGCCTCAGATCTTGGGAACTCATTCTGTGGGAAACTGTGAGTGCATGTCAGTTCAGAGGCTAGTTTGCAGATCATGATCGATGGGTTGCCAATGCAGATGGGATTCTAGCCACAATTCTTCTTGAGATTGAGCGCTGCCCAGGGCATCGGATTTAAAGGTGACGGGCTGTTTTGTTAAACTCACTTGTCACAGAGCTCGAGAATATCCAGAAATCCACCCATCCCGAATGCTAAACCATGGACTGATTGGTTTCGTGTCCCTGGAAATTCTTGCGAAGTGGCACTCGAAATCTCGTCGTACGAAGCAAGACGCGACTGAGGAGCATCGGGTCAACCGTCGCCAAATCCTCAACACGTTCAAATTTCTCAACTTGTGAGTGAGCTAGACCCTAACCCGCAATACGTTCAGTAGCTCAATGGATTTGCCTACTTGAACTTCAAGCACGATGACTAGTTTAGGTATTTATCACTCAGTCGCCAGGTACAGAGACCTGAAAGTTCCTGTGAGCACCGATGCATATATCCGAGGCCTGGGTGTCGTCTTCGGTCAAATGCATGCACCTGATTATATGAATCGGAGGCATGTCGCCCATGTGCTCCTGGCCAATGTCTTGGAACATACATTGGTGTTACATGTGCCGAGACCTCATGTCCGTCACAGGCACGTGACAATGTGCACCATACAGGACGGTTTACTGTTGGTACAGCAGCGTCTGCCTAAACTTTGGTTGTTGATTGATAACAGCTGCCAGATCATCCCAAAATGGCTGCACTGTGCAGCCTCCTCCCAGTTGGACCTTGCGACGCAGAGGCAATCGCGCGCGGTGTCGATGTCCCTTCCATGCTGAACGGCCCGCTTTTCCGAACCATGTTTCCCACTTACAGCACCATGTCGCCAGAGGAGCGGGATGAGATGGTGCAGTGGTACATCGACGGGCTGGAGGAGGCGCTGGCGGATCCCGGGGATGAGTTCTACCTGAAGGTGTGCCAAAGTCATGACGGTACCGGCAATGGCGACACACATCTGCTGCCAGTTGGCTTCTGCGGGTGGGAGGTCATCGACCGGGAGCGCAGTCACGCGGCGCAAACAGCAGACAAGAAGGCAGAGGACTCGGCTCAGTCAGACAAGCAGCAGCAGCAACAACAGGAGGAGCAGCAAGAGGAGATCGAGGGGAAACCTCCCAACAAAAACGCCACGGCCAAGAAGCAACGAGGAAATCAACTGCCAGAGACACTCGACGTCGACGCCTGGCTCGCCCTCTCCAGCAAGCTCAGGACAGAGCGGATGCGGATACTCACGGGACGCGACAGCATATGTCGTCTGACATACATGGCCGTGCATCCGGACTTCCAGAGGAGTGGCATCGGGTCGATGATGCTGCAAAGCGTCTGTGATGAGACGGATAAGGTCCCGGGGCGCTGTGCATATGTCCTTGCTGCACCGGAGGGCGTGCAATTGTACTCAAACTTTGGGTTTGAGGTGGTGGGGGAAGTTGAGACGCTCTATGGCAACATAACGAGCATGTTGCGGCCGGCTCCCCACTGATCTTGGGAAAGGTATTGCGACGTTTACAAATTAGGTACTGCTCTGGATTTATGAGGCTGCTAGTGCGGCGCGGCAGATATAGTCAGTCACAAAAGTGGCAACCCGGACCGCGTTACAGGTATTACAACTGCTGAGATCTTCCCCAAAAACAAGTCAGACTTTCATAAATCTTTCCAATTAGTGGGAGCCTCTAACGCTTATCGAGTGTAGTTGATAAGGTAGGATATGTTGCCTATATTGTCCCCGGAGTTATCCTTCGCAAATCCGGGTCAAGCTCGTATTCGCGGCCTCACCCCGACGAATGGCAACATTCTCACCACATGTTGCGATCGATGGCATGTCCCGCGGACTCCACCGGTCTCAATTGTTATAGTTGTCCTCCGGCGGTATGGCGATAAGATGATTGAGCCCTGCCAAGGCCTGAGTATCGGGCAGTATGTTGCAATTGGCAGGGTAGAAACCATTTTGGGAATCACCTTCTCCTCTGGGAACATGCGCCGGCCCGCAGTGAGTGGGACTGCAACATGGCGGAATAGCCGGTGTCTGTCGGAATGTAAGCTTATATTCACAGCCAAGACCTTTCCCCCTTCTTCCTTGCCATCTTACTGCCACGAGTAGTGGCCATTTTCTTCACCATCAGGGAAACTCGATCATCATGGTGCAACTTAACGCCGAGATCGTGGCCGCCGCCGCCGCAGCAGTCAACTTCACCCAAGTTGCACTTACACCTCCTCTAAACTGGGTTGCCGGAGACTTCCTATTCCCATCGCAGATTATCGCTGGGTATCACGCCTCATTGACGGAGTACGACGCCGCGGGTTGGTACGCGTATGTACTCGACGCCTGCCAGTCCTACTCGGCTTGTACGTCAGCATCTGCTTTTCAGGGTAGGTTCATCATGACTCTCGGCCTTTTATAGATGCATACAGCCTTGTTCAAGACTGACATCGATGATTAGGAACGAATAGTGGTAGCACAGGCGGTCGGTACTGGTTTGGCTATGTATATCGGGGCGGTGCAACGGATGAGTCGTTCTACGTTCGCGATGAGGACGCCGCCTCAAATGTGACGGATTCGGTCGCGTACACGATTGTCGGGTAAAAAGAATCTTATTTGATGTGGAGACAACATTTCTGAAACTTAGCTCTTTCTGCTGCTTCCCTTTCTCACGAGGTGTAGGTGCTATGGCACTTTGACTGGCGCTTGGAGGCCTTCCGTCATGAGATAGTCTCGATCATTACCTGCCATGTCAAGTTAGTTTAGAGCCAGCTGCGTCTCGAAATTAGATTTGAATGGGAAGATTTGAAACCTTATTGGCTGCCCTTCCGCGTTTCTGCCTCCCAACGCTTGTACCAGAGGTTCTCCAATGCACTCGCCCAGACGTTGCAGATATGGTTGTGTTGCTCTAATTGAGATTATACTTGTTGATTGCGCTCTCATCCATCTGGGCGTACGGGATTCACGAAAAGCTGGAATTCGGAAGGTTTGTGGCAGAGTGGGAAGGGTGGAAAAACCTTCCGGCAGCACGTCTCTAAGGGCTTCGGGCGGGCCTTCAGCTCAGAATATTCTCTATAGACAGTCACGATGAGTTCAAACGACTAGGCCCCCATACTGTCTCCTACACGCCCCGGAGGTGGACTAGCGACTGTGCGCTATCTCCGTCATTGTCATCGTCGCAATGTGACCAACGAGCTCAAGACAGTGAGTGCATTTCATTATCGTCTGTCCTATTTCATATGTATCATCTACTGACCATTAAGTTTCTTAGTATAACAGTTCAATAATTACAGCGCTTATCATTACAGGAAATTTCAAGGCCAGCTACAGCTAAATGTTCATTATCGCGGCAGCACCGCCCAGCAGCGCCCCAATCATCACAGCCCCAGTCGCACGTGCGGCCTCGCCCACCGTGACAACCGGCCTCGTCGACGTCGGACGGCCACTTGGGCCAGGTCCAGTCTGGCTCTGCCGGCTCGTCCTACCCGACTCCGTGGGCCTGCCGGTTGAGAATGTCGTTGTCGGCCGCTGGGTCTGGCTGGACTGTCTGGTGGTCTCTTTTGACGACACCGTGGGCGGGGTCTTGGGTGGCTCCGGAGATGGCTGGACTACCGTTGTCGTCGGGTTGGGGCGCGATTCTGTGATGGTCCTAGTCGTCTCCTGGCCGGGTTGGGTCACTGTTGTGGGCTGTGGACGCTCCGTCACTGTCGAGGGCTTCGGCTCTGGTGGAGGCTGTGTTGGCTTTGGAGGCTCCTTTTCAGTATTGGTGACTGTGATGGTCTGGCCCACGGTGATGGTCCGAGTCTGCCCTTGGCTTGTCTCGATAGAGACGATGGTCTGCGTCGTGACGGACGTCTTCTCGTATGGGGGCGTGGGCTTGGGCTTGTCCGGCGGGTTCAAGCAAAGCTCTTTGTGCAAGAGGCACAGAGTGTCCGACGGAGACAAAGCGGAGCCATCAGCCCCTACAGTGGCAGGAGCCGGGTCAGGAGCTGGACCAGGAGCTGGACTGGAAGCTGGGGCGTCGGTCCCTTGAGCCTGGCGTGTTTGTCAGCTTCTGCTCCTTGACTGCAGACTTTGACTTGCTCATCATCAGTTGGAAACTTACGGTGACCAGACCACTCAGGAGTAAGATGGACCGAAGAACGCTGGTACGCATCCTGGACACTGTAACGAATGCAACAGAACTATGATCTCCGGGTCATTGTTCATGAAAGCTGAGCCCGGGTTGACACCGGGTGAGCGAAGACTGGGTATCCTTATACACAGCGTGTGTTCATCTGGAGGTAGATTAAGCATATTGATCCTCAAAGCCAAGGCCCTGTGACAGCAGCCGAGGAAGCAAAGTCCCGTCTTGCCGACCAACCGCTGTGTTCCATCTCGACGGGATGAATCCAAAGTTAGAATGCTTCTGAGGGCATCTGAAGCAGGCTGTAGATCTGAAGCAGGCTGTAGTCGATCTTGCGACCTGGAGACATGTGGCGCTCCCCTGTCATGCGACCTCGCCCATCTCGAAATGCCAAAAGGAAAAAGGTGTGAGGGCGCTCTCATGAGGCTACATTCGGATAATTGAGCTAGGATGTCAAACCAGTCTAGACTGAAGCTGTTCGTCCGAAGTGTCCAAGAGATCGTATTCGCGGGAACCAGCCGAGATGGGAATCGCCGTTAAGTCTCCGTGTTTCGCGATAGCCGCAAAAGTTGGGCTGTTGCTGAAGGCGGCTCTAGCGTCCGCCGAGCCACTCCCCATCCGGGATCGACAAGCTCTTATTGTCGTAGCAATATCTTGAATAGCCCCTCCCCCGACAACTTCGATTAGTTCCAGCTTTACGAAATAAAGTTTAGCTGACAACTTCGGCTGATTTTGAGTCTGCCATTTCCGCTCGCCGTTCTCGCTTTCGCTCTCAAGTCAATGATGCTGCGCCTCTGGTGGTCTCAAGTTCTCTCTGCGATTTCAGAAATGATCTCAAGCATCCTCTCTGGCATTTTCAGGAATGGTGAATGACCCGATTGGATTCTTATGACGTCCTCGTATCCTCCCACGCCTACGAAGTAGGCCTGGTACTCTGTAGGGAGTGCGATATCATGTTCGCAAAAGATATAAGTCTTGGGGACTGTCATCTCCTGGTCAATAAATTTTGGACAACTATTCCAGTTCATCAAACTATGTGTCTTTATCATAGTAGGCCATATCTTCTCGATTTGCTCTGATGGTAAGTCATTGTACAGCGTCAGCTTCGCATTGTCAAGGAGGTGTATTATGCCGTCCTATAATTGTTATCAATCACTGGACGTTGAGATATAGTATAAGCGTGCCTTTCAAAGCCTTACTTCGACTTGATGATATTCCTGCAACGGTGACTCATCGTCATTCCCCAAGAAATTCCTTTCACGTCTCGGATACGCCAACCCGCAGACGTTGATATAATGTCGAATGCCGCCCTTTAGCCCACACTCTGCCCTCTCAGCCACTGATTCGCCTTCAATACAGTGACTTGCAGGAAGAGCACCTGAGCTGTGGGCCACCACGATGACTTCTCGGCCGTCGTCTAGAAAAGAGTGCAGGGTGTCATTGATGACTTCGACGTCGTCCGCGTATGTGAGGTCGGGGTTTGTCCCCGTTGTCGGCAGCGCTGGGGCCGCGACTGTATACCCCTTTTCTGTCAGATTTTGCAACACTTCTTCGTAATGTACCGGCTGGTAGAAGGCGCCATGGACGAGCAAGATGACTGGCTTATCTGGAGCCATCGTCCGCGTTGGCACCAAGCGGTTAGCTCAACGACTTTCGGGACGAGGTAGGATCACCAGTATCGTTGCGGCGTGGTCCCGAGATGTTGGCAGGACGTTACGGATCCACCACCATGAGAACTTTCGAGGACGAATAGTGGATATCGCCGCCTTTTTCGTTACATAAACAGACACTCGGGTAGGGCGGCACGCGTCCGTTCTGGGAGCTCCGCTGCCGGGCGACGTGGTCCACGCTGACACGTGCCACCGAGAAACCGCGACGTGGGGGTGAGATGACTGGATTGGTGGTCTTTGGGACCCCAACGTGTCGAGCACATGTGGTTCCTGAGTTGGCAGTTGATGACAACAATAGCTGAGAGAGTCAAGTTGGGGTTTGACAAAGCTTATCTTGCAGATCTGCAGCAATGAGCGTGCAGAGCATGGTACAACCTTCCAAGTTCAGGCATTCGGTTGTGTTGTCATTTCTCTGACGTGAGCGTTGGTTCGAGTTGTTTCACATGGCAGGAATCTCCCCTGAAACTCCCGAGGCGTGGATTGCTGGGTTACCCATGGGTGCGATGCGGGGGACAAGGACGACATTCTTGAATGCAAGTATATGCAATGGCCTGATCAAGTTGCAACTGGACATTATTCCTGTCTGTCGCCTTTGAGGCTCCAGATTCAAGGCTTCAGTCAAAGGTCATTTGTGCGTTTGCTAGCTCCTCTCAAGCTCCAGCTCGCCCAGCCCGTTGAGCAAGCTTGGTGCAAGGAAACCATCATGCTGAAAACGATCAGACCCAAACAAATCGAGTACATGATTCGATACGCCTCGTCTGCGGGAGGTCCTCTTATGAGACCGCTGGACGCTAGTATGGTCACGCACACGAGGTATAAGACACCCGCAATGAACGAGAAGATAGTGCGCAGAAAATAGACTCGAGACGGCGTCAAAATGCGATCCATAGGGGAACCCGGGGAGTATTTGATAGTCCAGTGGCTGTGCCCAAGGTTTCAGCACAGTAGCACCATCGAAATTCCATAAGTATGTTCGGCGTACTTACTTTGGATTCCGAACAGGAATGGCTAGCAACAAAGTTCGAACCAGACTGAAAGAACCCGCTACCGTCAGGATGTAGGTCCAAGAGTACAGCAGCCGACACTGCAAGTGATATCGGCTTCGTGCCTGCATGCTTCCTTCCCAAAGCTCATCTGGTTCTGCGATATAGTTGGAACTGCAGGTGAGGTCATCATCACTAGAGAAAGGGTTAGTGTTTGTTAATCGACTGGAACAGAGTGTCAGACACACTCATAGTGTAATTCGTCCATTGCGAGTACTGCAAAAGCCATCACTACTCCTGCAACAACAAACATAAGCCAGACCGTGACATTGCAGATGATCAAGTTCGTTCGCAATGCGCTGTTTGACGACACTTGACGCGTTATTGAGGTGCAGCGGTCTTGCAAATTTGCGCCGTGAGGCGATCCAGAGTTTTCCGGCGTGCCTTCTTTTGAGCCGGACAGCATGGTTGCAAAGATAATATTGATCGGCTCTGTTCAGCTCCTGGATACAACCCAATATTGCAAGATCAGAAGAGTCATTCTTGAAGCTTAAAGTGATTCCTCACACTCACCGCCGTGAATAGAAAGCAGGCGAGAGGGGATCCAGATTAGCCAAGCCTAGCTGAACAAAAGATCGACCAACCGGTCAGCCTAAGCTAGCTATAATCCAACTAGCTCATCAAGCTCAGCTCTTTCCAGGAGACACCATCATAGCGTGTACCGAGATCCTGCGCCAGCCACAGGAACATTTGTAGATCAAGGCTGGCAGTCACAGACATGTGACCAAAACTGAGCCGAACAACCACAAACCAGGAGCAGTGTCCTTCCAAGACTATCACAACCAAACAGGCGAAGGCATTAGGGACATCTAGCCAAGTCACAAACACTTTACGTGAGCTTCGAGATGTCACGAGCGATTCTGTTCTGAGAATGATTGCAAATATTCCAGTCTCACAAAGCCATCTAGATACAGATTGAGAGCATGAGGTAGTCGAAATTGAGAGCTGTTGAGGGGGGAGGGGACTTTTCCATATGATCTGTCAGGAACGGCTCTTGTTTGTATTTAATCGTCTTCAGCAAGATAACGGAGTGTTGCGACATAGCTGCAGCGAGCCAACTCTTTGAAACCGAGGATACCGAGTCCCAATCAAACTTGCCTGGAATATTCAGAAAATCCCAGCTTTGTCCATTGGAGAGAGAAGAAAAACGCGAATTACATAAAATGTCTTTGGACTTCTGTGATCTTGACTGATCCAAGTGAAAACTTCGCAGTTGTGATGACTGAGTTGGAAAATATGATCTTCCACATCTCAAATCCTCGTGTTCGTGTTCGTTCCCGATGAAAGCTGGAGCTTTTGTAGACCAGGGTGAAATTGTGAATTTGGATTTGTATCAAGTAAGCGGTATTAGCACGATAGGTTCCCAAGCCACGTCGTTGATAAAATTAAATAATTACACTGGATGCGAAAAAGGTTGGACATGTACGGTCTGCATTTCCGGATTTGGGCGTCCAAATGAAGGCATGTAACACATCTAAGCTTGAATCATATGGGCCAAGAACAAAAGTTCGGTTCTATGAATGATACCTGGGCATATTCCATGTGATATATGTGACCCTGTCGTTTGTGGGTGAAGCCCAAATCGTATTCGGAATGTCATGAAGTGCTCTTCTACATTGGACAAGTAAAGTTCAATAGATTGAAATCGAGGAATTAAACACGTGTGAGGGACTGTCTGTCCTCATCAGTCCATTTTGAACGTTGAATAAATCAATAAACCAATTTCTAGCCACCAGTGCTGACTCGAATAGATTCCTTACCTGACTCGGACCGCTGATTTAAATCAGCGAGGTGTGGTACGTTGAAAAAAAAATATGTTACGAGTTGCTACAATTACTGCGCGTACGTTTATGAACTATCACATTGCACAAATTGAATAATGGTCGTTGTTTGATAGACACGGATATCAAGACGCCAAAATTGCGCCGGGGGACAAGTAAAAAGCTTCCGTCATGACTTCGCCGCTGTCTTGAATACCAGGACTTTCCGGAATCACGCACTCAACAACTAAGTTATTGTAATTGACTTCTGTTGATACATTCCAGAGGCGGAGAGGTCGGGATGTTGGCGTCAGGCGAGAGCGACATCGCGCTGCCGGCGGCCCCGTTATCTTCCCGGCCCCTGCATCGACTGACGCTTAGGGGTGGAGAAGGTTCGCAGAGCCACGGGTGCGTGTCCCCTCCGTGACCCACAGGTGAACTGCCTTCTAAAGATAGACTTCACGACGCCACACCTCACGATACTTTGAAGACTGTGGGACTGGGCTGCAATCAAATTATGCACGCATATAGAAGACAGCCCAGAGTGGCTTCGGCGCAGCGAAGAGCCCAAGCTACCTCACGTGTTATGCGTCCCAGGCGGCCATGCACGCGTGAGCCAGAAACGGGACCCAATGGACTGTTCCGGGCAAGTGCCACGCTAGCCGAGTATCGACTGAAGTGTAAATGATCTCTTTAGGAAATCCATGGACGTCTGTGAGGGCGTATTATGCATTGCCTCCTAATGTAGTGTCTGGTAGGGCTGATTGATGAGACGATGCTTGTCTTTATCCAAATGGAAGTTTGAATAGCCGGACCGAGGGACTGTAGTCTAATGGAGGGCATGCTGTACTACCTGTGAAAACGGCCACGGAATGTCCGATCGGGCGTCCCAGCCCGTCGGTCAGAAGCCTGATGTTTGCTTCGGAGTAAGTCGCAGTTTGCTGAACAATCGGATGCTTGGCCAGAGAATTAGACTCGCGCCATGCACGTACCTTTGAAACATTCCCCTGGTAAATCCGGACTGCCGTTCGGTTTGTTTGAACCAAACCATATCCGCTTGGCTGGTCTTGGTGCTGGCACACAGCTGACGCGACGTGCCAGCGCGCGCCATGGCAGATCGGTCGCCGGATATCGACAGATCACTTCCAGCGCAGGCACGAACCGTACTATGTAACGAGACGTCGTACTCGCACGAGCCATTTGGTAGGGAGTATGGTTCCGGGACCCGTTAAACTCTACGAATCGCAAACGTTCGGACGGGTTGGCTCTGGATTGCTGCGTCGCGAACGAGCTGCGAAGGAAATTACGGAGCTATGTTGCAGATCATCAGATCATATTACAATAATAAGCATAAAAGCGTCAACTTGGGGGGAATAAATATGGGAGATCAAGGCTGGGCCCCCGGGCAGAGCGATGCCGTGTTGGGTAATCTGGATCATTGGCGCTGGACACCAAAAAAGTGTGGAGATTTTCTCGACGACCCAAGGGCGTGACTCCATTCGGGGAAGACGGGGGGGCAGGGATGGGACCGCGAAGATAACAGCCTGTCGAGCCCACTCGAGCTGGCGTACACCCAGACCCAGACCCAGACACCCACGACACCGTACCCAGGCTTGTGGACTGGGCTGCTCAAGTGTGGGCTGGCTTTGGGTCTTGGGCTGGGCTGGCTGGGCTGGGCCCAAGGCGAGCAGAGACAGGCGACAGACAGGCGAACGGCGAACGGACCCGTCCATCCCACTGAGTGCACGTGGGAATTGCTTGTCGCTTGTCCCTTTCTCCCATTCATTCCCAGAATGTATCCGAGCCCCTCATTCACAAGCCGCGCTTCTCTTCCCCCCTAACACACTACTCATACACACCAATACACACAGTACCAGTACACCTGACTGACTGCTACACTACTGACACTACTGCTGCTATTGCTGCTACTGCCCTGCCACACTGCCCACGCACACGTCAATACCACACTGGCACGGTCGGATGGAGACACTGGCACTCTTCCTCTCTCAACCTCACCCTCGCGCTCATCCTCACACCCCCCTTTGCGCCTCACATGTTCGCCGCCGTGGAGACGTGCAATCTGCAGACCGAAATTGCGGTTCCATTCAGCCCAGTCCAGTCCATCTGATCGGCTCGAATCCAGCGGGCAGCGCAACGTCGTGAAGTGGGCGCGAATAAACCCGCCCAGCAATCCACGCCTTGGTTTGGGCATCCTGTCACCCGCCCCACGGACCGAGGTACTCACTGTATTTACTGTACTCTACTGTTCTCAACTGCCTTTGCCCTGCCACCGCTCTGCTTTATTCTGCCCTGCCCTTGCACAGCACAGCACAGCATAGCACAGCTCTGCTGGCACACACTCACTTGCTCACATGTGCATGTGCGTTGCGTGCATTGCTGCTTGTACTGCCAGGTCCGATCCGCCCTGGCCCAGGCCCTGATTCAGGGAGTCAGGAAGTTTAGATTCCTCTTCCCCGGTTTTACCCAGCAACCGAGCGAGACCTTTGGGGTGACATCATCTTCACCCACCGTTGTCCGGGCGTTTGGCGAGGCGGAATTCTCTTGTTTGGGCGTCTCCAGGGGTGGTCGGACGTAGGGCGAGACAGGAAGACAAGACAAACATACTCCCATCTTCAGCCACCCTTCCTGCATCTGTCTAGATACATACAGTACACCTGCAGATCCCGATTACGAGCCCAGCACGCAATCACACACACATACACACGCGCCTACACACGCCTACATTCGCGTTCGGATATCCAGGACAGGCCTTGGGATTACTCATAGTCCAGTCAAGTCGAATCGAGCCGTCCACGGATCGATAACTGGACTACGGCGGCTATCCCGTCCGGCCACCCGCGCGGGAAGCGTCGTGATCCACCGCGGCGTGAAACGGGCTGGCCCGCTCGATCGATCATTTCAAAAGACTGAAACGACGACTTCGCGAGAACGACACGCTCACTTGCACGCCTACTGCACACTTTAAGCGGCGATAGTGCCAAGATAGGGCTGGCTAGCCATTAGCTGGGGACTTTTTCTTTTCACTCATCTGCCGGGACTCGGTGACAATGGTCAACACTGGCAAGCCTTCGCCGGGTTGTTTTGCCTGCAGGTCGAGGCGAATCAAGGTGAGTGAGTCGATGAGATATCTGTCTCTGTTCTTTCCACCATCTTTACCTTTGATGTGCTTTCCCCCCCTAACAATCTCATCATTCTACCCAAATTTTGGCCCTTGTGTGAGCCTAAGCAAACTTCGTCTCCGCAAATGGCCTCTCCTTGCTCTTGCTGCTCGGCAGAGATATGCTGACACACCAGTAGTGCGATACAACGCGGCCTGAGTGCAGGAAATGCCGGAAGAGAGGCTGGAAATGCCCGGGCTACCGAGATCTCAATGCCCTCAGGATCGTCGATGAGACCCAGAAGCAGTTCACCCGCTTCTCCGGGGACAAAGAGGGGAGCGAGGATGGACCAGGCGTGTCGCCGACCAAGGACATCATCATACGGCAGTACATACCGCCCGGCGAGCGGTCATCACCGTCGAGTGCCACCACCAGCAGCATCACCGGCTCATATCCATCGCCAGTGTCACAGGCTGCCACGCCAAGTAGCCCAAAGAGCCCGCTCAACTACGAGTCACAATGGTCCATGGAGATCCCGCGCTGCATCGGCACGCCTGTCGGGGAGCAGGTCTACAGCTACTTCCTATCCAACTTCGTGCAGGGCACATCGCTCCGCAACCATGGCTACCTCGACTTCCTCTTTCCCCTCCTGGCTAACGAGCCTCCCGGCAAAGACCACCCGCTGCCCTTGGCCTTCTCCGCCACCGCCATGATCGCCTTCGCCGCCCGCCAGAAGGTCCCTGACCTGCTTCCGCGTGCCGAGGCGACATATCTGCGCGCACTCGAGGCCACCTTCCAGGCGATTGGGGACCCCAATCGGGCCCGCGACAACTCGACCCTCGCTTGCGTGACCTTGCTAACCACCTTTGAGGTATACGACTTCCGCCGTCTTCCTTCCCAGTATTTTATTCCCTAGGGTTACAGCCTGGTGTGCAGTCCAATATGCTAATGAGACGTATCTCAAACAGCAACTCAGACCATCCCGTCCGTCGTATCAAAAAGCAGAGGCATTCGGCTCACATCTCGACGGTGCAGTGGCGCTGCTCAAGATGCGAGGCAAGGACGTCTTCCAGACCGTGGTCGGTCGCAAGATCTTCCTCATTCTAAGGTCATTACTCGTACGTACTACCGATTTAGAGATCTGGTCCCCACCATAACCACATCGGCATCGATGGGTGGCTCCACAACAACCCTGTCCATCCCAATCCTCCCTTCACATAGCGCCCGCACCCACTCACATACTACCCAACAGGTATCAAGAAGCATATGCTACGCAACCCCGCTGGAGCCAGATCTGTACCACCTGACGGACGAGTTCCAGCAAGACCCAGCACAGCACCGGTTCGCGGAGCTGTCACTGCGGGCGGCGGACCTGCGCGTGGGCGTGGAGCGGCTGCTGGGCGGATGGGGCCTGGGCCACGCGCCGCTGCCGCACCCGCCGCCGCGCGAGTCGGTCGCGGCCCTGCTGCGCGACGCCGAGGCCATCGAGGCCGACTACGCCGCCCACATCGCCAACCTGCCCATCGCCTGGAAGGGCATGACGGTGCGGTGCATGACGCACGCCGACCCGGCCATCATGGGCGGCATCGCCTACGTCGGCAGGGTCGATGCCTACATCGACATGTTCATCTGCTACATCCTCAACTGGGCGCGTGCTGCGCGCCTCTACGTCCAGAACACGGCCATGCGGTGCCGCGCGTGGCTGCTGGGCCCCGAGGGGGACTACCGTGAGGTGCCTGAGTACGCTGCTACCCAGCAGCTCTGCGAGGCCATCATTGCGGATATCGTGGCCTCGGTGCCGTATGTGTTTGGTGCGGCGAGGGCGAGCTCAGGGTACACGGAAGGGGTGTCTCCTGGGCGATACCAGCCGCCCAGCTTGGCCGGTGTGTTCTGCATGTGGCCAGTGTTCGCGGCAGCAAGCTCGGACTTCGCCACGGAGACGCAGCGGACGTTCATGAAGAGGACGCTCAAGTATATCTCGGAGGAGATGGGCATTGGACAGGCTGCCATCCTTGCAAGCGTGAGTGTTTCACCAACCGCCGTCTGCAACTGTTTCGAGAATGCGCTTTTCTCGTCCAATGCATCTCTCCACACGCACCATACCTGGCGCGCATGGCTAATATTCTACCTCTAGTATAATCTTCGGTCGCCCTCGATGCCCATCGCCTTCACACGCATGAAACAGTTCGAGCAGCTGGGCAAGCCGTTCCAAGGGGTAGCAATAGGGGCGGCGGCGGGGTCCACGATGGCATCCGGCCTCCGGGATATTGTCAAGACGACAGGCACGATCATTTCGTCGCCGCGGCCTCACTCGCTGGGGATGCCACTACGGGTGCTACACGAGCACCCTGACTTGGATTAACACTCGATTGGGTGCAACTTTTTTTCTAACACGAAGTTTTATTTGAGGAGAGTGACGAGTAGGAGGTCTCAGTGTCGATCAAGCCGTCATTTCGAGCGATTGTCAATTGTTCTGGGATGGGCTGGGGCTGATTTTGAGCAACAAGGCGTCACGGTGGGCCCTTTGAAGTCGGCTGCATGCATGGGTAACTCTGGGATGAGAAAAGCCTTTTTGATTCGAGCACGTACTGGTCACAGCGATGAATGAATATACACAAAGACGCCGAGAATGGATCAATGCATGCCCATGGAAATAGAGTGTCCTCAATGCCGAATAGACTTCCCGTGCCATCTCGCCCCCCTCCTCCGCCGACTTTTCCCTCCCGAACCAGCTTTTCGTTCGCGAATGGCGGCCAGCACTACCCAAAGTACCGAGTTGCGTCCCACTCGGCACGAAAGCGTATTGTGCAGCGTAACATGCAGCGTCGCATCCCTCGTTGCAACCTCTCCAACCCGCCGTTAAGCTGACAATTGTGTCGTATTGACAATGTGTTGGACTAGTCAAATATATCAATTGATTGAACTCGCAGATTTATAGACCTGGCATCGTGTATCGTCAGGCTCGCCCACCGCTGCCCACCTCGGCCACTTTTTTGGATAAAGAAATTCAGGTGACGACTTTGGAAAGGAAATAAGTACATGCGTCGCCAAATAGGTACATGCGTCGCCAAATAGGGTGATTCCACTCAATCATCGCAATCCCGCCTCCTGACCCTGACGCCCCCCCCCCCCCCCCCAAAACGCCGTCTCCCTTCTACGCGTTGACTCCTTGATTGCCTCTCCCCTTGATGACTTCTCCCTTTGACGACCTCTCCCCTTGACGACTCTCCACTTGGCTTAGGCACCTGACTTCCAGAACCGTCCGACAGCACCGCGGGCCTTGCTCATGACGTTGAAGGTGCCAGACAGATGCTGCTGACTGCGACCTCCCTGGTTGGCGCTAGCCGGCGAACCGCTGACGGGGTTGTTGTTGTTGTTGTTGTTGTTGTTGTTGTCAGCGGACTTACCACGCCCGAGGCTGGATCCGGTGGTCGCTGGCGCCGTGTATGACCTTTTGAATCCCCTCGGGTTCTTCCATCCGGTCGGATTCGGATACGGCTTGATCAAGTTCAGGGCGTAGGGGGCCCGGCGTGGGAGGGTGTTGCTCAGTCGGAGCATCGTCGATGGCAGGCTGAACATGTTGATCTCCACTGGCTTCGGAAGCTCAGGGTCCGGCAGCTCAGGCTCCGGTTGAGCAGGCTCCGGTTGAGCAGGCTCCGGTTGAGCAGGCTCCGGTTGAGCAGGCTCCGGTTGAGCAGGCCTTGGCTGAGCAGGCAGCCCAAGCTGAAGCAGCTCAGGCTCCAGCAGCTCAGGTTTCTTGGAATTCTTGTCGTCGGTGGCTCCCTGCTCGGAGAACCTGCGAACTCCGAGTGGGTTGGGAGGCTGGTACTTCTTTAGTTCTAGGGAATCTCTGATCTTGCCTTGGTCGACGGCGTCGCTGATGGTGCTTGAGGTCCGTTCAAGCTGACCTACCGCCGGGGAGGCCGGGGAGTCGACTGTCTCCTCACTGTCCTCTGTGGGCTGCTCGCTGGCGTCGTCGTCGTCGTCGTCCTGGCGTTGCGACAGAGGTCCGGGAATGACCACGCACCCATCCCAGGACACCTGGCTCCGCCGTAAAGGCGGGTCGATGTTGTCCTTGTTGTCGTCCGGTTGATCGGCCATAACTCCAGTGTCAAATTTCGATCCCGTCTCCTAAAAGAGGAACTGAGGTTCTCCTAAAAGAGTAACAGAAAAGAAGATGGGGGAGGAACGAAAACGTTAATTTCTTCTGGGGACGTCTCCTTTGGACCGTGGACAGCGGACAGAGACCGTCTCTTTAAGTGCAAGGCACACAGCGCCATGGGCTCCCACCATGTGCCTACCTTGATTCATGGCTTTTGGCGTACGGAGTAGGTTGATTGGACCACGCCGCTATGTCTTGTAGCTATGAAGCTATCCCCGAGGTTGTAAACACCAAGCTTCGTGAAGGGCGAGACGGCTCTTGAGCTAGTGAAGCTTGCATATTACTCGGGCGAAGCTACGCCCCAGGACGAGGTCAACCACGATGCCAATGCCCAGTCATGTCTCGCGATAATTCTCGAGTAGAGACACTTCGCGGCGCTACTGAAAGGTGACATCGACGATGGCCAACGAATGTCCTTAACAGTTCTTTTCCCGGGTTTTGCACGGGCTCGAACTAAGTATAAGAACCCCCCAGAATTTTCCTGCAAATGGCGCATTGGGCCCGCTGCTTCAACAAGTGGCAGATTTCCCTTTCCCTGTGTCGCTGGGTTGCAGTCCCCGTGACTTCACAGCTGTACTGCAGGGTCCCCGGATGGCCACCCCCCACCGACATCGCCTCAACACTGCTCGCACTCTTGTGATTGCAGCGGGCCACGGTCCTCATAGCCTTGTTGCGCACAATGACAAGCGCAATGCCGATGGCCTCTCTGTCCACGATGCTGCTGGTCGATGACGAGCGGCATCTCCAGCCCAGAGGACCTCCATGCTCGCAGGAACTCCCCTACGGTCGTGGCACCTGGGGCCCAACAGCTGCTCGATCCTGGTGTATGCTGGACCCATCCGGGCGCCTCCGTTCTCTTCCCTTCTTCTTCTGCCCCTCCTTCGTCTTGGCTACAGCCGAGCCTGCCGGAATGCCCTCGCGGCGCAGATACTGACCTGGCCTTGTGAGCCGAGCAGACCCGACACCCCCGCCTCGTTCGCCAACTACCGCCATGTGCGATCTCAGCGCTGACGTCCGCCAATCTTGCCGTGCCGGCCACATCTTAGTCCCGGCCACATCTTAGTCGCGTGCCCCCACGCGGTCAGTCCGCAAAAGGCGACGTCCTGGACGCTGGACTGGATCAACATGGCCTCGTACGACGCGAACGAACGCGCGACGCAATGCACCAGCGCGCTGGGCTGTCGCGCCTTCGACCTCTGTGAGTGCCCGTGCTCGATGATCTTGCCATTGCCAAAGTGACTACTGTTCCCACCGAGTGCGCGATTGCTCCCACTCGACCGATGTCTGCTGTATGAGGCGGAGGTCTGATCGCGCACCAGACTTCCAGCGCTCGCCCAACGTTGCGTCGAGCTTGGAAAACAGCTGTTCCCCATCCCTGTCTCAGTGCCACATACTCTGCCTGCCGTGTAATGGCACGTTTGCCTTCATGAACTTGGGCAACACGGGCGAATGGAGAGGCCAGTCCCAGGTACTCATCGCAGGCAAGTCGTGGTACGTCGCTCGTGCAAGCAGTGTAGAGATTGGTCGCAAGGGGCTGCTGACGTGGATGACAGGTTCTATTGTGTTCAACAAAACCGAGGTTTGATTGGGCAATGCCCGCAGGACAGACATGATGAAGATGAAGGTTGATCTCAACAGCAGGTGCGGAAAAAGTGATGGCGCCGCGGGTTCTGGTGAAACGTGATGAGTTGAACTCTTCGACATGTGCCGATTGGCTGTTCCCTTATCCCCCATCGGCGTTTGCGTCATTGGGATGGTTAAACCCGTGCAAATGTATATGCAGTACCAAACTTGAACACACCATTTGATTTACGCATCTCCGACGAAATTCTCATTGTTACGCCTACTGTATATTCTCCCGTCTTCAGCAGCTATTCTCTCCGTCAACTAACCTCAAGATACCCACCACTTGCCACCGACCTCAACACTCCGCCCTCCTCCTCTGCTTCGCCAGCCACCTCAGAACTCCCACCAGTCACATCCACCAGCAACATGTCCAACCCCTGGCCACACAACGCAAAATGCGCCATCTCCTTCACAATGGACAACCTAGGCGAGGCGCAAGCAGTACACAACAAGGAGTGGCCGCCGGACGAGCCAACAGGCCAGCACCCCTCGGTGACACAGACGCTGCCCCGCATCCTGGACCTGCTCGGCGCCGGCGGCATCAGGGCCACCTACTTCGCCGAGGCCTGGAGCCTGGGCGTCTACCCGGCCGCCGTCGCCGAGCTCCGCCGCCGCGGCCACGAGGTCGCCTGGCACGGCTTCCAGCACGAGCCGTGGCACGCGCTGTCGCCCGAGGACGAGGAGGCCAGCTTCGAGCGGAGCCACGCCGAGGCGCTGGCGCACGGGGTGCCGTACCGCGGGTTCCGGCCGCCGGGCGGCAGTATCAATGGGGACAGGACGCTGGAGCTGTGCCGGAGGTATGGCGTCGAGTACGTCTCGCCGCTGGGGACCTTCGGTGTTGACAAGGGGGCCGCGGGTGAGACTCCTGTGGTGATCCTCCCGTTTGAGTGGGAGGCTGTGGATGCGTTCTGGTATATGGATATCGAAAAATTTGCTGAGATTCGCCGTGACCGCGGGTTGCAGGGGGGGCCGCTTGGCCCGGAGGGCTTTCGGGCGTATTTGCTGCGGCGGGTTGAGGAGGTCAAGACGGAGGGAGGGTATATGTCGATTCTGTTTCATCCTTTCCTGATAACTGATGAGGAGAGGATGACGGTGCTGGAGGAGGTTGTACAGAAGATTGGGTTAGATCATGAAATCTGGTGTGCGCCTTGTGAAGAAGTTACGAAGTGGGTGAAGGGTCACGAGAGTAATTTTGGGTTTGATGTGTGAGCGAGAAATCGATTTCAAGATCATGCTTTATAACGCCTGCAGAACCTATAAACCACACCAGTCTAGACGAGCAGTCTAAAATTGTCCAAAACTCCTTTCATTGCGTGTTCATTACATTGCTGGTGCAAACCTGACCCTCATTCTCGAGGAAACTTCTCCATCGCAGCACGAAGCTCCTCCGCGCCGGCATCTAAAAGCCCCCCGACAGTCTTATACGGCGCCTTAACGCTAGCATCCTCCTCTTCCTCATCCCGCACACCATGCGGGATGAAGAAAACGGACCTCTCAAAGTCCCTCGCCAGATCCTCACTCTCCTGCGCGCTGAGCACCTTTTCGATGTTCACTAGTTCTACCCGCTCTATGTCGCGGATGTGCTGTATCAAAGGCCCACTCAGCTCCTTGAACACTTTGTTAAGCTTCTCGTAGCCGGGATTGGATGCTGCCGCCACCGCCGAGAATGACCGCAGCGCCTGCCGCAGCTGCGCCATGTCTCGCTGCCTGTGCTGCGCCGCTTGGTTGCCCTGCTTGGCGCGGTGGGCGGTCCCCGGAAAGATGAAGAGCTCCATCGTCACCAGATGTCGGGCCAGCTCCCAGGCGAACCGCGAGCACAGGGCGCGCTGGCTGTCCGGGCTGCTGGTGGATGACGGGGCGGCCAGGGAGGTGTAGAGCCTCTCGAGGAGGCGATGGTCGCTCTTCACAGCGTCTGAGATGTAGCGGATGCCAATAGACGGGCTCTTTGGTGGAGACGGCATTGTGGATGATATATATCTGTTCGAGGCTGATGTGGTGGGCTGCCCTGGTGATATGTCGCCTGATGTGGTGACCTGATATTCACCCACTCCCGCTTTTATAAACCTTTCTTCTGTGTTGCACGTTCGATTGGTCGCGCTGGATTTGCGTAGGTCTGATAACCCCCAGGTTCTCACGCGTCATTACCGGCCTCAGGTCTCTCGTTGAAACAGCCGTTTGATACCTTCGTTATAACAAAACATATCCCGGGTCGGTCGGGTGGTCAGACACAATTCGAATGAGGTAACACTGAAGATGCTTCTGGGGTTGTGATGTGCGACTTGGTGATATTAGGAATGGATCCTCCGGACATAAGCTCAAAGATCAGAGAGAGATAAAATGCTCAAGAAGCTTCTCTTCGTTGTCCGAAGGCAAAAGGGCAGGGGGGCATCTAGATGTAGATGGTGCCATGCCGCCGCATTATATCCTCCGCAGGCATACACCGGACCATTTGTCCGGCCAAGGGCGCATGCATACGCGTCTGTTCGAGTACGACCAGGCATGGTCAAAATGACGTTGCGATTACTTTCAAAACACGGAATAGGATTCACTGAGGGCCGAATCGTGTGGCTTTGCCCAACGCAGGGGCCTGCTCTTGTCAGCTCTCATTTTTTGGCTGATTATCATCCAGTGGTTGGCGGACGGGGCGGGATGGGGAGGTCGACACATGGGCGCCCTTGTCCCAAGGATGTTTCCGAGACGGCCCCCAGCTTCTTAGCTGCTCGCGCCGCCTTGGCCCGCACCTTGGTTGGGCCACCAAGGAGCGACGTGCTCTAGAATGCACTAAGGGACCTGTCACTTGCGCCAAGCTTGAAGCCAGGGCGGACCGTTCCCCATGGTTCATAATGATATCAGCGCAGCCTTTGGGCGACCGGGACGATCCTGATTTAGTCATAGCTGGACGAGTAGATGAACTTCACTCGGGTGGGACAAGCGAAGCCTGCTGTGACTGGGAGCTCTGCTGTGAAGCTAAACAAAACTAAATTGTTTTTGATCACCGTGTAGCATGAAATGGTGTGAAGCTGCGTCTTGGAAAGCCTTTCATGTACATCGACATATGTAAAGGCTGCAGTTAAGTCTTCCTTGATGGTACTGTACAGTCACAGTATTCTATTCGCTCGTGATTTTCGTCTTTCATGAGATTTTGACATCCGCCCTAGCCGGGTCCTGCTCGGTCGCCTTTACTTGCTTGGCCGCGCCTCGCCTGTCTTTCCAGTGGGGATGTTGAACAACACTACCTTCTTGGCCTCGCCCTCCTTGTAGTCCGCCAAGCCCTTGTCTACACGGTAGTATCCCCTTCTCTCCAGCTGCACAATGTCGTCCTTCTTGAGGGTCGCAACATTCTCATCACACCACGCCTCCTCCATGGTGCTAGTGTTGGGGTTCAGGAAGTCCTCCAAGTTGTCATCCTCCTCGAGCTTGTCCTTGGTGATGAGGTAGTCGAAGTCCCATAGCTCGGCTGGGACCAGCGTGGTGCCCTTGGTGGACAGCCATGTCACCTTCTTCTCGGTCTTCTTGACGTCACCAGCCAGGTTGAGCTCGAATGTGGCAGTCTTGACGGGAGATGAGCCGTCGAGGGAGCGCACAAAGGCGTTGCCCCAGGTCATAAGCGTGATCTCCTCATCGGGCTTCATGAGTGCCAGATCGGCCTGATCCAGCAGCAGCTCGTCTGAGAAAAAGACCTGCTTGGTGCCGACATCCTTGTTCTTTGGGTGCTTGGGCTTGCTCTCGCTGGTGGGCTGAGCAGGAGCATCGGCGCCCTTGATAGTGACCTTGACGGCATCCTTCTGCAGAATAGCGGTGAAGCGAGGAGCAATGGGGTCAATGACCTTCTTGTTGTTGGCCCAGAACACGGTCCAGTCCATGGTGGTCACGTTTCGGCTGGGGCCCTGCTTGATGATGAAATCGCGCAGAGCCTCCACGGTCATGCCTCGCCGGCGGACACCACGGATGGTAGGCATGCGAGGATCGTCCCAGCCCCAGACCTTGCCGGTGTCAACGAGCTTGGCCAGTTTTCGCTTGGACAGGAACGTCTTGACAAAGTTCATACGAGCGAAATCCCACATGTGAACCTGGCGCAGCTTCAGTGTATCAATGAACCATTGGTACTGAGGGTTCCGGTCGGTGTATTCGGTTGACCGCAAGGCGTGTGTGACTCCCTCGTGGCTGTCAATGACAGGGCATGCGAAGTCGTACATGGGGTAGGCCTTCCACGTTGTCCCAGTCCGGTGATGCGCATCCTCGAGGTTGCATCGGTAGATAACAGGGTCTCTCATGGCCTTGTTTGGGTTGTCGTAGGATACCTTGGCGCGGATGCACCACTTGACACCCTCCTCGGACCCCTTCTTCATCTCCTCGAAGATACGCAGCGTCTCCTCGATAGACATGTCTCGGTGCTTGGAGGGGATGCCCTTCCACCGCTCGTCTCGCATTTGTTCGACACCGGTGTCATCGGCGTATCCGTGGCCCTCAGAAATCAGCCTCTTGCACATGTCGTAAAGGTACTCGAAGTAGTCGGAGGTGTAGGACAGGTGGTCGGGTGTGATGCCCATCAGGGCGAGATCTTCGATAATAGCATCTTGGTACTCCCCCTTCTCCTTGGACGGGTTGGTGTCGTCAAGACGCAGTCGCAGTTTGCCCTTGTATGCAACATGGCCAAAGTAGTCGGCAAGGAGGGCGGCTTTCGCGTGTCCAATGTGCAGGTAACCTCTGTTCTCAATGTCAGTGCATGGCCTCTTGTGTACTGATCATGCATGGTCAATGGTGTAGACGGGCACTCACGAAGGCTCAGGCAGGAATCTGGTGACGATGCCGTTCTCGGTGTCTTGGAGAGCAAGGTTGAAGTTGCCTCCAGCCTTACTGGCGGCAGCAGTCTTCTTCTTCTTCTCGGCCTCGTCCGCCTTGATAGACTCCTGGATCTCGGGGTGTGTGGCGTCGACGAAGGCGTACCACCGGAGCAGGTTGGCGAGGGCTCCCTTGATGATGTAAGAGGCAGCGGCTCGGTTGGTGCGCAGAGTAGTCCAGATGGCCTTGTCGTTCTCACCGAGCTGGTAGCCGTCGAGGTAAGTTCGTAGTGTCAAGTGCTTGTCGAGGGCGACCAGATGGGGCTCGATGGACTTGAAGTCCTTGCCCAAGTTGGGCGTAATGGCCTTGAGCTCGTCTGCCTTCATGATGTGGTTGTGTCCTTCGAAAATTGGCCAGGAAGAAGGATGACGCGCGCAGAGATCAAAGTCTAGGGAAAAGAAGTATCTCGTGAGTCAACCGGCCAAAAGGTGGGAGGGAGTGTAGCCACACACAGCTTGGACGAGATAATGGTGGGGTGAAATTTCGAGGAGGGGTCAACTTGGGCTGGATGGGTACACCCCTTCCCTTCTACAGAACCACTGGATTGACCCCCCTCCCCCCGGTCGTCCCAACCCTGGCGCATCCCGTCTTGACGAAATTTGAGCTTTCCAGTGTAAAGACAGAGAGAGAGCTCCATCACGCTCGTCTGCTCCAGATTGAGGCTCGCATTCAGCAGGCAGGAAGACGGGCGACCATCCGTCACTGTCGCAACGCACCTCCACCCATTATCATGGCCTCGATAAACCAATGCCTCGCCTCAATGGCAAGGCTCAGTCTCTCCACAGCATCCAGACCAACATTACAATCAGCGATACCACGATATCTCGCGCCGTCAGTAGTCGCAGCCGCGCAACAAACACGAAATGCGTCCGGACGGCCAAGCGGCGCCAGGAAGAGGGAGAAGAAGAAGAGGACATTCAAGGGCTTCAGAGTAGACAGGCTGGATAACATGCAGCAGTTTTCACTGTGCGATGCCATACGGTACGCGACAACCTCCTGTTTCCATCTTCATGCACCATCATACCTGTCCCAACAAGAGGAATATGAACTGTACTGACACTCCATGGAAACAGGTACGCACGCGCCTTCGAGGTCGGCCAGAACCCCCAGACAACCAAGTACGACCTCGCCGTCAAGCTCAGGACGCTCAAGTCCGGCCCCGTCATCAAGAGCCGCATCCGCCTGCCGCACCCCGTCAAGTCGGACCGCCGCATCGGCGTCATCTGCCGCGAGGGCTCCGCCCTGGCCATCCAGGCCCGCGAGGCCGGCGCCGTCGCCGTCGGCGAGGACTCGCTGTTCCAGGCCATCCGCGACGGCAACCTCGAGCTCACCAGCCTGATCTGCGACCAGGGCTCCGCCGACAAGCTGGCCAAGGCCAACATGGGCCGCGTGCTCGGCCCCAAGGGCCTGATGCCCAGCGTGCGCGCAAAGACCATCACCAACAACGTCCTAGGGTTGCTGAAGGAGATGGCCGGTGCTGATAACTACCGTGAGAAGGACGGCGTTGTAAGGCTGTCTGTGGGGCAAGTGGGCTTCACGCCCGAGATGCTGGCTGCTAATGTGAAGGCTTTTGTGGGCCAGGTCAAGAGCGACTGTGCTGCGCTGGATGACCAGGTGAACAAGGAGGTGCATGAGGTTGTCATGAGCAGCACACATGGTCCGGGATTCAGCTTGAACGGAGGTTTCAATCCCACTGAGGAAGGCCTGACGCCTGCTATGCTGACTAGTCCGATGTAAGAGGTGGACCGGGAGGGGAGTTTGCGTCGACCTGGTGTTGGTGATAGTGCTGGCTTGCAAAGACATGGCATGGCATGCCAGGGACATCTATCTGTACAATCAATCTACGAGCACATGTTGCATATCTCAAAACATGGAATGGCGATTGCGCTTAATGGGTATCATATTGTGGCAATGTCTTGAGATCTCTTCGAAGAAGAGTGACGATGGCTGCGACCTCAATTATTTCTCCTTGAGTACCTTGACTCCCTCTGAGTATGCGCCCAGTATTCGATACACCCCCAATAGTCTGACGGTCCTCTCCTTCTCGCCTGTTTTCCGCGCCTCTTTCAGTGATGTACCCAGATCCACCAGCAATGTGTTCCTGCATCTCGTGATCTTCTCCTCCATCTTCCTGACAAACGGCAGGTCCCGACCAAGGGCATCGGCCAGGTTGATGATAGCATTGTACTCCCTCGCCATCTCAACCAACCTCTCCACCTCATCATCTACGCCGTCACTGTCTTCATCGCCATCCTCTTCCTCAATCCCGGCCCCTTCCAACTTGCCAAGCAGCACGCCACACCGCTCATCGAGCTCCAGCATGCGCCTCCCGGCCTCAACCTCGCCGCGCACCGCCCGCAGCTCCGCGCCGGACCGCTGCACGTCCTCCCTCCGCCCCCGGACGCGGGCCTGGACGTCCTCGACCTGGCGGCGGAAGCCCAGCAGCGCGACACGCACGTCCTCGGCCCGCTCGCCGCCGCCCCGCAGCCCGTCCCCGAGCCCCAGGAACGCCGCGTAGTTGGCGTTGACCAGCTCCAGCAGCTCCGCGCTGATGGCGCTGCTGCGCTCCCGCAGCTCCGCCCGCAGGTCCTCGAGCGTCTGGTGCCGGTGCGCGGCGGTGCCCGCGCCCAGGCCCGTGTCGTCTGTGTCGGAGGACCCCGATGGGAACAGCGACGACAGGTAGGACGCTGCGTTGAAGTCTGGGGCGAGGAAGTCGCGGCGCGACAGGGCGGTCGGGAAGGGCAGGGGCGCGTCTGGGTCGAAGGCGTCGTCGCCGTCGAGGTTGGCTGGGTCGTGGTCGGCGGAGCTCGACGAGGAGCTGCTGGGGAGCTGGAACTTGGACTTGGAAGTGCTCGTCGAGGGGCGCGAGGCTGGGCCCATGATTCCCAGGCCGCTCGCCATGGCTATAGAAGGAGCTTATTTGGCTGCTGACTGGGGCGCGTTGGGAATCTGGCCGTCGCTGGGGTGTCTCGTGGATTGAGGAGCGATGGTCGGTTGCTCTGAGTTGGGACGCTGCACACTCTGGCAGGGAAGGCAACTTAAGGGGCAATTGGCCGTGGGTGGTTCGACTGACTTAGGGGAACTTCCTCGCCAGTCGACTGTCACTTTGATGCTGTTATCAGTTAAGTGCTGCAAACGTGCAGTGATGGAGTACAGCATTCATAGGCAGCTTGTTGAAGCTGGACTTCCAGCATTTGGCCAGATGGAGCTCAGGTAATTACCCCAGTCGGCGGTCCATGTACCTGGGGCATCAAGGTGAACACAACTGCCGCAGCAGCTCAACCAGGACACCCATCCAATAGGTTAATCGCACAGTTGGTTCTCTTCTGGGATAACCTACTGCGGGACAATGACCACAGTTTATGTGATCATCTGCTAGCTATTATGGGCGATAGCCCGTTAAATATGGACCTTTATCCTCTCCCACGCTACAAGTCCTGAGTGCATATATGGAGCCCTGCCTGCCTTAGCAGTCTCGGCCTACCATTCTGAGCAACATATCGTCTGGCAATTTGGAGGTCTGATAACAACTTCGGAACTCTTCAGCTTTGTATAGGATAAGTCACTCCGGCAGGCGTCATGCACTCGCTGCTTTCTTGCATCGGAAAAACACGGTATTGCAAGGTGTGCCAGGGCGTGCAATTCGGATCAGGCTACTCAAAGATATTTTAGCAATAATTCAACAGGATGCAGATACAAACCTCCAATTATTATTTTTAATGTATGCCTAGACATGGGACATTTTTTAATTATTGGTCACCTTTAGTATGAAACCCTGTGGATGTCACTCCTTCTTCTCCATCTACCAGCTTGGAGCAATTCAATGAAAGATCGAGTGACTTTCCCATACAAGGTTGTCCCCAAGGAGATTTTCCCACTGTGGGATATCCCGTGCCTAGAAAGATGACAGGAATAGAAGTCACCACACTCGGGACAACGGCTCAACCTCTTTCTGAACTCAAGTGCGGCAAACACTACTGATCAGTCTCATTAGATCTCAAACTCATCTGCAATTTTCTGTTGATAATAGACATGTATGTGAATTATAATAGTAAAGATTAGAATACTCCGGTTCCTGTGACGTCACTATAGTACCAACGCAGGAGGCACAGTACACAGCAAGATACGACTGCTTCCTTACTTTCATCCCCCCCCCCCCCTCCACTTCACTCTCGACCCATTCCAATTTTTTTCTTTAAGTTTGATATTGCGTTTAAAAGCAGAACTTCAAGTTGCATCATAACAACACAAGCACAAGTGTACAAAGAAGATCTCGTGCACAAAAGCCTTCCGTGATGCCATGCAGCCGTGCAAGCGCTGTGGCGAGAATTTTGATGAATGAAAATTCAATAAGCAAAAAACAAAAGCCAAAAAATTGGTAGCTTCTCTTTGATTGAGCGTGTCATCCTTAGTGCAGGGGCCATGCTACTGTAATGAAGTTAGTGACTGTCGGAGTCGAACTCAAGACCTTCAGGGTGGACCTACATCTTCTCTGTATCGTTTCAAATTGACCAAATGCCCGAAGGCACAAAGGTGAGCACATTACAGCTATATATACGTAAAACAGCTTCAACTTTCCGCCTGTAAAAATTGCCTTTCCGCCACATATGCACCTGATTACAGCTGTTGCTTCTCGATGCGATATGCGCTCATAATGTCAAGGAAGACAAAATTAATTGTTTGCAATCTTATCCATCAGATTACATCCTTATGCACGCCCGCCCAAGTAACACATCCTGGGGTACTGTGTATGCAAGGGCCGTGGGTTGTACTGGCTGGGCCCTGCAGTGCAGTGCGGTGCCCTCCTCGACAGGTTTCACATGTACCATTGGAACAACACCACCACACTCTTAAAAACGAATTGCGAAGCCCCGGTTTGCTTACATCGCCATATGGATTTATCTTATGGGAAAGCCTTCTATAGATAATAATCCTAAAGCAAATTATCCTCTAGAAGATTATCTTCTGAGAGGTTATTCTATAGGAGGTTATCCGATAAGAGGTTATCCGATGAGAGGCTATCCGATAAGAGATTATCCGATAAGAGGTTATCCGATAAGAGGTTATCCCACAGGCGGTTATCCCACAGGAGGTTGTCTGATAGGAGGTCGTCTGATAGGAGGTTATCCCACAAGAGGTTATCCTACAGGAGGTTATCCCATAGGAGATTATTGAATAGGAGGTTGTCTTATATTTTCCGGCCTCAAGCCCGTATCTCATGAGCTCACTGCCAGCTCGTAAACAGCTTCAAGGTCTGCACAGCTGCGCTACCGTTCATTTCTTTTCCAGGGGCGATGTAATAAAATTAGCTTGTTTCTCTTCCCAAATCGAGCCTTCGGGCTGTGATGGCGTATGGATCTATTCGTGCTTCTAGCATGTAAAATGATAGTTTTTATCTTTATAATATTTATATAACATTGTACCGGCCCGTTATCGTAGTGTCAAATTCCCACATCCCGTTTGCCATGCCTGTCACCCTGATTCTCCGACCCAATCCATCCTCGCCAGCAGCATCCCCAACATCCTCGACGATCCACGAGATTGCCATACTCCGCATTGCCGGCCTCGGGATGGACTCTAACACCGGATTAAAGGGCGTAAGCACCTGCACCGTGTTTCCTGCATTTCCGGTCACGTCGAACACGGCCCGTCGCTTGTGATGGTGACGGCCGCTATCCTGCTCCGTCATGTCATAGCACATCAAGGCGAGGGAGGACATGGCCTGTGGAGCTGTGAAGACATGCTTCATGACCGCCGCTTGGTGGTCGTCGGGTGGTGCGCCTAAGTCCTCAGCCTCGTCATGGGCTATTTCCTCAACTTCGCCGACCGCCATGGACAACATAAAGGATTGGACCAGACGCCTTGCGTGACCGCGGTGCTTCTTCTTGTGTCTCTGTTCGTTCCCCATTGAGCTACCCAGTACCAGACCACGCTCTTGGATTTGAGGAGTTGTCTCAGGTGCCTTGCTCTTGTGTGAGGATAGGTCAGTGATTCTTCCAGGGTCCCTGGGTTGGTCATGCAGCAAAGACTCGTGCTCCTCAAGCGTCCCTGTCCAGAAGCCGCCCGTCTCCATTACCCTGTCAATGATCCAACACTGGTGTAACCAACCATCTGGACTGCGATCTAGGTCGAAGAGCCCTTTGCGATTCTCGATTCTCAGACCTGACGGAAAATCGTCCACCGATTCGAGGACATCCGTAAAAAAAGCTCCGTGATTCCTCCAGCGCCAATTTGAAGTAGAGTTCAGAATAGAATTAGCTACTTGCTTCTCGCCTCTGGTCTTCAGAGTCTCCAGAATCTCGAACAGAATATGCGTTGTTGCAAGCTCAATGGTCCTTCCGGAAGGGCGGGACGGCCCCTGAGCTCGGCGCATCCGCAGCCATGAAGCAGCGTATTTTGCCTTGATTTGTTTCAAGTCCACAAAATCGTCGAGTCTCCACATGCTCCCAGGAAATGAGAGTCCACGGGGAGTAAGGTCGACAAAAGTGGCTACGCTGGCTCCTGACATTGGTCCATACGGGTTCCAATTCTCTGCTTCTACGTCTTGGAGACACTGGGTGAAAGAATGGGCCCAGGAGAAGTCAGATTGATCACCCGAAGCCAGTGGAAACTCTGTATCTTGTCAACAAGGCAAATCACAGAAAAATTGCTCGTTTGGATTGACCGTGTACCTACCCAGGACCTTGCTCTGCGGCAAGTGATAGATTTGCGGGATCAGCAGGGAAAAGTCACCATTGGCGATCGCGAGCACCAACGTGCATACAGCCAGACTTGGCTGAGTTTCATCCAACTCCACGGTGTTCAGGCGTAGGCGGTAGCCACATAGATTCGCCACGATGGCCAGCTTGTCTGCGACTCGCTCTAGGTCCCGCAATCGGAGATAGGTGAGAGCAACGGCTGCGCTGCATGTTCGCTTGTTCTTTGACCCATTGGCCCAGAAGGATCCTCCGCTGTTGGGCGCCGATGGATGAAAGAATCGAATCCTCTGCATCGTAACCCGGATCTCTTCAGGGTCAGGGTCCTTCTGCTTTTTGCCCCTGGCCTTTCTTCGTTGTCGGCCTGGTCTGTTGTTCTTGCCCGTGTCGGTATTCAACGCCCGGCTCAAGAGAGGCTGTATCATCCGCCCACAAACGGCGATGCAGCTCTGGATGGTATCCAGACGAATGGCCAATTCGCTACGTGAAGCCTCGTGGCATATCATCATCCAACCACGTAAGTCGACCTTATCAGCCTTTGGGAAAAGGAGCAACATGTTCCCACTCGAAGCAAAAGCCTCTTGGAGAACCCAAGCGCGTGTATTCCACTTGTCGTTGACGACCATGGATACCGTCTCACGCATAGTTTCAAGTTCAACCTTGTGACAACGGGTAAAAGCCGACTTTCCACGGCGTGGTCGGGAACGGGGCATGATGTGGCTTTCATACACCATAGACAAACATTCGAGATGCTTCTGTTGTAGCTGGGTCTGAAGGAGCCCGATGGATCTGCGAGCCCTCAGGTACACGAGATCCATAGACTGTATTGCAAGCTCCTTTTCTTTCGGGTGATCCTGATCGATGCATTCCTACCAATTGGTCATGAGTAGTCACACTTTACCCTCATAGTAATCTAGATGGCCAGATTTCAAACGCTCATTGTGAAAGACGTACCTGGTCAATCCAGATCATCCGGAAACCGTTCTCACGAGCGTACGCTACCACTCGATCTATCGTACTGTTCTGGGCCCGCACATTGCGGACGGTACCGTCTTCTTCGACCACCTTGTACGGCTCCGACTCCGTATTGTTCTCGCTGGACCAACAATACGAGACAGCGACGAAATGGTCGCAATGAGCGGACCCCTTGAAATCGGGCGGGAAGACTCTCCGAATGCGAAACCTCGTCAACTTTCCCCTATTTGGAAAGAGTGGGATATGTTGACAGAAGTGACACGAGTTTTCGTTGACATGAACACACGGATCCGAGTATTTGAGGAGTTCGGCCTCGCGCTTCTTGGCCGCGTCTTCGCTAACCCGATGCCCTGCGCACATATGGCCCGAAGGCAAAGGCTCTCTTCTCTGGCATGGCTGGCATTGGCCACGAAGAGGCTGAGTACTCCCTGGATGCTGTCCTGGCCCAGCTACAGGGACCAGTCTGCTATTCTCCTCGCTGGCCACCTCTTCAATATCATCAAATGTCAGAAATCGAAGGCTGCGAGCCCATTGGTTGGCGTGCAGTCTCGCAACGGGGTGTTCCAAGATTTTTTGGACGTGATCTGATACCCGAAGGGCCGCTCGAGGCATGGTTGGGCCCGGACCGCCATATTGGAGCTGTCTAGTATCGTCGATCATTGCGTGGTTCTCTGGATAGGATATTCCGGTGTTGGCCAAGACGGTCGCCTTTTTGTGATGCCCTTTCCAGAAACAATTTTCGCAACAACCTCTGTCTGGCTGGAATTACAGATCACCACCCATTAAACATTGTTCGAAAACTCATCACGCACCTAGGTATCCTAGTTCTCCAGTAATGTAGGCTGCAGCGATTCCTTCATCATGCTCTAAGTCACGCCCGCAGTGCTTTCAGGATGCATGTAGCATTACCTTTAGTGTGCTGATTCTGCCTTGTGCTTTCCAGCCGTGTCCCAATGATGTTGCGAAGATCCGAGACTTAAGTGGACCAGCTGCAGATAATGACCCCGTGTCTGCTTCTGCTGCTGCCTGCGGAGGCCTCAAGGCTCCGCACTCGCATGTTCAGTCAGCTTCATTGGATCTCAACCAAGACACGTATTCAAGAGGATTTTCAGCAGGCACAATTTGAGAAGCACTGCAGACCTCGTGCGCAGAAGTCCCGCTCATGCGGCTCTGCTGACATGTTTTGCAACTGGACATTTCAATATTCTGGTGGGTATATACGCTATGCATTTAGGTGATCGTGTGGTACATGCATGCATAAGTACACCCTCGGGCTGTGTCAACTGCCAAATGATTCTCTGCATCATACCTAAAGGTCTTAGCAAAGAACTATAGCATCCAGAGCCTGAAGACTCATAACAGTCTGATATTCGACGTCAACATCACCTCAACATCATCTGGCGTTCAGTCACTGCAAACACGTATCTCACACTCAACAGACCTCAGCAATGGGCAGGCGTCCAAATTCAGTCGTGGACGAGGTCATCGATGACGAAGTGAGTAACTTAAATGAAAATGAGTCTACGATCTCCAAAGACGAGCCAATCGAGGTTGGCATGAAGAGTGAGTCCAAAGATCTCTACCGGGAGGATTATCGACAACCTTGGGAGGAATGGGCCCCCGACGATATTGGAATCAACTCCAAGTCGACGCCAGAGTCAGCCAAGTTTGCCTTAATCGTTCGGCGGGAGAAACGAAATGGCGACACCGAGGAGCCCGTCCTCGCTCTGCACTCTATCAGCGTACAGAGCCCTCTCATCAAGGAGCTGCTCGGCCCCGTGTTCGCCGGCTATCGAGGGATCAACACGAATCTGAAGAAGCTAGAATTTCACGCACCATTCCACGAGTTCTTTTATCGCTGGGAGGGCTTCATCAAGGCTGAACCCCACGGGGACGAGGACAATGATATTGCAAGGAAGCACTACAAACTTTTATTCAATATCATCAGTCCCGAGATTACGGCACACATTGAACAGAGGAATGACCTGATAAAGAATGGGGTCATTTCCTTTGACTATGTCTGGACATTGTTTGAACCCGGTACCGAGATCTATTCCAGGGTTGATGATCAAGACCGCCTTTTCCTCCTAGATGGCGGGAAGTATCAGAAGCTCCCCAACGATGCTTTGATATACAACCTTTCTTGCCGCTACATCGACACCAACGGGGAAATATTTGGCTATACGACCACTTCGTTAGCAATCGGTCAGTTCGAAAATCTCAAACCTGTGTTTGAACTAAATGTGCTCCCGAGCCACCTGCAACCCAACATGGGTGAGATCCGTGCACGGCTGGAAGAGAGGGGGGAGAGATTTCAGGCTCTGAAAGGCATCCACTACAAACAATACTCGGGAGTCTACACCCTGCGAAAAGCACCGGTTGGGGCCTCCCGTAGACAATTTGTGAGTCACTTCTAAGTACAATAAATGCTTGGCATAGTTGACCGTATGTTGACGTGTGGTTTTCCCACTCCCTAGGTCGAGGATGGGAGGATCGTAATCGACTGCAACTCCTTTATGAGGTACAATGGCGATTCGTCAAGCCAACTACTTCCCTTGAACAACCCAGACCAAGGATCCGTCCATCTTGACGCTTCGGGTCCAACTTTCGGCTTCGGTGATGCCGACTCAGATTCCGACTCAGACCTTTTGATGCCGCCGGCTATTCAATTTTTGAGGCGCCTAGCGAATAGAGCAAACCGAAAATTTGCTGCGAGTGGTAAAAGCTCAGAAGGTCAGTATCGATATCATCATCCCAATAAAACCATGAAGTCATGATTCGGTTACGTAGAATGGCGAGGACTGATTCAACGGGGCAGCAACGTCACTTTGCAAGGAGCACCTCGCGTTCTGCACTCCTCTGCTGAAAGGTTTCTGTCTCAAGGCAAAGACATGGGGTAAGGTCATCCACTTGTTCAGAACGGCCTTTGAGAGAATCGGGATACGGCACTGACTGCAGCACATCCAGTGTACTTCTACATTGATTCGGTGAAGGAAATAATTTGGAACGAAGACTCGTTCAACCAGCTTGTCCTCCCGCAAGACTATAAACAGATTGTCCTAGCATTCGTACATGCTCAATTGTCTCATCGTGATGATTTTGACGACGTCATTAAGGGGAAAGGTTAGCAGCCACAGTCGACAGTCTTTGGGACTCTCTATACTAACCATCGGCCACAACCCAGGTCGAGGCATTATCATGCTGTTGAGCGGAGAACCTGGCACGGGAAAGACGCTCACGTCAGAATCAGGTAAACACAGACCTCAGGCTAGGAGCTCGTCTTCTCCACGAATATTGACCAACGCAATTGATAGTCGCCGAAGAAATGAAGCGTCCCCTTTATGCCATGTCTGCTGGTGAGCTGGGTGACGACGCCGACGAGATGGAACGCAGCCTCCAGCGGGTCCTAGAGCTGTCGACCAAATGGGGCGCCGTGCTGCTGATTGACGAGTGTGACGTCTTCCTCGAGCGCCGCTCGCTCCATGATTTACATCGCAACAAGCTGGTATCCGTGTTCCTGCGCCTGCTTGAGTATTACCAGGGTGTCATGTTCCTGACAACCAACCGCGTTGAGGATTTCGACCCGGCCTTTGAGTCCCGGATCCACCTCACCATCAACTACCCGAAGCTTGACCACCAGAGCAGACTGCATATCTGGAAGACTTTTGTGACCAGGGGAGCCGGGGATAGGAGCAGTATCGCTGCGGAGGACCTGGCGGAGCTGGCCAAGGAGGATCTAAATGGCCGGCAGATCAAGAACGTAGTCAAAACGGCGAGACTGCTTGCATCGAGAGACGGTGCACCACTTGGGCTTGAGCACGTTGAGACGGTCTTGAGGGTAAAGCATGGAGGGCCGGCGAGGATCTCATCGTAGGAAACCACAGGCTGAAAGATGCGTAACGTATGGAGTCTACCTATTCGGCGGGGACTGAACCTGGATGCATGGTTGTAGGAATCTGTTCGATGTTGCGATAAAGGTACACAATTGGGCCATATCGACTATGTGGATTTCGGACTGTTGAATATAGCCGAAAAAGATGTTCTGTTACCCTTAGTAACTGGCCACAGAGGATGAACGGGCTGCGGCGGGACAATAAAGTTGCAATGGTATGAAAAGGCTCAAAACAGCCCTGTCATGCCCCTACCCGGGCCTGTGGTAGGATGACCATCGTTCAAGACCAATAATTAAGAATATGAAGAAGCCAAAAGAACCCCCCCCCCCCAACCCCCCCAACAGAAAACCAAAAAAAAAAAGAAAGAAAGAAAGAAAGAAAAAGAAAAGGAAAAACTAGGAAAAAAAACCAACCCCCTCCCCTCGCCCTACAAAAAAAAGAAACATAACTTCCTTGACCATTGCATCGGGGCTACCGACCCCATCTTCAGTGGAAGCCTTTTCGGCCGCCTGTTCGCTGCCTGCGGCAGCCTTCTCGCTAGCGCCTCTGGCTTGGCGGCGAGCGACCGCAGACACAGAAGTATTCTGACCGTAATTCATACAAATGTTAGCCAAATTGATATGAAGTGAATGAAACAAATACCATGGCTCTACATACGTATGGTGCGGGTGCGCGGCGAGGGCGCTTCTGCTTCTAAAATGGATGTTAGTAATCCCTTTTCCCGTTAAAGGCATACCAATGAGATAATTGAACAATACATACCTTCTCGGCGGGGGTGTTGACATCAGAGGCAGGGGCAGAGGCGGCCTGAAGAATAGTTAATATGTAAGTTGGCTTAGGGTCGCAGTATACTAATTCTCTTCTGGCCCGCAACAGGGCCGGCAACAGATCGGAACAGATCCTGGCGCTCGCGGGCCTAGCCAACCGGAACTTCCAGACGCAGGCCGTCTGGACAGTACATCTGGACTGTGATATAGTGGGTGAATCAGTTGTCTATACGCCAGAATGCGTGGTTTGACAGGGATCGGCTCGTCTTGCTTCCTGAGAAGTCTTGGAACGAGTGCCTTTATTTAGCTAGAGAGGTAATTTACCTCACAAGCTTTTGCCAGGAGTCGCTCCCCTGCTTTTTCTTTTTTTCTTTTTGAAAAAAAGCTCTGGCCTGGTGATGTCCGTGTGGCAAGATGTGATGCCGATTTAGACGTCGACCAATACTTTTGGTCTGGAAACAATGCTGTTGACAATAGACCCTTCCTGAAGGATGCTCTCATATGCATAACCTTTTGTCGGACAACCTTCCCCGGGATGATCTTCTTTAGGAGGAAAGGTGGGCTTGTAGGATAACCGGCCGTAGGATGACCAGCCATGGGATAACCTGCTATGGAATGACCTTATATAGTATACTCTCCTGTGGGATAAACCTTTACAGAATAACCTTCTATGACTTCCTATAGGACAACATGCTATAGAATGAATCCCTTCAGGGTAAACTTGTCTATGTACTTAAGTCCTAGGGGGCTCTATAATCACGTTTTCATATTTTCTAATTGTGGCGGTGTTGTTCCAAAAGTGTGTGTTGAGAGTCGTGTTCCTTTTCTTCCATCCGCATGCTCCGTGGAGATAGCCAGTGATCTTTTCTCAGCTAACGAACTGCTCATTGCAAGCACATAGGATATCGGGTTCATGTCATCGGTCAGTTGCGTCAGCCCCTCTCCATACCATAATCTGTTCACAGTGCACGGTTGCCTCCCAGGCGGTACTCGTCTATTCTCTCAAAGTCAAAAGAGGTCCAAGGACCCCCTTCCTCTCAGACTTTTGTTGCCCAATCTGGGAAGACCTCCTTATCTCTCGGCGTACTAGCAACATTTCGATCGTGGATATACTCCTCAAGCGGCAGCTCCTTGAATTGACTCCGGTCACCCATATCTACACCCCTCTTCTGTACCAACCTAGCAAATCCCAGAGTCTGCTTCTTCCATTCATCATGTGAGATTTTGCCTCGAAAGTAGTCGGCGAGAACCATGGCATCGAAGCAAGCTTGCGAGGTCGACGCCACGGTATGCGGACGGAACCCCGCGAGGGCGTCTCCCACCAAGATGACCTTGCCGTCCATGTACTCGTTCGTGGGAGAGATGACGTCCGTGATTGCCTGGACAAAGGGCTGTTTCGTCTTACATACGATCTCTGCGAATTGCGGCGGCAGCCTGTCCTGCGCGATCTGCTTCTGCTTGTCCCAGGCTGCGGACCGCATCATCCCAGGCGGCATCGTGATATGCCTGCGCTGGCCGTTCTTGTCCGTCATGACCTCCTCGAGCTCGTCTGACCCCTCGGGGAAGTTGGTGTAGTACACGAAATTCACGAGGCGCTGGCCTGGCTCGGTGGTTCCGTTCTTCCCCGGGATCAGGTACGCCAGTATTTGGATCCCGCTGGCGTGGAAGAATGTGAATCGCTCGCTGAATGCCTCTCTGGCGTCCTGGCTGACCTCATTCTCGGGCACTGTGCCTCTCAAGGCGCAATAGCCCGTGAATATGCGCTGGACCTCCGGCTCCAGTATTTTGCGGATCGTAGAGCCGGGTCCGTCGGCAGCGATCAAATAGTCAGCCGCGATGCTACCTTTCTCTCCATCACTAGACTCCCATTTCACTCGAATACCGTTGCCTTCCGGCATGAGCTCCGTGACCTTTCGGTCGTGCAAGTGTACTGCTTTGCCCTCACTCAGTAGAGGTGAAGGCGTTTCACAATAGTCGCTCTTAGTGTAATCATAGTTCGCCCGCATAAGATTATATGTCAAGTCCCACTGCTGCTGGTTAGAAACATGCTAAGAAAATTCAGTGGGGTTGGATTTGCCTACTGATGTCATATTCTGTTCCATTTCTTCAGTGTGGATGACGGTGCCGTCCTTGTCGAGGTAAAGCCGCTTGTGGGAGCTGACTGCCACGGGTCTGTTACATCGTATATAGGCCTTGAGGAATCTGAGAGTATCGCCTCCAGCCACTATGCCAGCGCCTTGATCTTGAAGCAGAGGTGTCGGGTTTCGCTCCAGCATGGTTGTGTCATGACCCAGACTCTTCAGCGCCAGGCCAGTTGCCAGGCCTCCCAGCGACCCTCCTACCTGAGCACGGGTTTAGTATTGACGATCCCTGGGGACGTTGCCAGAAATACTCACAATGACGAAGTGCAGCTTTCGGTCCTCCTCCATTCTCTTTTGTTTTTGAGAGCACCTCGCTGGTGTACCGCTAGAGGATACACCACCTAGGCCAGGGTTTTGGCACACCTCAAACAATGCGCACTAGAGTTTAGTTGATGCCGTGACGGACTTCTCTTTTGAAGAGATTAACCAAAAGAGCAAAAGTAATGACCTGAAGTCACTTAGGACTACCTAAGCGGTCCAGCCAGTCTGAAGAAGTTTCGAACTCTGAGCCTATTCCAGTCGAATCCAGAGTAATATGGTGGGAAAAGCTGGTGACGTCTTAAATCATTCGCCGAAGAAACCGCGGGGTCATTTGCTTACCTGCGTTCGGCTAAATGCGTTGGTCTCTTCCCAGCACTTGCCTATAGGGCATGGCTACCTAGCGGCGTCTGCTTTATTCTACGTTCATTGTCCTAGGTACCACAGCAGGTGGCGCTCAGTGGTTTCGCTCTGCTGAACTCGACTCAGGTGCTGTCTTAGCCACCCTTGCCAAGGGCATCCCACGAGCTTCTTGAAGGCATCCCATGCATAGGCTTCACAGCACAGACGCACTGAAAATGGCGAGGCAGCCTTGGCTGCGGTCTTACGTCGTCGAGATGTCCGCCTGCTGTCAATTCATAGTGGTACGCATCTGCGAACACATAAGATGTCGAGATGCGATCATTCAACTCGGACTTTTTCTCGGGCTTACTCAAATTTTGTCACGTTCCTCTACCTCAGTCATCCACCCAAACTGAGAGGATCGGGATGAACGGAATGTCTCAGATAGAGGCTCGGGGATCTAGGGAAATGAACTGGAATCTCCATATAGATACCCTATCCATCTCAGAGCACGACTAATGTGTGTACCTAAAATCTTCTTGCTTCTTATCCGTGACGTCGGCGAAACCCTCCACCACATTACGAAGTTCATCCGGCTTGCCATACTTCTTGTCCCTGCGCTTATTCTCTACATAAACATTGACGTAGTATAATAGGAGCAGTGCGATGGAAACACAATATGAGACCAACATCGCGATGACGCCACTTGTATACTTCGGCGCATCTTTGGAAATGAACGTCTGGGGCCCAATCAGATTTCCAGCGGCATAGCCTATGGTCACAAGGCTGAAGGCTATCGACTTCTTGGTTTGACCAGCTGTGTTGGCCTGGGGCAGGGAAATCCCAACCACGTAGGGTGCTAACGTAGGTCAGCCAACCATCAGAATGCTCGGGGCAGTTGGATCAATACTCACGCCAATAGAAATACATGAAATACAAGCCGACCAGTTGTCCAGCCACGTTTGATTGCGGAAGCCCGTACACGAGTGCCGTGCCAAGAATGGGCAGCAACAGCGCGCCACAAGCAACGAACGTCCTTCGGTTGGTCAGGCTGGCGATATAGCTGAAAAACCAAGCGCCGAAAGTTGCCACGATGCCAAACGGCATGGTGAGTAAGCTCGCTTTGAGATTACTGAAACCAAGGTCGGAGATGATGATCGTCCCGAAGGCCTGCAGTCCGCCGTTGGGGATGTTGATGGCGATGTTGAACAAGAATATCAACCAGATCCTCACGTCCAAGAGGGCCTCCCAAACTTGGTCCCATTTCCACACTTTGTTTGAAATGCCAGTCCTGTTTGATGCAAGCCGCTCCACAGCCCAGAACTTCTCTTCTGCTGTGAGGAACCGAGCGTTCATCGGGCTGTCCGGAAGCACGAGGCAGAGGAAAAGCGAGTAGAGGACATTGATAGAACCTGTGATGAGATAGAGGTACTGCCATTTCTTGAGAGGCGCCGAGTCAGGAATATAGCCAACCACCCAGGCGAAGAAGCCATTGAAAACTGATGAGAAGTAGGCGAATATGACTAGAAATTTCATCAGCTTACGGTCCATTGGTCATCATCAATTTCACTGGATTCGGCCTTACTGGCGTTCCTCTGAGGTTGCTCCTGTTTCTTGTAAAAGCTGACCACGAGCATAGTCAGGCTCGGAGCGATCGCAGCTTCCACGAAGCCCATGAAGAATCGAAGTGCCATGAAGCCTGCCCAAGTATGGCAAGCGGCATACAACATGGTGAGGATCGACCACAGTAGAGACGCACTGCAGAGAAGTCTTCCCGGCGGAACTCTATGGACAAGCCAGGTGGTCAACACATAACCGCACAGTTGCTGTTCAGGTGTCAGCTCTTGCCCTAGAAATAAAATCAAGGGACGTACGCCAAGAGGTAAGATGCTTCCAAGCCAGCTGTATTGCTGCCCATGCATGTTGTTGTCTTCTTGGAATCCGTAGAGCGAGGCAGTTCCGATTTCGACCTTGTCCACGGCCCCGAGCGTCGCAGTAAACAAAAGCTGCATCTTGTGAGCTGACATGGATTTGTGGTGGCATTGAGCCCAAACAAAGGGATTGAAAGTGATCAGTATCTTACCAAGGGAATCATCCAAGAATCAATCTTCTTCCGGAGTCGCTTCTCCCTTTCCGGCGTCAAGGGTTGGAATTGCTCGGCGCGAGTGTCAGTCAAGTATTTGGCGGCGTCATCAATGACCCCCTCAGGTAACTTGGATCCGGAACCATCTCGAATCTCGCCCTGCGAATAAGAGAGTACGGGATATATTGTGGTTTCGCCCTTATCCTGGGGCGTGTCATTTGGAACGTCCTTGGAGCTGGGCGAAGGAGGAGCCATAGTTGCAAGCAGTCACCCAGATCGTAGGAATGGAAAAACGAAGTATGCCTCGACTCGGCAGAAACCTATAGGTTAATGGAATATGGTCTAGATATGTGACCCGGGACAAGTAGTGAGCTCGCGCGGCACGATCTTGTTCAGGGGCCTCGTCTTCAGGGCTATCAGAAGAGGAATCATTTAAATATGTCTGATAAGATAAGGAGCGCTCACCATATCAGACTCCTAGCTGTTTCCTGGCATGATTGCTCTTGTGTGAGTCCTTCGGAGTCTTACCGGAGACTTTCAGGTCTCTTGCTTGAACAGTCAGGCACCGCTTTTGTCAACCATGCCCGGCAATTCTGCCTAGATGGAGACCCAGAGATTAGAACCTTGTCACCACGCTGAAAGCACGGATATCTTGGTGCTGATAGACAACGCAGGTCAGAGTAGCTCGAAACAACGTTGTCTATTGACCTGTTGATAAAGCGGAGCCGGCAATGCTGATCTCGATCCCTTATCTGCACCTTGAGTTGTGTTCGCGGGGTGCATGCAGCGAACACTCCTTGCGGCCAATCGAGCAAGTTACCGGCCACTCTAGCACTGAGTCGACTCGGAATTGAATCCCAGTGTAAGACTCAAATGACCTATAGGGTCCAATGCCTGATTGCAACATCGGCATCTACCCGCGTCTTTGCCGTGCATGCAGTGCGACAACGGGAGAGTACCCTATAGTGTACCTTAAGGTAGGAAGGTCGAAGCGACGCAACAGATAGGTGCCGGCATCATAGCGATCACGGAGTAGGAGCGCAGCGGCAAAGAGTCTTGGCCACAGATTCCCATGGTCTATGAGGGACTCTGCGATCACATTGAGTACATAAGTGTTTTGCCAAACCTGTGAGCCGTGACTCCATTGTGAACGGGCACCTAACCGTAGTGCCAGCTTAATTCTTATCAACCATACCGATTCGAGGCAGATCGTTCATCCTCAAGCAATATGGGAGACTCAGCTGGTATAGTCTCGGTGCCACCGAAAAGCATCAAATTCGCCATAGGTGCGTGGTTAACAGTCCGAGTTCTCTAGGGAACCGCAACTCACAGGAGGTCAGATCGTGGCGGTACCTTTACAGATGTTTGGGCCTCGGTTCCAGGACAGAAAGATGTCGTCCTCAAGCTTCTTTCAGTCGACCCGGATAACTACGACGATGCGCCCTCCGAAGGAATCCGGAGGGTGTTGGAGATCGTCTCGGGGCGGGAGATCAGTCGTCGAAGTCCCATACCGAAAGATCTCATCCATTCCATACGCATGGGAACGACAGTCGCGACAAATGGTAGTGTGACGGTGCTCAAGCTCCATTATTAAGGCCCATATCTAATGAATACTTTACAACAGCACTGCTCGAGAGAAAAGGAAGGCGTCATGCCTTCATTGTAAGCAAAGGTTTCGGTGATTTGATTGAGATTGGACACCAATCTAGACCAAAGCTGTTTGAACTCGGCATCAGAAAGCCGGAGCTGCTTTACTCGGAGGTTGTCGAGATCTCAGAGCGCATTACTGTGGAGTGCTTCGACGAAGACACGACAAACTCGCGTCCGGCTCCTAAGGAGTCGCCTGGTTTATTCGTCAAGGGTATCACCGGGGACATCCTCCGCATTTTGCAACCCTTGGACGAGGCAGAAGTTACCACAAAGCTCGAGAAGTTGAAGGCGAAAGGGATTGACACTTTGGCGGTCTGTCTCGTGCATTCGTATTTGTATCCCAAGCATGAAGAGAGGGTCGCAGAAATTGCCAAGGGCATGGGCTTCAACCATGTCTCGATCTCTTCAGAGGTTGGAGGAAACATGATAAAAATGATATCACGCGGCAGCTCAGCCTCGGCAGATGCCTACCTGACTCCAGAGATCGTACAGTACGTGGATGGCTTTGCCCGAGGTTTTGACGGCGGCAACCTTGACGGAGTCTCTTGCGAGTTCATGCAGAGCGATGGCGGACTCGTCAGTCACAAGAACTTCAATGGTCTTCGAGGTATCTTGAGTGGTCCTGCAGGTTCGTTGAACTTTTGTCATGGCCACTTTCGGGATTTTACTGATCGCTGAGCCATATCTAGGTGGTGTTGTAGGGCATGCGCGGACTTCTTACGATTGCCAATCTCCCGTTGTCGGTTTTGATATGGGCGGAACATCCACAGACGTCAGCCGGTACGGAGGATCCTTCGAGCTTGTCTTCGAGACTGTCACGGCTGGTGTATCGATCCAAAGTCCTCAGTTGGACATCAACACTGTTGCAGCAGGTGGAGGAAGCATGCTCTTTTGGAAGAACGGAATGTTCAAAGTTGGCCCAGAAGTGCATCTGACCCGAGAACCAGGACGAGTGATTCCATGACTAACTTGCACAGAGTGCTGGAGCACATCCAGGCCCGGCTTCCTATCGCAAAAGCGGCCCACTGACGGTGACCGACGCCAACCTCTTGTCAGTCAAATTCCGAACCTCATGTGGATGAACTTGTGACTGATACCAAGCAGCCTCGGGAGACTGGTCCCCGAATACTTCCCTGCCATATTCGGCCCTGAAGAGAACCTCCCACTTGATTCCAGTATTGTAACACAGAAGTTCAAAGAGATCACAGCGAAGATCAATGCCGACGCGGGGAGATCCATGACACCAGAAGAGGTCGCTCATGGTTTCATTGATGTTGCGAACGAGTCAATGTGCCGTCCAATTCGAGCTCTGACCGAGGCCCGAGGATTTGAGACCGCTCAACACAACCTAGCTACCTTTGGTGGAGCTGGTGGGCAACACGCCTGTGAGATTGCAGCCAAGCTAGGCATTCATCGAGTCGTCATGCACAAATACTCTAGCATTCTATCGGCCTATGGGATGGCTCTTGCAGAGGTCGTACAAGAAGCAAGAGAGCCTAGCTCGGAAACTCTTGGAGAAGACGCGTTAATACGATTGGAGGAGAAGTTTCACCTTCTGAAGCAGCGGGCTTCTGATGGCTTGCTTGCTCAGGGAATCACGACCTCATCTATCGTACACGAGGAGTACTTGAACTTGCGATATCATGGCACCGACACCAATTTCATGATTCTTCGACCCGCGGATGGCGATTGGCTATCTGCACTAGAGAGGGAACATTATCGAGAGCTATCCTTCACTTTCCCTCGGTCAAGGAGAGTTCTGGTTGACGATGTCCGAGTTCGTGGAATCGGGAAGAGCGGGGAGGTCACCAAAGACAGTGACACCTTGATTCAAGAACTAAGCGAACTTTGCTTCCAAGACCAGTCAAAAAACGTGAATATGATGGTAAGAGAAAATCCACGCGAATCTTCCAGAGCATACCAGACAGCTAAGACCTGGACAGAAAGAAGTCTATTTCGCAAATGGCGGGCGACAACAGACCAAAGTATTCCGTCTCGATGACCTGAAGCCTGGAAGCATGATTCCCGGGCCCGCCATCATCATCGACAAGACTCAGACAATCATCGTCGTACCCGGGGCACAAGCCAAGGTTCTCACGTCTCACGTTGTCGTTGACCTAGCCCAAGAAGGATCTCAAGACATTAGTAGCGGCGAGCTGATTGTCGATCCAATCAAACTCAGTATCTTTGGGCACAGGTTTATGGGAATAGCAGAGGAGATGGGCAGGACGCTGCAAAAGACCAGCATCTCGCTGAACATCAAGGAGCGGTTGGACTTCTCATGTGCCATCTTTAGTCCGAATGGTGAGCTGGTGGCCAACGCACCGCATGTGCCAGTGCACCTAGGAAGCATGAGCTACGCGGTAAAGTATCAGCATCAGCTACACCGGGGGAAACTAAGGCCGGGCGATGTGCTTGTTTCAAACCACCCGGAATCCGGAGGGACACACTTGCCAGGTACGACGCTATTTTGTTTTCACTGGCTACCCACTTTCGCACAGCTGCGCTGACAAGGTATTGGGCAGACATAACCGTCATCACACCGGTATTTGATGACGACGCGAGGACAATTTGCTTCTACACTGCATCAAGAGGTCACCACCTCAACATCGGCGGATATAGGGGCAACTCCATGCCGCCGTAAGTCTGGTATTAGCAATTTTGTATTAAGAGGATTAAGCTGATTTTGAGAACCTAGTGACTCTGTAGAGCTCTGGCAAGAGGGCGCCTCAATCAAGTCATTCTTCCTTGTGAGAGATGGCCACTTCGACGAAGAAGGCATCACAGCCATTCTTCTAGAACCGGGCAATTTCCCCGGCTGCAGTGGCTCCAGAAACTTGGGCGACAACCTGTCAGACCTCAAGGCCCAGGTCGCCGCCAACACCAAAGGGAGCAACTTGATCAGGGACTTGATGAAGGAGTACAGCCGCCCAGTCGTTCATTTCTACATGGACAAAATCCAGGAAAACGCCGAGGTGGCTGTTCGAGAATATCTCAAGTCAGCGCACCGACGTTTCGGATCCAAACCTCTGACGGCCACGGATTATCTGGACAACGGCTCGATGATGACGGTTAGAATCAGTATTGACGAGACGGGCTTCGCAACTTTGGACTTTACAGGCACCTCGTGCGAGATGCTTTCCAACATGAACGCTCCACCTGCAATCACGTATTCGGCATTGATCTACACACTGCGCCTCCTCATCGGCTCTGACATTCCCCTAAACCAAGGCTGCTTAGCCCCGACCAAAGTCATCCTCCCAAAGAACACCTTCCTCAACCCTTCTAGCAAGGCCGCAGTCTGTTGCGGGAACACTCTCACCTCACAACGACTCGTGGACCTCCTGCTCAAAGCCTTCCAGGCCGCGGCCGCCTCGCAGGGCTGCATGAACTGCTTCGGATTCTTTGGTAACTGCCTTGAGCCAGGCGCTAAGGAAGACGAAGGTAATGAGGCCGACGATAGCAGTGGGTTCGCCTTTGGCTACGGCGAGACCATCTGCGGTGGCGAAGGCGCGGGGCCGACCTGGCACGGCGCCTCGGGCGTTCAGGTGCACATGACCAACACACGGACCACAGACATCGAGATCATCGAGAAGCGCTACCCCGTGCTGCTGCGCGAATTCTCCATCCGCAAGGGCAGCGGCGGCAAAGGGCGCTTCAACGGCGGCTGCGGTGTCGTGCGCGACTGGGAGTGTCGTTACCCGCTGACGTTCGGCATCATCTCTGAGCGGAGGGTCCACCAGCCGTTCGGAATGGACGGTGGAGAACCCGGGGAGAGCGGCGCCAACTATTGGGTGCAGAAGTTGGAAGATGGTAGCGAGAGATGGGTTAACATTGGGTCGAGAGGCCAGATCAACATGAAGACTGGTGACCGTTGTGTGATCCACACGCCTGGAGGGGGTGGCTGGGGAGTGCCTTGCGATGAGGCAGCGTCCTCGACCGACTTGAACAAGATAGTAAAGGACACCGACGGCCCTCTGCACGTAAAGTCCGCTTATCCGCGCGCAGCTGGAAGCTTTCATAATTTCTCTGCAGCTCAGGAGGCGTCGTCTTAGGCCTGTAAGCCGAGGGACGGTTCGGAGCTTAAAGAAAGCAGTTGGGTACTAGAATTAGAGGAGTGCCCGACATCAATGCCTCATGAGGCCGGCCACCCATCTGGCTAGATTTATCGTTTCACAACTTCTCAGGCGCTCCGACCAAACTTGACCTGTACAAACCCAAACAATATCATGGCCATCATAGAGGCAGGGCAATTGTACAACCAGAGCACGACACCACAACGAAACGACGCCACCACCTAGAACGGTCTAGTACATAACCTATTGCTAGCAGCTGGATTAGTAGCTGGACAACCAGCACATTTCTGGTGTCGTACATTCTTGGACCTTTTGATTCCTTATCACAACTTTTACAGTCTCATTAAGTACCAGTACCTGCAAGCGTCCTCGATCACAGAATGTTGCGCTGATGTGGCTCCTTTGCGTCACAGGCGAGGAACTCACGTTTGGTGAATTTAGTTTCCGCTTCCGCTCCTCTTCCGGTCCGGCTCAATCATTCCTCCGACTGCAATTGCTAGCGGAACCCGCTAAAATTGAAAGAGACCGTGTTTAATACAATTGCCTAGAAACCCCATACCCTACAAGGGAAATGTTGGCTCGTGTCTAAATGCAAAAATGGCCTTATCAATGTTAGCAATCACAGCACCTAGTTATGTCGAACCTTCAGGGTACCAGCTCTCCACACTCGCTCGACCTGTCGTCTCCGATCGGACAGACGTCCTGTTTCGGGTGCGCGCGGCAAGCATCAATCCTGTTGATGTGAAGAAAGCGGCAGGAGTATTCAAACTTGCAGTAAAGGATAGGTTCGTCCAGCATTCCGTCCCTGAGGCTCTTTCGCAACCTTCTTGAGCTCAGCTATTTCTATATAGCTTCCCTTATCAGATTGGCTACGATTGCTCTGGGGTCGTGACCCAGGTTGGTGAGGATGCGAGTGACATCAAAGTTGGTGACGAAGTATATGCCCGGCTACCAGAAGCTGATCGAGGTAAACATCTACCTTGACTGCGCTGGCTTAGAATGGCGATACTGATCTATTATCTGCCCAGGATCGTGGAGTGAATATGCAAAATGTCCCGAACGTTATGTCGCGCTGAAGCCTAAGAACCTCTCATTCGAAGATGCTGCATCACTGCCTCTAGCCGGCATGACCGCCTTGCAAACCTTGAGTCGATATCAAGGGTCATTATCAGGCAAGACCGTGTTCATTCCAGCTGGCTGTAAGTATTGTTGAGCAGTGTTTATGCGAAGAGACCACTAATAATGCCTAAAAAGTGAGTGGCACGGGAGCATACGCGTGCCAGCTAGCAAAAAAGGTTTTCCACGCGGACAAGTCATCACCACTGTATCAACGTCAAAAATAGACCAAGTCCCAAAGCTATTGGGAGAAGGGACAGTCGATCTAGGTATTTATTTGGCAATAAACCTTTTTTTTGGTGTTCTTTCTAATATGTAACCGAAATCTCTAGTGATTGATTATACCAAGCAAGATCCGTTGCAGATCATCCCACGCGGGTCTGTTCACTTTGTTTTGGACACTACTGGGGAAGCCATGTCTTTTCTTCCCCTCATGGCCTCACCAGATGGTCTTATTGTCTCTATCGCGACGCAACCATCTGGCACTCAACTTCAGCAGTCCAGCGTGATGAAGAGACCTGATAGTCCGCGGCTGCCGTGGTTTGGACACTTGGTCTTGGACATATTGGACAAATATCGCAGAACACGAGCTAAGTGGTGGGGCGTAGCATACGAATACTTGTTTCTTGATCCTAACGCGAAGGATCTAGTGATACTGGCTAGACATGTGGAGGAGGGAAATGTCATCCCAATAGTCGGGTGCACAGTGGACCTGAAGAATATTGAAGATATGAAGGAGGCATGTGGAACAGTGTACAATGGGAAAGGAGGGCTGGGAAAGACGGTGATCAAGGTCGCTTCGGCCTAAAACAACGCACTGAAGAGAGATTCTGCCGAATCCCCTGGTCCCTCGTCCAGGAACTATGTACCTGGTGCACAACCCATATCACCCACCGCATTGTTCCGACCTTTCGATAATAAGTATTGTTCCTGGGCCAAAGGTTACACCTGCCCCCAAAAAGAAACCTGAGCTGTACATGCCCTTTGTAACAATGCAGGAGGCCGTACTGGAACTTTGGTAAAATAGCCGGATACACGAGATACGTGCAAATGAGAATTTTGCGGTTCTCTGCGAGCTCTGGGAACAATTCAAATTCGTTTCATCTGTGTAAGCTTCAACCCGGGCCCGATCAGGGCGGAGGGGTCTGGGTAAGTGAATGGAAAAGCTAAAAACACGTACATCAGGCACTGTAATACTTGAAAGCTATAACAAAAGCCCTGCCATATACACTCTGCCAGCAAAGGCTTACCAATCGGAGTCATTCCAGTGCTATCCCGCTGTGATGTCTCATTTTTACTCGGGAGCTGTGAAAACCTTTACAACGGTCCTGTTTGCTTAAGCTTTGATATGGTAGGTTGTGTGGGGCAGTTTGCTCCTGTCACAAAAGAATGGTAACGAGTGACAAAGAAAAGCTTTTGTGTCAGGAAGACAAACGGCTCACGGTAGATTCCGAGATCCCAGCATCGTCACCGCCTGTGAACTGCTTAGCTCATTGGGACGCCACAGCTCAGGGCTATTTTTTATGTAAAGATCACCACTTCACAGTTGAGAAGTGCCCGACTTGTCTTCCGCAATCTTTCGACCTGCTTTCACCTTCATTTACAAAAGATGTCCAAATTTGGATCTGGCAAGGTTTCTTGTCATCAATTCATCGACCAGATTCTGGATCTCGAAGTCCCTAGTTCACTTCATCTCTCGCCAGATGGACGCTCAGTAATCTATGCCACGGCTCGCAAATATAACAACAAAACCGGGGATCATTTTACGCAGTCGATTTGGGTAGCATCAACGGGGCTTCCAGGATCATCATGCCGACTTACCGACGGTTTTCACGACCGTTCGCCGGAGTGGTCACCGTGTGGTACATACATCACGTTTTTAACTGACCGGGAGACTCGAGGTACTTCTTGTGGTTTATATCGTCTAGACCGTAATTCGAACCTGGTGCGTGAGCTCGGCCGGCCTCGACCTATATGGATGGATGACCAGATAGAACGAGTTTCGAAGTGTGGAATCAGTCCCGACGGAGTGCACGTTGCTCTCCTTTGCATACCTCGAGATCTACGCAGCGACGAACCACAGGTTTGGGGTCACAATTGGAATTACAGCCGTCTATATCTATTTCATATTCACACAGGCGCCGTGACTCACTTGGTCGACGGGGAGTCCCATGTGACGGACTTTGCTTGGGACGACCACGGAACGAAAATTGTTGCGATCACACACCGGACTCCACACATAGAAAGCGTGTACCTCCACGGTTCAAAAATCATCATCTTTACGCTTCAAGAGCAGTTGAATTCTTCGATCAAGAGAGGAAGTGTCGAGATGACTTGGTCGTTTCCAGGAGAGATCATATGTGTGTTGTGGTCCCTCAATACAATACACATCATTGCGCGCAACCAGATGAACTTCAGTGCTTCGGGGCAGTGCGTCTACTTGTTGCCCATTGAAAAAGGCGTGGAGGTCATGCCTAAAGACACCGATTTGCAACTAGCACCAATCAAGAAGAGCACTACATATGGCTCAGATTGCTGTCCTGTTCGGCTTCTGAAGCTGAAAAATGATGTGGTGGTTCATGTGCAGCGAGGACTGGAAGACCAACTTCGATCATTGAGAGATGGGAAAATCATCTTCACCCACAAGAAGAGAATTGTCGCCTTCGACGTCGTCGTTCCGAGCCCTCGATCGCAAGATCGCCTGGAGATCTATAAATCGGAGCTAGTTCTGGCCACCGCCCACGGCGACGTCAACAATCCCACAGAAGTTTTCTCTATGTCTTTTAATGAAACTGATGACGCTGCTATCGTCCAGGCACAGTTGTCAGATCATGGGGCCAATTTCAAGGCGAAATTCAACTACTTGTCGAGTCATCGGGCTGTCAATTGTGTCTTTCTGAAGTGTCCCAGTCTTGACTGCACAGAATCTCTCGAAGGAGTATATTATGTCCCCGGCCAGCCTTGGAAACCAGCATCTGAGATCAGTTCGAAGCCAGCCAAGCCGTTTTCCACGATTGTTCTGCTCCATGGAGGACCATACAGTCGCATAACTGACGCATTCGATATTTGGAATCCTTTCCACATCTTGACACCGGCTCTCTTGCAACAAGGTTATGGAATCCTGTGGCCAAATTACCGTGGAAGCAGCGGTAGAGGTCAAAAGTTCGCCAGCTACGCTGCTGGTGGGATGGGTACATTTGATGAGTCAGACATTGTAGCAATGACCCAACATGTGGTCGTTGAGGGCTATGCTGATGAACAACGACTTCTCGTTGCCGGCTGGTCTCAGGGTGGGTACCTCACCTACCTGTCGGCCATGCGCAATGGTTTGCATGGTTTTGGATGGAAGTTCAAAGCAGCGATTGCAGGTGCAGGTATCACTGACTGGGATAGCTTGACATTGAGCTCCGATCTGGGATATTCGCAGGCTATCCTGGCCGGGGGGGCGCCTTGGTCAAGTCTGGACAAGGGTGTGACGACCTCACGATCTGGTTCCGCTCTGTGGGAATTTCTGTCGGCTGTTAAGAATCCCACAGGGAACAGAATACCTCCGATAATGATATTGCATGGCGAAAGCGACGAACGGGTACCAATCTCACAGGCACAGGGGATGAGAAGGGCGTTAGATGGAGCTGGTCTCCCATTTGAATTCGTTCCTTATCCGGGAGAAGGCAACCATTTTACCCAGCGAAGACATATTGTGGATATGATGGCTCGGATACTAGGGTTTCTGGAATACCACCTACGGTGAAAAACTACTGCATCCAGTTGCTGTCATCTCTTACCTTTGGTACGTCTTCGATGTTGTTTGATGAGGAGGATGCGGAAAGGCGCGAAAGACGCGAAGCGCTACATTCTCAATCTCGGGTCCTCTGATAAGATAGCAACGCACAACGATCAACCAGTTAGATCATGAGCAAGTGACTGGGTAGGCCAAAGGCAAACTTGACCTCATGGAGTATGTAACGGTGGCTCTCACCCGCTCCGATGTCAAGCAACGCAAGGGCCATAATTAACTAGGGACCAATTAACAACATCAATCTTATTACAGGATAACTCTCCCTCCCGCATCATAAATCATATAGTCGTTAGGCTTAGGAATATTGATAGTACTTTGAGGTCTAAGAGAGAAATAGAGGAGTTACTTAGCAACTAGATGATACAAAAGGGAATCAGGGAAGCTCAGAGCCAACATCAGCAAAGGCAGAATTAGCTTACATCGCAATACCTAAGCTTATACAACCATCCCTTAGGCATCTGGTCGTCATCTAGGTAGTCCCTGATACCAAAGGAGGCCTCTCCTTCAACTGCCCAAACCTCTTCATCCCCTTCAGGGACTTTGCCTCCCTCCTCATAATAGCGGATTAGTGCCTCAAAATTAGCACGATGGTCTGAAAGATAATTCTTCTTAATCATGCGTCTATACCCTGCGATCCTGCCTTCTCGTGTATTCCACAGCGGCCGGCAGGGCGGTGATTGCGCAGATGAGACTGAAGCTGAATCTGTCATCTCTTGGGGCAATGACAAGGCTGAGTCCACAGATTCTTTGCTACCGTTTTCGAACGCCGCGTTAGGCGAAGTGATAGATCGAGTTGCAACTCTTTCGACAATGTGATTAGCCTTATCACTCTGGGATGTATTGCTCTGTTCATTGGTCATTTTTGGATGAAGTGGGTGACTGGTGTGTGTATTGTATAAGAACAGATGAAGCAAAGGAAGTGTCGTTGAGTGTCACAACGAGAGATGTACCCAGGATAGAGTGTTGAAGTTGCCATTATTTAAAGCAGAGACAATAGCGGGGCGCCTGATAAAATTAGCCGTTAGGGCTGTGGCCTGCAACGCTGCTGCCTGTAAGCATCAATTACACATGCACACAACTGTATCACAGCTTTATGAACCAATACCACATGAGTGAAATGTCAAAGTGAAGGGTGGAGAATTCCCTTCGTAAGCTTCCTCGGATGGCATTCAGATCAATTTTACTTTTGCCCTTAGACTCCTCGGGCTGTAGTCGATCTCTCTTGGTTGTATGCTGCTCAATGGCCTCGTTGGTCCATGCACCCCGCAAACCCGGTGCTTCCGGGGAGCCTCGGCTTGACCCCCGGCCCCCACACAGTCTGTGCCCCATCAAAAGCCTTTCTGCCCCACATCACAAACACGATTAGTTGGGATCGGAGCTGATGCTTAGACACTATCGCAATCTCGTGCCTTTTCTAGGAACGTTGCAAACACGTCCATGCCGTCACTTTCGACACGATGGAAAGAGAAAGACCTCGTCGGTCTTTGAGAGATCGGGCTAACATTGTTTGCGTTGAATGTCACTCCCGCAAAGTAAGCCGTCTCACTCAAAGGTACAGAGCCAGACCAGCGAAAAAGAAGTATGAAATTAATAACATCGAAAACCTACCTAGGTCAAATGTGACTTGCAGATCAGCCCAGACAAAACCTGTCGTAACTGTCGACGTGCCAAAGTGGCATGCGTGTACGTCTCTCAAGCACGTTTCTGCCTTTCTGATAGGAGCTGACCGGAGTAAGCGCTCGTGATGGAGTCCGGAAGAGGCGCGTACGGGGATCTGACCAGAACCTCGCTGATGTGCGAACGCCGTCTTCGATGCCTACTACAGAGCGCCTCGGTAGTGTGAGAGGAGAAGCCACTGGGAAAAGTCCTGCGAGAGAAAGCAGCTTTCGCCAGCATATGGTGTGGAGACCGAGCAGCTTCATTGATCAAGGCTCCATTATGTACGATCCGGCCAAGACGCCGCCCACTTTCGTGCAAGACAATCTCGCTTCCGGGAACATCGATACAAAGGAGGCGATCTTGAGGGTCACAGGAGCCAACGTTCTCCCTCAACCCATTCTTCTTCAGGCTCTCAAGGATTCATTCTTTGAGCATGTTCATCCGTTATACTATTCGGTTATTGATCGTGAAGACGTCTCCGGTCCAAATGCCTCAATACTTGTACAACAAGCAGTCTCTCTAGCAGGCAGCCTCATGCGACACGGTCAGGATAACATGAGTCTGGCGGAGATGCAATACGAGAAAGTCAAGACACTGGTCCACGTCGGCTTCGAGCCTGACCAATTGACAGTGTTGAAAGCTTTGTGCCTACTCTCATGCTGGAGTCCATCTTCCCCATATCTTGTCACTCTCGATGGGCCGTGGCACTGGACAGGCGTCGCGTCACGCATGGCTCTCCAGCTGGGTCTTCAGAAGCAGTCGACGTACGCTGACCGTGAGAATGCAGGATGCTTACGACGAATATTCTGGCATCTTCAGGTTTGTGTCCTCGTCCCTCAGGTCCGGTCCTAGAGCCAACATTTATCACCGTGGTAACGAGGAACCCTGAACTGATTCGCTTTAGACCAGTGAACTTCTCATGGCTGCTTGTTGGGGACGCCCCCTATTCATCAGGCCTGAAGACACCGATGTGGAGCCGCTCACAGAGGAAGACTTCGAAGTCCAAGACTTCGGCGCTATAGCATCTACATATATGACGAAGCTCATACGGATCATTGGGAAGATTACTCAATTGAAAACCAAAAAAAGCGGGCCGACAGAAGAAGATGTTAAGGCTGTTGTCACGTCACTATGCGATTGGGTCACTGACCTGCCCGACGAACTGCGGCTTTTCAGCTCAGAAGGTGCCAAAAGGCCGTTCAACCAACACCGAGCTGAGGCTTTGATCTTTTATCTTGTCTCCATCGTCCTCGTTCAAACGATAAGCAAAAACACTCACTCACACTGGCGGACATCCGCAGCGTCATTTCTTGCTGCCTCCTGTGCGGCCCGACTCTACGACGAAATTCGGTGCAGAGAGCGTGTTGTACACCTGATTCACTTCCACGCTTTTCTTGTTCTGGTGGTCGGTGTTGTCTTGGTCTCTCACCAGCCCCAATCGCAAGAGAAAGAAAGGATACGTGACAGAGACATGGATGTTGTTCACTCGGTTCTAGAGGGAATGAGTGTCAAATATGGAGGGGCTCGGGCTATCTTGAAAAAGTTTCAAGAAATACACCGAGAGCCTGTGGGCGGACGAGTTGACGAGCCTTCCATCACCAGGAATGAGACCACGAGCTCCCAGGCGTCATCCACGGCGAAAATTGTGCAGGATCACATCGGCGACCTTTTCCTTTTCCCGGTAGATTTCTGTGAAAATATGGACATATTAGCACACGAGAATAACTCTACAGAAGAAGGAATCCTGCAAGACGACGCTCTCACAGACTTTGGGCGCTGGGAAAACTTTGACGACATATCGTCCTTCATGGACGTGCTCGGCATGGACTTTACTAGCTTGGACGGAATCAGCGGATGAACGGAAAGTAAATTTCTTCTAGCGCCCAGGAGATTTTGTGTTCTGTGCACGAATTTGTTGGTGGGTGATGCCAACACCAGAAAGCGAGTTTTGCACGAGTTTTGCATTTCGGCACTTCGGCATTCGGTACTCGAACCCCGACTCTGTTACTTCTAGGTGCCAGTTCCAATCTGGAGTAGTCTGCAAATAAGTCATATAAGACTTGGTGAGATATGCGTACTTCGTGAAATAGCCAGAGCTTTCCTTGCAACTCAAGACGAAGCCAGTGTCCTTCTGTACTTTGAAAAACCCCGTATCTCGCCCCATATATCATCTTTTCAAATCTAAGTCACATCATGTCGTCCCCCTCGGAAAAAATGATACAAGGTGCCCAGATGGCACAATCATTCTTAGGGCCCAACTTGTTGAGCGCAATTCAAGAGCAAGCAGTAAGTCGATAGCTATTGAGAAGGTTGACTTCCGCGAGAGCACACAAATATGACACTAACGTCTTTGCAAAAGCGCGATGATCTACCGAGCAAGATCAGTGCCGAGTACATCGCCGAAGTTTGCTTCTCTAGTTATGCTCGCCCGGGACTCGAGCTAAAGGAGAGGTCCTTCATGAACATTGCCATGATGATTGCGCTCAACCGAACTCCGGAATTACGCATTCACATCACAGCGGCGCTCCATCTGGGGCTGTCGGAGGAGCAGGTTGTGGAGGCTTGCCGACATGCAATGATATACTGCGGGGTGCCGGCTGGTAGAGAAGCTCTATCTGTTGCGAGTGATATCTTCCACGAAATGAAGAATTCTACAAAGCAGGAGACGGCGAAAATGTCCTGATTATAAATGTTTTTTCCGGTCACATAATCTGAAAATCTCTGGTTGAAGCCACATCAACAAAACCATGTTCGTGAGACTACCACCGAATGAAATTGATGCCTGGAATCAAACATGATTTGTTCATCTCCTGTCATGGAGTTTAGATAAGTCCACATGGCTGAGAAGGTGATTATACTACTGAACTCTCTTCCGCCAAACCCGTCTAGAGACGACACCACACTCCAAAGGAATCCTAAACGTATCAGAGTTGGTTGAGTGTTGCTAAGAAACAAGGTACAGACGTCGTGTTCTCTTAGTTGAAAGACGCTAATGAAGATAATGTTGCTATTGTACGAACCTGGACAAACTACTGGCTGATTCCGAGGATCATGGGAAATACGGCAGATATTTTTCAGGTCTCAAAGCTTCATTAGAAGTTTTCCGGTTGACCGCCGTTCTTCCATATCCTTGTGAGCTTGAGCGATTTCTTCAAGACCGTACACCTGAGAGACGTTCACCTTGAGTTGGCCACGTAGCTGTCGCATCAAGATTCCCTGCGCGTACTGATCCAGCTCTTCTCGAGTCGTGATGTAATTTGACAAGGTTGGTTGAATTACAGAAACGTTGCCTCTCCTGATCTTGCTCAGATCGAGCGGTGGAACAGGTCCGCCTGCAAAGAAGTCAGCTGAAATTGATTTAAAGACACAAATTCGACTTGAGAGCTTACTTGAACTTCCATAAAAAACAACCTTGCCCTTTCTTCGAGTCACCTGAATACTTCCTTGCCAAGTATCCTTTCCAATGCCGTCGTAAACCTATAGTCGGTCTTAGTTAATACAACGGAAAGATCTAGGAGGCAGAATGATTACCGCGTTGACGCCATTGCCGCCAGTCAGCTCCAATACTTGCTCAACCCAAGTCGGTTTTGACGCATCTTTGTAGTCGATGACGTGAGTTGCGCCATGACCCTTGACCAACGTGCACTTTTCTGATCCTCCTGCCGTGGCGATGACGGTGACCCCCTCATCTTTCAGCAGCTGACATAAGATGGACCCAACACCACCAGCCGCTGCATGCACCAGAACGGTATCACCTTTCTTTGCAGGATAGGCTTCCTGCATCAAGCTAAGTGCAGTCATGCCGGCCAGATGGCCTGCTACTGCGTCCTGGTCCGATATTCCATCCGGAATGCTGGATATCTGCCCGGCATTTACCGCGGTGTACTCGGCATACCCACTGTTACCGATCCATACCACACGATCTCCTGGCTTGAGCTCGAGAGGATTGAATCCCGCCACAGATACAACAGTGCCAGCTCCCTCCTGCCCGAGAATGAGAGGGTATCCGGATGCGGACGGATAATGGCCGGTGCGAAGGTAAATGTCGACAAAGTTAATGCCAGCGAAATTGTTTTTAACCAAAATCTGGCCATCTTCAAGTATAGGAAGGCGATGGGATTCAGAAAACTCCAGTTTATTTCTGTCGCCAACTGACTGTAAGATGACGGCGTTCATTGTTTCGGGTGGTGTTTGTGGGGCCTTCATTTTCAATGTCTTGAGCCTGACGCTCTATACCTAGCAACTCAGCGCATGTCAAGGAGAAAACTTGATCTTGGATGCATTTGGGAATCATGGGATTGAATTAGATATCAGCTTATTTGGTACGATTCCCATTCGAATTAGTGTTCATCGAATCGTACAAGAGATTGACTTGGCATCATTGGCGAGTTTGAACTTGAGTGCCGAACACTTCCCGCCGAGTACCGAGCTGTGTAGTGCCGTCTGCCGACCGCCTCCACACAAACAATTCGTCTCGGTCCCCGGCAAGCTCGCTATTCGGCACAAAGCGCTTACCAGCGCTTTCCTCTGATTGTTGTGATGGCTTCCTCTGGCTTTGATTGCTTGCACTGGATATTGGAGCATTCCGGCGCATCTGAAGCATTGCCCAGGATCGGATAATGCAGGTATCTGACACGCTGATGGATAAAAGAGTTAGTATGTCTTTCAATAAAAGACCGAGATCTCTTCTACATAGCACATTGCAAAGGCACGCGCAATTCCTTTGGCCCTTGTCAATCTGCATTAAGAGTGCCCGTCTACAGAACTGATATCCCGCAACTAAAGACCGAAATGACATCGGCGCGCTTGACCCAACTTAAAAAACACCTAGGAGGCGGGGGCTCACAGGTACCAGATGTCGAAGGACCAACCCCGTACAAGGTCATCGAACAACCACTGGGCACGGCCAAGAAAATTCGCATCATCACGATAGGCGGGGGAGCTAGTGGTTTAAACATGATTCGGACCTTGCGTAAACAGCTCACCGATTACGAGCATGTGGTATACGAAAAGAATCCAGAGGTTGGGGGTACGTGGTACGAGAATCGCTATCCTGGCTGCAAATGCGACCTACCATCGCATAATTACCAATTCTCCTGGAAGCCAAACAAGGAATGGAGCAGCTTCCTGTCCCCTGCTGAAGAAATCCAGGCTTACCTCTGCCGGTTGTGCGATGACGAAGGCCTTCGCAGTCAGATCAAAACTAATCGTCTCGTGACTGGAGCGTATTGGGACGAAGGCCCCGGACTTTGGACCGTTAGAATCAAGAATTTGCATGATAATACGGAACTGGAAAGGCAATGTGATTTCCTTCTGAATGCAAGCGGTATTCTGAAGTATGTACACCTTCGTTTCAACCGCATGCCTGGCTAACTATGAGCTTTCTCAAGCAACTGGAAGTGGCCCGATATCCCAGGCCTGCACGACTTTGCTGGACCCATTCTTCACAGTGCCAATTGGGATAAAACCTTTGACTGGACAGGAAAAAGAGTAGCGGTAATAGGTAATGGCTCATCTGGAGTTCAAATAGTTCCCGCAATACAAAAGCGTATGGATGACTCTACTCTTTCTGAACAATTCTGCTAACATCTCGGAACACGGCTAATTGGATACGCGAAGGTGCACGAGAATTGGTCCACTTCATCCGTGGGCCAACGTGGATCGTGCCGCCACGAGTTCAGGTGCTGTCAGCCAGCAAAGCAAAGCATATCATGGAGCAGATCCAGCTGGATGAAGATGAAAGATTCACTTCTGCCCAGATCGAGAGATTCAAATCCGACCCTGAGCTTTACAGGTTATTTGTAAAAGCTATAGAGGAACAAGTCAACAGCAATTTCTCTATTGTTAGTCGTTCCATGTTGCTTTCACTCTGGCATTCAACTGACCATCCCATAGATCTTGAAAGATTCGGAGACTCATAAAGAGGCCACGCAGGCCGTCACCCATTATATGCGCTCTGCGCTGAACAATGATGAGAAGCTCATGAACGTCCTTATCCCTTCCTTTCCCCTAAGCTGTCGTCGAATGACTCCAGGTATCGATTATTTAGAGTCCTTGACGACGCCCAATGCGAGAGTCGTAACAGAAAGCATCGCACGTGTGGTTCCAGACGGACTGGTGTTGGACTCCGGAGAACATATTGTGGTCGACGCTGTCGTCTGTGCTACCGGATTTGATGTCTCATTCCGTCCTCGATTTCCGATTGTGGGGCGAGGGGGAAATCTTGAGGACGTGTGGGCTAGGAATTTGCCCAAAGCTTATATGTCTTGTGCAGTTCCTGACATGCCAAATTACTTTGGTAAGTTATCGAAATGTGTTGATTAAAAACATTGTATCCTTATGATGCCATGAAGACCATCAATCCCTCTGCTTTGGGCAAGTCCCGTTTTCACTTGACTAATTAGACTTCCAGTCTTTCTCGGCCCCAACGCCCCGATTGGACATGGCAGCGTATTTACGATAGCCGAGCTGCTCGCGAAGTACATTGCCGGTATCATAAAGAAATGCCAGACTGAGGGTATTCGCTCTATTTCTCCTAGCCTAGATGCCGTCAACGAGTTGCATGAGCATACACAGGCTTTCATGCCACGAACGGCCTGGGCGGGAACCTGCAGGTCTTGGTACAAAGGCGATACAGAAAGCGGACCGATTACAGCACTTCATCCCGGAAGTAGAATTCATTTTTTCCATATGTTGAACCACTTCAGGGGCGAGGATTGGGATTACGTTTATGAGAAGAAGGGAAATCGCTTTACTTACCTTGGCAATGGCTTATCAACCATTGAACTTGACGGGTCAGATTCAACGTGGTATTTGGACAATATGGACAGCGGCATCTAGACACAACCGATCAATATAAGTGGAGATTAAGAGGCAGTGCGAATGAATGCACCTACCCGGGTCTCTACCTCCTGGTGCTACAAATTACTTATACCCCACGTGTTTCACTCTATAAGGGGAGAAAAGAGATCTTTCCTGTTGATTTTATTGAGACAGGTTGAATGACCTTATATTTTTGGCACGTCGCAAATCATCAATTTACGTAGGTACCTGTCTTGGTACAGACTGTCCCAGAGCAGATTATCCCGCAGGTTGTTTTATAAGATACATCTACTAAGACGCTATACATTAGCCTACGGGAAATTGTGCCAAAATTGGTTGTCGTGTAGCTGTAGATGGTCATCCTATGGATAGTCGTATGATAGGAGGTTGCCCCATAGGTTATCCAACAGTCAACAAGAGGCTGACATATGAGAGACTGCCCAAATGTCCCGTAGGAGATCATTCAGTTTTGAACGCCCTCCCGGCGCAGTTGAATTATTGAGTCTACAGACTGTGCACGCTTGCCCACCTGTATCAGTTTTCAATAAAACTCCTTCATGAAACAACCGGTTCTCTGTACTTCTGCCGAAGCCGAGTGCGATTTGGACCGAGGGATACATGCCGCAGCCCATCGGCTTTCGAAATGAACGGTGGGCCGTCGGCAGAGACTCATAGACATTCTTCGACCGGAGTATCGGGACAAGGTTCTCGCCGTCGGCATCTATACCATATCCGAATCTGTTTTGTTGGATCAACAGGCGGTTGTGGCAACGGGAGCCTTTCAGGTTGCAGCCGGGCTAGATGAGGTGAACATATAATCGGTTGTTCCCTATTATTTCTTGAGCGTATCTGGGGGAATCAAGATTGATTGACGGTATTGAAGCACATTAATTCTATAACTCACTGAGAATTGTACTCTTCGCAATGTCCAGACTCATCGTTGTTGTTGGTGCCACAGGCGGCCAGGGTGGCTCCGTCGTCAACGCCATGCTTGCCGATCCGAATTACTGCATTCGAGGTATTACACGCAACTTAGAGAGTGAAAAGGCCATGGAATTGACCGCAAAGGGCGTTGAAATGGTCAAGGCCGACGTTGGAGATGAAGCAAGCCTGGATGCCGCCTTCCACGGGGCAAATGCCATCTTTGCCATCACCGACTACTATGAGACATTTTTCAAGCACGGCAAAGACGCTGCCATGGAAGCTGAATTCCAAGCCGGCTGTAACCTTGCAAGGGCTGCTGCCAGAGTTACGACACTCCAGCGGTACCTATGGAGTACCCTTCCTTTCACGAGCCGTCTTACCGGGGGAGAAGTCATCGTTCCCCACTTTGAGGGCAAGGCTCGTGTTGATGAGTACATCCGAAAGAGTCTTCCAAGCCTCTCGGAGAAAGCCACTTTCTGTATATTCGGTATATTCGCAGATAACCTGCTGATGTACCCGATTTTCAAGCCTGTGTGGCTCGTGAGTTTTGCCCCTGTCGTCAATGTCTTCCTAGTCGCAAGCACTGACAATGATCTTTCTGAAAAATCCAGGAGTCAGCTGGTAAATGGGTGCAAATCTGGCCAACTCTTCCAGACGCTCCGTTCCACTCTCTAGCGGATCACAAAATCAACACGGGAATCTTCGTCCGCGCCATCGTGACCGCCGATCACCTCCGGGGTGGATCTTATGTGACGTGCTTTGTCGAGAGCCTGACACTTGAATCGGCCCTCGGAATCTGGGGAAAGGCAACTGGCAAGGCCCCTACTCATGGTTCTACTGCTATTCTGTCTATCTCGTATGACCAGTATGTCAACGTTTGGGGAGAGATGGGAGAAGAGCAGGCTTGTCAGTGGAAGTTCTTTGAGTTTATGAACTCTGCTGGGGTCACAGCGCTTCCTGATACCGTTTCCGGACTGAGTATTCTTTCTGAGGATGAAAGAAAGGCACTGGAGAATACGGAACAGTCCTGGTTTCGCTTGAGAGACCAGTTGTAGGCCCTAGTCATTAGAATCTCGCGAGAAGAATCTGCAAATCGCCCCTCCACCAGAATTCTGACAGAATTGAAAATTGTGTGAATACTCAATGCGTATAGCGGTTAGTCTGGGGTTGCCGCCAGCAGATGAGCAAATGTTGAGGTGAGTGCTTTTTGGTCACCCAGCCTGTTACCCTGCTATGGAAATGAGGCAGGGCCAATTCTACACAGTCAACTTGCTCGTCGAAAACTCCTTTTCTCCCAGCCCAGCTTGTCACGCACTCCTAACAGCCAATGCAACGATGACAATGACTGAGCAATCAAGATTTATGGCTAAACTTGATAGATAGGAAGAACTACAACTATCATTTCACACTACAGAGTAGGCTTTCGTTAAGTAAACTAACTCGCTTGTAAGCGTCGGGATTGGTTGGGCCGTGTGCCGACCGCTCGGCATTCGGTACATGTGGATCTCGGCACACGGAAGGTCAGGGCAATTAGTACCATCAGCCGCTTACGACTCACGCCCTTGAGTTCCAGTCAAATGAGACCTTTGTTCATGACGTCCTGGTCATCTCCTGCATCTTTTGCTTGCGTACAGCCTCCATGATGGATGCAAATACTCAAACACGCGTTGGTCTGACCTTCATTTCTACTGGATCTGTCCAGATCAAACTGCCTATGAAAAATCAGCCCGTAAAAACTTATTTGGACCAATTTGTCACACTCCGCCGACTCCGCTGCATCGCCAATCGACAATGGACTGACCCCATGCCCATCGGCGTTTTCCTCATATCTCATCCTGACGGTCCGATTCTATTCGACACGGGAGAATCACCTTGTTTCAATGACCCCGGCTACCTGCCGTATTACAGTCCAACGAAGATGTTCAGCAGCGTTGACATTAGGCCGGAAGACGGAATCGTCAACCAGCTGAAAGCGCATGGCGTGGAGCCGCGCCATCTTCAGGCAATCGTCCTGAGTCACCTCCACGGCGATCACGCAGGTGGACTCAAAGACCTGAGGGCGGCCGCACCGGACGTCCCCGTCTTCGTGAGCGCCGAGCACTGGGCTGCTTTTGGAAACAGCCCGATCCACGCAACGTTATCCGGCTGCGTCCCACAGCACTGGCCGGAAGGATTCCAGCCGACTCTGATCGATTTTTCGGGCAGCCGCGTTGGCCCATGGGAGAACTCAGGGAGAATCACGGCCGATGGGACTATCGTTGCAGTGCACACCCCTGGCCACGTCCCGGGCCACATTTCGTTGGTCGTCTACGGCAATGATGATGATGGCACCAGCACGACATACTGCTTGCTTGGGGACGCGAGTTACGGATTGGATCTGCTGGATAAAGAGGAGCCCGACGGCATCAACGACGACCCTATGTCGGCGTTGAAGAGCTTGAGGAAGATCAAGTCGTTTGCTCAACAAAGCGATGTAGTCGTCTTACCAAGCCATGATCCGGATACCCCTCGCCTGCTCAGCAACCGGATATTGTACAAGCCAAAGGAGTCATCAGGTTCTGTAGGATCCATATGAAGGGAAAGGATGAGATGATTGTGCTGAAACTGTAATACCATGGCAACTAGAGAGATTAGAGACGGAATTGGCTGCATCTTGACATCAGCAGCTACACATCATCAAGACCGAAATATGGATGACAGAGAAATTGATTGTCATGTGGACAGGATGTGCTTTTATTACTTGAGATTTTGAATTGAGGAGAGGGGATGGAATAGTCTTTTGACGTGTCCAATCTACGTGCTCGTACATGATGCAGTTCATCCAGGTCAGCAAGGCAGTACGCGGAAGAAAGTACCCTCCTCCCCGTCTGCGCTCTAGTGAACCAATTTGATGTGTGAACATGTACACCGTCGCTGTATCTTTTAGAGATATCTGAAATCAGAATAAATTGAAAAGTATAGAGAAGTAAAACAAATAAAACCCAAGTAATATATTATCGTTTATCTCGAAGGATATGGCAAATAGAGAAAATCCAAGATAGTTGTCTACGGCATGTCACACTATTGCATATTAGCCTAGAGGAGGTTATCTTGAAAGAGATTATTTCAAAGAGGTTATCCCGGAAGAGAGTATCCTAAAAGAGGTTATACCAGAGGAGCTTTTCCTAGAGGAGATCATCTTAGAGGAAATGTGTGTACTAGTCAGATCACACCCAAGCTTTTGGATTTGCCGAAAGCCATGAGGTAGTGGGTCATGTATGTATGCGGCAACCGACACCAGCACATTGTCCGATTCCCAAAATCTCATGCAGGACACTGGGGCCATCAGTGTTACTAGCTGCTCGCTAATTTGTATCAAGGGGCATGGGCATCTCACGGGAAAGATATGAATCAACTCTACGATTGACTCGGACTGGACGGTACTATTCGGCTGTGTGAAGGAAAGTGCCATCGGGAGGGAGCTAGGCGAACCGGGTCTTCAGGACTATGTTCAGGATAATGCTGTTCACGTCAACATAGGTACGCAGTTACTTTAAGGTATGAGCTACGGAATAAGAACACAGCATATTATCATTGTGCTATCAAACGTAGCATACTAGCCTATCACCTGCATTATGACCGGATTTGGCAATTTCGCCGCACTTGTACTGGCATTCTGGCACTGCTCTAACCTGGCAACACCATGGAGATCGTACGGGAGCAAGATGATCAAGTTGAGCTTCAGCCTCAGGCGTACATGAGCCTCCCGGGGGCTCATGGTGCATTAATCCGATAAGCCGGAACGTTCTAATCTCCAAAATGGTTTGGTTCGCGTTTGTGATTTGTAGAGATAGGGGCTATATTTGCATGAGCCGGCAGGTTGACCGGCACATTAATTAATTCAGCGGTCGCCCGTTCTGGACCACTCGCAATACACCTTTGTTAGGGGCTCCACTCCACTGATTTGCGATACTTTGCGGGGTATTTTGCCAGCAGTATAGGACATCATTTGGGACAAGGTTTGGGGAACAGGGTTAGGATTGAAGCACAGTAACATGATATGGTGGCCAAGGGAACGCCCAACATCTAGGAGCGAGAATATCAGTATGGGTCGACCTTTGACCTTGGACATCCTCCCCAAGTATTACCGACTTACAAGCTGCAATTTTTCGTGCTGCGCTATCCATGATGAGGGCCAACGAAATAGACGTCGGCCATGTGCCGGGCACGATGCGGCTCAGCGATTGTAAGGGCGTCGACTCGACTGGCATGACAGTGATGCTGACCCGACGACAGTGACGACAAAGTCCATTGTGCTTCAGCCAGCACCTTCTGCTGATCCACGAGATCCTCTGGTACTCGGCCGCCATTGGGAAGATGCGAGTTTGTGTGCTAATTGTTGGCTTGGCAGAACTGGTCCCGCATCCGCAAGGCTGTCAACTATGGCCTGGTGCTATTCTACGTGCTGATGACCTTTGTCTTACTCGACATCTTTGGCGTGTCTTACAATGCCTACGTCGAGGAATGGGGCATGACATTCGATGATTACAACAACATCAGCGCTGCGAACTATGCTGGCTTGGGCGTGGGCTGCGTGCTCTTCATTCCCCTTGCCTACAAGTTTGGTCGTCGTCTCATCTGTGTCGTCAGTCTGGTGATTCAGCTCGCTACGGCCATCTGGGAGGCAAAGGCCAACGGCGTCAACGAGATGATTGTCCTCAACTTGATTCAAGGATTTGGTGGTGCCATCAGCGAGACACTTGTGCAGATTATCATCGCCGATCTCTTCTTCGTCCACCAGTATGCTACCATGAATGGGCTCTTCCTCCTCATGCAGTCCATCGGCGCGTTTCTCGGCCCTGTCGCCGCCGGTTATGTGGTTGTCAGTCGGGGATGGCGATGGCAGTGGTGGTGGTGCGCTATTTTCCTGGGCGTCAGCCTTGTTTCCGTGTTTTTCTTCTTCGAGGAGACAGCCTATGTCCCGACCATCGACGGTACACGAATTGAACAAGGGAATATAAACCCGGAGAACCTCCATAAAGGTGAAGAAGACAAGGAAGGACATAAAAGACTTACAAACATTACATCCATGCAGCACGATACGGTGGTACCGACCAGTTCATGTTCAGAACGGCTCCGGCTCTACACGAAAACCCCAGACAGCGTCGGACACCATGTCTGGCAGCCCTTTGTCCTCCTATTGCGAGTACCAGCGGTTGCTTATACAGCGCTCACATATGGTATGCTACTGGCCAACTTTGCTGTCATAGGCTCTGTCAATTCAGGCTGGCTTTTTAACCCACCTTATAATTTCGACGCGATCGGAGTCGGCCTCTTCAACATTGCGCCTTTCATTGGAGCCCTTATCGCCAGTGTCGTAGTTGCACCATTGAGTGATCGACTGGTTATTCAGCTTGCAGCTAAGAATGACGGCATCTATGAAGCTGAGATGCGACTCTGGCCAGCAATCCCAACATCACTGCTGGCCTGCGGCGGCCTGCTATTGTATGGAATAAGCATTGCACAGGTACGTCTGGCATCATATTGTAGAAAACAACCCTGGAGCTTACAATCACGTATAGGAACGACCGTGGATCATTGTAGCAGTCGGCGGCGCGGTATTTGGTTTTGGTTTTGTAAGCTGTTGTGATATCGCGCTGTCATATCTCACCGATTGCTATCAGCTCGTAAGCTCATCCCGTTACGAAGGACTTTGACAGTACTAACCGTCTACAGCTTATTGGTGACGCTATCGTCGGAGTCATTTTCATCCGGAACGTGATTTCGGTTATCATATTATTCACTTTGACCCCATGGATCAATGGTATGGGTCTCCAGAATATGTTCATTTTGGTGTCCTTCATCACCCTTGCTATCACATTAGGCTTTCCGGTCCTATTGCTTGTCTTCGGCCGAAAGTTTGGACAAAGTACCGCGGCAATCTCCGAGAAATACGGTCGTCAGTATCATTCTTCGCGCCGCTTCTAGGACTTTTCAGTGTTGATGGGAGATCGAAGGACTTCGGCTGGGTGGTACAGATTAAACTAAGTAGTGCTAGCTCAAATACAATATGTCCACGGATATCTGAAATACGAAAAAGTCTTTGAAATAACCTTATATAAGCAATAGGGACAGCTTCAAGTGGTTCGATAGTTTGAGTGTCTCGCATAGGGCCATGCTTCATGCGTTCACCCCGGTCGGTCCAGCTTAGATCTATTCTGCGCTGTTCGATGGTCTCTTCAGAGCCTGTAACTTTTGTTCCGAAGCTGCGACACAACCCGCAGTTCTGACGCAATAGACCCACGATCTTTGCGCAGTCTGTCGCGCGATTAATCACACTTCTAATAAGAGAAGGTGTTAAGACAATTTAGACATCCGCTTGTCATAGAGGCCGATCACCAACGAGGTAGCTAAGTAGCAGATAAGCTTAAAATCACGATACATTGGAGTTGGGTATATCTCTTGCTTCCTACTTAGATTGGTATCACACTAGTCCTGAAATGACGAGCTTCCATGGTCTAACCTGTCGCACCGCGCGTGTATGTGATACCCGCCGGGATATTGCCGGCCAAGTAGTCATGGCGGGATATCGTCACTGCAGCGCCCAACTCTGGGAGGGAATGTAGCATAAGAGGATAAAGTCAGCGCAATTCTTAAAGGTAATCTTCTTGAAGCTTCTATCGTGTGGAAACTTCAGTGTCAAATCATGGCAGATAACGCATGGGAGGCTAAAGCCGCCGCGAAGCGGTCCAGCGCTCTCGCCTGTATCCCAAAGGAATGGAGACTTTGCGCGGACGCTCTTTTGCGGCTCCAAACGCCCATCGAGAATTGTCCAAACAATCTCTTCGCATTGGACATCATCAGAGCCTCCCAAATTCTCACGCCCAAAGAACTGCAAATTACAGAAAAATACACAGTTTCGGAGCTACTCGATGCGTTAGCTAAGTCGACTTTGTCTGCTGTTGAAGTAACTACCGCTTTCTCTAAGAGGGCTGCAATTGCACAGCAGCTGGTTTGTCTACCCTTCTCCGTATGCAAATTAGAGCACTCTGCTGAAAATCCGAAGTCAGGTTGCTTGACGGAAATTCTTTTCGATAAAGCACTGGAAAGAGCCCGTTCTCTTGATGCTTTGAGAAGCCGAGGCGGGATCGCCGGGCCGCTTCATGGCCTGCCCATCAGCATCAAGGACAGCTTCCAGATTGCAGGCACACAGGCGACGATTGGTCTCGTCTCTTATCTGCCCAGGGTATCTGAAGCCAACTCGCCACTCGTGAATTTGCTTTTGGAGCTCGGTGCTGTCCTCTATGTGAAAACTAACATCCCCCAGACCCTGATGGTAGGCCAGATGCTATATCCTCGTAGTTCACATCCATCAAATTGACATTCTTCTCTAGACAGCTGATTCGCATAATAATGTGTTTGGCCGGGTTCTGAACCCATGGAACACCATGCTCACTGCAGGGGGATCTAGCGGCGGAGAAGGGGCGCTGGTCGCGCTCCACGGCTCACCGCTGGGTATCGGAACAGATGTGGCTGGTTCGTGGTATTTCCAGTACAGGGCAGGAAACATGTAACTGAGTCGTGACAGGTTCAATCCGGATTCCCTCGCTCTGCTGTGGCACGTACGGATTCAAGCCCAGCTCAAGCCGCATACCTTACGGAGGTCAGGCTGGCTGCGCCAATCCCGGGCTTAGGTCTATTACGCCAGTCGCTGGTCCCTTGGCAAACGACCTGGACGCTTTGGAGATTCTCGCGAGAGCGGTCATTAGTGCGACACCAGCTCGACTGGACTTCACAACCATCGATGTCCTGTGGAGAGACTTGCCACCAATTAGCACCAGGCTACGCTTCGGACTGATAGCCGAAGATCCTCTCTACCCGCTCCATCCACCGGTCCGGCGAGCTATGGATCAAGCAGTCGACGCCCTGAGGAGACATGGGCACGAAGTCGTGCAGCTAAATGCAGATTCCTGTCATATAGCTGATGCAGCAGAAGTGGCTTGGAAGCTCTGGAGCCTAGACGAGCAAGCTGCGAGCATTGTCAAGGCAGCTGGCGAGCCTACGGTACCATCAAGGATCCGGATCGCGCGAGAAGCCGAGCAGATGGAGTGGTATTTCGTGCCAGATCTCAGCGGATTAGATGGGCTGGAGAAACTTTGCAGTCTCAATATTAAGCGCTCAGAGATTAGTGCGGACTGGCATCGAGTCTGGACGACACATAAGCTCGATGCTGGCATTGGCCCTCCGGCAGCGCACACAGCAGTTGAGCACGACACATATGGTGTACCTGCTTACACCAACCTCTTGAACATCCTCGAGGTGAGTCTTCTAGGCCATCGTTCTATGTACATTGCCCTGACCAAACTAGTATCCCGCCTGCGTGCTACCATTCGAACGGGCCAATAGCAGCGACACGCCTCATATCTTCGAGCCGAAGCCAGGACAAGGAGGCCCTCCGTGTAAGTCACGAAACCTAGTATAGAAACCAGACAAAATTACGTACTAATTTCCTGACACCTGTAGACCATCCCGATGCTCTTGATGGCGCGCTTTGTTCCATCCAGATCTTTACGAGCCGGATGCGTGACGAAGAATGTCTTGCTGTGGCGAAGGTGGTCGACGTGGCGCTGAAGGCTCAAGGCTAGACCAGACCTCGGCCGGTTTGTAGGGTCGCCTAAACCCCAGTAGATAAACCCTTGCATAACCAGCATTCTGTTGCCGGTGCGGGGAAAACACAAGACCCTAAGATTGGCTAAATAAGCCCGCGGCCTCCTGAGATCAGAGCTCCATAGATTGCGGGTGTATTGCAATGATAACTACCGGTACCAAGCAGACTGGTGGCGGCGGCCATCATTTACCGCCGGCCATTTTCCGATCTCTACTGTGACATTATCTCCCTCTTCGTTTACCATGGACGTCAAGAGATCATGTGACCGTTGCCACGCTATTAAGGAGCGCTGTGAATGGAGTCATGGGTTGAACGCCTGCAAGCGATGCGTGCGCCTACGACATGTCTGCAAGAGTGTCCGCCCCGTGAAGCCGCCGGGGCGGAGACCTCAGTCGTATAAACGCATGTCGCCTCCGAGCGAGCCAGAAGTGACCTCTCCTCTCTCTACAGTCATCCTGGATAACATATGTGCGGATGAGCGGCAGATGATCCATCGAATGGTAGAATCCAAAAGTCTTGAGCGTTTCTTGATCGGCCCGACCTTCCTAAAGAACCACTGCCAGCTGGTCATGTCACAGCTGTTTTATTCAACAGTGGAGCTCAAGGATGCTTTGCTGGCTTCCTCGATAGCTTGGACGGACGAGGTGGGAGAGTCTCACGACTGCTATCGCAAAGCATCCTCAGCAATCTGTACCCTCTCGGAATTTGAGATTCGGGACGAGGCCGATGCTTCCATGTGCCTTACTCTGGGCGCTCTACTGCACACATTTGCTCTCAAACTCAGGGTCGACGACATTTTTACGATATGCACGCAGACGCTTGAGCGCATCAAGCCATTATACGAGTCGAAACCATACATCGAGCCATCAAAACTATATATGCTAACATGTATGGTATTTGGGGAGCTGTTCGAATGCCTGCTTCGATGCCAAGTGCCTCCACTCAGATACAAGCCCCCTGCTGACCAGTCTTACGTCGACCGATATGCGGGCGTGTGCGTCACCCTCCTGCCACTACTGCACGATATCTGCGAGCTCAGCCATGCTATGTCGTTTGCCGACGAGAGTGATAGGGCAGATATCCTGAATGCCCTCGATGATGTGGGTCGGGCTGTGGCTGACTGGATGCCACCGGTGCCTGGCTCATTCATGGCAACCTACACAGCCTCTGAGACGATGCACATGCTTTGCCAGGCGCAGGTATTACAGACAGCGGCTCTTATTGTCATACATCGATTACGACATCCGTATGGCTCACAGGATGAGCCTGCCTTAGCGATGGCCTCGGCCATCATGCGGCAGCTGGATATGACACAGCAAGTCACCGGTGGCAATGTCAAATGTGTTGACCTAGCCGTCCTGGTGGCTTGCTTCGAGTTCCAGGGAAAGGATCGATTACGCGAGCAACACAGAATGCCCGACCTCGTCGGATACTCAGACAAACACAAGAGACGGATCCGAGACATCATTGAGTCATTCTGGTCAGCGAGAGACAGTGGGAATGTTTTGTACTGGTACAACCTGGCGGGTGCTGTTCAGCTAAACACAACATTACCATGACTGTCAGAGCAGCCTCTGTCCGCAAGTCAGTGCGGATACCTCCGTCAGGTCTCATGCATAGACGAAAAACCTCCACGAATTGTCGAAAACTTTAAAATAAGCAACTTTGCCCTGCCACACATTTTCGTTCCTTCACGTACGATAAAGTCACCTCAAAAAAGTACTGAATGCGACTTGCTCCGAGTTATAATCTCGACTTGATGCAGACCAATAAGGGATGATCGATATCTAGACTTGCCACGAGCAGATTCACACGCTAGCTGCTAGCTGCGCCCAACGAAATTATCTCGTCATGCGTCGTCCCAAAAGCGTACATTTTGTGAGAATGTCCTCAAGTTCGCAAGTTTGCTTGTATCTCGACATCTCCGAACAGGAACTCCACGGCGGCTTCAGATGTCAGACGATCAAATCGCTCTTCGCTCAACAGATACGGCGTGGGAAAGGACTCCGGGGTCGTCCCTTGCAAAACCATCTGTGCAAGTGCCTCGCCAGTCAGCCAGCATTTGTCCATCCCATGGCCGTTGAAGCCAGCAGCAATCCACTCCCCGTCCCCTGTCCGCCCCGTCATTTTTGAGCTCAAATTTCCCACAAGCGGAAGGCCGTCGGACGTGAATCCCATCACTCCAGACCAAATCTGAGAGGCGCCCGGCTCCGTGTCCTTCCAAATCCTGGGAAGAACAGAGAGAATGTTTTCCCTGGCCCTGAGACTCACAACCGAGTCGTCGCTCGAGATCAGCTCGTCGACCTTCTGGACCTCGCCACCGACCCAAATGTCACCAGTCTTGGAGTTCTGCTGTGCATAGTACAGACCAGCCGTCAGGACACGGGTGTCGGGGTCGTAGCGGGTCTTTTCGAGTAAATTCCACGAGGCATCCGATCCCATGCGAGGGAAAGACAGTCCAGGATCCTGGCAAGACATAGTGCCACGGAAAGGGAAAAGCTTTCCGACCAAGCTGGGCAACAAGAATGCCGAGTAGCCATTCGTGCAATGGATTACTTTCTTCGCTTGCAACATGCCTCTCGGTGTGTTCAGTGTATAAAGGTATGATAGGTCGAACTGATGTGTAACCGAGGACACAGGTGTGTTTGTTTCAAGAGAGAAACGACCATCATATTTTTGGAGCAATTTGCTGTACAGCGCTGTGATCAGTCGATACGGTGATAGCGCAGCAGCACCATGTTGTTCGACACCACCCACGATGCTGTTGGAATAGTAATATTTCTGTCCTGTACATTTAGCTCCACGAAACGGAATACTTAGGCTCTACTGACCGACTCTGCTTGCTCCTTGGAGATGGTTTTCGAGCGTATGGTTTTTTCTGGCACAGTCTCGTCAATCAAGCTTATGCTTTCTTTCGCGCGATCTAGTATTTCTTGATTCGAAATGCCAGCAGTCATAACCAAACTGCGGAGCTCCACTGCGTCACGGTCTGCGGGATCTAATTCTGCCACCAGCTCCTTAAGGCGGGCAATGTTGGCTTCGCTGAAATGGAATATCTTTGTTGCTTCCTCGCTGCCGAAGAGTTGTAGTAGGGTTCCGAAGTGTGAATCGGCATCCGAAACCAGGTGGCCCCCGTTCCGACCGGTTGCGCCACTGACAGCGTTCCGGGCTTCAAGCACGGAAATACGTAGACCAGAGTTCTCAGAATTATGAAGCAATGTGTAGGCCACGCTACATCCTGTGATGCCAGATCCAATGATGGCCACGTCTATTTCTTCTGGTAGCTTCGGCGACTGGGCCATTGCGACAGTGAGATGGGGTGGTTCTTGCCATCGCGACTTAGTAGGCTGAGCGACGGGAAGACTGGGCCGCGGAGAAAGGATCTCCTTGAGTCGGCTTGCCATATCTACTGCACGTGAGCCCAGGCAGATCGAGCGAGGCTATCGCTTCTTACCCGTAGTGTCCATGGTAATCGTCGAGATGTGATAAATGGTGATGATCACTAGTTCCGATACTTCAAATGTTTTTTCTGCTCAGTTAGCGGAAGGATACCGGGTCAGGATAACTGCAGAGCATCCAGCTCTTATATCTTCGTCGGTATCATGTGTTCACTGCGGTACTCCTCCGCGGACGCCTGTACCCTTTTGTCACAGGTCACACTAGAAATATGAGTCTGGCTACCGGCAAATTCCCGGGACGTCTAAAAGTTTCACTCTCACTGATAGATCGCAGTGGTTAAGTAATGGCGAGAGCAGAGCACTAGAGGCGACTCGTGGCCATTCTCGTCGAAGCATGGCATTGCCTTCGATATTGATTGCTCAAAGGCCAGACACATCGCAGTAAACCCCCCGGCCAATGCACCGGCGGGTCTCCGTTTTAGCTCAGAGGCCCCTCTTTATTAGACTAGCTTGAGCACACCCGTCACCCCTTGCCCGGGACACACCCGAGCGAATGGGCAGGCTGGTTGGACTATTCATGCTTGTCAAAATTTCTGGACTGTCCAAAAGTGGGACAACTTGAAATCATTTGATGCCTACTTTGAAACGAGATTCTGCGGGAAAAGGTGTTCCTCCTACGCGGTCCGAACAGAGGCTTGATTTGTAGCAGCACTTCGTTCTGGAAATGTAGCATTCCCAATGGTGAGAGCATTGGTGTCATCGACCGAGCATCGTTTTTCGACCTCAATGCCAATATTCGCACAGCTTTCAGACCGCTTGGGACCATGCGTTCAGGTCAGGATCTTCAGCACAGACTTAGAGCAAGAGTGTCGCCTACCGGAGAGTAACCAGACATGTTCATTACTGAGCTTATCTCTTCTTATTCGCGACAAGTCAAGTCAATGTGTAACTAGATCGTGAAAAGAAGATACTAACCGCTTCATACTGAATTTATGATGATTTGGGTCACTCACTTATTGTCACTTGGTCACTTGGAAAACGCGACTGAGTCGTTCATCTCGGCCCTTTACGTGAGTCACATGGACTTCTTACTGACATCATGTCCTCCGATTAACTAAATTTGACCACAATACCATCTAATTACATCATGGGGGTCTGAGAGGTTATCATATGGAATAGGGGAGGTTATCCTATGAGAGGTTATCTTATGGGAGGTTCCTCAGGGGAGATTCGAACATGATCATGAAAGATCACTGCTAGGCTGACTGGCTTGCGCTTGATGTATCGGCTGACTTGGCGTGTAGTTGAGAGATGGAATAAATGCAGACAAGTACGTTCCTTGAATTATCCCCCCCCTGATTCAGTGATGCTGACTATAAAAAGTACGCCCTACGGGCCGTGAGCTTCTTTCCAGCCGTCAATGCAGTGACCAAGAAATTCCGCCTACTAGCTCCGCTTAATTTCTTTTCATACCAACATCACTGATCGCAACTCTACCACGGACTCTAGTCCTGAACCGCAAAGGAGTCCTAAGCCGCATCGAACGCTGGGGTAACACCAGCCATCTCGACTATTTTGGGCCACCTTTTTCACCTGTTTTCTGGTGCCAAGTGACGGGCATCAGCTACTAATTCTTCGGTGACAAGTACCCAAAGTTGTGATAAAGCCAGATTTGAGATCCGCTGACGGGCAGTCACCCACTCATCAGGTTGTGAATTGAGACTACTGAAGCTGATGTGTGTGATTCACCAGGTACAAAACAACTATAAATACTGGAATCTTTGTAAGATACATGGCTTTTCTCTGCTGTTTCTTTAAGACCTCGAGAACACATGAAAATGGGAAAGAAGGCAACTTGATCATCTTCCTATCGCCATTAAGTCAAAAACGCGGCACAAGGTCAGTTTATTCGCAAACACCGATCTCGGCTACGGAGACAATCTGAGTTCGGCTCAACCCATCCTAGAAAACACCAAGTCAGCGACGATATCAACGCGAATCTACGGTCATGTGTTACTTAATCAAAAAAGAGTTCAAATGCACCGGATGTGGCAACACTCAAACTGAAGAGGAAAAAGAACTATGCGACCACGCTAGAGCCGTCCAGCGTCCCTGGGGTGATTGTGGAAATCGAAACGAAACTAAAACTTCATCCTCGGTATTGTGTTCCTCATGTCGTACGAAGAAGCTTGAGGAAAACAAAGAAAAGGGCCGGAGAACTCCACTACCTCGTTAGGATGCGGGCCAGACAGAGAGCTTCCGCTAAGCTGGAAGTTGTGGAACATGGAGTGTTTGCAATGTCCACATGGATAAATATAACGGCGGAATGGAATCAAAGGCTGCGTTGCACAGGCGAAGTTTGTGCTGTCCTCATCGGATGGGATTGACTCGGTCGTCACTTATCTTTCCAAGTACTCGATGGGTCGGTTTCACATTGATACACGACGACATGGTCCTCATCAATGAAAAGAATTTTTGACATTAGTGGTAGTTCCTGTGCCAATATCCCCGAAGTGAACTTTGCAAAGTGAAAGATTTATTTTTGAGCCATATCACGGCACCGAACAACTGAGTATTCCCGTTCTCTCAGGTCTAGACCGCTGCGAATCTGTGCGCTGATGACCTTCTCGCTGTCCACGAACTTGTCCCATATCCTCCATACATCACCCTATGCTATCTTCCACCGCGCGCAGGACAGTTGGTGAACTTCCCTGATTCAGATCCGAACTGCCAACTATATCACATGCACCATCGGCAATGTACATGAATCTCTGTGCGCCGTCGTGAGCAGATTTCGCTTCGCAAGCGGTTGTCTGGATCGATTCATCCAGCGCGAGATAATGCGTCCGCCGGCAGCCGGACCATCCCGGCTGTCGGTGCGATGAATTCGGCGTATGCGACGATCCGATGTCAATATAGGGGGATTAACCGCCTGTCCTGGGATGAGGATGGCATGACGGTTTGTGAAGGTGGTATTCTCTGTGCCCGCGGTGGCTGTAGACTAGAAAACCAGAAGCACAATCTTTGAGAAAATCAAGATTCCAAGTGAGCGGTGGCAAGGCGATGAGGACTTCCGTATCAATCCAGTGAGTTAGGGCCAGGCGTAGAGACACATCGGCCAGAGTCTCCCCATAGTTATATGTGCGCTTTTGGCAAGGGCACTCTCGCAAGATGATGTCGCTGTTTCTCTCGTGGTTGGATTTGGAATGCTGACTCCCTCGCGTGTGTCATGGTGCTGGCATTTTCTTTCTGAGTGATGAAGATGATGGACAGAGAGGAAATATAATTACCATAAGGCAAGGTGAGAGAAATAGTTCTTGGAATGCTTCTCTTAGTGTCTGGCTCAATGGCTGACGTCGTTACCTGGTCTTTTATACCTCACTTATTCGCGTCACCGTCTGCCCCGGCTGTCATCATTCGTGAGATAGTGTTCAGTGGATTCTATCATCAGTGTTGTGAGGGGCTCCCTTGCCAATGACCGAGTTTGTTCTGGTCATAATGCCTCGCACGTTAGCATTGGACAGAGGTAAGTATATACGGGCAAGTCTCGGGTACGCTTCTATTCTGTGGGAATGATGATCTATGCATCAGTGTGAAATAAGAGCCATCCAGATTTTAGACCAGACCAGAAAGTCAGCATTAGTATTAATCCCCAACTAATCGAAAGTTGCTTCATAAAGCTACTCTACCAGTTGACAGCTCAACTCATTGTTCAGTGTCCTACGTCCGGACTAGCACCTTCGATGTCTTCGGCTGCTATCTCCATTCCCCTGTCGTATCCAGAGAATGACACTCTCCACGCATTGTCGTTCCTAGGTCGCATCTCAACATTGATGTCCCAATCAGGCACAGGCATCGCGTTCACCATCGGTGACTTGGCTGTCGTAGGTGCAGTCCACTTGCCATCAACAGGATGAAGATCGAATCGGAGAGCCAGTAGAGCCGAGAACATGAGGATCTCGGTGGATGCGAAATGCCGCCCGGGGCACAGTGTCATTCCTCCGCCAAATCCACGGAAAGCGACCGGGTTGACACGCTTGCTTCCAGGGGCGAATCTCTCGTGATCGAATTCATCGACTGTATCACCCCAAGCGGATTTGCTCGTATGCTGCACGGTCGCCGGCATCATGATGGTACTTCCCTTCTTCAGGAGGTATTTATTGTCGAGTCGATAGTCCTCCATGGCTATACGAGTAGCCGTGCTGGTAGAGTACATACGCATCGTCTCCTTGAATGTCGATAGCAAGATCGGACACGATGATTTGACATGGGTTAAATCGATGGTGCAGGCGCCATCATCATCTTGCCGCACGCCTTTGGACAGCTCGTTCCTGATGGAGTCGAGGACAGCCGGGTCCGAGAAGATATGGTATGCTATCCAAAAGGTTCCTGGAAGAGTGTTTGTGAGGATGGCTTGACTACCTGCGACCTCAATTCTTGCCGTCTCCTTCAAGGGGATCTGGAAATCATCATTGATTTTGACTCGGGCCTTGACCAGCTCCGAGCCCTGCTGGTACGAGCCTGAATCGAAATATTCCTCCCAGACCTTAACCATGTATTCGCGTGCTTTGAAACTTTCCTTGGCGAAGACACGAGGAAAAAGCTTCAGGATGAACATCATCATTTTCGGTTCAAATGTACTATGACAATTAGTAGAGGATCAAGTTTGCGACTCCACGATAACTTACTACCAGGCTTTCTCCATAGCAGGATTACGGAATGGGTTTTTGGGTCCATAAACGCTATCAGTAGATGCCAAAAGCAGCTCGTGGCGAAGCCATTGCCACAGCTGTATCTTCGTAGTTTTCTTCTGAGACCATTCGTCCAGAGACTTGGAGATGACTTGGATTGCCCTTCTGTTCATTGCATCCAGGCCAGGTCCAGCACTCAAGGCGGAATGAACGTATTTGGGGAAGCTCATCAAATAGCCCCCATCTTTGGTCAGATCACGACCTATGATGTTGATGGTCGTTTTTTGGCAACCAAGGAGATTGGCGGCTATATTGGCCTCTATGGCGTTGAACGAGAGTGCTCGGAATTGAGCTTGGATTGACGTGAGAAGACGTGGCGAGTTGACGACATACATCCGCGTACCGGGCAATCGCAACGTGTATATTGGCAGGTTGTATTTATCCCTAGGATCGGCATTACTATCACTTTGCTGCTCATTTTGCCGCGTCCAGATTGGATGTCGAAATACTTACCTTATTAGACGGTGAAAGTCTCCGCCCTTGCATACCATATTGATTATAGGTGTGACGAAGGGTATGGTGTCGCAGATCGAAGCCGGCTCCTTCGCATCCTGCGTGAAACGGAGGAGAGCGACGAGAAGCACGTAGGTCGCGGCAGCAATGCCCACGGCAACGGGGAGGACAGAAGACATGCTGACTGTTCTATGGCAACGCTCTCTAAATATTCCCAAGTATTGAACGCGTAGACAAGTTCACGGCAAGCTTTAAGAGAGCTCAGCGACGCCAACGTGCTTCAGCTTGCCTCGTAAGGTGGCATTTAGGGTGGACAGGGTTGTCTTTTTTTTGGTCTCCTGCTTATCTGCATGTTGGTCGAGTTAGCAGCAGGGCCCAATAATCCTGACATGTCAATTCGTCCGTTCTATATACCATGCTCCCCTGCTTCCAGTGGAGGCCCGCTGTGGTTGGCGCCTCACCCAGCCCCGACCCCACCAGCTTTTCAGCTATTCCCCATTACGCTAGTACCCAAGACCTATTCAGGGGTCAGCAGGCTGACGATGAAGGCAATTGGTCCGGGTTGGGGAGTCTACTGTATGGCTACACTAGGAAACCAATGAGGATCTTCAACCTTGCTCCGCGTCCTGCAGGCTGCCCTACCCTGCCCGCCAAGGTAGTACTGGCCACGCACGGCACGATTCCTGAACTCTCCCACCAGACTATTGTAACAAAATATGCAAGTAAAAGGCATAGCCATTCACTGTAAGATAGCTCAGGACAGTATATGTCGTAATGTGTAGCCTTGTAGCTGTTGACGTTGTTTTCGGCATATTGATCACTGTCGGGTTTTACAGATTTTAAAGGGCGCCATGGAAATGTGAGAAAAACCGAATGATCACTTTCAACCCCTGAAAGACGGCCGGAGCGGTGCGGGCGTTTGGGCCATGAGCACTAAGTTCTGGTAAAGATGTCGCACAAATGGTTTGTTGCCGTGTAAGTTATTTAGATTCAGAAACATGAAGCAGAGCACAGAAGCCTTGCTCTACTTCGGAACATACTAATTCTGGTTCACGAATAACAAGACGCCGTTCTAAGACTTAGATTGGATGATCACTCCAAGGGCATTGACTCGGAATTTATACAAACTCACTCAATACAATCTAATTCCAACCCCTCACCATATCGCCAAAGCTCCTTTTCTCGACAACATGGTCTCAATCAAAAGGGGGGTATTTTACATGCTTCTCATTGTCGCTGTCGCGAAGGAAAGCTGTCAGGCCTTGACAAGATACATCATGCGACAATTCCGAGTCGCTGAATCTGAACATGCCGTAAACGTCTCTGCATGTGACCAATATGAATACGTCTCAGTGATACACCTAGCTAACTCCTGATATTGATCAATGTACACAACAATCGGTTGTCAAATTGATATCACATTTACCAGACTCACAATATCTCAGCCGAAATACGATCAGAGCGAGAAAGCTTAAGCGTTGAAAGCCTCTCACCCAGCTCTCCAACATCCTTGTCAACTTCTTTCACATTTACCTCGATAGACCTCTTGGGACTCGGACTCCGTGCTTTCGTCCTGATCACCGCAGCACCAGGTCCCAGACGCCTCGCTCCATTCGTTATGGGGACCACACGTTCCAACTTGTCGTTACCAAACCAAGCCATGCACGGGACGAACACATCCTTGAACACGCCTCTAAGCTCGGGTACCATGGACTTTTGGAACTTGCAGCGGCGGGGATGGACGCCAGACACGCACAAGGTGCTGTTTGAACCAATCTGGATCTTCTTGGTAGCCCCCCGCTTCGTGTCCCTCTCTGCAGAACAGAGGTTTCTCGCGAGGCTGTTGACCGCGGGTGGCCATGTCGTCTCAAGGCGCTGATTTACACCTTTCCGCTCCCGCTTGCCCAAAGTGACGCACTGACAAGAGATTATTACACTTGGGTTGAGACGTTCAAGGATGTCTTCGACCATCGCATAAGACTTTTCGACGGCATCCCAGGTGCGCTGGGAGTTCCTGCCCATTCGATCGAGGTCACCGTCGCTCAGAAGGCTGCAAATATCGAGTATGACTACATCTTCAAGCGTCAATCCTATCTCACCCAGCACTTCGATTATCCACTGTAATGTGGGACACGTCTTCATTTCCTCGTAGTCAGACACGTGCTTTCTGGTCGGATTCTGCAGTACTATGAAAGGTAGGTCTCGGTAACCGCATAATAGTCGTTTGAAGTTTTTCCAAGGGTTGCCGTCGAGCTTGATTCCGTACTCCTCACGGAAGGCGACGACACTGTCGAGTTTGAAACATTCATGATCCTCTCCAATGTACCTCGGCTTTGATTTAGATTTCAGCACCGGGCTGAGGTGCTCCTCCACGGCTTGCTGACGGGACTGTTTGCGACACTCGCCATAAGCCGGCGACGATGGGATTTGGAAACTGAGATATCGTGGCACATTTTTAGTTGAAGCTATCACGTGTTAGTAGAAGATGTCACTTGGACACAACACGACAAGGATCCAGCAACAAACCTTGTGATACGATGTTGGTCGTCTCGTTATATGTCAGGTTCGCAGTCATTTTGACTTGTAAAATTTATAGCTTAGCTCGAAACAAAAATGTCGAAGTATTTCATAAAATTGAAAATGAAGAGTCGAGTGTGTCAGTGGAAAACTTTGCATCCAAATGCAATGGAAGTGATCAGTTGACAGCGGGAATGGCGAGGTCTAAAATACGGCCAAGCAAGAGGCCAGCCAAGGCGTCTTCCGACCCCTCCTCCATCTGAGCTTGTGGGCCTGTCAGGCAGACCTGCGGTGGCACAAGGCGGCTCCCGCCTTGCAACACACCATCTTTCCGATGTCTGCCAATAGCAAGCCATGAGGCTTCCAATAGTCTAGAGGCCTGCGACAAACTTGGTGTATGATGGCAGCTGAGCTTACAGGACTCTCAATAGTGCCACGGATATTTAGGACGACGTACAGAGGGGCTGAGAAGAAAGCGCTTAATCAATGTCTTGTAGAGTACCTTACAAGTCACAGCAGGTCCTTATTTGGTTATTCGAGATCATTGTCTTCCTTGAGATTTCCCCGGAAAACAGTTTCACGGGAGACTTTCTCATGAGGTATGACTGCAGAGATGGTTGTCTTAAAAGAGATCATTCTTCAATGTCATTGAAAATTTGCGCCCACACAAAGTGTAATAAATGGTCAATTGGCATTCCGATTAGTCCAACCCTTGTGCGTCTTCTTCGATGTGCTGGCTTTGCGTGTGTTGGTTGGTGGCGCAGCACGAGTGAACTCAATATTCAGCCAGCGCGCCGCGTCCTGCCTACGCACGTCTTTCGGTGGATCTGCTGCTTTATCTTCTGTTTCTATCTTTACCTCATTTTCAATCCCTTTCATGCCCTGGTGCAGGACTGAATAATTAGGGCCAAAAGGTGAACTGAAGAGTTGGTTGAGGATGAAACGTCACCACGCCTTCCTAACCGTTCCGACCTGGGCCCCTCGTGGCGGTAGCTGGATCGGCTGTACGATGTCGTCCGTCATCGCCATCGCCAGTGAGGTCGATAGTCTTGAGTGAGCTGTATAGCTATGTCGGCCAGGCCAGACTATGGTCTCGGCCAGTTAGTGTGTTCCGTTGGTTGCTTGGTTGCTCGGTTGCCTCACTTGACCCGACCGTCCCCATGTCCTGCTGACTAATTTTCGAATTTGGGGGAATTGACAGGGGGAGCGGCCCCTGTCCTGCTTACTTGTCTTCAAATTTGGGGAAATGGACAGGAGGGCTGTCCAAGGCTGGGTTAGCCAAGGCTTGAGCCTCCTATCTTCTGGCAATTGTAAACCTAGGAGTGTGTATACATTTAATATAAAAACAATAGAGTTGAAATTAATAAAAAAAATCTTTTAAAAATCTTATAAATATAGCAATACTTATAACCTACATTTATATATTTAGAAATTCATTTTCTTTTGTTAAAACTGAATAACATTATTTTTAATTTTAAGTCCTAAATGAGGCTGACCCTAACCCTAACCCGTCCCCCAACCCATCCGGACCGCAACACATGATGACAGTCCACACAACAATCCATAGAATAGAGCAACCCTCTTCGCAATTACAGGAGACAAGCCCTTTTCAATCCAGGCAAATCTAAGAGCGGACGTCGGAGAACACATTTATGATCCATAGTGAGGGGTAGAACAACTGCCGGGAGCTTATCTCCCTTGAAAATCAAAGAATGCTACACACATATCCATTCTGTTCCTGTCCCCTTTCTTTTCTCCGTGGAGTCTCGTCGCCTCTCACTCTCCGTTTTCTCTCCTTCACGAACAGCTTTCACTGTGTGCAGACTCAGGAAAGTTATCAGGCACTCAAAATGGCTGTCAAAATTCGCATGCAACCCCTAAGGCCCGATCGCCCTCCAGCAAATTCCCCCGAAGTCTACTACGTCCGCACCACTTTCCCTATCATCCATCACTATACAATTTCGGGTCCTTTCCACGTTCTCGAGGCCGCATTGCCCAACCTGCGCCAGCGAATTTCCGATTCCTCCCAAGCAATGACGGCTTTCAACTCCGCCACAAACAACGGCCATATGCTCAACCAGTTCTGCCACGTCACAGGGCCCTTGGACGCAGACCCGGCGCAGCACGTCATGGTCGAGCTGCTGCGCATGGACGACGCCCAGCTCAAGCGAAGCCTTCCTTGTCCAGTATACAATGTCATCTTTAGCGAGCCCATCCTCGATAATAGCGGCAGGCCTGGCATCGCCGCGAGCGGAAATGCGACTCTAAAAGACATGCAGGTCATCGGAAGCTATCTCAGTGTTGACGCCGCAATTGAGCGTGCAAACGAGGCGCTCAATGAGAGGGTATCCGATTTCCCAGGGGCGCAAGTACTTCCAATGAGGGCGATGAGGGAAGAAGATTTGTACGCTGTGGGCAGTATCATGAGGTTCCCTCCTCATGCGACTCCGAAGTTGGAGATGGCGGCAACAGTTTGCTATGATTCGGGAGTCATGAGGGACCCTCAGGGGAATGAGATGTGATTGATGCTTGGGAAAATTTAGCGTTGGAGGTCTTTTTTTGGTCGTATCAAACATCGTACCCGGTCTGTTGACACTCAGGCAGCTTTCATCTTCTTGAAACTTTGGATTCGCCAAGCAGTTACCGTAACAACACCATGCCACCCGAAATTTATTGGTGTGTGCAACCAAAACATCGCTGTGCCTTCACCTTTTGTACAACTATCCCTCCGCAGCTTCACCCTATGTCTGGCTTCAAATTATTGATGTCACAAACCAGACCATAATGGTAGTCATCCATCTGTAAGTCTAGACACCGAGGATCGAAGCTAAATTACGATGGCCTTTATCCAACACGGATTACAGTCCTCATTCGGGGACCAGTACAGAAACGGAGCCCTGTAATTTCAAGGAGATACCTGGGCCCGTTCGGCCCAATTTATAGTCTGTTCTAAAGTTTGCGTGGTCCGAGATCCAATCAGCGTCATTGAGGGACGCTCATATCACACACTATTGTAACAACATCACCACACTTTTTGAATGTCCCAACTTCTATTGAGGAGGTTCCTGTAGTCACTTATGTCTCTCAATAAAAGGCTAACCAACACTAAAACATGGTAGAGGGGGTTATGTCAGGATAGGCTACCCTAAAAGAGTTTGTTTCCTACAACTTATTCTCCAAGAAATTACCCTGCAGTTGATTATCCTGTTGTCGGTTATCCTATGTTGGTTGTCCAATAATGAATTACTCTGCTTCTTTCACGACTCCTGTCTTTTGTTTGGTCTATTCAACGCATACCCTAGGGTAGATACTGCGGCCGTGAAGCGGATAGCCGAGCTCAAGTTTGTGGCATGGAAGGGATTACGGCTACAGCTAGTAGCCTCGTCAACAAGACAGGCAGCATGCACTTAACTTTAGCCTGACGATCTCGGGAGATTTACTGTATTACATATAGACATGATGGTAGAGGAGAAGGCTGTTAATCCCGCCCGCTTGCCCTGGCCACAGCAACGAGCTCGAAAGAGACTTCTGAGGTTGGAACATGCCGGTCGACATACACACAACCGGAGATCTAAAGTGTCTAATCTCACCTGATCTTTGGCTGATATTTCTGTATGACCTGTTTGCAGCAGGTATGATGCCCCTAATCAAGACACCATTATCGATGACTTGCGGCGTTTGCGGGCTTGGAATTCCAGACTATGTGTATAAGATGGGAACAGGAAGAGACCCAGGAAGATTATAACTTGGGATGAAGCTCAGTTTGTAGCGGAACATTTGAAGCATTACTGCAGTAACGGAGAGGCAACCAGAACTGGACTTTTGTATATGGATAAAATTTTATAATCTCAGTAATCACGGTATTCCCGCATATATGGCAACTAAGTTCAGTTGAGGGAACAAGATTGGATCTCCCGAGTGCATATAATATCCACAGATTAAAATGGGTCAATATCACCGCACACAACACTTGAGGCATAGTATTGGGGGATGTTAGCTATGATAACAACTGGCTACTCTCGATTCTTTGATGCTTGGGACAAGATCTTTATGTTCGCCCCACATCACAGAGTCTTCGTCCCGATCCAAATCGGCCCGGTGGTGCAAGTCAGCAAATCGCTTTGGCGATCGCATGTTGCTTGGACATAGCCTACGCCGACAGCATCCAACGAGCTGGTATTGCATTAGCAGTTGCCTTTAAAGTGATGCTGCGGAAGTCTTCACTTACACTTCGCCGCACTGCCAGTGTTGGGTGATAGTGAGCATGTCGAGCTTCCTATCGAAGACGAACTCTGCCGTGCTCACCGACGCCTGGTCCGCCGCGACGCAGGTACCAGTGAACTTCTCATCTTCGATTTTTCCGGAGTTCCTGCACGAAAAGGATTCGGCCTCCCTAGTTCTCATGTTCCTCAAGACAAAAGCCGGACCCGTGTCGGCTTTCGGGGGGTCGGACAATGACGAGCCCGGGGGCCATTCGTACTGCCTCTTCCACTGCTCCACCTGCCATGATTGATAACTATCCGCCGTACCCGGGCAAACACTACCTGGCTCTTGTGGAGTCGGGCCTCCCTTTGTGGTGAAACCCTTCGAATCGCTGGGAACCAGTGCGCATGTCTCACTACCCTCCGCGGTCGTCGCGCAATTCATGTTCAGGGGCAGTATTCCTGTAGCCAGACCATCGGCCCTAGCAGTCGTGTCAGGTCTTTTCAGCATTTTCGCACGTCCAGTAATTTGCGTAGCGATACTTACCCTTCAGCGTCCGAGCAGGCGAAAGTATGCGAGACATACATCGTCTTATTAGCCCAATCCACAGCGAAGGAGACGGTGTTGTCGATGTTGAACCCATTGCCGGCCCAGATGCAATCGCTCCATATGATATTGTCTCCGCCATCTTGCCACCCCTTCCACGCATCTGGCCATGCTGCAAAACATTCGAAGAACGTCCCATAAGACCCATTGGTTGGCACTATGCTCACTGCCAAGGTCGCGGGGCCGCCGTTGTCGCTCGGGGCTGCGCTGTCGTACCTCGCGTCGCTCAATCGCCACTGGTAGGTCGATGTAGCGTTGCTGCTCCCGCAAATTCTGGCGGCGCCCGCCTTTGAGGAGAGCACAAGCGCCGCGATAGCTACAATTAAGTCGTATTGCATCGTAAGAAACAATGGTCACCTAGATCGCTTTGTGCTCATCGAGTATTGTTGGATTTTTCAGGACCAGGTTTCCTGATTTACATTGTCATCAGTCAGTAGTAGAAGACTCGCGTCTCATTCAGTCGGTGACATAACATGCCGCCGCGCTGAAGTACCGAGCCTTGGTCGTCACATTTTAATATCGGCTGCCAGATGGATGATCGGTGTTCTCTTACCGGTTTGCGATGATGGGACAATATAGATTCCCCAGAGACTGGCCTAGCCAATAGCGTCCTCTCGACAAGGCTCATCTGGCAATCATAGGCTATACGTATCGCCGCTCCTGCAGGTTCAATCCGTCAACATGGAGACGTCCCTTCTCGCCCAGCCTGCCAGCACACCAAATAGGGTCACTCATGATGATCATCACTTCTGCCTAAAATCCAATAGCTACGACGGGCTTTAAGGTAACGCCGAGTGCTTTGTGGTTTTCTAGGAAAATCTCTCTGTACGAGTAGGCAATTTTCCCGGTTAAATAGGTAGCACTGGGTACACATCAGGCCAGTAGACATCTGCCGATGCCTTGAGCAATATCACATGCGGTTTGTGCCATGAAAACTCAAAGACAATTGAAGGGTCTGAGACTAGAAAAATACAATATTCCAAGGACACGAGGGAAAAACAGGTGTATATAGTAATCCAGCTTTGTGCCAAAGTCAGCCGAACTAGGCCCTTCGAACATTCAAACCTCGTCCACAACCAACGCCCAGTGACCAACATCTGACCCAGGTCACCGAAGTGCCCTACGAATATGAATTGGAAAACCCTCGCCCTAGTGATGTCCGCGCAAGCGGTTGCCGCGCAGTCGCTATCAATGATCCGATTCGGATGCTCGCAGCTCGTCGTGGAGAGGCTGGACCCGCTGGTCAACCCGGGCTCGCTGGTATCGCCGCACGTGCACCAGATCGTGGGGGGCAACTCCTTCAACGCGAGCATGGACCCGGCGTCACACGACCTCGTGGCCGACTCGACGTGCACGAGCTGCTCGTTTTCCGAGGACTTCTCGAACTATTGGACGGCGGTTCTGTACTTCCGGGCGCGCAACGGGACATACAAGCGGGTGCCGCAGTTCCCGAACGTAGGGATCCGTGCCGTTGGCGGCGTTACCGTGTATTATATCCCGCCGTACGATGGCGTGACGAACGTGACGGCATTCGCACCGGGCTTCCGCATGCTGGTGGGAGACGCGGCGCTGCGCCAAGCCGAGGGCGTGCAGCGCCAGCTGTGCCACCGCTGCTACGTCAAGGACGACTACACCGGCGGAGCGGGCAACAACGCGCCTTGCTCAGGATCCGACACCACGTCCCTGCCGGCGCAGCCCTGCGTCGGTGGCATCAGGACCACCATCACTTTCCCCACTTGCTGGGACGGAAAGAACCTGGACAGTGCAGACCACAAGAGCCATGTGGCCTATCCCAAGTCGGGGACCTTCGAGTCTCTAGGGCCTTGCCCGGACTCTCACCCTGTTAAGTTGCCTCAGCTGATGTACGAGGTCATGTGGGATGTGAGTTTGATAAATCTTTCTAATCCAGTGCTGCTGTTCAAAGTTAACTTCTAATACTTGTGACCCAGACGCGCTCCTTTAACGACCCCGAAATGTGGCCCGAGGACGGATCGCAGCCATTTGTATGGAGTACAGACGACGGGTAAGCCCCTAATATATAAGTCTGCATCTACGTGAGCACTGCATCCGCTGACTTGTACGTGCAGGACCGGGTACTCGCAGCATGGTGACTATGTCTTCGGCTGGAAGGGCGACAGCCTCCAGAGGGCGCTCAACGCCCGCTGCAACAACGCAGTGTGCAATGAGCTCAAGACTCAGAGCTCGGAAGAGGCCATGAGGTGCACCCTACCACAGACTGCGGTCGAGGATGTTGATGGATGTGAGTTGCAACTGTCCCCTATTGAGATATATCTAGAGACGCCGTCTGCTAACATTTATATAGGGCTGGCTTCAATTCCGGGTATGTGATAGTTGACTTGTGGTGGCATAGAACTATATGATAGAATGCAAGCGATAATTATATTATCTATTGTTTTATTACCCTTGTGCCAGTACGTTCCTCGCCCTGGAGGGCTGGGAGAGAAGGCTCTGACAGCATATATTTTATCTCTGTGGTTGCCCGATTTTACTACTTAGTCTCGCAACTCGTACTGCTGAGCAACATGTTGATTCTGAACCATCCCAGCGAACATTTAACCCCAAGCGAACGCCGCTTGGGAAGACCTCAGTCCGAATCATAATGATCCAGATGCGACACGCTCGTGATCCTCGACTGCTGCCACGTCCGACTCGCGGACGTGACGTACACGATGCTCAACCAAAGTCTCGACATGCAAGGCATCCAAGGCTGCCCAGACGAGTGAAACCCCTACCCAAAGGAGCTCCTCGCTGCCTTTAGATGGGACAACAGCGCCTGGGACCGCATATCAACGAGCCTGTGCAAAGTCCTCACAGAAGCCGAGGACCTGTGGCGGGAGCCCGAGGTCGGGGAGAATGCCGAGCGGCAGCGGCTCATCTCGGTCTCGACTTTGTGCGGCTGATGAACAAGGAGCTGGCACACGAGCACTGGTAGCTGTGTGTTAGAACGCTGGAAGAGGTCCCCATGCGATGCTCTATATACTGCGTCGGACTCAGAGACAGCCTATCGCGTCCGAGAGGCTCGTCTCTCTGGAGAACGACATGGGGGTTCCTAATGTCCCTGGTGGACTTCTACAGAGGAGGGGCAGTATTCGCTAACCCTTTCATGGTGGATTGCTTGGTTGGAAGATCCTATCTACAGTAAAATTGGAACGGAGCAGACCAGAGTTGCACCGAACGAGAGAAAAGGAAGAGTCAAGACAATATGAGCCAATAGAACATGATACTGCTTGAGTCAGCGTGACTATTTGCCACCGTCACTGCACGGGAGGTCTTGGAGCCTCATTTGAAATCGAATGACGGCATACAGTTCCTCATGTAAACGCAGTATGTACACCTCAATATCACATGCGCAGCACTTGATATTATCAGCCGTAGTCCTCAGCACGCCCCATTGCCACCCTGCATAGATAGATCAGTTTGACAAATGGAAACATTCTCGGGTCAAGCGCTTCCATTGTGAGGACTATAGATCAATGACCTTTGGCGAGATTTCACGCAGGTGGCAAACCGCAATGCGATTGCCAGACTCTCCAAATCCCAATCTGTCAGACAAAAGCGACTCTCCACACCTGCGCTGCAAATGCGCTACCTATATATTTTCGTGACACAATCATATGGTTGTATGCTCCGGCAATGCAAACGGGTATAATGAGACGACAATGGCATTGGTTGCATAGATGAATCGTATATTGTTGTTGCTTTGGTGGCAAGTGCCGTGCGGAGGTGCTGGTCGATCTGGGTTGATTGTTGAGCCGCCGGAAAACGTTTGAGCTATATAACTAATAACAATTCACGAGAGAAATCTCAAGCTTCATGTAACAATTGATTTTCGCCTGGATTTGATGTTCAGCTACTTCTTTACGTCTGAATAGGTCATACTTGCATTATGTGGAATATCTGCAGTACTCTCCTACTGCCCTCGCTCCTGATCGGAGCGAGAGCTGCAAAAATTCAAGCGCCTGCAACTAGCTTCTCACAGAACATAGAGATGTAGGTGGCATCTTCTCCCTTGCATTGCTTCACACGAGATGACCAGCAGTATTCTAGTGTCCGAAACCCGGTCTATCCACTCGATGACGTCGATAAGCTGGAAGAGGCTACGATGCCCAAGGTTGATGAATGGCTGAATAAGAAGATGTCGAATGGAAGTAACAATGGCTGTACTATGAAAAACGCAATTGTACGCAGAGAGTGGTATGTATGCCGATATTCTGAGGAAATCTCAACAGAATTAATTCATATTGACAGGAGCGATATGTCTGAGTCGCACAGACAAGATTACGTCGCTGCTGTGACGTGCTTGATGAAACTACCTACCACTGTAAACCTCACCAGGTTTCCAGGAGCTCTCAGCCGATATGATGACTTTGTCGCGTATCATATGACACACGCAAGTGAGTACATCGGGTGGCAATTTCTGACATCCTAAGAACGGCCTTGTCCTTAATATCAGAGCGGAGCATCACTGATTAAGACTGGCTCAGTGCAACTTCATGACAACCTCCACCTCTTCGGCGCTCACAAGTATTTTGTCTGGCTTTTCGAGAAAGCCCTTCGTGACGAGTGTGGTTACACTGGTTACCAGCCGGTGTGTTGACCCTGTTTCATTCAGACATCGGGTATTGTTACTGACTATCCAGTAGTATATGAATTACGACCGCTATGCGAGTGACCCGTTTAATTCTCCATTGCTCAACGGCAACGCGTCTAGCTTGGGAGGAAATGGTGTCTTGGAACCCACGTACAAGGGTATTCCGCAGCCTGGACGAACTCCCAACATCATCAAGTCGAATGGTGGTGGAGGCTGCGTCAAGGAGGGGCCGTTCTCGGAGTCAGTTTCCTGATTTCTTTTCAGAGATATGGACGGTACATAACTGACGCTGTGATAGCATGATCGTTAGCTTAGGACCGACCTCGACGTCGACCGGAACCAACCTCCCCAAGAACCCAAGAGCCGATGGCACAGGGCCAAATCCGCGATGCTTACGTCGCGATATAAACAAGGATGCGTTAATGGGGGCTACGGCAGACCGTGTCTTCAATCTGATCACCAAGAGCCAGGACATCAATAGCTTTTACAACACCTTGCTCGGGATGCCGCCGCCAAAGAATGACTCGTATCCCTGGGGGGTAAGCGAAATTTCCAAGGAAAAACTCACGAGTGATCGGAACTGACTTTCTTAATCAGGTTCACACGGCAGGTCATTATGTTGCCGCAGTTGACCCAGGTGGTGATCCCATGACTTCACCCGGCGACCCTCTTTTCTACTTCCATCACACGTCCTTGGATCGCATCTGGTGGATCTGGCAAATGCAGGATGTGAACAACCGTTTGTACGCCTTGCCTAACGGCACTATGCCCATGAGGCGTCGACAGGGAACGGATCCTCAAGACGTTATTGTCGACATGGAATGGCTGGGCCCACCGATCAAGCTCTTCGAGACGCATGACCAGCTGGGTGGAAACGGGGGGGCTTTCTGCTATGTTTATGTTTAAGTACTAGTAGATTTGTCGTCTTGACACGATGAAACCGTAGCTGCTCGATCTCGTTAGTAGGCATATTCTCTAATATAGTCGATGAATGCTCGAAAATTGAACTTCCTATCTCTCAATTTCAAGGTAGAATTAAGTGCTTAACTTTGCAGCCTTCCTACTGAAGGACATCTGAGTGTATCTGAGCTAGAGCCCCTGGGCTATATTCTAAATGGCAGCAGAACTCTGTTAAGTCAAGAGGCCAAACTGAAAGCCGAGGATCCTCTTTGAAGGGTTCGCCGGAAATGTCATCTTAATTTGAAAAAAACGCATGTTCGTCCCCCTAGATCCATTGTGTACCATGGCTGGACGTGTACCAGGTGGGAACGGCCCCAGCAACGCTTCTCCATGGAATAAACCGGCCATGAAATACTTGCCTACGGCGATGACGGCGGCGGAAAGGCAAGTCCTCCCAGGTGCCGTGCACAGTCCCGCTACTTTGAAAAGATCTGTGAGCCTAGCTATGCACATCTAGGTGTGCGTTCAATGGAAAACTTTGAGGGTAAGCATTGATACCTTAGCTTTAGTGCAGAGGACGGAGCTTGCCTGCTGAGATGAGACAGAGCGACTACACATGGCCTTCAATTGACAGTCACGTAACTTCCTGCAAGATAACAGTTGAGATGAACGCGTGCATGAGGGCGCCGCTATTCTGCCTACATGAGTGGGGGCTTTCTGTAACTGTGAGCTGTACCACTGACCCACACTCACGTGGCATCAGCCTAGGCCAGCTGGCCAGCGGAGGGATGCTGAGCGGTTAACGTGGTGGCTCAAACTCTTGTCTCGTCAAAATCAGTCATTTCGATAAACACTATTCCTGGATTGCTTCAAAAAGTCCGGTATCTACCAACGTGGTGTATTACATCTCAGTGTGATGGAGTCACGCGTACGATGGCACAGGTCAAATTGCGACAAGCCAAACATCATCGTGAACGATGGCGAACCTCATTGCCATAGCTGCGATTCAAATTCTTCGGTCTTGGTAGCACGACTTGTTGCCGAAAATCAGGCCATAGGAGGCGTCATCAGCCTACCAGTTGAGGCACCGCTGGGCGAAGCTGACTTCTGGTGGCCTCCATCTGTCCCATACAGCAGTCCTCGCGTGGACACAAGAACGAACTCAGAGCCCTGCAATGACGCGAAAGAAGCGCAAATACTATCTCCAAAAGACACTCAACTAAGCTCTGTTTCGACTATCTACTCCTCATCTTTGGATTCAAGCCGCCTTCGCCTCATCTACCTAACTGAATCCGAGGATGCCTCCTCGCCCATTCACATCCAGCTCGAAGAATATGCTCTCAATGACAGTCCAGAATACGAAACGGTGTCCTACGTATGGGGAGGAGAGAATGGCGACTCCACTGCCTGCAAACCTATCTATGTTGGCCCCTCCTGGGACATGATCCTGGTTACAAATAATTGTTCGGCTCTGCTGCATTACTTACGGCCTCGTAAAGGCTCCCGGGTCATCTGGCTGGATGCTATTTGCATTAATCAGGCCAATAACGTTGAGAAATCAGCGCAAATATCCATAATGAGGGATATCTACGTTAATTGCCAGCGTGTTGTAGTCTACTTCGGGGGAGACTTGATTCAACAACTTTCGGGTAGGCTCTTTCGGCCTCGCATCGATTTCGCGAAGACAGTTGTTGCCAATGAATCGAGATCAACAACGGAGAAAAGCGCAGGGTTCTTTATGGCTTGTGCTAAGAGCGCCGGGATAAGCCAGGATCAGCTTTTCGAGAGGCGGTATTTGACTCGGATCTGGATCGTGCAGGAGCTTGTCCTCTCGAGCAAGGCTGTATTTCCTCTCGGTGACTCAGATATCCTCTGCGATGGAGATGTTGCCGCGCACCTCGTCTTGAGGCCAAAGGGACAGCAGCTGGCCTCTTCTGCTGTCAGAGGGTCTATGTCTAATCTTCTGAAGGCGACTTCCCACTGCGATGCGAGTGACCCTCGGGACAAGATATATGGCCTATTGGGTTTATTTAGACCGCAAGATGTCTCATGCTCGTTGATCTCGGATTATACACTATCTTGGAGAGACTGCTGGGTGGGAATCGGAGGCTACATCGTCCTTGTTGAGAAGAACATAACTCTGCTTGTTCATGCGGTTGGGACCTATTGTCTGTTTCAACTGCCCTCGTGGGTCCCGGATATTCGGACAGCGGGGTCTTGGTTACTCGACTTGCCCACAAAACCCCCCTATCAGAAGTCCCGGGTTTCTGAAGACGCTGCTGAGACATGGGCCATCGAGTTCGTCATGTATTCAAAAGGAGAACAGGACTGGATGCATTATGACTTGTTTCCAAGCAAATCGTGGGGACTAGCGAGCCATCTGTCGGTCGGACTCCCCTCAGATGTCCTGTGCTCTATGAGCCTCGACCAAGTGTCCGTCAATTCGTCTAATGGCGGGCTTCAACTTCAAGCCCTCCGCGTGTTCGATCATCCTTGTCGGCTAACGACGATGAATGAAGGAAATGGGTATAGTTCGATTTGGTTTCGCGGTCCGTCGACAGCTGCAGGTTTCCGCATACTGGGACTCAACCATTCTCTAGATCATGATAAGAGCTATCATGTCTTCATCATTTCCGATCAACCCCAGCTATCTGGATACATCCTCCTTGCTATAACAACTGCGCTTCCAGGGGAAGACAGCAGCGTCGTGACACTGCACGGCTGTTGCATAATATACGATATCCGATTTTACTCTATGGACCATCTTGAAACCAACCGAGAATCAATCCCCGGTTTGCATTGGCTTTTGGAAAAGTTTCAGCCAGTGCTCATCGAAAGCCACCAGTGGAAATCCCAAGGTAATTGGGTGTTCCGCTGCTTTTTCCCCTGTGATGATGCAACGTCACGAGATTTTCTCCGTCTGCTCATCCGTGCAACTGGCCCGCCGCTCATCCAAATATTTGAAGAAGGTAAACCTTCTTCTCAGTTCATGCCGCCAACGTTGGTGGAGTCAATATCTTGGACTGCAGAAAGGCTCTGTCCAGATTTCGATCCGTTGATCTGGGGCGATTACTATCATTTCACCATCAAGAACAAGAAAATGTTCTCGATGTGGAAAGCCTATCGTGGGCTATCATCAAGTTATGAGGAGGACACCATTACCGTGCGACGAGTATCATACGAGTTAGAAGCGGATTTCTCAGATCCGTTCATACATGACAAGGCAAGATGGACGCGCATTCAAACAATTTTTGATAAAGAGGGCAGTGATGGATCTGGGTATGGGTTAACATTTCCGTTTACTGTCCGGATCCCTCTAGAAACCCTAGTAGCTTGTGTTCGCAAGTCTGAGCTCTGCATGTCGTTGTGTACAGCTCGTGGTTACAACAGCAATTTGAACGAGGACTTGGATAATCTTCTGGGTCGTAAGTCCACGCTTAAAGACCGTGATATTCTCCTTCAAGACTGGGACAAAGGTTTCATCCAGGATCTTGGTCTTGCTTGGAAGTCAGAAAAAATCATCATTGTGTAAATTAAAGGGAGGCTAAAAAAAGCAATGGATTCGTCTCTCAAGCTTTGGGGAAGGTGTGGCTCTTACTGTAATTGATTTCTGGCTTTCTTTCAAGTTCAACAACAAAATTTGTTCGTACCAGCATAGCTTGATTACAGGCTTTCCAAGACTTGGTCTTGAATGCACTTGCTATCTACCCCGTAAAAGGGAGGATATTATCCATCGGAAAATTATCCCATCGGAAGATGATTTTATCGGAGGCTATGCATGGGAGGTTGGCCTATAGGAGGTTGTTCCACAGGGAGGGGTGTGATGAACCTAGGTAATATGAGTAAAGTCTCGCCTTATCATTTCGAATTCTTGTCAATCGTACTTTCAGGGGTTGAGGGTATCGACCCTGCGAGCTAATTGCTAACGGAATTAATTTCGGAGTTATCGCAATTGTCAAGGCACCATCAGAGTGATTGACACAACTGGGGAAGGTATTTAGACAAAGTCCTTGCTCAATTATAAATATTGGACAGGGCACTTTTGCAACTCAAGGGGGGCAGAAGAAGTATCTATGGAAGTAGTTCTACAGCACCTGATTTAGGTTCATATCAAAAGATCGAAATGATGGGGTACAAGAGGAGGGACAGAAAGGATACCAAAGGAAGCAGTGGAAGAGACAAGAAGGGATGGCAGAAAAGAGAAAGAACGGTGCAGAGTGTAAGACAAAAATAAACATAAACTTTTGATGTTAATAATGTCAACTGTTTGATCTGTAAGCACCAGTCGAGATGGAGTTTTTCAACACAATTCATGATATACTCTAAAAATTAACCAGTCCCCACCCAAACTGGGACCCTGCAGCTGATTATGGAAGGTTAGCAGCTTCCCAGCTCCGACCTCCCACTCAGCATCGTTCTGCATATGATGCCCAGCAGAGGGCACTACGCAAAGCCTGACACCGTCACCGGTAGTATCCACGCCCCGTTTGCCACTGCTCTCCTCTTCCTCCAATTGTCCCACGGTGCAATCCACTGCGTCTAGTCTTTTGTCCCGCATTAGCAGCCTGAATGCCTTCCGGTAGTAGTCTGTCAGCTTCTCCATGACATCCATCGTTATGAGCCTGTCTCTTCCACCTGCTACCACTAGAATCCGCTGGCCACTAACCCGGCCCCAGCCCGTGATCTTTCGGACGACGGTGGCTACGTTGGTGAAGGGCATCATCATGCCGAGTGGCCAGAGGAAGGACTCTCAGGCGCTGATATGCTTCTGGAACTCCGCTACACACGAGTCCGAAACGACGTCGCTGAAAAACGCCCGGCGCGTGAGGGCTGGATGAGACAGGGGACTGTTGGGATGCCAGACGTGGAATATCATTCTCAGTGAGAACCATGGGTCCAGCAGCCACCAGTTGATGTAGACTCCCAGCCTGAAGACAAACAAGCTTCTCAGTTGGTGCCGTTCAGAGGCAGGGGAAGGTGACCCTCGACGAAACGACGGAAAGACTCACGATCCAAAGCCCGGCACCGCCCCCATGAGGACCAAGCCCTTGACGTCAACGTCACGCTCCGACAACACGAACTGGCTGAGCCCGCCCCCGCTGCTGTGGCCACATAGAACGACCTGCGACTCTTCCCTGCCCTCGGCCCACCTAATGCCCGCGACGAGGTCGTCGGCCAGGGTGCTCTTGCTCGTGCCGTAGACCATGCGTAGGAACGACGGATGCCAGCTCTCGCCGTGGCCGCGAAGCGAGAGGGCGTAGCAAGGGATGCCGCGCGATGACAGGTATTGCATATACTCAATCCAGACCCAAGCGCTGCCCATCCCGCCGTGCAGGAAGAAAATGGGGGCGGCTTTGGTCTTGGCTGCTGATCCGTGAGGTGCGGCGTGGAGAATCTCGAGCGGGCCTCCTGTCGTCGGTATGAAGAGGCGCTCGATTCCTCCGGGGAGTGCTGGTGGTGGCTCGGCTGGCTTGCTCCATCGGAGCCACTTATAGCTGAGAATGAAGCCTAACATTTTTAGCTCAGGTTGATATTTGTGATTTTGAAGGAGAATGTCTCTTGGTCTCCATTTGTGCGTCTTCAAGGCTCTAGTTGGCATCCCGACGCCTAAATCCATCACAAGATACACATAATAGCTATGTGTCGAGTGGTTGAGCGGCCATGAAAGCGTAACGGTGTTGTGACTCAGGCCGCCCGTGGAGTTATTGGCCAGCTGAAACTTCATGGACATTCCAAGAGGCTCTCATAAGCGGGCATGGCGGGTAATTTTCGTTGTGGCGCGTTTGGGGTACCCCGAAAGGTCTCCCGGTCTAGCCATTGATGAGTCTGCAATCATTTGGAAAGACAGCTATTTTGAGGTGGTAGTATGATATGCAAGAGAATAAATCGTACTTCCAGACTTGTATCAGACCTGCTAGGTGATTGCTCTTGGCTTTGAGAAATATATACAATCCGAGAGGAGGCGTAGAGGTGGTGGTACTGGTTCCCGAGGTGGTGCCACCCCGGCCCCCTCTCAAAAGAACCCAATTTACATCGTTCTGGGACACAGCTAGCCTGCATCATACCCATGGAGCTGGCTGGCATAAGTACGGAAACCCCCATCTTAGCTCAGTTCTAAGCCCCGGTGTCATTCCGCTTGGTTCCTCGATCTTTGCCTTCAACTGATGAGCTGTGCCCATCTGAATACTCGAGGTATATGAAGCCGCCGAAGCGGTCGCATCCGCAAATTTCATGCGCCTACTGTTTATTGCACTCCACATGAAATTGCCAGGCCCGAAATCACCAACAGCATTATCTGGGCGACGTAACATCAACTCAGCGGCCACTTTTGGCAACAGCTTGGCAACAGCATCATCTAGCAGGTCCTTCCGTGACCACTCGAATCCTTCCAACAATCTCCGACTTTAAAGGCGTTCGTTGGTGGAAGCAAAGGCCAATATCTTTCAGGCTACGTGGTGTTCTATACGCTATATAGCTAATAATGCGGTGAATCTGAGCAAACAATCATGTTCTAATTCCTACAAGCTCACAAGTTGCTTTCCATGGGCCCGGCAAGCTTCCGCACACATGAATGTTTTACCGCAAATTCTTCCATTGTCTGTGAAAGAGCTATGATTAGGGCTTAGGCCTTCCTAGTGTAGATTTCCAGTATTCATGGTGCAGTGCAGAATGACTACTGTCTGGGTCGTGGACCATTTTGTTCTGGGAAGATAAACTACGCAGCGAGATAGTTTAGGTGGGAGTCAGTGACTATGACACAGTTCCAGCAGCCTTGCGGATACATTGGCACATGCTCTCGGGTTCCGAGATCGCTGGCCAAGCGTCGAAAAGAACTTGAGGGGGTGACATGGATTTAAGATCGTATGCAGACACTCACAGTTTCAAGTAATATCCCGAGAAAAGACATCTACGGATAACCAACCAGAGATTCTGGCAGATCTGGGTATCTACCTGGCACGAGGTTTTGCGACTTGACCACGTACACATTGCGGCCGAATGGTGATGCAGAACACTACAAATAACATATCACGACCGTGCAGGGAGGAATTATCTATTCCACGAGTAACGCTTTCCACATAAATCCGGACCTGAACGAAGGTGTACGGTGGGAACCGATGTGGCGGCATCACATGTCCTAGGACCTGAGAACTTTGACGCTTCGTCTATCATCTCCACCGCCTCAATTTCGGCCCAAATCAGCCAATCAATATATGCTCTTCGACCATATCGGCGATTGGCTTTCGCTGACTTGTCCTTGCCGACCTGACGCAATTTTCGAAGTTGATGTGCTGCGGATTGGCCCGATTTAAAAGAGCCAGAGACACCGCCTTATGTGCCTATCAATACGAAATAGCATTAAATTAGAATAAATAAGACACAAAGGTCGACTTGAAAATGTTGCAAGATACAGATTCGTATGGCTGTGTATTAATAGAGCTCTACCCTGAAAACACCGAGCAGCAGCTCGCCTTAGCTCGGACGGCCGAGGCGTAATCTCGCAAGCTGGGGAGGCTCAGACCTCGTCCGACAAGCGACATCCCGGCGATCTGGGGCAACGGGATGTGGCTCCCAGGAATTTTGTCGCGGATGCATGCACTTTCCATAATTGGCCCCATAGACCTACCATTGTGCGCCCGCACCTACGGCACTGGGGCCAGTTGAGGATGAAGATCAGAGAGCAGGCAGAGGTCAGAGTCTATCGGACTGGAGGGACTGGAAATGTGGTTCGAGACGGGATCGCTTGGAACCGCTCCGTTGTCGGCTGTATACATACCCGTTCCCATTCCATCGCGCCGTCGCGCCTGGGGTCGTAGCGGCGACACACTCGCGAGCGCGTCAGGCGGGAGAGCTAGTCTCACGTTGTCTCAAGCCTGCCCCTTGGCCCAGACCTGATGGTATGTTTCTTTGGGATGAAAAGATGCGGCTGTTACTGTGCAGATGGGCACCCTCTTCATTTGTGTGTCGTCGCCGTTGATCTGCATCATAAGCAGCCGAGGTCGGGAGTTGTCGTCGTCATGGGCCATGTGGGATGGGCGGTGCCTCTGCGCACGTATCCACAAGGCAGGAGGGAGCATGTCCACCCACGATGACCATCGACAACGGGGCAGGACATGCGAGCGACGAGCAGACAGCCAGACAGCCAGACAGCACAGAGAATGAGCAATTGGGCTTACCTACGAGATGGGTCCTGGATGGTCATCCAACCAAGGTAATCCTGTTGGCCAGCGTCCAATCAAGCCCAGTGAGCATCGGCATGATGGAGATCGCCCAGGACCGATGGCGTAAAAGGGTGCAAAAGGGTGACAGCAGGGTGGGAACCGGCATGGGGCGCTAGTCCTTGATGGGCCTAGTGCGTGCGCAGGTTAATCTTATCAATCAAATCAGTTGGGTGGGTGGGGCAGCGAGATTCTCCCAGCTCTTTCCCCGTGAGGCAGAAAAGCCCTCCTTCCTGTCTGTCTGACGGCCGTGTGCCGGCCCTTCCTCGCCTCATTTCCGTTCCTGCTGGTCTGTGTCTCCTCTGTCTGTGCGCCTGGGCGAGAAAAATTCACTACCATTAGCTTGGGGGAGGAGGCACACACACCGTAGCATGTAGTAGGCTAATGGCGAAAGGTTGGCTCACCGATTCAGGAGCCAAGATTGATCGTGTGTTGCTGCTCAGGGAAAAGCCCGACTGAAGAGTTTTCTTTGCATCGCCGACTTGGTCTCCATGTTCCCCAGATCCCCTGGATTGACTTCAATCTCGACAAATACATCTTGAGCCCTCCTCCCCCGCGCCTTGACCAGTCCACCATTTTTTATTTTTGTATTACCTTACTTTACTAGCCTACTGTCTACTTTCCACTGCACATTCGTCATCGTACGACATCCGAGGCCGGGTTTTGATCTGGCCCTAGTCCCACCCATTGATTGATTGAGTCAGAACATATCTGGGCAGACAGTCTAACCTACAGACACACAGTCCCACCCTCGTTGTCTATCTTATCAGATTGATCTCTCTGTCTCTTTCTTCCACTCACCCGAATCTGAGCCCTGCCCTGCATTCATCGGCCAGAATCAATCGGTCCATTCTTTCGACGCTCACACGCTATTCGTCATCAAGCGCACCGTTTGTTCTAATTGGGGCTCGTCCACTGCCTTGTCGTCTTCACCACTCGTTGCGTCGCAAATTGACCTCAACGCAATCAGGCCAAGCCCAAGCCACAGGACTCGTGCTCAAACGAGAACTGAGCTGATCTGACCTGACTGGGCTGCGCTGCATCGTCTTCGGAGATACGACTCAGCACCGTCATCCGGCCACGTTGGTTCTTCCGAGGTTAGACCCTCTTCGTCGCAATTTGCCAGACGTCTTCTCTTTTGACGATGCAATCAATGCAAGAAACAGACTGACTCTCGGCAAAGCACTGCTTCAATTGAACAGCAAACAGCAGTACAGTAGACACAAGGAACATCATTTTGCATCGTCAATGGTTCTAGTCTCCGCCCAATCCTGCCGTCTGCTCTGGCACAGTCACAACCACAACAGCCGCCCAATGAAACGGTAGCCCACCGGATTGGGAGCGTTGCACTAACCCGGCCGACCGTTACATAACATTCCATTCCACCGTCGACGATCGATCTGATAAGCCAGCAACCCCAACAAGAAAAAGCAACGAGCACATGCAAAAAGCAGAACGAGGAGCACTAGCAACCGGATAGAGAAGGACTGCAAGGAAGAGAAAAAGGCAAACGGCAAAAGAAATGGCAGCTGTCATGTCGACCAAGGCTCCTCCCGTCGGACTCGCCCCCCTGAAGATCGGGCCAGCAGCAGGAGTAGGGGCACCAGGTGCAGGTGCAGCACAAGCACGAGCAGGCTCAATTTCTGCTGGTTCAATGTCGCCGACGAATCCGATCTCTAGCGCTGCATCCACCCCCACCCCCACCTCAGCAGCCCCCAGCCCACTGTCGGCCACCACCACCAACCGTAATTCTCCATACCCGACTCAACCCGCCAAAACCACTACCGTCTCCGCTACCGCTTCTCAGCATCATCATCAACAACACCCTCATCATTCATCAACAACCTCAATATCGAGGCCACCCATCCAGCCTGCGCAGCCCAGGAAGTCTCTTCCCGCGTCTCCTGCTGCCACCACCCCAGTCAACAAGATGTCCATGGCATCGGTCATCTCGCCGATGCCGGGCCCTCCCGTGGCAAAGGCCCCAATCTCGATGACTTCCAAGGAATGGGTCATCCCGCCCAGGCCGAAGCCCGGCAGGAAGCCCGCCACTGACACACCGCCCACCAAGCGCAAGGCTCAGAACAGGGCTGCTCAGAGGGCCTTCAGGGAGAGGAGGGCCGCCCGTGTCGGCGAGCTCGAGGAGCAGCTGGACAGTGAGAGGGAGGAGCACGAGGCCGCCCAGGCCGCGCTGCAGGAGAAGGTTCACCGCCTGGAGATGGACTCGCAGGCCCTGCAGTCACGATGTGAGGTGTTGGAGAATATGCTCGACAAGGAGCGTGTCGAGCGGGCAAAGGAGGTCGAAGTCCTCACCAGGAGGCTGCATGAGGCCACCCAGAACCAGAACCAGACTCACAACCACCACCACCACCCTGCGCGGCAGAGCCTGCCGTCCATCTCATCTGTTTCCGAGTCGCAGGGTACCTATGCACCACAACCCTTGCGGTACCACCGCCCATCTGCGCCCTCTCGTCTCTCTCACCTCGGCAGGGCCAGCACGTCTGGCTTCACCGCCAAGTCCACGCCCGCAGCTGGACCCCAGCCCCATAGGCCGTCGACTACGAACTCATTCTCCATCTCCCAGATCATCAGCCCGCCAGATGACATCGAGCAAGCGCCAACCAGCTGTGGCTCGTGCGAAAGTGATGGTCGCTGTGCATGTGCAGATGAGGCCATGGCCAGCATGCCCGTTGGTTGCGGCAACTGCACCCTCGGCTCGCGCTGCCAGTGCCTTGAGGAAGTCCTCAATGGGGCAGCCGACAACCACAACCCTTTCCAAGAAACCGGGAGCAGGACCAATTCGGTGTCTCACCCCCAGCCAACACCGAGCCGCACGGCCAAGCGCACTATCCGGTCCATCTCTCCCAGTTCCACAGCGCCCGAGGAGAAGCGCCCCAGGCCGTCGCTGTCACTAGCCGCCAACGAGACGGATTTTACCGCCATGTTCTCGCGCCAGCCCAAGCGCGTCTCTCCGTCCAACAACTCGACAGCTCCAGCACAACCCACCGCGGGGCCAGTCAACGCCATTGGGACGCCCTATAGCAATGCACCCAGCCCGTACTCCCTGGCACCTATCGACAATCAGGCGGCTGACTCACCCGCACCAGAGGACCGCTGCGGATTCTGCGAGGATGGCACCTACTGCGTCTGTGCAGAGGCAGCGAAGAATGCGGCTGCTGCATCGCAACCGCCAGCAAATGAGTCGGTCACCCTGCCGCCCATCACATCGTCTGCGGCATTCTCAGTCCAGCAGTCCCGCACGCCTCCGCCGTCCGAAGGCGATGCTATCGGTTATGAGATCCTACCGGACGGTTCGGTCAAGCTGCCGAGTTTAAAGGGTCTCTCAGCACGAAACAAGCTTAACGTCGACAACGGCAACACTATTGCTAAGCCCTCAACCGGTGGCTGTGGCTCCGGTGGCCCAGGAACTTGTGCACAGTGCCTCGCGGACCCGAAGTCCGGTCTTTTCTGTCGGTCACTGGCGGCGAGCTTCAAAAGCAAGAACGGAGAATCCAGCGGCGGGTGCTGTGGTGGTGGTGGACCAGGTGGTGGATGCTGCAAGGACAAGACGCAGAACAGTAACGGCGGTGCAAGTGTGAAGCTCTCATGTGCGGATGCCTACAAGACCTTGGCTAGCCACCGCAACTTCAGCGAGGCGGCTGACGATATTGGCGCCTGGCTACCGATGCTGAGGGCAGCGCCGGCGAGGCCACGGGAGCCAGAGGTTGGCGGCTGTAGTGGTGGCAAGGCTGGCGGCAGCTCGAGAACGCCGATCGAGGTCGAGGCGGCTAGCATTATGGGCGTGCTCAAGGGGTTTGACGTGCGGTTCGGGAGGGGGGAATAAGCGGTTGGTCACTGGTTGTATTTTTGAATCTGCCTCTAGAGCAGTACTGCATCGGGTTGGGAATTCTCTCATATCATCCCTGCAAAGGGGAACAGGCGTTCGGGCTGAAAGGGCAGATTCGCAAAAGTGGTCGTCGGGGGCACGCACATTCATCTTGAGTGCTTAGGGAGGGCTAAAAGGCTACGGCTGGGGGCCGGCTTCATTGATGGATGGATTGGTTGAATGCTTAAGTCATTGTTTACTCCTCCTTCATAAACATCGCACGATCACGCAGTGAAAATGGGATGAGTGTGTACATGGCATTTGCAGGTTGTATAATGTGATGCAGATTGAGCATCGTCACACATCACCATCTTGCACCTGGGCAACTCTGCCGGCTGGACCCCTGCATCCGCTCGTAACAGAGTCCGTCGCGCACCATAGTGATTCATTCTACCCGATCTTATTGAGTCAACGTCAACGTCCATCCATCTCAAACCGGCCCCAGCCCGACACCCACCATGATTCGGACCATGGCTTGTCCATCTTCGTTACTTACACAATGACAAACGTTGACCGAGCGTACCGGGACGCCCTCTCGATCGCAGCCTTTATATAATAGTCTCGTATCTCAAGCAAGCCAATCCTCTCGTAAGCACCCTTTTTGCGCTTGGATTCGGTCAGAATGAGGAAAACACCCCAAAGAAGGTTCTGTGCACTATTATCATCAACAACGCAGTCGTTGCCACGTAGTAGATACAGACACTCAAGTGATGATCCTGGTGCAAGATGATGACCTCCAGGTTGATTTAGTGCGTAGTCGGGTGCAAAATCAATCGGCGAGCGAAGCCACCGGATACGAATGCTATACCTCGATCCACCAACGTTTCTGTCTTCCAAGTCATACCCGAGTGTGCATCGAGTCGCATGTCCCGAGACAGTCAGGCTGGCATCCTTCAAGGGTCCAGTAGCATCCTCTCCTGCGAGAATGCAAGTGACGTTGTGAACAACGCATTTCTCATCCCAGATCGGTTTGTGTGCGTCATAAAAGTGTGTGTTGTACCTCACGGGCCCGTCAACAGAGGCCCAGGACCACGACGGCGCAGCCCATTCTTTTAATCTACTCGAGACAGAGGGCCAACAGGCCTCCCAACAAAGTCCCCTCAGCAGACTCTCCAGCCATATTCCGGCTGCGTAAGTATACCCTAGCTTGAACTGCTCTGTCTTCTTGGCCACCCCTGAAATTGCAGCCAGTATATCCTTTTCGCGGAAAGTTAGCTTCAGCCTTGAGTAAGCCCCCACAGCTTGCAACCAGCCGTCTTTGGGCATCAACTTGGGCGAGGCCTTTTCTCCAGTAGATGATGCGTCTTCGAATTGTTCGGCAGCTGGATAGGGGAATGGACAGCCTTCAAAGGCCTCATATTGAGACAGTGATCCGCACCTGCACTGCCAGATGATCTCCCCTTCATCGAAATGCAACAGACGCGGGGACAGGTGCCACTCTTGGAAGAACCACGCCCTCTCAAGAAGAGGTCGTTTTGTGCCAGCTTGCGTTTGTTCGTAGGCTCGATGGCCCATCCAATCTACACCTCCTGAGACAGAATATATGAGAACTCGAGCTGGACGCTGGTTGGAAATCAAAATTTCGAGCTCGTGCACCTTAACACGGGATGGATCAGTCCGGTAGAGTCCTTGGCGACAGTCGGCTGAACTCGTGGCTGCTATTGTGATAGAAGAATTTGAGTACACGCTTGCCATAGTCGCAGCCTCTTTCCTCCAGTCTTCTCCGTCGTCCTGAAGAATGCAGAGACTGTCAATCCATATATACTGAAACCCCAGTCTCCAAGCAAGGACTATAGCGTCCTGGAATGTCCGAGGAATTTTGGACCAAGATATTCCGTCCAAGTATGCTTGAATGGTATCTTTGTTGGTCACGCAAGCCGGTGTGATACCTCCCCAGCAATGACTGAGGCAGGCGTATGCCATGCCTGTGCTCATCTGCTTCGTTTCAATGAGTTTGACCTGGAGAATATCTGGAGAACCGCTTTCGAAACCTCCGAGTTCAAGCAGCCTGGAAGGGCAGAACGATAAATCGGTGGGACCACAATTTGGGTGTGTGTCCCTGCACTTGTTGAGCCATTGTATTGCTTGTTCCAAACTCCTAGCGGAGCCATCATTGCCCCCAAGAGGCATATTGCACTTGTTGAGAGGCGTTGGGTACTCATTGGCTAGATATTCTTTCTCGTTTTCGGAATACTTGTCGCAGGACATTGGGTACACCCATTCCTCGTCTCCTGGGATAACCAAACAATCAGTCAATAACTGTATTTTCAATTTATGTACGTCAACAAATTATTGCATGATGCCAACCGTACACGACTGTGCGATTACTGCCATGACTCGATGTGCTCACCTTCAGCGAGATATAATTTGATGCGGTCGTACCACCCAATCGGCTTACAATACAATTCGCAGTTCCGAGAAATGAATGAGAACTCAAAGTCATCCTTAGCCATGGACGGGGGATATGCCCTTCTTATGACTTGACTAAACATGCTGCACCAATGGCAGCCTTGAGATGCTGCTTCCTCCATCTCATGAAATTTCGCGTCCCAAAGGTGCCCTTCACCTTTGCAGACTGAGCAGACACAGCTTGGCAAAAATAAAGGGGGCCCTGTGGGAGGAGACGGAGGCGTGTGGACTCCATGTTGCTTATTGAAAATGAGCTCCTGTGAATGCACCCGAAGCGTCTTATCCGTCACTGAAGCCTCGCGTGGCGCGACTTTGTCGTTTTTCATGTTTCGGTCCATATCGCAGACTTCCACAGTGGTCAGGTCGTGCACTGAGAATTAGAAAACCTTTGCAACTAATATGTATCGGAGAAAAGATTGCAGGAGATACTGCGTGGGTAAAGGTACCTGGAAAGCGAGAATATGAAATTCAAGGTTGAGGAAGAGCTTGGGAAGCATTGATAAGCTTCGGCCAGATGATGCGGGCAGGATGAACAGATCTCAGCACTGGGGGCTTTCGCACTTCACATACACTGTTGGGACAACACCGCCACACTTTCCGACACGTTATCGCGGAGCCCACTGTGGCTTAGTTACTTCCTTGTCTAGAATGTTATTCCACAGGACGTTATATGATAGTCCCGTATCTTAAGCAAGCCAATCCTCTCGCAAGCATTCTTTTTGCGCTTGCTTTCGGTCAGAATAGGGCAATGCTCCAGGGAAGTATTTATGCGTGTTTTTTAAATATACAATTTATTGATGATATATATTATCTTTTGAAACCCCCAAAATAAAATGCAATTCTCGCATCCCATAATGGAATCACGGTTACGAGGGTTCTATTGTCCAGAGTCTAGATTAAAATAACTTCCTTCTGCTTGAAGTTTGCCCCAGTGATCCACTTCGTAGCTTTTCTTTTTTCACGGGACATTTCCAAATTCCTCAAATAACCAATCCGCTCGCAAATTATAATGTCCTTGTGAGCATCAGGGTCGAGGCGAGCTCTTCGGATCGACTGGTCGTTCGGCTTTGCAGCCACCATGACCCAGTATGTACGGCATTCCGTCCCAAAAGCGTAAGGATCGACATCGTCGAGCAATAAAAGACACCACAAGTCCTCGTTAGCCTCTAGATTATACACAGTCCGCTGATTGGAGCCTGACTTCTTCTGGCCTTTTCCAACATCTGAATGGATAGAGAAGAAGTCGCCACGAGGATTGACGAGGCCAGGCGTACGATGACGACGACTTGCTTTTTTGGCAACAGCAACGCAGGCCCGCAGTCGGATTCTCCCCCAAGAGACCTCGCCGTATTCATTGAAGCTCATCGGCGCAGTCGAAGCCTCCAGAATCTGAACCCGACTCTTAGCCTGATCCCTCCACGATGGCCAGGATACTTCTTCTATTGTCGATGCCCAAGACCACGTCGGTCCGCTATACTCATTGGTGCTTCTGGGACTCCATTCATCGACGTCTTCGACACACCAGGCCAGGTGCCACGGCAGGTCATCCGCCCATAACCCTGCAAGATAAGTCCTTCCAAGGGAAAAGTATCTTGCCAGGGAAGAGATAGCAGGAAGCCGGTCCCTTTCAAAAGTGAGACGACGTGCCGAGTATGCTGACACAAGCCGTGTCCAGACAGAGCCAAAATCCGGATCCTGCATCACGCGGCTAGGAGCAGCCCAACTTGGCAAAGGCTTCATCGTACGATTCTTGCTGATCATCGCTTTTGCCGTCTCAAATGATACCTTTGGGGACTCATGGCCGTCGCCCCAGCAAGCGTGTTCCTGGGAGACCCCTTCGCATTCGCAGTTAAGAGACGCTTTGCATTCCCAGATCATCTCGTAAGCTGCAAAGTGCAAAACCCTACTTGAAAAAAGTCGTTCCTGCAGCGCCCATCCTCTCATGATCAGTGGGAATGTCATATCGTAAACTGTGGAGTGCTCAACCATGTCACTATGCCACCATGGTTCTCGAACACAAAGCGAACGCGTAAGTCCATCAACGACCAATGGCGGGGGAACCTCGATTCTCTTGTTCTTTCTCGTGCCAGCAGATTCCTCTAGAGGGGCTATGTGTCGATGGCGCGTTGAGCGCAGGGTAGAGTTCCTCGGGCTGGTCAGCCGGCGAGATGTGTCCTTGGCTGCATCGGCTGCGATGGTTAGATATGCGCTGCCGTATGTATCCCCCATCTTGGAAGATTCTGCCCGCCAGTCGGCGCTGTCATTCTGGATAATACACAGCGCATCAACCCAAAGATAACCAATCCCAAGTCGACGAATAATCTGTATAACGTCCTGAATCAGATTGGGGAGGTCATCCCACACAATTCCCGCCCTTCTTTCGTTGATATTGTCCAATGTGGTAGTCAGGTTGCCAGCGCTGCCCCAACAGTAGCTCAGCGCCGCGTAACGGCCGGGCGTAGAAGGAGCAGGAGTCACCAGCTTGACTGAATCTGATGTTATATCGAGCACTCGACTTGGGAGCAACGGTACATCATCTTCGACGCATCTATGTTCATTAACACAGCGGGTAATCCATTGACTAGCAAGTCTAGCAGCAAAGTCAACATCAAGAACTTCAGTAGGAGTGCTGCCAAAGCCAACTGCGGGGTACAGCGATGCGTAGTCTCCCTTGAAATGATGCCTTTCTTCAAAGAGCTCAAGGGTCGTGAGGAGCTTTTTGGGGCTACTAAAAGAGACCCTGAGGGGCTCATTGCAGTCCCCTTCGAGGAGGATTTTGTCCAACAAGGGATCGCTCAGAGATAGACCAGAGCCTGGAGTGTCGATATAGTGCCGAATAGCCTGAAGGATCAAATCGCATGTAGCACATCCCATAGCAGCAGAATCCTCAAATTCTCCAGCTTCCTTTTCGACTTGGAATATCTTCTCGCATGAAGGGTGATATGAAGTTGGGGTGTTGCTCGCCGGTAGATCCTCGGCCGTCAGGTTGTTGCACGTTCTACAGCGGACCATGTTCTCCTTTCTTTTCGCTCTGCGGGATGCTGCAGTGGCAGTGTAATACTGATCGCCCAACAGCAATTACAACCGTTTTGTGACACACTGCAGGACTGTTGTTGCAACTCGTGTTTTTTTTCTATACGAGAGTCCTCGAGTGAGGGGTAAAAGAAGAAGCTTCCCCTTGCTTCCCAGCTACAAGTCCCCAAGTCTTTTATCTATGATCGGTTAACGTTGGGATTGCATCTTCTGCATGCGATAAACGGGGGAAGGGGGTGAGGCGGCTTGTGAGAACTCTTGGTTGGATGTGATGTGTGAGGGCGTGGGGCTGAATGCCAGCGGGGCCCTCTAGGCTGGGACCCACAGGGCCCTTATCGATAGGCTTATCTTATCAGCCCACCGCCAGACTTTAAATAGCTTTTAGGGCACGCGTGCAGCTACGCTGCCTTTCGCCTTTGTTTTATTAGGCGAACCTTAACAGAAATCAACATATTTCTACAGCCAAATCGAGCCTTTGTGCCGTGACGACGTAGGGACCGTCTCATGATGCTTGTTGATTGGTTGACTGCACATATGCGGGATAGGACCGAGGAAGAAGGGGATGGTGTGGGGTTTCTGCTATGTTGCGTCTCATCCAGTCAACTCTGACCGAACATATGGGCGATGAAAGATAGTAGATAGCCGACACCATATTATGAGTCTCTTTGGGTTCACCGAGATGCCTGGGCTGAGCTGAACAAAGTAAATAGCTGATACATCGACGCCATAGAACCGCGCATTCTGAGGTCGACCGTGATTTTTCACTGAAGTCTCCTATTGCTATGCCCATTTGAACCACCTTCTTGCGTACGTGCGTCTTCCGATTGGAAATGGGTGGCAAAGTGATTGAAGATTCGAGCAGGCGGGGCTTAATTTGAATTATTTTGTGGCGCCCGACACAGGCATTGACCCACTCGTGACCATTGGCAATTTTTGTTAATGCGCTAAATCAGTTCTCACAGAAAAACTGCATTGATTTGCGCGGGATCGTAACCCGGCGAGTCTCAGCGTCGACATACGCTCACTGAGTGGTTTTGGGGCTGAAGGCCAATGTCAGCGCACCTCTTGCTGGCGATTCTTCTCACTGGACGAGTTCAAAAAGTACAAATAGCCTGTTACTACATATATGGATGCTCCTGTCCCCCCTTTATTAATATTGGTGACTACTAGCTGTGTTGCAGTCCTCTGGGACGTGCTGTACCAAGAACTGGCATCGGATCAATCTGGGCAGCAGTGCCATCCATCACGCAGCTTTCGAGCATGCTTTTGCTGCGAGTAAGCAGATGAGAAGCGCCGGACAGCTCACGGCTATCGCGACCGTGATTGTGCCATGTACCTTCGTGGCGTCAATCTTCTCAATGGGTGATGATTTTGCAGCTGGTGAAAAGCTGTTTGGTGTTTACTGAGCTGTGTCGATGCCAGCAACTTTGATTCTGCTCGCTTGAATTCTATATGGTGATGATGTCGTACGAATCTGGAAGTCTTGTCTCCCGGTGGCGAACATGTTCAAGTCTGGTACTTCACGTTTACAAAATGCTTGGAGGGCTTTGCAAGTACGCGATACGGTGGCATTTCATGGTGAACGCCAGGATCAAAAGATCGGGGAGGGACAAGCTTGCAATCACGTTCGAATGGGCTTGATAGTTTACCATGTCCGGCTCGCAGCCACTGTACTTCTGGGATGTATGGGGAAAAGAACAAGGGGGGCCGTAGCTTAACCACCTGTAGGATAATCTTTCTTAGGATGTCCTTCCTACTAATAACCTCTTGTAGCACTTCTTTATTGAAAATGTTTCATATGGGGAAGTGCATGAAGCCACACAGGAGCTTCGCCGTGGTGTGCTACGATTTCCGAGAGTTTGGTGGCCTTATTTCAGTAGCATATGTGACAGGTCAGAAGACACCCAAGGGTCCCGTCGGCGACCCCAGATGCCCAAGTTTCGAAATTGACCTTCGCAATTGACTTAAGCAATGTCAAGTCAGCAGCTTCTCTGACATAATTGGTGAGCCATGGCTTTCATGTCACATGAGAGCTTCGATGATCAGCCATGAACACCCTTGGCAGATGTGTTTTTCTGCAACATTGCCCTTGCCGATGCTGACATGCACGTCAAATTCTTGGTAAGCCCTGTATGATGGCAGCCTAACAAGTGGGGTCGAGCTGGCAGCCATCCAGATTGTAGAAACCAGGTTTCTCTTCCTCATTTCAACATTGCTGCAGTCTTCATAGACCTGGTTTCGTTGCTCACTTTTCTGTTGCTCAAGCTTTGCGTTTCTCTGTCCACTCTTCAGCTGTTCTCAGTTGTTGCCCCGTTCGTGTTACAGTATCCGCTCGTGGCCCACTTTGTGAACGCCACTGATTACACCGAGGCGCATAGCCTTTTAGCTCTTCTCTCTTCGTGCAACAGGAAATTCTTATCAGAGCCTCCTACGCGGCACCGTGGCAATTCGTCAGGGCTCACAGCCGTCCTGAGTCATTGCACCTCACCCAGTTCTTATAACGATCATCAACGAAGAGGATGCCTCAGGCGGCAGAAATGTCGCTGTATGGACCGGAGATGGTCGAGACTAGTATATCCCTAAATGGTCTGTACGAATACGAGCCTTTGCCAAGCAAAACCCACACTCGCCTCTTGATCCTCAGCCATGGCACAGGCGAAGACATTCTGATCGGCAACATCAAGACGGTTGACCTCGACGCCTCAGACCTGGACTCGTTTGAGGCGATATCCTATGTCTGGGGCTCGGATGAAAAGGAGCAGTCAATCCTCATCGACGGGAGGCCTTTGCCGATCACGAACAGCTTGAGAGAGGCGCTTCTTCAAACGAGGCTCCCAGAGAAGCCTCGCACTCTATGGGCTGATTCCATCTGCATCAATCAGGATGACACCATCGAAAAAGGTCATCAAGTCTTCGCTATGGGCCGCATTTACAAGGCGTCTCGCCGAACACTCATATGTCTCGGACTCGAACCGCATCATGCAGAAAAGGCTCGCGAAGCTGCCGCACTGATAAATGAGGTCGCGGCCATGATCGAGGACATTCTGCGAGACCTAGCGTTCACAGACGAATATGATACCTTCCCCTGGCCCTCAGAAGATGACCCACTTGTGGTTGATACCAGATGGTTGTCAGCCCGGGAATTTCTGGTTCGCCACCTGTGGTTTGAACGTGGATGGGTGGTTCAGGAGGCAGCACTGGGGTCTGATGCTGTCATTCATTGGGCAGGTGCTCGTATAGAGTGGATGAGTCTTTTGAAAGTTGAAATTTGGCTATGCTATCGCGCAGCTCCTTCGCGGCGATCAGAACTGGAACCACTCACTGACATCCGCGCACTCCATTCGAATAATTTCAATCTCCGTCGACGAGAAGAAGCCCGGGCTTTCGTGGACCAAAGCTTGGAATCGAATAATCAAGCCAGTACCACGCTCTCACTTCTGCAGAACGCCCGGAGGATGAAGCTCACAGACCCAAGAGATAGAATCTACGCGTTCATGGCTCTGGAGACCCGGGACGGAGTAATGGCGGGGTTGAATCTCCAGCCAGATTATGCGCGGCCGCACCAAGAGGTCTTCTACGAATTTGCCGTCAGGTACCTTGAAAGGACTTCAGACTTGAAGATTCTGACTCACGTGGATCATGAGGAGGAGGGCCTGAATAGACTCTCTGGCGTGCCTTCCTGGGTCCCACAATGGGACAACGGGGCGAATGCCGCCCCCCTTCACTCTCACGACTTCTGTGAACCATTCTTTTTCAGCAACCAGCAACCTGGCATCACAAATATAATAGACGGATCTGAACTTCGACTACGAGGGGTGCTTGTAGGCCCTGTTCGGTATGCATCCAGGAGAATTGTGAAGAACCTCGATGATCCAACTGCAGAAGTGCTTACATTGTGGTGGGAGGTCATGGCAGAAATGATCAAGGGCTCAGGGCCGCTCAAGGAACATCTGGCGCTTGCTTTCATTGACGCAATCTGCGTTGGGCGGTTCAGGGGTGAAGAGGCAGCGTGGAAGGAGGCTGAAAAAGGGTTGGCACGATATCTGGAGCTCAACAAAGATGCAGACCAATTGCAGAAATCCCTGCAAGATCCTCGAATCTATCAAGACGCTCACAGGGTCTTGCTTTTGGCTATCGACCGTTCGGACAATAGACGTGTTGTTGTCTTGCAGCAAGGTTTTATCGGAGTCACTTCAGCTGCTGCTCGCCAAGGTGATCTGTGCGCTTTCATCAGTGGGTTATGCTGCCCACTCATCCTACGCCCTGTATCTGGCAAAGCTGATCATTACATGCTTGTTGGAAACGCGTATGTTGTTCGTGGAACGTTTGTAGCCGATGGCGAGGTCTCCACTCTGCGTTTGCATGAAGACCACGAGGACTGGATTGAGGAGTATCTACCAGCCCAGAATATCATTCTCGTGTAGGGCCGACAGCAATCGAGCTGGCTATCACGCGTCCGAGTGAACTTACCTTACTAACGGTATGTCAAGGGTGTTTTTTTGGAAGCATTTAACAGTCGTGGTTGGTGCCTGCTTCTTCTCATGCGCTTCTCGGGCGGGGATACGGGCCGCTCCTCCCCCAGCCTCGAAGGTCGCGAGGGTGATACCTCAGGGGCGAACAAGAGCATTTGGGTGTAAGTGCAATCTGCGGATATATGCGAAAGTATTAAGCAAGTGGCCGCAAATTGTGGCTGCACATCGGGCATGCAGACGCGAAGGTATCTAGCTGAGCATAGGAACCGTTCCAATATAAGGACTTAAAACATTCAAGTCTTGATCACTATAAAATATTGCTTATCATTGAAATAAATTTTTCTATTATCTTGCATGGGTCAATTATCGCTTAACTGAAGATAATATCTTAACGATACATAGAATTACGAGTTGTTCACGAGTGTTTGTTCCTCAACCAACAGTTCATTATCAGTTTAACACATGCGGTGATGCTTCCTGTACACATATCGAACATACACAAACTTGCTGTACTAGATCATTCATCTTGTTGGACGCCCGGGCTTCACCAAGCTGTCCATATGTTCTTAGAGTCTTTGGGACTCTCGGAAACGCTTTCAAACTTTCTTTTCTTCCCTCTTCTGCGCCTGGACTGTTCCAACAGATCGAGCAGCTCTCGGGCATAGCTAAAGCTAAAACAAGATTTTACCGTCTCTTGAAACATTGGAACGTTTTTCAGGCTCACCAGGTCTCGGTTGACCAGAGTTTTGACTGTCCGATAGGCAGCCTTCCCGTGCAAGGTTCCCGAACTCAGCAAAGCCTCTGTATTGCCTTCACATGAAAAAGCGCGCAGCTTTTCACAGAAGGATCGAGCAACAGTGGTCTTTTCTTCGCCTCTACCATATTGCTTGTTCAGGGTTGCTCCAGCATCAATAAAATCTTTTAGGGCTTCGAAATATTTTGGATAGCGGTCATCACCTTCTTCTACCCAGAAGAATTTCTCAAGCCCTTCAAGGAGATAGATTGAAAATGCAGTTTGGCCCCTATCGTTGGCGTTTGGATCAGCGCCAAGCGTAAGAAGTTGCCTGAACTCCGCAGGCTTGAATTTGAAAGTTTCGGCCGACGACATGTGTTCATTGACATACGCAAGCCACGGTGTTCCATCCGGAATAGACTGGGAGACCTCGTTCAGATCACAGCGACGTTGAGTGACGAGATAGTCGACAACTTCTGGCACATGTATCAAGGCAAAATTCCGTATCGCGGGGATGGTCGCGATGTACAGTGGGGGGGCTTCAAAATCGGCGAAGTAATCCCCATCATCCTTGAGATATGGAGCGACCCTCGGATACAAGGCGCTCTGCAAAAGAGCTTCTCGGACAATCAAACTTGGGTGGCAGGTTTTCCCTTGGTTGCTGAAGCATGCTTGTCTGGACCCAAACATGGCGATCACTGATATCTCCAGCTCTTCAATTAGCTGGCTCAACACTGCAAGACTTGGTTCTTCAACTCCTGAGCCATAATTGAAGCAGTCTCTCAAGTGGTATACTAGGAAACCTTGGGCATATCCTGGCGAATTCCTGATGTATGTCCAACCGGCGTGTTGATCAGCAGCATCGAAGCGCCTCGACTTCACCAACGCAGTATAAGCCTTCACGAGCGACAGTGCCGGGTCAAAGCCTGCATCGACCTTTGATCTTAGGTAATGCATCATTTCGTCGGTAAGCAGAAAGTCTCGCACTGTCCGGTGAAGGAATTCCACTGTTTCAACCTCACCCGGGTAGCTTTTGCCCGTTTCCAAAAGGCCTTGTGACTGAGCATTCAATTGCCAACGGGCTTGAAACCGGAGGTCATCCAAGGAATCGGTTGGTGGAGAGCTGATGGGCAAGTCGATGGCGTATCGATCATTTTGAGTCTCCTTTGCGTGATGCACAAGTGCGTCGAACATCAAAGGCCAGTGCAAGCGTGGGGTCTCTTCAGACTTAAGAGCAAGCAGGAAGGTCTGGGCCATTTTCTCATGGTAAACGTCGTCGATAGAGTCCAGCATATGTTTGAAGAGCTTCTCGAGCTCACTTGGCATGGCTTTCAACCGTTTCTGCAGCACTCCCAAGTCGTCATAGTTCGTTAACCCATCTCGGAGAGATTTGGTCACCAAGAAAACCCAGAGAAATACCCCGTTGGCTTTATCCCTTATATCCCTGATCAGGCTCGCTCTCCCGACCTCATCTACAGAACAAGTAATCCATCTTTTATGGCTTTCCAGTCGCTCTCGAGCGAAATTGCCGATATCTTCTTGAGTGTAGTCATGGATAGCGAGCTGAGGTATGCCGTCGAAGGCATCCTTGAAAACATTCAGGGGCCGGCTTGAGACGCAAAGCTTTAAGTTCGATGAATTGCTTAGATTCTCGAGGAAATCGCAGAGATGGTCAGTTTCACCCTCGTACTCGTCCAGACCATCAATGAGCCAGCAGAATTTGGTCCCTAGCTCTGACTTTTCTGAGATTGCCCCAAGAGCCGAAGTCAGCTCAGATACGGACCAAGGCTGGGGATCTTTGCGCCGGGCGGCGTTCCGGGCGGCATTCCAGCGCGAAGGACAGACGATTGAGATGATGCCGGGACAGGCGTGAAAGACATCATACAGCAAGGACTGCAAGAGCCCCCTTTGAGACCTTTGCTCCAATGTTCCTGCGCTCCAGAAATAATGGGAGGCGATGGCCACGGGGTGCGGATGCGCCCATTCCTCCAGAAAGTTCACAGTCGCCGGATGTGCGGCAAGGAACTTCATCAGTGTCGATTTCCCCGAGCCTGCTCTTCCAGATATCCAGAATAGGGTGTCAGACTTACTTCGAAGCCATTGAGAAACCGTTGAATCAAGAACCCACTGGAAGGTTTTGGCAGATGCTTCTGCAATTGCTTCGTGGCGGTTGGTTCGAGATGGGAAGCTCAGGCTTGCTAATATCGTACTCTGTCGTTTATTTATGTCGAGGTCGTCGTGAATGTACCGTAGTCTCATGACTATTTGTTCGATTGCCATCATCGTCTGCGTGTCGCTCGATTGGTGGATTCGGGACCTATCATTGTTGACGTCCAACTTCAAAGAGTGGAGCTTTTCAGAAAGTCGATCCAAACTGGCCGTTTGGTCAAGCCGAAGTCTTGAGCTATCTTCCTTCGCCTGTCTCAATTCTGAATGAAGGCGCCCGATGTCCTCTCTAGAAAACGCTCAAGTCAGAGATCGATGCTTTTGGGCCATTGTTCTGGTTCGAAGTCAAACCTTGTCAGACTTTGCACGTAGATAGCAGCCAAGTTACGTGCTTTGTCCATACGCTCCTCAAATTCTCGCAACTTGCGTGTCCCCCACAGGGTCTTGAGCGCGGCCTGAAAGCTTTTCCAGCGCCGGCTTTTCTGACTTTCGACCTTCATGTCTTGAAGCATGGCCAGAAGGGCATCGCAGTCAGACTTGCAATCATCCGCCAGACTCTTCACTTTTTGCGATAATGCTCCTTGGGACGTGTCAACCGAAGAGCCAAGCTTCGCACTCAAGTCCTTTATCCTGGTGCAATAGGACTCAAGCGCCAGGTTGCTGGACGATGCGCCATGAACAGAATGGAAGATCTCATTGCTGGATGAAAGGAGTTTGCCGACGAAGTCGATGAATTGTACGACGCTCGTCGCGATGCTCAGTGTAGAGAAGGGATCCATATTCAACTGAAGTCATCGAGTGGATGGGTGGCAGCGGATAAAGACAAGGTCTAGTGAGAGACAAGACAGCAAAAGTCGAGGTCGGGACAGGCTAGAACGTGAGGGGATGTTGGGTCAGAAAGCCCAGATGCAGGTCGCAGGGTGGCTGAGCTGATGCCTTGCCCGGGGCCCCGTCTGTACATGTACATATGCAGCTACGTATGAGGGTTTACGTTCACACCACACCCCTTTGTACTGAGACGTGCTTATTCTGCACGATGACATGCTTAGATATTATGAAATTTCAGGCTGCACCTGAATTATTGTTCTGGTAAAAAGAGATATTAAAAACAAAAAGACAAGAGAATCAACCGTTCCTTCCGATCCGTTAATCTTTTTTAGAAGCTATTAGCCTTCTTTTTTTTTTATCTTGAAAGCTTGGATAAAAGATTTGTTAAAGTTATCAATACCAGAATTTCCTGGCTTGAAGGGCGTTTGTTTTATGCTTGAGTGTCCATATTATGTGTTTCTTGAAAGAACGGGCGGCAGTTATGTATTTATGGACGATGACCAGCTGTCAGACCACGAAGTCTCCTAAAACGGCCTAGATATTTGATCAGTATCAATCTAGGTAATGCCTTGATGTATTCAGATACCCCAGCAAGGTTCAAGTACGACGTAGACTACGAAAGCTGGTCTAGAGGGCTGAAGAGCCCCCACGATCATGACCAATAGCGCGACGAGGACTTGACCGGACTTTTCAACTCGTAGAGCCCATAGCGGCGGTGAACGAGGGTTTGCTGCTGGTAGTGATCAAGCACCACCGAAAGTTGGCTCTCTGAGGTACTTGGATAGCCCTGCGAAACTGAATCCTTTATATCGCAGAATGAGATATGGTCGAGTGTAGTGCGGCTTAGGGTGTGTTGGAGGGTTTTGGCGCATTATATACTGTACTGGTGGTGGCTCTTACGGGACTGAGCAGCGGCTTAAACGCTGCGATTACTTTTCAACACATCTCCAAGGGTTTGCCGAAGATATGGATGGGTTCCTGAAGCGGAAGGATTGTATTGAAGAGACAGGGGTGCTCATCGTGCTCGGCTCCAGTTAAGAAATCGGAGTGCGACCCAAATCTTGATTGAGACTGCTTTTCGGAAACACAACGACTGATGGAAGAAGGAATAATGTCTCGTGGATGACGGCACGCTCAGCTCGCACTTCCAAATGTGAGAAAAGATGAGATTGATAAATTTGATAATGTCTCCTGTCTTTGAAATACAAGGGTAATAAAGTCTCTCGTAGCGTAGCTTGAACCGGTAGTCTCGCTAAATCCCCAGGCGTCCAAGATTGCTGCGCCAAAGAAAATAAACATAATTTGAGTCTTTATATGGCACCTGTATTGGACATGGAATCTCAGGTTCGTACTACCTCAATTATACCTGGCTCCCTTGTTTCCTATAACAGCAATCTCGCTCTAAATGTATATGTGGCGAGAGGCCGGGCAATGCAGACTGACTTGATAATTGAGAGAAAAGTAATATGTTGCAGGATGCTTTGACTACGCTTATACCAAGGTAACTTTACTGTCCCAGCCCTATCAACGCCTTCACGAACTATGCAATCACACGACAAACCACTGTTGGCCTTTACGTAGCTCTATAATTCAGCCCCCAGAATCTCCAAGTCCCATTAATTCCCAAACCGCAGCTCCGGCTGCAGCACCAAGACCTCCCTCTCCGCTCCTCTCACCGCATACTTATGGCTCAGAGGGAGCTCTGAGCACCGGACCCTCTTGAATTTGTATTCGGTGATCCCAACGTTCGTCTTCATGGTCTGCGGTAACTGGGACAGATAGACCGATATAGCCGCCGACGGCTCGCCCCCTTCCGTGGACCAACAGTTGAGCGCGAACGGAACGCCCTCTTCCGCAATCTTCATCAGCTTCTTCCTAATGTAGAAGAAGACCGGGATAGCCCCTATGAACAGCAGCGGGGAGAACAACAGGATGAGCTTGTACTTGGTGATCCCGTTGCCATGATACTGCATGGCCGGCACCTGCAGGCCCTGCCGGTTCACCTCAAACGACCTCGCCGGGCGGTGAATCGCCGGACCGCCCTCGATGGTAACATTTCCACACCCCCGGAACCACTCCGGCGACGGCGCAAGCAGCCCCCACTCGTCGGCGCCGAAGCTCGTGTCCGGGTTCCGCTCGACGTCGTACCGCATCCCCGCGTCCGGCGCAGGCATCCTCCACGCGAAGATGGACTCGTCCGCCGTCGTCGACAAGAGCTGCTGCTGCAGGCGCAGGAACGCGCGGGGCCCGCCCTCGCCGTACTGCGGCGGCATCATGATGCCGAACAGCCCCAGCAGGCTGTACGCCGCGTCCTCGGCGCGCGTGGTCGTCCGCCCCGCGGTCCAGCTCATCTTTGTCGCGATGCACGCCCTGCGGAAGTCCCGCGCGCCTGTTAGGTAGTCTGCGTCTATGCCCGTGATGTGCTGGATCTGCGCCGCGAGCGAGGCTTTGTTCCCGATGGGGTTCCAGTCCGCGTCGTAGAAGTCCATGTCGCGCGGCGCGAGGAGCTCTTGAAGCGTCCAGCCTCGAAAGAACCACTCTGATGGCGCGTCGCTGCCGGCGCGGCGGAAGATTGGGTCTGATACCCGCCCCATGGAAGGCATCTCTTTCTTCGCGCTCGACTCAACGGCCTGGTACGCAGGCGGCTCAGCTGAGGCGCCGCTCCGCACGTCGGACAGGTACGTGATGCACACGCGCGCCCCGCGGTACCAGCCGAACATGGAGTTGATGGACTCGGCCTCCTCGGTGGCGCTGGCCTTGTTGATGCAGCAGCTGTCGATCCACAGCCATCGGAGCCCCTGGGCGTGCGCCACCTCGCACGCGCCGCGGATCTTGTCGAGCTGCGGCGATTTCGTGAGCCGTTGGGAACCTGCGTCGCGCAGGCTGGGCGCGTGGTGCGCGATCTCGTCGAAGGTGATCTCCGCGCCGACCCAGCGGTGCGACAGGATCGCGTAGCCCTCGGCCTGGAAAAACTCCTGGCTGTCTAGGCGGAGCTCGAATGTTGTTGTGTCGAGGAGTCGCATTGTGAAAGGTGTTATCGAGCGAGATACTCGGGTTATGGATCTGGCATTGAATAGGGAAGACTGCGATGCGGGCACGGAGGTGACGATGTGCCGGTCATGATGTTTTTGTACACGCTGTGGGATCCTGTACAGCCTCAGAGACAATCATCACGCTCGCATCTGATCACGGCGCAGCATGGTGTAGGATCCACTGCCGAGAGATATCACGTCAGACGTGAGGTCGCGACTGCGGCTACCGTCCCAAAAGCGCATATGCACACAGAACACTTTCTATTACACACAAGACCAACCAAAAATAGTGTAATTGAAGCGCAACAGTATTGTATTACGGGCTTGCGCTCGGGTGTCCGCTTTGCGACCACAGTATCTATGTAGAATAAGTCGAGGCGCCGGGGGGGGGGGGTTGCGGAAAAAGAGAAAGTCATCTATTCAGCATAACTGACTCTGTGATGTTCTGTCATAGGAATATCTGGTAAGGGATAGCCTCCTATGGGATAACCTCTTGCGGGACAAACTCTCATGCAATAATTCTCTGTGGGATATGTTCCTGTGGACAATATTCTTGAGAAGGAAGTGACTAGCCACAGGAGGCTCTGTAATGCAGTGTTGCGATTTTTGACAGTGTGGCGGTATTGTCCTAATAATGCATGTGAAGCTTTGGGGACATACACTGAACAAAAAAAAGGGCACAAATAGTGAAACATAGCTAGGAGTGTAGTAGATGTATCTGCGTATGCCCACTACTTACCCCGACACCATTGTGCCCAGAGAGTTTTGTGCGCCTCCTCTCAGTCTTCTATGGGTAGAATGTGAAAATGAAGAATTGCGCGAGAGGGCAAGACTCATTTCTGATCTTGTTCCGGGGCATCTCCTGTTCCCTGAAAGTCGTTCAAGACTGAGAGAGGGTGGAAATTGAGGAGGCCGGGGAACAAGTCGACGACGCCGATGCACGCAGGATCCACTGGTGTAGGTGCAAGATTGGTGGTGAGTTGTCAAAGTATCGTGAAATGACAGATGCCTGCAGCGCATATAAAAAAAATGGCTCAGAACTCAACTACTTCTACTAGAATCGGGATTTGACGATGGGCAGTCTATCATGCGCGTGGCCGCGATCAGCTGGATCGAAGTTGGGCCAGGCCAGGCCAGGCAAGAAGAATCAACGTCGTCACTGTTGTCGATGCGAGATGTTGGCCGTTGATAGGTCCTCTCTACCCGACAGCACCGCGCTGCATTGCATCGCACTGAGACATGCTGCACTGCGGTGCTTGGCTTTCGGTGCCTATTCGGCGGCCGTGGGCACTTCGTGCTGCGGGGATGCATGCATGCGCTTCGTGACCTGGCCGATTAAGGAGTGGGCTTGTCCGGTCTCGCTGGCACGACATGGAGCAGGATAAAATCACAGCATGTCACCCTACTCGGTGCTGCTGGATGAAGGTTGAAGTGATGTCAACGGCAATGGGGCAACATGCTTGGAGCAGGGTCGGGGTAGCCAGCCCATCGTGGATGAGGCCAAGAGGAAGCGGAGGGTCCGAGATATTGCTCACCGAGCTGGCCAGGTTGTATGATCAAATGCAGATATGCAGCGAATAACAGACAGAGTTGAGCGATTTATCAAGACGGTTAGTCGTCAGTGGGAAGTGATCATCCGCCCGTAGGGCAGAAGATGCCTGTCGACAAAGGCAGTGCTCGCAGCTGCTGATTCGACTGCTGCGGGCGAGTCTGACGTGCAGCCGGCGCGACTGTACGAGGCTCGATGAGGATGGGGTGGGTACCGGCCGGATTCCCGTGATGGAGGGGGGGAGTCGAAGCTGACTTGACAGGTGCGCTTTCTTGCTTTGCTTTGCGCTGTTTTGGTCTGCTTTGCTTGCTGGCTGTCAGAAAACCAACCAGCACGAGCATGCGACCGGCCGAGCGTCGCTAGCCGCCACTGCAAGCGATGGAGAGAGACATTGGACCACGAGGTCGAGGAGTTGGTGCGCTGGCGCTGGCCCTCTGTTTTCGCGGCCCGTCTGTTCGCACTTCGGCTCCTTGAAATGCTACTACATACGGTAAATACCAGCACAGTCAGGCGGTACGAGCTACGCATAGAGTATGGGCGGACAGGACTCTGCGTGCCCACCCGGACGTTGAGGCGCTTGGCCTTCCAATAAGCTCGGTACCAGTATTCGAAGGCGGCTTCTTCTGCCCTGAATTCAGGGCGGATGGAGGCATTCAGGTGATCATGGGACGCTGTGGGCTCCACTTGGGATCTGGTGGGAAAGGGGAGAGAATGAGACGCACAGGGGTGGATGGCGGTGGTTGGGTGACAGCGACACATCGTGCGATGGCCCGTTCAAGGCCCGTTCAAGGACCCATGGCGGCGCATGGCCCATTGGAGAGGCAAACGGCAGAGAGAGCGAAAGTTGACCCCTGGTTCTGTTTGTGAGTGGATCGCAAGGCAATGACGACGGTACGGTATGCCTGTATGCACGGTAGCAACAAGGATTGGTGGCCGGGTGTTGCCATGAAGTGTGAGTTGGCATGTGTCCGAGTCGGTGGCCGCCCGGCCTTGGCCCGGGTCAGGTCTGGAGAGAGACTTTTGATTGACTGCGGTCGGGTGGATGTGTGTTTTGGTGGCTGGCCAATTGGCGACAGACACGCCACACCTCCTCTTCCTCGGGAGGAGAGCACTGCACTGTCAGAGCAGGAGGCAGCAGGCAGGAGAGAGGAGAGAAGAGAGAAAGAGGAGGGAGGAGGGGAGTTGTTTGGCACGGGTTATTCCATGCCTGCTGGTGCTGCTGGTGCTGCTGGCTGGGCTGAGGAGCACATGGGACGGCATGAGATGGCATCATGGGATGGCATCTCAGCAATTTGCCGCCAGCAGTGCCTGGGTACAGACGTAGAGTAGGCCAGATAGTCTAATAAGCTGTCGAGGATAATGCAATGCACTGCCAAGTCACCGAGCGCCCGTCCTGACGGCGGCAGCGGGCAAAAAAAAAAAGCTTTCCTTGAGTGCCGCCAGAGTGTTTGAACCGTGGAGTTGCAGGAGGATCGCTAGCCCTGGAGGATTGCATGAACTCGAACTCTCTTCTTCACTCTGTTGACGGGCGCGCGACCCGTCCCAGCCCTTGTGCAAGGCCTGTGCAGGCGGCCGCGATGAGCTGTCGGTCGTAATGGATCGAGGGTGGTCCCTGGGCTGAACGAGCACATGCAGGACAGGTACGGGTACCAGTTGATAGAGTTGAGAGGCCTGCAACGGGCGGCCATCGGGACTGTTTGGTTGCCCGTTGGCCTAGGCATTAGACGGTGGACAAAAGAGGACCCTGAACAGCTGAGGGTCAATTTGCCACCGGCTGAGGCCTCATTGCTCGTTGCTCGTTGCTCGTTGCTCGTCTCTCATGTTCATGTTCATGTTCATGTTCATGCTCAATGCCCATGCTGCCCTATGGTCGTGGCAATTTCAGGCATTCAGATTCAGGGCCATCCCATCAAGACGGCAGGGCTGAAGTGGCATGACAGATAAAGAGAAACGAACAGACGGAACAAAGACCAGTAGACCAGGCTAACTAGCAGTAGCAGTAGCACATCACCGACTGGATGGGTCACGACGGGACAGGACCGAGCCTTTTGGGTGGCGGTCACAGGGAGGGACCCAGGTGCAGACAGGACACGATCTATTGTTGGCAGCGAATTTGGAAGACATGACATTATGTTGCTGGCATGGCGGATGTTTGTGTCCCCCTGGAGTCCTGGAGTCCTGGCGTCCGGGTCGGCGGGATTGTGCTGAGTGAGGATGATCCCAGCGTGGGCTGGCGGTTGCCAACGCATCGCTACTGGCATCGCATGGCCATCGGCATCAAGACCAAGATGGTCTGGTTTCTGGCCTACAAAGCTCAAGCTTATTCTTAGGGGGCCAGAGGGGGCCCCTAGGGGGAGGTGGCGTGGAGGGGCGGAAGGGAAGGAAGGAAGGCATTAGACTGCGGAAGACTGGGATAGGGACGGCATGGGCAGCAGACCAAGGTACGTACCACTTGCCTTCATACATGATAGACTGCGTGGCAGAAGGGAGAAGGAAACATCACATCGACACTGCCCAGTTGGTAACTGCCTGGCCTGGCCTGGCTTGTGTGCATGCACACTGCACAGTTAGTACCGTCTTTCTTGTTCTGTCCTGCATCTTCATTCCTTCCTTCCTTCCAAATCGCGCAGTGTGTGAACAGCATGCAAGCAGGCACGCAAGCCAGGAAGGCAGGCAGGCAGGCGGGCAGGCACGCACGGCACAGGGCAGAACAGAGCAAGAACGGCGACCTCGACCGACCCGACCAAACCAAACCAACCAACCAACTGACCAACCAACCCACCCCCTGTACCCTTCATCCCTGTCGCTGCTACCCCACGTTTACAACGCAGCACGGCAACAACGCACCCAGCACCTAAGCACACAGAGCACCTAGCACCACTAGCACACCCATCAACGCGGGAAGGTGCACGCACAAACCGTTCAACGCCCTGGTGAGCAAGTGCTAGTGAGTGTGAGTTGTGCCTTCGCCAGCTGCGACTTCCCTACCTCCTTCAAGGGCGCTAAACCACCAGGACCCCCAGAAACGACCTAGATGAGCAGGGGAAGTAGCTGCACGCACGCTAACAGGACAGCACCAGCCGCGTGCTTCTCTTTCTCTTCCTCTCTCTCCCCCCCAACGTTCTTTCCCTTCCCGGCGCCTCACCCCTGTCCCCCTGTCCCCCTGCCCCTACCTTCTGCTCTAGCCTCTTGCTCTTTGCCCGCCTCTTTTGTATTGTGCCTCGACTTCCATCGCAAGACAGTCGCGGTCACAGCTGGCATATCAGTAGTCTAGTCTACCTAGGCCTGTCCTAGATCGGTCTGTCCTAGGTCGGTCAGTCAGTCTGTGGATTGATATACACATACGTGTATCCGTAAATGCTCTGGCAGCTTCCAACCACGCGAATTTCTGGTGTTTTCCTTTCCCACCTTTTTTTTTTTTCACCGACTCACACTCCCACGTACGTATATGTACATGCAAGTCAGACAGACAGACAGAACGACGGACAGACAGAGAGACAAGTCATAGTGGCCGGGAATAAATGTAACACCTTCAGCCTCAGCGCCTCTCCCCCAGTCGACTCGTCTGCCTCCCCCAACTTTCCACGTCTGGACTGGACTACCTAGACTACCTACATGACTTAGCTAGGTGGACTACGGACTACCGACTACAACCACCACAATTATTATCGACAGCTATTACCGCAGCAACCCACCACCACCACCACCAACACCAAACATATTTCCTCCCAGGCTTGCTTCTCAGCCTCGTCCTCGCTCTCGTCCTGGTCCTGCTCTTCTCCTCATGATACCCGCGACGACCAACTCAGATGACCTGGGCCGAGATCGAGTAGCGACAAGCACAACCACCACCACCTAGCCTGCCACGCCCTCCCGCAGCCTCTGACGCCTCTCCAATCCCTCTGTCCAAGCCGTCCAATCTTGGACTTGCACGTTGCCTGTCGTGCTCCCGTCTCCCGTCTCCCGTCTCCCGTCCGCCGTCCGCCCCCGATTTGGATCTTCCGTCCTGTCACTGTCAGCCCTTTTATGCTGGCAGTGATCCAGGACACCCGCTCCATGGGCGCGCCATGTTCTCCATGCAACGATCCCTCTCTTCGCCTGTCCTGCACGCCTCCGAGCCTGCCCGTATGTTCCACACCACCACCTCACCGCGCTGCTGACTGTTTCCACAACAATGCCGCCTCTTCCTACTCTTTCTGCTCCAGCTTCCCCTACAGTTTTGCTGGCCAGGCCTGTCCGCTCTGCCTCGAGGTTCATACAGCTCAGCTGACCAGCCCTCGCCAACAGCCATTCCTCCTACGAGGTCGTCAACTCCTCCCTCTCCAGAACGTCATGTCGAGTCCTCCCTGCCTCGACGAGTACACACGAGCAGCCCCTCACATTCCGACGTGTCCCCAGACACTCCTCGCGACGGCGAAATGCCACCCCCCTCACGCCATAGTGAGGACCTGCCGCGTCCCGCCAGCGCGATCCAGACCACGAGTCCGATTCTCAGAAAAGCCATTGTCGCCCAGCCGACTCCTCCCCCTCCACCTCCCGCCTCGAGTGCTCCGGACTTGACTACCAACAGCGCAAGCCGAGATGAACCCAAGAGACTCCCCTCCGCCCTGAGGGCGCCTGTCAAGATACCCCAGCCCCTCATCACCGACGCCTCCCTCTACACAAACTCGTACCTGGCTCCAGTTGACGCGGCAGAAAGCACTTCACTAGACGAACTCGCCCATTTGGTCCGATTATCAAAGTACCAGGAGCGCAAGCGCGCCAACACAAGAATCCGTCTACAACGCACCTTGGTTTCCACGGCCCTGTCTGCCCGGCTTACTCGCTGCGGCGAGATCACCCAGAGGAACCTGGCCGAGTGCTTCCGCACCGACGACAAGAAGACCTTTGCGGCCCTCTACGGCGCAATATCGGATGTTCGCAAGAGCTGCGACGAAGTCAGGAGGTACGCTCTCCTCGAGCCCGAGGTTGAGCTGCTCCAGTCCCCAGGAATGGTGTCATCCGAAAGTTTGGAGACACCCACAGGCTCCGTGGTCGCTGCCGGCCCCATGGCTGGCTCGACTGTACCCTTCCTCCACGACATCTCGGCCGATGCCAGGGAGACGTTTCTTAGCTTCTTGTCCAAGATAAGGAATGACCCGGACTACCTGGCCACCCGGATATGCTCGCTCTCGAACTCGGAGCGTGCCGCCATCACCAACTTCCACTCCGGCCTGGATCCGGTCGAGTCCGTCCTGCCACTGTACAATAAGCCCCATGTGCGCGGCCCTGGCACCTCCTCCAACAGGCACTTGTCTAACAACCCAAGCCCAGTTGAGAGGTTGCTATCCTTCCAGAGACACGATGCCCTGTCTGCGCTCATCTACACGTGCTTTGCTAATTCCGCAGGTCCCGACAGCGCTGAGGACAAGCGTCGGACCGACGTGTGGGCCAACGCGTGCGCACGCCTCATTTCAAAATCCGCCACGGAATCCAAGTCTGGGAACGAGAACGTCCCGATCGAGCCCGTCTTGATCCATGTTCTCAATGTTTGGTCAAACATGCGCGACTGGGCTGGCCGTTCAAACATGGAATGGTATCTAATGAAGATACTCGAGGACGGAGCTTTCCTTTTGGATCGCGCCGAGGACCAGCATGGCACCAGGTTCAACATTTCGGACTGGACATCCAAGGACCAAATTGCTGCCGACGAGTTCTATGATCGTGCTACTGATGAGCTTTTCGATATCTTGGATGACGAGGATGCTACCGGCCTCCCAGAGGGCCTCCTCGAGATAGGAAATCAAATACTCAGACGTTTGGACCACAAGTACGTCGACAGCACCCGGAAATGGTTTGTCTACAAGTGGTTGTTCTCGGTCTGGCTGCTTGGTGTCGTCGTTCACCCCGAAAGCCATGGTATGATGACAGACTACCACATTACCGAGTATGGCAGGCAGAAGATTCTGAAACAAGTCGCCATGAGAGCCTCCAGTGTTGTGGTTGACATGCTTTGGAAGACCGGCCCAGTCTCGACACCGCCCAAGGTCAAGGCCCACGTGGAGAACATCCTTGGTCGCTTCAAGAACTCCCGCTATAAGCCCCGCCCCAGGCTTCTCAAGGCCAGATCCATCACATCGTTGCGAGAAACTGCCGAGGTGCATCCATATTTGGTTGTGAGTCCTGCGGATTTGGTCACACTGGTTAACGCGCTCTTCCCCGAGAAGAGGCCGATGTCGTCCGCCTCTGTCCGCTCGGGTGCTCCCTCCATATCCGGCATGTCGACCATCTCCCAGCCCATGTCGATGGCCACGTCGAGAAGCAACAACTTTGAGACAGCTTCTATCATCAGCACAAGTGTGTCTTCTGTCCTGAGTGATACAAGTACAGCAGCAGAGACAACAATTGAGCCGCAAGCCACTGGGACATCTGCCAGATCCTCCCCGCCACTAGGCGCTCGCTCGAGCCAAGAGTATATGAGCAACTATGAGGACGATGGGTACCGACTCCGCCTTGCCATCCATGAGATGACCCAGATTCTTGGAGTAGACACATGCTGCGGCTCATGCCACCCATGCGCCGAGCGATGGGCCATCCTCTTCATCTCCTCGGACGGGAAATCACTCTCCACACAGATGACCTACGACCCGGATGACGAACCCGAAGAGGAGAATTCCTCATCCCTCAGCGAGACTGACGAAGATGACGTGGATGACGACAGGCCGGAACTTGACAAGGACTATCATCAGCTGCGTGACTCAATCTTGAAGTTGGTCGAGGACTTTGAGATCCCGCAGACGTCAGAGCAGGAGACTGGAAAGTTCAGCAACAGGACATCGACGCTGAAGAAGTATCGCTCCAGGAACAAGATCATCACAACGGAGAAAGCAAGGCCTGGGAGCCCCAGCCGGAATCCATACCGCCGAAGGGTGACGGGTCAAGATAGTCCCACTAGGAGCAGCTCGCCTCTCGCCGCAAGCGACAAAGGAAAGGAGGTGGCAAGCAGGGGCCAAGAGTCACCTGAGCCGACACCGATCCTGGTAGCTATGCTTCAAGCTGCCGCATCCCAAGCACGAGCACAGTCAGACTTTGTAGGCTCGCTCTCGTATTTCAGGACGTTGCAGCAGCTCAATGCTCTTTCCTCGTCATCACTCCGTGCAGACGGCTTCGCAACACTGTTGAACATCTTCAGCCGAGGGCCTCGAGACTCTATCCGGCGCTCGGCATCTGCTATCGAGGAGTACGACGCGTGGCTTGTCTGGCTAAAGCAGTCTCAGGAACGCGCTGAGGGTCTAATAGACTCTATGATGAGGCGTCTGCGAGCGCTGCGTGACAAGATGTGGTACGTCACTGACGTCCGGAATTCGGCACCATATGAGCATTCTCGCAACATTGCTGTCGCCTTGAAGTCGATGGGCACTCGTCGCAAGCGCAATAGCTACAGTCGAAGCAGAAGTATGCCCCGTGGTTCTGCGACTACGTATATCTACCGCACTGAATCTCAAATCATCGACCTTTTAGCGGCGAATGAAGACCAGGGTGGCCCGAACAAGCTGTCAGATGATCAGGCAGAGAAAACGTCCCGATTCCTAGAGGAATATGGAATCGAGAATTTCTGCCCTGGCGAGGAGCGTATTCATCGATTCTGCTGCGAGGTCAAAGCATGCATTGGCAAGCTCGTTGGCGACAACATCATGGATGGGCCGGTGCTCTGGAGCAGCGAATTGTATCTCCGGGACAAGAAGTTGCTTGAGGGCCCACCTGTGCGAAGGGATCCTCCTATGTCTTCTTTCCAGAATGACGACGCCAGCAGCATTATGAGCGAGTCAGAGAGGCGATTCACACCGGCATCGAGTAGAACAGGATCGCTTGCGAGAGATTTGAGAGGCATGGCGTCAGTCGCCAGCTTCGACTCGGCGCGGTACGGGTACTCGCGTGCCAGCACGGCGATGAGCGACATCATGGACTCGGGAGACTATTTTGGGCATGCCTCACCCGTCCACACCATTGATAGCGCATCGACATACTGGTCGCCATTCCAGTCCATTACATCCGCAAGCTCGACCACTTCTCGTGCTCACAGTCCCACCACAAGCATCACTAATTTCAGTGGCTCCATTTACGGCTCACACACTCAAGCAAACCACGGCATTGGCCGTCCCGGCACGTCAGTGTCCAACAGCGATACCATTCAACAGCAGCGGCTGAACGATGACAAATCGAGGTTTCTCACTGACCTCCAACAGACTCTCACGAGTTTGTTGCTCAGTGACCTCGGGAATTTAGTCTTCTCGAGGGGCTCAGAAACAGATGGCTGGTTCGAAGACCTTGGTCAGGACTGCATCGACCGGCGCGATGCCAATGAGCGAAAAGCCAAGAAGCGACGGTCCAGGCTCCGGGTCATCGCACGGAAAGAAAGCTTCGGCAATCTACGAGACGCAAACAACGCTGCAGATGCTGCGGCTCTGAACCAGAGCACGTCCGAGTCGCAGCCCGTGGCGAGCGGCCAGCCGACCCGTGACAACGAGAGCTCCGCGACTAGCGATACATTATCATCCAAGAAGTCCTCAAAGTCGAGTAGGGAGAGTTTGCCCGAGTTCCCGTTCACTGGAGCATATCAGCGCTTGTTGAGGATGTTCTGCGTCCACCCTAACCCATACGCCAAGCTCAATGCCCTCTTCGAGTTGGAGCACCTCATTGTTGCATCTCTGACATCTGGCAGCCCTCGCCGCAGGCTAGCATGGCTGCGTTCGGCAGAGCTCGAAGCAGAGAAATATAACCAGGGAGGCCATTGCCGACCATTCGAGGAGGCCATTGATAATCTTCGAGAACGCAGGTCTTTAACACTTCAAACGCCGGGTCTTGGTGGCAGTCGCATGCCTGGCGGCAACCTCAATTCAGAAACTCGGTCTGTCGTCAACACGTCCTCGCCAGCAGCCAACACAGATGCTATTGCCACAGTACTGCAGTCGCTCTTTCGTAACGCGGAAATACGGCCTGCGACCCTGTTCCGTGACCTCCAGTTCATCGCCAGTTTCGTCCCTGCCAGCATTCTAGACAAGACAGATCGCGGCAAGGCATTCTGGGACTGCGCGATTGCGGCCCTGGGCCTCAAGCAGGAGGTCTGTAGGACCATGGTCGAGATGGCGGATGAGCTTGTGGGTGTGTACACCAAGACGAGGAGGGGCAAGCCGCCGGCACCGGAGAGCACGGCTAGCTCGTCCATCAACGGTGAGGATGAGCCCCGCACACAGAAGCCCTCGCCCAACGCCGAGCAACAGAACTCGCGCACGGCCTCATCGTGCCCGCCCACGCCGCCACCACCAAGCACGACCTATCGTCTTGAGGACGCAGCCCGCATGTGGACCATCACTGCCAAGGAGGGCGACCCGACGAGCCAGAGGGAGCTGGCGCTCTTCTATCTGTCCAACCCAGAGCTTGTCGACCGCACCACCCTGCCGCTGTCGAAGCCCCGCGAGGTTTTCAAGCAGGCGGTCATGGACAAGTACGGCGGTGGGTATGGGACACGAATTGGTGCAGGGCAACTCCACCGACCAGGAAGTGCTGGCCATGGCATTGGTGCCGATGGTGGTAAGAGAGATGTCAGAAGCGACCCTGCACTCATGTGTGTTGCCATCCACTGGATGGAAGCCGCCGAACAGGGTGGTGACGAGCTGGCGAGGACCTTCCTGGGTCAAAATGACCTCGGACTGTGAGTACGCGGCAACACTTTATGGGAATACTAATACGTCTAAATGGGGGGCTCTCATCCCAGGTGTTGCTGGGCTGGAAAGGCCTGTTGTCTTGCCATTTACATTGTTATCTACACATTGCATACATGTCCTCTCGTAAGGCGTTTGCTTTGGATGAAAGGTTTACGCACGATATCACGACAGGATGATGTTTGGGATGGATCTGAAGCATTTACGACCCCATCTGTTCCATGGGAAGGATTCAAATGATTTCATTATTTTTTTGGTTTCAAGCTCAGTTGCTGGGCAGCTCGATGATAATTATTTTTGCGAGACTATTGTATCTATTTACACACCCTATTATACCCCCATATACAGCGTCAATAGATACAGAAGCATTGTTTTCTTCAAAGAGGGGCACTTCCATCTGTTACAAAAAGATGGATTTGGAATGTGAGCACTGTTGGCTGCCATGTACTACCATTTTGTGTACACGTGGGTGAATCCTTGTAGCACAATTTCGCCCACACACGTGCATGTGCATGTGCATCTGAATCGGAATGAAGAAAAGCCGGGTCAGTAACACTCGCTTGGCTGCATGTCTCAGCCAGGTCTCAGCCGGTTCTCAGCCTCATTTGAGAGCTCAACCCACCCGCTGAGCGACAGTATGACGCACTCGAACCGAGGCCGGCGGAGGACCACCAAAAATCTCATAGAGCGAAGCGAAGCGAGCGAGGAACAGTCTTTGTCAGACCGTCTGCCTGTCTGGCTACCTGACTGCCTCAACCGTCCTTTCTCGCCGTCATCATGCCCGCTGCGCCGGCTCGCGGGTGTCGTGCATGGCCCTCACGCGCCGCTGCACCCACTCGTAGCAGCTGACCTCGTCGTACCGCCGCGGCCTGCCGGGGCCGACGCAGCTGTCCAGCACGGCGCAGCTCTCGTCCATGTTGAAGCCGAAGAAGAAGGGCATGCTGACGCGCTCCCGATGGTTCTGCTGTGAGTTTGAGGACCCGCCGCCGCCGCCGCCGTTGTTGATGGCCCGGTGCACCGTCGACACGTAGACGTCGTTGGTGATGCGCTGCAGGTAGTCGGCGATGTTGACCACGAACGTCCCCGGGATCGGCGGCGCGTTGAGCCACTGGCCCTCGCGCGAGAGCACCTGCAGCCCCGGGACGGTGTCCTGGTGCAGGATCGTGAAGAGCTGGAAGTCTGTGTGCGAGCCTATCGAGACCTGTTCCTGCTGTTGTTGTTGTGAAGAAGGTGATAGCGTCGGGCTCTGGTCCGGGGACGGGCTGTGCGCCGGGGTGAGGGGCAGCGGCGGGTAGTAGTTGAGCGCGAGGGCGGCGTCCGGGTGGGTCACCTTGGCGTCGAAGAAGTCCTCGGGCAGGTCGAGGGAGAGCGCGAAGGAGCGCACGAGGGCGCGCGCGAGCGCCAGGCAGGACCGCCAGTACGCGATCACGGCGGGCGCGAAGTGCGGGACCGTCGTCGTCTGCGACCAGGGGAAGCGCCTGTACTCTTCTCCCGCCCCATCTCCGTCTCCGCCCTGTCCGTCCTCTTTCTTCTTCTTATCCTCATCCTCTCCCGCGGGACCGTCCGGCTCGATGCGGAGGAACTGCCGCACGCGCGGCGGGAGGGACTCGAGCGAGGGCACGGCCGGGTCGCAGCGCGGGTCGTAAGTCCACGAGAAGGTCTCGCGGTTGTCGACCGACTCGGCCGGGTTGATGCGCTGCGTGCGGGGGGGCTTGTAGCCGTTGAAGTAGGCCGACTGCCGCGCGTTGGCGCGGTCTTTCACGGCCTGCGGCTGCCGGAAGAAGGAGAGGCAGCCCGCGTGCGCGGCGTCGGTCACGGCGGCGGGAACGCCGTGGTTCCTGATGTAGAAGAAGCCGTTGTTGGTCGCCGCCGCGTGGACCTGCCGCGCCACCGCCCGCCGGTCCGGGAGCGAGGCGCTGAAGATGCCGGATATGTCGATGATGGGGATCTCGGACGGGGTTGCGTCGCGCGGCGGCGTGCGCTGGACGGTGCGGTAGACGGGCCCGTTGCCTGAGGAGAGCTGCAGCTGGAAGGTCTCGCTGCTGGGCTCGGGGCGGGAATTAGGGGGTGCTTTCTGGATGGCCATTTTGGAATATGGACAAGTTTGGTGGGATTTAGAAGTCGAGGTAGACTCAAGTGCTCAAGGCTGGGAAGCTCCTACAGCGGCTGTCTCCCGGTGTTGGGGAGTAATAGAGGCCATGATATATATTCCTGTTACACCCACACTCACACATCGCAGCTTCTAACTCGGCCGACCGCAGTCGGTCTATCAACCAGTCAGTCAGTCAGTCAGTCAGTTTTGTCAGGGCAGCCGCGGACAAGACAAATGTGCCCGCTCCACTCCACCGGCGCTGAACTCAAAAAAGACACCGACTGGGGTGCTATTGCGTGGCTCACCGGCGCTCACCGGGTGGAGTGTCTCGATAAGATGTGACAGAGCCCCAAAGCCATGACTGAGGCGAAGGCTTCCCACGTCCCGGAGGCGGCCGGTTCCGCTCCCCGGGGGGGCCGGATAAGTGAACAGTGTGCACTTGCTGACAGTTAGACTACCGAGGTGCCACCAGCCCGCTTGCTCCACCGCCGTTGGGGTGGCTTCCATTGGGCTTGGCTATCTCTTGTCGTCAATTCCCGGGCGACGTCGGGGAAACCATTGACCATTATATACCAACGTGAAGAGCGCCAGCGGGCCAAATGTCTGCTGGCTCGTTTATGGCCCATTCCAATGGTTCTGATTCAAATCTAGCTATACAATATAATTCACGTGCAAAGTGTTAGTGTCTGGTGTCTCAGCCCCAATGAATAGCCCCTCGAGGGAGATTGCGTGACTTCGAACTACGGATGACGAGGCGCAGCTCACACATAGTCATTGATTTGCATTTCTTCGACGCCACACTTTTATGAGCATGTCTGGTTTCCTGACCAATATGGATTATAACAACACGCAGACTCGCAGTCACTTAACCTGCAAGAGTAAGGAAGCAAGCAACCCTTTGCCTCGTTTGCATCAAAGGCTGGAAACTTGGTCACCATGTAGTGCGAATCGTTTCTACGGGACATTTTCAAAGTAAGATCCGAATGAAATCATGCCTTGAACATTAAGTGCACTTGACGAGGCATGTCATATCATAAGAATGGTATTAAAAGTGCCTAGACTCAATACAGAAGGTGCTATGACCTACTTTCGCAGTCCTATCATCGGGTACTCTCGGTCAACAACATCTGTCAAGGGCATAGCCACGAGCAAAACTACGACTTATGGGACTCTCTTCTCGAGCAAATTCTTGCAGTGTTTCATCGAATCTTACCGATGTTGAAGTGGCATCCAGCTCCAATTTCAAACCTCCTGGACTTGATCATGTTGACGACGTCCAAAGCAAAGACAAAAGCTTCTTGACAGCTATGCAGTAAATCGAGGGTGGGCAAAAGGAAGAGAGAAAGCGATACCAAAGGAGGAAAATAACGGAAATACGGGAATAACCCCACAATCACCGAGTATGTGGTCATCTGAGGGGGTACATTAGATCAGGTTTGCTGACATTTCACCAGCCCCAACCAAGCACGATTATAACGTAAAAATGTGCACATATTTCACGTCATTACCCAATCAGCATACTTCAGATCTCTATCTTTTCCCTGGTGCGCTCAATAAACATCCTACCTACTGGTCCGGACCCAGCAAGGCTCTTCATCCTATCAAAGATACCAACACAAGTCGTTGTCACTACGGGTGCTGGACTTGGAGTCCTGATCAGGGCGGCTTAGGAAGCCACTCGGAATTGATAGGCCCATACTCGCTCATGCCTTCCCACCGCTTCTTCATCCACTTGAGTCTTCTATCAAAGCTTTCCTTATTGCGGCAGTCGTATTCCTTTGGTATCCAGCGCTGACACCTAGGCGGCCAACAGCGTCCCAGAGTGGTAATTGGAGATTCGGGCAGCGGCCTGTCTTTCCGATCACTGTCGGGATGTTCTAGCACACGAGAGTGGCTAAAATCAATCAGCGTAATTTGCCACCCATCAAAGTCGATCGAATCTTTCGATACCATGTAGTTCCTAGGATGCAGATCGTTGGACTGCACCCCGACCCAGCTGAGCTGGCTATGGGCCTCCATTAAGCGGTCTAGTAAGCCCATCCGAACCGTAGGGTCGATCTTCTCTACTTCCCCACGATTGATGAGAGCCTCCATAGTATCGCCGGGGATAAATTGCTGCAGGATTAGGCGGACCTCACGGCGGGCCATCAAGCGGCCCTCGGCATCATAAAGAGGTAGCTCCAGAAACCAGCAGTCTTCAAACCTAGGTGTATATTTTCCATCCAGCTTCTTCTCCTTAATCCTGATATAGGCAGCCGCCTCAGAGGAGTAGTAGTGCTCAGCAAAGTAGGTAGGTGAGCATTCGTGTTCCTCACACTTTTCAAGCCCGATATAAAGAGGGTCAAAGATCTTGGCGACTAGGTCTTTCCCGTCTAGCTCCTCCTTCCCGTCAATGCCTTTTCCGTAAACACGGCACCTCACTACTTGGGCATTGCATGGGTCACCGCAACGGATCTGCTGTGTGACTTGGAGGCGGCGTGTAGCTTCGTGAGGAGGGGCTTGGTCAGGAGGAGGGCTTGTTCTCCTGGGCCGGTGCTCGAGGCACAGCTCGACAATAGTGCTGGGTGCACCTTCAAAACCAGGCCACGGGTCATCATCCCACTCGTTGGGATCTGGCCCAGAGTGTCCGCTGCCGTTATGGAACGCAGGCGGGGGCTTATGTGGTTTGATATCGAAGCACGCGCCGGGTACATAAGGGAGAGGGGGCTGGGGGATGGCAACAGAAGACCCCTTGGAAGAAGCAATAGGGGTTTTTGTTCTTTCAAACGGTGGTGGTCTCGTATGATTTGGGTGACCTCTACCGCCTGCCTGTGGCTTGGTGGCAGCGTTAGCGGGCGTAATGCGCGAGTCGTCTTTGGAGGTCATTGCGATGAACTTGGTATGTGAAGTAGTCCAAGCATTTCAGTATGTATTGGCAGGTTGCTAGGCTACTAATCAAGCAGAGTGAAGAGAGAGACAGCGAGACAAAAAGGTGTGATGCGATGAACTTGGGTTGGTTGCCCAAGGCCACGAATCATGTGCAGTTCATGAAGGCCTCTCCTCTCCAGTCAGATAGTATGTGCAGCTCTCCACCTGCAGGTGTCTCAGCCGCAGGCCTGCAGTAGACACATTGTGTTGGCTGGCGTTGGTTAACACCAATCAACACCCAAATAAGCATGTCGAGCGCCTATCTTGCCTGTTCATTGTCCACCAGGCTAACCGTGCTCCGTTCAGCTGCCTTGGCTTGGCAGAGCTCATACTAACCACAAGCGGGGTAAGACATTTGCCAGCTCACCTTAGCACGTAACTGTAGCCCGAGGTAATTGCTGCTATCTATAAAGCCAATTGCCTGCCTCCAGCCCCTAAATTCCAGCTTCTGGATATAGCACAAACAAAACACGCGCTAACGGATCGCTTCAACCTTGATATACAAATCAATACACGCACACACAAAAGCAAGAGCCATGGATCCTCATGTCAAGTACTTGCTATCTCTTCGAGCCGTGCGAGAAAGGGCTCAGGTTGTTTGGCAGGCCGCAGAAGCCGGAGAGCTAGCCCACTTCGATCTCCATAAAGACAAACTCGGTGATGTCGCTGACTTCGTCATCTCTGTCATTCAGGTTTTTAACCATTTCCCAAGACCCCGCGCAGCATGACGAATTAACCTCTTGCAGCGTGATTTTGGACCTGACAAATATGACACCATCCCACCCCACGGCCGCTGGCAACATTTCGATGTCGGCAATGTGCCGCGTGTGCAGAACATGATTGACTCGTGGAAGACTACCGGGACTGATGATCTGGAACTCACTCGACGCCTCATCGATTTGTTCTCTGTCTCTGTGCTTCTAGATGCTGGTGCTGGTGATTACTGGCGCTTTGTGGAGCCGCAGACCGGTCGAAAGTATGAGAGAAGTGAAGGCATTGCTGTTGCCAGTCTCTATATGTTCAACTCGGTTGCTTTCACCGACGCGGTGTCCGAAAAGACCCCCTCAGTCAATGGTATGTGTCTTATCTCGTACAAACTCGTCATGTGATTGTTCCATGCTAAAGCATCACCATCATGAAACAGGCAAAGGATTGAAAAATATGACGGATGAAAAACTTGCAACGGGATTTCAAGTGTCTGAACAAAACCCCATCTTGGGAATAGATTCTCGCGCAGCTCTTCTCAGGAGTATTGGAGAGTCTTTGCTGAAGAATCCTGGCGTCTTTGGAGAGCAAGGCCGTCCGGGAAACCTCGTGGGTAAGATCGCATCCCGAATCGCCCAGTACATGATATGTGCTCTAACTGGTCTCTCAGATTACATGATAAAAACAGCCGAGAACTCATCAGAGTTGGATGTGCTCAAATTCTGGGACGTTCTCCAGACTCTTTTGATTCCATGCTGGCCCAAAGACCGCACGACCGTCAACGGATTCCCGATAGGTGATGCCTGGCCGCTGAGCACATTGAAAAAACACACCGATCCTTCCAAGGCCGACGATGTAACGGCCGGTATTCAGCCGTTTCACAAGCTAACTCAATGGCTCACCTACTCATTGATGGTTCCATTCCAGAGGATCTTGGATATCAAGTGGAAGAACACAGAGTCCCTGACAGCTTTGCCAGAATATCGCAACGGTGGCCTCTTTGTCGATCTAGGGGCTATCACGCTGAAGAAGGAGGCATATGAGCGGGGGATCAAGGCATCTGGCAAAGAACTGCCTCTGTTTGACGCGGCCGATGATGTTATCGTAGAGTGGCGTGCTCTGACATTGAATCTGCTGGACCGAGTATACGAAAGCATCGTATCACGGATGGGTCAAGGGGTCCATCTCACCATGGCTCAAGTTCTGGAGGCTGGGACCTGGAAATCTGGCAGGGAAATCGCGGCTCAGCGCCGGCCAGAGACCAAGTCAAGCCCAATCCTTATTCGAAGTGATGGCACTGTGTTTTGAACATTATACGACAGATATGAGAGGCGTCACAATATGGTTCAAATACATACGTGTCTCAGGCGATGACAATGCCCATCAAATCCTTCATTAATAATGTTCCACTACAGTTGGGTCAGTGGCTTTGACATGCACTATACTGGGGTTTCAAGACGCAGTATTAACTACAGTCGACTTCGCCCTAGGAAAGGAATAACCAGAAAAGGCTTGAATCGAGTCCCAGGAACTTAATGGACCTCTTGCCACTGAATATGGTCGGTCGCCAGGTGAGAGCTCTGGGTATGTAGCCACTGGCTACGAAAAGCCATGCTCAGAATGTCTAGATACGGGGTGTCTTCCAAGTTATAGCAGCAGCCCAGCAAGTCGAGCCATCCAGATCAGCTGCGACTCATTGCTCGATGCCATGTTCCTGCTCGATGAGCTGAGGAGCCTGGCCTGCTCAACATACCTCGTTTGCTATGGTTTAAGCCGCTTTCGTCGCAGAGGGATGTAGTATGTTCGGTCTGAATCAAAGCCTTCCTGCCTTTGAACGTCGTCCTTTTGGTAGTTGAAAGTCAGCCCCGATGCTTCTCTATGATGGGTTCGGCATTCACCAGTAATTTTTTGGCTTAGGGATTGGGAGTTGGTCGCCACACCTGTTGGCGTGGCCAATATGAACCGCCGCTTTCTCATCAAGCGAGGAATTGACTTTGTCGCGAACATAACAAACTGTCCATATAATTCCTGGCCAGTCTCATCATCTTCTGAACCGTTTACTTGAACGAATGCATAGATGAGTTCAACACAAAATATAACCAAACAACGATCGTAAACAGATGAGAGCCCCCAATAGCTTTACTTCGATAGTCTCCAGGCCCAGATCATTTACTCTCAACAGGTGGGCTCATTCAATCGAAGTCTCTTCCTTCCTCCGAAACCAACCCCGAAGGTCCTCCATGAAGCGATCGTCTGCATCGGTGACAGGCGCGAAAACGTCCTCGCCCTTATCGAGACAAAGCCCCACCAGCTCTGCAAATCCAGGTCCGCACGAGGACACCAGCTCATACAGGGACAACCGGGCATGCCGGGCCGCTCTGCGAAACCCCTCGGCCCCGGACCCGTACTCGACGGCCGTACCTGTCCCGACCTGGAACAGGACCAGCCCAAGCTCGGCCACAGGGTTAACGGTGCGCCGCGCCAGCCCCGAGGTAGCGCCCAGGGGCTGGCCGCCAATTTTATGCTTCTTGCGGCCCAGTCCGATGGCTAGGTATGGATTCAGAATGTATGCTTCCGGTTGGGCGTTGTCCTCGTGGCTGGACTCTTCGGAACCAGCTGACGCGGTGACGGTGTCGGAATGGGCGCTCGGGGTCTTTCTGAGCTCGTAGAATAGCACATTTTCCGGCCTCGGATATTTATCCGTAGTTCGAGACAGATGGCCGAAATAGAGAAAGGAGAGTGTCATCAGACGGGCTACTGACAAACGCTGCGCCACACTCAGGGACTCGGTATAGGAAGCGTCGCTGAGGAATTCTTTCAGCGATTTGGTCACATACCAAGGGCCGCTGCTGTGGCAGATGAGGACATGAGAGTCTCTGGGGTGCCCGGTGCTCAGCGCTGTTCCTACGACCTCATAATCTCCCCTTTTGGTAGTTTCAGCTAGACTGCGAAGCTTCGTGTGAAGGTTTTCAACCTCATCTGGAGCATTCGGAAGGGTGTCGGCCTCGTTCCTGATATGCCTTGTACTAGCGTAGAGGAGAACCGACGGCTCAGCCTGTAAGCCAGAGATATGGGCGTGTAGGGCGGAGACAGAAGATTGGCTTGAGTAGATGGGGAGCTTGTCGTCTATCTCAACCAGCTCCTCTGAGAGCCCCTCTGGGTCCTCGTTCACCTGAATAGTGAAGAATACTTGGGTCGCGCTCTTTACCTGTGCCGGATTTGAGTTAACAAGGGCGCTGTGAAGGCGCCTCAAGTTCCCTTGAATTTGTTTGGTCCTTTCCATCTGATCCGGCTGCCCTCGGTCGGTGACGCCCAGCACGTCTGCAGGATCGCTGACGCCATGGAGCTGCAACAAGCTATCAAGTTGAGTATTGCAACGCTCTATGTCATCGATGGCCTTCAAAAAGTTCTCGCGGTCATAATGTACCCATCGGACTCTGTTGTATTTGCCAGCTGTGGACTGCTTTTCCACGGCCTGGTCGCTGACTTCTTGCATTCCTTGAGTAACGAATTTGGGTATAATTCGCGATCCTTGCGAGGGAACAGTCACCTCTTCGTCTGCCTCTGTCTGAAACAGAGACGTACCTGGCGATGTTACGTCCTTGGAGCTGGTCGCATCGGTCCTTGGCAAGGAACCGCCAGTACTCAACGTCGAGGTGGATGCAGTCTCCGTTCCCACTGACTTGGATGAATCCGGACGTCTTTCAACTTTGCCTTTGGTTTTACCCCAAAAGACCAATTTTCTAAGCCCATGGGGCTTCTGGGCTTCCTTTTTTGTAGTCCCGTAGCTTCCCTTCACCGCCAAGCTGCCTTGGGCTTCTTCTTGCTGAATTGTTGGCTCTAAATGCTGCGTGTGAGACGGATCGGCTTCAATGGCCATATCTGTCATTGATTCATCTACATAGTGCGTGCTGGATTAGCTGTGTTTAGATCGATAGTCTAGATGCGTACCGCTGCAGTATTTTTACTTACCTTCGCTTTCGTACTTCTTCATGAGATCATGACATTGCTTGAAATGTGACTCAATGTCAATCAGCTGCATCTTCACAGCTCTGGAGAGATCGTCCTCTGGATTCCAAAGGTTGCCTCTAAACCAGTGAATTGGTGCTTCGGAAAGCTTTGCGAACTTGGTGTATTGGATAAAAAGCCGTCGCTGGACCTTGACCCAGTCTGTCCCAAACTCTTCAGACAGTCTATATGCATTGTAGGCTTCGGTGCAAAATTTGACCGTGGAGGAAAATGCAGAGATCCCAGATAAGGTCAATTTCGTGATTGTAGCGGGATCCATGATATCTAAGTTCTAGTTAATGGCTAATGACAACTGATATCATCGAGTGCCAGCCTAGCAGTGAGTCTCTTCAATCAGGAAGAAAGTTCGGGAGCACTCAAAGCAATGAGCCTTATCGATGTCTTTCTTAACAGGCCCGAATGCTCAAAAAGAGAACGGCTGATGTTGTTACACACCGGATGCTCTTCAAAAGCATTAGAAAGGTCCAAAGGAACATTTTGGACGAGAGCTGCTAAAAGGGGACAAATCTCACCTTCTTTTTAAAAGACGAAACCAGAAGAGTTCTTGGTCATTTGTTTCCAAGTCTAGACGTGCATTCGCGGCTTAGCACGATGCAGTAAGGGAGACTAGTGTTAATAGGAGGGCGAAAGTGCCCGAGCCAGCCGCAAATTGTAGTTCGCACAACCTTAGTTTAAAGGAAAAATCTGGAAGGGGAAGGGGTTCAGCCATATAGACTACACTGATCAACCTGCCTGGGTGGAACGGGGTTGGATGCCCAATTGGGGACAGTCATCGGCAAAACTGAAAGCCACGTTGAGGTTGGATATGCATCTATCAACCTATCGCTGGTCCCCGAGGGGGAGAAGTGCTGGACCCCACCCGCAAAATGCAGTTTTGGATAGGATGAGTAAATTTGTTATCATCATATTAGATGCCGTGCATTAGTTGACTGCCTTTTTGAAGCGGGGGGCGGATGCCAAGGGGAGGCAATCATCGGATAAGCCGCAAAGCTGAAAGCCACGTCGAGGCTAGGCAAACAATTGTCGACCTGTCATAAGTCGATTAACGCTGGTGTGTCGCACTTCATACTGCATTGCGAACCGTAGTACTGCGGATCACCATTCGCAGACCCAGCCCTGCACTGCAGCCTGCAGCCTGCGGCACACGCCGGTGATGCCACGCGTATTGGAGTGTAAAAAGATCAGTCAGCTTTGACACACGTCATCTCGAATGAAAGCCCTCGCGGGGCTCTGGTGGAATGTGCCTTTTCAAACTCTAAACGTTGTTATCCTAGCATATTCCGTATTACATTACGACGGTTGCTGCGACGGGACTGCCTTTCTTCTTCGATCACAAAAATTTCCTACCAAAACCCCTATTCCCTGGCCGCGGACTAGCGACACTGTCAATATGGACCCGCTATCTGTCATTGTCCTGACGACGCAATTGCTAGCAATTTTAGCCAAGTCTGCGGACATTTTTAAAAGTCTCCAAGGAGTCGCGCATGCGACTTCGGACCCAAGGTTCAAAGCTGTTGAGGCCAGACTTTTCACAGAGCGCACTAGGTTGTCACTCTGGATGAATTATGTCGAACACCAGCCGGGAGGCACGGAGGCGGTGTTGGAGAACCTCAGCGATTCTCACCGACGTGCCATAGTTCGCTTCGTTACGGACGCTCATGAGCTCCTGCAAAATGCAGTGGAGCGATTCGAGAGGTCTAACCCCACGGGCAAGAGGTTATCCGCAAGGTTCCGAGCGGCCCTGATCTGGGGTCTGCGTGGGCAAGAGGATCTAAACGAATTGATCGACGCCGTGAACAGCATCAACACGGCCCTGGAGAAGGTTATCATGCCTCCTCCAGCGTATCATGAGTCATCATTTATCCCAAGAGAAGAATCTGCAAGGCAGCCCTCCATAACCCGGTCAGCGTCACAGACGATTTCGTCATTAGAGCCTGACGAATACGTCGACAATATCGCATCAGCACCTCAGCCTCCACCCCGTGTGATTCATTACGTGTACCGACATTCACTTAGTGCACTGAGGTTGATCGAGAGCTTCAACAGTAATACCCGATCCTTGGACTCATTGACAGCTAAGCTGGCAAGATGGGGAGAGATTCTCGAGGGGCCTCTGGCGTTGGATTTACTGACGAGAGCAGGGGTGAATGAAGAAAGGGTTTGCTATGACAAGCTATGGGAATGCATTGTCACAGTCCTTGTCGACATAATCCTTCTAGAAGGTAATGTTCTAGACACACTCCTTCTAGCATGAGAAGATAAGGAAATTGACCAAGGCTGTGCTTCCGCAGAATCTATCTTAACTGAGCTTGTCAAGGATTCTTCGAGGAGAGATCTGAAACAAGGTCTGCTGGAAACGATTGCCTGTCTCGCCATGGACGGCGCAGTCGACATTGCTATTCACCGAGACATGCCTATTATCGACTTTTCCAGCCTAGATGACCTCCTTCAACAGGGGAGCAAGGAGATCGAGGACGCGGTGGATGATCTGTACCAATTCATTCCAACAATCTTGATGCTTCGCAGAGGTTGTATGATTGATAGCGAGCTTGCCGGAAACGATGCTGAAGCCGGGGAGGCTACAAAGACTGGGGAGATCCGGAGCACGCGTGGCAGTAAGCTCATTGAACCCTACCTAGAAGAGGCCGAGACGTGGGAGCTTCTTAATACGGCCGTGGAGATGTCTTCGCCACACTCTGGTGCTGCTACTGTAGAGGCAAGAAGATCGGAGAGCATCCAGGACGCGGCCTACAGGCTCGCGAGCAAGGAGGTCGAGAGGCTGCGCGAGTGGGGCGACGTCCACGCGGCAAAGCTTCGTGGAGAAGACAAGGCCACAGCGGATAATCTCCTAAAGAGCTTCATCCAAGGTGCGTCCCGACTGCTAATGATATCTTATCGAATGTTTCACTCATCAGCTATAGACGAGACCGTCCGCAGTATGACAGGCCCTGTCCGAGGGAAGGAAAAGAGCTATGATTGGAGCGAAAAGAAGCAAGAATACATGAAATCTAAGATTGTGACTTTGATGAGCGAGTTACCTAGATCTTACGGTTCTTCTTAAAGTTAAGTTCCTAACGCTTTCTGAGGCCCCCTCTCTGTTATCCATAGTAATATAATCCCTATTATCCTACTCGTGATTTATTTCCCTCTGATGGGTGTAAGTACAAAAGATGTTGCCAGAATGTTGCTATCTAATAAGCCGGCATTAGACCTTATGAGGACTCTAACCAGCACTGAGATTGGACGTGTCTTGCGCTGTCCAACGGCTTCAATATCGTTCAATTCTAACGAGCCAATACGGCGACCAGTTCGAGCCTTGGTAATCGAAGTGGGTAGATGCTAGTCGCTTCAAGAAGTACTGACCAAATGGATTCCTACCTGAGAAAAGATCTGCTTTTGCCTTCTCTCTCTCAGGAAGTCATAGTTTGAACCAAAGTGAGTGACGTTCCACCCACCACTTCGAATGATTCACCTTCCTGTATGAAACCATTGATTGTCAACCCCGAGTCTTTGGCTAGGATCAACATGGGACTTGGGAGATTGACAGTACCAGTCGTTCCCAGAGGTGCGTCAACGGTCATAGTTAGTAGACCTTTGCTATCAAAAGCCCATTCAACTTCCACCATTCCATCAATAAGGGGAATCTTGCCTTTAGCTGAACGAAGGCCTAGGGTCAGGGGGGTGACTTGAAATTCTGCCCAGCCAGGCTTGGTCGGTGTAGCACCAAGAACGTACTTGGTAAGTTCCGCTGACGGTCCGGCAGCCCATCCGTGACACAGGCTTGTCGTGATTCCGAGTCCAGGATGGCCGGCCTGGTCAAGAGTCTCCCAGAAACAGCCAGTGTAGTTTGCGTTCGTGCTGTCAGCCATGGGCGCCCATAACTTGTTGAGCAGCTCCACAGCGGCATCGCTGTTGTTGGATGCCAACGCCGCGCGAAGGTGATAGGCAGATGCGAACGGACTGATATACGGCCGAAACCCAGATGCAATAACGTCGCTTGAGAATGCAAGGGGCCCAGCTGGCTGCATCAATTCGGCTGATAGCGTGGACAGAATAGCCTGGGATGAGTGGTTGGCGGCAAGGTTGACGCCGGCAAGTATGGCGATAGCGTTAGAGTCCTGGCCAAACCCGGTTGTCATGTTCTCCGACAAGAAATACGCACCGAGCTCGTCACTCCAAAGCTGGGTGTCGATGGCTTTGCGAAGCCCTGCGAGTCTCTCTTGATAAACTGCGTTGTCGATGCCGCCGTCAGCCAAGATCGTGAGACACTCCTGCAACGCGTAGGCGTAGATAACGTTGAATTTGGTCACGACAACGCTCTGGGTGGGGTCATAGTAATTCCAATCGCCGCCGAAGGAAGGATCTGACAGGTTGAAAAGTCCGTTGTCGAGAGTCTGAGAATTGGCCCAGTCAAGCATGGCCTGGATTTTGGGTGCCCAAAATTGCGCGAAGGTGACATTACCAGTGTGCATGTAAGTCGATGCCACGGCAGTGAGCAAGTTGAAAGAATAGCCGATCAATCCAGTGATGTTGACATCTAGTTTCTGTTCCAGAGGGGCTTGTTGAATCTTCGCCGTGGGGATGAAAAATCCGGGGGCTGCTTGGTAGGAGCCGAACAAATCTAAAGTTCCCATGATGTACTCGAGCCCATGAGTGCTGACCAGCGCTGCTCCGCCAGCTATGTCAAGATCGCCTGTGTAGGCAATTCGATCTCTTCGAGAGCCGTCCACCATAGCGGCTGCTGGATTTGTGCCCATAAAGAAATCGGGCAAGAAAGATGTATCGGTCAATGGATGCGAATAAATCTCCGTGCCGTCTGTATTGTGGGCGGACAGATTTCGAAAGACTGCTCGGTGGCCAAATGATGCGCCAATGCCAAAAGAGCCAAAAACTCGTGCCGTCTGGGACATGGTCAAAACATCGCAGCCATCAATAGTCACTTTGATATCTGTGATTGCCACTTTCGCCTGGACGGTGTGCCATGACTCCATAGCAATCGTGAGGTTGGATGGTAGATTGAATGATTGCAGTTGTTCGTTCTCCTGAGTCGACCCAGTATATGCCTCAATCTTACCGTTCTTCAAGTCGCATGATATGTAGATACCCGAATTCTGGGTATCGGAAAGCACAGTGAACCCAAAACCTCCCACCAGAGGCTTGACCTGAAAGGTCAGATCGTATTGCAACAGCTGAGCGGCGACCGCGCTTCCAAGGACTTGAGGTGCCACACTCTCGGCCAAAGCACCGTCTGCGGTGACTTCCAAGAAATCAGGCAGGTTGTTCTTGGGTACCTCTGTCATCTGGATTGTTCGTGCGCCGACTGCCCAAATTTGATTCAATGTGTCGTCGGAGCTTTCGAAGCAGCCGGGCAAGTCTGTAAGGGGTGTCGTGTGAAGCGTTGGATGAGCACCGACATTTCGGAGTGTAAGAACTCCCGGGGAAGAAAGATTGAGTCGCTGATATCTGAAGGCGCCTTGGATCAGACGATTTGACATAGTTCCTGGCCCTGTCACATTGTAGCGATTGACTCGATATGTATCCATCGCGGCTGCCAGCGGAAGAGGCCCATCGCTCTGGAAGCATACGATGTCAGTAAGTCTCCAGCAGTACCAAGAGTCTTGTATTGTCTCACCATATACGTGTTGAATGCAGCTAGCGATTCAGCATAGGTAATCTCGAAAACAGACGTGTCGCCTTCAATGCTCACGACCTCGAAGGTCGGTATGCCCTCCACAGAATGGCCATAGTCCAAAGTGACAATCGCCGGTGCACCGACGGTAGCACTCAGGGTCGTGGTATCATTCGTACTTGTTATGAGTTCCGAAGAAACAGTCGTAGAGCGAAGTGTCGTTTGCCCGGAGCCCGAGTGAGGTCTAGCGTGTCCGATGGCCAGGAAAAATATGCATGTCAGCTCCAATGCGAGCGCATGCATCATGAATAGTGGCTATAGTACAGGGCAAAAGTATTCTAAGATGATAAAATTAACAGACAGAAGAACAAGGTCTCTGGGTCTCGATCTTGTTATATTTATTTCTTCGCGAACCTCATCGGTAGACCCCCTGACAGAGGCTGTGCTTCATCACGTATATGAGCACCACAATGCGAAGCCATACTTATAGAGGAGATGTATGTCGTAGCATCTCGAGGTGCGACTCGCAATCTCGAGTCCCTTCGTAATTTCCCTTCCGAGCCACGCCTTTGTGGGCTTCCAAGTATTCGACTGGCATGGACGGACTTCGCCGAGTCGGTTCGTGCTTAGTGTTTGCCGACAGCTTTTGAGTCTGGCTCTCCTGAAAAATTATGTCAATCTCAGAAAAGTCCCAAGCTAGCTCAATAAAAATTACGATGTTTATTCACGTCTTGGCTGGACCTCAGCGACGGAGTTGAGTTCCTGTCACTAGCTGGTCCTGAACGCCCTTAGCAACCCTGCGGGCCCTAGCAGCGCCACCCTCCTTTTCGGCCGCATGGCTCGGATTCTTCGTATTAGTGGATTCAAGACCGTGGCTCGATTTTAGCAAATCCGGGGCACCTGTAAACGTCGCAAACGCTACAAAGAACTCGGTACCTTGACAAGGCCGATACAAGAAGCAGCAAGAAGGACCTGGAGTTTATTCAGCATATACAAGCTGGGGATAATGTGCTGAGAGCACCCTTTTAAGATTCTGACTCTGGACGATCGATGGGTCTTAGATTTAGAGCATCAACTATGGTTTCTCTCTAAGCCATTGATCGCAAATGTATTTTGGAGTTGAGTGCACGAGCATCACAGCTCACTCGGAATACCAACCATTTTATATTTGAGAGGCCGTCAGGAAATTTCGGAAATAAAGTGCAAATGTGAGGGAAGGATCCGAATGAATACCTCATCAGTCAGGGTTAATTAAAAGGACACGCTCGATAGTGACAACACTGTCTATTATCTGCACACTTTCAGCACGTACTTGCGGCCTGAAGTCTGTAACTTTTTATTGCCGAATTCGCTCCCTTCAGCACTCGCTATGACACGTAACCTGTCTCCTGGAGCGGCCATTGGACCCAAAGACGATGTTCGTCGTCCAACAGGTTGTACGATTTAGTAATTAAATGATCCGCCCAGCCTCGCAGCCACCATTGTTTCTCGAGTCTCTTAAGGAGTACGGCGAAGAAGGCCATTATAGCCACGGCTTCCTGCGTCGGTTCCCTCAGCAGTGGCAGGAAGTCCTCGGCAACTTCGAAGATCCACACGAAAGCGTCAGTCAAGTCGCATTGGCCGCCGCCTGCCTTGTCGAAGACTGAGAACGACTTTGCCAGCTCATCAATTGCCTTGAAGTAGATATTGCGCAAGTCCACATCGTGCTGGCGTAGAGCAATTAAGGACCGCATGCTGTCTAAATGTTCGTGTACGCGTGACACGGGCTCGGGATTCGGGTCTCGAGCCAGCCAACGATCGGCGCCGTGATTGAAAAGAGGAGCCACGGGACCGTCAACTCCAGGGCCTAGGATGCGGGTGAATGCGCGCGTGCCTTGCAGCAGGAATAGCCAATCTGGATACCCGCTCTCACCGACTAGCAGAGCGCCATCGCCTTTCCGCGGACAAGCCAAAGCGAAATAGATGGTGAGAGCAGAAAAGAGAAAGAGCCTTTCTGCTGTAGTAGGATCCGTGTCGGTCATCAGGGGCACTGCGTCACCTCGTCAGTCATGATGCAGTAGTACAAAGGTAAGTGTAGTAGGCCTGACTGGCATCTCTTGTGGCGATCTGATGATGCGTCATTGCCAACGAGCGATAATGGTCCCGCATGTCAGGGCGGTGATAAGCAAGATGCAACGCTGAGACCGCCAGTAGTGTCCTCATAATGTAATCACATCGCAGTCCGAGCTGCACGGCGGACACCCGGTAGAAGTCTCGGATTATGTTGCTGTCAGACAGAGTGGCAAAGGTCCTTGTTGTGAAGTTGTGTAGCAGCTCCAGGTTTTGCATATCTAGCCCCTGAGAGGATCCTGGAGACGAGCTCGCTGCGTGATACGCCGCGTCGATGAAGTCGCACTCAACATTGTGCTTGACACAGTTACCGCACGCAGGCCTGAACTCGTCACACTAGCGGCATCGGTATCAGGACCACTGACAGCTAACTAGACCGAAGACATTTGCTCACTCACCTTAATCTTCCGTGACTTACATGTCGCACAACCGGTGCGGCTCTTTGGATGGGATCTTCTCGACGTGGCGCGTGACATGGCTCGGCTTCGTCCCGAGGCGACTCGGGCAACTCGGCTGAGCTGATGGGAGGAATTTGGGTTGTGCGAATCTTGAAGGTGGTGACCTCGGGTTTGTCGTTTTCGACGGCCCAACCAGGCTTGTGGAATGTGTCCTTAGATCATGGCATGACACGTACTGGAGGCATGGAGGGTGTGTGCGCAGCACTAACGACACAGCCAGTTACTGATTGCGACAAGGGTCTGCTTTGATTCGTCGACGTAGGTGGGCTTGCAAGTCGTAGAGTGCTAATTGTCGCCCTGCTCTCGTACTCGCTCGTATTCGGGCGCAGACCACCAATCCCTTGCTTCACGTGACAACGACGTCCGAGGTTACAACCATCAGGGTTATGACTGACACTACTTGATCTAGTTTTTCTTTCGTAGGCATTTGCACAGCGAATTCTGGCAGAAGGCAAGTCCACGTGCCGATACAGGAACTTTCCTTACAGTCGGTTCTCACTAATCTTGCTCTTGCATGTAGGCAGGTCGGAAGGGGTGGTTCTGGCGATGTCAAATTTGGAAGTCCAAAAGCCAAATAGACTCTGGACACCATTAGCATCCAATATCTGGCGTTGCGACGCTGATATCATCTACCCGCCCGGCCGCCCGATATTACATTCATCGTGAAGAGGAGCAGGAACGAGGTTGCATATGAACTGTATGAACAAACCCTAAGCCTGCTTAATCAACCCAGAACCGTAAATCTGCACGATGGGATATGATAGTTGCTGGAACGGCAATATGTGGCCAAGAGATATATTCATTACTTTCTCCTAAGATCTATCCACCAAGTCCACCATCTCCACGGTTGAGAATTTAGTCGTTGTCTGGTTCAGGTCATCGACGTACTGTACTAAGAATGTCCCCATAGTCACCAGCATCAACGCTGCATCGAAAAGATATAGAAGATACTCCCGGCGGATCAGGTACCCTGCATTTCCTTGTGCATATTCTGCAACCCGAAAGGCACTCCGCACCATGATGAGACAACTCACGCAGTACAGGGTCCACATATGATTCTTCCACTGGACTGGACCTTCTCTTGCCTCGGTGTTTGGGCGCAGCACGGTACGGCGGTGGAAGACGATGGCGCTAACGATGAAGATGCCAAACATGATGATCTGAATAAACAGACCGACAAGGATGATCTTTTCACCCGCCTCATACAATTCCAGAGTTCCAGCCGCCTGAATGCCACCGCCACCGCCTTGGGCAAAGAATGACACGATGTCGCCGACCACGAAAAGCTTAGTGAGCCATTTGATGGGAATGACTGAATGGTGCTCGGCATGAACAGCGCGAATTGTGCGCCCGAGTATCATGTAAACCGAGGCAGCGAAAAGGGCCGGAGCCACGAGGATCAGAAGGGACTGCAGGACGAATCCACCAATGGCAGTCGTGTCAAAGTGTGACCAGATTCGGCCATAGTAGCCTACAGCCTCAACTGTACAAGCGATGAGTACTAGGCTCCAGTGCGCACAGACCTGGAAAGCTTACAAATGCCTCCTATGGCGAAGGGGATAAAGCAAAACGACCTCGTTTGCCAAAGTTTGACAATATGGACAATGGAGAGAATCGAAAAAAGTGTCCCCGTTAAAGCAGCGGCTTCCAGAGAAGGCGTGTATCTGTAGAGCGCGAAGAAGGAATCACTGCTGTCACCAGAAGTCGACATGTCGGCTAGAAGAGGATGAAATGGAAGGGCAACGAAAGTCGAGTAATTCTGTACAACAAATCGCAAATGTAAGTCGACGAAGAGCAGAGAGCGCGTGATATGAGAATTGTCGGTCGGTTCGACTCGACGAAGATGGTTTGCAGTAGATATTTGAACACAAATCGTGGCTGTGGCTCATCCAGAACGCGCATGGGTGTCAAAGGGAGCCACTTCCAGATTCAGGAGACATCGACCGCGTTGCACAGGAACGGGCTGTACGCACTATTCTGATTACTCCAGGCCTAGTTGCTGTGGGCGGCTCGGGTTGGCTCGGGACTGTGGAGTAATCGCATTTTTGTGTAGCCGGACAGTACACGGGGCTGCGTACAAAGCAAGATTTTCAAGTAGGGAACGTGACTACCATGTCCGCTTGGCTCTGTCACAACATGCATAAGGCTGGCGTGCATGCAGTGTGGCTTTCCGGAGGTTTCTAATTTCGGAAGATGGCGTTGATCGTCCAGGTACATCTGCGCTGAACAGATGGCCGAAGTGCTGGACTAAGACCCCGTGTCGAGCAGCGGTTAGGCCGAGCAACTCACTAGGAGGATGCGTACTAATCCTGATACCGGAAAACCCAATGCGGCTTAAAAATTGACCCGAATGCGAGCGAGTACGAGGCTAGCCCCACCAGATGAGAATGCTACTGTTAATTATTCAATGACATGTATCAAGAATCCACGTAATATAGCAGCAAAAATATTGTAACAACTCAAAGAATGATTTTGTAGACGACTGACTCCTTTTCCTTTATGCAAAGTTGCCGGTGCGCCTATTACCGCCATGGCTTATGCTTGACCGCTGCCTGAAGGAAGATCGAGAAGATAATCCAGGGAATGGATGTCGAAGTTCTCGAAGACCATTTGGTCTGAATGGATTTGATCAGAGGACGGCATATAGATATCGTCCGTCGCCGTCCCTCCTACACTCATTTCTAAGCTCCCACAGGGAGTGTCCTGGGGTACTTCTCCTTCGGCTGGGGCCACTGGATCGGGCCGTGTAGGCATAACGAGCGTACCGTCGGAACACATGGTCCCATAGTCCACCATCGACCACAAGGTCGATTCAAATTCTGGGTCCAGCGCTGGTTGCGCACGGGGGTCAAGAATAGAAGCGAAGATGTGTCCGTGTTCCTTGAAGGATAACAGTCGGCTTTTCTACAATGCATGTGTTAATTAAACGGGCGGAATGATTCCGAGAAAAGTTTGAGGCTTCATGTGATATTCCTTGCCCATGGGACCCCGTGATGGGAAGCACACAAGAAGCACTTACCATCTTGGAGGCATGCCGCCAGAACAAGCCCATACGGTCCAACGTGTCTATAATATGTTGGATGCTCTCTTCGAGCTCTGCGCAACGCTGTGGCCTTTTGTTTTGTGCCGCATGGAAATGGAGCACTAGGACGCTACCAGCGACTGCAACCGAGTACGCATAGAATGAGGACGCGACATGACAGCCGGACTTCGCCGCATCGACGAGGAAGTTTGCAAGCTTACGGGCATGCTCAGCTCCAGTCCGGAAAGCCCGTGAAAGGAAGCTCGGAGGGGCTCCGTCGGATAACTCTGGTAGGTGTAGCCGCAGGAGAAAGGGATGATTCAGCAAAATGTGGCACAGATGGAAGACCGCGTGAGCAAATATTACATGACCTATTGCCTGGTGATCAATACCATCGTCTCCCGTCGTCAGCTTATTGTCAGCGATTATTTCCTCAATGGACCGGTCATCGACTTGCAAGTGAGACTCAACCAGCAAGAGGAAGGAGTTGATCGATGCCATATTGGACGTGGACTCCCAAGGCGGTATCTCGCCCCTTCTGCGCTCATGGAGGACGTAGCGGGCGCATCTGCCAAGAGCAGACCCAACCAGCAGGGCTAGAGCAAAATTTCCGCACGTGGACAGAGACTCGGCGTCCCATTTGTGCAGTTGATCGAGTGTGGCCGTCCTCTTCTGGCCGCCATTGCGGAATGTCTGCTCGTCGCAGGGCAGCTGGACCTGACAATCCTCATCCGAAATGGCTGGCGGGCGAGATTTGCCACAAGACACTAGTTTGTCCAGAAGATAGATGGACCAGAACACCCTCCTTTGCTCTTCTCGCTCGACATTGGAGAGTTCCTCGCTGGGCTCCTTCATCAGTTGGAGGTCCTGGGCAATTCTGATGGCCAGGCCGATCTTCAGCCATCCTGAGCTGATTCGGCCGGCTATTGGTTTAGGTTAGAGTCAATTGCCGCGACCCAGGAAGTAAAGGCTGTCTCGATACTCACAAGTAAAATCGATGATCGCCAAGATGTTTGTTGTCTGAGCTACGTGGATACTCGGCGAATTTTCGGCTGTCATGTGGTCGTTCAGGACGGAGAGCCATGCCTCCCTCGCATAGGCAGCCTGCGCCTCCTGAACTGCACCACGGTAGAAGTCGAGATCTGCAAATCGAAGAGCACTTGCGATGACGGCAAACACAAGACATTTTGGTAATGACCCGCTTTCAAGTTTGCGCCTGAAGCTCTCCTCCTGGAAGTACGAGTATGGCTGGTTATGGACTCGGACGAAATACGTATCGATGAGTGCTTCCACGATGCTGTGAGGCGGCAGTACATTGAATCTTCTAGACATTGTAAGTTATCAAGTGGATTATTTTCATGAAATATTAAAGGGAAACCATACTTCTGATGAGCTGTAGAGGACATCCAGGGTCTATAGAGGATATGGGAGGGTCGACGGCGACGCGCTGTTGTGTCGTAGTTTCTGTCGGTTGTGTTCGAATGTGGGGAGGATCCTTCAGGGCTGGAAGGACCGTCGCTCAAGGATCTATAAATGATTGTTAGTTTCCCAATATATGGAGATCAGATGCATAGCATCACGTGCCTCTGTGCCTCGCTGAGCCTGGCGAGTTGGTCTTCGATGGTCCTTATCCTTTGCAAAAGCTCGGACTGTGTGTCTCTTCAGTTTCTACAAGTATAGACCCCAATACCACGAAGTTTTTCTCACATTCTGAGAGCCGGGTTCAGCACCAGATGTTATCTGAGAGCTCTGGAGTGTGGCCAGAGCCGCAGACGTGGAGGTCGCCGAGTATGGCTCATAGTGACAGGAGCGCTTGATTCGCTTGCAATTGACGCATTGGGGCTTCTCGCCCGAGCATTTGGTCTTGCGCTGCCTAATGCCAATTGTGAGCTAGCTCATTCGTGTCTGCAACGGAAACTTCATATTTCTGTAAACCTGGTGCTGATTTGAGCCGAGAGTGGGCGGAGCCACCTGGTCAAATATGCGTGCGGCATCGATTGAAGACACTCAGGATATTACCCCTGACGCCCGGACGTCTGTATAGGGTTACGTACCGGCAGTTGCTGCAAGCCTGACGAATGCGCTTGATGACCCCGGCGTGCTGCGGTTCCAGGGTGATGTGAGGAGGAAATTGTGAACCTAGACGAGTAGACTCCATCGTTGAGGTCCTTCAACGACATTGCTGAGAAGGAGTGTAGAGCAGCCTGAGGCTGATGTCAGAAGCCAACTACCATCGTGATCAGCGTTCCCCACGGACCCGAAGCATGGACATCTGTCAAATTGCGGGGAACCTTGGTTGTCCCAACCCATGATCCTCATAGGCTTCAGAATAAGGTTTACTAATGCCCATATCCAGTTAGCAAGTACTGGGAACGTATCGTGCATATGCAGCACCCGGGGTGAGCCGCCATTTGGAGTGTACTCAGTACATCCTGTGCATAAGTGCCAGTAGTGACGTCTCCACCCAATATTGTTACAACAGCAGTTCACTTCGGTTTGCTGCCGTTGGCTCCTCTGTAAATGACACCGAGCGCGGTGTGCCTATTGATCAAAGGTACTTGATCATGTAATAGAAATCACAGAAATACCCAGGTATCCATGCAGCAAAAATGGTCGTGATTTGGTCAATAAGTGGAAAATGGATCAAATAATTAGTGCAAATACTATAATGAGTGAACAAGCTTCATGAGCAAGATCTTCACGATCAACAAACGGTCCAAGTAAGTTTGTTTCTATAAATCGAGATTTATCCCAGGGCATGGGTTGAATGGGAAAGCCGATTCTTTTTCTTTTCAGAGTCTGTCAAAAAACATTCCCCGAAGAGTATCTCCCTGTCCATCTTTCTTTCTAATAAAAGAAATGCTGTACAAAACATTCCTATTAGGTCTGCTCCAGAATATGCTCGTCCTAGTCAGTAGCTCCACATTATATCATTGCCTGGTCATCTATTGATACTGCCGGCATGGTAATCTCCCGGCCCATGCAAATAGTCAATTGACCTGTAGCCGCCGCCGTCCTTTTTCTTGTCATTTTTGGGTGGAGCGAAGCCGCACGAATTTTGAGGCAAGCCTTTTCTCAAACTAACAGAATAGCATCACTACTCTGAAAATACCGTGCGGCAATATGTCATTTGACACTTATCGGCTGAGCTTTGATAGATCCTGCCCTACATTTAGCAAGATGCATGCTCTAGTAGGAAAGGTGGCATATTATTACTCAGAGCTTTGGCTTGACTGTATTCTGCTTACCGGCACGATAAGCATCCCAGTCGACTTTCCGCCGTGCTTGAAATTCGCTTGCCCCGTAGGACCCCTCAGTCCCTGGCCGCAGCATTTCATCAAACAGTTCAGAGACACGTTGATGCTGTTCGGATTTTCCACCATATTTCCATCCCAAATCAACAAGCTCCTTGGACATGCGTGATCCGCTTGGAGACAAGAAACGTAGCGAGTCCACAAGACTATCCGAAGCATTCCCGAAACCATCCGCATGGCTGCATACAACAGTGACAACACCAATGGAGTGCAACTCCTCCGCCGTCACCGGCCTTCCGGTCAACATTGCCTGCCGTGCAAGTGAAACGCTCCATTCTCTCACCACGTACTTGGAGATCACAGCTGGACAAAGTCCAAGCTTGGCCTCTGATAGCGTAAAACTGGTTGACCTGGTACACAACCGCACTAGAACAAGAATTAATTAGTAGCTGCCGGAATGCGAAGAAGAGGCATTTTTGCAAGGGTTGGCTCTTTAGTCTCACTTACAATCACAAGCGAAAGCCAACCCGACGCCCCCGCCGAAAGCAGGTCCGTTGACCGAGGCTATCGTCGTCTTGGAACAACCGTCGATCTTTTCGAAGAGGCCAGTTAGTCCTCGAAATAATGTGGCTCGTGTCTGGCTATCACTGCCTGTTCCCACTGCTCCTAGATCCATCCCGGTACAAAAGAATTTTCCCTCTGCCGTAATAACGATTCGTGTTATGATTTCGTCGTTATCTAGAGTTGAGAAAGCTTCATCAAGCTGAGAAATCATCTTCGCCGAGAGGACATTGCCTTTCTGGGGGTTATCGAGAACGATTTTGCCGATGGGTCCGCTTCGAAATACGGATACAAGATCGGTTTTGCGTGATAAAATCCACTCAGGCCGCTTAGTTTGCTCTTTGAGTTTTGACCGTTGAGTAATGTTCTTTTTTGCCAAAAGAGCTGCCCCAGCCCGACTCTGATTGTCCTGTCCAAGTTTTCTGGAAATCCAATCCCCCACATCAGCCAGCTTCGCCAGATCAATGCCCGTGTGGACACCTGCATGCTCGAAGAGATACACCAGATCTTCTGTGGCGACATTTCCTTTTGCGCCCGGTGCAAAGGGGCAACCACCCAGACCCGCGACGCTGCTATCAAATGTCCTTATCCCACACTGGTAGGCCTCCCAAGCGTTGGCCAGAGCCTGCCCGTGCGTATCATGGAAGTGACCAGCCAGCTTTTCTGGGCCGATGCCTTGCTCGCGGAGGTAGTTGACCAACTCTCGTACTTGCAGCGCCGTACCAACGCCTAGTGTGTCTCCCAGGCTAACCTCGTAGCAACCCATATCGAGTAAGCTCTTGGTGGCGTGGTGGACCATAGTTATTGGCGTCGGCCCATCATAGGGATCAGCAAAGACACATGACACGTATCTGTATCTCAGAACACCATGATTAGAAATTTGTGTCAAATGAGGCACTGCTGTTTTTGAGTACGAAAATAAGTCATGCTTACCCGCGGACTGTCAGACCGCTCTCAATAGCCTTGGCTGTGACGGCCTTGGCTCTCGGGAGGCCCTCATCAACAGAGCAATTTATATTCGCCCGACTAAAACCCTCAGTTGCACTGACAAACACTGCCACTTCTTTGATTTTATGTTGGACTGCAATTCCCAGGCCCTTGTTGTTCGGTACCAGACAGGATAGTCGGATGCCTGGCTTTTCTCGCAAGATGTTCTGCACCAGACTTGACGAAAGGATTTGATGGTTATCGGCGAGCTGAGGAATTGCTCGAGGCGAGACCACTGACGTTATCTCAATATCTTTGATACCAGTGTGTATGAGCCTGGAGATCAAATCCAATTTGGTATTCGTCGGGATGGTTGGCTTGACGTTCTGGAGGCCATCTCTTGGTCCAACCTCGAAAATGCGAACCATTGCCATCTCTGCTTCAAACTCGAGTCGCTAGTATCACGTTGCGGATTGGGCGTGTTTCTAATCTAGCTTAAGTTATGCGCTGGCGCCGAGCCACCATCTCGACATTCGATATAAATGGGTCAGCTTTACCTGGTCTCTTGGCCCGTCAAATTGTCTGGGCAAGCGGTCCGGGCCCCAATGCCCGCACATCCCCGGGCCGGCCACAGGGTTCGGGAAATGGGAATTTGGTGAGCTGAGATACTCCGCACAAGACATGTTCCAAACCCATTTCGCCGTCTTAAGAACCTGGGACATCCAAATTCATGGGTCAAAGGCCATTGGATCAAGTGTAATACTGTGTAGAGCTCGAGTTTTGGAGAAATTTTTGTTCTGTGGTGGTCTGACTGCAATTCGAACAGGGAGTTGTTGAATTCACTCGGATCCTAGCTAAGCGCATACTGTTCCGCAAATTGAGTATTCTTAGGCTGCCTCTGGTTAAGGCTGGCCATCTATGCAATGTCGATCTTGTGTATGAGAAGTACGTCATTGTATTTATATTCTCGCCCGAACTTTCTGCTTTCTCAACAGTGCGTTTCCTTGTTCACGTATCAAATGCTTCTTGTACTTCCCACTTGCGGTCTTGGGCAGTTCTTGGTCCACCCCTTCGTCACCTAGCCAGAAAATATGCTGTGGAGCTTTGATTCGATCCAGGCTTGAGGTGACCCAATCTCGTATCTCCTGTTCCCTGGGTCGATTTCCTTCGGTGCCTTTGAGGAAACAGGATACCACTTCACCGTACCGGGGATCGTCTAGGCCAATCACGCAGCACTCTTTGACTCCGGGGTGTCCAAGCAGATGGTCCTCAATCTCAGCTGGGGAAATATTCTCGCCTCCTGTGCGTTTTTGAGTATTAATATGTCAGTTTGGGATCAGGATAAATGAAGCTAGAAGTGGCTGGAAGTCATCGAAGACCTACCACGAATAATGATATCCTTGATCCGTCCGGTGACATGTCCATAGCCAGCATCGTCGAGGAACCCCTCATCACCTGTGTGCATCCATGTGATTCCATCCGTGTCTGGTCTCATCACCTCTTGAGTCTGGGCTTCTTCCCTCCAATAGCCCTTCTGCAACGCGAAACCACTAGTACAGATCTCTCCTCGAGCCCCGCGCGGAAGGGTCTTGCCATCAGCGTCCACAATCTTGGCGGCGGTGTGTGGAAGAACCCGTCCCACGGTGGTGAATCTTTTATCACGGCTGTCTTTAGGAGATGTGATAAATGTGACCGGGCTTGTCTCTGTCATACCATATGCGATGAGCATATTAGAAATATTCATCTCGCGTTCTAAGCGGCTCATTAGGGATGGAGGGACTGGTGAAGCGGCAGCCACGCCAGTCCGTACTGTCTCGATTCGGTGAGAAGAGCTCTTCAATGCCTCGAGCATCGACAAAAACATGGTTGGTACTCCGAGAAGTGCAGTGGCTTTCTCATTGACCACAGCATTGAGTGTAGAGTTCACATCAAATGTTGGAGACGGAAATACAATCTTGCTGCCAGAGCAGAAAGACGCTAGGAACCCGATAACAAGACCAAAACAGTGGAATAATGGGCACGGACAGCAAACGACGTCGTTCTCAGCTAATTGCATAGCGAATCCGACATAGCGGCCATTATTGATTATGTTGCTTTATAATATGTTAGCAGCAATGACGAGTACAGTGTGTGAAGAAGAGGCATACTCATAGGTTAAAGCAGCGGCTTTTGGGAGGCCCGTGGTTCCTAGTTCCATGTTCTAAGTGGCAATCCATCAATATAGCTGGAGAGGCTTACCAGAGGTGAATTGCAGGTTCACCACGTCTGACGAGGCAACTTTTCGCTCAGCCCTGTCCAAAGTCCTGTCATTTATAAAGACAGATTGTCCACAGTTCAAGAAGTCAGTATAACTTCGAAAATTAGCCCCATGGCTAGGACTCGGGGATTCTGCAAGTGAGACAATGTGACGAATCGACGACTTTGATCCAAGAGTCCGAAGAACCGCCTGTACATGGCCGGCTAGGCTTCGGCGTCCGATTTCTGGAGCAATGAAGAGCACCTTGCAGCCTTCCGAGATATATACGAACTCAGCAAGCGCATTCTTCAGAGGCTTGCAAACACATCACTCATGAACTTACCGGTACGAGCAATCATTGTGTCTAGTTCTTGAGGCGAGAACGTATTGTTAAACACGGCGGCAGGACTGCCAATTCTCCCAGCCCCGAGAAAAATTTCGATATACTGGTAGCAATTTCCAGCCATAATTCCCACGCATTCTCCGCGCTTGACGCCAGTGTCCAGAAGAGCCTTAGCCACTAGGGCACTGCGCTCCCCGAGTCTTGCATAGGTGAGGCGGGCTGACTGCCATGGTACGATTACCGCCTCTCTCTCCGCGTATCTGGTCGCTTGTTCTTTTATTATTTCTGCAAGAGTCTTTTTCCATAGAGGCGGTACACTGGGCCCATAAACCAATGAGTCTTCGTTCTTGTGGTCATTGTGAAGCGACTGCGTCTTGGACTGTTCTCTCGATTCGGGTGATGCCATGGTGATGAGCAATGGGCTAACAAAAATACGGTGCACTACAACCAATCACCAACATTTGGTTCAGTTGAATTAGATTCTGCAATCTGCTTCGCATGATATGTTGTCTCATGATGTATCTAATTATGTGATTGCACCCGCAATCACCGGGGTCGTATGCGGAAGCCGGTCCGGCAGATCTTAGCTGGGCGGTGCATAACCAGGATCTTCAGAATTAGCAACTCTGGGGGATGATAGGTCACGGCTTTCTAACGATTTGAGACTCGACATCATCTACAAAGGATTTGTCAACTATTTTGTAAACATGGCGAGTGGTCAATCTTTTCCCGTCGAAAGATCATCCGTTGATATTCGGGGCCCCGAGTTGGAGGGCGTGCGGTCAAAATGGGAGGGGATTTTGCAGGACTTCCAAGAGCGGCTCAAGGAAGTCTCGTCAGAGGGCAGCGTTGCATCTTGTTCCAGGCATCAAGATCGAGGACAACTCTTGCGTACGATTCTCTGTCTATTCCAATCCGTGTTCATGATTCAAAAGCTAATGCTTCTGCCCACTGTCAGCAAGAGATCGCATCGCCTTACTGCTGGACTTCGACTCGCCATTCCTTGAGCTCGGCCCATTTGCTGGACACAAATTACCGACTTCAAACAATTGCGCCAATATAATTGCTGGCATTGGAACAGTCAGGTGGGTTCATTCCAATGGTTCTTAGCTCCAGAATCCGGGGGTGTCTACTGCCAAGACTGACAGAAGTATTGTTCTCCAGTGGTACACGATGTCTACTAATGTCCCACATTCCAACTCAAGATGGCGGTGCGTGGAACGAATACACAGGTATGTGCTCTCGATTTTCGAATCATATTGACTCAATTTTATAACGATGTCTAATTAAGGCGCATATGCTTGCGTACACAGTGCAGAAGGTGAACCGCATAATGGAAATAGGCATGGAGAACGACCTGCCGCTGATTTCCTTGGTTCAATCGGTAGGCAAGACTGGCCCTCATCCCTTTTGTCTGAAAAATATTAATCTTTCAACCTAGGCTGGCGTGTTTCTCCCGCAACAATTCCGAGTGTTTCACAAAGGAGGACAGCTTTTCCGCGATCTGGCATTAAGATCACAGCAAGGAAAACCGTCGTGTGCCATCGTCTTTGGCTCTTCGACTGCTGGAGGGGCCTACCATCCGGCACTATCAGATTACACAATTTTTGTTGAGAAGCAGGCCCAGGTATTTCTTGCTGGGCCACCTCTAGTCAAGATGGCTACTGGAGAGACTGTCGTTGCCGAAGAGCTGGGCGGAGCAGACATACATGCGACGACGACTGGACTGGCAGATCAAATTGCGGTAGATGAGTACGCTATTCGCTATCCGTTGGGCCTCTGAGAGCCAAACACTGACAGTTGTTAAGATTCGATGCCATACAAAAAGCCCGTGAATGGGTGGTTACGCTTCGGACCCCGGATCACCGAATCTGTTAGCTCACAAGACTATCCCCGCCTTACCTCCTCGTTATCCGATCGAAGATCTGTTGTCACTGGTTGACCCGGACATTCGCAAGCCTTTTGATATGCGTGAGGTTTTGCTGCGCATTGTGGACGATTCACGTCTACTGCAATTCAAACCTAAATACGGCCCAAGCATGATAACAGCTCGAGCGCATATTCTAGGTGGGGTTAGCTCTACCATTGGTGATTAATCACTAACAAGGCTTGTTGAGGATTCCCAGTTGGCATAGTTGCCAACCAACGGCCGATAATACACGTACAAGAGGCACTGAAAGCGGCACAATTCATAAGAACCTGTAATCAGGAGTACGATTATGCCAGACCTGACATTGCTTTAGTTTATCATATGGCGAGCTAACACTGAGCTGCAGGCTCATCCCTATTGTATTCTTGCATAACGTCACAGGTTTCATGGTTGGGCCCAAGGCAGAACATGCCGGCATAATAAAGGCTGGCGCGCAGCTCGTGTCAGCCGTCAGCTGTTCTCAAGTCCCTCACATCAGCATAATCATGGGGTCCTCCTACGGCGCTGGGAACTATGCCATGGCTGGACGCTCTTATAGGCCTCGATTCCTCTTCTCATGGCCAACAGGACGGTGCAGTGTCATGGGGCCTGACCAGCTAGCTGGTGTTATGGAGAACATTCAGCAAGCAAAAGCCAGGACTTCACCAGATGGCCCTGCGTCGCAGGCGGCGGTCAAGGAGGGGAAGGCCAGGACGCAGGAGCTCCGAGACCAGGCAATCAAGGACGCTGAGTGCTATGCGACGAGCGCAATTCTGGTTGACGACGGGGTGATCGATCCCCGAGATACAAGAGACGTATTGGGCATGTGTTTGGAAGTCGTTAAATTGCCCACCGTTGAGGATACACAGAGCCACCGGCTCTTGGCTAGAATCTGAAGTCTTTGGTATTGCATATAACATACTTAAGCATCATGGGAAGTCCCTGATAAATATTTGATTCCTATCGATATATGGGGTACCATCAAGCGGACTACGACTGTCCTAATTCACTGATTCCGAGAGACTTGAAAGCTTTACTACCTACCAGGGGGAGGGGGGGTTTCTGACATGATTTCGCAATACACACATATTCTGCAATGATATTAACATTAAATCAAAATTTGGACATAATAACAAAATGCTAACAAAAGACTAAAAAATAATTGCCAGGTTAAAATCTAATCAAAAGGCTAATATTATGTCGACATGATGTTAAGGTTGATTCTATGTTAACCTATGTTAACCCATGTCAACCCATATCAGCGCATGTCCAAACTACCCTTATAGATTCCAAATTTATTTCTATTTTTAGATATTTCCGTAATTCCGTAGCTCATTTCATAGTATATAGTCAAGCCAGAAAAGAAGTAATGAAGAGTTGGGTGGGGGACGATTCTTGAAAGGCTTGTGATAGGCTTTTTTTTGGGATTTGATGTTGTGGTTGACATCATGTCAAAGCATGTCAAGAACGATTTCATGTCAACAACAACTTCATATCAACAACGCACAAATAAAGACAGATATACAAAAATTAATACTGTCAAAACCTTGATTACATGTCAACACAATGTCAATATTTAATTGACATTCTATTGTTATGCTATTCAAAACCCCCCTTCCCCCTGGTAGGTATAGCATTCCAGTGCCTACTAAGTCTGCCTGTGCGGTTGCTCTCTAGAGCCCTGCCAACGAAATTCAATGTGGTATCCAGGTTGAATCTTCCCCGGAGTCCCTGAACAAGCCTACCAATAAGCGGGACTGCTTACGGGGTGTTCTGTGTCCTGCAACTCGGGAAGGTCAGGCCTGCCCTGCGGCCCGATGGTGAACGTCCACATCTGGCGACCGGGATCGGATGCGGACCTCGGTCCGTCTCTCCACACTTGCCCGGGCACACGGACGGAAGCGGACCGATCGTATCCTGCCGAAGCGGCACCGCGGTACAGGCCGTGCTGAAGAGAAGTTGTCCGTCATTTTCTTGTACCGGATCGAATTCAGTCGCAACCCGGTCAACCCCCCCCCCCCCCGAAAATCCTCTGACCTTTGTACTGGACCTGCAGGGAAAATTCGGGTTTCCCGGAGCTTGCCTATCCTTGCAGCACGTCACTAGGCAGACCGCTGGTGCAGTAAACCCTACTGGGACTCGATCCAGTAATTCTTTTCCCCTTTAGTATAGTCTAGGTAGTACAGAGAAGTTTAGTACCGAACGCTACGAAAATCAACTCAAGTGCTATCACAGGTAGCCGTTCAAATATTTGTTATCCTTGCAGGACAACTCGTGATAGACGAATGATACTTGAGGTGGCACTGGGCAAGAATCATCATGCTGGAAGGATCGAATAGAAAGCAACTGGCCAGTCTGACTCCTGAAATGCCATACTCAGTCTCATATCACCGTGAGCTCTTTGTTGCAGCGCTCCCTCCAGTCAAAGACGGCACCACCAGAATTCGAAAGCTCTTGGTTGCAAACCGAGGCGAAATCGCTTGTCGCATCATTTCAACCTGTAAGGAGCTCGGAATTGCCTCGGTAGCTGTTTATACCCAGGAGTAAGTGGGAGAATCCATGTTGAGCCTTGCAATATATCAATCAAACTAACAGCATTTGTAGAGATTCTGCATCGCAACATGTCACCAAAGCAGATCAGTCAGTGTGCATCGGCAGCATCAAAGGCAGCTTGAAGAATCCGTTTCTCGACATTGATGTTATCATCCAGGCTGCCCTTGCTACTGGGGCGGAAGCTATCCACCCCGGGTATGGATATCTTAGTGAGAATGCTGCATTCGCTGACCGCACTCGGCAAGCCGGCCTCATCTTCGTCGGGCCTAGTGGGGCCGCTATGTCGGCTTTGGGTGATAAACGTCTGGCCAAGGAGTACTTGCAGAAGCATGCGCCTGATGTGCCGCTGATTCCAGGCTTCTCGGGGAAAAGTCAAGACCCTGCCGATCTAGTCAAGGCAGCAACAGAGATCGGGTTTCCCGTGATGCTGAAGGCTGCTGCTGGGGGAGGTGGCAAGGGGATGCGAGTCGTGCGTGACGCTCAGCAGCTACAAACCGAATTGGCAAGTGCGCAGTCAGAGGCTCAGCAATCGTTCGGACATAGTGACTGTATTCTCGAGAAGTTCATTGAGAAAAGCAAACACATCGAAATACAGATCGTGGGCGACCGGCACGGCGAGGCAGTCTCATTCTTCGAGCGGGATTGCTCTGTGCAGCGACGGAATCAAAAGGTCATCGAAGAGACCCCTTGCTTGTTCTTAGACGACAGAGTGCGGTCGCAGATGGCCAATACTGCGATCCGTATTGTCAAGCTTTTAGCATACGAAGGCGCCGGCACTGTCGAGTTCGTATTTGACACGGCCGGGATGAAGTTTTACTTCTTAGAGGTCAATACGCGGCTCCAAGTTGAGCACCCGATCACTGAAGAGGTAACCGGAGTCGACTTAGTGGCACTGCAGCTCTTCGTGGCATCAGGCGGCAGACTTCGGGATTTACCTATTTTGCAAGAACTCAAGCAGACGGGACATGCGATCGAGTGCCGGCTATGCGCGGAGGATCCTCGTCGGAATTTCCTCCCTGACCACGGTAATATCATGCTATGGAGACCGGCGCAACTAGGACGAACATTCAACTCCGTAGTACGGTACGAAACGGCTATGCGGTCGCCGTGTACCGTGTCCATTTTCTTCGACTCTATGATCTGCAAGATCGTGGTATGGGCTCCTACCAGATCCGAAGCCATTGAGCGCATGGCGAGGGAGCTCGCCAACACCGCCTGCATGGGAGTCAAGACCAACCAGCTTTTTCTCCAGAGCTGCCTGTTGCATGACGCATTCAAAGACCTGGGATACACGACGGCATTCATTCCCTTCAACCTCCCAGATCTGCTCGGAAATCCATATCTCAAGCATCTGCCGGAATATCTACCACTGGTTCCAAGCATCTATTTGGAAAGACTGCGGCAACTTCGACTGCCAGGCCGAGCCGCTTTCCAAGGAGTGCGTGCAAGATTCCACAACCAGAGTTATGACCCTTTCAGCTCTAGCTCTGAAGTGATTTCGTACAGCTCCTCAATTTCATGTCTACTACGACCATCCGGAAGTGCAGATTTCGATGCACAAAGAATTTACATCTACCAAATAGTGGCGGAATCGTGCTCTTCGTCGCGACTGGTTCAGCCGGCTGCGCTTTACAACGAAATCAGTCGAGCGATACGCAGCGGCGATGCATTTAAAGGGCCAGGATACCACATCAATATTATCAAGGCTGAAGGTCTGGCCGATCAGCTGACTCCCAGTGATGCGATATTGTTCGAAATCACAATCAACGGTAAAAGAGTGAAGGCATATATGGCTCTGCGTTCAGCACAGGACAGGAGTGAGGGGTCAGGCGAAGCAGATCGTGTTCTCTTGCATATGCCTGATATTGGCGAATGGCTGGAATTTCGTCGGGAAACATTGCTTTCCTTCTACTCGAGCCAGCGGAGACTCGTCGAGGCGGACTCGAAACTAACTGGGAAGCCAGCCACGATCAAGGCACCAATGCCGTGTAAGATCCTGTCGATCCTCAAAAGTCCCGGAGACCATGTAGAGCCAGGGGAGCGTGTCATGGTTACCGAGAGTATGAAGATGGAGCTGAGCATCTATGTGGATGCCGCTGGTAAATTTCGAACTAGATGGAAGGAAGGTGACGCCGTCGACGAAGGCAGTATCCTCTGCTCAGTAGATTCGGGGACAGAGAAATCGTAGGATGCGTTATCTATAATCTACAGACCATGTCTTATCTAGACTTGCAACTGTTGTTCATATGATTGGGTTGTTTTACACAGAGCTCGATCAGATTTGCAGGTATGGTCATTCCATGAGGCTGAGTCTGGTATTACCACTCATCAACTCAGGCAGCGTGCTACCTAGCGAACAATCCGTTGACAATCCATGTTATGTGTTTCATCATGAAATGACCAATCACACACGCTGAACCAATTTGCACTCTCACGTTGGCAATGCGCTATCCTGGGTTCGACTCCGCACCCAATCCGAGTTCTCCGCAACTCGGGTCTACGGTCCGTCATAACAGTGTGTATGTGCTTCTTTACGACCGCCATTTTTCAGCATGCAATGGGGTCCAATTTGGCTGAAATGCACCTTCATTGTTTCAACTGGCCCGTTTCATCATGGCATGTTGCTATATTGCTGCCTTGTGCATAGGTACCCTCGTCAAGGCTTGCCAGTTCCTCGACTTGGACGAGAGCATCCGCTATAACGAGAATGGCGGGTCAGAACTGTCTGAGACTCACTCAAGTTTCCATACAAAAGGCGGAACATCAAGCCAGCCTGCATCACAGCCATCTGCACTGGTCCTTTCGCTTTCCGGACTGACCTGTGCTGCCTGCGTAGGCACTGTCCAACGCGCGCTCTCAGACATCCCATCAGTCGAGCATGCCCGTGTTTCTCTTCCCTTACAGCAAGCCACGGTGGTAGCCCAGAAGGGTAAAGCCGTGGACGAGAAGCAGCTCATTAGCGCTGTGAATTCTGTGGGCTACAGTGCTGAGATAGGGCCTCGGTCTCCCAAGGAGATCATCGACATGCTTCAGTCAAGGCAGGAGGTAGAACACCTAAAGGACAGCTTCGCCAGGGTTGCCCGCTACGCAGTTCTGATGCAGACTATTGGATATGCCGTCTCTAAACTCGAGCATAGGTGGCCGAGCTCGGGATTGAGAGCTCTCAATCTGTGGCTTGCGCTCGCCCTTGCCACATACTGTCAGTTCCGTCACGTCGCATGGATCCATTTAGATGGATGGAAAGCCCTGTACCACTCCAACCCTAGCATGAATACGCTTGTATCACTGTCCGTTTGCCTGGGCTTGTCATTCACGCTAGTCGACCTTCTCGTTCGCGGAGGGCTCGCTTCTTCATATCATGGCGCCACAGTCGGACTCACCCTTGTGATCTTGGGCGGGCGCTGCTTGGAGGCTTTGTCTCGTCGACAGTCATCAAAAGATCTTCTTGAAGTCTATAAGCCACTTATGAAATTAGAGTTCACGAGACTCTCTTCATCCGGACAAGTAAGTGAGATGGTGACGCTCTTATTCTAATACTCAACCTGCCTCGTCTAACCCCAATCACAGTTGGTCCCAAGTACATACATGAGGCCCGGGGATCATATCATCATAGAACCGTTTTCTGTGATTTCTTGTGATTGCTATGTTATCTCTGGGTCGTCACTTGTAAATCAGGCGGTCGTGACCGGGGAATCTATGCCAGCAAAGAAGACAGTGGGTGATTTCCTCTATGGTGGTACTCGCAACCTGAACGGCTCTTTGAATTGCGTCGTGCACAAAGAGAAAGGCCATTCGTTCTACGCACAACTGGTGGAAAACGTGACGAGCCTCAATACGTCAAAAGAAGGAACATATGGTTATGTTGAGAGCCTGACACGGTATTTCGTAACCGTGGTGATCCTTCTTGCAGCTATGGTGCCCGTCGTTGAGCAATATCTGCTCTCTGGCACTACAAGTCCCTACGACGTCTTACGACATTGTGTTGCACGTTCTATAACAATTCTTGTCAGCGCATGTCCATGTGCTCTTGGCTCAGCCATACCCTCAGCTATAGTCGCTGCGTCCTGTAAGTGTAACATAATTGCAATATCACCTTGGCTTCCTGTCCTAATCTGCTAATCACTATACTATGTAGACTCCCTGCGGAAGAATGGGGTACTCCTTACAGGTGGGGCTTCTACTATCGACAGGCTCGCTCGCACGACCTTTCTCGTCTTTGACAAAACTGGGACACTGACGGAAGCGTGTCTTCGTGTGGAGAAGCTGACGATCCCTGAGCAAGTATCACTCACGGAAGATGAGTTATGGACGATGATATGTGCATTAGAAGAGTATGGCGCCTCTGGTCATCCGATTGGCAATGCAATCTTCTCTGCGGGAGTACAGCGGCTTGGTGAGTCATGGATAAAGTTCAAGAGCTTCGGATCCGTTCAAGCCGCAAATGATTCGGACAGTGGAGGGTTATCTGGCTCTGTCGCTCTGAATGGAGAGGAGAAACAATGTCATTCGATCGTCTTGGGGAGCAGGAGATACTTGGAACGACACAAAGTGTCTTGTTGGTCAGGGGAAAGCTTCCCTAGCGATGAGAGCGCGATATTCGTCCATGTAGCAGTAAATGGAGTGTATGCGGGAACAGTTTTCCTTGTTGTAAGTCAAGTCTTTACAGTATAGGCGATCACTCCGGGTTTCTTATGCAGCTAACGTTGTCAAGGACGCTATCCGGACAGAGGCGGTGACCTCTATCCAGAAACTCAAAGGCATGGGCTACAGTTGTGGCATGGTAAGTATTACATGACATTCCCATCTCGTTATACCAGCCAGGAAAGGTTTTACTGAATATTTGACCCATATCAGCTTACAGGCGATACTGAAAAGGCTGCCAACCGAGTCTCGGTGTGCTTACAGGTTCCCATTCTAGCGTCTGGAGCCACTCCAGCAGACAAGTTACACCATGTCAATATGATCCGCGACAGTGGTAAGGTTGTCGCCATGGTGAGTACTTCCAATCACTATCACCACAATTCAAGGCAATTAATATTCATGATGTAGGTTGGTGACGGGCTCAACGACGCACTGAGCCTCGCGGCGGCAGACGTGGGCATTCGCATCTGCCACGAGGGCGCGGTTCCGACCACGGGTGCCGCCGTTACCATTGTTAACTCATCACTCAATGGAGTCAGTCTCCTTATTAGAGCCGCGCAGCTCACGCAACGGCAAATTCGATTCAACCTTACGTGGGTGGCTGTATACAACGTGATAGCCTTAAGCATGGCAGCAGGATTCTCACCCTTCGGCTTCACTTTAACACCGTGAGGAAGCCCAATTCCTCTGATTGACTCAGTGCTACAGACGCATACTGAAAAAGTTTGATCAGGTCCCTTGCAGCAACATTGATGTCATGTTCATCTATGTTCATCACTTTGCAGAGCTTTTGGCTCCAGTCCCAGCTGGCATCGCTTAGTTCGTTGACATAGTATTTGCGATGAACCTGCGGTATATAGAATCCATGAATTGCATAATGCATCTGATAGATGGAGCACAATTATCGAATCGGCCATAATGCACCAGGATATAGATGCTGGGTATTTGGTCCTGTTTAATGACGGAATTGCTTCCCGCCAGAGACTTGGCCTGACATGCAATGGCAGTGGCTTGTTATTACACGGGAACATAGAGATGCTCGAGATTTGAATTACCATCCAGCTTTCATTCCGATGGGAAACTAGCCCAGTCGCAAGGATGCAGTAATTGGACCAGTCTCTTCGACCTGAACAACCCCCAGGGTGATACTCTGGTGTAAGACGCATGTGTGTAGGATTCATTGTGATACTCCAAATTTTATGGTTTCACGTGATGAAATTCAAGGTGAGTACATTCTCAGAGCTTTGTTCTGGTTGTTGTCGGTTGTGTCAAATAATTAGAGGTCGCGTGAGACGGTCCCGGTCGGGAAGCGAACGCAGATAGAAAAGCAACCAAGGTACACTTCACGCAGCCGGCTTCAACAAAATCTGGGTCCGGCCATCCACCCTGACCTTCACGCTTGCCTTTCCTTCATCATCCACAGTGACAGAATCTCCCGTGCTGAGGGAGTACGCCTGCCCCGGTATCAGTCTCTCGAATCCCAGCTTAAAGACTCCGGGCTCTTTGCCATTGTACAAAACAAGGTCAAGTTGTTTGCCATCTTCACTGTATGCCTTCGCCACCAGGACGTCAGGGAATGGGGCTTCCTCCAGGATTGGGCCCTGAAGTGCGTTGTCGGCCGGACCATGGAGGGTAGCATTCGCCAGGTCTCTGTGCCGGATCAGCCGAGCCATCAAGAGAATAGATTGCAGCGAAGCCGACAGGCCAACGTTGCGTAATGCACCGTTTGGAGTCTTCTCCACCGGGTAGAACTTCGTGTCAACCTGGTCAATTGCCTCCTTGCGGATCTTCTCATCACCAAATTCACCAGCGGCGCCTGCCAGGAAGACCCGCACTGCGCCCTTTCCGGATTTATAGTTGCAAGGGTCCATCAGGTCTGCGCCTTTTAGGTTGAGCACCTGGAGCTCGCTTTCTTCATTGTAGGCAATGTTCTCTTTGCGGATCATTGCCCAATTCCGATGGGCCAGGTGTGGAAGATAGGCCGTCAGAAGCATTGTATTGATACAATCGGTTGAAACGCCACATATGTTAGGTATCTATGTGAAGAACACAGGTCGGATCAGCAACTGTGTCTCATCTCTTCTAAGTTGATCCGAGTTGGAATTGGTGTGCTTACCGTCAGGCCAGTGAACTCGCTGCGCAGGGGTAGGATGCGCCCATCGCACTCGGTGAATTCCTCCTCCAAACATCGCTCGAAGCGATTCCGCAATTTCAGACTAAGGTCACGGCCAAGAATGCGGTCTGAAATTGTCAAACCAGCCATTCCGATAAGGCTGCGGAGACACATGTCAGTCTATAAAATGTCGCAGTCGGGCTCATGCCCGTATATTGTTTTGATAAGTCTTACTTGCAAAGAGAATAGGTCCAATTTGGTTCACAGGGATAAAGACAGTAAGGGTTGTCTGTCATATTAGTGTTCAGTGCGTCGGCTAGGCCCTCAAAATCCGTTTTGTAGTGTTTGCCGTCGTCGATCACAAATTCAAGGCAATTCTTCTTGTGATAACGTCGGTCTCCAGTCGATTGCTCGTAAAGTCCCATCGCACTGGCGAGATAACCAGTGACCATCTATTGTATAATCGGTCAGACAGCTCCTTTAAAGATGAAATTGTCCACACTCACGATGTTATCCTTCTTAATCGGATCCCAGTCGCTGAACTTAAGTTTGCCAAAAATAGACTCCCACTTCCAGTACCTAATATTTACGTCAGACAACTATACAGAGGCTCAGATGCGATAGTGGCTTCACTCACTTCATAACTCTCTTCTGGAGGCCCTTCTCAATGCAATTTTGTGATGCCTTTGACAGATACCCATGGAATCCAGGGGTGTAGTGGCACTGGTAGATGGAAAGCGCATCCACAACACTATTCAGCTGGTATCGAATAGCAGACGGTTGAAACTGCTCAATGATGTCATGGTAGCTGAAGTCATCCTTAGCAGAAAGACCTCGCTCGAGAGTCCACTGGACATGGCGCAATGTCTCAAGATCCACCTCACGCGATCCGGGGACCGGCGCGGGCACCGCATCTGCCATCTGCTCCGCCACGGCCGAGATCAGATACTTATTTCGCTCCTGTGCCTTGGTGAAGCCGGCCGCATTGAGGCGACTTGCATAGTTCATGACCCATGCCAGGCTTGCAAAGCAAAGCACGACCCAGACCGGCCCAGCTTTGTCCAGGATTCGTTGATCGGCAGCAAGGTATCCTGCAGCAGCGGCAGAGCCGAACCACAACGCAAATGGAAAGACTATGCCACCCATCATGAACCATACGGCAAGCGACACCGGTATTAGGATTACGGTGACGAGAAAAGCCGCGTAGGATATTAGCGACGGGATGGCAGTGAAGCCTGCTCCGGGGAACAGTAGACATAACGCAGCGGCTCGGTAGGCGGGATTCGAGACATTGTTGAATATCCACAGGCCGAAAATCGACATTGCTGTATACTGATATAGTGTTCGGCGCTGGTGATACTTCTTCACCATGCCGCGACCGGCGTTAGGTGGTATGAGAACATCTGTTAGTCAGGGTCAATCACCGTATTTGAGTTTGTTGTAGGCCAGGAGTGTATTGAGAGCTTACCTTGTATAGTCCATGGGCCCCATTCAAAATCTCCCACTGCCTGAGCTTGCCTTCCAGACTTGCCTTTAGTCTTTTCGGGCAACTGAGGCTTGCCTTGGTCGTGGGGCGGCGAGTAAGGGGGCAATTGTACTGGGTGATGGTCTGTCCCGTTGGAGACCGCGACCTTGGTGGCCTGTGAGGATGATTAATTTACGAGGAATTGAATGGCCCAGACTAGCGTCAATCGCACGTACAGTTGTCAGCGTAGTAGCCATTTCGTTGTGTAATCGAAATATTGAGGACTCGACAGAGCACTAATCGACAAGCAAAGACTCCTCTGGGTTGGAACATTATCTTCTTGAAGATTCTTGGACTAAAATTGGGACCACTCGGGTACTCGGACCGTCCATCGAGATCTTGTGTGAGGATTCTGGATTTGGCATTGAGTCCAACAGGTATGTCTTCCCCTTGGCACAGTGCAGTGATCCGGCCGCAACCCCATGATTCGGCCCCTGATCGAGGAGATCTTACCATCTGGGGTAACGAAACTCTATTTGTCTAATGCGGGGAGACGCGGGGAGAGAAGTGTGGAGAAAAACGTTGGGTCAGGACGGCACAAGCTCAGCAGCTTCCTCTCCAGCTCGCGGCACTGGACAACCGTTCCCGGTCCGCAAGCGTAGAGGGTCCTTGACAGCAGAGACGAGTCATGCTTTCACGCCTCTGGCATCGAAATTAGAAAAAGATGACAGTGATGAGCCGTCATACTTTGCTTGCCCTGTGTTTCTTTGAAGATTTGCCCACCGCTTTGGACCACTACAACCTGCAGTATGGCGTCACCTGAATACAGTCAAACACAAGCTATTGTCTGTCGTGCACCGTCAGACGGGAACAGAGAATGGGCACTCGAGCAGGTGGCCATAGCACCTCCTGCAGATGACGAAGCCATAGTTGAGCTAGTAGCATCCGGTATTTGTCACACTGACTTGATTTGCGGAAGCGCTCCGGATGAAGCACTTTCTCTTGGCCTCCCACCTTATCCACGAGTCCTGGGTCACGAAGGTCACATTTTACCCCCTTCAGACTCATAGGCAATGGCTGACGACTTCAATAACTAGGTGCTGGATATGTGAAGTCTATCGGATCAAAAGTCACCAAAGTCCAACACGGCGATAGAGTTCTACTTTCGTTTTCCTTTTGTACGCAATGCTATAATTGCCAAGATGGCGCTCCGGGCTATTGTCACGGATTTACAGAAATCAACTTTGGCGGCTGTACAGACGCTTTCATGGGCTCACCAGAAGGGATATCCGGTGAGGCGATCGGCGGGTCGTTCTTCGGACAGTCTAGCTTCTCGCGATTGACCAGAGTCAAAGAAACATCTTTGGTGAAAATTACGCACCTCCTCGATGACGACGATGATTTAAAGATGTTTGCACCACTTGGCTGTGGTATTCAGACTGGAGCGGGGACTATCACCGAACTCGCTACCGCCCAGCCCTCGGACAAGATCGCAGTGATTGGACTTGGTGCAGTAGGGCAGGCGGCTATTATGGTGCGGTAAACCCCTTATCAGTTGCAAATGAATTAGGATCTAATTCGAATGCAGGGTGCTAAAATTAGAGGCTGTCGAACTATTATTGCCATAGATCGAATAGTGTCGCGGCTGGAACTAGCGAAAAGCTTTGGCGCAACCCATGTTATAAACACATCATTCTTGACGGGAGGTCTGGTGAAAGAGATTAAGAACATCACTGGAGGCGCTGGAACTTCAATCACGGTAGACGCAACAGGGGTTGTGCCCCTGATACAAGAGGGAGTTGAATTCACTGCTAACCAGGGGAAATTTATTCTTCTGGGTGGCCCACCGATGGATGCAGGTCTGGAAATATCGCTCGTGCGATACATGTTTGTACGTAATGTGTCTTCTCCGCTTCACTTCTTCGCTGACAATCGGCTAGACCGGAAAGTCGATTCTGGGATCGATGGAAGGCAGCGTGTACCCGGAGGAGGTGAGTTATAGAGAATCGAAGCAATATGAGGAGCGAGTCCAAGGTGTAAGATTGCTCACTTTACTTACTATCTCCCAGTATATTCCCAACATGATCAGGTGGTACAAAGCAGGACGTTTTCCTGTGGATAAGTTGGTCAAATTCTACTCAGCCAAGGACTTTCCAAAAGCGCTAAAGGACATGGAAGAAGGCGTTGCCATAAAACCAGTTCTTGTTTGGTGAACTGGTGTTTATTGTGCAAATTGTGCGATTTAGACACCGGAACGGCTTCAGTGCTGTTTCGAGGATACCTTTTGCCTGGTTTCAAGTCGTTACTTTGATCCAATGATAGCACCTGCACATTTAAATCGCTTGATGCATCCGGACCTCAATTCAATCTCCTCGATTTAAAAATGTATTTGAGTAGACTACATATGCCTCATCCAAATTTTGCCTACAAGAAGATGTACAGACATAGTTTAGCATATTGCCTGCCCTGCTAGCAGTTACCACAATCGCGCATGAACTCAGACTCCAAGATCGCGCAAATGCGTGCAACCTCTCTTTTCCAGTTAGGCTTGTCTCAAACCGCGCCAAAACTAGGAAAGCATCCAAGGTTCGCCCCGCCACTTTTAGCAGCAGTCCGACTGCCAATTTCAAATACCCATGATTGGACAATGCTGCTCCTATGAGATCTGCAACCGGTCCGTACACCGGACCGATATGGTAGATCTGGATCTGGCATGAGCCATAGAACCGGGTTTTTGCTACAGCCAAGCCTTACCGGTTTCTTGCGATGTGGTAGCAATGCTTATACATGGATGGCTCGAAAAGAGCAACACAACTACATGGCATCGTATACTGAATAAATAACCCGACAGCCAGGTTGGTTTAAATATTCCAAAAGGTGAGAATTTGGACATGACGAGGTAGCCGTGTACTGGTTGAGGGGGTCCTCGTAAGCGCTATGTAAAGGAGTTTCATCTTGTTATATATAAATGCCCCCCTCACTTGTGGACTACAGCACATGCGGGGTTTCTTTAGAATCAAGATCTTATCGTTCATAGCAGCCAGCATATTGAAGCACTCATACTATATCTCAAGTAGTACATCATGTCTGCAACTCTGACTAACGGCGGAGGGGCCACCCATACCAACGGCAAGTTAGATCTGAAGATAGACTTCCAGGACAATTTTGTACAGATCATCAATGGCAGGAGCGCCCCTACAAAATCAACTCGCCACGGCGTCAACCCAGCCAATCTTATGCCCTTGGCCGAGGTCCCTGTCGCGACCCAAGACGATCTCGACAGTGCCGTCACTGCAGCCAAGGCGGCTTTCAAGACCTGGTCCAAGACCCCGTACGATGACAGGCGCAGTGCGGTGTTGGCTTTCGCCGACGCCATCGAGTCGCAGCGGGTGGAGTTTCGGGATCTGCTTATAACCGAGCAAGGAAAGCCGGTGAGATTGAACCTGGCTTATGTGCACGATACGACGATATCCATGTGCTGAGATCAGTTGATTAGATTCCGCAAGCAGATGCCGAGACAGATGCGGCCATCGCCTGGATCAGGGGCATGGCTGACCTTTCGCTGCCGGAAGATGTCATCGAGGATACCGAGAAGAGAACAGTCATCACGCGCTACACGCCTATCGGTGTGGTGGGAGCCATAATACCATGGAATTTCCCGCTTCTCCTCGCCACGGGGAAGATCGCGCCAGCGCTTCTGACTGGAAACGTCATTATCGTCAAGCCTTCGTGAGCCAACCCTCACTACCGTACTATCAAGGAAATCCTTCACTGACAACAGGGTATAGACCATTCACTCCATACTGTGGATTGAAGCTAGCTGAGCTGGCGCAGAAGCTCTTCCCTCCAGGTGTTGTCCAGTCGCTAAGCGGTGACGATAGCCTCGGTCCCTGGCTCACAAGCCATCCCGGTATCGACAAGATCAGCTTCACAGGATCCACGGCTACCGGGAAAGCTGTTTTGCAGAGTGCCAGCAAGACACTGAAGCGCGTTACTCTTGAGCTGTGAGTGCCCACCTGAGCTAGGAGCCTTTGACAAGCAGAAACACGGACCTAACTTGTCGCACAGGGGCGGTAATGATCCTGCGATCATTTTCCCGGATGTGGATGTGGAAAAAGTAGCACAACAAATTGCAGTCTGGGCATTTTTAAACTCGGGTCAGATTTGCTTAAATTTGAAGAGGATTTATGTTCATGAATCCATCTATGAAGATTTCAAAAAGGCCATGGTCAAGCACGCGGGAAGCTTCGCTTTTGGCGATGGCACGAAGACAGGGATCACTCACGGGCCACTCCAGAACCGTATGCAGTATGACCGAGTGAAGACTTTTTTCAACGACATTGCCAAACAGGGTTGGGAGGTGGCTCTCGGAGGTGAGATGGATGACGAACCGGAAAAGGGATACTTTATTAAACCAACCATTATCGATCGGCCGCCGGAGAAGTCGCGCATCGTGGTTGAAGAACCTTTCGGTACGTCCTCGCCTCTTCCTAGCAGCCCCTATCTTCAGAGATTAATCTTTGTACAGGACCCATCGTGCCGCTTCTCACTTGGCAAAACGAGGAGGACGTGATTGATCGCGCCAACGACACCACCATGGGGCTTGGAGCCTCCGTGTGGTCGAACGACCTCCGAAAGGCTACTCGTGTCGCTAGGGAGATACAGGCGGGCAATGTCTGGGTCAACACGCACTTCGATCTCTCGCCGATAGCCCCTTTCGGTGGTCACAAGGAAAGTGGGATCGGGAGCGAATGGGGACTGAATGGTCTGAAAGCATTTTGCAACGTGCAAACCCTGTTCCTGAACAAGTCGCTGCCGGAATGAGTGACAGACTATTCGTCTCTGAGTTCTTGAACTGGCTGAAGTCGACGTATTCTGCTTCGTATTCTGTCAAAATATACGCTCAAGTACGCTCATTAATTCTAGTATGGGTGCATTGATTTAAGCACCTATGTATGTTAAAATGTCTTCTCAGTCCTAACCATAATCTTGAGTTTATCCTGATGAGACCGTTGCCCGGTAAAGTCCCAACGACGCTAGGGCCGGTGCTCACTTTGGGTTCGCGTGCCCCATGCTTCCGACCACCATAAGCGCGAGACACTCTCGGATGAGATATATCTCATCAGTGTGTTATAAGTGTTGTCATTTTGAAAGAGAATTTTCTGAGCGCTTTTCAAATGATGAAAAGAAAGACAAGGTAAACTTGCTTGACCCATCTACAAAAGTCCTCGGGAGGTTTACCGAGCCTTTGGAGGGGCCGGACAGGAAGTAAGTTGTAAGTTTACTGGTCTCGCACGTGGTAACATCCCGTGAGAGGTAGGGGCTAATGATATATCGTGAAAGTGATTTTCGTGGGTGGGGATGCTACTGCTCTTGGGCAACGGTGCTTGAAAAAGTTAGCTTCAGTGGACGTGGCTGTCTGATGCTGCAATGTAGCTGCGCAATAGTGGAATAGTGGCGGAGGCAGTGCATGCAACCAAGTTAGCCAAGGATTTTGCCCAACCACAATGCACATGCGCTGTCCATTGATATATCGTCTCCTAGTGCTGCGTAAATGGCTCTGCAGGAGCTTCATGTTTCTACAGAAGCAATGGAGATAATTTGACTGAAATGGATCCCGAAGACTTGCCAGCTTTTCTAGACAAGATTTACACTACAGAAGAGTCTCGAGTGGATCTGCTGCGATTGGGTCGCCCGCAGGGTGTTGTCGATGATACAACTTTGGATGACGATGGGATCCGAATCGAGTTGCCCAAGGTGCACGAATCAGTCGTCAAGTCAGTTTCTACGCTACCAGCAGCTACCTCAGCAGAAGGATCCTTTATCCTCCTGTAAGTTCTACCTACCGCCACTACCAGTGTCTGTGTCTTCAAACATCGGAGCCTTTTTGCTTATAGAGATCCCAGCTCTGCCGTCGGCGATCCCGCGTACAGGAGCAAACCGATAAATGTATCCAAGCCTTCATTTACTAGGCTCTTAGAAGCTTGTGGACTCCCGCCTTTCACAGTTGTGGCATGTGGGCTGAAGCGTTTTCATTTGTCACACCACATTCAATATGATGTTGACGGCAGCGACAAGCCGGTCGCATTGATTCTATTGCTTCGGATACCGAGAAACAGCCAATCCATTAGTATCGCCATGCGGATTCGCTTGGCTGACTTAGCCACCGTTGTTTTCCTGACCAGCATGACAGAGGAGACAGGGCAAAACATTCGAAGAAAATGCATAGAGCGTCGTCATCTTCTCGCAAAGCACCCACTGTACTTCCTGATCCTGATATACGAAGATCGATGCTTCGAGTACAAAGTTTGGTTCGACGACATCCTTGAGGAGATCAACGTTGTAGAGTCGGCGACAGGTATGACACGAAATACTTGGAAAATGAAGCTTTCACCGCGGCTGTGGGAGTGGTTCTCCGACTACGACAATCTCCTGCGCATGTTGTACGCGAGCAATACCGAGCTAAGTCACTTCGACACTGTGACAACGTTTTCAGTCAAGCTCGGCGATTTTCTTCTCAATGCACTGAAGCTGATGGAAGAATTGCGTGAAGAGGTCGACTTGGCGCCGCTGTCGAAAAGAGATTTCAGGTGCCTGCAGGAGAGGATCTCATTCACACGATCGCGGTGTGACTTGACTGCCGACAAAACGAAGGAAATGCTAGAGAGAGTGCAGGGTCAAATCAACGTGGTGAGAGATGGCATATTGCCCCCCCCCCCCATTGTTACACTCCCTCATTCTGCGGATCAACTTCAACCTTGATCTTGCCCAGATCAGTGTGAGTTGGCATGCATCTGTCGCTAATCGAGCCCCTAAGGCTTTCAACCTTGTCGCTCAAAGGGACAGTAAGGTAAATCTCGCTGTTGCCGAGGACTCTTACCACGTCGCGACGCTTGCTGCACGGGATAGCGAGACAATGAAAACCATCACGGTGTTAACTCTGCTTTTCCTTCCATCTACTTTAGTCACGGTAAATTCTCCCTCTAATCCTCCCTCTGTCTTAGTTCTTCGTTCAGAAAGGCACTTCTCCCGCGCTGCATATGGTTTATTTATTGACATTTGACAGTCGATTTGGTCTGCAGACCTGTTCCAACTTGAGAAATCTCAAAATTGGAAGGTGTACATCGGTGTGAACCTCGCACTTACAGCTGCTGTCTTTGCCGCTTGGTTCCTGTACCTCCGATTTTCAAGCCTGAGAAGGGAGGAAAAGCCCCTCCATATCGCTGGGGTTGGGTATGTTGAGGGAGGGAAAGTGGTAGATAGAGGTCCTCCTGGCCGAGGCGAGACGTCTTTTGACATAAGAAGGGAAACAAACTGGCACGATAAATAGAGTTCCAATTGGTGGGCAGCAAGTGTTGAAAAGCGATGTGCGCATTTTCTAGTGACAACTCTACACGTTATGCACACATTGGAACTCGGTATCATTGTTTCAAATAAGACGACTTCAACCTGTCAATAGAAAAGTCTTGATAACTACCTGATGAAATGGTCATGTTCTTATGAGCAACCCCTTCTGTCGAAAAAACTGCAATTCAAGCTCAATTGCTTGCAAGTTGAAGTTTCTCCGATCGGAAGAGCACACCGTATCTTCTTGGATCGGTATATATTAGGAAGCACACCATGCAATGGCGATGTTGTATTATATGCTCTTTTATTTACACGCGAAAGTCTATGTAGGCGCATTTTCTGCGCCTGGGTATCCTGCCCTCCTCAGAGAAAGCTCCTCGGTATCACAATGCAAGCGCCAGCTACTAGTCCTCTTGGCAGTATCCCTGACTGCTAACAATGACAAAGTGTCAGTGCAAGGGATGTAAGACGCTGTTGATGAGTGACCTACCAATGGTCTAGCGTCTTAAGATTGTGCAGGTGCCGTGAAGAAAGCAAGGGCGGCACCTGTCGCACCGCTGAATGCAACGACCGAAGTGAAGAATGCGCTCTTTGATACCGTCTCTTGTGCAGCCTTAGGAGGTTGAGTCGCGATCATTCGGCGCGCGACATACGGGCGCATGGTGGTGAGCAGGCGTTGGGCGGCTCTTTGTTGGAACATTTTGAATTGTTGTGGTGCTTGCGGGCAGGTCGAAAGGGGAGAGTAGAATTTGTGCACGAATCAGGAGATGTGGAACCGGTTCGGGCCAGGGATGTGTGCGATGGAAAGCAGATGCAGGTAGATGGTTCAGATGTAGGATGTTTGATTTAAACAAATTGATGCAAAACTCAGGTGATTGATTTCTTACAATAATCTTCTGTTTCGCTGGAGTTTCATGGCTGCTATATGTACCTCAGGATGTCCTGGTGGTGTGATTTTCGGCGCCCGTCTCGTGGCGTGTTGGTCAGACCACTCGCCCACAGAATTTCCCCATGGGGATGCTGTAGGAACTGACCAACACTCAGACCGCGAAGACATTCCGGAACGATGGGAAAACACGGGTTATCGATTACCACAAGAGTAATGAGCTGCATCGACAACTATTGATCATTTAGTTGTTTCCGATAGTGAGTCACGGATAGTACACGGCACCAGAATTGACGCTTTCAAGCCGTGATCGCGATCATTGACGCTAAATGATCGGAGACTCGCGACAGCTTGGAAGAACTTTTTTCATGACATTAAGCACAAAAGCACTTTTGAAAGACACGTTTGTCTTGGAGCACGTGTAATCAAGCCAAGACCCTGTTAGACGATGTTCGGAAGACAAGCGGCAGAATCATTCGAGACTTCGATCGCTCGGGCCGCCCTCTGGCTTCCATGACAGACGATCACAACAGAGCCACGATGCTGATTATGAGCTGGCACAAATGATATTCAAGATGTTCCACTAGGAGTAACAGACATTATATTATGAGAAGTACGCAGTGAGTCTCAGGAGCTGTTCCACATATCTAAAATCACTGGAAGGCCAGAGATAATGTGAACCGGCCCGTTCCTGGCTGCATCGACTTCGCAACGAATGCAACCAGAGAGTGCTCAAGTAAGATAGCTGTATGTGGTGTAGATTCCAATCGGGCAGTCGCCAATGTCAGCATTTCCAATATCCTGGAAATAAGTGAAGGTTGTATCATTTGTCGAAGTTTCTGTCCCAGGTTAGTGGCTTCATTTTGTAACTAGGGGAATGAAGGGGTCGACACTCACTGCCAGCAACACAGGTTCCAGCACCCACAAAACATGGACCGATGTCTAGGGTGTAGACGAAGCCTGGTTCCAATTTCACGGGCGGGAACGGGGGGAATGGACCTGGTGCGGGCTGGTTGTTGTAAGTTGTTGCTGAGCCTACATGGAGTCAGTGTCTCGTTCTTCTGGTCATGTGTCTGGAAGAGGCCAAGTAGATCAAATTACTTACCAGGGCAGCTTCCAGGGTTGTACCCCTCGAAAATGAAATTCCCACCCCCACTGATACTGAAAGAGCTTGTCTTCAAGTCCTCCAGCTTCGGGAAGATGAATTCCAGCGTGCAGTTGGCATCTGTGCGACTGGCCGGGATGTCGAAGCTGAAGATAGAGCTGATGTCGTTAGGTGTGAAGACGCCATTGTATTGAGGACCAAACGCTTTGTCAGGCTCTGAGGCCGAGATCTGTGTGATGTAGTGAGGGAACTCGAACTCTCCAGCTGGGAGGAGGGCTGGGCAGTTGGCCCTGGGGTTGATAGAAGAGGAAGATCGGGTCCACTCATGAGATGCGAGTGGACGCTTGGAGACGAGCTCAAAAGGAGCCGCAATAGCGAAAGACGCGAGCAACGATGGGATAGTAAGAGTGAAGGACTTCATGGTGACGGAATGCAGTGACTGAGTTATGAACCGTCGTTGATACTTGGAGCAGGATGTGACAACAGGCCGCTATATATCAACAAATTTGTGGAAGGGGAGAACGTGGCTGTGACACCTCTCCTCGTGCTGCTCAGCCGAAGGGATAGCAGCAGCAGAATATATACTCATACGAGCGATGATATATTCACCGAGTCAACCTTCTCGGTCGAAACTTGTGTGAGATCGGCCCGAGCCTGCCAGTGCTTCTTCCCCCTCATAATTAAACACACATTGCGCTAGCTTTGTCAATCCCTGGCCTTAATTCAGCCCCGACCGCCATCAAGCCGGCGCCGCAAGCCTCCCGTGCCTCCCAACTGTCAGAGTCGGATTTGCGCAAAAGCAGGACATCCGGCAGATTGTCAAGGTATGCGATATTGCTGTGTGACTCGAGCACGGTCCGCCTTGGGGTTGCCCAGAACGCCCCGCGGCACGTTGCCGTGCGGCCGTTGAATCCCAACATTCAACTAGGTTTCTTGTCTCGAAGGATACTCGACAACAAACATCCTTTGACAGCCTGCTTGAAAAAATACACAGAGAGTCAACAGCTGAACCTCTGCAAGTTTCGGTCAAAGTCTTCGGGCTTGTGTTTAGTACGTAAGCTTACGCAGCCTCAACGAAGGTTAACGCCACAAAATAATGCTGTCTCTCAGCCCGTAGAGGTGATCATTGTACTTGCTAAATTGTTAGCCCGCTCGGGATGCATGTAGGGCTCGGCACCGCAAGTGCCACCAGGAAGCTGACAGCTGACAACTGACAGCGGAATTGGGCGCACCTGATCACAATTTCGGTGCCCTATACGCTGTCGGAAAGCTGCATAGGGTGCTCGTACAAGGTAATGATCCGTAAGTGGGCAAAAGACCCACGGCTCTATGGTGGAAAATCAGCTGAATCGGGCTTATTGCCAACATGCAGTAATATTACGGCGTCAACATCCTGGTGCATTGCGCTGAATGTTCATCCCATCTCCAAAGTGGATGGTAGGCGCAGTAAAGAGGCTGACTTCGGGACCGAGCCTATTGGTAAATTGAGAGACAGCTTCAGGGCTTGGAGGATTCTGGAGGATGCCTAGTTACATGCGCCAGCGCATAGCTCGGCACTTTGACCGCTGTCATCTATGCAGTGGCCTCGTATATTGGTAGACAAGTTGCGAATTGTTAGCTCTTGCCGATAACGACTTGCTCAATTCCAAGTGCAGTGGGGCTGAAGAACAGTGGCCCTATGATTACACGACAAGCACCGAGTGCCCCACCAAATGACAAGCATTGGTACGCCCAACGGTCTGGATGGCTCGATTCCACTTGAGAGGCACCTCGCAAACACCTGGTAGTGACAGCTGCGAGTCACAGCTCTTTGTGAACCACAAACTACTCATCAACAATTGCGGAACCCATTGTGGCTCAAGCAGTTCTGTTTGACAGTTGACTGACCAAACTCTGTTGTAATTTGAAAATGCCACCTTTTCTCTGTCGCAAGTAAATTCATGCTTTCTATCAAACAAAAGCGACTGGAAAACCTAAGTAGACAAGCTGTAAGAACCAAATCAGTCACTCAAACACAAGACGAGAAACGAGTCTAAAGTACTCATCCCAATAGCATGGATCAATCAACACAAGGTGTCATTCTATTCTTGTTGCTGCTCGGCATCCTGCTAACACTTCGCTACACCATCTCCTTGATTCCCGGCGTCTGTGAGGACTATCTCAGATGGCGATACGGAAGGGACAGGGACGTCGGACGCGTTACATGGAGAGACCGAACAATTCGACCTGCGAGACCGGGATCGCCGCAAGTAGTATAGTCTGTTGCATTTTAGACCATTTTGCATTGTAGAAGCTTAAGCATTACATTTGAATGATCATTAACAGACTCACGGGTCACACCCCAGCGTAATCTGCGAGTCGTCTCCTGATTTGTTGTGAATACGTTCCTATCAGTCCATGTCACAGGCTTGTTTCCCCGCCACAGATATTTAAAGAAGGTCACACCCACATTAAAATGGCTGCCATATAGTAAGCCCAATCGTCTTGACATACGAGAAGGTTTTCGCAAATTCTGAATGGTTCTTTCACAATGGTCGTAACTAGCGGACTATTCTGGTTTTTTATCGCAATCTCTCTGCTTGCCTTGATATGTGGCCTGTATGTCGTGGTGGAGAAGGTCTGGGGAAGCCGAGATCGCCTCACATTTGGAAGACTCTGGAACATGTGGCATAAGAAAGATACGCACATCCAGCATGTAAACACTGGCGAGGGGACGAGTGCTGTGAGGCAGGAAGGTGCCGTCGGTTAACGAGGATCTGAGGTAGAGCAGTGAGTCGTTGCACAATTTTATTCACAATGGAGAAACCACACATTCTTTTTTGGTTATTCAAGGCCAGAACTGACTGCGGCTTCCATTTCTCCCACCTTCCAGAAGATAGGATATGAGAAAGTGAATTGGACTGGAGAGCACGGAAAGTACCGGGTGCCTTTATAAGGACAGGAAACAACGAGGTATCCAGTAGTTCTTTTCGTCCCAAACTCATCAGCAAGTCCGAAAACAAGGAAGTTCAAGGTGAAAACGAACCGTAGACACCAAGCATCAGGTAGCAACACACCAGCATCATGGACGCATCAGAAACTCAGCCAGCAACGGGTGCGACAACAGGATCCGAATTTGCAATTATCCTTCTTTTTAGCACCTTGATGTTGTCAATTTTCGTGTTCGCAGGCTGTTATTTTCTTGTGAAGGCAATTTGGCATAGGAGACAGAGGCGGGTCCAAAGCGGCTCCCATAAACAAGTAGAGATGGCGGCGTAGATATCAAAGGGCAAGGAGCATATTTGACTGTGCGGCATGAGGTCGTAAACTGCCGTGGAAAGAGACGAGTATGATAAGGTTATGAGTTTCTTATTTTCTTTCTTCATAAGGAAAGGAAAGAAGTTGAAGTTTTAAATCTATTGTCGTCTCTTAAACCGGCTTGATACGTTTCCCGTGACAACCTTGAGTCCTGGTCCCTTTCTCTCCGGGTTTCAATCCACCCGAACCCCTCGTCTGCTCCCAAGAACCATCGAAGCAGATACCGCGTCCCTACAGGTTGACAGAAGGAATCCAAAAGCCAAAGACGATTTACAAGTCCATTTTTCAGTTGCTTTCCGTGTCCTCTTCGCACGCATCCGAGAAGGAGTCAACATCAACCACGTGATATAACCTGCCGGGCTTGTCAATGACTCCTTGTGCGTGAACCAAAAAGTCGCATAGTGAGTCAGTACGCTGCATTGAACCATACCACATAGGACAGAAGCTGAGAGACCACCTGTCATAGCAGGACACCAACTCAGATGAGACAAAAGCCCAACGATAAAGAGCACCGATCAAACGATCAGAACGGGTTTCGATTCGTACGCCGAGAAGCGCAAGCACGCATACTTTCCAATGACACTGGGATATCCAAGTTCTGAACATTCAAAATGGAGGAAGTTCTCATTTTCTGGTTGGCGTTTCTGACGATCATCATCGTCGTGGTCTCGGCCCATTGCGTTCTTGTCAATATGGCTCGGGGTTCTAAAGATCAGAGGCTGATGCCGGAAGGCTGGCTGGAGCTAGATGCTGCGCGGGAGTGGCCTGGTCAAGATGAAGGTGTCGAAACCAGGATGCCGGCGGAAGCTCACCTGAAGCGCTAGCAGGTGTTGTTGATGGAATCTGGTTTGAGTGGTCTCCGGCGGTTTCCGCTGTCATCGTGGCATCCTCGTTGCGATTTTTAGAGGTGTTGCAAAGTATGGACAGGAAGAGCAACGAACCGACGACAAAGACTCGTGGTCCAAGATCCCGACCTCATAGTCTGATACTCATGAACAGGATGGAAGCCAGGAAGCAGTGGAGTTTTCGAGTTAGCTTTGAATTATGATATTCTCATCAGCCCAGCCATCACGTGCGCCCAAGAACGCCGGCCCATGCAAAAATATGCCCACCTCTTATTGTAACGCGTGCTTTGATCCTTTCCCTGCGAAAGCGCCACTTGCGTTACCTTCTTCTACCCTGAGGGGCTCCACCCCCCATCCCGCCCATCATGCCGCCCATCTGCTTCATCAAGGCATTCATGTCCATACCGCCCATATTCGGCATGCCGCCGCCGCCTCCACCGCCCAGCATTTTCATCATGCTGGAGATGTCGGGCATACCACCGCCACCGCCAGCCCCGCCTCCCATTGACTGGAGGCGTTTCTGCATGGCTGCCATCTGCTGGGCCTTGTTTCCGCCACCCATGGCCGCCTGGGCGCGCTGCATGTTCTTCATGTTGCCGCCCATCTTCTTGGCCATGCCGGCCATCATGCGTTGCTGCGTGAGCAAGTCCTCGACTTCTCTGACGCTGGTACCGGAACCTTTGGCGACACGGGTCATGCGCTCGGGCTGGTCGATAAAGAGCTTGCCGTCGGAATCGAGCTCCTTCTTAGTCATGCTGTCGCAGATGTACATCATCCTTCGTAGCTTGGCATTGCCCTCGTCGTCATCCATTCCCGCCATCATGTTGCTCATGCCTGGGATCATGCCCGCCATTTTGGACAGCGGCCCCATCTTCATGATGTTCTGCAGCTGGTCCCTAAGGTCGCGAATCGTGAACACACCTTCAGTGATGTGCTTGATTGTGTCCTTCTGGTCTAGTTTCAGGGACTGGACGTGCTCGACCAATCCTGCCATGTCACCCATCCCGAGGAGCTTCGAGACGAACTGTTTGGGCACGAACCGCTCCAAGTCCAGCATGTGCTCTCCCGTGCCGATGAACACGATCGGTGTATGTGTTGCCGCGACGGCTGATATAGCACCACCACCGCTGGCATGGCCGTCCGTCTTGGTGATAATAATTGCCCCGAAATCCGCCGCCTCTTTGAAAGCCTTTGCTTGTGCCTCGGCTTGTTGACCAATGCTCGCGTCCAATACCATGATTGTCTCGTCGGGTTTTACTGCTTCCTGGATATCGATCATCTCCTGGAACAGTGCTGATTCTTGTCTATGCCTTCCTGATGTATCGACAATGATGACCTCGAACTTCTCCTTCCGGAACTTCTCAACACCTTCTCTTGCGACCACTGCGGGATCCGTCTCTGTCAGGCTACCGTAGTATGGGATCTTGGCCTTCGTGGCGTTCTGCTTCAACTGGTCGAAGGCACCGGCTCGGAAGGTATCGGCGCACACCATACAAGACTTGAAGCCTCGAGCCTGGTAATGCCTGGCCAGCTTGCCCACCGTTGTAGTCTTTCCGGCACCCTGCAGACCGACGAACATGATGACATTGGCGCGACCTTTCTTAGGCTTGAAGGGTTCATTGTGAGGGTTCACGAGGTTCACAAGCTCGTCATAGACAGCCTTTTGGATCAGCCGCTTCTTGTTGACGGCGGGGGGTAGCTCTTTGAAGTTGACGGTGGACTTGATGGATTTGCGGAGTTGCTGGACGAGGCGCACGTTGACGTCTGCTTCGAGAAGGGCGGCGGAGATCTCCTTGATCATGGAGTCGAAAGCCTGCAGCAAGAGAGGTGGAAGTTAGCTCAGCGCGACAGGTAGTCATAGTTCAAGGGAGACACGGAGCATGCGCCTGGGGGAGCTTGCCTTCTCGTCGAGGTTTGGTGCCCTGGTGAGGTCGGACACGGCCGTGTTGATACGGCGTCCGAGATCTTGAAGAACCATGGCGCCTGCAAATTGATTTGAACTGCTGTGAGTGTTGGCGTTGCTTCGCAGATGGACAGCAGAGAGGGCAGCTGTTGTTTGGTGGATGATAAGTAGGAATGCGAAGCAGTGGGCTAAAAGAGACCAGAGATGCGCCAATGCTGTTCGCCCGCCGTCGCAAAGGTTCTAGAAGCACTAAACGGAATCGCGGGGTGTGGGTGGCCACCGTCTCGGCCGGCAGCTTAGGTAAGCGCCGTTTGTCGCTGCTCACACGTTCAAGTACGGAGGTACCCAGGTACCTCGGTACCGTGGTACTTCTGCACTATACAGAAGTATGTGCCACCAATTCCCTCCGGCTGTGCTGCATGACGATCAGGTCAATTGTTGTCACAAGAATATCCCCATCCTTTGTTCTATGAAGTCCTTTTTACTTTTCACCCTCTTTTTTCACTACGAATTCATATCAAGCAAAAATCATCGAAATCGCACTCAGCCCTTCCTTTGATATCCAATGCCTCTCCATCCATGATTCCGTGGATATATGCTTCACCAATGACTTCAAACGTTGGGATGCCATCGAGTCTGTCGCCAACCCTTCGACTCACAGGCCGTAGGACCAAAGGCAAGTCTCCACCAGCCATGACTGCGACGGCATCCCCCGGTTTGCACCAGTCCGGACCGAGCCCCATGTATCCACTCTCCGTAAAGATGAAGCTCCTTTCCAACGACGCAATCCATGCGGTGGTCTCTATAGGGCCGCCTTCGCCAGCGAGTATATTCGAGTGGGCCGGCGAGGACGGCTTGAAAGTGCGTTCCCACCATACATCCAGAACATGCTCGTCGTCCTTGCCGCGCAGTCTGCTATATACCCCTGCCTCCTGTTTGCAATCCATGCACAGGGTATGACGTATAGTTGTGAGAGCTTGCTCCGGTGTCTGCTGATCATTCTCGATCCTTTTGTTTGCCGTGCGCACAATATCTTCAAGTGTTTTGAACCTGGTGGACCAGGAACTGCCAAACTCAAATACGTGTTTAGCGCCAATATCTTCAATGGAGTCGAATATAAACCCAGTTGCGCGCACTTGTCCCACTGACTCGAGATGCCACGCGGCTTTGGACCCTTTGCATGCGTTGAACGCTTCATTCTGGAGCAGACTGCAGTTGTGCAACGCACCATTGGATTGTATGCTTGGCCGATATGCCCAGTCGACAGCAAAGGATGGCATCTTCTTGTGCACACGACGCTCTGGATTATGGAGATGGCCGAGCACTTTCAGATTTTGGTACTTCCTGATCCAGGCTAAGGTGAAGTCTTGAAAGAGCTGTTCCGGAGGTATCGTATAGTCTATATTGACGATGTGCTCAGTGTCAGGCAGTAGACCCATCAGACTATAGATCTTGTCCCTCGGATCCGCCGAGTCGCGGTATCGGAAGGCTCCTAGGACATTGAGAAGTGACGTCCCGGTATAAGACAATGATAGCATTGCCATTTTTGTGAATGCTGTTGACAGAGTCTCTCCAGAAGTCGGTTCCAATTCTGCAAATGCTGATGGTGTTCGAACATTTGATGTAACAATATTGTAGATGGCGTCACGAATCATCTCGGCTGCAACTTCGAGTCTTCCGAGCTGGAAGGTTACCTTGCGGCCGCGTAAGGGTTCCTGAACCGTCCAGACTCTGTTCCACCAAGCTCGGTTGAACAGAGATATCAGGCCGTGGCATATTTGGGTGACGTTGCAGCCGGCACTCTGGGTGAGCTGGTCGATCTGCGACTGCTGACCCCCAGCAGCAACGGTGAGGAATTCCAAAGACTCAAACAGATAGGGGTAAGGCTCTCCCAGGTAAGCAATAACATTGGTCGCGCCTGAAAATATCCGGCCCATGAGCCGGACCTGTTGACTTCTCTCCTTCAAATCATCCTGCTCGGGCCCCTGATTGATACATATGGCATCAACCCAGAGGACGCGCGCGGCTCCATCGGGAAGCGAAAGATGTTCTAAAGATGCATGGAGATTTTTTGTGACTCTAAAAGCATGACCATCAACAGTTAGGACCTGTAGATCCTCTGCACTGCCCCAAACATAGGACAACGCTTCGTACGGTGGCGGATCGTTGATGGGAACAACGTTGAGATGACATGTAATTGAGTTCTGGCGGCTCGAGTATAGTGAAACAAGACGCATCTGTTTGGAAGGGTCGATCTGGGAAAATGCCACGGACGGATCAACAAATTGAAGTTTTGTAGTCGTAGCCATCACCGCCAGCTAGACTTCCAAAGCTAGCCTGTAATGCGGGTTGAGGGGAAGCAACAGGGCGTTGGAAATGCGGGGCCCTTATAAGGCGGCAAATGAACTCAGGAAGCATTACTTAAGGCATTGTCTCCACTGGACTAAATAACGGTGGCTCTTCTCCGTGTCACAGAAATCCAGCCACATGCGTGTCTCAGAACTTCCCAACTGGCTGGCTCATTTCAAGCTGGAATCCATGTGTTAGTATCGAAATCACGCTCATAAAGTGTGAGTGTCCATTTCTCCGGTAGTTAAGATTTTAACGAATGAAACTCGTACGTAAGGCTAGATGAACAGGCAACGAAGACAACAAGACATGCGGAAAACGCAAGGTTGACAAAAGAAATCAAGCAGCAGTCGAGAAAAACAGAGTCATTTGATGCGACTCCCCAACTGATTTGGATCTGCTGACAAACAATGATTTCAATAATGTTAATCCACCCAAATGACCGATCGGCCAATATCGTCAATGAAGTAGATGAAGCTCTCAAGGATGAGGAATTAGGAAGGCGGGGCGTATGAAATAGAGCGATCTCCCTTCCACCCTTACAATCGGAATAGGCAAGATATATATTGAGGAGACGGCTGTTTGGTATCGTACCAAAAGGGAGGAAGAAGTTCGAATGGTCTAAATTGTAGCGAATATCACTGAAACAGCCCCTTTGTACTTCGTGTCTCTGATCAGCAACCAAGAAATTTCCGCGCCGGGAGAGCCCGTTACCTGGCCCTGGAACAACACGTGCTAACATTTTACTAATTCCCCTCTGACTTTTCTAGCCAGATCGTGGACTCGATACCCGTGGGGCCCAATGGGTGCCTCGTCTTGCCACCGGAGCCATCGGACTTGACGGCCAGGACAAGATCGGAGAAGCCAATTCCCCTCTCTTGCATGCGCTTGATGTCTTGTTCAGTCTCGGCAGCACGCACTACCACCGTGGAACGGGCAGATCCCTGTGGCACACCAATGTCGAGGGTATGCGAGTTTTGCGCGGCGGGACCCTCGAGCTTGGAGCCTAGAATCTTGGAATAGACGCGGGCATATTCGGCCAGCAGGTGCTTGGGTACGAGGATATCGCAGGCCGCGATGCCAATGGCACCGCAAGGATGTGTCGTCTTCTTCTCATCTTGACTCGGGACCCTGTCGGTTCGCGGGGTAATATCGTGGCAGAAGAATGGGACGTCGATTCTGCCATTGGCAAAAAGCTCTTGACCGGGCGTCTTGTCACCTTTGGAGAACTCCGGTCGTGTAACCTTCCACTTGATCTCCACACCGTCTGCTTTCTTGCGTGATCCCGCAATTGGCTTGCCGAATTTGATACCAAGACCGGAATCTTTGTCAGGCCCCTCGGACAATCGTTCATTGACTGTTCCTACCGATTCCTCGGCAGAGTGGGTTGTATCGGTGATTGCAAAGTCGATCAGTCCCGGGGTTTTGGGCCCCCAGAATCTCATCGGCAATCTCTCATCGTCCAGAGACGGTGGCGTGTCGTACCAGTTGATGAACTCCAGGTAGCTGCCATCAGCGAAGATTACTAATTTGTTGCGAGATGGTTGGCCATCGTGGTAGCCTCCAGGGGTGACGGTGAAGTTGTCGGTGACCCAGGCGGGTAGGTTTTCAAAAAAGGGGGTATCGACAAGAAGGACAATATGATCTTGTTGTGTGGAAGTCATAGTGCAGGCTTTTGACTGTGGTTGGTCGTGATTGATTGTTGTTGACTGTGGTAGATTGTTGCTGACTGTGGTTGATTGTGAAGTGTGATGTTTTTATGCGATGACCCACAACCGACAGCATTCGCTATACATACTACAAATACGGACCCTACCGTTTACCCACTTCCTGTATGCTTCACTACTATTCTTCCAAAATGGGTTTTCCTAGAGCCATTCTTCTAGATTGTTTTTTTTCTCGAGGTTGAACAACCGAGAAAAAAAAACCGATTTGATTGAAGAGTTTTCAAACAGTTTTGGCTTGGCGTGAGGAGTACATTGCCTGTTCTCTTGATGCAGACCTGTAAGCGCTGCACACTAGACTCTCTATTGGTGACTGCATACAGTGGAAGTAGGCCAGGCACCTCTGCAGCTGTAGACGCGCGAAGCTGCAGTGGCGCAGCAGCAGCGAGCTCGTGTGTGCTCGCGTGACTTGTGTAGCACAAGGCTGACCGAGCTGACGCAGGCAACGAAGGAGACAAGTGGCGGTGCCAATAGCAAGATCAAGATGATCTGATCAACTCCACTCTTCCTCCTTCAACACTGTCTTCACAGATTCGTCGAATGTGCACGAAGTGCAAAGTTCGCCAAACGATGGAGGCTTATTTCGCAAGCCCCCAGCATGAATGGTGGCCACGGCCATCTGACGGTCGCTTGGTCCCGCTGGTGCTGCAGACCAACGATGAGCCGCATCTGTTACCCGAGACACCACGATGGACCCGGATAGGCAAGATCCTGCCGCGGGTATCGCCGATTCTCCTAATCTCATACTGGGCTGGATCTTCCTTGTTCGTGCCCGGCACGCGGAAGTACCGCATCAACATCAGATCCCTGGCCTTTACCGCCATCAAGCTGCTCATCGCATGGCCCCTACTTTGTATATTGGTATGTAAACACATATGTGTCAAGCCGGCCACACACTCTAATAGATGGCGGTAGATGTTCTGGATAGGGTATCATGGGTTTCCGTACTTCGATCTTATCAACGCCCAGCAATTTGGGACAATGGACTCTATTTCGCGATACGACACGGTCCGTGTCCTTCAAAGCGAGGATGCGGACTCAAAGCACGATCTTTCCGATCAGGCTGGCTCAACACAGGGAATCCGTTCAACTTCAGCACCTTCTGAAGCAGGCAGCGAAATTGGATCCTCGCAGCAATATCAGGACAATATTCGACTGACTGAGGCGTCCACGTCGTCCGCTGTGCTCGGCATGACATCAGATGCAGCAAGAGCCGACGAACACGACATTCCCGCTTCAGTTCGCCCGAGATATCTCTGCTTCATCAAAGATTATGAGACGGGTACCTACGAGACTGTAAAGGTGACAGACTATCTCAAGCAAAATGGAGACGATGTCGACCTCGAGTTTGTCTTTGTCTCGTACACGCGCATGCAGTTTCGAGTTGCAACCGAGGAGGAGATTGTCAAGTTCCCATATCCCGATGAAGCCACCCGAAAAGCAAACAGGGAGCTGGCGCGGACAGACCGAGAGATGCTTGCACGATGGGGTATGGACGCGGCTAATAAGGTTGGAAAGAGAGCTTTCTGGCTCGACTTCGAATGCGTTCGCAACGACGACGGCATCGCCAGGTCCACCAGCAGCAGTGAGGACGTCTACCGCATCTGCGACATTGTCCGAGCCGCGCATTCAATGATTATAGCCATTGGGCCCACGACGAATGACAAAGTGGCATCCATTCTTGCTGGAGAAGAATCTCCCCCGTACAGCCGCGAGTACGTGACACCATGGCTACGGCAGTGGGGCTCGCGTCTGTGGACTCTGCCAGAGCTTCTCCTATGCCCCGGGGAATACAGGATCCGCCTCTATGTGGTCGGAGATCCCTCTGAGCCCAAGGCCATGGCGAAGCGAAACTTCGCCGAGCGAGCCTGGGATGATGCCGAAGCAGTCAAAGAGCTCGTTAACCATTTTGAGGGATCAGCCATTCTCACCTCGCAGCATCTGATCGAAGCAGCACTAAACTGCTTCTCCAGGCGGCAAACGGACCAGTTTAGCCAGGGAGACATCGCCTATGCGATCATGGGTCTGTTCCCGAACCGCCACCGGCCACGAGTGAACAAAAACGACACCGGTTTTCAAGCCTTCGCAAGGCTCTCCCTAGCCAACGACAGCGGAGCATTCCTGGAGCGCTTGATCTGCCTTGCGCCGAAGCCGGGTGCCCCGTGGCATCAGACGGAGGACCGCTGGGGCGTCAAGCTCAGCGACATTCATCCGAACAGCAAGGTCTACGGGGTGCTGGCCTCGGACACGATCCTACTGGATGGGGTGTTCGGAGCTACCATCGAGTGGGAGGAACTCCGGCCAGAGCCCGTGATTGATCGGAAGTCGGGAAATTTCCTGAAATTCTACATATCGATGGCGTTTGCGCTTTGTGTGATAATACCGGCCTGGTGCACTTTCTTCTACACCGTCAGTAGCCTCACTGGATCTCCCTTCACGGCCACCGTCTCTGCACCAAGCTCGGTGGTATCAATCATTCTCGGTTGTGGCCTTTCCTTGATGGCAATACTGGCTGGTCTGGCACCTGTAGTGCTGATCTCAACCCGTGTAAGCCCTAAACAGCCATACAAGGCTCGCTTGATCGGAATTGAGGGTAGGGTAGACGGCGGGACGATTGAGAAGCATCTCTGGGGTTTCAACCACGGCAACCTCGTTGACACGACCCCTTCATCATACAGTGACGCGGATGAACCGCACAGATCATCTTCGCCGCCGCTATCTACCGGAGCGAACGAGTCTTCTTTCACACTTGTCGACACCTACTTGATGACAGTGACGCATTTTCGTTGCAGCCTGCCGCCAACCACCATGCTGATATTTGGTCAAGAGGCAGGCATGCAGCGGACTATTCTCTGTTCGTACAACTGGAGGACACAAACTTTCCATCGCCAGACGGTTCTCAGAGTCAACCGTCAAGGGCTCGACCAGATGCACAGGGTCGACAGGATTCGATTCTCGCTTGCACCGCACCCGAAATTTGATAGCAGTCTGAACAACGGCGTGCCATTGGGGCTAGAGCGACGACAACCTCCAATGACAACGCCTACCGGAATGGAAGTTTCTAAGCGTGGCTGGCGCACTTGGAAGGCAGAGTTCTTGTTCTTTGCGATAAGCCTCGTACGTGTTCATTCCGTCGCGCACCGATTGTGCACAAAAACTATGTTAACTCTGGGTAGTTCACCGTCAACTTTTGGAACCTTTATACCCCTCTACCACTAGATTCTAATCTTGGACCTCTGCTCGGTGGCCTTTCGTGGGTCGTCTCTCAAGTACTGGGTGTTGGACTGCTATCGCGTCTGCCACTCAGTCAGGTCTTTGGGCCTGTCCTTGTTGCAAACGGTGAGTCTTTTTATGGTGATTGTGATGTCGCTTTATTGTGACTGAATTACTCCTGATGTCTCTTACGAAGACCTTTCCAGGAGAAAGAGACAGGAATTGGAAGCGTACCGGGATTCTGAAGAAACTTTGGAGGTTCTTGGTATCGCTGATTTCAACTCGCTAATCTATCTTCTTCAGTGTTCTTACCAATACTTCAAATTGCAGTCCGAGCCGAGCTTATATACTATGTGCTCCACCGAATTGTCACTGGCGTCTTCACTTTGACGTTGATCGCTTATACACTGTACTGGTATCGGATCGAGGAGGCGGCCCTTCGATTTTTATTCTGGAACCTCATTACACCAAAGTTCTTTCAACTGCTTGCCACGTACGGGACGCTATCTTTTGTACTGGCTGGCTACGCCGTTAACTTAATACTGTTCTATTACATTCAAATTTCCGGGATATCGAACCACGTGATTGGCTCGCCCATGGAAGTGCAGTGGCTCTCTGCAGAACAGAAAGTCATGTACTCCAGAATGGCAGCCGCTCACAGACTCCTGGCCAACACTGGCGGGGCGCTATGGCGTCAACAACGTGTAGGTCACAGCTCCACAGCTCCGCGTTGAGCTGTCGGCTAACTATAGCAGTGGCCTCTGGTCAGATATGCGCAGCCCTCAGTGGTTTTCATTGTGTCTTTGTTACACACCATCTCAACAGGGCTTGTGGTCACGACTTCTACTCGTCCTGATTCATGGACAGTTCGCGTTACATTCGTCCTGCTCCTGCTTGCAATCTTAGTCGGACTTGTTTCCTGCAGGTTTCCCTCGGCTCCCTGTGAGTAAGACGGCTTTGGAAGAAGAGCAGCGTGAATGGTGCTAACCACATTAAATCGACTAGTTTTTATAATGGTAACCTTTGCAATAGCCGCAAGTCTCCTACAAATGTTTGGTCTGTTAGATGAACATGCGGGTCTTATCTTCCGCGTATTGCTGCAGTCGAATGCCATGGTGCCACCACGTAAGTCAATACGCAGGAAACACAGCGACCTCTGACTAATATTTGATTTCATCAAGTCCTTTGGTCAGTCGCCGTCCATCAAACAACAACCTGGCTGGAAGCGACGGGGACCATTGCGCTGGCAATATCAGGCCAGGTAGCCGCTTCTACCCTGCTGTCCTGCTCAGGGCAGTATAAAACGAAGAACTGGGGTTTGGCTGTCTATATTCCCGTGTTTTTGGGACAGGTCACCTTCTGGGCTTTGCTGTGGGCGTGCGGAAGGTTGAGTACGAGGAGAGTCAGGCTGTCGAGAAATGGGCAACCAGCGAATCCTGCTGATTAAGTAATACATACAAGGCAATAAACGCCACTAGCTAGTTTTTTGAAGCATCTTTCCTCGAGTCTCTAATTATTGATTTCCCAGCTATCATATTAACTAATAATGTTGAGGTACACCTCGTTCTTATAGCTTCCTATTTGCTCTTTCACAACCATTTCCCACACAACGCCAACTTCTTTCACGACAACCTCGGCGGTCTCAATCCCTTATCACCACTGCACTTTTCACGAAGAGCCCTTCGACTGCAACCTTGACCAGAAATCTCGCGGCATTAGAAACACTGACGCTGTCGGTCAAACGTATTCCGACACCGTCGCTGCCCAGTGTCTGCACGTCCGCGTTGGTGTCAGCCTGCTTCTGCTTCTCAGCATCGTCGAACTCCAGCTTCGCAGCCCTAACAAGAGTCCAATCCATTCCCGTCGACCGGATCTCCTTATCCACTAGGCCATGGTCCTCGAGCGCGTACTTGACATTGGTCCACCCCATAAATGCCTTGGACAGCCACGGTATGTTAGCCCAGGAGTCCCCGACACCCACTGTCGACATGACCACAACGCGACGAACGCCGGCCTGCGCCAGAACCTCGCACACATTGGCGACGGAGTCGGCCAGGAAGCGAGGAGGTGAGAGCTGGGGCGCGAAAGGGCTGTCGGACTTGCGGTTCGCGTTCAACGTGACGATGGCCGCAGCTGGTGTCAGGGAGGGCGCTGCGGACAAACTCGCTTTTATGTCCGCCTTCGATAGCGGCGAGCCGGTGGTGACGGTGAGGCCAGGATGAGGGGGAAGGCTGCCTGAGGCACGGACGAGGGCTACCGCGGTGTGACCTTGAGACAATAACTCGGACACGACGTGCTTGCCGGTCCGCCCAGTGGCGCCGAGGAGTAGGAAATGCATGGTATCCGATAGGAAAGCTGCTGATTGAGTATTTCTTTGTTTGTCTGAACTGGTGAAAATTTCAAGGTGGAACAAAGCTTGGTTACTAAAGGGCGACGAGCGTTGCAAATGTGTTGAATATTGATCAGCCTGCAACTATCCGGATGGGCGAACAAGTTCACTTATATATGTCAAAATAAAAAGAGACCTCAAGTGCTGATGCCTTGGATGCCCTGTAGGGCTGCAATGGGTCGAATAATCGTCAAGGCTGACGAAACCACCCCCCCCCCCCCAATGGCCTCAATAGTGTTGATTGGTTTGTTCGGTCCACATACTGAAAACAGACGCCCCGACACCCCGAGTATCGAGTGTAAAAAGGTACGTACATAAAAATACGAACATATTTTGAATCCTCAGACAATTTTGCTTATACCCGGCAGGAAATAGCAACCACCGGCGGGCGCAGCTGAGAGCTCAAGTCGTCGAACACGCAGGGCATGAAGGAGGAGGAGCCGTCAGCGCTAGCTCGATTGGGTAGTGGGAGCGAACCCGCCAACCACACGTGTTGTTGAGAGGGCCGGGCCTCATCTAGACTATGGGTCTGTCTGTCATACCTAGCTCCGTTCCGGGTCCCGGCCCAGGAGTCTCGGTCGATATAAGACACCGAGTGGCTGGCCCGGTCTATTTCCAAAGCTCCGAGATGGTATCGTCTTTGCTCATGTCGAAGCTCACCGCCAACAGCCCTAGGTTAACGTCGAACTCATTGCACCGCTCGAAAATGTTGCCCGCTTTTACTCTGTATGGCGCTCGTGGCTCGACCAACACGGACCGTGTCCGCCTGACCCTCGCCGAAGGTGGCTTCACGGATTACGAACTCGTGCTTGTCAATCTGCAAAAAGGAGAACAAAAGGTGGGTGAACCATTTCTTTTAAGGGAAAGGAACGCAGCTTTTCCTCCCCCAGCACATCATCAAATTGTGTGAGCATATATCATTGACACCATTGTATGAAGTCCGAAGAGAACATGAAACTTCACCCATGGGGTAAAATACCCGTCGTCACTTTCCCCGACGGCTTCACCCTCTACGAGAGTCGCGCCATCTGCAAATACCTAGCGAAAAAGTATTCGTTCCCACTTCTACCCCCAGATTCCGACGCCGAAGCCGCAGCGCTGTTTGACCAGGCGCAGTCGGTAGAAATGCTCTACTTCGCCGACCCTGCGGGCAGAATCGCATTTGAGAAATTCGCCAAGAAGTTCATGGGCCTGCTGCCTGATGAGGCCATCGTCTCAGGAGCACTACGGTCGGTCGAGGCATTCTTTGACGTGGCAGAACGTGTCTTAAAACGCAGAGACTACATGGCGGGAAAGGACTTCACCCTGGTGGATATCTACTATATCCCGCTCGTCCAGAGACTTTTCGCCTGCGAATATGCAGACGTCATACTTAGTCGCAAGGCCGTGAGTGCTTGGTGGGACCGCGTCATCGATAGGCCAGCCATACAGAAGTTGTTGGCCGCAGATAAGGAGGCTGCAGCTGTCGCACGTGGGTAGTCTACTAAATAGAATAGGCCTCGATCTGGAGAGGAAATGTACCACCACTGCGCGTCTCAAAGAATGGGAAGGGTCTGATGAGAGTACGTGACAGCGACCATTGCTTATTAGAAAAGTGCCCGGCCTATAAATCGTTTTTGCCCTATTCACCGCAGGCCCTATAGAAAAGGTGCGGCTGCCAGAGACCTGCACAATGATTGCAAAAAAGAAAAAGTGGGAATATGCAGTATGCTACCATGACCGTCGAGGGCTTGCTGGTGGCAGTGAAGCAAGGGATTGGGGAGCAAGAATGGACAGGAGTCAACAACAAGACGATAGAGGTCATTATGAAAGCGAGCTACCGAAAGTTGGGCAGAGTGAGTAGCACACTTCCATATGGAAGTTTTGGTAAATGCTTTGTTCACAGAGATGGCTACAAAGGACGCTTCGAATCATCGGCAATACGTTAATATCAGATGGGTGGTTTGGGAAGAATGCATCGCTTTTCGTAAATATATCATCGTACTTTAGACGCCTCCTCTCGACTACTTGCAAGCCCCCTCCACAATCTATAAGACTTGACGCCTTCCTCTATATCGCCAGCTATGCGACGCAATCGGTTGATCTCGGCCCGCGGCTCGGTATCAAGATCCGGTGACGAATCCAGTGCACCCAAGAGAATGATTCTCAGTATCTGGTGGAAGGCGCGGAGGAAAAGCACCGAAACAGGCTCAGCTTGAGGAGGTCTGATGCCCGCAAAGACGGGCTCAAGATCAGCGAGCCACGATTCCAACGAGCCCAGCAGGGATGCCTTCTCCGACAGTAGTTGAAGGGCGCCTGCCGCCGACTCGACACGCGACACTCTGCCGAGGAATTCAAGCGTCGCTGCAGCGATCCTGGTAAGCCCTGTCCGCATATCGGGCGCAATAGTGCGGAGATTACGAGATCCAACAGGCTGTTGATGCGACGACATCAAACATACACCTATAGTCTTCCCATTTTCATCGGTCGTCAGCGCAGGATCCGCAAACTTGCACGGCGCAGCGAAGAACTTGATGATGAACACGTCCAACAGGGGTATCTGATCACGACGTGCTGGTATCAATTTGTTTTCTGCAGCATCAAAGCTTGGCCTTGCCCGGTACTCGCGCATGATGCTGAGCCCTCGAATCATGTGCTGCGCCATGGCGGCATAATTCCCTCGCACTTGCTCGATGCTGATGAAGATCTGGCAGCAGAGTAACGCCGACTTTAAGCCGTTTGGGTCCGGAGACGATAGTTTGGACGCGAGACCCCCCAACGCCATGCAGTACTGCTGGAGCCCATGGTCATAGCCGTAACTCGGGGTCTGCTGCGCGACGGACGCCGCAACAACGTCTCCAGACGCCTCGAGATGTTCCCGGAGAGCCCGGAGAGACGAGACTGCATTTCGGATCTGCGGATCAGTCTGGCCGGCTTGGAGGATCTGCCTGGCTTCTTCGTTAAGGCCTAGTTCCACGTCGAACATGGTTTTGGTTGAGAAGTAACGACCGAGGAGGGCGATGTCCCGAGGGGTGATCTCGATAATGGTCAAGGTGGGTCGGATGGCTTGTAACCCAGCAGCACCTGACTTGATACCGCCAGCATGAGCATTCTTAATGGGTTGACCGGTGATAACGAGTCGAAAGGGAGACTCGTAGCCGCCGCAAGTACGACCAGTGTCGACACATTTTCGGCAAAATGGCTTGTTCTCATCGCATTTGATCTTTCTTATCCTATTGCTAAGTTAGCACCACTGTCAGGCTGACCTCCTGTTCAAAGTCTCACCCTTGAGGAGTGAACTAGTGATCGGATTTGAGACTGACCTGCAGGTTGCACAACCAGTCTTCACTTTGGTTCTACATTTGATGTTCTGTTTGCGGGCGACAAGGCTTCCGCTCATCGTCGGGCCGGAGGGGGTGAATACACGTTTGTCGCACAGCGCCCTACAGAGGAGACGCGGACTGGTAGGAGCGAGAAACCCGAGCGGACGAGACAATCAATGCACCTTAATTCGTTACCAGAATCCAGTGCCAGGCGAGGCGCTTTCGCTGGGGGCGAAGTGTGTTGTTGAGGCATTCCCAGGGTGGGGGAATTATCTATTTAAGGGATAAGCCGGTCTGTTAGCTTGTAAGCTGAACCCTCGAAGCGCCAATTAACCTTATGGATGCCTAGAGAGAGTGGGGTCTTCTAAATCCCCCGTAAGCAGCACCCCTCGAGACTTTTCAAGAAGCGCAAGATATGTAGACCAGGACTTGAGCATCTGGTGGTCTTCCCGACATGACTATTGTGGAGCGGGCGCCTCGGCGTGGAAAAAGGTAGGATCGGAACCATAGAGCTCGCCGGCTGGTTTATCAGCTGGTGAAACAGGCCGCTCGTGACTGATTCGAGAGTCCGTGTCTGTGTCCTTGGGCACTTCTTCTCCGTGTCGTGCGGCACGTAATATCTTTCTCGACCTGCGCATCATGACCAGCCCTGCAATCAGTGTTGCAAGGCCAACAGCGGCCAATGAGGCCCCAACACCTATCCCGATGCTTCTGTTACTGCTGTTATTGCCGTTATTACTGCTGTTGCAAGAGAAACAGGGAGGCGAAACCGTCCCCGATGACTGAGATATGGTCTGCGATGATTGAAATGCTGTCTCCGATGGTGGAGATACCGTCCCTAGTGATTGAGATGTTATCTCAGGTGACTGAGGCGGCGCAACCGTTTGCTCAGCAGCAAAGACCCAGCCGTTTATGTGAGCCCCCCAGATGGTTGGTGATGTGTTGATCTGCATCGTTGCCTGAGTCCATGTGTCACACTGGACCCTCGTGTGGACAAGGAGGGCGACGTCTGCAGAGACATCGCTATAACACTGCCTCGCAACTCCAGCCGGCATCCAATCGACGAACAAATAGCCTCTTCAAGAAGTAGATGCGTTAGAACGGGTTCTTTTTCCCAAGAGCACTCTGGAGACAATAGAGTGGAGTGGTGACTCCGACTCACGAAGGACAACAAGCCACCTGCGTGCTATACTCGTCTACGACGGACGTGGCCACCTGGGTGAAGGCTTCAGGACAGATGAATGGGCCGATGCTGACGACAGTCTCGGTCGTGGGCCCCAACCATGTCTGATCCCACCAGGTCGTTGCCGCCTGGGGCACGCAACGCAGGCCGGCGCTCACCTTGACGCCGAACCCAGCATCCCAGGCTAGCACATCACTCCCAGTGTCCCATTGCCAGAATTTGGATGTGCATTGTGACGCATGACCCGAATACGTTGTTGTGAGCGGGATCCACGAGGTCCACAGACCTCCCTTGAATTCAGGAGGCTTTGAGACTGTTGTCGCGGGATGAGTTGTCGACGCCATCAATAGGAAGGCCAGCTTCTACCTTGGGAGGAGTGGACAGAGAATTAATATGGGCAGAAACACGAGGCGACATTGCACGTTCCAGGAGAGGATCATTGCCCTGGGTGTCTTGGCTTGTTTAAAAGAACGAGTTGGCTGTCGTTGTCAAACATGGGGCTCAAGTAGGGGGCCAAAGAGTGGACTGATGGGGCGGCCCCAGGAAAGTGATCGCGTTTTGATACATGGCCACCATGTGGCCTACATTCAGCTTTCCGCTATTTGAAGGGTGCATGCATGCTATATTTGCCACATCCTACTGGAACCGTTTCGGTTGCATACTTAATGGCCTCGGTGAGCGGGATGTCGTGCGTGTACCACAAATTATTAGGTGGACGCGGGGGTCGAACAGCCTCTGCATTTCCAATGTGCAGGCTTGACATAGAGCCAGAGGGATTCAGGGTGCAGGCTTTCCTGATCGCCCTTCATCTCGTTGCTTAAGAGTAAACACAATGATTGTCGGCACGCATGGAATCAGGAAAACGACTGGCAGAAGAGACGAGCAGAATAGCTTACCCGCCTGGCAGTACGCGTGTAACTAGACGCGTGCAAGTAAATAATTAAGGTTAGGTGGGCCCTGAGTTCGAGCTCCGCTAGACCCCTGCTTAGACCCCACAGCCCTGTACCCATGTCAGCCATGTGCCTGCATGAACCAACCTGGCCAGTGGCGTTCGGGCCAAAAGTCAGCCAGCCCAGTTAGGAACCGAGAAAGGGTACGGCGCAGTCAATCCATTTCCTCACGACACGTACGAGGAGGCCGGCACTCAACTCGAGAGCATTTGACAGTGGGAGATTATTATAGGCGCCATGGCTTCCCCGTCGGCACCCCTTCGCCGCATCACAAGAGCGTCGCTGGCACGCTTCGCCTATGCCGGGAGCGACACGGGCTCCACCACGACCACGGAGATCAAGACCACGACTCCAGACATCGAGGACATCATCCCCTCAGCCGTGCCAGCCTCAGCGACGACGAAATCTACTTCTCGAAAGCGCAAGCGAACCACCGTCGCATCCACCCCTCAAAACAAAAGCCACGTCAAGCTCGAAGCCGAACAGCTCGACTCCACCGCCCTCACGAGCATCCCCTCGCCCTCGCCGCGCCGCGCCCGCAAGCCCGCCCGCAGGACCCAAGACCCCGCCACGGGCACCGAGACGGTGGCCGCGCCCTCGGACTGGCGGGAGCTCTACGACGCCGCCAAGGAGATGCGCCTGCCGGGCGGCGCGGCCGCCAACGCCGCCGTCGACACCATGGGCTGCGAGCGCCTCGCCCTGCCCACCGCCAGCCCGCGCGACCAGCGCTTCCACACCCTCGTCGCGCTGATGCTGTCCAGCCAGACCAAGGACACCACCAACGCCGTCGCCATGCGGAGGCTCCAGACCGAGCTGCCCCCCTTCGAGGAGGGTGCCCCGCCCGGGCTCAACCTTGAGAATATGCTGGCTGTCGCGCCCGAGAAGCTGAATGAGCTCATCTGGGCGGTGGGATTTCATAATAATAAGACCAAGTACCTCAAGCAAGCAGCCGTTATCCTACGTGATGAGTGGGCCGGTGATATCCCCGATTCCATCGAGGGCCTGGTGTCGCTGCCGGGCGTGGGGCCCAAGATGGCCCACCTGTGCCTGTCGTCCGCGTGGGGCCGCACCGAGGGCATCGGCGTCGACGTGCATGTTCACCGCATCACGAACCTGTGGGGCTGGCACAAGACCAAGACGCCCGAGGAGACGCGGCTCGCGCTGCAGAGCTGGCTGCCCAAGGACAGGTGGCGCGAGATCAACTGGCTGCTGGTCGGCCTGGGTCAGACTGTTTGCGCGCCTGTTGGCAGGAAGTGCGGGGACTGTAATCTGGGGCTCGATGGGCTGTGCAAGGCTGCGGATCGCGCTAAGGTCAATCAGGGGCGCAAGCTACGAGAGGCGAAGGTGGAAGTTAAGGAGGACGTCAAGACTGTCAAGGTTGAGGAGGCACTAGAAGATGCCGCCGTTGGTGTTGTTGGAGCTGTGGAGCTGGTTGAAGAAAGACAGGAGGTCGAAGACGAGTCGAAGCCCCCCTCTAGACGGCGTGGGAAGCGAGGCTAAGTAACCTGGCAAATGATTACGAATGACACACTGTACGACTTAGCGAGTAAGGATAGAGGGCTGTTCCCGCCGGCATTCGTTGTCGGCGTCCCACTGTAGGTTGAAATGCGTTCTTCAAATCGGGCGGTTCCATTATGGACTTCTCATGTGAGGGAGTGAGTTTCTTCTTCTCTGTACTCTCACCACCTGCTCAGCGCCCCACGATTAAACATTACATTATCGGCGCAAACGAGTGTATTGATGCCAGGGTGTCGTCCATTCATGACGATGTCAATATCCACGCCCCCTGCCTCCCAACACCCACAGTCTCCTCCCACACACGTTCGAGGGCATTCTATCACAAGCTCTTGACGACCTTGGTCTTCTCGCTCTCCAGGCGGGCGGCGTTGCGCTCGTGCGACTCCTTCTTACACTGCCGACCAGGTTAGCTTCCATATTCCTGGTCCAGTGGAGCTGGAGCCGTGGCACTGACGTCGTCCAGTCCGGTGCACTTGTGGTCCTCCAACAGCCGGTGCTTGCCGCAGAAGTGGCCGTTGCAGAAGCTGCAGTCGCCCGCGATGCGCTGCGGCTGGTCTTTGCAGCCTTGGAAGCTGCATCGGATCTTCTTTGGCACCATTTCGATATCGCGGGACAAGGGGAGGGTTCTGTCTAGATTGTGGGCTGCTAGTGTCTGGATGATATGTACTTTGGTGAGTTGACGAGCCGATGCCTGGGCGGGTTACCGTCGTGGCTTGATTCGGGTGGAGGAGACGAACGAGTCGGAGGAGGGTAGGGAAGTCGCAAGTGGAGGGTGAGGGGAGATTTTGTGAATACGGAGAAAAGGTGTGTGTGTTGAAATTGTGGCACCGTTGAGTGTTGAGAAACTAACCGTTTCCCTTTAGTGATAAGTCGGTTGGGCGCCAGCAGTAAATAAATGAGCCATGTTGCCTGAGCCTTGACTCTTGGGTGACCTTGCTGCTGATGACGTTGGGATGAGGCTGTTAATTTCGGGACCTTGGCTAATATATTGATTACGACGGCAAAAATGATATTCAACGTCGCTCCTATAACCAACAGGACACTGGATCTCTAAATGATATGTACGACAGAGATTAATCTGCTGATTGGGTCGCTGTTGAATGACATCCTTGACGATATGTACGAGAACGTGGTCTTGGGAGCTTGATCAAAGAGTTGGAATTTGCCGTCGCACAGATCTACGACTCAAGGACAAGGTCTTGTGGATCAAATAAGTTCCTATCTTGTTTCCTCTAAACATGATCGTCTAATATATACTGCTCTGCAAGAACAGCACAGTGTTTGGCCATGCTGTTTTTCAAAATGTTTTCCGTACTTGGATCGCACCCGAGAATGTCACCCAGTTTGTCCAAGTTAAACCAGATATCTCCGCTGTTCAACATTATCAGCACCATATGCAGGGTCAGCCTCACGCCTGTCCATTTCTTTGTTCTTTTTGACCAAAACAATCCTAAGGATTGTGGCAGCGATGATAGCCATAAAAGCCATACCCGCATTTACGCCAAATGCCAGCACGAACCGGGGTGCGGCATTGTTTGGATAAAGGTATGATCCGTAAATGCTGCAAATGGTGGCGAGGGCATTGTTGAAAGCGACGGCAGCCGCACGCTTGGCGGGAGGTCTGCTCATCGTGTTGGATGTCCAGACCATGGACATGTTGAAGCCAGTGTATATACCCGGCAGCATGATCATCGCCCCGAAGTACCGAGGGCCAATGCCTGTAGCGGAGGCAGAGATGACAAAACCGGCAAGGGCCAGGGCGATGGGACCGACCGTGTGCCAGTATCGCTCTCTGGTCCGATCAGCGTTCCAGGAGACACCGATGCAGACCAGGCATGCCAATAGATAAGGCGGCGCGGTGAGCAGAAGGGTTTGGATCTTTCCCTTGCCCAGAGCTGCCACGACTGTTGGGAAGAAGCTGTTGATGGCGATGGCCGATGCTGCACCGTAGACTACGATGAGCATATTCCAGTTCAAAGGGTCCCTCAGGACCATTTTAAAGCCGTCCAGCAAAGGCTGCTCCTTCCCCTCTGTCCAGTCGGGTTCACCAGCAGCATCGACCTGAAGCCTCCAAAGTGCCAACTCACGTTCCTGGGCCGTGAGCCACTTGGTGGTGGCTGGGAAGTCGGGGAGAATAAATATTGCAATGATTGAGATGGCAACTGTGGCACTGCCCTCGATGATGAACAGCCTAGTATCAGATCAGTCGTGCTGTCCAGATCGGGATTGTGAACTCCGTCTACTTACCATTTCCATGCTCTTAACCCAAGTGCTCCATCGAGTCCATCTGTGATCCCAGCCGCAATGAGACCAGAGAATGCACCAGATAGCATGGAGCCACAGTAAAAGATCCCGGTCCTCAGAGACAGCTCCTCCTTGACATACCAAGCGCCAAGCGTGGCGACGCATCCCGGATAGAAAGCAGCTTCAAAGAAGCCGAGTAGAAAGCGGGTGGCCAGTAAGCCGTGATAGCTGCTTGCGACTCCGCTGCAAGCGCAGAGCAGACCCTAAAAGATATTCATGTCAGCCGAGGCTCGGACGGAATGGAAAGATCGCTGGATGTGCGTACCCATATCGCCATACAAGTTGGCAGATAAATTGAAGGCTTCCCGATCCTGTTGAGGAACAGATTGGAAGGTACTTGCATGAGAATGTACCCTACAAACAGGATGGTAACGCAGGTTTGGAACTCATAGCCGACTAGATTCAGGTCTTCCTCCATGCCGGCCAATCTTGCCGCTCCTATAGCATTCCTATCATCCTCTGTCAGTTCTGGTCTTCTTCTAACAGGATGATCACAATGAAACAAACCTGTCAAGATAGTTCATAATATACATGATGATCAATGGGGGCATCATTCTCCAGTCGATCTTGCGTTTAAGCTTCTTCTCAAGGATGGCAATTTCTTCGGGATCCAAGTCACGAAGCAGGGGAGGAAGCCCCCTATCGTCAATTACTATGCCATTCTTAGCCGATAAAACTGAAGTATGAGTGTTTGCCTTGGTCATTTTAGGCAGAACGTCCTGACGAACGGATGCCATGTTTAATGTTTGGAAATCTATCTGGAACTCAATAAAGCCACTATATGAAAGCGCGATTTGGAGGATATGTTATATATCAGGAAATTCGTGGGCTCAGCAACAAGAGGGGTCCCAATGTCAGGAGGAGTCAAGCAGAGACCAAGCTCCGGCAATATGGCCAACATGCTGATTGCCCCGGATTCTACAGGAGATAACATGAACCACTCCACTGCATGTGCAGTACTATCTGGGACCCCGGCTCCTAGATATGGGACGCCTATCTGCAGGCGCCCCTTTGCCCCTCACGGTGGACTCTGCCATCCGCCGTCAGCGCCGACATGTCAACTCATCCTGTTCCGTTCTCGGCCGGGTCTCCCGGTCAGGTATGCCGTTGAGGTGAAATAAATCTACCAGGCAATTGCCTGACTTGACCACTTCCCCGCCCGCCATACCTCAGTTAATGAAGCTTTCGTCTTTCAGCACTCACAAGAAAACCATGTCGAAGCCTTCTGTTCTTATCGTCGGCGGCGGGGCCTTCGGAACATCTACCGCGTTCCACCTGAACAAACGAGGATACTCGTCGGTGACAGTGCTCGACCGGTTCGATGCTCCGTCCACCGACGCCGCAGCCACTGACCTGAACAAGGTCATCCGGTTCGACTATCCAAATCCCCTCTACTCGGCTCTCGGGCGCGAGGCATACGATGAATGGACTTCCCCCTCGTCGTTGTTTGCCGGTCTCTATCGTAAAACCGGGTGGATTATGTCCGGTCATGAGATGACGGTCGACTGGCTGAAGAAAGCGTTCAGCCAAGCCAAGGAGGAGAACAAGCAGGATGTCAGTTGGCTCAATGCTGAAGATATCAAAAGCAGGTGGCCCGCTTTTAGCGGCCAGTTTCCAGGCTGGACGAACCTCTTCAGCGGCAATGCAGGATGGGTAAGAACACCCTCACACACGATTAGGAAGCAATACTCCGTTGACACTTATTGCACTCACCAAGGTACCTTCTGGAGAGGCGCTCCTACGAATGGCGAGATCAGCCGAGACTAATGGAGTCAAGTATGTGTGTGGACGGTCTGGAACGGCCGTCCGCCTTCTCTATGATGACAACAATGGCACTTGCACTGGCGTGTTGACTGCAGACGGCTCGACACACACAGCCGACCTTATCATTCTTGCCAACGGTGCTCAGATACCAACACTTATAGAAGCGAAGGAAGAGGTCGAGGCATCGGGCTCGGCAGTTGCCGTGATTGAGCTTACGCCAGCGGAGGCTGAGAAGTACAAGGACATTCCTATCATTGATGACTTCGAACAAGGTCGGTCAAAATCCAAATGTGTTGGCAGATTACGTTCAATGGAGACAGTTCTTCTAACACTTGTATTTTTGATTTCGTAGGGATTATCTTCCCTCCCGATAACAATCGCCTGGTGAAGATATGTAGCTGTCGGTTTCTCGTCAACTACAAAAACAGCCAAGTACCAGGAGCATCGATCGGGGTATCTCATGGTGACCGCCCACACGATGGTATCCCCCAGGAGATCGACGAGGAACTACGAGCCTTCCTATACGATATGGCCCCAGATTTGGCCAACAAGCCATGGGTAACTACTCGTATGTGCTGGTAAGTAAGCACGCAGAATATGCAGCACTGAACCGGCACCATTTTTCCTTCCCACCAGCCAGACCAGGCGAAAGAGCTAACAAATGTGCTCGTTTTCAAGGGACGGCATGGCCAAGGACATCAACTTTCGAATCTGCCCACATCCCAATGCCAAAAACCTCTACGTCGCTTCGGTCGGATCCAATCATGGGTTCAAGTTCCTCCCCGTCATTGGCAAGTACGTTGCGGACATGCTGGAGGGCAAGCTGTCGCCGGGTTATGCCGAGCTGTGGAGTTGGAAGTTTGGACGGCGGCCGGATAACGTCAATAACCCTCACCCCTATCCTTCAAGGGAGCTGACGGAATTGTCAGGATGGGAGAGGAGACATCAGCCTGCTGCTAGTAGATTGCCGTGGGCGTGGAGCAAGCTATAAGATCGTGCACTTTGGCCATGTCTGAGCGAATGGGCTCACTGATCGCTTACCTGGTATTTGAGAAAGGGACTACCTTGGAAGGAAGTTGTACGCAAGAAATAGCTCCCACGACTGGATTGCATAAGACCATTGGGTATCATAGCATTTCATGAAATTATGGGCTTATATTTTCGTTATGTTTGCCTTTCTGATCACAAATACCAGTTTCAGAATCACATGGTTTACAACGAAACAACCGCACAACGAAACAGCTTATGATGAGGTCTTTGAGGAGTCTATCCTCGTTGCTCTACGTCTATCCGGCATCGTCTTGAATATGCCCCTTCCCTTGTCGACTGATCCTACAGCCTTGTAGAACCAGTACTGCATCTAAGACTTTGGGCCCTGGGTGAAACCGATGAGGCCCAAGACGGCAAAGACCGACGAGCTAAGAAGACGGAAGACGCCCGTCGATGGAAGCCCCTCGTTCCACAGAATATAGAAATCCGCAAGCCCCAAGTAACCGCCGTTGACGATCAGGAAGGTGTCGAGGACGTCGTAGCGGCGTTGGGCGTAGAAGGTGAACATGAGAATGCCAAGACAGGCAGTGCGGGCATTACCAACGTGCCAAACGGTCCACGTCTCGGGCACATCAGCCACTCGCTCCGGCAAGCCGTAGTGCAGTAAGACGCTTCGGGTGCTGCCGCTGACGAGAGGCTAGATGGTACCCCAGCACTGGGCGGCGGCTGTGAAGAGCGCGGGGAGATGTCGATACTGAAAGTTGGCAAACATGACGGTAAGCGGGGTCTATTTCAGAATGAGTCGGAAGACGTTGGGATGAGATGTTGTGTAATGCAAGAAAGTCGAAATAAAATATGGTGCTGTTTTGCATTTAATTGAATCCTTGAATCCTTCGGCTTGGCTGGTACTCGCTTAAGTAGACCAACTGCGTAGCAGCGCCTAGAGAATGGCTCAGAAAACAGGCTTCTCTAGGTGTTGGACTGCGCCACTCCACTGCATTCATTGATGAGGGAAAAAAAAGAATGTCTCATCCCGATTGACAGGTGATAATTTCACTGAGCGTTGAGATGGATGACTCTGGACCTTCTTGTAGGCCATGTGCTTGTTCTACAACTCTTTATTGCCTACATAGCCAAGTGAACTGTTGTCATGGCTCTAGTTCACGCCTTGGTAATCTGAAGATTATGATCCCGCATATGGGTCATCCCAATTGTCGGTGCGGTTCCGTCAGATAAGGCAATCAGAATCTGTCTGGATTCATCCTCCATTCCAGCCAGGGTAACAGCACTCTTGATCACTCTTTCCGAGCCCAAAGGTGAATCGTTATTCCTTAAACCACTGCCAAGGATCCATGGTAGTGGAGAGGCTTTCCAAACCGGCGTCTCACGTTTTCTAGTGTTCTCCGCAACTAGGATCAGGAATAGAATGAGAAGCATCGCTATCCCCGCAGGCAACGTAATCCAGGGCCATTGAACACCTAAACAAGTCGCGTAGTGCTGGACCTGACCTCTCGCTGGCTGCGAGTAGCTCGTGTTCCCGTGGGTGCGTATAAATGTCGTGAGTGAGTCTGAGATGTTTTTAAAAACACTCTGTATGCGCTCAAAGTCCACTTTGCCGTAGTTATATATATTTTGTAATACTTCCGGTCCGCCGAACACATTCAGAATGTCCTCATCCGACTCATTCGTATCCCACATGAGGCCCCGGACGGTGCCTACAAATTGGGATGCGGCCGGGTCGTGAGCGGATGGGCCGCGCCCGTTGCCGTATCCGACCTTGGAGATGAACCATCTGCTTATCAGGTGGAGACATTTGTGGCGCAAAAGTGATTCAACATTGCTTACCCAATCGCTTGAGACATCGTATGTAGTCATGTTGTTGTTGCTAGGGTCCCCGTAAAATGGAATCCAACGAGTGGTGTTGTGCAATTCGTAGCCCCGGGTCTCAAGAAATGCTACCTCTTGTATCGACATGCATTTGGTGTCCAATAACCCATGGTAATAAAGGTCCCGAGGCGAGCCCCATCTGATATCCGGAGACTGTGATACCAGTTGCTCCATCAGAAAGCCTGCCTCAATCTTTGCACGGTACGTTCGGATGCAAGGCTGGAGGGTGCAGCTTGCGGCACCGTAGCCTCTGCAGGCCCATGTGTTGCTAGCCTCCGCTGTATCGCATCCAGTGATATTTTGTCCAGTTGAAATGAGACGGCTGTCATCCGAATACGTTGTCTTTCCCACAAGGATGTCGACGCGAAGTAAAAAGTCATCGACGGGCAATGACCGGATGTCCATACGAGCCACGTCAGTGGGTCGGTCGTAGAAAGAACCGAAAAAGCTTGTATTTAGCTGTTCACCTTGAACTCCCCAGTAACGGCTTCCATCTCCAGATGAGAAATAGGTCGTTATGTTCTGAGTGTCAAAGTTCAGAGATGGGTTCCTTCGTTTCGATTCCACCACGGTCTTGCTTGATAGATCTTCACAGGCACTGCATATACCCAAAGTATTATAGAGTTCTGAGAATGTGCAGTTTCCCGTGGAGCATTCGAACGGTATTTCGTTGCCCGAGGAAAATAGCCCTGCTACCAGAGCAGAGCGTAGGGTATGGGTTAAGATTTCTCCTTCATCTCCAGAGCTGAAGTAATTGTCGATCTGGTTCGTGCGAGGTAATGTCGCAATATGATGGTCCAGAGGGGCGCTGCAATCAAAGGGGCGGATGAGTTGTTGTGCAAAAGGGTCTATGGCAAGACCAGATATCATAATGACGGCTGCCAGGATTATGAGTGGTTGCTGGACCTGATGCTCCCAGAGCATGGTCATTAAGCCCCATGGGCCGCGGCCAGCGCTGTCGAAGAGAACCACATCAGATAATGCGCGTGGTCGACTGTCCGATGCGAACCAGGCCCATTGGAGTTGTCCGACACATGAAGTGACCACATAAGCGACAGCTGATTTGAACACTAATGAGTAAACGGATAAGAGGGCGTTGATGGTGATCTTGAATGGCCATTGTGGAATCGGTTGGTCAGTATGTGGGAATGTAGTGACGACTGTTACTATGGGAACTCCTACGACGAGGAAGCAAGCTGCTATCTCCCACTTCCAGTGTTTCCAGGCAATTCCAAAGGTTTGATTCAAAGTTGACTTAGCACCCTCTTCCGAATTGTTAATTGAACATCCGATTGAGACAGAGCTCGTCGCAGATGACGTCGTTGGTCAGACCTCGGTACTCGACAAACTGGATGGCGAAGTTGTTTCCCAGCGTGTTGGATTATAGGCGAGGGTGTTGAGTTGCGAGGAATCAAAACTAGTGTCGTCACATGAAGAAGTAACCGTTGCTTCAATAATAGGTACTCCAGGACTTTTTTGATGCTCTCCAGGCACAGTCTTGAGCACCACCTGCTGGGAATTGGCTTTGGCCGGTGAAACTGGTCGATCTGCACGGGATACTTCCATGGTGATGGTGAGTGCTAACGTGAATTGATCAAAGAATTGTCAAACGCTGGGGAATTAGCGTAGTAAAAGATTGCAACTGATATGGAGTTTTGGTGTATTCGAGGCCCGCTGCCTAATAGTTATATATTGTGGCTGTCCATGTCAAACTCATAGGCTCAGTGATGCCTATTGCTCCAACACGAGCAGTTGTGGCCCCCAATTCATTCCTCTTCGTCCTTTGCCGATTCAAATCCCGGTCTTCAGGCTTTGATGCGCATGCTGAGCATGCAGGCTGCTAGATAGATCTACATCGGTCTTCAGAATCCGTATATATTCCGCGAGAATTCCCATGTATGTGGGGTTGCACACATGTGCCACGCCTTATCGTTGCATGTGGCTGTCCCGCCCCCAAGCCCTCGCCGCCCTTGTCCTTTGGCCATCTTTGCCTGTTTGGCCCCTTTCTGAGATATCGAATGGACGTAAAGCATTCTCGCATTTCAGGGGCAATGAAATCATTTCGACGTCACCTGCGGACGACAAATCTCCTCGAGTTAGCAGATGAAGACGCTCGCCAAATAATTTTGTGATAGAGTTTTATAGACTTTTGAAGCTCGACTAGTCACTTTTCCAAAACCGGTCTTGCAATCTGTGCGCGCTTGTCAGAGAAAGGCTAACGCCGGAACCCTCAGGTGCTGCCGTTTGGCTATGTTGGGGTTTATAGCGCAAGAACATCCTGGGGAAATATGTTCTTAATTTCTCTGAATTCTTACACACTAGTCTTCAACCTGTAAGTTGCTTTGGTAAGGCCAATTCAAAGGTCAGCTAGCTCAATGAGCATTGTGTTTGTGCTTGCAAAGTTACGGGGTCCAATTACATGTGAAGTCGCGTTGCGGAAAGCTGCCCATCATTTGAGTGTACTCGATTAGAAATGGAAGTTCTGCCTAGCCAGGACAACGTCTATTCACATATCTCGGCACTACTGTTCAAGACGTAGCCATGTGCGCCCCCCCATTCACGTGGAAAGTTTGACCGGTCAACCACTGAGACTCCGGAGACGCCAACAAAGCTACAACGCCAGCAATATCGTCCGGAAACCCTGGCCGTCTCATTGGACTCATCGCACCTACTTTCTCGTCAATTTCTTCCGCAGTCAGATTCTCTCCTCCAGGAAAGTAATCCTTCGCAGCCTCTGTATACATATCCGACTTGATTCCTCCGGGTGCAATGCAGTTGACGGTGATTTTCCGGGACCCAAAGTCGTGCGCAAGGCACTTCACCATGCCTGTAATGGCTGCCTTGGACGCGGAGTACAATGCGTGACGCGGGACACCCTGAAGGATATCAGCAAATCACGTTAGGCTCGTCGTGTCCTTTGCTTACCCAGACTGCAGAGATAGACGATATTAGTATCAAACGACCTCCATCTTTCAAGTACTTGTGAGCCTCCTGCGCCACGAAGAACTGGGCCTTGACATTGACAGCGAGAACCTTGTCAATCTCCTCTTCTTTGACTTCTTCAAGATCCCCAAAGTGCTCGATGCCGGAGTTGCTCATGACAATGTCAATATGTCCAAGCTCGGACACCGCTTGCTGGAATAGATGGGCGATCTCGTCGCGCTTGCTAACATCCGCTCGTACACAGATTGCACGCACACCCTGCTTTCGCGCAGCCGCGGCGACAGCTTCGGCGGGAGCTTCCGAAGAGACATAATTGACCACAATGTCGGCTCCAAAAGACGCAAGCTTAAGTGCGATGGCTGCTCCGATGCCACGGCTTGAACCGGTGACTGCATGGATGTTCAGGCGTGTTTCTTAGGACCGAGATTATGGAACTTACCAACAGCGACTTTGCCAAGCAGGGGTTGATACTGACTCATGGTGAACGCTTTTTCTTCTGCTCCAGGCTGCGCGTCGCGGATGTAACGGGTATTTATGCAGACAACTCATTGAGGTCTAATTTGATAGAGGGAATAGCAATTTATATATACATTTATTTCGAATATGTGTGTGTGTGTGTATTCAATGTGTGGGCACAAGTTGGTAATCATCAATTACGCGAGGGCGCGAATGCCGATTCTCATCGTGCAAGGCGGCATTAGTTTGTCACACTTCCGATGAGGTTCGCGCTCGAATCAGTTCGCGAATCCCACCCGGTCTTCTCTTGAAAGCGAGTTTGGAGTTCAGCCAATCGCCGGCTCTTGGGGATGACTTCGGCCACTGACGAACGGCCAGGTTTACGTCTAGCTTCTACACCACTTACCTTTGATGATCTGGAAAGCCCGTCGCATCTACACTAGTGTAGTGCCCGCAGTACCCAAGTCTATGACGCAATGAAAGACCCAACGGCCAGGACAGTGACGAGCCAGCCTAAAACGGACTTACAAAACCCACTGGCCGGTGAAAAGGCCACAGGCGAGCACCGGGAACTGAGACTCATGCATTGTTATACTGGATAAGACACAGGCTTTGAGTTCTCTTTCATTGCAGCATGGTGCGCAGCATAATTTCGAGCGAAAGATGTCAGCCCCGTGTCAGGAATAGATGATAGACATAGGGATCAATTGCATGAACAGGAAAAAGGTATATAGTTTTTCGTTGATTGACCACATTTGCGTCAACATCTGCATTTCTAATAGTTCTGTCCTCCATTGGCGATTCTCTATACTAGAATTCCGGATTATGTGTAGCTATTGTAGCCTCGATGAACTTTTTCTGCAATCCGATTCCTCCGTCGCGAATCCAACCAGCACAGCGCAATAATCTCATTCGGATTGGAATGGCCAGGTATCCTATTCTCCATACATGTCATATAGAACCGCTGGCCTAACCTAATTGGCTTCATTTAGCTCAGTTTCCACATCATATACATAGCGTATCTCGAGCGTAGCACTTCACTCCGTCGATTGGAAGTTATATCTATATGCTTCATAAACCACTTATTCCTTCGATCAGAAAAATTGGCTATGCTAAAATGGATCATTTAGAAAGTGAGCCGAGAACACTTACACCTTGACCGCCGCAAGTGACTGATGGCAGCCCTGAAAGGAGTCAACAACGGACTTATTAACCATCTCGTCCCTCCTGCTCAAGTGCCCCACCCCCAGCAAAAGGAAAAACAATCCCCAACCATCATCAGATTGCTGTTTCCACAGAAAAAGCCTTGTTATGGGTCGTTCCGCTTTCAAATATTCCCGAAATGAACCAACGGAGCACGGGCATGATGTGTCACTAGGTGCTTCCCGACACTGAACACGTGCTTCGTTTAACCTGCCAGAGAACGCTCAAATTGAACAGGTTGCCACGTGAGTAAGCCTTCACACTCCAAATTTCTTCATCGATCGGCACAACTCTCGGCCACTGAAGTGCGTCCGACCCGCTTTGTGAGCGTTTAATGCGGCATCTAGGCGAAGCAGGAATCAGAAAGATTGTTCAGGTTCACACATGCGGGGCTTGATTGAAATGGTACAACACCACGAGTCCCCAGATCTTAGGAAGGGGCTGACAAGACCTTACCTTCGACGGCGGCAATGCAAACTGCAGTACGTATCAACAGGCTACCGTACGGTCTTCCATTATCTGTCATTGGGGTTCCGCTGATACTGGAAAGAAGGTCACGGACGTAGTTCTGGATGAACAAGTTGTCGTCGGGCTCAAGCGGTCCGACCTTGCTGAATATTTGAATGACTGTGCGAAGGCAGTAGGTTAGCATTTCAGACCGCTTGTATAATGTCTTGTAGAGGATGTGCTTACGTTGATGCGACTCTGGAATGCGTGGCACGTTGAGGCCTGAGAGGCGAAGCTTGATCTCGGATATCATCACGAGGAGAAATTGTGCCGCCCATGTGAAACAGCTCAAAGGCACCCAGCGACTGAAGACCCGACTGATGTGCCTCAGGACGTCTGACTTATCCACAGGGTCTTCCAAAGTGTTTGCTGATGGTAGGAATGCTGCCATGTCCCGGAAGATTAAAGGGCAGAAATACATGGCGACCAGCAGCTCAGCACAAGAAGTAGTGAGTACCAACCGCATGAACCAGGACTTTTCGATTGTGGAATTGCGGTTCTCCAAGTTGGAATTGACGAGCACCAGTGAGATATGCGAGATTAACAGTACAAACGCCATCGTCAACAGCGCTGCTCCATTGTTGACCAGAGAAGTGGTTTCCAGACGAGCTGAGGCGTCTGCCAGGTATCCCAGGGCAAGACAGGTAATGCATTCAAGAATACCTATCCCAAGAGAACCATCCCAAGGACCTGCTTCCCTCGGCTGGGTGTCATTGTCATTCTGTTCGCGTTCAACGCTCTTGAGGAAACCCAAAAGGACCCAAGAAAAGATCAAGACCACAAGCATCAGCCCAATTTGAAGGAGAATGGTCGTGTCAGTGGCCATCGTGTTGTCCTGGGTGTTGAGACCAGGATGCGGTGCTAGAGCCAGTGGCAGTGTGCGGTTTTCAGAAGAGGAGGAAGGGTTGGTGTTGGCAGTCGTTGACGGTGGTGGTTACGAAACAGAGCCAAATCAACGCAGATGTGGACAGTGGTTACGTTTTGTGTCCTAAATTGGAAGAGCGTTCTTTGGTATCAACATGAAATTTAATCCATTCACTTGATCTCTGAAAGTGGGCCAGGCGCAAGCGCCTCGCAGCTCTAATCACATTTACTTAGCCTGGGGCCTGCCGGAAAGCTGAGTTCACTATCGTCCCATATACATGAACCTAGCGCTGGAAGAGGTCAATGAACCATATTGAGCTTGCTTGGATGCCTTGGTATCAAGTGAAGGAAGATATCTGGTGCTTCTAAGGGATGGAATGACTTCACATTTCAGATCCTTAGGACGTACACCACCATGCCACGTTCAACAATACAACAAATGGTGATTGAAGACGATGTTACTTCATGAGATTATCTAATGCCTTTGTACCTTGGGTAAAGGAAGAATTTTCAGGCCTACCCTTCTTGAACTACCAAGGCCAGATCTCGATACTTCACGACGGTATCATATACTTGGCCCTTGAGTCGTTGTACAGAAGCTTCTGATGCTAGTTGTCCCCTCCCAAACATAGTAAATATCTGTAGTCTCCTCCTATATTACCAGTGAAGAGCTTTCTTGCTTCCTACATCCGATGTATTTTTCTAGCCCCAATCTGGTTGAGGCTTCAGTACAAATGGATATAATCTGTTTGAACTTAGAAGCTGAGTCGCAAGTTCACTCGGAGATCATTGTTTCGCACTCACCAGTTCGTGAACATGCATGTGTCAAAGGATATGCACCTCCACAGGCAGTCCTGCCTTTTGAACCCAAGCAATCACCGTCCTCGCAAACAACCCCGGGTCTTGGAAGAACCAGGCATGCCTCATCGTGGGCACCTCAGCTGCAACACCTCCCAGCCTCTCAGCCACCGCCTTTGCCCTCTCCACGTTGTCATTCGTGGGCAGAGCCCCCTTTTTCGTCGCAGCTGCCGCCAAGACCCTGATATCCCTCTCTCGAAATTCCTGTTTCGCCGTCGCCGGGACCAGCTCCTTGTCGTCGACACCGATCATGAGAATTTCGGAGATAGAGTTGCACAATTTGATGGGTCGCAAACCGCCAAAACTCTCTGTACCGCGGAGGCTGGGGTCCGCGTCGATGAGATACTCAATCAGTGACTTCGGCATGGCATACGATAGAATGCCGTCGAGCCATAGTGCATAGGGTGTCATTTTCGACCGGACGAAGCCGGCTGTGCCAGCGACGAAGACTGATAGGATCTGCGTAGGGTTGTGTGAGGCAAAATGCAACGCGACGTTTGCTCCGAAGGAATGTCCAATAAGATGCACGCGGCCATTGTTCGCCTTGGCGTCCACGAGGTCAGAAAGCAACTTCGATGTGTTGGGCAGGCTTAGTTCGCCGACGCCCGGCGCGTTTGAGGCCTCATGATGTTCTGGCAGAGTGGGAATCAGGAGGTGATATTGCTCCAGATGGCGATGGACCGGCTTCCATGTCTCCTTTGAGCTGAAAGCGCCATGAAGCAGGAGGAGTGTGGTTCGACTTTCTGGGTTGATTGAGAGATGCGGGAGCAGGACATTAGGTGTCTCCGGGTTCACTTCGGACATTGTCAGGGACAGATCCAGTTGATTCGTTTGTCAGAGGCGTTGCAGTCCCACATGCGGAGGTGAAGTCGGCTCAACTTGAGCTATCGCGATAGCGTTGAGCTCGGATCGGATTGGTTCCCGTCCCCGAAGGATTCACTAAAGGCCGTAGTCTCTATCTGAGTCGGATAGCTCTGGCTTGCTGTCGATGACATCCGGCATATGACTTACTTCCCAAAAGTGGTAGTGATCCATACTTGCTGAGTGGGCGTCCAGTCTGGGTGTTTACGCCGCATCTTGGAGAAAAGTCATCAAATCTGCCCCCGGGTAGCTCACGCCGTACCAGACCCTCTTTAACACTGCAGACTTCTATGTCGGTAAACCTTTTTTTCTTCTCATCCACCAACGCCTTTCATCTTCGCCTGATTGCGATGGAAAGTTCAACTAAGGTAGTTGGCGTTGAAGCTCATGGGTCTCTGGGCTGTCTACTTTGGCAGTGTTTTATCACTTTGTGAGGTTTTGTTCTGCCACAGTCGAGGGGTATGTATGTACATTTCTGGAGAACTAAATACAGTTGAATGTCGAAGATTGCTGGCTGCCACAACAACGAGTCTCATATCCACGCGGCTGACTTTTGACTCTCCACATCAGAGCGGCTACAGATTGAAAGTCCAGTCCCATCTCAGAAGGTGACTCGTTGCAGTTGTAGCTGTCCGTTCCGCCAGCACTTAGGAGTTTGTGCTGGTAGTCCTGCCGATACCAGCGTTGGCCTTGACCTTGGCAGGGACGTCTGCGACGCCGATATGTCCGATAAGCGAGGACTTGAAGCCACCCAGCTTGGACAGCGCAGCAGAGCTGGTCGATGTGCTGACGGTTCCCGAGTTTGAGGCGCGGTTCCACTCGCAAATGTAGCCCAGCGAAGAAGTGCAGCCGGATGCCTCGGCGACGGTGTTGACGATGTAGACATTTCCACCGTTGGTCAGGGTTGCGGGTGTGATCGGGGTGGTGACGGAGTCGAAGTAGTTGCCTTCGATCAGGACCCAGGTGTTTCCGTCAATGTCGAAGGCGTGGCCCCCGATGTTCTGGAAGTAGTTGTTCACACCGTGGAAGAGGTTCTCGCTACCGGCCGTGTTCGTCGTCCCCATGTGCGGCGCCCGACCTGAGACGTCGTGCAGCCAGTTGCCGGCGAACGTGTAGTAGTCCTTGGCCCCGATCAGGAGGGCCGTCCAGTAGTGCTTGCCGTTGCACCCGGCCGACCACTCCGTCACACCATCGAACTCGGTGTTGGAGATGGTCACCTTTCCTGCTGCGCCCCAGCCGGACACAATGAACTGGCGGCCGATGAGGGAGATCTTGCAGTGGTCTATCCAGATCTTGTCTGAGCCATCGAGAGTAATGGCATCGCCGCCCCAAACGTACTGCGGGTTAAGGTTGGTGATATGGATGTTCTGGATAATTACATTGCTTGCGCCGCCACGGACACGCAGGCCCTTGCCGATGATAACGCCCTTGGTGCCGACGCCGACGATGCTCTTGTTGCTGTTCACGTCTATCGGGGTCTTAGCAGCGTTGTCATAGGTGCAAGACTCCCAGGTGCCACTGGCAGAATCGCACGTGTCCAGGATCCAGAGCTGGCCCTTGGAAGTACCGCCGGGGCACTTGGTGGTGCGGTTGTCACTGCAGCATTGGCCGCTAGTTGTGCCCTCGGTGTTGCGGAAGTCCCAGGTACGATCGATCATGATCGTCCGCGGTGTGCTGTCAGTGAGCCATTCCTTCAGTCTGAGAAGTGTTAGTTCCTGACTCTGGTCCATCGGCCCGATGCAATCCACACTTACTGAGCAATACTCGATGGGGTCTGAGGCGTCGCCGAGCCACCGCCAGTAGTGCCAGCAGCAAAGCCAAAAGCCTTGCCTTGGACTTGGGCAGTCGCCGTGCCAGCGAGAGCAGCGACGAAAGAGAAAAGCGAGGCCTTCATCCTGTGAAACCAAGAAAAGACTGCCTGCGGTTAAGGTTTGAGGTATCCTGGTTGGCTTATGGGTCAAATGGAACCATTAAGCCCGAATCGACCATAGATGGGTAGGCCCAAAGGAATGATGATCTCGACTCTAGGTATACTTCAGATCTTTATACCGCCATGATGGACCCCCTTACCGACTGCCTGGCGAACCGAGCCCGAAACGACGACGGTGGGCCGACAGGAGTAGACATTCCAGAAGTACGATTCTATATCCTAATGTAGCCCACCTCATCTCGCAACGGACTTCAAACTATGCGATTGGAGGGTGCCAAGAGGCGCTATAGCGCTGGGCGGGCACCCTGACATCTGGGTTGGCTGTCCAGTCCCCTGGATCGAATCCCACCAAACAAAAAGCAAACCACAACGGGACTTGCCATGCACGACAGGCATGACAAGAACAGCCCCATGAGCCATCTACCGACGTAGCGGTCCATCAATCTTGGTTTCGCTCCGTGTGATGGGAACTCTCGATCCGAATACCCCGCCCTGAAGTTTCCCCCCATATTCTACGCGGCATTATTGGCTTGCAATTGATTTTGAGCACTGGCTGCGGGCTGAGTTCCCGATGAGGAGTTGCGGACTTTGCTGAGCGGAGCCTCCTCTCGGTCAAGTCCCCGAAGCTGCTTTATTAAGCGGAGGTTCGCTCCGCTTTGCGACCGAATATGGGTGCAAGTGGGTGGGATGGATTGCTTGGCATTGCCTGCCCTAGAGTAATGTCAGAAGTTCGCCGACTCGAATAGGCCATACAGTCTGGCTAACGAGAAATTGTAAAATGAAACAGCTTATAGTTCTCTATTTGTATTTAAGGTCCTGGTAGACCTGGTTACTTGCGTGTTTGGCGGAGACAGGATCGGGATAACCAGCATCCAAACATGTGCAGCTTAAGCATATCGTAGCAAACTGGACGTCGTGTCAATTGTCGCGGTGAACGACAGCCAATCGCGATAGTGTGTGACGATTCCTCCGAGGATACTAATTACAAAGATACCCGGTTGCAAAATTTCGCGAGGGCTCTCACTTGCAACTCGAGGCAAAAATATTCGTGGTTGAAGAGCATTCCGCTGAGAATTTCCGGACAGTGGCAGTACGTGGAGATTTTGACGCAACACCATTTCACGTGGCTAGAGCGACATCAATGTGGTTGACGCAGATGAGCTGTGGCAGATGAAGTTGGGAACCATGGCAGCTGCAGCGATGTATGGCAGCTGATGAATACCGCATAAGCTACTAGTGAGGCGTTCCAGCAGCTCGTGCGCATCGTCCAAGGAGCTCACTTAGGAACTCGAGACAGCGTAAGGACAGAATCGAGGGGCAAGCCGTCTTCGTACGACGGGATATGCCAACGATCAATTCCGACGGGCTCGAAGCTCGGAAATTGTGACAGTAATGGTCGCCCTAGAGAGAAGAGGCGAATCTCGCTGATTCCATGGGCGCGTATTGGCAGTGTGGGTAGGATCCGGCCAAGGACGAGCGACAAGCTACAGAGTGCTTTCTATTCTCGTTCATGTCCCGAAGAATGAAGTCATGCTGTCGGAGGCATGGCGAATCGAGAGATTCTGTTGATGCGTATGCCGTCCATTCTTGGATCTGTGCATTCGCCGCCAGTGACACGGCGCAAATTTGTTTATTGTGTGTCCATGTAGTGTGCTGGCTTCGGAGAGGCGGAGTTCGGTCGAGTTTTTGTGAGCTGTTGAGGCATCTGTTATTGACACGGAAAGGAGCCGGTCACTATATCCAGGGTCAGAATGAATAGATGTAATTGACAGGTCAAGAGCTCGAGAGTAAGGCGGATGGGATGTTGTGGGATCGGGTGGATCGGGTGGTAGAGATGGTGTGAATGTTGGACCTGGTTGAGCTTCAAGGGTCTGAGATAGGTCTATTACAAATATTGATGATCACATCCGAGTTCCTTCCAACGTTCTAGAACGTTGCATGAACCTGTTGAGACTATCGAAGGGTTAGACGTGTACCGTGCACCGATAGGTTTCTTTGGCTCTGTTGCAACCCAGGGCAAGACAAGCGCACATATCATGTTATCTGCTGCGGGAAACAATGTTACCCAATCACTAGTCCCGGGAAACACTGAAATAAACAAGGGCAGGGTATTAAAGCAGCACCGACTGCAGAGCCATGTGAACCCTGAGGCAGTAAGCCTTCCTTCCGGCCCTCCGAGTGACAGATAGATTTTTCCGACGGTCCCGTCCTGTCATCAATCTCATGTCCATCCACGTGCGGTAACCGGTAGACAACATGTCTGCATGGTGGCAGCATGACCACTCGCTAGAACTCTGCAAACAGATAGTTTCGCGCAGCTGAGTGGCTGAAGCGGCGACCAACATGTCTTATGTCGAAGCTGCATGGTCAATGCAGAGAATCAGCAGACCGTTGACCTTGAGATGCGCCTAGCTTCTAAAGATGGAGAAGTGGTGGGCAGCGACTGACTTTTCATTGGAATACCCATGTCACGATTGTTGCAGGTGAGTCCCCTTGCCCATCTCCTATGCCTTGTTTCTCCTGCAAGTCAGCGTGGCCTCGGGCCTCGCTTCGGCTAGGAAGTGGGATTTTCCGAAGAATGACCGGGTTAGTTGATGGGGAAGGAATTCTAATTTTCCCACAGTAAACATTGGGATCTAAGCGGGGTGATTCTAGATCTGGAATTCGATCGACAATTAATACTGCTGCTCGGTGCCCCCGATCCGGGTGAACACTAAAGACAGTGAGGCTCTGTTCGGTCCTTGATCCGAAAAGGGACCTCCCCAGGTCGTTTACAGTGGACGGGTCCGCTATTGACGGCCTCAGGGATGTTGTCGATCCCTTGGCAATCTTAAAAGAACATTGGATGGCGCCGTTTCTGTTCCCTTGGACGCTGGGCCTGCTCAGAGGGGCCCGCATAGAATGAAAGCGCCAAAAAATTTAACAAGTGGCCGATGACTTCATACTGCATGCAACAAGAAAATGCCAACGGCGCTACGGTGAAGGGATTCAGATGTTTCATGTCGAGTTGATGAAGATGTCGTGCTGGCAGGTCCACCTCGGCGGCCAGCCCCTGAAGGTTAAGCGACCAGTCTGGAAATCCCCTGCAAGTTTGCCTTACTCGAAACAAAGCCCCCCAGCCGGCGTTTCGAGAAGTGGACCGTTGGTGTTAAACATGGTGTAAGTTGATTCGTGGAAAAGATCTAAACATAAACACGCGGGTAGCCCCTTTCTTGGCAGCGGCTCCCAATGGCCCCTTAATTCACCATCCTCACTGCAAAGGCGATGAGAACAAGTCTCCACAGAGTCAAATCCGGCCAGGCAGCTTGGGCATTTCAGGCAAGTCAGGCAAGTCAGGTAGTCCAAAGGGGCAAAGAGATCCATGATGACTTAGTTCCGAGGCTGATGAACGGGGTAGAGAAGGGCCACTACGGCGCATAGGGGGGCCGACGGACCGTCGCCGTCCTGAACCGTACGACTTGGTATAAAGCATGCATCGTCGACGCCTCTCTGGTCTCCTGATGTTGCCTGGCAGTTCATCTCACCTTCAAGTCTTCGTCTTCTGATCTTCATCACCGCAGCTGTCGCTTGCGCCATTCTTTCGCCCATTTCGGCTCATTCATTCTTTCAACCCTGGTGGTAACAACAAACTTTCGGAACATACCTTTCGATTCCTTCATCAAAAGTCATTTCCCGACACTTCGTCCCCACCAAACAACCTTACCAAAGCCAAAATGCGTTCCACTTTCGCTGGTGTTGCGGCCTTCGCGGCCACTGCTGCTGCCCACTACAACTTTGAGGCTCTGATTCACAACGACAAGGTCACCGACCCGTACCAGTTCGTGCGCCAGACGACCAACTCCAACTCGCCCATCACCGATGTGACCTCGGACAACTTCATCTGCAACCAGGGTGGCCTGGACGCCGATATCATGGCCAAGACCGAGACCCAGGAGGTCGCCCCCGGCGACGCGGTCGGCTTCACCATCAACAGCAACCTCGGCCACCCGGGCCCTCTGTCCGTCTACATGTCCAAGGCTCCCGAGGGGACCGACGCCGCCGCCTACAAGGGCGACGGTGACTGGTTCAAGGTGTACGAGCTGACCACCTCGAGCATCACCGCTGAGGGCCTGCAGTGGGCCACCTCCGTCGGCGGCGGCATCAACAACTTCACCTTCACCCTCCCTGAGGACCTGCCCGCCGGCCAGTACCTGATGCGCGGCGAGCACATCGCCCTGCACGGCGCCCAGGAGGTGGGCGGCGCGCAGTTCTACATCGGCTGCGCCCAGCTGACCGTCACCGGCTCCGGCGCCGGCTCCCCGTCCCCCACCGTCAAGATCCCCGGCGTCTACGACGGCACCGAGGACGGCATCGTCATCAACCTCTACTACCCGGCCCCCACCAGCTACGACGCCCCCGGCCCCGTCACCTGGCCCAACGCCTGCATCGACCACACCGCCAACTACGCCGACCAGACCTCCGACGGTGACTGCACCAACGACGACGGCGCCGGTGCTTCTGCTTCCACCCCTACTGCTACTGGCTCTGGTGCTGGTGCATCTGCCACTGGCGCTGCTACCCCCACTGGCGCTGCCCAGTCTTCCTCCCGTCCTTCCGCCACCGGCGCCGCTGGTGTCTCTGGCAACGCCGCTGCGGCCCAGCCCACTACCCCTGCCTCATCCGGTGACGAGTCCAGCTGCACCAAGAAGCGTGCCGCCAGGCGGTCCGCCAAGAAGGGCCTCAAGCTGATGGCTTAAGTCTCTTCTGAGTAGTCAGGAGCTTGTTTGTTGTGTGTGAATACCTGTGACTGCTGCATTTCTTGGGCGGTCTATTCTTGTATATAGATATGTCGGTGTCCTCTTCGGGGCATTGATCCTGCATAGCGATAGAAGTGCGATCGGTCCAAAAAGGGTCGAGGATCTGGACTGTGGCAGCTTGGAAACTTTCTGTCCATGGTTCGGATCGTCTGTATAGTAGCAGCTGCCAAATACGAAGTTTTGATGAAGCCCGATTGTTATTCTCCGACTCTATCTGCGAAATATATTTTGTGAATTGATTCTAAGCCGGGATCAGGGTGACCTGAGATTATAGAGGCCCTGTTCGGCATTATGATGAGCCAGGAGCAAAGAGTCGACATTAAGGAAGTGCCTTGTGAGATCGAGGACCATGAGACGAAGGACCGGCTGGGGATGTACAAGGGCGATGAATACATGGCTGTTTGTTGCTCGAGTCGCTGTGGTATTGAGTTGGTTAGAAGTGACCAGAATATTCATCTGTCAGCTAGAGTAGCTTTGTCATCTTTGACATTAGAGCATCACTTGACTGAGAGATTAAGCAATTCACCATCATTAACTTTGCGGCCTGCATGACAAGTTTGTCTCTTGGCAGCGACTGGGCTGCAACTAAAACACTGTATTGAATAGGAGGAAGTGTCATTGTGTCTCCATGGCTATGACTAACGCTTTACGTTTCATGTTGTGGCAAAGTGGTCCATGTAGAATGAACGAGAGCCGAAATAGGTGATCTTGCTCTACAAACATAAAATTATTCTTGCTGCAATGGTACTTATAGTCTATTATCATCTGCTTCAGCCCCCAGCGTATAGGGACTTCAACGTTGCCCAAGTCTGCACAATCGAAGCCACGCACGAGATAATTGACAGAACCAACACTGTCAACGCAATCCAGAAAGTATACCACTGCAAAGGATTCCTCCTGTCAGCCCACAACTGTCGCCAGTCATCGGGCGGGGCTAAGAAGACCATCTCATATAGGTCCAACAGACGATCACGCCAGTACAAGAATTCCTGGAAGCTCAGTCGTACGGGCTCGTCAAGAGGCTCCTGCTCGTGAAAGTGCTGGTTGTGCCGTCTCAACAAATCGTTAGTGCTTGGGTCCCAGGGTGGAAATAGGAGGTTGAGAGTGAGTATTGTCTCGCGAAGCAGACCTTCCGGAAAGATTCTGCGCTTGGATTCGAGGGTTCCGGGGCTTACTTCTCGTCAGCTGCTAGAATGAGGACCGAAGTTGCGATACTTACTTTGACAGCTCCTCTGACTCGTAGTCAAGATGACCTTGCAAGAATGCTTTGTACGGGAAAACCCAAAGGACCTTCTTCCGGCGATCTAGCCTGAGGTGATTCGCTAGACATCGTGTCCATTCCAACCTCAATCCACAGATCTTCTCGAGATTGGTCGCTGTAAAATGAGGGTCCAGCCGAGACTCCTTCAAATCGAGATCGATTTTGGATTGAGGAAACAATGACTTGATTAGATTGTCAAGGCTCTGGTCTTCTCGCCATGGCTTTCGAGGCGCTTCATCATCAACCAGGTCAACTTCAGCATCGAGGACATTGATCATGAGCCACATCCGGACGGCTAGATCACACAAATGATCCAGTGAGCGCTCATTTGGGTGCGTTTGACGATCTTTGATCATATCCCGGACGATTGAGCGTTTCTGGTCGCTGTTGTCCCTAAGTATCGTTGTGATACCCAGGATGTCGCGATGTGTCTTCTCATCAAGCTTCGGGATCGGCCAGTCTGACCGAGTAAGGCCGGTCTGTAGCTTTTTGGGCTCTTCCGCGTAATAGGCGATGAAATCGTTGAAGTATCGGGCAGGTCTTTGGTGTGTCGTGCCAAAATACGAGCAGAGTACCTCAGTCTGTGTGGCTGCATTCAAACTCTCGGCCTGAAGAAGCCTCGTAAGTGGATCCTGTCGACTCGCCATGATGATACGTTCTTGCGCTGAACTTCCGGAAAGCTATGACTTCACAACATTGATCTTTCCCCTTGGCACGACTGGCGATCTACGCGTTTGATCAAGGAGAAGTAAGGAATCGTCGCCTGTGGCTGATAACGGCTGACCTTATGCATGGAAACGAGCCAATGGGAAACATTGTGCAACTTTGAAAGACATTTCAGCTGCGGGGCTCTGTTCAACGTTTGGAGTCTGTCAGACAGATATAGGCGGCTACCTCCCCCTCTCCTGCAGCCATGGTCTGATTGTGTTCCTTTCCAACCCCGGTTCTTATTTTGCCTGCACACTCTTTGCACAGAAAATGGAGTCTCATGTTCAGCCCAGAACCATCCGTTGGGCTCCTCTCCTCCCCAGGGCGGCCGTCTATGATCGGCATTCTACTGCTCACGCAGCCGGGCCGGCGATTGTATCTAGCAGCTCGAGAGCGCAGACCGGGACCCGTGAGACGCAAGACCCCTCAAGATACGATTCTCCTGACTCTTCCTCAATCGGAAAATATCATTCAGATGTTCCCATGGAAGAGAAATTACCTCAGGCCGCCAATCTATCCGAATCTACAACGAGTGCGCCATCAACAGCACCATCCACAGACAACGCAAGTGAGCCTCATACTAGTACATCATCCGCGAGTCCGCCGACCCCTATCTTACAAGGTCGAGGTTTGGACGGCGACATCTGTACGATTGAGACACGACCCATGTCGGGCTCAACCTCAGCCGTTGAAGTCATCGAAATTTGTGAAGGCACCTTCGTTGCTGTCACGCAAGAGCCCGGCAACGAAGACAAATTGCAATGGCGCACCCTAAGCAAACGTATCCATATGGCGTTTGCGAAGACTTGCCGAAGATATCCAAACTTGTCTCTGCAGTTCAAGCTCGCCGGCCCATCAGCAGACCATGTACAGCCCGTGATATTCTTTATCTGCCCTCCAGAAACACAGAAACAGGTGCGGAAGTTCTTGAAAAAACAGAAGTGGCTCTCTGAAGCGGAATGTGGCTACAAGAACATGATCGTAGATGGCACTTTCCTACGAGTCGCATTGGACGGAGAAGGTGGACTTGATGGAGGCTTGTTCATTCGCGCGGATATGGGCGACGTACACACGCTGTGTGGGAAGCTGGGCAGACTCGAGGGAGCTTTGAGCCCCACTGGGTCAGCCTCGCGTTTCACCATTGGAGGAGTAGTGGTTGTCAATGACACACTTTGCTGCCTGACCACGGGTCATGTCCTATTCGACGGACACGATACATCTGGGATGGCGAGTTCGGATGACGAGGGAGAGACTGAAGATGAAGAGAGACGACAGGGCCCGGTCGGTACTGACCACCTGTCACCCCCCTCGCGAACATATTCTCATCCGGAGGATCAGAAAAGCCATGAAGACGGCGTGGCACATAGCCGGGTGTCACAGGAGACAAGAATCGGAAGACTTCTGACGACAAGCAACTGGAAGAGAGGGATAATGGCGTCGAATGAAGACTGGTCCTTGATCCAGCTTGATGCTATGCGCAGTACCGATGAATGGATTGTGAATCGATTTCAGTATCCAGGAACAGAGTTTCAGAATCCGCTCAAAGTCACGATCGACAAGTTGGCTCGCACCGAGGATGAGGTGACGGAAGCGGAAGTCATCGTTCTCGGAGGGTGTACTGGACTACAAAAAGGCCGGCTTAATACAACTGCGGTCCAGCTGTATCTAGACAACGCAACTTTTGAGGCTAGAGAGATCGTCACTGATGAGCCTCTAAGTAAGTCTAACGCCCACAAAAAAAGTATTTCATCTGTCCTTTTACAAATGCTGTTCAGGCAACATGTAATCTCAGACTAACTTCAATCCTATTGTTAGGAATGGGCGACTCGGGCTCTTGGGTTGTGCAAGGATCGACACTTCTAGGCCATGTGTTCGCCGTTCAGGACGGGACGCCATGGTCCTACATGATTCCGATCGCTCAGGTCGTAGATGACATTCAAAAGAGTCTCCTCACCTGCAACATAAAGCTTCCAACCCTGGATGATCAATTCAAAGTTTCTTCACTTTGTCCCGAAGTCAGGCGTAGTCACGCTAGCCTCGTGGCATTTGGCGTCAATGTTTGTCCGAGTTGCAAACAAGACTTGAGTTTGCTTGAACATTCCCAACAGACGGACACATCGCTCGAACATACTTATGCGGAGGACCCGGTGTTGTTCGGTGACGATGTAGGCTCGATTTCCTCGTCAAATGAAGGCTTCGAGTCCCCCAATTACAGCGATCACAGCATCAAGGCATCGACCGTACCCACCAGCTACATTTTTAGAAAACCTGATCCCGACGAATACAAAAACACTCGGTTTGTCCCGTTTTCCAGCGATTTCATATACCGCAGAGAATATTTGCGTGATGAGACCCTGACGAGAGCGCGCCCGCCGGGCGGAAAAGTTCCCTATATTGAGCTGAATGCTGTACTGGAAGAGATCCAGCCACCCAACGTCATGCTAGAACGCCTGATTAGAAACGACGCCAGTATTCTATTGGACTTCGGCAATCCGATCAATTACAACGTCAAAACAACCAAACTTACTCTCGTTAGTCCATCGGCAAATAGGGCTCTGCGCCATGTTGTTCGTTGGGACCCGTCAGTCAACCAGAGGTGGAGACAAATAGTGGTCACAGAGCCATACGCGGTCCTTGTCCACCACTTTCCTCAACTCACTGCGTACGCCGCGGAGCTTCGGGGCATGCACATGGCTGACAGGTCCAAACTTCAAGATTCCGGATCGGGAAAACACTCGACATCTGCCAAACCTCAAAATCATCCCCAACACGAGGATGTCGAAGCACTCATCGACTTCACTCAGCGCTTCATTCACGCATCAAATGTCACAACTGAGTATTCCCGGCACGAACGAAACACTTGCACCTTTGGCAAGTTATGGCTGCTTTTCCATCCCGGAATGACAGTGTATGCCAGAGGTGACCATCCCAGAGGATTGGCTGCGTACGTCATCAACGTCGTGGATACCGACCCCTCAATTCTTAGACAATCATACGGAAATGGCAGACCATACCTGATACATATGTGGAGACTCAATTACGATACACGTTATGTAATTAGACAAATGTGCACTGTGGCGATCAATTACTTCGACGGGGAACGAGACATCACCGATTTGAAGGTGTTCCCTTGCGAGTACCTCGACAGAGCCGACAGCGGGAAGACTCGTCGTAAACTCGAAGAACAGGGTCGAAGGTGGTATCGACTTCTGCGCAACGGAGCCACGTATTACGACGGCAAATTACCCGCAAAACCTGACCTGGTAGGATGTGGCTTTTCGATATTTATATGGTTCATCAGTCATAATATTCTAAACTAACTCGACCACTTTCTAGCATTACGAGGGCCCAGTCGTTGTGGATAGGGGGGCCATCCAAAACGGTCTGGCGAAGCTCAACGACCTAATTTTCGTCCCATTCAAAGACGAACCGGAATTTGTGCATGAAGAGAGAAAACAGCTACAGCAGTCGGAAAGCTTAGAATGGAATATACCAGGTTTCCCGTGGGCTTGCTATGGCCCGTTGGACCCAGAAAAGATCGAGAACTTGGAGCTATCTGACGACCAAGCAGAGGGAAAGGGGCATCGGTATCTCCTCTGTACTCCGTACCTACCTGGATTTTTGATCAAGCAGAAGGATTGGGGTAAGTATGAAACTTCTCTCAAGCTTTCTAAGATCATCCATATATTTAGCAGCTGACCTGGGGGTTCCACGTTAGCGTGGATTGATGTGAATTATTGTTCTCTGCCCAAGATGAATTCTTCTGCAATCGATCGTCTATTGCAGCCCGATAGCACAAAGGACATTATTTGGATGTTGGTTGAAGGTTTCAAACAATTTGCCCCACCAGCCTCGCAGGATTCTCGGCAACGAAAGCGATCAGGAAGCATCACAATCCTGCTTCACGGAAACTCAGGTATTGGGAAAAGATATGTAAGTCTCAGACAGCCCGTTCACGTGGCCGCGTGATAGCGCTGTGATCCTTTCAGAAACTAAAAGCGTTATGACAGACCGCAGGTGAGCTCTGAATACCGCAGCATCTAGTCATGGAGACCAGAGGACTGACATTTAAAAGAATGCTTGGCGGAGGCGGAGGGCAAGGTTTTGATGACGATACACCCTGGAGAACTTGGCAGTGATGCCAAAAGTGTTAGGAGTCTACTGTCATCGTGGCTTCAATTGGCACAGACTTCTGATGCAATTGTTCTTGTTCCTGCAGCGGACCCTTTCGTGCAGCAGGGCCCGATGGGTGAAAGAAGCGATATCATTTCCGGTAAGACTTGCATGTATCGGCTACAAGAAACAACTTTGGGACTTTCAAGGTGCCAATCGATGAGAACTAATGACATCGGACTCGTAGTGTTTTGGGCATGTCTCGAAGCGCACGAGGGGATAGTGATCCTGACAACAAGCCATGCGGTCAAGTTTGACGAAGTCGCCGCCTCGCGAATCACCTTACCTATCCATTACGGCCCATTTGATAGCAAAACCCGCCAAAAAGTCGGAATTCAACTAATGCGACGTTTGGAGGAAGACAACGGATCTTTAAGCATAACAGTGAAAGCTGAGGAATTGTGGAAATCCACTTTGCAGAAGGTAATGTGGAACGGCCACGAGATTAAAAGCGGTAAGTCACCAACGTTACATGACGATCTTGCAAAATCACGTCTTTCCAAGTCTCGTCTTTCACTCTCACGATTCATCTCATACTGACCGGTCTACACCGTGCAAGTCCTCGAGAACGCAGTAGCCATGGCTCGCAATGGCCATCAAATTGGCCGTGACGAATCGCGGGGTTCTATTCCGGGGTCCTCAGACCGCCTGGTTCTCGCTGCTAAAGACCTCGAGGCCATTGTACAGTCAAAAATGGCCTTTGAGGAATATGTCGCAAGATCCTCACATTCCGAATCCGTCATCCTCGCCGATAAGCGCGCATACCTAGGCCACACCGTTGACCCGCAATGAATGGGTCAAAATAAATACTATCGCTCCAATAGATGTATAACCTGCCCATATATACTTGCAGAGAATGAATACAATCCCTGAAATTAAAGTAATTTGAAGAGTGAGAAGAATAAAAGAATCATAATATAACTTATTAAAATTAGAAGGATTTGTAATGAACTATAACAATTTAATCATATTTAATATGTAATTACTGGGTTAGAAATTATAGATGCTGATCCTGAAGTCCCTTTTTCATCAATTGATTGAGGTCCTGAAAAGGGTATAGAGGATTGACTTCCGGATACCAAGGGCCTCCTGCCGGATCTTATATTGACATCTCACACCCGTCTCTCATGATGCCAGAGTTGACTGAAGCCGCGGGCTCTAGTGTTAGAACCGTGCTGTCAAAGTCAACCCTAGCATGACCTGAGAACAGTGAAGAGAAATGGCATCCGAGCTTCCCTAGACGAACACACGCCGCTGATCCGTGTCGGCAGGAAAATGTCGCTGCACGGATGAGTCCGTGAGGTGTCATTCGGTGACGATAACATAGCCTTCTGCTCTTGCGTTCTGTCTTATTCGACTGATCAAATCGGCAAGTACTCTCATGATAAAATGGCTCTAGCGAGCTCAGTCACACCGAGTCGATAGGAGTCCTTGTCACTGTTGTGGGAGGATCTGTGTGACATCAGGTCTGTCCGACTGAGTTGTTTTACAAAAAGCTTGAAAACAGGCTGCCGCTCTGATGCTCTGAATACGTGTAAAGAAAGGAGGCCGACCCCAACGTTGGCACCTTAAGGTTAGCACAATGATACCATACAGAGGCGGGAATGATCATGCTTAATGTCACGTTGAGTTATGCGACAAGAACATATTATGTGTTATCTCCGATGGCTCCAAACCTATCCAATGCAATATAGGGGTCCAGTGGTGTCGCCCCTGCCATTAAACAGGTTGCATCATGCTCAGTCGAAGCCATTCATTGGGACCTTGTTATTGAAGGCTTTTTAGAAGAAATGGTACCTAGGTGCTCAGAAGTAAAGAGCCCCTTAGACGACGGCTGGGCTGCTGCCAGTACCACATGGCGATGCATGGATCCCCATACAAAAGAGTTCGAAACGAACTGCGTCGTACTTGGCGGACCAATAGTCGGTCGATGGCCAGTGATAGCCGTGTTTAAGGGAATACTTCGGGAGATCTATCGATGGTAAACAGACACCTCAGTCTTCTCCGGAGACTCAAAGCGGCAGTATAGCTCGGCGATGCGCTCTCGATGACAATTCGTCCTGGTGGTAAAGTTTGAAAGAAGAGGCTGTGACCGTTGGCCGCCGGCCGCAGGGGCAACCAGATGGTTGGTCTATTATGTTTCCCAATGTTTTACAAAGCGGCGAATGCACTGACCAGAAAGTTTGCACACATCGGACGACCAGCTCCGCCCACTCCCATCGAAAGATCTCCTCCGTCGACCGCTGCCAAGTGTCTTGGGTGAACGGCGCACCGGAATTGACGCGCAATAAGCGAGAGTCTATTTTATGAAGATACTGACTCTTTCGCAGGGTGTTTCATTTTGAGGAAGATGAAGGGCGGCCCACCCTTCAGTTGGTACTTAGTGGAACTTGGCGGCCGAGAGGGCAGAGGTCCGCGTGCAGAGCGGATCTCCGCAAATGGAACAGCCCAGAACCTTGAGTCAAAACCCTTGCCAGGCTGCCAAGGCGACAGCCGATTGAGGGTTTTGCTGATTTGCCCCTGAGCTCAGCCTGCAGAACCTGGAGGTGGCGTCTGGGGAATTGTAGGTGCATGAACTACCTGGACCATAGTACACTGCTATACCAGTACTCGGGACTCTCGGATGCAGTACGACGGTGGGATTGATGATTGATTGATTGCTCAGGCGGACAGGCGGCTGAAGTGATTGCCGTGGCACTTGCTACTCCTATACTACAATGCATTGCAGTGGTGGCGATGAGGCATCAAAAGACAAACGTTCTCGGAGATGGGGCAAACATTAAACCAATGAGGGCATCCGACACGAGATGCTGCCCGTGGGTGCAAACACAGTCCAAAAATACACATACAATACGTGAACTCTGTCCGAGCGAAGCATTGGGTGTTGAACTGTTTTCTCCAATCTTGGTCGAGCTTAACAGAAGGGTACAAAGAGGGTCAAACCTTGTGTGGCCACAACGGCCTTGTCCGACCATCCAGGGGCTCGGGCTGCTTTTTATTCCCGTCTGCCCTACAATCCCCCTCAACGCCCCCTACGATTCCGCTACGATCGGACAATAAGGTTTACACATGGCGTGGCACTGCCCAGCTTGGAACCCACATTTTGCGCCTATGCAGGTGCTGGTGCTGGTTTTGGGCCCCATTCTGCCCAGAGTTTCTTTTTAGGTTGCGCCTGCAGACATGCATCACCATGCACTCACTCCCATAGTTTTGAGAGCTGGACGGACGGACATGGCAAAGCACCGTGCCTGATTCCTGGGTAGCAGGTAGGCAGTACGTACATTCATCCTCCTTAATACCGATCAAAATCCTATTTCTGCGGCTCAGCACAAAAGCAGCCAGCCAGCAAACAAAACGGAATGCAAAAGGTGCGGGACGGGCAAGGATCGGTGGGCAAACGGACCCCTGAAGGAGGGAAGGATAGGGCAGGATCAGAGATCGTCAGTCCTTCCCACTCCCAAATGCTAGTCAGTCACTCAGTCAGTCACTCAGTCAGTCAAGGCAAGGCAAGAGCAGGGGCAGGGGCAGGGAGGGCAGTCACTTTACACAGTACCTGGGCAGTCACTCTCATCTCATTCAATCCAAATTCAACTCAAATCAGTCCGTTGACGGCCTCGTCACTTCTCATTTAATAGACCTCTGAGTCCGCACTTCCCCTTCCCTTGAGGTCCCTCTCACTTTCGCTTGACCCGTCACAGGCTCACCACCAACTGGTTCTTTCCCTCTTTTAAGTGTCCCTTTTGATAACTTGCATCTGACCAGTCGAGCGAGCATCTTTTGTGTTTTGCTATCCACTGCGTCGTCCATTCATTCTTTCGTCCTCGACACAACTTCACTTCACTGCCCATCATGGTTTGCCCCTCGACTCTTGCCTCCGGGCTGGGCGCAGTTGGTGCCGCTGCCGGCGCTGCCAACACTTCTGCTCCTCCTCGATATGCCCTCTACTTTGACCAGTAAGCTTGAAATCCCATAACAGAGACAAAACTAGGCAGGGCTATGTAACTGACAACGAACACAGGTATCACACCACAGTCCTGCCCAACAAGACGCTGACTGCCGGCATCACTCATGTCATCACCGCCTTTGCCAACTCGTCTCTCTTCACCACAGATCCCGTTGGCACCTACACCCCCTTCATGAACATCTCCGACGTCCGCCCTATGTTCGACAATGGAACCAAGGTCTGCCTGGCTATTGGAGGTTGGGGCGATACCGAGGGCTTCCGTAAGGGCCTTGCCACTGAGGAGTCTCGCTCCCTCTACGCCAGCAACATTGCATCCACCATGGATACTCACGGCTTCGACTGCATCGACATCGACTACGAGTACCCTGCTGGCAACGGCTACGACTACAAGCAGGTCCCCAACTCGGACCTCGTCTCCGAGATCGAGACCTTCCCTCAGCTGCTCAGCTCTATCAAGGAGGCCATTGGTGGCCGGGAGCTGTCCATTGCCGTGCCCGGCCTCGAGCGCGACATGATCGCCTACACTGCCGAGTCCGTTCCTCTGATCAACGAGGCTGTTGACGTCGTCAACGTCATGAGCTACGACCTGCTCAACCGCCGCGACAACTTCACAAAGCACCACACTGACATCCAGGGCTCCCTCAACGCTGTCCAGGCCTACCTCGACCGCGGTTTCCCTCCCTCCAAGCTGAACCTCGGAATTGCCTTCTACGCCAAGTACTTCACTCTCGCCGCCAACACCACCTGCACCCAGCCCATCGGCTGCCCTCTTGCCCTGGCTGAGGACGCCCAAGGCCAGGACACCGGCACTTCTGGCGCCGCCACCTTCGAGGCCACCTCCTTCCCCGTCGAGGTCGACCCCAGCACCCTGACCACCTCCACCGACGGATCTTGCGGCACCGGCACCCTGTTCCAGTGCACTGGTACCGCTACTGGTGGTGCCTGCTGCTCCCAGTACGGGTTCTGCGGTGACACCACCGCCCACTGCTCCACCGGCTGCCAGAGCTCGTACGGAACCTGCACCGATGGCGACAAGAAGACCACCGCCCAGTCCTTCGCTGAGGCCGTCGCCAACGGCACCACTGACACCGAGAACGGCGGCCAGTGGTACGTCGACTCCGAGGCTGGTCTCTTCTGGACCTTTGACACCCCCGAGCTGGTCACCCAGAAGTTCACCGACATCATCGCCGCCAAGGGCCTGGGTGGTATCATGGCTTGGTCTCTTGCTGAGGACAGCAACGACTGGTCCCTCCTCAAGGCCATGCAGGATGGCGTCAAGAGCCTGACTGCCAGCGCCAGCACTGAGCAGACCAAGAAGATCCGCCGCAGACGCTACTAGGGGAATTTGTTTTCTAGAGAACAGGCGTGGCATTTGCATTGGTCAATCGGATAAGGGCGTGGGATCATTCTAAAAAGTCTCACATAATGAGCCTTGCTAAATATACCATTTAATTCACAAGTGTCTGCTCTCGCTTTTCATATGCAACCCATGTTCATATTGAAACTCCACGTTAATACCGTACACCTGGGTGCAGTATCTTGCCTAATGTAATGGTTTGCCTAATACGGTCGTTTCTTTAAATCTCTATACTTACGGTATTAAACACATATAGAAGGGATAATTAAACTTGTATTTGTCTTTGCTGACTTCAGGAAAGGTTGTGATAATGTATCCAGGAATCACTATGGACTTATGTGGCCTTCGTAACCATTCGGCTGGGTACGATGTCAAACGAGAAACTCCCGTATCTCGGCCACAACAACATCAGGCGCCTGCTCAGGTATGTAATGGCCCGAATCGACGACATGCCCATCAACGCTCACTCCCTTGTCCGTGACCTTGCGCCACTCGGCAAGAGCATCAAACGACTTCTCGATAACACCAGCATTGCCCCAGAGCACCCTGAGAGGACACTTGATATGCCTCCCCTCAGCCAGGTCCCGCCTCTGCTCCTCCATGTCCAGCGTCGCGCTGGCCCGATAATCCTGACACATCCCATGCACGGTGTCGGGGTCACCCAAGCCCCTGACATACTCCTCGAAGCACTCAGCAGCAAAGATCCCCGTCCCGTCCCGCTGCCGCCCGCCCATGAACATCTCGGCCAGCCGCCGCGGCTCCGCCAGCATGAGCGTCTCGGGCAGCGGGCTCTTCTGGATCAGGAAGAACCAGTGGAAGTACGCCTTTGCGAACTCGAAGTCCGTCCCCTCGTACATGGCCAGCGTCGGGCAGATGTCGAGGAATATCGCCCGCGTCACACGATCCGCGTGGTCCACGTACAGCTTGTGCGCGACGCGGGCGCCGCGGTCGTGCGCGCACACGAAGAACGTGGGGAATTCCAGCTCCGTCATGACCGCGGCGCAGTCCCGCGCCATCGCCGACTTGGCGTAGGCGGCGACGTCGCCCGCCGGCTTGGACGAGGAGCCGTAGCCGCGCAGGTCCAGTAGGACGACATTGTATGTGTCTGTTAGCTGGGGCGCCACGCGGTGCCAGATGTGGTGGGTCTGCGGGAAGCCGTCTAATATGTGTTAATCACCTGCTACGGATCCCAAAGTGATACATTCTAGAACATTCCAAAGCACAAAGATCAGGGAGCTGTTGCAGGAGAAGAATAGTACTTACGGAGGAGGAGCAGGGCTGGGAGGTTGCTCTTGGCGGGGCTCCGGATCCCTGAGATGGTCACCTCGGGCGCGGTGGAGGTTTTGATGTGGAATGGTTCGAAGCCTTCAAACATTTTTGCTTTTGCTCTCTTTTACAAGGAGGCGTGGCACAGGGTATTGTCGTTCGGAGTGGGTCGAATCAAGCCTGGTCTTATGGACCCCTTTGGATTGAACGACCTATTAAGCAGCACTCAGGATGAGGTGTGAGTGTGTAGGCTAGTTCGGGTTGGGATCGCCGGTGAATCCTTTGTCCTATGTTATGAGAGGCCGATAACCGGTCGATCTCACTGCCCACTACCTTGGCGTCGAGGGCGGCGTCTAGTTGCCGACCTGGTCTGTTGACGCGGTTAAGGAAATAGCCGAATTCGACTGCGCTGGACCCACTCTTCTCGTTCGGAACTGATCCCGAAGAGCTTTTCATATTGTAGTTTGATGTAGACAAATGCTTCGCTCTATTCCATTTAGGCGTAGAGCAGGTATTTAATCGGGAAAGAGGTGGGCATGCGAGCTTCTTTACTATTTGTCTCGTCTCTGTGCCTTGTCTAGATTTTCAATAGGTGCATGATGGTGGGCGCAGTTCATCTTCCAAATTTTATTTTAATGCAATCGCGGCAGACTCATATGCTGCCCAGCCAGTAAAGATACGAAGCAATCAGTACAAGAGACAAAGAACCTTAGGATGCTTTCTTGTTGAATGTGCTACAAGTTACGGGAATAAGACTGCGGTAAAAGTCAAGTCCGGTCCTCGGCTCTCCGCTGTCACTGGAAAAAGGATTCCGAGATCACCACGACAGACCCTGGTCGTTGTTATATGCTGCCCAGGTGCAACCTCTCCGATTACGTATACTCATATACTTAATGGCCATTCTCACCACGCATTGAGGTATTCACGAAATATTCCCGCGACTGTCTTCATCTCTCCGAACTTCATCAAAATGTCCCCTGCGAACAGCACTAAACCCCTCCGCATCGCCGTGATCCCCGGCGATGGCATCGGCACAGAAGTCATGCCGTACGGCATCCGCAGCGTCCAAGCCGCCGCGTCTCTTTTCAACATCCCCATCGAGTTCACATCCTTCGACTTCGCCAGCTGTGCCTACTACGCCAAACATGGCGACATGCTGCCCCCAGACTGGAAGGAGACCCTCGAAGCCTATGACGCAATCTACTTCGGCGCCGTGGGGCTGCCCGACCAGGTGCCGGACGACGTTTCACTGTGGGGAAGCCTGCTGAAGTTCCGCCGCGAGTTCGACCAGTACATCAACCTTCGGCCGTGCCGGCTCATGCCGGGCGTGAAGTGCCCCCTGGCCGGGCGCAAGACGGGCGACATCGATTTCTGGATCGTCAGGGAGAACACCGAGGGCGAGTACAGCAGCATCGGCGGGAAGATGTTCGAGGGCACCGATCGGGAGACTGTCATCCAGGAGACGGTCATGACCCGCGTCGGCGTCGACCGCGTGCTCAAGTATGCGTTCGACCTCGCACAGAGCCGGCCGCGGAGGAAGCTCACCAGTGCCACCAAGAGCAATGGGATATCAATTACCATGCCGTACTGGGACAGCAGGGTGAAGGAGATGGCTACGAAGTATCCTGAGGTGGATGTCGACAAGTATCATATCGACATCCTGACTGCTCACTTTGTGCAGCGGCCCCAGATCTTCGATGTCGTGGTCGGCAGCAATTTGTTCGGGGATATTCTATCGGACCTTGGCCCGGCATGTACTGGGACTATTGGCATCGCACCCTCGGGCAATATCAACCCGGACAAGAAATTCCCCAGCTTGTTTGAGCCTGTCCACGGAAGTGCGCCGGACATTGCTGGTAAGGGAGTTGCGAACCCGGTCGGTATGATCTGGGCGGGCTCTATGATGCTGCAGCACTTGGGTCATCAAAATGCCGCGGACGTGATACTCAGGGCTATCGAAGCTGTACTTGCACGGTCGGAAGCGGATGTCATGACGGCTGATATGGGAGGCAAGGGAACAACGAAGAGTCTTGGCGAGGCCGTGGAACAGGAGATCCTGGCCAACAAAACTCAGTGAGAGGCGCGATTAGTGGAAATATATTGAATTGTAAGCCAAACTAAGCAGCACATAATGTCAAAGCGATGATACAAAATGAAAGTGAGCCTGTATCCAAGCACCCCGGAATCGTCCAAGCCCCACGTTCTATACGCTTAGACATCAAATTTCTGACCAACGAGTTCTTCGCTGTAAGCCCACAGCTTCCTAGCATTTTCCAGATCCGTTGCATACCCCAAGGCCTCTCCCACGCCGCAGTCCAGAACATAGGCCCCTGTCTCGGACTCCATGCCCGGGTCCAGCGCAGCAAACAGCGTCGAGGCACTGCCCTGAGAGTCACTCTTAGGATGCCCGAATGAGCTCCAACCGAGTCCCGGGTTGTTCTTCTCAACAGCCGCCATCAATATCGGGATCTGAGACTCGAAGTCCATGTGATCACCCAAGCCGGTGGAGAGGATCAGGCCAGGGTGCACGGCAAAGGACTGGATGTTGTGGGGCTTGAGGCGGCGGGCGAGCTCAACGGTGAAGAGCACGTTTGCGGTTTTGGACTGGCCGTAGGCGGACCAAGGGTCGTCTGGAGGCATGGGTTAGTTTAAAATCCAGTATATACGGCTCTCAATAATATTGTAGTTCAGAGTGAATGGTTCACTTACACTCCTTGCCGTTGCTGAATTTGGGATCACTGAAGCGGAAGGGTCCGATGCGGTGGCCAAGCGAGGTCAGGTTGATGATTCGCGCACCGGCGCCGGCGGCGCGGATCTTGGGCATGATGAGGTTGGTGAGAAGGAAATGCCCCAGGTGGTTCGCGCTGAACTGCATTTCGTTACCGGCTTTGTCGACTGTGTATTCGGGGATGGCCATCACCCCGGCATTGTTGACCACGACATCGATTTTCTTGATCTCTGCGTCAGAAAGGATCGTCTCGGCCGCCTTGCGGACAGCATCCTGGTCGGATAGCTCGCATGGTACAAATTTTACGGAGACACTGCTGTCGGTAGACTTTATCTCCTCAATGACTGGGTCAACCTTGGGCTTGGATCGGGAGACGAGGATGATCTGGGCTGGGGAGTATTTGGCCAATGTTGTTGCAGATTTCGCGCCGATACCGTTGGCGCTGGTGCCTGTGATGAGGAATGTCTTTCCCTTGATTTGAGCGGTAAACGCATCGCAGATCTCCTCTGCTGTTGTCTGAGAGCTGAACTGGGTCATGTTGAGAGCTGAGAAGATATATTGCTAAACAGGTGAAGGTGCTGGGTTATTTTCTTTGATTGTTAATTGAGCAATGATGTAATTGTTTTTGGGGTGATGAGTTATGCATTCTTGGGACAGATGAAGGAGAACACAGCTTGGTATTTATATAGATGGAAGTATTTTATGATTTCACACTCTCTATTGCCGATGGCATCAGCATCACTTGATGTATGAATTGCTCGTGGCTGTGATGACGCTCGCAGCCAGGTCCCTAACCCCGGTTTGACCGATGGGCCAAAGTGCGCCACCGTCATCTCCCATGCTGGCGTCAGCAACGGCTCTAGGCCGTCTCGGCGTTAAGGACAACACAACGCCGCTCAAATTCTTCACAGAGAATAAGAATCAAATTTAGTTACATTGAGTTAACGGGAAATGCTTTTCTTGGCAAATCACATGAAAGAAAAACCCAGCACTTGTCTTCCATCAAAAAGCATCATATGGGCCACACCAAGTGAAGAGACTGCCTAAACGGAGGCAAATCGAGTGTGATTGCCAAGCCTGTACCATTATCGCGTCGGACCAATCTGTTCTCTGGCTCTTATTGCATTTCTCGCAGTGATACTAGCAAGCGTTGTCACCACGGGTATTATCTATTCCAGCTGAGTCGGATCGGTTGTCGAATGCGCGGTAGCCGTGGGAGGCGGGCTTGATGGAGTAAGGATGAGAATCCTGCTTCGGCGACTCCTCCGTGTCTCTCCCCAATATTCTGAGCGCCAGCTTCGGCAGTGCAGGCGCACAAGCCGCCATAATGACGAGGTCGGCCTCAATGCTAGAGTAGAAAGTCAGCTGGTCATGCGCCAATCCAGGTGAGCGGTGTGCTTGGGGCAGAGCAAACTAATTCGTGAGAAGCAACCAGAACAAGTCCCATGTCGCATCCGTGGTGTGCATCTTGGGGATCTGAGTGGTCTTGACGATTGCGGCAATCGTCGCGCTGGGCAGAATCAACGTCAGCAGCTTCGAAGGCGGGCCAGGAGCCGGCCTGGCAGGGGGATGAGATTGGCTTACAAGAAGCCGAGGCCCATGAGCAGCATGATAGAAATCTTCTTGGACTTCTTCATCTGCAAGTTCCAGAAAATGGTGACGGGAAAAGCAGCCAAGACGAAATCAGTGAAAGCCGACCACGCTCCAGAAATGAAGAAGATTAGCTTCGGGTATCCATGTCTTAGAAAACAAAGGAGCAGGAGCACTCACATGCGGCCACGTATGCGGAGCCATCGATGACATAACTGGGGAAACAGTCAGCTGGCGAGAATGGGTGCCAGAGGTGATCTGCTGGATTGCACTGGGCGAAGAAAAGGATGATGGCGAGCGCAAAAGTGATAAATAGTATTCCGATGACCGAGTATAGAAACCAGACACCACGCTTCGCAGTTCCCATCAGCCTAATAATGAGGATGACGACGGCCAGCTTCGGCAAGAAAATCGCGGCTATGCCAATCGGCCGCAGTATGGATTCATAGTATAACGTGTTCACGATGTCATCGTCGGACAAGTAGTAGACATGTCGCCCGATGCCGTAAGATACCGAAACAGTATTCAGGGCGGTGTTGATGATCTTGAATACCGCGGCAAAGACGAGGATGGCATCATCCCAGCCCGGAGAGCGTGTGATAAAGAGTCGACTGTATATGCGCAGAACGACACAATGGATAGAAATAGCAGCGCCGACCCAGCCTACAATATTGATAATGCAGCCCCTGCTCTCATCAGGGGGGAGCGACTGGACCAATACAGACGACATGGTAGAGGAAAGGGGGATTTCGCAGGAGTTTAGGTAGACATGACTCAATACTCAGTGCGTGCAGAGCGTATAAATGTTAATCTGTCGTAAATCATTAGTGGGAATTGCTCTTAAATACAGGGGACCTTTAAATGTACAAGACAAATAGTGTGCAGGGCTTCCGGGGCTGCTCGGCTCTCCATGCTGATTTGCAGTCACACAGAAAATAACTCTAAGTGTCACCGATGTGGTGACGGAGCCTCGCAGAAAATTCGCCCGATGGACTGGACTGTCGAATTCCATGCGAGGACAGGTACCTTGTGGCCAACGCTCCGCCCATTATGCACATTCAGTACATTTGAACGGGACCTTAGCATTAGCTGAAGACGTCTATAATTGGAAGATGACGACATGCATTCCTTTTCAACTACAAAAGCTGAAATGCATATGTATGAGAACCGTAAAATGTACAGCGAAGGATTCGGCCCCAGCATGGAGAAGAAAACATGAGGATTTCAGCCTTACTTCGACAGACCGGCTGTATTATACGCGTGTCCGGAAGGTAATATACATGCGGCCTCGCACGTCTTTTCTCAGCTCGATATATGCAATGCAACCATCACCTCAGTTCCTTCATGCGGAGAGAGAGGAGAAAGGCTGATCATTGCCCGCTTTTATGGCCCCCAAGGCTTCATGCACGCACGTTTTGCGCTTCTCACCGTGTTTCGAGCCGATGAGAAATGCTTGCAGCAGCGGGCGGTTACAGAGCTCCCGCACATAATATCCCTAGTGGGATTTACAGGGGGTCCTCAAAGCCCTTCGGAACGCCGAAACGTCTGTACCCAAACACGTATATTTCAGTCATGCCCCTTTACAAACTTGTTAACTCACTACGTGAATAATAATGATGTGACCTATGTTTCTCCTGGACTTGCTAATGTATTTCGCTAAGAAATATTTTCAAGATGTGTGGTTTGAGTGGGGAGCACGTTGAACTCGAAATGACATGTGGTGTTGTCCACCTTCATAACGTCTCGCCGCACAACCAGCATTCTGGTTACACTGCATGACACACGGGCAAGAAGAACCTTGATCCGCTCTGCTCAGCCATGTGCAACCCAGATTCACCATGGCTTATATGATACTCCGGCAACCAATTAATCACGTACAGCTGACCTCTTACTGGGCTCCAATATCATTGCCAGAGTATCAGCTCGTTCACGTGTTGCGAGCCACCTCAGCAACCTGAGTGTTCACGCTCCCAATACAATTCGGCCTGTTCAACCATCTTTTCAAATACACCTTACCTTTCATTTTTCAAGCTCCTGACCGGTCAAGCAATCATGACTACCGCTTCCTCGCAAGCCAACTTCGAAGCCAGCCTCGCCGGCCGGCCCCGGCGTCTTCTTCACGTCCCAGCAATGACTTCATTCTGCTGGTGCCCGTGGAATGTCTACAGCTAATGCAAAGCCCCTCTCTACAACGCGATAAATTACACGTATGGTCGATAGATGCTACGCACTCATGAGGACCAGCCCCACGTCCATGCTGTGGATATCAAAGGCGTGGACTGGGATATTCCACGGATTAACCCCGAGCACTTCAGCCGAGAAGAGTCTTTGGCCGTGATCATGAGATCTACAGAACCAGCTGAAGACCAAGCGCTGAAATCATCTATTCCCGCTCTGGGCGCTGTGGGTCCTTCAGGTGTGGAGTTGCTAGTACGATATGCCTACCTTTAACACTCTGGGCTAAGCAGGTGGTATATTAGTTTGTGCTTTGGGGCCAAGCTCGCGGGGGCTGCCTAAATCCGGCTAGCTAGCAGGCAGGTGGAGCAAAGGCTTAGTTTGATGGTTTCATCGATGCGGGTTCGTCCCGCGGAGACCCCTGAAGCTTGGAACATGGACAAGGCCCGAAGACCCGAGCTCGAGGGGTTTTCTCAACGTAGCTCTCGCCCTTCCCACGTCCCTGCTTTCCCATGGAGATCGCTCTCTACCAGCACTGCTATCAACCTTGTATGCTTACCTAAGACAGGAACTACATGACCACCATCGTGAAGTCGATTGTTTTGAACGCACCGAGCCTGACTTACCAAAATCTCACGAATGCAAAGCGGTACATATAAGACTGGCTATAATTTCGGATTCATAGTTAGTCAAGCTTTCTCTTTCTTGAGCAGATCCGGGTCTGTACAGCGCTTCGACGAATTGAGTTTCACTATTCCTGACCAAGTCTTTGGAGTCTCGATAAGTTTTCTTTCCCTTTGCTTCAACATGTTTCAATCGACCATGTCCTGACTGTGCGCACCTAGAGTCGAAGAATTTAATACGCTGTCTCTGAACTATATTAGAGGTAGTCTTGGGTGCGTGTCTTTGTGGAGTCCCATTTGTTGTCGACGCCGGAAATCGCAGCACCTAGTGAGTGTCATAGCTCGGAATCTTGGCGATGGCTAGGATATTCAAGCATCATGAACAGTGGTCAACATGGTCTACTATAGTTCATTTCTCAATGTCGACCTGCCCCTTGTGCTTCGTTGCCAGGCTCCAATGTCGCGCCAACTCTACTCCAAGTATCGGGGTGTTCCCATATTTCCGTCTTTCGCGTGCAGACAATACTTGCAGGACGCCCACACAAGGAGACAATGAAGTCGAAATGATTTGAGAGACAGGGGGTCTAGGGCAAACACTATCCCACAAAGGGTGATGACAGGGAACCGTTAGTGCTGTGAGGCGCCTTCCGCCAGCTTTGTAATGCAGGGCTCAGGGAAGCTTCAGGGAAGCTGTTGCTGGATTTGTGTCATCGCTTCATGTGCACTGAATCTGCAGCGGGCTTGCAGCGGAGATTTGGTGGACATGCAGCAGTGGGCCAGCGTGACGAGTAGCAAAAGGAGTCGATACAAACTCTCGGACTCTCGGACTCTTGACACCTTTACTTCTTCCGATCAATGCGTATCTTAGTCTGAGAAACGCACCCAGAAAGATATAAATGTACAAAGCCTCATCATCCTCACTTTTCGCCAGACCACATTGAAATAGGATCTCAAAGCCTTTCTTCCAGTAAAACCTTTCGCCACGATCATCTCCATCACCATTATCGGCCAAGTCAAGGCTACAACGCGCACCTGCTGCGCTTCGCCACCATGTCGTCCTCTTCAGGCTTCCAGGTAGGGGCAGGAATGGTTACGATTCCCACACCCTCCAAGCAGCCGTTACTATATGTCACCACGGTCCTCATGCTCGTCCTGGTGCTTCATCTTATGGGAAAGGAGAAGGGGTATGGCCTGCCTGTTATCAACCCTAAGAAACCTTTTGAGTTATCCAATCGAAGGAGCCTTCTCGAATGGGGTTTTCACTGCAAAGATCTGCTCGCAAAGGGAAGGGCTATGTTTCCCGGCAAACCGTACGCAATGATCGTCCCTGAGGGAGAAGTGATGGTTTGGCCCACCTCGGCCATCGATGAAGTCAAGAGTGAACATGGTCTGGATTTTGTGGGGATTTCTCCCGAGGTGAGCCATTGGAGATAAGTCTTGGCCCAGGTGAGACACTGACCGTGTGACGTATAGGACAGCCATGGGTACATCCCAGGATTTGAGCCATTCGCTCAACCTACCTTGCCGACTGTCGTGATCAACAAGTTCCTGAACAAGGCCATTGGTATGCATGAAGATACCCTACCATGACATACAAAATATACTAAGTGATACGTAGCCAAACTTACCCTCACCATATCGCACGAGGCAACGCGGGCCCTCAACGAGACTCTACCACCTTGTTCTGGTAAGTTCGCCGCGGGGTCCATGTTAAGTCTGGTCGGAAAAGGCCCCGAAATTGACAGTCGGGCGCAGATTGGGTCGAAATCTCTCCCGCAGATTACATTCTTACGGTCATTGCTCGTGTTTCTACCATGGTCTTTATGGGCGAGGAAATGGCCCATAACAAAGCCTGGATCGAAGCATCATCTCGATACGCTCCCTTGGCATTTGCCACTTCCGACCACCTAGGAACATACCCATTTTGGCTTCGTCGTTATATTCATTGGTTCCTCCCGGGTTGTCAGAAAGTTCGCGCCCAGCTTGCTGAATGTCGCCGACATCTTCAACCAATCATTGATAAGCGCCGCGCCTTGAAGGCCGTGGCCGCTGCCAAGGGCCAGCCCGAGCCCGACTTGGATGATTCCATCGAGTGGTTTCGGAAGGTCTTGAAGCGCGACGACTTCGACGTGTGCGCTCTTCAGATCAGCCTTTCCATGGCCGCGATTCACACAACTTCCGACTTGATGCAGTGCACAATGATCGAGATTGCTCGACATCCGAAGCTGTTCGAAGAACTTCGCGAGGAAATACTCAATACACTGCGCACTCACGGCCTAAAGAAAACAGCACTCTACGAGATGAAGTTGATGGATAGTGTGATCAAGGAGACCCAGAGACTGAAGCCACTCTTGCTCTGTGAATACTATGCCCTGCGAAACGCTGTGGAGTGAAGTTGCTGACCCGTCTTCTTCCAGCCACCATGCGCCGGGTCGCCACCAAGGATGTGAAACTCCCCAGCGGCTTCGTCATCCGCAAAGGCCAGAAGCTTATTGTTGACAACACCCACATGTGGGATGCCGCCTACCATGAGAATCCAGACCAATTCGACCCCTACCGATTCCTACGGTTGCGCCAGGAACCGGGCAAGGAGAACCTGGCACAGTTAGCAGCCGCCAGCGTGGAACACATGGGCTTCGGGTATGGTCTACACGCCTGTCCCGGGCGCTTCTTCGCCGCCAACGAGATCAAGATCGTTCTCTGTCATGTACTTCTGAAGTATGACTGGAAACTTGCAGAGGGCTGTGACCCGAAGCCTTTCACCTTTGGATACGCGGTGATTGGCGACCCTACCACGAAGTTTCTGATCAAGCAGCGACAGCCGGAGCTCGATTTGGATACCCTGGAGGCCTAGAGGCAGTCTCATCTACCATACAAAATACCCGCCCTTTTATCAGAGATCAGAACGGCAGGCTTAGAGCAAAGCCAGCACAGCATGATTTTTCAATTATTGTTATCATGTATAGACTCCGTCCAACGCTCACTAAGTGCGTGTGCTCGACACGTACTGGTAAAAGTGGCAACCGAACGAATGGTTCGCACTCGACTTTCACGAATCTATGCAGCGAGCCATCTTTGACATCTCCGTCATCACATTTCTAAGCACGAGGATCAACGAGTATTGGCCCATTACGTGGGAAGACTGGAAGCTGTTCAACGACGCAAATACATTGGAGTCAGATGAACTGCGAAGCCTCGATTTAAAATTCCAAATGTTTAAGAGGCACTGTCTAGACATCAGCCGGCTGGCCTGCCAATTTGGACGAGGTCAGCTGTCCGTCAAATACATCAAGGAGGTAGAGTTAGAATAACAACTTCAAATTGAATTCTTCTCCAATTGTATCCGGTGAGAGCGACAGTAATGCAAAGAATTCATGACCCTAGTCTGCAAAGCAATAACCGGGGCTAAGCGGTCAGACGATACATGAGAGTACCGAAACCAAGGTAATCATATCCACCACTGTTGCTCCCGTAGTTGCCACCGCCTCCCTCAACCCCACCGGTTGCATTGTTGGCGTAGTTGACATATTCTTTCGTCCAGGATGCGTCGAGGCCTCGAATGTCATTGTAATGTCCGTACAAGAGTTCGAACCCGGCTCGCACATTGCCACGAGACGCTGAGGAGATCTCAGTCATGTTACCCTGATCAGGATTGTCGTACTCTGTGAAGGGCACAGTTTCATTCACATTATATTTCGCGATATACTCCGATCTGACAACATATGCATCGTTAATTGCAGACACCACGAAAGGGAAGGCTGCTCTTGAGATGGAACGCAGAGAGTACTCACGCCGCCAGACCACTGTTCGACATGATCTCGAAGAGATCCTTTCCTTGGTTGTATCCTTGCTGAAGGACCACTCCCAAAAGAGCAATATCAAGTGTCGCGTGTCCCTGGTCTCGTCCAGCCTCTTGACTTTGGGCCAGAACTTTTCCCGATCCATCTTCGGTGTGATTGGCGATTATGAAATTCGGCATGGCGCCCATGCCATCGCCGCTGATAAAGTAGTTCATGGCGTAGTCATACATCGTCTGGTTGTCCGTGAAAACTCCAATGGCTTGAATGGCAGCAATGCTGCAGAGATCCCAATTTGCCCACTGCATTCAATTTTAGCATTACCGCTTCGAAACTTGACGTTTGTCATGATGACTCACATAATGGTATTGTGATTGACCGTTGTGTGTCGTTAAAAATCTGTAACTATCTTTGTAGAATACAGTTTCGAGGAGATCGCCGAGACGCGTGCGATTCGTCTCCGGCCATTCGCTGTAATCCCGCATGATCTCTCCGGCATTTGCCAACTGATATCCATAGAGACCTGCTGCAAGGAAGCCATCGCTACTCCCTCCAATGGCCTTCATAGTTGACGACCAAGCATCTAAAATTCGGGTCGATGCGACCGCAAATTCGGAAGACCCATTGATCTTCCAGCGAAGAGCTAGCTGATAAGCAGCGTGGGCATCGTTGTACAACACCGGATAGTTCTGTGCGTGTACCCCGTCGGAGCCGCGGTAGACTGTCTCCACGGCGCGAGGCTCATACGTAGGAGAGGCGTGTGAATTTGACGTCAGAAGGTTCCAAGCCGTGAGCCACGGCTCTTTGCCTTCATTGACATACTCCTTGACTCTAGTAAAGTCATCCTCGGTATGAAGAAGGCCTGGATGAACAAAAGCTGTCGCGCCAGCCACAAAAATAGAAAGGACGGCAATCCGTACCATTGTGTTGTTTCAGGCAATGTAAGAAAGGTAACAAGGTTATGCCGAATTTACTAAACGAACAAGATTGTGAGGGATATGGATTTGTCGCCGGTAGAGAATATCTCAGCAGTACATGTCTTTAATGTTGTAAAATCAAGGGTGCAGGTCGTGTTTGGTCTATGGAGGCTTCGCAAATGAAAGGGGGAGGCTCTCAATTTGCTTCGGGAGCATTCATCACTCATGACGTCCGCTAGGACAAAAGCCCGGCCCACTGTCCGCTCCGTCGAATGGATGTTGGCACCACTAATCCACTCAGCTATCGCAGTTTTTCGAACCTGTCAAGTTTGGTCTTCTGCAGCTTCATTTGAAGCGAAGATCATTGCCGTCTGAAGGCTTGGCGTGGCATGACTTTTCCCTCACCGATGTCCCCGCTAAAGTAGACGAGGTGTTCAGACAACAGAAGACGTGCCCCCAACAGAGATACAAGATCATATGCACATTCATGTTGATTCATATGCACATTCATGTTGATTCATATGCACATTCATGTTGATTCATATGCACATATTTATTCATTATCCCTTCAAAGACTCCAATATGCCAGAAACTCCTGAAACAGAGTAGCAACAATTAACTGTGAATCGCTTCTTAATAAAATTGTTGTTATTAATATTCTTCAAGCTCCAAGTGTCATTTTAGGTCAAACGTTTCCGGCATATCACGGCACGCAAAGGAACACATGGAAATGGATACGCCAATGGTCCTTGAATTACGATTCTCGTCAATATGTTCAATGCATTCTCTGGCTTTGCTGCCTAGTGATAATTACCAGTTGCGGCTTTTTTCATAAAGGATTCGGTGCATCCGAGGGCTTGTTTCGGACAGCGGCAGGTCAAAGAGACAAAAAGGCTGCCTGGGTAGAATTGTCAGGTTTCGTGGGTTGTATGAGACCAAGAAGTCTTGAGGCTAGTGTTTGTCGATCCCATGAAACTAACCCAAGGCCCATTAAACTAATCTAGGGGGGAACGGGCCGTCCCTGTTCTTTCTCCCTTCTCCCTAATATTCTCCGTACCCCGGATTCTCCCCGCATGTTTATTCACACCACTACAATCTCACATGGCTAGATGACAACAAGCGCGGTGCCCGGGCCAAGTAGCGGAGGTTGCCCCGAGGACTACTGCGGATACTAAATACCAGACGAACCCAATGCTGTCGCTTGTGCTGCGTGTCTTTACTCTCCACTAGAGGGAATAATTCACAGTCGCGCTTCCATGGCTTTGCTAGCATTCCGAGCGATGACAGCTGTCATTCTGGATAGTTGCTGATGATATCTCCGTGCATCGCACTCGAGTCAGCGGAGCAAAACTTCATCTAACCTTACATTCTGGGACTATTGGGGTCACGCATGTTTAACCCCGAATTTATTCCCAATTTCGGGGTTTGACAATTTAGAAGCTATGTTTCGTGGAATCCATGTCCTACATAATGATTGGCTTGCAGGAGACCCCGGAAATAAGGCGTAAAAACTGCATGATGAGCCTCCTCATAATATTCCCTCTAGAGAATGAGATCTTACGACCAAATGTGGATGTGAGATAAAATCAACTAGTTCAATGACACACTTCCTCGCAGGTGGGGACAGCCGATAATGATGCTGTCCGTGTCGTACGGTGAAGACTTCAACATAAATACGACCACTTGTCGGGAACCGGCCCCATTCCTACAATGGGTCATCTCCTCGTCGCCGCACATGCTTTGGCTGAGGAATTCGTGTCTGGGCTACTGCCGTCTGAATGATCTCATCAGTATCGGTCAAATCTTGTTGTACAAATCGGCCATGAAGTTACCTCGACATTGAGTCTTTGGCCGCCCGGGGTATCGTCGGTGTGAGACAATATATGTCCTGTTGACCTTCTCAATGATGGGCAAGGAAGATGTGTATCTTTGAAAGCTGGCAATTGAGCGAGTTCCGACATTCGCAGTGAGTCAATGGACGCCGAAGCCTACGCGTGAATTGCAGACTATGCCAACGTCACAATCTCCTTGTGTGAAAAGGTGCACTGCCCACTCAGGAGCGATAACAGAATGCTGAATGTCTCAGGCACAGATACCGACTTCCGAAGAGCGCTACTGTCATAGTTGCATCGGGAGTCTCGTTTGTATGGAGAGTCCTGACCGTATTCTCCACCTACAGCTGAACTGCTTATACACGCACCTCTTATTTGCAGGTGAGTGTAGACAGGGCTCTCCACCAAAATGCATGTGGAGTCCTGTCGAACTTGGCCATCGACGGCAGCACATGCCTTACACAACCAATTCGCCAGGTCCGCAATTGCCTTTCACTCCTACGCCCCTCATCGCGATCTTCATCAAGGGAAGCTCAACCCGGATGGTCGGCATTTAGAGCTCCGATGTAGTCAATTGAGGGCTCGACCTCGCCACCGTATCGGCTTTGCATCTCCCATCGTTCGGATCTGTGCAAAGATCTGACCTTCTTGTCCTCTGGATCGACTGTTACGTTGATAGTGGGTAAGTGAAGTGTTGTCGTTGAAATAAATGCAGTCTGTGTCCTGTGGGAGGTATATAGTCTTTCACTTTCCAACATTTATTTTAATACACGGTTTCTCGGAATATTAGCCCCGGTCTCGTACAGGGAAGCAATAGCGACTTCCAGAAATCCATCCTTGACAGCCCATTACCAACAGAACATTCGATGGAACTACACCTTCCGGTCAAAATCTTGCCAGGGCTGATGTGTGTTCGCGAGCGAAGAAGTACCCCGCTCTTCCTCGGTAATGCTAATAGACTGGGTCTTTAGTATGTGCTGGCGGCCACTCTCGTCGGAATTGCGGTCGCCCAAGACCGTGGGTTCGAGGATGCTGTCCCCTTGATGCCTATTGTTTTTGGCGGCACTGCGCTGGCTGGAAGCCCAGTGTTTGTTGTCGCGATTTTCGAGTCGATAAGATGGCGTGAACTGATTGCTCTTATAATTCGAGTCTCCTTTGCTTGACAATAGCACTCCGATTCTGGAAAGCAGAGGCCGGAGTCCCGTCAATGACCCGGCCACCAAGCCAAGGTTGTACTCAATGGCCATCCAATACAAGGATTGCGCCCCCGCGACTACAGAAAAGCAATTTTAGCAACTGGTTCAGCCCAGTGAAAATAACATGGCTCCCAACTTACAAGTTGTGTCTGAAGATCCAGACTTATAGAACTGTATACTTTCGAATCTGATGGCGGGTGCAATGCAGGCTACTAGGCCGCTGCCAAAGACCAACAGAAGCGCCGTCTTCTTGGCAGAGCCCATGTTGAGTTTTATCAATGCAGGGAATGGAAGAAGGAAGATGATGATGTCGCAAGCAAATAGCAGGACAGCCTGGTACATGAAAATTCCATAGGCAACATCCGACGAGTAGCAGTATTTCACCCTGTCAGGCGACATAAGGAACTGTAGTTCAAAAGCGTATTTGGGAGGGTTGCACTGGAATGCGGCAACGAGTGTGCCCGATATCGTAAAGAGCACAAGGAATATGAGCAGGCCGAGCGTCGTGTACTGAATATACGCTAAACAGAGCAGTTCAGGTTAGATGGATATGGGAGGAGAGATGGCGATAGAGTATAGAACCTACGGGTTGGAAACACCCGCCGTAGTAACAAAAGGATGCTGGACTTGACGGCTAGAGAAATGAACAAGTATATGCATATGCAGATGTAGTATAACTAAATTCAGTATTAGCAGCAGTCCAGGTCGATAATTCAAGAAGTAGATAGTATACCCTGAACCACATCGTCAAGTCCTGTACTGAAACATGTTCGATATGCTTCCCGACGCCGTAGTGTACGACAGCCAGCCCAATGCCATTGAATATGGTTACAGAGATCTGACCCTATCATTAGTACTAGCAGTCTTGAGAGACGGCAGTTTTGTTAAATAACTCACCAAACCAACGAGACAAGCCCAGTCATCCAATCCGAACGCTTTGATCACGAACTTACGAACATAAAGCTTCCACGACCCCATCTGTCAGCAGTCTTCACGATTTGTAGCCAACTTTCGAATACTTACCCTCGTGCCGCCAACCAGGATTGCCAAAACACCTGTAGATATGATGGTCCCGTACGAGACAGCGATCTCATACTTCTCATCAGCGCCAAGCACTGGCTCTTCAGTACTAGACATCTCTAGGACATGGGAATCGATGTTCGAGATGGATCAGCTGGGGAGAGTGTGTTCGGTGAAAGAGAAACAAGTGTCAGGAAAAATGCGAAAGCACGAAACCTACACAGCTCCGGCTAACTCCGAGCGCTCTTACATATGACTTGGCGACGATGCTTTCAAGGACTCAGGAGTACTTCTACTTCATGGGCTCCACCGTCTGCAGGTGCCAAGCATGCAGCAGGTTCATGGGGCCCTTGTAGCCCGACGATCGATTGCGGGGAGATAAAATTGTCGGTACAGCCCTGGATACTGACGGCAGCGCCGGTATCTAACCTGACTCGCCTCTACTGTACCCAGAAGAAACTGGCTGGATTGGTCTGCACGCTAGAGGGGTGCCACGCGGTTCTCTACACTCTTTGCCTTCGGGTACGAAGAGATCATGGCCCCGGAAATGCCTTCTGGCCTGGCCTTCCTTGACAGCAGAGACCTTAGCAACGGCTACTGCGACGATCAATCCCGCAGCGCTTCAACGGCCGCGCCGTTGCGCCCGAAGGGGGCTAGCTAGTGGGGCCTTACTCAGCGCTGCATCAGTGTTTGTCGGACTCTTCAAGATTGCCGCAACTACAAATTTCTCCAACACCTGACATCTTGAACTCCACTGTGGCCCCTTACCCAGTACGTGTCGCCTACGATCTCTTCCTTGTACTAAACGTGATAATCGGAAGTTTATTAAATTAAACAATTAGATCAATTATAGTCTGTTTCTTGGTCTGTGTAGACCCGGCATCTAGAGGAGATACAGAACTTGAAGCTTCTTCCTTCTTGAGATCTGTTGGTCAGGTGGCGTGTACCAACTAAGTACGTACCTCACTAGGGCTCAAGGTCTGCAGCAGTACATATAAGTGCGAAGGATCTTGTAGTCAAGTGGTTAAACTATAGCTCAAGACAACACCATGAATGTCTCTCATAGACCATTTACCGACACTATGGAACACTCAGCACAGACGTTCCAGGTTATCATCGCTGGTGGTAGCCTGGTAGGCCTGACGACAGCACTGGCTTTAGAGAAGGCTGGAATCTCTTACGTCCTGTTGGAGAAGCGTGAGATCGCCCCGCATTTGGGAGCATCCATTTCCATTCACCCTCATACCCAGCGGGTGATGGAGCAGCTAGGGGTGTGGCCTGAGATCGAGGCAGGAGTACTTCCACTTCAGGATAGGCGACACTATGATGAGCACGGTGTCTTGTTTGAGGACTCTGCGATACTGCGGGAGATATCCAAGATGTAAGTCAAACTCAGTCACGCTTAGGGTTAAGTGACTGAAGCAGATCAATCCCAGGTGTCTCGACCGTAATACCGCATTTATGGAACGTAAGTTCTGGCTGAGCTGCATCTACAATGCCATCAAGGACAAGTCTCGCGTTCGCGCCAACTCTGGAGTGGCCTCGTTCGTCGAGTCCGCAGAAGGCGTAGAAGTGACGACGGAGAGCGGTGAGATAATCAAGGGGGATATCCTGATAGGCGCCGACGGCGTTCATAGCGCTATGCGAGGTCTCCTAGCAGACAAAATCGAAGGCACTGATGCCGCTGCCGCGCAACAGATGCGAGAATGCTTTGAAAGCACCTATCACGCCATCTTTGCTACCTCAAGGAACATCAACACAAAGGGAGAGCCATTTCTTCCGGAGCGCATGGTGCACAACGTCTACTACCAAGGCGCATCTGGCGTCGCTGCCGCCGGCGTTCCTGGTCTCGTTTTTTGGTTTCTGTTCGTCAAAAGTGACTCAGTGACCAAGACCCCTAACACACCACGCTTCACCGAAGAGCAAACACTAGCCACAATCGCCAAATATGGAGACCACGCCCTTGGCCCTGGATACACCTATAAGGACCTATGGGATAGCCGAGTCAAAGCAGATATGGTGGCGCTAGAAGAGGGAGTGCTTCAGACGAAATGGAACTCCGGTGGCAGGGTTGTCCTGATAGGAGACTCAGTGCACAAGGCGACAGTCAACCCGGGACTGGGTGGCAATCTCGCAGTGGAGGGCGTTGTGCACTTTCTGAACGAGCTCGTACCGCTTCTCCGCAGATGCGAGGAGGATGGCATGCGAAAGCCGACGAGTGCCGAGCTGGTAGCCACGTTCGACGAGTACGAGAAGAAACAGCGGCCACATGCCGACTTCATCGTGAGTGCGTCTGGCTACATCACGCGCTACGAGGCTATGGACACATGGTATCTCAGGGCTCTCCGTCGTGTCTCCCCTTGGGTCAGTGACAGCATGAAGGCGAGTGGTTTTGTTCGATATATAAATGAGGGGCCATGGTTTAATTTCTTGCCTAACCCAGATGGGGAGTTGAAAGCTGGTGAGGAGGGTCTGTGAATTGCGGAGGAAAGAATCCCCCCCCCCCCCCGGCAAGTTCCTCAGGGATGCCCTCGTCAAGTGTTATGGAACTGTTTGATTCTGCAAGGGCACGGCTCTTGGGAGCTAAGGACAGTCTCGACAGATAATGGAAACGTTAGTTTTCTGATTTCTCTGACGAAATTGGAAACTCGGGTCAGTGTAATTAGGGAGGCCGACCTTCTGCTGGAGGATCATGCTTGGCGTTGTCGAGATGGTTAACTGGGATCTAATTTTTGTTGAGTCCATAGATGGGTTCGCTTTAATAAGGTTGAAATTGAATTTTATTTCAAGACTGATCCTTCGCACTTGTCGCAGTATGCTGCGGTATCACCAAGCGGAAACTTGTATTCTGAAATGGATCCTCGCTGAAGCGAAACATGAGCGGCAAAAGCTAACAACGTTCACAGCTTTTTACTTCTGGGAACCATCACCAATAAATCAATCCTGTCAGTTTCGCAACTTCAGGCTATTCGCAACGTCCACCGTCTTACATTCGCGTGCAGAGTTGAGACCATTGAAAAGCCAGTCACCCCATAGATACCCATCTTGCCTCCTGATGGGCTCGCAAGCAAAGTGCATGGACCACTGGCGGGACTTTTTGCTGTGCCGTCGCAGGGAATAGGGCCGTTTAGCTGAGCTGAGTCGCGCGCGGCCCCGCCACATCCTCCTGATGTGGGTTTGCTGACCAACGTCATGCGACAGTGGGTTTCTACGGAGGCGCCTTCAATTGCCATGCCCGGTACTTCTGGCACTTGGGCTGAATTAGTGAGATGAGAAAGTCTTTTCGCCGCGGGGTTGACCAAACCGTCTCTTGATCGATTCGGATACGAGGATACACAGGTCACGAGGAATGAGACAGAATGAAGTCAACGACACGACGTCTACTGCTAGGCAAGCTGAATTTAGCTGAGGACGGTCCGCGACGTCAGAAACCTTGTCTGACAGCCTGGGGCAACCTGGGCTGCATGGAACCGAGATTCTGATATCTGCTTGCACACGCGATTGTGGTCCAGCCCACCCGATACGTGCGGGTCGAATGCTCCTCCGGACAGTTCTGGCCAATGGGCAGGGGATGGACCACAATCGCGCGAGCAAGCAAATGTTCCGCGACTCAAACTCCGATGATCCCCTAACGTGATCAGGTATAGCGGCACCTGTAGCAGTACATGCCGATATATGTAACGGCCGGCCCGACCCAACTCCCGACCAATTACCGGCTGGGAATACTGAATCATCGCCAGACTTCATCGCTCGCTAAACTGGCCGCACTTACAGTGTGCTTGCTGGCAAGGAGAAACGGGGTCCGTTTTCAACGGTAAGAAATTCAGCCATGTGCCAGCTCAAGTAATTTGTAGCCACCGGTAAAGGGGTTGGTATGCACATCTCAATTATCAAAACAAAGTTTGGACTGTCTTTGTCAGGCTATAGTTCGCACTGCCCGAAGCAATGGCAAGTGAATACCCTCTTGGCGGGAACCCTGCGTGTTTATATACTTCTAGCAATATCCCGCTGTAACGGCATCAATTCGAAACATTCTGTATTGTCAATCCTTGTCGCCTGACTATCATTCTTAATCGTCACTCGTTTTCTTCCCAACATCCGGTCAACAATGAAGACCCCGGCTGTTGCTACCCTTCTACTCTGTTCCCTGACTCTCGTCAGTGGGAGGCAGGGACATGGGCGGCCTAGACGGGCTGCAGGACTTGTTGAATATGCCACTGTCTCGGTACTCGACACCGCCTGTGAGACCGAGTTCCACCCAGACGAACTTGATATTGCCTGGGTTGAACTCATTGCGTCAAACACAATCCTACGGGTGAACCTGACGAGCGGCGAGCAAACAAGATTCCCGCTCAACAATCCTGTAGGACTCCCCAGCGGCATGGAGTTCCTGCCGGACGGTAACCTATGGTTTTCCGAAGTCGTCGGCAACAGCATGGTGAAGTTGGATCCCAAGGATGGCAGCATGACCGAATATCCATTCCCTTGGACCAACATCTCACTCATCGATGATCTTCCTGCCGGCATTCGCGTCACCATCGATGTCTCTGGCAACCGCGACCGTGGAGCGTGGTTCACGTCCGTCGGTCTCAACGCCATTGGCCGGTTCGACATTGACACCCACGAATACTCTCTTTACCCGCTACCAAACCCGCTGTCGGCCCCTCTCATTATGCAAGGTGGCCCGGGCAGCACCATGGTCTTCTCGGAAATCCTAGGCAACAGGGTCGGCACCATTGATGTTCACACCAAAGAGATCAAGGAGTACGAAATCCCAACACCGCTGTCCCTAGTTCAAGGTGTCGCGGTCGACGCCGATGGCCTCATCTGGTGGACAGGTACAGGCGGTGGAAACTTTGGCACCGTCAATGTGACAACGGGCGAGGTGACTGAGATCTTCATCGCCGACATCCGCGCCGCGGGCAACTCTACTGTGGTTGAGGATGGTGTTGTTAGCATTGGTTCCTCCGGTCTGCTGGCGTTGCCAGGTCCGATTCGTGTCGGCACCGATGGCAAGGTCTACTTTGTGGAGGGTAACCTGGTCTTCCTTGGAAACCGCGTTGCGCAGTACGACCCGAAGACGCAGCAGCTCGTGGAGTATGTCACTCCTACTAGCCTCAGTGCCCCGTGTGATCTCAACAACCAGCACCCAGACGCCGTATTCTTTGCAGAGTTTACTGGCGGCCATCTTGGTCGGCTGAATTACTAAGAGCGGCAGCTGAACAAGCCAAGCAAGGCGCCACCAGCTAAAATTAATAGATTTAAAGAGCTAAAATTTAATTTAACTGAGGAAACTTCCGCCTTTATAGGACTCTGTATATATATATATAAACCGTGAGAAATGAATAAATCTCGATGAAAACGAAACCTCTGCTTTGGGAATTTGCGTGACTGTCCCATGACTTATCCCGTTCCAGTGTAGGTACCGCTGAGGGTGCAAGCAGGTACCGCCGAAAGCATAAGCATGTCAACGACTAATCTTTGGAACTTTTCTCCTGGCTCCAATGTCATTTTTGGAAGGTTGCAGAACGCTCTTGTAATATAGATTGATCTTCCTTTGGGTCACCTCAGCTTACTGCCTGTCCAATTTGAATCATCATCATAAAACCTGGGTTTTCTTCCATTTATACCCGTCTGTTCGGTCACCAAGGGCTTTGCCATATAAGCATAATAGTGGCTCTATACTTAAGTATAAGGGATCCCCACAACCTATCTTTGCTAAGAGCTCACAGCAACTAGATTATCTGTGTTTCATCGACTCGATCACACTCGGAATGTTTTTTTTTAAGCTTCTTTAATACACAAGGTTCTTTGTATTTTGAATGGGTTCATGACAACATCAGCAAGAAGGCTAGATCTAATGTTACTGACTAAACATAAACTTTCATTTCCTCCTGCAATCTTTCAACAACTCTTCTTCATTCCAATCTGATCATTGACCTCGGGTGCATCTGCTCGAGTCCGCGCTCTTTGAGTTGCTTCCATTCCTGTATTCTATCATTCTCCGTTCTCAACAAGCCCCTTAAAATTTCGATATATGATTTACTATCCGCCCCTTTCAGGCTCTGTGTCTGCCGGACTTCCTTGGGACCGTACATGGTTAGAAGTGTATGGTTTTCAGCGTTTCTATATTGCAAAGGTGTGACTTCATCATCGTTTCTAAGTGATATGTTTGAAGTGATGGGTTCGCTCGGAGTAGTTTCGGCGTTGAGGATTGATTCGCCGACTGCTGTGTGCTTCTCCAAAGCACTCAACAGGAAGTCATTACCCTCGAGAATATAATCGTATTGGCGACCGAGATGCAGGAGCGTTGACCAGAATATACCAATCCGACAATATGACTGCCTTCCCGGACAAGGACGAAGTACGAGGGCGTGGACATCGACTCCATATCCCTCGGCACCATGAAAGCTGGAACGAAACACAAGCGGCATGGCGAACACACGATCGCCCTCCTTAACAGGCTCCCGGCCCGAGGAATCTGATGACCAGTCATAGTCCTTGCTTGGGCAATACTGCATCCTTGGGTTCTCGTCGATGGCAATGCCTAAACTGGTGACTCGTGCAGGAAGCAAGTATCCAGAAAGGAGTACATGCGCTCCGTGCCGGACACCCAAGAAAGAACTGCCAGAAACAGCGTCTGGCGCACAGTCGCCCTCAATTAGGTCACATACTTGGACCAGACTTTCCCCACCTTGGTCGATAAAAGACTTTGGCTTGTCATCTCGTGCCCATGACCAGGTGGGGATATTCTTGTTGATCCGGTCTACAGCTCCCAAGCTGGGTACCCTCTCCCACATCATGTCCTCCACGAAGGTGTGCCTCCACAGACCAGCCAAATAGTCATTTTCTGAATACCCGTTCAATGCCATGGTCTTCTTTGCTAGGCCAGCCATTGCAGGCAAAGTGTCTTCATGGCGAGTCAGTTGTAGATGAGTAAAGTCTTTGACCAGACTTCTCCACGTCTCCGTTGACACAACCATCTCTTGTGTCGTAGAGCCAGCATCTGCCAGCTCAGGTGCGTTGAATCCGTTCAGCATGTGTTTGACCGTAGAGTCGACCCAGCCATATCCAGACTCGGTCTTGTTGTCCGCATAGCATTCGAATACCAGTTCCAGTGGCGTGAAATGCAATAAACGACGGGAAATGAGACGCTCTTGCAGTACCCAAGCCCGCCTCGAAAGTGGCGCGACGCGGTCTAAAAAGAATGGGTTCCTGGTATATTGGTGTTCGAAGAAAGCAGGATCGGGACATCTTCGCAGGTAGGTGGCCCCTTCTAAGCACCAACTTGGCGCCGATTTGCGAAAGAGGCCTTCTTGGCTGCTAAAAGATGCTGCGGCAGCCAGGGTGAGCGTTGCATTCTCATAAGTCGTTGCCATCCTGCCAGCTTCCCTAAACCAATCCTCGGCATCATTTTGGATAATGCACAAAGAATCAATCCAGAGATACCGAATACCAAGCTTTCGTGTGAATAAAACGGCCTCCTGGAATGTTTTCGGGAGATCAGACCATGTAATCCCGTCTGTCTGAAATATACTCATTGTCTCCGTCCTTGTGTCTAGTGGTTTGCTTTCTGGCGGCCCCCAGCAGTGGCTCAGACAAACATATTCGCCTCGCATGTTGCCGCCGGTGGCTAGGAGTAGAGGATCTTGTAGGGAAGGTCCGCCGTCAGACGAATCTCCGAGGTCTAGAACTCTAGTGGGGAGAACTGGAAGTCCCAGGCAGCTGCTCAACTTGCATTTTGCGTGTTGCGAGACGCACTCGTGAAGTCTCAATTTAGTCCATGCAACTGCCTCATCCGAGCCTGTATTTCCGAGGCGTTGGGTTTGTCGCAAAACGGCCTCTCCTATCGGATCAAGTTTATCGTCATCACAGAATATTTCGTAGATAGGCGAGGATATCCTCCATTCTCGAGCTCTTTCGGGAGTCCGCTTGCTGGGGCCAGTCAAGAAATCGGTGGTGAGGTCCGGGTGTTCTTTGGCCTTCTCCCAATCAGCTTCACTTGCGCAGGAGGGATATAATGTAGTGAGTCTAATGCAGAGCCCCTGGATCCCTGGATCCTCGTCATAGAACTCCAACTGGGCATTCGCGAACGTTAGGTCGACATCCTCGGTGATTAATGCCGCGGCTTTTGAGAGAAGCTGACAGCCTCCACACGAGTCTAGTTCTGCGCTTTTAGCCAATTTCTTCAATGTAAAGCCATATTGAGTGTCGATTGGAGGAAGCTTTCCGAAGCGACGCCATTGCCTACGCAGGAACCTTGGATTGAGGTCCAAGCATAGAGAACAGCGGGCGACTGTGTCAAGAAAAGGATCTTTTGCTGTCCCGGCCATCGAGTCCGTGTATATCGACAATACGTAGGATGATGGCGTGAAATATTGCTTCGCTTTGGTGACGGTTCGCATTTGTATGGCTGCCTGTTTCCCAGTGGGGCCGGATCTGCTGACGCGCGAAGATGATGCGTTGTTTCGCTCAGCCTCTGATGATGAGTCTGACTGCCCCACACTAGCGAGCCCCATGCAGAGAGCTGTCCATCTATCAGCCAACTTCATAAGTCTCAGTCAATCAAGAGCCCTCGAAGTCTTCCAACAATGGAAACATTGTGTACGCCTCGGCATACTTGTTGTCCTAGAGAACAAAGTATAGTCGACAATGCTTGACTCCCAACAGCTTGACTCTCGTAACAAGCTGAGCCATGGCTCATTCAAGGCAGCCAGGTCGACTGGCTTATCGTTTTGAAGACGACACTCATCCGAGTGAAGCCTCAAGCTCGGGCACAACCAATCTGTCGCCAGCAGATGCAATCAAGCAAGCGATCCATGCCTTGCGAGCATTCCAGATAAGCAAGAGCAGAGAGTACATCGATGAAGCAGTGGAGTTGACTGAGCACGCCACGAATTCCACACCTAGTGGGGACGACAACCTAGCGATGTATCTGACAACTTTGGCCGCAATGCGAAAACATCATTACACGGCTTCTGGGGACAAATCGAGTTTGGATGGCGCTGTCCAGGCTTCAAAAAGGGCCGTTGAAGTCTCTCGAGATGACGATGAAAACCAGAATCTGTACATCCACAACCTCGCCGCGGCGCTACAATGCCGGTACAAAGAAAGCGGCGACAATAAACATCTTCAAGAAGGCATATCAATCATGAAACACATAGCAAATTACGTGAGTCCGGAGGGAAAGACCAAGTTGCTCCAATCGCTCCTGATGCTGCAAAGACTTGCATTTGAAGACACCTCGGATGAAGTGCGCCTCGACGAGGCGATTTCTACGACAGAACTTCTTCTGGAAAATGCCGATCAAGACGGTAGAATCGAGCTGCTTTACAGTCTGGGCGATCTGTATGACATGCGTTTGGACCTACGTCGTACAATAGAACACCTGGACGATTGCATCAGAGTTTGCCGCGATGTCTTGGAAGCAATACCAGCAGAAGATGACAGGAGATCCGCCGTCATGCACAATATAAGTGTATACTATACAAGGCGGTACACTCACGATGATTGCCTCGAGGACCTCGGTCAAGCCATTGACTTCAGTCAAAAGGCCATCGGAACTACAGACATCGAGCAGGTGGAGAAACGAACGTCGCTGCTCGAAGGCCTCGCCCAGAAGTTTATGATGTGGTACACGCGAGAAAAGGAATTCCCTCCATTAGATGAGAGTATACTGGATCGACATGTGGCTGGAAAAAAGACCGATGCGAAAGATCTTCCTGAAAAGGCCACCTGGCTGTTCATGCTGTCACGAGGACTCGAAGAGAAAGTCAGCCACACGGATCCATCTCATGACTCCCTGGATGACTTGGAAATGTCAATGGTCCTGGTTTACGAGGCTCTCGAAGTCACTGTCGACAACCACAAGAATTGGGAAGATATGGTGAACGCCCTACGCAAACGGCAACGTCTATGGTCGGACCTCACCGGCAAGATTCCTGATACATCCGAGATTGCCACGCTCTTATTTCGCAAAGGAGGAAGATGGATTGCTCCCGAGCATGATGAGAATATAAGTTTGATCAAAGTGCCGTATTGCATTAAGGTCGGCGACCTGAATGCAACCGGAGACGAAGCGGCTAAGCAGCCCGTCGTTCAATGCTTCACAGCGCCTGCTAAAGTCAGCAAGGACGAGAGACAGACGTTCATACAGATATAGAGGGTTCGCAGCGTTCCAGGTCTCGATTTTTTACCTGGGAAATTCATGTCGCTATCCAAGTTTCCCTGTTTTGTTCCGATGCAAAGACCTGACGTTTTATTTCCCCTGTGCCGCTGGGCCGCCCCGTCCTTGCGGTAACGCCTCCCAAGTCATTGTGGATGTTCAAGAGATCCAAGCTAATGTACACTATATTTCCGTCCCCCAATGCCCCCAGAACTCCATCGTATTTGTTTTAGATGATTAAGATCATTGTATGTTCGTGAGAGTCGCCTGCAAGGCTCTTCCCTCGAAGCCCGATTTCTGGAGGGCAAGTCACCAGCTAAGCAAACGTGTTCCAAGTTTTCAATAAGGGCTAGCGGTAACCCCTCCTTCGTTATGCAGATCCTTGTCGCTGGAATCGGCTGTGTTTAAACAGTCCCTGGGACGCACCGTAGTGCGAATCCCACGACTGTAGACCCCTCAGACAGGTTCTTCATGGACCCTTCTTTTTGCCTTTCGACGCTCAGCAACCTGTCGGCCATGGACGCCTGCCAGATCGCCCATGAACCGCGCCCAGCTCAAGCCACCCCTCTCGAGCTGCTGGCCGAGAGCCATGCTCAGGTCCTCGTATTTTCCGTCCCGGCCCAGGCCCAGTATAGCCATGACCAGCACCAGGTTGTCGTTCGGCTGGGGCTCCGCGACGTACAGCCGCTTGCGGAGGTAGCTCAGCCGCAGGCAGTACTCCCTCAGGCTGCCGCCGAAGCGCGGCTCCGAGGGCGAGATGGCGTTGAGCTCGCGCAGCCACGAGGGGACGTCCTCGCCGGCGGCCTTGGGCAGGGCCTCTTGGACGAGGTCGTAGATGGCCTTCGGGTTGGTCTCGGATGGGTCGTAGCCGCATGCGAGGAGCGTATCGCGGACGTCGAGGCTGAAGGAGCCGGTCATCAGCAGGCACACGAGAGCGCGGTCCCGTTCCCACTGTTCGGGGGTGACACCGGCGGCATTCGCTCCGGCACCGAGGTACTTGGTGGGTGCCCACGGCGTTGAGCTTGTTGGCTCCGGCACGCCCGGATATGGCACTGTGACGTACTCGGCCAGGCCGTGGAGTCGCAGAGTCCTGACCAGAATATCATCCCACTCGTCCAGATTCTCGTTTCCCAGCAGCCGCGGGAGGGGAGGCAGGTCCAATGTTGGCATGTTCCGCCGCATATTATTATTTGGATTTGCTGAGCTCAAACCCTCCGAGAGCTCCGGCGTCGGGGGCAAGGGCAGCGTGTTGGGCGTCGCGAAGTGCTCATACTGTTGCAGCCGTTGGTACTTGCCATACTGCCGGGTGCTCGCGTTGGAATCCCTGCGATGGTAGAGCATACCCGTGATGATGTTCTGACCAGTGGCCCAGGTCGCCGATGCCCATGTCTGTCGTCGGGCTGCAGTTTGGCTGTGTTGACTCGTGCTGGCGCAGGCTGTTGATGAGTTCGATGTCCATCGAGAAAGTGGGCCTCCTTTGTCGGATGACGACATGCTTGCTTGCTGATGATCTCGAGGTGCAGATGGATGTGCCGCGAAGAGCTTCCTGCTCGGCAGACCTGTGACGGGAAGTGCAGAGAGTTTGGACCACTGATATCGAGGACCGTTTTCAGGCGATTCTTTCCTGCTTCTGGCATAAATGCTTTGGAAACAGAGCTTGGTCGGTATTCGAAATCAAGTCCCAAGTCTGGAGGCACAGCTGCCCACGCATCGACCAAGTCGACAAGCAGCAGTGAAACGGGTTATGGGGCTGTGAACTGCTGTCCGAGCTTCTGTTATTGCATCACTATCATCAATTGACTGACCACCCAGGACGCGTCTCCACCTCCTGCGCTTCGATTGGCAAATCAGGCTTTCTTTCGAGCTGCAGCTGCAGCTGCTACTGCTGCTGCTCGAGAGTCTCGGCCTGTCGGCCAACGCCACAGTGGAATTTGATGACGGTGTGGGAGCTTGCCCGCTCGGGCATGGCTAAAAATGGCTGGGCGGATCGACCTGCACGAAACATTGGTCGACGGGTGATTAACCCTGCACGATCGCCTGCGTCCCTGGCGTTGGCACGGCGCCAACGCTTCAGCTCGGATAGAAATGTCCGAGAACTGGTGAAGATATAAGGAACCCAAATTTTACTCTTCACCAGCTGGTGAAGATACCTGTCGATTTGATTCACGAGGTTTGATTCACGAAGAGATTCAATCACTTCGCGATAGCACTGCTAACGCCAACCAGACGTTTACCCAGTGTCCTCCTGTTTCCTGGGATGTTGCTTCGAGCGCGATCACTAAAGACGGTTCCTTTTCCACGCACTGCTTTGAAAGCTCACCAATCAGGATGAACATCGATCGGAAGTTGCCGAAATGTCTCGCTGATGAAAAACTTGATGATTTCTTGAATACTCTGACAGCCAGACTGTCGTCTTTTCGTATGGTCGCTCAATCCCATCAAGTTTCCAATGGTGTAGTGATCTTTCATTTTGTGCCTGGTCATGCTCAGTACGACCCGCATCAGTGCCCATATACTCTATAGCTTCGCTTGAACGATCACCGGGTCAGCTCATCAGCCTCTTTTATCGATATCAGTACATAAATTACCGCATCAGAGGTGCGATAGCTTCAAATAAATCTTCCTATTTCTGTCACCTCTTCCTGAGGTACGAAATATATTGAAGGTTTCGAAATCAAGACCATGTGAGCTGCTGCCTTACAGCGTGTACTGCTACTCTGGGGCAGATTGTAGGAAGCCTTGTCAACTGCCAAGGAAAGCTGTAACCGAGAATGGTGGTTGGTCGCACAAGAAAAGGGAGGTGAATTGGTAGAAGGTAGGGACTCAAAAAGATATTCTTGAAGGAATCCCAAGGCATCTTCACCACCTTCACAGCTACTCATCAATAACACCAACTGCCGAATGATTATCCTCGAGGCAGTTGGAGAGCCACAGGAAATATCAAATCAACTAAGGAGTAATCTTCCAACTGCTCTGACACATTCGTGTGAAGCTGACTATGTTTCACAGAGTGCAGAAATAGAGTCGATCATCATCAGTAACTACGCAAGTCGAAGACAGCTACGGCACTCTCGCATGGCTGAAAAGCAGGGTTTACAAGCAAATCTTGATCTGTGGTTTGAATCAGATTTCGCCGCGCGCACCTCGCCCTCAATTTCACTGAATCTTTTCAAAGCAAACTCAAAATCTGCGTTCGGCGTCTTCTGAGTAGCAATCGTCTGGGAGTGATATCAAGACCGAGGGTCTGACATATGACGACCGAGCTGCCGAGGAAGACTGGCTCTCTGGCTCCTTCAACTTGCGCGTCTTTCAGCTGTGACGAGCGGAGCGGGAGGATCGTCAGGCCTCGAAGGTCACAACTCTTGCCAATTCAGTAGCATTGGTCATCAACTATACCTAATACAGGTTGAAAAGCTACGCATGGATGTCAGATTGTGCGGCTAAATCTTATGGTTGTGTCAAGGGATTGCGACTTCGTAACTAGAAAAGTCGCCATGGTTGCCCTCAAGTGACACATCATACAGATGAAAGAGACTGTCCCGGAGGATAGCAAATTGTAGGTCAATTGCATCCGATATCAGAAGTACCGAGAGAGCGTAGTGTGCAGAATTAGGAAGGCGATACGTGATTATTATAAAGCATTATCATGGAGGCAGACATTTTAAGGTTAAGGTTTCGGAGCGGAAGAAACAGTGCTCAAAGCTTTTGGGAGCCCGAGGACAAGTGTCAACCCGATACACATGAAACGGTAAGAGGTACCCTCGAAGTCAGAATATCACTGGGTCCAAGAAGATCACCTTTTCAGCCCAAATACAGCTATATACTGATACCAGAACGGCAAATGAAGGAAGCTTTAAAGACACAAAGGCATGAGTCTCAGATGAGTCTACCAGTCTGTAATAATGGAACACTTTTTACTATTATTCAAGTCTGGAAGACTCTTTAAATATGACACCGAGTCCCCGACAGCGACAGGCGAATGTATTTTTGTTGCATCGATATTCAATTTAACAGCTGTTCACTCTTGATAATTGTCGAATTTTGCTCGCACAGCCATGGATAACCACGCTCTACCCTTGCTTAAAGAAACGGCAAATAAGATAGCATACAATGCTAGCAATTTGTATGCGGGCTACACCAAAGATGATGAGACCACCGAGGCCGCTAGACTGGCCATGCTGGATGAACTGATGAAGCTTCAACAGCTCACAATGCGGCCTGAGGAAGTGATGTCTCAGATGGCGATGGTGCACCAACAATTCGCCTCAATGCATTGGCTTTGCCATTTCCGGGTACCGTTCCATATCCCAGCCCAACCATCGGCAATCGAATACGAGGAAGTTGCGTCCGCTGCGAACGTGCCGGTGACAATGCTTCAGGCTGTCGCGCGCATGGCCATGACGGCCGGCTTCCTGCGCGAAACCGAGCAGGGCGAGCTAGCACACACGTCGCTCAGTGTACTCTTTGCGGACGACGGGGGCGACTTCCGGAGCTGGCTCATCTTTACGGCCCGGCGCATGCTCCCAGCCTCGATGAAGGCCGTCGAGGCCACTGAGCGATGGGGCGACACGAGGAAGGTGGATGAGACGGCTTACAATCTCGCGGCGGGGACACATCTGCCTTTCTATGAGCACATCAATTCGTCGCCCGAGATGGCGAAGGAATTCGAGGGTTACATGAAGAGTCGATTGGTGATCAACCCCATCATCACGGCTGATGAGCTCATTAGTAATTTTGACTGGGCTCGGCTGGGCGACGGGTTGGTAGTTGATGTAAGTTCCCAAACTCCACTCTGCCAGACCTAGAGCGGGCCATTGCTCACGCATAGCTATTCATGCTCTAGGTCGGAGGTGGAAACGGAGAGACAGCTATCAGACTGGCGAAAGCGTTACCGCAGCTATCTTTCGTGGTTCAAGATGTGCCCCACATGGTCGAGGTTGGCAAGAAGGCCGCGGCGAATCTGCCGTCTGCAGTTGCGAGTCGACTGCAGTTCCATGTCCATGACTTCTTCAACGAACAGCCGGTGAAAGGCGCTAGTGTCTATCTTATGAGAGGGATCATGCACAACTGGCCCGATGAAGATGCTGCGACTATTCTCAGGAACATAGTCGCTATCATTAGACCTGGAACAAGCATCCTCATGATAGACACAGTCCTTCTTCCTCCTGGCGCCATACCCGCCAGCATTGAGGGCATGCAGCGGGAAAATGATATGCGCATGGGTCATCTGATGAATACACGGGAAAGAGACTTGGAGGCCTGGCAGAAGCTATTGCACAGTGCGGGACTGAAGATCCAGTCCCTTACAAGACCTGGGCGCAGACAACAGTCTATTGTTGAGGCGGTCCTGGCAGGTGTTGACGGCAGTGCTTTAAGGCATGAGGATTAAAGCTAGGGGGAGAAATTGTATCTTCTTTTGTCTCAGGTAAAATGTGGCAGAAAGTCTGTATCTGTACTCTATAATTCACATAGAGTATGTAAGTTTATACATGAGTTTTGATCATTTATTTTCACACATTGAGATTGTAACAAGCTTCACGATATATGGAGAATATACGTGTTGACCTTTCGCCGGGCCATAAGGTCCGGTGCCTTTGCTGATTCGCCAATCTGGGAACAAGCTTCTGCCAAGTATGGGGACAGCCGGTGGGCAGGGATGCCAAGTTTTGGACTTGGGTGATGTCTGCCAAGACAACAAGACCAAAATTGGTGGATTGATCGATCGACTCGCCGCTCTTCTCCCTGCCTACAGCACTTCTCCCATCTCACAAATCCCTAACGGAGCTTACCCATGTATGTTTCAGTCACCATCCGTCACCCGAGGCTCATCCCGTCCCCCCCTGTCTTGCCCCATCGAGCTGAGGGATGTGGGGAGTTCCCTGCTTGTCCCAGCCCTGAGGTCATGTCGACGAGTTCGACGCGCTCCGCCAGGTGGTCTCGATGCTTCGATGGATCTCCACCAGTACCTGGAAATATTGTGGCAACGGCCATTTTTTTCGCACAGCCTCATGAGAACCTCTGCTCAGGCACAACATCCCACTTACACACGCCGACACGTAGACATCATGTTTCCAACTGCTCCCAGTCACCCCGTTCGGCAGCGCGGGGCCGTGTTGTACAACAGTAGTACAGTAGTCTACCAGCCGGGCACGTGCCGGGACAGTTGACGATGCAGCGATCCAGTGTGCTCCATTGGTCAAGGTGACATTATGTATCACAATTCAACCCCCTTTGATTTCAAGTGACGTCAATTTCCCTACTGTTGCCCATGTCTCGTCTTGCCCCTTGACCCTCTGGTTCATTGCCTTATAGGTACCTCTTGGTGCCCTCGCTCCCCCTTCTTTGATGCATCCTGTGACTCTCATATATCGTCCAGAGCCAATTCCACAGCAGCGCAGCGTACTAGCCACAGCCCCGAGCCGTAGGCATCGATACCCCCGGCTCTAGACAGAGCCAACCCGTCTTCCCGTTGACCAGCCTCCCCAGATCATCAGAGCAGCTTCGCTCAGTCCTGCCTTCCACGCTGCCTGGCCCAACCGCCTCATCGTCAACATGGGCATCTTCAGTCGTAAACCTCGGGACGGCCAAGCTCACGCAGCCGCAGCGCCCAAACACCATCATGACAAAGGCACTCCTTACTACTCCATGAGTACACGGCCTTCGTTCGGCCAGTGGCTCAAGCATACCTGGCTCGACATTGTCACAATGGTTGTGATGGGCGTAATTGGTCTTGGTGTAAGTCACAAAATCACCGAGGCCTTCAACAGGACTTTCACGACTCGTTGCCCGACCCCATAATTGACTCTCGACACTAGGTCTACGAAGCTCACCCAGCACCAACCCGGTCATTCCCCATCACTTTCTCCGACGGCGAGGTTGTCTACCCCGAGTTCGCCTACCCTCTTCGAAAGGAGATCGTCCCCATTTGGGCTGCTGCGTTGCTCGCCGCCCTTGTTCCCATCTTTGTGTTCCTCGTCATGCAAATCCGCATACGCTCGTTCTGGGACGTCAACAACGCTATCATCGGCCTCCTGTACGCCTTGATTACCGCCGCCGTCTTCCAGGTTTTCGTCAAGTGGCTCATTGGAGGCTTGCGCCCGCACTTCTTGACCGTGTGCCAGCCTGACATCTCTCTTGCTTCCAATAATGCCGGCGTCGTTGGGTCCGGATATAATGCTGCTGGGTTCAAGCAGATCTACTACACCAGCGAGATCTGCACCGGGGACCGCAACACCATTGACGACAGCCTCGAGTCCATGCCGTCGGGTCACACGACCGCCGCTTTTGCGGGCTTCGTCTATCTGTACCTCTACCTCAACGCCAAGCTGAAGGTCTTCTCCAACTACCACCCTGCTATGTGGAAATTGATCGCCATTTACGCACCAATCCTTGGAGCTTGCCTGATCGGTGGCGCCCTGACAATCGACGAGTTTCACAACTGGTGAGTTGGACCAACCTTGAGATTCTTACACTTGGCCTCGTACACCGTTGCTAACCTGTGTGTCAGGTACGATATTCTTGCTGGCGCCATCATCGGCACAGTCATGGCCTTTTCAGCCTACCGAATGACATACGCAGCGATCTGGGACTGGCGCATCAACCATATTCCCCTCAACAGGGGAGCGCCATTTGATTTTGCCAATGCCGAGCTCACGCATGCCACATTCACGAGGAAGGTTGGCTGGGGCGCTTCAACTGGTGGTCTGAGCGGACAACAGGGCTATAGCAATGGTCACAACGCGCCCGTCGGCAACAACGGCGTCTCGAGCGTCTCGAGGAAGCCTGTTGGTTCCAGCCGGGCTCCTGAGGCTATGGTCTAATACAGTGATGAGGTGACTGATGTCGAGGGATTTTTGCAGGTGGGGCTGACGGTGTTTTTATCACGATGCTTGTCCATCGATTCGATCACAGAAGGCACGCGATGGGAGTTACCCGGCGTTAAAGAGCGCCGGTTTAAAATCTGCACGTTCATTCTCGTCCGCTTTCATTGAAGCCGGCGAATACACGATGCCCATATGAGTTATGCGAGACAATTAATTTTATTAATTTTCAAATAATGTTTGCGTACCTCAATCATTCATGACATTCTGCCCATGGGTATCATGATATCCAACAACACCGAGCCGTCCGAGCGCCCACAAAACAAACCAGATGTCCAGAGGCAATATCCCCCTTATACCACATTAATCGGGCCAAAATATTCCCGAGGCGTCACTTCTTCCCCAGTATCTTCCCTATTAAACTCTTCCTGCGGCTGGTCTGAGCCGGTGGAGGGCTCTCGTCTTCCACATTCGTAACACTGATACTCTGCTTCCTGGCCAGTACGCTCCCCTCGGACTTGGACCCCTTTCTCGGCGTGGCGTCGCTCTTGGAGCCTTTCCTCGGCTTGCTGTCCTCGCCACGAGCCCTCCACAGAAGCCCCAACAGGCTAGCGACGATGATGGCCTCCAATTCCGGGTCGAGGTCCTTCTGCAGCAGCAGCGCACCCTCACTGTAGGGCTGGGACAATGAGAAGCCCAGGCCAACGTTGTGGTAGATCGCACGGATGCGGTGCTCGTGCTTCTCGTCGGCCGCGGAATATGGCAGTTGCTGCCCATCTCCAATGTCATCTTTGACCTTGCTTTCGTCCGTCGTCGTCGTCTCTTCCCACCATTGGTCATCGTCCCTAGCCACACCAGCTACGTCCGTCTCACCTCTGCCGCCACTCCCCAGCTCCACAAGCGTGTACCTCAGCAGCCCATGCTCGGCCGGGTGCACCTGCCACTGCAGCGTCTTGTCCTCCTCCAGCAGGCTCGGCACCGTGAACGTGAACCAGGGATTGCGGCTGCTCCCGAACCTGCCCACGGTCGGCGGCAGGGGGAAGCTGGTCACGACGCGGATGCCCACGCCCGTCGAGCTCGGCGTCAGGGTGTACGCCACGTCACCATCAGCGAGAGGCACCTGCACAGGCGGAATCGTCAGGCCGACCTCGGCGCCGCCGTAGAGCATGCGCCGGCTGACGGTGCCGTGGGTGACCAGTCCCGCGCCCGCGCCCAGGCTGCTCTTCCTGCGGGTGGCTCCGGTACTCGGGGGCACCGGGCCGGAGAGCGACTTCCGCCGCTCCAGCGGCTCGAGGTCGACCAGGTAGCTAACCTCGCTAGAGCCACGGCCATCACCGTTGGGCTTAGGCATAAGCCCGAAGCTGGTCTTGAAGCGCGAGCTGCCGATGGGCTCGTCGCGCACCGTCTCCTTGAAGTCCTTGGTGAAGTCGTACACGGGCAGGTGGGCGGCCTTGTCGTTGTGGCTGGGCACGTACAGGATGCGCGAGGTCAGGTGGGCCGGTGTGGGCGCCAGCTTCCTGCCCAGGAGGGCCTCATACTGGTCTGGCGCGGAGAATTGCGTGTATGCAGTACCCGTGGGCAGGCCAAGACCGTGGATGGCCGGGTGGGCGTAGGGGTATGGATGCAGTCGTGGGTCGACGGTTGTGTGGTAGGCCGCTGCTATTGCTATCGCGGAGGCAGTGGCCATCTTGGTTGCTTGAAAGGCAATTGTCTTCTTATCAATCAATTATAGCCTGCTCAGCTCTTCGAGACTGGGACTCGGTTCAGAAGCGATTGGTGTCCTCAACAGACGTCTACTCTGCTCAGCAGGAGACTATGTGTGCTCGCTACAAGGGCACAGAGAATTGCTCAACTAAAGTAGATAAGGGAAGATTGTGATTACATGTGCACATCATGAATGTTGTTGTCGATGACAGTCATGGCGTCGAGCACGTGAGGACCCGGCATCTTGGTATCGGTGCGGGGTCATCCCATCCTCCATCCCTTGTTTCCCCATATCTCCACATCCACCAGCTTGTCACGAGATCGGACTTAGCCCGTCCGAGAGGGAGACCAGTCTGAGAGTAACGCGGATGGGTGGAGCTGTCTTCCTCCGGATAGGGGTGACGCCAGCGGCGCGCTTTAAGTCAGGTGTCCAGGGTGTTAAAGTCGTAGCACCAGGAACATCACCCAGGTAGCGTCATGAGCACCTTATCTGCTGTTTGGACGGAGCAGTATTCAACTATTCAGGGTACTTTATAATGGCATCACTGTAAGGTCTTTGCGACACACTACACAGATGTGTACACAAATCTTCTCATTGAAAGCCTTGGCTCCTAACATAAAAATTACCAATTTCTTTAGGATTGTGTAGCTTCCCGTGCTGCGCATAACCCCCGTCCGTCAAGATGAACGTCCGCCGTCAGCTTCGTACGGTGTTGTCGACATCCCAACACATCTGCTATTATCCGAATGGGCCATGTTTGCATTTGTTCAACCACCACATTCAAGTACTAAGAGCTCCAGATATGGTAAGGCCCATCAGGCCACTTGCGCTCATCCGAGTCCTCCCAGACCTGATGCGCCCTCCACGCCGCCCAGCTGCCAAGCACAACAAACGCGAACCAGTGCCCAAGTGCCTTGCGCTTCAGTTCCTGTCCGCCGTGGAGCCAGACCACGAAGCCATCTGCGAGCCCCGCGAGGGCCAGGACGACCACGAACGCTGTGACTGCGCCCACATTGCCTTGATACTGTAGTGCGACGAGCGCGAGGCCGTAGGTGACTTCGCGAGTGCCCTTCAGGAACATGAGCGGGGAGTGCTTTTCGGTCTTTGCATTCGGCTGAGCATGTTCGAGGGGTAGACCGAACCTCTTGTATTCCTGTCGTGGTCGAATGAAGGCGTGAAGACCCAGCAGAATCAAGCCGCCACCCAGAATGTAGGCGAGCAGAGGATTCAAAGCGCTCACGAGACGAGCGGGCCTCTCAGGAATCATCATTTTAATATTTGGCTGGTCGAGTCTCGTTCCAAACGTTGTGGAGAGGAGGATAAATATTAGCCCCGAGTTGAAGGGTGAATAAGGCTGTAGAGTCGTTGGTAAGTGATGTCCAACGGCGCAGCGGGTCATGCGATAATAAATAAGCAGTTGGAGTTGCTGCCTGTTGCAAATCTGACACGTCTCTTTCAATGCATTGTATGGTAAGATGACAGCTTGGCGGTGGGTCTCGAACTCGCTCGCAGGCTCCAGGGCGATTCCAATAAAAGATCGTTGATCTGAATGTGTATATCATGAGTTATTTACAATAATAGTTGGATTAAAAGGAAACCGAAGTTCTTTGCAGTTTTGTATGGAGGGTGCGGGAACCCACCCCTTTCCAATGAAGAATCACATCATAGGCCATATACTCCTTGAATCCAAACTCACGTTCTGTTATTCGAGCATGGCAGGTGACACCTTCAAATTCCACACTGTTGAGACAATATACCTCCCAGCACACAAGGCATCGACACAGCCTGCCAAGAAGCAGCCCCCATCTACTGCCCAGCTAAGAAGCCGACCGGCCTCGTCGCCGGGGTGAAGCCGGCCGCACCGTATCCTCCACGCCGGCACCCACGGAACCCGTTACCAAGCCATCAGCCAGGAACACTTCAGCTTCGACTTTCACCAATGACGCCGCTAGCATACATGGGAGCAGCAACAATCAAAGCTCAAAGCGGTCCGCATCTTCGGGGTCAGCTAGCACCGACTGGGACGTAAAGCCGCCTACGCCACCAAAGCTCTCGAGAGGCCCCAAGCCAGGTGAATTTATGCCCTTCGCAACCCTCAAACTGCCCACAGGTTTTCCAAGCTTGAGAGACGTGGTCGCGCAGGCAGCAGCAAAGTCCACCAAGGTAGCAGCAAAGCCAACTGCTTTGGCTGCACGTCCAGCTCCCTAGAAAGGAAAGAAGAAGTGATGTTGTTGGGACCTCTTTGCTTCATCGTGGTGGAAGTGATTGAACCGCTCCATAGAGGTTAGGTGAGCCATCCGGCAATGCGGTCTTCCATTTAAATGGTCTCGCTTCTTCCGTTGCATCTTGTCCCAGGTCTCCATGAGGGCTCCTGTACATTTTGTATGGGTACTGTAACAGGCGTATATTGTTTAATTGGCAACAGTGTATCTTGTTGGTGTAAGACAGCTGGTTAAGTTGGTGAGCGAACATGGTCTCTCTCGCGATGTGGGCTTGGTGGTTGACCTCATCAATGATCATCCTGTTTCGCTAGCCGAGAAGACAAACACCCGGACCATGGGTGGCATATAGACCGAGGACCGCAACCACCTCATGAAGCCCGCGTACCACCTCTACCTTGTGCTAATCATCCTCCAATGCCCCTAATGCACTAGGACGTCGGAGTCAACTTTGATTTGGTAGATATATGTCTTGTGTCACTTCCAGACGTGAAATGATCATCCACTGAGCAGTCGCCACGAGAACAAGGCAGAAAAAAAGGGATTCGCTTTTTAGTCGACATATTACTTGTTCCTCTAATTCTGTCGAAGTCACCGTCGATGTCACCCAAGAATCCCGAACTCGATTTCGGGTCAGATTACAAACGGGCTTCATTTCAACATGCCTAAATCCGTCACCAATTAAAACGTAAATAATCACCACATATCCGTTGACTGGTCTAAGCCCTCTTCGTTATCAAAATTGTGTAGATTCTCTGTCTGAATGAAAGGGGGGCATCCAGCTCTGCACCAGCCCCATCGAGAGAAAGAGTACTGCACCGTAAGCGAGTTCTAGGGAGGCATGGAGCCTGGCGTAGTGAAATAACTGCCATCTCTCTTGCCGCTTAGCCCCCCCTCAGATTGAAGTGCCGCGTCGTGCTCCTGAGTCTGATAGTCTGAGTAGCGAGATGCTTCTCCTGTAGACAACTCGACGCCTCCCAGTATTCCAGCTGGCGAGTTTCCCCCAGGCTTATGCGAGTCAGTGAAGAGCGGCGCCGATATGATAGACGGGAAAGTACTGGGTGGCGGCTCCTGTACGGGTTTGATAATGGTGTTGGCGTCGAGCTCCTGGCGAGCCACCAGGCGTACCAAGGGGAGGCTTATACCCTCCATATGCTTGGCGAGATGGACAGTGAGGCTTTTCCACGTTAAGAACTCCTTGCCGCAGAATCGGCATGGCTCGTCTTTAGGCCTTGATGTACTCTCCTGGTGGCATCTTTCGACTTTTTGCCAGGTCAGGTCTTGTCCTCCCCAACGCTTAATAGCCGCTTTAGTCTTCATTTTAGGTTCCATAAATTTGTGCTCTCGAACGAGATGCTGGAGGAAATTATCTCTTCGGTAGCAAGTATGTCGACAGTCGTCAACGTCGCACGTCCACCACTCGAGGTGCTGTTACGATTGTCAGTATTGCTGTTCTTTTAAGTCTGGGAGAGAGCTGACCCTATGTCCTTCATTTTCGTGCCGCACCCAGTCGGCCTTGCGCTTGAATATCTTAGGCTCGCGGCATCGATCCCAAGTGCACGTATAAGGTTGTATATCTTCGTGTACGTGTCTGGTCCAGTCAGAGGGGTTCTTAAACGCTTTTACCAAGAAGCAGATTTGGCACTCGAACTGTGCAGGAAAAGAGGTGATCGGCGGCAAAGGAATATTTGGCGGAAAGAATGCCGTGTTCCTGGCTTCTATCAAAGGCGTGGCATCATTCGAGTCTGCCTCATAGCCTGCTTCATAATTCGCAAAAAAAGCGTCCATTCCACGCATCTCTTTTGTCGCACGCAATGATACGGCTTTGCCGCCAGAGTGGATACACATCTTTCCAGCTGGGCAATTACCTGTCATAGTCTGTTGCACATGTCTGACTTTTTGATGTAGAAGAGCTTTATAGCGAATGACTTGTTGATGAGCCATACGATCAGTCAGGAATGTGTTCTGTTCCGCTAGCCTTGGATTCATATTCAGCACTTGCTGCCTAAAACCTGCAAAAGTAGGAGTGATTTCGTCAATGACGTCGTCAATTGGCGTCCCGACGCTGTTGCCATGATCGCTATAGGATTCCTCTGACGACCCACCAAGAACAAACTTAGCTCGAGACTTCGGCACCTCGAATGTCTTTGTTGCTGGGGAGGACTGGGAAGCCGGGATTTCGAATGTTGTGTTAGGAGGGTGGACGGCTGTGGGAACCAAGGAGCCCATATCTGGAGAGACAGGGTCGGCGGAATCCGCAGAAAGATTCCTGTGTGATGCAGCCTCAAGAACGTTGCCGAATTCGCCGGCCTCTTCATTAGTGCTTGATTCTTGATCGGACAGGGGTTGAGGCTGCAACATCTGCTGGTGCCCTGTTTCTGAGGCAGCGGGGCTTTTATTTTGTGAGGCAGTTCGAGAGAGATGCCCTTCATCAAGATTCTTCTCTTTTGTCGCCACTACATCCTCGATTATGGCTTGATCATTTGTCTTGTTCTTCCTTCGGTCTTGAAGTTGGATAAGGACAGGGTCTTCGCGAGGCTCGGGGAGGCTCGACTGCTTGACTTGTTGAAATACAGCGGCCCAACGATCGTCGTGACCATGTTGGTCGGGCACATTTCCATCCACAGGTGTTCCAGCAGCTATGTCCTCGAATATAGGCAAAGGAAGATCGTGTGTGTTCTTTTTCTTTACAGCGCCAAGGCCAAGACTTGATTGCCGCGCATTTGAGTCCGCATCGTCTCCATCGCCGCGGTCAGGAAGTGCTAGTAAGGCAATGGCCTCGAGGTGCTCGAGAATGTGGTTCTGCATTCTCTGCTCGGGGGTAATATCCGGTGCTGCGTCATCCGTGGTCTGCGCGTTCACTAGCCGGGGAACAAACTCGCAACAAATCGGACACTTAGACTCGGCCACCGAAAGTGTAAGGTTGAGAACGGTGAAAGTGTTTGGGGCTGGCAAGGTGCCCTGCTTGATGAGACCAGGCAATTGGGATTCTGTGAAAGTATCAGGGTGTTCTCCCCGTATATGGTCCTCCAGGTCCTCGGATGAGCTAAAGACCTCTCGTTCATGGCCAATAGCTTGGCAGGAGTAAACGATCGTGTGCTGCCATCGAAGATGCCCAAGCCACTCCTCTGATGTCTTGAAGAACGTGTGGCTCTCTTTGCAGTCTTCGAAGAGGCAAACGAACGGCTCAATGTCCATCAGAATATGCCGCGTCCAACGAGGCTCCTTCATTTCTTCCTGTCTGACCAATCTTGAACAGTAAGGGCATTGGGCCTGATCTTGGCCATCAAGATTTGGTGGTGGTGGCACGTCGAGTCGTTGTCGTCTGACCACTGCCGCCTTCGTGATTCTCGATAACGCGGTCGACTTTGCATAGTCCGCAAATTTGGCACGGTTGACGGATGAAGCATTGGTCTTGGAGAAAGCTACGCTGTGCAGCATTGGTTGGGCGCGACCCTTGCCCCTGACACTAGAACGGTCGTGGCGTTTGCCAGAAGTTTGATTCAACAGTCCCGCCCCAGCAGCTGGCGTTCCCGTGTCTTCTTCGTCCAGCATCGCGGCTGCAAATGCCCACTCAAGGCCGTGATTAAGCTTCGACTGGTGGCGTTGTCTGTATCGAATTTTCATCCGCCGAAAAACCACAGCCGCGACTAAGCGATTAATTAGAAACTCAGGTGCCTGCGGAAAGTGTGTTTTGATGTGGCTCCATGCGTGGTCTTGAATATCTTCAAGCTCTTCAGTCTGTCCCCTTTCTTTCAGCTTCTTGATAAGCTCCCGGACTTTGGCATCCTCAGAGGAGGATACAGGCTTTCTGAAGACTGTAGCCAGCCTGTAAAGTCTATCGATCACATTGTTGGCTTCCTTGACAAAAATTGCGGAAGGATCCTGACCTTCGACGCCATCATTCGAGCCCGAATTTTCTGCGCTTGAATCCAAGCTCAAAGAGGCAGATGAAGATCCCGAAGAGATTGGACCTGTGTCCCCCCCTCTGCCCACCTCATTAACTTTGTCGTCGGTTTCTTCAAGCAATGGTGGATGAACCGCTTTGAACAGACTTTGTTTCAGCTTGGCCGTCATCGAAAAAAGCACTTGGACCAGATCTGGATCGTCGCGAAGCCGATTGTCCAAAGAGGCATTTTCGGACGCAAAGACACCGACATTTCCTGCCCAGATCTTCAGTCTGAACAGAATGTTGGCGAGCTCCAACCGCAGATTTGAATTTAGAGTCTTGTCGGTCTGGGCGGGAGTAAGAATTTGCACGCATTCGCGGACTTCGTTTGAGACTGACATTTTGATGGCATGGAACAGTTGTGCACGCCTATCATCCTGTGGCGGGCTGGGCTGGATGAGCTTGAATAGAGGTAGGAATGTGGCTGGAAATAAAGAGCCTTACTGCATGGAGAAGCGGGGTGAGATGATAGCCAACAATCTTCGCAGGCCTATCAGTGATCAAGAATGAGAATAAATGCATGTGTGACGTTGTCAAAGGTGGGGTTTGCACGTCAAATTTTGTGTTAATCTGACAGATCTAACCACAAACTGCTTCACAGTCAAAATAACTAGGCAGGTCAAGAAGGTATCGGGTCGTTGCTTTCTTCTCGAACCAACTTGGAGCCATGTCGGGCTTCGAGGTGGCAGGAGTTGTGCTTGCCGTCTTGCCTTTCTTCATCGAAGCCGGCAAAGCGTACGGCGACCATGCCACTGCGCTCCAGAAGGCGGTGACGCGGTCCACAAGGGACAAGGAGTTGCAGGAGTTCTACGAAGAGTTCTATTGGGACACCTACGAACTACGGAAGAACATTGAGAAAGTCGTCCTGGTACTTCCCAGCCTGTCTGACGAGCGAAAGCAGCAGGTCATCCGCAGCACCAACCTCGACACTTGGGACCAGGCCCAGGACGTGGCGGCAGCGCTGCAAGACTTTTTGGGTGCCGACGACTACGATGCCTTCCAAATGGTTATGGGAAAAGTCTTGGAACTACTTGCGCGTCTTATCAAAGACAAGACGGTACATATATCGAAGTCAGAGAAAGTGAGTTCCACTCACGTGGCGTCGTAAAGCCACCGGGCATGACACACGGGTGAGCTGAAAGTTGACAATCTGCCCTTAGGACCACAGAAAAATGCTGGAAAAACTCAAGAACTTGCAAAAGGACCGTGCGGATAACAAGACATCCACCAGCCTCTGGGAACGCTTCAAATTTCTCAAGGAAGAACGCCGCTCAACGTATCTGAAGAATCTGAAAAGGTGGAATGAGAGATTCGGAAAGGTCGTCGATTCCGCCTGCGAGGCAGCGAACGAGCGTAAGGCCGTTGTGATGCATCAGAAGGAGAAAGGACCTTCGACCCGCCTGCGTACCCTCTCCAAGAGACTCTTCAGTGCGCTCTGGAGACGCTGGTCGTGCAGCTGCGAGACGCCCCACGAGGCGAGATTCTGTATCGCCACGTGTGGCCGCAATTCGAAGAATGATCTCAGCAAAACCAGTATCACCTTCGATTTCCTCATCTCGCATCACCAGTCGAAGTGGTGTGAGGGTACGGTTGTGATCGAGTCTATGAAGTAAGTTTCAGTGCATCTCGGAGAAAAACCTAGTATATCGACAAAAACTGACCAACCTCTCAAAAGCCTCACAACATCTCAAGACCGTGCCGAGCTTCGAAATGTCTGCGAGGCCATCACGTCAGGAATGAACCCTGCTAAGTACAGCGTGCAGCTCCTCGTGGAAGACTCCGAGCTATCCCAACGGATATGGAGGCTCAATATGCAAGAAGCCAAGCTTCATTATCCAGAAGCGTTTCCTGCCATCTCCTTTGAAACACTGCTGAGCCGGCCCATGCCATCACTCATCGAAAGACGACGACTCGCACTCACCTTCGCCTACTCGTTTATGCAGCTCTATGAGAGCCCCTGGCTGAGCGGGCAATGGGAGAAGAAACGCATGCACTTTTTTCGTATGGCCTCCGGAGACCCTGATTTGAAAAGACCATTTCTCAGCGCCTCGTTCGACCAGTTCCCCTGCGGGCCAGAACCAGTTGATCTACGCCGTTTCCATAGGAACTCGGGAATTTTGAGGTTGGGAATACTCCTGATAGAGGTTCACATATGGAAGCCCCTTGAGCGTTTCAGGGACGAAGATGACCTGATAAATGGCCAGCCTACTCCGAACACAGACATGGAGGTCGCGAAGCGTGTGTTGAAGACACTAAAAGGTGATTGCTTCCAAACATACACGAGCGCGATTGAATCATGTCTAAGCGTGCCGTGGGTCTCATCGGTGTCAAGGGTCAGCTTGGATGACCCTGAGACTTGGTTTGGCATGTATCGTGACATTGTCGAGCCTCTGGAGAAGGAGGTGAATTTGGGGAACTTCAAGCCAATAATGTAGAAGTGATGTACAAATAGCAGAGCCGTTTTCACGCGGACAAAACATAATGTCTCAGGCCAAGTTGTTTCGGGAGAGAGGCAGAATAGTCTTCTCTTCAACCGTCAGGTAAATTTGCGACGCTCTCTGGAGGGTCTACATCGGAACCTAGGACGCCCATACCATACGAGTTAACAAGCGCTCGAAAGTCCCTTTTCTCATTATGAAATTGACCATCAGGAGATATCATTGCTTGCGAAACCTCCTTGGCGACCGACAAGGTCTTTTTTTTCCTTTGGCTATGGTGCAAGCCTGTAACAGCATCGGCTTGTGTAGGGCTCTGCCACGCCATTTTTAATCATGAACTCGAGCCTCTCTGCTTTAGTGACCAGGTTTCGGTAGGCCTCCCCGAGCGAAGAATTGATCGGGACGTGATAAAGCTTCCCGTCGTAGCGAGCGGTATACAAAGTCGCACGTACTGCCCGCTTCTTTTTCTTCTCATTCTTTCCCATCTTCTCCTCCGTTGCAGCATCGTCACCATCACCGTTCGAACCTTCCACAGGGTCAGGGAGGTTGTTGCATGCCACACCGAGGTCCGGGGTTGAGTTGCCGCGGGTGAGATTCTGGTCTTCGTCGTTACCAGATACACAGATGGTCATGTTGATGGGGTCTTTATCGTCGCCACGCATTACATCTGGCTTGTCTTTGTCCATGTTGTTGGTACCGGTGGTGGTCGTGAGAACAGCAATTGGTTGTAGGAGCAGCAGTAGGTTGGTCAGTATGACGAGCTGCATTTTGAGCAAATTTAGGCAGGGCAAGCAATATTTAAGCTTGGTGCGGCTCTGGGAGACTAACTAGTGACTAGGTTTTAGTGGTATAGATAGAGCACTAGATGTGTAAACTTTGTAGCTTAGGCGCGTACCCAAGGTAGTTTCAAAAGCTTGATGGGCTTTCATAGTCCCATACAGATCAGACAGTCAGTTATATATCCAAGAAGCTACAAGAAAGACTGGAGTAGAACTCTGACAGCCCATTTGTATGATATCGCTTAACACGTTGACAACTCTTTGGGTCGTGCCCCTTCCTGCGCTGGACAGGCCAATTTGAAGTCACTGGAAACGATGAGGCATCAATCGTATATCCGAGCGCATTTACTCCATTCATAGCCCTGGAAAGTCGAAAACCGTATCCGACAACTGGTTGTTAGCTGGAGGTGTCATTGAGTGATGAATTAGAGCCACTGGTAGGGCTGACAAGGTATGACACGTCATCGTCAACTAATCACTAGCGAGCGTTCTAGAAGGACCATCCTCGAGCTCGCTTATTTCTGCCTACTTAGGCCCAAGTGCGCAGCACATAGGGAACAAACCTTGGTAACTTATATAGAGAAGGAGTACGGTATTGCCCTGTACCACGACGTGCAAAACGGAGTACTTGTAGCTATCCATGGATCGTCCTTTTTGTTTTGTGCTTAGGGGGAGGGGCAAGGAGGGTGAGGGCAGTGGGGACCTGGGAAGATACTGCAAAGTTCCACGTAGAAGTGGCGCCTAGCAGAAGCACTCCAATGATACATCGTCTCATATAGGAGGAAGAAATTCCAATCAGAACAGTACAAGTTGTTATGCCAGGCACTGGTAAATTCTTTAACGATCTAGTAATTCTATTTAATACCTCTTCTTTGCCCATTCGCTGACTTTCTTCGTAAACCTCACGGATCTCGCATCTACAGCCCTGTTGAACAGATCGCTCACCCAGAAAAGCACAAACGTGTTTACAAATGCCCCCATAACCCACCTCCTCATGTACCTCGCGTTTGCTTCGTCCCATATCACTTGCGCAGCATCAAGTTGGTTTTGCTGCACAAGAGACTGGGCTTCTTTGTCCGCATCCATCCATGCATACCATGCGGGACGCAGATATCGCATTCCGACAATCTCATTGACGCTGCTATGACAGAGGTACATGGAGTAACTAAGGTCGCCTAGATATGAGGCAAAACGGTTTGTGAACAGGCGCTGCAATAGTGGCTCGTCGTTGCCGTTCTGTCGGATAGGTGGCGAGTACATCAGCGCTAGCATTATGAGGATGCCGCCCCAGGATAGCCAGAAAAACTGCGTCATGGTCTCGTTTCCGTGGTATGGGGCGGGCGTGTACTTCGCGGCAAGTGTCTGGTATCCTGTGGACTGCGCGCCCAGACTCTCTGGCCAAGAGCAGAGGTGGCAGCCAAGGAGAAACCAAAAGATAGTCGTGGCGTGGCCGAGATAATGGATCAATCCGTAATTTTTCCAATGCTTCTGCCCAAATTTTGCCTCACCATCATTTACATTCTCCTCGTCTGATAAGCTGTATTCGTGGAAGGGCGGCCATGTAATCGACAACTCAGCTAGCACTGGGCCAGCCAGGAACATAGCCTGGTCACAGAATCCTAGCTGAAAGGCCCACGCTATAATGAACAGCAGGACGGAGGTTCTGACCCATGTCTTTGAGCGACAGAGGGCAATCATTAACAGAAATATCATCATTGACCCGTTCCACTCGACCGGAATGGTCCACAAGTGACCGTCGTATGGATTTGGGAACTGTGTCGTACGCCCAGGGGCAAATTGAAATGGATTGAATTGGCCGCCCAGTACCGATAGCCAGTGCCAAAACTGTTCAGAGGCAGTTCGAAGGGTCGGAGGAATGGTTGCTGGGTTGTTGTCGACTATTGGCTGATGAAGAGTAGGCCAGCGAGCCAGCACCGCGATGATGGCCGTTTGGACGACGATTGAAGGGTAAAGCCGGAACGGTCTGCGAAAGACTGACCCCGAGATTGAATCCAGAACTTTCTCGCTGTTTAGTTTGGAACCACTCGCTTTGATGATTGATATCGTCTTAACGGACAACACAAAGCCGGAGATCAGGAAGAAAATGGACACGCTTGCTCTCCCAGAATGAATCACCCTGATGATTGGTAATTGCCAAAACAGGTGGTTTGACTCAGCAGATCCGTAGCCGTTGCGTAGGATTGGGAACCAGAGATAAGAGTAGTGGAATATGTACACAATGAAAGCGGCGACTCCGCGAAGCCCGTCGAAATACGCCGTTGGCCGAGGCGGTGTTGTGCTCTTCGGTCTAGATCGGCTATAGAGCCTGTTGCTGATGAAGGACGGCAGGATAATCCGTGACGCGACAATAACACTCTGCCTCACACCGACACGCCTTTGTTGAGAAGCCTGATTGACATCCATTGACGGTTGTTTCTCCTTGATCTCGAAGCCATTCTCGTTGTCAACGGGATTTGCGTCAATTGTCCAGCTCGGAAGAAAATCAGTGCCCATGATCCGTGTGTACCTGCCCTGGGAGATACCAAGAGCAGGTAGAATCTGGTTTAGGACCATTTCGGCTCCAAAAGAATAGGCTTTGTAAGGGCCGTCTGGGCGATAAGGTTCAAGAATCTGTGAGAAGCTGACGATGTTGAACCTCAGCGAGGGCAAAGAGGCATTACAGACGTTCAGACCATGGTTTATGTGGAAGTGTCTGGCATTTTCAAACCTCCGTTCAGACTAAACCGGGAGAAATTAGTCCCTTTGGCAACTCCCAACCTCAATTACCATTCTTCATGTCTCTATTGTAGACGGCTGGCAATCGCCGTCGTGCTTTCGTGACAGTGCGTGGCCTCCATGTCTGAGACATCCCACTTCGTGCCACGGCGCGGGCTGGTGGCGGGCAAACATGTCTATGGAATGTCAAAACTAAATGGTTTGACTCGCTTATTTAGATTATGACCTTGGCACGTCGTTTCGATTGGCCCGCGAATGAGCATTCCGTCTTAGATATGCCAAGTCTCAACGGTTCTGGGAGACACGGACCAAGACGTTGAAGAAGATGGCTTGGACAAGCCCCCTTCGCTCGGGTGTAAACTCTTCATAGCACCATTTTAATCCATTGAGGAATGGCCCCGCTGTCAAATTCTTGAACGTGATTTGTTCGACATGTGAAGCAAGGCGTGAACCCCACGCACCAGTGATATCCCCCCTTCTCCCTGCAAATCCACGAATGAATGCAGTAGTGTATTTGCAGCCGGTTTGGATTGAACATGCAATCTTGCTCGAGTGATTGTTTATGCATGAAATATAGAAACAGACCTCTGCGTCGCGAGACTGTAGTGCCCTGCATATGTCTCGTGTGGTCGCACAGGCTTTCGAACTCTGACGAGGATTAATTGACACCCCGTCGTTTCAAGTATCGGTGACAGACATGTTCCAGGCTGTCGGTGCCCAGATTCAGCTGTGTCATGTCTCTTCGGAGCATCATGAGAGGTAGAGGCGCTCGCGCTTATGAACAAAGCTGCTACGGAATCTTCCAAGGAAAAGGTGAAGTCTTCACTAAAGGGCTTGAGCCTTTAGCATAAATTTTGCCTCGGGGTAAGTACCCGGCTGTCTACGCTTCACACGTCGAGGTTTTACAGCCATATATCTAGGAAGCACGACCTTACCAACATGACCCGAGCAGGTGTTTGCACAGTCTCATTGCGACTTCGCTGTGTGATGATTTCGGTTTTTTCTCTCGTTAATTAGGCAGCCGAACTCCACCTACAAGAATTTGAAAAAAAAAAGGGCTGACCGTATTGGATGCCTTGCTCGCATAGACTCTTAAACTTGAAATTGAACTCCATGCAGTATGCAGTGAGCTTCATTAGGTATGGATGTTAGACGTAATTCAATTATGCTCATTAATCTCAACGCAACTTGCTGCTGTAACTTTAACAAATTAAGTTGTACATAAGGACCATTCCTTTCATGTAAGGTACTCAGCCTTCGTGCCCATTACATCTAATCATCATCTTCCGCAGCTGCCTTCTCAACAAGGTAATATCGATCCGAGCCTGTCTCAGAGTTTTGATCGTGCTCGATAGCGATCTTGTTGAGCTGCAATAGGGCGTTCTCGAGGACAGTATCCTTGTGGTGTCTGTCCTTCCGGCCAAGGTCGTTCAGCCACCGGATCTTGTTAAGCATGTAGTAGACAATGGCGATGAAGATGGTGACGCCGATCGAATACGCCCAAACAAGAACCACGGTGACGATGTCCGTCCAACCATTGTCCGAATTCTGGAAGATTGTCTCGGGGCTAGTTCGCATGACGCCACCGCCTGAGCCGGATAGAAAGCCGAACAAGGCGAAGATGGTTGCGAGCACATCCACGACGAAGATGGCACCGACGAGCTGCCAAGATGGCCAAGTCTTGCCGCCTCTGGTGACGAAGATGAGCCAGTTTTCGGTTAACGAGACCTCGAGGAAAAGGACTTCTTGAATCGAGCCGAAGTTCTGGATGATACCGCCGTTCTCGAGGAACATTGTCCCGCGAATGATCCATGTAGCGGCGGCCAACAGTGATCCCAGTATGAGACTCACAACCCAGATCTTGGGCAGCTGCCACTCGACGGGCCGAGGCTCGACATGTGCATTATCATAAGCGACAGCAACAGTAGCCAGGTCGGCAAAAAGCGCAATGAAGACAATAAGATCCGGACGAATAGTCTCGTTGAGGATGATCATTGAGAGCGTCAAGTAAATCTCGAGGTGGATACACAATGCGATTCGGTATTCCACATAGGCTTTCATCCGTTGGAAAATCTGTCGTGCTGTCTTGATAGAAAGAATGATAGTGCTGAGGCCTGGTGCGAGGAAGACGATATCGGCTGCCGCTTGTGCCGCTTCGGATGAGCCCTCTACAGCAATACCACAATCGGCCTTCTTCAGCGAAGGGGCATCGTTGACACCTGTAATTTTAGTTGTCAGTACTCGTGTGTTGAATGAATTGAAAATTGCTGCCAATTTGAAGTCATATCGAGGAGTTTCACGTTTTTATGGTGAAGGTCATAGAAGGGGGTGAGACGTACCATCACCAGTCATGGCAGTGAGTGATCCTCTCTGCTGAAGCATCTCGACGACTTGGTATTTGTGCTCAGGGAAGACTTCTGCAAAACCATCCGCACGATCGATAAGGTCATGTTGCAAGGTGCCGGAAAGGCCGCTGTTGAAAAGCTTGTTTGCGTTGTAGACCTTAGTGCCGAGACTCAACATCTTGCAGGTTTCCTTTGCAATAGCGATAGCATCACCAGTAAGCATCTTGACAGGCACACCTGAACAGAATTAGCGTCATTACAGTCCGGCAGCTTTGTGGAGCGCTACATACCGAGAGCTTGGGCCTCGATGATGGTCTGGCCGGTGTCCTCACGGGGTGGGTCGAACATGGAGATCATGCCCAACAGCTGCCAGTCCTCGTCATTCTTCTTGACGCCGACACCAAGAGAACGGAATCCACGACTGGCAAACTCCTTGGCCTTCTGGTTGTACAGGTCCTTGACCTCGGGCGAGCAGTTGGCCAGGTCCACAACAGCCCGAGGAGCACCCTTAGCGCAGATGTAACGGTCTTTTCCAAGGCGGCATTCGCAAGTAATGCGCTTTGAGACGGGATCGAAGGGGGTGAACTTGTCGGTAATCCATCCTTGGCGCAAGATCTCACGCGCTTTGGGGTAACGCTTGAGAGTCAGAATGGTGATCTTGTCGATCGGGTCCAGGGACTGAATGTTGTGAGAGCTAGCCAGGGCGGCAACCGCCATCATCCAGTTGACATCTTGACCTTCGGCGACATAGGGCTCCCGAATGCTCAACTTGTTAGCGGTCAAGGTACCCGTCTTATCGGAACAGAGGACGTTGACGCCCTGGGGAAATGAAACATATTAGTATTCAATCACAAGACATTCCTCAAAACAAATAGAACCAAAAGGGTCCATCAGGTGCTCAGGATAACTTACAGCCAGTGACTCAATGGCAGTCAACTTCTGAACAATAGCCTTCTGCTTAGCCAGATATGCGGCTCCGACGGCTAGTGTGGTGGTTGTGACAACAGGAAGACCAACAGGCACACCGATGATGAACAGGATGAGGGCGTAGTGCAAAAGCGTCTGGACGCCTGGCGAGGCAATAGGGATGTGTCGGAAGAAGCCCCCGATCCATATCGCCAAAATCCAGAACATGACCAGGACAAGCAGTGAAGTGCCGATGCTGTCCATGACCTCTTTGAAATGCCCGCGGTCCTGTGTACCCTGCACCAAGCTGGCGGTCCTGCCCACGAAGGAGTATTTTGCCGACGTCTTGACAATCGCATAGGCTTTGCCTCGTTTGCAGCCGGTCGTATAGAAGACCAAGTCTCCCATGTATCGATCCACAGCAAGTGACTCGCCTGTGATGGCGGATTGATCGCAAGCAAGAAGTGGCAGGCCGAAATGGACAGACCTGTCGTCATCATCGTGGTCTCCAGCCTCCTTGTCCGCCGACTTTTCGTTGCTGCCACTCTCGTCGCCGGATTCGGCAGAATCTCCACTAAACTTGTCCTCGTTCTTGAGCTTCTTGAATTCATTGTAGTCCTCAGGGTGGGCGTAGTCACAGATAATCTGGCAGTCAGCAGGGATGGTCCGGCCCTCCTGGAGAATGACAATATCTCCGGGAACAAGCTCTCGCGCCAGGATTTCTTGCTCCTTGCCGTCACGGACAACAATCGCTCGCATGGCGATGTCACCCTTCAAACTGGCGACGACGTCGGCTGCCTGCTTCTCTTGATACCATCCGACGGCGGCATTAAGAATAAGAATTCCTACGATAACACCGAAGTCGATCCAGTCCTCTAGACCAACGGCTAATAGTGCGGCGATTTCCATTACTGTAGAGGTATTGTCAGCTCTAGCCCTCATTCACAACAAGAGCATCATGTGCGGATGGTGAGGGCTCATGCGAGACACTCACCATAAAGAATGGGCCCTTGGAAGAAACCCATGAATTTCCTGAGCTGGTTTTCCTTCTCAGCGACGAGCTCGTTCCACCCAAAGCGGCGGCGGCGCTCATCGACATCGTGGCTGCTGATACCCTGTCGCATATCCGTGTCGAGCCATGCCTCAGGAGGGACGAGGTTGTGGTTTTCCTCAACTTCAAGATCGCTGCTGAACATCAGCTTGAGAAGGGATGGCGATTTCTTCTTCTTCTTCTTGCTGTCCTCCTCTTCTTGCTCGGCAAGCTGTTGGCCGCTAGCATCGAATTTGGTGATGAACCGGTCTAGAGCCTCATACTCGGGCAGTTCGCTATCGTCGACGTCGTGGCTGAGACCTCCGTCGGTGCGGTCTGCCGCTGCAGCCTCGACGTCGTCGGAAGGCGCAGCATGATTTTCTTTGTGATGTCCGAACGCCATGTTCCCGTCGATGTAGGATCAAGGGAATAATAGCACCAAGAACGATCACCTGAGAACGCCTACTAGAGACACGACAACCTGTCACCGGAAGTAGTGTGCATGAAATATAGGAGAACTAGGGACCGGAAATGGGAACCATTGAAATTCGAATCATCACAAATCCAAAACTCGAGCGAGGAAGCCGACACCAGCTCTCTTGAATGATTTGTCGTGAGACATTTTTTTTCTTCTTGCGGCTCTTTTGCTTACTCGCCGTGTGATCCGGTTCGCTTTTCGGCTTTGCACACCGTACGCACGCACATCACATCAGGCTGGCATCATTTGCTCTCGCCCGACAGCAGGGAGAAGTCGCGCAGAAGGGGGCCCACATAATGGAAACCCAGGGAATATGTGAGGTCATTAGCAAATGGGATTGAGGAGTTGGATATCCGACGTGCGGTATTTTGCTGTCCCGCTGGCAGCAACGGCTCTTGATTCGCTGACCAGTTCCTCGTGCTTGTAATTCCTTTGCTTACTGTGGCGCTACGGGGGGCGCGCAAAGAACGCATGGACGCTGGGATGGCATATTGTCGACAAAGAAAAGACCGGCCGGACTGGCGGAGTAGCAGAGCCGGTCGAGCCGGTGGTTCCGTCTGTGATCGGCTCTGATCTTCGCAAGCGTGCGAAGACCACATGAGAGTGGGGCGAATGTGCCTCCAGCATGCCGTCATGGCGTGGGTTTTTGCAGGTTTCCGCGGGCGGCTTCCTGGACATTTTAATCTGGGGACTTTGGACATGAATAATTCCACGTACTGTGTGCGTGTACTGCCTGGCTGCTCGCCTGCAAGCGCAGCCAGGCTGGTAGAAAGGCTAGCCCGACAAATTCCTCGCGCCTCGGCTCATGCTTGGCTTGCGATCAGACCCGCGGGATGTGGGATTTTGAGGCTCAAAAGTCTGTGCCGATCTTCGCGAAGCTCCAAGATCCTACTTAGGCAATTCCCAGTGCGAGGATTTCTCTACATCAGCCCCTCGGGCCGTCCTCGGCAAACCAGCCTACAGCAAATGCTTGGATTACTTGTGTTCGCCTCTTCACAGCAGTCCAGACGATGTAACTACGCTTCGTCATCGTGGCCTATCATTTCTTCAAGGAGCCGTCTTAGGCGATCATCTCTGCATCTACGGCATAGATACTGCAGTGTCGGTCCTAGAATGGAGAAAGTGACGGCTCACTCCAGCTTGTCTTATCACCTTGTCAGGCTTGTTTCTGTCTAGCCTGTCTAGTCAACCAGGAACTCGGTCCCAGCCCCTGGGCTCCGCCGAAAGACCATCCTTGGCTAGAAAGCTTCTTTTCACTACCCACCCCATCGATCCCTGTGCATCCGGATGCACATACTGTGCGTGGGTGCTCAGACAGCGATCACAAACAACGGCGGAACCGCAGCCGGCAGGTCAGAATACAGAAACGGCCATAGTCCGCCGGGTAGACTTATTGGAATTACCGCTACCCACAAGTGTCTACAGTAGAGTGCACGTAGCAAGCCCAGTAGGCCGATTTCATTTTCGGCCCTAGCTGTAGCAGGGCTATATGTCCCGGCTTCTCCGGGGAAGTCTCTACCTCGCCTCGATTCCGCATTCGCCTCCCGAGCTCCGTCCGAATGAGCGACTGGGCGAATCATCGATTCCTCATTTTCAGCCATTTCTCATGGTTGAGTGTGAATGGTCGGTGTCCCCGTTGACTGTTCAGGTACACTGACTGGCCGACAGAAAACACCGCCACCATCGAGGTTCTTCTTGCGATACATCTCGTAACTTTTGTTTTTCTCAGTTCGCGTTCTCTGTCGTGATATTTCAAAGTTCGGGCAGATCGTCTTCAACGGTGCCCCAAACGAAGAGTAATTTTACTTTCCGGTCTGTGTGGTTCGATAGAGATTTATTGAGCCGAAAGGCTAGGATCCTCGTATCAATCTTATATGTGACTGCTCACCTATGACTATAACAACACAGATATTCCTGAGTAGGTATGAATTGTGGCTTCGTTGACCAACTCGAAAGGCCAACACGACCACTCAAATCATGTGTATGTTTGTCCTGATGAGGTCCATATTCCCTGCCACAAAACCAAGATATTAGTGAGCATCAAAAAGGCATTTTTAAATCCCCTACAAGTTCATACACGATAATTCTGTTTTTTATATGAAAAAAAAAAGAGTTTTAGTGTCAAAGGGTCAGGGAAGACGTGTTGACTTGGATTTGATCGATATTGCCTGTGATAGCTGCAGCCACTATTTGAAATGAGGTTTCACTTCACATTCGAGCAACCCACGAGGTTAATCCTGCTTTCAATGCACCATTTCTTCGACCTTCAGGCCATCCGCGGTCCCAGAATAGTAAGCGTCTGACAATTTGGGGTCTTGCCAAGGTATACCAAACTGACTGCTGTTTATTAGCCCTTAATAGCTGTGCTAGTTGCCGTTGCGACGGAGCTGGTCTGGACGACCGAGCTCGGGAAGCCCGTGTATTGTGTCGGCCCAGGCATGACATAGCTTTGAGTGGTGCCGTAGAGGTCATACAGAATCCCCGGGTCCGTCTCGTGGTACAGTGCAGTACCCAACACGCCGCTCGGCTGCACGCTCCCTGTACCGGTGACAGCCAGGTTGAGGCACTGCGGATAGGCCTGCGCACCGTCCGCGTTGCCTGCAGAGTGCAGGGCGATGATCTCGTGCCTCAGGACGTAGTTGCCACTCGCGAGGGTGGCTGGGATCTGAACCAGCCAGGTCGAGTTGTTCTCGATGAGGACGTCGGAGGCCCAGGTGCCAAGTCCTGACCCGCTGATGTAGCCGATGCCGTCGACCTTGAAGAACTTGAGCGTCGTCTTGTCCACCGTCTCGCACGAGGCTGATCCGCAGCTCGCGAGGTAGTCGATGACCGGCCCGTGGTGGCTGACGGGCCAGGTCGGCGTCCACTGGATGGAGATGGAGTCGCCGGCTTTCACTGGGATGTGCCCAGGGCCGTTCGTCGCGTTCTTGTGGCAGATGATGTCTGATGTCTGGAATGCGTCGGGGGCGACGAAGCCGTTGTCCAGGTCGGCGGCCGCCCAGGCGGCGACGATGGGTGGACTAGGAATGTAGGGAAAGCTGCCTGGGTCATAGCCCTGATAGTAGACCCCGTTGATGACCACATTGTTGACATGTCCATGGGCCGCAACGGTTGCAGCCCCCGCAACAAGGGTAATGATATGCTTTGAAGCGATGGCCATGTTGGATACTGTCGTCTGCTACGTGGTGATCTTGTCTTCAACTCTTGCAGGAACCCATTCGGTGCAGTGAGAGGCTAGTCGGAATCGCTTTTCTAGACACAAAATGTCTTGGTGATCCTTATCTTTTATAGTCAAAAATCTTAGCTGAGAAGTGGGATCAGGCCTATTGCGCATCATGTTACTATCCATGTATTCATTGCAACCAAGAAACTGTCTTCCATCAATGAAATTCGGGAGATAGACCCATATGCCAATAGAACAAGCAATATTGACCATTCTGGAAGCAGACACTCGATTACAAGCTCCGCGATGCACACTCGTCTCAGACGACCTCCGTGTCTAAGGAGGCCCCGCAAGTGTACGAGGCCTCATGCTCAAAACCACTCGCCTAGGAAGCCATCCGGCTTGCGACTGGATATCTGCAAGTCGTATGCAGCACCTGAATCACACAATCGTCTTGTCAGACAGGTTGTGGTCCACGAATGAGAGAGGCCATGCAGCAACTATCAACCATGAACGTGCAGCTTTGCCCCCCAAACATCCAAGTCCGGGAAGAGCACTGGGCCGGGTGGCCGAGCCCATCCCTGACCTGTGATCAGATCGCGAAGCATCCCTCTCGTCGAAATGTCACGCCCATTGCCAGCCTTGTACTTTCCGTAAGCGGCAATCTCGGGGCCCCGTCTCCCGCGGTACTTGACGCCAAGACTGGGGTACATGAGTCCTGGCGTAACATCGCTAATATCAGTCACCGCCAGTCAACGTCAGCTATGAGACCGAGTCTCCCACGTGCCAAACGACACCTACCAACGCAGACTGTTCATTATAAGAAGACCTCTTTTACGGAGCGGCCTGAGCGGAAGTTATCTTATATGGGGGAAGGAGGAATGTGTCGCCATACAAGTTTGCTCCAATGGCAAGGTACTGTCATAGTCACCAACTCCTGGACGCCCCCAGGTTCATCCACCAATAATCAACTCGAGGCCGCAGCGAACAATCCTGTCAGGATTCAAGTTCGTCAGAAGACGGAGGAACAATGCCTACTGGCAGCTGCAGCTAGAGGGGAACCAGGAAATAGATTACCACGTGCCGTACATTGCGCCAAGGAAGGAGGCTCTATGCTGATCTCCAGGCTTGTTTTTTTGGAAAGCGACATGTTCGGAACATCGCAACCGACGGCATGCAGCCATGCAAACATCACTGTGCTGGAAGAGACCCAAGAACACCCGGCCAAGTCAATCAGTGAGCGGCCGACGAACTATCTGGGTAGGAGGCGACTGTTGGCCTACACAGTGTTGAACATGATGACTGTGAGCGTGAAAGCCATTGTCATTGAAGGAGCAAGTCTACTGGAACAGGTCCCGAGGGGACTGCTCTACATGTACACGAATCGCGGGATGTGTGCCGGTGTGGGCTTCCGAACCCATGTCAATCAACACACAGCACCCTAATCGACCCGACAGATACAGCTGCGCTCTTAAAAGTATTGGAGATAATCGACTTGAACTTTGCGCAGCATGGCGATTTTGAGTCTTTCTCAGGCCTTTCCATCTACTCCACACCGGTAAATTTTGAGATGACCACATTTATAAACAGTAAATGAGCGCTTTGCCACTGTACATCGAACTAAATGGGGATATCATACGAGTATCATGAGTAGAGTGCACCTTGCCTTTCCATGCCACCACCAACTCCCGCTGCCGTGATGGCTGAATCGGGCCCTGCTTTCATGAGGGCCCTGCTTATCCCTCAACGCCTAAATCGTCCTCTAAGTTGGGTGTCCGTGACCGTGGAGTCGCCATGGCCCGGAGGTGATGTCAGCTCGAACATCGACCGATGAGTCAATGCGACTAGTCACTTAAAATTCCCCGTCGCCGCCTCCACCAGCAACAGAAGCCATCCATAGTCCAACCAGGCCCCAAGTGTTGACCTTCCAGCCACGCCACAAGCCTTCCAGTCCTTGCCCACGTCGGTAGACAGTCTCGGCGACCGCCTTCCGTGCCTTTTTAGGGGCATTCTTTCCTTTGGCCGCTACTGTTGACGCTGCGTGGACGGCTCGTGATCCTTCCTCGTTCACAATCGTGTACATGGTACCGACCACACCTTGGTATCTGCCCGGCTGTACAATTGTCTCCAAGGCCGTGGGTGTAGCTGTCTTGCCGTCAACGACGGACCGCCCAGATTTAGACGACGTGGTCGGACTGGCGGCTTTCTCAGCGGCGCGGATATAGCTGGGCTGGCTGAGAACGGCGACTTGGCCGCGCCGCAGAACGGTTTCCAGGGGCAATTTGATGAAGAGAGCCGCAGCCGAGGTACAGAACTTGGCGACGGAGAAAGTGGCTGGTGACAACTCGCTGTCGATCAAGAACTTGGTGCGCAGGACTAGAGGTGTGGAGAGGGCAAGGACAGGGTGAACCAGAGAGTGCATGATGGTCGGCATGACGAGACTCGAGGGGCATAGGTAGGAGGGAAGAGAGCGGAGCAGGGCGAGCGTCCGCCGTGGGCCGCGGGTCGTCGACGTTATTATTGACCTAGCGGAGTCAGCTTAGTCCAAAGTGTGGTATAATAGCCAAGGGAGCTGACCTCGTGCGGACAAGATCAAGTGGTGAGAGAACGAGACTCGTAACAACAGCGGCGGCGGCTGCCACCCCAAGAGAGGCCCATGGGTAGGGAGAAGCAATATCGACGAGCCTGTCGAGGTCGGTCTTCAAGCCCAGGTCCGGCACGTCGAAGAGCGCGCTTAAGAGACTGCGGGACCAGTTCTCTAGCAAGGACTGCAGGACTGTGTACACAAATGTCGCATTGGTGCCCTTCCACGTGCCCCAAGCGCCTTCTTTCTGCCAGAGTTGTGAAAGTACTTCGGTTATGGAATCAGGACGGCTGATGTTCAATATGTGCGGTGGTATTTCCGCCTTTTTGGTAGGCTGAGGTGAGTCTGGCGGTGGCGTCAAGGATCGTCTCCTCCGTGAGCGCACTGGTGAAGGGGTATGTGGGGCGTTAGAAGTGAAGTAGGCAGGCTCTTCGCCTTCAGAGTCGGAGTCGGGTATCTATGTCATCGTGTCAGCGAGACGAAATGGTGTTCCAGAGCCAGCAGGTGTGCGGGATGGGGGGAGGGGGGCAAGCACAACAGCACGTACCTCCTCATTCCACGGGCTCTTGAAGCTCGCCTGGGCGGACACTGGCTTTGGCGTGGCCGAGGTCGAGGCTGAGGCAGCTGCCAGCCCGCCGAGATCGTCCTGAGCGCGGACCTGCAGGAGCAACTTGGCGGCCTCGAAGGGCTGGGCCAGGAAGACGGATGTGTACTTCCATATCAGCTCGTCGACGACATCCTTGACAGATCGGACGACAGAGGGCGAGGGTTCGGAGATGTAGTCCTTGTAGTCGAGGTCGGAGAAGATGTCGCGTGCCTTGGACGCGTACTGGCCGGGCGGACTGGCGTGTGGCGGCGACGACGACGTCGATGGGCGGGAGAATGCTGTAGGACCGGGGATATTTGAGGTCTGGGCGGCCTGGTCACCGATGGTGGGAGGGATGTAGTACGGACGGAGGGGATTGACACCTTGTCGGCTATTGGTGCTGTTGCCGTTGATGGACATTTCGTGGAGAGGGGCTTTGCAGCCCGGTACCGGTGGAGTGCAAGTGGGTGGGTGTGTCTCTGTGTGTTTATGTTTTATGTCTATGGTCTTGGGGCAGCGGTGGTCATGATCTCGTGCCGGCAGTCGAAAGAGAATTGCGGCCGCCCTATCGTGATCGCGGTCGAGATCGCGGCCGAAGTCCTGTCAGAGGTGTAGGTGGAGATAATGTGGTCGTGATCTATAGACAAAAATGGTGGTGGGTGGTGTGGATGAGGTGATGCGATGCGATGGGTCCTGCGGCGGGGAAAAAACAGAGAAGAACTTTCAGATCAGATCAGATCAGCTCAGATCGGAGTGGCAGAATGGTCTTGCCGTCTCTGTTTCGAGCTTCTTGGCCAAACTTTTACACAAGAGAAGACAATGTTCGCCTTGGAATTCTCAGGCATCTGTTGGAGTGGAGGATGAAGAGGTAAACAAGCTCTTAGCATGAAGTGCTTCACCTCGAGGTGCTTGGAAGCGCGTCATGCACCCGTTTCTGTTTCGACGAGCCGCCAGCCGCATGAACCCTCATCAAACGGGACCGGGACCGTTTTCCCTCCCAGCTCACCTCAAGAGGTGGATGACATAATGGAGCAGAAACGGCAGACAGGGCGACAGGGCGACAGGGCAGTTAAGAGTCATTATCGATAAGATAAGAAGACGACCCCTGTCGCGAATTTTGCTGACGATCCCGAGCTCTTGCATTGGCGTTGGACTGCACGTCAGACCCCAACGCCAAAAGATGCAAAGATTCCATTCGGTTTGCTTCGCTCGACTCAACACCACCACCAACACCACCACCACTGCCCGCCCTTCAATAGCGGCCAACCTCTTGTGCATCTGTCCAGCTGCAGCCAACATGCACTGACAGTCACAACTACTGTCACATACCGTCCCATCATAGCACGACACAGCGCAGCGCAGCGCAGCGCAGCGCATTGCTTGCACCGATTCTTGTCCAAACTGTGGGTAGCCTTCAACCTGCTGTAGGCTCCCGTTGGCGAAGCAGAAACAATATCTGAACCCCACCACCCTTTCATCGTTCCCATTCTACCATTCCAACCCTTCCCGTCCTCCTTCTCTGCGTTCGCCTGCTACTATCCCCTCCTCAATTCCGTCTTTCTCAGCCTACCCCCCTTCTCTTCCCCTCACAGCCATGGCGACCCCGAAAACATTTCTGCGTGCTATGACACGCCTACGGCCTTCCTCGACGCCCTCTGCACCATGTTATCGTCACTTCGGGAGCAAGGCCACCGCCCCTCGAATAATACCCGAGTCTCTCACCACTTGGCCGAAGCCCCGCGTCTGCGCCCGAGCTATCCGACCTGTACATTCGAGGCCTGTGCGATCTTTCTCCTCGACTCCGTCCACACGGCACGGCCACGTTGATCCGCCCAAGCCAGGCGAAGAGCTCTGGGTGACCTTCATCGACAAGGATAACATGGAGCACAAGATTGCGGTGTCAAAGGGTGATAACTTGCTCGATATAGCCCAGGCCCACGACCTCGAGATGGAAGGTACGCCGGCGCAAACCGCCCCAAGAAACCATGATCACAACACCAACACCAACCCCTCCCCCAACCCAACCCAACATTGCGCAAAGCACTGTGGAGCTGATGTTTTCTTCCCGTTCTAGGCGCCTGTGGCGGGTCTTGCGCTTGCTCAACCTGCCATGTGATCGTACAAAACGAGGACCTCTACGACAAGATGCCCGAGCCTGACGACGACGAGAATGACATGCTTGATCTGGCATTTGGCTTGACCGAGACCAGCCGGCTGGGTTGCCAGGTCGTCATGGCACCAGAGCTGGATGGCTTGGTGGTGAAGCTGCCGTCCATGACCAGGAATCTGCAGGCCAGCGATTTCAAGTAGGAGAAGAGGTGGATAGACACTTGTGGAGCCAGCAGACCCCCGAGCCATCGGGTTCGGGGAATGGGCGGATAATAGATGGTGGATAGTGGCGAATGCAATCTAGGGCGACGACGCTGTAGACGTGCTAGGCCATGTGCCGTGGAAGACACCGGTCAGCCATGACGGGCCAGGCGCGACGTGATGGCACGTCGGCCAGGCGCATACTTGGCCAATACCATCTAATGCGCACCCATTTCAATATGGGGGCCAACCTGTATATGTATGTACACGTATCGTCACGATGCCGCATTGTGCGGCCGCAAAGTGGCCAAAGTTGGGTGGGCATGACACATGATGCCTCGAATTGAATAACCCTACTCAAGACAATGACCCGGAGTGGTGTCTGCATGCAATTGCTGAAACCATGGCTTCCAATTTCAACCACAGGATCAAGCCTCCTCCATGGGACCCTTCTTCAGCCCTCCGCCCCCGGAGGCAATCAGATCCAAGAAGCCCTTCTTGCTCATCTCGGTGACCTTGTCCTTCTTATTGTCCATGCCAATGACCCCCTGCTTCCGCGCCACCCGCTCCGCCTCGGCAGCCTTGACCTGCGCCGTGCGGAACGCGTTGAACAGCTGCACCACACCCTTCTGCGCCGTCTTGCGCAGCCTCCGCTCCGTCGCCAGGACCTCGGCCGTCGTCTCGCCGTCCGTGTCGCTGATCACCCTGCCCGTCACGGGGTTGACGTTGGTGAAGGTGCCGTTGGTCGCCACCAGCACGTCCCGCACCCGGCCCTTCTCCATCGCCCGCTGCTTCTGCTCGCGCATCTTGCGCCGCGCCTTGCGGTCCAGGTCCTCGTCCAGCACCTGCCGCACCCGCTCGCGCGCGTCCGCGCTCCGCGCCAGCACCGGGTCCGCCCGGTTCTTGCCCGAGATCTTGGTCCCCAGGATCTTGGTCATGGACGTCGCGAAGGCCTCCGGGTCGTTGCGCTTGGACCTTGATATGCGGTTGGGGTTTGTGGATTTGTGGCCCTGCGCGTCCTCTCCGGCGTGCGAGCCTGCTTCGTCGGAGCTGGCCTCGTCGTCTAGGTCGGAATACTCGTCGTTGTCGCCCTCCTCGTCCTCGTCCTCGCTCTGATCTTCGTCGTCCCAAGTAGATTTTGATTTCGAGGCCGGGGCGTCTTTGGCGAGATTATTTGCAGGTACGTCCCTCGCTATCGGCTGCGGCCGCGAAGCCTTTGTTCTTGTTGCCTTTGGTCTTTCGTCTTCAGTTTCCGATGACGAGCCATTGGAGCTGGCGTCGAGCCCCGAATCTGCGCCATCGTCTACCTTGGCGTTGTGGATGTCATCGTCGTCCGAATCGAGTAAATGGACGGCTTGGAAGTCTTGCGCGTCGTCGGACTCGTCGCTTTGGCTGGGGGCTTGTCGTTGCTTCTGCTGCTTCTGCTTCTTGAGTGGCGGTGCGGCCTTGGGTTTTGACGCATCGTCGCGCGACCGTTTTTTGTATGCTGCGCCAGCCATTATGATGGGATGATTGGGGTACAGACAGTGGAAAAGGTTGGCCGAAGAAGATGCGGCGGTGGTGGTGAAGTGGGTGTAGAGTGAGGTAGTGAGCTGCGCTATTCTGCCGCGGAAATTTTTGGCGGTGTCGACCTTAAGATGCTGAATGACAGGGTCTCAGGTACCTTTGTACCTTTGTACCTCTGTACCCTTGCTGCTTAGTACACAGTCCATCCCCGTCCAGCTGCACCCAGCCCATACCTAGGTACCTGACCATAGTAAACCTGGGGCATCGCATATTCCGGCACGCGGACCATGTTTTTCTCAACATCAGCCTCTCTTTGTCTCTCTGAATGTGCCTGGTCGGGCTCTAATCAAATGCTTAGACTGATGAGGCCGCTAGGATTAAGCTACATATGGCTTGTCCAAGAGGACCTCAATTCCTACAACACACACCAATACAGCCACAGGTTACCTATATGTACCGGGTGCTACACCAATTTTTTGTGAGCAAGAATATGGAGGGGAAAGGAACGTTTTTCGGCTACAGAAGAACGAAGGGGAGGAAGCAGGCAACCTTCAATTCCCCTGCACTATAAATACTGACAGGAAGGTTGTGCATGGCCTGTGCTTTGCCAGAGTGAAATGACAGTCAAAGATTGGCGATGGAACAAATTCATTTACATGTAAACTCTATCTCTTGAGAAGAAACCTCAGTTCCGGCCAGTCACCCATGGTAATCTTGTTTGAAGTCCCTATCTCCCGGAGCCCCATGTCTTCAAATCCTCTGTTCCATCACACCAATTTGTGACATAGGGCCAGCATCGACGCACAGGAGCGATTTCGAGCCCAACCCCCGAATTTTGTACCCGCATCGTTCCCTTATTCGCATGTCACGCTGTCCAGCTCATCCAGCGCGAACGGGGTGTTCTGGTAGATAAGTGCCGTCTAGCAGCAGCCCCGGTTAGCGCAGGCATTGAAGCAAGGCGCGCCGGGCTGAGGGCAACCCGCGCAGGATTGTGGGTCGCGCTCTGTCAGAGCATGGTCGTTGGGTGACATGTTGGGGGCCGAAGCGACGAAGGAGGTGCCTGCGAGGAGGACAGTAACGGCGATCTTGAGTGTGGAGAGGCACAACATTGTGGTGGCTGAGAGAGAGTATGTAAATATGATTGTGACTTGTTTTCAGGGTCTTCTGGCTCAATAGAGTGCTGTCACAACTCGAGGGTCTGTTGAGGTCTGTATGAGCATCGATGTTACATATGGGCAAGGTGGATAGCACCTCCGCGTTTTATACCTGGACTTCCGCGTATAAAGCCACGTGACTATACACCGTGGCCTCGACAGTATCAGGCATCTTGAGTCATAACAACGTATGAATTACAATTTCTCAGGGGCTGCAAAGGTTATTTACCGTTATAAATTTTCTGTTAGTAATTTCGAACCATCAGTGGCACTTTGCCAAGAACTTCCGCTAGGGATTTCGACCGTAAAACTCGGGGGTTTTTATGAAGGAGAGTGCATGAAAGTTCTGACTATACGAGAAACAGAAGTCTGAGTTTACAAGGATCAATTCCAAAACCCCGAGTAACCCGAGATCCTGAATAGTAAAATCGTTTATATCCTCCTGTTTTCACTCCGAGCCGTTATCCCTACCCTTTAGAGATTCTTGACTAGTTTCATATGGCGGCGTGACTCTTCAAGGGCCGACGTATTCTGACAACTCGAGATGTATATATAGGGAGGAGGAACGGGTGTGTCGAGGGGTGCGGTAGGCAGCACGGAGGGGAAGAATGCCAGCGGGTGGTCGCGAACTCACTTAGCCTTGCAAACAAATCCCTAATCTCCACCAGCAGAGGATGCAGCAGAGCAGGCGAGGCGATCTTGACTCGTGAAATTTAAACGCTAGCTAATGCTTTGAGAATCTGGTGACCGGAGCAAAGCATCATGGTTAAACATAGAACCAGTGAATCATGTCTGAGTTTCCAAGACTAAGCATGCGTTATACTGGAACCTGCCTGCCCTGAACGCAATCACAGCCGTGATCGAGCCTTAATTTCCAATGTAAATCTACACTCACCGCCTTTTTAGCTAAGAACAGCCATGTTCAAGTCCGTTCATCGGCTCAATCACGGTTGAACCGTCGTAGGGAGTGATCAAAGAGGTAAGCACCCCCACTCATCTGATATCGTCCTTGAATTCACCTTTCCATACGTTTCTATGGAATCTATGGAAAACTACCGCTTGGGAGAATTTTCTGCGCCGTGATACAAATCCGAGAGACCGGGGGCGGACACGCAGATCAACCGCTGTCTAAATGCTCGGGGCCGCTGTCAGCGCCTCGACGTGGACATATTCATTCTTTCAGTTCCTGAGACTAGACACATCGGACAACTGGAAAAGCTTAAACGTGGATATCATGGCTCCTGCAACCATGCTCTCAGGGCTAAGTGAAAGAACTTCGCCGTCTTGGTGTTCTCCCACGGTATCGGAGTAAAGATGTGATATCCGAAAGCTTGTATCATTTTCAACACGACAAGAGAACTTCAGTACAATAAGCACTGAAGGTTGAAGTCGGTAAATCACTTTCAACCCACTCCATAAGTGGAGGTATGATTATTTTCCATGCTTAGAATACATGCAGCAAATCACAGCAAGACAGCGAGGCCAAGACCCGAAAGAAAGACGAACAATAAAGTACCCAGACTCATTTGCCCCGCTGCACCACTACTAGTAGTGTTCGCAGCATCGTCGGTGCTGTTGGTATCATTCGTCCCTCCAGTTGTGTTGTCATTCTCGCCAGGATGACAACGCGAGGCTTGCATTGCGAGACTGGAGCATGACACATTAAGCGATTCCCAATTAGGAACGATGCCGGCAGGGTAGATGCGCATGAGGGCTATAACAGTAATATTGTTGATGATGGGGCTGCACGCGTTGAAAGTGTCGTTGTTGGCATAGGAAAGTCGCCCGTACTCGCCGATCACGAAAGCGCCGTCTTCATTCGAACGTGTATTGTTCGGGTCACAGGACAAAAATTCTATTGGGTTTTAGTAAAATTGAAATAACCAGTGCCAATCGGTTGCCACAGGGAAGCACTGACCTCGAAATTCACACAGGTAGCCACTTGAGTTTGTGAGTGTCCCATTATCGGTGATGAGATACTCGCCAGTCTCCCATCCGACCGTGGTCAGCTCTGGCACCTGAATGCCGTTCTCGCCAGAGTATAGTGTGCCTGAAGTCGTCGTCAATTGAAACGGACCACAAGTATCTTCGCGGTCTTCTTGACCGAGGACTCTTCCCGCAAGGAAGGCAGCCGTGACGAAGAAAAGAGCTGAGTTAATCATGTTTCAAAAAAAAAAAGTTCAATGGCAAAAGCTAAAGACTAGAGATGGTCACTTTTGCCACCCGAGAGCGAGTTCCCACATCTTTATAATACTGCATTGCCAGCACGCAGTTGCTGCCTGTGGCGGGATTTACACTCCGCCTGCCTTGGTATTGAACTTGGCAAACGATGTATGCAGAAAGCATGCGCTGCTCTCTTGCAATCCCCACTAATTGGTCAATCTCATGATGGACTGCGGTGGAAGCTAACGATTTATGGTGCTTATTTTCAACCCCTGGGAACAATTGGCGGGGCTTAGATGAGAATTTTTGATTGGTGCGCCTCGACTTACAACTCGAAGAGCAACTCGATAAGCAAGTCGTACTATGCTAATCCCATAAAGCTAGTCATGGTCTTATTGGAACTGTGATTGCTGGGCGACTTGAGGGCAGGCCAGATAGCTAAATGAACCTGTTTTGTCATGAATCCAAGGTGTTCGAGGCGACCCGACCCACGGAGAGACAATGGCGATGTTGATGAATCTTCTTAACAGCCTCTGAACAGCCATTGATGCGTTGAGAAGTATGCGTCAAAGCATCAATCGTTCGCATTTGATTCATCCAGCCATTCTTACATTTTTTGTTGCAGGCTAGAGGCAAAGAATATCATACTTCGGCATGCATCCTGTAGTTTTGAGTCATTGAGGTCCAAGCCAATATTGAAGCTTCTTTAATATTTATAGATATATATCGAGAGACTTCCTTACAACTTGCAGATTTGTACAATCTGAGCTCTTTTTGATTTTGTGGTGTTCAATTTAAGTGCTGAAAACACCAGCAGGCTGCAAATCCGTCTTCAGCAAGCACATATCGTAATTAGACACAGAACTTTTTCTTCAACACTATGTGGGACAGTCGAAGTAGGTGCCAGCTTCTTTCCCTGAGCCTTATCCCATTGTCATAAGCAACGTCATCGTATCAGCATTGCATGCAGCCTTGCAGTGTTCGCAGGATACCGCCATCTGGGCGCTCAACACATGTCGTATTGGTGAGCTCACCAGATATCAATCTGAGGGATGCAGACATGGTAACAAAATTTGCGTGATGCCAATGAACCTGAGAGTATTCTGAGCTTTCCTCAAGAATTTGAAACCTGTGGTGTTCCCGATTGGCTGTATATACGTTGACAATTTGATGGTCAATCGCATTATATCTTGCGCCTGCTGTTTCCGTTTCCCAGTGCTATAATTGGACGTGCCCGAAATGAAGTTTCTCGCACATTAAGCTGTCAGCATTATTACTATTAAAATACTTTCTGCCACTTGAGTCCCAAGCCGACAATCGATGGCTACCACTCAAGCAACAGTATGGGATGGTCGAGTTCACTCTGGTCCCATACCTTCAAGGCCAGAATCTGAGAACACGTGCTGATACCAAGAAAACAAATCAAACTGCATTCTGTGCTCTACATCTTCTAAGATTTATGAAACACTTGAATCAATGGAAGTTGCTTTGGAGACAAATGCCAGCCCTTTAGCAAGCTGCTGCCTGGCTCCTTTACCCCACCATGGTCTCCATAGTACACCGTGAAGAAGGAATGTTGCAAACACTCACAGATTGCAAAAGCAAGGCAGGATCGGCAAACCATTCGTGATGCGTTTATCTAAGCTAATTGACAACTTTGTCCTTGGCCTTGGTTTTGGGTGTTGACATACCTTCGACACCTGAATACACATGCAAGCAATGCAGCTCAGTCTGCATCCACAACGGCGCCTTCATAGATTCTTGAGCAGTTGGCAGTGGGGACGACGACGGGTTTGCCAGCGCATAAACGGCATGAAGCTAGCTGCAAATTTGGCGACATGCTCGTATTTCCGGCCCGCATTTCTGGTTGGCCGCATCCTTCAACGATCCTTCGCGGCTAAGTGAAATTAAGATACCATCAACTGGGGCTAGGATCAGGGGGCCTTAGCGTCATGTATATAATTCACCTAGACTGACATTGTGAACACGGTGATATGAACACGCGACTACACTACCCTTTTTCTGCTCAAGATTATATCTTTGCGTGGACAACAACCAATTAGACGAAATTCAACCGACACGATTCGAAATTCAGTCACGATGAAGCAGAACACGAAGCTTTTCTTCTCTATTGTGGCGCTTGGCCAAACGCTTGGTGTTATGGCTGACGTCACACTCGACTGCTACTCCTTCGATGCCGTTGCTGAGGTGTCGTTAGCATTCAACACTCCTAGTGCTTGCTCTTCCCATTGTGCGGACGCGGGACACTCTGTCTTTGCAGCACGAGGAGAGGGCTGCTTTTGCCTCGACACCCTACCTTCGAACGACAAAAAAGTAGACGCGTCTAAGTGCAATGAAGCTTGCCCAGGCTACGCGCTCGAAACATGTGAGTCTGTCCAGGCCAACGATGGAGGCGGGTTCGTATCTCAACGTTGATCGGACGCTGACACGTCGACGTGTATAGGTGGTGGCGCACCTGGATACTATTCTGTAGGCACCATCGACGACTTAGGCTCCGATTCATCTAGCACAGGGTCTTCATCAGCCACCATAACTGGAACGTCTACGACAGCGAGCGTCAGTGGCGGTACTGCATCTACCCCCTCGACAACTACTTCCGCTACAGCTATCGCCAGCTCGTCAACCACGCCTTCAAACAATACTGTCACAGTCACGCCTTCCTCGTCCTCCAGTAGCTCCGGTTCAGCATCTCCCACCGCCGAAATTAGCGGTGCGGACGCTTTCATCTTCAGGAAGGGTGCCACTGTGCTTGCATCTGTTGTTTCCGCCGTAGCTGCACTCGTCGCTCTTGTCTAGACCAGCCTACGAGGCTTGCTTTTGAATTCAGATGTTCTGAGAAACCTTAATCCTTGTTGAATTTTCAAGCGAGCCTAAGAGGTGGTCTGACAAGACAGAATCAACTACGAAGACTGGCACACCGGTTGAGGCGATAATTTTCGCAGACAAATAGAGAAGAGACCAGGTTTCCGGGCCCTGGAGCCAGGTAGTGAGTCACAGTGCCTTCAGGCGCAAGCTAGTCTCGAGGATAGAGGTCTGTTCCACCTCAGTGTGAATGGGTACGATATGACATGGAGTTCACCTGTGTGGCTGTTGTCCAGCAGCGTCAGACACGGATAGTGGGTCTTGGTCTGTAATACTACAACCACTTATTCTCACCTTCTCAGGGACACAAAGACGTCTTCGTGCTACTCAGTAAGCCGTAGGACGTCTTTCGTTCGCTTTTCTAAGTCAAACCCAATCAAGACCACCCTACCGCGCTATGATCCCGCGCCTCAGACCGGTGTGATTTTGGTGCTGGTGCCGATTCACTTCACTTTCCGCGCTGCTGTGCGAACGGAAGGATATCGTGTATCTTCTGGTCGCACAGCAGTACAGGGAGTTCTCCAACAAACCCCAATTAGGCTTGAATTAATGCATTAGGTCTTACACCGGAGACAGTTCCGCACGATAATCGTCCAGCCACGGGCGTGTTGAGGCTTCGGTAGTGAGCTGCGTCTTCCTTGATTCGCAAAGTATCCGCAGGCGAAGTTTCGCTAATTGCGTTCCGGTCCGCAGTGTGATTATCTCATCTATCTGATCTGGGGCGCCGGGCAAACCTCACTAGAGAATATGGCGCTGGCCACCGCATTGAACAAATACGAGGGCGGCTGACTACCTCGGCCGGACTGAGGTGAACTAAGTCCATGAACCTTTCCCCAACAAAGGGCTTGGCATTGCAGAGGTTGCTATTTTTGAGATTGTTCTAAATAAATACACTCTCGGTGAAGTTGACATTCTTGCGAGCAACGTGGTGTCGCAGTGCTATTGCCTGTTCGATGTCGTGAAGTCATCAATTCTACTTCGCTGGTCTGGAAAGCAGCGGAGTGTGAGAATGTAGTTCGGCTTGCGTGTCTGGGAAGTTTCTATGTGTCTTTGTGTTTACATGAGAAATGTTGACCACCCTTTCGTCGGTAACAGGATGGCAGCGAATCATCGATGCAATCGGCATCGCCCGAGACACATCGTACAATGTCTATTATCCATGCGCAGACCTTGCTACTAAGCTTACGTACTTTGTTGCGGCGTTACCGTACGACGGCGATCAGCACAATGCTGTTTTTGGCTAGACGTTTCGATGACTACATGTGCATTTCCCTAGTCACGTTAATATGAAGCAGCCACAGAAGTGAACATGCCTGGGTCACACTTGTTCCCTGCAAATTTATTGAGCATCCATCCATGGATATGGGCATATCTGGGCAGTAAGAACGCCGCGATTTCCATGCTCACTCAGACCCAGAGCAGTGGAGCTCGCTGCAAGATTCATATCATAGAAAGCTTTGTGGTAAGACTTTTCCCCCAATCGTTTCGCAGCTTGTTCAATTGACTAACCACCCTATATCAAGCGATATGACAACCACATTCGTTCATGTGATTCAATCGCCAACAACACTAGAAATTGACGGCGCAAACTAATCATTCACTCGGCCTTTCATCAGCCCTGAATTGCTTGGCAGCCCCCAGCTACAGAGTGTTTGCCTCACCGGATTGCTCGGTCTCACCTCAGACAACTGATGCCAAGTCTCAGCTCCGAGTGCAGCAGCTCGTTTAGCCCGACAGCATGCCTTGTCTGACCTTCTCTCAGCCGCTATCACAAAGACTCGGCGACATAAAGGGGCTCAATTGGCGCCTCGCCGACGTGTCTAGTGCGCATCGGGGCACAAGAATCGCGTCGACCTTGTCGTCAACGACGAATGGCGCAGGATCTCTGAACAAAGGATCCCAGGAAATCAAGGACCCTGGCTGAAGGAGGCTTATACACATCTCCTGTGATTATGTTATGACCTGATTGTTGAGCTGACGTCGATTTTGCGGTGGACATCGGCTACCTGCCTGGTAACGGCAAGCTCTGTGTGGCGGATCTCTGACCACCACGATGAGTCTAGCCAAGAGGTGATCACTGAGCTGTTAGTCATAGAGATGGTAGCTGCTGGCCGTCCTTTCTTCTGATAAATGCCCAAGTACCATGGTATTGTGATTTCCTCGAAATCAGGGCTTTGTTTGTTGCTGCAACCGGCCACCATTGTACACTCTCGCTCAAGTTTGGCCGACCTCTGATATTCATACCAGAAATTGCATTTATTAGTTTTCGGCGATCTGGAAGTATCCTGAAAGCCAATCTGAACGCTGTTTACATTTGGTCAAAATGCGTCTCACTGAGCGGTTTTGGGTGACACTCACCGAGGTTGTAGCTTGGATTGCTCCAGCTAACTTCGACCCCTTCAATGAGTTTGGGGGAGTTCAGCGGCCTTTGTTTGATGCCCTCGAATGGTCTGTCGGCCCCAGCACCCTTGACACAGGAGCTCACACTTCGACCAAGCCGCACATTGGTGATGGTAAACCCGGAGACCCCATTTTCAAACCCCCGACTGGCCGTCCCGAAGACAATCAGTTCCGATGTGACTACAGGGCCATGAAAGGATGGCGCCCCTGCTCGAGTCCTTCCAACCGAGAATGCTGGCTTCGCCATCCGGATGGACGTGAATTCAACATAATGACTGACTACGAGCAAGAGGCACCGATCGGAATCCACAGGAACTATACATTGGTTGTAAACGATGGTTGGGTCAACGCGGACGGTCGCAATTTCACCGAGGCTAAATTGTTCAACAATACCTATCCTGGACCGTGGCTTCAAGCATGTTGGGGAGACACCGTCAATGTTAAGATTATCAACAAAATGAAGCACAACGGAACCTCGATTCATTGGCATGGAATTAGACAAAACCAGACCGCGCAGGCAGATGGAGTCAACGGCGTCACACAATGTCCCATAGCTCCAGGTAAGCTTTTTGCCCACAGCAAGGAGAAGAAATTCAATACTAACATACAATTCTCAGGCGATTCGTATACATACACCTTCAAGGCTGTCCAGTACGGTAGTTCTTGGTATCACTCTCATTACTCGGTGCAATGTAAGTAGCTTCCAAACGCAGGCTTCGCCGTCGTTCAACAAGACACACCCGATTTTCTTGCAAATGTTCGCATCTTGGCAGACAAGATGCAGATTATGTCTTTCTTTAGCCCTCCATCGCATGAAACTTGTTCCTGCGTAATTTAATTGCTGACTATTGAATCCCACAGACGCCGACGGACTCCAGGGCCCTCTAGTACGGTGACCGAAGCTACTCTCTAATGAATTGATTGCTGACTCGAGGAATGCAGACAATCCATGGTCCAGACACAGCCGTATTCGATGAACCTAAGCAGCCCATTCTCATGACTGATTGGGGACACGATAGTGCTTTTGAGTCAATCTACACACAGAATCCAACCTTGAGGTTTCCCAGTATCCTCCTGAATGGCCATGGAAACGTTACCAGGTTTAATGCGACTAACCCTCCACCTGACTCGCCCATCCCGGAGGAGTTCGTCTTGAAGTTCGAAAAGCGACACATCGGATATAATGGACGGGCGAAGAGATACTTGTTGCGTCTCATCAACACATCTTTCAAGACAACGTTCGTTTTCACCATAGACAATCATGTTCTCCAAGTCATCGATTCCGACTTTGTCCCAATCGAGCCGTACTACACAACTTCTGTCCTTGTCGGTATCGGGCAACGTTACCGAGTTATCGTTGAAGCCCGGCCAGATGACGATGATGATGGTTCAAACCCCGTGCCCTCTGATGGTAATTTCTGGATTCGAACATATGGCGCCGACAATTGTAGCCAGAAAGGACAGGACGGTTATGAACGCACCGGAATCCTCAGGTACAATCCTGAAAGTACCTCCGATCCCACTTCGAACCCTTGGCCCGCCGTACCGAGGAACTTGAAATGTTCGGACGAGCCTTACACGTCTCTGAAGCCGAAGCGACCTTGGTATATAGGGCCCGCAGCCAACACTGACGATGGAGAGCAATTCAATCTCGAGTCCAACACCTCGCGCACTCAGCCAGGCAACAAGCCGTTCCCTCTCGCACAATTCTCTTTGAACCCGGAGACATCGTCTACATTCACACCATTACAGATCAACTACAGTCACCCTATTATCCAGGAATTGGATAACACCAGTGGCAACTGGCCAAAGCAATGGGTCGTCATTCCAGAGAACTTCAATAGCAGCAGCTGGGTACGTTTCTGATACCTTGAAACTCATCCACATACTCAGATGAACTCGTTGAATGTTAACATGGGTCGTGACTTAGATCTATCTCGTCCTCACAGGGGACAGGCTGAATGGGACTACAATTGGTGCACATCCTGTAAGTTGCCCAGGAAATCGATTACCACTTTACAACTCTTCGCCTCTCCGGAACGCTCATTAACAATGGCTGCCAGATACATCTTCACGGCCATGACTTCGCTCTTCTCCAACAATCCACGGAAAAGTACTCGCCAGACAAACTTAATCTAACTCTAAATAATCCTCCGCGTCGCGACGTTGTACTGCTGCCATTGAACGGCTTCGTCGTCATTGCTTTCAAATCAGACAATCCAGGGACGTGGCTGATGCATTGCCACATCGGTAAGCTATCTTCTATCATGGATTGTTATCCACATAACCTGCGCATATGTTGACCCCAAAATGCACAGCCTTCCACGCAAGCGAGGGACTTGCGCTACAGATCCTCGAGCGACAATCTGAGGCGAACACGCTCTTCAATACACCATCTTCGCCGGTTACAAATGAGATAGAGCGCGTATGCGCCAACTGGGACAGGTGGTTTGAAGACTGTAATAACTGGTATTCTGGCTGCGATAGCGGACATGTTTTGTACGTCAACGCCCCCCCCCCCCTCCCTTTTTACAATTTAAAATTTGGATGCAAAAAGTCAGGACCACGGCGTCCAAAAAACTAAATCATGCTCCGTTATCTTGATTCCGATGAATCTCGCTGACCTTCAATAGCCAAGATGACAGCGGTATTTAGGGCTTTCCAAGTTTTTGAGGGAACCTTTTAGCACATTTTGTCCAAGAATGCTTTGAAGGGGTGGTGGTGGATTCAGCTATGTTATTTTGAATGACTTGCGACAAGTGTAATATTTCGTTGCGTGATTTTGGATTTTTCATGAGATTCGGTCTGCGCCGCACTTCAGGTTCATCCTCATCAATCTACTGCCACACGAGACCATTCTCTGCTGCAAAGTGTTCGCCACATGCACGATGTGACATTCCAATCAATCTGGATTTATTTTCAGAGCCTAGATCGAGTTGTTGGATCCGTCAGTATGAATAAAATACACGGCTTTGTAGATGAAGGACACGAGTATTTGTGTATCCTATCGGCCCCCATTTAGGCATGCGGCACGCATCACATCACTTGGCAGGCATTCACATCTATTTTTGGAAGAACAAAAACTACAGTACCGTGGTTTGTTTCCGTCTCAATGCAAAAGAAGTTCGGGGCGCTCAACGTGTAAATGTCAAACCTTATTTCGTGATTGTCCCGTATGCCCATGCTTTGTCGCTACACATTCTTGTCAATCCCACTGGTTCGTGGATGAGTACACTGGTGAAGAGCAAGATAATCACTGTACACCATATAAGTGGGGCGACTTTATTTGGGGCGGCTACAGGAATTAATGGATATAAGTCGCCGAGAAAATGCGGCCGCACATGCCGCAATGCCTTCGTGGCTAGGGACTCAGGCTACGCATTCTACAAATTTAAGTACCTTGTAGGATCTGATTTGCAAGGAATTTGGGATGCTCTATCCCCAACCTCGCCCATGAGAGACATGATGCTGGGCAATCACGGTATGTGAACAATGCAAGGATAGAGCGTCGTGCTGTCCTCTTTGACTGTGTCGATATTTAAGTATGAGCCGCACGAGAGGTTTAGGCGCGCATTGGTTACTCGTGAAAAACCCATCGGTGGAAATACACGCCGAGAATTACTCGTGCACCTCCGGTGTCATTATGGTTTATTCGCACTAGTGATGTGTCTTGGAAATGCAACAGGAGGCAGCCAGGCACGCTCCACGTGGGCTTGGCTGCGAGAATCCTAACCGTTGCACAAAACACGTCGTGGCAGGCTTGCAGGACGATCATCTTCGGCGGAACCGTGCGGTGGGAGCGAGGCAGGGAAATAAGGTGAGAATACGCGTCGAATGAGGGAACGACACGCTGAAATACTTCGGTGCTGGTGTGTCATGCTCACGTCGAGTTGCACAACAGTACCATCTTTTTAGAAACATGCAATGTTATGGATGACAGCCAAGATTTATCAGCCAGGGGTGCAAAATGCGAGCTAGCACCTACCAAATCCCTTAGGGCCGGACACATTCGTGTTTGGCACACCCTTTTCAGCACCACACCACCAGCCCATACTCTTGGCTCTGACAAAGCGGGATGCCTGAGATGAGAGATATGTTATGTCCGGGCCGTAAATTCGCCCTAAAATGCCGTTATCTGCGCACCCTAGCACGTGGCCCTTAGCTTTGTGATTGGATTCCGGCGCTCTGGATGGCCCCCAATGACATTGGGCTAATCTAGGGCTGAGATCGACCTCTGACGATTGCTAATCTATTCACAATAAAAGTCTCCAATTGGCCAGATCTACAGATTCTGCCGTGTCCGTAAAAACGGGACGAGGCCGCATGGCCCGCGTGGCCCGCACCTCTCAAGGCGCACCGCAGCCTAAACGCCTGGGCTTGCTGAGTCTCGCACGGGATGACTCCTTGGCCGAGCCTCGCATCCATGCACTGAGACGGCTGTCAACATGCCCGAATATCATGTAAGCTGTAAGATAATGAATGATTCACGGAGCACTGGCAGCCCCGTGGGTCCGTCTGCCGTAATGTCCATCTATACCCGGATCATGCTGTGGTACACTCCTGTATTTAATCTTCCCATGCCGCCTACCGTTTGGCTCGGGACCGGCATGTAGTCAACCATCACAATAAAACGTATCTAACCTGTGGCTCTTGTTCGCTGAGCAACTTGCTCCATTTGGCGCCTCGGTCCGGGCTGAATTCTCTTTTTAGATTATTATTGCAGCACTCTCAACTTCGACTCACGCGCAGCAAGGACGCGGTAATTAGGCCACATAGGACGCACAGTCGGTCCTCAACGACAACAAAACACAGTGGGCTATGGCTTCAACACATACCCTGGTCGATGGCGATAAGCCTACCCAGCTATCACCGCCATCTGGACTACTAGATCCCAAGAGCGAACAAAGCGACTTCGAGCAAGCATCTACCCGCGCTCCGTCGACGGCTCCAGACGTTGAATATGACGAGAAAAAGGAGAGCCCTGGCAACGTGACGGATGAAGAGAAGGGCGATGCACAACAAACAGGGCCCGAATCAGCTCAGGCCATCCCTGTTGAGTATCCGACAGGAATAAGGCTGGTTTTCATTGTTATTGCTCTAGTGCTGAGCGTCTTTCTGGTCTCCCTCGACATGGTACGTCCCGCCACCTTGGTACTGAAAGGCAAGGCGCCTTACTTCAACCATCAACTGACAAAGATTCTCCCAGACAATCGTAGCAACAGCAATTCCCAAAATCACCGACGAGTTCCACGGCCTTGACGATGTCTCTTGGTACAGCTCGGCCTTCTTCATGACTCTTGGTGGCTTCCAGTCCGCATGGGGCAAGGCTTACAAGTACTTCCCACTCAAGATCAGCTTTCTACTCTCCATCTTCATTTTCGAACTCGGTTCCCTGATATGCGGCGTTGCACCCAACAGCGAAGCTCTTATCGTTGGTAGGGCTATCGCCGGTGTTGGAGCTGCGGGTATCGCCACCGGCGCCTACACAATTATTGCATTCTCCGCCGAACCCAAGAAGCGACCGATGTTTACAGGTATTGTCGGTGCGAGCTACGGTATCGCGTCCGTGGTTGGGCCTCTGATCGGTGGTGCCTTCGCCGACAAAGTCTCTTGGCGCTGGTGTTTCTACATAAATCTGCCAATCGGCGGTCTCTCCGGCGCGATCATCTTGCTCTTCTTTACTACCCCAAGCGCAGCTAAGCCTGCCGCCGCCTCACTCCGCGAGAAGCTTTTGCAGATGGATGTTCTCGGCATTGTCCTTATCATGGGTGCCGTGATCAGCTACATCCTCGCCCTGCAATACGGTGGCACAACACACGCGTGGAACTCGTCTGTCGTGGTGGGTCTCCTTGTTGGATTCGTGCTCATTGCTGCTGCCTTCGCCGCATGGGAGTGGTTCCAGAAAGACCGGGCAATGATGCCTCCCCGTCTCATCGGCAACAGAGTGTACCTTGTGTCATCTTTGTTTGCCTTCTTCTTCGCAGGGGCTTACTTCCTTGTCATTTATTACCTGCCGATTTACTTCCAGAGCATCGACAATGTCAGTCCCACGGACAGCGGCGTCCGCAACCTGCCCTTGATCTTGGCTGTCACAATAGGCACCGTCGCCAGCGGGAGCTTCATCTCGGCAACCGGAATTGCTACTCCTGTGGCGGTCATTGGCTCTGTCTTGGCGACAATTGCGGCGGGACTATTTTACACATTCGACATCGGCACTCCGTCCAGTAAATGGATTGGATACCAAGTCCTCGGAGGTCTCGGCTGGGGCCTTGCCTTCCAGGTTCCCATCATCACCGGTCAAGCAACCGCTCCGCCCGAAGACCTGGCAGAGGTCACAGCCATTATCCTCTTCTTCCAAACGGTCGGAGGCGCCTTCCTCGTCTCTGCCTCACAGTCTGCCTTTGTCAATGTATTGATCAAGACGATACCCTACTCGGCACCCGGTGTGGACCCGGCGAGACTCATCGCAACTGGCGCGACTGAGCTACGAAAGGCATTCACTCCTGAAGAGCTGCCAGGTATATTGGTGGCTTATATGCATGGACTTAAAATTTCTTTTGCGGTCGCTCTGGCGGCGACGGGAATGGCTTTGGTGATTGTGTTGTTCTCGAAGTGGAAGCGGCTGAACACGGCAGCCATTACCGGCGGTGCCGCCGCCTGATTTAGTGACTCCTTGTGTATGGTGTCTAGGTTAGATTTACTTGGCTTCTTGCGGTTTGGCGTCAAGGATAGATCCATTTTTAAATGCTTGTAATATTAATGAGACATCTCTCCTGAAGGTTCAGCACACAGAATTATTGACTACGGCCCTGAGTTTCTTTGTCTTCCAATTGTCCTAGCTCTTGGACTGAATGCAAAAGGGGACTGGGGATCTGCTTATACAAATGCAATGGGCTTCTATCTAAAAAGAGACGCTTGATATTTCCTAATGATGTGCCTAGCCAAGGAGGTTGGTTCCCTGGATCCGTGGTTGCATGGCACGCGCGAGGCACTGCTCAGCCCAACACAGGTCACAGAACTGGCATCGGCCACCAGATGCTGATCAAGCCTCCACCCCCGGGCCGTCACCACCCATCTGAGAACCTCAGATCCTGAATTTTCATCTCGTTCTTCCCTACCCGAAGAATCTTCCCTTCGTCATTCCAGAACTGGCGGCCCTTCCCACCTCTCCACAGCTTATATGCATACCAAGCATTACTGCCCTCGCTGGTGCAAGGAACCAATTCACACCTGTTGCCTGTCTTCCTAAAACAAGCCAACGTCTGCTCATCCAGACTAGCACCCCTAGCTCTCCATTCAAGAGGAGGCAACGGCTCGCTATACATGAAAAGCGTCAACTGGTCCAGATCCTTCAAGATCCTCCTGTCCAGACTCCTCATCATAGCAGCCGATCCACCATAGCCCCATCCCGTCGTGGACAATGCCAGATTCTTGATGCCCACCCCCTTCGGGTCAGCATCACGGAACGAGTCGCGCAGTCTTGAGAGTTTGGTGAAGTCGGTATCCTGGCCGAGAAGCGCCACCGTGTCGTATTCGGGTGAGATGTGAAGTGTTCGACGGCGAAGACCGGCCTTCCCGTTGAGGCTGGCGCCGGAAAAGGCATACGTGCCGATGTCGGGTACGGCGTACCTGGCAAACGGGCCTGGTGTTTCTTGCTGGGAGGTGATAGAGGCCAGGGGGTAAGCTATGCGGAAGTGCTCCAGGGCTATCTCACGGGCTTCTGAGCACACCGAGAGGGCCGCCGGGTTGCTACAGCCAGACTGCCACTGCTGCTGACGGCCATCGTCACGGGCGTAGTTGGGCCTGGTAGGATGCAGCTCGACGACACGTGGCAGAAAGGTCAGATGCCAGATTTTGATGCGAAGTTCCGTAGGCAGATCCCCGAAGAGATGGAAGTTGGTCAGCACTTGTGCTTCTGGTTGGTCTTTCTCTCCTGTTTCGATCCCTGCTCCTCCTTTTGTTTCTGCATCTGAGATTTGGTGGTCATGCTGGATTTTTGATGGGGTCGTAGCGTCGATGACAGGCAGCGCCGATGCGAGTGATGAGAGAGATGGTAGCTCTGGCTCCTCGCCCGTCGACGCCGTCGAAGTGCGTGACTTGTTGTCGGGCTGACCAAGATTATTATCCTCCTCATCTGATTGGTTCTTCTTGGAAGCTGGCTTCGTTGGTGTGTATTTGAAAGACAACAGCCGATACCCGGCGTTATCCCTGTCGGACATGGTATGGGCGTATATTAAGGTCTCTCGGCTGGATGTTGGAGACCTACTTTAGCAAAGGCGATTCAGACATGCAGAAAGATAGACGAATTTGCATAGAAATCTAAACAGAAAATGGCGGCGCAATAGGCAAAATAGCCTAGGATAAATTAGATCGGTGCCTGCCAGGCTGCTAGAAAATTACTCCCAACGTTTGTGATGTGACAGGTCGAACCAACCCTGACGTCCCTGAGTGCTAACCCGGGAGAAAATACCCAATCCACAGAAACCTTCCCCGCCTCATGTTACACATCCCCGAATTCTCCGCTCCGACTTCTCCGCCGCGAACTCTTGGTGCGTTCCACAGCAGTATTCGATGTGTCAATTATCACCGAACACATCCTCCACTGAAGCACTTCCATTCCACCAACATGGCAGCACAACAATCGGAGCTAGACAACAAATACCTCGCACAGCCTCCATCATCGAGCTGCTGGCTGGGCACCGTCCACGTGGGGACGCCGAGGGGTACCCTTGAGACGGTCCTGGACGTCCCCACCTACGTCGCGAAGCCTGCGCCAGACAAGGCAAACGGCCACATTGTGCTTTATTTCCCGGATGTTTGGGGCATGTCCAGCAACGCTAAATTGCTGATGGACGGATTTGCTGATGCCGGATTCTTGGCCCTTGGCATGGATTTTTTCAGAGGCGTATGAACCCATCCTTACTCGGTGCCATGATACAGGGGACAAGCCCATGTTATACCAACAGCTGAAGGTGAAGCCTTAAAGCATGTGTTCACTGACTGTCGGTCTCTCAGGACCCAATTTCCAAATATCGCTCGTCAATGGGCGATCCTCCTCCCGAAGGCTTTGACCAGGCGGCCTGGCGGTCCAAGCACTGGAACTTCGCGACCGAGAATGTTCCCAAGTGGGTTGATGCAGTCAGGTCCAAGTACGGCAGCGAAACAACAAAGTATGCATGCACAGGCTACTGTTTTGGCGCCCCATTTGTATGCGACTTGCTTGCTGGCGACATCATCTCGGCCGGCGCATTTGCACACCCAACATCGTTGAAAGATCATCATTTCTTAGCACTCAAAAGTAAGGTTGACTCGAGGCTTGCTGCTCAGGTCAGACAGTGCCGCTGCTCATCTGCTGACATGCTCAGAACCACTTCTGCTATCCTGCGCTGAGAATGACCATGCATTCAATGTCGACTCACGAAGGAAAGCTCTTGATATTTTGCAGAAAGAGAAAAAGAATTATCACTTGCAGCTATTTCAGGGTGTGTCGCATGGCTTCGCAGTGAAAGGCGACCCAAATGACCCTTACCAGAGTATGGCTCAAACTTAACACGACGCTGCAACGTCAGACGCAATCATTTTGCTAACATTGTCCAGGGTGGTGCAAAGAGCAGAGCCTACGGGCAATGATTGACTGGTTCGAGTTGTGGTTAGTGAACTCGTCCTGAATCTGATCGGGTGCGCTATGGCAACGTCCTTGAGTTGTGAGTCTTACTTTGCTCGAATGCACGCATGAGGGGAAAAACAAGAATGAACTATGAAGTTGCCAGTGTCCTCCAAAGAAATGTTTATATATGGAAGAAATGAACTAGGCCTTCAACTTGATTACCAAGCTCGTCCTCCCGATAGTTCTGCGAAAGCCTGCGCACATTTCGTGGGTGATGGGAGAAATGGACTCTCTTTAAAAGTCACCTATTCCAACCTCACTCACTTTCCTATCCGGCATCAAGGGTCCAGGATTGATTCCACGCCGGATTGTTTTCATGCCTAGTCGCATGGTACAGTGTTATCAACGAAGGCAGATTAGTATCTAGCCCCGGGCCCCCTTGCTGTACCCACTAGTATATCGACCGACAGATGACTACAAGCAATATTGGAGGATTCTTCACCCATCAAGGTACATTAATATATATGTAATCTCATTCTCATTTGACTCATCTCCAATTTGTGCCCTAAAGGCTATACTTGGTCCCAACCTTGTGATGGTTAGCGGCATGACATGTATGGCCAACTAGTCGGAAGCCTTCAGGGTCCTCAACGACAATTACTGTAAATATTTTCGGGTACAACAGGGGCGGCGGCGGTGTCACCTTCAGTAAGCTTGAGAAAGGGTAAGCACACTTTCGGTCGTCCTGTTTACTATCTCTATCTGGTGGAGGACTATTTGTGTAGCATTGACAATCTGAGTAGTTTTGTTCATATTAGAGTCCGTAGGGACTAGTCAATTAGCCCACATAGACTCTTGTTTTGGATTTTTACAATTTTTCTATTGAACCTTCAAGGTTCTCAAGCTTGTCGTCGTTTTCAGCGATTTCCTATTTCTTCCATCTTAATTTCAAGCAATTTGTTACATGCTAATTCTGATCGTGATATATAAATAACGGTATCCCCCTTTCCCCTTGTAATCAAAGATTTCGTCTGTCTTCCTTACCAAAACCATACACACACACAAACAAACAAACAAAACAAAAAAAACATTCGAATTCTCAATTTCTTATAATTTCACACGCTTGTGAGCTCACAAGCTCTCATACTTTACACACGCACACACGCACGCACTCGAATTATAAACCTCTCATACTCTTACGCATTTGTGCGCTCTAACACTCTCATACTTAGTATTACTTACATGCACACATACACGCACACATACAACCACACTTTACCTCCTACAGAAGCAGCCATGGAGGACTCAAGACAAGAGCAAGAGCAGCAGCGGCTTAGCCTCGAGCTTTTGCCAGCGGAGCTTCAGCTAGCCATCCTCGAAAGGCTCTCAAGCTGTGAGGACCTGACATCACTCACCATCGCGTCACGATCATATCACAACCAGTACATCGCGTACAAGAAAGGAGTCCTTTCGCAGGTGACCCAAAACATCCTGGGTGACTCGTTTGTGGACGCGTGTATGCTGCATCGCTGGCGTCGGACTCTTGGTACGTACCACCCCTCCAGCACGTTGGACACAGGTCACGGTTTGTCCACAGACGCCGTCGATGCACAGCAATGGCCACGAGGGCCCTACCGGCATGTGCAACTGAAGTTTCTCCACGACTGCGACAGCTACGCTCTTCTCGACGCCGAAAAACAAGTCGCACTCATGAGGGGCCTCCTGACATTGGAGGACTTTTCTCAGGTCTTATCGTTCCAACACCAAGTGGTGAGGCCGCTCTCGGAGCTATATGCGAAGTCATTCACGGTCCGGCGAACGGTCAGGACCGACTGGGACCATTGGGATACGGTGCCCGATCCACACTGCACCCCCGCCACGAAGATGCTACGGGTCACACGGGCGCTGTATCGATTTCAAGCCTGCTGCCAACTTTACGGCCACAAGGCGACACCCGAGGAGAATGGCATCGTCGACCTCGGCAACAGCCAATGCTTTGCGATGGCTCGCGACTTCTTCGGCCGCTTCGACGCGGTGGAGAAAGAGGAGCTGTACACCGTCTACAGCTTGGCGGCGTTCGACGCCCAGCGCTACTTCGGCATTCTCAGATACAACCACGACTGGAGGGCAGTCCTGCTGCAGCGTCGGGCGCAGGCCGGGGCCCGGAGGTTCATCGACTACAACATGGTGACATCAGAGCCAGTCGGCTACAGCGGGGTGACTGCCGGCGTCATCTCACAGGGACTAGAGTTGCTCAGCCGGGCGGGTCGGTGCGAATCCGATGAGGACGAGCTCGCTGCTGTCCTGGTGGCCAGCGACCCGCCGCAGCTGGACAACTTTATGTGGGACGCACTAATGCTACTGAGGGATAAGGGAGAATTCACAACCCAATGGCCAGAGTCCTGGTCAGAGCATCTATCGTTCTGGATGTAAACACAACGTTTCGACAAGACAGGGGGGAACGGGGCGCAGGCGGGCATAGAGTATGGACATGAGCACGGGTGCTGGCTTGGTGAAATTGGATATCGACTGTGGGTTTGGATGGTGCCTTTCCTGGGTGTTGGGCTATGAAGAGTGGACATTGTTACATGATTATGCGGAGGATATATGAAGATTCAGACGCGACTGGGATGGTGAAACAAACTGCGCATCTATAGATCAGACCCTATGTCTGGTGGTATGTAGAAATATAAAAACTTTATAGTATCAATGTTCTCGGCGTTCCCATCGTGACCGCCTCGGTTTCTGCACTGTTGCCGCATACAAAATTCAAGTAGCTCCATGTGATGTGGGACGGATGAGTGAGAGGTAGATAAAGACTACAGGAGCCAATATGGGTGCCCCCCCCCCCCTTTTTTTTTAAAAAAAAATATATAGTCAATAATTGGCCAGAATATTTCTCTCCGTCGATGACACGCAGAAAGCCACAATATCGACTGCACATAGGTATCCAGGTACCATACTGACAAATCCGATAGGGCTGAGGGCCCCCACATGGAGCTCTCTCAGGTGGGCCGTCACTGCTGGAGCCCCTCGTGCCCCTCTCCCTCTCCCCCTGGGAAGCTTGAAGTGTCAGTGTCATTGGTGAGTTTTGTCCGCCTCTAGCTCCCGAGCTCCCCGGTCGAATCCACAGGGGTCATCCCTCTGGGAACTATGCTGCACACAGAGAGAAAGAGTCAGAGATCACCTACGACACCTCACGTTCAGACTTAAGCTTCAGACTACCAAACTCTTCAAGAGCTGCTCGCTGGCCACGCTGGCCTCCCCGCATTGTGCTTCGACGAACACCACCAGCCGCCTCCCGACTCGAGACCTTCGCCCATCCAAACCCCCCAACGTACCCTTTGTCGAGACCAAAGACATCCAGCTGCCTCTACACCGCACGAGCAAGGAAATATAGATACACACGCACGTACACACACACATACACATCATGGCCTCTGCCCCTCTTCGCGTCGGCTACGTCCCCGAGCACTTTTCCACCCCGATACACTTCGCCAGCAAGCACTTTGGCCTTGATGCCCAGCTTATCCCCTTCCCCTCTGGCACTGGCCACATGATCACCGCCCTTCGTTCCAACGAGATCGATGTCGGCATTGGCCTGACCGAGGGGTGGGTCGCCGGCCTGGGCAAGGAGGACGTCAGCGGGGATGGCGGTTATCGCCTGGTGGGGACCTACGTCGAGACGCCCTTGTGTATGTCGACCCTTATTTACTTGCCTTGACCACTCCACCTGCGCCGTGATCTGGCTAACTCGCCCTGGTATGACAGGCTGGGCGGTGTCTACAGGAGCTAAACGACCCGAGATATCCAGCATCGATGCCCTCAACGGCCGGAAGATTGGCATCTCCCGCCTGGGCTCCGGCTCCTACGTGATGGGCTTCGTCCTCGCCGACCAACAAGGGTGGCTGTCGCAGAAACCCGCCGAATCCTCCTCGTCCTCGTCCTCGTCTCCCTCCGCTCCGTACTCCGACTTCGTCATCCTCAACACCTTCGAGAAACTGCGGAAAGCAGTCAACTCCGGCGAGGCAGACTTCTTCATGTGGGAGCACTTCACATCGAAGCGATACTACGACTCTGGCGAGATCCGCAAGGTCGGCGAGATATACACACCCTGGAGCAGCTGGAAGATTGTGGCTAGCACCAAGCTGGTCCGCGACGGCCAGCTTGATCTCAGGCTGCACAACCTATTCGAGAAGCTTGACAAGGGCATCAAGCACTTCAACGACAACAAAGAGGAGGCCGTCAAGTACATCAGCACAGAGCTGGATTACTCCGAGGAGGATGCGAGGGAGTGGCTCAAGACGGTCAGGTTTCCCACCAGCACCGAGGGCGTGGACGTGAACGTCGTGGAGAACACGGTGGCCACCCTCCGCAAAGCAGGCGTGCTCACTGCTGGGAAAGGCATGGAGCCATCGCCCATGGTAGCCAAGCAGCGATGAATTATTGCTGCTTCGTCGCAAACGCCTCGGCCTGTCGTGCAGGTTCTGACAGACAGCCGAGGCGCGGCACACCACGGGCATGAACCGCACGAGGAGCAAGCGAGAAAGGCTGAGGATGGCAAATACCATTGAGAATAACTGCCTTAAGGAGATCACCACCTGACTACTAAGCCCCAGGTCTCCCAAAACTCAGCTAGCCCCCCTGCCTAGCTAGCTCTCGTCTGGGCCCGAGTGGCTGGGCCCAGATGTCTGTTCTCAGAGTGCGCTCCACTTGTTGCCGCAGCGTGCCATCCTGCCTCCAAAGTTAGCAGCAGGATGCATGAGTTCGGATGCAGGTCACATAGAAGTCCGAAGCAGCTATCGCATACGCCTTACGGGGAAGTTCTGCCTGGATGCTCATCGTCCCATGCCCCAACTGGGAGCGCGGCGCACGTCACTTGACATGACTTGATCCCATTTGTCTTAGATGCCCTGCTGAAAATATCGCCTTATCTAGGAAAGTGTAGTGGAAACTATTTGCTTCTGGAGTCAGCAATCTGCGTGGGACGTGAGACATGGTTCCACTTGATTTGATCATAAGGCCCTTGATTGGACAGACAGCATGTTCGCGAGGCTGTCAACCTGCATGATGCGGGCCGTTGCGACCCTACCGTGGCGTTGATGCGACCAGCCATGCACATGTCGTAGTCACTGGCCTATCGTCGCCTTCAACCAGCTGATCGGATCTGCCGAAGAGACCTCAGCTCATAACATAATGTACCCACACAAAACAGACTGTACCTATAGGCTGCATTTGTGAGGATGCTGCTGGGAGGAAGCAGCCATGTTCTACACACTTGACTGGACCGGGCGGTGGCTTGCATCACACGCTGGCCATCCGGGCGATTTACCCTTTTCAGGGCAATCGGCAGGGGCAAGGTATGCAATGTTGACATGCAGGAGCGATCCTGTTTTGCTCATAGGAGCCTGGGCACGGCGTAGCAAAAGTTTCCGGGCAGGGTGCCAGACGTAAATCAGAGAAAGACAGCCTCCAGCCTCTGGCTTCGAACTCTCTTTTCTCTCCCCTAGAGCCTTCATGACCTCCCGAACGTCTTGTGTCTAGTATTGTTGTCCCGACATCAAGGAAATCGTCACTAACCATGTCTGCCTCTACGGATGGCAAGTTGTCTTCCCTCATAGAGACTGTGCGAGCTTCTCTTGCTCCGCTTGAGAAGGGCTCCAACAAGTCAGCGGATGAGGAGACAGGCCTCATCTCGGACATCCAGTCCCTTGGGTTCAAGGACTACGGGACGCTTGTGCAGTTTCTAAATGCATCTGTGACAGGTGTCAACGATGACAACAAGCACCTTCTCGAGCACCTCGTGCAGCTCCTCTCCAAGCTCCCGCCTCACTCAAAGCAGATGAAAGGCCTGAGCGATGGCTTCATCAACCAGTTATGGACGACACTTGACCATCCTCCCGTCTCCTCGCTGGGGGATCAGTATAAATATCGCCGGGCCGATGGGTCCTGCAACAACATCTATTCGCCGCAGCTCGGCGCTGCTAATACGCCTTACGCGAGGTCGGTGAGACCCACGGTCTTGCAGAATCCAGACTTGCCCGAACCAGAGATTGTCTTTGAGAAGCTTAGTGAGAATCAATCCCCTCCCCGTCCTATGCATAGCGCCTCATGAAGCATTCATTCAACATCGCTAACTCCAAGACAGTGGCACGTGGAGACAAGTTCGAGCCACACCCCCAAGGCATTTCCAGCATGCTGTTCTACCTCGCGACGATAATAATCCATGATATATTCCAGACCTCCCACGCAGACTATAGCATCAACCTTGCTTCGTCTTACCTAGATCTCTCACCACTCTACGGGCGAAACGACGACGAAGTCAAAATGATGAGGACCTTTCGGGATGGCCTCTTGAAGCCGGACTGTTTCAGCTCGAGTCGGATCCTGGGCTTTCCACCCGGCTGCGGTGTGTTCTTGATCATGTTCAACCGCTTCCATAATTATGTTGCTACACAGCTCGCGATGTGAGTGATTCTTGCATCATTTATAACACCGTCGAAAGCCCGCAGTCTATCCCTTCTGCATTTATTTCTTTTGACACGATGCAGTGGATATTGTCTACCTTTTGTTGTATTTTTTTAATATGTCTTCTCCTTTCAAAACACCAATTTGTTGATGGAAAGTCTAACACAAGCTTGTACCCAGGATCAACGAGGCAGGTCGCTTCAAGAAGCCCAAGGCTGGCGATGAGGCAGGGTGGGCAAAACATGACGAGGACCTGTTCCAAACAAGCAGACTGGTCACCTGCGGCTTATACGTCAACATTATCCTGAAGGATTATGTTAGAACAATCTTGGCCTTGAATCGGACCAACTCGAGCTGGTCGCTCGATCCGCGCACAAGGGAGGGTAAGGACCTGTTCAGCAAGCCCGTGCCGGAGGGCGTCGGAAACCAAGTGTCGGCAGAGTTCAATGTCATCTACCGTTGGCACAGCGTTATCTCACTGAAAGACGAACAATGGACAATCGCTGAGATGAAACGCCTCTTGAAAAACCAAAATCCCGAGACAGCCAGCTTAAGAGACGTCGTCGGAGCGCTGGCGGAGTGGCAGGCTAGCTTGCCTGCTGAACCAGAGGCCCGGACGTTTGAAAATCTTGCAAGACTACCAGATGGAACCTTCCGCGATGATGAACTGGTCAAGATATTGACCGATTCCGTCGATGATGTCGCCGGTTCCTACGGGGCTAACAGAGTCCCGCGCTGTATGAAGGCTATCGAGGTCCTCGGTATTTTGCAGGCCCGCCATTGGAACCTTGGGACTTTGAACGAGTTCAGAGAGTTTGTGGGTCTCACGAAACACACAACCTTTGAAGACATCAATCCGGACCAGAATGTTGTAGCGCATCTGAGGCAGTTGTACGACTCTCCTGACAGCGTTGAGATGTACCCAGGCCTTGTTGCCGAAAAGGCAAAGCCCCCGATGTCTCCAGGGAGTGGGCTCTGTGGCAATGTGACCATGACACAAGCGATCCTGTCTGACGCTGTGGCTTTGGTGCGAGGCGACCGGTTCTACACGGTCGACTACACGCCCAAGGCTCTTACAAACTGGGGTTTCAACGAAGCGAACTACGACACTTCAGTCGACGGCGGCCAAGTCATGCACAAGCTCATATTCAGGGCTTTCCCAAACCATTTCTCTTACAACAGCATTTACGCTCACTTTCCTTTCGTTACTCCATCTGAGAACCAGAAGATTCTTAAGTCTCTGGGGACTTGGGAACAGTACAGCTGGGAGGCACCTCGTGCACGCCAACCTCCGATTATGATCAAGTCCCACAAGGCCTGCACAGAGATTCTAAATGATGACAAGAACTTCAAAGTAGTATGGGGAGAAGCTATTGTTTCCCTGACGAACAATGACGACGCCCCGGGAGTGGGTGGGGACTTCTGTCTCAGTGGTGACCGCAAAGCCAACCGGTCCAATCGTGAATACATGAACAAGTGCCTCTATCCTCATGGGTGGGAGAATGACACCAAGAAATTCTTCGCAGCGACAATGGACCGGCTCCTGAGCAGGAACGCTTATGCCAACTCTGAGACACCGCGCACATTCGAGGTCGATATTGTTAGAGACGTCATCTCCTTGGCAACGACACACTTCAGCGCCGCACTGTGGTCACTGCCGATCAAGACGGAGGCAACTCCTCACGGGATATACACCGAACAGCAACTCTTTGGCCTGCTACTAGCCGGGTTCGGAGCCATATTTTTCGACGCCGACATCGCCAACTCGTACAAATTGCGCTCGCAGTCCCGTGTGTTGGCGCAGCAACTTGGCAAGCTGATGACGCTGAAAGCCAAGCTGGTGGACGCAGGGGATGGGATTGTCGCTGCGTGGCTGGACACAGTGAAGGAGAGCATCAGTGTCATTGGGAATATCGTCAATGGCAATGGGGTCAAGAAGGCCAACACAACCCCGGAATGGCCCGACCTTAGCCTCTACGGAGATCGCATGATCAAGCGCATGCTGAGGGAGGGCGGCTCCACGCCGGAGCAGGTTGTTTGGGGTTCGCTTCTGCCTGCGTCGGTAGCCGCCTGCGCAAACCAGACCGAGGCGTTGAGTCAGGCCGTCGACTATTACCTCGGTGACGGGAAGCAGCACCTGCCTGCGATGTATGCCCTCGCACACCAGAACACAGAAGATGCCGATGAGAAGCTGAAGAAGTAGTAAGTCGATCGACCCACCTCCATGGCCTGCCAAAAAGTGAAACACCTGTGTTCTGACCGCAGCTCAGCATGCTCGAGGGCGTTCGTCTCCGTGGGGGAGTAGCCATATCCCGAGAACTGGCAAGCGATCAGCTTGTCCGAGATTTCTCTCCTTCTCAGCCCGACTCGTCTGACCCGAGTGGCCCTAACCCCACACCGAATGCAAATCCGGACAGTAGCAGCATCACACATAAACTCAAAGCAGGCACACGTGTCCTTCTCTCTCTCACCGCGGCCAATCACGACGGCACCGTCTTCCCAGACCCGGAGACGGTCCGTCTCGACCGTCCGATCAAGAACTACATCCACACCGGCTGGGGCCCCCACCTCTGCCTGGGGCAGGACATGAGCATAGCCGGCCTGACTGTCGTCTTCAAGAAGATTGTCGGGTTGAAGAATCTGCGACGCGCTCCGGGCCGGAAGGGGGAGACCAAGTCCTTTCCTGCTGCGATCTGGAACGGGCAGGTTGGTGCCGAACGCAATCCTGGTGTAGGATGGACAGGGCTCAGAACTTACATGACGCCTGATCAGAGTTCTTTCTGGCCCATCCCAAGCACGTTGAAGGTGCAGTGGGATGAGTAGCCATTCTTTGTTTGCGTCACAACTCCCTATTGGTGTGTTGTCCCTAAGTTTCTACATTTTGCCTAGAACGCTTATGGTCAAGAACATGAAATTGTAAATTGTGTTTCTTTAGACTCTACACCCGGAAAGAAATAGAACACCTAGTTCCATCATAACTTGAACCAACACATCTCCATACGCTTCAGCACAAAATACACGTTTTGGTCATGGAATTTATAATTTTGCTTCGCAAAGATAGTAGAGACAAGTAGCATATGTGCCCGTGAATGCTTGGACCGTCAAGGATGCATGGGAATTATTTTAGTCTTCGCCAACAGTACGCCAAAGTTCCCTCCATTCTGTACTCGTACGACTCGGATAAGGTATTTTGGTCGTTCTTAACAACGAATTCAATACCCATGCTAGGGGACTAAGAAAAGGAGAACTCTCACCACGCAGCCTCTGCAAGGCACATGTCACGGATGATCGCACAATGGTTTCCACAATCAACGCTCCTAAGAACAACGGGCTCGATCTTAAAAGTTTGCAGCGTCATAAACAAGATGTTTTGAATTGACTAAAATAAGATCCTAATGAGAAGCATATCACAAAAACCAATAAACTGATCTCAGTCGCCCTTGCGGTAGAAAATTTGTTTGTCACATTGCCCGGGAGGTGTCGGCTGAAAGGCCCGATATGAAGCCGCGAACACATAGGGACCATTGGCCCACCGGGTAAGTACACGAAAGCAGCCTTGTCTGTACAGGGAATATGATTCGCACATTAGAATCATTCGTAATACACTGGCAGTTTCGTATGTAGGGAATACGTACCCCGTGTCGCCTTGTCGATGTTGAGACCCCTAGCACGTGTCCCTGAAATTGACGAGCCAATAATTAATACTTGAAAGCAATATTAAATTCTTCAGCCCTGTCTAATTAGAGCAGGTATGTTTGAGCAAGCATGGCGTAGATCAGGGATAAATCAGTCCACGAGTAAAGGGATAGTCCTGGATCACATACAGCCCTGCCGAGGTAGAGCAGTAATGACTCAACTGTATGACAGCCGACAAGGTGGCCATAGGTCTATTGTGTTGGTTTCAGATCAACGAAGTAAGGGAGCGGAGGCTGGGCGAGCCTGCCTTGGCGGGAATTTGTGAACGATTGTGATCGACTGGGCCATTTTCCAATGTATGCGTAGCCATCTCCTTACCAGAGACGTTGGACATCGGCAAGGGGCGATGTGAGAAAAAGCAACAAAGGTTAACGTGGCGACTATTCACTAACGATATCCAGTGACACACTCACTCGACGGACAGTGGTATTGTGATTTTCAGGGTACGACCATAATTGCTTTTCCTGGGGGAAGCAGGGTTCTTGGTCCAGGCATCTGGGATCATGTTCTCACTGCTGCGCCCGCAACCGCGGCCGTGTTGCCATTTGGAGGTCACGTAATGACCCTTTTAAGATTCACGGGCCGAAGGTCAGCACGTTGAAAAAGAAAGTCGGAATACGGAATACGCTCCACAGTAGATGTTCGGCGTCTTGCCCGGCGGGAGCCATTCAGACGTTCCCCGATGACCCACCAGGGTGGGCCACATGGGTATCCACAGTGGGTTCATGCAAGGTTGTGGGTACTACAGGGAGGTCGTGGCAGCGGTGACACGGACTTTTTCTTGATGCGTGCGTGCATGTGTGGTGCGTGGGGGAAGAGAATAATTGACTGGCTGGCTGTCTGACGGACTGAATGGGGCATGGGAACGGTATGTTTTCTAGTCTATCTCACGGACGGGGCGCGTGATGGTGTAGGCGTGCTCGCCTGTGTTCGCCTGTGTTCGCCTGTGCGCGGATGTGCCGGATAATTCTCGCTCGCCAAACCTAAAGAACTGAATGTGATCTTCACAATCACGCACACCAAAAAGATTTCCCAAAGTTTAGTCATCGACAAGCTCGTAGCTCGACTCAGGACCCTCGGTGAGCCTGCGTACCCTCGGCTGCCTGCGAGCCTGGTTACCTCACCTGGGCTAATCAATTTGCAGATCATTGTTGAACGCTCGCTCGGGATGACCGTGAGCCAGGGTCCCGGGATGAAACCGCACGGAAAGGGTCCCCGGACCCGGATGGCCGGGAACAGTCCCAAGGTCCAGCGGGCGTACAATTTTCGTACGACAAGGATGCGGAAAACTTTTGAAATGAGAAGGGTCTTTCAAAATACCGTACCTGCCAGACTGCCCAGGGTGTTGTGTTCTCCTTTGAAGTATAGGGGGCCCGGAAGTCTGGTTCTCAGGGTTCTCTAATCCCAGCAAGCACCAGCCTGCCGGAGTGCAGACCGAGTCTCACCGAAATTGATTGCCACCATTTTGTCTTCCGGGATTTCGCGATCCGCGGGTTCACCGAGTTGAGTTGACCTGGGCCCCTGACCAACTGCCTGCACGCCTCGTGTCGGATTCCCGAGTTCAACAGGTCTAACAGGCCTGCGTTTGCACACGGTCGAGGATGGATTTACAAGTCTAAGCCAAGGCCTGAATAACTGAGATGGCAGTGTGCGTCAAGTGCATGAGCATGTGTATGTGTAGCATATTGTCAAGGAAAACGCAATGAAATTCATCAACACAGGCGTGCTACCGGAGCATCGTCGTCTCTAGCTAGTGGCATGAAGGGTATCATTATTATTACATGTGATCCACGTAGCTCTTCGTCCTCCAGGACCCCTCCCGTTTTTGTGTTCGTCCAGAAAGCCCATTCGTGAAACCATCCTTCGTGAGAAGCCAAGAAAAAGAGGAGACCGATGTGAACCAAAAGTCTTTTTTCCAACCCGCCCCCGACCGAATTGTGAAAAGGTGGTGATACAGTTTTTGGTCTATAAATTGAAAGACAACCGCGGAAAAGATGCGAACGATTGGGTATAAAGGGTATGTGGTATAATGCCGCAGACCATGAGAAAAGCAGAAACGCCTGTAGATGCCCCGAGATCCATCAAGCAGTGCCGTAAACCCGCGAGGCAGAACTGAGAAAGCATGACAGGAAAACCAGAACGGAAAATCATGAAAAGCATGAAAAGCATGAACGAGCAGCGTCGATGGGAAAGAAACAATAGTCAAAACCAAAAAGTCAGCGCAGTAAGAGAACCAATAAGACCTGATGCATAGAGGGGTATTTCCAGCACGGAAAAAGGAAAATCTTGAACAGAGATGAGAGGAGAGCGCGCAGAAAAGCCGCGACAAGGAAAGCAGACGGTGATGAGAAGCGTTGATGTACGCTTCGCTTAAAAGAAGCCGTTCTTGGGGGTGCCGCTGCGAGGGGTGCCCCGGGGGCTCTGGATGTCGTCGACATGGTTGGCCAGTGCGACAAACAAGTCAAAGAAAAGCTGGGAGCCGCCGTTGAACATTTCCTGCTGCATGGTTCCGCTGCGCTTGAAGGTGGAGCGGCTGCGGATGATGAGGGCGAGGTAGTGTGCCCTGAGCTTGGAGTCCGAGTCGGACGTGTTGGCGTAGGCGTATCGGGCCGAGGAGAGGATGATGCCACATGGGATGCCGGTGCCTAGAGGGCCTGATGTCAGTAAGGAAGTGAAGGCGGTACTGAAATCAAGTGGGTGATGGGCAACTTACGGAGCCCCTGCTTGCGCAGAGAGATGCGCTTCAGCTCATCCAGCTTGTACTTCTCGGCGGCACAGTAGATGACGGTGTCCTTGAGGATTTCGGCACCGGTGGCCTGGTGGAAGATGGTGGCCTCGTCGTTGCTCTCGATCTCCCATGTGTCGCGGCGCTTGTTGTGGACCAGGCGAGGGGAGTAGTCGCCCTTGTACAGGTACTCGAGGATGGGCGAGAGCACCTCGGGCTCCTCGTCGGGGAGGGTGAGGCGCTTGCCCGTGGGCTCCATGTACTGCGAGCGCAGGGCAGCAGCCAGGACGGGCGACTTGGTCAGGACCTCCTCATGGGCGGCAAAGATGCGGGCCTCCCGGCCGACGACCAGAGTGATGATGGGTGAGTTGCTATAAGACATCGACGTCAGCATCCTGTGGACCATTTCATACAAGGTTCAGTTGAGGGCTACCCACTTTCCAGATGGGTCCACGAGGCTCTGAGCGGAGCATGCGTTGGATGGTCGGCGGCGCGAAGCGACAGAAGGACGACGCTTGGAGACGCCCGAGTCCCGGGTCACGGTCGTTGATGGAGGCTTCGATTTCGTGGTCGTCTGCGAGACGCTCGCTTTTCTCGATCGGCCGAACATCTTGTTGGAATGTGTGTGATGTGTTTTGATATGCCCCTTATCGTTATATCGTCAGCAGCATGCAGGTGCGGTGCGATGCTGGCTGGTTTGGCTTGGTGAGATGAGATGAGATGGGATGAGTTTCGTTCGGTTCGTGAAGATGCAGATCCGTCGTGATGGATTTGGGAAATAAGACAAGAAACAGGCCCAGACGGAAAAACAAGTAGAAAACCAAGTCAAAAGCGCCAAGATAGTGAACAATAGAGGTCGAGGACTTGAGGTGTCCTCCCCGAGGATGACACCTTGTGTGGTTATATATCCGTGAATCATGAACTTTGTTGTCTGTGCTTCCTCCCATGCTCGCCTCTCTCCCACAAATTTCCTATTTCCTGCCGCCAGTTGACCCCTGCACGAACCACAACCACCCTGGCGGTGACTGAAGGCAGACGGAGCTTGCGAACGCGCAGGATGGGGCCCGGAGAGAGCAGTTCTGGGCCAGCAGGGCCAACTCGCCTGGCCTCGCGTGTGCAGAACGGGGCGCGGGTGGAGCGAGGGTGGAGCGAAGGCACGTGCGATCTTCACATTGCCATGAAATGATGCCCTGTTCTGGACGTCTGTACCGAGTCGAGGGATCCGCTTGCGACTCGGTGAAGGTTTGTGAAAATTGCCAATGACAGCAACGATTGCACGGCGGGCACCATTTTGGCGCTCCCGAGCAGTGAAGCTGTTTCACAGCCCGTCGAGAACAAGCAATGAGCAGTCGGGGATTGTCCCAGCACATCAAGGAGTCACCTCCTGATGGGCGATGGGCGATGATGATGCGCGAGACGGTGAGCAGGGGCCCCTGCCCGGGCCATTCAAATTGCTGCAAATTGACAGATGCAATTTTTGGGTGCGAGAAATAGTGGAGAGAGAGCCGGGAGGTGCAGAGTTTTTCTCCCATGTCTCCTCCGACCCTGGTGAGTTGGTGAGTAAACCCCCAGGTCCACTTCCGCCGTGCCGCCCCATGCACACTCACTCGTTCTTCCGTCGTGCGAGAGAGAGCTGGGCTAACAGCCAGACAGCCTCTCTTTTTTTTTTTCCTCCTCTCCTCTCTTTTTTTTTTCTCTGGCACACGCGCCGGGTAAGACTGGGGCTGGTGGGTCAGTGGATCCTGCCAGCGTGCACGTTTGACAAGAGACGGTGAGGCCACAGGGATCCAGCCATACCCCATCATGCATGCTGCTGTGCGGTCTGAGAGATGACTGGTTTCTCTCTTTCTCTATTCGATGGTTATTGGATTGACTCATTGATCACTCGAATGCACTGCACTCACATGCACTGTCAATTCCTGTTACTGTATTTGCTCTGCACCCCGTGCGTTGATGCGAACCGGTCCGGGTTTCTCGGCTCCGCGTTCATGTCGTCACCATGCACGAGCAGGCAGGGTGCTTTTGAAGGCATTATCCCCGATCATCTATCTCTATCTCTCCCTCTACTGTTACATGTACATGTACAACAGATAATCAATACACATACGGCAGTATCCGCCACCTCACGGCCCTCTTGTACTTGTCCCAGTCCTCGCCATATTTCTCCGCACAGGCCTTGTCGTCCCTCCTCTCCCGATGGATGAGCAGGATTGCAAAGTACAAGACGTAAAAGTACGTAAATACCATTCCCCAGCCCTTGGCTGCACCTTGGATGACCTGTCGCCCATCGAGCATGACGCTAGCCTCCTCGCCAGAGCCAGCCAGCCCACCTGCGACAACGCTTCCTGCAGGCAGAATGACGTACCCTGCGATGCCAGTGGGAAGACTAAACGGTAGAGCCTGGAGCCAGTCCCCAAAATAGTTGATGTGCCGGCTCACGCCCCACCACCCCGAGGCCAGCAGGCGCGTGCCCCGCTTGGTCTGGATGTACGACATGCCTCTGACGGATGGGTCCTCTGGGTTCTTCCTGAACACGTTCTTCTGCAGGTTGGATGCTCGGAAGATATAAAGGCCCAGGCCGAACACGACGCTCGCCGTGACAAGCCCGGTCCAGCCCAGGTGCACCGGGTAGACGGCCAGATATCGGCACTGCGTCGAGTACAGGAACGGGACCCAGACAATATCCCCAAATGTGAGCATGAAGCCCAGTCCGTCAGTGATAATGTCCATCATGGACAGGAGCCTGTGCTCGGCAAACTGCCCGTACAGGACATAGAAGGTCTGGACCGCTGCCGTCAGGACGATGCTGTCGGAGACGTAGCCATATGTGCGGTACTGCTGGGCGATAAAAGCCAGGTCGAGCAACACCCAGCCTGTCAGGCCAGGGCGCATCTCTAACCACGCCTTGATGTCGACCTCGCCAATGAACGGCCATGTGACACGGGGGTTTAGTTCGCGGCCGATGTAGAAGTCGTAAATGACACTGCCGGTCTTGCCGCCGACGGCAAGCTCTCGCAAGTCGCTGTTGCCGCTCGTCACCTCGAAGCTCCGAGCATAGACGTAGATCGAGATGGCAAAGGCAAGGATGGTGTTGACTGTAAGGAGCTGCAGATAATTATCCGTGATGAAGGTCCAAAAGACCCAATCGGCGCCGTATAGATACGTGCCCACTGCGCAGGCCAACAGCTGGGCAATCGATGCATTGAACGCGTTGAAGCGGTAGTGCAGAGGGCGGCCCGACTCTCGAAGCTTTGTCCCGTAGACCTCATGCGCTGGAAGGACTCGATAGAGGACCAGGCTCAGCACATAGTACAGCAGCGTCCAGCCTGTGACCTCCCAACTAACAAGGCCCCATACGCCGTGCTCGGGCCAGGGGATCTGAGGCCTGAGAGTCTCCCAGGTCAGAGTGCTGGGCTGCAGCAGGGCCGGAGCTGGGCATCCCGAGACGTCGTTGCAGGCGAGGTACCAGACGTTCAGCAGGGCCGGCAGGCCAAACACGATGGCGGCGGCACCAACGCTGTACAGCGACCTCGTTAGCATATGGGAAGCGGGCATGGGAGAAAAATGACGACTTACGGCCCGCCGAACTCATACTCCGGCTTGTGAGATGCCATACTTTTTGGGGTGTTGCACCTAAGTCCTCGATACGAGTTGGCAGGGAATGTTTACGAGGCCCCGGGCGCCACACGAAAGCCTCGAGCTTGAGTGCTGGATGTGTTCGTTGTCTTCCAACGGCGAGAAAGTCCGGGAGTACAAGTCGATAGATTGAGCAGGCCGAGAGCATCCGCGCAGGTGCATATCATTGTTTTTTGAATTAATTATATGGCGGAAACCCGGCGGAGTCAACAAGCTCGAGCCGGGATTGAAGACTTCCGTGCCGTACGATGAACGGCTGACAACCCCTGTCAACCTAAATTTCAAGCAATTAGACCAAGTAGACTACCACGGTGGGAGAAAGAGATGAGGGCTAGGGTTATAGTGCCCGGCTGTCCCCACAATGGGTTTGTCAATGTATCGACCAAGGAGGAATGATGGAAATGTAAAGAAGCCGCAATTTGCTTATTCAATGAATGATGATCTAGGATGTTGGGTGTTGGAGCTTGTCACCAATAAACAAACAAAAAATTGAGTGCTTCAGATCGTTCAAACATTCTCCACCCGACTCAGCAGGCCAAGGTCATCAACAAACTAAGAGTGAACAGGATAAACTTGGCTCAATTGCCTGGGAACTCAATATCGAGTGTTCCCTGCGTGCTCATGGACATCCTTTTGGATTGCAATGCCACTCTCGAAGGCATCGCATTGAAGAGCAAACAGCCTGTTGGGTCATCGAGCCCATCCGGCGAATGGCCAGGCACTCCTCTCCGCATTGATCAAACAACTCATGCTCGTTTGTGCTTGAGCAGTTGTTTCGAATATTGAACTTACGACACTCTAGTGATTGGCAAATATAACAGTGCAGCACTGCTGGTTCTACACTCGTGGGATCCAATGGCGTGGTGAGTTTAACACGTATGAAAACTACAACAGGTTTTTGACCAGCGGTCAGGTCATTCGCCATAAAGTTTGTCAACAGTAGCATACTGGCGGATCAATAGACGATGAATTTGTCATGTAGGTAGCCCGTGCATAATTACCTAGGCATCGACCTTGGTGTATATGGCCCGGTTAGGGCGTTGCCGGAACCACCTCCGCCTCGTCCAAAATGCTGCCATGAGCTCCCTGCGTCGTTTGTCCGCTCAGACTTGACCTGCGAGGCACTAGTACCCGTTTTCCCGACAGCTTCCACGATTCGGGTCTCCCTTGACCTGCCATCCATCGGCGATGTCTGGTGGTGGCAAGGTAGGGTTGGGCACCCGAACGTTGTCATCATCTCCACCCGCGGGACACGACTTTGGGTGATCCATCAGGTCGTTGCAGTATCCCGCAGTGATTGCCTTGAACGCTTGAGATGGGCCCTTGTACTTGAGAGACACGCCGATGCTGCGGTGGTAGTCCCTGTTATTGGTTCCCGCGTCGATCTCCTTGCAGCGCTTTATCTTTACGCAATCGTCAGCTCCCACCCAAATAGCAGGCTGAATTATGGAGAATCTTTTAGGGAGACATCGTTTCGCTGAACTTACAGTCTTGCCCTTGGAGAGCCCCTTGAAAGCCTCAATCGCAATTGAGTTGCAGAGATCGTAGATAGCCTGGTTGACGTATGCAGAGTCACCCATATCCTGCCACTTCTCACTTGTGACATAGTTGTAGCACGTCTGCGTATGGATGCTGGCTGTTCCATTGGTTGTAGAATTGTCGGGACTGGTGTCGAGAAGGCGACCATTGCTGGAGTCAAACGGGTTGGTGGAGATGTCTCGAAGTGGCTTGGACTGGGGTGCAGCAATACCAAAGGTGCAGAGGAGAGCCATTGCCATGAAGGCGATGACAGCAGTGATTGACCGCATCTTGAGTATCGAGGATGTTTGCGCTTGTGTTGCAGTGGTGTTGTCAAGTGATGTCGAAAGTAGTTGCGAGTGAGCGCGACAGTCGGGCAGACGATGGAATCGGAAAATCAAGTGATGGAGCAAGTCGGAGGCCATCCTTAAATACAGACCATGTAGCAGCTACTACGTAGAATGGCCCATTGAGTACTAATTATTCACATTCATGAAAGTTAATGGACATGCTCGGATGGTCGGAATTAATCCACGCTGTGGAGTTTTCACCCATTTCGCATCATTCATTTTGGCAGCAGTGACTTGACATCTCTCAGCAAAGAGAATATGAACATTTTGCTCTGCAGAAGTAGGGACGGCATAAGCGTTCGACTGCGGTCCATTAATGAGCACAAACTTAACATGAGTCCGTTTGTATGCAGTGCAGCTTTTCGTTTTCAGCACCAATCTAGCGATTTGCGCGAGCATTCCGCATTTTCTATACCTTCCAACGGCAAGGACGGGATTTATAACATATCGGAACGTAGCAAACTACTATGATCTTGACTGCAAGGCTCACTTCATTTATATCTCTCCTTACGACATCAACGCTTGGTTCTGCAACTCTTGAAAAGCCTTGTTCCATGAGCCACGCCATCAGGGGCCATCGGCCCCCTACGACAAGTTAACAGTGGGAAATTTCCATTTTCTCTGCCATCAACAGCCTATAGGACAACTCGGGCCTCCCTGGTCCCTCATCTTACGGACGCTCGTGGTCAGGGAGTCTTCCGAGCATCAGATCAGCACTTCAGTGACATCTTGCGCAGCTAAGAGCCTATCACCTCAATGCAATGTGCTGATTCGGCATATGGTTTGTGTTCCCACTTGCATATCCGTGTGATGCCCTTGTGGACATGGCATTGGCTGGCGCGTGGGTTGGGCATAAGCGTGTCACCCCAGCTCGCAGTCCTTCTCGGACCTGCCAGTGCTGATCAAAAGCCCCCCCGCCCAGAGACAATTCCTGTCAGCCCAGATTCAGTCCTACAAACTTCTTGTATCTCAATGTTTGCGTCTTGAATCCTTGTGCCACTTTTCTTAATACAGAGTATGTCTCAGTCAACACGCCCTGTCCTTGGCTACCTCACGACAACGTGGGCGCCACCAGCCAGCTGCCTGTCCGTGAATGTTTGGGGGACGAAGCCACCATGGCCTACAGGATATGCAGGAGTGACATGTGCTTCTTCCGACGCCTTTTATGACGAGACTGACTGTTGGCCTCCAAGAACCGCGAATGCGCCCAATCCGACCGAGGAGGGCGCTTTTCTCAGTGGCTGGGGGTTTTATTCCCCCGGGACACTCTGCCCGTCTGGATTCACAACTGCTTGTATTGCTACATATGGACAGCCTGTATCTGGCTGGGAATTACAATTCACAATGACTACAGGAGAAACGGCTGCCGGATGTTGTCCAAGGTAACATTTCAATTAAATTGAATCTTTTTTGAAAACCTAAGAGTTCTGACGATGTGTCTCTATTCCAGTGGTGGATACACCTGCTATTACTCGCATCCGAACCCCGGAGGGAGCAACACGTACGGCCCAGCACAGACATGTCGCCTTTTGGCGACCTCGACAGTGATAGAGGTAGCTCCTTGCACTACCGACAAAGTAGCCTCTCAGCCATTCTCGGCAGTATTACCATATACAACACATATTACTACAGGATCAGCAACTTCTACTTCTATCGTCCAGACTTTGCTAGCCTTGGCTCCATTGTATGTGGCTCCATAAAGTAGACTCGAGGTGACGCCAGCACCGTCTAAGCGGTTGATACAATTTTGTCTTGACGCACGATTATCTAACCAATGACCCACAGGATACAAATCAATTGGCGGGCTGAGGACGTGTCTATTGCCACTCCGACACCGACTCCAACAAGTGCTGACTCGGGAGGGAATCTCTCAGGCGGCGCTATTGCCGGGATCGTCATTGGCAGTATTTTCGGGCTTGCTGGTTTTGCAATTGGTCTCTTTTGGTTCATCAGAAGAAACAGATTGAAGCGTAAGGACGTAAGTGGCCAAAGCCGGGAGCCGGATGATGCGACAGCTCGACAGCTCTCGCAGCCGGTGAAGCCTCAGCAAGAGACTCAGCAGCCTTACGAGCTACCGATGAGTGATTCAGTCCATGAGTTGCCAGGGCGTGAAGTTGTAGATGGTAGATTCCATTCCGAACTACAGAGCTAGGGGACTAGTTAGAGCGTACGATTTCTAAGCTACATTTTCCAGAAATTTGGCCTCTGATTCAAAATCTGAAAAACCCTGGATTGCTTTTGCATAGCAGTCTTTAATGGAGGTTAAGTAAAGGAAGGGGTTTCACTCAGGTGTCGGGCGCCGACTGAGACTCGTGAATAGAACGTATGATTACGTCCGGCTGTGTGGAAGGAGGTCAAGAACCACGGCGGTGGTGTATTTACATGTCTTGTCTATGTAGATTAGGCGCAGAATAAGGGCTACCCAACTTCCATTGCCGACTCCCGGTCCTCACATTCGGCGAGCCGTAGAATTACCAATGATGCTCCCAGCCCGCTCTGTTGTCAACAAACACGGGCCAAGAATGTGGAACCACACCAAAGTACGCTTTGTACGACCACTTTTTCTGTGGCTCGACCTGCCTTATGTCGTAATCCCTGACTATAGTAGCACAGATCTTGGCGACTTCCATTCTTGCAAGGTGCTGACCGGGGCAAGCATTGTAGCCACCACCAAACTGTGATGTACTTAGCTGGTCAAATGGGCGGATGCACAAGTGCATCCGGCCATTTGCCAGCCATTCTCAGTCAGCCTGCCTTTCCTTCCTTGCGGAAATGCCAGCTCCTTTCGCGGCGGTTGGACTTACTGGGATGAAACACTTCTCTTTCGAAGAGATATCTGCCGAGTACCACCGGTCAGGATTGAAATTATGTGCATCCGGCCCCCAAATTTCCTCGGATCTATGCATCACAAAGGCGCTAACGGAAAGGATGGCGCCATATGAAAATGCATGGCCTCCTATTGTCACACCGTGCTTCGGAACCACACGTGGAAGACCCTGGTGGACTGGTGAAAAGACACGCATGGCCTCCTTGATACATAATTGCAAGAAGGGGAGCTTCTGGGTATCAGCGAAGCTGATGATTCTGTCTTGGCACCTTCCTGACTTGCTCGCAGCATCAATCTCATCTCGTACTTGTTGCCACGCTGTCGGGTGCCTAATCATGTGGTAGAAAAAGGATTGAAGTGCCGTCGACGTGGCGTCTCCACCAGCAGCGACAGTTCCAATGGTCTGGCCCTGGACTGTGTTCAGGTCAAGCCGATCAGGGTGGTCACGAAGTGTTTTCAGCCAATATTCCAGCAGATCGAAGCGATTGCCCCCTTTGGTTTCCCTGTTCTCACGCTCACGGAGCGATTTCATAGTGACCTCCAAAATGTGGCCAGTAGGCAGGACACCGAGCCATGTAGTAATTGGGTTCGCGAGGAGAATGGCGTGAATCATCAGCATGATCCAGTGATGGCCTGCCACAGCTGCGAAACGGCCGAGACGCACGTTGTTTGCGATGGCATTTCCAATATCATAGCCCTTCTCCAGAAAGCCATACGGCCGCGAGAAGAGGACTTCACTCGTGACGTCGTTCGAGGTGAAGGTGCAAAAGCGATCAAGATGCATAGGCTCACCACTATCAGCATATTTGCTCATCCAATCCATCAACAAGCCAATGACTTTGTCGATGGCCTCCTCGCAATTGACCATATTAGACAGACTGTAGCCAGGAGCAAAATTCCGCGAGTGCTCAGACTTTTGTCTAGGGTCCAGGACTGCCATGCCATTCGTGTATCTGGAATCTGGAAAGGCAAAGATTCTGTAAAATGCATCTTTTCGGAGAGGTGTTAAGAGAAGCTCCTTGAAAGCCTCAGGATGGCAGACGCTGACCTCATTGTTCGCGATACGAACAAAGTGGCCTTTGACTCTGACATTAGCAAAGGTGCACTATCAACGCCTACGCAGATGCAAATACTTGCCGTACTCTTGGTGCAGCTGGAGCAACTCCTCGCCTTGATTGCCTCGCAGTATCATTTTTGTATGCCATAGTCGACTCACGGACGCCCAAAAAGGCCCAGGTATGTTACTCAGAGGTGTTGCATACCGGCGGTAAAGCATCAAAACCAACAATGTGATGAGGAGGCCAGCCAGCAGCACGGGGCAAGGGAAACCGCTGAGGACAAGCCTTCGCAGAACCACTATGGTTGTGTTCATTTGCTCGCCCATAATGATCCTTCTCCTAGCGTCATGCAGTGAACTCCGGACACGTTGCTACGAAATGCGAAGAGGCCAAAAAGGCGTGAAGCGATCAGATGAGGACTCTGCGGAGGCTTCGGCGGCACTCAAACAAAGATCCGCTGCTGGCATGCTCCAGTTGTACAGAGTGCGTTGTTCTCCATGCAAAAATTGCCGGCATGTGATTCCTTGAGCTGCCCCAACGGGTCCTGGCTGCCAACAGTCTACCTATTTCATCAAAAAAGCTAACGCAAGTGGGCAGGTTCTTTCAAATCGGCCCCGTAAGTGGTTAGGCTGGCAGCAAACGCGGATGCACTCGACGTAGCTTGACCGAAAGGAAGATGCACTCACCCAGTTAGATCTTGTGCACGCTGGTATTTCTCACGACCACAAAGCTGACGGGCCCTAAAGTTGAGAGCTCTTGGATCAAACTTGCAAAAAAACCGAAATCTGTGGGCGCACACGATAAGATTGGGATTCAACGACCTCTGTGGGTACGGTCCATCCATTCGCGCAACATTCGAAATTCGCTGCTACTAAAGTATATGTTCTCTGGAGCTTCGAGCCTTCATTTGGGACTCACTAATTAAAGAGCCTCTGCTTATGATGCGACAATCAAGCACAAGCTTCCCGAACGTAGTTGTACGGAGACATGCAGACACAATGAGGATAACGCGTCGATTTACTTCATTCATACGTCTATGGAGTTTCGACTCCATAATTTGATGATGCCTGATTGAGATTTGGGCCACAGTGCAATCGCTTCACTATTTCCGTCGTAATTCCGGGTCAGGCCATCGAACCCAGAATTCCACTTGCAGATGTAGCCGGACACGAGCGGTGGTGCCGATCGGACCCTTTTTCTCCATGAGCGATGCACATCCAAAAAATGAATCACACCGTTGTAGAGATCCCCTGCCGCACAAATTCTTGATTCAAAATATGGTGAGCGTGACAGTATCCCTGGGAATCATGTAGATCCACCATGTATAAAGGGGCATTCCAGGAACAGCTCCTGTCACATGTTCGAGCATCGATTCGCCTTCTGGCTCTGTATTACATGAATGCAAATGTTTGAAATTGCTTGGTTTTGATTAGCGGACGCGTAGCTGTGGACCATGTTGGCGGGAACCTTGACGGCTTCTTGGGGACCTTGATGGCCACCTCCCGTCCGTGGTGTAGCAATACGATCCAGAGATTGACCACAGAGAGTCGCTCTAATGGAATACGAACAATATAAGATAGAAGTCCCTTCGAGAAAAAAAAAAAGAGAGAGCCTTTGGAGCTCTACTAAAGCAGTCAGTGTTTTCGTTTCGCCTCGTTGATTGTACTTGCTAATCTTGTTTATACGTTCTGTCCGAACCATGGTGTCGAAAAGAAAGCCAGCTGTGCCTAGTTCACAGGAGATCAAAATCTCCAAGAAGCTTAAACACAGAGTGGGACCACTCCCGGTGACATTGCTTTCAGGTTTTTTGGTATGAATGTAGTCTTTCTTTGCAGCTTTTCTGAGTCCACTGGATCGTCACTCCCTTATGTACGCTGACCATGATGATTCTTTAGGGCAGTGGGAAGACAACACTCCTTCAACACATACTACAGAGCAATCATGGTCTTCGGATCGCTGTGATTGTCAACGACATTGGTGCAGTGAATGTCGACGCCACGACCATTCAATCGACCCATCGCATACGGAAGACGGACGAAAAAGTCATCGCGCTGCAGAATGGATGTATCTGCTGTACTCTCCGACAGGACTTATTGTCTGAGTTGGTTGAGCTGTCCGAAAAACATGTTTTCGACTACGTTATTATCGAAAGCAGCGGAAGTAAGTCCCCAATTAGGCATATGTCTTGTGGGCAAGTGGCCAGATAAGAGTGTACTGCGAGACTGACCACTTTGGAATAGTCAGCGAGCCAGGACAAGTGGCCGAGAGCTTCGATTCGAAGCTGACAAGACACATGTACAATATGCTGAAGGAACAGGGTGAGCTGGATGAGAATGAAGCATTAAAGAAGCTGTAAGTGAACCCATTTCTCGTTTCAATGAAGCGAGAATGATTCTGTGAGACCGTGCGCCCTTCGTATGCAAGACTTTGTTAGTGATTCGGACATCGCAAACATTTAGATACTGACTTTAGCAGGCACAAAGCCGGCGAAGCTGGTATGGGTAAATTTGCTCGCCTGGACACCTCTGTCACTGTCATTGACTCCTTCACCATCTACAACGACTTCAACACTGCGGACCTGTTATCTAGTCGACGCAACGATGTAACCCCGGAAGACGAGAGGACGGTATCAGACCTGATGGTCGACCAGATCGAGTTCGCAGATGTGATTATCCTCAACAAGACTGACATGGTCGATGAAGCGGTGTTGGCCAAGACGAAGGCACTTGTCAGGACCATGAATCGAGAGGCCAAAATCCTATGCTCCAACTACGGTAAGGTCGACGTGGGAGAACTCGTGAATACTGGATTGTTCAGTCTGGACAAGGCTCAGACAAGCTCTGGGTGGATGCGCGACCTGCATGAGTTGATGATCAGGGAGGTGAGTTAGCTTCTTTCAAGTCAGAGAAAGACGAGCAGTGAGATCTAATTAGATTCTCTCTTTAGGTGAACGGAAAGACCTCGATAACTCCAAAGCCAGAGACGGAGGAGTACAACGTGCGTAACTTCGTGTATAAGCGACATCGTCCTTTCCACCCCGAAAGACTTTGGAGACTGGTATACGACAAATTCATCCTGCAGCTTGAACACCCTGATTTGGAAGAGGACAGCGCTGCTCCAACACCAGAAATCACTGCTCAAAAGCCAGGTCTCGTTGCGGTTGACGATGGTGAATTTGATGGTACAATGGACGATATTCAGCCAAACAATGGGGACTGGGAGGACGAAGACACTGATATGGAGGGCGAGGTCACCATGTCAGATGGCTCAGAGATTTCAAGCTCAGGGGAGACATCATTAACTTCCCCCACGGCTGACAGACCCGAGAGCAGCGTATTCGACAAAAAAGACACCAGAATGGACTTTGCTGATCCCAACGTCGAGGAGGCTCTGGCTACGCCGCCCAAGGACGTCGTCCTGGCAAATAAGCGTGCTCACCCACTCTTTGCCCGGCTCTTTCGCTCCAAGGGAACGTACTGGCTCGCAACTAGGCCCGACTACCGCGGGATATGGTCGCAGGCAGGAGCAATGCTGACGTTGGTCGGCAGCACCAGGTGGGACGTCACCCTCACCCCTGAAGAGCTGTCACAGCTATACCACGAGGACACCACCGATCCGGAAATCATGAAACAGGTGCGTCATGACATCGAGAGTGGTGGCGAATGGGGGGACAGGCGGCAGGAAATAGTGTTTATCGGAGAGAAGCTGGAAGTCCGGGGAATTGAACTTGCCCTAGATGAATGCTTGTTGACGGACGCTGAGTGGAAGCGTTGGAAGCGAGGGATGAGATCTGTGGTTAAGAATCAGACAAGACTCAGAACTTTGATGGAGAAGCTGGATGCTGCCAAAGAAACCTTGATCGATGGCTTTGAGGATGCCTTTCCTGAGTGGGAGGGCCATTTCCAAGACGAGGAGTACGGACATAACGAAGATGATGAAGACAACGGGCAGCACCTTCACCAACACTGAGTCGCCGTCACTTCAAGAAACATGAACGAGGATCACTTAAGGTCTCATAATTTTGATTTACTATGGGAAATAGCCATAGTCGCTGACATATTCTCACGGTGTGACATGACTTGTTCATGATGTGGCCTCCGATTCTGCCTTGACATATGCCTTACTTCTCCTGAACGAGAAGCATCACGGTGAACAAACTTACTCGTACATCTGTCTCATCCCCTCAGTTCTAGAATGCAGCCCTTGCATTCGCGCCCATACTACTTCTAGCTGATGGGTCGCAAGCGGTCGCCCTGAAGACTAATTGTTTTACCTAATTGTTTCGTTTTGGCCCAGGCACGGTGGCCGCGATGGCAAACGCTCGCGGATCAACACACTTTACATGATGCTTTCCCTTCAGCCTCGTCGCATTACGCGTGCAGCCCATGGACGAATTGAGGATCCTCTGGATAGAAAGGGTTCAGCACGTCATGCGATTCATGATGCGGAGTGTACGCGACGACTTTTGAGTGCACGTTGTGAGTCGGGCACCCCAATTGGCAACATCGGCAGTCGGCCCCTTTCCAAAAATTCATTGGCACAGCCAAAGACATAGCCGGGCGTCGGTGGCCTCCCCACACTGGGGAAGCATCATCATCAATGCAGGCGACGCAAGCAACGGCTCGGTTAAGGGGTCCAGACTTTCGGCTGAAGAAGTCGACAGGCTGTTAGACGTCCACTCTCTCTCGCTAAGTTGGGATGACTTCATGGGAATAGCACGTAGGCCTAGCGGTGTACGTAACACCGTGAAGCTAATTATAGCATGCCAGAGTTAGTATAGGTCTCACGAGACCTGCGGCCAGTATGTATTCATCATGTCGGGGCTGAGCTATTACAATCTACCGCTGCAGTGGACTCGCCTAGTTGTGATCATCCGACTAGAAGCATCTTGCTGTCGTGGCTGCATGATGATCTGCGGCATGCTCCCCCTTTCACCGAAACGATGGACTAACTATTTCGGTAAAGAGGGGAGGATTGACTAGCGTACCCGAGCATAAAGCTTCTAGCTTAGGCCGATGAAGCTTCCGGAAAAGCGGGCCTTGACAGTCGAGAGCAAGGGGGTCCCTTACACAAGAAACCGTGAGGCTGAGTTGGGCTCCATATTACCTTACACAGACCTCAAAGGGGTTACTGGACCGGAAAAGACTATGTTGAGAGACCTCTGGAGAATTCTGTCTTCCGGAATTCCTTTATAATGGTATCTTACACTGTTAAATTCGTAACAAGTGTAGCCGGTCTTACGTGCGAAGTGGTAGATTGATGTGGAATTCAAGACCCCTGTAAAGAGCTCAACTCGATCGATTATATATACTGTACGTAAAGTTATCAGATCTGGCTGCGGAGACGACCCCTGTAACCCCTTGTGCCCACAAGCCGGGTAGGGAACTTCAATGCACGTCAGACTTGAATTTCTCCTACGTAAACCCCACAACGAGGCTGCGTAGGACCCTTGTGAAGATCATGGCAATGCAATCATCCGTAGACTCCCACAAACCGAACTCTGTACAGCTTCAAGCTCAACACTCGTCGACCACCCTAGTCGGTGCTATGTATCGACCTGTAAGTATCGCAAGTTTCTCATGTATATAAGAAGTTGAAGATGTTCGTTGAAGTTTGTCGTTCTTATCCATCATCATCATCAACATCTTCATCATCATCTCTCAGTCTTCTCACCAACTCCAGCATCCAGCTCTCAGCATTCAACTCTTCATCATCCAACTCTCCAGCATCTATCGCTTCTTTTGATCTAAAGTCATCAGCACTTCCACACTCACCCAACTTCCATACCACAAACCTCAGCAAAAATGTCTTCCATCCAGCAAATCGTCTTCTTCGCCGCTCTGGCTTCCTCCGCTCTTGCGAGCCCTCTCATGGTCCGCGATAGCTGCAACGTCGCCCCAACCGCCACTGGCAGCCAGACCCCTCTCAGCGCCCCCTCCGTCACCACTGCTGAGCTCTGCAAAGAGGCTTGTGAGGCCAATGCTTCTTGCAAGTCCTTCGTCTTTGGTCTGCCTTCCGGTGCCAGCACACCTACTTGCCAGTTGTACTCGGTCCCTGCTTCTCAGGTTCCTACCCACGACACAAACCTGAATGTCTGGGACGTCGACTGCTCGTCTTCCCAGGTCCCCACCACTGCTCCTACCACGGCAAACCCACAGGGCCAGGTCTCATCCGCCTCGACTGGATCTACTGGCTCGACTGGCTCGACTGGCTCGACTGGCCAGACAGGTCAGTCGGGACAGACCGGACAGACCGGTCAGACTGGAGGAAAGAAGGCCAACAAGCGCGATGTCTGCGGATCCGCCCCGACTGGACCATCCACCGCTGCTGCTCCTTCTCCCTTGAAGACCGATACCTCCATCGCCAACCAGGCCGACTGCTTGGCTCTTTGCAAGCAGACCAGTGGTTGCCAATCGTAAGTCTACTACCCAAAACTACGCGAGATAGAGCGGTACTAACCATTACCAGTGTCGAGTTTGGTACTTTCGACGGAGCCCAACAGTGCCGCCTGTTCCAGGTCCCCGCCTCTCAGCTGCCCCCCGCTTCCTCTGGCCAGAGCTTCGTTGCCTACGACCAGGGCTGCTAAATGGCCCCAGAATTTCGGTGGCAAGTTTTTGGAACTCGGTGGCGGTGTTTGGAGGGAAAAAACATGGAGATTGAGATGAAGTTGTTGCATGGTTTCCTTTTGTAACTAGAGCATGGAGTTATTTGCATTTCTTGTTTGCAGTTTAAGTTTTTCAATACACCAAGTCCCGGGCAAAGTCTTCAAAGATCCTGATGCAACTCGAGAAAAGCGAATCACACAAACTAGCCGGTGGCACAATTGATTGTTGGGGTTCAATGCAACTGAACGTATTAATCGCGTCAAGGAAAAAAAATGCTACTGCATCGCTGATCAGTGCTGCGGGTCGAGGAGAATTTGCACAGCTTGAGTTCAGCTCTGGATTGACGTACCATGGAGGCATGCTTTAGTCGTTTATGCCAGGAGAACCAAGTGTTTGAAATGGATAGGCCACATTTGCCTTCAACATTTTCCCCCGATCTCTCTCCAACCGCGCGTCCGTCGCGTTGCTTACCTGTGCACAACCCCCTCTCCTGCATATGTCAGATTTGCGCGATCTGTCTAGGGCCCGTCAGCCAGTCTGACTAAGATGTTCTGGGCCCCCCCCCCTAATTAGCTCTCATCACCGTTGCTGAGGTTGGAGCATGTCTGCCAAGTGCATCTTCCCAATTCCACCTCTGCAGCCTTGATACATCGGTCAAGCATGGCTAGAGTTGCCTTTCCACTTTTGTGGGCATTCGGGGCCCTTGTATTTGGGTTTGCTGCTGTCTCCTTCGGGCCACTCCAACATGCTTTCACACAGGTGATTGCCAAGTTTGCAGTCAACCTCCCCTACGGACACACCTCACATCCCATCGTCCTGGATCATAGCCGGGATGTACGATACGTAGGCAGCCTTTCCAGCTATGGTGTCGAGCATTTCCAGAACATTTTCTATGCTGAAGACCCCTCGGGTCCTAGGCGGTTCTCGGCCCCTGTCCCGACGAAGCCGGACAGAGGCTCCGTAATCGACGCCACGCAACCCGGTGCCTGGTGCCCGCAAGCAACAGGCGATGTGCTCCCGTTCACAAGCCGTGTCACGAATGTCAGTGAGAATTGCCTGAGTCTCCGCGTTGCACGACCGCAGGGCACACAAGCATCTGCGAAACTGCCAGTCATGGTGTGGCTACATGGAGGTGAGCCATAGCTGTTACTTGACTGCAGTGATCGCACGGAACTAAGCATTCATGCAACTAAATGCAGGGGGTCACGCACTTGGCTCGGCATCAGAGGTGCTTTACCAGCCGGACGGCCTCGTATCACAAGCTGCTGTCGACGGCCGGCCGTTGATTTTTGTGGCCATCAATTACCGTTTGGGATGTAAGTCAAGCTCGATTCACTTTGCTGCTGTCAGAACTAATTAGTGGCCATAGTCTTCGGTTTTGCAACAAGCGAAGAAATGATCCGGACGAAACAAACAAATGCAGGTCTGCGAGATCAACGAGCTGCATTCGGATGTACGTAATGGAAAGTTCGTTTGAGAAAACATCTATTGGGCCATCCATAATTGACGAAAGAATGTTGTGTTCTAGGGGTACGCGATCATATTGAACACTTTGGCGGAGATCCGACCAGAGGTGATATACCCGGATAAATACCCACTTCATTTTTTACAGTGTTGCTAACCTGCTCGGAAAAGTGACCGCAATTGGCCAGAGTGTAGGCGCCAGCGACATTGGTCTTCAACTGACCGCATTTGGGGGAGAGGATGGCGCACCATTTCAACAAGCAATTTTAATGTCCGGCGCCCCTGGCCTCAACTTCAACACGAGGTCAGACCTAGTGGCGAACAATACGGCAGCTATTGCAAAGGGAGTGGGCTGTCTCCCTAGTAACGTGTCCCATTCCGAGACGACGCTGCAGTGTCTACGAGAAGCACCAGCTGACCTTTTGACTAACCTGTCCGTCACGGCGTCTCGTGCCGCACGTCCGCCATTCGGTGAGGGGTTCTTCTATCCAACGTTCGACGATGACTTCTTGCCTGATCGACCTTCCCAGCTGGTTCGCTCTGGAAGGATTGTCAAAGGCATACCCGTCATCGCTGCCTGGGTGTCTAACGACGGCGCGTGGTACGCGTCTCCGACAACATCAACCGACGAAGACGTGTTAGCCAGCTTTGGGCTTTGGTTGACAGGCCTGTCCGAGAAGACAAAAAGACAGCTCCTGGAGCTTTATCCGCTCAGCGACTTCCAGCACATGGTACGCCCAGACTACGACGGACCGATATCGCCACAGTACTATCGCGCCGCTCAGCTTAATCGGGATCTTTGGTTCACTTGTCCCGTTCTGGACTTCGCCTGGCATTACTCTAGACACAACAATGGCAACGTGCGCTTATACGAACACAATTCTACCCGATACACGCCGGTATTTGAAAGTATGCATGTTCCAATGTGGCGTGTAGCGCACTTGAGCGATATACCGTACGTGCTGAATGTCCAACAACTGGGTGGAGGCGCCGACAATTCTCCTGCACAGCTTGCGCTAGCCAAGACTATCAGTACCAGAATTATTGAAGTTGTCACCTCGGGTGCGGAAGAAACGAATTGGCCTAGAGTATTCCCTAGTGTTACGGAGGATGAATTCAAGAACGAGGCCCCAAATCACTTGTCGTTACAACTTTTTGGTGGCCCGTATGGTAATACTCATGTCGCAATTGACCGAGAAGGCGATGCGGCCTCTGCAATGGACGCAGACGGAGCCGTCAGATGGGAGAAGCTGTTTGAGAGATGTGATTTAATCAACAGTGCGAAAGTGAGAGAGGAGATTGGGGTGTGAGAGAGTACGTCCTCACCAAATAGGCTGTGAAAAGAGGTGAGCAAGACTAGGAGCTAACAAAAAATCAGTGACTGGATCCACAAATTTGGTATCATTGATAGACTTTGGATGCCGGGTAATCAAATTTGAACACAAAATAGGTTGTATTTGAAGCAGGTTTCCCATTACACTTTAAGTCGAGGATTCGTTGCTTTGGGCACAGCACCTTACAATTCTGTCTCTAAATTCTTCCACGTCATATAAATGCCGAACAGTCCCCCCCTGCTGGACAAATATACTCTTTGTCTGTATATACGCCGTTCTCCATGACTCAGGTAACAATACTCGTATAGTGAGCCGAAGATTCGATCACCTCCTCAAGCATAGCATTTATGATCCAAGCATCCGTCTTCTCGTTCCGCGGCACCATGGGTCTGAACTCCTACGTGCATGAGTAATAAATAGGTGATACTCGTGTCGCTTCAACTAGCGGCCTTCTTCAGGGCGCGATAGTAGTCAAGATTCTATATGATCACAAGTAGGTTCACGGCCAAACCGCTCTGAATCATACTTGAAGGCTTGCAACTCAGGGCTTCCATTGAGCAACCCTCCTCCAGTGATTCGATGACAGGATGCTTCGTATATCGGCATCATGGATATCGTACGAGACATATATCATCTACGAATAGCACAACGCCGTAGGTGTGTGGTTAGGAGCTAATGGCTCTTGCATTGGAAGAACGAGCTACAAATCGAGATATCTCTCGAAGAGGTGCGTCACTCCGGGCTAGTGGAAGACCAATTCGGAAGCGCGGAACGTCTCCATGTGTAAGAGGCACCTGGCATCGGCCGATGTTACCTAGAGGCATTACTCCTGCACCGTCACAACAGCCTCCTGAATCCAACCGCAGGTGGAGGCCGGCTCAACAACAGGGACTCAAACTTGATTTGACGAATGCATTGTTTATCGGTCCCTTTTATATGCATCTACAGGATCTTCGTTACGCCGCCGTTTGCATTCATCACAGAACCCGTCACCCATCTGGCCTTCTCTGTACATAGCCATCCGGCAATTTCCGCGATATCATCCGGCTCGCCAAAACGCTCCTCTACGCACACCAACTGAGTCCGCGAGACCATCACTTTTGTGATGGGATCGTCCTCGGAGAGATTCTTGACCAGGTCCGTGCGTGTCAGCCCCACGCTCAGCGCGTTAACCGTCGTTCTCTCCATGCCCTTCCTCTTTCCGAGCTCCTCGGCCCACACCCGCGTCATGGCCTCGAGTGCAGCCTTGCATGCCGAATACACAAGCCCTCCAGGCGCAGAGAGACGAGCGCCCTCAGAAGATATATTGACAATTCGGCTCTCGGGGCGAAAGTGCGGAAGAAGTGCTTTTATCAGGAATATTGGTGTCTCGATGTTGCCGGTCAGCGAGCGGTGCACGTGCCCCTCATCGATGGTTTCGATGGGCTGGATCTCAGCAACAGCGGCGTTCTGCACAAGGATGTTGACGTCGCCGCTGAGGTGATCCTTGACCGCATCCACGACTACGGAGCAGCATTCCTGCGGCTCGGTCAGAGAGGCGACGACGCCGAAGATCTTGGGTGCTGGGTGGTTTCCGGGGTTCTTCTCCTGATACAAGGCCTTGATCTCCTCTTGCAGGGAGGCGATAAGCTTGAGTGAGCCCTCGCTGGAGCAGGTCCCGAGAATGTTGGCACCACGTGCTGCAAGGTGGAAGGCGATGCCTCGTCCGATTCCTCTCGTGGCTCCAGTCACTATCGCGTTCTTCCCCCTCAGGTCCTGCTCTCTCACAACGGCGTTGGGCAGTGTGTACTCCATCTCGTCTGTATGCGAATGCTGTTGTTTTGGATGCAGATATGAACTCTCAAGTGCTGAGTCGATCGCTCCGAGCTTTGAATAGCCTGTCGATGGTTTGGTGCCTCTCACCGCTCAGCGTTGACAATACAAGTAGCGCGCGCATTCTGAATGCCTTTATACAACCAAGTGCTGTCCTCTCGGTGCGTCGGGAGCTTTCAATAGCCCGGGACGTATTAAGTTCAACGGGGGACAGGGACTATCAATTAGCCGTGATTAATGCACGTGTACAAACCGTTCCACAATCCCACAACTCTCCACTAAGGGGTACTAGACCGTTCTCTTTGTAAGACGTGAATAATACTCAAAGGTGTCTTCACCTTTTCCTTCTCTGTGATTCTTCCTTCTATTTTTTTTCTTCTTCTTTTTTTTCTTCTTCTTTTTTTTCTTTTTCTTTTTCTTCTTCTTTCTTTTTTTTTTGCCAGTTCAATTGCTGACTACTGTATACGTGCGCTTCCTCTTCGGCGAGCAAGGCGTTGTCGCCGAAATCGTCTACGCGGAGCGGAGCGGCGTAGGCGGCAGAGAGGCCACCGGCGTGTGGACCCGGGACAGCCGCCTGCACCCCACCAAGCTGATCGTAGTCGCCGCGGGCGTGGTGGCCGGGCGCCTGGTGCCGGAGCTCGACACGCAGGTGGTGACCAAGTCGTGGTCCGTCGGCACGGCCGACATGAAATAGCTGACAGATACTAAAGCAGCCGTTACAGTGCGCCTCGTCAGCTATGGTATTCTACGCAGCCACTTGGTCGTTCTTCCAGTTTCCCGGCACGTTAGGATAGCCACAAGAGCCAGGCGAGATGATCCCGGCCTCCGCGATAATTAGGGTACTTGCGACCTGGTACCGCTGGCTGTAGTACTCCTTCATTATGTGCATTGCAGTGTGGTCGTCGTTGGCCCGGAAGCGGGACAGGCCGGGCATGCCAATGCGGTGCTCAACCTCGACTCCCACGATCTTAGGTGGCTTCCAGAGGCTATATTGGGCAATCGAGCTGGATTGGGATCTCGGGTGACTTGAGATTTCTTTAGGGAGGAAGATGCACTCATGATCAAGTATCTATTTCCAAGCTTTGGTAGATGTTCTACGTGCGTGTTTCTCTTACATATGTATGTATATATGTGTGTGTGTATGTGTGTGTCAATGTTTGTGAATGTCTGAAGGCTGAAGAAGCAAGAGGCAAAAGAGTTAGTGTTGAGAGGCTCTAACCCAGACATCCTAAACTCGGTAATAAACGTGTAGATAACACAATAAGCGGCTTGTGTGCTTCAGACAACAAGCTAAACGTAAATTCGCCCTTTCGGGAAGACATACTTGCCAAAGGGAAGGGCGCAGATCTCACACCTAAGCACTAGTACGCTAAGTTTGCTGTCAGCTGGAACAGTGGAGTCTGTTCTCCGTCACAGGCAGTTGACGAGTGCTTGCTGCCTAGCAACGCCTTATATTTCCCTTCCACAGGGAAACGTTCCCTTGCTGACTACATGAGCTTGTAGGGATTGATTTCAAACAATCTTTGTAATTCTGTGTTTGCAATCCTGTGTTAGCGCGCCTACGGGCCTCTGTATCGTGAGAGTCCTCTTGGGATATATAGCCCAGGAGGACAACCACTTTTCGCCGAACTTGTAAGATCAGAGCTCTGCCGGTCAACGCTGTTAGCTAAACCAGCTATCAACCACTTTGTTCTCAAGACTCGAAGCTCAAAGCGAACCAATCTTGTTTCTGGCATCCGCAACTATGGAACCTAAGCTCACTTTGATTATTCAAATGCTTTTAGCATTCCACGCCTGCTCATCCCTCGGCTTCCACCACATACTTCCACGGAATATTAACCGGAAGCCGACGCAGGTGCTTGGAAATGTCACAGTCATTGACACGCCTCTGTAAGTCAAAGTCTAATGTTGGAACGTATAAAGAAAGTTATTTATTCGCTTTTCAATAGCGTACGTGCCGCCCAAGCATTCGCCCAACAAGTTAGCGATGCTTACCTTTATAACCACATCATGCGGACCTGGCTATTCGGGGCGCTCGTCATGAACCATAACACCACGCTGAAAGAATCAGTCGATCTCGAAGTCCACGCTATCGGCTCGGTGCTACATGACCTCGGCCTCGTGCTCAACGGCTCCTGGATCAGCCAGGACCGCCGCTTCGAAGTCGACAGCGCCGCCGCGACAACCGACTTCGTCGAGCATCAAGTGTCGAACGACGGCGAGGGTGCTGAGTGGGACGCCAACCGGCTGCAGCTTCTCTTTGACTCGGTCTTGCTGCATTCGGAGTACCGGTTCTCCTTATATAAGCAGCCGACCGTGGCCGTGTTAGCAAGTGGTGTGTTGGTTGAATTGCAAGGGCTGGCCTCTCTTGCAGCCTATGGTATCACGAGTGCTGAGTACTACAACGTCGAAGCTGCGTTTCCAAGGCTGAATTTCATTGCCGGTGTGAATACAACGCTCGTGAAACTCTGTATAGCTAAGCCAAATTCGACTTACGGTTAGTTATCTTCATGCTGTGGTTATGTGTGCATGTTTCGACTGATGCTAATAATGCTGATAAACTGCGGCAGATTCATGGCAGCAGGCTTTTGGAGACGCCTTTGTGCCGGGCTATTCCGCGGTTGGACAACGGATCTTCGACATCTTTGCTTAAATGTATTTAACGAGGTATTATATTTTAAATAGCGGCAAACTAAGAAAACTAGTTAATAATTGAAAAGAAATAATACCTAGCGGTATGAGGCGCCGTTTTCTCACATAATCTCCCGTGCAAATGCGCCCCGAACCCATCGGCGCTGATCCAGCTGAGTCAACGGGAAGAATATAGGACAAGTCGTCGGCATCCTCAAGCTGGAATTTGGTGAATTCCTTGATCGAAGCTTGGCGAGCTTATCAGGTCGATGACGGAAACGATCCAGAGGTCGGTCAGTCATAAAGCATTCTTGAGTACAATTCATCCAGAGACGCTTTCCTCGTCAGCTTTTGACCAGAAGATCGACGAGTTCATCGCAGCAGCGAATGTGCTCGGAAATCGGCAAGATGTACACCTAGACACGAGCTATTCGGTCGGGCAACCTCTGCAAAAGCCGAGCAACGATAGCGGGGGGGCAATTGACATGGGAGGCCTGCGGGCAGAGCTCTCGCAACTACAGTCCGAAAACGAGGCGGGGCCATCTGCGGCCCGCTACCGAGACCGAGATAAGGATTCTATGCCGTGCATTCCGAACGGTCTATGTGTTAAACATCGGGGTAGGCGGTTGCATTAATGTAACCCTTCATAGTGTTAGCTATTTTTAGGCATGTACGATCATTTTGTCGACGAGCATATACTCGAGATATTGGACCATGAAGCCTGTGAAGTCCATTGTGCATTAGTTAGGCGCTGTGACTTTGGTTATGCCCTGGTTTATTGCATGTGGGCTCCCCAGCAGCTGACCGATTTGGAACGGCCCTTGGCTTGAACACAGCTTCAACAATACTCAAGATTTTAAAAACGTCGAGAAAATTCGCCAAAGACTCACCGAAACCTTTTCTCAAGGTCCCAAACTCCCAAGCCATTCTCTCAACCTTCAAGATCTTCGATCTAGGGGATTGTTCGCGAAGCAGTAGAGATAGATAATGCAGGGAAAAAAATTGTACTCGATAAACATGTTGAATGCTAAATAATTTGTGCCTGAAAATCAAACTGGTCCAATCCTGTGTATACTGCCATCCCTTAGAGTTGACACCGTGTCTCAATTGTCCCCATTCTTGCCTTGGTGAGGACCAGAGAGCCAGCCATGTGTGTGCAGTCATTTCTTCTTCGCAATGACCCAGAAGAAGATAGCGTCCCCAGGGTCACCTCGGAGCTTCCCTTCCAGTATTTCGAAGTCTGCCGCTTCAAGCAATTTAGTTGTATGCTCTGGACCCCATCCACTCCAAAACATCCAGCCTTTCTCAGCAATCCAATTTGGGTTGATGTTGGCCTCATCTGCGCCCGACGTGAAGTTGACGAGCATGTGACCTCCTGGCCTGAGCCAGCGGGACATCCTTGTAACCAGCTCCGACTGCTCCTCCCGCGGAAGATGTATCACGCTGTACAGCCCTACCACGGCGTCGAGGGAGTTGTCCGGGAAAGACAGCTGCATCATGTCACCCTCCTTGAAATTGACTCGGTCCTTAGCCGTCTCAGCAAAGTTGGCCAGGTTTTCCCTCGCGCTTTCGATCTGCGCGGCGGACATGTCGTTTGCGATGACGTCGACGCTGGGTACGGAGAGCAACATCTTTGTAGACGTGAGAGCCGCGCCGCATCCGAGCTCCAACACAGTAAGTCGGCGGCTGGGATCATTGGGCAGCAGCTTTAGCAGCTCCTTGAGGAAGTCCTCGCGCGTCGTCTCGTTGCGACCAGTCCATTCATTGTAGTTTGCGGCGATGGCATCGTACGTTTCTTTGACCTTCGATTTGAGATCTCCCGGGAGCTGAGCCTTTGTTACATCCATAGCGACGCGTGATTTCGAGGGCAAGCAAAGATGAAAACTGAAAGTGGCAGGACTGACAGATTGCAATGCTCTTGAGGGTGATGGGAGGGGATACGGCAGCGCTACTTAAGTATAGAAGCTGACTGTTCATGGCTTGACGGCGTGACTCACTAAGTTGTAGGTGCCAAGTCGCTGGAACGCACTTGTGTTCATCAAAGGAGATTCTTGATCATACAGTTACCTAATTCATATTGTGAACAACGATGGGCGAAAACACCCTTCATAGATTCCTCCTGAAAAATAGTCGAGTCGAATTATCCCCCACGCGCCCTTGCATTGGTTATTGGTGTTGTCAACTGGCCGTGATATGGTCAATACCCCGGAGTAGTCATCGGCCGGGCATTTCCCCTCACCGATCCCCAATTTGTTAAACGAGAGTAGGGGCCCTGTGAGAGCATGGATCCTTAGCGCCAACTTTATCTCAGGCTTAGCGGAGCAGACATTCTACGTTCAAACGTAGGGTTTTGAATACGATTACGACAATGCAACCACCACCAGTCGTCAACCGTTTTTTATGTGGCAGTGGTGGGCTTGGAAATCACAATGTGCATAGCATTCATAATGCCGGATTGCGCAGCCACAGCTTGGTTCTCCATATGAATCCTTCCTGCTTTGATTTGTTTACCACCCAGGGCCAGGGGGTCCTGCGACTGCATATAAGACGGTGCTGCCCACCCGGACTGAGAAGTCTCTATTACCTATCTACAACAACATCTTTACAGCATTGGAACACACTACTTCTCATCTTTTTATATTTCAATCCTGACAACCGTTTGACACTGTCAAACTCAACAAGCACTCGTCAGATCATCGCTACAACATGTCTCCAGCTTCGGTCCATGAAAGCCATGATGTGAAAGCCGATATCAACTACTGGCCTCCAGATGGCGAAGGGGAGGAACTGGTCGAAGGAAAGATCAAGGCGCGGTACCTTGGGACTGGAGACGAGTACACGCGCAAGATGCCTATCATAGACATTCGAGGTCGCGAGGATGAATTCACATGGGAGGAAAACGGCTTCCAAATTGCAACTATTCCCAAGCGCGAGCGCCACGAATTTGACAAGAAATGGACCGAGGAGGTGTATTATTCCGAGGTTGCAGATGTCCTGAAGAACATGTGAGTATCCTTGTCTGAAATTGTCCCGTGGGACTTCACATCAACTGATACCGCTGTATTCTCTAAACAGCACGGGCGCGAAACACGTCTTCGTCATGAACCATGTTTGTCGGGCAGCGCCAGACACTACAAACGAGACCAAGCCTGACGGGGAGAATCCCGTCGCGAACGGGCCTTCCGCCAATGCGCACGCCGACTTCTGCATCGACGACAATTACATGAACACGATGCGAGAGCTTTCGTCAGCTCGTCTTAGCCCCGAGGAGAAAGACATCCTGCTCAAGGCGCGCAGATGGGGTGTATTTAACACCTGGAAGCCCGTCAAGACAGTTCATCGCGACCCTCTTGCAATGTGTGACTGCCGGACTGTTCAAGCGGCTGACATGCGGTTGAAAAAGCGAGAGTTATTTCCGGGCAAGTTCATAGCCTCGACTTACTTCTCGCACCCTCAAAAGGAGGACACACACCAGTGGTACTACCTGTATGAGCAGAAGCCTGAAGAGATGTGGATCTTTCGTGGCTATGATTCGGACAGTTCGAGGCCTCGTTTTCCAACGGGGCACACGGCCATTAGAACCCCGGAGGTGGGACTAGAAGAGATCCCAGCAAGGGAGAGTATCGAGGCTCGCGCAATCGTTGTGTGGGAGTAAGCCTGGACTGCTATCGGATTGCTTTCCTGGGCTCTATTAGCCTTTAGGCTTTCAAAAATCTGAGCCGTCCATCACCATCTTCCATAAATTTCGCTTTCATGCCTTCCGCCATTGTTTCTAGCTTCTCTGCATCCTCAGGATCTGGGAGATCGATCTCATCCGCTCTCCAACCGTCCAAGCCGTGGACAAGGAGCGCGATAAGAGACTCTTTCAGAAGACGATGGTGCTTAGAGAGTACTATACAATAGACTAGGAGTATGGTTGTGGTCAAGGTCTCGGCAAGAGGGATGATTAACCAAGGCCATGTGACTCGTATATAGACCTCCTTGACAAATACATCTCCGGCAAATGTCGTGGCATTCTGATTGTCGCCTGGGGAAACGCTTCGTATTTGGTTCGTGAGTGTCTTTGCTAAGTTATCGGTGAAATTTTCGAGATTTGTTGTATAAAGGAAAGTTGACAGGTCGAGAGAGTCGTTGTCAAGATTCGATCCTGCGTGAGGATACGAGTCCACAATGTCCCTCGTGAGCAGCTTGTACAAGTATGGGAACAGGTCGTTCTTGATAGTCATAGAGATGCTGAAGACATGACCACTAGAATTCGCAATCAACGGCAGGTACTCAGCTCCATCTAAATTTTGTCCAACCTTGAGGTCATCCGGATGGAACGGCATCTCGGACGTTATGTCCGCATCAATGATCGTGCCGGGGTCCGCGGTGACGTTGTAGTGACTTTGCTCACACCAATACCACGTGCTGTAAAACGCCTCAACCTGGGGTGCATCACTGAGGCTCACCCTAGAATCGTTTATCATCTTTATCGCGAATAATACCGCCGCTCCAACGCCGCCCGCTTCTGGAGACATACCAAGATCTCCACGCGAGGCGAAAATTGCAGTGGATTTACTGGTGCCTGTAGCTTGCTCGGCGTATGAAACATTCAAAACAAATGGCGCCATGTAGTAGGAATTGATGGGAACGTCAATCGGGAATCGGTAGGAGCAGTTCTGTTGGTCATCGAAGCTTCCGACACAACCCACTTCGACTATGTCAGTCAAGTTCAGGAAGTCGCTGCATACTCCGAGAGTGGTGAAATTGGGCCAAGAGCAACGCTCCCCGGGACATGAGTATGCTGGTTGGAAGACCGATCCAGAGATGCCATCAATGATTGAAGACTGAAGCTTGAAGAGATCTTGGTTCCATTCGATAGCGTAGTCAAACTCTGTTCATATTCAAGTTTTGCTAATCAGTCTCTCGGACCTTTTGAAGGGGCAGATCCCTTTCGAGGAATTGCTAGGCTAGCTACCACTTACGCTCTGTGGTCATATCTGTATCCTCAACGAATGCCTTGGAAATATATGAGCTCGCAACCCCGATAGAAGCGGACGTGTTTGTGAGCCTGGTTTCTCTTGTCGGGAAATCTAGAATCTGCTGGGCACTAGGATCGAATCCAAGTGACACCAGGGATACAATAGCCAAAGCCCGGGCGGTAAAGGCACCGATACGAAAGTCGGAAAGAAGCATTAGCGAGCCCCATGGGCCTCGGCTGGCCTCGTCTAGAAGTTGCAAGTCGCTCAGTCGGTTCGCGCGTAATTCGAAATGCCTCCATTTCAATTGGCTTATGCAAGATGCAATCGGGACCATCATGGCGGATTTACCGACAGTCGTGAACACTGCAATCAAGGAGTTCGGTTGAATCCACAATGGCCAAGCTGCAAGAGATCGATCATTGGCTTCGAAGAGGACTACCAGGACGAGCCCCATGCTGATGATACTTACGAGCGCTCCGCCGATTTCCCACCACCACCACCATGAGATTCTAGCCTTGGGCTTGATTCCGCTGGGCGTCTTGGCAACTGCAAGTGTCGGAGTAGCGACTTGCCCATCGTCTGCATGGTTCGGTAGTGGTTGGTGGGGTGGGTAATTGTTTTGTGCGTTGGTCGGGACCTGTTGAAGAGCAGCTGGAAAGGGGTTTTCAGAGGAGTGCGAAGAGGAAGAACTTTCAGTGCCCACATCAAGCGAGTCGCGAGACAGGGCAGACTCGGAGTCATACAGTAGGCTATCAGCGTCGGAGGGTCTAGACATGATTGCGATACGTCGGCTTTAGCGGCACTTATCAAGCCTCAGGAAACTTTTTCACTGGGAGTATAAAACGTCAGAAGGCCAGAAAATCAATATCAACATAGTGATCAAATACAGCTGAGGAAGAGAAAAGATCGACATAACTACATGGTAAGGGATAGTGGCTTTATAAGACATCAGCGAGGTCCCAGATGGGGGCCATAAACCCATGAAACAGCACTTCCAGGCTCCAACTCAGCTACATCCGATATGTTCACCTCGCAAAGAGCTGGACAGTGATACCACAGCAAAATGGGGCCTAAGTAACTAGCTCAGCCTATCAAAAACTGTAAGGTTCGTCAAGCGACATATTGTGAAACAAGGGTCAGCCTACATTCACCCAGGCTCCGTGATGACATTCACTGATAGAATCGAGTGAGTGGTGACACAAGGAGGCGCAGGAATATGCAGTACGATGTCGGAGACAGGCTTAGGTCTGACTAGCCGCACCAAGCTTTTCGCTCTTTTTGTGTGCAGTTACAGTATAATTTATATTACCCGCGTCTAAATAGTCAACAATTGACTGGACTGCATCAAGCAAGTACTACGTCTAAAGTTGTGCCTTTAAATATACGGCTTCGGCGATCCTGGACATTGAGGAAAGTATACTCCAGCGCTATCGTTGGATCGCCGTTGACCATGTTATACGCGATGCCGAGAACGTTTGGCTCCGTCCACACTGGTCGTAACCCCCTGGCCGCAAGTCTGTCCCACCATTCAAGATACCACTGCGCCGTGTCGTGCGTTTTCATATGGACTTCGATCAGGAGCTGGCCGATAGGCAGCTCGAGACCTTGGCTCGCAGGGAAGGCCTCGCTGAGGCCATCCAGCGCCTCGAACTCGCTGCCCTCGATATCCATCTTGAGAATGTCAATGTACTCATGTCCATTTTGCTTCATCAGATCAGCAATACTGTAAAATGGCGGCTGGGCATCTGGGCTCGTCGTCTTTCCTGCAATCCCGGCCTGCGTGAAGTGCGCCCTGTTCCGGTTACCCGGCTCCAGCTGGGTGCCAAAGTCGCTGACGCTGAAATCGTACGCCCAGACTTCGGCCGCCTCGACACGAGAAAGAAACTCGTTTTCGAAGCTGGAGTCGTCCTCCACACCGAACGAGTATACGATACATTTCTGGCTCTCTTTCAACGTTGCCGAATATCGCGACATCCCGCACGTCCACTTGCCGCCATCGCCAAGACGGCCTATGCGCTCCATTTCAAGCGGTGGGCTCCACGAGGGCGGCGTGATGTCCCAGATCGTGTACGGCGCTCGAAAATCCCATTTGCCTTCTTTGTACGGAAACCTGAGGAAGATTAGTCCTGGCCACTCCATCTTTAAACCGCCAGCCGGCAATGTGAACTTAGTGGACGACTGACAGTGACATGTTTCCAGCATTTCCTCTAAAGGCGGAAGCGATGACCTGCTGCCTCTTTTCCTTGTCCTTAACCCAACTCTTCTCCGCAAGGAGCATGTGCTCTTTCATAGTGGGTCTCATCTTTGCTGAGCTGTCCTTCACGTATAGCAAAACAGAAACACGGATAGTTGAGCAAGAATTTAACTACAGTCACAGTAGTACTAACAGAAGTACACATCGTAAATAATTCAACGTTGGTTTCAAAAATAAAGCGTCGGAGGACACAACATTGATATAAAGTTCAATTTTAATAATTATAGTTTTACGCGAATCATGCTTCACCGCCAATGAATAAGCTCACCGCTTCCGCGGCGCAGGTCATTGCCGTATAACACCGATGAGTGAAAACATTTTGGCAATTCGGTTTTCATCATTTTAGGACTCAACGTCCTTGAAAGTAGGCAGGCTTATAATCGTACGAATTGCGAGATGGGTAGTGTGCTCTTTATCACGAATCCCGAACTCGGGCAGCTGCAAGTTGCGCTAGCCGTTGCCCACTCAATTGTTCAGCAGGACGCCAGCGTCGAGATCCACCTCGCCACATATAAAGACGCAATTGCACCGGGTGTCATCGCGGCCGCCAGCGCCTATGCTACGGCCTCACACAGCTCCCCCACACCGCGGCCATTTGTGCTGCACGAGATCTCCGGCGTCCCCTGGGCCGACGCAGTGCGGTCACGGTCGACCAGCGGCAAAACCCTGATCCTGCCCAGTCTGCGACGCAGACCCACGCTGTGGTCCTGGAGGCAGCACCTGCGTGAAGTTGGATACTTTTTCCAGCCATGGGACGGCCCGCAGCTCGTCGAGGTGTACCGTTCTGTCCTGGACATAGTGAAGAGTGTGAACCCCGGTGTCACCCTCGTCGACAGCATGAACCTGCCTGGGAACGTGGCGTGTCGGCACCTCGGGGTCAAATGGTGCATTTTGACACCCAGTTCCCTGAAGGACTGGGCAGGCGGCGAGCAGCCTGCAGGGAGAATATTCTGGAAGTATCCCGCGTGAGTGCCACTCTCCCATATTCTCAGTAGAGAGCAGTGTAACTCGAACTCTGCTGACGACGTACGCCTGTGTTTTCCCGCTTATACAGGATGGGCTCAGGACTATCATATCCCTTGGCTTGGTATCAGGTGCCCATCAATGTATGTTTAGTCCTCTTGATGCTCTATCATATGATTCGGGGAGAAGCAGAAACGAACGATGTGGCGAATTACTTCGAGAAGCACACCGATGGGGCAACAATCCGCCTAGATCGGGCCCCAAATCCATTTGTTCGGGCGCTTGTGGGCATAATACCCGAACTCGACTACCCTTTGAAAGTGATACCTGAGAATATACTTCCCTGCGGACCGATTGTGCGACCATCGGCCCCCATTGCACAGTCAGACCCCGATCTTGCGAGATGGCTGAGTCGGGGGCCCACGATCTACGCCAACCTTGGCTCGCATTGTCCAATGAATGAGAAGCAAGCCTATGACTTCGCCATGGCCATAAGGCTACTGCTTGACAAGGCTCAAACGAGCGGCCAAGACGCTCCGATGCAGAAGCTGCAGGTTCTGTGGAAACTCAAGAAAGAAGGCAGTTTTGCGACTAGTGCTCCGGGATGTGCGATACATGCGATTCTTGGCGACGAAGTGAGAGACGATCTGATACGTATTGTGGAATGGGTTGAAGCAGAGCCTATGTCGATTCTGGAGAGCGGACATGTTGTTCTTTCGATCCACCACGGCGGTGCAAACTCTTTCGCTGAAGCCATCGTGTAAGTGAATTTTTGTGGGGTTCATTCCCAAGGAATACCATACTGAAGCTTACCTGTCTCATCTTCTCACCTCTGTATAGTGCAGGAGTTCCGCAGGTAGTCCTCACTCAGTGGGTAGATACCTTTGACTACGCAAGCCGGGTCGAGCTCGTCGGCGTTGGTCGGCGTGGAAACAAGTCATTGCACTCGGGCTGGGAGTCTGGAGAGTTGGGACAGGTTCTTATTGATATGGTCTTAGGGATCACTGCTGGAAGCTTTAAACAGAAAGCACAAGAGATCGCCAAATTAAGTGCAAGGAATGGTGGTGGCAGGACATTTGCTGCAGGATACCTACTAGACTTAATTTCAAGTGGTAAATAAGTCGTACTAGTTCAGAGTATCTCAATACGCTCACGAGTGTAAATGATCCTACACGGCCACTACTTTTACTGAAAACTTATGGGTACCGTGCTGGGGTAGACATCAACCCTTCGTATGTGAAGTGTCCTGGTTGTTGAGCTCAACTGTATCCGCCTTCTGCATATTGGCCTCTTTGCCCAGTGTCTTGACCATCGCGCATCTAGATTGCTCACCTCGTCCGAGTATCAACTTGCGGCTGACACCATCCACCTTAAGCATGAAGAGGTCGTCCCGTCGGGAGTCGTAGCGTTTCGGTCAGCTGCGTCCGAGCCCCGGAATTAAGCATCGGGAAATCCATGCCAAAGCCTCAGGTCCATCATGGACAGACCATACAATCAGCCCTTTCACCACTGAGCTGCTGAGTCGTATTGCATGACCACCGGCTGCGTAGTTTCCATAACCCACCTCCCCATCATGCCACTCTTGAGCGCAACACATCGTGTAGAGTTGCGAAAGCTCCCTAGTAATACGTGCAGAGGGGTCGAATGCAATGTGTGCTTTTTAGGAGGCGTGTGTCTGTGAAATGCTCGCCGCATTATCTGTGGAAGAAGCGACATGTCCAGGAGCAACAGAGTCGTCACCCGAAGTTCCTCTACTGGGAGAGGTAGCCCCCTCCAGAGAAACATCGTCGGGGGAATCAGGCTGGGCTGATCTTCTCTTCAACTTGTACCATAACATAGCGCCGATGCATGTTAAAAGAAGGAAAGTGGTCGTAATGCCCATGACGATTGCACCCGGGTCCGTGAGGAACGAATCGTCGATGCGTTCGATAGACCAGGGGTAGCAGTCTGACTTGACGACGATATATATGCCGAGACCCAGATAGAGGAAAGGTATGGCCCAACGCGAATACTTCTGAGACACAAGCAGAACGTGCTTCTGCCTCAACAAGAGGAATGCGACGAGGCACCACACTCCGACTAAGATGTAATACACGACAACATACACCGCTACTTCTGCTCCCTTCGCTTGCGAAAAGAGCGGTACATATGTGCCAATATTATCTCCTCCATTCATCACCGTGACGATCGAGACTTTAAGAATACTCTTCATCTTGGCAAATCTGGATTTCTCTGATTCTTCTGACTCCTGGCTGTGGCATGGAAGAATAGCATCGAGGAACTTCCAAGCTCCTAAAAGAGTAGGTAGTAGACCCAGAAATCCGATGGGCTGGGAGGGGATAGCTTGCGCGAGACCGTACCCGATCATGCTGACAACGACTATTACCGTGAAACCAATGTATTGACCAATGGTGATCTTGAGGGGAGTTAAGTCTTTCTTGGTAGAGGCTTCAGCAAAGAAAGTGACCAAGACGAACATGTCGTCGATGTTCGTGATAGCAAACGACGCACACGCCGTGCCGACTGACTTTCCGAACTCCATGGTGTGAACAGAGTTACGATCGCTTGTAAGTGGTACAATGTGATCAGACAGTGGCAAAAGAGGTCAAGATCGTGACAGATTTTCAGATTTGGAAGTCACGTGGATCATGACGGACATATATCGGATGGGAATAGTGGGTAGAGCTCCGCCATCCGCAAAGCCGCGCCCAATCCCACTGGACCCGCCACTGTACCTAGCGGGGTGCCCCAGACTTCTCAGTGGAAACCCTCATGATATTTTGAAATCAAGATAAATTTATTGAATTTACCTGATTTGATGTATACTTCCACCTTCCGAGTTATAAATACACTCGGCTGCCGGGGCTGTTGGTCTCACCGACAGGCACTCTAGTGCTTACAGTCATTGATGCCTGGTATTGGAACACTACAATCCAATAAAAGCTGAAAAGGGCCTCTAAATTCAACTGTTATATGACATGCTTTGTGTGACCGACCCAGGAATTGGATGGAGTCTGGCTCTCCATATAAATACCGTGCCCACTGTAGCAGAACCTCGCCTTAGCCTTCATCCTCTCATGTCGAAGCCAGGTAACCGCAACGTCAGCCTCTCCGAAACTCACTCACAATTACAAAATCTGCGTCGTCGGGCGCAATATATTGAGAGTAATTTATTGCAACAAAGTAAGAAACGATATAATCCTCTAAAAACATCATGGCCTTCGAGTGTGTGGCCGAGCGCAGGGGCCTCGTTGTAACCCATCAACACTGCCCCGACCGCCCTTACCTGGAGCTCCAGGTTCCAGATGATGCTGATGTAGTAAGGTCAATCGAATGTCTTTTTGTCGGGCGCGACCAAGGTACTTCGCATGATCACTCACATTGAAAAGCACTGATTGACTTTAAATCCACAATCAGGATGGTACACTGGTGGTATTCCAGACGCGTCATATGCTTGGGTCGATGCCACAATTGAGCGGCCATCTGGCCGCAATCTCTTAGGTTCTCTGAGTGTACAGTGCACTGAACCCGGCTCGCTGGATTACAAAGTGTACAACAGGCGCTGGGATATCCAATCTAAAAAGGTTCAGAGAGTATGGCATGATTTGCAACCGGGTGATGTGGTTCAAATGATACCACGTGCCAACTACCCAGGTTGGACCTGCTTGGTGCGTGAGGCTTGCATCAAGATTATATATAATGCGTCGCCAAAAGAAGCCTCGCCAGCTGGTGGGACCACGCCCTCATCACGGGGGAAAACGCCTTCCCTAATTTATCCTTCCCGTCTGGACAGCGAGAACCACATGGTCCGAATGCTCCTTGTGGAGCCTGCGCTATCTGCCGATGAGCCTCTCATCTGCTCCCTCACAACTACTCGGCTGCCACCAGGACGACCATTCGATGCTCTCTCATACTGCTGGGGAGCCGGTAGCTCCATGGACGTGCTAAATGTTAATGGTCAACATTTATCAGTCTCCAGCTCTGTCACGGCTGCGCTGCGACGACTTCGCTATGAAAAGCATGAATTGGCAATATGGATCGATCAAATCTGCATCAATCAACACGACGTCGATGAGCGTGATGAGCAGATACGCCTTATGGCTGAGATTTACTCCAGCGCGGCACAGGTGCACGTGTGGCTCGGGGAAGGCGACGTGGCGACATGGACTGCATTACGCATCATCCGTGACTCGTTCAACGTGAATTATAAAGTCTGCCCGGGAGGCGCCGCGTGCAAGTGTCATGGCACTACCCATGCGCTGGAGGTTGAGACCTTCAATTCCCGTCAGCGCCATGGCAAGCCGTCTTTCAAGCTCATGCACGAGGTATTCTTTGCGCATGTCAAGAACGAGCACGGTGAACTTGCTTATGCAGCTGGTATGGTCAACAACCTGCAACTCACGACTTTGATGTCCACTCTTTTTATTAATCCCTGGTTTCGCCGCGTTTGGGTACTACAAGAGGCTCTCCTGGCGCAAGAAGCCCTCGTACATTGCGGCGAGGAGCTCGTTCCTTGGAAGGAAGTGCTGCAAGTCAGTGATTGGCTGTCGACTATTCACCAACCGCTCTACCATGTACCGCACATCACCATGCCACACATTTGGGGTCTCCTCCGGCCACCCAGTGGCCAAGTTCAGGAGCTGGAGCTATTGGAATTGTTCATACACGGTCTTGAGATGAAGGCGACGGACACCAGGGACAAGCTGTTTGCGCTCCTTTCATTTGCAAGAGGAACAGAAAAGGGTACCCAAGTGCCTTTGGCCATCCAGAGCTCGTACAAGAAAAGTGTTGAGCAAGTATTCGCAAATTTCACCGCGTGGTGGATCTATGAACATCAATCTTTGTCGATACTCTCAGTCATCCACAGCCACAGAGACAGAACCTGGCAACGGCTTCACTGCGGCTCTGTGAAACCACAGTTGAAGTCACCAACGTGGGCCGTCGGGAATGAGGGACAAGCGAAGTGGGCTCGAATAACCTTGGCCGGCCGATTCGATTTCTGTGCATCTGCCGACACAGTACCTGACGAAGAACTGTTGCACCAGTCCTTGTCCAAGCCAACCCTCAAATTACGACTCAGGGGATTGAAGCTGACAACCATCAAAGGCATCCACCACCTCTCACTAGGACAGTGCAGCGAACCGCTCACAAAGTCCGCCAAAGAGCTGCTACAGGTAGTCGACATTCTATTCGATCCGTGTGGCCGTCATCGAACGTGGAATTCCAAGTTCAAAGGCCTAGATTGGAGCCCGCCACTATTAGTGGGAGCTGACAGGCTCAGGACGGAAGTACTCGATCACGTGAATACGCATTCATATTGGGAACAACGCGAATTTCAACCAGCCTGGCGACTTTCACGAGATGTGTCGGAGACTATGGCGGTGGACAAACAACTTGAAATTACAGATACAGGACTTCCGTCATGCCTTGACCCGTTCTTATTTGAGGCCGAGAATGGTTCCATTGGGATCTGCCCATGGATGGCTGAAAAGGGAGACGTGGTTGTGATATTATATGGAGGGAAGGTCCCATACTTGCTAAGACCGAACAGGAACGTCGACGTTGGGATAAATGAAGTCTTTTTCCAATTTATCGGAGAATGTTACGTTATGGGCGCCATGGATGGTATGTGGTTCAAAAGGCAGGTAGAGGAGGGCTCAAAGCCTCAGATGTTTACAATTATTTAGTAATATGTTATTATTTAGTGATATGTATGTCAAAGTGTAATTAGTATATGCATTCTTTTTAGTTTTTCACTGTAAATCAAATGCGAATTTCAATTCTCATTGCTTTGACGACTTTACATTCAATGACACTTTACAGATACATATTGTGAGAAGTTTGTATATCAAAATACAACATGTTTAATTTAATTTGTTTATAATAACAAATGTATAGTTCTGCAGTCCTGGAACCTTCATATCCAGGTCGAGGATCTTCCGGAGCATTGTGGACTCAGTCTGTCCTCGCCATTAAAATCAGACTTCGATTTTTTTGCCCACCTCGACTCTTTTGCAGATCATTCTCATGTCTTGACCAGCGATCATTTAGTCTACACGATTAAACTTTGAAGTTCCAAGAAAGCTAAGAAGGGAGCTCAGCGACCGCTATATCTAGCGCCTAAACTAATCATCGCCCTTTATTCTGCTCGACATCTTGTAGTCTTAAGTCGTTTGCTGCTGTCTTCGTCGGAGTGTGGTTCATGAATCCGACGTTTGAAGGGACGACGGTTGGAATCACTGGCGCCAAGCACCCCAACTTCCTCCATGGCTTCATCACGGTTGCCTTCAGTACCGTCTTCGCTGCTAGTCTCACGCGAAGAAGCCTTCCCTTCCTTCTTTTCGCCCTTCATCAGAGGGTAGCCAAGTAGCGCTCTCCGCTTGAAGAATTCCCAGGCCAACTCGTACGCCTGAGATTTGTCCCCGTTCTCCGGCCCCCTCTTCTTCAGGAATGCGGTCAAGGTTTGACGTGAGATAGCCAGTGCCTTCTGGAAGTCGTCCAAGTCAAACTCACTGTCCTCCCAGTCGTAGCTGCGCTGCCCCTCCCCCTCCCAGAAGCAGAAGCGCCTGATCATCGAACGAATCTGATCGCAATCCCAGTCTATATATGCTGGTGGTGCCAACTTGGCCTCAATACGAGTGCGTCCTGGCCAGGGACTAGGGAAGATAACAGAACGCCTGAGGGGGCCATACTTTCCGTAATCACGGACAGTATCAGGTCGCACACGAGGTGTCAGGTCAACGGTAGTGTCGATAGCTGCCACGACCTCCTCCTGTTTTAGAATATCCTCAGCCTGCCTCTCTTTTTCTAAGCCGTAGCGTAGCATGATTCGCTGTAGCCTACATTTTCGGATCTGCTCTGGCGTGGCGTCATCTTCAGGTATGCCATGTTTGGCTCTGTAAGCACGGTGGACCTCCTCTCTCTGTTTAGCAAGTGCCTCGCAGTAGTTGTTTACTTCATCGGCTGTCAGGTCTGGGAGAAGGGTCCTTCTGGCAGTCTGTCTCTGGTCTTCGCTAAGTTCGGCGGCTTCGTTGACTGACTGGTCTATCTACTCTAGCAGAAAGTCTCGGATGAAGTGGTTCGGCACGTCGGACAGAGTATGGTCACGTCCTAAACGGCCACCGCTCGTGAAGTCTCTCGATGGAGACCACATTCCACCACTGCCATTCTCATCTACGGAATCTAAGAAACAAATGTTTCCAATTAACGATTTTTTCCGGTGAGGTTCTAGGTTGAGAACCGCTGCGAAGATGTCGACGAGCTGAGCGTTGCTGAGGACAGATACAGGAAGCTGCTGCATGTCAGATACGCTCGAAGGAAAACATGGGAGATAGCACATGGGCCTACGGCACGGGATTCCGAGAAGGGCGTCGCAGGGTCCTCATGCTGACCGCGACGAGGATACGGCAGCGACAGTGGTGACAGTGCTCGCCGGCGTGGCTGATGGCATGTTAGCAAGTGGCTGCCAGGCCGCTGATCTAAAGTAACCCACAGGCATTGGAGCGGTGGACGACTGCAAGAGGAGGATATGGAACTTGAAGATTGGAAGCGGGTTCGATTGCCGATTTCGCGAGTCTGCAGGTGGGACATGAGTTCCTCTGGTGCCGAGAGGGGTGGGGCGCCAAAGGTATCCGGGGTTACAGCTGGCAATTGTAACCAGCTACCCAGCGTTGACCCACCCATGATGTCAGTGGGCTCACTCCAGGGATGATTTCCGACACAACGCTGACCTTGCTCTGGTAATATAACCGCTGTTTAAAGAAGCCCGTGCACAAACAGATCAGGCAAAAGGTTCAAACCACATTTGTGACCCAAAGGACAATTCTGCATTCCAAGCGAATGTGCTCATGTTACCGATTTGATGAGTGGGAAATTATTGAGGACATTAGCTGATACGTTTTTGAACTGGAGCGATGATCGTAAGATCTAGCCTTTCTTACAGAGCAAGAAAACCTAGTGCGCTGAAAACATCAACAAAAACTGTATCAGGGTTTTCCCCTCCTTTTGCCCTTAAATATTTATTCTACCTCGGGTGCTGCGACTTATTTGGAAAGTGTACTTCGGAATAACAAAGTCGTGATAAGTCGCATTGACCTCATCAGATGCGCACCAGACTGCTTTGCAGATGGTGAACCCAGTGGCGATCGACACCCTCTCCCATAATGTCAGGTTTTGCATGGTCCTAGCTGCATATGAATCGAAAAGAGGTCCATAAGAGCTTTGTGGGCTCGACCTTGATGATACGAAGCTGTGTCGGAAGAGGAACCAGAATATGATATACTTAGCGGGCCTATTTTCTACTTGTGTATATGAGATGTTTTAGCTAATAACTAACAAGTCCGTATATAAATTTACCATTGGATAATTAGGAACCCATATCTACCCCTCATCAGGTAGAAGATTAGAGTTCAACGCATACCTTCAACCCGAGAAAGCCGAGACCTTGGCCTCTCTACCTTTCTTACATTTCCCCTAACCTCATAGACGTACTGAATAATAGATCTCGCGAATTTCCATATTATGATCAAGTTTTCCTAGATTATCGCCTTGTCCTGGAAGACATGCAGTACCTGACTATCTCAATCTTCAATTGCGTGAATCGCATGCGATAAGATGTCTCCACGACCACCGCCCACGCTTATCAAGGGCTCTCTGGCGTCTGGCGAGGGAGTCCTTATACTCGGCCTCTTTCGCTCAGGCACTAAATCACTTTATCACGCCATGCGCATCCTAGGTTACGAGCATGTTCACCACGCCTCGGAAGATCACGACGGCGACAGCTGGGATCGGATCGCCGAGGCGGCGCATGCCACATTTCCGATTCTCAGCCGGCTCAAGGATAAGCCGAAGCCGGCAGGGTTTGGGAAGGCCGAGTGGGACTGCGTCTTTGGCGAGTTCCAGGCCGTGAGTGACGTCGCTTCCGTCTTCGCGCCGGAGCTGATATCGACGTACCCGGGCGCCAAGGTGGTGCTGGTGCAGCGGGACTTCGAGAGCTGGTTCTCTAGTGTCGACATGGTCTTCATCAGCTCCATCCTCGACCCGCGCAGGAAGCTCGTGTACGACCTCGTGGTCAGGCCAGTGAGAAAGCTGCACTTCTACGTCGGTCTGCGGAGCATCTGCATGGGGCTGTTTGGGGCGACCACGGCAGAGAAGGCGAGGCGCAGGGCTAAAGAGGTCTGGGAGACGCATCACGAGACGGTAAGGAGGATGGTGCCCAAGGAGCGGCTACTGGACTTCAAACCGGGTGAGGAGTTGTCTTGGGAGAGACTTTGTGCATTTCTGGGGAAAGAGATTCCCGCCGACGTGGGCTTTCCGTGGGTGAATTCTAGGGCGGCCTGGGTTGGAGAGACGGCGCAAACGGAAGACAGGATCGTGTCCGGTTGTCTAATTGCCTGGGCCTGGTACACATTGCCTGTTTTCATGTTTTGTGCCGGATATTATGTTGCCAAGTTGACATAACCAGGCAGATGTTCGGCCGCTGTGTAGAAGATTGCGTGGTCTAGGTAAGTCAAAATGCAGCAATGCCTCTTTTGGAGTTCGGACACAGAGTAATTTTATCGGACATATATAGCTTTTCTACCGATCCGGTTGGCAGCTTTGAACTGCAGAAGTAGACGTGAAAGGTCATTTCTATGTGGAGCGCCGAAATTATTGTATAGATCCTGGAATACATTCCAAAGCTCATTTTGTTGCTTGGCCTAAGGGTCAGTCTTGACTACACGTACGTCTCAAATGACTTGCCAAGTGTACTCGGATCCCTACGGCTTAAACATCGCGTCCCAGTACGGGCAACGATGGCTTACTCGCCTCGCGGACGACAGGTTGCATCGAGCCTAAGACCTACACCGATGACCTTCAACTCGAGTACGGAGACACAAGGCGTAGAATTGACACGCCTCGACAGGCTTGTCAAGATTTAATGGATGTGCCTCGGGACGTGGGCCGTTGAATTTCACCACAGAACGTCTATCTAACGATGACTATCCCGGCACGTGTGCACTTGGGTACCGGTATGCCATCTGAGTTGGCTATAAAAAATGCAAATGGCGTTCTCAAATTTGCGGAATTGCAGCCAGTCAGGCAGTCGACAGCAATCGAGGGCCTGCACTCGGCAACCCAATCATTCAGCAACAGAGAGAAGAAGAAGAAGAGAAGAGGCTTATATTGTGAAGCGGCAGAAAAAGAAGAAAGGCGAGTAATACACTGCTCCGCTCATTGCTCACGCCCCATGTGCAGCACAAATGTGGCTTGTTTGTCGGTCAGCCGTTCATCACCGGTCCAGGACTAATTGATTGGCCTACATTTCACTTATGGAGCCATGGCATATGCATTTCCCTTGGCTTAATCTTCTTTTGCGCAACCAGATCGGAGCTCCTTCGGCTACTTTATTGGCCTGATCCTTTGCGTCGGAAGCTGATGTTTCTTGGAATGTTTCTAGTGTTCGCACGCAAGAATTTCATTCTACTCCAACTCTCATCCGCGATAGCGCTGTTGCTGAGCAATCGAGAATCGCTCGCTCGGGTATCTATGCGCCCAATTCAATAACAGAGACATGACAACAGCCACAGTGACCCCAACGCTGCCGGCTAGTTGGGAACCAACCGTTGCCGGCTGTCTCAGCACGAGTGACTTCTGGCAGTGGGACTACGGCCCTGCAAAGGACAAGCGGACAGTTCTCGGAGGCCCATCACAGACGACGAACTGCCTCCCAACGGCATGGGCATCCGACATCGTATATTCTGGATCGGAGTGTCCGCCGAATTACACTTCTGCGTGCCAAGGAACTGATACCCTCAGCGCAGTCACCTGTTGCCCATCGTATGTTCGGTTCCCCAGGCTCCCCTGACATTCATGATCGTGAAGTCGCTGACAGAACATATGTATGGTATCGCAGCCTCTACCGATTTACCTGTGTTTACCCTGTTTCTTCGCTATATCACGGCTCCCAATTCCGATGTATGTCCGCGTGGGCGACCTCGAAAGCCGTCCGCGTGACGCACACCAACTTTGTCGAAAACAATCTGGCCGTGGAGACGCAGACCGCCCAGCCAAACCTGCATGTATTCGCTTTGGCGATTATATACGTCACGTCGGTATGTTCCTGATCGGACGCTTTCGTAGTCTCTCTGATGCCCTTGCGGATGTTGATAGTTCACATGGCAGTCTTCTGAGTCCTCGGCAACCTCTGTGGAAGGCTCGAACGATCTCACGGCCATTTCTTCTCAAACAGACATCTCCTCTTCGTCCTCCAGCTCTACTGCACAATCCGCCTCTCGAGATAGCTCTTCAGACACTGGGATCAGTACAGGTGCTTCTGCCGGTATCGGTATTAGGGCCGCGGTGGTCGTGGCATTTCTGGCCTTCGTTGCATGGTGGATGTACCGTCGGAGAAGGTTTCCGAGACAGGTGTCCGAGCTTGGTACTGACCACTCTCCGTACACTCCGGAGATGGCCGGTCAAGAAGTATCAAATGTCGGGTACAAAGATCCAAAAGCTGTACCGCCAACTGGATCCGAATTACCCGACGGTTCTCCGGCAGCCCAGGAACTGCCAGCCTACCCGCATTAAAGCCTTGATTAATGAGTATCGCTGCTATAACAGCCAAGACTGTCACGGTAAGCGCCCCACGCAGACTAGCATACAAATACTCGTAGATGAGGGCAATGGTCTGTTGTCAAACTCGGTCCTCAAGCTGGAGGCGGTCGGCGCCGCAAGCGCGACGTGGGATCTAGTCTTGTTGAGCCTCGATATGCTTATCTCGGTTGGATTTTTGAAGGAGCAGCACAGGTTCTTGCGTCGGCGTCAGCGCAAGACAAATCGCCGTAAGCGGCTTCTTCCTGCGTAACCCCCATCCGTATTTGCCGATTATTCCCACCGTTTTGAGTTGAAGATTCTCTCTGACAAAACTTAAGCCATCAAATATGGGCTCTCAATCTGGTGACGGTCGACTGCTCGCGAGCGCGGGCTCCGCAGACATAATGTGTATGCGAGTCCTCTGAGTCTCGGGGGTGCTGACTCTGTCTCTTCGCGAGGACGGGTATGCGACAACCGCTTGTTGAAGGATGCAGTTTGACTGTTGTTGAATTCCGTGTCAAAATTTAATTATATCGTATACTAAATCCTTCTCATCAGCTGTATGTATCTTGGTATAGAACAGGGTCAAATTCAAGTATGAGCAGGCCTTGTAATTAATGATATCTGTATCGGATTCAACATCCAGCGTGACGCCAGAGGTGCTCTGCCCATAGTCCACGCAGCCGTGTACACCGAGGATCAAGGAGCATACTGTTGGCTTGGCCTATTAAATACATCACCTGATCTTGCAGGTATCTCCATTCCGTAGCTTTGTCGATGGCAATGCACTGAGATAACCATGGGTGTCGTTGAGAGGAAGTAGAAGTGAGCTGTATGGCACTGCCTGCATCAAACACCGACAGTCCAGGCGAATGGTTGGGGAAAGTTGACGCCAGCTGCATAACAGCGCCTCAATTGATGGACGATTTATTAACAAGATTACATGTCTTCAAGCTTCTTCCTGGTTTCCACATTCATTTCATCTCTACTTTCTCCATCGCATGCAAGTGTAACTACGTCGAGGCTAAGACCCCAAGTCTGTATCCACAAAGATCACCTGCAAAAACAATAAGCAGGCCTCACGGGAGACGAAGTAGCATTTGAGACTGGCGCTTCATCGCAGAGAGAATATTAGCATGGCTTCATTCATCTACTGTTCCCTCGACACTGCACAAGCATCTATACGCCTCATCCGCCTCATTGCCGGCCATGGCCCTGCTCAATGCGAAATCTTCCACCCATTCCTCCCACCTGCCTCCTCCAGAGCGCACCTTACCATGAAAATCCCATACGAAGCCTTATCCTACACGTGGGGTGGCACCGAGAGAACCGAAACCATCATCGCCAACGGGAGGTCCTTGGAGGCAACCAATGACCTCTACCTCGCTCTGACTTCCCTACGCCAGGAAGATACGGATAGGATCCTGTGGATGAAAGCCATCTGCATTGACCAGGAAAATGCAAGAGAACGGACTCACCAAGTTAGACAGATGGCCAGGATTTATGAAAGTACCGATACAGTGATCCTATGGCTGGGGCAGGCAACATACACAATAAATGTGGCACTGGATTCATTGAGGCAGTTGGAAGATGAGAGTAAGACAGTTGCATGTAGGAGGTGGAAGAAGGTGGATGTACGATGGGGGATGCTTTAGTCAAAAATACAGACGAAGTTGGCAAGACGACACCCAGGCCTTGTTTCGAGGCAAAGAGAGAGGTCAAGGGACCTGTTGGACAGACCATGGTTTGAGAGGGTCTGGATCATTCAAGAGGTAGCGAACTCACGGAGAGCGCGTGTTTATTGTGGGAAAAGTCGGTGTCTGCCCGTGTATCGCTCTGTCCCCACATCTCTTCGCCGTCAAGCCATCAGACCATGCTCAGGCTATCTTAGACATCATGCCCGGTCGATCAAGAGACGAATCATGGTGGGTTCAAAAGCTCGATCTTTACAAACTTCTTCGCAAATTTCGCTGTAGCAAGGCTACCGACCCGTGGGACAAGGTATATACCATTATCCGAACCGCGTCTGACTCCGAGCTGGAAGAAGTCCTGGTACCTAGTTATGAACATACTGACCGTCAAGTCATTCAAGAGACGGTCTCATCTCTCTGACATATCGACATTGAGTCCCTTCCTGGCGCGTCGGAAGGATACTCGAATGCTATGGTCGATGACCAGTCCATGACCGGGTTCCTCAAGACCATTGACTCACTGTGTGCGGCAGCCATGGACCAGCACCTTCGTGTTTATCGCGGCAACGGAACAACGTCCTTCTACGTCTAAAAGGGACGCAATATCCGTATTACGAACGAGATGATAAATCTGGCGGACAAGCAGAGGCATAAATACGAGATCGATACTTCGATGAAGCGGCAGCGAGGCACCCGTCACAGATCGTGTTCTATATTCTGCGGCGTGCTCTTTCAGTATCAAGGACAAATTCGAGGTACTATTGAGGGCTAAAGGTGACCGGATCCAATTGACACCCAATTTGTTGAAAACGTTGTTGGAAAATGAACCAGCGCAGACAGAGGCGGCAATGAAATTGCTTAAAGAGCACCAAAAGGCAATCGGCTTAGTGAGCGTCTTTCGCCGCAAGGTCCTGACAGAGAAGGGCAGAAGATGGATGTAGAGCAAATGTTCGACGAATTTCGGTCGGAGTGGGAAGGATCTGGTGTATGATCTTGATGGGACGAAACTGTAGGTTGAGGAGGCCATACGCGCTGTGGACCATCATGGACAATTTAAGAGTGTTTCCACATGTAGTCTATCACTTGATGGCCACTCGCACTCCCTTACCCTTTCTGGGCGGACAAGTAATAAAGGTAGCATAGCATGTAATTAGCCATAGCACTATAGTACTCTTGAGATGAAGCTTTATCATATCAATCATATCTACAGCCGGAAGTCAGTAAGAGTGCCAATTTCAGTTTCTAATTTAGTTAAAACTTATGAAATAAAATAATCTGTAAAGCTATCACGAGCTTTTTAGAAAGTAGGAAGCAGCTGTATTACTAGAACTGCATGCTTAAGGGCAGGATATGATGCAGCGGTAGCTTTAGCATAGCAGTCGACGTATTTCCAAGATACATTGATTAGAAGGATGTGTCAAAAAGTCAACATGGTCAGTTCTATTTCAAGCCATATAAACAGTCCACGTTATGCTATAATCCAGGTCATGCAGATAAATATCCAAGTGTACTTTGAATATATCCCTAAGTGATGATGACCCATCTTCCTGCCCATGTCCGCCCTGTCCCGGCCAGTAAATCAGACGCCTCGATTTGCGAAAAGCGACATTGTTGACTTTTGTGAGCAACTACCGCTTCTAAAGGATAGAACGGGTGATAATTGAAAACAGGTATTGCAAATCGGGAATGTACTGAAGACGTTCGTAATTACGGAGCAGGACATTCAATAACACTTGACATTTGGATATTCGGGTGTCGCAAGAGCTTTTTGTGGGGCATGCGACACGGGGATCTATGAAATGCGAAGCCGTCGACGGGTTTTCAGGTGGCCAGGAACACAAGACATAACCACACATGTCAGACATAAACACACAAGTCGAGGGTCGTTCGTACATTGGCCACAAGGATGAATCGATACACAGAGCATAAACAGCAGCAACACAAGGCCGGTCTAGCTTGCGATGCGAGATGCATGCGGATGGTTTATGTGGCAGGCCAAGACAAGCAAGATTCAGGAAACACAGTCAATCTGACAAACGAAATCTGACTTGCTTGGTCTTGCAGGGGAATAGTCGAAGAGGCATCTCTTTCATAATTTTCCAGAGGCTAGTCTTTGCTGCGGCAGAATGTGCAGCAAGTGGATCGGGAAGGTCGAGTCAAGGCTGCAACTAAAGTACGAAGTGTTGGTATGATGGTATGATGAACGTAGAAATATACCCAGAAATGTCGTATCCTGATCATCGGAGCGGATTATAGAGAGGAATCTCCCATCATACCCAACATTTGCTTTGCGAAAGCGGGTAAGTCGAGGGCCATGCTGCGGAGACATTTGAAAATGGCTGCAGAGGGCCCATCAACAGCACCCCGTTCGCACTTGGATTATGGCCTTTCATGCTTCACCTGTTTGCCCCAATCACGAACTTGCTGCTTCTACCTCAGATACAATACACATGTAGGTAGAAGCCTCTTGTTCGCCCACGCAATGGCTCTATCAAAGACTCCCGGCGAGGCTAGCAGTTTCTGTTCCTGAGTCCATCCGCTAGTTGAAGAATGGCTGAATGGTCGCCCCGTGTGCGGGCGGCGAATTGGGGGCCACAATTCTTATCAAGGGGTCTACGTCGACTCTGCAGTGTCACACAGCTCACCAATGGCCGGGAGGCAGTAAGCTGACAGCCAGAATAGGCAGCTCGTCGGCAAAGGTTGGTGCCCGAAATATGGATCGGATTTATTCCTCCCGTTCCCAAATGTCTTGCACACGCTTTACCTTCCAAACAACCTCACTTATTTCTTCGCTGCTTTTCCACTCCCTTCGGAATACCTAGCATGCAGAAGCACTCCACATTTGTGAACTGAGACAAGCATTAGTGTCAGCATGCCAAACTTGGATCCAAGCTACCTCGATGCACCAGCCATACCGGCTCCTGCAGGACATGTATCGGACTTTGAGCATCCTGTTCGCATAAGCCTTCACCTGTCGCAGTTCCCCATCCATCCTCTCTTGAGGTCTCGCAGATCACATAGGTTACTGACACCCAGCAGGGTGGCATTCATCGATTGGCCTATTTTGCTATCATTCTCTGCGGTGCCCTGGCAGCCCTCTCATCGCTATTTCGAATCGCTTCTCGTATCATGAAGAAACCTCGGCACATTGGCATCGGGGACTTTCTGTTGGTTGCAGCACTGGTATGTGTCTCCTTGCAGATTTTCTTTACGCGCCCCGGAGAGACGAGAAATTCACAGACTCTACCCTAGGGTCTATACTCGGGCTTTCTTTACCTATGCTACGAAATTGCCCGATTTCCTGGTTTCCTTGTCCATGAATGGAACATCAGACTGCGGGATACCGTTGACTTCTCCTGGGTAAGCACACTGAAAGCATCTGAATCATCCATCAAGTCATTCCAATGCTGACTCTGGGCTTTCCGGGCGTAGCGACTTCATCTTGCCTCCAACTTCTACGGCCTTACCCTACTTTGTTTAAAATTGGCCATCCTGATCGACTGGTTGCATCTATTCAACCCTAGAATGCAGCGGAACACGGTATTCTGGACCATCCATGTGCTGCTTATCATGAACACCATCTACTACATATCCGCGTTTTTCTTGGATAGATTCCGTTGCAGTCCAATCGAGAAGACTTGGAACCCTTTGTATGTCGGCGGAAGTTGTCCGATAGACGCAAACGCTTTGAACATTGTTTCTTCACTCCTGAATTTGATTTCCGATTTCATCATTCTTCTCCTCCCTCAGTGGATCATCTGGAGGTTGAACTTGACCAAGGCCAAAAAACTTGGTGCCTCTCTACTTTTCGTGATAGGAATTTTGTAAGCTTGCCCGGTCTGCTTTACCTTTTTTTCTCTGGCGGAGGCACATGCGTTTGATCTTCCATTTACACACTCTCCTGTGTCTGTTATCTGATGAGTCCGTTGTCTGACTGACACCTTCCCAGTGCTACGGCTTGTGGGATAGCACGAATGGTCTATTCGATCGAAACCCTCTACTCGAAGGACTACACCTACATCTACACCACGGTCGGACTGTGGAGCCTTGGCGAACTCACATCCGGTTTCCTCGTCATCGGCGTCCCTTCGATTCCCAAAGTTTACCGCAGCCTTTACTCACAGCCCGACTCTATCGTGCATACCATGGCCACCAGGCTTCGGGGTACACGCACGGCGGACTCGGGTGGAGGCGCAGGACGAGCTCATCACGTCGAGAGCGGCAGTGGCAGCGCGAACTTGCCATCGTGGTTCACACCTCGGCCATCAAGCCAATCGCGGGATATGTGGAACATCACCAGAGACGACGGCTATGGTTTGCTGCCGGACCAACATGGGAGAGCTGCTTACGTAGAGGCGTATCCGGACCCTGCATCCAGCGTAGAGCTTCCAGAATACGCCATAATACGGGAAACGCGGGTACAAATCAGCAGTCAGCCAAGACTTTACAGTGACGGATCGATCAAGTGGCAGGACCCGAAGTAGTGGATGTGAGATCGAAGAAAAATATCCCAGCCGCAGCCGTCAAACGGGAAGTATTGCGGAAATAGTCAGCATACTTGATAGCAATCTATGTCTGTTTCATCCAGTCTGTCCACTTCAAATTCGAAAGCATTCACGCCATGATCGAGCTCTGAGCTCTGACCGCAGTTGAGGCCTCTGACATTGGGCCCGGGTATGTGACATTAATGCTATTGCTAATTCAGCCGAGGCCCCCTTTGTGCCATTTCCTTTGTAATGATGTCTTCTAAAACTCAGCAGGACCAGGGTAGAAAACCATTCAACTAATTTATCCCCGTGGTGTCGGGGCAAGACTTTCTGTGTTTCAACCCAGCATGCACCTAGGCAACCTCCGGAGATGAAAAAGGGGTCCTCGCGGGAGCCTTGTACCTACCGAGGTACCTAGCTTTGTACACAGTGATACCTAGGTACAGCTCGTTAAAGGAATGGCGCTAAGTCTCTGCTGACCGAGGGGGCCAAAGTCAATGCATCCCGCAGTGTGTACTTAGGTACATGTGTAAAAAGAGAAAGAAAACGTTTCTCCGAGCTTAAGTACTGTTGTGTAACCATGGCAGCCTCGACCAACTTTCTTGAAACTATTCCCTTCGTAGGTGGCTATATCCGTAATTGCCGAATTTCGATTGATGCCAACGCGTGAAACAAGCGCGCGAACATGCAAACCTCACAGAGATTCATCACTTGGATTTAAACAATGGCGACTTCCGCACACATTCTCAAGATGACTGAGTGCTTCCGAGTCTGCATCGCGGCCGAGAATCTCGAGGGACACGCAACCCTACCACTTCATATCTCATTCTGAACGGGGGTTATACCCTACATCATTGACCCTACCACATCACCCAGAATTTGGGCAACACAAATCACGATGTCGATTCTCATCCGCGCAAACGACGCCCTCGGCATCAACCCCCCCTCCGGAGTGGACTCAGCCCTGTCTGTACACGGTTCTGACTTCCTCTGGGCTGTCACGGCGATCTTCATCGTATCCTTTGTAAGTATCGCCCACTATGGCCCGGTCCTCACAATTGAGCCTTGCTATTCTAATACTAAAACTGCCTTTTTCTCCCAGCTTGGTCTCCTCGTCTTCTGCTTCACCACTCCTGAGAGCGATAGAGTCTTCCACTACCTTTTCACGTGTGCCCTCCTAGCCGGCTCTGTTTCCTACTACGCCCAGGCCTCTGATCTTGGTTGGAGCGCTGTTGAGCAGGTTGACGGCAGCGGAACCCGCCAGATCTTCTGGCCAAGATATGTCAACTGGGCCGTTGCGTTCCCGTCTGTTACCCTCGCCCTTGGACTTCTATCAGATGTCTCGTGGACAACCATCTTCACCAACATCTTTATCTGCTTGCTGTGGGTCGTCACCTATCTTGTTGGTGCCTACACCACCACCGTCTACAAGTGGGGCTTCTTTGCCTTTGGAACCTTTGCCTTCGTCATTCTTGCCATGAGCACGCTCAACGAGAGCAGGGAGGCAGCGCAACGCAGCGGAATCACTAGGGACTACATGATCCTAGCAGCAATTGCGAATCTTTGCTGGATCTTGTACCCCGTTGCCTGGGGATTGACCGATGGCGGCAACAAGATTGGCGTCACCGCCGGTTTCATATTCTTCGGTGTTCTCGACATACTGCTCGTTCCTGGCTTGAGTTTCGTCTTGGTGTTCCTCTCACGCAAGTGGGGCTACGCTCAGCTGAACCTCGACCTCAGCGAATCTCGAAGCGGATGGCACGCCAACAGCGACCGGAAGGAGCCAGTCTTGGAGGCACACCGCGGCTCGTCGGTCTAAATAAACCAACGGTGGTGAGAGGTTGTTGAAGGACCAGAGTCCTTACATGTGTGAAATCTTGACTTGGGATTAATCCTGTCATCTGCGAAGATATATTAACGATGATGGTTTGGTGGACTTGAGGGGATGATAACATTTCTGCTTGACATAAACATTTTAGTCGAACATAGGAAAAATAAAATATGAAATTGAGTGGCAATGAAAATTATTGATCTTCCTCGCTATGGACTACAAAATCCCGATCTGGGAATCTGAAGAAAATATGATTGGAGAACGTCCAGGCCTGATGAAACCAGAAAGACGGACATCTACATAGTTTCTACGCTAAGCCAGAATGAACAAGGTGTACTTGGTTGAATTAAAGGTCAACTTTTTTTTGGATGTATATTGACAATTTGCTGGTCACCAGGGCCTCCCCACCGGACTCTATTGGATCAAATATCATCAAGTAGAAAGGTTTTGTTGCGTGTTTCATGATTTTTAATGGCATGTAAAGGTTTCTGCAGTGGAGTGGAATGGAGTCAATCACAATTAGTGAAGAGTTAAGTATTTTACTTTTGGGAAAAATTACAAGAAATGAAAGAGACCGCGGACACGTCCCTACAATTTGTTTTCGAATCAGGAACCATGACTTCACTTCCTCCCTTAAGGATACGTATCACACGGGCCTGGTAGCTCGTGGATTCTCAGGGACGGGAATGCTTCCCTCATGGCTCTCTTCCCTCGGCCTCTGAGGGTCTTCCAAACCTGTCGTCCTGGGTTCTGGTATTACAGTGACTTCGACAGGGTCCTCAGAGCTCGCAAATGCGTTAGCACCAGGCTTCTGAGCGTCCGCGCATCTCTTTCGCGTACTGAATGGCGTCATAGCATGGCCGACGACCCACCACGCGAACAAGATTGGGAGAGCCTGGTATTCACGATTTGCACAGCCGCTCCATATTTGCACTAGCAGCAGCCAGGTACTGTGTGCCGGAAAAGCCCATCCCACTCTGTACCATCCGGCCTGGAGCTCCATTGGAAGGTCGACACTGGCCAGGTTCATCAAGATCCAGGTGATTATGAAGAGGGAGATCCACGCGAGAGGGATCCACGAGCCCAGCAGCACGTCATAGACTTGCCAATTGATATCGAGGAAAAGAATGTAAACCAGCCAAGTCTCGAAAAACTGCCCCGCGTTGACATCCCAGTCCTCTTTGAAGGCCCAGATGTAACCTGCGACGGCCAGACCGGCGAAAATGGCGTAAATTTTGCCAGTGACGAATCGAATAAGCCAGATGTCCCGTTTGCGCATAGACCTGAAAATGTTTTCCGTCATCATGGACATGTTCAGGATGATATTGATAAATACGGCAACGAGCTGTGGGATCAACATATTGACCGTCGTGAAGAACCCGGCGCTGCCCTGATTGGTAGGTTGTATAATGTCTGGGGCTGCCAAAATTGGGTTGACATAGGCAGCAACTGCGGCGGAGTTGCTACTGTTGAGCTGTTGAACAGCCCTGGCGCCACCGGGGGTGTGATAATAGGCACTTCGACTGGCAACGACAAGCGCTTGCAAATTCGCAGAGATCAAGCTGGCGATGGTAGGCCAGCGGACGGCGTTGTACACATAAGTGACGGAATTTGAGGCATTGTACGCCGCAGCACCAGTACTTGCAGCGCTTGTGCTGTTGATGGCAGAGCTTAGTCGCTTCGAAGCACCCGAGTCAATATAGACTGCCCCCCAGTATTGGCCCTTGCACACCGCGTCCCTCGCGGCTTGCTCGCTCCGGTAACTATTGATCGGGTCGGCCCATTCCAAAGACACAAATTCGTTGGATTTCATGCCGGAGTAAGCGCCCTTGACAGCCTGGCCTATATCACCCCCATCGTTGTCGACGACGAGGACCTTGAGTGCATGGATCCGATCGCGTTCATGGAATGCAGAACCAGACAGATATGACATGTCGGCCAGCACCAACAGCAAAATCACGATGAATGTGAACGCAAAAATGTTCCTGATAATCCCTTTGATGCGAGGCTGCCAGAATGGATCAGTGATCCGCATGCGGGGTGGGCCTTCTGGCAGCCCGCCTTTGCCCTTCTCTAAGCTGGAAGGCGATGACATGGTCGTCGCAATTGAGAATTCTATCAAGGTCAGTACAGTGGACTAAGGCTGCTCTTCCCAGGTGGGTCTTACAAGGACTGCAGCGTCTAGTGACCTTGATCGGTGGCAAGATCGCCAGGGAAGACGGAATTCAATACAGCCAGGGACCTAGCAATTGGACATTGAACTGGGAACAGTATACCGTTGCACTGAGAAACATCGCAGCATAAGATGTAATTCCACTATGAAGGCCAAGGTTGAGAATAACAAGGAAAATACGCGACAAAATCTCCTGTACATATTTTCTACTACTCTGAATGGAGCCTTATTTGACTCCCCTGTAACGTGACCGCAACCGATCTGTCATCGGAGCCAAGTTGTTGTCTTGAATAGTTTTTGTCAACAAGAACAGTATTATTAATAGAGCCATCCTCTTCCAACGGCGCCAATGCCTGGTCGTTTTCGTGTTGCCTCCTTGTCCCAGCATTCGGGGTGGAGGAGGGGTAGGGGGAGGTAGAAATGGCTTCGGATTAATTGTTTCTGTTTCTCGGATTAATGGTTTTCTTCCTTCCGATAAAATTCCATAGGCGGCCAGTCATCGGCCGTTGGGCTAAGCGCGAAACCCGTTGAGCCCTGAATGGGTCAAACCCGGTCAGATTTGACGCAGTCAGAGCCTCAGCCGCAGGTGTGGTATCGGTTCTTCGCACCGATCTGCCAAGCCAATTGGCCGGTTCTCAGACCGTTGCGTCACATCAATGCAACTGTCAGCTTGCAGGATCTTGGAGTACGCAGATGGCATTTGAGGACGCACCACCTACCTCAAAGCTTACGAATCAATCTACAAGATACAGGGGGTGATCCGAATTCGCCTCGCAGTATACGAAGACTGCTATCGTAGATAATTCCATAGAAGGTTAGCCCAGAGCAAATATGTATGCTGGTGAGGCTGTCCCTGAACATGTGGGATTCTTGCGAATTGTACGTGATCAAGAACAAGACACATTGCTTATTGAATTGAGTTGCGATTGAAACGGTGATTAGCTCGCTCTTGAATATTATAATCATTTGCCTCGAAAGCGTTATGGGAAAGGTAATTATCTATTCAAATTTCTCCTTGTCAAGGAGAACCCGACGAAACGTGAACAGCAAGAATCAGCGGCCTAGAACATATTACCTGAGAAATCACAACATCGGCCACCAATCCAGCCCTTTAACCGCAGGCCCCTTCATGCCTTGGCTCACCCTGGAGGCAATCACAAAAGAAACACCGTCAAGCCTAATTACTTTTTCGCAATTTTCCTCTGGGCAGCCATGCCGTACTTGTAGACTTTCCACATCAGTCCACTGCTATGGCCGAAACGGACCCGCTCATGCGAGAACTTGATCGCGTGTTCCACACGAGGCATACTAAGCCTGTCGTACCCGGCCACCGCTGAGTCCAGCGAGGTATTGTAGCATAGCTGTTCTGCTACATCCCAGCCGTCTTTCAGAGCAAGGTTCGCGCCGACCAGCACAAACGGGTTCACGACACGGTTCGCATCACCAATGAAGACGACCCCGCGCATCCGTGCGTCGTGCTGAAATGGTTGCTTCTCATAGGCGGGTCTGATGAAGGCAGTTGATGGGTCGGTCGCCTCGACGATAGTCTTGAAGGGCTCATCGAACATCGAGGCGGTCTTGAGCGCCTCATTCTTGAGCGCGACGAACTCTTCCGCTGTGAAGGGCCCATCATGGGCGTCACGTGCGGGTCCTGTCTTGCTTACTGCCCAGCCGATGGTTTCAGCATCGAATGGTGTGTAAATGCAGCATACACCTTCACCCGATGACATCTGGAGGCCGTAATCCTCCTCCACGGGATGTGGTAGTCCTTGGGTCAGACGAGAGATGCCGCCGATCTGTGTCGCGCCTGAGTACTCCATCTTCAAGTCGAAGGGCCGGAAAGTCTCTCGGATCTTAGAGTTGGCCCCGTCTGCGGCTATGAGTAGGTCACAGTCCTCGGTATGTGTTGTGCCAGCTTCGGCGTCCTGGATGGTGACTCTGATCTGTCCGTTCTGCAGGCGCTCGGCGGACGTGCAGGTACTTTGCCATTGAAATATTGCGTTTCCCTTCTCGGCATTTTCCAAGAGGATGCGCTTCAGATTCTCTCGCGTGATGCGCATGGTCGCAGCTGGCAGATTGCCGTAGGCTTTGGGAGCGATGTCCGCGAGAAACTTCCACTTGTCGCTCCATACGTTGATAAGGCCACTGTTGAGAGTTGAGTAGGGACGGATGCTATCCAGTAATCCCAACTGTTGCAATGCAAATAGGCCCTCGTCCGGACTGCCGCCGGTTATATCTAGTGTGTAGTTGGCTTTCTGGATGGAGTCCTGTCGAGTCTCCCTCTCAAACACGGTGACCTCGGGACGTTTCGATGATAAATTCTGAGGCCATAATTGATCAAGGGCGGAGACGAAGGCCAGAGAACCGATCCCGCCTCCTGCCACAAAGATGCGCTTTCCAGAGAGAAATTGCCCTGGCAGGGTTGTCATAGTACTGGCCATTTCCTTGCGTGTAAGACGTCTGTTGATCTCAATGTTGGAAGATGATGGGCGTTCTCAATATTTGCAAGTCTTCCTAGTTGGCAGTCAGGATGTTACATCGATGCAACTATTGTACTGGCACCTAAATACATGAATAGCTCGGGCCATTGCACATTTCATTTGATCTCCTCAGACTAGATTCTGAGTGCAGCACGGGAAAGATTACTTTGAGCTGCGGAATGTCAAGTCCGACAAGCTGACGTTACACAGGACTGATCACGTAACTTGAACCGCTCATCCGGAAAAATGGTTTTGTCTGCCGGATTATCGTTTCGGAACGTCTAAGATAATGGTACTTGTGCCTAACGCTTTCAAATTGTACCTCTAGAAATAAGCACTATTCTTCTGGATACGATGTTAGGGGTAGGATACTTCGGGGCATTATGATGAATTTGTTCGTCGATTATCAAGTCCCAGCCCAATTTCAGCTGCAAGTGCGTGATAATTACTCTGCTTGTGACCAGTTGGTCTTCAGGAGGAATTTTTGTTGGTGACATCTTTCTGGATAAGTAGCTTCAGTACGTTTCTTTCAAGCTTCTCACTGTGATCATAGCGCCCACCTAGGTACCGTGAGGATTCTCCCGCACCTCCGCCTTTCTGCAGGGTGTGAGACAAGTGCAACCTTCCTATCACACATGGATCAATACCGATAACGGACCCGAATCCGATCGAGAAAGTTCCTTTGATCATTCGAGGCTGGAATCCCACATGTCTCACTTGGGCCATTCCCGCCATGCGGGCTGGGAGTTAGGCATTTAGGCAAAGCTTGAATAGACAGCCTAACCACGTAGGTAGGTACTGCTTACGGTACTTACGTAGTACTCCCTCCCTGTGCTTAGGCATACCCTTCGGCCGAAATCATGAGATCCGTCTTCCGTCGCCACAGAGGCACAGCACTCTAACCAAGATTACTCTTTCACACATGTGCACTGCATAGATCCGCCGTCTGACAGAAGTGAATGGCAACAAGGCGCTACTCTAAACAGCTGACAGTAGGTACTTATGTAGCCTGTCGGTGTCCTATGTTGGTGATCCTTTCGGGCGTAGGATACGAAGCAAAGCAGGAACAAAGGCACTCATCGGTTTTCAAACGAGCAAATTGGGTTCCATGCCTTTGTTGGCCCGGTGTTGGGGGCTGGTGCTGCAGCTGCTGCGCCGGCCTCCCGCGCCCCCTGCCATTCTGACAGCAGTTGGGCACGCTTCCCCGGCGAGCTATCCGCGGCAGCACAGCGCCACCCACTCTTGGACCACACCTCGTCCCATCCCATCTCTCTCCACCCACGCTGCTCCAAGCATTTTATGGAAATATCTTAATTTCATAAACCCGTCTTATCGGAGGCATGTTGCCGAGGAGAGGTCACAGCATCTGCAAAGACTCGAGCTGTTCCTGACATAACCCTGTGCAAGCGCAGCCTTAGCCAGTCAGCAAGCCAAGAGGAACATTTGCCGAGGGCTTTCGACCGACCACAAGGACATCAGAACCTAGGACCTATCAACATCATTTCTCCGTCCACAACATTATGACACCTATAGAGACCAGCCCGACACCCCCAGCGACGGCGACACGCGGCCAACGTCCCGGCTATGCATGTGATGAGTGTCGACGTCGCAAGCTTCGGTGTGACGGACGTCAACCACAGTGTAGTTTGTGTCAAGGAGCGGGAATCGTGTGCGAGGTCACGCAGCGCGGCCTACGAGGGCCCAAGAAGGGTTACCTGAAGGCTCTGAAGAACCGAGTTGTGCAGCTCGAGGCCCTTCTAGAGAGCCGGCTCAGGGCCCAGCAGCGACAACAAGGACAGGATGAGCAGCAAAATGAGCAGCAGATTGAGCCGCCGAATGAGCATGCGCAGCAAGGATCACAGAAGCAGCAGCAGCAGCAACACCAACAACAATATAGCGTTCTTATGGAGAACACCAGTGATGACGATGGCCTCATGATGCCGACCCCCCCAGAGCTTCCGGTGGCCCCTCTAGCTCCTCTTACTCTGCGTGCAACACCGCCTGCACCCAGGCCTGCGACGCCCGTGCTTCCGACGCCGCCATTGGAGTACGCAGACATGACGGTGTCAGAAGCACCGGCATTCGACTTTGCCCATCTTCAGCTGCCAGCGGTGGACTTTTCCGTGTCGAACCAAGATATGCTCCTTTCGTCTGGCAGTTTCCTGGCGGACTTGGGCTCCCTGCATGAGGACGTGTCTGCATCTCTTCTGCCACTGCCAGACACGCAGGTCCGTGTGACTGGGGTCGTTCAGGCTGAGCTGTAAGTCAGGCTGAAGAATCTGTTGTGCCCGTGGTGAGTGAACAATGTTTGTAAATGAGGGTCTAACGGTTGGATCTTGCTGTCAGAGACCAATTATACTTCGATCGAGTTCATCCATCAATTCCGATCCTCCACCAGCGACGTTACATGGCGTGGTCCCGGTCTAGGATCAAGAGGCCATCGCGCACGTGCCTACAGCATGCCATGTGGACGTTGGCGGCGTTGCTGTCTGCCGAGTACCGGGACATGGTGGACTCTCTGTACAGCTCAACGAGACAGATGCTGGAGGCACACGGCGTTGAGAGCAGCGATCCAGGTGGCAGTGACACAGAAGTTCTCCTGGCCTGGGTGCTTGTTGCGTTGTGCGAGTCTATGCGGACACGATATCGAGAGGCTTGGATGAGCGCCGGCCGAGCGATTCGCATGGTACAGGGCCTGCGTTTCCACGAGATCGATAGTCCTAGGACCTCCAAGGAAAGACGTCTTTCCGTAACTACATCGGCAACCCCAGAGATCGACGACTTCACTGAGATCGAACAGAGACGTCGTGTCTTCTGGATGGCCTACTTCCTGGACCACCTTCTCAGCATTCGCCACGATTGGCCTGTTACCCTACACGAGCATGTGGTAAGCATTTCAATCACACATACACAAAGAACAATGATTGCTTAGGGCTATGTATTGATATAAAGGAATTTCCTGCGATAGATCTGCACACGTTTACCAGTCCCAGACTTAGAGTTCCAGACGGGGCAACACGTCCTGGGTGATTTCTTATCAGAAGCCATAACAGAGCCTAATCCCAGAGTCAGGTCCCCATTCAACGAATGTCTGATCACGGTCACGATTTGTGGCCGTGTCCTGCTTCGTGGGCAGCAGCAGAACATATCCAGGGCATACGGAGACATCGGCTTGGATTGTGCCGAGCAGCGTTGGTGGCTGGACGGTATCCTCGCCACCAGGCTCCAAGTACTATCGCAATGCTATCCGTCGCCGGCCGAGGCCTACGAGCCAATGCTCCTCTTCGCACATGTGCTGGCCCCTGCCACCATTGTGTACTACTGTAACGGCATGATCGAGTCGCTGGTGAGCCGCGGCGACCGAACAGAGCCCGACGAACAGGTCTTGGAATATCAGCGTCGCGCCCTGGACGCTACTGCCACAATCACACGCCTTGCCAAGGCGTTGAGTGAACTGCATTTTTCCAAGGCAAGCTGGGATCCGCACGGTGCAAATGAAGCAAAGTTTCGCTAACGGTCTCAACCTAGGTGCATCCGCTGACACCAATCCCCTTATTCATCTGCGCCGAGTTCCTCTATGCCGACCGCAAAACCGAGCCCTTTGGTTCTCAGCTCCAAGAGCTGGCCGACGCATTATCCCAGCTTAAGAACGTCAACAACCTGGAACAAAGCTACCTAGACCTACTGCCACAGTCCTGTGTTAGTAAGCTGCCAGAGCTAACAGCCTAACAGGATGGTACTCGGCAACTCCGAGAGTGTACATTTGAAAGGGGTTGAAGAGGAGGGTGTGTGGGCAACTAAAGCGGGACTCATTTTATAGAGGGCCGATTTTGCCTCAGAAACAACCATCAACGATGTCGCCTCATTTGGAGCCATGCCAGGGTGAGAGTTGACTTTGGGCATGTTCTAGGTAACAAGTGCGCTACAGAAGGGTATCCCATGTTCGTGGTGGGTAGATTTGACTCGTTTGCTTTTCAGTAATGTTCAATGGTTCTGTTCTGTAATGTGACTTTGCGCTGGTAAGTCAGTCACTGTGCTATCACTAGTTGGATGACTTTGTGTGATGATACGACAGATTGATACTAAGGGCTGGGCCAGGCTGACATGACCTTGATAGTAGCGATTTGTTAGATGTACATCAGCTGTGCTCTCATAGAAAAAGGATGTATCTGTCGTGTCGTCTCCCTAGAAAGCGAAAATAAAACTTCCAGAACCCAAGGCCTATGGGCACAAAATTTTCCGGAGCTGTCACAGGATATGGAAGGCGACCGTGGGCGAGGAAGTCTTTGAGGGGAGCAGGACCGCACATGTTCGATAAAGTTGAACCGGATGATAATTGCCAGTATGTTGCTTCTTAGCCACGAAAGCCATATATGGCCTCTGATTCCACGGTCACCCATCAAGTCACTTTATTAAATAGATCCGACTTTCACATGAGCAACTGCAGATGCCTCTATCATATCGATCAATTACTCAGGTACCGATAAACGAAGAGTGGAGCTAATCCACGGACTGTTCATATAGCAGACACCCGCAATATCCGTGCCCTAGTATTTGCGCAGTAGTATATTGGGAGCTTAGTTAGAAGCTTCATATTGCCTGCCAAATATGCATGTAGAGTTGAGACAGAATATTCTCGTGTTCTGCATACATGTCTCAGACATCAGATAGCCTTGTGTTACTACATCGTCTTACTTTGAACCTTTCATATTGTAAGTGGCCATTGTACGCTCCATCATGTGCTGCTCCACTGTTGGAGCCGCGTCATCCGCATCCAATGCCGCGATCTCTTTGCCATCCTTGCTGAAAGCCTTGTCAAGTGGGCGAAGTTTGTAATCGATGTTACCGTCGAAAAAGAACACCACACTGTACCGGTCGTCCGGTGCCCGGTTGATGACCCGGTGGATGCTGCTCTTGTAAAGGCCGCCGGTAATGCGGCTTATCATGTCGCCCATGTTGACGACGTATGCGTCCCGTTTGGGCGGCACCCCAACCCACTCGTCCGTGTCGACATCCTTGACCTCGAGCCCGGCATGGTCGTCCTGTAGCAGCAAAGTGATGGCTCCAAAGTCGGTGTGCGCGCTGCTTCCCAGCTGACGCTTTCCCGTGCCGGTGGCAGGGACGGTTGGTGGGTAGTGAAGCAGGCGCAGCGGGCATGCTGGATCGTTGGATTTGATGCCGTCAAACACATGGGGCCCATATGGCAGCGTGGCCGCTATGAGATCAAGCACGACGTCGCAGAGCCGCTTCATGGCGGTGTAGTAGGCCTCGACGGGCTCGCGGAAGTCGCGAGCAGCGAGAAGTTCGGCCGGTGGCCAGACATTTGGCCCCATGAAGAAGCGGCCCGCCTTGACACGGGGGTCTTCGGTGGGCATATCCTGCCCAGCGAAGAATCCTTCCTTCAAATCAGGCAAGACGTGATCCTCGTACAGCTGTTGGCCCATGGTGTCGTAACCGCGGAACCCGACTGTCTTTTTGGCGTCAAGTGCGAGTTTGGAATTGGTGGGGAGCGCGAAGAACCGGGCGGCGGCTGCGAAAACAGCCGACTGCAGCTCTGGCCCGACGCCGTGTCCCGTCATTTGGAAGAAACCCGTCGAGAGGCATGCCTCTCGTACGTCGTTGACTACCTGCCGGGCAGCATCACTTTTAGGGTCCTTTATGAACGGCGTGATATCCACTAGGGGAAGGTAGAATGACGACGACTTTGCCGCAGGCATGGTGATCTGGTGATGACCGTTCAGCGAATAGAAGTGAAGTTCTACGCCTTTTCTCTTTGTATTGTTGAGTTAAAATAAGTAGGCAAGCTTCAATCACTGCTCAAGATTTACAATTTGGTAGATGCAACGTGAGGTGCCATTTCAAAATCGTTTTTATATATTTACGAAGTCATTAGTTGATGACTTCAGCTATCTTCCGTAGGATCCCAAAAGGAGAATTTCGGAATCTCTCTACGTGCATGGTATGCATGCAAGCCTCGTGGGCTGTCAAATTGTTGCTGCTATCGGCCCACTCGGGTATTTGTGCATGTGCTTACTTCCGGGCCGCCTTTTGTATTTGGCGCTTACCGGCTTTTTTGCAGTCGATGTGTCTTCAAAGGTAGTGCCGTCACATGGTTCCATCTGTACTAGACTCATACTGCCATATAGGCGGTACATATTTTACTCTGTTACTGCGTGATCCCTTCGAAACTAGGAGAAATTTAATTATTCGCAGGGAACGGAGTCGTGCACATTGACATTTTGTGCAGGCTTTTGCTTGGTTGACCAAGGACTGATTGGACATTGCAGTGGTAAGCAGGAGTAATAAAACTCCCAAATTTCTCCGTTCGATCCTCCTAGAATCCAGGATTATTGTATGCCATTGTACGACTGATTCGAACATCGAGATACACCTCTCGGAAAGGGGACATGCTTTGATAAAGATGTCCATTTTCTCGGCTAACTCATGATACACCCTTGGAAGTTCTTTCTAGCACTTCACCTGGCAAGTCTGTGGTGTCTATTTCTTTCTTTCTTCCTCGCTTCGTACTACATCACCTGTCACCCCGAGTCTTCGGTCATGGCGCTCCAGCAGAAAGCAGCCGCCCTTCTGGCGTCATTTCCCGAAGTTTCAACGTATCGTTGGTCCAGCAACGACGATTCAAAGCGCTTTTCTGTAGAAAACCCTGCTACGGGCCAAAAGATCACCACAATCCAGGCTGGAAATGCTGAGACGGCCCACGCGGCTATTAAGGCGTCACAAGAGGCATTCACCTCCTGGTCAGCACTGTCCCGACAGCAGCGCTGCGAGTACTTGATGCGTTCAGCGGACGAGCTCCAGAAACATCTCCACGAGCTCTCGCTACTTCTATGCCTGGAGAACGGAAAGCCACTCAAGGATGCAGTTCTCGATGTGTTCTTCTTGGTAGGAGTTTTCCGCTACTTCGGGTCTATCAGCGACAAGCTGCCCTCGGAATTCTTCGATCAAGGCAACGTCTACTCGGCCGTGATCTATGAGCCTCACGGCGTGTGCGTGGGGATTTTACCGTTTAATTGGCCACCTGTCCACGTCGGTGGAAAGTTGGCCCCTTGTCTCGCAGCCGGCAACACCATGATCTTGAAACCGGGAGAGCAGGCTCCGCTGACAGCAATTCGCATCGTCGAGATCCTGGAGACAATTCTTCCCAAGGATGTGGTCCAGATAGTGCCGGGCGTCGGCCCCGAAGTCCCGCAAGCCCTTGTCGAGCACCCTCTAGTGAAGATGGTGTCCCTTACGGGATCCACTCAGGTCGGGGCGAAAGTGGCCCAGGTCGCCGGAGCGTCACTGACGGCCACGGTGCTCGAGCTGGGTGGGAAGAACGCGTTTGTCGTGTTCGAGGACGCCAATGTCGACGCCGTGGTGAAGGACGCCATCGAGGGTGCCTTCTTCAACAAGGGCGAGGCCTGTACATCCGCCTCGCGAATCCTGGTTCACAAGAGCATATACCAGTCCTTCGTGGACAAGATGTCGGCCGCGGTGAAGAAGCTGCGCACGGGAGATGGCATTGAGGATACAACCCACGTTGGACCCGTGGTTTCCCGTGAGCGGCAGAAGCAGGTTCTGGAATCCATCGAGGCCGCCAAGAAGGAGGGCGCTCGCCTGGCCGCACAGGGATCCCTGCCGTCTGGAGAGCACGTCTCCAAAGGCTACTTTGTGCCACCGACATTGTTCGCCGACGTGACGCCCGAGATGAGGGTTGCAACGGAGGAGCTCTTCGGTCCCGTCGTGTGCGTCAGCTCGTTTGAGACGGAAGACGAGGCCGTTGGTGTCGTCAATGCCTCTGATTATGGCCTCTTCGCTGGCGTGTACTCGACTGAGTTCGGCCGTGCCATGCGGGTCGCCCGCCGTATCGATGCCGGCGTGGTTCTGGTCAACAATTACTACCGTGGAGTCTTGGGAACACCATTTGGTGGCATGAAAGGTTCTGGATACGGCCGTGAGCATTGGATTGGCACATTGCGCGAGTGGAGCAGGATCAAAAACATCAGGTACCCAAGTGGCCTGGGCCCGATACCTCAATGGCGCGGAGCTACGGAAACCACGGAGGGCTGAATCTGTCATTCGCCGTCCTTTCAAGGGACTAGTGTACTATCCCAGCATTAGGTTCATGTGTTTTATTTGTGAATCACCTGCAAGTAGCAGCAGTCAACAAGTACATACAGACGAAACTCGCTAAGCCTGAATGAACATGTTGATCAAATCAGAAATGCTTATATCTTGAGATTCCTTTCTGCTTAGGGATACTTCACCTGTAGCAAGCGCTTTTCTTCGTTGGCTGAGGACTAGGTCAATTGGTAAGCGACACGTCATTCGAATAAGGTGTTTTATTTTTTACACGAATCCAACGTGTATTTTACCCATTCAATACCTCTTGAGGCAATTAGACAATGTGATTCGCGTTTCTTTCCTGGCGTTCGACTATTCAATGCAATGACATTTGCCCACACCGCTTACTTTCAGGTCCAGATGTGTGTAAGGAAGAATTGTGGGAGGTATGCGGAGGGATCTTACGTAGCTAGTAAATCGAAGTAATTACCACGTATTGTGTGTATGCTGATCTATGCGGGCCAGAGAAAAACATTGAAATCCTCAACACAAAACACTCACCAGATGGTTCGATTCCAGTCGTCCTGCCACGAAAACATTCAAAATCTGTGTTCTAGGTGCTACACGACCAGTCGAATCCTTCTGCAAATTAATCCGCAGCTCACGCGCGGAGAAATTTTGACTTCCGTACCAATGCATTGATTACTCGCATGGTATTTCTTACGTTGAACTTCTGGAGGCGGAATATTTCAAGCCCGCATCGCATCCTGTTGTCAACTATGTGTTTATTTCCCGATCTTGAATTACACAATGTCTCCTGCTACAAAACTCAAAATTCAGCCTTGGATTTTACTTTTGACTCGTGTGTGAGAAACTCCCCGAGGCATTGATTGTTCCATTCCAATCATTACTCAGTGATTAACGGCCCTCGAGACTATTCGCAATGAACGATCCAGGCGATGGTTTTGACTTCTTGATAGTCGGAGGTGGAACCGCGGGTCTTGTTGTCGCAGCCCGTCTGACTGAGGATCCCAATGTTCGAGTCTGCGTCATTGAAGCAGGGGCATCCAAGTTGGGAGACCCCAATGTCGATATGCCAGCGTCCGTGGGCAGGATGCTCAATAACCCCGACTATGACTGGACCTTTCATAGCACACCACAGGTGCGTATTGAAGTTGTCGAGGGCCTGTTCGCCGAGTGTGTCATAGAAACTGACAAACGGTTAAAGAGAGAGGCCAGAAACAGGGTGTTTCACTTGCCACGCGGGAAACTGCTTGGTGGCAGCAGCGCCATCAACTTCACGACTTATGTGCGGCCCTGTGCAAAGGACATCGATGATTGGGTCTCAGAGTTGGGAATAAAAGGCTGGTCGTTTGCCGACTTGCTGCCGTATTTCAAACGTCATGAGCATCTAGAGGTAGATCAGCCCAATATAGCGGAGCGCAACACAACGGAATCCCCTCTGGATCCCAAGCTTCACGGAGTGGAAGGGCCAATTCACACATCTCTGGCGACCTGGCAGATACCATTTGAGAAGCCCCTTCTTGATGCTCTGGGTCAAGTGTCAGGCCAATCTCCACCCCTCGAGCCGTACAACGGTAGTCATCTCGGGTTTTACAGATCATTGCTCTCCATAGATCGCACGGGCAAGCCGATCCGAAGCTACGCTGCAAATGGGTTTCTAGCTCATGCAGTCGATCGCCCGAATCTGTGCGTGCTCACCGACGCTAGGGCTGCTAGAATTATCCTGGCAACTGACTCCACTGGTGTGCCCGTGGCGCGAGGTGTGGAAATACACCACCAAGGAACGAAGAGGGAAGTATTCGCAAGCAAGGAGGTTATCCTCAGCGCTGGGTCCTTCCAATCCCCTCAGCTTCTCGAACTCTCTGGGATCGGAGACCCGGAGACCCTTCAGGAAGCCCAGATACCATGTGTCCTGTCGAGTCCTCATGTGGGCAACAACCTCCAGGAGAAGACCATGTCGGCCGTTGTGTACGAGCTAGGCTCAGGGGAAATATCCTTGGACTCGGCCTTTTTGGATCCAAGCCTCGGGGCCGAGCATTTTCGTCTCTACATGACTACAGGGTCTGGTGCCCTGTCGGGAACAGCCAACCTGATGGGGTTTGTTCCTTTTGCCTCCCAAGTCAGTAACACCGTGTTGGAGAAGACCCTGGGCACCGTTGAGTCGAGCAGGCCGCGGGTGCCCCGAGATGCTCTGTTCCAGGCGAAGCAATACAAAGCCATCACCAGCCGTCTCCGCGATACAAACTCGGCCAGCATCCAACTCCTCGGCTCCCCAGCCAATTTCGACATCGCACAAGGCCATGCAGACTGCTCCAAGCTGGTCCACGGGCCACCTGCCGGATCAAGCAGACCCTGCTACGCTCTGATCGGCAGCAACATGTACCCCCTCTCACGAGGCAGTGTCCACGTCCGCACCTCGGACCCGCTGGACGAACCGGCTATTGACCCGGGGTTCTTCACACACCCCGCCGACGCACATGTCCTCGCCGCGGCGGTGGCACTCGCCGATCGCGTGCTTCGGTCGGAGCAGCTCAAGGGAAGGGTTGGGCGCCGTGTGGACCCTCCGCCTGAGGTTGACCTGCAGGACGCGGACACTGCACGGGAGTTCGTAAAGGACCGCATTGTGACGTATCACCACGCATTGGGAACTTGCGCCATGGGTCTCGTGGTGGACGAGAGGCTGCGTGTCAAGGGCACGCGCGGCCTGCGGATCGTTGATGCGAGCGTGTTGCCCATGCAGGTCAGCGCTGCCATCATGGCGACTGTCTATGCGGCTGCTGAGAAGGGCGCTGATATGATCAGGGAGGATCACGGCATTCCCATCCAAAACTGAAATCTAGACACGAGCTTGAAGTCTTACATGCGTCCAGTTGCAGCTCTCGTGGTCGTGGTTAATCCAAAATTCCATGTCTAGCTCGGTCTAAACGCTCGGGTCAATGTAGGGGACCGCATTGCTGAAATGTCCATGAAGAGGCTCGGAATTCTTTGCGGCCCATCGTCCATGGACGGCCCCCATCCCCAATTATTCAGCAAGTATCCCGTGATTAGATCTCTCCGGTGGAGTTACACGGTCGCAGACGTAAGCAAAGAAGCGATCTAGCTCAGAACTTGTGTCACTGCAAGATGTCATGTGCTCCGGGAGTCGCATAAAGTCACAAGATCACGCGGATCTGGGGCTCGTGAGTGCTTTATGTCGGCAGTGGCTGGCAAGTTGTCGTAAAGTCGTCGCTGGAGCAGGTAGTCCCATAGGAATTTGAACAACAGGAGGCCATGTCAGCAGAGGTGTGGAAGATGTCCAAGTTGTGTCCAGAAAATGTCTAAATGTCCCAATGTTTTGCAGGGCAACAGAGGTGAGGGGCGTGGGTCGTTGCGGGGTCGCGGTCGAATGACGCAGCAGCCGTCAGCAGCCATTCAGAAGCTCTTCCTGTTGCCCCACCTGCTGACGTAACGACGTCAAGTCTTTGTGCCAAGTCTCGAGCCCACTCTTCATGCACTTTTCAGTTAGGGGAGCGCCCAAAGACTTCAGAACACCAGTCTTGCGATCCAACTTGTTCCTCTTTGTTCATGTATAGATTCAATTTAGCTCCTACAATATTTCTCCCTCTCGCACAATCTTTCTCACTCTGCTAGACTGGGCACACAGGCGGCTGCTGTTCGGTGCAACTGCTCTCCCAACACAATCTTGTGCCATACATTCTATCCAATTAACCAGGAAAACAGGCCGAAACCTACCCACAAGTCACCCCGACAGAAGCTCATGGACTAAGAAATCCAATCTGCTTCCAGCTCTCTACATATTTCTCCACAACCTTGGCGCTTACCGGCCCAAGTGCAGCCATGGTCTTAGAATGCAGCTGGGTCTGGGTAGTGTCCAGAATCAACCCGCCACAAGACATTCTCTCAAAGTTGCGATCGAGAAAGTCGAAGAGCATAGGTTGGGCTCCCACCGGGTTCTCCGCCTCCCTCAGTGGCGAATGGGAGACGCGTCGAAGCCAGGTACGAAACGGCACCACGCCTTGAGGAGGAATACCAAGCGCCCGTGCCAGGACATTCACCGTGTCATACCATGTCTGTCCGACAGGGTTGTCAATATGATACACGGGAGACGCCGAGGGCGCATTTGCCTCGTTGCCGACGTGCAGCAGCTCCGCCATGATGGCGGCGGCTTTGTCGACGGGCACCCACTGCTGCACCCCGGCCAAGGCGGGGAACGACCCTACCGACTGTGCGGACTTGACCAGGAAAGCGAAATGCTCAACTGGGTTCCAGAACCCGCTTGTCGTTGAGCCAGCGATCTGACCCGGGCGGACGACCATGGGGCGGAACAAGGCTGGGTGTTTGTGCAATGTCTCGTCGAGCATGCGCTCACAGATCCACTTCCCCTCGCAATAACCGGTGGGTAAAACCGCGGATATCGTCACCCTTTGCTCGCTCACATATCCCTGTCCCGCGTGGCCGACCACACCGATGGACGTGACAAGCTGAAAGCCGACGCGTCGTCCGCCATCCCCGACTGACAGGGCCATGTCACGCGCTAGGCCCAGGAGGTTGCGCATCGCCTGGAACTGTGGTTCGAAGCCAGGCAAGGCACGCGTGCCGCTCATGGGCCATGCATTGTGGATAATGTGAGTACCGTGTTGCACTAGCCAGTCGTACTCGGCCTCGGGTAGGCCGAGCTGTGGCCTAGAAGTGTCGGTCTCGAGGACGCGGAGCTTGCTGCGAGCTTCGGGTGACAGCGAGATGCCGCGCCTGGAAAACGCGTCATCCTGCCGGGTCTCGACCGATGCTGCACTGCTGCGACGGTTGACGCAGACTACCGTTGCCACGTCCGGGTGCTCTGCGAGGGAGGCTGCCAGATGCGACCCTAGGCTTCCTGTGGTACCTGTCACAAGCACAACGCAATCGTGTTTGTCTATCTCTGCTTTCTTTCCAGACTTCGAAACAGCCAAAGATGGCACGGCCCAGTCTGCTGTATATCTGGTCACATATCGCTCAGCCTCGGCCTCCCGTGTTGCGAGATCTCGTTTTGATTGCTGGGGGCCTTCAGGCCGTGATTCCGGAATCGGCAGTCGTTCCAACGGTGGTCCGCTGGCCAAGGCGATTATGATTCTTTGAAGGCTGTTCTCGGGCAAGTGGCCGTCCGTCCAGTCGACATGGCCGTAGCCGGCTTGATGCAAGGTACGCTCCCAGTCTGGGGTCTGGACAACAGCATGGGTGCGGCCATCGTCGAAGAGCCACCAGCCCTCAAAGAGTCCAAAGATCAGGTTACTGAGTGGAATGTCTTCGGTCTGTTCTAGCATCATCAGGAATCCATCGGGACGCAAGGCCTGGCGCACGTTGGTAACGGATGCGGACAAGTTGTGTGTCGCGTGGATAGCGTTGCTGGCGATGATAATGTGTTGCCCATGCAGTTCTTCCGCTGGTTCTTTTTCTATGTCGTGCACGGCAAATCGCATGAACGGATACTCTTTGCCTAGTGTACGGCGCGCCTGAGCTACCATGGAAGACGATAGGTCTGTAAAGGTGTATTCGACCGCGATCCCCAGCGAGGCCAGATACGGCACTAGGATGTGGGTCGTGCCTCCTGTGCCTGCGCCCATCTCTAGAATCTTTAGTGTTCCGGCTTCTTCCCCCCGGATCTTGTTTGCCAGGAGGCCAAGCGTATCGCGCATTTGTTCTCCCAGCATCGCGGCGTGTGGGTTCTTTCGATAATGAGCTGCCATCAGCTCACGACCCTCTGCCGAGCCGAACAGGATACGGATACCATCTGTCTCGCCGGATAGAATACTTGCCAACGGCTTGCCTGCATGGTGGATAAGCCTGGCAGTCACAGCCCAGTCGGGATGTGCCTCGCTAAATTCCGCCAAATCGGCGTCGCTCGACTTGTCAGAGACTGCGACTGCTGTCCTTATGATCTGTCCACTGCTGGGGTCCACCTTGATGAGCCGCGCATCTTGCTCTAAGAATCGATATAGCCAGGCCACCAGCCGCTCATACTCGGGCAGGTAGGGCACGCGACTAAGGACTTCACCCGCGGCGGCGGAACCAAGCGGGCAGCCAAGCTTCTCGAACGCCTCGACGATGAGAGTCACGCATAGGCGGCTTGTGGCAGGGAAGACAACGCGGTCGAAATTGTCAGTCTTGGCGTCGCGGAGCCGCTTGTCCGAACTCAGCTTTACCTCTCCAAAGGCGTCCAAGATGTCCGTGCTGGAGAGCTTCAGATCTTGGAAGAGGCCTGCAGACTGCTCCGTTGAGTCTGGGGTGGCGATGCCCGAGTCCGGCTGGAAATCCGATTTAGACAGCGTATCCTCATCGCAAGAAGTCTCGTCGTCCTGCCCAGAGGACTCGTCGCTTGCACTGCTAGTGGCAGAAGCATCCCCTTCGTAGGACCCAGGCAGGATGGTGGAGATGTAGCCAACGAGCTGCCGCACGTTGGTGGCTTCTAGCAACGTCGCCTGATCTACACTGCACTTGAACTCGCTCTCGACCTCGCGAGCAAGCTCCATTCCCATAAGAGAGTCAATTCCAACGTCCGCCACCTCGGTATCCACTGTGAGCTCGCTGGCTTCCATACCTGCGACGAGTGCTACTAACTTCATGACCTCAGTTGTAAGGTCCGCTCGCCGTGGAGAAGACGAAGGCTTCTTCTGAGCCTTTTGCTTGGTCTTTCTCTTGGCTGGCTTCTGTCCCTGCTCGCTCACATTCGCATTTCGGGGAGACGATTCAGTGGGGCCCGGGCCAGAGCTCGTGGTGGTCTTCTGAACCGGGGCAACGGCCTGAAGATTGGCGCCGCCCTTCAGTACTGACTTGTCCTTGGTGAGCATCGTCAACAGGCGGCCCATCACCGTCTTAGGCATTCGGGAGTACTGGATCCCCAAGAAGACCTCAGCCAAATCGCCTGTTGCGGAGTCAAAGACGAAAACATCACTGAGGTAGCCGGTGGTGGACTGGGGCGTGTTTCTCCCATAGACGTGCCACGTATTCTGCGTATTACCAGTGTCGTTGATGATGCCGCGCGGGGAACGCATGCACAGCTCGATGCCATTGGCGATAAACATGTCATCCGAGTCGGTGTCGGTCATACAATTGACATAAAAGCCTCCAACTTGACTGAAGCTGTCATCAAGCAACACATCAACCCACGTCTCGCCAGCATGACGCCCTGTGACGCGACCAGCGCACTCGTTGGTTGAGTTGCGGCCCACGACTGTCTGAACTCCACGGTACATGTCGGCGTAGTCGACGACCTCGCTGAACGTCCGGTAGACGTTGCGTCCCTGCAGGATTTCCAGGTCGCTCTCGCTACCGTCGTGCCGTCCCGGTGCTGAAAGCAGTGTGGTGCACATGGAATGGCTGACGAGGCGTTCAAAGCGCGAGAACTCGGCCACGTAAGCCGGGTCTTTGGGGGATTGCACGCGTAGACGCCCCGCAACGTACATCTGCTGGTCGTTGCTGCGGTTGTCGGAGTCTCGGCTTGTACTAGAGATATTCCATTCCCACTGCGTCTGTTCGGGATTGAGGGATTTGTAGTCTAGCCAGACGACACGCGATGGGTCCGCACACAAAGGATTGTGGTTCACCATATCTTGCACTATGGGCTGCAAACCATCCTTCTTCCACTCCGGGTGTATGCTGAAGAGGGCTTCGATGGCCATGTCTACCTGAAGCGTCCCGGGACAGATGGGTGCTGTCTGGGCGATAACATGGCCGGAGAAGAATTTGTTGTACTTGTCTGAGTCTGTGTTGATGCGGAACCGGGGACGCCTGGGCTTGTCCTTGCCGCCGTCCTTTTTGCCCTTGTTGCGGTCTTTTCCGTCCTCGTCCTGGTACCCGATGAACGACCACAGACCCAAATCCTTGGCGCTTACTTCGTGACTTTCGTTCCCTCGCTGCTGCGCGTTGCTCTGGGTTATACTCTTGAGAGCCTTGTTGAGGGCATCAGCAGGAGACTTCATTTCCATCCAGTGGCGTGACTTCTCGAACTGATATGGTGGCAGCAGCAGAGTTTCATACTCGTCTGTCTGACGTGCATTGTGTGCCCAAAAGGACACGCGCACTCCTTGCTTCCACAGGGAGGCAGTTGCGTCAGTCATGTTATGCAGTCCCTTGTCATTGGTAATGTTGATGGCCTGGAAGTAGCTCGAGCTCCCGCCACTGGCCGCCAGCGCGCGGCTTGCCATGACGGTAATAGTTGAGCTTGATCCTGCTTCCAAGAAGACAGCCGAAGGGTACTTCTCCGCCAGGCGGTTGATCGCCTGGCTGAAAAAGACGGTGTTCCTCATGTGGTCGGACATAAAGCTGGGCGTCAGGCCGCCGTCGGCCAATCTGGTCTCGGTAGCTCGCTCCAAGGGGATAGAGGGCCTTTTGAACATCAAATCCTTTCCAATTTCCGCCAGCCCGTCTAACAGTGGGTCGACCAACGACGAATGCGAGGCATTGGTGACATTGAGCTTTTTACTCTTGATGCCTGAGAACTTGCCGCCGCGAGCTATTGTGTCTCCGACTACGTTGATCGCCTGCGTCGACCCCGACAGAGTGAAGCTGCGAGGACCGTTGTAGCAAGCAATGTCGACGGGAGCACCACTGCGGCTAGCCTCGGCCACGAGTTCTCTCACGAGCGATTGGTCGGCCTCAACGGCCATCATGGCACCTGGGTCCGAGCCCCATCGGTCACGTATCAGCTGTGCTCGTCTAGCTATCATTCGAGAAGCGTCTTGGAGGCTCAACGCGCCCGAGACACACAGTGTTGTGAGTTCGCCGAAGCTGTGGCCCACGACGGCAGCGACGTTGCCGGAAAGCCCGCAGTCCAACCACTGCGTCGCCAAGCGTCAGCTATCGATTCAAAAAGTAGTCAAGTTATGTGAAAAGGGAACCCACCGTCATGGCACATGCGTACTGCATGGCAAACAACATTGTCTGCAAGCGAACCGGATCCTCACAAGGTGAGCGGGAGAAAATTTCCGGGTAGATGCTGCCCAGCCCGAAAGGCAACGCCTGCATAGTGGCATCAACATCATCAAGGTGCTTTCGCAGCAGGGCGACACTTTCGTAGAGATTGCGGTCCAGACCAACAAATGTTGAAACCTGGCCCCCGAAGCAGAGGATTACGGGCCGTTCAGGCTTGCTGGGCTCGATAGCTGGGGCTGCAGCGTCTGCAGCGGCGATGTGGGAGATCGTGTCCTGCAGCTCGGCCAAAGAGCTGGAACTGAAAACAAGGCTTTGACTGAGTGCAGGGTTGCAATATCGATTTATGTTGAACGAAAGGTCTGCCAGCGTCACCTTCTGCTTGGATTGGACTTGGTATTTGACGAAGGAGGCCAACTTGGCAGCGTAAGCTCTGATGCTGCGTGCGTCGAGACCGGTGATGCGAAATGGAAGGCGTTGATTTTGCGACTCTTCCGGGAATCTCGTGGAGCTTTGATATCCAGTGTGTGTCACAACCATGGCCGCGTTTGACCCGCAGGCACCATAATTGTTAATCAGGGCCTTCTTGTCGTCGTATCGGTTATCGCTCCAGGGGCGAAGGGAAGTGACAACTTCGACCATGTCAGACGGTGAAGCTTTGATGGCTGGGTTCATTTTTGAAAAGCTGGCCTGCGGCGGGATAAAGTTCTCGCGCATCATCATCAACACTTTGATCAGCGATACGACCCCTGAGGCGCCTTCGGCATGCCCTACATGCCCTTTCACTGAACCAATGGGCAGAGGCTTAGACCGAAGCTCGCGACCACCCATTACGTCCCTGATACTCGCATACTCTGCGGGGTCGCCAACAGGTGTGCCTGTCCCATGCGCCTCTACCAGCGATATATCACCGGGAGGCACATCCGCACGTTTCAGAACATCTCTGAAGAGTTGAGAGAGGGATGGCGAATTGGGAACAAACATAGGCGTACTATTTTGATTCTGATACACGGCGGAACTGGCAATAGTGCCCAGGATAGGGTTTCCATCGGCCACGGCATCTGCCATTCTCTTGAGGAAAACAACAACACTGCCCTCAGCGCGGCAGAAGCCGTCGGCCTTATGGTCGAACGGTTTGCACTGCCCAGTCGGGCTGAGGAAGCTGGCAGCGGCCAGGTTCTGGAACCAGGTTGGATTCGTACACAAGGCCACGCCACCTGCCAACGCGGCGTTACATTCGCCTGAAAGCAGGTCTCGACAGGCCGAATGGATGGCCACGGCCGAGGAAGAACAAGCCGTATCCAAGGTCAGAGCCGGCCCCGTCCAGCCGAACCAGTGCGCTACCCGGCCAGCGAGGAAACTCTGCAGGTTACCAGTCGCTGTAAACGCGTTAGGTGCGTGGCCCGCGACGTTGTGCTCGTAATCTACGGCGGGAGTGCCGATGTAGACACCAACATGCTGTTGCTGGTTATCTCTCCAGTCACTGTCGTTGTTGCGGCTGCTTCGCGCAGCCTCGGTGAAATAACCAGCCTGTTCGACAGCTTGGTATGCGGACTGCAGCAATAGTCGTTGTTGTGGGTCCATTGATGCAGACTCACGCGGGCTCCGCTTGAAGAACTTGTGATCGAAGGCGTCGCGATCACGCATGAAGTTGGCGTACCATTGGCGCTCGTCCTTGTCTCGGAACAGAGAGTCATTGAACGCCATCTTGTCTGACGTGATGAGCTCATGTTGCGACTTGCCGGTCCGCAGCATTTGCGAGAACTCGTCCAGGTCGTCAGCTCCAGCGACCTTGATGGACATTCCTACCACGGCAATGGCGTTCTTATCGGCTTTGCCATGGCTAGCGGTGTACTGTTGAGGTTGCGGTTGCGGTTGCGGTTGTTGCTGCGAGTGTTCGACCCCCGGCTGCGACTCTCTCACGTGCTCTGACGTTTCTCTATTTGCAACAGGCTCTGCAGGTGGTAGCTCTTTTTTGAGAGGTAGGTCTGCGAAATGGACTAATCTGGATCCCAGCTGGCGCATCAATGTTGGAGGAGAACACTTGTCGGGGCCGAATGCCACCGCGACCTTGGTGTCGTGCGCACCATCCAGACGAGCGGCTTCCACTGCCAAGAAGGTGCCATACCAGTCACATTGCTGCACAAATACAGCTCGCATGGTTATCTCGTGCATCGCACCGTTGCCGGGGCCGATGGGTTCCCCGTCGCCGGCGTTGGTAAAGGTTGGCATCGCAAGGTCGGCAGAATCGGGCAACTGCAAGCCAGGTGTCTTGTTGCAGAATGCGACAATCCGATCCATCTGGGTCTTCGTCTCCGGCTTTGGGCTATGGATGTCGCCATGAAAACCGACTTCGGCCGTAGTGATCCCCACCTTTCGTAGATTTCTCAGAAGTCGCGAGGCTGCGCGTTGCGATGTGGTCACCGTCGCCCTTGCCTCGTCGTAAAGCACCGAGATGTACGCCTCCGGGAACAGACCGTCGACGATACGATACATATCCTCACGCTGCGTTTCGTTGCGCCAGGCGGATGCGTACGACTTTGACGGGCCCAATCCCAGGTCCGTGTTCCACGCATCTTGCGCGTCGATGAGCGCGCCGCCTACTACAGCTAGGCGCACCGCTACAGAACCATAATTGTCGAGCTCATCTTGGTTGCCGGCGCTCGCCACTGCGAAGGCGCTCACGCTACCCATACAGAACCCGAGTGTTGCTGTCTTCTTGTTGTTGACAAACTCTGCATGCATGTCTGTGCTTGATTCGTCCTTGCCCGCTTGCTTGCCCAACTCGGATAGATATCGCCGGTATTGCGCAATATGCGTGAGGATGACCAATGGTGACAGTATCATACTCGGCAAGGTTTCGAAGTCTCGCAGCAGAGCATTCTGCTGGCCATCGACCGGCCCGAGCCTCAGCCACGAGCTGAGGTCTTCCAGAAGTTGCTGTCCTCGGAATTGGCCAATTGTGTTGGTTATCTCGGGCTCTGCGCTGGCCAACGCATTCCAGACGCTTGCTAGCCCAGAAACCGTTTCAAACACCCATTGTCTCGATGGCTTGTCTACTAATGTGTTGCGAATTTCGTCCAGGGACTGGGTGTTGAGGGACTCGAGCTGCGACCCGAACACCAGCACAGCGGCGTCCTGGGAGCTGTGGTTGATGCTCCCCATTGCTTCTGATATGATATGTCTATGATGATGCTGATTTTGCCAGACGAGATAGAAATGAATAAGGCCTTGCTCGACAAGAAACTTCACAAGACAGACGAGTCTTGTTAAAGATTATCGATTATACGAGACTTTTCCACTTGTTTTGATAGTACATATATATTAAACTGAAGGTCTTCTAATCAAGTCATCCTTCCTTTGTATACACCAGCATATTATGAAACCATACAAGAAGCATTAATCACAGCTTTACTCCATACCAACTTTCAAGATAGTTTGAAATCCAGCTTAATTCCGCTGTACTGATTTCTCTGGAGTCGAGCTCCGTAAGAAGTAAGGGGAACAACTCTAGAGACAGATGAACATGAGCCTCACTTTTTTCCGAAACGATTGTCCGCAGGATTCAGGCGTGGGTATTGGGAGGCATCGGCGGTGGTCAGCATTATTTTTGCCCCTTTTCCAGTGATAGCCTGCTTACCTTGTTGTGCGTTATCTTAGTAGAATCCTTCCTATTAGCGCAGATGAAATCCAGGCTGGCGGTTGGGCATGTTGACGGCGTTGGTAGCTGAAAGGGTATAGCCGGCTATTGTGGTGCTGGGGCCGCCGAAGGGGGCAAGGAGCTATCACCCCTTGTGGAGGGATTAGCTGGAGCGAGACTGGCTCGAACCAATGCCCCCATTCTGTCTTTCTCTTCAAGGGTACTGTGTATACGTACTTGAGCAAACGTGAAGTAGGGATGCCACGTGCAAGCTGACTTGGAGGGGTGGCAAAACACCTGGCGGCTCAATTCTGTGCCCGATTCGTTTTCCGGGTTGGACAAGGCTACTACCCAGCAGAAGAAAAGCTCCAGTCTTCCAACAACAAAACCCTTTGAGCCAGCTACTCAGTCAGACAGCCTCAGGTATGCACTGCTTAGGTCCTGCAGATCTTTGACATTAGAGTGCCCTCTCAGAATCACTAACACTCAGCCCTCCAAGTCCGATCCTTAGGGTGAGAACAGGGTGTCTGCTGAAGGTTCTGGAAACTGGGTACCCTAGTTGCTCTTGTTCATCCACACGTGGGTGTTGTCAGCATTCTAGTGCAAAAGCGTCTTAGCCAGCAATAACCCACATATGTAGCTGACTGCATGTCCTTTGTGGCCCAGACCTAGAGCCCTTCAACATTACTTAATGACGTGCATCACTAGTCGAAAGGCTGGTGAGAGAATCCACAGTCATAAGCAGCCACTTGACTCATCTCAACACTAATGAGCAAGATGAGTAATGACCAATCAGTGTTTCATTGAGCCTTTAGGATTTTAGACTTAGTTCGGATGGTCGGTCCGATCCGGAATTTTCATGCTCAGAATTGCAAGACATTTCAGTGTACAAGGGAGAACAAGGTTGAATCTATCAACCCCCCTGTCTTTAATATGTCACAAGTCTACGGTACCGTTGCCCCAGTGCCCCATGTACAGGAAGAGATGTACTAGAAACACATGGGCCTAACTAGCAGGCACTTTAAATAAGTAGTGGATAAGTCTCTAGATAGAGTCTCTTTAGGGTTCGACCTGCAGTGCACCGTTGCATGCGTATCTCGGTCATCCAGAACTATGGAACGTTTTTCACACGTGGGATTCCCGATAGCTAGGATCTGGCGACCTTAAAACATGTTTGACAAGATCTCCGCCCGTCGCCCTCAGCTGATACAGATGATGAACATGGCCTATCATAGAACTGATTCCATTGAACTTAACACTTTGCTTGCTTCAACCCTCTCCATAATACTGGCAAAAATACGCCATGTGGGTACCAGCCTTTCCGGCTAGCAGGAGCGACGTGGAAACTGATGGTGACTGTTCAGCTACGTCAACAGTAGATATGATATATGCATCTGTGGTGAGATGCAGACCCAACAGATGTGCCTTCGGCCCCTTCTTACTCGTGAGGCTGTATTGTCACCTAATTCACGTAATCCTGTCAGCCATGGTATCATGGAACATGCTTATCAGCCTCGGTTTCATTGGACAATGCAGATCCCGCAAAGATTCCTTCCAGAAACATGTCCTATATTACTGTATTTCTCCCTCTGAAGCTGGTGTTCAATAGTCACCCCCACACTTGTCTTCGTCCCCTGTCTTAGGATTGAGAACACCAACCCAAACGGTAGACTTCTTTCTCAATTCCTTTTTTACAATTTGTGTTGCCCCCAAAAAGCATGGCTAGCAAGCTTGCTTGTGAGGATTGTCGTAGACGAAAAGCACGATGCGACAAGGCGAAGCCTCAGTGTGGCGCCTGTGCCGAATCAGGCTGTCCATGTGTGGTTGTGGATAACAGAGCCAAAAGAGGTCCGAAGAAGGGCCAGCTGCACGCACTGCGCAACCGGATCGGTATGTTCATATCTTTTACCATGAAAAGCACAGAAATGTTATTCAGCGACTCCTTATATGCAAGGCGTTCCAATATGCAGCTTTCCGGCGTAGGACTAACCCCAGATACGATGCCTAGCGACGCTGGAACAGCAACTTTTCGGGGAGCTGGGCCAGAGGGATCCTGATTGCCACATGGTGCAGGATTCTCAAAGCAGCCCTCACCCTCGTGACACCACTACATCTGGAACACCTACACAGCACTCTTTTGGCGACCTAGAGAGTGAGGCGATTGCAGGCTCACCAATCGATCCACTCTTGACAAGGGCTGTTGGGAGCCCAATTACAGACAACACTACATACATGTCTATGTACTCAGGCCTAGAGATCGGCAACAATTTCGCATTTGACGATTGTCTAGCGACACAATCCATGGGTGTATCGACGACGAGTAACGTATGTGGTTCAAGTCCGACGCTGGTGACTCCGGCTTGCGGCATGAGCGAGTCTAACATCTCGGACGTGGTGCGAGCAGATCTGTAAGTGCTGTCCGCTTTGGTCAAAGAACGAGTCTGTTGGTTTACTGATGCACACAACTGAATGCGAACAACAGAGATGAGATCTACTTCGAGCATGTGCACGCTATGACGCCAATTGTTCATAAGCGCCGATACTTGTCGTGGGCAGGTCAAGAGGATGTCCCTCCGGCTCGGGAATGCCTTCGCCTCGCAATGCGGACTATTGCCGCCGCTGTCTCGAGTACATCAAGCCCCCTCAGCGAGACGCTGTACGTGGAGACTCGCCGGATCCTGGACACGCTGGACCTACTGCAACCCACAACGGTTCAACTCGAGCATATTCAAGCCGGCCTGCTTGTATCCCACTATGAGCTGATGCGGCTCCGTGAGCACGATGCCATGCTCATAGCTGGGCGAACGTTTAGGCTAATACACTCTTCACGTCTGTATGATGTCGACGGCACATCGGCTCTTACTTCAGTTTCGCCGACCAAGATGGATGGCTCAAGCTTTTCCGAAATGGAAGAGAAGCGTCGGACTTTCTGGTTAGCGTTCGTCCTCGACAGATTCCTCAGTACGCGAAACGAGTGGCCTGTGACACTACAAGAGGAAACGGTGCGTATCATCCATTATCTGTTTGAGCTTTCTCTTACTTATCCCTATCTTTTAATTTTCACCTCCTCATGATCCGGTCTTTCGAACTTTGTTTGAATTTGTACAATAGTCGCTTTTCTATTTCTCGACAAAGTTGATTAATTGGTTTGCTGACATGTTCGAAGATTTGTGCCCGCCTTCCCGCTCCAGAGACAAATTTCCAGAACGACGAGGCGATCCAGATGAGTGTTCTGTCCGAGGCGATTACCAGCAACGATCACAAATCCCTCTCATGCTTCGCCGAGTGCATCGTTCTTGCATCCCTGCATGGGCGCTGCCTGACGTTGCGAAGGCTGGCACATGCTGCTGCCGCTGCCGATATGAACTGGCGCAGTGCTTGGTCGCGGGTAGAGAGGCTCACTGTGGTTCTGGAAAAGCGAGCCGATAGATTGCTGCAGGCCACTCCTCCGGCGGCTTCAATCCTCGTGGAACGTGACCCCATGTTGGTATTCTCGCACATCCTGGCTCAAAACGCAATTATTCATCTTTACCACACGAGCCAGCCTCTGCCGTTCCAGCCGGAAGAATACACCTCCCCAGTTGCAGGGTTTTCTGGTGAGCAGCGAGCATACCAAGCCGCTGTCTATACGGCACACATGGCTTTGTCAGTGCCCAGTATCAGCTGTCTCAAGGTATGTCTTATTCTTTATGCAGTTTTGAAGTGTTTCCTTTTTCTGTACCACAACGATCGAATAAATTCTCGCGCAAGTATGTTGTTCTCCCGTATGCGCGTCTATGAAACGAATTGGTCGAGCACTATATATCGTGTTTTGCTACATACGTTGCGGCCCCGGCTCTAACTCTCGCACACAGGTCCAACCATTCCTTCCTCACGCGCTGGCAAGCTCCGCCGCGTTCCTCATGGAACGTTCAGAATCTCCGATCTTCACAGATCCGCTAGGAGAGCCGAAGGATGATATAGAGCAGCTACTAGTCGCATTGCGGAGTCTCAGAGATAGCAACTTTTCGGCAAACGTGGCTTTGTGTAGACTAGACGCTTTGAGTAACAGAGCGGCATAAAAATACAGTCAACTTTAGGTTGAATATACACACAGCACAGAAACCATCATCCTAGCACACCTACATGTGTAGATAGGTATGCTTGGTGTACCATAATCTTGCATGAGAGTCAGGTGATGAGAAGTAACATCAGTCGGCATGAAACAGATCATTTCTAATCTTCTCATGGGCATATATTATGTTTGATCAGCCTAAAGGCCCTTTGTACATCTGGTGCTCACGGCTCACCGACAAAGTCGACGTTAGAAGAGATATATGGGAAAAGAAAAACGAGAAGCCATAGCACATTGGCTCACGGCAGTGCATGGACTTAGCTACAGAAGAAGAAGAATGCACTAACACCCTCTGAGCGTGGATTTAATGCTTATCGCCAGAGATTCCAAGTCAAGGTATAGAATATATCCAGTAGTTCATTTTGAAGTCACGCACGCCCAATTGATTGAGACTGTTGTGAGCTGCAGGAAAAGAATTCTCAGCCCAAGAAACATTAGCTGATCGCACATTCTTTCCCTGGCCGCCGAAAATCCATGACGTTGTCCAATCCTGCCTGGTGCTAGCCTCGTCCAGGTCAGTAGACACTGCGTACATTCCGGCTCCGAGGGTGGCCAAGGCTGTTCAGTGCTTACAGGGGTTGATTGAAATCCCACACTATCTGGCCACGTTTTGCTATCGGGCTGGGCTGGTGCTGTAGCCGACCTCACGTCAGAAGCATTGTTGTTCTAGAATGGTCTGATCCTAGTAGATCTCGGCTCACGCCACAGGTATCAGCTCAGGCAAATGATTGTTGGTTTCTCGAAGGCCATCTGGAGCGCATGCAAGGGCCTTTTTCAAACCCGTCAAGCCAAAGCTGACGTTTTTCGGGGAGCGAGTAGTGCTTACGAGACTCGCCGGTAAGCATTACCGGAAAAGGCAGTGGACATGCAAGGCCCCGACACATGTACTCCGCGGCCAATACCCGGGACTGAAGGATTCAGACAGTGTGCCTGGTAATTTGCCCCTCACTAATATTTCTGGAAGCTCAAAATAAGTCCGTAGAGTTCCAGGACGCAATACGGTGTACAATGAGCGGACGTTTTAAAATCCGTTTGCTGACTTGGGTGAAATATTTTCCTGCGACGATTTATCCGCGAAGTCGCCAACAGCGTTCAATATACATCATCTTGAAACGGCACATAAACATTATGAGGTGCAGATCTGACGTGATGCGAGCATTTTCTTTTGGATTAATAGGCGTAATTATGTAGGCCGGGCTACAGCGAAATCCGGCGTAATGGCTTTTTCATTCAGTGAAACTCGGCATGGAGTGCCTTCACTCGGATGCGATAAAGACAGAAAACAGAGAATTACATTGATGTGAAGTTCTTAAGTAGCAGCTTTAGTAATAGCAATACAAGAAGAAACCATCGGCCTCCGTTCTAGATTCGGCCGAAAGCCGAGCAGGTATCTCGCCCTCTGCGCAGTCTTGTTGATGTTTAGGTCTTCACATCCTATACATGCATAGAAAACGGCTACCGGATCCATTAAACTATAGATCTTTCGCTTTCTTATTCCTCTCAGAAGAAATTGGTGCCTTCTTTGTTTAACCTAAAAGTTTAGACCTATTCATCCCCCTAGTTCGACAATGGGGTCTCACAGCACTTCCCGCGGCTGGGTCAATGAGCCGATCGCAATCGTCGGCTTGAGCTGCAAGTTCGCGGGAGATGCGTCGAGTCCTGAAGGTCTATGGAAGATGCTGGCCGAAGGAAAGAGTGCTTGGAGTGACTTATCGGCACGCTTCAACAGTACAGGCGCATACCATCCTAACCATGAGAAGCTGAGCACAGCAAGTCTTCTCCAGCAACACCGTTTATCCATACACTGACGGGCCAAAATTAGAATCACGTTCGAGGCGCTCATTTCCTGAAAGAGGACCTGGCCTTGTTCGACGCCGCATTCTTCGATTTTTCTCGAGAACTCACCGCCGTATGATATATCAAGTTGCCACCATCGCAGGCGTCTTCACTCGAAGCGAAAGTGTATTGACAGATTTCGCTTGCAGGCACTAGACCCACAATTCCGGCTACAGCTCGAGTCTGTCTATGAGGCACTGGAGAACGGTTCGTGACTAAAGTTCAATCGATTTTGTGGCCGATTGCTAACACTGGTCACTGTCACTTACAGCTGGCCTTCCTCTGGAAAAGATCGCAGGTTCCAACACGTCGGTGTTTGCCGGTACATTCGTCCACGATTACAGAGACTCATTGGTCCGCGATGAAGACAACCTTCCAAGATTCTTTCTCGCTGGTGTAGGCTCTGCTATGGCATCGAACCGCATATCTCACTTCTTCGACTTTCGAGGTGCGAGCATGACCATCGACACAGGCTGTTCGACTGCACTTGTTGCTCTCCATCAAGCTGTACAGAACCTTCGTAGCGGAGAAAGTGATATGAGCATTGTCGGCGGCTCGAACATCATCTTCAACCCCGATAACTTCAAGGCAATGGGGTCACTTGGGTAGGTCCTGCCCCAGAGCACAGGGTATACTACAGCTAACCTGCTCTCACATCAGGTTTTTGTCACCAGACGGAAAATGTTTCGCTTTTGATTCGCGTGCCAACGGGTACGGACGAGGTGAGGGTGTGGCCACGCTTGTGATCAAACGGCTACAGGACGCCATCTCCGCGGGCGACCCTATCCGCGCCGTCATCCGCGAGACAGCCCTGAATCAAGACGGCAAGACGGAGACCATCACATCACCGAGCCAGGCAGCCCAAGAGGCCCTCATGCGTGATTGTTACGCAAGAGCCGGCCTGGACCCCAACGGCACTCAGTATTTCGAGGCACATGGGACTGGAACTGCAACAGGAGACGTCATCGAGGCAAATGCGATTGCTTCTGTCTTCAAAGGCCGGAACGGGCGGGATGTAGAGGCCCTCCGCGTGGGTTCAGTCAAGACCAACGTCGGTCATACGGAGGCAACTAGTGGACTAGCCAGCCTGATCAAGGTGATTTTGGCCATGGAAAAGGGTCTGATCCCTCCCAGTATCAACTTCGATAAGCCGAATCCCAAATTGTCCTTGGATGAGTGGGGTATCAAGGTGGCTACAAGATTGGAAGAGTGGCCTGCCCCCGCTGACGGTGTCCGCCGCGCGTCCGTGAACAATTTTGGATACGGCGGAAGTAACTCGCACATTATCATCGAGGATGGTCAGTTCTGGGCCAAAGAGCTGAGATCTACCAGGACCAATGGAGTTGCGAACGGCAGCATAACTTTGACCAATGGCACAAATGGAGTATCTCACGGCGTCAAGGGACTGCAAACCTCATCAAGCCATGAGACCAAGTTTGTGGTTCTCAATTGCAGCGCCAAGGACGAGCAAACATGTCGAAATGCGGTCTCCACGCTCAAAGAATACCTCGTAGAGCAGGCAGAGAGCAAAAAAGACAAAGGAGACATCGAGGCATTGCTTCAGTCAATTGCCTTTTCATTGGGACAACGGCGGACAAAGTTCCCTTGGATTGCTTTGAATCCAGTTCCGTCCAACCAAGGCATCGGCAATGTCATCTCTGCCCTCGAGACTCCCAAGTTTCGGCCATCCCGCACACCGCCACGACAACCGCGTATAGGTATGGTCTTTACGGGACAGGGAGCACAATGGCACGCCATGGGAAGGGAGCTGATCGCGGCCTACCCGGTGTTCAGTGCGTCTCTCCAAGAAGGCGACACGTATTTGAAGGAGATTGGAGCGGATTGGTCTTTGATGGAAGAGCTTCAACGGGACGCCAAGACTACCAGGGTGAACGGGACCGGCTACAGTATTCCAATCTGCGTTGCTGTTCAGATCTCGCTTGTCCGCCTACTCCGCACTTGGGGGGTAACGCCGGCGGCTGTGACTAGCCACTCCAGTGGTGAGATCTCGGCAGCCTTCACGGTTGGAGCCGTAAGCTATCGCACGGCCATGGGCATAGCCTATCATCGCAGTAAGCTGGCCGCGGAGATGACAGCTAGCGGTCCCATCAAAGGCGGAATGATCGCAGTGGGCCTCGGCCAGGAGGACTCAAGCCGGTATTTGGAAAAGCTCACTTGTGGTGCAAAGGCTGTCGTCGCTTGCGTGAACAGCCCATCAAGCACCACCGTTGCTGGCGATATCGAGGCGATCCTGGAACTCGAGACTCTATTGGAGGCGGATGGCGTATTCGCCCGACGCCTTCGAGTCGACACAGCTTACCACTCTCATCACATGGATCCAATCGCCGACGACTATCGCAAGGCGCTCCGTAGTATGGCTAGCACTGATCAAAAGGGCAACAAGTTACTAAGTTCTACCGCGTTCGCGTCCCCGGTTACAGGCTATCGTATGGGCAGTGCTGAAAAGATTGCCGATCCGGAGCACTGGGTGCGAAGTCTTGTACAACCCGTACAATTCGTGGAAGCCTTTTCGGAGATGGTTTTAGGAGACTTGGAAGTTGACTCAGAGACCTCTGCAACCAGCGTGGATCTAATCGTTGAGATTGGTCCTCACACTGCTCTTGGTGGCCCCATCTCGGAGATCCTCACGCTCCCGGACTTCGAAGGGATCAAGTTACCATATTATGGCAGTCTTGTTCGAAAGACCAACGCGGTGGAAAGTATGCAGGCTCTCGCATCTAGTCTTATCCGTGAGGGCTACGCGATCGACCTAGAGTCCGTGAACTTCCCCCAAGGAAGAAACAAACATATTAGGGTACTCACGAACTTGCCCTCTTATCCATGGAACCATCAGACGAGACACTGGCTCGAGCCGCGAACAAACAAAGGGCTTCGCGAGAGGAGCCAACCACCTCATAATCTGCTCGGCTCACTCGTGCCAGGTGCGAATCCTGACGCGCCGGCATGGAAGCATGTTCTCCGAGCCAGCGAGGCCCCGTGGCTCAGAGACCACTCGATCCAGAACAACATGTTGTATCCTGGATGTGGTTTCGTTTCTCTTGCGATCGAGGGTCTACGCCAGCAGACAGCCATCCTGCAGGAACAGGGTGAGGTCGTGCCCATAGGTGACGTTTCCGGTTACCAGATAAGGGACGTCAACGTTCTCCAGGCTCTTGTTGTCCCGGATAATGAGGATGGTATTGAGATCCAGACGGTACTACGTCCTGTCAACGACAAAGCCATTGGTGTGCGTGGCTGGAAGCAATGGGAGGTGTTCTCCGTGACGACGGATAACCAGTGGACCCGTCACGCTCAGGGTCTCGTCTCAGCTGAGTTTGGAACATCATCCGATCATACAGGCGTTGGCCTACAGAGGAGACAGCTAGATCGGGCCCCATTAGATCCAACTTCTGGGTATGCGAAGCGGATCGACCCAGCGGACATGTGGAGTGTCTTGGCAGAGATGGGGATCGAGTATGGAAAGACATTCAGAAACATCGAGAGCATTGTACAGTCGGGCCGCGAAATGAGGTCCATCAGCACAATCAACGTGCCTGATACTTCAGTTGCTAAGGATCTGCCTCCTAACCATGTGGTCCATCCAGCCACGCTCGACGCCTTCGCCCAGGGCACGTTCACTGCTCTTCCCGGCACCGAGTCGCATCAAGAAAGCCCTAGGGTTTTCCAATCGATCGACAAACTCTGGGTTTCGAGCAAGATTGCTCACAAGGCAGGACATAGATTTCAGTGTCACACGTTACTCAAACATGCCGATGGGCAAGGTATCGAGTCCGAGATAGTCGTAGTCGACGAGGGCTCGGGGTCTATTCCGGTCCTGGAAATCAAAGGTCTCGTTCTTTCGTCACTCGGACGGAGCGCAAACAACGGCGCCAAGGCTTGGGAGAAGGAGCTCTGCAGCAAGATAGAATGGGTCACTGATTCGGTTGTCGACAATGGAGCAGCCTTTGAGTCGTCCACAAAGCTGCCGCGATACCAAGAAATTGACGACGATGAGAGCCGCACCAACGCAGACCTTGAGTGGTTGTGTCTCGACTTCATCCAAGATGCGCTGTCTGCATTGTCTGCATCCGAAGTGGACCGGCTTAAAGGCTTTCGATCCGATTTCTACAAGTGGATGCAGGCTAAATTGCACGAGGCTGCAGCCGGAAAGAGAGAAGAATTATCAAAGGAGCGACAGGCCCTCATAGACGTCTTGTCTGAAGCCAGCCCGGACGGCAGAAGAGTGTCTCTTCTAGGACCGCACTTGACCGCAGTGCTTCGGGGAGATAAAGACGCCCTTGAGCTATTGAAAGAACTTGGCCTTCTAGAGGAATCGCAGAGCCATTCTGAGCCGACTCCAGCTACTCTCCGAGCGGCTTCACAGGCAGCGTCCATACTAGGACATATCACGCATGCTAATCCCCGTGCGCGCATCCTGGAGGTCGGCTCCGACACCGAGGCTGCCACTGCCGCGATGCTCGAATCCCTGGGCACAATCGAGACAGGAGGACCGCTCGCGGCAATATACCATTTCACCAATGTGTCCGGTGACTTCGAGGATGCACGTGAGAAATTCGGACTGTGGGCTGACGTTCTATCTTTCGACAAGCTCGATATCAACTCTGATCCCTCCGCTCAGGGCTTCGACGTCGGCAGTTACGATGTCGTTGTCGTGAACCAGGTCATTCTTAACACAAAGTCCATTTCAAAGTCTTTGGATCATATTCAAAGCCTACTCAAACCCGGAGGGAAGATGTTACTCGTTGAGCCCACGAGGGACAACATTGCGAAGCAGTTGATTCGTGGTTTCCTGTCGCAGCGGTGGCAGGATGGCGATCGTCAGAAGGCCTTTCAACCGCTTCCGAATGTATCTGCTTGGGATCAAAACCTTAAGACTGCCGGCTTCGGGGGAGTGGATTTTGAGATCCGCGACTGCGAGAAGGAACAAGTACATACGATGAGCACCATATCGGCGACATTGCGGTCGACCACACAGGCCCGCATGCCTGACTCCGCTGACATCGTGATTGTTACCAGCAACACCGCAGGGCCTCCACCGCCAGCCTGGCTTGATTCCCTGCAACGTTCTCTCTCTTTGAGTGTCTCAGGTCCACTGCCAGCCGTCCAAGTTTTGGAGACCGCTGAACCGACGGCATATACGGGGAAAATCTGTGTATTCCTTGGCGAGATGAATCAGCCGTTACTTCGCGACATCAATGCTCCAGTTCTGGATGGCATAAAGGCTATGACAACAAGTTGCAAAGGCTTGCTCTGGGTGACACGTGGCGGAGCGGTCGAGTGCGACAACCCAGACCTCGGACTCGTGTCGGGTTTCCTCCGCTCATTGCGCAATGAGTACATCGGCCGGCCTTACCTGACATTGGATCTGGATCCCAGAAGCCCTGTATGGGCTGCCGATGATGTGATTGCCGTCGTAAAAATCCTGAAAGCCGGTTTCAGCAGTTCAGTGGCTGCCTCTGATGTACCTGGGGCTTCAGCAGCCAGTGACTTCGAGTACGCCATCCGAGATGGCTCCGTCGTGGTACCCAGGCTGTTCAAAGACACGCCTCGGAACAAGTCGGTGGCACCCGACGAGGGCGCCGATGTATCTTCAGCGGCCACGATGACACCGCTGCATCAACCAGAGCGTCCTCTAGTCATGAATGTCGGCATGCCAGGCCTGCTCGATACGATAGCCTTCGTCGACGACTCGTCAGTGGCTGCAGACATGGGTTCCGCGCTCTCTCCTGAGCTGATCGAAATCGAGCCCCGAGCATATGGCGTCAACTTTCGAGATGTTATGGTAGCTATGGGCCAGCTTCAAGAGCGTGTCATGGGCCTTGAGTGTTCCGGTGTCATCACCCGCCTCGGCAAAGAGGCGATGGCTCAAGGGTACAATGTTGGTGATCACGTCTTTTGTCTATTGCGCGGACCTTTCGGCAGTCGCGCTCGAGTTGAATGGACCAGTGTGATGCACATGCCCACCGGGATCAGCTTCGAGGAGGCAGCGTCACTTCCTGTTATCTTCTGCACTGCCTATATGTGTCTCATTGACCTTGGTCGTCTGGAACGCGGCCAGACTGTCCTCATTCATGCCGCCGCAGGTGGTGTCGGACAAGCAGCTATCATGGTGGCAAAGCACCTAGGGGCAGAGATCTTTGCCACTGTTGGCACACCCGAGAAGCGACAGATGGTCAAGGACAGATATGGCATCCCAGAAGATCACATTTTCAGCAGCCGTGACGCCTCCTTCGCAGCAGGCATTCTCACCGCCACCGGTGGCCGCGGCGTCGACGTGGTCTTGAATTCCTTGGCCGGCCATCTCCTGCAGGAAAGCTTCAACGTGCTCGCCCCATTTGGACACTTCGTGGAGATTGGAAAGCGTGACTTGGAAATCAATAGTTACCTGGAAATGCGCCCATTCGCTCGCCAGGTCACCTTCTCGGCATTCTATCTGCTGACTTTGATGCAGCACAAGCCGCACGCTGTGCATCGCGTGCTGTCAGAGATTGGAGCGCATCTTGAGGCCAAGATCATCGCGCCCGTTCATCCAGTCACGGCGTACCCCATAAGTGACGTAGCCAAGGCGTTTCGTCTGCTACAGACTGGAAAACATTCCGGGAAGGTGGTGCTGTCAGCCGGCCCACAGGAAGTAGTCCCCGTCATGCCCCGTGTGCGGACGCCTCGGTTCCAAGCTGAAGCATCCTACTTGCTCGTGGGCGGCGTCGGTGGGATCGGCCGCTCCATTGCTCATTGGATGGTGGCACATGGCGCGAAGAACCTCATATTGCTCTCGAGGAGCGCCGGACGCAGCCAAAAGACAGCCATATTTGTGGATGAGCTCAGGCAGATTGGCTGTCGTGTCAAGCCTGTGAGCTGTGACGTTGCGAACCAGAATGACCTTGAGCAGGCGTTGCGTTCCGCTGAAGAAGACGGCCTACCTCCAGTTCGGGGTGTGATACAAGCAGCAATGGTTCTTCAGGTACGAGACACCCCTGACTCAGGCGAGTACGGAGTATTACAAGCGAACTAACATTCTTTAACGCAGGACACCGTGTTCGAGCAGATGACGCTCGACAACTTCAAGACAGCCACTTTGCCCAAAGTTCAGGGCTCATGGAACCTACACAAAAGATTTGAGAAGGCCACTGATCTTGATTTCTTCGTTATCCTGTCCTCGGCCGTAGGTGTTGCAGGAAATGCCAGCCAGTCCAACTACGCCGCCGCTGGGTCCTATGAAGATGCACTGGCAAGGTGGCGCGTGGTGCGTGGCCTGCCCTGCGTGTCCATCGACCTCGGCGCCGTCAAGTCTATTGGCGTGGCTGCCGAGACAGCCGGCGTCCTAGGCCGTCTGGGAAGGATTGGATTCGTTCCCATGAGCGAGGATCAGGTGCTTGCGGTGCTGGCTAGCGCAATCGTCTCCCCTCGCGAGCCGCAGGTCGTCGTGGGGCTGAACACGGGCCCCGGGAAACACTGGGAGAGTGATGGGGAGTCGCAGCTGGGAAGGGATGCGCGGTTCGCTGCCTTGCGTACCCACGACGGCCAGAAGAAAGGCGAGAGCGATGCAAGGCAGGGAGGTGACTCGCTGGCCAGCAAGCTGGCCAGCTCGAGCACGCCGGAGGAGGCGGGAGAGCTTGTCGGGGCGGCGATCGCGGAGAAGTTGTCAGATATTTTCATGATCCCCGTGGATGAGATCGACCTGGCCAACAAACCCTCGCAGTACGGCATCGACTCCCTGGTCGCCGTCGAGCTGCGGAACATGCTGCTCCAGAAGGCGGCAGCTGAGATTTCCATTTTCGGTATCATGCAGAATGCGTCGCTCGCTGGGCTGGCCGCCGATGTTGCTTCGAAGAGCGCGCACGTAAAGTTTGCATCAGCGGCTTGAATCATATCTAAGGGATGCTCGGAGCGGATAGTACTTACAGCGGCCGGAATGTTCTCAATATTAGATAAACCATTGGACTAAGATGTCATCATTCAAACTCATTGATTTCTTACGAAACAAGCAACCCAGAGACACCTCACCCTTAGCGTGTTTATGGCACCCGTGAGTATGCTCGTGCGCTATCTCTTGGAGAGGAGGTGGCACGTTGCCCCAATCAGGTCGGAAGACGTACGGAGATCTAAGCGAACCCCTGCTTAAGTTAGAAGCCCGTTTCACGCATTATCACCACCTTCACGCACGAGATGCTCCACTCCACAACAAACCGAGGATCAGCTTCCAGATTGAATAGCGTTATCAAAAGATTCGGGTAACTGCATATAGCTCGATGAGGATGGATGCTATGCACGTGCAGCTATATCCTATCAAATGGCAGGTTGTATACAGGGTAATGAAAATGGAATAGGCTGGAAGGTTGAGAGGATCGGCGATTTCATTTCTATTCTGATTGATACAATAGCTTGTCCGTTGGGTGCATTTGATACAACTTCCTGGGTGGCTGATTGGTGCCAAACAGACCAACAATGGCTAAAAATGACACCACGGTTGCACGACTGCACACCCGCTAACAAATCAAGTCTTGTCCACACCTCCCTGCCTAGAAACAAGGGCCAACCTGAATGTAACAAGGCAGGGTTCCCGGAATACTTGACCCCAGATAACAAGTCACCGTAGTAACATGCGCTACTATTTGAGGATGGCTGCTCCCGACAGATCGGGATGCTAAATTCAAGTGACGCTATAGGAACAATGAGGCTGCAACCTCATCACAATGCATGCCTTCCTAATCTCAAGTGGCAAGCTTTCCCCGGAATCCTTCGGGAAAATTTCCAAATTTGCTCAGTCAACTTGTGGTCGACTACGCACCCCTCCCCCGCCCTCAACCTGCATCGTTCTTCCTCTCGGACCCCTTGGGAAACGCCATTCTAGTTTTGAGGCCCAAAGAGCTTTACAAGACAGAGTTGTTTTAGCATTTCATTGCGAACTAATAGAGTAAGAATAGGGCTGGGAAGAGTTGCATAGCGCTGTAGTTATTGTGTACGTATTCATTGATTTGAATATCCAATACCTGAGTCACCTCCCCGTCCTTCCTCCTTGCAGCTGATTGCGCTAACGTCCTTTCACATTGCTTATGCGTGGTTGGTTCCATTGTGGAGACCAACAAGAATACACAAAAGCCAACAGACAATCTAAGTGGACGCGATTGCAAGAACATGATCTAGGAGGTCGGGATTTTAGCTAGATGAAACCCCATCAGAATGCCTGTTTTCTGCCGTTGAATTGTTCAAGGTTTGCAATTTATTTATAAATTCATAAAGGGGACTAAATACAAGGCAACTCGCAAGGAAGTTGAGGGGCAAGTTATCTCTTGTAAGCATCTGCAAAGCAAAGCCTTCAGACACCCATTTTCTTTGCTCAACTCCTACCAATTCTTTAGACCCTACTCCTTCTATGCACCCCTAGACCATCAATCTTTGAATAATTCTAAACCAATCATGATGTCTCTAGAGACCTATGATATTATAATTATTGGCGGTGGGACTGCTGGCCTCGTACTAGCAAATCGCCTTTCCGAGAACCCAGATCTGCAGATCATGGTCCTCGAGAGTGGTCAGGATCGCACCGCGGATCCAAGTACGCTTACTCCTGGTGCGTGGCCGCTGCTGGCCAGCGCTTCCAACTCGTGGATCTTTCAGACCACTCCACAGGATGGTATTGGGGGTAAGCTGCTCACAATCCCCCAGGGGCGTGCCTTAGGAGGATCGAGTGCAATCAACAGCTTCGTCTTTGTCCCCACTTCGATGAAAAACGTCGATGCCTGGGAGAAACTTGGCAACAAGGGCTGGAGTTATGAAGCTTTCGATGAGGCTCTGAAGAAAGCGTTCACCCTTCACAAGACCTCTGGGGCTAAGGAGGGCAATGGTCCTGTTCAGGTTACAGTTTCTGAGCCTACAACACTCTTGCAGAAAGCTTGGGTTGGCGGCCTGGAGTCAATTGGCTTTCCAAGATCTGACCCACTCTCCGGTCATGTCTGTGGGGCTGTCATCGCCCCAGAAAGCATCGATCCGGCGACAAAGCAGCGCAGCTATGCTACCAATGCATACCTCGACCCAGTCCGAAGCCGCCCAAACCTGATGATTCTTACGGAGACAACTGTGACCAAAGTTCTGATCGACAAACCTTCAGCAGGTAAGGGCGCTGTTGCCAAAGGCGTTCAGTATACTTCGAAGGATGGAACCTCCCAGACAGTCAACGCCCGTAGAGAGGTCATCATCTCTGCGGGTACCATCAACTCGCCCCGCATCCTCGAGCTCTCAGGAATTGGTGGAGCCAAACTTCTCCAGAGCCTGGGAGTTGACGTTGTCGTCGACAATCCACACGTCGGTGAGAACCTCCAAAACCACGTCTTCACAGGCGTGGCCTTCGAAGTGAACGATGACGTGGATACCATCGACTCGTTTTTCCGCCAGGAACCCGATGCCGTCGCCGCCGCCATGCAAGACTATGCCACCAAAGGCACCGGTCCGATGAGCACCTGTAATATGATCACTTCTGCACACCTTCCGCTGCCCGAGTTCCACACCGATGATGGACGGAAAGAGATCCAACAACTCCTATCGACTCTGAATCCTGAGGATGATGCCCAACACTCTTCACCCACCACGCCAGCCTTTGCGGCTGCCCATCAGGACTTTGTTCGCTCGATCCTCACAGACCCTCAACAACCATTGGGGTTTTATGTGATGGGTCCAGCCTTTGTGCCATTCGAAGCCCCCAGTCCCGATTATCGCGCTCCTGGCAAGTGGATCTCCATTGCGGTGGAGGTTTCGCACCCGCTGTCGCGCGGCTCGGTACACATTACCAGCGCTGCCTCTGAGCATGCTGGGAGCAACACGGGTGTGCGCGTTGATCCCCGCTACCTTTCCCACCCGCGTAAGTAACCTTTCATGCACAAAGGTGTTCTATACTACTGTTTTTGGAGGTATCTCGCGACGTACCGGAGGTATTTCATCAAGGAGACTTCTTTGCTTTGCGCCTCATCAGATACTCCTATATGCACCCCTGATACATCTTACAAGACAGCCATGGAATTTACTAACAGGCAATTGTTTAAGTGGACTTGGAGATCATGGCACGTCAGCTCCGCTTCACGGAGCAGGTGATTGGCCACGCAGAGCCACTCGCGGGTCTTTTGAAGCCGCGCGCAGATCGTTGGACGGAAATGGTGGACGCTAAGGAGTACGTTAAACGTACAGTCGACGGTAGCCATCACTACGTTGGCACATGTTCCATGATGCCACGAGCATTGGGTGGTGTGGTGGATGAAAGACTGCGTGTCCATGGTTGCCCCAACCTGCGTGTCTGCGATGCAAGCATCGTGCCTATTCAACCAATGGCAAACACGCAATCGGTTGTTTATGGAGTGGCTGAGCTTGGTGCCAGTCTCATAAAGGAGGATTTTCAGTGATTTGGGGCTCCCGCAAGATTTTGACGACCCCACCGTGACTTTCTCTGGTGTAAGAGATCAGATAAATGGGATCCGATTTTGACAGCCCGTAATATACTTCTTAATGAACGATTCCACAGGCCAACTATCTTATTTAGTGTTCAGTCAATAATCAATGGAGTTGCCTTCTTCGCATTTCACCATTCTAGTTGAGTGACACGATATCCCCGCATACTCCTTCAATTTTTCCCAAACAACGGAAGCCCTACTAAATGGATGTTCAGAACAACTCCTTGTTCCAACAGCCTCTTTCTCAGGGGGGCATACGGCACATCTTGCAACCCAATTCCCTTTTCAATCGCTATATCACACGCATTAGCAGCGGCCTGCCCAAGCGCGTAAAACTGATGTTCCAGCCTCAAAGCCCCTGGCACACTAGTCAGCCGAAAAAGAAAAAAAAAAGATGAACTACTAATTCGCCAAAGACCAGTACTCACCATATCCAACGTGCGACGAGCTAGGACACGTCACACTGACAAAATTGCTGGCCTCCTCCCGCCTAGGCAGCAAAGCGCGGTACGCGATACCGAACGGTCGCCAGTGATGACCGTCTTTGAAAATAAAGCCCTCATTGTGCACGCGCCCATCCCGCATGATCCGCCGCACGCTGTGTGTGTCCGTCGGCCAGTGTGCCACAGCCACTGGATCTGAAACCTCAGCTTCGCCGTTCTGCGAGGCCGTTTCTTGCGTGACGATGTAGTCTGATATCATCCGCCGCGCGTCGCGGACGTAGAGTTCTCGAGGAAAGTGTCCGTTGTCTGGGAACTCATCGCGACAGTACCCAAATCGAGACCATTCCTTGCGGATGGATTCCTAGCATTGTGAGTACTAAAAACAATCAGAGAGGGTTTCAAACTGACCGGCACGACCTCGTCCGTGGCCAAGAACCAAAGGAAGCCCTTCGTAAACCTTTTCGTGTCTTCCAGGATCCTGTCCCGCCCTTTATACCCCGCAACAGGCCACTCATCGTTCATCCCCACCAAATCCGTCGATAATGCTCCTTCACTCCCAATCAAATCCGTCTTTCTACCAGGCAACCTTTTCCTTGGCGGGTAAAACTGGCCTCCCGCTTTTGCAAACCTCCTATGTAGCTCAAGCCTTGCAGAGTCGTACCCATCGGGCTTTGTGAACGGCACCAAGTTCCCAGGGTCATCTGTCAAAGGTATCCTATAGGAGTACGATTGTAGATGTAAGTCCCCATCGCCAGGTGTTCCAAACGGCTCGGGGGAGATTCCAAAAAGGAGAGCACTGGAGGGATCATTCGGTGTGGTATACGGGTCGACGTCGACGTCAATTTGACGGTACAGCGTCTCTGCACGGACTCCAGCTAAGGATTCAGAGTATGTTGCAGAGGACTCGCGACCACGAGTCCAAGAGATAGAGCAGGCAGCCAAGAGGTCCCCTTCGTAGGTCGCTTCAACGAAAACCTGAGAATGTGAGTGAGTGTTATGCGGGGCCAACGAAGTTGACTTTCTAAGTTCACCTTTCCGATTATTCTTTGCCCATTTTCCAGATGCATTGCCTTGATAACTGTTCCGTCCTTCTCAACGGCATCTTTCTCGATAAGTCGAGACTAAGTCAACACTCTCAGTGCTATTCAATTCAATAAGTCACAAAGGTCTGACCTTGATGATAGTAATAGACGAATTCTCAGCCAACCAATCCCTGATTACCTGTTCAGCAACCCTTGCCTCAAATCTCCACACGTCAGGATCTTTGAGCTTCTTCTCAACGACTTCATTCAACCTCTCTAAGCGTCCATATTGTCGGCTAATTCTCTGGTGAAGCTCGAGGTTCAGCCCTCCTAGCGTGGCGCTATTTTGGAACTCAGCCTGGTTGTCAATGTCTGTTGCTCCAAGTCCGTTGATTTGGATGCCGCCTGTAAAACGTTGAGTTTACACTTTACGTTAATGTTTTGTTTGTAGTATCGACGACTAGGAGGTGAGCATACCTATATGCTCTACTGGTGAGACCAAGACAACAGACCTTCCTAGTCGCGAAGATTGGATAGCAGTTGCGACAGCTCCGGAAGTCGAGCCGTAGACCACAAGATCATACATCTCAGGCAATGGCAAAGGGAAGGAATAACGGTAGAGCGGCGACAACACAGCAGCCAATTAAATTATTTGATTTCCAAGATGACTGTGTTCCGATGTTATCTAGGTCGTCAACGTAAATTTCTAAATGAATATGATAGAATTATCCATGAGGGGAAGGTGTTCCAACGGGAAAGAAGGAATCAAGACCCTGTGCTGACATCGGGTTGTGAAAGTGCCGTCGGATATAATGCATGAACAGGACTTGAAAAATGTGTGCGACACGAGAATCACTATTTCTACCAAGACAGATTACTCGCCAAGCCATCTCGGTAGATCAATTCGGTAGAACAAATCTGACGGCACATGATCCATGGTGAAGTTGCATTGTTCCTCTATTCTTCTTGTTGGAATCAGAAACGTCATCAAGCTGATTCTACCGTACCTCTTTCATAGGGTTGTTTAATCCTCTGAGATCATTCCCAGTGAGCGAACAGCCAATACTTGATACTTCGATTGAGCATTGCGATAAGATCGGTTACTTGCCCTCGAAGAAAAAATAGCCCCTCCCTCCCCGGAATTCTACGCTCTCTACAGCCCGAATGTCGACAAAATCTAATCCTTTGCGCGAACAGATGACCCACTCCGAGCACCAACTTCCTAGGTGCGGGGTGAAGGCCGAATGGGGAAGATGAGTTGCGGAGGCCCGGTTGATCGGCGAATGGTCAGCATAGTTCAGCTAAGCGAATCAATATTGGGATACTTTCATGGCCCCATTTCGATATAATCTATGTGTTTTTGCCTTTGAAAAGCCAGACCTCGCTCTATTTCGCGAACACGTTCTTTTGCATCATCGCGACCATAGAGGCCTAGTCGAACGAAGATGAGCCGCGGTCTTTTTGTAAGCAAGGCGGGCATCGCCAATGCTACTCCCCGATTGATATTCTACTGCCTTGTCTACGCTATGGGGAGTGTTTTCTTCGGCTAGTAAGTCTCTTGTCGTTCCCTGTTACGTTTTCCCTCGAGAGTTGACTGTTGTTCAATAGTGATGGCGCTTCTTTTGGCGGAGTCCAAGCCATGACACCATTTATAAACAAGTTTGGAGCTTATAACGCAGCAAAACGGGCTTACTATCTTCCTAATCGTACTGCTAGTTTGATGAATAGCCTTCCGCTTCTAGGAAAGCTCTTAGGCACTGTAATAGTCGGACCGATCATTGAGAGGATTGGACATCGACAGGCCATGAGGATTACGTGTTTCGTTCAGGTGATCGGGGCTATAAGTGAGTGGTCAAGGAGCTGCAGTGTCGAAGCGAAAGGGTCGTTAACATATGGCAGTACAAGTTACGAGCAACAGTGCTGCTCAATTCGTAACCGGTCGAATTTTAGTATATGTAGCCGTTGGTCTCGTTGAGAATGTCAGCTTCTCACGTCAACCTGTACGTGTAACTTACTGACATGCCCTCATGATAGGTTGTCCCGACATATCAATCTGAAATTGCCCCTGCGTCCTTGCGAGGCTTCTTTGTGGGGTCGATACAACTTTGTTTGACCTTTGGATCCCTCATAGCAGGCATCGTAAATGAGGCCATGTCCCATAGGACTGATAGCTCAGGCTGGCAGATTGCGACAGGCATCCAGGCACTTCCGGCGGTCATCATCATATGCGGTCTATGGCTAACACCTAACTCTCCTCGGTGGCTGGTGTTCAACGACCGCCGTGAAGATGCTCTCGCGGTTCTCCAAAAGGTCAGGAGAAGGGCAGATGTTGACAATGGAAGGCCTGAAATGGAGCTTGCTGTTATGGGAGAAGAAAGCCAACTTGGCAAACAGGAGAAGGGGCCTTGGAAGGATTTGTTCAACGAGAAGAACCGAAGAAGAACGGGGTAGGTCCCGTTCTTCCTCCTGGAAAGCGTGAGAAGGCGAGCTGACTGCTTCAATTCAGAATCGCCTGCACTATCATGGTGTTTCAGCAATTGACCGGCGTAACCTTTTCAAGTTCCTATGGCCCGACGTTTTATAGATCAGTTGGCCTGGCAGACATGGCTTTTATCTACGCAGTAAGCCCTTCATCTGGAAATTTCCACTAATTGCATACTCAAATCACCCATAGGTCGTCAACAATGCAACATCTGTTGTGACAGCAATCATGGCAATGGTCTTCTTGGACATGTTCGGCCGGCGTACCCTCGTCTTCCATGGCGGCTGGTCTCAAGGCGCATTCTTAATTGCTATCGGTGCGCTCGGGCGCAAGGCCAATCTTAACGTCCAAGAGAGCAATGGCATTGTTGCGAGTATGCAGATTTATACATCTATTTTACACATGACGCTGGGCCCTGGAGCATATATCACCGCCGCAGAGGTGGGGACGCAAAAGTTGCGAGAGAAGACTATGGCATTGTCGGTGGGTCACTACTGTTGCTCCTGAGTTTCCAGCGGTTAATTACTAAAGCGCTTGATAGACTGCTCTTAATGTGGTTGTTGGTTTCGTGGTGGTTTTCGCTACTCCGTATCTCCTCGTGGATATTGGTGCAGGACTAGGATACATATGGGGTGGTTTTGCATTTTCGACATCGATATGGGCATGGTTTTTTATGCCGGAGCTGAAGGTAAGCCTTACAAAACGATCGCGAAGGTATTTTTATAATCTGATAATAAAACAGGGCCGAAACCTAGAGGAGATCGATCAGCTCTTCGAAGCTAGAATATCCGCTTGGCAATTTCACAAGTTTCAAACGGACGGGCTCAGTCATGACCTCGCTGTCCTTGAGACCGATAAGACGAATGCGAAGATTATAGAGCAATCAGAGGATGTCGAGCGTACTGCGGCGACTGCGCCGATAGGAAACATTAAATTGAACTGTTAAGTGAGGGTATAATTATTTCTAATTAAAACATGTGCGAGCCCTCTGTTAGTTCTTGTGAACGGTCTTTTATTAAGTTTTCCTTTCAATCATTCGCTATCTGCTTCCAGCTATTCAAGCTTTAGTATAATATTCTTTTTTTTAACAAAAAACAGGTCTTTATTATTTCTATAAAAAAGTTATATAAATAAAGTATTTTCAATAATTGCTTGTTATAAACTGTACTTGTTTTTTAATTTTTCAAGTTTTTAAGCTATAAGTAAAATAATATAAACACGTATTTCCACGCTATATTAAATTAATATAATAAGATTGCATAGAGTTTATTCAAATATCTTAATTTAAATATAAGCTAGATGAAAGTTTGTATCACCACGCATGCAAGGAGCCAACGTACCGAGCTCAAGTCCAGCTTCCAGGTGTGGGTGGAGCTAGTCATTGCGTACACTAATTTTGAAGCCCCTACAATAACAGCATAATTGTTATATTTCACTCGACATCAGCGTTGCCCCTTCTCATCGGCTGTAGCACAAGAATGAGCTTAGAATGCCATAGACTCAGGTGGCAGTCTTATCACCTTCGACTGTCTAGCCACACACTAAAGAGCGTGAAACGAAACGCTGCTAACATTTAATTTTAAACTCAAGTACTACCGCGCCCTTTCGGCTCCGGCCATATTGGGATTATGGAATGGGAATCGCCATAGGTCGCCTCGTAGTTGATCGCCATCCCAGAACGGACCATTGTTGGGCCAAGGACAAAAAAAATACATAAGGTGTGAAAGGACATGGACTGAATACAAGGTTTGGATTTATCGCCCCGAGGAACAGGCGTTCCACTCAATCTAAGACACTGAGATTGATGCCTGAGATTTAGTTAAAAGTTCGGCTGCTGGGAAAGTTACCAATAATACTCTGCACTTCCGAGAAAATAAGGCCACCGCATCGTTGTTTCAATGTTTTATTAAAAGGATACCCTGTTTCCTGCTCTGATAAGATCACACCTAGGTCTACGAGGCTTTTCTATGTCGGTTAAGTGCTTTACGAATTCAAACTGCGTTTATTTTCTAGCATTGTGAGTGCGCAAGCGAATTAATCGAAATTACTCAAAGTTCATTTCCTATCGCGCCATGCGATTTCAAGGGTTGCTGGTCTGTATAGAATCTAGTTGTTAACCTCAGGATATGTAGACCAATCTTTGCTGCCGCCCCATAGCAAGGTGGCTGAGTGGAAGCTGTACTCGATTGCTCTCTTTGCACGTTCCCTCATATCCGACTCGAACTGAGCAAGCCTCACCTTCAAGATCTCGGAATCCCAATGTCCATTCAACTTAGACGCAGACAAGGCGTCACACAACTGACCGACGTCAACAGCGGCCGTCTCGCCCCCAGATCCTCCGCTTGGCGCCATAGCATGGATCGAGTCCCCAGCAAAGGTGATGCGACTATCGGTCGGCCATGGCGAGATGTCTGGCTTGTTGGAGTGTATTGGAGTGACAGCGCTCTGTGTTTGCATCTCCAGCAGCGTGCGGAAGCAGGAGTCCCAGCCCGTCGTCAATTGTAGCGCGTAGGCTCGCCTTTGCTCTTGGGTCGACAAGGGGACCGAGGCTTCTGGCGGAAAGGATAGGACCCAAAACATGTAGCTTTCTTGGTCAGAGAGGTTGCATCCCTCGATAGCGGATAGTCTGCCACCGTGTGGCCACTCGATCGGAGCGAACAGCATCGACTGGTTGGGATTCTTCTTGTCAAGGGCGATTGCAAAGTGCGCCTGGAGCACCTCCTCGTGCCCGAACTCACCCCGAAACTCATCAGTCAGGGCAGTCCGTCCCCACATGCAGCACCTCTCCGTGTCGACCAATTTTACGTCCGGGAACATCTGCTTCCTCACCTTCGAGCTCACCCCGTCCGTTCCGATAAGAATGCGGCCTTCGACGGCCGAATTATCTGCGAAGTGCACACGCACACTGTCTATGCCGCCGTCGGACAGCAGCTCATAACTTTGTAATGCCTTTCCAAAATGCACATGTTCCTCGATTCCGTTCAAAAGAAGCTCACGAACCCAAGGCCTGTCAACATTGATGGAGCGGTCTCCGAGTCGCCACGTGTCTGTCTGTTGGCCCGTTGAGGCATCGAGGATGGAGAGCGCAGGCGGTTCGATGCGGCCCGCATGTGTCTTCCGAAAGATGCACCACATCTGCGGCGACAAGGTCTTCTCGAATGCGTTGAGACCCCCGTCCATGATCCGGTAGCGATGACCCTTCGATGCCAGAGCTTCGTCACGTTCGAAAACTTGGAACGGGACGTTGCGGTGCTTGAGTCCCTGGGCAAGCAAGAGCCCCGACATTCCCGCCCCGATTATGAGGACGTCATCGGCGCCGGCTGTGCTGGTCATGCTCGTATTGCTTGCACTTTCTGGTTTCAGCTGCGATTTTTCTGAGGTTAATGTTACCAATCTCTCGAAGGCTTGACGTGAGAAGCAAGTTTGGCTGGTGTTTTGTATCTTGACTTGAGATAGATGAGGAGTAATTGCCGACATACAGTAATTGCACGGGAGTAAGCGGTTGGGCTGTAAGCACTAGTGCATGAGGGGATGACGGGTGAAATTCTTACAAACCGCTGTAATCTAGATGCTGCTGTAGTTATGTAAGAAGTAGCATGACGGCACGATCCTTGTCCATCGCTGCTGTTGACATCAAGTGATGAACAGTTATGCTATGCACGCAAAATAAGATAAGAATTAAAAAAGATTATTCAAGTTTATAATTCTCATTTCTTTATTTAGATAATAGTGCTGTTTGTAATAGGAGTTAACATTTACAAGAAGGGAAAGGAGATATTAAAAGCTAATAGAAGTTAGTAAGATTCAGAAAGTTTCAATTATAGCTTATATAAAGAAATGCATTTTTATGCAACATTGTACTTTTTAAGTATCTTAGTCTATCCTGTATATAAATTATCAGGTTCTTTAACGTGTTGTTTCCTTTAAGAGGAATGAAAACTCTTTATAGTAATCTTCTTCGATAGACGGCGTTACATGCAATATATATGATAATTGAAAAGACCTAATTACGTATCATTACTCATATCTAAAATCATTATTTGCAAATGATTAACGTTATCAAAGTTCTTAGTTGAAAAACCTAACCCTTACGCACTTTCTAATTTATGTGCTTATGTTCAAGACCTATACTTGGCTTCGGCTCGATGCCACCAAACGATCGACAAAAGCAAGGATCCTCAATCTCCTTATATACAAGTTATGGAGGTCCACTCGCCGTCGGGAGTCTACGATGTTATATTCGGTAATTAGAATCATGATAAAGAACGACTCGACGATACTAGGAGGGATGTTGGAAAGCAGTTGGCCTGTTTCGGTCCACTTCATCAAGCTTGAGCCAGTGACAAGACCTATGATTAGGAGTACACCGAGAACAACAATGATCTCGTGTGCACAATTATCACCCAGCCTCTCAGAGAGGCGGCAATTAATTGAGTAGTCTTGTCTCTGGTTGGTTACGGGAGGCTGGATACCCGTGTCCGTAAAGATATTGCTGTCGTCCAGGATGACCTCTCTGAAGGCGGCTTTTTGGTAGTCATCAAGCTGAGCTTGCACATTTCGTAGGACAAACCCATCGTTTAGACCTACCAATCCGGCATAAGTCCCGATGAGCAGCCACTAGTTGGAATCGAACGCCATGACCGGGCCGATGCACAGCCAGACCACAAGGACCACGATCAGGATTATGATGCCGACAAGAGTCCCGACAAGGTCGGCATAGTAAAAAATGGCCCTCTGAAGCCTGCTGACCTTGGGTCCCGGGATGACAATAGTAGGGTTGTGGGTGGCGTCGCCAGTGATGATCCGCAGCTTGAGCTCGATCGCAGAGTCGGCCTCGAAGATGTGAGTCAGACGTTTCCCCATGTAGCGTTCGTGGCGCTCTCGAATGTTGGCCAGAAAAGCGAAGATAAGTACCATCCACGCGGACGTGGCCGAGTTGATGTAGAGTTGCCAGCTATTGCTCCATTCCATAGTTTTCCCGAACCCAAGCCAGACGAATATACCCGCCCAGAACAAGCCCACTGTGATGATATGGCCCATGGCCTTGGAAGCAAGCGTACATATGTGTCCAACCCAAGTCTCAGCAGGGAGTTCTGAGGCAAACCCGATTTGTTCGGAGCTGTCGAAGCGCGTTCGGTCGATAGTCCTCCAGCGATCACTTCTCATGATATATCCGAGCATCCTGAGGTGACTCAGGGAGCGGGACCTCAAACCTGCAGAAGCGCGGAGATGTGTGTCGTAAGCGTTTAGCTGTTGGCGCATGAGACTCGAGTCGAATACGTAGCTAACAATTGCTTGGACGTCCGAGATGACCACTGCCCACTCTGGCGAATTGCTATACGAAATACCCAGGAAAGCCCATGTGAGGAGGCCAGCTAGGAGGAGTAAGAAGATAGGCTCCGACCCAGAGGTTTGCACTAGACGGTCTAATCAGCGGTCTAAACGTCGTTCCTTGGGCTTAGCGGCAAATTTCATAGCATGTTGATTGAGGACAGGCTCGGCGAGGGCAGCGTATTTTCCTGCGGGGCTCGGAGTTATCAACAGGACATATTGGGTTAGTGCAGCTTCTTTGATAGGACCTTTGACACCGGGGGCACGGAGAGCATCAATGAGTCGCTTGTAGGTGAACATGATGTTTCATGGATGCTTCTGGGCATAGGAAAGAGCATCGTTAAGTTTACAGCCGCTCTAGTAGTCTCGGGGGTCATCATACTAACAGAACGTAGAGCGGATGTTAATTTTGAAATGCCGCTCCCACCTTTCAGTAGATACTCTAGCGCGGAAGCACCTTGCGGCAGGTAAAGTTCGTTAACTAAAGGGTAAATGAATATGCCGCGGAGGCTTGGTGTGGAATTCGGCAGTGCCATCGGGCAGAAATCTGCTTTTTAGAGAAGAGTGTGGAACTCAACCTGGTCCAGAGAAATCGAAAAATTGCATAGGACCTAATGGAAACAGTAAGCCAGAATCAGTGCACTCGGTGATTAGAGATGCGTTTGAGAAGAAGAGAATGCCCGTCTAAGGAAGAGAGAAATCGATAGACGTTTGCATGTTTTGTGGGCAGGTAGTTCGCGGTAGCGTCCTATAGGTTGGGTAACTCAGAGACTTTGCGGGATATTCTACCCCGTTATCTTGATACAGCCACAATACGGAAAGATAAAATGCCTCATAACAACTCGGAATAATACTCGAAAGGTGCCGAAGCAGGGGTCCTGCAATTCGCAGGTAAGGGCCATTCTCTATTCTCTTAAGTACCGTCAGCATAAGGAGGCAAGCTGGCTTGGGAACCCATTCGTGTCGTCTCCGTGACTCAACAGTAAGCCCAGACACTCATCCTAACCCCTCTCCGTAACACTACCCACCCCAGGTGGCCCGATAGTTCAGCCTCCATCCACAAACTGCAGATGCGAGTGACAGAAATCTGGTGTGTATGTGAAACAACCAATTCCGTCTGCCCAGGTGCATCTGTCGTCTTTGCACAGTGGGTGTGTACCCTACTTTCTGCAACCTTGACCAAGAAGCTAAAGGACGGAGCCCAAGGAGTAGTTGCTAGCCCTTGAACCTCCCATGCGGCATTATTGAGCCGGCAAACACGTCTTCAATCCATTGGCTGGCTGTTAACGAATCGCACACGATTCTCCTGCAAAGCTGGAGACTGCGCCTCGGAACTAAGCGCCGAGCTTCACATCGACACGAATGCTGGGCACGGCAGGATGCTCCCGCATTGTAGGAGTCAGGTACGTTGAAAGGTATAAAGCTGGGGAGCCATGCACGTTCTATCAGAAAGAGACTTTACGCCCTTCTCAAAGACAACGATCCCTAAACTCATCCTCCACAATCCTCGTCACAAGCTCTTCAGAGTCAAACCACCTTCCTCCCTTAACCACACAGCCCCCAAGCGAATCGAGACGAGAGACAACAAGATGGGCCTCATCACCGGAGCAATCAAGCTCATCGTCGGTATTGTAGCCATCGTGGTCTTCATCGCCCTCATCAGCGGCGCTTTTTTCGTCTATCGCCACCGCATGAAGAGCAACCAGGTGGACGAGATCGAATACGGAGGCCTTCCGCCCACCCTAACCCACGCCCCGCAGCCGGGGATCCAGAAGCCGCAGCCCATGCATGGGGCTGTGCCTGCGGGAGATCCCTACGGGCAATATTTCCAAAATGGGAAGCCATAAGCTGCCTGGATGGGAGCGGGGAAGAGGGCAAATAGTCTGATAGTTTGATTGCCTACGTTCGGATGCTTTGGAGGGGAAGGGGCAGAAATAAAGGTTTTCAGCGGAATTTTGTGCCAGTGAGCTCGGAGTAGATGGATTGTAATGGCCTGTGACGGCCTGTGACTGATTCTTTATTCAGCTATGGAGATGAATCAGATTTCTTAAGAGAAATGACTTGGAATTATTATAAATGCTTTCGCACATCCTTGATCCCCCCGCCTTTAAGTGTCCATCGCTGGCCGTTCTCTCCAAACTCTGCTGCCATGGTATGATAACCGCTTGGATGCCAGCGTTGGATGGTCTTCCCCCTCATTAGGCATCTCGACAATATAGTTGGTGCATGTTACGGGGGGCAGAGACCGCCCAAGAGGTACTGGTACATCTGCCATCTGATGAGTTGTGTGTTCTGAGTAGAACAGGCTCTTGCTATTTTAATTATTACTGCGAGGTAGATGCACAGTTTTCGGGCACTTTAATTCGTCCCGGCGGAGGGATTTAGACTTCGAAACGTTTTAAGCAGTAACTCGTATACTGGCCCACTTTGGCCACCTCTGGTGTCCTCAGACCTGGGATGGAAAATAGGAGTGTAACTCTAGCCTTTCCCCATTAGAGATAGGGTTCATGCGCAAGCCGAAGTAGCGAAAGGGTGGGTGTAGAGGAGCCGGGACTTTGTCAGGGAAACTGACCACCTAGCTCGCTGAGATCAAAAGGGTTGAACGTGGAGATTCTGTAGGTAGGTGCCCAGCGGACGACATGCTGCTCAATCTCATGAAATCGGCGTCAAAATAAGCTACAAACGCATCGAGCTGATCGGTCTTGGCACTGCAGGGTGCTGGTGAGGAGTGGGTGGAGATTGGCACTACCAGCCCTTGATAGGCCTTGGCAGGTACGGTACCTGTACACATGGAACTAATCTGTGCCAGTCGCCAGCCCTCAGCTAAAGCGTGTTTCGTTAAAGCCCTTGTTTCCACCCGTTTTCACCCGTCTGCCGTTGACCATGGATGACCTTGCACTCCTAGTCACTGGACCGTGACACTGGGCTCTCACGCAGCTGTGTCCGCCGTCGGCTGATCTAAAAATAATGAGTGGTTTTTTTTCTGCTCGTTTCAGACCCACAGCAGCACTGAGCCGAGCGTTGACATGTCTTAGCTTAGCAATTGGCTGCGAATAGAAACTCTTCAGACGTGTCCACAAATCTACTCCTATTAGTTGCAGAAGCTTGCATCGCGTTTCTTTTCGCAATATGATTGTAGCGATTCCTCTATCGGCGATCTTTGCCAACTCACCGCAATTTCGGTCCTCATTGCAATGCAATGTCTCCCAATTGCTCGCCCGAGACCATTCAACCCCCCGAGGACATTGGGCGACATCTCGACGTTTCTTCTGAATCGGCGGAGATGGCAACTAGAAGCGACGACACATTAGTCTGCTGCGGAGAACCCCAAGAGAGCGGCTCCGACGATCAGACACACAATGAGAAAGCCAACCACTCAAGGCCGCCGTGCCGGCCACACAGCCACCATCGACTCTGCGCCACCGTCGACACGCTAACCGTCGTCAAACGCGGCAGGACCAACTTCGCACCGGCAAAGCAGACGCTACTCAAGAACAGTCTCCTAGGCATCGTCGGCTTCCTCGAGCTCGCCAACGCGGGCGACTTCGCCGCCAACGTCTGGAACGAGGTGCCCGTCCCTGCCTACGCCGTTGCCCTCATGGCCGTAGGCGGAATCTTTGCTCTCTTGATGTCGGTCTTTGCCTTCCGTGACGCCCTCCTAAGTTTGCCCGATGTCTGCGTGCTGCTTGAGCAATGCCGGCGCCTCCGCCATGAGAGGGTAGAGCGGCTGAAAGAAGAAGACGGATCCCGGAAGCAGCAGACGCTCGACGTCGACGTCCTGCTTGACGTCGTCTGGCGTGAGCTGGGCACCGAGACAATCAGTCGCTTCGGCCTGGACCTCCTGCTGGGCGCCGGCGCCGTCATGATCGGCGTCGGCACCTTGATGGCCATCGGCGGCACCGACAAGAAGGTCTGGTTCGCTAGCAACCTGCTGTCCGGCTACGTGGGAAACGCTCCGCTCGCCCTCTACGCGCTCATAAACAGCGCGTGGGCTTGCTACATCTGCCTCAAGGCGCGCCAGCACTGGGCGGCCGCTGCGGCGTCGCTAGAAAGGAAGCGGGAGAAGGGACGGGGCCTGGACGAACAAGACCACCCGGCTTGGGCGGCGGTGCGGCGGCGGGCGCGCAACATGCAGCTTTACTCAGCCATTACCGGCGTAGCCAGCATCCTAGGCGGCGTGGGCTCACTGATGACCGCGACCATGTGGTACGGCTATGCCATCCTGATACCTGTCATTATCTCATCGGTGCTGTGCAACGTCTGGTGGCGGCACGGCCTCGGCTACGACCGCCCCCTTTTCGGTGACGACGCGCGGGACATGAGCGCCGCGTCGCTCATGTCAGAGATAGAGTACGTGGCGCTCGCGCAGGACGCTTTCAAGCGGGGCCAGGCGATGGCGGACGGCGAGTTGGGGGCGGACCTTGAGTCTCTGGAGTCGGTGCTGGGGCTCATCGTCGCCAACGACCTGTTTGAGGATTTTTGTCTACGGCTGCTCAGGGATAAGGAACTGGCGACTGGGCTTTTCCCTCTCGACCACGCGAGTTTCACCATTGAGGCAGCTGGTCTGCTTGAGGCGGCGCGGAAGCAGCATGCGGGCTGCGTGTTGAGCGCGGCGAAGAAGTGCGTGCGGGAGGACGGACTGCGGCGGTTCCAATCGCGTGAGCGGTATTTAGCGGAGGCGCTTATGACTTTCTTATACATATCGCATTTGGGAGCATGGAGAAGATGTTCCGGGCCAGCTCTGCATGTGTAATATAGGGTATTAGGGGGCATGTTAGAATCATCCGCCACATCCTAAGGAAGGCGATGCATAGTAGTGTATCGGAGTCATAAGTAATTTCGTTCTTAGTCCGTCTATAGGCTCTGTTAAAGCCATACACGGTCCCTTTATACACTAGTTAATATAACGCTTAAAACCCCAGCTTTAAATGAATGCATTTCCTTTTATTTTATAAATTGTAATAAAATCTTTAAATTTTATTCTGGGCTGTACTTGCGTTATATTTCTATGAAAGTATTTTTTTATATATATTTCAAGCCCTTTTACAAGTCCCAGGCTTTAAAAAGATACGTGCTTGTAAGACTTCGAGGCTTTATTAAACCTTGTTTACTTTACAGCAGTGCTTATTAAAGTTTCAAGTCCTGCGTAATAGAAAAACGTGGGTAATAGTTTGAATAAATATTCGCGGCATAGCCATCTCTCGGCTATATAGCTAAGCAAGAGCTAGTATCCGTAACTTGATAAGCATAGCCGCGTTAACCTAGATGCGTAGTTAAAAAAGCAAAAACACTTACAGAATTAACGCTCCTGGATCCACTAACTAAGGGAAGAAAACCTAACGCCTCAATGCAAGTTAAGACAGTACCTTCTTAATGCAGCCCAGAGATTTCAGGGCATAATAAGCAACCGTGATAAAAAGCCTTTAGAGACCTACCTCATGGAAGACCCGCTGATGCACGCCAGGCGTACCCTGGATCAAGCTTGTTCCTGGTCCCTCAATAAAACAACCCACAGAAATCTCTACCAATTCACATATATACGTAAGTGAAGTGCTCTAAGCAAATTTCGAAACAACTTTCCACATCGATTGGACCTCTATTTAAGAAGTATTTGATAGTCTTAATATCGGCCGGTGTCATTATCCTAACCCTGTTGTTCTTAATCAGCGCGTCCGTTGGCACGCTTTTATGGTGCATGTGCAAGCAGTTATCCACGAAGGTCCCTGTCTATACCCGTCTCTATCGCTCCGTCTACCTCAGGATGGATTGGAGAATCGACAAGAAGTAGGGGAAAGCCGTATGAAAGATGGAGAACTTAAGGGCTAAGGAGAAGGGTGACTACTTTGAACAGTGCAGGGAGCGTCGGGAGCAGAAGAAAAATGAAGAGAAGACTCCGGGAGGTGAGCACGAACATGTGCCTAATAAGAAGGCGGCTGGTTTGAGGGCTGGCTTCTGCTCTTTTCATTAAAGAAATTAGCATTTGGAAGTGCAAATAGCGGGATCAGTTGAGCCTGGCAGAGAGTGATAAACAAGGAGGTGCATGCTAGTTTTAAGGAGTGAACATTGTGAGATGTGATAAGGAAAGGCCCATCATGCTTTTCTTATGAAAGCAGCACGGGTCCGGACAGCGACCGATAATGAATCCGCAGAACAGTCAACCCCAGAGCACTACAAACTAAGCAGGACTTGCGAGCGAGGGAGAAGTGATTTGTGAGATTACTCTAGGACAACTCAAGGAGTGCTATACCTTACTAGTAGAGTTGGTGAGCACAGCGATTCCTCCCCTCATGGCTTTATAAAGTCGAATGCCTTTATTGCGAACATATGGAAACGTATGGGCGGTCATGAAGGCCATCTTTAGTCTAGTCTTCACGCATGCACAAGGCTTTCGTTAGTGCCAGGCCACAGGGCGCGGAGATGGCAGCTCAATTTATCGTGCTGCAAGATTAGTCATTGATTCCCCCGATTCTATTGGAAATATCATGATCCCCTGCTCGAGAGCGGGGATTTTTGCAGTTAGCGTCATGGAAATTGCCCCCCAGCATCGATAAAAAAGCTTGTCTCTCCAAGCTTCGACCTTCCCGAAGCGATCTAAAGCTTCCTTTTTTAACCGTTGTGCCTGTGGTTCATTGGCTTCCTCGTATCGTCAAATTCTGGGTCTCCCCAAATGTGCCGGGATGCCCAATCTCCCCGCGATTCATTATCGAGGAGAGGTCCATTAATGTTCTCATCTTATCGGTAATTATCTGCCGGCAAAGCCTCAGACGTAAGACGTTGACAAATGAGTGTGCTAGCGTTGGGGCTCTAATTCTTCATGTACCTAGGTACATAGTAGTGCAATTTATTTCCGCGTCCAGCATCAGGCTTCACTTTCATTCTTTCGCAATTTGTCAACTGTCTGGTATACCCCTATCCCATTGCAAAGGGGCCTTGCAACAGCCATGGCGTCAATCTTCAACGTGAAGTTAGTGTCGCTCACCACTTTGCTATCAGTGTCTGGCAGATCGATTGCGCAGTTCGTCGCGCCACCAGCCGATCTTACTTCGAAGACTGGTTATGCCGACATTCCGGTCCGCTACAAGGAAGTCCCAGTTGGGACATGTGAGTTGGACCCAAATGTGAAGAGCTATTCCGGGTATGCGGACGTTGGTGCAGACGAACATATTTTCTGGTGGTTTTTTGAAGCCCGCAATCAGGATCCATCCGAGGCCGACCTCACCGTTTGGATCAATGGCGGCCCGGGTTCGTCATCTATGATCGGGCTGTTCCAGGAAAATGGCCCCTGCAGAGTTGACGCTGACGGGAGTGTGGTCGACAACCCGTATTCCTGGTCGAATGTATCCAACATGCTTTTCATTGATCAGCCCGTCGGCACCGGGTTCTCCTATGGCAAAGCAGTCCCGGCTTACCAGAGCGCCTCCGGCAATCTCATTCAGCTGCCAGATGCCACATGCCCCGAATACGCCGAAGGCTCTGGTACTTGCGGTACCTGGTCAGCAGCGAACGAGACCTTGACCGCGAACAGCACGGCAAATGCTGCTCCAAATTTCTGGAAGACCCTTCAAGGCTTCATGGGCGCATTCCCTCAGTACTCACGCGGCGACTTCAACTTTGCAACTGAAAGTTACGGCGGTCACTACGGTCCGGTTTTCAACACATATATCGAGCAACAGAATGAGCTCATCAGGACAAACAGCTCATCTGGGCATGAGATCAACCTCAAGGCTGTTCTCATTGGCAATGGGTGGTTTGACCCTCTTATCCAATATGCTGCATACTATAACTTTACGGTCTCTCCGGGCAACACATACGATTACTTCCCATTCAACGACTCGATCAGTGAGATGATGTATAATGCCATGTATGGTGAAGGCAACTGCTACGACCAAACCGTCGAGTGCAACACTAATGGAGTTAATGAGATTTGCACGGCGGCAGACAACTTTTGCCTCCAAGAAGTGGAATCTGCCCTGGACATCTACGCTAATCGTGACGAGTACGATATCCGCGAGCTTCAGCCCGACCCTTTCCCGCCCACCTTCTACGTGGACTACCTCAATAGCGGCGCATTTCAATCGGCAATCGGTGCATACGTCAATTTCTCAGAGAGTAGCAGCGTCGTTGGGAATGCCTTCGGTTCCACGGGTGACGACGACCGTGTTGATGGCACAGTGGAGGCTATGTCTGCGTTGATCTCACAAAATCTGACGGTAGTGATGTTCTTTGGAGATGCCGATTACAACTGTAACTGGCTTGGCGGAGAAGCGGTTACGGAAGAAATCAACGCACCCGGTTGGAGCAGTGCTGGATTTGTCAACATCAGTACCGTGGATAATATTGTTCATGGACAAGTGAAGCAGTCTGGTGCTTTCAGCTTTGTTAGGATCTATGAGTCAGGCCATGAGGTGCCATTCTATCAGCCGGAGGTGGCTCTGGCGATGTTTGAGCGCGCTATCAGCGCCAAAGATATCGCAACTGGCCTGGCTGATGTGGTGCCCGGAGCGGTTTATACCACCAATGGTACAAACAAAAGCACATATCGGGAGGGAAATTCCACAGTGCAGTATGTTGTTATTCCAAACTCAGCGATATACAACACTTCTCTGAATGCGCCGAACCCCACCAATGAGAAGGAGTTGAGACGAAGAAAATATTTGCTGTAAAGATAAACGTCGGCAAGGAAGATCTAAAAGGAATTGAGCAGTGATAATACTTAATAAAGTCTATTATTGAGCTAATAAATATTGACACGAATGCGTACAGAGTATGCAACCTCCTTTAACAACAAAGTTAAAGACATATTTGTTACAGCTTCACTTGTTAACTAGTGCTAAGGTAACATACCTTTTTAAAATTACAACAAGTTAATAAACGCCCTTTTATACATACCAATCATTATGCACCAAATTTTCAACCTTATTATTATTAACGACAAATGAGGTATAACTGACTTAATCGTATGCCCTGTTGTACTAACTGCTTTATTCCGGCGACATTTCAACTACGCTTTACTTTTGTCTGCTCTGCGTAATCTTAATCAATCTTGCCTCCTTTAAGTTGCATAGAAAAGGAATTTGCTTAGACAAAAGCGATTCCAATTTGGCTGCACTATTAGGATTTATTCTCTCCCCATGAATTTTCCTAAGGTATATTAGATTTAAGCAATGAGCTCAAACATTAATGTATTACATATATTAAAACGTGTGGCGTATGCAGGCGCAGCAGACGAGAAGCAAAGTCGGATGACGAAAGCCGTCAACAGGAGCACCGGCAAGATGTCCAATCATGAATTGCTCGCCGTATTAGATTGTATCTTGATTGGAGTTGCTAGCACCATCTTAACAGTAACCATGACTGGCTGCGCAGCGCTAGCAGGACAGGCGGAGTGATAACCATCGGACTTGAATTGGATTGCATCTTAAAGCCGCAATAGAATAAACAGCCACGTCTTAACACCGCGGTGTTAAGCATCAATGACGGACTTAAGATGGGAAAGGAGATCACCGATTAAGTATAAGGCAAACGCAGCTGCTGAATAGACCCAACGGTCCTGCATCGTTCACTTGCTCGGCTCTATATCTTCGAATTCCTATTGAGTCTTACTATGTCGGCCCAAGATTCCTCCCTACGGGATACAAACTGGCTTGCTGTGGCTGGATATGTCTCAGCGCACAAAGATACTTATCCCTTCATTAATCCCGTTAAAGCTGATCTGACGGGCAAGTCGGTTTTAATCACTGGCGCCTCCAAGGGCATCGGGAAGGCGACCGCTATCAGTTTTGCTACCGCGGGCTGCTCGAAGCTCCTGCTGGCCGCTCGTTCTGACCTAGCGGATGTCGAAATAGCTGTCAAGAACGCCGCCAAGACTGCAAACCGGCCACAGCCGCTAGTGCATACCCTGAAGGTTGACGTGACGTCGGAGGACTCGGTGCGACTTGCCGCTGAGACTGCGGCCGACCTGCTCGGCGGCAGCCTAGACGTTCTCATCAACAATGCCGGTTACCTGGAGGAGTGGAAACCCATCGCCGATTCCAAACCAAGTGAGTGGTGGCGGACTTGGGAGGTTAACATCAAAGGCACCTATCTCGCCGCCCACTATTTCTTACCGATGCTCCTCAACTCGCAAACCAAAACGATTATCAATATCAGTAGCGGTGGTGCTCATGCTATATTCCCTGGTGCATCGGGCTACCAGACGACCAAGTTTGCCCTTTGCCGCCTCACCGAGTTCATGGACAAGGAGTATCATCAGCAGGGTCTAATCGCTATTTCGCTCCACCCGGGAGCCGTTAAGACTGAGCTGGCCTTGAACATGCCTCCGGACAGACTTGATGTCCTGACCGATACTGCGGAGCTAGCTGCCGACACCCTGGTCTGGCTTTCCCGTGAGCGTCGTGACTGGCTATCCGGCCGATTTGCCACTGTGAATTGGGACATGGAGCAACTGGAGCACAAGAAGCAGGATATTCTTCAAAGGAACTTACTCAAATTCCGCGTTATGATTTAAGTCGACTGTCCCTCGAGACTCTTATATAGAAGTACTCTTGAATATCTAAATAGGCATTGTTCGTATTCAGCTTTCGCATAGCCTGCTATATAGGTAGTAATGAAACTGGTTGTAGCTGTCGCAAAGGTTATAACAGGGAACAGGAAAGGAGGGAACTCCTAAGGGAAGAAAATGAGAGAACAGAGGGTTAGAGTATTATTATTTAGGCGGATAAGATTAAGTACCATCAGCATAATAAGGGAATTAACCAATTCTTATCTTTTATTAAATAGCAAAAACTTTTATAATCACTAACATTACTATTTTATATAGAAAAACTACTTTAAATTTAAAATATATATATTTATTTTAAATTTAAATTAATTCTTTTCTTATTAAAAAACCTTATAATAAATATAAAACTAATTATTATTATATATTTTTAAGATTTTTTTAAAATTAAATATTTTAAAAAAAAGTAATTATTTACTTTTGATTTACTTTACTTTACTTTATAATATATTTATTTCCCTTTTTAGTAAAAAAATATATTATTTTTTATATACTTTATATACTATATTTAATATATTAATTAAAAAAAATAATAACTATTTTATAATAAAATAAAATTAATAATTATAATTATTTAACTATATTATATTTTTTTTTATAAAAGTTTTAAATTTAATTATAAAAAATATTATAAATTAGCTATTAAAGCTATAAATTTAGGGTTAGGGTTAGGGTTAGGGTTAGGGTTAGGGTTAGGGTTAGGGTTAGGGTTAGGGTTAGGGTTAGGGTTA